GTTTCTATTGATCCTCCTATGAGTTACTGATGTTGCTCTTTTACCAAAATACTAGTTTGCTCTTTCAATATTGATTTAACACAATAATGAGATTAAGATTTTCCTATTACTAATATATATTTCACGTTACGTCACTGCCTAAGGATTGCATTAATACATTTATAGCTGATAAAAATTAATAATAACCAATTATTTTTAATATTTTGCTATCTAGGTCACAGCACACTTTCGAATGTATTCCTTTTTCATCTAGAATCCCTATCATGCTAAAGAGTAATTGATTGTACTACTTCAGAATAAAAGTTTCGTATCTTTGTTCTCATACTAATAATAGACCAAAATAAGTGTAAATGAAAAATATAGTGTCATTGTAAGACTAAGATGAAGTTAGATTGATTCACAATATAAGCTATTTCCTATTTGGTGTTTTTTGCTCCTTTTTAAGAGCGTTTGCAGAAAAGAAGACAGATTCTGCAACTATCAAATTACTGAAATCACTGTCAATGAACTTGCTTTAGTAATGGATATTGAGAAGATGACCGGTACGTAACCGATTTCATTTTAAACCTCTGTAAGTTGCGTGATTTTTGTGAGATTGAGACGTTTTAATCTTAACATTTCCTTATACTTATAGTTTGTGAAATAAAATATGTAGATAGTATTGGCTTTAAAGGTATTAGCAGACTCAATCTAGAGAGACTAAAATTCCTCGAAAGTCGACTGTTAGAGTGCATAATAACTATACCTATTTCATATTGTGGAAACCTTACATCTTAGAATCCGTAAATATTGGTGTATGACATATCACCTTTAATATAGATATATGTGCAGTTCGACTATCAACACATTTCATTTTTGCCCACCACTATTGAGTAAAGCTTACTTGAGTAAGGATGTTTCATGTTTTAATTGAATTGTATAGGAGTTGGTTTACTCGTGTAGGAACTAGAATGGAAATACTTTACCATAATGAATCGACGTTAGTAAAATTTTTCCTAACTATAATTTTCTAAGCCAAAATTTTCTTTAATATTCCTCGATGATGAAGAAGACATACTTCAATTATATTTCCCGGATAATATGGTAGACTATACCGGCCTAAGAATTGAACCAATTAATAGTTTTTACAATCTACAAGATAATCATTACTTGCTGATAGGTTGTCATCGTTCGCCGCATCGGGAAAACCTGCGGAAGAATAAGTGGATAATATAAAGCAGTAGAACTTTCAATATCTGGAAAAGCATGACAAAAAAAATATGGCAGAATATGGTGGATATTTTATCTATTCTTTAATTGTAGAAAACAAATGAATACTTTTATGAAACTTATGAAACTTATGAAACTTATGAAACTTATTAAACTTATGAAACTTATGAAACTTATGAAACTTATGAAACTTATGAAACTTATAAGCACGTTGAACAACGTTTTGGAAACATTATTTTTCTTGTATGGTAAATGAAAATACTCTGTGAAAAATTCAAATTACGTTTCAAAATATAGTTGTTCGGAATAACTTTGTCTTTTCCAGACTCAGAGAAATAAGTGATTCTAGATATTTAAATAAGGTTTCACATGCGACAATTAATTGAGAAAGATTATTCTTTCATAAAGCACATTCTGGAATATATTTGCTACAACATAAGCCGAATAACCATCAACTATTGTCTATTATACATAACTTATTTTCTTATTGTTGCAAATAAACAGAATAGAAGCTACACAACGTTCAGTCAAACTTAAAGCTATTTTTCTAATGGTTTTCTTTTTCCGTCCCGCTAGTCCTTGTCAGGGTAATGATATCACTTAAATTTTTATTCATAATAAGTTAAATGAAAAGGCTAGAATTTTTCTCACAAATTTTTGGGAGATTGATCAATTTGTTTTTGAATAAAGAGCATTCAACTAAACGAAAAAAACATCCTCGATACAGTAGGACAAAGCAGACTAATGTTTCATTGATCCTAATCGAAATATAGTCATGGAATTTAATTCAACCATGATACCTCTGGTTCTTGAAAGACTTCCAAAAGTCAGCGAATTACTCACAAGGCCATTAATGATGCCATATTATGCTAGATAATAGATCAGTTGTTTTTTTGGGTGAGAGGGGGAAGACTGAATGTGTATTTTTAAACTATTACCATCGGTGGTAGAATAAAGTTTACATAAATAGGTTATTAGTTGGTTCAAAATTGCTTATGATCGCAGCTGTAGATTGTTTTTACAATTTGAAATTACATCATACTCAGATTATCATGTTCTCTAGTGAGTTGGTTAAAAACATGTAGTTGTGTGAAAACGATTCAACTGGAAAAATTCGAACTAAATCGACAGTAGTTATTCTTGTTATTGCCATCTATTCGGTTTTTTTCCAAATAGTTAACCTCTCAAAAATTAATTATAGTCAAGAATTTTGTTTATCGAAATTAGAGTTTTACTTTCCAAATTCATGTATTTAAAATAGCAATAAATCCATATATGTTTAAATACTGATAAAAAGACACAACTAATTATGAATAATGTTATTAATGTGATAAGAATTATAATGAAAGCATGTTAAACTAGTTCTTGAATTATGAGTATTTTTCTTGGTGTGATTCTTGTATGACTTAGATCTTCCTTGTAATGAAAACGTCGATAAGGTGGATATTAATTTTTTTTGTTTAATTTCTATAGCTCCTAGTGGTGATGTACCTTCTCGAGGTCCTGTTATGAAGATAAGAGGAGACCATATCAATGATGCTAGGCTTTGTAAGGTAAACAGGTCTAAAAACTATGCCAGAAAAAAAAATCATATCATTATATAGTTTAGGTATATCACACATCTTCAAATGGCCTGAAGTGGTTTACCTTCCTATGCCTTTAACATATTTGCAAAAAAACTCCGAAGCGGGGAGTCGAACCCCGGTCTCCACGGTGAGAGCGTGATGTGATAGCCGTTACACTACATCGGATATGTAATTGATACGTGTCTGACAATATCTGTTGTGATATTTCCTTTCCAACATTTTATCATTGTATTCGTATAGATTTGAAGATTGAGACCACATGACCATATAAGAATAGTAATATCGTACGTGTCAATCATAAACGCTCAAAACTTGCGAAATGCAATACTTAGCAATACGATAAGAAGAGTATCCGTCAATACTTCCGATAAGCCAAGCCAGACGCTCCGGATTCTTCAGTGCTCATGCCGGCAATCCGAGCACTATCGAGGAAGGAGAAAAAGGAGGTTTATTGAGACAGGATAAGGCACAATCAGACGGATAAGAAACTCTAAAGAAGTTATCTTGGGGAACGTTGTAGATGTGCCAAGGATATGTTATACCAGATGTCCTCATTTGTGACATTACAGATGTGATAAGCCATTGTGATTAAATTTCTAGGGCAGAAACCAAGATCACCTTTTTGTGACTGCTTACTTTATAAGTACATCCATACATTTCATACTGTCAAAGTATTTAAATTTATTTCGTGTAGTTTGATAAGAGTAAATTCACTAAACTTTCTATATAAGGTAATTTTGATTTCTGTGAAAAAACTAGTGGATATTTACCTTATTGGACAACCACAGGAGTAACATAGCTTTCAACTGTAGAGCCGTATGGCGAAAATGAGAGAATATGTACTGTGGCAGTCCCAGCATACTCCCGCAACACTAGATGCCATGCCGTCTGGTTGGGAACTACCAGAGGAGACGAGTACACCAGCACAGGGAGGCTCTTTGTTTTTTCCAGCCGAAGTACTGGGTGGTCCACCCTCAAATCTTTGTACCACACATCAAATAGCTATCCTCCCTGGGAGGTTTCATAGCTAGTGCCTACTATCCTGGAGCTAATCCCACTCCAGGCTGGGAACCTTACCCTACTGACTCTTTGCTACCAAGGTCATTTACTCTCACTGCCATCTTCCCTTCCACAAAGGAAAATAGCCATGCCTTTCCAAGACTTGCTGATTGGTACCACTGGCTCCACCCGGCAGTAGAGGGCACAGGCAAGTTGGATCCTGGGCTACGTAGAGAAGGTCTTCCTGCCTAGCTGTTTGCTTCGCTCTGTGTAGCATTAACTCTGTTGGCCAGCCACCCGGTACAATGTAGGTGGGTTCCAATACCAACAGCCAAATTTTCTCTTCAGTTTATGCATACTTTCATGGCACTGGAGACCGCCACTTCGAGTGGTAATCACAATATACTGGAAATGAACGAGTTGTAATTTTATGTGTGAAGTTGGTGTTGATATCTTCTTTTATATTGAAGTATATATTTTAGAGCTTTAAATTTACAAGATTTTCGATTACTTATATTACAAACCATAGTAAGCCAACTAAGTTTAGGGTATGTTCCTATATGATAAAAGAGAAATATTTGCCGGCAAACCTAGGAAACGATAGTTGTGAAAACAGCGCATATGGTGGTGGTAATATAAAAAACCTGTGGTACAAAATGTGGAATGGGCCTATGCTGCCAGCTTTATAAGCCAACACCTGATATATTCGAGTTTGATTGCATTATTTGTGGAATTGTGGGTTACTTAGGTCAAATCAGATTGTCATTTATTTTTGAAGATGTCAGTAACTCTAGCCTCGAATGCGGGATGTTGATTATCTATACTTATGAACCACCGACCATTTTTGTCATTGCTAGTGTTTTCTTAATGCAAATTTTTTAATAATATTAACTTGCAACAATGTGAACTGGTTTACTAACAATTCTACTCGATTGCTTATCCTATGTTTTATGTTTTTGACAAGAGTATTTCTCGATTACACAAGGTCCAATTTAATCTAAGGCTTCCGAGAAGAATAATTAAATCAAAGTGTTAAAAAAAGTTGTGATAGAAGGACGTACATCGCAAACAGTTAGAGGATAGGGGAAGTCTTTACAGGTATTATGGGCTTGACTGATATTGAGTTATGTTTACCTTATGTCTTAAACAAGAGCAAGAAAACATGTAAGGTGCGCAATTGTGCGTTTGATTACAGAATAATATAAAATGCCTCCAAAGCAACAATTGTCCAAGGCTGCCAAGGCTGCTGCCGCTATGGCCGGTGGTAAGAAGTCCAAGAAGAAGTGGTCCAAGAAGTCCCATAAGGACAAGGCCCAACACGCTGTCATCTTGGATCAAGAAAAGTTCGACAGAATCCTAAAGGAAGTCCCAACTTACAGATACGTTTCTGTCTCCGTTTTGGTTGACAGATTAAAGATTGGTGGTTCCATGGCTAGAGTTGCTTTGAGACACTTGGAAAGAGAAGGTATCATCAAGCCAATCTCCAAGCACTCTAAGCAAGCTATCTACACCAGAGCTTCTGCTGAATAGATAACTTAATCTAGGAAATATTCATACATGAGTTTTTCTGCATTCTAAATATCTTTTTAATCCAAGAAAATAATATCTATACGTTCATCCGATAACCATGTTCATTTATATATATGTATACAAATAGAATCGTGATTGATTTGCGAAAGTGTCAAGGATTCTCAATGTCAATTTAGGTAGACCTGATAAAGTTTTGTGTATGGCTATGTGTAGCTTTATTGATTGCAAGAGGATCCACGCATTCCAATTCTTTTTACATAAACTATTATGTAGCTATAATAGCATCTTCCTTCTCTATTTGTCTATTCCTCTCAATACACTCAGAGATCTTAAGACTTAAAAATTTTTTAAAACCAGTCCACAATGGTTGAGCCTGCTTTGGGATTTTGTGATCTACTAGCTTAATGATCTGAACTACAGATGCCTGTGCATAAGCAGAGTAGTTCAATCTCAGCCAATAAATCCCAAGATAAATGACGAACATGTAGCCAGAAGTACCCGTTCTCATTACAAGCGCATCGATTAACAGTCTCAGCATTACGACTAACTCAGAGTAGGCAACAATGTTTAACTGAAACTTGTACTTCTTACTAAATTCTTTATGGTTATCAACGCCATTAAATTCATTCTTCATATTAATTAGATGTAGGTAGCTCAAAACCATGAAAGGAACTAGCTTATAAAATGATTTACCGCCACTTACAAACCACAATGCAGCTATCATGATAGACTGAAAATTTTGAGATGCCAACAAATCATTCCAACTTGGATCCACTCCCTTCCAATTCTGTAATAAGGTAACACCATAGCTGACAAAGACACCGATCAACGAGGTCTTATATAACAGAAGTGGTGTATGTCTCAAAATAGTATGGTACCATCTTGTTCCCTTAATGAAAGTATAGTTTTTGTTCTCTCTAAGGAATAGCCATTTCCAATTTCTATACTTGAAGAATAATAATATTTGGAAGAAATATGCGATACTAAACAGAATACCACACACAACAACTAATGAATGACCTGTTGTCCATGCTAGTTTCTGTTTGGCTAATGGGTCGACCCTTTTGCGATCCCTTTTCTTGATTATTTTGATCTTCTTAGCCATTTTATTATAATGCGGTGTTTGTCCCGTTATTACAGTTTGCACTAAAATGGTAATTTAATACTGAAACAAGATTCCTGTAGTTTTATACAAAACTCAAAACTAAACTTAAGGTTCCAACTTCCAAGGACTTTATATTATATCGTACAGGCAATGGTAGTTATGCTTTTTCTTAATCAAAACCAGCAAACGTTTAGGATCACACTTAACATACAGTACAACTATAGGTCAGGAATTGAATTTGAAAAACAACTCAAGCAAAGAGGTCGATATAAACTGGATTGTAATCTTAATGTTATCTCCTTAAGACTATCTTTAATAAAACGAGAGCCTCTCATCGCACAACAGAAACCAATGCCCCTTACAACATCTTCTGCTTCCCATTGTTCTTTCATTAAAAAAAAATTCAAACTGCTTCCAGAATGTACATTTACCCGGTTATTTGGTGATCGACGTTGTAGGAGATGAGCTCATCGCATCACATCATATCGAATCGAATGCTCAATCACATATGAATGACAAGTCCATACAGTGTAAGTGGCTCATTGATTTCAGTATGTGAGACTTCGAGCTTCTGCATCTCAGACTTAGCATTTGTCCCAAATTGATTTGCCTTTACTGAGGGAGTGGTGCAAACTCTAAGAAAAACAGAGCTTATCCGGGAAGTGCCTGTTGTGGAATTCGAGATGGCTAAGTCGAAATATGAATATGTGAAGCAATTTGAATCCCATGATACACTTTTGCCCCAGTGTTATATAGTGGTGCGTATTGATGGAAAGAAATTTCATGAATTTTCCAAGTATTACGATTTCAAGAAGCCCAACGATGAGCGTGCTTTGAAGCTGATGAACGCATGTGCTAAAAATGTTGTACTCCAGTATAGGCATGAAATGATTCTGGCGTATGGCGAGAGCGACGAATATTCATTTGTATTGAAGAAAGACACGGAGTTGTACAAACGGAGAAGGGACAAACTATCGACTTTGATTGTTTCCTTGTTCACTTCGAACTACGTAGCGTTGTGGTCTAAATTCTTTCCCGGCACAAATTTGCATCCAAAGCATTTGCCTTTCTTTGATTCTAGGTGTGTGATTTATCCAAATTTAGAAACCATAAGAGACTATGTAACTTGGAGATATGTCGACACCCACATAAATAACTTATACAATACCGCCTTTTGGCAATTGATACAAAAATGTGGCATGAATCCTCAGGAAGCAGAAAAAAGGCTGTCTGGAACAGTTAGTAGTGAAAAGAATGAGATACTATTTAAAGAATGTGGGATTAATTATAATAATGAACCGGAAATGTACAAAAAGGGATCGCTTATAACCAACAAAGGAGAGATATTACATATTAATGTCATTGATAGCTTGGACTCTCTTTTTGAAGGCTACTAATAAACAAAAAGCGTTTCTGTGAGGTATGTAATAAGTAAATGAAGCGTTAACGAGTTAAAATCTGCGCTTTAGATCTTAAGGACTAATTTTTCAATGAAGCGCCATCTATAGAAGAAACTGTTTAATGTGTAATAACTTTATCACGACCATATTTTCAAATCATGGTCTTGAAAATCGGTTTAAATATCCATTTACAGTATTGGTAGAGTTCACAATTTCTTGCTTGTTCATATTTATCAGAGGTATAAACATAAACTGGCACAAAAAAAAATCTCCGCGACGGGGAATTGAACCCCGATCTGGCACGCGACAAGCGCCCATTCTGACCATTAAACTATCGCGGATTGCTGATTTTGTTGTAATGAATAATTTACTTTCTCTCCACATGGATAATAGGTTATCGCATCAAACGGCAGGCAAGTTACGGTACTAATAGTTTTATAGTTTATTGTCTATGTTGTAAATCATAGAAGAAAGTTGATATTGTAGGTAAAATGTCTATATTGTTTAAATATTATAAAGATATTATAAAATGCCGATTGATTGCTTTTGACCTCATTGATAGTTAGATAAACCCAGAACAAAGAAAATAAATAAACTGAAATAACAGTACATAGACGCCGGCATCCAAAAGTATGGACTAATGTCGTAGTTTAATGCCTTGTCTATCATTGATGAAAAATTAAAGAACTTTAATAGAAAAAAAAACATCATACTAAGAAATGAATTGAAAAAAAACTTAATGTAGATGGAGATAGTTACACTGAATGCTGATAGTGTAATACTCACATCTTAAATGCAAATCAGTAGTTAGTAACATTCAAATTGCCACCACGATGGTAGTACCCATCATCAAAATCTTCTGGGATGATATTTTCAGAAGCTATGCTATTGACAATCGAAAGATGGTCATATTGTCTTCCCTGTGACGGTGTTGTGAATTCATCAACAGATGATTCCGTATAGATATTACTTGTCAAACTTGTCGAATGTCGATGTGCTTTGAAATTTCTGCCTCGTATGTTATTGATTAAATCATCCTCTTCATTAGCGGAAGCTTGAGTGGTATCGATATCTGGTACCTCATAGGTATTGGCAACATCTTTGTCATTTGTAATGATAAAATCGGATGAGTTATCGTCACTACCCATTGGTGATTCTGAACTAAAGTTCCTAGCATCATCAAGATTCTTTCCTAGTAATGAGTACCATATGGTAACAAAAATATTCCTTTTGTATGCGGTAATCACTTTACCGTCAGAATCGATAAAGTCAGTTCTAGTGGGCATGATGCAGAAAATATAGAGTAACACTAAAATGGCAATGAGCAACGGAACACCGATACCTACCACACAGCCAATCACAATTTTTTTGTTTTTGCTAGACAACCCATGGTTTCCACTCTTATTTTGCGGCGACTTATGCGCAGTCGATTCGGGTGAATAAGTGATGGTTGTATATGAATTTGACAGAATAGTTTTGCCTTCAATTACACTCGTGATAATAACATTTGATGTATTTATTGAACTTGATGAGCTTGGGGTGGATGAAGTAGTAATAGTCGTAGAGCTAATTGATGATGAAATCGATGTTGTTGAGGAAGATGTGGTACTTGAAGGTAGTATAGAACTACTAGAGCTGAAAGTTGACAATGTAGAGGATGGGCTAATGGAGGATGAGCTAGACGAATAACTGGAGGAAAAGGATGAGAAACTTGAATAGACCGAGGAGCTAGATGAAGTAATCGCACTTGAAAAAAACGACGAGCTGGAACTGCTTGGAGCAATTGTTGATCTAGAGGATGACGATATTATGCTGCTTGAACTTCTAGAGCTTGATGAATATGAGCTTCTAACTGAAATGGAACTGGAAAAGTAAGATGACGAACTGGATAGAGATGATGAGGACGATATACTCGAAATTGTAGATGAAGGAGTATATTGTGAACTTCTTGATGATGATGGTAATGAAGAAAAACTTGATGGAATAATGGATGAAAATGTGCTTGAAAATGTGCTTGAGAATGTACTTGGGCTTTGTGATATGAGAGTGCTGAAGGAATTTGTGAATGACGAAGGTTCCACAGGTACCACCGATGAAGTGGAGGACGGCACCTGGAGTTGAGTAGATTCATCCGGTGTAAATGAGTAAGGGTCTGAACTTGGGATTATATTGGAACTGGAAAGATCAGTACCATTATTATTATTGTTGTTGTTGTTGTTGTTGATACCAACTCCACCTGCTGGTGGCTCTATCTGTGCAAAGGCAAAACTCAGCAGAAGTAACACCACAAACATATGTTATAGATCTGTCCCGATACAGATTTTATATTTTAGATGTTTGGATATGTTCGTTGATCTTCAGTGTTGTTGTAGATTTTTATGCTAATTTATTTTCGTTTCTGCCAGCGATTAAAGTAACTGTGTAGAATTATGATTTGCTATAACAATGATCCTCTATTATATACAGATCAATCCAAGTGATTACCATTTAACATCGGTATATTATCAGAGTAGAAATGCAATAATTAGTGCAACAATATAAAAAAAATCAATTAGATATCTGTTTATAGCATTTACGATAGGGATGAACATGAAATTTTATTGTTATTATTTGATCAATTTTTTATTTTTCAGTTTGTTTTTTTTGGTTTAATGAGTGTCTTCTAGGCGAAAGCATATGAAATCTCACGCCGTCCTACGATGTTTCCTGTGCAAGTGGGAGCTTCTATTTTTCCAATCTATTTTCTATTTTCAGTTTGCGATCCCTTCTGCTCCATTTCTGCACTTACATTGTTCGTGAGTGGGCCCTGGAAGCTTTCCCATACCTGCGAAATACAGACTTGTGTGAGTCTATTTACTTACCATTACGCTTCTCCAGGAACACTAAATCTGCTATAGTTAGCAAAGTCCACGTCTTCCATTTCCTTGATCATTGTGTGTGCTTTCTACACACACCCCTGTCCCCACAGCAATTTCACTGGCAATCTCATGGGCTCTGGTCGTACCCTGAATTAGAAGAAGTGGGAGAAGCAAGGAGGATCGCTATACTCCACTGAGATCACGTACAAGTGTGGAAAATAGAAGCTTTTTTCTTCTTTCCTCTCCCAAGGTGCCTTTCCAACTCTACGGTCCTTCTTACACTCTCTGGGGCTTCTTCTCTCTTCTGTACTTGGTGAACACTGCAATGGATATATCTGTACGGTAGAGATAGTGGGCATTGATGTATTGGAACTATATTGAGATGAGTTGCGTCCGTGAATTCTCCCAGTCGTACCTGCCTTTCTGTGGGCGGACCTCTTCCCCCTCCTCCTCCTCCTCCTATTTCTACTTCTACGTGGAAGGAGGACTACTGTGCGTCATTGCCGGCTGTTAGTACCCTTCTGTTGGAGCCCAGCTTTGTCTGTGACTTATTCCTTTCTGTTCGTCATTCCCACCAAGCCTGCGCCCCTTTCAGTGGTAAGTGGTACCGACTGCAAGAGGTGAGCAGCGAACCGAAGACAAACTTCTGTGATTTAGATGATTTAGAAGATACGCAATTTCTGGCAGAGACACACCCATACACACACACACTCTCTCTCTCTCTCCCCTTCTATACACACACTCCTCTTCTTCATATTCATATGTTAATGACGTATTTGCCATTCCAGCTAGGCTCCTTGTGGTTGATTTGCCAAAGCTTCGGGATGCGATGCGCTATAGTAATTAGGACTTGCATCTTGCTCAAAAATGCAAACTTAACATAGAAAAACAATCTGCTGGTATGGCTACTATTTGTAACTGCTAAATATATCTGTATTTCAATACAAATTGTGATTTACTATCTTGGATTTCGTCTTTACTACAAATGGATAATTTACTATATAAGGATAAAATATTGGTTGAGAGCCATACCTCGCACTTCCCCCCCCCTCCTTCCAACGCCGCATTGTAAACCAGTACAATATAGCAATGCCCAACATCTCCCAGATTTTGGTCGATAAGGTAATTGTATTGCACACTGTTTCTTTTAGTATGCTCTATCTCTGATCTCTGATACAGTTCCCCCATTCTATAAATAATAGCAATGACATGGTCACTCCTCGGTTTTATAAGTTCAGCTAATTGAACCTATTTGGCATGGCAATTGAATTTTGACACTGTGTGCGTTTCACAATGTTGTGTGCGGAGGGAGGGGAAGTAGATTCAGATTTACAATTTCTTTTTTATCTGATGGAACTTCACTTCACTATACAGATGAGGCATTTACTTTTTACTCGGGCTCCTTAATGTATATATTACGTATATCTATTTTTTGTCACTACATGTGCCCTATCTGGCATTTTCAGAGCTTAGTATAGAAGAGTACTTGTCTCTCTTCGCGAGGTCATGCTTCACTTCCTTTAGTATCATGTCAGTCAGTTGCTCCGTGATCTCATACGCCTTGTGGCAACATTGCATCAATTGGAGTGCGTCCATCGGCAGACCACCTGCTTTCGATACCTGTACAACTTCTCTATTCTTGTTTAGTGTAACCGTCAATACACCGTCTCTCAGTAACTCTTCCTTTGTCGTGGCATCGATAATGGATATTTCAGCATTGCTATCACCTTTGATGTTCTCTTCTGTATCCTGTGGGTTGAAAAATGAGAAGGTAACACAGATAGGAATATGTAGAATACCCAGCGGAACTGGTTCTCTTTCATCCACGGGATAAACTACCACGTCCTCCCCATGTACACTTATGTCTGGCTTTCTGAAGTGAGATAGCGCCGCCATGACAGCAATACAAGAGGCATCAATGAATCCACCATCACAGTTCAAGTAGTGCACATCCGCTCTTACTGCCCAACACTTGCTTCCTGCCACTATACAGAGCCCCTCGACATCTAGTGCACCTGATCTTCTCACTGCCTTCTCAATGATACGTGCGCATAACACTTCATCCTCCCCTGTGCTATTACCATTTTCAAATTGTGGGCCTGCCATTGGTGATATCTCTGTCGAGATTACAAATAGCCCTTCAAATGGTCTATCCTCGTAGGGCTCTGTTATCTGACAACTAATTCTACATTGGACTAATGTCTTACCCATCCGTACCGTTACATCACCATACTCCTTCCCAAATTCAATCTGCACATCCCTGAACTGATCGAGTCTCCTACCGTCAAGCCTTTGCTTCTGTCTTAGGGCCTCTACTATAAACGTAGCCTCTGATGTCGAAATTTCTATATCCTTAGCCATTCTTAGTTGATGTTATGTCTATTAATCTGTTTTTGTAAATGCTTTAGTTAGAGGTAGACTCACAACAAATACAAATATAGTTGATAAAAAAGAAGTATATAACTCTCGAAAATATGAGAAATGTATGGCCCTTCAACGAGTACATTCAAACTACATGACAAGACAATGCACGGCCAGGTATTATCCAAGCTCATCGCATTATTTTTTGTTGTTCCCTCTCCTGCACAATAATCACAAGCATTTCAAAGAATTTGATCTTTTCATTTTTTTCAAAATTTTTCAATCTTGAACACTCTACGTCGTACATGATGTTAATAGCGAAGCTCATCGCAACCTGATTATTAAACTAGTATTAGTTGCAGATGGAATGGCGTTACTGGCAATTAGCTTAAAGGACGTTAATGGTGTTAACTAAAGCTACCATTGGATGGATTGTTATTATAGGAAATCTTTCCTTTCCACTTTCTTTATAACGGTTTGCTTCTCTCTTCTGACTAGGTAAACACCGATATAATTAAGAATCGCAATTATGCCACTTCGTAACGAGACATTCTCGTATAGCAAAATAGGACTAGAGAGCATTATGTAACTCAAACGTCTATTCATCAGGTTTACATTTTCCTATTACAAATGTCAGGTAGTATATAATCACTGTTCATTTTTGACCAATCTTGTAGGATATTATATCAGCAGTTGAGCTATTACACCAAATAGTACTCTTTTGTAAGACCTGACCATTATCTATCATGTTTGACATAGGGTTTCTGATAAAGCTCAGTATAACAGTGTTGGCCTTTGTGCTAGGCACCAACTGGCTTTTGAGCTCATTTGTGCTGGATTTCATGCGTGATTGGACTCAAGTAGCCCTGAACCAACAGTCGAATGTCTCTAGTGTTAGAAAAGAGAAAGAAAGTGCACATTATAGAAATTTCCTGATCCCATTGGGGTTTCCGCTAACTACAGGATTGAGCTTATCACTTGGCTACAAGAGCAGAAATGGGAACGTCTGTGATATATGGAATGCGGTCATGGAAGTTGGGGAGGGACAAAACACAATACAATTGTATAACGAAAATGGCCAGTTAGAGAAGTTTTCACTTTCAAGACTCAATGGTTTAGTGAAAAAGATACTGCAGTTGGAGGGTATTGAGAAGTGCAGACGAATTGGTATTACAGTCCCAATAAATACAATTCAAGGGTTTGTATTGACCATTGCCGGTATGGTTAGATCAGTTACCCATTCGGCTCCAATTCAGATGTTATCATCTGTTCCAAGAAGTAAGATTGATGGTCTTGATATTATTGTAATTCCTACCTGGAAATCATACACTAGACTAAATGGTAGTGAGAACTGGTATAGCAAGATCCTTATACTGGAAAAGGAACCAATGATCGAAAATATACCTGCCAATGTAATATTTTGGGACGATTTGGTTAATGGATCACTTACCGATAGTGAATTTGATTATACTTGCCCTGAAGATATGTCTGACGACAAAAAAGACCTGATGTATGTGACTTCTCCTCAAAATCAAACTAACAGATTCTCTCAAATGAATTTAGTAAGCACAGTGGCATCTTGTATAAAAGGATTTCCAGTCGATCATAGCTTAAGCGAAAAAGACAATTTATTAGTTGGCGCGCAACAATCAAAGCCTTTGGAAAGTTTGTCAGTCTGGCCTAAACTTTTTGCAGTATTACTTCATGGTGGATCCGTATCCTTTTTGAAAGTCACTGACACTAATTTAAACAACTTAGATGGTGTTACATTGGCATCATTATCAAGACAGGAAATTGAAATTCTTCACCGGGAAATTTTATCTAATAACACTTCTATTTTTGATAGAATAAAGAAAAAATGGGCAGAAACTCTGTTCAGTGAAGGTATATTTACACAATTTGCAAAAAAAAAGATTTCCAGCATCAAGAATATGAGATGCATCTACGTTGTAAATGAATTACTGAACGCCGATATAATCTCCTCCCTTGACTCTAGTAAAATAGAATCATATGACACCGCAACAGTGGGCAATGTTCTAAGCAGTAAGTTATTGGGGGATATTAGAAGTGAGTTTGGATGTCGGGTTGTCCAGGAACTTGTTTGTCCATATATGTTGATGGGAATTATTTCTGGTACTAACTACTATGACTATAGAGTGTTTCCTGAAAATGTAGATAAATTGTTGGCCTGCTTTGGAACATTGGAGACTAACTTAGAAGCAAAAATGGTAGAGGTCATTTCAAAGAAAAAACTAGATGTAACAAAACGACAAGGTATGTTATGCATAAGAGGCTACAGTATAGGTAAACCTTTAGATGAAGAAAGGTTAAACCATGCACTGCAATTGAGCGATACTGTTGGGGGCGCTGATGGTTGGATGCCACTTATTGGCGTATTTGGCTTATTTGGAACTGATGGTTGCTTGTATATTTATAAATGAGGTTATTATTTATTGTCTATAAATTGTATTGATATTTTTTATTTATTTCTTGCATAAGTCATTGAATGTTTTGTCGTTTCTAATTACTAATATCAGCATGGATATGTTAGTCGTAGCTCAATTTACCCTTTACACACTTCCAAAAGTCATCCACATATTTCTTTTGTAGTTCTTTACCTCCCTCTTCAGTTGTACCACGCACAGCTAAATATGATCTGTTGTCAATTGGAATATCCCATTCACCGGGATTGGCGCCAACAATGATACCTCCTGCTTCCTTTAGGATACACCATCCCGCACATACATCCCAAGAGTAACAACCACCATCCCAATAACTATCTAAGTTACCAGTAGCAATATAAGCCAATGTCATTGCAGTTGAACCTAAGTTTCTGAAGCCATGGACAAACCCTTCGTCACAAGATAACAGAGATTCATATGTTTTCATTTTTGTCTTGAAATTATTACCTTCTCTTGCAGAACCTGGTTGAAGTGCAACCACAGATTTATTCAGATATAAAGGCCCCATAGATTCCAATTTAGCTTTATGATCAAAAGGTTCGCGGTTTATCCTAATACCGTTGCCTTTGGAAGCAGAAATAAGCAAATCCAAGTGAGGATTGTATATTACTCCAACTACTGGTTCTTTATTAATGGTTAACCCTAAAGATGTACAACTGAATGGGAAATCATGTACAAAATTGGTTGTACCGTCAATCGGGTCAACAATAAATGTCGGATCATCAGTGATCGTTGTCACACCTTTAACATAACTTTCCTCACCAACAAACTTGAAATCTGGATATTGCTCTTTCAAAGAATCCCAGATTAATTTCTCAACCTGTTTATCAATTGCTGTAACAATATCAACAGCCCTTTCGCCAGTTTTTAGATCATAAACATGCTGTGTCCCAGATTTCTTTTTGATTATTGGTCCTACTTGATTGACACTCAAATCACAAAGGAATTTTTCAATTGAGAGTAGGTCCATTATATTTTTGGTGGCTTCTGGTGATCTTACGTGATAGTATAATTTTAGTTTATTGTAAATGTTTTTTAAATTTCTTCATTAATTGTTAGTGCTTTCTGTGTTTTAATGATTTGGTCAATTTTTTCATTTTTGTTCAATGTCATGTAAAACTCCAAATGCGATAACCAACGATGAAATATAAACATTCGAATGGGAAAGGTAAAAATTATAACATACTATAGCACATCTTTTTAGCGTTGTCTGCCAAGTGAAATGAGGTAGTCATTAATTAGCTTCATAAAGAAGAGAAACATAATATATATATAATTACTAAAGTGGTCAAGATATGTTACATATCCAAAGAGGACTATTATGCGTAAAAAAATAGGTCTAGTTGATAAAGTAGCCATTATCTTCCAGATACTTTCTAACAACCTCACCATCTCTTGCAACCCATTTTGATTTACTAGTAGCAGTGTCTAACGCTTGAGCTAGGGTTTGATCAAAACCCTTTGTTGGTTTGTCACTGAAAAATTGTTTCACGTCATCTATCTTTTCCACAGATGCAAGAGATGATACTGATACAGTTAAGACACCACCAAGAACAGGGGAACCTGGCTGTAGTTTCTTAATAATTTCAGTCCAGTTTTGTTTTAAAAACTCCCACATGGCCAATATACCTTCCTTGTGAGTTCTCAAACCTTGCATTGGAATATAGAAATCTTGACTCAAGACTGTTCCATCTAATAGATACGATAGTGTTTTGGTAATCAATTTATCTTCTTTGAATTTACCAAGGGCTCTCAAAGCAGCCAGTTTTTCATCAGTCGCCATTGGGTTCTTATAGATATTGTATAGTTTCTGGTAGCTTTCTTCACCACCTTTGCTTGCAACAGTATTAAAGACGGATGGTTTGATCAATGCAGGAATGGCCTTCTTATCACCAGAGATATATTTATTAAACATGTCAATGGCTGCAGATTGAGCTTTTTCATCATCATTACTACATGCAACATCAAACAGTAAGACTTTTAGTTTTTGTGTGGAATATGAGTCTTCGTTGGAGAATTCCCAACCTAATTTATGAGCCTTCTCTATGGACAATTTGGTCACGTAGTTCTTCAATCCAGTCTTGATAGATTCATCTTCAAAAACCCAAGCAGACTCAAGAGCAGAAATACTATTTATCATTTGTGTCCAAACTACAAAGGATTCTTCATTGCTCCAATTGGAAATCAAGTTCAAAAAGTTTGTTGTAGAAGTGTAGCCCGAGGAGGCCAAAGACTTAACGTCAGCAACAAGACCTGTTCTATCCTCGACTGACAAAAATTCGGCTTGCTTACTTAATTTTGCCCATCTTTCATCACTGTAGCATGTTACATAAACACCAGCTTGATTACCATTAATCTTAAAAAATTCATTGTCCTTTAGTTCAATAGTCTTCTCTCTCTCATCTAGATTAATGTTATTGTCAATGCCATCCTTGGTCTTAATTGCCAAGAATACAGGATATAGAGTTTCATCCTCTTCAGGCTTGACATCGCCAGTGGACAAAAATCTGTGTTGCGTGAAGCTGATCTTTTCGCCTTCTTCATTAACAGTAACAATTGGGTATCCAATCTGTTTTGTCCAAATATTCATAACCTTGGTGACATCCTTCCCGGAAGCTTCTGAAAGAGAGTCCCATAAATCTTCAGTTTTAGCATTACCATACTTGAACTTATTCAAATATTCAGCAACACCCTTAATGAAAATATCTTCACCCAACCATTTTGAAATCATTCTTAGCAGAGAAGAACCCTTGGAGTACGAAATTGCATCAAAGATTTGATTGATTTCATCCGCGTTCTTCACAGGTACTTCAATTGGATGAGATGATCTCAAAGAATCAAGTGATAAAGCACGTTGCAAACTATCGGCAACGTACTGTTGCCAGACGTTCCATTGTGGCTGAAACTCGTTACAAGAGTACCAAGACATCCAAGTTGCAAAACCTTCGTTTAGCCACAGACCTTCCCACCAATCCATGGTAACCAAGTTACCAAACCATTGATGAGCCAATTCATGTTGAATAACTTCAGCAACTCTTTGGATACGGTCCAGAGTGGAGTTCTCCTTATCAAGTAGTAAATCGACGACCCTGTAAGTCACTAGACCCCAGTTTTCCATCGCACCAGCTGAGAATTCATGAACAGCAACCATATCCATCTTTGGAAGAGGATACTCAATATCAAATGTGGATTCAAAAAATTTCAATGTTCTAGCAGTCAATGAAGCTGCAAACTCACCTAGATGTTCATCACCTGGAGTAGAATAAATACGCACAGGAATACGGAATTCTTTACTTTCAACATACTTCAATTCTGCAACAATGAAGGCAATCAGATAAGTAGACATCTTTGGAGTTGTGTTAAACTTTGTAATCTTCTTTTCACCCTCAATAGTCTCAGATTTGACATCCATATTGGACAATTGAGTCAAATGCTTGTCAGAAATCAAAGTCACATCAAAGGTTGATTTTAAGTTTGGCTCGTCAAAACAAGGGAAAGCTCTTCTAGCATCAGTTGCTTCCATCTGGGTGGTGGCCATATATTTGGTCTCACCAGTCTGCTTGTCCTCGTACTTGGCTCTGTAGAAACCTGCCATCTGATCATTCAGGATACCAATGAACTTGATCTCCAGTTTGACTGATTTCTTCTCAGACAGGGTACCTTTCTCAAAGACAAATTCGGTGACTTGGGCAGCTTCATCAACCTTGATTTCACTTGGAGTGATGGAACCATCCAGTGTCACAGCCTTGATATCAATCTCAAGGGTGTTCAGACTGATAGAGTCCACAGTACTATCATTGACCTGTAGGTCAATGGTTACAGAACCATCAAACTTAAAAGTTTCAAAAGATGGCTCCAGCACTAAATCGTAGTGCAGTGGAGTGACATTACTAGGCAGAATTTCACGATCCATTCCTAGTATATTGTTAAAGTCTCTTCGAATCTATTATTCCTCAGTGGTTAAAAGCAGGACTACCAAGACACAACTTTATTACTACTGTGCAAAACTTTAAATAACCCAACTTCTTTGCTAATTGTAATACTCGATGAGCATCAACTGGAAATTTCCAACTCAACCACTCAAGTTTGATGAAAAAAAAATGTGTCAACAAAGCAGAGAAAAAAAAAAGGTCCAGAACAGCGCTGCAAAGGATAAATTGGACTGGAATTTCCTGAAAATCGGTTGGTGCAGAGAACATTCGTTGCATCTGACACATTTCCCAATTGGGAAACCTTCTAGAAGTCCAATCTTGGCTTTGCCTTTGAAGCACAACTTTTAAGGTTTTAGGAACTGATCGATGCAAAATGGAGTTGTCTAGCGCTATAGTGTTGTTGGTACCTTTGATACACATATGCCAATGCATATTTGCCAGCGGCTACCTCTTATACTAGTAATATTGTTGCGTTTTAAACCTCGTTTGCACCGGCAACTGTTTACCTTTGAGTGGATCTTTGTTCCTTTATGTACTGTATGCTGTTATCTCCGGCACCGTCATTTGTTTTATCAGAAAAATATTGACGTAGTTACCCATTGTCAGTGTAAGTTATTGTGCTTCTCTGATTCCATGTGAACTTGGCACTATGTGTTGTTTCGAACACTCTACCCCCCTCCTAGCCAAGAGCTTATCGAATTATACAGGAGATAAGCAACATCCCGGAGTTAAAAAAAGTGTATACTTGAACAATGGAAAGCTTTCTGAAAAAAAAAATCTGAAAACTGAAAACTTCGATTAACTCCGCGAATGCGATGAGCTAAGCAGCAAATATATAAATACTGGTGTCAAAGGTCTTATTTCATAATTTCAGATTGCTCGACTTCTATATCTTACACTATTACACAACCAAAATCAGCAACAATAGAAAATGTCAGAATCTATATCGATGAAGGACTCAGATTCGTGCAATCAAATAGACGCAGAAAGTAAAAGTGCATTGTCTGCCAATGAGCAAACAGAGTTTGAAGTTAGTTTCAGTGAGGATGGGGATCCAGACCCTGAAAACATTGCCAGACATCTTCCTTTAGTAAGGAAGTACTACATATCTTCGCTAATTACTCTGACATCGACAGTGATAACGATTATATCCTCTTGTTGGTCATTGGCGTCGCCAAATATCATGAAACACTTCCACATATCTCATGAAGTCAGTACATTGGGTATAACCCTGTATATCTTTGGTCTTGGGTTTGGACCACTATTTTTATCACCAATTAGTGAACTATACGGAAGACGTATAACATTCGTATCATCATTATTTTTAAGTATAATATGGCAATGCCTGACAACCTGGTCAAAAACCATTGAAGGTGTCTTATTCGGTAGATTCCTTTCAGGGTTTTTTGGATCTGTTTTTCTAAGTGTTGCAGGTGGTGCTATAAGTGATATCTTCAGTAAGAAACAAATCGGTATTCCAATGGCCATCTACACCACTGCCGCCTTTTTGGGTCCATCCCTGGGACCAATTATTAGCGGTGCTTTATATCATGCCAACTATAAATGGACTTTTGTGACATTGCTTATTGCATCAGGTGTATGTTTGACTCTTATTGTTATATCTGTACCGGAAACCTATGCTCCAGTATTATTGATTAAGAAGGCACAGCGGTTAAGAGAAGAGACTGGTGATGATAGATACTACGCACCACTTGAAATTACAAGAAAAGAAACTAGTATTTTTAAATCTGTCGTTTTATCTGCCAAGAGACCATTCGGTCTGCTGTTGAGAGATCCAATGATGGGTGTACTATGTTTTTATACAGGATTAGTCTTGGCTATTGTTTACCTCTACTTTGTTGCTTTTCCATATGTCTTTGAGACACTCTATCATTTCACTGTCATGGAAGTTGGATGTTCATACATTGGTCTAATGGTGGGTATGCTTTTAGCTTCACCAACAAGTTATATCTTTCAGAAAAGATATGATGCCAAGGTTGAAAGAAACGGTGGTGTGAGAACTCCAGAAATGAGATTCGAGCCTTTATACTACGGTGCTTTTTGTACACCTATAGGATTAATGATATTTGCTTGGACGTGTTACTCACATGTTCACTGGATTGGCCCCCAAATCGGTAGTGCCATCTTTGGTGTAGGTGTTTACTTTGTTTTCGTTGGTGTCTTCGGCTACACTGTTGATGCCTATCGTAAGTACGCTGCTTCCGGCATGGCATGCAACTCATTTGTGAGAAGTGTCATGAGTGGTGTGTTCCCACTTTTCGGACTTCAAATGTATAAAGGTATGGGAGTCAACTGGGCCGGTTTCCTTATTGCCATGGTGACAGTTCTGATGATACCAGTGCCATTTCTTTTTGACAGATACGGACCATACTTGAGATCAAAATCGCCATATGCATGGGATGATTAATCTGCCTTATCCCTGAATATAACAGCAGCACGAACCATTTGATCTTTTTTTAGTCATTTTGAAATTTAATAATAGTTATATATATATTTACGTAGTTGGCACAGTTTATGTGCTGCATTTTTCATTAAAACTAATAATTAATATATCTTTATCATCGACGTCTTAGCGTCTTCTTTATTTTTCCAATATTCACCTGGGGGTAGTAACTCAGAGAAGCAAACACACATTCAGGCTAATCACTTTGTTCAATATTATTCAATTCAATATCGCACATTTAAAGTATGTAATCCAAAATGACGTAATTTTCTTTTGAATCTCTCGATGCCTGAAAATTTTGATGGAAAAGAAAGAAAACTCATAATGGAGCTCTTAGAATATTCCGTGTAGGTTGCCTCTGAGGGACTCTATGTAGTTTAACTCGATGATTTCGAGATGGTTGCAACCATATTTGACATCAAAGATATTGTTTATAGCATCGCAATTGTATTTTTTTCTTCATATTTAAGAGGTTAAGGTCATTTGAGTTTCTTTCTGTCCTTGTGTCCACTTGTAATTTTGAGTTTTAATATTCCAATAAATTTAAAGAATAACGATAAGTTTTTTTCGCATACCGATTTGCACTCACATAAATTGAAAAGATGACCGCTAGCGCTGCTCCAAGACTATTATTCCTACACGGGTTTTTGCAAAATGGTAAAGTATTCTCAGAGAAGTCTTCCGGTATCAGAAAGTTGTTGAAGAAGGCTGACATACAGTGCGATTATATCGATGCTCCAGTTATGCTTGAGAAGAAAGATTTGCCATTTGAAATGGATGATGAAAAATGGGCTGCAACTCTAGAGGCAGATGTCAACAGAGCTTGGTTCTATCACAGTGAAATCTCCAAAGAACTGGACTTGACTGAAGCTATTAACACCGTTGCTAATCATATAAAGGAAAATGGGCCATACGATGGTATTGTTGGATTTTCTCAAGGTGCTGCTCTATCTACTATCATCACTAACAAGATCTCTGAACTGGTACCTAGTCATCCAGAATTCAAAGTCAGTTTAGTCATTTCTGGTTATTCATTTACTGAACCAGATCCAGAAAATCCAGGTCAATTGAGAATCACAGAAAAGTACAGAGAATCATTCAAGCCAAACCCTGAATCACAAACTAAAATGCTATTTGTATATGGTGCCTCCGATATGGCTGTGCCTTCTGAGAGATCCAAGTATCTATACAACTTGTACAAGGAATCTTTTGGAGAAGATGCGGAAGGTACAAAATTGCATGCATTTGAACATCCAGGTGGCCATATGGTTCCAAACAAAAAGGACATTATCAGACCAATTGTTGAACAAATTACATCATCTTTATAGATTTTAGCATGATAGCCCCCTGTATGCCGATTTCCAAATGGTTTAACGGGAATTGCACTTCCCATTTATAGACTACCCGATAAATACACGTTCATATAATTAAAGATGACAGCATATTCGCCAAATTCTTTCAATCACCAAGTCCGATGCGCAATCTAAAGTTAGTACACCTTATGGCAACGCCCGACTAAATACTTCTAAATAGGGTATATAGTAAAAACAAAATCAGTGTCACAACAAACTATGAGATTGCTTATCGTATATGATTTACAAAAAGCTAACGTTGGGAACCTATGCATGTCATGATATGCATAACAGCTCTATGTTTATTGCCTTTAAAGTATATATTGGTAGCAATTTACGAAAATTTTAAGAGTGTCTATTTCCCGTTGCGTAGGATTGGCATCGGTGAACTCAACTAGGATTCAATTAACGTGAACCTTATGAGTTATTGCAGCTTAGATTAATATACACATGGTAACTATCGGTATAGACTCACTAAGGACATTATTACACTGTAGTTGATAGGGGATCAAGAGATTTTTCCGGCTCTTTGTGCATTTGAAAGTTAACCAAGATAGACAAGATTTCGAGGGATTTTCAGGTTAAGAAGTTTCATTTTATTAACGTGAGTAACCTGGCTACTAAACATTGAATAGAGCATCATTGTAATCATAAGTAGTTAAAGATTTCAAGTTGTGAGGCGGTAGAAGTATTTGCAAAATTACATTAAACTCAAAAGTGGCATAATCAAAAGACACACCAAACAGGATAAGCCAACATGCCAGTAGCACGAGAAAGTTCAAGAAATTCTCTATCACAGATGTTTCTGCGAGAAGAGAGCGAGGAACTACCGATGATAGCTACATCATCAAGGATGCAAAATCTAATTAGGATCGGTAAGAAATATGCGCGATTTATTGGGCCTGGCCTCATGGTATCAGTCTCATATATGGATCCCGGTAATTATAGTACAGCGGTAGCAGCCGGTTCTGCTCACAAGTACAAGCTACTGTTTTCGATGTTTGTTTCTAACCTCATGGCGGGATTTCTACAATGTTTATGCGCGAGATTAGGCGCAGTTACGGGACTTGATTTGGCTCAAAATTGTAAGAAGCATTTACCATATGGACTTAACATAACACTTTATATTTTAGCTGAGATAGCAATCATTGCGACAGATTTAGCAGAAGTTGTGGGAACTGCGATCTCACTGAATATTCTATTGGGGATTCCACTACCCATCGGAGTTGTTTTGACCGTTATTGATGTTCTTATCGTGTTAATGGCGTACAAGCCCAATGGGGATCTAAAACTTATAAGATACTTTGAACTCTTTGTCTCCTTTTTGGTTATTTGTACTGTTATCTGTTTTGCAATTGAGCTTTTTTATGTCAAATTGGGTCCAGCTTCGGATATTTTCAAGGGATTTTTACCAAGTAAAGCTGTCATTGAGGGTGATGGGTTGTATTTAAGTTTAGCCATTTTAGGTGCTACTGCAATGCCTCATTCCTTGTATCTGGGTTCAGGGGTGGTTCAGCCAAGATTGAGAGACTATGATATCAAGCACGGTTATTACTCACCAGATGAGCTCGATATTGATAATAACCATCAGGATTATAAGCCTTCTCTTGAGTCAGTACAAGAGACACTACATTACACAGTTGCAGAATTACTAGTTTCCTTATTTACTATAGCTCTTTTTGTGAACTGCGCAATCCTTATTGTTAGTGGTGCCACTTTATTTGAGACTCCCCAGGATGCTGATATTGCTGATTTATTTTCTATCTATGAGTTGTTGTCTAATACTTTATCCAAGAGTGCAGGTACTATATTTGCGTTGGCTCTGCTATTTTCGGGACAAAGCGCGGGTATTGTTTGTACTTTAAGTGGTCAAATTGTGAGTGAGGGTTTTTTAAATTGGACCATAGCACCTGCCTTGAGAAGGTCGTTGACAAGAGCTGTAGCTATAACACCTTGTTTAATATTGGTCATGGTATCTGGGCGTAGTGGGCTTTCGAATTCTTTATATGCTTCGCAAGTTGTGTTATCGGTTTTACTACCTTTTGTATCAGCACCGCTACTATATTTTACTAGTAATAAGAACATCATGAGGATAGAAATGATTGATAGAAAACTTCCTGCAACTTCAATTTTTTCTACACCAGGCAATGTCGAGCAAAACAAGAAGAAATACGGGAAAGTACGTCTTGATGAAGATGAGGAAGAGGTCATTCCCTTACAGGATATGGAAACTGAAACTGAAACAGATCAAAGTCAACATCAAGATCAAAATATCGAATATAAGGATATGAGCAATAGCACGTTTGTGAATATCCTAGCAGTTACTGTTTGGCTCCTCATTTCTGGCTTAAACTTGTACATGCTAAAGAACTTAGATAAGTGAACCTTGTTGTCTATTTGAAAAGCCTCTCAGTTGATCTTTTTTATGTGCTCATTAGTATTGTAAGTCTAATTGATAAATTGAACTTAATTGAGGTAGTTCTTATAATCTACCGTTATTTAATATATATCATTTTATATTAGCACTCACACACCATTTCAATATACTTCATTTTTTGCATTGACAGTAAACTCAAATAAGAGGTTTTATCTTTAAAGGTTTGTCCTTCATCACCTAACAATAAAAAATGCACGGCAAGGCTTCACAATTTATTAACTTTAACAATTGTAAAAGCGTTCATTTGAATTACTATTTACATCTAATAAAATAATTGTAATGGGGGAATTATGACAGGAGAATGAAAGTTCGGTCATGTGTTATAATACAAGGGAAACCGCAGAGTATTTATTCGGGTAAACCCAAAGTGGGCAACGAGCCAATCACAGACAAGCAAATTTTGGGCCACATACAAAGGCTGCATGTAATAAAAAAAGAACACAATAGGATGTAAATAGCATTATAGAGTGTCAGTACAATTAACTGTAGCTGACAGGTTAACAATGGTTGTATACTAGCCCAGTTGCAGTTTCCATCGAAGGTCTACACTACTTAGTGTAACTACGATTTTGTATCGGTGTTTGTAGAGATTAGTAAGTGATTCCTCGAGAAACAGGATAGGAATACAAAACCTATTTTTTTGCCCTTGTAGTAACGACAGAGAAGTCTTTGAAATGTAGCTTGAGTATTGTAAGCTTCTTGAATTCAGCTACTCTTAGAAGCGGTATATCCGTTCTGGTTTGAAACTGGCCAATCGGGAGCTCAGATTGTTGCTTCAAATTTTCGTTAAATTGTTCAAGTTTCTGTTTTCTGAACCTGTGAAGTTATCGAAAAGGACCAACATTGCTAAGAAAGCTTTGTAAAGAAATGATTCAAACTGCTAACTACGATTGCATACTGAAAGAGGATTGACCTACAATATTTGAGTATTAATGACTTCCCTTCTCTTTTCCACCCCGGGGGGGGGGGGGGCAGTAAGAAATACTATGTGAATGCAGTGGATTAGAGTGGGGGTGGAGGACACTTGCTGGATTGGGATAGGTACGGTACGGTACAGCTTGTAGGCTATTGTAAATGCAACCATGATTACGATTCCCACAAAGAGTGGTTTAGTAATTTTTCCCACTATCTTTGTTCGAGGAAGCCTTTCGAACTAATTCCTACACATTTTGACTTTTGTCGTTGTCCTTTTTCTGTTTCTTGCTCCCCTTCTAAATGGTACTATGGGATTTTATCTGACAAGAAATTTGTTCCAATCACAATCCTTACTTTCATCCTTTGACCATTTTTTTCCTGTTCTTTGAAAGCTCATTGGGTCTCTTATAATCGAAAAGTTTTTCTATTTATTTGTAGCATTGTAGTTAAGTTTCTTGCATTTGATATTTATTTGAGAGCAAATAAAAGCACTTTACTTAGTTCCTTTCACTAATTTAATACAAAATCTTTCTTGATTAACAAAGAGCTCTTTTTTTTAAAAGTTATTCACCGTTAGTCAACTGAAAAAAAGAGACAAGACCAGACTCAAATATTGGAAAATACGTCAAACACTGATAATACAAAGCTTTATCCTGTGCTATTTCAATAACTTGACAATAAAAAATAAACAGTGGAAACTTGTAAACCTAAGAAAGTTCACAAGCTCCCATTAAAACCAAGTCAAAAAAAAATCAAACTATAACTAAAACCAAAGCAAAACATGTTGTCCAGAACACTACTCAGAGCACCAGTCTTCAAGAGAACTTTGTTGACATCAGCTACTAGGGCTACTCCACTCTCATTGAGAGTTGCTACGTGGAGTCCGCAAATAACCTCCATTAGAAAGTACTCCGACCACCACGATGAGGAGACATTTGAAGAGTTCACTGCTAGATATGAGAAGGAATTTGATGAAGCATACGATTTGTTTGAAGTCCAAAGAGTGTTGAACAACTGTTTCTCTTATGACTTGGTCCCAGCCCCAGCTGTCATCGAGAAGGCTTTGAGAGCTGCTAGAAGAGTCAATGACTTGCCAACTGCAGTTAGAGTATTTGAAGCTTTAAAGTACAAGGTTGAAAATGAGGACCAATACAAGGCTTATTTGGATGAACTAAAAGAAGTTAGAGAAGAATTGGGTGTTCCTCTAAAGGAAGATCTATTCCCATCTTCATCCCAATAAATGTGATGTGAAGGGCAGGTATGTTTTAAAACACTCTTATTTGTCACAAATCACATTCTATAATCACCTAACTTCAGAACGATGTCATTTTTAATATCTTTCCTTCAATAGAGAATGGAAAGTTAATTTATTATTACTAAAAGGTTTCCAAGGATCCTTATTTGTTTTCAATTCATATCCAAGAATAAATTATTTGAGAAGATTTAGAATATCAGTGTCATTCATGGGAAATTGTTATATTATTTGAGAAATTAGAACCTCATTGTCATTAGAGAAATAGTAATCCTGGTAGCCTTTCGTCATTGAATTACTGTTAAGTCTTGTTATCAAGTCATTTGAATGATTAGTCTGTTCAATATTTGATATTATTCCAAGCAATATTTTTATTTTAATTTTTATTCTTCACTATTATAACGGTTTAACATTCTTATCCATATTGGTTCTCAATGAAATGAGCTTATACCTGAAGGGCCTGCAAAATAAAGTGATGCTCGTTTGCTTTTTTCTGAAGCAGTGGTGGTTTCACCAACAATAATGTACGATATCCTATGATTGTTCAATGACTTGTTTTATTCTATTATTTATTACTTGATCTAGATCTCTTTTAGAAAAATTAACATTTACATATGCTGTGTAACTTTCGCAATTTTTATTACTATTTAGAAATTAATATTCTATCAATGAAAACTATTTGGACTGATTCAAAATGGCGTCAATTACTTATCGATGTCGACGACTCTGATTAGCGATTAATTTCCAAGCCCTTTTTGGAATTACTTGTTAATTTTATAGTTTTCAAGCGACATATTATAAAGATGTACACATATGTTGAAGAAGAGGCATAATTACTTTTGAGACTATTGTCATTTTATTTTTCTAAAAGATTTATATACTTAGAGAAGTTTAAGGCATATGTTATTAGAACCTTTAACTACTATAATTCATCAAAAACTCAATAATATTTGTAACTGATATCAATTATAATTGGTTTACGGTAAACTTGGTTGTCTGACAGATAAAGAACGATAAAAAATTAAAAATTGTTTTCATCGATATTCTACCCATTTTTAAGCCTTGGAGACTAACTCGACCATATCAACGACTCTGGCAGAGAAACCGTATTCGTTGTCATACCAAGATACCAATTTAACGAATCTTGGAGACAACTGGATACCAGCAGAGGCATCAAAAATAGAAGAGTGGGTGTCACCCAAGAAATCAGTTGAAACAACAGCGTCCTCAGTGTAAGCCAAAATACCCTTCATTTCACCTTCGGAGGCCTTCTTAATAGCTGCCTTAATTTCATCGTAAGTGACATCCTTAGCAAATCTGACAGTTAGATCGACGACAGAAACATCGACAGTTGGCACTCTGAAAGCCATACCAGTCAACTTTCCTTCAAGTTCTGGTAAAACCTTAGTTACGGCCTTAGCGGCACCTGTAGAAGATGGGATAATGTTAGCAGAAGCGGTTCTACCACCCCTCCAGTCCTTTTTGCTTGGACCATCAACAGTCTTCTGTGTAGCTGTTTGAGAGTGGACGGTACTCATTAAAGCCTCTTCAATACCGAAGTTGTCCTGCAAAACTTTAGCCAATGGAGCCAAACAGTTTGTAGTACATGACGCGTTAGAGATAACAGTCACATCGGAGGTATACTTGTCATCATTCACACCCTTGACAAACATTGGGGCTGTGGCAGATGGACCAGTGATAACAACCTTCTTTGCACCAGCAGTAATGTGCTTTTCAGCCAAATCCTTGGCTGTAAAGACACCAGTAGCCTCGATAACGATGTCAATGTCGTTGTCTCCCCATGGCAAATCAGCTGGGTCTCTCTCTTGGTAGCATTTGATAGCCTTACCGTCGATGATCAAGTCCTTATCATCGTGGGTAACTTCACCGTCGTATCTACCGTGAGTAGAATCATACTTGAACATGTAAGCGGCATAATCGTTGGTAATGAATGGATCGTTGATTGCAACGACATCAATACCGTCTCTCTTCATGGCAATTCTCAAAACAATTCTACCAATTCTACCGAAACCGTTAATAGCAACTCTGACCATTTTTGAAGTTAATAAGTTTTGTTATGTGTATGTGTTCTGTGTATCTTTAGCCTGTAGTAATTAATACTTGTAGCTGTGGTTTTTTCAAGCTTTATAGATAATGTTTAAAATGGAATGAATTCAAGGACAATTGATGTCAGTTACTTGCAAAGAGGGCACATATTTATATGATTATTTTGAAGCTGGGAGGCATATCCTATTATGCTGTTTGCTTCTTGAGAGGGATTAATACCTCTTCAGTTGAGTGTAAAATGCACAAGAGTTATTCTAGAATTGATAATTGTCTCTTTGTTGGGAATTGTCATATTGCAGGTTATTGAATTTTGATAATACTGTTCTTGGTCACTATAGAGTTTTGTCTTATCTAAGGAAGTTGTTAGCACTATGGGATATGTATGTAAATTTTTTGTAGGTGCACACTATGGAGGGAAGACACTTTTTTTTAAGGTGCCAAAGACACAATAATACAGTCTCGGGCCTGCATTATCATTTCATTATTCCTAGAGACAGCTATACATGTGGTTTAACTAACTCTTGATGGGAGGCTACAACTGAAATTTATCATGAGATGTATGTGTATATATTTTCATAAAATGATTGCCATGCACCCGTATTGTTAGTGGAAAGAATGGCGCAGAGCCAGACAATAGTAAGGGTAATAACAAAAGCAAGATCTAAAGAAAAGGTGTTTGTTGAATGATTGGAGAAAGCTGCTGCTAACTATTAAGGTGTCTAAATGAAAGAAAGAATAGTCTTCATGGGGGGAGGGTAATAACATTTGGGAATAGATAGGTCACTGCTCCTTGGGTATTATCAAAAAGGATAGCTCTTCCGATAATTAAGAGATCCTTTTTAAGGGAAAAACATGAAATTATGAGAGGTAAGGGAAGCCCATTCTCCTAGTAAATGCCAAAAAACACCCAAAAAGAAAGGAAACAGAACAATGGTTTTGTTCAAGAATTAGTATTACAGATGGGTCAAATTAACGGTATTGTGTACGTCATTTCATTGAGATGTTGAGATGATAATATGTAAGGAGAAAATTGATAGTTCACTTCGTTGGCTAGTGATAGGAGCATGGGTGTGAGGTGACACAATTTTCGGCACTGCACTGGTGTAGTGTGATAATTGGCATCCTTCAAGTAGAGTCTAGTCATTGCCCATATAATACTTACTTTTTAGTGGTTCTCAAGGAATGGGCGTCCCAATCCTATGTGTTTGCACTAACTGTTGTGAGAAAAAATAAGTTATGAGGCAATTATGCTAGAGCCAATTAGATCTGTTGGCAACGTAAGCAATACGTTCAAAACTTTAATATGCAAGGGATGCGGACTATCAAAAAACCACAAAGATTATTGACATAGGAATGAAATAAGAATCGTGAAAGCCAGAGGCGATATTATACTTTGAAGGGGTGTGAATTCTCACAGTAATATTGTCAAAAAAAAGCATTTTTTTTTAGTCATGATTATACCACATCTTGTAAAAGATAAAAATAGTAACTACGTAAAATTTTCTTGATAGTTCATGGTGTATGTCTTTGACTAGCAATGTTTCAGAACAAAAAATAATACTGGGTCCAGCTCGAACTCCTTAATAAAATAATATTGTAAGACTTTATGCGAATTAAGTTTGTCAAGGGAGCAAAAAGGCGTGCTTACTTTTCCATCAGCAAATTGCGGAATTTGTTTACCCGAAGGCAATCATTTTTCTGCGGAAAGAAAAAATGATTGCCTCCGGGTAACACTCATATCACATGACCAGCTGAGAACAAATAATGTATTTTTAAACGGCACATCTTGAATCCGGGTAAAATATATTCCATCACATGATCTATTGTTATATCCCTGGCAACGAAGCTGGAAAAATTTTCTTTTTTTTTTTCTGAAAAAAAAAATTTGAAAAATTTAACTTGAAGCTCATCGCCTTGTCTTGCTGGAAATGCTTGGTGCGGGAGTTTCTGTGGTATGGTGGGGGAGGATTGTGACTTTGGGAATTGAAGCTCATCGCATCCTGAAAGCATTGAAAATTTGTTAGCTTATAAAGAAGTTGTAGTTAGTGTATACTTGGGTGTGGTTTGGTTTACAATTTGAAGTTTGGTATCAGGAAGTGAAAATATACAAAGGTAGGAAGCAATGGCTAAGAAAGGAGTTAAGAAGCAGGTGAAGAACAAGGAGGAAGGTCTGTCTCGTGAGAGAATTGGACGTGCTTTGGGGAGTTTGAAGAAGTACTTGGAAGCTCAAGAAGGAGGGGAGAAGACCCAGCTGTTGGAAGATGAGAGTCTTGGCGACTTGCAACTGCTTTTCACCAATGCGGAGTCCTTCACCGGCTCTAAGAAGTCTTTCAAGCTGAAACTTGTAGATGTGAAGCATTCTCTGTACGCCAAGTGGAAGGCTGCTAGTGCCACTGAGATCAAGGATTTCAAAGTGCTGCTGATCTTGAAGGACTCTGATGTCTCCAAAGTCACCCAGGATGAACTGTATGATCAGCTGAACGAGAGCGGTATTGAGATCGATGAGATTATCTGCGGTAAGGACTTGAAGACTACGTACAAGGCTTACGAGGCCAGAAACGCCTTCATCTCTCAATTCTCGCTGGTGATTGCCGATGACAGCGTCGTAACCGCTTTGCCAAAACTCTTAGGTGGTAAAGCCTACAGCAAAGTCGAAACTACTCCAATCCCAATCAGATGCAATTTGAAAGGCCAATTCTCTCTTAACGCACTAACTAATCAAATCAAGAAGATCTACTTGCATAAGCTGCCAGTAAGGGCTCCAAGAGGTAATATGCTTAATGTCCATCTGGGAAGAGTAAACTGGTTTACTGACGAAGAGATAATAGACAACATTGAATCTGTGGCTGACGCATTGATCAAAGACGCAAAGATCAGAAACATAATGTTGAAGACTACAACATCCCCATCCCTACCTATATACCGTAACGACAATGTCATTGACGAGATGGTAAAGGAGAACACCGTAGATGACGAAAAGGCTGAAGACGTTAAGACCGTTAAGATTGGTGAGGTTGATGTAGAATTGTCCAACTTTGACAGAGCTTTGATGGAGGTTGCTAACCCAGAGGAATACGAGACTATGTTCTCAAAGCAAATCTCAAAGGCAAAGAGAGCCAGAGAAGAGGAACCAGAAGTTGAAGAAAAAACTCCTGTTAAGAAAGGTAAGAATGACTCTAAACAAGTAAAAGGTAAGAAGTCACCAAAATCTAAGAAATAAATTATGCGGATCAAAAAAATGATTCTTTAAACATATAATGGAAATTTAATTGCTGACTAAATTAAATAATGGCATACTCGAGAACTGTATATTATAAATAATGCATAATGCATGAAAGAATATTCATGGTAATTGTTAACTAGAAATTCAACTATGTAAGCAATAATTTTATATATTAAATTTTTTGTTTATTTTTTTTATGTTTTGTTAATTAAAACGCCCAATTTGAAAGGTAGCATATAATTATTATATCATTTCCCTATATCAATAAGAAATTCAAAATTACAAAAGCATATAATGAATATGATGTAAGTACATAATTGCTGTCTCATCAGATTATATCTATTACTTATATTATGCATAAATATCTTTATTGACTTGTATTTTTGTCGGAAAATCGAAAGCTATGGCCTGCAGCTCTCAGAATTCCGAACTTTGGCAGCCTCTATAATTTGTTTCCAATCACAGTGGAAAACGGCATAACCTTGGCAAATACTCATCATGACTAACGCACAGGTAATACCATACCATAGTCCTCCAACACCTGTATTAAAAACAAATGCTAAACAGTATGCCATTGGAATACCAATGCAATAGAATGCAAACAGATTGATGTATCCACCGATTTTCTGGCGTCCTTGACCACGTAAACAGCCCGCTGTAGAAGCATTAAACGCATCAAATAACTGCATGAAAGCCAAAATAGGCAAAGTTGACACCACAAGAGAAACGACATCTTCTTCACTCGAAAACAAACCTGCTATTTGCTTCTTAAATGTAAATATAATTAACATGTTCAATGAAGAACATGCAAAAGATAGTAGTAAAGAAACTTTACAAGTAATAATACAACTCTTGTAAAGAGATGCTCCGATGAAATTGGCTACTCTTGTGCTAGTGGATACGGAAATTGAAAATGGAACTTGATAAGCCAAAGAAGCCACTGTAGCAACAATAGACTGAGCACCCAAAGGTGCGGTACCGATTCTTGAAGCAAAAACTGTTAGGATTTCAAAACCGAGAAACTCAGCCTCTACCATGATAATACCAGGCAAAGCAAGATTGAACATCTTCTTCCAGTTACGGAATAGCTGATTAGGCTTGATAACTCCATTCCAACACTTCATAGGATTCGCAGGATGCTTGGTCAATACTGTATAAGCCAAAAGGCCCAGAGCCATGGCCCAATAACTAATAGCTACTGAGGTTGGTGCACCAAGGTAGCCTATACCAATATTTTTATCCCATACCAATATGTAATTCAAAATTGCATTAAGCGGCGCACATATAACAAGCACAATAGTTGATGCATGAAAGATACCTTGACATTGTAAGAAACGCTTTCCACATTCAAAGAAAATGAATCCCGGAACTCCAATAGCTGTTATTTTCAAATAACTTGCAGCAAGTGAGCAAAGCTCTTTTTCAGGAATCATAGATGCCAGTATTCTGTCCGACCAGAAGAACCATATATACATAACAGGCAAAAATGCCAAACATGTAATAATGGCACATCTTTGGACAAGAACTCCGACTAAATGATTGTTCCGTGCTCCATAAGCCTGTGAACATAGCGTATCCAAACAAGTACAGAGACCTTGAATTGCAGCTAGACAGGTAATATTAGCGGTCATGGATCCCAGTGTAACACCACCTAATTCCTTCGTTCCTAAATGCGATACAGAAAATATTGATGCTAGTGACAATGAGTTTTGTAAGATGAATGTAAAAACAAGAGGAAAGGCATTAACGGATATGACCTGTATCTCCCTATGAAAAGAAGTACTAATTTCTTTTCCCGACTCTATTGCATCTTCCCATGTGTTTATTATTTCTTCTTCTTCCTCCTCCTCCTCAACTTCCTCTTCTCCTTCTATAAATAAGTCTGGATGTACACTATTGGTATTTTCATTATAGCCTTGCCCTAAAAAGAAATCTTGCGCAGCATTTATGCCTACACTTTGACTATGCCTTCTTGATTTTGATGTATCCAAAAGATGATTATCAATCAGTAAATCACGTTCTTCTTCTAACAACTCTTTGTTAATAGAATTTTTCCTATAGTTACTAATTGCTCCATAGCCATCAGCATTAGTTATAGATTGCCTTGCATTATGTTCCCTTTGTAATGTTCTCGCATTATTTGCTTCTATGAGGGACTGATACTCATCACTCCTCCTCTTGTTGCTACCAGCATTTGAATTTCTATTTACACTTAAGCTTTGATAAGTTAACGGTTCATCAGAACTGTCACCTCTTTCCATCTCCTCATCAATTACTCTCTCGGTTGCCTCCGGTGGAATATAGTCTTGTGGAACATACAAGCCACCTTTGCCTACACTAGTAGAGTAAATGACAGACGATCGCCTCTCATCGGTGGTGTACTTGAATTGGTTAGGCATTTTGCTCAAAAACTACTCAGTCACTGTCTTCTTATCTATTGATGAGTTCTGTTTTGAATACGGAACCCTTCAACTAATCCAACGGTCCGAGCAAACTTTATGGACAAAAAACAATAACTTGGTTTATGCAATAATGCAGATTAATTGAACTTTAAAATGTTATAGTTGCGGTCAATTGTCAGATTTTATTCTTCGCTAATGGGTTTCTCTCTATGTGCTAATCGATGGCAGGATGTACTATTTTTTTCAAAAGAGTTTACAAGTACGCTTAGTCTTCGCAATCAAGTAAAAGGATGATTTTTTCAGAATTTTTTTGCAACCCGAAAACGGTCATATGGAAAAAGAAAGGAGATTTGCTGGCAGTTGTCAAATTTCATGTGCTAGTGTAATGTCCACCACACTGCCAGCATATAGTACATCCTTTGAGTCTTTCATAAGGAGCTTGTATATCATTATCATCACTCTATTTAAACACACTCCAATTACAAAACTCAGTACAGTAGCCGCGTTTCTCATCAGTTCTCTAACTACTACGTTATTGATGAATAGCATTTTTCATTCATTTTTTCAAAATGCTAACATCGCAGTCACCGTAACCGTTATCACGTAATCTTATTAATAATTTAGCAATCAGTTAAATACTCACATTAGCAACCATAGCAACTCTGATAAGCTTGCCAAACTCATTGAATCCGACTATACGACTAGAGTTGCAAATGGATTTAAAAGCCATGCACTTGATGCAAATACCTATTAGGTCTAGAAAAGTTAAAACGAAAGCTTCCACACATCATATTGGTCGGCGTATGGTCCAGCATCAGCACCTCTAGATATTTCACTTGGTATTTAACAATCTATCCTGGTCACATGACTCAATACCATTGAAAAATATCGAAACAAGCACGTGACTAAATCTCATGAAAGCAGCTATTTGCCGCTGAACTTAGAAGCACTCTCTAGTGGACCTTTTCGGTTACTCGTATGTATTGCAACAATATAGCTCAACTCAAATAAACCTGGGAACCATTATTATCGTATAATTTAGAAGTTTTTGTTGTTGCTGTTCTCATTTCCTCCTCCTGAATAAAGCTCCACTTCGACTAGTTACTACCTAGGATACTCAGATAATGAGGTAGCTATAGAGGCAGCTAACATCTAAACCATTCGCATATAAAATTATCAACAATCTATATGGTTCAGTACTCATTGGGAACAAAAAAATCCTTGGCTGGTATCATTGTAATCAAAAACAGACTCGATGAGCTCTAGAGACGCGTCGCCTTTTTATGTTCCGCCCAGAATGAAAACACGCGAACTAGCGCGCGATGCGATGAGCTTGGGCATCCGAGTAAGAAGATAAGAGAACTTTGATCTTCGCAGCCAGTTGTATGGAGGTCTTTGAACTATATCTAGTAGCTGACATCGACGTTTCGGGATAGGTTTACCAGAAGATGAGGAGACAGGCGAAGAAAGACCCAAAACAGAAGAGCATAAACTCGTTCTTCTTTAAAGCTGCAAAGAGTAAATCTTTGATTGTTAACAGCAGTTCCAGGAGCCAGGCCCATAGTACTTTACCTTCATCACAAGGGAGCAGCAGATCAGATGGTACAAGTTTTGGCAGTGGACGTGTTATGAAACAGCGGAGTACATTGACTAAGAGCAACTTATTTACGTTTCAAGGATCCTTTAATGATGAGGATTGTAATCCACAGAACGAATTTCGCAAATTGATGAATCCACAGGAGATTAACAATTTTAAGACCCCAAGTCTCTCTAGAATGCCAAGTTTCACTAGATCAAACTCATCGATGTCTTTATCGCCAGTTAAGCGTACTACAACAGTCCTATCAAGTGATGATGAGTTTAGAGAAGTTACTACTTTCCAGTCCCAAGATGCTAAGAGACAACTATCCTTCACGAGCTCTGTGGATACCTCTGCCATGCGGCAGCATAATAATCTAATCAATACAAATAATGACTTGGCCAATTTCTCTGGTCTTAAATTTAGAAAATTGAAAGCACCTAATCAAAACAGCAACAAGAAGTCCACTTCATCTCCTTATGGGAAACCGTTAATATCATTAACTAAAGAGCAACAGACTGTGGTTGACTACGTAGTTAAAAAAAACATGAATGTTTTCTACACAGGTAGTGCAGGTACCGGTAAATCAGTTATTCTGAGGACAATTATAGACAAACTTAGTTCAATGTATGGAAAAGAATCTATTGCTATTACCGCATCTACAGGTCTTGCTGCAAATACTATTGGGGGATCTACACTGCATAAATGGTCATCATGCGGCATTGGTAATAAATCAGTAGACCACCTAGTGAGACAAATAAGAAGATATCACGACCAGTATGCCATCTGGAGGCATACCAAAGTTCTAATTATTGATGAAATTTCCATGTTGGATGGTCATTATTTGGACAAATTAGAAGCTGTCGCAAAACAATTACGGAATAATGATAGACCATTTGGTGGTATTCAATTAGTTTTAACAGGTGATTTCTTCCAATTACCACCTGTGTCCAAGAAAGATGACGATAAAAATGTAGTTTTCTGTTTTGACAGTAAGATGTGGAAGAAATGTATCCAGAAGACCATCCTTTTGACAAAAGTCTTTAGACAACAGGATAATGAGCTTGTTGATATACTTAACGCCATTAGGTATGGTGAATTACAAAACGACATGATCAAAAGAATCAAGTCCTTAGGAAGAGATGTTTACTATCCAGATGGCATATCCCCAACTGAGTTATTTCCTACCAGAAGGGAAGTTGATATATCCAACTCGCGCCAGTTAGAAGCTTTACCAGGAGAGGCAAAAATCTATGAGAGTGTGGATGTTGCTCCACCTAGCTACCAAAACATGCTAGACAACTCAGTTATGGCCGAAAAGAAACTAACTCTAAAAGAAGATGCCCAGGTGATGATGCTTAAGAATAAGCCAGAGTCTGAGCTGTTTAACGGTACATTGGGAAGAGTTTTGTTCTTTTCAACAGAAAAGCTGATTAGAAGAATGAAAGAGCTTTACGGTAGCTCACCACTTGATGAAGATTTAATAACCGACATGAGGTTGGTTAGCAGAGTAATTGCTCGGCCTGACATAGCCAGCAGTGAGAGATTCATGAAAGAAGTGAATATGAGGCCCATGGAAAGGTTTCACAAGTTACAGACAATGATAAATGACGCTGTGACGACCTCCATCAAAGAACAAGTATTCCCATATGTAAAATGGTCCCTCAACCACGGCAGATACAACTACGAATTAATGCTACCTGAGAGATTTCCTGTCGATATACCAGGTGATAAACTTGGTCTCGAGCGTAACCAATTACCTCTGATGCTCTGCTGGGCATTGTCCATACACAAAGCCCAGGGACAAACTATACAACGTTTAAGAGTCGACTTGAAGAATATTTTCGAATCAGGCCAAGTATATGTGGCGCTTTCCAGAGCAATATCAATGGACTCCCTACAAGTTCTGAACTTTAACCCCAAGAAGATAAGCATTGATCCCAAAGTTAAAGAGTTCTACCGTCAATTGGAAATTCTTGACACTTGATAAGGCTCTTTGAAAGACCCTTTGAATGAGACCATTGACACATAAATTTCTCCAGAATTTTTTTTCTACAATGAGGCTTACACATAGCAATGCACATATACCAAGGATAGACTTTCTTAATTTTCAATAGAGGTAATCCTTAATGTGTCCGATAGATTCTACATATGCCCAATATACTCAATGTGGGATGTTGACTATACGTAATCACCAAAAACGGCAAACTAGCTGTGACTGTAAAAGTAGGCGTAGTGATGCCTAGATGCCCAATCTTAAAGTTTAGGAGGCTTTCACGAATTTGAACAAACTTTTCGATGATGTTTTATCACTCGAAGAAACATCAGTGGCTGGACGGGGGGTCAAACTGGTAATACTCATGCTATTACGTAGGAGATTGCGAAGTACTCTATGCCTCCGGGGGACAATCACACTGATCACTGAAATTAAATTGCGATTTATAAATAGAAGTCTTTTCAAAAGAATAAGAAGCCAGAAGCCTTGTTTCAGTGATTGCTAAGTGGGATAGAGTTTTCAGCAGAGCTGATTATGTCATTTGTTATAAAGCAATTAGAATATTGATAAGTTATAACTAAAGATATTGATCCCTTCCATTTATTAACTGTTGAACAGTAGTAAATAAAAAAGGTCTCATTAACACGCATTGGTATACAACCAGGTATCTACAACTTTAAAAGAAATTCTAGCGTATCCTACAAATCATATAATGGACGTTGAGAGACAGACATTTAAGGTCTTTAACCAGGACTTCACCATTGATAAGAGGTTCGAATTGATCAAAGAGATTGGCCATGGCGCATATGGTATAGTGTGTTCTGCCAGGTTCACAGAGGCAAGCGAGGAGACTACAGTTGCTATCAAGAAAGTGACCAACATCTTCAGCAAAACACTTCTGTGTAAAAGATCGCTCAGAGAGTTGAAGCTTCTGAGACATTTTAGAGGACATAAGAACATTACCTGTCTTTACGATATGGATATCGTATTCTACCCAGATGGGTCTATAAATGGCCTTTATTTATACGAAGAACTGATGGAATGTGATATGCACCAGATTATAAAATCTGGGCAAGCACTAACAGATGCGCATTACCAGAGTTTCACATATCAGATCTTGTGTGGTTTAAAATATATCCACTCAGCTGACGTTCTACATCGTGACTTAAAACCAGGTAATTTGCTGGTGAATGCCGATTGCCAACTTAAAATTTGTGATTTCGGGCTTGCAAGAGGTTATAGTGAGAATCCCGAAGAGAACAACCAATTTTTAACTGAGTATGTGGCGACCAGGTGGTATAGAGCACCTGAAATCATGCTAAGTTACCAAGGTTACACAAAGGCCATTGACATCTGGTCAACAGGTTGTATTTTAGCAGAGTTTTTAGGTGGCAAACCGTTATTCAAGGGGAAGGACTACGTTGATCAACTGAATAGAATTTTACAGGTCTTAGGTACACCACCTGATGAAACTTTAAGGAGAGTGGGCTCAAAGAATGTCCAAGATTATATTCACCAACTTGGATACATACAAAAGATACCATTTTCTGAATTATTCCCTAATGCGAATGAAGATGCTTTAGATCTCCTGGAGGGAATGCTGGCGTTTGATCCACAAAAGAGAATAACTGTGGATAAGGCACTAGAGCATCCATATCTAACCATATGGCACGACCCAGCTGATGAACCTGAGTGTAACGAAAAGTTTGAATTCAGTTTCGAAAGCGTGAACGAAATGGAAGATTTAAAGCGCATGGTTGTTGATGAGGTACAAAGTTTCAGGGAATTTGTAAGGCAACCTTTAATGGATGACAAATCTCAAGAAGACGAACAACAACAAGGATCTCCCGAGAATTACCAACAGACAAGCCCAACGAATATATCCCCACAACGTTTACATAATAATGGGTCTCATGATCTGTTACAGGAACCAGAATTTTTGACACAGACACCAAATCAGAACTCAACTATTCCGGATCAACTACAGGAATCATTCGTTGGAATCCACTCAGATAATTTACCTGAGCATGATACAGATTTCCCACCGAGACCTCAAGAGAACATTCTGGCATCACCTATGGGACTCCCATCCGCATCTGATCGAAACTCCATGAACAACGATTCCTTCCTCGATTTAGAACGCGAGTTGGAGTTTGGACTGGATAGGAGATATTTATGATTGGAGATAGAGAGACATGCAAAGTAAATAACATATATATTTTTCTACAACCATTAGGTAATGCATTAATTCGTTTAACCGTTTTCACATGCAGTTACAGAGCAAATATAGATCCCAGAAAAGATGCAATCGAACTATTAGCCTTCACTGATGCCGTGTGGGTCCTGTTAGAATATTCTATTTTGTTCCTGAACATTTAGTGAGGTATGATAGGCCAGCTTTGACTCATTTCGATGAATAGTTACCTCAGACAAAGCAGACTTGGCTAAAAGTACATAAAGAGATACTATTCGATCAGAATTCTTAGTTATATGAAGTCATTGTCAATAAAACTTGAGGTAATAGTCTAACCAATGTTGCAAGTACCTTTCAAGCAAGTGAATGTGTTCAGTGGCGAGCCCTTTAAGGGTAATCCAGTGGCAGTGATTAACTGTCTTGATCTAGATGAGAGCAACTACCTGACTGATGAGGAGATGCAATCCATTGCCAATTGGACTAACCTTTCAGAGACCACCTTTATATACAAGAGTCAGAATCCTCAAGCTGACTATAAAGTCAGGATCTTTACTCCGGTAAGTGAATTACCGTTTGCTGGTCATCCAACAGTCGGCACATGTAAAGCATACTTGGATATTGTCGGTAAGCCAATTAGTGGGAACTATATTGTTCACCAGGAATGTGCTGCAGGGTTAGTACCCATCGAGATCAAGGATGGTATCGTATCTTTCTCTGCGCCTCGTGTTGCTCCTACAGAGCTTAGTGACGAAGTTATTGCAGAATATACCAAGATTGTGGGCCATCCATACACACATAGGCCTCAGATGATTGATTCGGGCCCTCAGTGGGTAGTATACTTGGTCGAAGACGCTGACACCTGCTACAACATCAACCCAAATTTCCAGAACTTAAAACTCTTGAACCTGGACAATGACCACTCAGGTGTCATCATTGCTGGTCCACGTAGTGACAATGAATGGGAGATGAGAGCATTTGTACCTGTGCTATCGGTTCCCGAGGACCCTGTATGTGGCAGTGGTGCCGCTGCATTCATTGGCCATTTGCAACAGCGGTTCCAATACAAGGAAACCACAAATGTGAAAATCACCCAAGGAGGCAGACTGAACAGAAATGGTCTAATTGTTGGTCAGATCAACTTAGACAACGAGAAACCTGTCTACAAAATTGGTGGTGTGCCAGTAACCGTGGTTGATGGTACCATCACAGTTAGAGTTTAGAAATGCTACAACATTCACCTGTTGTGGCCATGAGATAAAGAAATAGATAAGAATACATAAAACACCAGCCTTGTAAGTTTATTACCATATAAAAAACAGTATAATAGCATTCAAAGGGCACAGATAAATAGCTCTGGCAGAATAATATTGCTATTATTACCCAGAATTCCAATAATCATGTGATGTTTACGTATATCACAATATAGGGGGTGGTTTGAGACCCCTTCCACATCGAGTTTCCTGGAATACCAAAATAGCAATGCGAAATGGCATGGGTTATTAGCAATTGATATGCCAATTTGCACTGGGATCAACACTCCTTATACCTTGTGATCTAACTGATTCTATTAGGGAGTATCAAAGTAGTGTTCGGTTGCCAAGATCTCCACGGCACAAATTTAATAGTTGCTACAATTTGATCTTTCATTTCACCCCTTCCTCGGTCCTAATATTGACTGGGAGAAGTGCAAATATAAAAATCAAGAGGTCTGTGGTAGAGTAGTTTTTTTTTGCTTGATTGACTTGACTCATTGTTGATAGCTCACACAAATTACTGGTCAATAGGTATAATTTGTTGAACATTCTTGCCCAAAAAGCACTTTTTTCGGTTTTCTTTGGTCTTCCAAGATTTTAGAAAAAAGTTATTTTTAAGCTCAAGAAGCACTATGGAGGAACAACCTGAACGGATCAGAGATGATGCCTTCTACTGGAAGAAGCGCTTTGTGGTCGATAGGATGCTGAAGTTTGCGGTGTTGCTTGTACTCCTAGTTTGGGGTAGCGTCTTGCTGCTGAAGATGGTGACGCCTTTGAAAGAGGATCACAAGAGACACCAGTTGCCATCCAATACCACTGTGGATGGTAAGCTGCTAATCAATTTTGACAATATCAGAAACGGTACATTCAAGCCAACTAGACATAATTTACAATGGATCAAGAGCACGAAGAAGGGCTCTGACGATGACATGGGTCTGTATGCCACAAAGATTGATGATAAGTTTGTGATTAAATCTGTGCTAGATGAAGATTACGAGGATGTACTTCTGAAAGAGAAGACTTTCGAGTACGATGGTAAAAATTACACTGCAGATGACATCATAGCTTCTCCAGATCTATCCAAGTTGCTCGTTAGATCCAGCACTGTTAAGAATTGGAGACACTCAAATTTCGGCACATACTTCCTATATGACGCTAAGAAGGCTGAGTTTGATCAATTGGCCGAAAATGTTGCATTGGCTGTCTGGTCGCCAAACTCAGTGGATGTTGCCTATGTACAAAATAATGACATTTACGTTTATTCAACGAAGACAGACGAAACCATCATTGTCACTGATGATGGCAATGAAAATGTCTTCAACGGTATCCCAGACTGGGTTTATGAAGAAGAAGTGTTCAGTAACGACAGAGCGCTATGGTGGTCACCTAATGGTGACTACCTGGCCTTTTTGAAGACAGATGAAACTAATGTTGGAGAATTTTCCATTCCATACTATGCTCAGAAGGAAGATGATGTGTACCCAGAGGTTAAAACTATCAAATACCCAAAAAGTGGTACTCCAAATCCAGTGGTTGACTTATGGGTTCACAGATTTAACGATGACTCTACTTACCCATTGAATATAAGCAGCCACCATGAGTCTGATTCTACTCTAATAACCGAAGTGACATGGATAAGTGAGTCCTCTCTTGTCACCAAATTCTCCGATAGATCATCTGACGTCAGATTAGTTCTACATTTCAACGCCGATACCAAACATGCAAAGGTTGCTAGAAAAGAGCCTGCTGACGACGGCTGGTGGGAGATAACTCATAACACCTTGCGAATTGCCAAGGATGAAAATATGGGTATCATTGAAGATGGTTATGTCGATGTTGCAAACATTGATGGTTACAATCACCTAGTATATTTCAGTCCAGCTGACTCAAAATACCCTCAAGTTCTAACCTCTGGTGAATGGGAGGTTATCGATGGTACACTAGCATTCAACTCAAAAACAGGGAACCTCTTTTTCATTGGTACTAGAGAAGGAAAGAGTACAGAGAGGCATCTTCTGTATGTGAACATCAACAAACCAAAAGAAGTTCATCAAGTCACTGACGATTCAAAGAGGGGTGTATACACTGCCTCTTTCTCCAGTAAGACCAGATTTGCATTATTGTCATATGACGGTCCTGATGTTCCATATCAAAAGATTATTGAGCTTGACACCGATAAGAGGGATGAGCATATTCACGGGAACTCTATTGGTAAGACTCTTTACTATCTGGAGGAAAACAAGAAGATAAGAGATAACCTTAAAGATTATGCAAGACCTCGCAAGACGTACCAAGAGCTAAATCTTGGTAAAGATAAAGATGGCAATAACATTATTGTGAACTCGTATGAGATCCTCCCAGTTAACTTCGACAGCAAGCTGAAGAATGAATATCCAGTGTTCTTCTTCGCATATGGTGGACCTAATTCACAACAATGCATCGAAAGATTCAGCATCGGATTAGATGAAGTGATTGCCACAGAATTAAATGCTATCGTAGTTGTGGTTGATGGCCGCGGTACAGGCTTAAAAGGTAGACCATTCAGAGCTGTTGTACGTGACAACTTAGGTAACTACGAAGCCGAAGATCAAATCAGAGCTGCCAAGCTTTATAAGTCAAAACCATTTGTCAACTCCGATAAGATATCTCTATGGGGTTGGTCATATGGTGGTTACCTGACTTTGAAGACCTTGGAGAAAGACGCTGGTGAGAACTTCAAGTTCGGTATTTCGGTTGCACCAGTAACTGATTGGAAATTATACGATAGTGTGTACATCGAGAGATATATGCATACTCCACAGGAAAATCCTGAAGGTTATGAGAAATCGAAAGTCAGCGATGTAGAAGCTTTAGGTAAAGCTAGAAGGTTCTTAATCATGCATGGAACAGGTGACGACAACGTACATTTCCAACATACCTTGAAACTGCTGGACAGATTAAACTTGAAAGCAATTGAGAACTATGATGTGCATGTCTTTCCAGACTCAGACCACGCCATCAAATACCACAATGCTAACGATATGATCTACAACAGAATCGTTTCATGGACCAGAAAGGCTTTCAACGGGGAATTTGACCCTAAATAATTGGACAAGAACAGATGCACAGCTGTTATGAAAGAAACTTAATGGGAACGAACCTATTATCTATAATGTAACTTCTAAATATGGAATATAGTATGCACTGTATAAGTACTAGACTACTCTATATAGGCCAGCACTATTAATATGACATTTCAAGATATTCCCATATTACTATCACGTACATAGTTATATATAGGCTTTCTGTGTGGGAAACAACGAAAAGTGGCAAAAAGCTCCAATGAAGGGCCCATCTTCCCCCTTCTGGAATTATAAGAACAAAAGTGTCCAAGAAAGTTTCATCTAGCACAGGTTCGGACAATCTGTAAGCGCCTATTAGTTCAGGTCAATATTCTACTACTTGAATCCATTGCCCGCTTATCTACACTGCTTAACAACCGGAATTGGTATCGTTTGTTTTCATTTTGAAAATAGTGGAATAAGTAGTTACATTGTGAAGGTATTTAGATTATCTGTCAAGCATTGAAATTTTACCTGTCATAGGATAACCAATTATAGAGTATGAGTACTGATAAGAAGAAAGAGGAAGTTCCCAAGCCGGAGACGGAAGATCTAACGGTGAAGGATGAAACCAAGAACAAGGACAAGAAGAAAGCTAACGAGGAAGAAGAACTGTCTGAAGAAGACCAGAAGCTTAAGGGTGATCTGGAAATGCTAGTCCAGACTTTACTGGAAGATGACTCGAAACTATATGAGACCACGTTAACTCAATTGAAGGAATTCATTAAGAATTCTACAAGTTCTATGACTGCGGTTCCAAAACCTCTCAAGTTTCTACGTCCATTCTACCCTGACTTATGCAAGGCATATGACAAATGGTCCGATAAGGATCAGAAATCTTCTTTGGCAGATATGCTATCGGTATTAGCCATGACATATTCTGACACGCATCAACATGATTCACTAAGATTTAGATTATTATCTGACACATCGAATATAGCTAGTTGGGGTCATGAATATGTTCGCCACCTGGCACTTGAGATTGGTGAGGTTTATAATGAACAAGTTGAGAAGGAGGCCGAGGACAACTCAACTTCCACAGAATCTTCACCACAACCGCCACACATGAACTTTGAATTCTCAAAAGATGTTATCCTACAGTTGTCATTGGAAATAGTGCCATATTTTATGAAGCATAACGGTGAGGAAGATGCTGTGGATTTACTACTAGAGATAGAAGCCATTGAAAAACTACCTCAGTTTGTTGATGAAAACACTTACAAGAGAGTTTGCCAGTATATGATTGCCTGTGTACAGCTACTTCCACCTCCAGAGGATATTTCCTTTTTACAAACTGCTTACTCTATCTACTTATCAGAATTACAACTACCAGAAGCACTTTCACTGGCAATTAGACTTGGTAACGAAGATATGATAAGATCTGTTTTTGATGCTACATCTGACCCTATAGTTCATCAACAGTTGGCCTACATCCTAGCAGCTCAGAGGGTTCCTTTTGAACATCCAGAACTACAAGAAATTATTGGTAACACTAAACTGTCCGAACATTTTCTATATTTGGCCAAGGAACTAAACTTATTAACTCCAAAAATTCCTGAGGATATTTATAAGAGTCACTTGGACAGCTCAAAGTCTGTTTTCAGCAGCGCCGGACTGGATTCTGCGCAGCAGAATTTGGCTGCTTCATTTGTTAATGCATTCTTGAATCTTGGTTACTGCAACGATAAAATGATTACAGATAATGACAATTGGGTCTACAAAACGAAAGGTGATGGTATGACATCTGCAGTGGCAAGTATAGGTTCCATTTACCAATGGAATATTGATGGCCTACAGCAATTAGATAAATATCTCTATGTCGATGAACCTGAAGTAAAAGCTGGTGGTTTACTAGGTATTGGTATCGCCTCCGCTGGTGTTCACCATGATGTAGAACCAGCGCTACTTCTACTTCAAGAATATATCAACCATTCAGATACAAAGATCAGCACAGCTGCTATCTTAGGTATAGGTATTGCATTTGCAGGTAGTAAGAATGACGAAGTGTTAGGTCTTCTGTTGCCAGTCGTATCCAATACTGAGAATTCACTAGAATTAGCTGCTATAGCTGCATTAGCCCTATCGCATGTTTTTGTTGGTACATGTAATGGTGATATTACTACAGCTGTTATGGATAATTTCTTAGAACGTACACCTCTCGAGTTGAAATCAGAATGGGCTAGATTCTTAGCCCTTTCTCTGGGTTTGCTATACCTAGGACAAGGTGAGCATGTTGATGATGTCTTAGAAACCATTAACGCTATAGAACACCCAATGACCTCTGCCATCGAAGTTTTAATCAGCTCCTGTGCCTATACTGCCACTGGTGACGTTCTATTGGTTCAAGATCTCCTGCATAGATTGACACCTAAGGCCGTCAAATCAAGCGATGAAGACGAAGATGAAGACAATGAGGAATTAAGCCAGGAAGATATGAATGGTATTAGTGCTTTCTTGGGTAAGAAAGAAAATGAAATTGCAGAAGAGCCACAAGGCAATGAAGGTGCAGATAATGAAATGGAAGTGGACTCTCATCAAGATGAAACAACCACAGGGGAGAACAATGTTAAGAAAGAGGAGAATGAAGAAGAAAAGACTGAGAAGTCCGAGAAGACAGAAAACGATGAGGAAGAAGAGGACGAAGAAGAAAGTAAGGATGAAGGTGCCAACGATGAGCTTGCTTATGCTGTTATTGGTATTGCATTAATTACTATGGGTGAAGAAATTGGTAAAGAAATGTCTCTACGCCATTTCGGCCATTTGATGCATTACGGTAATGAACATATTCGTCGTATGGTTCCACTAGCCATGGGTCTTGTATCTGTTGCGGATCCTCAAATGAAGGTATTCGACACTTTAACACGATTCTCACACGACCCTGATTTAGATGTTTCAATGAACTCTATATTTGCCATGGGTCTATGTGGTGTAGGTACGAATAACGCAAGATTAGCCCAATTATTGAGACAGCTCGCTAGTTATTACTCTAGAGAACAAGATGCCTTATTTATAACTAGATTGGCCCAAGGTCTTGTACATTTGGGTAAAGGTACCATGACTATGGACATATTCAACGACGCCCATGTTTTAAACAAAGTGACATTAGCTTCTTTGTTGACAGTTCTTGTTGGCCTAATATCCCCAAGTTTCATTCTAAAACACCATCAACTATTCTACATGCTAAACAGTGGTGTAAGACCTAAGTTCATCATCACATTAAATGAGGAGGGTGAACAAATCAAGGTTAATGTTCGTATTGGCCAAGCTGTGGAGACTGTTGGCCAAGCAGGTAAACCAAAGACTATTACTGGATGGATTACACAATCAACTCCAGTTCTTTTGGGACACGGTGAAAGAGCTGAACTTGAAAATGACGAGTATATCAGTTACACGAATAACATTGAAGGTGTTGTAATTCTAAAGAAGAATCCTAACTTCCAAGAAGAAGAGTAACTTATATAGAGCATTTCATACAAACAATTTTGCTGCAACGTGGGAATCCGGAGATAAACATGTATAATTTAATTAATATATAGTGCTTCAAACAAATACATCGAAAAGCAAATACTTAATTAAGCAGCATACAAAAAAGTATATGGTAAATTTCCTTAGGTATAATATTGCGTTATTAATATATGCATAAAAAAGTATTTAAATTTGTTATAAAACCAGCAAAGTTAAATTATATAAACTACATTCTAGTCCATCACCTCTGTGGAAGAATTAAAGTAACCCAAGTCACATCTATTCTCCCCGAAGAACTGATTAAAACTGTCTAATTGCTCTCTTCCATATTAAAAATGGAATTAACTTCTCCATAGTAACATTTCAATGTAAGTCAAAACTGTCTACTGGAAATCGGCTGCTTTACCGGCCATCAGCAAACCAACGATCAAACCCAATAGACCCAAAATAGAACCAAAAATTTCTATAACTAGAATCTTAACAAACAAGGAGGAGTCTGCGGCATCTGCAACAGCAGCAGTAGCTCCTGTGATACCGACAGATACACCACATATTAGATTTGAGACACCCACTGTCAGACCAGCCCAAAATAAGGAGTAGCCGGTGTACAGGTTAGATTTTGAGTAAAGCGAATCCTTCGATGACACAGTTAATTTAGAAGAAAAGACGATTGCCATAATTAAACCATAGATAGCCACCACTTCACAGAAGATAATGGAGATCAAGTTCTTTGTAGTGATTCTAGGTGCCCGCACACCAGCACCAATCATAGATGACCCCGTGATAAAGATACCCCATGCGGCACCCACAACACTTAGACCTATACAAGAGGCAATACCAAGATTTGCCCACATATATGGAGAGGTTTTTGACAGGAATCTGCCGATATCAATATCGGACCCATGTCCTGTCAACATTTTGCGAAGTGCATAGACCACCACCACAAATAGCACCAAGTAGTAGAAATAGCGGGAATAGTTAATCTTGCCGACAAGAGGCTTATCAGCAACAACAGCCATGATTGTGTGTTGAAATTTATATTTTTGTGTAGAGATTTTTCTAGATCAAGGCAATTTCTAGGTTTTAAATCTATAGTAACCTATCTTATCCACCTAATATTTTTCCTTAATTTCTGGTAGGTTCCCTGTTATCGAGGTAGCAAATGTAGCTCTACTTTCAGCGTTTGAGCAAGTTAACTCCACTTTCTAATTGAGACAATTCCGTCTCCAGCCTGAAACAGTTATAGTCTCCCTAACAATTACAAGACGTGCATTCCTTTCTAATTGACTATTATTGCTCGTCTCACTGCTGTCTTAGACTTTTGGCAAATGGCCGAATTGGGAAAAACCTTCAATCATTATATACGCAACATTTGAGTTGCTATTTGAGTAGTATGTATAATAAGCTATTTCATCAAGAATAGTAACTTTCTGAAGACTATACTGTTTAGTTACACTGACAGAGCGCATCATATCGTTGATATTGAATGCTATTAGCGGTTGGAATGCTTGAATGTTACAGTGATTAGTTCTTATAATATGTTATATACCGTGCTAAAATATTAATGATGTGTAAAAGAGTTGACGGTCATTCCAAGGGGACCTTTGATTTCATTATATTGAGGGAGGGGTGTTGAATGTATATTTATAATTGTTCTACAGTGACACCTTCGTATGCTGGTTCCAGTAGTTTCCAGGTACATTTGACGTTCTTCTTGTGGAATCCGTTGATGATCTCTGCGGCGATATCCTCGAAGTTCTCTGTAGCCAAGGCCAGGATAGTTGGACCAGCACCAGATAGACAGATACCTAATAGTCCTGGATATGCTGTTGGTGTGACACTGTTCAGAATCTCAGTCAGGCCTGGGATCAAGGTCTTTCTGTATGGCTGGTGAACACGATCTTGCATTGCAGGGTAGATCAACTTGGCATCTGGTGGGTCTAATGTCAAAGCCGTGGTCAAGACAGCCAATCTTTGCAAGTTGAAAACTAAGTCCTGGGTGGTGTATGCCTTTGGTAGGACACCACGAGAGTCAGCAGTGGACAACTCAAATTGTGGGATAATAGCAATACACTTAATAGCTGGGTTCCATTGGTATTTGACATGTCTACCGATGTCGGAAGGTGGTAATGGTGGAACCAAACCGGTATCTTCACCACCAGATGGTTCAGGTAGCACTTCACTCAGAGGAATTTCTCTTCTTTCCATTTCTTGGGTAGTCAAGTCCCTCAAGAAAGAACCACAGAAACCACCCATCATGGCGGCGGTAATGTTATCTGGGTGACGTTCAATCATTAGACAGTAGTCGAGCATACGTTGCTTAGAGAAACCTAATTGACCTACTTCATTACCTAACACTACACCGGCAACAACGGCAGCACCAGAGGAACCTAGACCACGACCCAATGGGATAGGGTTGTGAACATTGATCTTGGTTCCACTTGGGAACTTCCTGATATCATTACAGCGCAGCACATACAACGCAGTTCTTGTTATTAAATTGGCATCAGATTCCAAAGGTACTGAGTCATAACCTTCACTGTCCTCAGTATAGCTCAACTTACAATTGTTCTTGTCATCGTTGGTCTCTTGGGCATTCAATGCATCAATCTCAACATCTAGCTCCAAAAATAGGTTCAAACCGACACCTAGAACATCATAACCAGGACCAATGTTGGCCGATGAGGCAGGAACCTTTATCTTAAAGTGACGAACCATTTTTATATTATGTTTTTATTTTAATTGTTATGACTGTGCAAGCTTTCAAAGCGTTAATTCCTCCACCAGTTTTAGGGTAAAACGACCGCTGAAACAACACAATTAAACTGCTTTACTAGCACTCGAGTGACAAAAATTTAATACCGATATTAAAGAAACAAAGAGTAACAGTGTTTAAGTATTGATTCTAGAATGGCTCAAACTCTGACTAAAAATCGATGAGTTTCTTGAATTTTTGAAAAATTTTTTGGCAAAAACAAACTAAGCCCGATGACACATCATAGTTGCAAATGAGCCAAGCCAAGGGTTTATAATGTCGTTGATATTGTTGGGCAAACGATATGGAATACAACGGGTATTGTCCAAGAAAGATAGCACGCCAGCGCAATGTTGAGAAATTCTTTAAGAGTTGCGCAAAGACGAGGCTATTTTCAAGTCTCGCGGTTGAAGAATGGCCTGAGAGTTGCCACGAGTGATACACCTGGGCACTTCAGTGCATTGGGTATGTACGTAAGCAGTGGGTCCCGTTACGAGACAGGTAGTTTAAAAGGTTGTACACATATTGTTGATAGACTAGCGTTCAAATCGACAAAGAATATCGATGCGCGTTCGATGATGGAGACTTTAGAACTATTAGGGGGAAATTACCAGTGCACTTCCTCGAGAGAATCAATGATGTACCAGGCCTCTGTGTTCAATAGGGATGTGGAAAAGATGCTAAACTTACTTGCAGAGACTATTCGCTTTCCAAAAATTACTGAAGAAGAGTTACAAGAACAAAAATTTACCGCACAATATGAAATAGACAACATTTGGACCAAGCCGGACTTGATCTTGCCTGAACTGTTACATAACACTGCATACTCAGGGGAGACTTTGGGTTCCCCTCTTATTTGCCCCAGAGAAATATTACCATCCATTACAAAGAAAAGCTTGCTGAACTATAGGGAAAAGTTCTACAATCCCGAAAATACCGTCGCTGCCTTTGTTGGGCAACCTCATGAGAAATCCATTGAATTAGCAGAAAAATATTTGGGTGATTGGACTACAACAGGTGAGCCTTTAGATAAAACTGCTGCACATTATACCGGTGGTGAAACATGCATACCATCTGCTCCTGTATTTGGAACAATGCCAGAACTAATGCACATACAAATTGGTTTTGAAGGGTTACCTATTGACCACCCTGACATATATGCTCTAGCCACATTACAGACATTGCTTGGAGGTGGTGGCTCATTTAGTGCAGGTGGACCTGGCAAGGGTATGTATTCCCGTTTATACACTCATGTTTTGAACCAGTACTATTTCGTTGAAAACTGTGTCTCTTTTAACCATGCTTACTCTGATTCTGGTATTTTTGGCATATCACTTTCATGCATACCTCAAGCAGCACCTCAAGCAGCAGAAGTTATCGCACAACAATTTTATAATTGTTTCGCAAATGGCGCCTTACGTCTAACAGATGCAGAGGTTTCAAGGGCCAAAAATCAACTAAAATCGTCCTTGCTAATGAACTTAGAATCAAAACTAGTAGAACTAGAAGACATGGGTAGACAAGTTTTGATGCATGGCAAAAAGATACCTGTATCTGAAATGGTTTCTAAAATCGAGTCCCTCACAACAAAAGATATTAGTAGAGTCGCAGAGATGGTATTTACAGGTAAAGCTCACAACAAGGGCAATGGAACCGGTAGGGCGACGATTGTTATGCAAGGTGATAGAGCTGCTTTTGGTGATGTTCAGGAAGTGCTTGGTCACTACGGTCTTGGTTCAAGCTCTTTTAGCACTGACCAATCAAAATCATCAACAACAAAGCTGAAATGGTTTTAGATATTCTAATTCTTGTTTTACAAGTACCAAGCGACAATTTTTAACAGGCATAAGAAGCCCACATTTTCTTGGTTACATTCGTTTTGGGTTCATGTAAATAACTGTGACTAAGGTATAAACTTGTACATTATAGAGTAGAACAATTGTATACATAAAAAAACAAAAGACCTAATTTAAGACACAATTTTAACAATATTGTCAAAGTGCCATCAAGGTATGTAACATTAAGCAAATGCTTTTAGAAGTAGTTCGCTGATAATGATCATATTGGTCGAAGCATTTGCATGTTTGTACCATACTCATGTTTGCACCATTACCTCTTCTTCATTTCTTTGCGAGAAATTATTAGTACCTCCTGATGCGACATGATATCTTTGCTTCCACAGCATTAGTTCTCTTTCCATTTCATTCATCTTCTCTTGGTATTCCATGTTTTCCCTTACAACCTTTTTCATGTCAATTTCTTGTTGGGAAATATACTTTTCTAATTGATGCATCTGTTCATTGTATTTCATGACTGTTTCTTCAAATTTCGTTCTATCACCATTTGCAGTTTCTATTACCTCAACCTGTGAGGCATTTCTAGCTTCAAGCTCATTGATTGTCCTTTCGAGTGCCTTCGACTTTTTCATTTCTTCAATTTTCATGTCTCTTTCATCATTTAACAATGTTTCAACTTCATGTATTTTCCTGAGCCAAGCTTCTTTCTCGGAGGTATCAGATAATCTTTGATCAAGATCCTTTATAGTTTCTTCTAATCTAACTGTGACACTTTTCAATGTCTCCGCCTCTTCAACTAAATCAATATTTTTCTGCTTTTCTTCATCATATTTCATTTTGTATGATTCAAGATCCATTTGAATAGACTTCACTAATTGCTCATTCCTCTCATTTTGCTCGGTTTGTAAACGAAGTGTCTCCTCGAGGTTCCTTAACTTATCATTAACATCAACATTGTGTTTTACTGTCGCGTTGAACTGCTCTGTAGAATTACCAAGTTCAGATCTTAGTCTGTCTGACTCTTGAAGTAGAGTATCTCTTTGTTGACTTAGGGCTTCATAATCATCGTTTAGCTTTTTCAAATTTGACTCCATATCAATCAATTTTTGGTTCAAATCTTTGATAATTTCTTGATTTTCGTCTCTCTCCTCACCCAACTGACCAACAATAGTTTCGTAATGCTCAGATTGCTTTAGTAAATGCTCTATTTTGGCTTCTGAGTCGTTCTTCAATGTTTCTAACTTGTACTTCAATGTCGATATTTCTTTCTTAAATTCACCACTATATTTTGAAGATTCATCCAAAGCCTCCTTCAATCTCTCAATTTCATTGGTATATCTTGAAACATCACTGCTTGTGTTCAATCTCTCCTTGAAATGATGCACATCGGTTTGAAGTAATTGATTCATATCTTGGACTCTCTTGAGCTCCAAGAGTGTTTCTTGTAATTGCATGTCTAAATCATTCTTTTCTGTTTCGCGATCCCAGATAGTCTTATCTTTTTGCTTATTTGAGCTTTTGAGTTTTTCAATAACAGTTGCCATCCCCTTTATATCATCTTCTGCTTGTTTTAACGCATGATTATATTCTCTTAACTGAGTCTCATTGGCATTAAGATCACTCAAACAATCTTCGTATTGCTGCCTTTGTTGACGTAAATTAGAAGTCAGCATTTCCTTTTGTCGTTCAGTGGATTCTAAATCTTTCTGAAGTCTTTCAACTTGCTCCTCTAAAAGAACTTCTTTCACACTACCTTGTTTGATTTCATGCTTTAAACTACCACAAATATTCTCAAACTCAGAAAGCTTATCTTGAAGCTTGAAATTCTCGATCTTGTAAAACCTTAACTCCTCTTCATACTTGGATATGCTATCCTTATTTGTGAATATCTCACCACTAGGTAGGTTTGTCCTATCTTTGAAAGGCAATGAGCGTAGCTTATTTTCCAAAGCACGGACATGCTCTTCACTAGCCTCATACTTGATCTTGTAAATATCAGAAGTTGAATCAACCTTTTGAATCAACTCAAATTTAGAATGCAGAGCTGTTATTGCTGCCTCTGCTTCTTTATGTGCCTTCTGTTCTGCATTCAACTGCATTTTTAGGTGTTGAACTTCGAGGAGGATTTGCTCTACATTGACATCAGAAGGTTTTATATCCGAGAGCAATTGATCTATATCAGCCTGCATCCCTTTGTTTTCTAGGAAGTGTTTTAGTTTCTTTAGTTGTGCCTTTACTGTCTGCGACTCAAAAGAAGAAGAAGCAAGTCTAGTTTCGGTGAACCTTAATCGGGATATCAGATTTTTATTTTCTTCAATTGCTTCTTCTAAAGAAGTAGATTGTTCATGGAGAGCCGTTTTGATTTCGTAATATTTCTTGAGTAAAACATCTTTGTCCGCATTGGATAAGTCATCCAAATGTAAACTTCTTTGAACTACTCGATCACCTAATAGCTTTTGATTGAGGTATTTGTTTAAAGATTTTTCATCTTCAAGTTGTTTCTTTAGAAGTGAAATATCCGATCTCGACTCCATTGGACTATTCTCTCTATTTATATGCTCCTGCTTAGCCATTTCCTCAATTTGGTTCTTCATTTGGGCATAGTTTTCGTTCGCTTTCCTTAGAGCCATTTTCATTTCAGACAATTCTTTAGACAATTTATCATTTTCAGCCATCAAGCTATCTCTTTGCTTTAGAATCTCATTTATTTCACCTTGATTGGAGGCAAACCTAGCCTTCAATCTTTCAATCTCCTTTTCCTTAGATGAAACTTGTTGGATAGTGTTAGCATGTAATTTTTTGTTCTTTCCAACCTCTTCTCGCAACTCAGCATTCTCGTTGAGAAGAGATTTCAATTTTGTTAGGGCAACATTACAGTTCTTTTCCAAAGTTTGCAGTTTTATATCTAGATCTTTGTTTGATATATGCTCCTTCTGCTTCAATTCATCAATAATATGGTCTCTTTCTTTGATATCATGGCTAAGTTTCTCTATAACCCTCTCCTTTTCCATCTTTTCATTCTCAAGCTTCTTCAGAACTTCAGTATCCATGGAAATTTGCCTAGTAATATCGCCCTTTTCAGATTCCAAAGAAGAGAGCTTTCTAGTTAGCTCTGCAATAGAAGCATCTTTCTCATTGTTCTTTTCTTCAAGTTTTTGCCTGACTAGTTCCAATTCTTGAATTTTTGAGATTGCCGCCTCTTTCTCAGAGAGTAAGGTACTTTTATCTTCTCTAATTTCCTTGATCATTGTCTCAATTTCTCTTTGCTGTTCATTTGATTTTGATAGTAATTGCTCATTTCTTTTGAGTTTTTCCTTTTCAACATCTAATAAATTTTTAACGTCATTTAACTCATTAAGCAGATCATTGTGTTTTGCAGTATGTATTTTCTTTTCAGTTTCAACTGCTGTCAACTTTTGTTCCAGGACCTTGATCTTTTCTGTGTATTTTCTGCTATCTACAATATTTTGTGATGATGCTAACAATGGCTTTATTTTCATATACATGTTAAACCATGGGTCTTGCATTTTTTCATTATACTTCCGGAATACATTCCCTATCATTTCTGATGCCCGCATCTTTTGAATTTCACCCTTAGTTCTTTTCCTCTGTGACCATCCTCTAATTATCGAGTTAAACCTAACTGTTATTTCAAATAATATACTCTCTTTCTTACTTTCCAGCTCTGCAAGAGTTCCTGCTTTAAAGAAAAGCTTGGAAGTACCAACTTTATATGTTGTTGGATCCAGATGAAGTTCGGAGATCAAGATTTGAGAGCTCTGCTTATAGTTGATTGCATCACTTGATTTATCTAGGTGTTCCGATAATATCCTATAGCGTTCATAAAACTCCTTGAATAAGATACGATTCGGATAACCTTCTCGCGCTATTCTTATACCCTCTAAAACACCATTGCATCTCAGCTGATCTAAAATCAATCTTCTGTCAAATGTCTCTGACATTTTTTTATTGTTTGGGATGATGCATCTCACAAAGTGTGGATTTGTTAGGGCTAATTGTGATAACAATGAAGATTGTTGCTCCCTATGGCGTGATAGGGCAGTCTTCAGGTTGGTTCGACCTTTTCCTAGACTGTTAATAGAAGCCGATGAAGAAGAGTGAGTCAATCTTGTTGGTGAGGATGATGGGGAACTAATACTTTCAAATCCACTGAAGAACTCTGAAATCAATCTATTCGATGAAACTGATAAAATATTAACTAGATTCTCATTTAGGGGGTCCTTATTTTTTGCTAACCACCCATTAACATGATACTCAACATCGCCAGCATAGTGTTTTAAAACAAAACACATATCTAATTTTGATCTCTTGAATTTTGTAGAGTTTTGTTGCCAAGTTGATATTAGTTTAGAGTAGAATGAGGAATCTTCCGATTTAGGTAAAATTGTTTCTTCATCAAGAAGCGGTAATATACCTGTTGGTGGTCCTTTTGCTTCCAATAGATTTATTGTCGATTGTAGATCTTTTCCATAATCTACATAATCCCATTGAATGTTTTCCTTTAAGTACTCACTTTGTTCCAGTACAAACATATGATGATTAAAGAACTGTTGAAGCTTCTCATTAGTATAGTTAATACAGAGTTGTTCAAAAGAATTATGCTCAAATATCTCAAAACCAGCAATGTCTAACAATCCTATGTAGTTAGCTGTCATAGATCCATGGTTAAGACTCATATTGATTGTATCCACAATATATCCAAATAGGTGCTCATATAATGTTCTACACAGAGAGTTGATGATAAAACGGGCCTGATTTGCATTTTTAGCCTGCGATACCCATTCTCTACCTGCTTTTGACCGCGGTTTCAAGATTGCCGTTTTGAAATCACTCTCTGAAACACCTAGCAATGTAGCAATTGCAGATATGTCGGATTTGAAGGATGCCTGTTCAGATTTCTCAGATACAAATTCTATGTTTCCACAATGTAAGATGACAGCTACAATTTTAAAAATAGAGTTAATCTGATCTTTACCAAATCCAACTGTTTCAAGTGCAACTAACAACTTTTGGAACTCTGCAGCATCGTCAACCCCGGGTATCACATGATTCGAGTTTGCTAATATTTGATAATGTGCGAAATCATTTGATGACAATTTATATATGGACTCAAGATCTTTCTGTGATGTACCTTTCAACAATTGATAAAATATATGATAATTCCTTTCATTTCTATTTTCATTGGTAATCCTTGACTTTTCTAATAGATACCATTCTATGAACGCTCCATTGATCTTCCCACTTTGATCAAATTCTATTTTTATGAATTTACCAAATCTGGATGAGTTATTATTACGCACAGTTTGGGCGTTACCAAAGGACTCCAAAACAGGATTACTTTGTAAGATTTTCATTTCAAAGTTATTTGAGACTTCAAACGAGTCTGATGTTATAGATGCCAAATACTGCAGGATTTTCTTTGTATTCTCGGTTTTACCAGCACCCGATTCACCTGTGACCAAAATGGATTGGTCTTGTTTTTTGGATTTTAAATCACGATAGGCGCTTTCTGCAACTTCAAATATATGTGGTTTTTGAGAGGTTTCCTCATTAGAACTGTGATAGGATTTGATAGTAGAGTTTGAATACAGGTTGCTTATTTCTTTATATGGATTGATTGCAACCAAAAACAAACCAGAGTACGTATATATGAGATTGTCCTTATACCTGTTCTCCAAATTGTTTAGTACACTAGGCTCATTTAGATGTGTTAACTCAGACATATTGTCAACTCTGTCGAAGTTTGCTGGGTTTACTGGAAATATCTCGGAGATTTTGAAAGTGGCTGTTTCACCGTCATTGTCTTTCTTGACTAAACCTACTTGCTGCTCAACACCAGTAAATTTATCCTTGACTATATCTGTATTCAATAAGTCACCACGGACAAATATCTCTACTGGGTCGGGAACCCACACTCTCATATCTTGATTCATTATTAAAATGGGCCAATAGTGCCTTCTGAGATGTATGTGATTGTGTGTTAACGATAGTGAAGGCTCCGACTTATATTAGTAGATTGAATCAGACTACTAGAACCAGATGTTTAACTCACTTATATGAAATAAAGCTTAAAATATCTTCAAAACAGTCGTGTTTTTCTAGTGATATATTATTTGTATTTGTGATAGTCTATGAAGTTTTTCCCTTAGCGAATGGATATTATTAGCAATAGTTTTTTGATCAGTTGTCCGTTATCAATGTATAACACTAGATTAATATTCTTTTTAATCTTTCAAACTTAAATTGTCCATTAAATTATAGATTAAAAGCATCCAAAAGGCCTTAAATTTAGTTTATTTTCTTCAATTACAATGTGCTCACTGTTGGCAATAGAGATGGCTATTCTGATACGATTTTATGCAAAGACTTCAAATTGTCAACACTTGATCTGTATTAGCTGTCTTCATTAAGTTATTGAATTACCCAAAAGGGTAATTGAAAACAGTCCAAGATGAAAATCCAAAATTTTTCGATTTCAGCCTGGCTAAAAATGTTATTTTTTTTTGGTGTTGTCATGGGTCCTTTCATTTTGTAGATAGTTACATCACATGATTTTAGGTCTAATTGTTGCTTTCTCTTGCAGTTTAGGGTGTTGTCTACAATTGAGCCCTAAAAATTTGAAAATTCAGTTTACTTCAACCCTAAGCATCTTGATGATTATTGTGGTTGTACATAACCACAAGGTATTTCCAAGACCTCTAAAGTTCTCAAAAATATAGTTCACATCCAGAAAAACACTTGATTCAGATGTATAATTTTTTATTGTTTCATTTTTTTTTGTTTTACTCAAATGAATTTCGTGAGACAATTTACCCTTGGGAGGAATTTGCAAGGCTTTGTTAAAACTATCTCACCCTAGCGGGAAAGCAAAGCTCATCCTCAACTAAAACAAGACCAATAATGCTTGCTCTTACCAAACCAGCAGTTTATTGTAAACGCTACATTTTTTTTTTACTCTACTGACGGAGTGTTTACTTTCTCTGACTTTAAATTTTATCATGTTCTCGAACAGGCGCTTCAGGCTCAGGTGCGCCATATAAAGAAATTGAATGATAACCTCTTAGTACAAAAATAATACATCATTGTTTGATACGTAAACAAAAGCAATATCAGATAAAAATATTGGGATTGAACATCGTTAGCCTTTTTTTGCCGTCCTTACCCCATGAAATACACTGATTATAGTGCAGTATTCGAAAAGTAAAAAGGCAAAATAGTTAATCTTTTGATGTGGGGTTAACTTTATCTTCACGTAAAATACAAGGAGGATAAATTATGAAATATTTTATCGCTATTCATACTTCACACTTTTCCTGAAATATTGCCCTACTATGCAAAAAGACTAGTAATTTTCCAAAATTAATGGAATAGACAGATTATTATATCCCACTTTAGGTCATATATGAATTTGATGTAAGACAAGAAGGGAAACTTATCTGTGCCATTCAGTAGGAATGGATATTGCCAACGAACTGAATCTGGAACAACGGACAAAGTGCATAACACTTTTACTGTTGGGCTCCCATTTTCTCCAAACTTTTCTCTTTAGACCTGCACAATATTTAGTAACATTATTTGTGCTAACATCACATATGCTACCCTATTTAGCGAGACCTTACTAATAGCATACAAATTCAATACACTACAACAGTAAGCCATGCTCGCTCAGAGGAATAATACCAATTAGGTGGGATAGATACTTTACACCAGGCTATTCTATTAAAACTGGGGTCGTTACGGCATTTTATTATTTGAATGGAATGCCATGACGTTACGTTACTAAAATACCTCGACTTTCGATAAAAGTGGGATACTTGGACCATTTCGAGAAATGAACCTCGTTAGACACTGTATTGTTGTAGCACGGGATAAGATGGGAAATATCCCACACTATAGTTACATATTTTTTTGGAGGAACTTGTTCGAAGTCCTTGTTACTAATGCTATTATTTTCATGTAGGTATACTGATTCTTCCTTGTTGCATATATTTAAAGAACCATCCGAACAACTGTTATTATTAAGCAAGCACACAGTGCAGAACAAGCAGAATAGTGGGGGTGAATAAAAAGGTGGGATATTATTATTAGATAAGGTGTCCTTGTTCCCCGTTAAACAATATCTACCCCGGAAGTTTTCTGACAATTCGATCGATTAGGAAATTCGTGGAGTTAAACTTCTTCTGGGGTCAACCATTTATTTTCTTTTTTCAAACAAAATATCGTACAACTACGAGAAAATAAAATTCTGAATAAGCAGGACCATTGTACCAGTACTTTTTAATTTCTTTTTGAAGATATTTCCCTCGGGCCTAGGGGATGTGTTTCTTAAAAGCGCAGAGTCAAAACCTTCAACTACTGATGTTTCTAAGTAAACGATAGTTGCTTATAGTTGAATGTAGACGTGGGTTTTTCTTGACTGCCGTGAAAAAATGGTCAAAGAAACTAGACCGTTGAGTGTATTTTTCGAAATAATAATCCCGTGAAACAGACGTGTACCTGGTACCTGGAATACGGCACTGCAATCCAGGAACAGTATTTCTTTTTTGTCCGACGCAAGCAAAAACCAGGGCCAACAATTGGATTAATGTTGGCACCCTCAAACCCGAGAGAAATGCTGGCAGTGAATCTTACCTACAGTGTATATACAATGGGGAAGTTACTCCAGAAAATAATGTCGCTTCCAGATTTGTACATGTCAGGGACCAGACCTGCGGAACTAAATAACGTACATCCCCGTATTTTTTCTGTTCGAAGATGGAGCAACCAAAATAACGAAAACTGTTATATAAGTAGTCAGATAATTTGATTTATTTTCCCCACCAATCTTGATAGTTGAGTCTTCATTGGTTCTCGAAACGGTATATTTCTCTATATTCATCTTTTCTGTTTCTCATACTCTAGAGTCAGTGATTCACATACAATAATACGCTATCTAAGAATAATACATCTCTAATTTTGGCTGCTATTTCAAAAAGAAAAGGATCTAGATAGTGACTCAAATTTTAATAGAGTACTCAGCTTTTTTTTTTTTTTTTTTACAGAAATTAACATAAAGATACAAATCAAATCTGATTTTGACGCTCTAAAGAATGGAAATTCTTTTATATGATGTTAGTGATAACCCCACGCCAAGATGCCTTGACAATACTGCTCGAATTACGGTAATGGGAGAGCATGGCAGTGGTAAGACTACATTAATAACGAGGTGGCTGCGAAATATGTTCATCCAAGTTGACCAAGGAGATTATGATATTTACACCACTCATGTTGCTAGACAAAACATACACCAGTACGACCACGAAATCAATGCTGCTCTATCGAAGACCAAGTCCGAGATGCTCGCTAAGAATCCGAGTGATGAAAATATTACACCTGCTATGACCAGGGCTAGTAGTTACAAGAACAGACATCCCTTGAAAGTCCAGATTCTGGATGCTGAGCCGGTTGAGATTGGCGAGTATTCAGACTTAAGAAACATGCAAATCGAGCAATCCGATGCTTTCATCCTTTGTTTTGATTGTGCGGATAGTAATGCTGTTGATGAACTTCGAGGCTATAAACGTAAGATAGACTCAATCCGTGGGAATGCTTTGATCATGTTGTGCTGCACAAAAGTAGACCTTTCCGCCGAACGTGTGTTTGGTATCGAGGAGACCCAGGATATTCTTGAAAAACTGAACATCTCACCATCTGATTACTACGAGGTGTCTTCAAAGCATGCGATTGGTACTGAAAGATTGCTTTACAGAACCTTGGCACACATTGAGGATTGTAAGACTTCGGAGCGTATCGATATGGTCAAGAACAGTATCGCTACTAGCGAAGAGGAAAAGAGCAGCACCGATAGTGTATCAACAGAGACACTCAAGGAAGATGAGAAGAAAACTCGAGGCCGTCTATTACACCCTAGAGCTATTCGTAAGCTCTCACATAATGACTCACCCGCACAACAGCAATGTTGTTGCATAATGTAACGACTTTTTTAATGACATGCATATAAAACCCCAAAATTAAACAAACTAATCATTGTGGTTTTTTCTTTCTTTCTTTCTTTCTTTTTAACTTTAATACAATTTTATAAAATAATATATCCTAATCGAACGAAACATTTCTATTATTCTATAGTTGTAGTCTGCACTAGCAGTTGTATATTTCCCAATAGGTGCAGAAACACCAAAACCACAGAAAGTACAGAAAACACTGAGGTATGAAAGCAGAAAGCACTGAAAGCAGAAATAAGTAAGGAAGAAGAGACTAGGCTTTTGGCCCACCTCCCTCCCTTATATACGTTTTCCAATTTCTGCTCAAACAAGGCAAAGGATATGGCAACAGTGTATCTAGGCAAATAGGGGTAATAGAAGTGGGCAGTAAGGGCATTTCCAATGGCGGCTAACTGCTGCACCACTAACGCAGAAAATCACGTACAATTCACCAGATCTGGGGGTTCTATTAATCACCCAAACAGGAAAAAAATAGATGCCCCTATAGCTTAAAACCTGCGCACAAAGAAGAAAGAGAAGAAGGGGGACCTTCTGCGGTGACAACCTGCTACAGACTCTGTATGGGCGGCTAATGTAGGTAACATAAGGTTAGAAACCGGCGCACCTCCCGGAGAGATCCATGCAGAAACGTTCAGTTTATTCTGTCAATCCACAGTTTGCATACCAACAACCACGAAAGCGATAGCCGCCCACGGCTCAATTCAAGTAAGTAACGAAAATAGGAAGTATATAAGACAGCAAGGCATATGCTTAGATAATAGAGAACGTTACAGCACGGTACGCATTACGAGATGTTTGGCTAAGTGAAAGCCTTTCATACCAAGGTATTGGCTTACATAGTCTACTTGGTCTATTATCCACTATGCTTAGACCACCTACTACTTTGTATATGCCTGCGATTATCGAGGCTTCAGCTGCTCACTCTCTCCCAGCGCCCACACCACGTCAAAACCGGCACTTTCTTTTGCTAGCACATTCAAAGAGTTTTGTGACTGCCTACAACTAACACCACCCAGACATCCACAACATACCTCTGTTGACCAAACACACAATAAATTGTTAGACTGGAAAAAGTCCAGATAATTGCCTAAATAGGAAAACAGCGGGATAGCACTTCAGCACGCAATTATTGTGTAGTTGCTCAACCTCTTCTCTGCGACTGTTTCTAACGTCGTGACGGAGAGAGACAAGCACAGAAAATGGCGGAGAAATGCAAATGAAAGACTCTGGCTTGAATACTGTACGGTATAATCTGTGTGATTTTGAGTAACACGATGATGAATCACAATCTGCCCTCCCCCCCCCCCCAAAAATTCTCAGACAGCATCGCACAAGACTTTGGAAACACCAACTATTCTGGCAGCATGCTTTCGAGGGAGTGCTAAGCACATCGCAAAAAACCATTGCTTGTACAGTACTATCTGAGAAAATGAAGGCAGGTCCGGCTATAATACAAAAACTACAGTTACTGGATCTAGAAAATCTTCAAATTTACCCTGATGTATTTTGGCAAAAAAAAAATCAAAAACAGAATTTGAGTAACACTACTTACAGTCCTACGGATATGTCTACGCAATATCCATGCCCAAGTTCTGCTTGACTCTTAGGAAACGCTCGCTCAGTGGCGAATTTCTTATTTTTCAATTTTTCCAACAAGCTATTGCAGATGCTGTTGCGGGTAACACAGTTGCCTTATGTTTTCTTCATCTGCACTACTTGGTTTGAGTGAGCAGTCACAAGAAATTGTTACGAACTAACAATTTCGATGGGTTTTGGAAAAAAAATTTTTTTTCAGCTGCAAAGTGCTTGATGAATTTTTTTTTTCTTTCTTACAACTGAGTTGCTAGTATATAACAATTCAGTGTTAGAGGTTTGTTAGTTATAGGATTTCCCTTCAAGACAAGGACAATAAAGAGCAATAGAATAACAAGATGGTATGTTTTGCGCCCAACGAGATAGATAATATAGCAATAGTCCAAGTAGAATGAGAAAAGCAGAGCTGTGACGAGTGATTTGAATAGGTTTTTGCCATACCAACAATAGGTGAGATGGGAAGAAACTTCTATTATGTGAATTAATGAACTGGTCGAGACTTGTATAAGACAATAGAGAGAAAACGAGATGGGGATATAGTGGGAATTAGTGCATACACATTATACCAGTTAGTGGAATTGCGTCTTAGTGAATAAACCTATCGAATTATGGCTTCCATTTTTACCAAGATAGGTTCGAAATCCCTTCACCTTTGTCATATTAATTGTGCACATGTATCGTTTGGTAGGAAAGTGATTAATTAAAAAGCCATTTCGAGTGTGAGAAAAACCAATGTTCAAAATAATTTAAAGATCTGCGCTCTGCTGTGGATATTGCAAGGAATGTAAATTTTTATCACAGAATTATTTTACTAACATTTTTGTTTTACAACTACTATTACGTTGATTTTTTATTGATTGTGTTTGATAAGTAAAGTATAAGCTTTATGTGATTGGCATGGTACAAAAGGCTATGATGTGCCAAATTGTTCCGAGAAACACTAAAGTTACATGCGTTAGATTATCATGATCAATGAGAAAAAGCTGATCTGAAGTAATAGGAAGTATGACCATAATTATACTAGGTTTTAGTTCAAGATTTGTTGCACCCAACTGCTGCCTCTGAGGCCAGAAAACACAAGTTGAAGACTTTGGTCCAAGCTCCAAGATCTTACTTCTTGGATGTTAAATGCCCAGGTTGTTTGAACATTACCACCGTGTTCTCTCACGCCCAAACTGCTGTTACCTGTGAATCCTGTTCTACTGTTCTTTGTACCCCAACCGGTGGTAAGGCTAAGCTTTCCGAAGGTACCTCTTTCAGAAGAAAGTAAACAGAGATTTTACAAAAATAAAAACTTTCATTACGATTGTATTTATCTATCTGTACTAAAGCATTCTCTCATGTTTCCTTTCGGAAGAAGATCTGAGTAATTTTTTAATTAATAAAAATACACATTCAAAATTATAAAAACAATAGGGATACAAAATGACGTCTATACCATTATATAGTATTGTTCTGGATAATTATTTGGAACCGGAACTAAGCTAAGTGAACTTTAAATATAAGTTAAAGTATTAATATACAAACTTTTATGTATCAAAAAAAGAATTACCAGAAATAATTGGGCTCACTTGACATAGATCAGTGAATAGTATTATGTCCCTTTTTTATCTAATGTCTAAGGTTATAAAGAGCTTTATTAAGCTATGATATGCCACAACCCGGTCAGCCAATATTGCCTTCTCAGTAGTATTTAAAATGGTATATAGTAAACATCTATTATCCAATATCATATATAACGACATACAATTTTTTCTTTCAGTTGGTGAACTTTCAAACTATGAATTCTTGGTGATGAGGAACTAAAATCACACCAAAATGAAGTTAACTTCAGGCTGCTAAAGATTTGATTAGCCGAGGTTCAAGTCAAGATAACGAATAGTGTATTTGTTTTGACCAATTGAATTCCAACTCTTTGAAGGTTATACAGAACACATCTATAGGATAAAAACATTTGTGCAGATTTGTAAGTCAGATCCTTTTACCAATATCAACTAATACAAATCAATTTACCGAATTTAAATCAAGAACTGAATCATTTTCCTCAGGTATTCAAGAAAGTTATCCTGTTTTTGGAAAGAAAGAGCTTGGATTACACGATTTTTGAAAGATAATACCACACAAAGAGAATAATGAAGTGGAGCGTATCACAATTTAGTGATCTTTATGCTTCCATTGATGCTAAGGCAATTAGCTCCGAGCTATTCACTCAATTATTGCCTGATCTGAAAGAACTTCTCAAATATCCACCAAAGAACACCGAATCACGGAACAAACTAGAAAAACTACAAGATTACAAGACCGATGATGGGTCAATCTTCAAATTGAACCAGGATTTCATTATATCTATAATCTCATTATCTGATGAACTTAACTTAGATGAATTAGAGGCAGTGAATTTGGTATTAGAAAATTCCCCTGGGAGTCAAATATATGCTTCTGAAGTAGTTAATAATGGTAAAATATCCTTTTTCCTCAGAAGGCAATACATACTTCAGATTGTGTCTTATATCTGCAATGCTGAAGATGTTATGAGTCCTTATTATAAAAAGTTCTTTAATGCAGAAACCAATACCACTATTTTAAGCAAAGTCCTGGAGAATTTTGATATAATATCGAAACACTTGTCAGATATCAAGCAGGAAGTGAATAGAAATCAAATCCTTGATAACATGAATCCATTGATTACTCAAGGCATTCATTTTAAAAGGGATTTTTTCTCTAAAGAATATGATTTACTTAGTCAAGTGCTATATGGATTGTCAAAAAGATCATTAATAAATACACAGATCAGTTCCGTTGATTTGATTATTGAACATTCATTAAAAATGGAAACTAATGACTTCTTCGTGGTGTATTTTCTTCCAACGTTATTAAACTTATTTTCTAATCTTAACACATTCTCTGATGTGGATATATTCGGACTGCACAAGAAGTATACTAATGAGTTGATAACAAAACAAGAGCAAGTTTATAAAAAACCAATGAAGGTATTAATTATGTTTATTTTTCTAACATTTTTGATTGGATGGTGTAAAGAAGACCCCCAAAATAGAGTAACAAAACTGAATTTCAAATCCGATATTGATGACCCCATGACTATCGCAGTTGAATTAGGTGCAATTGAACAACTACTGATTGTAATAGCTGATTTATCTCGGATAGATGAATCAACAGCTGTACAATATTATGATTTTAGGGCACTTTTGGAAAGACACCTACCAAGATTTATCCCATTACAGTTAGTGGATGAAAATGTTATACAGAAGTATAATCAAATGTCTAGCTTGACTGAACGTTCTGACAGCACAAAGATAAATGGACCTCATGAAAGCTTTAGCAGGAATACCTACCGTCCTCCTTCAATGATTTCACCTAACAACTATAGCAAAGACAACAGGTTCACAAATGGGTTAGGATCAACCTCGATTAGTATGGATAGATTAAATGAGGGAAGGGTTTTTTTCTCTACTTCAGATATGAATAAAGAAATTTCAAAGTTTCGTGAAAATATTTCCGAAATGTTTGAGATGTTTCTAGAAGAAAATATCCATCATTTCATCCAAACATTTATTTCAGATTGTGCATTTTTGCTAACAAAATTAAAAGACGCTGAAGAGGACTCGTTATTGTCCGGTGAAGATCTTGATTTGGATGATATAGCAACCAAAGCAGATTTAGAAAGATTCTTTGTGTCAGTATTTTACTTCTATTCCAAGAGACCACATTACGTAGCTGCTTTTTGGGAAGACAAGGAATCTGCAGCATATGGCTTTGTTGAATGGGCTTCAAAATGTAATGATAATTTGATGAAGTCCTGCTTCTATTTAATGCTAGGTGGGTTATCATCTGGTAAAGAGAATGCTTTGAATGTCTATTACTACCTTGGTGACTCCAATCCCACCTCTTGGAAAAGAATAGCTGATACTATCGGTAGCTATTCCTCTAAAATACTAAACTTAGGGAAAGCTATTCAAGCAAAGGAACAAGAAAATGAGGGTGAGCTCAACACAACGCTACTTGCTTTAGAAGAAGGTTTGAATGAAGAAACAATAGTATTTTTGTCCTCATTGCTCACTTTGATAAGTTCTGTAGCGGATCAAATGGAGCCTGATGAGAAGCTAATGTTCTCTCATTTATTTGTTGATGTTATCTTTGAGTTAACAAAATGTGAAACTCCTCTGGTAGGTGCCTGCTTTAATACGATCAGTACACTGGTCCCAATTTTAGAAAGCGACAGAGCTAGCATTTGGCATAAGCTGGATAGCACTTTATTCAAGGGCGTTGCCTTGTCTGACACATCGCAGTATATTTCTGCCTTCAGTTCGATTTTGACTACATACTCTGATGTCCTTGGATTTCTTGCATTGATTAGAAATTTACTACAGATTGAATCTTTTGATTGTAACAAGGAGTTTCTAGTATTTGGACATCTACAATATCCAAATCAGTTAGGTCGTCCATACAGAAAGTCGGGAATTTGGCCTTACTTAGAATTTGTAATGAATGAGGTATTTGTCAACTCAGACAAAATTACAGATTCATTTAAAAGACATGAATTACAGGAACGTGTGCTTGAAATAATTCTGACCTGTTTGAATTCATTTGACTATTCTGTGCTATTAAACTCTATTTCTGTTGGTGCTAATTTAGACAACCTTGTTCATGGTGAGAATTTTGCAAGTTATGTTCAGGATAATGCAGCACCTGCGATGTTCAATTTTTTGTTTCAGGAAAATGTATATACAAAACTATACTCCATTGCATCAGTAGGGATAGATAATTCCTCCCTTTTAAAACCACACAGTCAGCTGCAAACTCTTTTGCGTCTTTCTTTATCTGTTATAGAGAGAACATTGGATTACGAAAAGACTTATACAGAAGAATTGCTCACAATAATCAAAAAATATCAAAGCGGTGAATTTTATAGGCCAAAATACTACGGTCTTCACGGTCTTGTATCTTTCACGCAAACAGTTTTCTTCAATTTGGATTTTGTCACTTGTCTAGGGTTATATATTGGCCTGGACAATGACAGTATTCCTATAATCTCGATTAATATCTTACGAAAATTGGCACTATTATTTAATTCAACAGAGCCTGATCCAATATTGGGTAACAAGTTATTTACACTTTTTGATTCTATTGATGAGTCAGCAAGAATCAAAGATGCTTTTATTGATCAACTTGATTGTCCTATCGAAAATTCAGACAATTTAATGCTGAAAGTGGAGATTCTTGAATTTCTAAAAGACAGTTTGGATATCGAATCGTCAAAACCTAGTGTTGCACATTTATTATTGGGCTTTCAATATGATAATACGCTAACTTTTGGGCCCAATTTAAGTACTTTTATTCAGTCTGGGCATTCACTCTTTCATTCGGTAATTAGACTTTTGATTTCTGCTTTGAATGAACTGTCCAGTTATAAAATTGATTTTGCACCAATGCGATTAGCAGCATTATCGCTGCAATTATTAGAGCTCATGTGTAAAAGTCAGTTGACATCGGATCTGGTAATTGAACATATCACAAATAATGAAATAATAAAGAAGATTATGGATGTTGATCCCCAAACGTCAAATCACACTTTGTGGAATGGCCTAAATTTGGAATCTACTACTCAATCAACCAAGGCACGCTTTATTCAAGGTAGCTCGGCTGGTGCATATCTAATGTTTTTGAGATACAGGACATCAATGATTCAGTTCCTAAACGTTGTTATTCATACTATCTCATTGAAGGGTACCATTTCAAGAGTAGCACCGTATACAAGTTATCTGATATCCAACTCTATCTACTCTGCTCGAATTTTTTCTCTGTTGCGTCCCCTACATCAAAATATAATCTTAAAGGAAAAGATAGTGCCAGAAAACCTTCAGCTTCTAAAGGATTTGCCAGTTGATTTGGATAAAGTCCAGCTAAGAAAAAGTTGCACAGGAAATATCTATGATTTTGATGAAATTAGCTCAGTACTTGAATTACATAGTAAGACTTATTCTGTGTCTCAGCTAAACTCAAAGGAATTTATGGATAAGATACTATCCGAGTTTGAAGAGGTAAAGCAACTTATTACTCTATTTCTAGTAAGAAAGGAGTCATTTTCTCAACAGCTGGCTATTCTTCATAACTGGGTCCAACTTGTTCAAATCATTGTATCTGACGGAAATTTGGGTGAGAGGAAAAGATCTACATTTATTCTGGAGGTTTTTGATATGGTTACTCCAAAAATAAGTGTTTATGTTGATATCGATGTTAAGTTTGCAGAAGAACTGGTTTCTCTAATGGTATTCCTATTCCATATATATAATCAATCGAATGCAAGCTCATCTGGAAAGTATTTTCTGGACTCTAAACTGCACAATTTATTCCAAGTATGCATAAGAGGGATAAGTTCTCCATTGTCATCCTTGAAACTGAGATCAGATTTTTACGTTATTGCTAACAATTACCTACTGCGGGTTTTGAAAAACTCTGGTATGGCTTATGCGATAGTGAAGGATTTACGCCTAAATAATGAGAGGCTGGTAGAAGTGATTTGTAACGACGCTATTTATGGAGAAGGAGCAATTAAGATAACGGGGTTGTTACTCCTGGATTCGTTAGTACAACTTGGAAATCATCATCAGGAGAATTTCATAGTTATGACTTTAATGAGAAGTACAAAATTATTTCACATCATTCGTTCTTTGAAAGCGACAGATTCACTACTAAATGCAAGCACAGAAAATGTCAATGTTGAGAATTTCCTGTATGAGCTCACTGCTTTCAAGGCAACAGCATATTTCTTGATAAGAATTGCAGAAACAAGAGAAGGTGCTGTAGCACTGATTGAAAGCAAAGTTTTTGATATTTTAGCTGAGCTAAATTTCTTGAAGATTGATCCGGACCTAGGACTTGAGTTAGTATTTGACGAAACTTCTAATAATACTTCCTCTTTATTGAGAGTAAACATTACATTTGATGAACCTCTAATTTTGGGTAAAGAAGCGACTTCGGTCTCAATTTTTGAATTGATAATTCCAATTTTCCAGCTGATGCTTGCCATTGTTATCAGTTCAGGGAGATTTAATGATGCTGTAAGATTAGCAACCACTTCCTTGTTGAAGCAGTATCAAAAATTGATCATAGGTACTTTTAAGAGAGATACGCTTTATAAATCTGGAAAGAAGCAAGCCTCGGATGAATTGAAATATAAACATCACCAAGAATTTATCAAGCTTGTTGTTTTAATCTGCACCATCACCAAATATGAAGATAAATAATAATTAACTAAGTATAGAATGCGGTATAGTTACGATCATTCTCATGATAACAATAATTTGCTTGTAAAATAATATCATCTATCTGTTGATAGCCTTTTGTGAAAATTTCATGTCAACATGTTACTATGCTATACAAATTATTTAGCTACTATTCTAAGTTATAGAATTATTTTTGGATTGAATCGATCTTATTCTCCAATAGAAGAGCGTTATTATCCAAAGACTTCAAAGCATCTAGGTGAACATTCAGCAATTTGATTAGCTGGGCACTTTCGTCTTTGTTGTTCAGGTTTATGCTAGTTACGTTGTTAAATGTGTTGCTGACATCATTTACTTCATCGATTAAAGAGCTTAAGTTAGCCGAAAGAGCATTTAGATTTTCATCCAATGATTCGGCAGTCTTGTAAGCTTGTAGACGTTTTTGATCATTATTATTGCCTGGCACACCCGAATTAGATGGTAGAATATCAGAAAGAAGTGCTTCTGTTCTACTTTCATAATTATCCAGGAATGTCTCAAGTTCTTCCTGCTGCCTTTCGATATATTGTAAAGATTGATCTATTTTGTTTTGTGCTTGTTCTGCATTAACTGCTTCAGTGTATAGTTGGCTAATTTGTTTCCCTCCATCTACAAGAATACGATCCCAATCCGTAATTCTCTTGGAATATTGATCAAAGTGCTTCGAAGCGGATGAGAGTTGGTTTGTCCATTTGGTCACCAGGTCATCAAGTGTTTTATTATCAAGTGATACAGGTTTTACTTCCACTGGTTTGGACTCGAGTTTCTGTTGACTAGATGCCTCTGTTCCTAAATTTGATTTTGCAGATTCAGTCTTGTCGGTCTCAGAAGTATTTTTGCCATCCTTAGATGTGCCAAAACTGAAGTTTTTTGATTTGTCATCCGCTTTACTATCCGACTTCAAAGAAAATCCAGCTTTCGGCGTTTCAGTTTTGTTAACGTCTGTAGTAGTTGATGGTTTGTCTGTTTTAGCGCCAAAGGAGAAACCAGGTTTACTTTCAGAAATTTCAGTTTTATCAGTCTTAGTACCGAGAGAAAATGCTGGCTTTGGAGGTTCATCTTTCTTATCAGATTTAGATCCAAAGGAGAAAGCTGGTTTAGCACCTGAATCTTCCTTCTTCTCCGATTGAGAGCCAAACGTTAGTGTCGATTTTTTATCCGAGTTCTCATTCTTGCCTCCAAACGAAAGGGCGGGTTTGGACTCGTTAGTATCTGTAGTTGTCTTTCCAAAAGAAAAGGCAGGTTTATCTGTCTTCGTTTCATCTTTTTCAGCAGTTTTGGTTCCAAATGAAAAAGGCTTAGTTGAATTTTCATCCTTCTTTTCAGAGGTACCTGCACTTAGATTTAAAGAAAAGCTTGGCTTCGATGCCTCTGGCTTATTAGAAGTTTCTGGAGTATCTTTCTTGTCGTCATTTGCTGGTTTGGAACCAAAAGAGAAAGCTGGTGTAGAGCTGGATTTGTTTTCTTCTTTTGTTGTACTTCCAAAAGACAGTGATGGTTTAGATTGAGTTGTCGAGCCTGTTGCTGCAGCACCAAAGGAAAAAGCAGGTTTCTTTTCTTCTGTCTTTTCACCTGACTGGCTAGCTGATCCAAAGTTCAAAGCTGGGGTTGTCTTTTTTTCTTCATCAGCTGGTTTTGCTTGTGAAAATAGAGAAGGGCCGTTATTTGTGGTGCTACTATTGCCAAAAGAAAAGGCAGGTTTTGCGTCACTAGCAGGTTTGTCATTTGTAGTATTTGATGAAGGAGCAGTGCTACCAAATGAAAGGGTTGGTTTCGATGCAGCATCCGCAGGTTTGTTCAAGCCGCCAAACAGAGATGGCTTTGCTGCATCTGTTTTGTTAGCATCTGTGCCAATTGAAGAACCGAATGAAAAAGAGCCAGCGCCTGGAGCTGGTGTAGTAGATGCACTAGTTCCAAATGCTGGTTTTGGAGTGCTTCCTGAGGGAGGTACAGGAGTATTAGAGGTATTACCGACCGCACCTGCTGTTCCGGTAGTACTGGTTGTATTGGAAGCGCCAAAGGAGAATGCAGGTTTGCCTGAGCTGCCTGGGTTGGAGTTTGTACCTGCTGCTGTGCCTAGCGTATTATTGGATTGTGGTTGTGTTGATCCAAAGGAGAAGGCTGGCTTATTATTTTGTGCGTTGTTGTTATTATTGTTGGCACTATTGAAACCGAATGCTGGTGTTGATCCGATTGCACTCCCCGTGTTAGTAGCTGCTGGTGTTGTGTTTTGTGTATTTGAAGTAGCAGCCCCAAAAGCACTAGCACCAGTAGTATTATTTGAACTACCATTTTGTGCTGAGCCGAAGCCACCGAAACTGGGTGTAGCTTGTGTGTTTGATGCGCCAAATCCAAAGGCAGGTTTCTGTGAGACGTTGTTCGAGTTACTTCCAAATAGGCCTTGTGAAGCACTTGTGTTATTTGTCTGTCCTGGGGTTGCACCAGTATTGTTGCTTGCTGCACCAAATGGGCTACTAGACTGGCCAGCTGTTGCTCCACCAAACAATGGCTTATTCTGGTTTGCGTTCATTCCGAATGGGGACGCAGTGTTGTTAGCACCACCATTGTTTGCCGAGTTGTTCGTTGCAGCTCCACCAAATGGTGTGGATGCATTCTGATTGGCCCCAAAAGAAAAGGCCGAGCTTCCACCAGTATTGTTAGAGCCAGCGTTGGCAGCCGCTCCAAATGCAGACGATGAATTGTTGCCGAAGCTGAAAGAACCTCCACCACTGTTACCGAAGGCACTCATATTTTCTTGATTTATATCACAGTTTCTGCTTAAAATTTGTATGTCAAAAAGAAGCTATTAGTTTCTTTGTTATAACTAGTGTTTGTAATTGCTTTAATTTCAATAAAATGGATAATTGGCTGTGTAACTAGGCTATTGACTTAGTTCCCGAGACGCAATTGCTTAATTTTCGATGTCTTCAACCAAAAAAAAAAGATAGAAAGGCTATGAAAACGCTGAAAACTGCAGATAAAGGGGATTAACCAAGTATATACCGTTAGTATGGTTCGTTAAATATGGGTCTCGACGATTGTACTCACTATTAGACGCCAGAAAAAGCCTGATTGATGCCGATGATCAGTGGTACTTGATGGCATTCCGATCCTTCTTGAAATGCCAATTTTTTGCAAAAAAACAAACGGGTGATATTATCGCTTTGTACGTATGGTATGTGGCTTACTAGTATATGATGTATACTGCCTTGCACCGATCAGCATATTAACTCAGTGACTTGGCTGATTAGTGTATTTGTAAGCTAAGATAATACGAGTAGTTAGTGTATTTGAGTAACTGTAATGATTAAAATATTAATTGTCTGGGTGGGTGGTTGATACATAGTTTTACAAAGTAATAATTGGATATGAATAATTAAACAATGAAAACATGGGAACTGTATATCAGAAACATGAATATTGAGATCAGTGAAGTCTACGGCAAAATGTTCACTGTTTTAGAAAGTTTGTTAGTTATAGTTTTTGTTAGGTTTGCAGTTATATTAAGAATGTGGAGATAAATAGAGATTGTTCGAATGCAAAAAAGTTTTGGTTTGAATGATAAATTTTGAACATGAAATTGAAAATAGAACGTTTGATGGAATAACAGAGACAGGAAAATGTAGTTAAAAGTTTGTTTATTCGTGAGTTTTACTTCTGATTCTTGCGATGTTGTCAAGGACTTGGTCGTATGCTTCGTCAATGGCTTTCTCTTCCATGTACTTTGGTATAGCTTTCTTTGCTTCGGCGGATGCACCGTTGCCGGTACTTTCTAAGAATGGGTTATTGCTTTTGTTATGAGATTGGTCCTCCTGTAGTGTCTTGAGAATTTCTTCTTTCTTATGGTCGTCAACTTCTTGTTTACGGAAAATATCGTGCAGATGATAGCCCTTCTCGTGCAGTTCATCAATCACATTAACGATGGTAGCGACATCGTTCTTCAGCAAGAAGTCCTTAATTTTTTCACTCTCTAAAGATTCTGCTGCACGAGTTAATTCATCGGAATTGATGGATACTCCGGAGTCTAATGTATATAACTTCTCAGCTGGTTTATTGGCTTTGTTCTTTTGTAGGTGCTCGAGTTCTTTGTTCAGAATGTCATATTTGGTACCAATTGGATCGGTACTTGGACCACGGACGATTGTCTTATAAGAGTTTTCACTTTCTCTAAACTCAACTGTATCGTCAGCAGCTTTGTTGGACTCTTCCACTGTGGCAGTACCAAATGGTAGCAAGGCGGAATGGCCGGTGTTTCCAAATGCAGAAGAAGATAATATGGTTCTATCCCTCTGAGTCCTTTCTAAAGATTGATCAGAATCATTATTTGATAGTTTACTCATAGAATCATTAGCAAATGGATCTGAAAACATAGGGTTGTTTAGTAACTTGTTCATTGCCTTATTTGAGGTCAGGTTTGTTTTCTCGTCATGTATAGACGTTGGTGCTGCTACCGTGTGTTTCTGTAATTTATTATGGCGCTGTTTCAGAAGGTGAATACCCTGCTCAAAACTTGAGTCGATGAGGCATAGGTTTATCAAGGTCTCCTTACCCTCACAACTTAGCTCATTCTTAACTCTCAGATCAAATAAATCACTGACAACTTTTTCAATTTTAGTTCTAACCTTAGTAATCTTTTCAATAAACTCTACAACTAACTTGTCATACTCTAAAGAGTCTTCAAACTTGTCAGTAAGTAACGAAGATAACTCTTCTTGTAGGGTGGATATTTGTTTCTCATTAGCTGCCATTTCCTCCTGAGGAACGGATGGTAAGGAAAGTCCTGCTTTCCTTTTTGTTTTCTGAACATTATCAAGCTCATTTTGGATATTTCTCATGGTGTATAAGGACATTCTCTCTTTTATACTCTCAGGGACAGTATTATACTCAAGGTCTAATGTCATCAATGTATTACTCTTATTCACAGCTTCTGTTAATGCTTTTGCCGAGGCCAAATTCAACTTACTCCCCAACAAAGACAAATGATGCAATTTTGAACATAGTGGTAGACTCTCTGCGAGGACAACAATCGAAGCACAATCTAGATCATTATAATCTAGATGTAACCTAATTAAGTTCACATACACTGGTAATGACGTCGTTAGGGTTTTGATACAATGAGGGAATATTTTTGGATTGTTGGACAAATCCAAAAATTTCAAGTTTTCTGAGTAGCATAATACACTTAATAATCTCAAAACCTCGTTATTTTCAGGAGTGGTATCGGCTTCGACTGATAAATTTGTTGAGTTTAATGAAATGTACTTCATTTCATTTTTCTCACCAACATTTTGAACTTTGTTAGCAACGGCATCAGTGAACACTGATGTTTTACCTTTTAGGTCGTTAAATCCCAAGTCTAGACCGCGGATATTGGATGTAACTATCCATTCAGCCAGAACTTTACACTGCTCCATTGTCAATTTGTTGTAAGCTAACCCTAGTCTATCTGTATTTGTACATGCCAGTTCAATAAAGTTTTTGAATTGCGTATAACTCATACATGCACCTGCTAATACAAATTCCTCAATACCACCCTCTTTAGTAGCCACCGCTGCAGTTAGTAGGTCCCAGTTCATGTCTGATCTGTTATGTGTGTTACATTCCATTCTTTTCAAAAGATTTGGATTATTAGCATTCTTGGCCAACGAGGATTTGGATGGTTTTTGTACGTTGGTTTTAATTGTTGGTACCATGGTTAAATCCAATGCGACAAAGTTTTTCTTCTGTTTGGTTATGAAATAAGATAATATTTTCCAACCATCTTCATTTAATGGAGTGTTCCTCATGGTCAACTTCTCCAGATGTGGGTTTGATACCAATGAGCTCAGAATAATCCTTAGCATTTCTTCTGTCAGACTAACACCATCGAGAGAAACACACAGCACAGGAGATATGCTTAGGAAATCGCTAAAAGACCATATTTCCAGTAGAGAAGGTCTAGGGTTCCGTAGTTGTAATAAAGGTATTGGATCAGTCGAGCCCTTCTTGATCTGTTTCAAAGTTGCAGGTATTGGTAAAATTTCTCTTAAATGGCAGCACCTTGTGTAAACCACATCATGGGGGATCTTGAGGTTCGGAGGAGGGTATATTTCTTCTTCATCAGTACCTGAATCTGACTCAGATCCCTTTGGAGACTGGTCTGTACCATTTTTATTTTCCTCATCTGATAGAATCGAAAGTAAAGAGGAGCTAGAGCTCGTTCTAATTGGGTTCTCACGAGGTCTTCTGCTTACCATTGGTTTATCGATGGTTAAGTGGGATGCAAGTTTGCTAACTTCTATATCTTCTTCTTTCTTGTTATTTCCTCTAGCCTCTGCTGCTGCTTCCTCTGCTGCTATGGCTATATTTCTCTTCTGTGAGTCCTCGTCGTCTGATGACTGCTGTTCTATTGGGTTCAGCACTTTCAACTGTCCTGAGCCGCCGACTACTATACCGGCGGAAGATGTTTCCATTATCTTTTTTCTCTCCTCTGGTGTGAGTCTGTGAATAATAACTGATCCGTTGGGTTTCACTTCTACTTCACCTTTTCTGGGGTTCTTGCTGCATATCTGTTGTGGTGGGTCATTAAAATAGGTTGTTGTCGCAAACGCTACGTGTTTCAGCTGCTTACAGTTCTCTAGTCCCGGCACTGTGCCGTACCTGTCTTGTGTGGTCCTGTGGGATGAGTCTGATATGTTGCTCACGGTACGGTCGATGCTGTCGAAAGTCCCGTTTGGATTCAAGCTGGGCTGACTGCCATACGAGGTCACTTTCTTCAAGAATGCGCCGAACTTGTGCGTCGCCGAGGATGGCGTCTCTGGAGCGGGCCCGTCGACAGACGACAGGGATACTGTGGATTCCACATTCAGCTTGCGCTCGTCGCAGTTGCCTCTTTTCAGTATTGGTGGGAAAGCAGACTTCGAAGGGTGCGGTGGGATGGGTCTCCCGCGCGAGTCCAGCCTCCTGGGCGCGCTCTGAGCCGGCGTCATAAAACTCTGTGGTCTGCCGATCGAAGCGTGCCGCTGCCTCTCGTCAATACCTCTCTGTCTTTCGCTCAGCGTCTCCTTGCAGTGCGCTATGAAGTCGTCCAGCCGCTTGCTGTTCTCCGCCGACACCGCATACGAGGACTCGTTGCTGATGGTGCGCGGCTGGCTCAGCCGCCTGGTCGGAGAGGACCCGTTCGACTGCACAGACTGCATGGGGCTCAGCTCGGGGCTCTGCGGCGCAGACTCCACGGGCTTCGGCACTTCGTGCCGATGGTGCGAGAACAACGACTTGAAGAACCCGATCTTCCCCTTAGACACGCTGCCCCTCCTGCCGCCCTCCACGCTGGCATTACTGGCATTGGCTGCACTTTCACTAAACGTAGGCGCCGGCGCAGACGACGCAGACTTCGTCCTTCGCAGCGGCACTCCTTCCTCCTTCACCTCCCGCATAGGCAGCTTGCACACCTCGCTCGCCTCGTCCCCTTCACTGTAAACCACACCCTTCCGGTGCGAACTGTTCCTGATAAGCCACGCAACGTCCACATCAGTGGCACTCTTCCTCCTGTCCATGGTTTTGCGTACCTGCATCCGGCTCCAAGCAGAGTGAAGTCCTCCCATTGATCGTTTCGGGCCTTTTTATACTTTTTAGGGAGGACTCCCGGGGGGTGGCCCCTGCCAAAAAAAAAGAAGATTGAAATTTGAGCTTTTTAAATTGGTTCAATGGGTAAGAGTTACTGGTATAAGCAGAGGAGCAGGATGGACTGGTTCTCGCAGCGGGCGGTAGATCTTGGGTATGACCACGGTGGTGTTGTTGCGCGTGGGGTGTGGCTCGGTGAGTTTTACGAGGGCATGAGTCGCAGCGATGAGCGCTGTGCTGGGCGCGGGTCTCGGAGTTGGCTGTGGACGCATCTGGCCGGGGAGGAGCTGCCTGAGCTCGAGATGCCTGGCGCGGAGTACCGTCATGAGGAGTCTCGGAGTGTGTCTGGCTCTGGCTCTGGCTCTGGCTCTGGCGGGCGTGCGGGCCACACACATGCTACTTATGGTGGTCATGGCGGCCTTGGGAAGGGTAATGTGCGGGTACTGACGCCTGTGCGTGCCACTGCGCACCCGTTAGCCGGTGCTGAGAAAGGTGATTTGAGTGAGCGATTGAATACCTCCATGGAGATTGTGGACCTGGACTTGAAACGGCTGCTGATACACCCGATGTTCAGCGAGCCGCAGCACGTGAAGAACATGAAGCTGCTGCTGTACAACTACTTGCTCGACAGCATCGAGTACAAGCAAGGGTTCCACGAGATTATGGGTATGATATACATGCAGATCTACGACAACGACGAGAACAGCGAGACGAAGCTGCGAACGGTGCTGAAGTTGTTCACCACGCTGATGGCGCCGCTGAACAAAGTGTTCTACGAGGAAGACAACCTGCTGAACTGGGAGCAGAAGATATTCCGGCCGATGCTGATGGGACTTTCGCCAAAGGTGTTCAGTATCATATACTCTGGGCACGGTAAACACCACAACAACAACCTCATATGGATAATAAGGTGGACCAGGCTGCTGTTTATCCGTGAGATAGCGTCCAAAGTTGATATACTGGAGCTCTGGGACCACTTGCTGACGGTTCCCGCGGCGCAATTCCCGCTGTTCATGGCTGCGTTCATTTCGGTGATGTTGCTGTCCATCTACGACCAGGTAGTAGAGTTCTCCCGGGACAAGACGCTAGACCACGACGATCTCATTGAGATCCTGCTGCTGCGGTACAAAGAGATGAACCCCCATATCGATGTGGTGAAGTACTGCCAAGTAGCCATGGAGGCCACGGAGCAGTTCAATGCCGGCGAGCTAGACAAGCTGTTTGGCACCGCTACGAAGTTTCTAGAGTGGAAGTACCGCGACAGCCCGCAGATCCTAGCGATGCACCAGCAGTCGCGGGACATGAAGCTCGGCAGGCCTGACATTCCGCCGGACCCCAACAGGCTGCGAATGGAGGAGAAGCTCAAGCAGAGGGTGCTGCAGAGACTGCACAGATGAGGCGGGTGCACAGTATTTTTTTTGTTGTTGCCTGAATCTTTAGGTTTTCAGTGCTATTTTTTAGTACTAATATTTTAATTTTGTGGTACGATTATGACAATTTGTATGTAATGAAGAGCATAGACATTGGTAGCTTTGCGCAGAGGCTATTTGTTATTTCCAGCGCACCTGAGCATGATAGATGTTGTTACGACGGGGATAGATCAATAAATAAGGTGTTATTAAATAAATAAAATAATAAATAAGGTTATATATATATTTTGTTTTTGACAACGTTGCAGAAGAGACAAAAAGTTTAAGAGAGGAGCTTTTGAAAAGGGATAAAGTTACGAAAAGTGGTATATTGCAAAAGACAACGATATATTCAAGACAACGATATCACTCCAGCTTATAAAGCCTCCTAAAAACCATTTCAGTTCCAAACTTTCTCTAGTAAGATCCGACCAGGGGCTAAAATATTAAGATACAAAGTGTGGTCGGGGGTTAGCAAATGAAATGCCATAATAATTTTTTTTTTTTAATTTCTTCAAATCAACATTCGAGGAGACATTATCATAAAAGACTTTATGCAGGGATAAATTTTGTTTTAAAATTCTTAGGAGCAAGAAAACACTGAGCAAGGTGTAAAAAGGGGGTGGGGGGAAACGCTCAGTATGATCTCACGGCTGGTGGCACTGGTGGGCACTCGGCTTCGTCCAAGGTTGTGGCGATGACCTTTCTGTACTTGATGGAGACTGGGTCGCCGGTGTGCTGTTGCCAGGACAAGGTGTGCTTTCTCCAGTTCTCGTCGTCTCTGGATGGGTAGTCCTCTCTTGCGTGGGCACCACGGGACTCCTTTCTCTCTGCGGCGGAGACGGCTGTCTGTGTGGCGCAGGTCAACAGGTTGCGCAGCTCCATGGTCTCGACGAGGTCGCTGTTCCAGATCATGGACTTGTCGGTGACGTGTACGTCCTTGAAGGTCTTGTCGACGGCGGTGATGTTCTTGACACCTTCGTCCAGGGTCTCCTGCATTCTGAACACGGAGACGTCCTTCTGCATGGTCTTCTGCATGTTCAGTCTGATCTGTGCGGTGGTCTTGTCGCCGCTGGCGTTTCTGATGGCGTCCAGCGAAGCGAGGGACTCCTTGCCCAGGTCGGCAGGCAGAGGCTTGTGTGGTGTGCCCGGCTGCAAGGTGTCCGCGACGGTGTTGGCGACGGCACGGCCGAAGACGACCAGGTCCAGCAGGGAGTTGGCGCCCAGTCTGTTGGCGCCGTGGACGGAGACACAGGCGGCTTCACCGCAGGCCATCAGGCCTGGGATCACCTTGTCCTCGCCGTTCTCGTCGATGGTGAGACACTCACCGGTCCACTTGGTGGGGATACCACCCATGTTGTAGTGGACTGTGGGCAGCACTGGGATGGGCTGCTTGGTGACGTCGACACCTGCGAAGATGGCGGCGGTCTCGGAGATACCTGGCAGTCTTTCCTTCAGCACCGCGGGTGGCAGGTGGCTCAGCTGCAAAAAGATGTGGTCCTTGTGCTTGCCGACACCTCTGCCCTCCCTGATCTCCATGGTCATGGCACGGGACACGACGTCTCTGGAGGCCAGGTCCTTGGCGGTTGGCGCGTAACGCTCCATGAACCGCTCACCCTCGCTGTTCAGCAGGAAGCCACCTTCACCACGGGCACCCTCTGTGATCAGGCAGCCGGAGCCGTAGATACCGGAGGGGTGGAACTGCACGAACTCGAGGTCCTGCAAGGGGAAGCCCGCACGGGAGACCATGGCGTTACCGTCACCGGTGCAGGTGTGCGCGGAGGTACAGGAGAAGTACGCTCTCCCGTAGCCACCGGTGGCTAGCACGGTCTTGTGCGCGCGGAACCTGTGGATGGTACCGTCCTCCTGGTTGTACGCGATGATACCGACGACCTCGCCGTTGTGGGTCAGCAGGTCCATGGCGAAGAACTCGATGAAGAAGTGGCAGTCGTGGTTCAGCGCCTGGCCATACAGCGTGTGCAGCATCGCGTGGCCCGTTCTGTCCGCGACGGCACAGGTACGGTACGCCTGCCCGCCCTTGCCGAACTCCTTCGACTGGCCACCGAAGGCCCTCTGGTAGATCCGGCCTTCCTCGGTACGCGAGAAAGGCATACCGTAGTGCTCCAGCTCGATGATGGACTTGGGCGCCTCACGCGTCATGTAGTGGATCGCGTCCTGGTCCCCGAGCCAGTCTGAGCCCTTCACGGTGTCGTACATGTGCCACTTCCAGTTGTCCTTGTGCATGTTCCCCAGCGCAGCGTTGATACCACCCTGTGCGGCCACAGTGTGCGATCTCGTAGGGAACAGCTTAGAGATACACGCAGTCTTGAACCCGGCCTCCGCCAGCCCGAACGCGGCCCGCAGCCCCGCACCACCGGCACCGACGACCAGACAGTCGTACTCGTGGTCTATAACGTTGTACTTGCCCGCGCCTAGCCCCGCAGGCGCTGCGTGTCTCCTCACGCAGCTGGTAGATAGTTGTCTCAGTCTCAATCCCGTCCTCAACATTTTCTTATGGGTGGAGGTGTTTGGGTTTTTACTTATTTCCTGTTCTCCAGATCTGTGGATTGTCTCTCCTCCCAGTCCCACCACATAGCGAAGCATGTCTCTTATATATGTTTCACTTCCACACAGCACCCGAGCCCGAGCCCGAGCCCGAGAGCCCGCTGGAAGGGAAGGGTAGGGGACTAGCGCAGCGTAGAGGGGGCAGCACTGCGCTGCTTCACATTTGGTCGTTTCTGATTGGTTCTCGGAGAAGTCCGTCTCCATTGATCCGTTCGTGCGAGAGTCTCCCCCCACTTACTCTGACACCTTCTACACCGCTTCTACAGCGTTGACAGTGTCATCACAGTGTGGTGTGTTACTGGTGCTACCCACTTCACACTGTCATACCCTTACTTGTAGCATACACAGCCTATACGTGTTGTAGGTGTTACATCTATAATATAGTATTATATACAATTGCATCCATTGTATACTATTGTATAGTATTATATATTATTGTATGCTATTGTATACTATTGTATACTACTCCATTGCATTATATAGTATTGTATATGCTGTGCGCTCGGTGCGCGGACTAGTCGTGTGATATTATATGTGAGTCTATATTGTGTCGTATCTTATCCCCCACCAGTTGTATCCGCCGGTGTTCCCCTAGCTTGCCCGGTTCAGTGCCTCAGAGGGGGGAAACTCAATCCCACCAGGACACCAGGCCCATGCCGTCCGTCTGGCAGCTGCCCAGAAGCGCGTACGCTGGCGGTTTCTCCAGCTTCGATTCTTGCTGCTGGTGCTGCTGATGCTCTTGCTGCTCTTGGAGCTGGAGCTCGCGCTCGCGCTCCAGCTCCAGCTCCTTCGGCGAGGGCGGCTTCACGTCCACAAACACTTCCTCCTCCACACGGAACCGGATCATCTCGTTCACGTCCAGGTACAGCTTCGTCTCCTCGTCCATGGGCCACACCCACGCGCCGTCCTCAGGCGAGTAATAGCTCCCTTCAAACAGCATCTTCTTCGGAATGAATATATCGTCAAACAGTCCCATCATAGACACCTGTATCCCTTCCCCGTCGCACCGCTTGATCCACCCGGTGAGTATCTCCCCGGCAAACGGCTTGAACACCACACACCGGAACGTCACATTGATGTACGACGCACCGTCCCCGGGCCGCAGCTGGCCCTCGTCAACCTCCAGCAGATCATACACGCTCACGCTCAGCCCGACATGCGGCACCACTTTGTTGCTGTACTTCACATTCAGCTCATGCGTGATCGCACTTACCGCGTCCCGGTGGAACTGGTCCGGCGGGATCCGCACCAGGTCCTTCAGCTTGGTAAGTATAAACATTGTGCTCCTCTCTCTCTCTCTTATTCTCTCTCTCTGTCCTGTACTCTGACTTGCCCTCCTGCAACCTCTCAGCCTTAAGTATCCCAGACTATCTGCTCTTCAGCAGCACTCTTTATAGCTCATCGCGAATTTGAAAAATTTTTTTGCAGAAAAGTATTTCAAAGGATAAGCTCATCGCATCGCATCGCATCGCATCGCATCGCACTTAGTACAAGAGGTGCAGCCTAACACTGAACCTAAATATACCTACCCCTTCCCATGTCGAAGAAGTTTACGAGCAAGAACTCGCAGAAGTTTGCCGTTGTGCACAGGCCCCACGACGACCCGAACTACTATGACGCCGATGCCACCGAGCATGTGCTGGTGCCAGTGGACCCCAAGGGCAAGCAGGCCGTGAAGCAGCGGCCCCAAAGGCAGCGCAAGCCGGTGAATGAGCACGTAGGCGAGGCGCGCATCTACGGTATTGGCTTCGACGACTCGAAGTACGACTACACACAGCACTTGAAGCCCATCGGACAGGACCCCAACGCCGTGTTCATCGCCAAGACTCCAGCTCAGGCCCCAGCAAAGAAGAAGAACATAGAGGACTTGTTCGTCGAGGACACGTACAAGGGCGAAGCTCCCACCAGACCAGACTCTGTGTTCAAGTTCGGTATGGCAAAGCCTGAGTACTTGAAACACCAGCAGGATGTGCCCGATGACATCAGAGGCTTCAAGCCTGACATGAACCCAGCGCTTAGAGAAGTGCTGGAAGCACTAGAGGACGAGGCTTATGTGGTGAACGAGGACATTGTTGTAGAGGATCCCAAGAAGAAGAAAGGAAAAAAGAAAGTAGAAGTAGCCGATGACCTCGAGGAAGAGGACGATGATATCTTCGCCGAGCTGCTACAAGGTGGTGAAGTTGGCAGCGACGGGGAGTTCCAGGACGAGTTCGACGAGTGGGATATGGATAACTTGGATGAATACGAGGAGACTCACTACCAGGACGAGATGAAGCAGTTCGACAACATAGACAACTTGGAAGATTTGCAAGGCATCGATTATCAGGCTGATGTGATGAGATTTCAGAAGCAGCAGAAGAAGAAGTTCGAGGAGTTCGAGTCTGATAACGAGTTTGACTCTGATGCTGAGGGTGACGACTTGTCTCGCGGCGGTAACGTTTCTGAGGATGAAGAAGAAGAGGAAGACGGCGATGTATTGGGTGATCTGCCGACGATAAACAAGAAGACCACTGGTAAAAAGAAGCGCAAGGAGCGTAAGAAGAAAGGTGCAATGTCTGATATTTCCGGGTTCTCAATGTCCTCAAGTGCTATTGCTAGAACTGAGACCATGACCATCCTAGATGACAAATACGACAACATCATCGCCAGCTATGAGAACTACGAAGAAGAACAATTAGACGACGAGTACGAAAATGCAAAGCCATTTAACATGGAGGAAGAGAGAGCTGACTTTGAGTCCATGCTTGATGACTTCCTAGACAATTACGAGCTGGATGCCGGTGGAAGAAAGATTGTCAAGAAGGATGCCGAGAGAGACAGAATCAAGCAGGCGGCAGACGAGGTCAGTAAAGGTAAACTGAGCTTGAGGAGAAACCGTGAGAGACAGAAGAAGGAAGTAGAAAAGGTGACCAGCTCACTAAACTCTCTACGTTTCTGATCTTCTAGGAACAAACTGTATATTAATTTTCATTATTTTTGCATTTTATTTTCGTTCTGTTTTCATTTCTTATCAACAAATATATATAGACACTTAACTACTGCACACTAAAATCAAACTATATAGATACCATGCACTATACACCTTCAGATCATACAGTTCGATTTGGGTATTTACCATATATTTTGCCTGTTTGTTCCACTATTAAATGGCCAGGGTATAAATCACTTTGGTAATCCGTAGCGCGTTACGGGACAAGCGATGAGCTTCAAACTTATAAAGAGCCATTTACTACACTTGAAGGCAATTGCCAGATCTAAGAAAAGTAACGGAGTAGAGGTAGCAACCCAGATGTCTGAAGGTACACCGAATAATGATGTTGGCGATGATCTGGCTGGCGAGGTGCGCATTGGATTGAGTGAGAGCGAGAAAGAGAAGCATCTGTTGCAGTACTTGCTCAATTGCCGAGGTGTATGTCATGAGAATGTGCTTTTGAAGGTAATGTTACTTATGGAGAACGAGCAAGGGGATTTGGAACAAGGGCTCAGCGTGTTCGAGTGGCAGGCAAAGTTGCAAGAGCGTGTGGCTCGGATCAATCTGAAGTTACAACCACTTAAATACCAGGTAAAGAAGGCTATATATGGATCTGGGAGAGCCATTGTGAGTGAGAAAGTCAGAAGTCAGCTTGAACTTAACAGTGCGAACTCGTTTGGTAAAGTCAACTTTCCAAACAGCAGTCAGTATTATGTATACATCGACACTTCCCCATTTGGTGAGATGAAGCATGCCACTACTTTCACAGACAAAGAACTTGAGTATATTAAGGCCTTCATAAAAGTGTTAGCCGATAGAGGTAGTGTAATACACGAAGTCGATGATGTTAGTGGGGTAGACAGCAAAATCGTTGAACAAATAGACGAAATCAGACAGAAAGCATATGGTAACAAGCGCCGGCATGATTCAGATGTTGAGTCAGGTCCAGAGAACGCTGAAAACAATGAGCCTGTTCAAAGCTCTTCAGTTTCTCGTTGGACGCACTATGCTAGTTATACAGCTGATATAGCTGCACTTACGGATACTACTGACTTGCAACCGCTAGAGACGCAGGAGTTGCTGGACAAACTATGTAGACTAAGATGGCTATACAAGACAGGTAAAGGAAAATATGGGCTGGATCTGCGTCTTTTAGTGGAAATGAATGACTATCTTAGCGATAACTACAGCATGAGTAGTTGTGAACGCTGCAAAGATATAGTGGCACAGGGTGTGCAGTGTAGTACGAGGGATTGCAATAGCGTGTGGCATGTAGATTGTTATGAGCATGATATTCTACATGAGAACCGTATTTGCAGGAGCTGTGGGGAATCGATTCTGGATCGTGGTGTATACGTCACCTAGTGATGGTGCAGTAGAGATAATTTGCTATACAAGGTCGAAAAAATGAATGAGTTACTTATAACATATTTGCATTATTGTTGTTACCTATTTACAGAACAATAGAACGTTAAATTATCTGCATTTACTTCCTCACGATACCTTTCTTCTCCAGGAAGTCCTTTGCCTCGTTGATTTTGGTGGCCAGGTATGGTGATCCACCTTTGTCCGGGTGGTTCGCCAACATGATCTTCCTGTGCACTTCTTTCAACTTCTTCGTGGTCAGGTTGTTCTCCTTCAAGTTCAATATCTGTAGAGCCTCCTTGGCGTTCATCTTCGGATCAAACCCACCTTTCAAGAACTGCGTGGCAGCTTTCCCGCCGTTCAGCCTCGTCTGCACACCTTTATACACACCAGCACCCACGTAGAGCGCCAAAAACCCACCAACACCAGCTAGCACCGGGTGCTCACCCATATATTGCAACGCATTGTCGAAATACAGGTCCATGCCTTGCTTCGAGCCCGGAGCCTGCGTGGCACCCGCGGGGAAACCTGCAGCCGCGTCACCAGTCACACTACTACCATCGCTAATACCTGTACCGTCCATGCTCTCGTCTTATACTGCTGCTCTCCCTGCCATCAGGACCCCATAACTTGATTCAACGCCAATTTCGACTCTTTTATTCTTCTCAGAATGGAAGTACATGTGACGGATCCTCCGTAGGAAAAGTTTTCTTCAAAACTGAAAAATTTTGCGATGAGATGAGCTCATCGCATATAACAGAAGCCTTTATAACACTAGTATTTGAGTGATGGGTTTTGTAGTCTGTTGTGTGTCTTCTATATTGATCGTTTGAGAGGGGTAATAAGCAAGTATGAGAATATATCAGTGTCATTTCTGTTCCTCGCCGGTGTACCCTGGCCATGGTATTATGTTTGTGCGTAACGACGCCAAGGAGTTTCGTTTCTGCAGGTCGAAGTGTCACAAGAACTTCAAGCAACGGAGGAACCCACGTAAGTTGAAGTGGACCAAGGCGTTCCGTAAGGCTGCTGGTAAGGAGCTTGCTGTGGACTCTACGTTGACATTTGCGCAGCGCAGGAATGTGCCAGTCAGGTATAACCGTGAGCTTGTGGCGACGACGTTGAAGGCCATGTCGCGTATCGAGGAGATCAGACAGAAGCGTGAGCGTGCGTTCTACAAGAACAGAATGAAGGGTAACAGCGAGCGGGACTTCCTAAGGGACAAGAAGCTGGTCGAGACCAACCCAGAGTTATTGAGGTTGAGAGAGGTGGAGATCGCCAACAGGCTGGCAAAGGAACAAGCCGCTGCAGAGGAAGTGTCAGAAGAGGAATCCGAGGAAGAGGAAGACATGGAGGTCGACAGCGAGGAAGAAGAAGAAGAGAAACTCCAGAAACAAAAGATCTTGTTGAAGAACAAGAAGAGAAACGCAAAGAAGCTTGCATTCTAAGATGCTTGCATTGCCAGCATAGGAATATAAACATTCAAACCCCATTCTGTACATTAATAAGACTCATCGAAGAAAAAGAACTTTTATCTCATAAGATATTACCGGAAAGCACATTTATATATCAAGGTGTAGCTATACATCAATTATTATATACTATCAAAAAGTCATGTTATAACAAATTTTGTTACTGTCTATATCAACCGAGCAATTCACGGTCTTCAGAAGCCCAGAACTGTCTCAGTGCTTCAACTTCACCCACTGATACAAGTCTCAAGTCCAGCAACTCATATGCTACTTCCCCAGTTTCGTTCATGAAACTCAGAATCATAGCGTCTACAGCACTCCCTTGGCATAGCTCTCCAATAGCGGTGGCTAATCTGGAATAGCACGCATCTCCAACAGAAACTCGCAACTTACCGTCCTCACTCGAGAGCTCAGGCGCATTTCTGAGCACTATGATACTGATATACCCAGCAGAACCCGAGACCAGCTCTTCCACTCGCCCTATTACCCTGTATCTCTTGTTGATCTTATTGTTGATCTGCCCAATGTCGACCACCAGTTTGCTCATCTCATCGCGGGCACCGTCCCTCCAGTCGAACGTAAAAAAGGAAAAGATAGGTTACAGATTTGGCCACCAGGGTATAATATAGTGTCGATAAGTACAGTTTTCGAAGTTCACAGCACTGATCTATGAAGATAAGTAGTGGCCTTTTGATGTGTTTTAATGGATTATAAAAATCCAAAAAAAAAATAAACGACAACTGCAGGATTCGAACCTGCGCGGGCAGAGCCCAAAAGATTTCTAATCTTTCGCCTTAACCACTCGGCCAAGTTGCCATTGTAATTAGATGGAAGTGAAAGTTTCCAGTAGTAGTGTATAGGTAACTATATTCCTTCAATCAAAAATTTCGCTTATAAAGACTGCATTACAGGCCGCAGTAATAACAACTACCACATATAACTCCTTATGATATATTTGCGCCAACTGCTGTGTTTATTTCGGTGCAGGAACCGACAGAGCCTTAAAGTTCACAATTTCAACTATCATCTGCTATTTGTGCTACAGGAGATCGCTCCTTCGAGCCTAAAGGAATTGGTGTAGTATAAAAGAACCGCTACTACATATCTTGCTTATGCTTCTTTTGGGTGAACAGTTGTGGCTACATAGTGCTGTTATCGAGGTTGTATAGCTGACTATTCATATACCACCTCATAAATTCGATGTCATTTATGACGTCATTAAAGGGAGCCCATCTCAGAAGTATAAGAAGTTCAGGAACTACAAAGTCAAGTAGTTTCTGGGAGTAAAAACTGGCCTATTGAGCAAAACCCAGAGCATAAGAACGTTGGATTGGTAGCTCAGGAGTTAGTTACCACTTAATTCAGCGTATTTGGTTTGGAATAGAGGTTTTTTTCTTGAAGATAAGAGGTCATGGATAGTGCGAGTGCAGATGCGAGCGTGACTGGCAGCGGCAATGCCAAGGGTAGTTCTGCAGAGCGTGTCAATGGTGGAGGAAAGTTTTATAAGTTAGAGATACTTGTGTCTGACCCGCAGAAGCGGGCTGGGGAGGCCGGGTTGGGGCCATATGTGAGTTATCAGATCTCAACGAGGACAGATAACCCCTCATACCATGGAAATCAGAAGGCTAGCTTTGACGATATTATAGTAGTTCATCGGAGGTATAACGACGTTGTGTTGTTACATGACATTTTGCAGAACGACCATCCGACATGCATAATACCTCCCTTGCCGGACAAGAAGGTGCTGCAGTACATTGCTGGTGACAGGTTCGGACGTCGTTTCACCCAGCGGAGGTGTCATAGTTTACAGAACTTCTTGAGGCGTGTGTCCCAGCATCCTATCCTATCGACCAGCAAGGTTTTGGAAATATTCTTGGTGGGTAATGAGTGGGATACGTACCGCAAGAACATCGCAGGTACCCTGCAGAACGCGCAAAAGGAGGATGTTACGGATGCTGTAATGAATGCCTTTAAAAAAGTGCACAATCAGAATGAGGAGTTTACCGAGATCAGAGACAGGAGTGATAAATTGGATAATAGTGTGAATAGAATAAACAAGGTGTTTCATAGAGTTGTGAAGAAAAACGAAGCAATCATAGAGGATTACTCGAAGCTTGGATTGACTCTGCAAGAACTACAGGAATTGGTGTCGTCCGATAACGATAAGCTTGCTGACAGCTTGAAAGTTTTTATCGAGGGAGTTACTCAGTTTTCTTACGGTTTGCAGGATCTGAATATGTTTATTGACTACGAGTACCTAATCGACTTGAAAGATTTGAGCCATTACATTGGGAGTATGAAGCAAACTATGAGATTAAAGGATCAGAAACAGATAGATTACGAAGAGCTAAGTGACTATCTCACGAAATCGATAAAGGAGAAAAATAACCTGATATCCGGGTATGGTGGCGGTAACTTTTTGACAAGCAAATTGGAAGAACTCGCAGGTTATAATCAGGAGGCCAGCCGAAGAGATAAGATTAACAAGTTGGAATCTACTATCTCATCGTTGACCACAGAACTAGAAACTGCTAAGAAAGTTGCGGACACATTTGAGCAAGAAACTCTTAAAGAAGTTAAAAAGTTCGAAGAGATCAAAAATGATGAGCTGAAGATATCTTTGAATAATCTTGCAGATGAAAATATAAAATTTTATGAGAGGATGTTAGAGACCTGGGAGAAGGTTGATCAGAGTCTAAGGTAGCGCTTTGCTATGCAATGAAATTACAGTATATGTGCATGATAATCTATTTAATAGTTTATAGTTACAATCGTTATGACTACACGTCAAAAGTATAAAAAGTAAGGAAACATCTCCATACAGGAATTTAGTTCAGGTAGAATGTTTGTGTTTCTTATTTTGCAGGAAAAGTTCGAAATTTTGGGACTCTTGCTGAAGTTCATTGATAATACTGTCGTGACTATTATCAATCATATCCCAGTTAATCGTTTCGCCTGCCAGGTCTTCATTATTATCATATTTAGATATTAGTGGCTCTCCAAATATAGTGGTGAAGTCATCTCTCGTTAGGTAGTTGCACCATTGCATAGGTGGGAATGTGTTCTTGTCGAGGTTCCTCTCCGCTTTAGTACGCGGTTTGGGGGCACGATCATTTTCCCTAACGTAGAAGTATCTCAGTAACATGATGGCTTCACGACGCCGTATACCTGGTACCAATATTGTTCTATCGTACTCGGTTGAGCCAGCAACCGTTGTGCTCTTGTCACTGTGTATTGATAGAACTGTCCCGTTACCCCCAAACCTATCATTCCCACAACCGAATACAATTTTATGAATCCCCATCTGTTTCAACGCAGAAGCACACATAATGCAAGGCTCGACTGTAACGTAGCACACAATCTCTTTGAACAACTGCTTCAATTGCACCGAGGCATACCCTTGAGCCTGTACAGCGTCTCTGAGCATCCGCATGGCCACAAACTCAGCATGTGCAGTACCACTTAGCGAGTCATTAGTGTCATTCAGACCATAGGCAACCACACTATCGCTCTTCTCATGCACAAAAACACATGCCACAGGCGTCTCCCCATGGTCAAGAGCATACCTCGCCAGCTTCAACGCACTATCGATGTGCTTCAAGTACTTGTCCATCCTCAATTTTAACTCAATTTTACCCCCCACAAAAGGTGCAGGTATATCAATGGGTGATTCCCTGTGTCATTAACATAGCAAATCAAAGGAAATAATGGGATTGATAACCTCGAGTGGCCAATATACATTCCAATGAGTTATGCGATGAGCTATGCGATGAGCCAAATTTGGACTTTGGCAGTGGAAAGACCTGTGCTCTGCGACGTTTTCTGTGTCGTATGCTGTGTGTGAAAAATTTCAGCTTCAAGAAGATACGATGAGCTTAGCTCATCGCAAAAAAATTTTCAGGCATTTAGTGGTATAATAGTGCTATCTATTTGATCAAGTATTGTGACTATAAGATTTCTCTGAGTTTAGTTATAGTGGTTAGTTAGATAGTGTAAGACTTGAGGTTGTTTCACGTTTTTTGGCGGTAGATTTCTGGTTAGTGTAGCAGTGTTAAGATGGCTAAGAAGCACAGGTATACCACGGTTCAGCGTAAGCAAGAGCGTCAGAAGGAGGAGGAGTATATCAAGGAGTTGGAGCAGCGTATTCAGGATTATGATGTGAAGAACAACAAGGCAGTGTTTTTCAAGGACCTGCCGATCAGTAAATCTACATTGAAAGGTCTAAATGAGGCCTCTTTTATAAAAATGACGGATATTCAGCGGGACTCCATCGTTACCTCATTGCAAGGCCACGATGTGTTTGGTACTGCCAAGACTGGGTCTGGTAAGACTTTGGCATTTCTGGTACCAGTGCTGGAGAAACTATACCGTGAGCGCTGGACTGAGTTCGACGGGTTGGGGGCTTTGATTATCTCGCCTACTAGGGAGTTGGCTATGCAAATCTACGAGGTCCTTGTGAAGATCGGTTCACACACACAATTCTCAGCAGGTCTAGTCATTGGTGGTAAGGACGTGAACTTCGAATTGGAGAGGATCGCCAAGATCAACATCTTGATTGGTACTCCCGGTAGAATTCTTCAACATATGGACCAAGCGGTTGGGTTAAATACTTCGAATTTGCAAATGTTGGTGTTAGACGAAGCTGATAGGTGTTTGGATATGGGTTTCCAAAAGACCTTGGATGCCATTGTGGGTAACTTACCACCTGACAGACAGACTCTGTTGTTTTCTGCAACGCAATCACAAAGCATATCTGATCTGGCAAGATTGTCTTTGACCGATTATAAGAAGATTGGTACAATTGATTCATCTGAAGATGGACCAGCGACTCCAAAAACACTGCAGCAGTCTTATATCATAGCAGACCTGGCCGATAAACTGGATGTCCTGTACAGTTTTATCAAATCTCATTTGAAGACTAAGATGATTGTGTTCTTCTCCAGTTCAAAGCAAGTACATTTCGTTTACGAGACATTTAGAAAGATGCAACCTGGTATTTCTTTGTTGCACTTGCATGGTAGGCAGAAGCAAAGAGCTCGTACTGAAACTCTAGACAAATTCTTCAGAGCTCAGCAAGTATGTTTGTTTGCTACTGATGTCGTCGCTAGAGGTATCGACTTTCCAGCTGTTGATTGGGTTATCCAAGTGGATTGTCCGGAAGACGTAGACACATATATCCATAGGGTAGGTAGAGCCGCCAGGTATGGTAAGAAAGGTAGGTCGCTTATCATTCTCACTCCACAAGAAGAGGCTTTTTTGACAAGAATGGCAGCTAAGAAGATTGAACCTGGTAAGCTAACTATAAAACAGTCTAAGAAAAAATCTATCAAACCACAATTGCAATCCTTACTGTTCAAGGACCCAGAACTAAAATATCTTGGTCAGAAGGCTTTTATTTCTTATGTGAAATCTATCTATATTCAAAAGGATAAGGAAGTTTTTAAATTTGATGAGCTTCCAACAGAAGAGTTTGCAAACTCGTTGGGTCTACCTGGTGCACCACGCATCAAGATAAAGGGTATGAAGGCAATCGAACAAGCTAAGAAGCTGAAAAACACATCTAGAAGTCTATTGTCATTATCAAAAGCCAATGATGATGGTGAAATCAATGATAAGAAGGATAAACAGGTTAGAACTAAATATGACAAGATGTTTGAACGTAAAAATCAAACTATTTTGAGTGAGCATTATTTGAACATAACGAAATCTCAAGCACAAGAAGATGAGGATGAAGACTTCATTACTGTTAAGAGAAAAGACCATGAATTGAAGGAAGAAGATTTGCCACAACTAACTGTACCAACATCGAGGAGAGCACAAAAGAAGGCTCTGTCTAAAAAGGCATCCTTATCTACTAAGGGTAATGCCACTAAAATGGTGTTTGATGATGAAGGACAAGCGCATCCAGTCTATGAGCTTGAAGGTGAAGAAGAGTTCCATAAAAAAGGTGATGCTGAGGAACAAAAGAAAGAATTCTTGAGCAAAGAAGCTGAAATCATGGCTGATAGAGATGTTAGCGATAAGATAATACAGAAAGAGAAGAAACAGGAAAAAAAGAGAAAGAGATTAGAGGCAATGAGGAGAGAAATGGAAGCTGCCTATGCTGACGAATACAGCGATGAGGATGAAGAAGGCGGTAATGTTGCATATTTGGGTACAGGTAATTTAAGTGATGACATGGAGGAATACTCTTCTGATGAAGAAAGTCGTAAAACTAAGAAGAGTAAGACTGTTGACTACAGATTTGACAAGAAGAACAAAACTATTTCTGAAGATACTGATATTATGGAGATTCAAGAACCAGAAACCATTGAAGACTTGGAATCCCTTACCGCAAGACTTATCGAAGGTTAATAGGTCCAATCTTTTCCAAATTATTTCAATTCTACATTGGTTTATTACGTACCAATTATTTTGCATATGTGAAGAGATACATTTATAGAAGTCATATCTTTTCCTTAAATAACAAAAGGCATGTTTTTTTTTTCGATTCATTATACTTAGTAAATATAATTTTGAATTTATAATTTTTATTGTATTAGCATTCTAATTTCAATAAATGCTTGTATCTGTTCTTCCTCAACGGATCAACCGTTAATAGCTTTTCTAAGTAAATTTTAGTATGATCTTCTATATCAATACCTTCTGACTTTTGAATCTGTTGTATAACCAGCAGTAATTTCAAGCACCACGTATTTTCTTTGCCAGAAAACTCTAGCTCGTCTTCATTAATCATTGTTATATTTTCCCAAAATGTTTTTAACATCTCTAGGTACCTCTCCTTTGTCAATACTTTCAGAACTAAGTCACTCCTAATGAACCATTTGATATAGAACCATACAGCTTGATCTTCAGCATCTGTAAACATTGCATTGGTAACAAAATCAATCTCTTTCTCAATAAATAATGTTTTGTCCTCAATCTCATTCTTCTCTAGCATTTTTTGTATAAGTTGGACTCTTTGGTGCCAGGCACTGAAATTTGATATATTGCTTTTGATCATTGTGGTAGCGTATTCCAGTTCTTCCTTGTTCATATCATTGCCTGTCATCTTTTGCATGTGGGAAACCACTATTCTTCTATAATGCCAACCATGGTAATTTCTAGCGTCAGCGTCAAGCAATTTGTTCACAATTACAAGTTCTCGACCCCATATCTTCACACTGGCACCAGGATAGTTTTGTAAAGTCCATAGTCTATGATTCCAAATCCAATATACCTTGGGGAATCGTTTCAATTGGGCCATTACAAACATCAGTTCATCTTCCCAGAATTTTGGCTCGAGCTTCTCGCCTAGATCCACTATAATGTCACGCCTATAGTTCCAAACAGCATTGAATTCGGGATTGAGTTCCAATAAGTTAGTGGTGAGTTTCAAGGACTCAATAGTGAACTCCCTTTTATCCTTCAGCCCCAGGACAGTGTCGGTCAACTGTCTATATTTCTCAATTTTGAGCTGATCTTGAACTCTCTTCTGCTTTAGAAGCTCCTGGGTCCATTGACGTCTTCTAACACCGTGCTACTTTGACACATATGCCCACTACCTTAGTACACCCTCGATTTTTCTTGTGTGCAGACCCTGGTTACTTTGGTACTGGTGCGTTTTGGTTATATTTGTTAGTAAAACTTGCTTAAGGGAGCGAAAGACACAAGTTACCATCTGGACAAAAACATACCATGCTGATTCGACCAATTGAGCTTTTTTATTGTTGTCCATCCGTTGCAAATTCCACTTCAATCACTAGTTTCTTTCAATTTCACCTATTTAAAGCTCATCGCAAGAATTTTTCAGTTCCTGATCCAATTCAAAATGCTACTCAGAGCCAGCAATTCCATCCACAAGAGGTCCAATAATGGATAGAAACCTATCGCTGAAGGGCTCTACGAGGAGTATAACCGAGTTCTTTGAGTACTGTATCAATTCTATACTTTTCCAGCGCGGAGTATACCCTCCAGAGGACTTTAGCACTGTGCGGAAGTATGAATTGAGTCTTCTACGGACTCATGACGATGAGTTGAAGGATTACTTGCGGAAGATCCTGTCACAAGTACACAGGTGGCTGTTGGGTGGTAAATGCAACAAGCTTGTGCTGTGTATAGTGGACAAAGACGATGGCGAAGTGGTGGAGCGATGGCAGTTCGATGTTACACACTTCAGCAAGGAACAAGAGACCGCTGCGGAAGTCACAGATGAGGAGACACGCAACCAGATGAGGACACTGATTAAGCAGATCACCGCTAGTGTTACTTTCTTGCCCGAACTAGTGAAGGAAGGCGGGTACACTTTCACTGTTCTGGCATACACGGATGCCGATGCCAAGGTACCGCTAGAATGGGGGGATTCTGATAGCAAGGAGGTCAAAGATGGTGAGATAGTGCAGTTCAGAAGCTTTGAGACCAATGATCATAGAGTTGGTGCCCAGGTTAGCTACAAGATATAGCGCAGTAGGTTCTTTTAGTCCTGGATACGTTTGAATGCTATAAATGATTTAGCTACGGAAGATCAATAGTACATAGTATAGTAAGTAATATATCTATCTTTCGAACAATTTGGAGTTAGATACAAGTTCTCTTATACCTCTTCTGGGTTCCTGTGGCTGTGGGGTTACAGGACGTTGTATCGTTCTGGCAGGTGGATGGATTCTAAGCTCGTTTCTCACCAGTTTAGACCATTCGGGGTCCTGGATACGGCAGATGTTAGCCTGGAAATGCATCATAGGGCGTGAATCCCACTCCATGATGAGCATACTGTGATCGATTGGTTTACCTTCTTCTTTCCTCTCGTCGAGCTTAGTCTTGTAGGCAGCCCGCAGTGCTCTCCATTGTTCCAAATCCCAGGGCACTGCTTTCAGAGATAGAATGAACGCCCAAACAACACTGTTGTCATTTCCACCTGTAATCTCGTTATATGTTTCGGCATATGTTTCAGGAGAATCTACAGGTGCAATAAGTAGCTTTACAAGCTTCATTAACTTGTCCATATCAGATTCAATTCTCTTCTTAGTCCTCTTCATGCTACTGTTGTTAGTAGACTCACCATCTCCAGACATATTCTCTGGAATGGAGTTCAGAATATTTGATAATAAATCCAAGTCTAACATAAGTTGCTCCCCGATATTTACAACGGCTCTAGGATTTAAACGAGGTTTAGTTGTGGCCGAAGCGTAAGGTGGAGTAGGTTGCAACAATTTCAGTATGCAGCCCAGGAATTCAGAGAATACCAAATTGATAACCTTATCCAGGAAATTCCACTTGTATATATCTCTGTTAAAAGTTTTCAGTATATATTCCAAGATTGTAACGTTCCCTTCTGTGTTTGGTTGGCTTCTTGTAACTTTGAGTAATGTCTTCAACGTTTGCATGTATCTACTGTAATCCTCTACCATGACATTGCTCCAGTCGACATTCTTAAACTCTCTCCATACAAATGAGATCTCGACAGTAATCAAACGGTTCAATAGGAAGTTTATCCCTTTAGCGGCCAAATCATCGTATTTACTTTTCGTTTGCATGAATATTCCATTAATCTGCTCAGATGCAGATGTGAATTCGAGTAATCTTTCTTCTAGCTGCTCAATTGTAGTAGAGCAGTATCCTGCAGTATTAATAACTAGAACTGTATATTTGGCACATTCTCTTTTGTCTTCAACTTCAACGTTATCTGGTAATATCAATGGCTCTAGGATTTTATTGGCGTACAAACCCAACCATTTTGTAAAAAATGTAGCTAATGCTGTTAAAACCGCAGTGTTCTCACTTTCTTGCACCAACTCTAACGACTGTGTGAGGATAGCTCTATAATTCCGGAATAAGTCTGCACTAGATGGTACAATGAAAGAGTCTGTAGAGTTTTCAGGAAACTTGGGATCACTCATATATGACAGCAGTTTCTTATCCATTAATTTATCCTGATGAGAGACCCAAACTGATAGGTATGGTTGGAAGCAAGTACTCAGTTTTGGTTTATCGTTCAGCTTTTTGGAAAACCTCACATTGATATAATTCTCAAATTCTAAAGTCTCCTGAAGTGCATTCATGAATAAGTCAATAGTAGGTGATTTGTCCTGAAATTCACGCTTTAACAAAATGTTTAGATCTTTCCTTGTCGTTTCCATGAATGTCTCGGTCAAGTGCATTGGTAAATCCCAGGACGGCAGGAAGAATTGTTCCAGGTTTGAGTGAAAGTTATTTAGCACCCTCTTGAAGTATATATATCTTCTTGCAAGATTCTCGAGGGAACCAGCCTCGTCATCGACTTGGAAGATTTCATTCATCTCGTACAGAAGTTTGGATATGAACCAGTCAATCAGTGTGGATTTTGCGCTCTGGTCTGAATCCAAAAGCTCGCAAGCGCCGTCTCTCAGTTCGTTATGCTGTTGTGTATCCTCCTGCGGCGGTATCTCCTGCTGAGAGAGCAATTGCTGGAACTTCTGCTTTATTCTATCGAACACTTCCGATTTAAGTCTGTTCACGGAGGTCAGTAGCTTGTTGATCTCCTGGACTGACTTGTAAGGAGCAAAAGTGGTGCCCGCCAGCGAGTACATTATCCTATAGGGCGATACCATATCGCGGAAGGAGCCTGAGTCCAGGAGTTGTTTGCATTGTATGTAGCAGTCTGTGAGAATCTTCAAGTTCTGGAAGAAAGACATGGTCTGTGACAGGTTCTGTTTTGCGTTGTCCAGTCTGGATATACCCTGTGTGACATCCATGATACTCTGCTGGGTGCGCATGGAAGTCTCCTTCGTGACTTCATACTCCTCGATAAGCGTCTGCAACAGAGCCAGCGCATCCGACTCTGTAGCAGCCTCCCCGCTGTCCTCCAGTTCCAATTGCTTAATCTCCTTACTCAACTCCAGCTTGTATGACCTCGTCACCGAGATCAGCTCGTCGAGGGACTCGAGAGAGTCCCTCGACATGAGCATCCCAGTAATATCCTCGGTGGGATCATAGTCCAGCGAGTCTCCCAGCATCAATATTGAAATTCAAAATCGAAAATTGAACTTATCTATTCACCTCCCCTCTGAGCACTAAAAACAAAAGCACACCAGGTTTTTAACTTCTTGCTCCACCAGCACCGTGTCCTTGAGCAATAATCACTACTCTATGCCATGCACACGCAGTTTGAAATGCCTTCTAATGGGCATCATTTTGAGAGCATGAACTTGTACTGACTGAATGGGTTTTGGAAGCTCCAGCAAGAACGTTGCTGGAATACGCAATCCAAGAGATGAAACTCCCTGCACAGAAACCCACGCAGAGAAGGACGACCATTTTGCCCAAAAAAAAAATTAAAAATAAAATGCTCCTGGGGAGGTTCGAACTCTCGACCTTCAGATTATGAGACTGACGCTCTTCCGACTGAGCTACAGAAGCATATTACTTGTTATGTTTCAGTGGGTTGATGGTGCGTGTATATGCGTTTTGAGGTTTCGTTATCCATAGTAAGCGCTTAAGCTTATATATTGGATCACAGTCTGTAACTGAACGCCCATATAACATGCTCTAGCCGCCATTAGCACGTAGCGGTGCACAGCTTCCAGCCGTGCTAATATAGCGCAGCTGTGTGTACCGCCTCTTTTCCACCTGTGCAGCAGCCCGCACCTCGCTTGCCAAGCCCGGTAGCCGCCCAATCCATAGGTCCGGTATGTACTGATGCAGGTGTTGTTCTTGTGGTTGTTCTTGTAATAGTACTTGTTCTTATAGTTGTTCAAGCACACATTTGAAACCGGACTCACCTGGCAACACACTCGTTATGGCACCCGCTATTCGGGACTCTGTTCGTTTCAGTCCTCTGAAATGTATAGTGTGCAGCAGTTCAGCAGTGCAGTGCACTTATCCTCCATCCACTCTTGCTCCAAGAGTTGTTCAGATCAGTTTTGGCTGTGAGGAAAATTTTCTGCGATGAGCTTTAAAAAGCAGGATGCTGAGGGAACTGGGGTCTTGATGGGATGGGATGGGAGCAGCGTCGAGATGGGTGAGAAGCGTAGCAACGAGGAGGAGTTATCTAAGAGGCAGAAGAAGCTGAAGCACGGGAAGCTGGCGCAGAAGCGGAGGGAGCAAGCCGCGTATGAGGAGGAGAAGTTGCGGAAGCTTCCCATGCAAGGAGCTGAGGCGATCAGCGAGCACTTTGCCACTGTGATCCGGGCACAGAACCCTGATCTGAGTGCGATAGAGCTGGACGAGATGTACTTGAAGAAGAGCGAGTTCCTGGGCACCGAGGCGTTCGACGGTGTGCGGAACTTGCACGAGTTTCCGGGGTTCATGGCGAGGTTCTCGAGGGCGCCCAGGGCCATTGTGCTCTCGATGTCGAACATCCGTGTGGCGGATGTGTACAGGAGTCTCGGTGGCAGCTCCCAATGTGTGAAGCTGTTTGCCAAGAACAAGTTGCATGAGGACGTGGCCACCGTGGAGTCTGTCCTGGGTGCGGACAAGGACAAGAAGGATAAGAAGGACAAGAAGGACAAGGACAGCAAGAAGAAGATCAAGTACTTTGTGGCCACGCCTACGAGATTGGAGAAGCTGCTGGAGAGCACAGAGCTGTTCTTTGAAGGTAAGGACAAGCTGGACATTATCCTGGACGCCAGCTACCTCGACAGCAAGAAGAACTCGCTGCTGGACTCTGAGAACACGAAAGTGCTGTGCAAAGTGTTGCGGACCATGCTGGACAAGAAGAGTTCAGTCAAAGTATTGTTGTACTGATATATATTATGCATATTTAAGATTGTTGTGTAGGCAATATCATAGCTCATCACCTGAACTGCAGTGGGTGCCACCAAAACATAAAGTGCTGGGCACCCGAGAGTAAATACCTGAGATAAATGACAGCATAGCTGAGTGTACAGTTCTCTCTATTGTGGTTCAGCACCTTCAGCCTGCGTTACGTGCCTATCAAGAGTGTGTATCGTCCACCCAGGTCATCCACTAGCCGCAGATGCAGCAGAGCTAGACTCGGAGTTGTGAATGACCTGCGTGAGTTACTAGTACAGGCTGAATTGGGCAAATAATACAGGAATAGACCCAGAATTACGAAATATAAACATGGATACAGCAGAAAATACAGAAATAAACAGAATTACAAATATACAAAAAATAGTAAAATCTATTGGTAGCCAACGGCAACAACAACGGCAACGACAACGGAAACCACACGTACTACTACACAACTGCGGTAAAAGCACAGTTGAATAGCTATATACATATCAAATATACCCCTGGTAAATAAAAGTACTTGATTAGAAATCAATAAATAATTAATAAATATTAATTAATTAATATTTATTTTATAATTTATTTGATTTACCAAGGTGGGGTGATTCCAGGGTAGAATTGACACACGTCGAGTTGAATCAGCACCGGGTTTTGACTTCACATCAATGAGGGTGGTGTGGATATTTGTGGCAGTGGTATGCCGCGGTGCACCGCGGCATACCCATATCCTCACATTTAAATAAACACGCTAAGCACAGGGACAAGAATGATAAAACAAGCACCGCAAATACAGATGCAACAGATACAATACTAAACCTCAGCCCGCTGGTTTTAGCACTGGGAAGGGGAGGGAGTACAGCTGCACAATCATGTAACTAGAGCCTATTATAGCCATTTCGGCCAGTCCAAGTCAGTTACATGTGACATGTACGTACATTATTACAACCGTACACAATTACAAAAAAATTGGGTCCTCGAAAGTAAACAAGGAAGATCCGAGAAGTTTGACGACGAAAGAACTATTTAACGACATAGTGATGTAGTGACAAAGTGATGATACTATCCACGGTATTAGACGCCCAGGATACGTTCAGCCAGCTATTGTTATTGCCATTGCACCAGGACGACAGCCGCTGAGGATTTCTAGAAGACACGACCGTGCTACTGCGATTTGCCACTGAAGAGTAGCGCGCCCCCCCGACACAATACAATAAAACACCAACAAGTACGCCAACGAGAACACAAACAACGATGGATGACGGTATGATTTCTGAGGGAGTCAAGGATGTGTATGAGTACTCGCACCCCATTATCAACAATGCGCTTGCGGTGAGTGCCAGCGAGCAGCAAGGGAAAGAGGTGCGTCGCTTCGCGACGCTTGCGGACTGGTACGATGTGATTAACGACTACGAGTTCCAGTCGCGTTGCCCTATTATCCTTAAGAACTCGCACCGCAACAAGCACTTCACTTTCGCGTGCCACCTGAAGAACTGTCCCTTCAAGATCCTGCTAAGCTACTCCAGCGCTGGTATGCACCATGGCCATGCGCAGGACGACATGTACAGGTCCAAGGACGAGGACGTGGACGCGCTTAATGACGGCGCCCACGACCACAAGCTCGAGTACCACGACGTCGACGATCCGCAGGTCACCGCTGCAATCGCCGCCGCCGTTGCAGCTGTCGGCAAGGACAGCAGCGACCCACACAACGCTGCTACTGCCGCTGCTACTGCTGCTGCTGCCGCTACAAACGGCGGTGAAGACCACAAAAACTTGGTCCAGGACACCCAGCCCTCTGCGCACTCCCAGGCCCAGGCCCAAGCCAGCGTCAGACCTAACTCTAACGCCCCAGAGACTATAAGGGGTCCCTTCGTCGTCACAAAGATCATCCCATACCATGACCACCCTGTCCAGGACAACCTGTCTCTAGACAAGTTTGTGCTAACGAAGATCCCAAGAATCTTGCAGAACGAGCTGAACTTCGACGACGTGCTAGAGACGTTAGTCGCCGAAGGTGCCAGCGACGGTGATGTCGCCAAGTTCAGAGTCTCCGAGTACGTCGAACACAGCGGTTTGTTGGATATAATAAAAGCCCGTTACGACTTGATGGACTCCGACATCACCAAAAAATTCTTGTCCCAAATCGCTAGACGTGTCACCACTTACAAAGCCCGTTTCGTGCTAAGAAAGAAGAAATACGGTATCATCAAGAGTGACAGACACCACCCAAGAGCAAACCCTGCCCCAGCCGCCTCAGGAAACAGACCACCAAGAATCAGCAGAACCAGAAGAAAGCGTAGTCTCGAAGACGACGAAACCGAGATCGCCCAGGAGGCACTAAAGAACTCCATGATGGACGATGTCGACCACCAGAGACATATCGACGACGACGACGAAGAACACGCCAGGAAATTGGCCAGATTAGGCGAGGACACCGACTTGCACTCCGGTATCCACGATGATGGCGATCACTCATCAACTCAGAACGCTGCCATGCATGAGATCAACCCTCTTGCATCCATCGACGAAGTCACCGACGACAAGCTTCCTCGTGAAGTCGCCGAGCAACTGAGACTTCTATCGTCCCATTTCAAGGATGTTGAGAACCAGAACTTGCAAGACGAAGAAGGTAAGAAGAACAGCGCTGAAATCTCAGACGAGAACATTCAACCTGAATTAAGAGGACAATAAACTTAAATGGTAGCTCCAATTATTAAAATGAATAAAGGAAACAAACCATTAAATACAATTTTGAAACCTTTATTATAATTTTTTTGCTTTTTTTATCGGACTCTACTTATTGTTGTTTTCTCCCTTTCAGTTCTTTATTCTCACTTATATTTAAAATATGCCTTTATTCCTATGAAAATACTCTCCTTTCTGATCTAGGAGAATACGCTCTTTCTTCTCTCTATTTTTTTTATTTTATTTCAAATCATTCACCTGTGCAGTCAGGGAAAGTGCATACTTTTCTTTCTATTATTTTTATTTTTTTCTTTTACTAATTTAAGAATGGACTATTATATGTGTGTGAGTGCCAAGTGTATGCGCATTCCTTTCTTTATCCTATTTGTCGCATATGTGTGGATGCACTTGTATGCCTACCCTTGGCAACAAGGAGAGAGACCCTTTGACATCAAGAGAATCAAAGGCTATCTTTCCCAAAGACACCACAAAGACTTTTACCATTTTATTATTATCTAACTACCTGTCTAGATAGCTGTATTCTATATAACGAGATGAATATTATCAAACAATTCTATAAAAAAGAAACTTCCAACAAGGCACTAACACCAAGCCTAATCAACAAATGACTAGCTCAAGCTTATACTTCTGATTTATTCACATCACTTTGTACAACTAGCAAAATTCGGGCCTCTCAGTGATCTGACCAAATGTTCGGCGACAAGCTGAGGAGTAGCAATAATATGCTTAAGTTGGCGGCAAAAGAATGCAATCATTACTACAACTAAAGCATTATCCTTTACTAACGAGCTATCTAGAAGTGCTGAGTACCCAGAAATTACACTACATGTTGCGAATCAGGTCGATTGCGAGACCTATTGTCCGACGTCCATGGGCGAACGCTGCAAGAGTTACTGGAATTAGCGGTACCCGAATACAGGTCCCTTTCCCATCCTCAGTTAGGTGGTATTCTGATAGGGAGCCTCAGACAGAGCCTGTGGTTAAGGATGAGGAGTCAGAGCACGTTCCATGGTACATGAGGCTCGAGGATGACTCTTTGAAGTCGCTGAATGAGGACATCTCGAAACAGCATGAGGTGAGATTGCCAGATGACTGTCCTGATTCACTACACATACTTGTTAAACATTTACAGAAACAACTGGCCCTAAGAGATATCCTGGTCTTTGATTTGAAGAATCAACGGCTTGCTGATCCGGAGAACTATAGACTCAAAATGTGTGACTATGTCATCATATGCACTGCTATGTCCACAAAACATTGTGAGAGGTCATACGTTGAGATTAATAAGTTGTTAAAGAATGAATATGGAGTTTCAGGATATGTCGAAGGTCAAGTAAATCCCAATGATGAGAAAAAACGTCTGAAAAGGCTAGCTCGTAAAAATAACTTAGGTAGGACCAATATTAGAAGAAATGCGTTAAATTCTACTGAGGAATCATCATGGTATATGATAGATTGCCATGTAGACTCCATCTTTTTAAACATTCTTACGGAAAACAGAAGATATGAGATGAATCTCGAGGAGTTATATGCACCACTGAATGAAAAACACCTATATGAGAAATCAGAACATTCAATGCATATAAATACTAATAACAGGAGTCAAGCGTTTGATTCATTAGAGGAAGAAGATAATGTTTTACTAGCATTAAGGAAACTAGCACAACAAAAGAGACAATATTCAACCGAATCTCCGGCAAGAAGCCTTCGAAATGAGCTTGTAAAAGAGAATTTCGATAGCAGTAAGAAGCTTTTAGCAGATAATCCTGAATTACGTGAGCAACTGGTGAAAGTAGCAATATCAACAATAGAGCAGATAAGGGATTCTACAGGAGCTTCCATAAACACCGAAAAGTGGTACAAATTTGTTTCACACAATGTGCCTCTAGTGATACAAGATACAACTTTCTGGGATTCATACTTGAAGTTCTTATTATTACTAAACGATTGTAACAGTCAAACTTACAGCTACAAGAGATTGATACCCGATTACTTGGTCACTAAGAGATCAATGGGTGAGGAATTAACTGCTGACGATATTACTACTTTTCTCAGTGTAATCTCCGAGAGAGTAAATCCTCAGAACTATTGGGATTTAGTCAAGGCAAATACTCAAGTAGTGGAAGCCCTTAGACTTTTTGATGAGGAGGTAATTTTCACTGATGCAATTCTCTCAAAAGTAATAAAAACTCTGACCACCAATTCCAATGAGCATAAACTACATTCTTTCTATGAGGTAATCAAATTTTTGGTATGGAAATACGAGAAGGAAATTCCTATAAATACACTAGAAACAATATTAAAGACACTCATAAATTTTGGAGAGTACGATTATCTTTTGAGGCTCTGGACCACCAAGATTGGTTACAATGTGGGATCGAAAGACACGAGACCATGGAAAGTATTCCTAAAAGCCATAACAGAGACGCAAGACGTGGAACTCATCAGGCTAATTATAGAAAAGGGATGTTTACTAGATATCAGTAGGGGAAAGGTCGATGTCGATCCTCAACTGGCAGTATTACTTAAAACAGCCTTCAAGACTGTCGATCCAGAAAACTTAATTTACAACGATCAGCAACGATTGCTGATACCATCCTCCGCTACACGCCAATAGGCAATATATCTTACTCCTACCCAAGTACCAGTAAAGAAATGATTATAAAACTACATGTACATACAATCTAGCATTTTATAGCAAATATCAAAATATTCATATTTTTCATCTTCTCCATCAATTTCAGGAATTTGCGATGAGCTACAAAAACCAATTGCAAACTTCAACTTGGTTAAAATGTAGGACTCAACAAAGAAAGAACCCTACCAATACAAGCTTGAATGAGCTACCGATGCTATAGCTCACTGAGCTTTGTTCCCAGACATGTTCTACCAAGATTTAACATTCCCAAATCCGATTTCAAAGGCCACCAGGTCAAGGCTATTAAGAAATTCAAGAAGCTGTCGCCTGGACTGAACATGCTAATAGAACTCAGAGATATACGTGCACCGCTTTCAACAAGAAATGTGATATTCGATAATATTTTGAGGAGTAACAGGTCGTTGGAGCGGCTTGTGGTGTATACGAAGAAAGATATGACTAGCGGGAACGCCAATGGGAAGCAATACTTTAAGAAACTGTCTCAATGGCATGCACAGCTGAATGAAAAGTTTATTATACTTGATGGTAGGGATACTAGTGATGCCAAACAGCTGTTAAAGATTTTACAGTGGGAAAATCATAAGGTAGAGAGCAGAGGGATGAGACTCCCTCTGGGCTATAGAGCCTTCATAGCAGGAATGCCAAACGTGGGAAAGTCGACCTTGGTTAACACGCTTAGAAGAGTAACAAACCCCAGTTCTAGTGGCACTAAGTTCAAGAAGGTCGCCAGAACTGGATCAGAAGCAGGTGTTACTCGAAGTACTAGTGAAGTTATCAGACTGATGCCTACTACCAACAATTCCAGCCCAATTTACCTTATAGATTCCCCGGGAGTTGGACTACCTGGACGACTCACTAACCAGAATCGTATGTTGACTTTGTCTATGTGCGGTGCAGTAAAGACAAGTCTAATAGAACCCGTCATACAGGCTGACTATTTATTATATTTAATGAATTTACAAAATCCATTACCAGGAGCCGAATGGTACCCAAAATATAAATCAGAACCAACAAATGATATTTATGAGGTACTAAGGAGATTAGCTAAGAATAAGGAATCGTTTGATGAAAACGTAGTTGCCACTAATTGGGTCAACAAATGGAGACTAGACTCGAAGAATCTTTTATTTGACGTGGAAACGTTACTCCCAGCAGATGCCTTTTCTTATAGGGACTATGTTGATAAACAACTTGAGGAGCTCGGTGAATTGACATTTCTCAGGGAAAGACAATAACTTAATATTCACATATTTACTTGTAAAAATACAACATACAATTGCATATACGTCATGGTAATTATATATTTCAGTTAAATCACAACTATGTTACTATGAACCGTGGTAGAAAAAATTACAGTTCTCTTCGACTCGTAAAGTGTCTTTGGTATGACAATAAACTTATTACTGATCATCGCCACATTATTAATCTTAATCCAATTCAAGGCCTGTAACTTCTTCCATATAGTTGTTTGAAATTTCTTCAATTCTACCAACGATATAGACTTCTTATCGAGAGTATAGTGAATACCAGCTTCACACAAATCAAATAATGGCCTATATGGAAGTAATTTATTTTGTTGAAATTGTGCCTGAATAGCTGAGTCCATTTCAAATTCCCACCACCGTAGCTCTCTTATATTACTCAGAGACAAGCTAATGGCCTTGCTAGGTAAGATAAGCTTATTCAGATCAATAAACCCGCAGTCATTTATACTGATTACTCGAAGATTTACCCATTTGGTTAGATCAGCCAAACCTGTTTCAGAAGGATTTAAAACCTGATTCATTGCTATCCTCATAACCCTCCTCCTACTTATGTATGAGATGGTTCTGCCTGGATTATCTCTTGCACCATGGACATTTATTAGAGACTCATAAAGATTCTTCCCTCTGACAGAAAGGCTGGAGACCTGCTTCATCTCTTCTAAATTAACAATCGTTTCAGTGAGGGCGGGATCATTTGGTATTTGATAACGTTCTTTTACCATCGGATCTTCAAGATAGACATCCGGACTGTCAGATCTTGCCCTTTTCAAATTGGTGCCTCTCTTTACATTGCCATTAGCATTCCCGTTAGTCACAGTATCAATGTTTGTTGTAAAATTGATTTCTGATATCAGATTCAATTGTTCTTTCTTGCGCAGTTTCTGTATTATATTAGGTATCTGCCCATCTCTCTGCATTTCCAAGTTCAATCGCAGGTATCCTAATTCCATATCACCATAATCTGTTATATTATTCCTAATGACCCATCTTTTGTACTCACCGTAAGAGTACCAGACCTGCAACATGTAGAGTTTGTTGATCACAGCAAGTCTTAGATCACCATCTATCTCAATCCAGTCAAGTGGGCCTACTAATTCACCATCATAGAGGTGATTAAGGCGCAGCGAATCCAACACTATCGCATCATATCGTAGCCATAGCGAGTACTCTAGCCAGCTCTCGATCATTGCTGGCGAGTATTGGAAATTCTGCAAGTATTGCTCAAATAACGGGTACAATTTCTTCACCAGTTGGCGGTAGTACTTCTTCACCTTCTTGGAGCCACCATAATCTCGCACATTGGGTATCTCAATGGCACCATGGTAAAGTGCATCCAGTGCTGGTGGATTTGCATTCGTGTATTGCCCATCTAGATGATAGTAAACCAACTTCCTGACCTCGTAGGGCTGATCCAGGAACCTGAGGGTATTGAACCGCTCCTCAACCATGATAGCGAAAACTTCTTGGCTTGTAGTTTTAATGCGTTGCTGCCACAGTACTTAACATAACTGAGGTACAATTGACTTTTTATGCCTTTAAGTTGCTTTGAAGGTCATCGATGAGCTGGATCAACAAGCAACACTGGCAACGAAGAACGATCACGATAGAGTCGATGCCATATGAGCTCAATCCCACATGAGGACAGACCAGAGTGTTTTGATGAAAGTTGTAATGCGATTTTAGTATAAATTATATGAGTACATAAGGGACTTTTAAAAATGTGCTTTGGTGTCGACCGCAGCGAAATATGCGAAAAGTATATAGAAGTTCTGAGGAATATTATGGCCGTGGAGTTGAGCTCACCACCAAGTCTAGTTCGTTAGCAATTGGAGCATGCCTTCTATCCTCTGGGCCTCTTCTGCTTTGTGAACTTCCTCTCTGACCTTGTTACGTAGTGCCACCACCATTTCGTTCAGCACTGGGGACTCCTGGGCTACTTGGCCGTACATCTCCAGGACCACTGTGACCCAGTCGACGACCACGTTAACTGACCTTACGTCTTCTATACCTTTCAGACACCAGTTAAGTAGTGGCTCTAGCGAGGACTCGTCTCTGTTCTGGAGTGCTACCCGTATCTTGCCACGCTTGCGCAGCTCCTGGAGGATAGTCAAAGTGAGTTCTTTGGCCATACCGGGCACGAAAGCGCAATCGAGTGCCTCAGCCCACTTGAACTGGTTGATGTATCTTTCGAAAGTGCGCAAGCGGCGCTGCTGTTTCACTTTGTCATCGTGGATTATATGTTCTAGGTCACCTTGGTACTGGGACCCACGCATCATTCTTTGGAAGTTGTTGCTCTTCTTTGGGCCCGTGGAGCCGGCTGTGTAGTCGTCCACAGCCAGGTGGCTGTTCCTCTTCTCTTTCTTCTTGGTTCTGATGGCCAGCAGTCCTGATGTGAGACCTGCTACTAGATGCCTGCTGCCTTGGGCGTCGCTGGGGGACACTGCGCAGCTCAGCACTGCGCTGGAGAACTTCCAGCCGAACTTCACTTGGAAGTTGTCCAGCGGGTCGAACACCTTGACGTGGCCGTCCAGCGAGGACGCCAGCAGCGCTGAGTTTGATGCCAGGCCGGAGTCGCTAGGGAGGTTCACGTAGTCGAGGCAGGTGACGGTCTTGTTGAAGTTCGCGCGCTCGAATATCTTCTTGTTGCTGGTCAGGTCCCAGACTTTGAAGTTGGGCCCACCGCAAGAGACCAGCTGTGTGGGCGAGATGGCGACGACGTTCTCGACGGGCTGGTCGTGCACCAGTGTGTGCTGGGGCTTGCTGCCTGCCCTGGTGTCATAGAGTCTGAGCGCGCCGTCGTAGGAGCCGGTGACCACCAGGTGCGGTGCCGCTGGCACGAAGCACAGCGTCCGCACGTAGTCGGCGGCACCCGTCAGCTCCAGCTGGGGCTCGTAGGCGTGCGAGATGTCCCACACCCTGGTGACACGGTCGTCGCTCGCGGAGACCAGCGTCTTCAAGTCGTGGTCGTGGAACTTGGTGACGTGCGTGGGGTGCTGGGAGGCGGCTACAGACACCAGCAGCGTCCGCGGGTTGTACGAGTCATAGACGGACACGAGACCCGTGGCGTCACCGGCACACAGCAGCTTACCGTCCTTCCGGTACGACGCAGAGTACACCACGTCCTTGAAACGGGAGAAGGTCTTGATCGCCTGGCGCGTCCGCGAGGAGAACACCTGCACCCTGGTAGACGACGTTACAGCGAAGTCGTGCGGCTTCTGCGGATTGAACGCTACATGCGTAACACTGTTGTGCTCCTTCACCAGCTGCGTAGCAGCGTACTGCCGCCAGTACCGCTGCTCCGCAGTGGTCTGCTGCGGCAGCACAGCAGCCCGGGATGTAACTATGCGTGGGTGCGACGAAGACATTTCCTTAATACCCTCCTGGACCAGCTCCAACGCAGAAACTAGCCACTCCCACAAAAAAACACACTGGCCCTTCCTTCTTATACCTTTGCGATGAGCTCGCGATGAGCTGAAACTTTTTCACTTTTCAGCTGAAAAATTTTTTGGGTCTTGAAAATTCACGTGACTCCCAAGCTCATAGGGGGGGAGGAGCTGCGAGTATAAGAGGGACCTGGCTCCTAGCGGATAGCAGGAAGTAGCAGAGCGGGTAGCAGGGCAGTGAGACCACTGATAAGAGTATTGATAGGCGATGCTAGTGCTAGAAGGGTCAATTGTTCCAGTTCCGCAAGGGACGCGTAATTTCAGCGCGCGGTTGGCGTATGACGAGCGGAGCGACAGTGTTGCGTATGGGAGTGGTAAGAGTGCGTATGTCACTGGTGTTGGTGCTGGTGCTGGCGGTAGCGAGGGCGGTGCTGGCGGTAACGACGTTGTGCAGTTCACGGGCCATGGTGCCAATGTGAGTGTGGTGCGGTTTGCGCCGGTTGGTGCGTACATGTGTTCTGGTGACGAGTCCGGGAAGGTAATCGTGTGGTCGTGGAACCGGGACGGCGATGGAGGAGTTGAGTGTGTGGTGAAGGCGGAGTTCCAGGTGCTGGCTGGGCCAGTTACGGATATCTCGTGGGACTTTGAAGGGAAGCGTTTGTGTGTGGTTGGCGAGGGCCGGGACAAGTTCGGTGTGTTCATCTCGTGGGACACCGGGAACTCGCTGGGCGAAGTCACGGCGCACTCCTCCCGTGTGAACGCTGTGCACATCAAGCAGTCCCGCCCCATGCGCTGCATCACTGTCGGGGACGACGGTACCGTGGTGTTCTACCAGGGCCCGCCATTCAAGTTTGTGTCCTCCGACAGGACGCACCACGACAAGGGTAAGTTTGTCAGGGACGTGGAGTTCTCAAAGGGCGCTGGCGAGTTCGCGGTCACTGTGGGCTCCGACAGGAAGATCGCCTGCTTCGACGGCAAGTCCGGCGAGTTTGTCAAGTACATCGAGGACGCCGACGAGCCCATCACCGGTGGCCTGTTTGCCGTCTCGTGGCTCGACGAGACCAGGTTCGTCACCGCCAGTGCCGACCAGAAGGTCAGGGTCTGGGACGTCAGGGAGTCCAAGTGCCTACACTCGTGGACCATCGGCGAGCCCAACACCCTGCAGCAGCAACAGATCGGTGTCGTCGCGGCAAAGGACGACCAGATCATCAGTTTGTCCCTGGATGGTACCTTGAACTTCCTGAAGATAGGCGAGGACAAGCCAGTCAGGACCATGCATGGCCACAACAAGAGCATCACAGCTTTGGCCGTGAACCCCTTGGTCACGGGGTCCTATGACGGCAGAATCATGCAATGGGTCCCAGAAAAGATATGCGACTCGAAGATGCAAACGGGTCACACCAACTTGGTCGTGTCCATTGGTTCCAAGGAGTCCGGTTACTCTTCTGTGGCCTGGGACGACACATTGAGAGTCAACAACGAGGTCAAGTACAAGTTCGAGAGCCAGCCTAAGTGCGCCTCCATGGACCCCGCTGGCAAGATCGCCGTTGTCACAACCGAGGACAAGCTGCTGGTCCTAGACTCCTCCACCGGTGAGAAACTGGTAGAGACCGCACTCGACGTGCCTGCCTCTGCGGTCCACTTGTCCGGTGACCTGGTCGCCATCGGCTCGGAGCAAACCAACACCGTGTCTGTCTACAACTCCGGCGACTTGTCGCTGCTGTACAAGCTGCCAGACCCACTGCGTGCCACCCCATCGTGCATATCGATTGCACCATCCCACAAGCTGCTCGCAGTGGGTGACGTGATGGGTAAGATCATCCTGTATGACCTGGAGACCAAGACCGTCAAGACCTCCAGATGGGCCTTCCACACCAGCAAGATCAACGCCATCTCCTGGAGACCAGAGGAAGAGGACCTAGTGGCCACGGGCTCCCTTGACACCCACATCATAGTCTACTCCGTGTCCAAGCCAATGCGCACCGTCAAAGTCCTGAACGCTCACAAGGACGGCGTCAACGCCGTCCAGTGGAAGGACCGCGACCACATCGTGTCTGCAGGCGCAGACGCCTGCATCCACACATGGAAGTTCACCCAGTAGAAACAGCAGTGCACACACAAACATATATATATAACCTCAAGTAAGATACTATAAGCTCTTTTGACACTGTACTTGTATACACATCACTACGAACGACATACATTTAGCTTCTTCCGAGCACCGCGACGGGCGTTTTGGCCTGTTTGGGCATAGAAGCAGCTTTTGGCGACGTATTTGAGCGGCTAGGAGTGCCTGTTTGAGCCTGGAGATGGGCACAAGACGTTGTATACAGCCGACACAGTTACACTGGAGAGCTGTTGTTGAAGGAACGGTGCGAACGGCGGGTAAAAAATGAGTGATTCTGAGACGAAACTGCGGTCTAGGAGCGGTAGCCAGAAGCCTGATTACAAGATCGATACTGAGGGGCTGGAGATCCGGGATGATGATGACAACGATGTGGACTACCATGAGCATGACGCTGAGCATGACGGTGAGGATGGCAGTGGGCGGAAGAAGCGTTCGCGGGAGGATGACGACGAGGATGAGGACGTCTCGCTAGAGGATGACGATGAGGACGAGGACGAGGACGATGAAGATGACGGAGGCAAGAGTGAGGCGCGTGAGGGTCCTCATAAGCGTGCTAGGGCTAAGAGGGCTCGCTCCGCGACGCCAATGGGCGGTGCTGGGTCCACACGTAAGAGCGAGATCAGCTATCCGATCGATGAGGAAGGCCACTTGCTGCCTGTTTACAAGTACGAGTACGAGACATTGGAGGATCCAGAAGGTGAGAAGAAAATTACTGCAGATGGTGATCTACTGGATGGGAGGGAGTTCACTATCAGATCATTCGCCATAGCGGAGAATAACGCCCAGAAATTCATGTTATCTACGGAGGTGGCCAGAACCATGGGCTACAGAGATTCGTACATGTTTTTCCAATACCATCCCAGTGTGTACAAGTTTGTGCTGGGCCAAAACCAGAAGAATCACTTGATAGATCAGAACATTATCCCATACTCATACAGGAGCAGGAAGATCACCATAGTAGCAGCAAAGAGTATCTACAAGGAGTTCGGTGCCAAAGTTATAAAATCTGGAAAGAGTCCCCACGACGATTACTATGTCACAGTGTTCCCAGTTAGAGGTCAGAAACCAAAACCTACAGCAAGTGATCTAAAACGTCAAGAGAAACAAAAATCCGCTACCGCTACTCCAACAGAATTACCAAAGAAACAGAGCCCACTCCTCAGCAACCCTACTTTCTTGGAATATAGAAACTCAGTTGCCAACACGTTTACTGGGAACTCAAAACTAAACTCTACAAACTGGCTTTACCAACATGCAGCTGCATGTAGTAGGTTCAACAGTGATCTATATTATGACAGGGTACGGGTTCTGCTGATAGAACAGCAGGGGCTTAGAGATCCATACACCAACACTTTACATATCCCACAAAATGTTCAATCGACTAAAGTACTGGATTGGTACAAAGAGGTTGATGAAGAACAAGAACCCAACGAGGACGCAATTACTTGTGAGACAATAATAAAGAGCAGCAACATCGCCAGGCCGAAAACGAATCTGTGCGATGTAGCACCAGAGATATACGAAGGCGTGGTTGATGAAGAGACAAAGAAGGCAATCCTGGCACAACAGGAATACGAGAGGCAACTTTACTGAATAATAGGATCCTTGTCATCTTATTACTAAAGGACGGGCTTTCTCTCTATAGAACTATAAAGGAAATAACTGTTGTAACTATATATAACTGGAAGAAGTAAACTTTCATCTTAAATAATCTATAAGGACTTGATGAAATCAGCAATTGGCACGTCACCGTTGGCCAAAGAGATGGTCTTCAGCTTCGTCTCAGCTGGGTGTAGCAAGCTTTGCACAATGAACTCTGCGACATCTTCTCTTTGGATCCTATAGTTGTCGTCCTTCTTTGACTCCAATTGATCCTGTGGCACCAACTTGCCTGTACCGGAGTTGGTGTCAAGGAAGCCAGGTTGTAAGATCGTCCAGTCCAGCTTAGAGTTTCTAACGTATTGGTCAGCAGCCTTCTTGGCGATGTAGTAGTTACGCAGTCCCTCCAGACCCCACCAGAAGTCTCTGTCCTCAGCCTTTATAGCTGAGACAATCACGAACCTCGAGATGCCGGACTTCTCGCAGGCTTCCACGACCTTGGCACAGCCTTCTAGGTCAACGGTGAATATCCTCTCGACACCTTTACCACCAGCACCAGCGGTGAACACCACAGCGTCGCAACCAGTGAACGCTTTCTGCAACTCAGGCACAGTGGCAGACTCAATTGAAGCCAGGGAGGCATCGACACCCATTTCATCCTGGAAATGCTTGACCTGCTCCTCGTTCCTGACAATGGCGACAGGCGTAGCGAAGCTGGCCTTGCTGTTCTTAAGCTTCGCGGTCAACAAGTGACCAATCTTACCGTTAGCACCAACTATAGCAACTCTCAATGGACCCATTTTTTTTTTTGTAGTCTAGCTATATTTCTTGCTTGGGTTACAATGGGGACTAGCCTCGAGCTCCTAAGCACAATGCACAATGCGCAGTGCTTATATATGCCAATTCCTGCATATACGTCATTGACAACATTCCAAGGGGCATGGCATAACCCCCCCGGACACTTAATTAGATGCAAGGGATCGCAATTTAAACTTTTCGTTATTACTAATTCCTCGTCCATAGTTGCCCACAGGCAACGGCATCGGCGACCCGAAACAGCAATCCCAGACGGCCCAAAATTCCACAATATCCAGGACACCACACAGAACCACAATTGACACCACTATACCACACTGCCTGGCCCAAATAAATTCAAAAACTACCACCAATATGCCAATATTATTGCTCGAAATTTCGATTTTATTTTTGAAATTTCCGCTATAATTGCAAACATGTGACTTATACTGCGAGACGGGTGGCGGATTGCGCAAGCGTCCTATCTTCGCTCCTTATAAAGAGAGGAGCTGGGCGTAGCTGGCCATGTTGGAGTGGGGGGGATGCTTCCTCCTGGGCTATTTGAACGTGAATAGAGTAGTCACAGCGATGATCAGGACTAGGATTGGTGCGGTAGCGCGTGTGCGGGTGCCTGTATTTCGGGCGCGGTTTCATTGCGGCCCGGTGTGGCGGAACAGTGCTGACGATGACTTGAAGCGAGTGCAGGAGCGGATCAACGAGTATATGCGCAAGAACCAGCGTGCTGGTGCTGGTGCTGATGCTGGTACTAATGCTGGCACTGATGCTGGTGCAGGTGCTGGTGCTGGCATGGATATGGAGCGGTTCAGGAAGGAGATCGACAGGGAGTTAAAGCGGATGGAGCAGACGATACAGAAACAGACTCCTGAGGCGCCAAGAGAAGAATATAAAGACACAAAGGACGCTAAGGAATCAAGTCAAGAGAGTAAAGAACCACAGGAAGCTAAAGAAAAAGCTAAGGGGACGAAACAAGAAGCTAGAGAAGGGTCCTCGAACGGTGGGAATCCTCCTCCGCCGCCGTTGAATGATCCGAGCGGCAACGCGAACAATATCGGATTGTTCCAGCTGGGTTTGCTTTTCTTCTTGCTATCTTTCTTGCTAGATCTGGTTAATGACACGGAGGGCCAGAAAGAGATCACCTGGCAGGACTTCAGGGAGCGGTACTTGGCTAAGGGATACGTACAAAGATTGGAAGTAGTAAACAAGTCCTACGTGAAAGTGATCCTGAATGACATGGGCAAGAACCAACCTGAGAACTACGGCCAGGAAGTGGTTTACTTTAACCTGGGCTCCGTTGAGAATTTCGAACATAAGCTTGAGAAAGCACAAAACGAGATGGACATCGACCAAGATTTCAGAGTACCAGTACAGTACGTCCAACAAGGCAACTGGGCAAGGGCTGTCTTCCAGATGTTACCCACAGTACTAATGCTAGTAGGTATCATTTGGCTGACCAGGAAATCAATGCAGTCCGCAGGGAACACTCGTGGCGGGATCTTTGGTATTAGCAGATCTAAGGCTAAGAAGTTCAACACCGAAACTGATGTGAAAGTCAAATTCAAGGATGTGGCCGGTTGTGACGAAGCCAAGGAAGAAATCATGGAGTTTGTCAGTTTCTTGAGAAACCCACAAAGATACGAAAAGATGGGTGCTAAGATTCCAAGGGGTGCTATATTATCTGGGCCTCCAGGTACCGGTAAAACTTTGCTAGCGAAGGCCACTGCAGGTGAAGCTGGTGTCCCCTTCTATTTTGTATCAGGTTCTGAGTTCGTCGAAATGTTCGTCGGTGTTGGTGCAGCCAGAGTCAGAGATTTATTCAAGACGGCAAGAGAAAATGCACCATCAATCGTATTTATAGATGAGATTGATGCCATTGGTAAGGCTAGACAGAAAGGTAATTTTTCAGGTGCCAATGACGAAAGAGAAAACACATTAAACCAGATGCTTGTTGAGATGGACGGTTTCACATCTGCTGACCACGTTGTGGTCTTGGCAGGTACTAACAGACCCGATATTCTAGATAATGCCCTTTTAAGACCAGGTCGTTTTGACAGAAGGATTCATATAGATAGACCAGAGCTTGAAGGCCGTAAGGCTATCTTTGAAGTACATTTGCAGAAACTGAAACTGGCAGGTTCAATTTTTGATTTGAAAAATAGATTGGCTGCTTTAACTCCGGGATTTTCAGGTGCTGACATCGCCAACGTATGTAACGAAGCCGCGTTGATTGCTGCCAGACATGATGAGAATGCTGTTAAGTTATCACATTTCGAGCAGGCAATTGAAAGGGTTATTGGCGGTGTCGAGAGAAAAACACGCCTTCTATCTCCAGAAGAAAAACAAGTTGTTGCATACCACGAGGCTGGCCATGCTGTATGTGGCTGGTATTTGAAGTATGCAGATCCATTATTGAAAGTAAGTATTATCCCCCGTGGTCAGGGTGCCCTTGGATATGCACAATACTTACCAGGTGATGTATTCCTATTAAGCAAACAACAGCTTCTGGATAGGATGACCATGGCTCTTGGTGGTAGAGTATCTGAAGAATTACATTTCCAGTGGGTGACAAGTGGTGCTTCAGATGACTTCAAGAAGGTCACTAACATGGCAACAGCAATGGTAACTGAATTAGGTATGTCTGAGAAGATTGGTTGGATCAACTATAAGAAGAACGATGACAACGATCTTACAAAGGCGTTTTCAGAAGAGACCGGTGTGATTATCGATTCCGAAGTCTATAGGATAGTACAAGAGTGTCACAAAAGGTGCACAGACCTCCTAAAAGAAAAAGCAGAAGATGTTGAAAAGATAGCACAGCTGCTATTGAAAAAAGAAGTTCTCACTAGAGAAGATATGATCAACCTGCTTGGCAAGCGCCCATTCCCTGAGAGAAACGATGCATTTGACAAATATTTAAACGAAGCAGAGACCGAAAAGATCAGAAAGAGTGAAGAACAGAATCCGGACGATCCATCTCCATCTGCTGCATAATTCCTTCATCTTTAATTTTTATCTGTCCTAATGACTTTTAAACTATCGAAATGACCTAATACCAACTCATGTATATATAAAAGAACTGGACATCTTAATAGAAGCATATATATTCTGAAATAAAATTCAATAATCATCCATATTTATTGCAATGACTACATTCCTCAATATGCACCACCACCTTATTAGTCATTTGAAGTCACATGGTTTTTCAAGTTGCCTGCCACACCTTAATTTCAATAACAACAATATTTGCGATGAGCTATAATTATAATACATCAATTGTTAACAAAAACCCACCATATTTTTAACTATACTATAACTTATAAATACCTTTAAAGAACCATTGTTACATCATAAAAAGGATGGAGAATCTGGACGAGACCACGGGTCTGCTGGAGCAGACACCAGACACTACAGAACAGGATGCCCTAGAGCAAGAATACCATGAACATAATTTATCGCTACCCAAGTTACCCATTGTTTTATCACTATGGTTAGGTAGTTTTCTAAGTTCACTCGACGGTACCATTGTTGCCAATATCATGAATAGAGTCGCTGAAGAGTTCCAGGAATCAGATAAAAAGCAATGGATTGCTACCAGCTACTTGCTGACTAACACTGCATTTCAACCCCTATATGGTAAGTTATCAGACCTTACTGGTCGTAAATTTGCTGTACTTACTGCACATTTCTTCTTTGGTTTAGGATGCTTACTGACCTGCTTTGCCAATAGTGTGACACAATTCGCCATCGCAAGAGCAATTTGTGGTGTCGGAGGTGGTGGTATAAACGCCATGAGCAGCATAACTGTAAGTGATATATGTACTCAGCGTGAGAGAGGTATCTATCAAGGCTATGCAAACATTGTTTTTGGATTGGGACAGATTCTTGGTGCTCCCATTGGTGGGTTATTTATCGATACTTTAGGGTGGAGAATTCTGTTTGGACTTCAAGTACCCACAATTCTATTATGTTCATCTTTAGTGCACAAAAATGTTAACATTAAACTAAGTCATTTACTTCCTGTTGAAGAGAGATTCAAATGGAGCAACTTGTCAAGAATTGACATTCTTGGTTCTAGCACGCTAGTTTTCACTATAAGCGGAGTTCTTTTCCTATGTTCAACCGAACTGAATAAAGCATTATTATCAATATTTACAGTTATCTCATTTATTGCTTTCATCCTGATCGAGCTTTATTACAGCAAGGAAAGAATCATGCCATTTGAACTACTAAAAGGCTCATTTGGATTAGCTTCAGCAGCAACAGTTATTTCCTCATTTATTATTTTTGGTGATATATTCAGGTCTCCTATCTACTTACAATTGATCCAAGGTGTAAGTGTTACTAAGACCGGTTTTTTTATGCTCTTCCCATCAATTTCTGTAGCTGTTGGATCACTTGCAACAGGCTGGATATTGAGACACACCAAAATGAAACTATCTCACTGTGCTTACTGGATTGTGACCATTGGTATGTCAATCCAGCTACTAGGCCTAGTTGTTGCCTACTATTTGATTCAGAACTTAGAACCTTCTTTATCTGGATCAGCTATATTTGGTGCTTTTGTTCAAATTGGACAAAATATATCATCTCAATCTTATACTTGGGTTGTAATTTATGCTTTAGCGCTAATTTTAGTGTCATTTGGGTATGCTTGCCTATTAGTCGCTACACTAGTTAATATCGTCTTTACCATACCGAAATCGCAACAAGGCACTGTAACCGGCATATTCTACCTATGGAGATCAATCGGTAATGTTTTAGGTGCTTCATTAACATTGGTATTTTACGAGAAGGGTGTCAGCTCGTTTCTATGGAATTATATGTTCAATAAACAGCATGATGATTATAACTTCTCGAAAAAAGAATACAGGAAACTCCTTTCAGATACAAGCTATCTTAGGTCAGGACATTTCCCAGATGGAATACTGTTCGAGTTACTTAAGGTATACAGGAATTCCTTCTTATTATCATATCTACCAAACTTTATACTGGCAATAGCGGGTGTTGCTATTTGTGGAGGGTTACTTGTGGTATCATACGCTCAAGATTAATAACATTATCCAACCAAATCTATAATCCGTTGGAGTTCGATATATATTCATTATATAGTTAGGATTATTTATTTACAACAACAAATCTGTTTTATAGAAGCTAATTTTCATTTAAAATTTGGGTAGCAATTGCTGAATGTCATCTTCTTCCACATTGAAACTCTCAAGTGAGTGGATATTAAGTCCTAGCGCCTGACACTCTTCTAAACATGATTCTAATATGAATGGTTTGAATGGATAACCCAAGAAGTACATTATCAATGCGTTTCGAAGCTCTACAGATATCTTGTCCTGAAGCATGTAAAGGGAAAGCGCAAAGGCCATACTCTTACAACTTATATCGGGTGGTACGCCAGCGTAACCCGTGCATAGACCAGGAATAATTAAACCATCCACATCATGAGGTGCATGCATTACAGAATTCCACATTGCATTAAATACAGGCTCATAACCTGTTTTAAGCTTCTGGGATTCTTGGTAGATAGGTTTTGTTGGAGCAACAACAGTAGGGACATGGATAATGTACTGAATACCATCTCGTAGTTCATTAATATCATTCAGTGGACATCTTGTCAAGTCTATCACTGTTGCAGATCCCACTGTATGATATCTATTACCAAGTTCTTTCCTAAACCAAGATTCAAAGGGCTTACCACCAAAATAGTTGAACAGTGCCAAGTCAAACCCACCACCTAAATAACCGAAAGAGTTACCTGGTGAGACAATGGCATACTTATTACCGGGATGTTTCTTTTTATCAGTTCTCATAGAGTTTATAAGCGATTCCAAAGGGCCATGGTGTGTACAGACTGCCTGCTGTGATAATGTAAGCTTCTTGGGAACATATTGGTGTAATTTCCTAGCTACAACTTCATTGGTATCACAAATAACTATTCGGATCTGATTCATGGACTTTCTTTTGGTGTTGTTTCTTGTCATTGTTAGAGCTACACTAGTTGTTTTCAATTAGCAGGTCATTAGCATCCTCCTTATACATTCATTACATGAAAACAGATCGATGAGTTTATCAATCCTAGAGATGTACAAATAAAGCTACAATTTCTTTGGGATATATTGTAAACGAATAATTTGTTTGAGATTTAACAAATAGATAAAGAATTTGGTTGTACCTACTTAAATGAAGTATAAAAATATGCAGGTTGTATTATTACAGAGTTACAACTTATGCTGGTTGTAGAAAATAAAATCCATAAAAATTTAATACAAATATCTTGAATTAATAGTATATCTTGCCCCTTAGTGATTCTTTTATTTCAATGCTTCTTTCTGCCAAATAGTTTTTTCAACTTCTTACCAAAACCATGATTAACACCTTCATCATTATGCTCATCCTTCCTCATAACTTCGGGGTTACTGTAGATTCTCTTCTCAGTTTCCTCAATATTTGCGAAGATATTTGGCTTAGCTGTTGATCCAGGACCAGCAGTTTGCATACTAGAGGATCTCAAAGAGCCTTTACTATATTGGTTGTTTAATGTCTTGTTTGGTGAGGAATTATAGCTGGAAGTTCTCGATACCTTCTCTCCCATTTCTGAACCGGCTGAAAAATCAGGTTGAGGTGGTTTTAGGAAAGTATTTCCTCCAGTATTTGATTTCTTTTTGAATAAAGAAAACCCGTTAACACGCTCTTCAGACCTGGGTGGAGCAACAGGCGCAGCATTTGCCTGTACTGGTTCTACATCAGAATCAGAATCTTGAAATCTGGATTTCCACCCTGAATTAGTAGATGCTGTAGCTAATTTTGGAGGGGCCTGACCTGGGCTTTCATTCATCATGCTATTGCGTGAACCTGCATTGACAAGAGCCTGCTCATCTGCCCCATCCATAAAAGCGCTGTCCCTTAATGATAGCTTTTTGAAACCCAGGTTCTTATCTGTGTTCCTCAATTTCTCAAAGCTAGACTTCTTTTGAAGTGGCTCTTTTGGGTAAAGAGCTGCATTTAATACTGGATTAACAGCAGGTGGAGTTACCGTGCTCGATGGCACACTAGGGGTTACAGGTTTGGCCTTCTTAGGTGTTATGTTCACTTGCTTAGCCATTTCTAAAGCACGGTTTTTTAACAAAGATTGACGGTTTGACTTATCCTCAGCAGCTGCAGCATTGTTATTCGATGACAATGCGGCAGCAGATACGACACCCATTTTTGTTACACCACCTGGAGTTTTTGTAGTATTTGGTGGTGTTTGAATAGGGCCTTGATATTGTCTGCTGCTTCTATTATAGCCCACTTTTTCTTGTGATTGAGAGTTACTGGTTTTCTTGTACAGCTTTGATGATGATCTTACCGGCATGCTTGCTCTTTTGCTCTTGTCGGCATTTGGATGCCAGTCAATAGGTTCTTCAACCGCTAATTTAGCGTTAATTCTAGTATTCTCTGCGGTAGTCAATGACAGATAAGCACCATCAGCGGGAGAGTTGATATCCGAGTAAACTGATGATGTAGTGCTTAGCGGTCTGGATGACTTCTTCATAGCAGATTTTATAGGTCCTGATGAACCCTGTTTCTTGGGTGAAGTTGCAGGAGATTTCTTAGCTGACGTAGCAGAACCACCCGTTGTCAGATAAGGATTAGCGGATCTGAGATATTGCGCCATATTTTGTGGTTTCTGTTTATTAGGAGATTTGTTTTTTGAAGCTAAGTTCTCTACATTTTCTTTCTGTTCGTCATTTTCCATTACAGAGCTTGAATCCACAAATTCAGAATCAGTAGGAGAACTAACGGTTTCATTTGATCTAATATTGGTTACAATATCATGCTGCAATGTTATGTCATTTCCAACCACATTATCCTGTAGCACATTGTTCTCATTACCTTCATTAGCTCCTTTACCGAATGCTTCGATGCTTTCCTTCAGTTTATTTTCCTCGAACTTCTGTTGTTTCAGTAATGGACTGTCATTGTTGTCTGGCAAATTTTGTTCACTTAATTCTGCTTTAGAAAATTTTTCATTCAAGTCTGTGGTCATCATATCAGTCTTTGAACCTTCCATTTCATCGATCATTTCTTCTGTAGTTAACTGAGAATTAATATCGTTGGCAATGGATTCTTTTAATTCTTGCATTTCATTATCCATAGTTCCAGGTATATTTTCCAACTCATTGATTGAATCTGTCACAGTCTTGTTGTCTTTCATCTGTTCTGAATCAAATTCCGTGATATTTTTAGCAGTATTATCTAGTGCTTCTGGTTCAATTTCTTCCTTCATAGAGTCTTCTTTTGGTGCAATATTAGTCTCCTGGCGTTCACTTTCTTCAAGTGGGGCTGGAATATCTGTAGAGTCCACAGCTACTTCTGGTAGCGGTTCGATATTTACCTTTTCATTAGATGTAGCATCATTTTCCAGTGGAGCTTTTCCATCCTTCTTTTGCTCTTCCATGGTCTCTTCTAGGACTATGTTATCTTCTAATAGGTTCTGTAAACCCGCAGGATTCTCATCTGCTTTAATAACTGATTCATCTATGGCGACAGTCTGTTCTAAAAGCTCTTGTTCAGTTTCTTCCCTCATTGATGTCTCAATTAGTGGAACTGACTCATCAACTTTGTCTACTGCTCTATTAAATGAGTCTTCAGGATTTGATGAATCTATTACTTCCTTTTTCTTAGATGGTTTTTGTGGATTTGATTGCTGAACACTGTGTGAATGTAACGATTGCTGTGAGATCTTTCTCTTTGGACCATTTTTGTTTGATATAGACGTCATAGAGCCTGGACGTCTTGTTAGTGACGAAGTCTTTCTAGGTTGCTCTGTTGTTGCGGGAACTTGTACTGCAATTAAACCATTTTTACCTGGAATATATTTAGTGACCATCTTAACTACTTGTTCCCCTGAGTTACGAACATTAGCAACACCGGATGCTTGTGGTCCGAATTCATTGAAAGTAGATTGTGCATTTTTCATGCGTCTGGTAAAACTTCCACTCCTGCTCACGAGACTATTTCTCTTCGTGGGTAGACTGGAAGTCCTATTAGGAGCAGAGCTCTGAGGCGTTGACGAAATTGAATGCCTTTTCTGGTTAGTAATTGAGGGTTTCCTTTGCACCAAGGACCCAGTTCTGCTGGGAGTCGATTTCTTCTCCTCAGGCTTTCTCAGCAAAGACCCGCGTCTCATATTCATCATGGATGAGGACCTAACAGGAGCTCTCTTGGCCCCTTGTGGCTGCGCTTGCGACTGCGGCTGCTTAGGCATCATTATATTACCAAGCGCTGACGCAGCTGCCACAGCATTCGGGTTAGCATACCGCATCTGGTCATTGTAATTTCTAGAGCGAAACATCTCTGCTCTGGATATCTTCTCCTTTATATCCACCTGTTGGCCTTTATCAAGGATATCTTGCCACTAAAATAAGCGTTTATGGTCGCGAAAAGACACAAAAAGATAGTGAATTAATGTCTTCTGTCTCGATACTATCAATCGAACCTCTGTTATCTGCTGAGCAACAGGAAAAGCTGCCTCAGACACTATACAATTGCTCTTTTAATGGTTGTTTTGTTTTGTAATTTTTCGGCCCCTTCCTCGGGCAAGTTCCCCTATGAAGTAATTTTTCATGACTTCGAATTGTTGGAAAAGGCTGCGAAATGGATGAGCAAGCTAAATAAGACGATATAATGCTGGGGGGATTCGTTAAAATATTTAGTTTTTATACATAGGAAACGTTAAGGAGATTTATCATAGCGTTGCGGCTCTTATGGACCTCTTTTCTGCGACTTTTTAGCATTCTCAGAAAGCCCAATTTTTGGCATTTTTAGTTTACAAGTCTGCTAAAGGCAGAGGATTGAAGAGGATATAGGAGCGGAGCAACCAGTGGAAAGGCGTAGTGTTACATTTATCTGGACGTGTCGACGACGTATCTTCCGATAATCTTGTTGGCTTCCATCAGTTTGTAGACTTCTGGCAGCTCGGATAGACCAACCACCTTGATAGGGGACTTGACTTGGCCCTTAGCGAAGAAGTCGATGGCTTCTCTTGTGTCGGCTCTGTTACCAACGTAAGAACCCTTGATGTTTATGGATTTGATGACATGGTTGAACACGTCGGACTTGACAGTGGCACCAGCTGGTAGACCAACCAGCACCACGGTACCGCATGGTCTGACGTACTCGACGGATTGGCCAATGGCCTTCTCTGAGACAGAGACGTTGATGACACCGTGTGGACCACCTTCAGTGATCTCTTGGATTTCTGAGACCAGGTCTTTGGTCTTGGTGAAGTCGACGAAGTGGTTACCTCCTAGGGACTCGAACAGCTTACGCTTCTCATCACCTGCATCGATACCTAGGACACGCATACCCATGGCCTTGGCGTATTGCACTGCTAGGGAGCCCAGACCACCAGCGGCACCTGAGATGGCGACCCATTGGCCTGGCTTGACGTCGGAATCCTTCAATGCCTTGTAGACGGTCACACCGGCACACAGAATTGGAGCCACTTGGGCCAAGTCGGTGCCCTTTGGAATTTGAGCGGCCTGGATGGCATCAGCTGTTGCGTACTGTTGGAAGGAACCGTCGTGGGTGTAACCGGACAAGTCGGCCTTGGCACAGTTGGACTCGTTACCTTGTTCGCAGAACTCACAGGACATACAGGACCCGTTCAACCACTTGATACCGGCGTAATCACCAATCTCGAAGTTGGTGACACTGGAACCCTTGGCCACAACGACACCGGCACCTTCGTGACCACCGACCAATGGCAATTTGGCACCCAATGGCCAGTCTCCATGCCAAGCGTGCAAGTCAGTGTGGCACACACCAGAGTACCTGACATTGATCAGGATTTCATTAGGCTTTGGCTTAGGGACAGGCAGGTCTTTGTACTCCAACTTACCACCATGCTCATAGAATATAACACCCTTTTGAGACTGTGGAATTGACAGTGTAGATTGCAACCTCAGTCTTAGAGGTCTTCTGGATTGAATTCTGGCAGCAGCAGCAACTCGAGTAAACATCGCTTATAGTGTTTTGTTTAAGTTACAATGATGTGGCACTATAGAATATATATTCAGATCCTACTATTTATATAGTTTTTCCCTTCTCTCTCTCTCTCTTATCAAAAAAGTGTTCTCCTATTGGCAATTGGTTGCTTCTTATATAAGGCCCCATCATTGCAATTGGTCCCTTTGATCATCGACAAGTGAGTGAGAGGGGGTGATGCCAACCAAATTCCGATGGTAAATAAAAGAAGTCAGCTTGCATCTGAGCAGCGATCCCGGTCTTATCAGTAAAGCCCATTGAGAAGCACGCAGCAAGTCCCCTTCCCAATGACAAAACCATTCAACAAAGGACAATCGTCATCAACTAATCTCTACTTGATAAGAAATTTTTCTAATCAATGGGAGCGATGACATCCAATTTTGACCTCTATCGCTGTCAAATTTGCTCGATGTACTTGTTCCACTCTCTCTCTCCCATTGTTCTTTACAGTTCTACTCAGGAACCCTAGAGCTCTAACTTGCTACAAACTCTAATAAGTTGTATATCAGCTCTTCTCGAAGAGTGCCGTCATGTGAAAAGAGCCCAAAACCATAACTTTTTCAAATTACCCGCACGGTCTTGTGCTACTAGTAGTACTTGAACTAGAACTACTAGTACTGGCAACTATATACAACTGAGTAGGCACGATATAGCTGTGTATGTGACTGGTCAACTATATAATGTTGGTAGTGAATTATTGGTTTTCCTTTTTTTGTGGCGGTTAACTTATTTTTGTGTACAATAAATGAGAATTAAATAATAAAAAAAAAATGTATAAATAGCTAGTCGGAATATGCCATTAATATGTACATGCTTATTTACAAAAGTGTTCTATAATAAATATAAATATTATTGGTTATTAGGATTTTGTTTCTTGCCTTTTTTAGCAAGATTATAACAACAACAAATAACAAAAGAATAATAGTCAATAATATTTTTTTGTTAAAGAACAATAAAACTTGATTAGAAAGAAATCTTTCTTAGGAATCAAATGAAGTTTACTCACCAGTTTGTCTTGTCTCTGATTGCTCTGGCTAAATTGGTCATGGCAGACTCGCAACAATTTGGAATTATTTCCATTGCTTCGGGTTCTGACTTGCAATACGCCTCTGCTTTCTTTGACTCCAACAACCTAGTTGTTGGTCATCAGCCAAACAACCAGTTTGCACTTGTTGTCACCGATGATGGTAAGTTGAAGTCCACTTCTGGAAATCAATTCATCGCCGTTGATGCCAACAGTGGAAACTTGAAGGAAGTCAGCGACAGCAACTCTGCGTCAGTTGGGTTCTCAATCAAGAATGGCCACTTGCTGTACTTGAACTCTGAGTCCTTCTACGCGGTTCCTGGAGCATCTTCCGGTGCTACTTGGTCCTTGTCAACCAAGAACACCAACAGTGCCCAGGGAGCCGCGGCTTCCCCTGTTGTCTTGAGGACTCAGTCAACCACGGGTACTGACGTGGTTGCTGATTTCACACCAGCAGCCATGTCTTCTGTGTCTTCGGTGGTGCCAAGCTCCATTTCTTCTGTCCACCCATCATCTTTGGTGTCCTCGGGTTCAACCTTGGTGCTATCTAAAGCCTCAGGGTCAGCCGTCCCAATTTCCCAAATCGGTGATGGACAAATCCAGGCCACTGCAACTTCCCATGTTCCACCTGTTCAATCGCACAATGGTGCCATTGGCCAGCACGGTCCATACTTGGGAATGCATGCAGGCGTTGCCGCCGCAGCTATTGCATACCTATTGTAAAATGTATTTGAAAAAAAAAAAGGTAATGAAAATAAAAACTGATTTTTACCCCATCTATTTTTATATTTCATTACCTTATTTTACTAAAACATGGTATCAGTTAAGTTTCGGTTATTGGTTTTTGTTCTTTAATTATTTATTTTTACTATTATGAGAAGGAAAAAATATATTATAAAGTAATAGTTGAAAACCTCCATTTAAAATATTAGTAATTGGTAGAAAAAAGAACCATTTCTTGAGAGGAAAATATGGGAAGTTTGAGGGCCTATTTATATGTTTTTTTTTTCCTCTTCTGAATAGTTTTTATTGCTATTGCTATTATTTTTTATTTGCAAAGCACCTTATTTTATCTGCTATTATATTCAGTCCAACGCTATGTGAATCCTTGAATGATTTCCTCATTTTTAATTTAGTTTTTAATGGGGGAAATATAGGGTATTTTATCCCGGTTTGGGTTTCATGCAGTGATTTCAACTATTGATATGTGAATTTGAATGGAACTATTATACCCTGTTTTTCTATATTTGTATTGTTCCTCTTTCACAGAAAAAAAAATTAGAAAATACTAAATAAAAAACACACTGGGAGGATTGTAAGGTCAAGCCCTATTCAAATCCCTTGAAATTGTTAGTTTCTCTAGTTTTGGAATTGATTTACAACAACTCCATTGAAAATAGGAAATATGTATACTACATAGTTCTGTTTAGTTCGTCCCAATAAAGTTTTATTCTCCTTTAACAGTTTCAGTATAACCCAGCAGCCTGCAGTAGCTATGCGATTGGTCCTTGTAGCTTGTCTAAATACATGCAGTGATATCTTGCTATATGCAATTTATTAGCAGCAATAGCATAGTGGAGCATATCTACATCGACACATATTAGCAAGTCCAAAGGTTGATTAGGAAGTTGTACGTCTGTTTCTGTGTCTGAAAAAAAAAATAAGTGCGAAAGTGAAAAAAGTTGGCAAAGCGATGAGCTCTTTGGGAAGTATAAGTTTGAAGCACATGCTGTTGTGGCTGGTTCTGTGCATCAGTGAGACGGAGCGGAACAAACATGGATGCTAGAGAGGAGTTGCTGGCGAAGCACAGGAAGGAGAAGCGGGACCTGGTGAACAGGATCACGGGGATGAAGAAGCAAGCGACGAAGGCGAAGAGGAAAGAGGTGAATAGCAAGTGTGAGCAATTGGAGCAGGAGCTGAGGGAGAAGCACGAGCAGGAGCTGAAGGAGCTGGATGGCGAGGGCGGTGACGTGGAGGAAGTGACCCCCGAGCAACTGCTGGCACAATTGCAAGTTGAGGATGACGGTGCCAAGGAAGCCAACGAGGCCAACGAGGCCAAGGCAGACAAGGAAGCCAAGGTGGGGCCCAGCCAGCAGCCAAAGAAGAAGAGGAATAGACAGAAGGAGAAGCTTGCTAGGAGAGAAGCTGAGATAGCGCGGATGAAGGAAGAGGCGAAGAAAGAGGCTGCCGAGCAGCCGGACCTGAAGAAGATCGAGCAGGACGCCATATGGCAACTCTGTCAGATGAAAGGTCTTGTGCCATACGACATCCAGCCTGATGGCCATTGTCTGTTTGCCTCCATCTTGGACCAAGTCAAGACACGTCACGGAGACCCCCAAACAGAGATGGACGTGCATACCTTGCGGTGCTTGGCGTGCGACTATATCTTGGAGCACAGAGATGAGTTTATTCCGTATCTGTTTGACGAGGCTACAATGTCTCTGAAAGATATCGATGAGTACACTGAAGAGATGAAAAGTACTGCCAAGTGGGGTGGTGAAGTGGAGATTCTGGCATTGTCAAAGGCACTGGACTGCCCAATATCGGTGCTGATGTCTGGTCAAGCAACACACACCGTCAACGAGACGGGCTCGAAGCCTGAACTGAAACTGGTCTACTACAAACACACATATGCTCTGGGTGAGCATTACAACTCCCTAAGAGACAGCAAGATATAAAGACAATAGAGAAGATATGGCTTTGGGCCCACACATGTGCAAGCTCAGTAACTGCCTACTTCAATTTCAGCAGCATGAACCCTATCTGCCCCAGATGAGCAAATACCATACCAGACTTGGGTATGTCCCCGGCTGCGGTCAGTTTACATGAATAATACACATAAATATAGCTCTAAAGAGAAACACTTATGTATAGGTCACGAGCGTGCTGCGTGTATAGTTATTTTACTGACGCGTCAGCCATTTTGATTTTTTTCGGAAATTTTTGGTGTCGCATCACCATAACAAAGCTGAAACGAGCTAGTCAGCGGCATCGCGGCAGTCACAGCTCTTATATATTGCCAATGCATTAGGCTAGCAACTATCTACATAGTAACTGAACTTCTGTGCTCAAAAGGCGACGAATTCTTATCACTGAATTGGGTTTCTATAGGAAGCTGAGTAGTCGAAATTACAAGGTTTAAATCAATGGCAATGCCAGGCGCAGTACGGAAGTTGCAATTCAGCAAGCCGATTATATCTACTTTGGAGAATACTATTGCAGCATCGGAGCTAGTTGGTAGGTTATGCAATTTGCATGAAGAGCTGGCTCAGTTTGTGCAAGATCAGGTTGATCTGAGCAGTCTGGACGCGGTTAAAGGAGATCTCATTAATCACAAATTATTGAAACACAAGGATCTTGGGGTGCGGGCGTTTACAGCATGTTGTTTGAGTGATATATTGCGTCTGTATGCTCCTGAGGCTCCGTATACTGATGGACAACTCACGGATATCTTTAAGCTTGTCCTATCACAGTTCGAGTACTTGGGGGATCCCGATAATGGCTACTATGTTCAACAAACATACTTGATAACAAGATTATTAGAATACAGGTCGATAGTGCTTATAACAGATCTGCCTACTTCCGATAAATTGCTATTCAGACTATTTGAAATTTTCTATGATGACAACCACAGCTACCAGAATAAATTATTTAATGTTATTGGAGGGTTACTTGGTGAGGTTCTATCAGAATTTGAGAATATGCCTCTGAATGTTCTCAAGCTTATCTTCAACAAATTTTTAACATATAATCCCGAGAAAGCGCCAAAGGGGTTGGGAGTTGCTTCAAATTGTGGTTATGAGGTCAGTTTAATACTATGTGAAAACTATACTGCTCGCATGAGCAGATATTTAACAAAATACTATTCTGAAATTCTTTATAATATAACAAATGAGAAAAATATTGATGATTCTTACGAGATGAGAACCAAGCTGATTATAGCTACTGAAAAGTTGCACAAGCTTGTCTACCGCCTTTGGGAAACAGTACCAGATTTGATACTATCAGTAATTGGGTTTGTTTACCATGAACTGTCATCAGAAAATGAGATCATAAGGAAGTTGGCGACACGGTTAGTAGGTAAAATGATATCAAAGAATACAATGGCTAATTTTGTACAAGCACATGAGGATACATTTAAAGCGTGGATGACAAAGATCGCTGACATTGATGCAGATGTACGTGTCGAATGGATTTCCTGTATTCCAAATATCCTCGAAGTCAGAAGTGACATCTCTGATGATATTGGGCATGGTCTGGCCAAAACATTAATCGATTCAGACGCTAGAGTACGGAAGTTGTCAGTCACCGTATTTGATGAAGTACCTGTAAAGGCTATTTGGGAAAATGTCAAGAACATATCTGTGTATAAGTCCCTATTACAACTGACGAGAGAGAAAAATAGAGAAATAAGAGAACTCTGTATTCATTCTGTTGGAAGGTTTTATGCAGAATCAAGGAGAAATATTGAAAAAGAATCATATGATACCGAAATTTGGTCTATAGTCGAATCAATTCCATCAACATTATTCAACTTGTATTATATTAATGATGCTCACATTAATCAATGGGTTGATGAAATAGTCTTTGATTACTTACTGCCATTTGAAGACGATGATACTAAGCGCGTGAGGGAGTTATTGTCAATTGTAAGTAAATTGGACAAAAAGGCCTTTTCTTCATTCATTGCTTTTAATAAAAGGCAAGTTCCTAGTGCAGTGGCTATGGCCAAATTTGTCGAATTTTGTGAAGTTCTAAAACAATCAGAATATGAAGATGATTTGGATACAATACAAAAATATAATAAAACGATAGACTGGTTATCATCCAGCATGGCTGATCCCATTAAGACAGCGGATGTTTTAGAAGCCATTAAGGAGCTAAATATGGGAAGGGTATTTTTCTTGATAAAAAACTGTGTTAGAGCTGATGTAACATATTCAACTTTTAGGAACAGTTATAATGAGTTGCTAGATAAATTAGGTGACGATAATCTTTTCAAAAAAAATAGAGTTAAGAACTCAACCTCAGTGAGTCCACAAGATATTGCGCATGAGATCAAAGCATTGCTTTTGCGCTCCTCTCCAATAATATTCAACATTTCAAATATTGGAATTTTGCTAGATAATTCTGTATTTGAAAATGAGGCTGAAACTAGTCTGAAGCGTAAACTTGTTAATGAAGTTTCGAAGATTAGTCCGACTTTATTCAGAGATCAATTAAAAAACTTGAAGGACACAATAATCTACCTCGAAGATTTCAATTCCAGACAAGAGCAAGCTCTTGCAACAGAAGCCCTTAAAACAATATACAAAATATCCAAGTCAGTTGAGGACAACAACACCTTTGATGACAAATTATTTTCAAGTAAGTTAATCGAGTTTGCTTTGAATGGCTCCCCTCAATTAGCTAAATATGCAACAAAGATGATTGCATTATCACCTGATAGTGAGCGTGAACTCAGGGGGTTGGTATTGAAAATATTACCACTAGATATTGATAAGGACCAAAATTTCACCTCTCACCTAGCGATCTTGATGGAAGTTTTTAGATTTACCCCACACCTCCTTGATGATGAATCTACCAATATAGTTTCTTATTTGATTAAAAATGTTCTATTGTCAAATTATAAAATTGAAGAGGATAAGGTAGAGGAAGGTGAATCTTTATTTGAGGAGCATATTGCGGAGTCAAACGAGCATGCTTGTCTAGCAAATAAACTATTCACTCTGAAACTCTTTACCAATAAGCTTAGAGCACTTTCTTTACATGATGATGATGATGATCTTTCAAAAGCATTTATTGAGAAGACACTGAAGTTATACATCTACCTTATTGCGAGTGGTGGTGAATTAGTATCTGAGACTTCTTCGAGTAAGCCGACACCAGAAGCATATCAAACCATTCTTAGATTATCGGCTGCTCTTCAAATATTGAAAGTTGCAAGAATTTCAAGCCTAAATACATTTATCAAGTCAACAGAGATCTGTAAATTGGTTAACATTGTTGAAGATGAATCTCTAGAAGTACGCAGAAGATTTTTGGATCAACTGAAAGACTCTCTGTCATGCGAACTTATCTCAATTAAATTTTTGCCACTAATTTTCTTTACTGCATATGAACCAGATAAAGAACTGAAGGCAAGCACAAAGATATGGATTAACTATACCTGTGCAAAGCCATCATTCAAAAAAGGAACGTTATTTGAGAGGGTTCTACCAAGGTTAATACACGCTATAGCGCATCATCCTGATGTTATAGAAGGGTTTCAAGGCACTGAAGAGGAAGTAATAATAGCCTTAACAACAGCTGTTGATTATTTAGTATTTTACTTTGATTCGGTTGCATCCCAGGAAAATTTTAGTTTGCTGTATTATCTTTCTGAAAGAGTTAAGAACTACCAAGATATACTTGACGAAGATGAAGAGAGTTCCGCAAATGAAGATGATAGCATAAGCAGATGGAAGCCATTCCAGTATATATATGTTGTTGGTGAGTTATCCCAGATTATTCTCTTGACTATAAAGGAAAGGAGATCTTGGCAGCATATAGCTTATCCAGGTAAATTAAACTTACCAAGTGATTTATTCAAGCCTTTCGATAGTGCTGAAAGTGCTCAAGCTACCTTCAAGAACTATTTGAGCGAGAAGTACGCTGAAAAGATCAAGGGTAACATTGTTGCCAAGGTAGGTAAATTGATCCATGCCTCTCAAACACAAAGGCAAAGATCTCAAAAGAGGTTGCTTGATCAAGAGTATCGTGAAGACACTAGTCCCAAAAAACAGAGGACAAAAGGTAGTAAAACCCAAAGGAAAGATAGACAGAACGATGGATCAGATATTGAATCTGATGAGGAAATATATAGAGGTGGTAATGTTGAAGCGAATGCATCAGGTGTTAGAAAGAGTAACAGAGCAAGAAAGCAAGTTGATTACAATGAGGATGATTAATATAACATGTTCTTTATTGAAATTTACCGTCTTATTATAATGCAATAAATATATACAGCATTTAAGAATTTGATGCTAGTTACAAAATAAATCATTCATTCATAAATAGTTCCTCTTGATCGTTAAATCTTTGAGGTTTTGCTTCAATTATTATTCGTAGTATCTTTAATCATCACTTAAATCAAGAAACCTAAGGATCTCTTCTTTTGGTTTAGACTCTATAATTTTTTTTAAAGCTAGTAAAGCCTGAATATCTTCATTCTTAGTTTCATTTTGCGGTTGAATTTTAGCATTCAATTTAGATGTCAATTCGCTGAAATCCCACAATTGTTTTAGCTCTTTTGACTTTTTGAACCTAAATTGAAGTAAGGTCATTATGTCTTCCTTTTCGTCCTTCTTCAATGTACACATAAGCTGCTCTAATATTTTCGATTGAGCACTAACTGACTTCCTAAACTCATTTTCCTTTACCTGTCTTAGCTTTTCTTCAAAGTCCAGTATAAAATTAGACTCATTAAGTAAAGGGATCGGCTTGTAGGCCACGTTGATATTTCTTGCATTCTTGGGAGGAAGTGCAGATATTTCATCTAAGGCAACTTCAATATTACCTTCATTTCTATATCCACAGCTTTGTAACGGTTCCATATACCTTTGATTCTTGATAAGTTTTCTGCTTTTCTTTATCTTAGATTGATCATCAAACTTGGTAGTATTTGGTGGTTCGGAATGTAGTGGGCATTGCCATTTAGATCCCAAGTTTTTCAGCGATGCCCTTGGTACTTCTGGAACACAATCTAAGTGCCATCTAGTATTACAATAATCGCATTTTATCAGTAGTCTAGCTTCTTCGGGATGAGACCAACTACCTAAACGACTTACACCACAACGATAACATGTGAGAATCTTACCTGTGGTTTGGTCTATATGACTGTCCAAATTATATGAATCTAGTTTTGTGATACTTTGACCGTAAGGACTGTTAAAAATCGGCTTGTCACTTAATGGTTCTTTAATAGTGTCATCACTATATTGTCCTCTTGGGCCAGTCTTCACCGATTGGAAAGTTTCTTTTATAAAATTAGGTAAATTGAACTGTCTTGGATTTGTGCCTTGTAATGAAAATAAGAGTTTTCCAAATAGACGTTTTCCTTTTGGCATTTGTGCTGTATATGCCTTTTGTGCTTTGAGGTATTGTGTATTATTTGCATACCTCAGTTTTACCATACATTGTGGGCACGACCAATCACCTTCAGGAAGGTGGTCAGGGTCAAGTGGAGGGTTTAGGCATAAAAAGTGGAACGATTTTGGGCAAGTGTCGCAGCACAAAAAGGACCCAGTTTGAAAACAAGCTGAACAGTAATCGTCATTCTCAATCTCTTGTGTAGTGCCATCTGATGATTTCTTTTTAGCCATAGCAATGTCATTCATCTGGCCAACAGGATTTTGACTTATAAGTTTTGTTTTGGAATCAAATGCATGAGTATCCTTCAGTTTAGTTTTTATATGCGGATTGTGCAAATTGATCCCTTTCGGCACAAGGACATGTTCTGTTTTGGAAGAGCTTTTCACTTGATGTCTAATGTGACTTGGTTTTGTAAGTTCTCTCTCTTTCTCGGTGGTTGCCTTGGCTTGTAATAGCAGCTGTTCGAATCTTTCGGTGAAATTTGGTTTTTCTTCATTATCTTTAGATGACTTTGCAGCAACAGCTGCTGAAAGCAAGTACTGACCCGAATTAGATTTTTTGAAATTCCATAAGTACTCCTTCTTCACTTTATCAGGTGGGAACTGACTTAACGGTATGCCATTAGCACCGTTGACAGTTTCAATTGTTGGGGGTTCATTAACCTTCACTATTTCGCCCTTTCTGTTATACTCTATGATATCCTCGGCTTTGAATTCAGGTCCATTTGTTGATCCCGTAGGTGTGCCATTACCAGTGCTGCCTGCTTCAGATTGATCCCCATTCTTCTTTCCAAGGTTTAAATCCTCCGTAATAATCTTCCTTTTCTTCAAGTCATAGTCGACATTTTGGGAGGAAGAACGTTTCGGTCTACTCCTGCCTCTCTCGTTGACTTTTTCCAACTTCACCTTGACCTTCTCTAAGCCATTTATAGTCTTACCGTCAGAAGCAGGAGTCACAGAAGATCCCTTCGATGAAGTATTCGAGCTTTGTCCCGACATGGTAAAACTTATCCTTCCGATTCCTCTTGTTCAAAGATCAGCCAAACTGTTTTATGGACTCAGAATTTGGCAATGTGCCTATATATGTCAACTGTCTGGATCAGTTGCTTCGTCTCAATCCCCTTGTTCTGCAACCTGGGCTTATTGCTGGGTGATACCAATTAGTTACCTGGACTTGCTGGGAATAGAAAGAGTATTGCTGCCTGTCTGTGTGCTTGACAGAACTTTTTTTTTTTTCACAATCTCGTGTTCTCGTTTTTATCACCTCGCTTTCACAGCTGATTCACTGATCAAAATGTCGAAATCGCAGAAAAGCTTCAAAGTTGATCAAAGTTGCTCTTCTTTTGGGTTGTTTTTTGGTGTTTTTTTTAATAAAATTTTTCTTAAATTTGAAGGCGAATATATATACTTTGATCTTGTAGATGATGAGAGAATAAAGGATGTAATGGAATCCGTATATCCTTGGGAAGGGGGTGAACAAGCAGAGTGTATTTGTTTGGGGGTGGTGAGAAAGGGAGAAGTCATACCTTTTTGATGTATATAAATAATAAGTAGTAATGGTTCTTGCAATGTAATAGGGAAAAAAATTTAGCTACTCTTGAGGCTTAGAAGTTGAAATATGTTAGTTATATTCAAAGTATCCTTGGTTAACACACGCTGTGGCGGTTGACTCTCATAGACAGAGAGCTAGCATAGAAAAAAAATTTTAAAAAATAATTAAATGATTTCGCCCAGGATCGAACTGGGGACGTTCTGCGTGTTAAGCAGATGCCATAACCGACTAGACCACGAAACCATGTTAATTTGTTGAAAGTGACAACATATTTTGTTACCTGGTAGAGTAGAACTTATTTTATACGTTTATGTCACATGATGCTCATTTTACCTTTGGTGGGCAATAGTAGAAACTATATAGCTCGCTGGTGAAATACAAATTGTAAGAAGGGACCATCTGAAGTTCAGATTTGTATCTTCTTTATTGTTGTCAATCACACAGGGATAATTAAAATATAGTGTGTGACTTTGTTTTGCAAGGGGGGGAAGGGTCTTACTAGAAAGTAATTTATTTGAGCGTAGTTCTGCATGTGCAATTTGCGTCATTTTTATCTTGGTGTAGTTCTTTCATATTAAGTCTAACTTTTTAAAAGAGCCTCCCAATACGTTTGCATGTATTTTGCAATAGGTAGAGCATATTTTCCAATAATTGCGCAAATACTTTTTTTTCGAAACAATCTGGAACCATAGTGGTAGCATCATCAAGCTTTGGTTATTTTGCAAGCACTCACAGAGATGTGCGTAACTATCTGATCCGAGGAACGATCTATAGGCCAATTAAGCAATTGACCTACAGTAACGTTGACTGTATCACTGCTATCATTGTTAGCTTTTCTTTTTTAAAAATTATAGTTGTAGTAATTCAACAATACTTATTGTTATTCATCGGTGGTATATTACAAGATTAACATGCAGGACAAAGCCTTTTTTTTATCCCTCTATTATGCCCAGAGTTTGAAAAGTAGATGAGCTGTATATTACAATACATCATTGTATGTCATGAAATATGGCTATTGCTATATGCATTTGTCTTATTATTGCAGGTATCTACGACATTCGTACCACTCAAATCTAAAAAAATGTCCTATAAACGGTAGTCAACTCGCAACAAACGCTTCGTTTCGTTTACTTTATATTACAAAGTTGTTTCATCTCAAATAAGAATGTCTCGACATAATACTTTCATATGCAGCAAAATGTAATATCGCGGAACAATCTGTACAACTCTCGCAAAAATTCACATCATATGTTATCGAAAATGTAAGCATGTCAATGACGTAGTGGTGCTGCTATGCCTAAGGGATGAATTGAATGCTGATGTTTGTTTGTGTTTTTTTTTTTGGCATATAATTTTTAATATTGTTAGAACAGTCCTAGGCAGCTAGGAACAAGATCCTTATTAAGTAAATGCAAGTATGTATTAAGAGAGGCGGGGAGCTTAGTTACAGCACATTGTTGCCCGGCAAAATGACTCTTCCTGACAAGATTGCCAGCAATAATGATGTGGGTATGAGGCTAAACGTCTTTTTTAGAAAAACAAATTAAGCCTTTTTCTTATTCCTGTATTGTAATACTCTCGCACCATCTATGACATGTCATCCGATAACACCTTGGGTGCCCTCAGAAAACAGTGTGAGTTTTATGCTTCTCTAATATCATATTTGATTGTTTCATGAGGGTGAGATCAATCTTGTAATAGTATAATCGCTCGACAAGGAGTATTTTATTTAATTATCTGCCAATCTTTTCTTTTTTTCTTCCATAATTGCCACCATTTCCAGGGTCCATGTGAAATGTATAGTAAGCTCGATGAAAATGCGAGTTCGAGTATTCTACGTCTTGCTGTACTTATCAGCAGCGGACCCATCACGGGGTTTAAGCGTAAGGTCGACATGGAGTCTACAAATCGGGACAAGGGTTCCGGTGTGTAGCTATATGCATACGTTTGTGATTGATCCTCCCCCCCCCCTCACACATCATTCCCTCTATGCCTGCGCTACTCAGTTCGAGTTTTGCTTTGGTGGGGGGGGGGCTGTCTCGATGCGAGGTGGAAGGTAGGTGGGGGGAACGGAGCAAAGGCAATCTTGGCATTTTGGCACATCGGCGAAGTTTCTCCTTTCAGCATCCATGTAGAGAATAGAGGTCGGATGAGGGAGCACAAAATAATCGGATTAGTCCCCCCCCAATGCATGAGGGATTTTGAGTTTGTCCTTTTACCCTTCTTGGTGATCGCTGTTAAGAGGATGTCGGTGCCAACCACACTAAACCCTTTTTGCCCAACAGTGGTGCCCTTGTTACAGGTAACGCACTTTATTATGCTGTGATGGCTGGAGAGGGGAGGAACGCTTATTTGAGAGAAAGGCAAGCGTATACTCGCGACTACGAGGGCTTCCAGGAATCTAGAACATATTCCTAAACAGGCAAAATGCCAAGAGTTTTCAAGTTCTTTTCTTTTCGTTTCTTTTTTTCAATTGCTGACGCTGAGTTATCATGCCCATGTATGCCTTGTGAGGGCAACGCAGGAGGGCCTTGAAATCTTGACAATATTCCTCGTAGCGTAGATCATGCTCCTCGCAGGGCTAGCTGAATCAGATTTCACGCAGGGCGCACAGAGAACGAGGCAGTTGTAGGTAGGGTCGATCTCAGGTGGGATGCAAGGGAAAAGCAGAAGTGCTTCGAGCGTTTCTGTGTTCAGGAAGGAAGATTTGAGTGGCATATTGAAGGAAGCGGGTGCATTATCCAAAGGGCCTAAATATTTATTTTTTCTTGGCATTTTCCAGAAAGAGATGAAGTAAAAAAAAAATTTCTGCAGAGACGAGTACGTAGAGAGTGTGTGTGCAACATACGAAGGGCAGGGCTACGTCATGTTTACAAGGAAATCCGTCTATTTTTAGGCACACAATGCTGACGTTCTGTGATTTCTTATGTTTCGGAGGGGAGAAAGTGAAGGGGGGGAGGGGAAAGATTGGCTTTTCTCGCTGTTTGACTAATTCACGGTTAAAGAACAACAGAAAGCAGCGCAGGGAGGGTACAGCATTGCAATTCCTTGTTCTTGTTCTTGTTCTTCTATGTTCATCCCATAGTTCGGCTGGTACACCCCGATAAGAGATGATTTTTTTCTCTAGGAAAAGACACAGTGCTACGCGTGGTGACCTGCTCGTGTAGGTCAATGGGTCCTGCTGAGGTGTATAGGGGGGGGGGGAACGACTCCTGCAAGGTATCAGCCGTTTTTTGTCTAATGGGCTAAGTGGTGTTGTCTGTCATTTGTGTCCCTACTGCTGTTCAGTGGCAACCGTATTTGTGCTGGTTGGCCCTTATCAATGAAGCGAGAAATTAAGGATAAGTGAGGGAGATACAGTTCAGTTAGAACTGCCTGTAGCAGCGAGGCGGGAAGAGAATTGGGTAACTCTGTGTTATAATCTGTTGAGTTGAGTTGAGTTGTAATTCTACTTTCCTTTTTTTCTGTAGGGTCTGTTCTGGGTCACATCCTCGGTTTTCTGCACATGGTTCTGTGTGATTACAAGCTTTGTGTCTATCAGTTGTTGTAAGTTTTAGCGTTTGTGAAGTGCATGCGTGTGTTTCTAGCACAAGGTGTTTCAATTTCAAACTTCTTTGCTCTTCAACGATGCATATCCTCCCACATCGACACCGGCACAGACAATACTGTAGCCTTATTAGGTAGAGTGGGAAGAGATTGTAAATATGTGTATACTCGACAAGAGAGTTGATCCGGAAATCTCCATTCCCTTGGTCACACAAACACACGCACTCGTCATTGTCATTGTCATTATCATTATCATTGTCATTGTCATTGTCATTGTCATGCATAGGTGTAAGTGCATTTAGATACCATGTATTGCAACTGCTTCATCTATGCTATTTGCATTTTGAGGTCCAATCTCTCTTCTGCTCCAACTCATATGCTATACTCTGCACTTCCCACATCCTTTTGCTGCGTTTTAGTTCAATACATGAAGGGGGGGGCTACATAACAAGCCGCGGACACTCTCACAGACACAATTTGTGTTTTTTGCGCAAACATAATTTGCACCACTTTGGTGCGTGAGTTTCTGACCAAAGTGATCCGTGGTCATCTGGCAACCACAGTCACACCTGCAGCGACTGTGTGAGAGGGATGTAGTATATCAAATCAACACACTTCAACCTCCCCTTTTCCAATTTTTCCCCAGAACCCTACGCACGCATACATAATTGCTTTTTTATTTCGCAATGTCATTTGCTTGTTATTGCCTTCTTCCCCTGCCGTTCCTCTGCAGTGCAATGTGATCAACGGTATTTTTTTTCTTCATGTGCAGGTTGTTCTTCTTTGGAATGCTGCGAATGAATAGCCTCTCATTTTCTGCTTCTTGCTTTTGAAGTTTTGAGGATCCGAGAGGAAAAGGCGGACAGATTCAAGGCTTTTTGTTTTTCTAGGAACTGTGCAGTATATTCTAAGCTTGTTTCAGAAGAAAATGCTAATACCACTGCGTAAGTCCCCATCCTGCAGCGTTCCCTTCTACCTTCTAACCCCCCCCCCTCCAAGGACGCCTTGTCATCTAACCCTGCGTACATCCCACTGCAAATGTATTTTTAACCCTCATCCTGATCCTCATCCTCATCCTCATCCTCATAACTCCCATAACTCCCATAACTCCCATAACCTCCCAAATCCCTAGCACCTCCACCACACAGCACTTTCTCCGCGTCGAGACTCGAGTATTTCTTCTCTTCAGCTATCTCTCCCATAGGAGTTACTGTTACTATAACCGGCAGAAATGTCCCAAAAAAACAGCTTCCCACAGCTTCTCACAGCATGCCAGCGATACTGCTATTTGTCCCCACCATGGGGGATTCGAATTCGAAATCAGACAACGCCAAGTGCGCAATTTGCCCACCAGGAATTTCCTCTCGCTAACAAAAGCCATCTAGCGTAAATGGTATGTGCAATATAGTCTCTCTGCAAGTAATTGTTCCGTCTCTCTTCTGATTCCCTTTATTCCTACCCCCCTCCACTCAACTGCCGCACAGATACACAGACACACAGACAGACACAGACACACAGACACAGAGACACAGAGAGAGAGATCTCTTTTTTCGCAATCCGCTAATCAAAGAGGAAATCGCTGCACCATTATCTCACTTATCAATCCCATCTCTCTGTTTTTTAAAAATAACAAATTAGCCATTCTATTCGTAAGAGTGATCGCAGAAGTATTCTGCAATTGTTTAAAAAATTAATTTTAAATTACTTGATTCCTCTAACCCATTATCTTCTAATCCATGTTTAATTAAAACTCAAAAGACAAATGAGGTCCCAAAAAAAAAAAAAACTTATAAAAGGGATTTGATGTTATCGATTTGTAGGATATTCTGTAAATTAATTTTGACTCCTTGTGATTTTGAGGTTAGCATAAAACCACAAAAAACACTACCTATTATGATTGCGATGGACGACAGATACTACAACCTAGAGAACAAGTTCGTACCAGTAGGACTGCCCGCCGTCAGTCCCTCTGCCCAGTACTACCCCGCCGATGCTTCTAGGCCTCAGTCTAACGTGCAGTCGCCTGTATACTACGTGCCTCAAAACCAGATAAATTACATACAAAGACCCAGCGTCTCGTACGTGCCAACAATGGAGGATCAGCAGTATACCTACACGACAATGGCGCACCCTCAGCAACAGATGATTCTGCCCGTTAGGAACGCTTCTCCCATTGAAGTCCAACAGCAGCAACTGCAACAGCAGCAACTGCAACAACAACAACAGCAGCAACAACAACAGCAACAGCAACAACAACAACAGCAGCAGCAGCAGCAGCAGCAGCAGCAACAACAACACCCACTTGTAAAATTACCACCTATCTCTGCTATCATTCCACCAGGGAACTCTTCCCCAGTAAACACTACAGGACAAGTACAAACGTCCGATCAGGCCAGGAACTATAACCCGGGGTTCCGCCAAGACGTGCAGATCGCTCTGAACCCTAAGAGCCTCTCGGCACCTACTTCAGGAAGGAACTCCATCTCCATAAACCCGCTAATGTACAACCCTCACCAGCAACAGCAACTACTGGCACTGGCTGGTGTAAGTATTCCACCCACGCTGATGGAGCACCAGCTTACTGACGCCATGACGAAACAAGAAATAAAACTAACGAAAAGACAACTGAAGAAAGCTACGACCAGACTCCGTAAACAGTGTCCCGTGTGCGGAAAGATCTGCTCAAGACCATCCACGCTTAAGACACACATTCTCATACACACAGGCGACACTCCTTTCAAATGTACTTGGAAGGACTGTCGCAAAGCATTTAACGTCAAATCAAATTTACTAAGGCATTTGAAAAGTCATGAGAAAAATAGCCTCAACAAAAAATAAGAAAGAAATCGCTACACTATGCATCCGCTATTGAAAGAAATGTTTTCAGTTCTACTTTGTTAAAATTATTTTCTTTTTTTTTTTTACTTTTGGTTTGTTTTTTCCAACTTTGATGAAAAATCCTTAATATTTAATTTATTCCTATCCATCGGTTTAACCTGTTTGTTTGTTTTTTAATTTCTTACAGTTTTGTTACTATTATAGTTCCTTTTCCTAACAGCATTTCCAAATGAATGGGGAACCCATGTTTATAGAGTTGTTACATTAGAAAAAAAAATTTATAAAAGAAGCTGGAACTCAGTGTTTTATCCCCCTCCCCCCTGCTCCTGTTCAACCAGCTATCTTATTTATTGTATATCGTGAACAAAACTTATATATATAATATATTATCCTCATCTATCACTACACCACAACTTCATTTTTTTTTCTTATAATACTCCATACGCCATTTGCAGCCCCAGCAATTCTCAATACACCGGTTGCTGGTCCACAACCAGAAGAGCCTTTTTCTTTGCTTTTCCTTCAAAACGGGTGACTCTGATGGTCGGTGACTGATGGCACGAAATTGGTGACTTCACGAAAGGGAAAAATTACGACGAGGGTCCGTCTAAGTGACAGAACTGCCGGTCACCCAAATTCTTGTTATTTTAGACAAGTTCTATTCATAAAGTTGGATTTTGATAAGGGTGCTTGATCCACAAAAGCTTGCTTGGTGTACTCGTAAATCGGAAACTATACAGGAAATTATACAGGAAATTATACAGGAAATTATACATGGAATTATACATAAAACTCACGTAATTTGTAAAGTTGTCCCAAACTTAAGGGCCGAAGAATCTTCCCTCTAGTGGTTTGGCAATACTTAGATTGACATTTTGCTCCTTATCGACACATATCCTCGTGCTGGTTCACTGTGATGTTATCGGTTCAACGTGTCTTTTCTGGTTTATCCGTTAAGTCTGAACCCCCCGGTGATATACGTCAAACGGAAATAGACGGGACAAAAGGCCTCCCTGAAAGCAACACAAAACACAGTACAGACCACAGAAAAGAAAAGAAAATAAGAGGATAATAGGTGCCGTTAATCAATCTATAAGTATTTTGCAACCATTATGGTAAATGATCTTCATGTTGAAATACAAAGGACAAAAGTTTGTTGCAACAAGTCAATCGGATGGAGGGATGGGGTTCTAAGACAAGAGATTTGATAAACGAGATTGGCAAAATCTTGGTTGGGAAATGGAATTTGCAACTTTAAAACATATTACGCATTATCAGTGTAATTTTAATAACTAAACGTCATGGTGTTGTAAATGCATGGAAATTTATTATGATCTATGCCGTATTTCTTTCACCTCATAAACTTACTCGCGTCTACACCCAGCACAGATTATAATTGTTATTCCTTGCACTTTTATATAGAATTTATTATGATAAAATAAACTGTATTTCAATATACCAAATATAACGCATTGGTGGCTACTAAGAACTTGTATATGGGATCCACGTTCAACAAGAAGTACATGGTGTTACTCAGATGAGCGCATGTTTGAGCATTATCAACGAGTTATTGGTAAAGAAGTCTACGTTACCCTCAAAATGTTTCGTATAGACATAAATCACATTATGGGAGGTTGGCCGAGTGGTTTAAGGCGTCAGATTTAGGTGAGTTGAAACACTTAAAGCTTAAATTCTCTGATATCTTCGGATGCAAGGGTTCGAATCCCTTATCTCTCATTAATTTTTTTTTGATTTTTAAGATTCCCTGAATACCCACCCATTCAAGGGAAAATGGTAACAAAACTGAAAAACCCGATTCTCGGCTTTCCTGCTCCGGAATATTGTCAATCAAGAATGACTATACTTGGGTGATGGCTGAATTGAAGAAAGCTTTTGAATATAGAATATTGTGTAATATATAATACAATCTGGTACTACATTGGCTAAAGATAATTAGTTTTATAGTTTCAGAAGGGGTAAGTATCTTTTTTTTCTGGGAAAGGAAGCAAGTACATAGGAAAGATCAGATGTCCGAGGTTATACTTCCTGCAATTGAAGAAGAGAATCAATTGAAGAACTTCCTCAAGCAAGACACTAATGTTGCATTCTTAGCAGGTGGTATTGCGGGTGCTATCTCTAGGACAGTAGTGTCACCGTTTGAAAGGGTTAAGATCCTCTTGCAAGTCCAGAGCTCGACAACAGCATACAATAAAGGGTTGTTCGATGCCATCGGGCAAGTGTACAAAGAAGAGAATATAAAAGGTTTGTTCCGTGGTAATGGGCTTAACTGCATCAGAGTATTCCCGTATAGTGCTGTACAGTTCGTGGTCTTCGAAGGCTGTAAGAAACACATATTTCATGTCGATACGAAGGGTAAAGGTGAACAACTCAACAATTGGCAAAGACTGTTTAGTGGCGCTTTATGTGGTGGTTGTAGTGTAGTTGCCACATACCCGCTGGATCTTGTGAGAACAAGACTATCTGTGCAGACGGCAAACCTATCGAAACTTTCCAAGTCTAGGGCCTCTGATATTGCCAAGCCACCGGGTGTTTGGAAGTTGCTATCTAAGGCTTACGCTGAAGAAGGTGGCATAATGGGGCTATACAGAGGTGTATGGCCAACTAGTCTGGGAATCGTGCCATATGTGGCATTAAACTTTGCTGTATATGAACAATTGAAAGAGTTCATGCCCAGTGATGAAAACGGGAACAGTAGCATGCGTGACAGCTTATATAAGCTGAGCATGGGAGCTATTAGTGGTGGTGTTGCCCAGACAATAACATACCCATTTGATCTTCTAAGAAGGAGATTCCAAGTGCTGGCCATGGGTGGTAACGAGTTGGGATTCCATTATAATAGTGTCTGGGACGCACTTGTGACCATCGGCAAAACTGAAGGTTTCAAAGGTTACTACAAGGGCCTCACAGCCAACCTGTTTAAAGTGGTACCATCTACTGCAGTGAGCTGGTTGGTTTACGAACTGACGTGGGATTACATGAAACGCTGGTAAATCTACAATAATGAACACTTTATTTTTTTTTTTATTCAAACCTTGCATAAGACAGATGTAGCCATCAACATCTGCCATCTTAATACTAAACTGAATGACAAATCCACAAGTAAATAATCTGTATATAATCATACCTTTGTCGCAACTAATACGCATAATTCTTTAAGCACTTACAAAAACCACGCTATAAGTCACATGACCAATATCACTTTACCCAGCAACCCTGAACTCATGTAAGTCCCCTCCCCCCTCGAAGCAGGTCCTTTCCAGCCGAAAAATGCGGATTTTCCCTTCCTGTCCCGCATCCCCTTAACAATAAGGGAACTTGCGGAGAGTTCTCTCTCCCTAAGTGGGAAGCTGTTGCAGGGTGCAAATCTGACCAATCATTATCGACATCCAGCCAAGGAATAACCCTCTCCTCCAGTTCAAAATGGTGGTCTCTCTCCTTCAAGGTCTGCTTCAACAGATTGATCATTGCGAAGCTCATCTCATCCAATGACAACTCATAGTCTCGACATTTAGCAGCTCGCAGGAGGCTCTTGGAACTTCTTGAATGGTTTACTCTTTTTAAAGAAATTGAAACAATCGAGAGTTTTATATATAAAACTTTTGTTTTCGTTTTTACTTAGTACTTTTGAAGGCCGTTACAAAGACCTGATAACACCAGAATATAGACATACACATTAACGCACACAGACATATACATTAAAGATGAGACCAGCACAACTATTGATGAACGCGGCCAAGAAGTCCTCTGGTACCAAGGTGCCTATTGAATTAGCTCCATTGTTTGCTGCTATTGGTGTTGCTCTGTGCTCAGGTACATTTTTCACTTATAAGAAGTTGACATACGATGACAGTTTGAGACTAAAATCCAACCCTGACATGTCTGGTTTGGACGACGTCTTGAAGGAGGCCAAGGAATGAAGCTCCAGGTTGTGTAAAATGGAAAACCTACGTTATTACAAGTAATAGAGACTATTTCATTTTTATTTGGTTTTTGTTCCATTTAGTCTACTCTATCCCTGCCATGCATTTTTTTTAATTTACTAGCGACTTTCTCAACTGTTTTTATCATTATTAATATCCCTTTCACACCGACCAAAGACACTTTCTTTATTTTTTTTTCTTACCTATTTATTTATATTCTAGAGGAAATATATAACTTTTAATGAATTTTTATTTCAAATACTTTCCATAACATCATGCATTGTTGATTTGAAACATTGGAGATAAGCTTGTTTATATGTTTTGGATACCCATCAGAACGATGAAAACCACAACCTCTGTCCAAACATTGTACTTTTCAGAATAAATCCTATCCTGCAAAACCCAAAAAAATAAAATAAAATATGTATGTACTTATTAACATAAGTGGATCATATTAAAAGTCTGCAACTCCAATAGTTCCAATATACAACAATAGTAACTCCCAAGACACATAGAACCTTATTACAAACACATCATGTGGTAATTCGTAAATATTGATTTTGTTACAGAATTTTCCCAAAGAAAAAAATAGAAATAAGCCCTGTAGGGGGCTCGAACCCCTAACCTTATGATTAAGAGTCATACGCGCTACCGATTGCGCCAACAAGGCTTATTAATTGCGTTGTAATTATAATGAAAGATAGTTGTTTTGTCAGCTAGATTGCAAAAGGAAGGGATATAGTTTAGTACGATTATCATTTCATTTCCACACATGATTTCATCACACAACGCCTAGCACTAAAATCCTTGTAGTCAGCTCTAACTGGCCCTTAAATTCTAGCTGAGCGCGAGAGCTAAGCGCCTACCATAGCAGATATTGAATTATAAGCGATTTGAAGTGTAAAAGGGCGTTATAATTTCACGGAGTTTATTATATGTTTGAAGATATACCTTAAACAGACGATAAATACAATGAACTAGTGAGAGATATTCAAGTGCGGGAAACACTAAGCAGGAAAACAGCAGGAATACGTTTTATTATGAATTCTACACTGAGTATTCATTTAAAATTAAACAACTTTCCGATATATTGCTACAGATATGTGTTCCTATTTAAGAAGCGCTTTTGATTTTGAGACTTTGATTCTGGCTTTATTACGCGTTTGAGAACTAAAATAGAGAAAAGTGTAAGCGGGCGGCTGGTTGTCTTCCTTCGAGGTCAAATAAAGAGGATAATATTAAGTGAGATTAATAGCACAAAAAACAAATCATGAGCAGTTCATCAAATGAATAATAGAGCCGCTAGCACTGGCAACACCAACTCAATACCGTAAACGTGCAACATTACTGCACTACCACGGAAAGTAGAGCTAACCACGGTAGGTGCTCTAGAATTGACAACCCCAGAAGCACTATTTGAAGAGACCCTAACTTGCGAGACCGAGTTAACACCAGATGGAGCTCTAGAGGCCTGAGTACCACTCACAGTCTTGGTTGATGCGTTGGCTGCTGGTTGAGCAGAGCCTTGTCTTACAGAGCTTGGACTAGCGCTTGGTCTAACCGAATTTTGAACAGAACCTGGTCTTTGACTGGATACAACTAACCCACCACCATTACCCAATACAATAGAAGATGGACTGCGGCTCGAAATGACTCTACTTGCGGAGACGACAACAGAACCACTTGAAACGTATTTGTTAGAGCTCAAAACATCAGAAGCTGGCTTATTCGACACAGATGAGACCGAGACCGAGACAGTTGGCTTTGAACTGATATTAGAAGGATGAGCGCTGGATGGGCTAGCACTGGATGGTTTGACGCTAGTTGGATTAACGTTAGATGGCTTCTCACTTGAAGGTTTGACACTTGGGTGGACACTTGGTTTAACGCTAGATGGGTTGACACTAGATGGGTTTATACCAGATGAGTTGAAACTAGATGGGTTAACGTTGGATGGTTTAAGAATCGAAGGTTCGACACTTGGGTTGATACTAGATGGCTTGACACTAGATGGATTAGCGTTGGATGGCTTGTCACTTGAAGGTTTGACACTTGAAGGTTTGACACTAGATGGGTTGACACTAGATGGGCTCATACTAGATGGGTTCACGCTGGATGGGTTCACGCTGGATGGGTTCATACTAGATGAGTCGAAACTAGATGGGTTAACGTTGGATGGTTTAAGAATCGAAGGTTCGACACTTGGGTTGACACTAGATGGGTTGACACTAGATGGGTTCATGCTAGATGGGTTCATGCTAGATGGGTTTATGCTAGATGGGTTCATACTAGATGGGCTAGATGGGTTCATGCTAGATGGGTTCATGCTAGATGGGTTCATGCTAGATGGGTTCATGCTAGATGGGTTCATGCTAGATGGGTTCATGCTAGATGGGTTCATGCTAGATGGGTTCATGCTAGATGGGTTCATGCTAGATGGGTTCATGCTAGATGGGTTCATGCTAGATGGGTTGACACTAGATGGGTTCATGCTAGATGAGTTAGCAAAAGGTGGGTTCATGCTAGATGGGCTAGATGGGTTCATGCTAGATGGGCTAGATGGGTTCATACTAGATGGGCTAGATGGGTTCATACTAGATGGGCTAGATGGGTTCATACTAGATGGGCTAGATGGGTTCATACTAGATGGGCTAGATGGGTTCATACTAGATGGGCTAGATGGGTTCATGCTAGATGGGTTCATGCTAGATGGGCTAGATGGGTTCATACTAGATGGGTTGACACTAGATGGGTTCATGCTAGATGGGTTCATGCTAGATGGGTTCATACTAGATGGGTTCATACTAGATGGGTTGACACTAGATGGGTTGACACTAGATGGGTTCATACTAGATGGGTTGACACTAGATGGGTTCATGCTAGATGGGTTCATGCTAGATGGGTTTATGCTAGATGGGTTCATGCTAGATGGGTTTATGCTAGATGGGTTCATACTAGATGGGCTAGATGGGTTCATGCTAGATGGGTTCATGCTAGATGGGTTCATGCTAGATGAGTTAGCAAAAGGTGGGTTCATGCTAGATGGGCTAGATGGGTTCATACTCGATGGGTTTATGCTAGATGGGCTGGATGGGTTCATACTAGATGGGTTCATACTAGATGGGTTCATACTAGATGGGTTCATACTAGATGGGTTCATACTAGATGGGTTCATACTAGATGGGTTGACACTAGATGGGTTCATGCTAGATGGTTTGACACTTGAAGGTTCAATAGGAGGTATATCTTCACATTTCGAGTCAGTTGGCGGAGCCTGCTGTATTTCAAAACTAAAAGTATCATACAAGGTATCTTGAAAATAAATTTTTATTTCCTGTGCTGATGCTAATTCGGGATTATATCCACATCCGATATTATATTTGTAGACACCTTCACTGGTGGTGATAGAAAGCAAACCTGTTTTTGAATCATATTCAAACTTACCATCTTTTCCGATAGAACTGATTGCAGTAGCAGTACCTAATCCAGACACATTAACTTCCTCAGCAGGAGGACGTCTCAGAGAGATAGCACCTCCAGGAGATAAATGGATAACATTATCAGTGAAGGAAGCAGAATCAATCTGTAAGACACCTTTTTCAACATTAATCTTGCCCCCTTTACCGGAGACCTTACCAAATAGATAGTAGCTGTTTGCTGCATTGAGGCTAATAGTACCAACGTTTTGAATTGAACCAGAAGGCGTACCAATTTGCAATACGTTTCCGAGCTCATTAGGGTCATGAATTTCACCCCCAGTTGAAATGTAGTTTATCTCTCCAGTATTGGTGATATCTGGGGAACCAATGATAATCTTTGAATTAGCGTCACTTGAAGTATGTGCTAAATTTAAAATAAACTTATTCGAATTTTTAAATACTGGTGGACTAATATTAATAGTTTGTACTGTGTCTGGACCTGTGTTAGGGTTATTGATTGTTACAGCGCAGCTGCTGTCAAATTCTTTTGCATTTGATCCAAACGTCAACGTGAACGGGGAGTCTTTATCTGCATTAATGTCCATGAAGCATTGCTGAGCGCCGCGGAAACCTCCATCGAAAATGTACTCAGAACCGTCGTTCAATGTTAAGGCGCTGCCATCGTTGATAACAACTTCATCACTGAACTTTTGATTGCCAGTTAGCACTGTAGGCGTGTTATACACATTTTGTGCATTTGCAAAAGAGAGAGCTAACAACTGTGCCAAAATTAGTGCTTTCATTATGATTTGCAGTTTTTATGCTATAACTATTAAGAAAGAATTACTAAACAAAAGTCAATTTAACACAGTATGAATAAAGCAACATTACAACATTTATACCCTATCCTTTATATATATTTCAAAGCATGGATCTGATGTTGCCTTTTCGAATTTAGTTGAGAACTTATCCACCAATTAGCTTGCTATTGGGACATATTCCTCATGAGGAGCTAGTAACCGGCTGTAGGTTCAACACATTGAGATAACTAAGGAACCTTTGCCAGTTAGAATTACCCCTATGCTTTTTTGTCATAAGGATTGCCCTCTTTTCAATTAGAATTATATGTGGAATCCACAGCCAGTCATTTAACTAGCGAATATCATTGACATAAAGCAAATTAATTCCCTATTGAATTTGTCTCATGAATTTACAACGTCGATACATTTGATTACGTATCGAGTATGCTTAACAGACAGTACGTGCAATACCTGTGTATAAAGTATAGATTATCAAACCAACTTTAAGACATCTCTGCTGCCTAGATGGGTATATTTTTCGCACAGTATTCCGTAGGATTGGCAAAAATGCCAGGGTTTAGTACGCAATACGACATTTCATTACTACTTGTGATGTTAATTATTCTATACACTAATAATTATATTAGCACTTAATAATTTTGTATGGTATATTGGGAGGCTGGACTTTTTTTAACCCTCTCTCCAACTTATCTAAGATATCAAGCCAACGACTTTCCCTACAGGTTTCACACTTGAAAAGGATATAGCACTGACATAAACCCGGCTTAATGACGGCTGCACTACCCACACACAGCATATACAAGTTAATCATAAATTGTGCCTGCTAAGCAATAAATTACATCACATCACTGTGGCAGCAGCTAGAATTATAATGGATTTACAACCGTTTGCACCAGTCTTCTATAGAAGGAAATATTGAACAACAGTATATCCACAGAAACACCAGCAGAGTTCGAGATTGTGGCTGTCCAAGACCCTTTTATCATTGACTTGCACTTCATTTTGATTTTCCTGTTTCGCGTCCGCCCCTGCGGAAACAAACGATTTACAGTGTTTTCTGGGATTAACTTCTTCGCGTGGCTTCCTCAGTTAATTTACTATGGTGTAGCACCACGGTAATAACCAAGATTTACCTTCTGTGCTCAGATGATTAATTCATGCACGATTTCACTAGCTACATCAACATGACTCCTTCTATATCACTTTGTGCACGGTTTCATCACTCCCTTCTCTTATGCAAGGAAAGCACCTGCCATGAGATATAGTACCTACAGCAAAGTGCAACTCAGTTCGACGGTTGCAGTTTTGCAAGGCGATCCTGTTATTCCTGATGGAATGACGTAAGTAAGAAGTACCTTTTGTCTCAATGCTGGTGAAATTGAAATGATGTCGAAGGGACAACTAAACTAACTTGTTGAACAACAAAAAAAAGAAATTAATAACTGAATACTCCTTCCCTTTCTTGGCAGCATATATCCTTGGTGAAATTAAACATGCCAGACCATTTATCGCTGGCTGTCATACTTCACTTACAATATCAATGATATGAATTTCTCTCTCATTTCAGGAAAGTAGACATGGCATAGGGATATCAATTTTAAAATAGGATATTTTTACTACTTGTAGACTATCGAATATGAATGGTCATTGGCTGGAGAAATAGTTACTACTGTATCGGGTTTTAATTAACTAATATAAAATTGCTAAGAAAAATAATATTGTAAATATTTTATCAACGGCAATATTATAAGCTTAGACCGTCATAAGTCATTGAAACCCTAGTAGAAGTTCAATCTAGTCAGGAATAATTACCCTTTCAAAGATCATACAAAAACATTGCAAGTAGTAAGAAATTTATAATGATTGATTGGAAAATTACTACTCAACAGAAAAAGGAGAATTAAATACACTTTATCAAGCCTTTTTTTTCTATTAGCCAATTCTGTTTGTTGTTTTAGTTTATTATTTTGTCCCAATTTTGGATATATTAATTAGCCAAATACAATAAGTATTTCCTTTCCTGGAAATCTACGCTCCCTTGTCATTTGCCATTTGTCATTGTCAAACACAAACACAAACACAAACACAAAAGATCTGCCAAGATGTAATAAGTAGGCAACAATTACAACGACAGGAACTAGATAAAGTAGTCGATTGGCATTTCTATGAAACAGAAATAATTCGAAATCGAGAAGGTAAACAACATTGACAATAATTAAATTTTAAGTTTTTACAGCCCATGATTACAGCTTTGGATATATTAATTAGCCAAATACAATAAGTATTTCCTTTCCTGGAAATCTACGCTCCCTTGTCATTTGCCATTTGTCATTGTCAAACACAAACACAAACACAAACACAAAAGATCTGCCAAGATGTAATAAGTAGGCAACAATTACAACGACAGGAACTAGATAAAGTAATCGATTGGCATTTCTATGAAACAGAAATAATTCGAAATCGAGAAGGTAAACAACATTGACAATAATTAAATTTTAAGTTTTTACAGCCCATGATTACAGCTTTGAATATATCAATTAGCCAAATACAATAAGTATTTCCTTTCCTGGAAATCTACGCTCCCTTGTCATTTGCCATTTGTCATTGTCAAACACAAACACAAACACAAACACAAAAGATCTGCCAAGATGTAATAAGTAGGCAACAATTACAACGACAGGAACTAGATAAAGTAATCGATTGGCATTTCTATGAAACAGAAATAATTCGAAATCGAGAAGGTAAACAACATTGACAATAATTAAATTTTGAGTTTTTACAGCACCATTAGTAGAGTAGGAGGTGTAAGTATATGTAGCTCTAAAACCTTCAACTAAACTGAGGAGTTATATATCAGGAAGAAAAAAAAATAGAAATAAGCCCTGTAGGGGGCTCGAACCCCTAACCTTATGATTAAGAGTCATACGCGCTACCGATTGCGCCAACAAGGCTTATTAATTGCGTTGAAAATTACGGGATTATTGGACAGTTTTATTCTATGATGAAAAGTTTACTCATAGAGAGATATCATACGAATTTGTCACCTCAACACGGTGTAACCGTATAAACTATAGTGACAAAACCAAGATGGAAAATTCAAGTGCCAAGTAGTAAGGTGTAATATATAACCAGTATAATTTCCCTTGCATAACACAGAAAGGTCAAAGATGACCTTCACTATTTTATTCTTTAAGAGAAATACATATTGCATTTTTAACGCTTTTTTTACTTAAAATAGAGATATGTATATTATATTTTAAAATAAATTTGTTCCAAGTAACAATCTCGGTAGCAGTTTTATTATGTGCTATTGGGAAGGAAAATTATGATACTCTTGGTTATGGTCTATCAACTAAAAGATAGACACAGGTGGTATAAGGTACTGTCAAAACTGCAGAATAAGTTCTGAAACCTGAGATTTTTGTTTTTATAAGTAGCATTAGTTGCTGACAACACCAACCAAATTTTAGGGGTCTGCCAATATGCCTTGGCCTTGCAATTCTGAGCTAATTGATATAACAGTGTGTGCTTTATGTTATCTTGAGTGTGTATATTTATAACTACTTTTTGATATCTACCTCTTTGTCACTTGTTGAATTATTATCATAATGCTTATGCATTATTTGCACGTTACTTATTCAGAATTTCATATACTCCGGTGGCTAACATGTATTCTTTTTTTTTTATATACATTTGTTAATGTATTGAATCTTTTAAGTAATGAAATGTTCATCTCCTTAAATGCTTAGCAAATTACTTAACTATTTTCTGTAACGCTGCGGTAGTAATTTGCAAAGTTTAAGCTAAAAATCTTATAATATCTTTGACTGTGTGAAAATGTGTCGCAAAAGTAATGCAATAAATCAAGTGGCCGGTAATTAATACAAAAATACTGAAACTGAAAACAAATTTGTTCAGATTCTTAACTTGATAATTATTATAGACAATCTACAGATTTTAACATAGAACCCGCTTGTTGCTTAACTGTAGGGTAAAAGAATATTTACTTCATAGCATAGTGAACAACAAGGCAAACAGAATGATAACACCAAAGTTATTTTGCTTGAATGATGATGCCGCATTCTTGTTTATTTGAGGTATTGTTGGTGCAGCAGAGCCATGAGATGTGCTACTTGCACCAGATTGTTGCGGAACAGCAGCCGAGTTACTTGCAGGAGCCTTTGGTGCAACAGCCGATTCTGCATCAGCAGCAGCTGGGGAAGAACCGTTTGAGCCAGCATTAGGAGCTGGAGTAGTATCACTCAATCTAGCAGTAGAACCGGCATTGCCTGTTGGTTTGGTTTGTGGATTGTTAGTTCCTGCAGGACTAGTTCCTGCAGCATCATTTGGTCCAGCAGATGTGTGGACGTTATTGTTGGAGTGGGCCTCTGATCCAGTAAAAGTTAATGAGGTAATTATTTGTTGACCGAATTGATTAGTTGTAGTAACGCCGACTACTGTCTTGGTGTCAACACTGCCATTCTTGTTAGAAAAGGTTGTTGTGTGGGCGTTGTTGAACTTCGTAGTAGTTGTTACGATAGTAGTAGGATTTCCTTTGGTGTCTACAGTAGTGATGTGAGATACTACATTGGTTTCAATAACACCATTGCTGTGGGTTATTGTGGTTATCCTGTCCTTGCCTGCACCAACATCAAACGAACCAGTAGTTATGATAGTAGTTGGCTTACCATTAACGGTTGTAGTGATGTGTGATACTACATTGGTTTCAATTACACCGTTACTATGGGTAACAGTAGTAGTTCTGTCCTTCTCTGCACTAACATCACATGGAACAGTAGTTGTAATAGTAGTTGGCTTACCATTAACGGTTGTAGTGATGTGTGATACTACATTGGTTTCAATTTTGCCATCTGAACCTGTGGTAGTAATTGTGTAATCTTGGCCGGATGGTGTAGAAACGGAGGAAAAGATTGAACTGGAAATAATGCTAGACGATGAGGGCATGCTGGATGAAGAAGATGAGGACATGCTAGATGAAGAAGATGAGGACATGCTAGATGAAGAAGATGAGGACATGCTAGATGAAGAAGATGAGGACATGCTAGATGAAGAAGATGAAGACATGCTGGATGAAGAAGGTACGATTGGTACGGCATTTCCATTGTTATCTATGTTATAAGTGGTTGTAATAGTAGTTGTGTGACCTTCAGCATCAGTGGTTGTGATAGTTTGAGTAGTTTCGCTCACATATTGAGGTTCAGCATCAATTAATGTCTTGAACATTTCAGTGTAAGTACTTGTAATGGTATGTCCATCGCTGTCGGTATAAGTAGTAATATGCACAACTTCAATTATCTCTTCTCCATCAACGGTGATGGTCTTACTAGTACCATCTTGTGCAGCTGTTGGAGACTGGTATTGAGTCAAAATGACAGTTGGCTTACCATCTTTGTCAGTAGTAGTGATGTGGGAAATGATGTCGGTGTGTACATGGCCATCCTTGTCAGTGACAACTGTAGTCTTATCCTTACCATCATCAACTGGGTTGGAGCCACCAGAACCGCCTTCACCAGAACCGCCTTCAGAACCAGAACCACCTTCACCAGCACCTGGGTTAGAGCCAGAGCCACCTTCACCAGGAGATGGGGTTGGTGACTGGTATTGCGTCAAAATGACAGTTGGCTTACCATCTTTGTCAGTAGTAGTGATGTGGGAAATGATATCGGTGTGTACATGGCCATCCTTGTCAGTGACAACTGTAGTCTTATCCTTACCATCATCAACTGGGTTGGAGCCACCAGAACCGCCTTCACCAGAACCGCCTTCAGAACCAGAACCGCCTTCACCAGAACCGCCTTCAGAACCAGAACCACCTTCACCAGCACCTGGGTTAGAGCCAGAGCCACCTTCACCAGGAGATGGGGTTGGTGACTGGTATTGCGTCAAAATGACAGTTGGCTTACCATCTTTGTCAGTAGTAGTGATGTGGGAAATGATATCGGTGTGTACATGGCCATCCTTGTCAGTGACAACTGTAGTCTTATCCTTACCATCATCAACTGGGTTGGAGCCACCAGAACCGCCTTCACCAGAACCGCCTTCAGAACCAGAACCGCCTTCACCAGAACCGCCTTCAGAACCAGAACCGCCTTCACCAGTACCTGGGTTAGAGCCAGAGCCACCTTCAGAACCGGATCCAGAACCGGAACCAGATCCTGAACCACTGCCTGAACCAGAGCCAGAGCCAGAGCCACCTTCAGAACCGGATCCAGAACCGGAACCAGATCCTGAACCAGTGCCCGAACCAGAGCCAGAGCCAGAGCCAGAGCCTTCACCTGGGGTGGAACCACTGCCTGAACCAGAGCCCGAACCAGAGCCAGAGCCAGAGCCTTCACCTGGGGTGGAACCACTGCCTGAACCAGAGCCAGAGCCAGAGCCTTCACCTGGGGTGGAACCACTGCCTGAACCAGAGCCAGAGCCAGAGCCACCTTCAGAACCGGATCCAGAACCGGAACCAGATCCTGAACCAGTGCCCGAACCAGAGCCAGAGCCTTCACCTGGGGTGGAACCACTGCCTGAACCAGAGCCAGAGCCAGAGCCTTCACCTGGGGTGGAACCAGAACCGGAACCAGATCCTGAACCAGTGCCCGAACCAGAGCCAGAGCCTTCACCTGGGGTGGAACCAGATCCTGAACCAGTGCCCGAACCAGAGCCAGAGCCAGAGCCTTCACCTGGGGTGGAACCACTGCCTGAACCAGAGCCAGAGCCAGAGCCACCTTCAGAACCGGATCCAGAACCGGAACCAGATCCTGAACCAGTGCCCGAACCAGAGCCAGAGCCTTCACCTGGGGTGGAACCAGATCCTGAACCAGTGCCCGAACCAGAGCCAGAGCCTTCACCTGGGGTGGAACCACTGCCTGAACCAGAGCCAGAGCCAGAGCCTTCACCTGGGGTGGAACCAGAACCGGAACCAGATCCTGAACCAGTGCCCGAACCAGAGCCAGAGCCAGAGCCAGAGCCTTCACCTGGGGTGGAACCAGATCCTGAACCAGTGCCCGAACCAGAGCCAGAGCCAGAGCCTTCACCTGGGGTGGAACCACTGCCTGAACCAGAGCCCGAACCAGAGCCAGAGCCAGAGCCTTCACCTGGGGTGGAACCACTGCCTGAACCAGAGCCAGAGCCAGAGCCACCTTCAGAACCGGATCCAGAACCGGAACCAGATCCTGAACCAGTGCCCGAACCAGAGCCAGAGCCTTCACCTGGGGTGGAACCACTGCCTGAACCAGAGCCAGAGCCAGAGCCTTCACCTGGGGTGGAACCAGATCCTGAACCAGAGCCCGAACCAGAGCCAGAGCCTTCACCTGGGGCGGAACCACTGCCTGAACCAGAGCCAGAGCCAGAGCCTTCACCTGAGGTGGAACCACTGCCTGAACCAGAGCCAGAGCCAGAGCCTTCACCTGAGGCGGAACCAGAACCGGAACCAGATCCTGAACCAGTGCCCGAACCAGAGCCAGAGCCTTCACCTGAGGCGGAACCACTGCCTGAACCAGAGCCAGAGCCAGAGCCAGAGCCTTCACCTGGGGTGGAACCACTGCCTGAACCAGAGCCAGAGCCAGAGCCACCTTCAGAACCGGATCCAGAACCGGAACCAGATCCTGAACCAGTGCCCGAACCAGAGCCAGAGCCAGAGCCTTCACCTGGGGTGGAACCACTGCCTGAACCAGTGCCCGAACCAGAGCCAGAGCCAGAGCCTTCACCTGGGGTGGAACCACTGCCTGAACCAGAGCCAGAGCCAGAGCCACCTTCAGAACCGGATCCAGAACCGGAACCAGATCCTGAACCAGTGCCCGAACCAGAGCCAGAGCCTTCACCTGGGGTGGAACCACTGCCTGAACCAGAGCCAGAGCCAGAGCCAGAACCTTCACCTGGGGTGGAACCACTGCCTGAACCAGTGCCCGAACCAGAGCCAGAGCCAGAGCCTTCACCTGGGGTGGAACCACTGCCTGAACCAGAGCCCGAACCAGAGCCAGAGCCAGAGCCTTCGCCTGGGGTGGAACCACTGCCTGAACCAGAGCCAGAGCCAGAGCCAGAGCCTTCACCTGGGGTGGAACCACTGCCTGAACCAGAGCCAGAGCCAGAGCCACCTTCAGAACCGGATCCAGAACCGGAACCAGATCCTGAACCAGTGCCCGAACCAGAGCCAGAGCCTTCACCTGGGGTGGAACCAGATCCTGAACCAGTGCCCGAACCAGAGCCAGAGCCAGAGCCTTCACCTGGGGTGGAACCACTGCCTGAACCAGAGCCAGAGCCAGAGCCACCTTCAGAACCGGATCCAGAACCGGAACCAGATCCTGAACCAGTGCCCGAACCAGAGCCAGAGCCTTCACCTGGGGTGGAACCAGAACCGGAACCAGAGCCAGAGCCAGAGCCACCTTCAGAACCGCATCCAGAACCGGAACCAGATCCTGAACCAGTGCCCGAACCAGAGCCAGAGCCTTCACCTGGGGTGGAACCAGATCCTGAACCAGTGCCCGAACCAGAGCCAGAGCCAGAGCCTTCACCTGGGGTGGAACCACTGCCTGAACCAGAGCCAGAGCCAGAGCCACCTTCAGAACCGGATCCAGAACCGGAACCAGATCCTGAACCAGTGCCCGAACCAGAGCCAGAGCCTTCACCTGGGGTGGAACCACTGCCTGAACCAGAGCCAGAGCCAGAGCCAGAACCTTCACCTGGGGTGGAACCACTGCCTGAACCAGAGCCAGAGCCAGAGCCTTCACCTGGGGTGGAACCAGAACCGGAACCAGATCCTGAACCAGTGCCCGAACCAGAGCCAGAGCCTTCACCTGGGGTGGAACCACTGCCTGAACCAGAGCCAGAGCCAGAGCCACCTTCAGAACCGGATCCAGAACCGGAACCAGATCCTGAACCAGTGCCCGAACCAGAGCCAGAGCCAGAGCCTTCACCTGGGGTGGAACCACTGCCTGAACCAGAGCCAGAGCCAGAGCCTTCACCTGGGGTGGAACCACTGCCTGAACCAGAGCCAGAGCCAGAGCCTTCACCTGGGGTGGAACCAGATCCTGAACCAGTGCCCGAACCAGAGCCAGAGCCAGAGCCTTCACCTGGGGTGGAACCACTGCCTGAACCAGAGCCAGAGCCAGAGCCACCTTCAGAACCGGATCCAGAACCGGAACCAGATCCTGAACCAGTGCCCGAACCAGAGCCAGAGCCTTCACCTGGGGTGGAACCACTGCCTGAACCAGAGCCAGAGCCAGAGCCAGAGCCTTCACCTGGGGTGGAACCAGATCCTGAACCAGTGCCCGAACCAGAGCCAGAGCCAGAGCCTTCACCTGGGGTGGAACCACTGCCTGAACCAGAGCCAGAGCCAGAGCCTTCACCTGGGGTGGAACCACTGCCTGAACCAGAGCCAGAGCCAGAGCCACCTTCAGAACCGGATCCAGAACCGGAACCAGATCCTGAACCAGTGCCCGAACCAGAGCCAGAGCCTTCACCTGGGGTGGAACCACTGCCTGAACCAGAGCCAGAGCCAGAGCCTTCACCTGGGGTGGAACCACTGCCTGAACCAGAGCCAGAGCCAGAGCCACCTTCAGAACCGGATCCAGAACCGGAACCAGATCCTGAACCAGTGCCCGAACCAGAGCCAGAGCCAGAGCCAGAGCCTTCACCTGGGGTGGAACCACTGCCTGAACCAGAGCCAGAGCCAGAGCCACCTTCAGAACCGGATCCAGAACCGGAACCAGATCCTGAACCAGTGCCCGAACCAGAGCCAGAGCCTTCACCTGGGGTGGAACCACTGCCTGAACCAGAGCCCGAACCAGAGCCAGAGCCAGAGCCTTCACCTGGGGTGGAACCACTGCCTGAACCAGAGCCAGAGCCAGAGCCAGAGCCTTCACCTGGGGTGGAACCACTGCGTGAACCAGAGCCAGAGCCAGAGCCACCTTCAGAACCGGATCCAGAACCGGAACCAGATCCTGAACCAGTGCCCGAACCAGAGCCAGAGCCAGAGCCTTCACCTGGGGTGGAACCACTGCCTGAACCAGAGCCAGAGCCAGAGCCACCTTCAGTACCGGAACCAGATCCTGAACCAGTGCCCGAACCAGAGCCAGAGCCTTCACCTGGGGTGGAACCACTGCCTGAACCAGAGCCAGAGCCAGAGCCACCTTCAGAACCGGATCCAGAACCGGAACCAGATCCTGAACCAGTGCCCGAACCAGAGCCAGAGCCTTCACCTGGGGTGGAACCACTGCCTGAACCAGAGCCAGAGCCAGAGCCAGAGCCTTCACCTGGGGTGGAACCACTGCCTGAATCATGATTTTCGTGTTGGCCAGGGATATAGCATTTTTGGTAATCTGGAGCGGTTTCTAAACTTGTAGCAATTACAAATGTTTTGAGACTTTCTCCATGATAGACGATGTATCCCGTAGTCGACCCCAGAGTAGTTTCATCGTAACCGCAGCCAATGTCATAAACATACCTACCTGAGTCTGTGTTAACTGTCACTATACCCGTTTGATTATTGTATGTGAATGAACCATTATCACCAATACTACTGATCAGATTACCACTAATCAGACCTCTTACCTTAATGATATTTGAAGAAGTAGATTTGACAGATATACCACTAATGCCCCCTAAGTTTATTGTATTTCCGACAAAAGATGTAGTCTCCATATGTAGGATACCTCTAGCAATATTAATATTACCGGTACCACTGACATCACCATATAAATAATACTTTACTCCTAAACTTAATTCAATAGTACCAGTATTTACTAGCCTACCACCTGGAGTACTTATTTGTAGAATGTTTCCCTCCCTAGAAGGATCATTTTGCTCAACAGCCGAATATGGCCTCACTGTTAATTTACCAGCATTGATGATTTCTGGTGATCCCAGAATAAGCTTGGAAACTGCATCAGATCTGGTATGCGCTAACTGTATATCAACTTGATAATAATTTTTAAAAACAGCTGGGCTGAAGTTTATTGTTTGTTTGAAGCCATCTAAATTTTTATTTATAAGCTCAAAATTACAATAGTTAACAAATTCCTTACCAACATTGAAGTCAAAGTCGGATTTATCATTAGCTACAGCACGGAAAGTACAGCCTTCTTGGCTGCTAACAATACCACCTCCAAAATTATACTCTGAACCATCAACGTAGCTGATTGTATCACCATTTTGAATGACAAGTTCATTCTTCAAGTCTTGATTACCTTCATAATTTTTTGCCTGGGCAAACACACCTTGTATGTAGAGAAAACTCGACAGAAATAGTGGTGTATAACAAAGCATTTTCACTTTGTTAGAACTGCTTAATTATGTCCCTTGATAAATAACTCCAAATTTGAGGGAACTAGGTGCGTCCTCAGAAATTGTAAAACGTCGTTTTACCATGTCTTTATATATTAACTGCCCTTACCGAGACCTGTTTGGAGATTCGCAAAAACAAAAAAAAGATATCTGCTAAAGAAGAATCCTCCCTTACTTGGCATATATTCTGAGAGTACAATTAAGTTTTACTTTCCGTAAGCAGGCGTGCATCCAGCTTGCAACAATTGACCGTCCCCTCCTTCACTACCTGACTTTGTTTATTATTATTATTACTTATCTCTCTCCTGTGTTTTTCTATCATCATTGTGACAATACCATGCAGATAAAGTGTGCTCGGCACCTTGTCCTGAAGCTGAATACCATCACATATGACCTATGCGAACACAAGTAAGAGGAGTGGGTATGTCTTCTTCACTGGGGTTCACAACCCTTTTGAAAGGATTTACCACAAAGATTATCCCTCCACTATTCCGAACTCCTTTGGGATCAAAAGATTTGCTTATCGGCAATACATGTCTTAACTAGTCTTTCCATTCGCAGAAGGTCCCTGTTTTCGTTACTCCCGCCCTGCTTTCACCAGTGAGGCGTGACTATTTCCATAAATTTTTCATTTTCCGCAAATCTCAGTACAACCTGCGTACAACCAAGTGCTATTACCACGCCCCACGAAAATTTCCTAATACCCACACCGCCACGAAACATTCTGTGGATTAAGTAAGGTTTCCAACTTTCGGTTCTGCTCTACATGATTTTCCCTTTCAATTGTTCTTATGTCAGTCACAATACTATGCTTTGTTTTCTAAGCAGCGCGATGCCAATACTAAATTTGTATGTTTCGAATTCTCCCCGCGTTTCTAAGAAGTCCGAGAAAAGAGAAAATCATTCTCCAGTTAGCCGACCTTCTCTGCACCTACCTATTTGGGAAAATATCATTTGAAATAGGGATAACCTGTTTCCCTCCCCCCTTTGGGCGTAATGCAATCGGGAAGCAACTTCTCTTGGAAGATCGGAGTGATTTCACTCCGTCCTTGGGAACCGCAAACATGCCTCAATGAAAAACCCACAGTTACCCACAGTTACCCACAGAACGCACCTGTTCTTTGCTGGCGATGTAGTACGCAAAACAAATATCACATAGCAACTCGATGCGGGGGAAGTTTGAGAGAGTCATATGTACTGCTCTGCAGGGGATGGGTATGCCTTCATGATAGGGATGAAGGAGATTGATTATTGGTATCTGGAGAGTCGCATCATTTGAATGCCAATATGTTAATATCCGAATACCCGGAAACATATTGCGAATTACCGAGCTGCTCCTTGGGTCGAAACGGCAAAAAATTTTCTTGAAAAGTATTTCCCAAGCACTAATCTGTCGATGACCCCCTACGCATTGCTCGACCAAGTGTAGAAATGTGTAATACACTTCTGAGTTTTAGTCAAATGCATTAAGGATAGAAGCCAAAGCTCAGAAGTTCGTGTTGGACATACTATTGTGCTTTTCTTAAGAAGAAGCTTTTTTTTTCCTTAAAGAGTAGCTAAGATTATTAACGAATTATAGACATTTTTTGTGTAGTGGAATACTTTTATGGTTTTTACTGTAGTGATGCAGTTAAAACAGAAGAATGACCGATAATAGAAAGACAGAATTTCGGTTTAATAATTAAAGCAATTTAATGTGGGTGTAACAAGACGTTTGCTACCCCGTTGAATTACTAATAGAAGCAACAAAAACAAAAGAAATTCACCAAAACAGCATAACTTTTCAAGTTATGATAGACCTTCAATTGTTTAGAGGAATAGTAGGGCAACTAATGCTGGCAGCACCAATTCAATACCTTGAATGCTTAGCATAGCTGCATTACCACGGAACGTAGAACTTAGGATTGTTGGGATTCTAGAGTTGATTGGTATAATGTTTGAACCAGACAATGAGCCTCCGTTCACCTGCTGTGCAGGATTTGATCCTGGAGAAGGACCTTTAGTAGGCTGTGTACCCCCAGGACCTTGATTGGCTTTTGGTTGTGATGCTGACCCACTTAATGTCTTTGTCGATGGTTTTTGAGCTTCCGATTTTCCAGTATTCGATTTCCCAGAGGTAGGCTTGACAGTATTTGACTTCCCAGAGTTTGATTTCACAGTGCTTGGTTTCTCATTTTCTTTGCTAACATTATTGGACGAATGCCCATTACCTGGCCCCGCCTTCCCGCCTTGAGAACTGTTAACATTAGGCTTGGGACTTGGCGTAGCTTTACTCGAAAGACCATTTCCTTTCTTTGAATTGATGGTAGATACACGATTATCACCACTTGGATTTGGCTTCGAAACATTAGAAGATGCAGACGATGGCTTACTAGATTTTGGAGAGGCAGATGCTGACTTTGAAGAATCATCTATGTTGTGACTGGATGGGTTTAGGTGTATTCCCGAGTTCACTTTGGAAGGTTTAGCATACCCATTATCGCTATTTCTATTATTACTAGTTTCGACTGAGGACTTCGAAGAGGAACTCACTGTACTCGATGAATTCATATAGGCTTGAGGGGAAGATGAAAGTTTAACTGACGAGGACAAAGCAGGATTTATTACTACACGCTGACTTATTGATGGCTCTTCAGTTGGAGACAAAACAGCCAATGGGCTACCAATTGCTATACTATTTTTTGAAGACAAGCCATTAGAAGAACCTGCAATATCTTGGCTACCAATGGAATTAATGTTGGATGGCTGGATACCAGGATGAACAACGCTTGAGGAGTTAGCAAAGCGGTTTATGACAGATGGTTTTGCAGTAGGAGAATAGACACTAGGTTGCTGAAAATTGACACTCGGAGTTGAGGTATCAACGTGTGGAGGCTTGCCCAAAGGTGAGTTTGGCTTAGGCTGTGGGTTATTTGAAGTGTCATTGTTTGCAGGCTGTACCACAGGAGGAGTATTACCTTGTGGCTGTGGGTTTGCTGGACCGGCAGCCGGAGAGTTTGCATTTGAGTTTGCATTTGAGTTTACATCTGGTTTAGGCTGTGGGTTACTTGAAGTGTCATTGTTTGCAGGCTGTACCACAGGAGGAGTATTACCTTGTGGCTGTGGGTTTGCTGGACCGGCAGCCGGAGAGTTTGCATTTGAGTTTGCATTTGAGTTTACATCTGGTTTAGGCTGTGGGTTACTTGAAGTGTCATTGTTTGCAGGCTGTACCACAGGAGGAGTATTACCTTGTGGCTGTGGGTTTGCTGGACCGGCAGCTGGAGAGTTTGCATTTGAGTTTGCATTTGAGTTTGCATTTGAGTTTGCATTTGAGTTTACATCTGGTTTAGGCTGTGGGTTACTTGAAGTGTCATTGTTTGCAGGCTGTACCACAGGAGGAGTATTACCTTGTGGCTGTGGGTTTGCTGGACCGGCAGCTGGAGAGTTTGCATTTGGTTCTTCTTGAGAAGGTTTGTTTGGCTTGGGTTGTGGACCGACATATGTGCCATTTTTAGCTGGTCCGTTTGGAGCAGCGTTCACAGGCGTATCTACGTCTGGTTGTGCGTTTGCCGGAGGATTAGCAGGCGCATTAGCAGGAGGATTAGCAGGAGGATTAGCAGGCGCATTTACATCTGGTTGTGCATTAGCAGGCGCATTAGCAGGAGCATTGGCAGGTGCGTTTGCAGGAGGATTAGCCGGCGCATTAGCAGGAGGATTTTCAGGAGGATTGGCAGGTGCGTTTGCAGGAGGATTAGCCGGTGCATTAGCAGGCGCATTGGCAGGCGCATTTACGTCTGGTTGTGCGTTTGCAGGAGGATTAGCAGGCGCATTAACAGGCGCATTAGCAGGAGGATTAGCAGGCGCATTAGCCGGCGCATTAGCAGGAGGATTAGCAGGTGCGTTTGCAGGAGGATTAGCAGGAGCATTGGCAAGCGCATTTACGTCTGGTTGTGCGTTTGCAGGAGGATTAGCAGGTGCGTTTGCAGGGGCATTAGCAGGAGAAACATTTTCACCATCTCTTTTAAATAGATTCATAATATCCCAGCCTTTGATATCACCATATTTATCTAGTAAGGTTGACTTTACTCTCCTAAATTCTTTTGATGATTCCACACAAATGGTGTTGGTTGGTGGCACCTGGTGAAATGTGACAGAAAAATAGTCATACAACTTGCCTTGGTACCATGTTTTGGTTTGTGACGTCAGAATCAACTCACTTTTGTATCCACAACCTATGTTGTATATAAAGGAGCCCTCGCTGGTAGTTACAACAAGAAGACCAGTCTTATCATTATAGTTGAACTTACCATCAGACCCTGCAGAACTTATTGCGGAAGATGTTTCCAAACCTCTGACGGTAATCGGGGCAGAAATCGAATTTTTAAATGCAACAGCTGTATTTGATCCCAAGTATATGATATTTGAAAATGACAGGGAATCAACATATAAAGTACCTCTATGAACACTAATAGATCCACCAAGACCAAATACTTTCCCAAATAGATAATACTTGCTGGCAGCATCAAAACTAATTTTACCAGTATTGTTTATAGAACCTGTTGGCCTACCAATTTTCAACAGGTTACCTTCATTGTTAGAATCGCCTATCTCAACCCCTGTCGAAATATAACTTATCTCTCCACTATTAACAATTTCTGGTGAACCCAAAATCAGTCGAGAGGAAGCATCTGAATTGGTATGACCTAGTTCCAAGATAAACTTGTTAGTATTTTTGAATTCAATTGGACTGAAGTTTATGGACTGTATTGTCTTAGCTCCAGTGTTAGCATTTCTAATTTTGAAAACACAACCATTCTCAAATAACTTTGCATCTGAAGAGGTTGTTAAGGTAAATGGTAAACCTTTAGCGGCATTAATGTCAATAGAACATTGCTTCCCGCCATGATATCCGCCATTGAAAATATATTCTGAACCATCATTTAGTACTAGCCCACCACCATTATCAATGATGACTTCATCTTCAAATATCTGATTACCCGTTAACACCGTTGGTCCGGGGTAAATGCTTTTCGTATTGACCAAAGTTAGCCACCACAATTGTATTAAAAGGATAAGTTTCATAATGTTGTCGTTTTTAATTGAGATCAAACTGGAGTCTTCATAGTACCCAAGAAAAATATGTATAAAAAATGCCACACATTAGATGGATACTAGAAAAGACAATAAAATACAATAAAATACACCCTTTTATATAGTTTGAAAATATTTTAGCAACCCGTTTTAGTCAATTAAGAATATCTCTTGTTGTTCTTCAACAAATAAAAAAAGACTTGAACGTAAACTTACTGACTAATTTAACCAGCATCGAAAAAAGTTGATCATTACTCTGAAATGAACCAAGAACATCCCTGCTACTGAATCCTCAATTTATCAACTCATAAAACAGCATGCCTGTGTTAATTCGCGTTTGGCAATAAAGCAACATCTTATCAAAAAGAGAGTGATACTATATTGAACAGTTCAATTTATTATGCTGGTGCAATCGGTATAATCGATAAACCAAAAAGGAATTTTGCTTATCAAAGCCAGTATCGAAGTAACTGCCCATATATTTCTGGATGGTGAAAATAAACTAACCCTGTGTTTACTTAAGCATTGACGTTATTTGACATTTATAGTGACCATGTAGTAACAGGTCTCATGGTGACTTTCAAGATCAGGTTACATGTAAACTACCAAATAGAAAGGCTGGTCACGAAAATAATCCAAATTCATTGCTTATATGATACATTGGAAAATAATCCATGCACTAATTTACTGCTGAACTGAGTTGTTTTGGGAGCCTTTATCGTGTATTTCTTTTCAAATACTGGTACAAAAATGATACCAAAGGAGAACTCATACACGATGTCTGGCTCTCACAATCGTTTATAGTTGATTTACAGCAACTCACTGAATATTTTACGGCATAAAGTATGGATGCACCATTCCACTTAGGATAGCAAAGAAATAGGCCTAACATATTTCCAATTTGTGAATTACCCTAGTTTATCGATTGCCACAGCTACCCAAATTTCAAGATTACCCCAACAACCATACTTGCAAGGCATTACTACAGTAATTGCCCGGGTACAATGCCATTGATTTTAAAGCAGTGAGATCATAATATTTGGGAGTGTTTGTTTGCTAACAGTATTACTGGCATTTCTTATCAGAAAGATTTACTTTGCATTCCGATAAGCTCCCACTCCACGACGTTTTCTGTGCATAAGAGCAACAATTCCGGAAGGAACAGAAATCAAACCGAAGCTATGTAGCATACAACTGCACAAAGTGACACAATATTCACATATCACAAGCCAAGTTTCACTCCATGATTTTACTACGGGTAGTCAGACTTTTGCGTTGCTTGTTAGTAGATAAATTATTGTGGTTTTTGTTAGTGACAGGAACATAAATAGCTAAACGAATAAATAAGGGATCAATCTGTAATACAATGACGTAGTTAGAGGTAATTAATAGTCGCTGGTTTATCAACAAACCTACCACCAACTGCCTGTCAGTTTGAATAATTTTGACTTCTTCAATTCAACTTGGCTGGTTCAATTTACCAGCAGTATCGCATAGATCCCAGTTGCATCTATGGAAACTAAAAATGGACACTGATCAAAAAAATGGAACAGGTATATTGAAATTCCTTACTTCTTCCTTAACCCCCATCTCATTTTAAAAGTGATAGTCTCAGTGCAGGTGATGTCATGTAAAAGGTTCTGAATAAACTAAGATATTTACTATAACTATAGATGGCAGCATTCCGATGTATTTGCCAGGTATGTAGAGATGTACTACTTGGAGGACTAAAACCTGAAAAGTAAGAATTATGAGTTAAAGCCATCTTGACTATTCCTTTTCTTTTAGCATATTTTAGAACAATTTATATTGAATCACCAGTATATTGGAATAATGATAGTCTCTGTAAATTGAAATAGCCTATTTTTGCACATGTGCACCGGCAAAATATTGACTAGTAGGGTCAAACAAAATATCATTGGGAATCTCAAATAAATTTAGTTTTTGCGACTATACGCATTTGACGCAAGAGTATCTTGGAACTATAATGTACTGAATTCGAGGCCATAGCTTCATTATGACTTCAGAATTGCCTATCTTTAATTGACAAGATCCAAAAAAACAAAAATAGAAATAAGCCCTGTAGGGGGCTCGAACCCCTAACCTTATGATTAAGAGTCATACGCGCTACCGATTGCGCCAACAAGGCTTATTAATTGCGTTGTAGTCTTCGTAAAACACAAACATTTTGTAGAGCCAGCCTCCATCACGTGACCATAATAAGATTTGGTGGTTTTATGCCATACATGGTTTATATCTATTACCTCAAGGACCAAACGCAAAAGGAACACCATCATTGCGCAAGTTAGATGAGGAGTGTGCACAGAAACATGACGATTTATTATGATTCCCTTACAATATATAGGCAAGTACTATAATGTCGGTCACATGACCTTCATTTCATTTTTTTTTTTTTTTTTTTTTTTCAGTGAAAATTTTTGAAAATTTTTCTGCTCATCTCATCGCAAAAAAGTGAAAAAAAAAATCGATGATTTCAATTAAAATAAGAGCATCGCCCTATCATTATAGTGATTATAGGTGTTATTTTGGTTTGTTTGTATTGGATTTTGTATTTAGTTGAGATTCAAATAATAGTACATTAAAGAGTTGCTTTTTCTATCTAGAGGTTGTTTTGTTTGCTTTACAACAGAAATTCTTAAGAATTCGAATAACTATAAACAAGCAAATATTCTGGACAGCCTTGACAGTTTCTCCCAAAATAATTTTGATTAGAATCTGAGAGCTGACGAGGATTAGATAATGTCTAAAGTAATCAAGCCTCCTAGCAATGCTAGGACAGCTCATTTTCGTACTTTGGAAAGGGAGAACAGATTCAAGAATCCACCAAAGGACAAGTCTGCCTACCCGCTCCTACAAGAAGCTGTGCAACCACATGTTGGATCATTTAATGCACTAACTGAAGGTCCAGATGGTGGTTTGTTGCAGAGAGCCGTTGAGGATATTGGTGAGAAAGTTATCTTTGATGGTAAGTCCGATGGGTCTGATGAGATCAGCGACTACTTAGGTAACAAGCTGTCTATCAGTGTTGAACAAGTTTCCATCGCCAAGCCAACAGCTAACGATGGTGTTATGGGTGCCGCAGAGAGACCAGTTTACCCATCTGAAGCCAGACAACGTCTTACTTCCTACAGAGGTAAGATTCTATTGAAGCTTAAATGGTCTGTCAATGATGGCGAGAATGTGTTTTCTGAAGTTAGAGACTGTGGTGGTTTGCCAATCATGCTTCAATCAAACAGATGTCATTTGAACAAGATGTCCCCACATGAGTTGGTTCAACACAAGGAAGAATCAGATGAATTAGGTGGTTATTTCATTATCAATGGTATCGAAAAGCTTATTAGAATGCTAATCGTTCAACGTAGAAATCACCCAATGGCCATCATCAGACCTTCTTTTGCTAACAGAGGTGCTTCTTACTCCCAATACGGTATCCAAATAAGATCTGTTAGACCAGACCAAACTTCTCAAACTAACGTTTTGCATTACTTGAATGATGGTCAAGTCACCTTCAGATTTTCATGGAGAAAGAACGAATATTTAATTCCAGTGGTGATGATTATGAAAGCATTAGTGGACACCAGTGATAGAGAGATTTTCGATGGTATAATCGGTTCGAACACCAACAACTCTTTCTTAACTGATCGTTTGGAATTGTTGCTTCGTGGTTTTAAGAAGAGATATCCACAATTGAAGAACCGTACCCAAGTTTTGCAATATTTGGGAGATAAATTCAGACTGGTTTTCCAAGCTTCTCCAGATAAGTCTGACTATGAAGTCGGTCAAGAAGTTCTAAACCGTATTGTTCTGGTACATCTAGGCAGCAATGGTAACATGGATAAATTCAGAATGTTGCTGTTCATGGTGAGAAAACTTTACTCTCTTGTGGCTGGTGAATGTTGTCCAGATAATCCAGATGCTACTCAGCATCAGGAAGTTTTATTAGGTGGTTTCCTATATGGTATGATTTTAAAAGAAAAAATTGATGAGTATTTACAAGGTATTGTAGCACAGGTTAGAACTGACATCAATCGTGGTGTAGCGATCAATTTTAATGAAAAAAAGTACATGTCCAGAGTTTTAATGAGAGTTAATGATAATATTGGTTCAAAAATGCAATACTTTTTGTCAACTGGTAACCTAGTCTCCCAATCTGGTCTTGACTTGCAACAAGTCTCTGGTTATACCGTTGTTGCCGAAAAAATTAATTTCTACCGTTTTATTTCTCATTTCAGAATGGTTCACAGAGGTTCATTCTTTGCTCAATTGAAAACAACCACAGTTAGAAAACTGTTACCAGAGTCATGGGGTTTCTTGTGTCCTGTCCACACACCTGATGGTTCTCCATGTGGTCTTTTGAACCATTTTGCTCACAAGTGTCGTATTTCTACCACACAATCAGATGTCTCTAAGGTACCCGAACTGTTGTACTCCTTGGGTGTTACTCCAGCTTCTCATACATTTGCAGCTGGTCCATCCTTGTGTTGTGTTCAGTTGGATGGTAAGATCATTGGTTGGACGTCGCATGAACAAGGTAGGGTTATTGCCGATACTCTAAGATTTTGGAAGGTCGAAGGAGAGACTCCAGGCTTGCCTAAAGATTTGGAAATTGGTTATGTCCCACCTTCCAGTAAGGGTCAATATCCAGGTTTGTACATATTTGGAGGTCATTCTAGAATGATGCGTCCAGTACGTTATTTGCCATTGGATAAGGAAGATATTGTTGGGCCATTTGAACAAGTTTATATGAACATTGCTGTTACACCACAAGAAATCCAAAACAACATTCACACCCATGTTGAGTTCAGTCCAACTAATATTCTATCCATCTTGGCCAACTTGACACCATTTTCTGATTTCAACCAGTCTCCAAGAAATATGTACCAATGTCAAATGGGTAAGCAAACTATGGGTACTCCTGGTGTTGCACTATGTCACCGTTCCGATAACAAACTTTATAGATTACAAACTGGTCAAACTCCAATTGTGAAGGCTAACTTGTACGATGATTATGGTATGGATAACTTCCCAAATGGTACTAACGCTGTGGTTGCGGTTATTTCATACACAGGTTACGATATGGATGATGCGATGATTATCAACAAATCTGCTGACGAGAGAGGTTTTGGTTACGGTACTATGTATAAAGTCGAGAAGGTTGATCTATCCCTCAACAGAAGTCGTGGTGACCCTGTTACACAACACTTCGGTTTTGGTACTGATGAATGGCCAAAGGAGTGGCTGGATAAGTTAGACGAGGATGGTTTGCCATACATTGGTACGTATGTCGAAGAAGGTGACCCTATCTGTGCGTACTTTGACGATACCATTGGTAAGACCAAGATAAAGACGTACCACTCTTCGGAGCCAGCTTACATTGAGGAAGTCAACTTGATTGGTGACGAATCCAACAAGTTCCAAGAGTTGCAAACTGTGTCTATCAAGTACCGTATTAGGAGAACACCACAGATTGGTGACAAGTTTTCGTCTAGACACGGTCAAAAGGGTGTTTGTTCCCGTAAGTGGCCAACTATTGACATGCCTTTCAGCGAAACGGGTATCCAGCCGGACGTCATCATCAACCCTCACGCTTTCCCATCTCGTATGACCATTGGTATGTTTGTCGAGTCTCTAGCTGGTAAGGCCGGTGCGTTGCATGGTATTGCTCAGGACTCCACGCCATGGATCTTCAACGAGCAGGACACCCCAGCTGACTACTTCGGTGAGCAACTGCTGAAGGCAGGTTACAACTACCACGGTAACGAGCCGATGTACTCTGGTGCCACTGGTGAGGAGTTGCGGTGCGATATCTACATAGGTGTGGTCTACTACCAGAGGCTGCGTCACATGGTTAACGATAAGTTCCAAGTGCGTTCCACTGGTCCGGTGAACAGCTTGACCATGCAGCCCGTGAAGGGTAGGAAGAGACACGGTGGTATCCGTGTCGGTGAGATGGAGAGAGACGCGCTGATCGGCCACGGTACCTCGTTCCTGCTGCAGGACCGTCTGCTGAACTCCTCAGACTACACACAGGCCGCTATATGTCGCGAGTGTGGCTCGATACTGACCACGCAGCAGACCGTGCCCCGTATCGGAGCGGTGTCGTCGGTGTGCTGCCGCCGTTGCGCAGTCAAGTTCGAAGACGCAAAGAAGACGCTGTTCGAGCACGAGGAGAAGACAGAGGAGAAGATATTCATCGACGACTCGCAGATATGGGAGGACGGCCAGGGCCAGAAGTTCGTGGGCGGTAACGACACCACCACGGTGGCCATCCCATTTGTGCTGAAGTACCTCGACTCCGAGCTGAGCGCCATGGGTATCAGGCTGCGCTACAACGTCGACCCAAAGTAATGCATAAGTGGCATCTCTGACAATCTGTATACTAAATATCCAAGAAGATAACCATATCTAGAAGGTCCATAAGCAATATATATCAATACACGGATCATCACACCATTCCCCGTGAGAAGCAACGAGGCTTAGCTATTGCAAAAAAGTGCCGATCAGTTCAGCGGTGGGGGGGGGGGTGGGTGGAAGTCGTACGCAGAGTACTGAGGACAGGGTCCATCTTACCGGCTCCGGTACTCAGACGGCACTGCACAGGTGGAGAAGCATGTTCAGAACGCATAAAAAGAGTAAATCAAGTGCAGAAATGCGTCTCTCCCACAGACTCCCCTGCACAACCACATCGTTTCTTTTTTTCTTCTCTGTCTGAAAGCTTTGATTAGAATCTTTGACAAGCCTGTATAATTCGGGATCTGTGTCCTCTGGCAGAGACAACGCCGCAGAAAGTTGAAAGCTGTGAAATTAGAGTTGGCTCTCTGGCTCTGCCTCTGCCTCTGGTGGGGGGGATGGGGGTGGGAGTTAATTTTACCCGGCACAGGCTAAATTAGCTGACTTGGAGGAGGGGGGGGGACTCTGCGCACGCATACACCAATGCTGAATCAAGGCTTATTACATATTTGATATATATCAATTATCTCTATTATAATTATATATTAAACGTACCTTCTATATGAGGATCAGGCAGTGTTTGAGGATAGGGCGCTAGGGTGAAAAATATTGAAATTGCTAGGAGTGAAAATAACTATGGTTGAGAGTTATGTGATGAAAGCTGTGGAAGAGAGTGTGGATGATTCTGTGGAGGAGACGCATGAGATGCTGCCGAGTGCCCCTGTGCTGGATGAGGAAGCGTATGAGCTGCTGAACAGGCCCAATCCGAGTCTCAAGTTTTGCACGCTTTCTGTCGGGGAGACCGTGGAGAATCTCGAGACGGATGTGGACAATGGGTTGTCGTCGGAGGAAGAAGTCGTGAAGCGGAGGGAGATACATGGGAGGAACGATTTCGAGGAGGATGACGACGAGAGCATGATCAAGAAGTTCCTGATGAGCTTTGTGGAGGACAGGCTGATCCTGCTGCTGATAGGGTCGGCGGTGCTGTCATTTGCGATAGGCCAGATTGACGATGCAGTGAGTATATCGCTCGCGATACTGATCGTGGTAACCGTTGGGTTCATACAGGAGTACAGATCAGAGAAGTCCCTTGAGGCTCTTAACAAGCTTGTGCCCACGAAGTGTCACCTGATCAGGTATGGTAGGGAGTCTAATACGCTGGCGTCGGAGTTGGTCCCCGGTGACCTGGTGCGGTTCAAGATCGGGGACAGGATTCCTGCGGACGTGAGAATTATCGAGGCTGTAGACCTGTCCATTGATGAAAGTAATCTCACGGGTGAAACAGAACCGCTGCATAAGGATGCGCAGACCATCGACCCAGAAGAATATGACAATCGTAATGTTCCAGTCTCTGAGAGATCTTGTATCGCTTATATGGGTACTCTGGTCAAAGAAGGTCACGGTAAAGGTATCGTTATTGGAACCGGAACAAATACTTCCTATGGTGCTATTTTCGAGATGGTCAATAGCATTGAAAAGCCTAAGACGCCATTACAGGAGACAATGGACAGATTGGGAACCGAACTGTCATACATTAGTTTCTTCATCATTGCTATTATTTCCATAGTCGGAATCATTAGAGGTAACTCTTTGCTGATGATGTTCCAAGTGTCTGTGTCCTTGGCTGTCGCTGCGATCCCAGAAGGTCTACCTATTATTGTGACTGTTACTTTGGCTCTTGGTGTGTTGAGAATGACCAAGCAGAACGCTATTGTCAGAAGGTTACCAAGTGTTGAGACTTTGGGATCAGTCAATGTTATTTGCACAGATAAAACTGGTACTCTTACTACTAACCATATGACAGTGTCTAAGTTGTTTTGTTTAGACAGTAGTGGAACATACGAAAACGCAATATCTCCTGAGGAAGATTCAGAATTCGATGTACATGACAACGATGTTAAGGAAACGTTAACAATTGCAAATATTTGCAACAACGCAAAATATTCCGAAGAACACAATTTGTATATTGGTAATCCTACTGATGTGGCTCTGATAGAAGTGTTGACAAAATTTGGTATTCCCGATCAAAGGGACAGTCATGAAAAGATGGAAGAACTGTCATTTAACTCAAAGAGAAAATACATGGCTATAAAGAGTTCCAAAGAATCAGGCGAGCATGTTTTATACATTAAAGGTGCCTTTGAAAGAATTTTAGATAAGTCTAGCTATTATCTCGACAAAGCTGGTGAAGTCAGGGAATTTGATGAACACTCTAAGGTAATGGTCCTCGAAGCAGCACATTCGTGTGCTTCTGATGGGTTGCGTACGATTGCATGCGCTTTCAAACCAACTGATTCTGATAATGTTATTAGTGAAGATGATATCAATGGTTTAACCTTCACAGGTCTCTTTGGTTTAGCTGATCCCCCAAGGCCAAACGTCAAGGCGTCGATTGAAAAACTGCATAGAGGTGGAGTTCATATCATCATGATTACTGGTGATTCTGTAAACACAGCAGTTAGTATTGCCGAAAAGATTGGTCTGTCCGTTCAAGACAGGGAGAGTTCAGTTATGACAGGTGATAAGGTAAGTGAGCTCACTGAAGATGAGCTTTCGAAAGTCATTGATAAAGTTAACATATTTGCTAGAGCAACACCTGAGAATAAGTTGAATATTGTCAAAGCTCTTAGAAAACGTGGTGATATAGTTGCAATGACAGGTGACGGTGTAAACGATGCGCCAGCTTTAAAGTTAGCAGACATCGGAATTGCTATGGGAATTAGTGGTACAGACGTTGCCAAAGAAGTGTCAGATATGATTTTGACTGATGATGATTTCAGTTCTATATTAACAGCTATTGAAGAAGGTAAGGGTATTTTTAATAATATCAGGAATTTCTTGACGTTCCAATTGTCCATATCAGTTGCTACACTTTCATTAATTGCAATTACTACTATTGCAAAATTACCTGCGCCCTTAAACCCAATGCAAATTTTGTGGATCAATATTATCATGGACGGTCCGCCAGCACAATCACTTGGTGTTGAACCTGTTGACTCTGATGTTATGGACAAGCCACCTAGAAGTAGAGAGGAAAGAATTTTGAACATGAACATACTTTTGAGATTATTATACCTGGCCATATGTATATTGGTAGGGACCTTTTACATATTTTTGAAAGGTATGGACGAAAATCAGCAAACCACTTCAAAGGACATTACCATGACATTTACTGGGTTTGTTTTCTTTGCTATTTTTAATGCTGTTGCATGTAGGCATACAACGAAGTCTATCTTCCAAATCGGCTTATTTAGCAACAGGATATTTAATATCGCTATTTTATTGTCTGTCTGTGGTCAAATGTGTGCTGTCTATATTCCATTTTTCCAGCATATCTTCAAGACTGAGAATTTGGGATTTTATGATTTATTAACACTTGTACTTGTTAGTAGTAGTGTTCTCATTGTTGATGAAATTAGAAAAGCTATTTACGCTCTAGCAAGAGTGAATGAGCCAGTATACTCCTCTGAAGTTTAACGGCAACCAAAAGATGACAATTAAAAAATAAACGCATAATGTTTTGGTTTCAAGTTACCACAACTTAATATTTTCCTTCCCGTAATTGTACCTTAGATGTAATATTATTCATATTTATAAATTTTTTAATAATTTTGTTGGTTTTTTTATTAAGTATTTTGTCGATGAAGCACTCATTCTTACCTGAATCAAGACCAAGTATCTCTATAAATATTTTTGTTGGGTCGATTTTTTACGTATATTCCTAATAAATGGTATTGTCCTCAACCTAATTTGTGAACTAATACTGTTACTTCAAGCTTATACAAGCCAAATGGTATATCATTTGTTACGTAATTACTTTGATCCTGACTGTCGATCCAGCTGATGATCCTGATTCCAAAAGCCCCTCTCTTGGCAAAGTTTAATATAATTCGAGGTCTGTGAAGTGGATTCAAGTATCTATTAGTGTCAATCAGCGAAGTTAAAGTATCCATTAGCAAGAACAATAAACCTTTGCTACCCATGTACCAGTATTCAAATCAAACTGGGAACGGGGTGTATGGGAATCCTCCCATGCAACCCTTGCAGAATTATGGTTCTAGTGGCTATCAGCAAACGGCACCAATGCAGCAACCGTTACAGACAGGGTATCAACAGCCAATGCAGCAAACAATGAACCAGAATCAGGGAATGCAATTGCCACAGCAACAATATCAGCAACAACAGCCCTTGCAGCAACAGCCTATGCAGCAACAGCCTATGCAACAGCAATCATTCCAACAGCCTCAATTGCAACAACCTTTGCAACAACAACCTACTCAAACTGGTATGCAGCAACAACCATTGCAGCAGCAACTTACTCAATCTGGTATGCTGCAACAACCTTTACAACCACAGATGCAACAATCTTCTCAAACAATTCAACCAAATCAACTGAATGTTCAAAACACCGTCCAGTCTCAACAGTCCGTTCAGCCTTTGCTACCACAGCAAACAGGTTTTTATAGGCAAGGCAACCAACCCGTATTGGAACCTTTAAAGCCAACTGCGACTGGGTTTGTTAACTCTTTTGCTAATAACGGTCTTGATAATAATTTGAAAATCCCTGCTATCAGATTATCATTCATAACAGCGCAAGATCAGGCTAAGTTTGAAACATTGTTTAGATCTATTGTCACCAAAGGTTCTAATACAGTTTCTGGTGAAAATTGTAGAGCTATTCTAATGAAATCAGGATTGCAGCCATCACAACTGGCTAGGATTTGGCAACTCAGTGATACAAATCGTGCAGGTGAGCTGCTGTTCCCTGAATTCGCTTTAGCTATGCACTTAATTAACAACGTGCTGCAAGGTGACTCAATTCCATATGAACTTGATTCCAAGACAAAGAATGAGGTTTCCAGTTTTATTGATGCAATTAACTTGAGTGTTGTTTCAACAGAGTCTGACTTTAAGACACCATTTGATGATTTATTTAAACCTCAGCAATCCTTGCAGCCACAGGGCACAGGATTTTTACCTCAAACCTCTTTCGGTTTGCCTGCACAACCTACAGGCGGATTTGGACAACCACAACCAACCACTTTTGGTCAACTTCAAGCTCAAGTGACTGGCGGTTTTGGACAGCCACAGCCCACAACGTTTGGTTTACAGCCTCAAACGACAGGGGGCTTCGTGCAAGCTCAACAGGTAACAGGTGGTATTGCTCAGCAACCTTCTATGAATCCATTGACACAACAAGGTACAGGTTTTGCTCAGAATCAACAAGGTACTGGCGGCTTCTTACAACAACAGGGTACAGGAAGTTTTAATAATGCTGGTTTTGTTCAACCTCAAAATACTGGAAGTTTTGTACCGCAACAACAGCAACAACCAGTTGTTCAATCACAGCCAATTGCGCCACAATCGACTGGGGGTTTTGGTCCACCAATGCCAACTACCTTTGGTATCCAACCTCAAAGTACTGGGGGCTTTGTGCAACCACAAGTTACTGGAGGTCTTCAACCTGCGTTAACTGGTAACATTCCTCAAACATCTTTTGGTGCACAACCATTTAATCAGCAATTGCAACCACAAGCTACTGGGTATCTTCCTCCTTCTCAATTCTCTGCCACTATGCCTTTAACTGCTCAAAAAACAGGTTTTGGAAATAATGAAATTTATGCCCAATCTAATTTTAATGGTCCTTCCTTTTCTACACAGGAATCGGATATTATTACTAGTGAAGAGAAATCATTGTTTTACAAGATATTTGAAACGTTTTCTCAAAACCGTGGCGTATTAGACTCAGCAACAGCTGTCGAAATCTTTAGAAAGTCTGGTCTGAACAGATCTGATCTTGAAAAGATTTGGAACCTATGTGATATCAATAATACTGGACAACTAAACAAGCAAGAGTTCGCTCTTGGTATGCATTTGGTTTATGGTAGACTAAATGGTCGCAGCATCCCTGACAGACTTCCACCCAGTCTCATTCCCTCAAGTACTAAAATCCTTGATAATGTCAAGAATCAATTGATATCTAGCTCCTCTGATGGGAATAGAAAATCTTTCACCAGAATGGATGCCCTAAGTTACAAGAATGATGATAATGACAAATTGCCAAATTTCAGAAACAGAAGAAAGAATTACCCAACAGATAATGATGCTGATAAGGAAAGACAGAGAAGACAGGAGAGAGAAAGAGAAGAAGCTGCCAAGAAGAAAGAACAAGAGAGAAAAACTAAGATGGATATCGAAAGAGCCCGCAAACAAGGTAGTTTTACCAACTCAGAACCAGAGTTTACAGATGTTTCTGTTTCTGAAATTGAGGATATAAAGCGCAGAATCACCGAAGCACAGCAAAAATTGGCTGTAAGAAATCAATCAATCCCCAACGATCTCAAAAAACGTTTCAACGAAGTTGTTGCTAGATTACCAACTCTGTTTGTGGAAATTTACAAAGTTGATACAGAAATCATGCAAGCTCGGATTGAGTTATGTAAAAGAAGAACTCCATCTTCGATTATAGGTACTGGACCAGGTGGTAGTATTACAGAGGATGACAGAAGAAAAGCAAAGAGTAAAGCCTTGTTAAGATCTCGCATGAATGCACTAACTGGTAAGGGAGACAACTCAGACGAACCTGATATTGAATCTGAATCGTTCACTAAAGAAATTGAGAAAATTCAATCAGAAAGTGCTCAAAATAAGAAGATCATTAAAGATATTAGAATATCAATTTCTGAATTATCAGCTCCTATTAGATCCATTATGACTGGCTCACTCCCTACATGTTCTTCTACAGATTTCGAAAAGTGGGAAATTGGTGTTGGCTTGGAGAACGATGTAAGGGAATTTGTCCTAACTTTGAAGAAAGGACTACTCTATGTTTCTGAACCGTCCCATATGAACTCTAATCAAACACTGTCTCATCCACCAGCTGCTGCTCTAAAGAAAGAAGCCACAGGTGAAGACCGTGCTGCTCAACTGAAGGAGCAAGCTCAAAAGAGAATGAAAGAGCGTTTAGCTAAATTCGGTATTAGCAGAAGAGAAACTAGGGATCTTGAATCCTCTAAACAACAGGAGTCAGGTTCCACTCCAGATGCTGTACCAGCTGCCCAAACTGCTAATGCATCTCAAACACCATTTGAGGAGGTTATTTCAAGTCCACAAAAAATGGAAGTAACTTCAACTGCTGGTGAAGACAATGAGGAAGAGGATGAAGAAGAGCGCAAACTGAAAGAACAATTAGAATTATTAAAACAAAAGAAAAATGCTGAAAAGGAGAAAAGACTAGCTGATTTGCGAAGACAGATTGAAGAAGCAGAGAAGGAAGAAGAGCACCCCAGTGTAGCACAAAGTAACAGTGGAAATGTACAATCTTCTTCAAATCAACCTGCCAGTGTTCCTGTTGCTAATAGTCAACCACAGAATTTGCAGAACACACATATCACCACTAAACCTCTTTCATTGAATCAAACTGGTAGTAGTTATGATATGGCTTCAAATACTTATTTTAAGCCAACTCAAACATCACAATCTGCATTTGATAGGGAGAAAGCTGAGCAGCAAAGAAAAATCCAGAGAGGTCTTGAAAGCGATGACGATGGATGGTCAGATGATGATGATGATTTATACAGCAAGCCAAACACTGCTCCTCAAACTGCCCCAGTACTAGATAGCTCTAATACACCACAACCAGGGATGAATGCATCTGTTCCAGCACCTATTGCTCCTCCGATCCCTACCCCACAGGCAAGTTCTCCAGCAGTTCCAGTCGCGCCTCCAATTCCTGCTGTTACTCCTTCAGAATCTTCGATTCCCATGACCTCAAACGCCGATGTAGCTGGAGCTGATCATTTGGATCAAGATACTGATATATCTGGTGCAGCAGCATCAGCAGATAAGCAAAACACTTCTCATGTTAGCCATATCCCTCCTGTTCCAGTTGCTCCACCGTTGCCTCAAGTGAGCTCAATAGCACCACCACCTCCTCTGCCAAATTTGTCCGTACCACAACCTCATGAAACTGTTGATAATGACGATGGTTCGGATGTTTTGTCCATACCAGACTCTGTTGAATCAGATAAGGAAGATCTGGCACCAGCTGGTCATACTCCTGCAGCTATGGGAATTCCACCTCCACCGCCTCTACCTAATTTTTGAAAGGCACATTGTCACAATAGTCACTTAGAGAGGTATTGTTTGTCCAATAATAAGGTATTGTTAGCACATGTTTGTATCATAGAGAAATATATATTGTTTACAAATCGACAAATTTATATTATTATCTTGAGTTTGAGTCAATATTGTAATCTCTTCATACTTGACATATATTTTTATCTTGAGTAGCTGGCCATAGGGTCATTTAACTCATCTTCTTCATTATTTGTGTATTTGGTTTCCTTTTGAATGTTATCGGTTGATAAATGGTCCTTATGGATATCTATTTTATCTTTCGATAAAAACTCTCTTACTGCTTCTGTGTATTCAGGTATGTCATCTCGAGGGGTGAAAAAGATGTGATCGACTTTAATTTGTCTACCAGCCACTGTTATGCCATTGAGATTATCAACGGCAAGGATTGTTGACCTCTGATCCTCATATTTCAGGAATGCAAAACCCTTTGATTCGTGAGTCTCCTTGTCACGGACAAGTAATACATCAACGGGGACGCCATACTGTGAAAATATGGTAAGTAAATCACCTTCTGTCAACTGTCTGTTCAATCCTCCAATGAATATGTATGCCTGATCCTTGTATTCCTGATGCCAGGAGTGTTCCGGCTTTAGTATACCAGCTTCTAGTTCCTTCTCATTGATTCTTTGGATAGCCTTGATCTGATTCATGAAATCTGATTCACGTGTTAGTGAATATATTATTATCTATCAACCATTCATGATATCAGCCGGTAGTGGATCAGATTGCCATATTTATTATTTACAAGTTTGTAGCGTAAATATCTCGAAACCAAGATATTTTACTGCTAGAGTGATATGAATGAATTGATGACCAAATTAGCATGGAGGTCGTACTCAAGCTCTAGGGCCATGCATTTGTAACACTGAGTAAGCTATTTTAATATTGTTTTGGTGTCATGCCTTGAATAATGCCAATGAGATAGTTATATGTACAAAAAAATACTTATGACAAAACAAATAAACATCGATTGATCTTCGTAGAATCATAGGTATACTTTGACTAAATTACACTAGGTATTCCTATGCTTCTTAGTGGCTTCTGCTACCAACTCTTCGAATATTTGCGCTTCTTCTTGTTCAGATTTAGTTCTGTAAGTCTTTTGGAAAACTTTGCCTAATAGTCTTAAGGCCTCTGCCCTCTTTATACGTGTATTGAGGTCTATCTTTTGATCATCAAGTACTTTATCGCACACACTCCTCAGTGTTGATGTCATTTCGAACTTAGTTCCATGCCATGCCGCCGATAAGACCTTACCCATAAGTAATTGTTCCTGTTGTGCTAATTCTTCAGCAGTTGGTTTCGGTTTAGGAGCTGTTGTTGTTTCTGTCTCTGTCTTCTGTTGATTCTTACTGTTTTCTTCAGTATCCTCAGTGGAGGCTTCCTTCATTTTTTCAAGCTCTTTCATAGTATTTTGAGCATCAATAGCAGCAGACACCGTCCTCAGTGTGTCCATAAGCACACCGCCTTTAGCTTTCACCGAATGAAATATGCCACCAAACCCAAATAGGTTTTGCGAGGCCAAAAAAATCTTTGCTTTCTCACAGTAAATATCACCTATAGTATGTAAAATATCAACACCAAAAGATTCCATCTTCAGCATATTTGCTTCTTCTTCAAACTTCTTTTGGAAAGAATTCTTGCATGCGTCGTCGTAAACACTCTCGGTCAGTATCGAAAGCCTTTCAATCAGTGTCTTACTCAACTCTTCAATTCTTTTCTCTCTTTCAATTTTCTGTTGTTCTTCAAATTCTTCTAGTTTTGTCTTCTTTTTCTGATTGACCGCATCATCCTTGGGCTTTGTGCCTTCAGGATCAGGATGTACCGTTATGTCTTGACCACTACCTTGTACATGGCCATTCTTCTTCATTTCTTCCTCTTTCTCTTTACGTTTCTGAGCCTCCTCTGCTTCTTTCTGCTTCTGTGCTTCATCCTCGGCGTTTAGTTCCTCTGTCTTTTGGAGATTCTTCAGCAACGTCAACTCACCAATGTAGGATGCAAATGCTTCACCACCAAATATGGCGCTAAATTGCTCCGCTGCATCTTCAAATCCACCCTTTGGTATAGCTTCTTGCTTACCAAACTTATCGTACTTGGCTCGCAGCTCCTCGCTACTTAGCACTTGGTAGGCTTCTGATATGGCCTGAAACCGCTCTGTCGCCGTGGGATCGTTGGGATTCTTGTCAGGGTGCTCCTGTATAGACTTCTTTCTGTACGCTTTCTTAATCTCAACGGCAGTAGCAGTGGGCCCAATACCCAACAAATCGTAGTACGTGGAATCTACAACCATCGCTAACTATGTTCTTTAATTATGTATCGTACTCACTCAAATAAAGTATCAATTTCAGCTTGTCCCACCGTATACTTGTAAAATTAGCCACCTAATCGTTTTCTGAGTATTCAATGGTTGAGTCCATCCATGTGTTTGCCAACAAGTCTGCGAAGTATGCTGTGTTGAAGTAGCTCTTAATTCTTCGATTCTGAGCTCTTAGAGCCTTGAACATGGGAGGGCATAGTATACGGTATAATTAAGGTTTATACCAGGACATAGTATCATTGAATTTGATGAATTGTTCACATATTTCTTAGAGTCGGTAGCTTTTGCTGCTTATACATTTACATAACTATTCATTGTCTAGCGGTTCGGCTTCAGTTGGGAGAGTTCCTGACTCTTCTCTGGCCTCAGTGTCTAGTTTCTGTTCAGGGGAAGGCTCTTGAACATCCAAAGTAGTTTTAGTAGGTTCATTGTCCAAGATGTCTGAAGATGTACCAGTTGGTACGTTGACTAGTACGGGTTCTGCAGATTTTGTTTGTTCTTCTTTAACTGTAAGTTCTTCTTTAACTGGTTTTTCTTCTTCAACTGTTTTTTCTTGTTCAACTGTTTCCTCTTCTTCAACAGTAGATTCAGACGCCATTAGTTCTTTCTCCATTTCACGTTCTTCCTGTTCTTCCATGTTTTGCTCCTCTGTTTCTACATAGTTGTCCTGATCACGGCAGTCAATGTCGTCATCCGCGTCGTGAACAACTTGCCCTTTGATACTCAGTTTCCATGCACTGAATATCTCGATGGTGTTTCCTGTCTCTGAAACTTTCACCTTCTCAGTGGTGGCCACTTTTGTTGGAAGTTTGCGCCCTCGAGGACCTCTTGCTCTACCATGACGAACATCTTTCAAATTTGTACCAGATCCAGTATCTTGGTCATTCGACGTCGAGGTTTTGTCATTAGCAGTATCTTGGGGATCTTTCAACACTTTTGCAAGTGCAGGTGGAGGCGGACCACCAGGAACCATACCTGGAAGGGCAAAAAGACCATTCAGGTTATTTGCAAACTTGGTCCTAGCATCACTATTCATTGCTCCATCATTTTGCTCACCTTTCTTTTGGCTCTTCTCAAACTGTGCTTCTTGTTGTTTCTGTAACATCTCTTGGAAAGCTGCTATCCGTGACGATGGCTTCTTCGGAACTGGGGGAGGTCCACGCTTCTTAGGCCTGCTTTCTGGAACATGCGGCTTCGTTTCTTCTCCATCAGCCGTTTCATTCTGGTCAGATCGGTCTTGTGATACTTTCTCCGATGGCTCAGTTGAATCTTTGGTAGACTTTTCAGATGTTTCCGAAGTTGTTTCTGTAGTTGGCTCCTGGGACTTCCTCTGAATTTCATTAGCAGATTCGGTACTGGTCTTAGGCGCATCGTTAGATTGGTCTGGAGAAGATGACACAGATTTCTCAGAAGGCTCTTCTGTTTGTCCTTTAACCAATATTTCGCTTGAATCTTCAACAGGCTCCTTTTCGGGTTCCTCAGTGGACTTCTTCATAGGCACTTCAATTGACTCTGGAATTGATTCTTCAATCGATTCAATCTTTTGCTCCTCAATTTGTTTGTCATCAGTTTCCTCGTCTGTCTTCGCAACTGATTTCTCAATTTCATCCCTCGACTCTTGTGGTGACACCATTTCGGCCGTCTTCTCAGCTGTCTTAGCAACAAAGTCGCTAGTTTTAACAGTTTCGTTTTCAGATGTGTTATCAGAAAGCTTTTCAGAAGCTCTATTTGATTTCGTCTCCTTCATTTCCTCATCCCGTTGCTCAGACGTTTTCATTAAAGTAGTTTCCTCCTTGTCATTAGAGATTGTATGCTCTATTGGCTTTTCCGTACCTGCAACTACTTCGTTCAGTTCATCAGAAATCTCCTTTATTGCTTCTGGATGAGAACCAGTTGTAGCTGGTAGTGGATCTTCTGTTGTGAAAGTCTCTTCTGTTCCACCAGGGACATTTAATTCTGTAGACTCCTTCGCTTTTGAAACATCAGCCGTGTTCTCGACCATATTGGTGTCTTTATCCTCCATTGGCGAATCAGTTGCTGTCATTTCTTCAGTAGCCTTCGACCCTTGTCCATCAGCAACTGACACTGATTCAAGACTCTCAGAAGTCTGCTTCCTTCTTGGGCGCTGTGGGATACTAGGCATTTCAGGAGTATCCACCACCTGCTTGTTCTCGTGCTCTTTAGCTTTCACTACTTTAGGCCTCCGCTGAGGAACCACCGGTTCCTCACCCTTGTGTCCATGCGAAATCAATTGCTCCATCTCTTCCAACTCCTTAGTTGTATTTGACACCAGATCAGCTATCTCTTCCGTGGTAGAGTGCCTCATGGGCCGCTGTGGCACCTCTGGCACGGGACTGTCCTCCGCGCTATCGCCCTTCTTACGCTGTGGTCTCGCTGGTATTGCTGGAATCATCGCTGATATAGCTTTCGCTGTAACACTAACCACCTAGCTGTCCCAATGCTTTAAAATCAGTCCTCTTGTTGTACCTTTCCCTTTTTGCCAATTTCCTGAAAAATGTGTGTTGATGGGCATCGATTTCTTGTAAACTCTGAGCTTGATAATGAGGCCTTTTAGAGCGATAGGAAGCCATTGGGAGTTGAAAGTAGTGCTTACATCGGTATTGGCGTGGTCTTAATTGGTGGCGAGCTCTTTTCTGCGATGGAATAAGCCCTTGTGGGTCACAAGATAGAACAACAAGAAGTGAACAAGAGAGTAAGAACTGATGGAGGACAGTGATTTCGACGATGCTGAGCTGGATGAGTTGTATGAGAAGGCTATCAATAGGCGTGTGAATGAGACATTGATTAGACGTTCGCTACCTGTGCAGCGCGACTTACAGAACGGTGTGGTGCCTGGACAGGACACGTATTATGAGGAGATACGCACTGAGGTGACGTTTGGCCCCACGCACCACCAATTGAATGAGGAGCTATTGCATAGTTACATCTACCCGACGAACTTTGAAGTACGGGACTATCAGTTTGATATAGTGCGGAAGGGCTTGCTGCAAAATATCCTATGTGCGATACCGACAGGTATGGGTAAGACATTCATAGCGAGCACGGTGATGCTGAACTTCTTTCGGTGGACTAAAACCGCCAAGATTATATTTACGGCACCTACTAGACCTCTTGTAGCGCAGCAGATCAAAGCCTGCCTTGGTATAACCGGTATACCTCACGACCAGACTGCGATTCTGCTGGACAAGACACGGAAGAACAGGGAAGAGATATGGGCAAACAAGCGTGTATTCTTTACTACACCGCAGGTGGTGGAGAACGACCTGAAAAGAGGTGTCTTGAATCCAAAGGATATTGTCTGCCTTGTTATTGATGAAGCTCATAGAGCTACAGGCTCTTATGCTTACGCAAACCTTGTGAAATTCATAAATAGGTTTAACTCTTCCTATAGGCTATTAGCATTAACAGCCACACCAGCTACAGACATTGAGGGTGTCCAAGAAGTAGTTAATAACTTGAACATTTCCAAGATTGAGATTAGGACGGAGGAGAGTATGGACATTGTCAAATACATGAAGAAGAAGATAAAGGATAGGGTAAACATACAAACAACAGTGGAGATTGAGAACATAGTAGAACAGTTGGGTATAGCTATTCTTCCAGTTCTGAATCAAGCCGTGGAACTTGGAATCTATGAGTCTTGTCCACCGTCTGCGATCAATGCATTTAAGGCTATGCAAAAGAGCCAGGCTATCATCATGAATCCATCAATCCCGGAAGGAATCAAATGGAGGAACTATTTTATTTTACAGTTACTTAACCATGTGGGACAAATGTTAAAGCGTATTAAGATTTATGGGATACGGACATTTTTCTCATACTTTCAAAATAAGGTTAAGGAATTTACAACAAAATACGATCTGGGCAAGTCAACTAATAAGATAGCCGCTGGGTTTTACTATCATCCAATGATTCAAGCCATCACAAAAGAGTGCGAAGAAAAAATAAAAGATCCAAACTTTTTGGGTCATGGTAAACTAGAGCACTTGAGAGATGAACTTACTCAGTTCTTCTACGAGAATCCATTTGAATCTCGAGTTATAATATTTACTGAGCTTCGAGAAAGTGCATTAGAGATAGTAAAATGTATTGATTCCATGGAGAACTCCGAAATTCGTCCTCATATATTTATTGGTCAAGCTAAAGGTAAGGAAGGCTTTGATGAGGTTAAATTTGTAAGGAAGCATGGGCCCAAAGGTAGAAAGAAAAGCGATAGGGAAAAACGGCTTGAGGAAGAACGTCGTATGGACGAGGAAAAGAAGCAAGCAGCGTTGCAAGAGAAGCTAGAAAGAACATCAAGAAGAACAGGAAGTTCTGAGGAAGCTCAATTGAGCGGCATGAATCAAAAACAACAAAAGGAGGTGATTAAAAAATTTAAGTCTGGACTTTATAACGTTCTTGTTTGTACTTCTATCGGGGAAGAAGGTCTTGACATCGGTGAAGTTGATTTAATTATCTGTTACGATACAACTAGCAGTCCCATCAAAAACATTCAAAGAATGGGCAGAACTGGGCGTAAAAGAGATGGTAGAATTGTGCTTATGTTTAGTAGCAACGAAGCCTCAAAGTTTGATCAAAGTATGAATGATTATTATAATCTGCAGAAACTAATTTCTCAGCACCTGGTACAATACAGGAAATCAGACCGAATTTTGCCGCCTGAAAACCAAGAGCCTGAATGTGAAAAGAAATTCATAGAGGTTAGTGAGGAAGATCAAGAGCTAAATAATATGGAAGATACAGATGATGTTATTAGGTTTGCAACTCAGTGTATGTTGGGCAAAATACCTAAGACAAAAAAGGGGAGGGATAAAGGAAAAGCCAAAAAAGGTAAGACATTCTTCATGCCTGACAATGTCATAACTGGGATCATTACCGCTAATAATCTGGTCCGTAAACGGAAATCAGCTCAGAATGGTAGCGGTGCAGCGCTACTGGACTCCATAGTCAATGATGATATTGATTTAGAGGATGAGGACGGGCAAGTAGAAATACTTGATGTTGATCAAGAGGTCAATAGAAGGTTAGCATCCAATGCTGTTCAGAAGACGAATGACATGGCTCTTCAGATTAGAAATGAGGAGACGCCTGAGATTGGAGATACCAGGAATAAGGCGAAAGCAAGCTCAAGCATGAAAGTTAAAAAGGAACCTACAATGGCCGTGGACCACAGTGACGATGAAGAGGACTTACCATTATCCAGACATGTTGAGCGAGCTAGTAGAGAGACCGCAAAGGAAGTACCTAATGCCACCAATGTAGCTGAGAAACCATTTCCACCACTAGAATTTGGAGTACAAAGACCTAGTAAAAGACAAAGATTGCAACCAGAAGTGCAACCAGAAGTGCAACCAGAAGTGCAACCAGAAGTGCAACCAGAAGTGCAACCAGAAGTGCAACCAGAAGTAACAGTGAAGCCCGAAGTCAAGATAAAGACTGAAGAGGGTTCCAAACTGTACAAGAACATATTTTTCAGCGACGAAGGGTTCTTACAACCACATGAGAAGGAGCTGTTTCTGTCCAAGTACAACCCTGAAGACGCCACGGTCACGATAGAGCCCGTACCGAGGTTTGTGCGAGCTCACGGGCGCGTGAAACACAGCAAGCGCACTGAGCAACTCATCACATTGTTCGAAGACATGAACCACAACAGAGTGGCGCGCACCATCGAAATGAACAAGCTGAGAGGCATCGCCCGGCGCTTGCACACCGTCAGCCAGTCGCAAGGCCAATCCAACTCCCAGTCACAAGCCCATTCCACCTCGCAAAAGTCCCAGCAAGCTTCACAGAAGGACAGATCAAGCCAGGACAAAGACCTCACGAACTCAGAACTAGAAGACCTCCTAGACTCAGACTTCTAGCCTACTATAAGCAACTCCGCAGCTTGTATATATGTGTTGTATATGTCTATGTAACCTGCCATGTGATATGTGCGTGTAATATTATCTGAAAATTTTTCAAAGGAAAATTGCAAGGAAAAAGTATAAAAAGCAGCTCATCGCGAAGCTTGTAGCTTTGTAGCTTTCTTGCAGTATTGTCTTTCTGCGACTTCTAGAGAACCATCCTTATGCTCGGGAAATACGCATATCAGTGAGGATTCGTTCCGAGATTGTGTTTTTGCTGGTTGAAATTTAATTAATTATAAACCAGACCGTACTCCTCATGGCTCGTCTGCGTCCCGTCTCCTTGTGAGTTGGGTAGTGGGCAGTGCTACACTTAATTCCGTGGCATTGTAGAGCGCATGCAGGGAATTTTTGGCATCATTTCACACATGGACAACATAGTTCTAGCGGTGGTCAATCACTGGAATGTTGTCCCTGTTCCTTTTTTTTTCTATTCCTAATAATAAGGAGGTCTCCTGTTTGTAATGAACTTACCTCTATAATGCTGTGCTCGATGAGTCCATTGGCTGGCAGTATAGAAGTTCTTTTATATATGTCAATATTCAGTTGTATATCATTGGACCCATCTTGTCATTTTGTCTTTAAGGGAAAATCCTGTGTGTAGCTTGCATCCTCGAGACTCACTAAAATGATTAGGATTCGATATATCCCGAACGCAGGGAGGTTAATAATTGTATGCGACTCCCCCGGACTTGAACATTCCATAGGGGAACTTTACTTTCTGTATACTAGAGGGGGGCCAAGTGGTGCTCAATCTAATTTTATTAATTTCAAGACCAGAACAAGCTATTATATTAGCTCGGATGTTTATAGGGCATGGGACAAGATGAGTTTTATCGAGAGAAATCTCATCCTGAAGAGATATGTTTCCCAGATAGTGCTTCTCCTTTGACATCTACTGATGTTATCGAGCCATTTAGAGGAGACACTATTGACAATAAGATGGAGGCTTACAAAGGGCTGGTACAAGAAGTACCGCGAGTGCGAAATACGCTGTTTGGTTTCACGCTTAATGATAACCGTATCAATGCTATATCTGGTGCCCTGGCGGGGTTGCTGTCAGGTATAGTAGTGTGTCCTCTTGATGTTGCCAAGACGAGGTTGCAAGCTCAAGGATTGCAAACGAGAACCACCGAGAATTTGTACTACAGGGGGTCCATAGGGACAATGACCACTATTGTGAGGGACGAAGGTGTACGTGGGTTGTATAAAGGTCTAGTGCCAATTATCATGGGTTATTTCCCAACATGGATGATATATTTTTCAGTTTACGAGTTTTGTAAGGATAATCTACGAACAAACTCTTCTAACTGGAGCTTTGTATCTCATTCATTCTCTGCTATTACTGCGGGTGCTGTATCGACTGTGGTAACCAACCCGATTTGGGTCGTGAAAACTAGACTAATGCTTCAGACTCATATAGGAAGCAACACCACTCACTACCAAGGTACCTACGACGCATTCAAGAAGATAATAAATCAGGAAGGGGTTAAAGCGTTGTATGCAGGATTGGTCCCATCACTATTGGGATTATTGCATGTAGCTATTCATTTCCCTGTTTATGAGAGGTTGAAGGTATCATTTAAGTGCTATCAAAGGGATGAGAGTTCTAATGAATCAAAAATTAACTTGAAACGATTGATTTTAGCATCATCAGTCTCAAAGATGGTTGCCTCGGTGCTTTCATACCCTCATGAAATACTTAGAACAAGGCTGCAATTAAAATCTGACCTCCCATCACATCAGAGAAGATTGATTCCATTGATAAAGATTACATACATTCAAGAAGGAATATTCGGATTCTATTCTGGTTTTGGAACTAATTTATTCAGAACTTTACCTGCATCGGCTATTACTCTAGTTTCTTTCGAATACGTTAGGAACTTTCTCAACAAAATATAGCATCGATAAATGAGGTTGGTTTTTTTCATTGTTTTGTTTATTCATCGCATTACGGGTTAGTGGCCAATTAATAATATTCAGCATTACATTTTTCTTTATTTATTGCTCAGCAACAATCAACAAAATTTCTCTTATATATAGATGATGCATATTCACTCGGTGCAAAATAAATAATAATGGCCGATAATTAATACTTGCAAATATCAAAACTACTATTTATAAATATTCGGCTAACTAGTAGTATTTAACAAAAGTTTTTAAATTAATACGTTCAGTATAATATTCTGCTATATCTTCTTTTTTCAGCAATGTGAATCCATCCACAGAGTTTGCATCATATAGCTATATATATTTAATAAATATCTTCTTATACTGCTTTTAACTCGAACCTTGAACTGTCCAAAACAGAAAAATTTATTACTTTTATATCTTCTTGCGTAAAATAACCGCCAAAGTTCGCCCTTTTGCGACACTTAACATTGATTGTATGTAGTCATTATACAACTTAAGTTCAAAAATTGCAATGAGACACCCCTTATGGGTTATCTCTAGGTATGTAACTATTTACAGAATAAACTCACCAGTCCACATATGTCATATTATATCTCAGCTGGCCAAACTAAGATAATGTATGATACGTATGGTGGTTTATATATGTATATATGACTTTACTGAAACGCAGTTCACTACTGGTAGGTAATGTACTGGAACGGTCTAAATCTAGTGATCGATTTAGCCTCCATCAGCAAAACTTCACTGATCTTCACATACATTATCCATCAGGAACACAGTTAGAATTAATAATAAAAACTGGAACGGTCTTAATGGTTGAACAGGTAAGCCTCCACCGTCAGGATGAATGTATGTTGTCAGTAATCAACGCATATGATTGTTTTTGTTTTCATTAAGACACAGTACATTTGTTCCTATTTGAAATGAACTGGAACGGTCTATGGCATCTCATGTGAAATACCATAGCCTCCACTTAATGAAAATGGATGGTCGATTCAATTGACGAAACGATACGAATAATCTCAGACACAGCATAATCATTATAAAATTATGCTGGAACAGTTCAAGTTGGTTGAGCAACAAGACCTCAACTGAAAATAGTTTCGTAATTGAATGCAAAATCAAACAATGTCATATTCAATTAAAATTATTCTTCCATGAAACGCAAACTAAATTTAATTAGTTTGGAACGGTCCACAGGGTTTCAAAACAATAAAACCCATTCCATGGCCTCTATTCAGTGGTAATAATTTTAAAGTCTAACATTGTTTGGGTTAGTAATAGTAATAATAAAATAATAAAATAATAAAATAATAAAATACAATTTTTTTTTTTTTGTGTGCATAAAATGCACTTTTTTTATTTTTTTTTTTTTTTTTTTTAATTTTTTAATGTTTTTTTGTTTTTGTGTTTTTATAATACCAGTTCATCATAATTTACACTAATATACATTCACCTGGCTAAATTGTCTCTCGTTCATAGAGTCTATTGTACAGTCCATGCAGATTCACCGTCCTTATATTCTTCGTCCTGGAAATAAGCGTCAATTTGGTCGAAGATCATTTTTCTGTACTTGGCTGCTTCAGACATGATTGGGCTGGATTGGTCTAAGCTCTCGTTAGCCTTGTCGTCAGTGTTATCTTCTGGCAGGAATTCTAGGTGGTTTCTGCCATTGATTACAGCGGCTACAGACGTTGGGGAAGACATAGCGACTTTGGCCTCGAATTCTTCTACGGGCATTTTCATTCCCAAGGGCTTTTTGTTCTTATTCTTCTTAGACTTTGATTTTTTACCTTTCTTCTTCTTCTTGTTAATCACATGCCAGCCTCTTCTCAATTTACCTTTAGCCTTAGAGCAACAGGAGTTATTTGTCTCTTCAGCACTTTCTCTGCCTGCATCACTTTCTTCATTTTTGTGTTCGACTTTGTGTTCAACTTTGAGTTCAACTTTGTGTTCAACTTTGTGTTCCGGTTTCTCTTCCCTTATATCATCATGAATTTCAGTAATTCTTCCCTGGATATCCTTGGAGAAGGCCTCCTTCAGATTCTTGAACCCATGCTTCCTGGCTAGCTTCTTCATTCTCTTCATGCTGCCAGATGGGAACAAGGATGGATTATTGGGGACTGACTCATTGAAATCAGACACAGAGGAATTACTGTCAGAGTTAAGATCTAAATTCTTTGTGGCATAAGTAGAGATGTCAGACAACATAACAGAACTAAAGCATTCTTTTGGTAACTTGGTTCTGATAATAGTAACCATACTTACCGTTGAACTATTAATACTCTCACAATCAATCGCCTCTTGTTGAGTACGATCATGACCGTAAGCAATACTGCCCTCCCAGCAGCTTGAACCGTCGTAAATACTAGAGGTCTCGCATACTTGTGAGACCGAGTTGTCGTTAGTTTCATCAGATAGCTCCCCACTCTCATTTCCATCGGGCATGTAAGGGAGTATTGGGTACATCTGCTTGTATGCTTCAAATAGACTTCTCTGACCTCTTTCGCGAGCATCTTTGTAGACAGCTTGAGGTTCAAGAACAGTTTCAGCAGAGGATCCACTCCCATCTTCCCATGATGGAATTCTAGATGCAATATTATTCATAGAGCAAAAGGAGTTGCTAACAACTTCCATGTCAAATTCATAGTCTTCCAAAGTTGCGTTTGGGCCGTAGACTATTTCAATGACCTCAGAATAATCAACAGGTTTTTCGTAAATATTTCTGGTAACATCAATGGACTTACTGGAGAAGGCACCATTGTGGAACCAGTGTTTGAATTTGTTCAACTTATCAGAGCGTTTCCACTTAAATACTGAAAAGGAAGTAAGAGATTCCTTGACATTTCTGAACTTCTTGGTGAAGGAAGTCCATCTGGAGCCGGCAGAAAAGTTGAAGTTGTTGATCATTTTTTGAAGTTCTTTTTTTTACTTGAAGTTGTTTTTATTTGTCTAATAGTGAGTATTAGGCGCTTTTAGTTTATATGAGGAGGAGAATATACTCAAAATAAATATTATGAAGCTGAATTAAAATGTAAAACGGGAAAGAAATATTTAAGACTTAAAAAAAAGACGGCCTATTAATATACGTTTTTGGAATAAATCAAGGTATAGTTCAGGTACACAAACGTAACCATTTTGTTGGTTTTTGTACCATAAGAATCATATATTCACTAATAATTTCCGAGGTTTAATTCCGGACCAAACGCTAACCTCTCAGAAATACCCATACTGATAGTATTATGAATTTATATTTATAAATTAACCACAAACTTTTAACCTAAAATCCATCTTTTTTCCTGTTTGGGGACTTTATTTTACTCACTTTAGAATTATTGTGGACTAGCCGCTTGTGCAGATCCAAGGAAATTAAATACATGTGACCATTTCGTCCAGGCCGATTGTTTATCTATGGTTTGCAATTCTTAGAAGAAGGGTATATAGCGTGTAGACTAATAACAAGTATTTAGCTGTTACTAATACAGTTTTCAGTTCTTGATGGTTTTATTCATCTTTTTTTAACACAACCTCCCATGGAAGCCTGAAAATTTCCTGTTAATTAGGATAATTCTTACTGCATTGGATAATGTAAAGAAGTAGTTGTTGTAGCTTTCAAATATTTTATTTCATTGTTTTTTGGTACAGCTGGGTTGCAATAATAAGGCGAAATTTCGTGTTTTATTTCCGTTGCACAACAAAAATTCTATGCTGTATTCTAGAAGGAGGAATTGTACAGGCTCCAAAGATCTATGTTTCCATGCACAGTTGCAAGATTTGAGTGATATTGGTGCTTTGCTGTTCACTTTAGAATTTACTGGTAAGAGATACACATATTACATTTTCCTCCGACAAACTCTGCAGACAGTATGGCCATTATGGACCGGTAGTGTTCTTCCACATTGGATATATTCAATTGCTTCCGTTGGTGGTCCATCTTCACTTTGACCGACTGGTCCTATCCGATATTTCACATATCATGAGTGCTTACTTTCAATAAGTTCTCTAAAAGACCAGCAATTTGGCTATTTTATATCTTGGCTAACCTGAAATTTTTAAGAGTCTGATGCCCACGGGACTTTCTGTGAGCATGGTTAAAGTGATTTACCAATTTTTTCAAAAATGATTGACAGTTATTTCCTTTAATTGATGAATTTATAAGCCGCAGTGCAACACTCGTGGCAGTGTGGAGATGAATGGACAAGAAATTCGTTAGAAAGGTTCCTTCAAGACACGCTGCTGTTTCTTCTGTGTATTTGTTCTGTTGAATTTCGAAGTTGGATGTGCTGTCCTTTCAATTGTCGAGGGCTGCCATTTCATAATATTATGTAATTTTGTGCATATGATTTCTTAACAAGTGTTTTAGAGATTCAATTGCTGACTATGAACTACGACATAGTGAAGCAAGTGGTTTGTATGGATCATGAATTTCGTTAATCACAACACTAAACTAGGCTGCTTCAATTTCGGTTAGCATGAAGTACAGTAATGTTTCGTTAAGGCGTAATGAAGAGATCTGATCACACAAAACATTTGAGATGCAACAGCTACCTTTGATACAGTGATTTCTATGAAGGGTAGAAATGCATAAGAGCACTTGATATTTTTTTCAAACAGTGTCAATGCTGTGATCTTTAGGTATCTTATTAGCACCCACGCATTTTAATCTACTATCAATAATAGGATTACGAGAGATCGCGTGGCTTTTCTGATTTTTTAAAGTAGTGAGACAGAACTTACTGCTCTCTCATTGATAACAATAGCTAAATTGTTCTGGAGTGTAGAATTCAAGGGGGTTTAATAATTACTAGTTTTGCTGCTTTCATTCCACCACCCCAGAATATTTCTCAACTTTCTGCACAAAATTATAAACATATAAAAGATCAGACGTTGTTCTAATAGTAATACTATTATATTATACTATTAATATTCCATTTTTATCACTGAATTCTCGTATCTACTATTTAAGAAAATTAGTGGTAAGCGTTAGCAAAGATTAGGTGATTTAATAGAATTGGAGTTGCTTAAGACCTGTATTCATTCTACTGTACTATTTATACCTGTACAGCCACTGGTCTCTAGTCTCTGATTTAGTGTGTTTCAGTCAAATTCAATTTTCAGACAAAAATTAATTGAAAGTATCAAGGATCCACCCTATCGTGACTAAGAACCTCCGGAACACTTGCCTACACACAGGGACTGCTCGAAAGCTATAAATAACTGCACGGACAAGGTAGGTTTATCATTTTCCGGTACCACTACTTGCCAAATTTATGACAATTCAATTCCCATCAGTTCTCCAGATATAGCGACTCAAATTGTTATAACAAAGAACCTGATTAGACTTTTTCCAGTTTAATAGTAACGATCTATCAGAAAGGGTTCGCTCACTTAAGTTGTGAATATTCAACTGAAAGGGAAATTATTGGTGTTAAATAGCAGGTGAGAATCAAAATAGCAAATTGTTATAACTAATAAATACTCGGGAACATGTTGTATAGCTATTTGTGGTCATTTATGTGGCTGTTGGCCATAGCTTGTGCGAGACCACCTCCGAAAGTAGATGAAAGAAATGACAAGCCACCTCGAGGATTTCCTCTCCCTTTGAATAAGAAGAATTTTGAGGTTGAATTATCCAACGGTTTCCATCTAGTGGAATTCTACAGTCCTTACTGTAGTCATTGTAAGAATTTGGCCCCAATTTGGGAAGACACCTGGGTTTCATTTAGAGAGGAAGGGAAAAAACTAAACATGAAGCTATCTCAAGTAAATTGTGTTGAAAGTGGCGATATATGTCATAAAGAAGACATTAGAGCGTATCCAACCATCAGATTATATGGTCCAGATGGATTTTTAGAGGAGTATCACGGTAAGAGAACTAAGGAGGAATTCTTGAAGTTTGCCAGGAAGAGTATTATGGAGTATGGTGATACAGATGACCTGATTCTACCTTCATTAAGTAAGTTGTTGAGCGGAAAAGACTTTAGCCAGTTAATTTCTGGTAAGTCCACGAAGCCTATGCTAGTATCATTTTGGCCTACTTCTGATATGCAGGAAGACAGCTCTGTGGAAACTAAATTTAACAACTGTCCGAAATGCGAAATATATCAAAGGAAGTGGAATTTAATAAATAATGCTGTTGATGGTCTTGGAGTTGATTCAGGTCATTTAAATTGTGGTTCAGAACAAAATCTATGTGAAAGGTTAGGTTTTGCAGACCTTGCATCATCAGCAAAATCAGGAGGTAATGTAAAGCCAAGGTTAGCATTAATTATTCCAAAAAAAGTAACAAATAATTTGTTCATATATCCAGAAGGTCAGGATGTGAGTAACCAGGCCGATGTTCTGGACTTCATTAAAAGAATTTCAGTTAACAGTGAGGCGGCAGAAATTTCGGAAAGTGAAATCATTGACTATTCTAGAAATTCTATGCCGTTGTTTTCTGAATTTGTGCACACCAATGCAAAGAAAGTGCATTCGGGACAAAATATCTACATTATTTTTTGTTACAACCACAAGACTGTTGTACCTGAAGACTTTACTATACTAGAGCACTTAGTAGAACCATTAGCCAGTCGCCCAAATACATATTTACGCAAATTCAATGGTACTATTCCTGAGTTAACTAAAAAGGTTTATGATCCTTTTTACCAAGTAGTGAATTATAATGACTCAGAACCAAGAAAGGAATTGAATGAGGAGTTTCAAACTATGGCAGCTGTCACAGAATATCCAACATTCTTAATTATTAAGGAGGGTGAATTACAAACGCACGTATTTAATGGCTTCTCTACAACTGAGATGAGAAACTTAGATACTATATTAGATTGGATTGATGATACGATCGTGCCATCGTTGCCAAAATTGACATGGGATAACTTTGAAGAGATGTTGAATGTGAATCCATCGAAATACCGTACTATGGCTATTTTGTTAATGAGTACAAAATGGGAGTATGATGACAAAGTGAATGCTGCGCAAAAGTTTTTTACTTCTTTCCTAGATTATGAGCATGTTAGAATGCAAAAGATGTTTGAAATTGTTCAACAGGAAAGGTTAAAAAAAGCAAATGCTATAGAGAAAATGCGAGAGAAACAAGAAAATACAAAGAATATTCTAGCAAAAATGAGACAAGAAATCAGCCATCCTAACGATAGGAAGGTTCAGTATATGTACTTAGATTTGGCTAAAGATGAGCGACTACTGAAGAGGCTTGGAGTTCATAATGCTAACATTGCTCCTAACCAAGTTCTCCTGATAGATAAAGCACGCAAGACATTATATGCCGAAAACCATTTTGAGGAGAGATTAACTGGCAAAGATACATATGGGATAAGAGAAGCCTTATTATCTATTAATATTCCGGAAAAATGTCAACTATCTACTATCCTAAGGGCTCAACATCTTAAAATAAAACTACAGAAGAAAATCAAAATTCCTCATGTTAAAGTTTCCAATGGAAGTAATTCCAATATATTGTATTTCTTTGCTATTTTGTTATTATTGGTACTATTGAGGAAATCACCTGTTTATCGTATGGTAAGTAGAAAATGGCATTCGCATCGAGCATCATATCAGGCTAATACTTCTTATAGCAAACTTGAGGCCCAGGACTAAACTACAGCATAGACATTATATGATCAAATAAGAAATGTAATTCGTATAACAATGTGACAGTAATGATTGCCGGATACAAACTTCCCGAGTTTGTAAATATATATTTTTGTATGGTGCAATAGTCTAATGTTAGTCTATATTACATGTGCATAAATAAGTCAAAGCTTTTCGATTATAATTGAGGTTCATGGGACAGCTTTATAATCTGCTTTAAATGATGTAGAAACTGTTCAAGACCAAAATATTAAATGTAAGGCTGCCATGTACAAGACCTAGGAACATTTATTTGTGGACACTGCGCTGTGTGTTTCTATAGAAATTGGGACTTTCAAGTTATCCAAACGTAGAAGAATAGCAAGAATATAAAAAAGAATAACAATAACCACGTCTTTATGCTAATTCTCGATCTTTTTGCCATATCCATCATATTATTGAAAGTTTGTTTAAGTTTCACTGTTGTTCTTTGAAAAGTGTCGTCTAGCTGATCAAGTGTTTTGTTGCTTCCTCTTATCTCGTCCCCCATTCTCATTGACAATGACTTCAAAGCCCGTATCTTCTCAGTCATCACTCCCATCTGTTCCTCACTCTGGGACTCTAAATGAGCTAAAGTGCTCTGTGAGTAATCCAGCTTACCTTTATCATATGGGGAAGTTCTGTCATCAATCAATGTCGGATCAGCAGCACCAAATAATTGTGTCCTACTTGGATCTCTCTGATACAACGTACTTTCTGCATACTCTGAACTCATACCTAAAATTATCTAAATGAGTGTATAATCTTTAACTCAGTTCAATAGTACTAACAAGGAACTCTGCATAGTTTTATAAACATTGAGCTATTCATTTTAACTGTAAATTTGTTGAAATTTCACAATTTCACTGAAAAAAGTGCGGTCCTGCCAAAGAAAAAACAAAAAAAGGTGTGAAGAGCGATGAGCTTGACAAAATAGCAGTGACTTAGTAAGCACCATAGATGACTCTCCCAACAGTATATAATAGGAAGAGCTCCTTGACCAATTAGTTGCCACACATATTCGAACATTTTAGTTCTCTTGGTGAAGAAGACTTTAATAGACAACACGCAGTTTGAGAATGGATCCCGAAGAACAACTGGAATCTACTGAAGGAGTGCCAGCAAAGTCACTGAGCTTGATTAAGCATATTCTGTTGGTTCTATCTGGTAAGGGAGGTGTTGGAAAGAGTTCAGTTACTACACAAACTGCATTGACATTATGTGGTATGGGTTACAATGTTGGTGTTCTGGATATTGATTTGACTGGACCTTCATTACCTAGAATGTTTGGTATTGAAGACAGTAGTATATATCAATCAGCTGACGGTTGGATGCCTATTCCTGTTGAAACCAACGGTAAGGGTAAACTTTGCGTAGTCTCGCTAGGTTTTTTATTAGGTTCTAGGGGTACAAGTGTAGTATGGAGAGGTCCTAAAAAGACTTCTATGATTAGACAATTTATCAAGGATGTCACATGGGGGGAACTGGATTACTTGTTAATAGATACTCCACCAGGAACTTCAGATGAACATATTTCTATAGCTGAAGAACTTCGATTCACCAATCCAGATGGTGCCATTGTCGTAACCACTCCACAGGGCGTTGCCACCGCTGATGTCAAAAAAGAGATTAACTTCTGCAGGAAAGTAAACTTAAGAATTCTGGGTGTAATAGAAAATATGTCAGGTTTCGTCTGTCCATATTGTACAGAATGCACAAACATATTCTCAAAAGGTGGTGGTGAAAGTTTGGCGAAACAGTTTGATGTACCTTACCTTGGAAATATACCGATTGATCCAAAGTTCGTTGATCTCATTGAGAATCAAAAGAAGATGGAGGGTACTCTAGTAGAATTATATGAGAAGTCGTCTTTATATCCGATATACTTAGAAATAATGAAGAAAGTTCAAGAAGAAAGCTCAAAGCCACAAGAATAAATGCATAGTAAAGGGAATGAAATAAACCTAAAAGTCGCTTGCGTTTTATAATGTTTATTTACCATCAACAATATAATGACTTAATTACTAATGTCTTTTTAAACTGCAAACTAAAATATTCTCTTCTACCATAGTATGTCAATTTCTGATGTTAGTTCATTCAGCACGTAACTTGAAATTTATATTTTGGTGAAACTAACAACACTATAACCAAGGACTGGAAAAAACAAAGCCCTTCATATTTGACAAGTGTAAGATAAATGAAATGGCCAAGGAAGCTATTTGACAAAATAACTAGTATCGATAGACCAGTCAAGATAACTTTAAATATCATGACTATTGAAGACCATAACTTAACTAATTCTGAAGCTAAGAATCTACAGGATGCATTAAAGGATATACTGCAAGGTGAGAAGCAGGCAAGTGAGATGGAACAAAAACTGGATCAAGTTGAAAAGAACTTAGACATGCTATTAAAACAATTAGAGTCTTTTGAAGACGCTCGTTTGCAGAATGGGAAAAGTGAGAAGGACGAGCAAAAATAAGTTTTGAACAACACTAAGTAGAGCTGACAAAGTTAACAAAATCGCTTTCAAACCCCGTCTGCATTCTTTACCAACATAATCCAACTACCAAACGTAGGATATTAAAATTTAGAAGTACTACTACGAAAATTACATAGGAGGATAATTAACCCTTTAACTATGACCTAGGTACAAACAACGGACTTGTATCATTAGAATCAAATGGATTGGGAGTGTGTTCAGGATTCAACATAAACTCTTCAGGATCAGTATCTAGGAAAACCTTGACTTGTTTTCCGTTTCCTACCCACCATTTCCTAATCTCTGAACTTGGTGGTGGTAGCTTTCTTGCCCGTTTTTGTTCTGGTTTTGCATTCATATTGGTTATATTAGATATCTCATCATCAAGTTCATTGAGTTTGAAATTACCATCATTCAGAATTTCTATGCGTTCATCCTCATCACATCCTTCAAGCCGCTCCATTAACTTGGTATGTATAACTGACGATAACTCAGCTTTCTTTTTCTCATCCACCACAGTAACATTCGCAGAAAAGACAGCTGAGACTGGGCGATGATCAGAAAATAAAACATCTGGGGCATAAGTATAGGTTAGTTGTCTCAAGACATCACCCCTGCCTAAAATTCTATCAGTCCAAGCAGGAATTCTTAATTTTTCACTAGTATCGTATTGCCTTGTTCCTGGATCAAATTTATAGGTAGGAGGGAACTCAATTGGCATCTCGTGAAAGTAGGGAAATGATTCACCTGCTATCATTTGCTGGTTCAGCTGATCCTTTTCAAATAGACTCTTATAATCCTTTAAAGCAATAAGCTTACGTACTTCCTCATTAGACATCAATATCCTATAGTTAAAGTCACCCATCCATATAATTGCATCATGATCTTTGATTCTTAGACCTCGTGAGAATCTTATGTTTTTCGATATCATTTTATAGTCGTTATGTCTCTGTTCCACATTCTCCAGACCTGCTGCCAAATGCGAAACCAGGACACAGAACCTTGTTGCAGAGTAATTGAAACTAACAGCTACTGCGCCTTTATTAGATGTGATACCACCAAATCCTGTTTTCTTGACATCTCCCTCGACATGCTTAACCTTTAGTGATTCACTGGATTTCATCAATAAAATCAATAAAACACCACCCAACTGACTACTCCAAACTTTAGTATAGCTAGAATCTTTATCATAATAATTGATGGTATCCAATAATTTTTTTTCCCAGAATTGTTTAATATACGGATCGATTGCCAGCATATGTCCTGGAGTTAGCTCTACAACTTCTTCTAAACCAAATACATACACATCTGCAAAGTCTTCTTCTGTGGTTACACCATTAGGAAAGATCCATTGAGAAATATCATCCTTAGACAATTTGCCGCTGACATTAAAGGTCCCTGCAAATACTTTTATATCCTTCATATGTGTAAAACTGCTCCTAAATTGTCTCAAGTATTGGGAAATATAAAAATGAACTGGATCGAATAATTTTACATGTGATGAAAACAGTTTCAAATATATTTTTGCAGATTTATTATAATTTTTCTGATTTTTCGCATACACTCTTTCTAACCAGAAATGATTTTCTGACCACAATTTGTCATGCACTTCAAGCAATGGAGAAGTTATACTAAACCCATCTAGTTCCTTAGTAGCTAGTTCCAACACTTCTTTACTTATCAGTTTTTCTAAGAGAATAGGTTTTTCAATCGGGTCTGCTGCACTAATTCTTATTACACCGGTTTGTTTACCAAAATAAATTCCCTTTTTTATATTATATGCAAAAGCTCCACACTCATATATGTCTTGTTTCAGACTATATAAAACTTTATGAGGAGATTTATTTAGTGTTTGTGAACCACACGGAATATTGCTTATTTTTATTCCTCTGGTGTCCGAATATTGCTTGTAAATAGATGCCAAGGTTTCTTGTGAATCGCTCCTAGATTTAACCAAATTAACAACACTGACAATACCAAATTTTGATTCTAGTGTGTCAAAATGCTTGTTAAACTCGTTTTGCCCCTCACCAGGTTGTTTTAGAAGCTTCAGCTTTTTACCGGAAAGTAGTTGTCCATCAATAATTTCGTAAAATAGTGGAATATTCCCTGCAATTTGTGTGTATGATAGAATAAAACTATCAGTTGTTACAATAGTTTCAGTTTCGATAATGGTGGAAACTCTCGAGTCCTCGTGCATACCTTCTGAATCGGATATAGACTTGTGACCTTCTGTAGAAACTCTTGATAGAACAGTTACTGTAGCTGTTAAATCAGGGTCATTGACTATGGATGTTTTGCAAAAGCCCCTAATAACGAACATCAAAAAAGGAGCGTTATCAAAAGCCTGCTTCTCTTTCATCGATAGCCTTCCTCTCCAATTGATAATTTCACCAATTAAATTTGCATTCCATATGAAAGATGTATCAAAATTATCTATCGCATAATCCAAGTTATGGGTAAGACCAGGGGACTTCACAGCATTCGTCAAATCATAATCTTTGGTATAATAAAATGAACCGTCAGCGAAGAGTCTTTTGTAGACACCACAGGGATGTTCATGCAGTAGCTTGTCAAAATTCTGCTCTGACCGGTCAAAAAACAAATGATCATAAATCTCTGTATCTAAGCTGATGAAATCAACCTCCAATATTTTGTTAATTGATTGCTCTGGTGTGATTTTTGAGCTATCATCCAAGTGCCATCTAGGATACCCTATACTTTGTACCCCACCAACTACTACTACGTAGACATCACCATTGATTGTAAGTAAACCTAGTAGGCCATTCAAACGTAGTGCTCTCAATTCTCTATAGCCATCTTTGACCAATTCACTAGCACTGACGTTTTTAATCGAAACTGTGGGTGCTTTTATTTGATTTGGTTGGCCTTGTTGGGCTTGCACATTGCCTTGAGTTTGATTAGATCGATCATAGAGTCTTTCAAATTTTAGACTATAACTTTCAGAAGATAACACCACAGACCTGGGATTTCTCCCAACAAATATTCTCATACTTTCAGTATTAGTGTTAAGGTTCTTCGACGTAAACCACCACTATGATGACGCTGCTGCAGTTATTAATGATATTACGTCGCAATGTCGCCAAAGGACCACAACCAAGCAGCCAATTACTTATAGATATACTATGATTAACTGAAAGTTGGACCAGTGTTACTCCCCCCCAATAGTTTTATTCTGATTACTGTTTCAGTGTTCAACTCGCCAGTAATCGCAAAAAGTTTCTCGCCAATGTCTCTAATTTCAAGTATAGTATGATGTCGTATGCTCAATTGCCTAGTGATATCCCAGTATAGACCCCGACAAGAATCTAGCATTTACACAGTCCTAAATACAGACACACAGTCGGCTTCCCATCCATTATCTCATCTCGCAGTTCAATTAAGCCCTTTTTTCCAAATGTGCTCTTGCGTTTCCCATCTCAGTAGCTATTGGAATGTAGTCAAAAGCACTAAGAGAATTTGTACAGTACTTTCTGTGCAAAAATGTTCATCTGAGTAGCGAAATTCGACAATAACGGTTGATGGACCAACTTCTCATAATAATAAGTGCTGCGATGCCCAAAAGAGTTTTACATCATAGTAGGGCTGCTACATGCCAAATATATATCTGATCTGGAAGCCGCAGATTTGAAGGTTCATGGTGGAAGGAAGCGCTACAAGCATTGACCCACGGTTCGCAGAGCTGTGTATGGCTTGCAGAGTAGGTGACATCGAGAATGCCGACCGGCTAATATCTACTGGGATTAATATTAATAGCGTTGATGAGTACGACAACTCGCCGTTATTTTTGGCTAGTCTGTGTGGCCATGAGGAAGTCGTTAAGTTGTTGCTGGAGAGAGGGGCTGCATGTGACAGAGATAAATTTGAAGGTGCACGGTGCATCTATGGTGCTTTGACCGATTCTATAAGAGATATATTACTGAGCCATGATATATCTAAGGCTGTTGACTTAAACCAGCCGTTTGCCACTCATATATCTTCCTTAATCAGGGATTTTTGGTTCTTTATGACATTTGATCTAACTATTGATTTCTCGAAAGAAGATATCAACTTTAAAGCACACAAGTTTTTACTAAATATATTATGCCCCGAGTTTTTTGATTCAAACTGGCTTTGTGATAATGACTCCATAGATTTGAGCTCTGTAACAGATTCTGCTACTTTTGAATATTTTCTTGGTTATGCATACCTGTTACCAGCCGTACATAAACTGTCACACCGAGACTATGACGAACTAATAAAATTCTCTGAAGTTACAAAACTACATATATTAACTGAGTTTTTACACCAATCAAGAACCACATATGATGCAGCCGAAAAGTCAACATTAGTAATGGACTTTCAGTTCAAGTTTAGAGAATATCTTAGAGAAGCACTGAAGGTATTTGTAGAGGATAAGATTATTAATAATTATGAGGAGAATCTCAATAATATAACTAATAAATGTTTAGCATTTCATGACATATATTTGCGAGTTCAGAATCATGATACACAGGTCAGATATTATCCATGCCACTTGGCTATTTTAGAGAGAGCACCGTTATTTCAGCTAGTTTTTAACTCCAATTTTAGGGAAAAATCTGTTTATATATCAAAATCAGAATACAATGATTCGATAACTGTCAATTTTCCTAATTGCGACTTCAATGTAGTCGAGATCATACTAAGATACTTATACTACGATTGTCCAGAAATACCGATTGAATATGCTGCAGAAACGGTAGTCATGGCTGATATATTATTGGAGGACCGTCTTAAAGCGATAGCAACCGCAAATCTGGTAAAATCAAAATCTGTTTTCGACTACTATTCTGTTTTTGATATACTAAAGTTGGGATGGGAAATGAGATCAGAGAAATTAGAACACTTTGCAGCTAAGGAGATCGCAGAAAATTTGTTTAAATATGAGGAAGATCAAAACTTGAAACAAGCAATACTGGAGAGTTCACAAAGAATATCAGCTAGACAAGAGACCGATACTATTGAATTGGTAGATGATATCAGATATTATTTGGTTTCTTCATTCGTTACCAATGTAAATAGTGATATTGTCGAGGAAGAGGATTATGAGAATATTGAGTATCAGAAACGGATTGCTGTAGTGAACAAAATTTTACGACAATTAAATATAGACGCATAAATATATTATATAACTCAGGTTGTTAAAACTATCGTTTATTATGAATTAGACGCACATTCAAAGAGAATTGATATTTGAGTTATCATCAAAAAATTAAATAAAACTGTAATTTTAATCCCCAATATAATCAGGTGATTCAAAGTTTTTATTTTAAATTTTATTAATTTATTTTATTAATATAAAGTTTACTGATACAAAATATAAAAGTGGTAAGGTTTTGAGTTCCGAACGACAAACTTGGTTTTATAAAATTAATTTTTATACTGCAAACATATGTAGGTTTATAACTATTGACGTTATATTGGTGGAGACATACTCAAGGGTGCACGAAAATATGTTCGTTTCATAATATTATAATCTTAATGTAACATGTAAATGTCTAAAACCATGGGCATAATCCATGAGAAGTAGTGCTGATATAAGTGATTGAGGCATATGTTTGAAATAAGTCAAGTATTTTTATTTTCAGTACCACTATCTGTATTGTTTGATGTATTTTGCTTATAGTTAGGTATATTAGTTCTTTTCCGTTCTACAGAAATAACATGTTGTCGCAGATTTGTGCCATTAAAATCCAAGGCTTTATCACGAGAATCAATCGAATCAAATTCCACATATGCGTAACCTATTGAAGGCCCTGTGTTCTTATCATATAGCATAGTAATTCTCTTAATGACCCCACATGATTTGAAGTGCTCATCAATTTCCTCCGGTGTCGTATCCAAACTAATATTTCCTATATAAATTGAGCAGGCGTCAGCTTCTAGTTGTAGAGCATGCTTCTGCTCTCTTGTCAATCTAGAGTTTGACTGTGTTGTGACGTTATTGCTACTGACGTTGAGATTTTCAAATATCTCTGATATTTTCTGTGGAGAAATTGCCATGACAGTCTATTATAGGATCTCTTTATTTTTTATGCTATGTTTTAAGCGAGTTATAGCACTATATTCTCTAAGGTCCAAGAGATATTCGGAATGCTCTAGGTTTGTATCAATTGACCCAATATTCGTTTCGACAAACTAAATTGAAACCCAGGTAATATTTCTTTACAGTCGATAGGTACTGTTAAACAGATGGCGATAATTTTTGATATTTTACCTAGTTGGGATTGTAAGTTGTGGTAACAATTGAATACAGGAAGGGTTTATATCGTACTCATGCCACTGTTTTCCGTAGGTGATTTTGTTTATAGTAGGGACTACATTGCCAATGGATAGGGCAAGTCACAGTTTGCATGCTCAAAATCCCTTATCTGACGAAAATTCTGACAAAATATCGGATACTGACCATCGATCGATCAACTGATAGTGCAAGGAAGGTCCACATGGTAACATAGGAGAGGGGTGAAACTTTCTTGGCAGAAGTGCCACATCTGATACTAACTAATATGAGGAAAGAGTTACGTTTGCTATTCAAATCGATAGCTGATCTTCGGGGTACGGAAAATCAAAATCTATGAACGTCTATGGTAAACAAGAAAAGAAAACAGTTCCGAACATATAGATTTATTAAATGTCCAATTCCACTACCACTATCTCAACCCATATTTGCGATTGATAATAAAGTATGTCAAATATAGTATAGCTAAATTTCCTCCTCATCTTGTTGTAGTGTCATGCATTTCCGCTCAGATTTGGATACTGGGTTGATAAAAGGGAGAATAATATAAAAAAGTAATACATAAGATGGAATTGATAGTATAGCTTAACTGACAGAAAACAATTTATCTAATGAGCAATCTGTGTTGGTAGTGTTAAGGATTATTGATTTCCATCAAATAGGCAGCTGTGGCAGCTTACTATTAACCAGTCGTACCTGCAAATATTATTTAGGAAGACGCTACAGTTTCGGTTGAACCTCGGATGTAAAGTAGGTAGATATATCCTCCTTTGCAGTATTGCCTGTTAGATAATTGTAAATATAAATGCATTGGAATAATTCAGGACTAATCCTCTGTTATGCTGGGCAAGCGACTTCGTAGAATGGTACTGTAAATTTGTGATTTGACAAAAATTGTTCAGCGATGCTCATCGCAAATTTAATCGATGGCTAGGCATGATGCACTTTGCATTTCAGCACTATTATTATATATAAAACATATTATTGGATACTTTTTTAATAGTATTCGCTATAGTAGCTATTAGAGACATAAACAACTACAAGATAGACAGCAGTAGAGATGACGTCGGTAAGGAAGAGAAAGATGAACAGATCTTCTGTTAAGAAGGTTTCCAGAAGAAACAAAGACAAGCAAAAGAAGAAGCTTATAGCTTGCAACCCTATAATTGCTAAGAACTGGGATTATTCTTTGACTCTAGCACAGAACTACGAAAAGCTTGGTCTTAAAGCCAAGTTGCAGACACCTGCAGGTGGTCAGGAAGCCAAGTATGACACAGTCATCAAGAAGGAAGCTACCATCGACCCAGTAACACAATTTGGCGAAGACTCCGATTCTGATTCTGAAGAAGATAGTTCCAATAGCCAAGAAGATAATGAGGGACAAAATGTCGAGGATATCGACGAGAATGAGATACCTGAGGGTGAAGCCAGAATTATTCGCGATGCTGAAGGTAACGTAGTTAAGGTAGTATATGGTAAGAAGAAGGTGTTTGATATTGATGATGATATTGATACAATTAAGGCAAAACTAGCTGATCAACAGAAAGAGGAAACTGAGGTCGTCAAACAACTTGAAGCCTTTGCTTCCAGACCAATTGTGAAAAAGGAAAGAGTACAAAGTCCAAGAGAAGTCGAATGGTTAGAGAAGTTGTATAAGAAACACGGCGATAACTACAAAGCAATGTTCTTTGACAGAAAATTAAATATATATCAACAATCTGAAGGTGAAATAAAGAGGAAAATGAGGAAATGGAAATCAGAAAATAACATTGCTTAATTTTAAACCATGTCCAACAATAAGCAATGTCATCTTAATTCTCATTGTATGAGCCTAATTAAGTAAATGGACTTAGTTCCAACATTTATCGATATCCATATAGAATTTTCATGTACACTAGTATTAATCAATATCATTTTCATACGTCTTTTTATACTCATATCATTAGCTATTGTTATATACAAAATTGACTATGGACCAAATGAAGAAAATGCGGTTAATTACTTATTCGAGAATTTTTGAATTCACTAATACAAATATATAGATATATAAACCAGATATCTGGCATTAAATTAGAAGTTCATTATAATGTTTTTTTTGACCGACAGACATGTAATTTAGGTTCTCATTACGAGCTAAGCTTCAACAAAAGCTCTGTAAGTTGTAAAATCTTTGTCAGTGGTTTCTAATTCCACTGGAACATTTGCACCAATGAAGAAGACAAAACCTGGTTCAGCCTTTAACTTTTGGCCGTCTGCGCTTATGTAACCTTCACCAGCTGTTGTAATAACAATGCTTGGACCTTTTAGACCTTCAACAGTAGCCTTACCTGTTTTGTTCTTGAAAGTAGTTTCCAACACGGAGAATTCAGCAATTGGAGGGTTGTACATAATTGTAGCACCATCACCACCAGCTCTTGGAAATTCTTCAGCACTCATGACTTGCTTTTCAACTGGATCATATCTATAGGTCAGCATTTCAACCAAATTCTTAACATCCTTAAACTTTGGAGTGAAACCAGCTCTCACAACATTATCAGAAGCTGCCATACATTCAATGATATCACCACAAATATAAGCATGAGGGTCCTTAGCCTCTAGAAACAAAGCTTGACCTGGTTGTAATTTACAGTGGTTCAGCATTAGACAACCACAGAACAAACCAACGTCCTTTGGAAATTGTCTATTCAATCTAACAACTAACTCTGGCAAGTCAGATGATTTGAAGCTGGAAGGGTTTTCATTAGCTCTTTTAGCCATGCCATCAGCGTTCTTCTCTAGTATATCACATGGAGCAGTCATAACCTTTTCGAAAACTTTTTGCAATAGTTTCTTATTGTTAGCGCAAGCTGATGAACTGTTTTCAACACCAGTCTTGTAGTTTTGAATGAACTCATTGGCAACTTCATCACCTACAACATCTCTGAATTCTGGAATAGTTTCCAATTCATCAGCAATCTCTTCTAGTGGCTTGAAACCGCAGAAACCTTCAAACTCGGTAATTGCGACGGCCATTTCAGGCTTGTGGTTGTCATCAGGGTAGTTCTTTGGGTCCTCCATATGAAGCTTCTTACCTAATTCCTTATCAGGATGGGCTTGGATAGACAGCACCTTCTCAATAGATAGAACCTTGAACAAGAATGGCAACTCGTTAGTGCTCTTGAACTTGTTGATGACATCTTCACCAATCAACTCTTGAGAGTTCTTGGCTAGAATGTCATTCAGAGTAGCCTTGGTTTCGTGGTTTACAGATGGCAACTTGGAGTGAGTACCCATCCATAACTCAGCGTATGGTTTGGTTTCATCAATCTTGACAGAAGGGTCTGAGTGTGCAGCAAACTTAGCAACAGCACTGCTGGAACCGATCTTACCCCAGTCATACTGCTGGTAGCCGGCATCCAATCTAAAAAATCTATCACTAGTCATATTTTTTGGTTAAGGTTATCTATAGGAGTGTGTATGTATGGTTATCGAATATTGTCCTGACTTTATTTGCTAAGACAGAACAGCTAACTTATCTCCACAAAAATTATCGATTATAATTCTGTTATATATATTAATAACAAGATCAAAAAAGTATTATTTACGTCAAAATCCAACGTTCTTCTGTATCCTCTCTACTTTTGTTGTCACTTACCTCCCAGGGTCCTCCAATCCCAAGATGAAATCGCCTTCCCAGTTATTTAAGCTCAGGACACAGCAAAGTACATGCCAACTACGCGAATTTTCCAGCTTTACACAAGCTAAACCATTTAGTTTCCTAAAATTACGTGATTCTATTCAACTTCCAAAACTAAAAACACCAGCATTGAGACAGTGCTTCTTTCTTTTTTTATTTTATATTTTGTTTTTTTCCACTTTTTTTCATTGTTTTCCAGCTTTTCTTAGCTGATTTTTGGTAGCACTTTATGCCCAATTTTGTTGTTGATTAGTTTTTAAACAAGCTCTGTGTGAACTCTGCAAGCTCTTTCAACCCTGCAAGCTCTTTACCACTCCTGGGCTGTCTCTGCCATTTCTTTTTATAGAACAATGCTCAAATTATGGATTGTTGATGGGAAGTCGTCAACACCCCCACCACGTCTAAACACATTTATCGCCTTTCTGCCCCAGAATTTCCTATGCAGGTGCTCTTGCATTAAGTGTTGGGATTAAAGCCATGAATGCGTAGTTTTAGTGTCATTGTTATTGTTATTGTGGAGACAGATACATATGTTTAATGTAAGTGTAGACGTGAATGGTAATTGTAAATGTCGGAATGTCAGGTATGTCTATATGTCGACATGAACCTATTATGTAAGTTTTATAAGATGTTAAAAGGTACAGTATTTTGTTATTTCAGAAAGAAAAAAAAAATCGATGCTCTAAAGAAACATAGAAGGGGTATGCCGATATTAATAAGGTTTATTCTAATAGTCTTACAAAGTGAAATGCCATAGTGGGTCACCCAAGTGGTGGATTAGCTCAACACCGTGACCCTTGTTGATAGACTTGATTTCCTCAGTGCTCATCATAAGTTCACCAATGGCAAGAGCATTTTCCTTGTTCTCGGCATTGATCACTACAATGGTTCCTTTCTCCAAACCTGGGGCCTCTGGCAAGCTAGCACCAGCGGAAGTCAGACCGGGACACATAATATTGGCACCGGAAAGTACGAACTTGATGGCACCTCTATCCACTTGCACAGTTGGGAATGCCTCTGGGTATTTGTGTACTAGTTTCAAACTTGGAATTAAGTCGTTGAATTTCTGAAAGAACAACACTTCCTCGTCAACCGTATATAGCTGTATCTTGTCCTCACATTTGATAAGCTCGATTTGACTCTTCTTTGGAATCAATTCATCAATAACATCTTCTAGCTTAGGATATTGGGAAACCAGCTTGGTCTTCAAGGTTCTTTGAACCGAGGACTTCACTTTGGAACGTGAGTGCACATCTTCTTTAGAGAATCTACATTTTGTCTTCAAAACATTACCAACAATCACAATTAAAAAGATCACATAAAGGAACAGCTAGTGCGCAAATGATCACTGGAGATAGCTGTATGATCTTATAACCAAAAATGTTGCAAGCTCAAAAAATAGCTGGTTAGTATATTTGCTTTTTAAATTTAAACACACCTAGCCCACTCGGATAGTTCTTTTTAAACATATCAAAATAACATACTTCTTAAACATTGTAAATGATATACTGATATAATCTTGGTCGTCAGAGTCTCTTAGAAAGAATGGTCTTATAAATTGCTATTGCACCTAAATACTTGACTACTTGTTCTACTGTTAAATATTATAATTTGTTCGCAAGCTGTGAAAAATTGGACACCTTGCGATGATCTTCGTTTATTGAGAGACTTCACAATTGTGAACTAACGAGCAGAGTTTATAGACATTATATAACATAAGATAGTACAATTACTTGTCAATTATTTTTACTAGTTTCATTTAATTTGTAGCAATTAATAATTAGGAACAAATCATCAAATTTTAATTCTCTTCCTTCATTATATAGCATTTATGTCGCACATTGTAGGACTGTAAGTATTTTTGTGACTCTAATGGTAGTTGTAATGCTATCAGTTATTGTAGCAGTTACTGGCTTGTGGATTTCACTCGTAGATATGGTTGTTAATAATGCAGATAAATGTTCCTTCTGACTCAGGCTTGGGTATATCTCTTTTATACTACTGTCCGTGTTGAAAATAGATGGTGAAACACTTTCACTCGAATTCTGTTCTTCATCACTTGAAAAATTACTAGAATAAACAAGAGAAGAACTGTTCAATTTAGATGAATAGGAATGAATATCTTGCAACTCACCGTCACAATAATTCCTAAAACCGTACTCATTAACTGTTATATCATTAAAATGTGTCCATTTTTCTGATTTTGAGATTACAGCATTCTCAATCAACCCATTTGCTGGAATTTCAATCACTTTGCCAGGTAATGATGATTTTGCCATTGGAGCAAGTGATATCATATAATTATCCAGATCAAAGACAGTATAAACATGCGTTAGAAAACTGTCACCTAGAATTACGCGCCCTTTTGAAGACGTAATCCCCAATCCACAGAGCCCATTGCTTTCTTCATCGGGTAACAGAATAAATGATCGCAACGGAATCTTCATGTGCAATTCGCCAAATGTGAATGCCAAATCGGTTGTTGTGAGGAAATCATCCGATGGACATGCCAATACAAACAAGCCATGATCATCGCTCCATGTTGCATTCAGGTAACTGGCTATCGATTGAGTAATTGGATGAGGAAGTTCTATAAGAGTAGATCCAGTATCCAAAAGCGCAGGCAATTTGGTATTAGAAATTACCCACTGCTCACATGATCCATCAATACCTATACCATCTAGTGTTAAACTAAGTGTAGATGGTTCGTCGGCAATTCCAGGAAACTCATTGATCATAGGGAATGTGTACAATGGGCCAATAAACCGTGACGTATCAATTGAACCAAATAGAATTGATCCTTTCTTACTTTCATCATTATACTCTATTGAATAGGCCGCAATATTTGTGAAGCCTGCATTCTTAAGCGCTAGGGGAAAATTTGGATAGAATTTACCAGGTGCGAATTCATAGCCATTGACCGATTCCATCGCAGGGAAACCAATTCCTAAAACACCACTAAAAGTTGCATTTGTTGCAAATGCCATACCAAACTGTAAATCTTTTAAGTGTCCTTCTGGAAGTGTAATGATATCTACAATCCATATTCCACTTGTATATGTGGTGTCTGCATATCCAATCTTAAAGGTTACATTTTTTAGATAATCAAAAGTTTGAGATTTATCCATGTCATAGAACACCAACCCAGAGCAATCAATCAAACATTTGGGCGGTTTCCCAGAACCTTTGTTGTAACAAAGTGGATTCCCAATTAAAGTTACCCATAAATCAGAGGAACCAGTATCCAAAACTAATGGAATTGATTGAGGTGGTGTCCCAAACTCGAGAACACTCTCATAATAAAGATTATTAAAGCGTCTAAATTGCAAATCAACAGCACTACGCTTTGATAGAGATGCATGAGACGAAACAATTCTCTTTTCAATAGTGAGTCGTAAGCAATTAACAACAGTGACCAGATTAAATATAAAATAACAGTTAATGAATTGAATCATTTTATTATTTGGGTATTCCAACTGTCTTTGTAGCAACTTTATTTAAAGACCTAAATCATACCATATACTGTATTTGGAGTATAAAGCTTGAGAAAGCAAGTCTGGTAAAAATCAATAGGATTCCAGTTTATACTCATCATAAAAGTAGCATTTATACTTTTCTTATATTCCAAATGTATCATAGGATACAGCGATTATATTTTTTTAGGAGAGACCTTTTATTGAGGTGAGTAAATTGTATTTGCGGTCTTTGGAGGAAGTATAGTCTCCTCATAACCAGTAAACTTCCGAACACAACTTTAATCGAAATAAATAAAAAATTGACATGGTATCATTTTTTTTATTGACCTTATTAATTGAATAATTAGTATGTTAATAAGGTTATTACTATTGGTCTTTCTATATTGTTATTGTTAGTGTTATGTCCAAATATGCACAGATATCAAGATAGAAATAGATAGAACCATGTATATTACCCAAATCGGACATTACAAGGTGTTAAATGAGTTAAATAGTGAACAAAACTGAAAATCTGAAACTTAAATGAATACCATACCATAATTTTACGTATTTCATAGGCACCGTGGTTTTAACACTCATATGAATAATGAAGGATAGATCTGAAATATCAAACAATGAAACTGAAAAAAATGCAACAAGTGTCCATATTCATACTCGGTAGAAATAAAATGCCATTGAAGTCTATGATAATATTTTACTTTGACTAGCATTTGAGGTTAAACAAAAGAATGTCATGCAGGTGCTATATTGGGTTCTTGTACGAATGCTTCTCTAGTAAGATAACAAGTTCAATGTTTAGATATGAAACAAGCCAATTCAAAGCAAAGAAAAGTATTACTTTTGACCATATATGAACAAGCAGTGGTAAGGTAAGAATAGTAACAAGAATCTTCAAACTCAGACCAATGTATCCAACTTTTTCAATTGGGTTTGAATTTCCTTTATGACAGCTTTCCTCTTTGCTTTCAAGATTGCTTTCTTTTCGGGTTCTTCACTTACTAGATCAACACCATCCAACTCTATCAACAATTTTAATAGCATTTCATTACAGTATTTCTTTTCGTAAACTGATTTTTCGTCATCAGGATTATAAGCACCCAATATGTTGTTAACTCTATCTTCAAATTCATTCTTATACCTCAAGTGTATGTTCTCTATTTGCATTTCATGAGTTAAAGCTGCAACTTTCTCCTTCTTATTCTTCTTCTTATAGCTTTTGCTCTTGGATTTCTTACTGGAACCGCTCCCACTAGTGAACTTCCAAAGAAGTACTGCAAACACGGCTGCACTCACGGTGGCTACGCAAATGCCTTGTACATCAATATTTTGTTGTTTAACGTATTCAATTAATGAGTCCATTTTACTCACAAAAGATACTGGTTTGGTCTATAATCTACAGTAGCTATTCACCACCATAACTTTCACTGTAGTAATTACACTTAAATTGCTTCCCAATTTCTTGTTTTCTTAACGCACAATGCTAGTACCAGAAAAAGAAAAAAAAGGCCGATTAGAACAGGCGTTAATGTGCCGAACATGGGGAGACTCATTTTCCAGCATATCACTTGCATGGTGTTATAAAACAGCATGCTTACAAACTACTGCAACAACCTTAATTACACTAAGCGCTATATTTAAATTTACACTCCAAAGTTATTGCCCCCTCGCTACCTTTCAACGCCAGATTATAGAAGAATAGCAGCCTGGTTTTCCACCCCTTTTGTATTACTTTATACATCAAGACAAATACTTGTTATTAATGGTCAGTTTTGATTCAGTCAGTTCTTCCGAGCACTCCTTGGTTGCCTTGCGAAACAGGATAGTCGGCGATGCTACAGCTAAACTTGATGTTTATTTGGGCCAAAATAGTACGATATTCAAGGAGCTGACATCTATAAGTGCCAGCGATGATATTGATCTACAACATTTAAAGTTAGACATATTATTGATTTTGTTGAATGTGGACAAAAATACAATTGAATCCTTAGGGGAAAGCTATAATGATGTTGTTGTAAGTGTTCTACAGGATATTGAACTACCTAAGACATTTCTTACAAACAATACTTCAATCAACAGAAAATATATCAAACTGATTAACATGAGCAAAGGCTATACGGAATGCGATGAATTCCCTTTCCTCAAAGAAACAGAACAATATTTGTCTCATTTAATCGACAAGCTACTTTCTGATATAGCCAACTCAAGCGAGATAGCAAACACGATCGAATTACTCACATTACAACTACAAAATGGCAAAAATAGGTCATTTTTAATGACAAAATCACTCAAGGAGCAAATTGAGTCAATGCTGTTTAAATGTTACAGAAAATACGCAGAGCTAATTAACTACAAGTATATGATTCGCCTTAGAGTTCAAAAAGATAAGAAGAATAACAAATATAAACCGCTCAGCAATAAAGGTTTGAACTCTTGCATTTCATTACCGAATTCGATCACCATATCAAATCAACAAGACGAAAAGCTCCTCTATTTATGCTTGGTACTTTACACTTGGAGTCATAAAATAAATCAAACTGCATCACTTTGGGAAAGCAGCGAATTTCAATTTTTTATTTCCAGTTTTCTAAAAGGGGAGAATATACAACTAAAGTGTGCTGCGTTGGAGTTTTTAATAGCTCCCTATCTGAATACTGAAAACACTTGGAAAAAGAGAAAGATCATTATAAAATACCTCCCATATTTAGTCGATCTCCTCAATTATCAACCCCTACCAAAGTGGTTTGACATTTTTGAGACTTTAACAGATTTAATTGAATTATACAACAGGCACGAGCCCATGAACAATCCCATTATTATGTTTTTGTCAAAATCAAATATGCTATACGGGATTTTGGGGGTATTTTTTGAATGTATGTCATTAAAAACACAAAATAATGCTTCTATCAAAACATTGACTAAATGCGTTAAATTTTGTGCTGCGTTTGCTGCTAACGATGAAAAATATAGGGCCCTTCTATTGGAACATAAGTTTCTGTTGAATAACCTAGAGTTTGGATTAGAACTTCACCTTAGTTTACTTAATGAATTTATTGAATTTTTCAATACCTTTAAAAATGGAAATTTGATTTCTAGTACTGAACCTTTCCCATGTTTATATGATTCGGAACTTTGTTTTGAATGGTTATCTTTACTAAAGTCATTTTCAAGAAGCGTGACAGCGTTACGTACTTCTCTGAAAAGAAACAAATTACCAGAGTTGCTGCTAAGACTTTTGAGAAAAATACATCGTATTACAAAAGAATGTTTTGAGGTGGGCCCTGAATTCTTAGGCGCTGAATTAAAAGTAATGGGACAAACACTAGGTACGATCTGCAATTTTGTTGTAGAATTTTCCAATCTCCAGCCATACCTAGTAAAGAACGGCATAATTGAAATTATACAAGATCTGCTCAGTGATCCACTATTAAACGACAGTATCGAGTGGAATTTACAAAGCAGGAAGAATGCGTTACAGGGTTGCAACACAGAGGATGTTAAGACTAATTCGTTATGGGTATTGCGTCACTTAATGTATAATTGTCAAAATGAAGAAAAGCTAGAATTACTCGCGAAGATTCCAATGGAAACTATTCTGGAGTTTGTTAATGATCCTAGCTGGCCAGTGCAGGCACAAGCTTTCCAATTAATCAGAAATCTGACGTCGAATTCTAGAAAAGTGGTGAATATTTTACTGGAGAACTTTAAAGAAGTTGAATACAATCTTGACCCAGTAACAGGCAAAACCAAAGCAATTGGTAACACTTATCTGTTTGAGTTCCTTGTACATAAAATGACCAAATTAGATCCCCGTGATCCACCACAAAAGAAAACCCTAGAAGGGATTTTATATATAATAGTTAACCTAGCTGCTGTGAATGAAAACAAAAAACAACTCGTTGTGGAACAAGATGAAATATTAGAAATATTAAGTGAAATATTAGCAGCTTCTGCACAAAACCCAACAAGATATGGAAACGATAGTGACTTGAAACTTGCATCACTTTGGGTACTAAATAACTTACTATGGAATTCTGAATCAGCAAACCATTCCCAATTTGGTTTGGATGGATACCCACCAACGTCAAGAGACAGCAGTTCAGCACCAATAGATTACTCCGAACCGCCATCAGGTAGAGTGTCCAGAAATGAAATACATGGCATTACAAGCAACACCGATCATAACTCAGCTATTGATGAGGATATTGATGACAGTAGCGCTCTTCAAGACAATGAAGAACGGAACGACGAGTTTGTGAGACATATCCCAGAGGGTAGATCTCAGAATAATAATTCCACTGTTTTAAGATGCAAGAAATTGGTTGATCTAGGTATACATGAACTGGTGAAAAAGAATATTTTTGACGATTCACTTTCAGTAAGAGAGAAAGCAAGAACACTTTCCTTTCATATGGACTTACTTTTACGTGATAGCAACAGTAGCTGAATTCAAAAAGCATGCGGAGGCTATCTAAGAAAACAAAGAAAAATTGGTAACTAAATGAACTATTTTCACGAAGTTAATGAAATTTGTATAAAATCAACATATTCGTAAAGTTGGAGAATGATGATTCATGATCAGGATTATGTTGTTACGATTACGCAAGAAATAAGCAATCGCCTTACTGGACACTCTTCTGGCAATACAATCCGCAACGACATACTCAGTTAAGCAGAGAATGAATATCTGATTTACTAATAGACACAGTTATGTTAAATAGTTTTTGAAATGATTGATTAAATTTATATTCTAAACACCATAGTTACAAAATGACAGAGAAAACCAAAATTACGTAACTTAATCTTGAGTCTTTTGAGAACCACGTAGCAAACCAGTTCTTCTGGCAGCAATCAAACCAGCCTTTTGACCAGAAACAGCACCTCTAGAAATGGTAGAAGCCTTACCAATATGTTGATGGTTACCACCACCGTGAGGGTGATCAACAGGGTTCATGGCAACACCACGGGTCTTTGGCCAAGAGTTTCTCTTCAACTTGTACTTGTGGAAAGCACGACCAGCCTTCAACAATGGCTTGTCAGTTCTACCACCACCAGCAATAACACCGATGACACCTCTAGCGTCAGAAGAGATGATCTTCTTAGCACCAGAAGGAAGTCTAACTCTGGTCTTGTTTTCATCTGGGTTGTGACCAATGATGATAACGTAGTTACCAGAAGCTCTAGCCAAAGCACCTCTGTCACCTGGCTTTTCTTCAACGTTGGAAACAATAGTACCTTCTGGAACGGAACCCAATGGCAAGACGTTACCGACGTTCAAAGAGGCCTTCTTACCGGCGTAGATGAATTGACCAGTGTGAACACCTTCGTTAGCGATGAAGATTTCTTCACGCAACTTGTACTTGTATGGGTCACGGAAGACAACCTTAGCCAATGGGGCACCTCTACCGGCGTCGTGGACGATTTGCTTGACGACACCACGGATGTAACCGTGACGTTCAGCGTAGTCCAAGGTTCTCAACTTGGCAGCACCTTGTCTCAATCTGGTGTGAGAGGTGAAGATAGAACCAGCACCCTTTCTTTGGTTACGAATAACTCTACCTGTAAATAATAATCATAATATATTTTTTTCTCTCCTTTAAAAATTCCTCTAAAGGTCTGCAATTTGTACATCATTAGTTCACATAGCCATCCTAATTAACATTAGCATCTTCTAAAAACAAAAGTTCTCCCAGTATATGGTCAGGTGTTAGGAGACTTGATAACCACATGAATTGTAATACAAATTTTCAATCGAAAAAAATATATGTTAAAGACATACTGTTAGTAAAGTTGATCTCTTGAATAATTTTCATTTCTATTAATGCTAATCACTGCCAAAGACTTATGTATCACTCCATCGCATTCAAGCTTAATTCTCAAATATCAATTCCCATAAAGTATTCTGATCTATTTCTTTCAACAATAGGTGATATCCCACCAACATATCCTATATTGTTTACGCCAAAGGTATCTGATCGTTTCATGTTCTCATACTTCCAAGTTGTGTATTTTCGCTTGATATCCTATCGTTAATCCAGTTTCATAGCTCGGCAGCGTTTACGCCATATTCATTGTTTGCATTTCGCACTCTAGTTTTCACATACCCATTGTTCCTTGTTCTTGTTTGGTTTTCTTGTCCTCCTGAGAAAAAGAGAATACACAGAACCAATATTTATATATACTCGATGGCTACACTATTAATATTTAGCTATACTTTAGTCAATGAGAAGTTTGACAATTTTGCACTTTCCTTGCGCTACACTGGGCACTACCGACCCGAGGATGCCCATTCCGCAGTTTTGGCAAAAAGTGACGAAACCGAATTTTGCCAATGCGGGCACTGAGGTTCCGCAACTGCTAGGCAGGAGGATTTGCTTGTCCCATCAAGCCCCCCCTCCCGGTAGTAACATGCTCCTGCCTGGATGTCGAGTACCATCTGCCTAGCAGGGCCCCTCTGGGAGGAGCTGCTCTGTCTACCCATGCCTAAGCCAAGAACTACACTTGGCAGCCCGGTTGTTTCGCTCCTTTGGGAAGAACATTGCTGAACCAGGATGGCACTACCCGCTACAGCGGTGGCACTGTAGTGGCTGTGTGGGCAAAAGGGAGGGCTCCAGCCTAGTTTCAACTCTCGCCAGGGAGAGGCAGAGAGACAAGGAGAGCAATTTGGCAGTCCAGCCATCGCAAACATCCCTTGCAAGGTGAGCGAGAGGTTAGCTATCTCCAAGAGATAGCCCTGCGCAGTGTACATCGTGCGTACACTCCATTCTTGCTCCCGGCAACCCACTTCCTTATCAGGAAATTTTAGTTGCGATCACTTCCTGGGCTCAATTGACAAAAATGACTAAAAACGCAAAAGTAACTAAAAATTCCCAAAAACACTATCAGATTTCTTGGGTGTACGGATGTAGCAGTCACAAAACAACAAACTACTTTTCTCATGTGATATTAACGTACAATGTGTTATGTATGTGGTATGTAGCACTATACAACTCACACTGGTAAGCTATTGTGATGTAGAAAATTGTGATGATGTAGTAGGTATGCAATTATATTACATGCTTCTTTACAATATATATGACCTACTTATGCCCTTTATAATATGCAGCTGAGAAGAATGGTTATGAATTACCTTCTGCGCTTGCTCTTGCCAGAGCCGTTTATGCGAGCAATGTCTTCTGAGGAGATAACCAGACCGTTTCTTGTGGATCTACCAACTGACTGCACTTTAAGACCACGGGTTCTTTTCTTGCTCTTTTCTAGGTCCTTGGACTTGATACTGCTACCTATTCTTCTCTCTATATCTTTAACATATGTGGACTCTATCTTTCTGAAATTACCACTCTTGACCTTAGATAAAACGATACCGGCATCTGCGGCTTCTTCCTCGTATTTCTTTATCCTTTTTACGTGCTTGTCTATCATACCTTTCCTCACATGCATGGGTACTTTCTCCAATTTGGAGATCTTTCTACCATCACCGTTGACCTTCGATATGTTTTGTAACCTCATCTCCAGTGTCCTGGCCCTGGCTTTCCCCATCACTTCGTCATCCTGATATGAGACCGTGGTGTCCTTCAACCCGTCCAATGTCAGAGACGCACCGCTGGTAGCACTGTTAAACGCACTTAGTAAATGCGACTCCTTCAAAAATCGTTGAAGCTCTATATCGTTTTGCAAGTTCTCCATCTCCATGTCCTCACCTTCATCATCTCCTGGTTTAGTTTCAGTGCCCTCGCTCTCGAGAAGCTTCCGGTTCTTGTTTAAGGTCTTACCGCTTCTAAGCAATTTTTGCTCTTTTTTGCTAGGCGGTACGTAAGTGTCATTGGCCCCAGAGAATTTAATTACTTTAGGCTGTCTTATGTCTGCAGATTTGCTCACTGACTTATCTTCAACATCATCTTCTTCATCAAACCCACGGAATTGTTCCTCATCCTGCTCGCTCTCATCACTGCCCTCTTTGTCAGATAAGTCGGAATCACCACTAAAAGAGTCTACGTCACTAGATCCACTATCATCTCCCTCCTTGGTCTTGTCTTCATACCCCATAGACTCCAATGAGCCAAATTGTGCTTCAAAGGCTTGCCTTTGAAGCTCAAGCATTTTAAGGTACTCTGCATCGGTTTCACCCATACTTGATTTTTTTGTTCGTTCAAGTTAATGCAATATAATATATACCACTTATGTGACGGACTATTTAACAAATGGACCTCTAGTAGTCTCTCAACTAGTATGCTTTCTGTATAGCTCATCGCATCGCTTCAATTTTTAAATTTCATTTTGTCAAAATTGCACTTTTTCACAACAATTAAATCAGCTTCTGCGATGTTTTCTAAGCAAAACTATAGATCATTACGGTGACAAACACTCTGAAAAACTAACAACTTGAAGCTCATCGAGTAGTGGCAGTGATAATTATACAACACAGTTAAGAATTATGAGTTGTCGACATGTTGTCATGCTCTATTCTTGTTCTCACAATTGTGTGGATTGAAACTTCAAAATAACTGTAATTGAGTGATTAAGATGACCAAATTTGTTGGATGCATTGATTTGCATGATGGACAGGTGAAACAGATTGTAGGAGGGACGCTAAAGGACAACGATGACTCATTAGAGACTAACTTTGTTTCGAAGTATCCGCCATCATACTACGCTCAACTGTATTTGGAGAATAGAATTGAGGGCTGCCACGTTATCAAGTTGGGACCAAACAACGATGCAGCAGCTATGGAGGCTCTCAATGCTGCTCCAGGGTTTTTACAAGTTGGCGGTGGAATTAACGATGAGAACTGCTTGCAATGGCTAGAGAAGGCAAGCAAGATTATTGTAACAAGTTGGCTTTTCACTAAAGAGGGCACTTTTCTAATGGATAGGCTACAGTTATTAAGCAACAAGTGTGGACCTGATAGAATTGTTGTTGATTTGAGCTGTAGAAGGACACCAGATAGCAAATGGGTTGTCGCTATGAATAAATGGCAGACTTTGACCACATTGGAGCTAAATAAGGAAACATTTACCGAGCTTAGTAAATATACAGATGAATTTCTAATTCATGCTGCTGATGTGGAAGGACTGTGTAAAGGTATTGAAACAGATTTGGTAACAAAACTTTACGAATGGACTAAGGACATTAACAAAGAAGTGAAGATTGTTTATGCAGGGGGCGCAAAGAGTATTTCTGACCTAGAATTAGTTGATAAATTGAGTAATGGTACTGTAGATCTGACGTATGGTAGCTCCTTAGATATCTTTGGTGGGAAGTTGGTCAGATTTCAAGATTGTTGCGAATGGAACTCGAAGCATAATTAAGATCAATTATAAAATGTACAACGCGCTGGATAACAAATCACCAATCATTATCCTTGATGAAACATATTAATTGCATGCCATGAAACCTGTTGTATATAGATTTATTTAAATATGAATATACTACCGTTTATCTTTAGAATACAACTTGATCGAAAAAAAAAGGCTAATAACGAGAAAACTTGACGATATTTACTTAGGTCTCGTTTACCATGCACTTCCGTAAGTATCACTGGATCTTCCATTGTCGCCATAAGGTCCATCATGACCATTCATCATCATAGCATCGCCATCTTCTTCTATTCCATTGCCTTTAGCATCACCAGTGGCAAAGTTAACCTTCTCTTGATCCATTTGATTCAAAGCCAGCATAATAGATGCCACTTTCTTCTGTAGAGTATCGATACCTCTTAAAACAACTTGGTCTACTGCAATTGAACCAACTGCTTCAACATTCATGTAGAAGGTATCAGCCTTCGCCTTATAGTCAAATGGTTCATCATCGTTTGGTGGGTCTTCGTATTCACAGTTTTTAGATTGAGGCCATTCCTTTCTTATATCCTCTTCGTACCAGTAATCTGTATGTTGTAGTTTATTCCATGGGTCATATTCAAACTCTATAGCAGCAGCAGGTCCCCACTTCGCGTGTTCCTTTGCTATACCTTTCTTTGCTATGCATGTTAGTTTCAGTTCCTGACCTTTTCTCAACTTACATATCAGAACACCATTTCCTTCTTTATCCTGTATTATTGGGTGACCAATATTTCTGCCCATTAGATTAGACACAATCAACAGGTCTTTTGCGTAAACATTAGTTGTACTTTCACTTTCACCAACTGCTTGTAACGTTAGAACGACCGAACACTTGTCACAATGATCTTCACAGAAACAGTCACGACTGTACTCCAGTTGCTCAATGTCTGTACTCTGCAAAGGTATTAAACCCAATCTATGTGCCAAAAATTCATCTGCCAGAACAGTGGTGTTTGTCTCGACCTCAACAGAATCTATAGCTAAAGTAGGAATTTCCGCGATCATCACCCTACGTAGAGAATTTGCTAATGCTAAATCAACATTCGACAATATGAAATCAACATTATCACGGGTGGCTTCTCTAATCTTCACTTGAGGACCTTCTTCACTCATTTTCTGTATATTTTTGTTTGCTTCGCTTGCTTTCCAGATGCTAATTAGAATTACAACAGTGCCGACGTATCAAAATGCAAGCACACAGCTAAAATTTAACAATGATCCACAGGCGCTTATGCTATCAAATCCCAGCAGTTAGTGGAATAAAGACGCTATTGTTCGCTAGTGTTGACTGCCTTATATGACTTTCACGTAATTTCAACTCAATATTTTGTCAAATTTCAGCTTTGCTCACCAAGAATTTTTCAGTTACGTATCTTATGATAGATATAGCAGTTTATGATGAATGCAAATGTCTGCAATAACAACAAGTGTGAATTAGTTGATTAATTGTCTAGTTCTGAGACTTGATATAAAGATATTGTATTAGTGACTGTTTTAATTGGTCTATGCTTACATAACATAAATAGAAAAATAATAATAATAGAAGACAAGATAAAAAAAAAACAAAACAAAACGAATAGCTGTAATATTTACAGGAAACGGCATATACCATTGCATTGTTGACAGAAATTATTAATTTCAAGCCTTCAATTGATGCAACTAATATATCTAAAAATGCCGAATGCATGAGAGGAGAAAAACAAAGTTAGTATACTAACAGAAAGTACACTAGACATACAAGAAGTCCGTGTACGCTCAGTGAACCTATTCTTCCTTCCCCTCTAAAATTAATAAAAGAGTTGTTTTTATATTCAATGGGTCTATCATTTATTATATGATCAGTTGAAAGGTCTGGAGCTACCACGAATGAACTCTAGGATCTTCCAGCCTTCAGTTTCATCATCATCGATTTGTTCTGGGTCTCTGGTGAAAACCATCGCATAAGAAGACATCAAAATATTGGATTCATCACCAGCTGCAATTTCACCAGTTTTAGCCTTCCTGTACAAGTGAATTTCTTGAGCTCTGCAACCCACAACAAGAACAGGAATATCTTGTGGTTGCAATAGCTTTGCACTGACAACTTCCACACCTCTGATATCTAAAATTTTACCATCGGAGAAAAGCTCTTGCTTCTTGAAAATCTTCTGCTGGGCGTTGTAAACGTTAAATGGGGCCTCACTGAACCACTTCTTCAACACTTTTTCATCACCTTTGACATAGGCTTCAAGAACTTCTGGCACAATATAGTCTCTCAAGTGTTTTGTAAAGCCGATATTGGTGAATGTTGGGTCAACCATCTTGAATTGCTTGTAAACACGAGCGGATTCAGTTTCTGCAAAGAAACCGCCAATCTTACCGGTGATCTTTCTCAAGAAAACAATCAATGGGTTTTCACTTTCATCCCATAGGCTAACCTTAACACTCTTCAAAGTACGACCGACTGGCGTCTTCTCTTTGAAATCCTCGATTTTCTTGCCCAATGATTCCTTAGCTTCAATATCTGTAGCAACCAATGCAGATCCCGCTTCATCATTGCTCTTTACAGCACGAACTCTTTTACCCGAGGCTAGATCTTTCTCACGCTTCAACCTTCTCTGTTCTTTAGTAATGAAACCACCGTAACTGGAACTGTCACCATCATCGATGACCTCGCTGACATCCTTGTATATCTTTGTCTGTCTGACAGGCTCGAAGCTCTCGTCCAGTTTCTTGGCGGTCTTAGATGCGACAACTCTTGTAGTCTTTGCAATGTCGGAATCCCAGGCTTTAGTCGCCAGCTCCTCCACCGTTTCACCCGTCTTCTGCAAAGTTTTGCCGACAATGGTTTGACTGCCCTTCGACGCTTTCAAGTACGCCTCACGAGCTTTCTTGTATGCTTCAGACTCACCAAGTCTACCAGAGGCATCCTGTAAAGTCTTGATATTGTCCTGCAACTCCTGCGACTTCTCCCACTCTTTCTTAAATGTCTCTCTGAAGATCTGCAGAGGTGACCTTGGGTTACTCAGAAGAACCGAGCGGGTCCCAAAACATCTGCGAGCCACCAGCACCCCACTTGTCGAACGTACACTGATCATAGTTTGTTTTTACTACAAATAATCCTAACCACTTTGACTAGGCTGGGATAGTATCACACAGTCTGGTAGTAACTGGTCTCTTTCTGTTCTGTTTTATCTCTCTTAGTATCAAAATGATTCATTTTTCCAAGTTTCTTCCTCTCAAACTCCCAACGGTTCGGTTTTTCCTCTTTTCACAAAAGTGACATCTCACGTTGGTGCAATAGCCAACGCTCACTGAGCTGCCCATCAAGGCCATAAAACTCAAACAAGGACCACACAATAGACCTTAGAGATAATCTCATCCTCCCGCTCATCTTCAATTTTAATCACCATCAAGTACTAAACCCACAAAAGCGCCCTTTTGAGCTTGAAACACAACACCTTTTTGTAGCCCTTACATAGGGCACGTAAACTCCCACCAACAAACTCACCACAAACTCCCCATGCCACAGCCAAGGAATAGCCTGCCATCAGAAAAGTAGAACCGCTGTTATACAGTTCTGAATACTCTTGAAACCGGCGAACCGCCGAAATCCAACTTTTTAAACCCAAACTTCAACATGGCCGGGTAAACTTACGTTTTCAAGTTTCCCCCAGATGTCCTCTTCTCTTGGCATACCACCTTTCAGCGTTAAATTTAGCAGTATTGTTTAGTGTAATAGATCTTGGACTCGCTAGTAGCACCAAGAACAGGTGGTTTATACTTGAAGAGGAGGAGTGTACCAGCGTTAGTGTGTGAGTGAAACTCGGTGTCTTTCTGGGCTAGTAGATTTTTTTGTGGGGAGGGCTAGCCGCATGGTTGTAAGGTTTGAATAGCTGGTTTTTGGAATAGTATGTCGCGGAGGAGGGCATTTCAAGGCGGTATAATGCCTGTGGACACTCTTTCCTCATCGCCTGTTGCGGAGACGCAGGAGAGGCGGCCGGTGTCCCCGGTACGGTATAGGAGGAAGCGTGATCCGAAGGTCATCGCGGAGTTAAATCAGAAAGGCCATGAGATATTCAGTATAGGTGATGAAGATGGTTTACCAATGAGACACAAGGAGAAAGATGTACAGCGTGGTGAAGGTGAGGAAAGATCATCAAATAGGCCGACTTCAACATCAGATGGCAATTATGAGAGTCTTCGATACGTGGTAGTTGGGAAAATGAAGCTGATAACGCTTGATCAGAAGGAGGTGGATGTGGAGGAAGCTGTGCTAGAGTTCAGTAACAAGAAAGGTGAACTTAACCCTTCTATGAAGATTAGGCCTACAGACAGTAGAAGCAAAGTGAAAGATTTCAAAATCAAGATACTCCGAGATTGTTCTAAGATATGGTTCACAGAAAGGGTAGCAAAAGTGGGTATATTTCTGAAAGAGAAATTGGATGTTCCCATCGTTGATGGTAGCAATGAGGTTTTGCCTATTATCTGCATTGTCTGGGTTAGATCACTTCAGGATTCAACAATATTTCTCCGACTATCACGAATTCAGATAGTGCTTCATGAATTAGCCAAAAGTAGAAAAACACTACATACTACACTAACAGTACTCACGAATCTAACCGAACTTGAATTACAAAGATGCATAAAATCCAATATGATCACAGAACTTCAAAAATTGTCAAGGGCTAAAAGAAGACTAATTTCTTCTTCATCAGACGGTATTAACGACCAGGATGATGTACCGAACAAGGGTGTATCAAACACAAACAATGTATCACGTAAAAATGGGATCAGATCTCTGATTTCTAAGGCCAGTAAGGCCGCATATAATACGGGGAATGGTAAGTCAATACGAATACCTTTTAGCGTTAATGGCGCAAATAATCGCAAGATTTCTTCTACAAGTCAATCAGTAGACCCTATACCTTCTTCAAATTTTTACTCGAGCAGTAGCCCAAGTGGAAATACACGATCTAATTCGCTCAATAAGCGTGCAAATGAGCATAAACTCTCTGATCATTTACTGTCAAATGTTAAAAGGACTAGAAAGAGTATGATTAATGGGTCTAATAACAGTATCAAAGATCCAATGTCGATCGATGACGAAGAAATCGCTTTTGATGAGGACAAAAGCAATGCGGAAGACGAATTGTTTTACGAAACTCCAAAAATATTTGAACCAAATCTCGTGTATAAATTTACCGATGGTTCTTATTACACTATTACTAATCAGGATTTTAAATGTCTCTATAATAAAGACTGGATTAACGATAGTATTCTCGATTTTTTCACTAAATATTTCATTGAATCAGCTATAACAAACAATAAGGTGCGGAAAGAGGATGTACATATCATGTCATCTTTCTTTTATACAAAATTAACTAGTACTGAAGAAGAAGTATACTCAAATGTAAAGAAATGGGTCAATAATACGGATTTATTCAAGACAAAATATGTCGTTATTCCTATTAATAATAATTTTCACTGGTTTGGATGCATTATAACTAATTTAGATTCTTTCTTCATATATTACAATGAGAACAAAATGTCTAAGAATTCCAAGAATTTAGCAAACATGGATAGAGAAGAAGATGATATTACAGTTAGTCCACCAATAATTACGATACTCACGTTTGATTCATTAAAACAAACGCATAGCAGAGAAATTGATCCGATAAAAGAATTCCTAATTGGGTATGCTAAGGACAAGTACCAACTAGATATTGATAAAAGCCTTATAAAAATGAAAACATGTGCTGTACCACAACAGGCAAACTTTAGTGATTGTGGTGTCCATGTGATTTTCAATATAAAAGGATTTTTTGAAAATCCTCATCAAACGGTAGAACTTTGGTATTCTAAAAAAATGAAGAATAAGCATGATATGCGCTATATTAACGAGTATTTTAATAAATCTGGAAGGAATAACTCCAGAAAATTTCTCAGAGATATTCTTTTATCATTACAGAAGCAACAGGTGCTTCATAATGCTGGTATAGAAGCCAATGGACAAGCATTATCTAATGTAGATGAAGATGAGGATATTGAAATAATTGAAGATTTATATGATGCCAAAGACAGTAAACTGGCCCCCATAGATGTAAAAAAAAATGTCAATGATATAGATATTGGTAGGCAATCTTTATCTTCTCGCGTTGGTCTGCAATCAGAGCCGCCTTCGCCTACTCCAGAATTTCAAGAAGATCAATCAATTCCCAGTTCTTCAATCATGAACGTTAATTCGAAGGCCGAAGAACAAGGCCATATTATATCTAACTTATCACGGTCCTCACACATACTTGCCTCTTATAAGGATAGTGAGTCCAATCAGGTCTACACATCTCCGTACTTTGGGAAATCAATTTTGAAAGATAGAGTAGACAACTATACTGCATCGACTGAAAATGCTCATTCTAATTCTACATATTCAAATGGACATGAAAAATCAAATGCTAATAATTCTGGTTCTCCTACTATGGACATAGGCGTAGGCGAAAATTCAGAAATTAGTGCCGATGACTTTTCTGAACGATATAACGAAAGTGACGTAAATTTAATACCCGAAGGAGTAGCACCTAAATCAGAGCAAGACGAGGATGCTCTTGATCTGATTAGGGATAGCTTAGCAAGGGAATTAAATGAAAATATCGATACTCATTAGTTACTCATTGCCAATTATCATGAATTGATAATACACTTGTCCGAATATTTTCACTTTTCCATTTAAACCATGACTGTATAACTAACATCTTAAAAACAAATAACAATGTTTTAAATGCCATTGCTAAATAGTGAAATTAAATCAAATACAAATCTATCTATAATATTTAATTACATTAACTGCTCTGAGCTATCGTACTCATTGTCCATCTTTTTCTTCAGGTAAGTTTTCTAACTTTTTACCTTTGGTATAGATAGTATCTTTCACACCTTGTTCAAGGACATTCCAATACTTGCTGAATGTAACCATAAAATTGCTAATGAAATAACTGAAATATGCCAACAACAACGTCATCATATATGCATGTTCTGTACGACTCCAAGAATGACTAGGAACACTATTGAAAACTAATGGGATGAACTTTGCAGTTGATGACCAGGTCATATCCAAATATAAGGTTCCATTGATTACATTAAAAATGACGCATAGTACGGCAAGAACTAGTAAATTTGAACCATGGAATTTAAGGGTGTTGGTTAACACTGCTGATAGTAACCTTTTCAATAGTTCGGAAGTTCTTCTATTTTTGTTCTTAATAAATACACTACCGGTGCGTTTACCCTTTAGTAGCAATAATACTGAGTTTATTATTGTAAATATGGTCCTAATTTTATCGTTGGTGGAAGTGAATAAATCTCCTGAAGAGCTTGGTAAAAATGAGATGAAACGGGAACCACCGCATAAGGCAATGCAATAATTGTATGCAATTATTAAATGCACTAGCAGTGCAATGTTTGATATCAACGCTATCCAAAACTCTCCCATAGCTATCAACGTCGAAAGTATCAGTTTGAAAACAAATGACTCCTTGAAATCTTTAACAATATCCAGGAATGCAACCTCAGGCTCCATTGGCACTTCAACATCGTTTTCATCATCCTCATTTTCTGCTTCTACTTCCGTTTCGACTTGATGAGTTTTATTTAGTGTCCGTTTTTCAACAAGTTTGTAGACCTTTGGTAGCAGTTGAGATAATATTATTAGGCCTATGCAGACGTAATATGGGTTGATATGCTCTTCCTTGTTTTCATTCGAGTTTGTCATAATAAATACTTCAATTGGTAACATGAGTAATTTAGAAGTATAATGAGACATCAGGCAAATACTGATAAATAATAACGACGAAAAGAACCATATTAAACCAATCAATATCATATATCTCATTCTAAAGTTAGGTGGGACATAAACAACAAAATAATGATCAAATTCAGTATTTTGCTCATCTAAATAACCGAATTCACCAGCTGTACTTTTATTTCTCTCATTTATCTTCTTAAAGTCTAGGGGTTTTAAAATCTTGTCATCTGTAGTGACCGGCACAAACATGGTTTGTACATAACTTCTTGAAACAATATCAGACGATGGTACCCGCATCAAAACACCATCTGGTATAAAATATGCATGAACAGACTTGTTTTCCCTAAAAAGTTCTAAGGCTTCATCATAAGTCTTGGGGCTTGTAAATAGTTCAGTATTTGACCATTGTGCCTTTTGGGATGCAAATAGTTTGAAAAACCAATTACGGTATAATATGTGGCCTCTTTCGGTTGGAACATCCTTTCCGATGATGAATGAGGAAAGTCGTAAGTTTCTAGCACAAACATGAAATACGTACACCCAATAGTCTTTAACTGCTCTTTTTAATACGCTATTCTTTTCCAATATATTCCTAGTCACAGTGAATGCCAGAAGAATTGTTAGTGAAGTCTTATCAAAAAAGCTGTCTGGTTTGCATTTGTCAGAGAAAGTGGAAAATCCGGATTTCCATAACATTGGAAAGATTACACGTGTATGCAACCCAAATCCTGCAATAATAAATACAGCATAGATGAACATGGAAAGACATAATCTTGAAAGTTGAATACCCATAGGATGAATCAAACTATCATGCAATATTCTAATATTAGGATCTTCTGGAGATCTAATGAAAAATAAAACACCTGGACGAATGATATGCTTTCTAATCATTCCAATATACTTCGCAAACCAATACATATACAAAGTTCCAATAATCCAGTAAGCAAAAAAAGACAGTTTAGGCCAGATCCTGAAAAGTTGAGGAATAGACAACAATTTATTTGGTGATCCTAAGATAGGACAAAACAGAGCAATGTCTAACATCACACCAGCCAGTATTGGAAAACCGGCTAGCTCAATGAAGAATAATGTGAACACTTTTAGAGTACATCTGATTGCGAACGTAATTTGGAATATTTGCCTCTTCACGTTACTCGATAATCCATTGTGCCTACCGTATCCTTTGCTAATCATTTCTGAGACTACAGTATTAATTGCGATGGCCGTGAGGTAAGTTGTCAAACATGGTAGGGCTCTTAGTAGCATAGAATGTTTCATTGAGTTATCGAAGTATCCTTGATAGTATTCTAGATATTGATGAGTAGTGGCAACAACTAATTCCTGATGAACCACGGATATAAAAGGAATGTACTTTACGAGCCCGAAATAAACAACTGAGAGCTTTGAATAATGCATGAGCAAGTTAAATCCTCTGAATGCAATTTCTAAAATCTTAAGGTAAACTCTAATTAGGCCATAGCCTACCACAGTAGGTATCAAGTATGACAATAACAAATAAAGTGAGCAGACTACAGCACCAACAACGAAGTATATCAGAATGGAGCTGAGTTTTAACTTAACATTGATCAACACAGCATTCGCACCATCATTATCTTGCATAGCTTCATCTGGTTGGGCTTCCTGGACAGGTGGTATAAATATAGGAGCATTAGGTCTGTTCATGGCATTTTGAGCATTCCTTTCTTGTTGCTGCGCTAGTAAATTATCAAATTGGTTTTGAGCTCTTCGGTTCATCATTTCTTCAAACCTCTCTCTGAATGGATCATTCATCTCATCCTGTTGGCCAACACCCCAGTGATTAGCTTCATCGTCTGTGTCCGAGTCATGATCGTTTACAACAAAATCAGGATCGTTCTCATCGTCATCAGAATCTAGATGCATGTTGTTTATATTGTTTTGTGGGTTTACTTCCTCATCAGCGTTTACTTCATGTAGCGGTTCTCTTTCTTGGACTCTGTCTACCACAATAGGGCGTTGCGCTTCATCCTGAATACCTTGTCTGTTGTTCTCCCTTGCTCTGAGAGCAACAGCAAGGTGATCAATCATAGCCTCATCCATCATTGGAAATCTTTCCATCAAGCGGGCTTTCATATCGTTTATAGACAGCTTTGGGCCAATTTTATGCAAGATCATCTTTGAGAAGACTTCTTCTCTAACAATCATATCGTATTGGAAGTATAATGCAATGTGCAGAATAACGATAAGTGCGATTTGTAATGCTGTAAATTTATAATTCCATAGTAGTTGCTTCAGGACAGTTGATTTCGTCAGGACAATGTTTCTGTAATACTCTGGATTTTCCTGAAAACCAAACAGTATGCTTCTGATAGTGTCCTCCTCATACGGTATTGTGCCATCCAGGGCAAATGTATAAAGTCTCGCCCAGGTATTCCAGACTAAGGGCCATCCGAACAGGAAAAGCACCAATGCGAGCGAGATTTCAAGAGACTTCCTCATTTTGGAAAACGTCGCTTTCAGTGTGGATTTCAACAGTATTGGGAACGGTATCTTCTCTGGCATATCTTCCACATATGTGGTCTTGAAATTGAACGGGTGGTGGCAAATATCACAGTTCACCTCCGCACCAGTCTTCGAAATGTCTATGTTCTTCGATGATATCCACTCCAGCAGACAGGACTCATGAATGTACTTGATAGAACCCCGACACCGACATGGATGAAACAGCGGACTCTCCTCAGTGGCCTCACCACGGCATATACGACATGTAGCTCCCTGCGGTATATCCATCTCTCGTTTTTAGCCCTTTTTTTTTTCTTGTATATAATCTATTTTCCAATAAACCTTACTTTGTGCAATTATTCACTATTCTTTGTAGACTCTTTTTATTTTTTTACCTTTACCGTCAGCAACAAGTCTAAAACTTCCCCCCCAAGAATCTTTATATCCCAAAGCGTTTTCTCTTATTTTGTTTTAGCCTAATTGTTTCTCAGCTGCCTGGTGATATTATTGAATGGGCCCGGTCCTGAGTACAAGATGCGATGAATAATGATTTCAAGGAAAACTGGTGGTTTTTTCCATTCTGAAATTTTTTTTTTTTTTGTTTTGGCCAATTCGATTTTTTCAAATTTTACCCGGCTTATAATATGCATTAGCATCAAAGGATAGATAATGCTCTGTCACGTGATTCTTCTATTTTTGCTCTCTTTTTCACGGAGCCGTTCAGCTGATTTACGGTTTTTCTTTTTGGTGTCTTTCCCGTGTCGTGTCGCGTTTCTTTGCTTCCTGCAGGCACACGATAAACACGAAATTCTCAGGAAAGTTTAGATCTCCTTCTCTGCTCATTCTTTTAACCGCCCAGATCTCTAGAGATCTAGAGATCTCTAGATCTAAAGATCTTAAATGCAGCTGGTCGGCGGCTAATTTGTATATAGCTTACTAACGTTCTTCTGTGAGTTCCTCGGTCTGTGTCTGTGTCTGTGTCTGTGTCTGTGTCTGTGTCTGTGTCTGTGTCTGCCTAGCACTCCTCAACTATGTTGCTTATACAGTATAAACCCTTTAGATAACAATAAAAGTATACAAATTGTGAATAAATGATGGAATCTAATACAAACGAATGAACACACAAATGCTAGCGGTTTCCAATTCCTACAATAGAACCAACAAGGCCAAGGCTAGCAATATATTTATCATCCCCTTGTGATTCACAGTTCCACAGCCATGGAACGTTGTAACGACCGCGGTACCTGGAGCTGTGCCTGGAGCTATAACGCTGGTCTGGCGTGTTGTGCTGCGCGTTCTGGCATCTGCCGCTAAGCTGTGACTCTGTGAAGTCCGGGCCTCCGCTGCTAGGCTGTGACGCCCTGAACTTTGGTCTGTTCCTGAGCCGGGTTGTGCATCTCCGATTTGTCCTGGACTCTCGCCACTAGCTTGGTCTGCTCCAGTATCTGAGCCTGTACCCGAACCTGTGCCTTGCTGAGCGTTTGGTTGAAGTAGACTTCCACTATTGGACTGGCCACCTCTGCCGCTTTGGTCACCGTCCATAGCACTTGCTTGGCCTCCTTCCGATTGGCCAGAAGCAGTGTTATCAAGACCTGCTTGGCCTGCACCTGCTTGGCCTGATCCTGCTTGGCCTGCACCTGCTTGGCCTGATCCTGCTTGGCCTGCACCTGCTTGGCCTGATCCTACTTGTCCTGATCCTGCTTGGCCTGATCCTGCTTGGCCATTTCCCGTTCCACTACTTGTTCCAGATTGGTTACCATCTGCACTTCCTGATCCAGCTCCTGCTCCAGGAGTTGGTTGTTCTGAACCTCCTCCAGAGCCTGCACCAGGTTGTCCGGCAGCACCAGGTTGTCCAGCAGCACCAGGTTGTCCAGCAGCTCCGGGTTGTCCAGCAGCTCCGGGTTGTCCAGCAGCTCCGGGTTGTCCAGCAGCTCCAGGTTGTCCAGCAGCTCCGGGTTGTCCAGCAGCTCCGGGTTGTCCAGCAGCTCCAGGTTGTCCAGCAGCTCCGGGTTGTCCATCAGCTCCAGGTTGTCCATTATCGCCTCCGTTACCACCACCTGCAGATGATGTGGGAACAACCGCACTAGATGATGGTGCGGGCGGTGTACCACTGCTAACACATGTTGGGCAGAATGATGAGGGCGCTGCAGAAGAGCTTGGGGTAGAGAGTGTTGATGGTGATTCTGAAGATGTAGGGACAGTTGGAGATGATGGTGATACTGAAGATGTGGGGACAGTTGGAGATGATGGTGATACTGAAGACGTAGGGACAGTTGGAGATGATGGTAAAGTTGAAGAGGTATCAAAAACGGAGGCTGAGACAACCGAAGATGATGGAATTGGAGTTATTGGTGGTACTACTGAAGATGATGGTTCGGCTGAAGATGATGGAACAGCAGGTGATGATGGTTCCACTGAAGAAGATGGCTCAACTGATGAGGATGGCTCAACTGATGAGGATGGTTCCACTGATGAGGATGGCTCAACTGATGAGGATGGTTCCACTGATGAAGATGGCTCAACTGATGAAGATGGTTCAACTGATGAAGATGGTTCAACTGATGAAGATGGTTCAACTGATGAAGATGGTTCAACTGATGAAGATGGTTCAACTGATGAGGATGGCTCAACTGATGAGGATGGCTCAACTGATGAGGATGGTTCAACTGATGAGGATGGTTCAACTGAAGAAGATGGCTCAACTGAAGAAGATGGCTCAACTGAAGAAGATGGCTCAACTGAAGAAGATGGTTCAACAGATGAGGAAGGTGTAATTGATGAAGACACAGCGGCACAGGTCAAATCACTTGGAATAGGCTGATTCACCAATACAAGGAAGGTATCGTAAAGATTTCCTTGAAAAGATAATGTTTCTTGTTGACCGGACATTAATGCCGGATTATAACCGCATCCAATGTCATATGAATACACACCATTGGTGGTAACAGTAAGTATACCTGTCTGTGTGTTGTAACTAAATGTTCCTGAGGACCCTACCGATGCAATTATATTCCCAAAAAAAACACCGCGAACTCTGACTACCTGGGAAACTGGGCTAATAAATGCTAATGCAGTGGTAGTTGATAGATTTATGGTATTACCAATAAAATCTAAGGCATTTACGTATAAAAATCCTTTCTGTACGTTAATTGATCCACTATTCTCAGTGATTGTACCAAGCAAGTAATAACTATTGGCGGCATTCAAATTTATTGTTCCTAGATTTTGTAGTGTGCGGCCACTACTGCCAATGCTGAGTATGTTACCTGTCAGGCTAGGGTCATTTGTTTCACTGCCTATACTTTCGTAATTGATTGTGCCTGTATTATAGAAGGTGACTGGATCTATTATTAAGGTGGAGCTACTATCAGTGTTGGTATGAGCCAAAGATAGTGTAATAGTACCAGTGTTCGCCATCACATTGGGTGTAATCACGATATGCTGTTCTGTTGATGGACCTGTGTTCGAATTCGATATTATTAGCGTGCCTGAATTAGATAGTGATGATGATGGAGGCAAAGAAAAGGTAAAAACAGAAACCGCTGCTAGCGCGTTTGCAGTAACACTGGCCGAAGATGGTGCAATCTGCAAAAGATTATTGAATAGATACTGTGAACCGTCGTTCAATGTCAACGAAGAAACAACGCTAACATCCTCATTAAATGTTTGGTCACCAGTTAAGGTAGTTGGTGTGAGAATATCTAATGATAACACGAGCGTTGCTTTAATAAAAAAAGCAAATATTGTTATTAGCGACATTTGTTGGTAATGTTATTGATGATTTGTGATAACATTTTATTTAAGAGAAAGATAATCTGAAATGAAACTAATCATCTGTTGAATATTTGATGAAGTCTTATATTAGATACTTTTTGAGACATTGCAATTGATAAACTCAGGACTGCGAAAATGCAATGAGTTACAGAGGTTTAATGTTACATAGGGCTGTTCCACAGTAAATATACCATATAAATCCCTAAATATTTCTTCTTAATAAGCAGAGAATGTGGGCTCACTATTAACACATAGTCATTAATTTAACAGAAGAAATAGACAGTAGCTGATGATATTCAGAGCTATATGGAACGATAAAAACAAAGAGGGGCTACAGGAGACTGATAACTTTGCTCAATCATAAGACTTGATTTATTAAGAGCTGGGAAAGAAATGCTTTCTTGCAATGTTATGAAAGTTATGCGGTAAAGATATTTCCCTATGGTTGTTTACATATTTGATTGCAATAAAAAGAAAAAGAAAAGAAAGGACGAACTGGATAGCACCTCCAATACGGCGTGTTAGAACAGCCGAATGGTTTGATCTTGTTTATTAGTCACATACATGGGATCGTAGCTATCATTACTGATCATGGTTCTTCAGAGACTTGCCTCTTGTCAAAATTGCTATGAGGCAATGCAAAACTATCATAGCATTTGAAAGAAGGGCCCCGCTAATTTATTAAGGTATGGGTTGACTGTTAGAAAAGCCATAATGCTTATGGTTGAGTTATGGAATTAAAACATCAAATATGTCTCCTAGCACGCATTTTACAATAACTCTGCAGTACTTTCCTCATATTAACTGCAGATGTTAAAACATCGTTTTTCTGTAAAAATACGTTTTTCTAATAAAACAATGTCGTAGTAATGACATTATCAAAGAAGCAACAAAGAAGGAAAGTGACACCAGTGTAAACGTACACAAAATCCCATGGATGACATGCAAGATCTAGACCATTGCCTGGTTCAATAAGAAAGGACCAATTGATGTAATGTCCTCCCTTTTATTAGGGTTCTCCATAGTATAAGTGTGTTTACGATACAACAGCAAGCATTACTTCCATTTTAACGAACTTTCCTTTTCCCTTGATGGGGATGCCTTGTTTTGCCATTTTCCAATTATTTTATGCATTTGAGTATCCCTGCATTTTGTGCTGCAACTCAAACCACACTACTTGGCTCTATCAGTGACGTCTTGGTGTGTTGTTTGGCTTTATTAATAGAAAATTGTAACTTGAAGCACTGACGGACTGATGCCTAAATATGATGCAAATGGCAATATGAGCATGAAATGTTTGCTGGTTTAGTTAGTCTCTTTTGTTTTCAATTTATGGAAACCTTTTAACTAAGATTTGTATGGCTTCTATCCACTCAGCGTCCTAGCAATAATACTAATCAAAATTGATTCTTATTTTTTATATGAATATAAAGGTATCGATCATAATAAATTAAGAAAATATACATCGATCCAAACCATGTTGCTGCTATGTCTCAGATTATCTACTGCTCAGACTTCTTGAAAGGCAGTGACCTACTAGAACATCTGAAGGATCCAACTTGAAGAAATCATTTATAACAAATAGAAACGAACTGAAAAGGTCAAACACCCTCCTAGAAATATATTGTTTACCCACGGAGCGAAGAAAACAATAATTCAATTAAAGAATTGTTTTATATTAATATAATAAAGGATAATCATTTGGTAGTAAAAGTGTTGGACTACCATTCACCACAAAATTATTTCCGTTTGATTGCATAATTTGTGTATCATCTGTGGCCGGGAAATCGATTACAGTAGCAGAACAGATATGATAAATGGTAACATAAAATTAAATAGTCCCACGTTTACATGTTCTACTCCACCATGGAATGTTGTAGCCAGATGAGATGGTGTCAAAATTGTTGTAGGCTGGGCTCTGCCACTTGTTGTGCCTGTTCTTCCAAGTGCTGCGAGACTATGGCTATGTTCTTGGTTTCCAGAGCCTGATCCTGCTTGACCTGATCCTGCTTGACCGGCTTGACCTGATCCTGCTTGACCTGATCCTGCTTGACCGGCTTGACCTGATCCTGCTTGACCGGCTTGACCTGATCCTGCTTGACCGGCTTGACCACTGCCTGCTTGACCAGCTTGACCACTGCCTGCTTGACCAGCTTGACCACTGCCTGCTTGACCGGCTTGACCTGATCCAGCTTGACCGGCTTGACCGGCTTGACCAGCTTGACCTGATCCAGCTTGACCGGCTTGACCGGCTTGGCCTGCTTGGCCTGCTTGGCCTGCTTGGCCTGCTTGGCCTGCTTGACCGGCTTGGCCTGCTTGACCGGCTTGGCCTGCTTGACCGGCTTGGCCTGCTTGACCGGCTTGGCCTGCTTGACCGGCTTGGCCTGCTTGACCGGCTTGGCCTTGTTCACCTTGTCCCGTTCCGGCTCCAATTGTAATTGTGGTGGTGATAATTACTGGAGGTACTCCAGGATCTTCTATTGTTGTGGTAATTGTAGTAACAACGGCAGAAGATGACGAAGACGAAGATGAGGATGATGAAGGTGATGAAGATGAGGATGAGGATGATGAGGATGAGGATGAGGATGAAGATGGTTCAACTGATGAGGATGGTTCCACTGAAGAAGAGGTATCAACTGATGAGGATGGCTCAACTGAAGAAGATGGTTCTACTGAAGAAGATGGTTCCACTGAAGAAGATGGTTCCACTGATGAGGATGGTTCCACTGATGAGGATGGCTCAACTGATGAGGATGGCTCAACTGATGAGGATGGCTCAACTGATGAGGATGGTTCAACTGATGAAGATGGTTCAACTGATGATGATGGCTCAACTGAAGAAGATGGTTCAACTGATGAAGATGGTTCCACTGAAGAAGAGGTATCAACTGATGAGGATGGCTCAACTGAAGAAGATGGTTCTACTGAAGAAGATGGTTCCACTGATGAGGATGGCTCAACTGATGAAGATGGTTCAACTGATGAAGATGGTTCCACTGAAGAAGATGGTTCCACTGATGAGGATGGTTCCACTGATGAGGATGGCTCAACTGATGATGAAGGTACAATTGATGATGATGCTGCAGCACAAGTCACATCTGCTGGAGCTGCGCCTGTATAGGCTACACCATAACCATCTACAAGATTACCTTCATAACCAATACTTGATTGAGTGCCTATAAGTAATGCGGGATCATAACCACATCCAATATCGTAAGTATATGTATTACCATCAGTTGTGACTGTTAAGATTCCAGTTTGTTCGTTATATGCGAATGCTCCATTTGTTCCAGCTGATGCAATGAAGTTTGGTGCAGCAAAGCCACGAACAACAACCGTTTCAGGTACTGGTCTTATCATCGCCAAAGCACCTTCTGGTCCTAAGTTAATAGTGTTACCAGCAAATGAGGTCGAATCGATGTGTAGTAACCCATAGTTTACATTAATTGAGCCACCTTCGCCTTGGATGTTTCCTTGTAAGTAATAGTTGTTTCCGGCAGCCAAATTTATTATTCCTGTGTTGTCTAAAGCGTGGCCAGCACTTCCAATATGTAAAATGTTGCCTTCTAAGCCGGGATCGTTGATTTCAGTTCCTGTACGTTCATAATTTATAGTTCCTGAGTTTGCAAAACTTGGGGAGTCTATGAGCATGGTAGAGCTGCTATCTGATTGATAATGAACCACTCTAATAGTCAAAGTGCCAGAGTTACTGAAGGTGCTAGGGTTAATGTTTATGTGCTGTTCAGATACTACGCCTGCGTTGTTATTGATGGTCAAAGTACCTAGATTTGAGAATGATGATGAAGGTGGCATAGAGAATGTAAAAACCGATCCAGATTGCGCATTAGCTTCAACACTAGCAGTGTCTAAGCTAATATCCAAAAGGTTGTTAAAAATATACTCAGAACCATCGTTCAATGTCAACGAAGATTGGACATCGATATCCTCATTGAAATTTTGATTACCAGTTAACGTGGTAGGAGTAGTAATTGTTTGCTGTGCTTTAACTAGCACATAACTAGCGAAAAATAATAAAATTCTTGAAAACATGAGCATGTTCGGAATTTTTGTATATGGTATTTTTTTTTTTTTTTTGAGAAAGAATTTAAAATGAATTAAAGAATAGTAAAAGTGAAAACTTGTGAAAGAAAAAGGCAAAACGAGAGTTTCTTATATATTATTTTTTTTTTTGTTTATTAGTTTGACAAAAATACATCCCGTAATTATATTACCCCATGTTTGTCGTCTCAACAATTAAATTGCCTAATATAATTTTGGCTACTGAAGTAGTCGTATAATTAATATGTTGTGATGAAATATTAGCGAAGGTTAGAATAGGTGAATTTAAAGGGATAATATTACTTGGACCACAGTGATGTTGTCCTCCAAATAAGGCACTAGTCTACAAGACAATTCGAGAGAATTATTAATTATTTTGATTAACTCTAATTAGTACCTTGATAGGGAAATTGAAACATATTCCCCGTTAATTTCAGTTAGTTGGTTTTTGCTAACCCCATCGTTCCTGGTTCGGAAGGTAAACAACACTATTTCAAAATATCCGTTAAAACAGTTAGTAAAGCAACATCTCTATTCAACATTTGCAGCTAGAAGCCCCCCCCCCCACTTACCCCTTCCCACTATTAAGACTACCTTCAGTATATTATGTATGTACACCGGCTATGTGTGGGTTACATGTTTGCGATGGCCGTAACCTAGTCAGCATACGCTTACAAGTTTTCTATACACCGAAAATGTAAATTGGCTCTGCGCAATTTACCCTTTATTAAAGGTGAATGGGTAAAACACACCCCATAGTAGTGTGCTTAATATGTGCAATATGTCCCTAATCTAATACTCATCATCGAAATTTACACTTTTAAGGCAATGTTACTACGGTAGCATGACTTATTAAGGGACCAAGATCTCAAATACAGGAAATCTAGACACTGGGCATTGGAAGCCTTCCCCCCCAATATTTCTATTGTTATCAGCTACAGAATTTATACACAGGCAATCATGCAGCACTGCCTTGTCTACCTTCTAACCCACTCATCTCATCTGTTGAAGTGTTATGTACAGCCCTAATACTGCGGCTCATAAGAAAAGAGTCACTCCTTGGCAATTGCTCCATAGCAATACCGACGGGCTTAGCCACCGAAGATAGCTGCGCACAAGATTATCTTCGGAGTCTCGCAATTTAAACTTCCTTCTCTCTCAAACAACTATTTATAGACTTTGGCCCCTACACGCTTTTATGTGGAAGACGGGATAATGGACCCGCTCCGACCACTCCCCCCCCCCCCCCTCACACATTCCCTGCTTTCCTTGCAGTCACCCCTGCGGCACCGATCTCTCAGAAATGAGATTCATTACGCTGCAATGACGTATTCTCTACCCTTAATTTATTAGGGCTCAGAAATAAATTAGGGATACCATGGGGGGAATGTGGGGTCCGACCCTTATTTTCGGGTACAATGATATCATGTGACTGGTATTTTTTGAACTGTGTTAGACTCGTAGAACTGCAAATTGGGAATGAGTTAGCATTACTCAGTTGCACATTACCAAAATAAGAGAGTTGATACACATAGGGACAGGATTTTATACTGTGACCTTCCCTGTTTTAACAATTTTAGAAAAGTGTAAATGAGAAAAGGAGTAATTTTTTTTTCTTATGTACTTTTTTAATATGTATTTGAGATTAAAATAAAAAAAAAAAGAACTAAAAAATTACTGTTCAAATAATATGGGGCCTGCCAATTTTTTATCTGACAGAGAAATGAATAAAAAATAGTTCAAACTGGTAAGTAATCATTAAAAATAAATTAAGACAAAAAAGAAAACGAACCAAGAAATGCTTCCATCAAGGAATGCATATGTTTTAAATAAAAAAAAAAAAGAGAATTGAAAAGGGGGGACATTAAAAATATTATGATCGATCAATCTCGAACGATTATTTGTGTAAGCCATTGCCTGCAATAGCTTACAGTCTTGAGCCTTAATTTATCTAGCTCGGTGTTATCATAACAATAGAACAGAGACAACAAATGGTAGCAACACTTGGAATAGTCCAACATTAATCTTCTCTACACCACCATGGAAGGTAGTAGCCAGTTGAGAAGGTGCTAATACTGTAGGTTGAGAACCACCTGTTGTAGTTCTGGCCTGAGCTGCAACACTATGTGGTTGAGGGCTTGCTTGACCTGACCCAGCTCCCGTACCACCAGAGCCCGCGCCACCAGCTCCTGCTCCTGATCCTGATCCAGATGCGCCAGCTCCTGATCCTGAACTACCAGCTCCTGATCCACCGGAACCTGATCCTGCACTACCAGCTCCTGATCCACCGGAACCTGATCCTGCACTACCAGCTCCTGATCCGCCAGCTCCTGATCCGCCAGCTCCTGATCCACCGGAACCTGATCCTGCACTACCAGCTCCTGATCCGCCAGCTCCTGATCCTGAACCACTAGTCCCTGCACCACCAGCACCTGACCCTGATCCTGATCCTGAGCTACCGGCTCCTGATCCGCCAGCACCTGCTTGGCCTGCACCTGCTTGGCCTGATCCTGCTTGTCCTGCACCTGCTTGGCCTGCACCTGCTTGGCCTGCACCTGCTTGGCCTGATCCTTGTTGGCCTGCACCTGCACCTGCTTGGCCTGCACCTGCTTGGCCTGATCCTTGTTGGCCTGCACCTGCTTGGCCTGATCCTGCTTGGCCTGATCCTTGTTGGCCACTTCCTGTTCCACTACCTGTTCCAGACTGGTTACCACTTGCACTTCCTGATCCATCTCCTGCTCCAGGAGTTGGCTGTTCTGAACCTCCTCCAGAGCCAGCTCCGGGTTGTCCAGCAGCTCCGGGTTGTCCAGCAGCACCAGGTTGTCCAGCAGCTCCAGGTTGTCCAGCAGCTCCGGGTTGTCCAGCAGCACCAGGTTGTCCAGCAGCTCCGGGTTGTCCAGCAGCACCAGGTTGTCCAGCGGCGCCAGGTTGTCCAGCAGCTCCGGGTTGTCCATCAGCTCCAGGTTGTCCATTATCGCCTCCGTTACCACCAACTGCAGATGATGTGGGAACAACCGCACTAGATGATGGTGCGGGCGGTGTACCACTGCTAACACATGTTGGGCAGAATGATGAGGGCGCTGCAGAAGAGCTTGGGGTAGAGATTGTTGATGGTGATACTGAAGATGTGGGGACAGTTGGAGATGATGGTGATACTGAAGACGTAGGGACAGTTGGAGATGATGGTAAAGTTGAAGAGGTATCAAAAACGGAGGCTGAGACAACCGAAGATGATGGAATTGGAGGTGTTGATGGCTCGACTGAAGATGATGGAACTGCAGGTGATGATGGTTCGACTGAAGATGATGGAACTGCAGGTGATGATGGTACCACTGAAGATGATGGTTCAACCGAAGATGATGGAATTGGAGGTGTTGATGGTTCGACTGAAGACGAAGGTACTACCGAAGACGAAGGTAATACTGAAGATGATGGTTCGACTGAAGACGAAGGTACTACCGAAGACGAAGGTAATACTGATGATGGTTCAACCGAAGATGATGGTACTACTGAAGACGAAGGTTCAACCGAAGATGATGGTACTACCGAAGATGATGGTTCAATCGAAGATGATGGTTCAATCGAAGATGATGGTTCAATCGAAGACGATGGTTCAACGGAAGACGAAGGTACTATCGAAGATGAAGGTATGATCGATGAGGAGGCGGCAGCACAGGTAGTATCAGAAGGTGCAACACCTAGGTAGACAACACTGTAGGCGTCAACATTGACACCCCCTACTTGAATTGTAATTTGTGCACCTAAAAATAACGCAGGATCAAATCCACAGCCGATATCATACAGAAACACACCTAAACTTGTTGTGACTGTTAGAATACCAGTTGTCGGATCATACACGAAACTACCATCAACTCCAAGTGATATAATTGCTGCTGCATCTAGAAGACCTGTTACAACTATTGCATTTGCCTGTGCATTAACAAATGCTGCTGCTGTGTTTGGGTGAAGAGCAATTGAGTTACCGGTGAATGTTTGGGAGCTGATGACCAATGTTCCTTGTTCGATGTCAATCACACCTCCATCGCCAATTATATTTCCCAGTAAATTATATCTTGGTGCTGCATTTAAATGAATAGTACCTGTGTTATCAATAGTGTTACCGACACTGCCAATCTGAAGGATATTACCCAGCAAATTTGGATCTGTACCTCCAGCTCCGCCTCCTATATAGCTAATGGTGCCAGAATTAACAAATACTCCAGCATCGATTACTAGTAGAGATGTCGCATCTGAGACTGTACGTGCTAAATCCAGCGTTATTGTGCCAGTGTTGGTAAGGGATGAGGGAATTATGTTTATTGATTGCGATCCTCCTAGACCCAAAAGATTGCCGTTAGATATAGTCATTGAACCGCTATTGGTTACAGATGAAGTGCTTGGGATGCTGAAAGAAAAAGGCAATAAGATATCCAGCAAAGCTGTTGCGGATAGGGAACCACCTCCATCAATAGTTAGAAGGTCATTGAAAGCATATGAATTACCTAATGTCAACGACAACGCACCTGTGGAAAATATATGAACTGGTTCAGTAAAAAGCTGGATACCAGTCAGAGATAAAATTGAATTAACATCCAGTGCAGATACCAGGCAAAAGCCGAGCATCAGCACGATAAACACTTTCATATTAGTCATAATTGAGTGTGTCTTTAATTGATTGATATTGTTGTATGATATAAAGAATTAATTACTATTAAGAATAAACGAAAGTATACTTGAGTCATGAAGGAAAGAAAGCATTTAACGGTGCCTTTTTATATAGCTCAATGAATGAATCTTTAGGTATATATTTTGGGATATATGAAAATGTTATTTCTTGTGGACACTCAATTGGAGATTGGTTGGAGAAGATGTTGCATTATAGACCTCTTTCCTTTTAAAAATTAACCCACTCACTCATTATTTGAACTTAGCTATCGCCTCTTTTCTGTAACTATGTATTGAGAATTGATCGAATCTATAATGCGAGTAATTATATTTAGTATGGCAGTATTCATTCAACAAAATCGATGAAGAACTGTAGATAGCGTTCGCCTGATTATTGTGCAAGTTATCTTCCTATAGTTAGAATCAACTCATTTATTTTGCTAGATGATAGTGGGGAATGTAATTTAAAAAGATGGTATTAATTGAAATTACTGTATTTTTTCTTTCATTATTTTATTACTGCTATCAAGCAACTTGTGTGCTCCTACAGATTGGAGGATAAAGCTGTATAGTTTGACATATTACATCAATAGTAATTAATTGAATTTAAAGAAAAGAGTCTTCTTTTATTTATTTTGTGGGGCAAATATGGTTATTCCCCCGCCAGCTGGATATTTACTACCACAGGTTCATTCTGGAAGTTCACGCAGGTTTACTTCTGTTATTGCAAAGCGATTTAAGCACAGTTTTGTACATCAAATTAAATTATGCCAAGAAAACTGCAAGATGACAGGAAATCAGTACATGAAGCAGAGGTGCTGCGCACACAATATAAGCCCTGGTTATGTTATATTCCATACTCTTTTTTAACATCAGATTATATCGGATAATTGAGAACTGCCAAGCATAATGCTACAACAAACTTATGAGAAGCTGGCATGTGGAAAGTGGAAGGAGACACTCCACTTTGGGAAACCTGACCACAGAATTTCCAAAGATTGAAAGTTAAAGTTTCAGATTGCCTGTGCAGATTGCTATTGACTATTAAGCTTTCTAATTAAATATGTCACCTATTGCAGTTTTTTCTTCTGAAATTAAATTATGAAAAAGTCCGATTTTCTTTGCATCTCACATGCATTACAGACGTGAGAGAAATGTTCTAGACCATAATGATTAACAGCTTTGTTTGTCCAACTCTTTGGTTGCATTTTCTCCAATAACCTGTTCCATCATAGAAATTTCATTTGACTGCGAAGCTTGTGAGTTGATAGGTTGGCATAGACAAAGCATGAAATGCAAAGTTTGATCTCCAAAAACTCTAACTAGCTGGTTTAACTACGATCTAATTGTGGGGTCTGCTTAAGAAAAAGTTTGTATACATTGATTACACCTCACTTTCTTGATTTTTGATTGATTATTAGAAGTTGAGTAACATACTTGTTACCACTACAGTTTCATGCTGTGTAATACTATATAGAAGAAAAGAGACAGAATGAATCACTGGTGAATCACACTTTCTGTTAAGCCGGATTCTCTAAGAAATAACAAGAAAACCATTTGTTCAAGATATTGGTAGCCAGAGTAAGGTGAAGGAAGTAAACAGATAAATCTTTACTGTAAACAGTTGACAATGATAAACACATGAAGATACTCTTTGCATGAAGACCTTAAGCACATTCTACAAATTTTCTACTAATCTACAGAAAGTTTCCTGTTTTATTATGTTTTCTGCTGATTTTCCATATTTTTGTTGGTTAAGTTGATTGAAATTGGTTGTATTAGTTTAATTAATAAGTATAATGCAGCTGTTGTAATAGTATAGCTTCCCTTATTTTCTCCTATATATAGTATGTATTTGGGGGCCAATCTTTACTACGCAAATTATTTGAGGATTCGCACAATTGTGGTGGAATAGTGACTACTTTCCGAATCCATATGTCACAGTATATGCTCAACTCCGATATTTTTCTCCAGTAATACGCCTTCTTGTAGAAAAGATAAGCAAGCCTAAAACAAGTTGGAGCTAGATTTGGGATAATATGAACACTATACAGACATTTTATTTTCTTGTAGAATAGTAAAAACATAGAAAGAAACACGTATCTTGTATACAAGGATATATCATTTGAGTCGGTTACTTTTGCTGTAAAATGCAAAGTCAACTGTAACCCAGTGTATTCTTCGGTAGTACTGATCAGTTTTTTTGTTTGATTAGCCATAAATCCATTGTCATTAACCCAATTAGTGAAACTTTTAATTAACCCTATCAGGTAATACCCGGTGTATTGGATATCGCTAACTTGCAATTTAAGAGCCCTGCGCCAACTTCTAGCTTATTACTATTATAAAGCACATTGCCTACTACGTCAAAGTATGTAAGACTTGGCTGAGAAAAACATAACACGCTAACATGCGTATAAAAGCCGTTTTTATTGAATTACGGAAACTCATTCAACTGTATTTCCAAAAAGGGTTAGATATATGTATTCTATCAAATGCAAATGCTATTGGAGGCACAGATACTTCTGTAGCTAGATTGCAACAGATTATTAATGTCTTTCAAGCAACAAGTAGCCATCCATCTAAGATGAGACTGCAGTCCACTAATACAATGCACTGCGAGCTATGCAGTTAAGATTTGTGTCAACAATATCGGAGATTGTAGGCTCATCGCCGACTTGACGTGATACAAACCCTAAAACAAGACTAATAAAAACCCTAAGACGACTATTGATATGACTTGTTAGAAGGAACCCATTAGATCACTATACTGTAGTATTGATATTTGTAGTTGAGACAAAAGGTATAACGAACTATTTGAAATGCGGGGGAAGAAAGTGTTCAGGCATATGATAGGAAGTAAGATGTGGGTGCTTAATGCAGTTCATATAATAATTGGTTGCCTTTCTCCATAAGCTTATTACATCGTCAATCACCGCGTGTGTAAGATGAAAAAGTTGATATCACTTGTTCAAAGGTGACGTACATCTACTGTAATTGGTATGGTATTTATTTGATGCCCTTTTTTTTCTTTTTTCTTTTTCCAGAAGAATTTATGCAATATTTCAAGATGTAATTGATTATTTTTCTAATGTTAAGACAACTCATTTGTGGGTTATTTTGTGGGTTGGTTCCTATCTTCTGCGGGTTGCATCAAATATTCTACAATAAAAGTAGTTTTTGTTAGTAGATTTGAGTTATAGCACGAAACCCTCTTCACTTGTGCACGAATATTGTTGTCTGGTGAACTTCAGATGGATGTTTTATGATCTGAGGCAGGCACTTCATCTTGCTATCTTTATCTAATAATAACAGATTTTTATTGAGATTCATGTCTTTCTTACTACATCTAGATTTAACCCGCACAACCAATATAGCTATAAACATTAATATTATTGTAGTTTCAAAAACGAAAAAAGGTGTGCAACCATAGAGCCATTTCAATGCAACCTTTTTGCGTTGGTCTTCTATGGTAAAATGCGCCTGTTAATGGAAATTTCCTGCAACTTTCCAGCAAAAAAATAGAAATAAGCCCTGTAGGGGGCTCGAACCCCTAACCTTATGATTAAGAGTCATACGCGCTACCGATTGCGCCAACAAGGCTTATTAATTGCGTTGATATTCTAAAATTTTCGTGTCACCATACATGAATGAAAACATTCTGGTGATCCCACGTATACTGTTATTATTTTCCAAATGTATAACATAAAGCTAAAATACTATGTACATTTATATCATCAAAATTGTTAGTTTGTAATTTAGGTGTACTACTCTTGCCATATAAACACTTAAGATTTCTTGTGAGCCTATAATAAACAAGATATCAACTGTCTATGAAATGATAAGGCGTGAAGCTACCACTTTGACTCTCTCACAAACTGATATTAATGATCTTGTTGATGAGTTAGAAGAGCGCAAGCTGCAAAGAATAATAAATAAACAGAGGGACAGAGTACTTCGAACATCAACGAAGTTAGAGAGTGGATCTGAAGATACCCGGTTGGCGAGCCGAGATAACAACGATGATGGCATAGCATTGCAGTATAATAACGGTGATGAGTCTCTAGAGGATGCTGTACCCATTGACTCTTTCATAAATGCAAGTCCACTAGACAATAAGACTATGCATCGCACAGTAAACTTTGATCAGGGACTCAATGTGTCGTTAGGAAGTTTTGCTCAAAACACCACTTCTAACTCTAACTGGCAAGGTAACAGTCAGAGCGGGACCTCTGAAACTGAAGCTGGTTCAACACAGTCAAATCCATTTTATCGAGGGTGAATTTAGTATCGAAGACGAGCAATAACCCTAACTGTTAGACGAGCTTTCTAGATCATCAAAATATTATGGTCTTAATTGAAATAATTTGCTAGACTTTAAGCCAAATGGAATAATTGCATTATATACTACATTACCATAACATTATATTTATATAGAATTACAACGACCAAATTTTGAATCTCTTTGGTTCAGTTAGCTTTGGGTCATCAAGATGCTGCGCTACTTCTTTTGCTAATTGCTGATTATCATTCTTTTCTTCTTCTTCTTCTTTGTCTACCAGGTCCATGTTAGAATCCATTTGCTCTGATGCTATCACAAGTTTCTTTGTGACATTTAAATCTGAGAGCTTTTGATTAATTTCACTCACTTGTTTACTCAAATTATTTTTCTGTTGAGATATTTTACTTACTTCATTCTCATATTTGGCAGTTTCTTCTGTTAGAGCCTTATCCAGGCTATCTAATTTAGACATTTTTATTTTAAGCTTTTTAGCACTCAATGTTATAAGTTCCTGTGCAATGATACGCATTTGGTATTGTGACTTCAACTGACAGTTGTGGGCAGCAGTAGGAAGCTTGCTATTCAATATGTCCTCATTTCCATTAGTGATTAATGCATTAATAAAATTCTCCATCACTTCAATGATGGTATCTGATGTAGTTTGGTTTGCAGAGCTCTTATACTTGTCTAATAGTTTTGAAACGTCATCATCTTCCAATGGAAGTGACATGTATTTATCAACACAGTCCGCAATTAGTTTGTTCCCGCCTACGTGTTTAGCAATGTGCTTCCAATCAGACCCAAACATTTCTAGACCTTCCAGTAATGAAACGACTTCCTGATCTGTCCATATCTTTCTTTGAGGGAAAGCATTTTCATCTGCTAATTTTATAAAGTCTGAGGATTGAAATTTCTCGCCAAATTGCTCTTTAGAGAAGCACTTATGGCACAAGCTCGAATGTTTATTGCGCAAATTGAAATACTTAACTGTCATCTTATCGTTTCCACATATGTGGCAGACAAATACCTTTTGCATATCTTTTGACTCTAATTTCTTTTCTTTCAGGGCATTGAAATTTTTAGATGCATCATAGACATTTTGCCTTAGAGAGACGTTAGTTGGGTATGAGTTCTCTTCCTCATTTATTGTTTGGTCATCTTCATTTGATTCCTTGGTAGTTGCATCATTCAATATTAGTACCTCGACCCTTTCCTCATCTTCATGTACTAGTTTCTTCTTCTGTGCCTCTATTTTGAGCTTCTTGTTAGCAATAATTTTCTTTTCCGGTAAAAATGGTTTCAAACCTTGTGGAGTATCTAAAGTAATTTGGAAATGCCCTGTGAAACTAGGACCTATTAAGGTCGGTTTTGATCTAGGGTCTACCTGGTAATTAATTAGTCCCCATTTCTCGAGAAATTCATGAATCCTTACGATAGAAGCGACATCCATAGCGATGTTCCTTCTTACCGCGGTAATTGTTAGGTATTCTGTAGGAGATAATCTGAATGTGTTTATTATAAAATTTCTAGTGTCCTTGTATGCTTTTTCTGACTTAAATCTGGAGGAGCCATCGAAGAAATCTGGAAGCGACCGCTTCTCGATTTCATGCACAGAATACATGTCAAACCACTTGGCAAAAGGAGGTATGGTCACTTCATTAGTCTGTTTGATCAAGAACTTCAATGTCTTGTCTTCCATGCTAGATGTATCATCATCACCGTTCGATTTATCGGTCACCTCTTCAACTTTGGCTACATTCTCGGAGTCAATCTCCATCTCGTTCTTCACTGTTTCGCTCATTATGTACAAATTTTGTCCTTTCTAAACTATATTTGAAGTTCAGTTCGAATGTTATGTGCTCGATGCACGCGTTACGTTCTAGTTTACCAAATCGAACCGTCCTTTTGACCCAGTTGTTATCCTCGGAACAACAATTAGAAGAAAAAATACAAATTCCTTATTACAGATGTTTTGGCCACAAATATAGCAGTATATTTCCACACACCCAATGAATACTAAAACCGATGTAATTGGCGCCAAATATAATTAATCGTGCTTTTCACTACGCAAGCCTTTATTATTGTCAGCTTATTATTCTTTTTTTTTTTTTCAAATTTCACCAAGTCTGTCTTTTGGTGGTTCAATGGGGTCTTACACTTTTACAAATGAAGCACAAGCTATCCGTCGGATATTATATTAAGTCATGTGATCTTAAAAATAATGTACTTATATACGTATATCACGTTATCGTATATGTTGATTATTGGTTTACGCGTGTTGATTTATATTTTCACACGTAAGAAGTATCTCGTGTATATTCCGTGTGAAAATATACTTTTGACGCGTTACCAATATCTCATGATTTTCAACCAGATTGCGCTCATCCAGCCGCGCCGCCTGCATACGGGCATACTTATAGGTTAGATCTGACTTCTTATACAGTAATTGGCGGTAATTTAAGTAGATGGCGGCTAAGTGAATAACTTCATATGTGTTAGCTCCAAAAAAGAATAAAAATTTAAAAGGAAGATAAGGAAATCTAGGCCCTGTTGATTTTTTCCATTGATCTCTTTTTTTTTTCGTTGCTATTGAATAATTTTGGGCTGGGAACCTTATTGATAGAGGTAAAGGTTCTTGTGATTAGTTGAAAAGCCGACTATACGGAATATGAATACAAGGAAGAGGTTTTTGAGGAGTGCCAGGAAGGCCGCTGCGGTTACTGTCAACTATGCGGAACCTGACGATAATGATCTGAGTGCTAATACTTTTGCGAGTGATGATGAGAATGCTGACGTCAGTGTAGACGCTGAGGATACGCCGCCTGTGTGGCTGCGAGATGATGTACGTCCGAATGAGGACGTTCAGCTCGACTCAGACGACGAAAACGGTGGTGATAAAGACGATGATAGGGATCTTGACGATCTTTTACTGAAGGAAAAGGAAAAACACAGGCTGGAAGCACAGACTAAAGAGGAAGATAGTGATGACGAAGTAAATGAGTTGGATAAAGCCAGTGTCACGTCCAAATTAAAGAAACTAGATGAGTTCGTAAAGCAAAGTCAGGTTTACTCAAGTATCATCGCTGATACACTGTTGAAGAGGACTTTAGAGAGAACAGAGGAATCTGATGCGTCAAATAATGACCCTGTGAAAGAACCTCCTGCGAAAAAGGCTAAAAAATCAAAATCTATACTAGATTTTTTTACTAGAAGACAAAATACAGATGACAATAGGGTTGAGGAAATGGCTGTTGATGTTAAGAAGGAAACGGAGGAAGAGCGTATAGCCAAAGAGCAACCATCTTACTTGAAGAATTGTGTCCTAAAGCCTTACCAAATGGAAGGGCTGAATTGGTTAATTACACTTTATGAAAATGGGCTAAACGGTATCCTAGCCGATGAGATGGGTTTGGGTAAGACTATTCAGAGTATCGCTTTATTGTCTTTCATTTATGAAATGGACACAAAAGGCCCCTTCTTAATTGCTGCACCATTAAGCACCGTCGATAATTGGATGAACGAATTCGCAAAATTCGCTCCAGAAATTCCGATTCTTAAATATTATAGTCAAAATGGACAAGATGCAAGACAGAAATTGTTGAAAAAATTCTTCAAAAATAATAATAGGGAAGGTGTTATTGTTACCTCATATGAGATGATAATTAGGGATGCAAATATAATAATGGGTGAACAATGGAAGTTTCTAATTGTAGATGAAGGTCATCGTTTGAAGAATATTAACTGTCGTTTGATACAGGAATTGAAGCGAATCAATACTTCTAACAGACTTTTACTAACAGGTACGCCCTTACAGAATAACTTGTCAGAGTTGTGGTCTCTATTGAACTTTATTCTGCCTGACATTTTTGCTGATTTTGAAATATTCAATAAATGGTTTGATTTCAAAGATCTTGATTTGCAAAGTAATTCTGCTAAATTAAATAAGTTGATTAACGATGAACTAGAAAAAAATTTGATATCCAACCTGCATACAATCTTAAAACCATTTTTGTTAAGAAGATTGAAAAGTGTGGTCTTAAAGGACGTTCTTCCGCCAAAGAGAGAGTACATAGTCAACTGCCCTTTATCACCAATCCAAACAAAGTTTTACAGAATGGCTTTATCTGGAAAGCTTAAGGTGACTGTTTTCAAAGAACTCGTCAAAGCATTTTTCACTCTGAATCAAGAGTACATAGGGACTGTTTCAAATAAATCCATTCGAGACTTCATTGATTATAAATTAAGTGAAGAGCCAGATGAAGACAAAGTAACCGCCGTTATCAAGCAAATGGATGACATATATATGGAACACCTAAACACGTTTACCAAGAATCAGAGACTACAAAATATGATGATGCAGCTACGTCAAGTTGTAGACTCTACTCTACTATTTTTCTTCCCATACATGGAACCTGAGGACATCACATTGGATTATCTGCTTGCATCATCTGGAAAACTACAAATGTTGCAGAAATTGGCAATACCTCTAATAAAAAAAGGTCACAAAATATTGATATTCTCTCAGTTTGTTGGTATGTTAGATTTATTGGAGGATTGGTCTGAACTAAACTCCTTCAATTCATTGAGAATTGATGGTGGTGTTGATAACGAATCAAGGAAAGAATATATCGATGAATTTAACAAAAAAGGTGACGACCATCAAATTTTCTTGCTTTCGACAAGAGCAGCTGGTCTTGGTATTAACCTTGTAGCTGCAGATACTGTGATTATTTTTGATAGTGATTGGAACCCTCAGGTTGATCTCCAAGCAATGGATAGATGTCACAGAATTGGCCAGACAAAACCAGTAATAGTATACAGATTTTGCTGTGACAATACTATTGAGCACGTCATACTAACCAGAGCTGTTAATAAGAGAAAGTTAGAACGAATGGTTATTCAAATGGGTAAGTTCAGTAATTTGAAGAAGTTAGCCTTGAATGAGAGATCTTTCCTCCAACAAAGCACTGGTATGAATCCAAACAAGACCAGCAATAAAGAACTTGTACAGGAACTATCACAGCTTCTAATGAGTAAAGAATCAAGTATTGGATTCGAGACGTCTAAAAAACCCAAACAAGATGATATACTCACTGAAGCTGAATTAAAGGAGTTATCAGATAGATCGCTCAAATTTTACTCACCAGATAGAGAAGTCGAGTTCCCTCATGTAAGGCTATTTGAGACAACATCTGGATTTTAAATATTCTTTTGCGCGTTCCGTCGCGACATATTCACTCACAGAAACGTATTCTGTTAGCGTTTGGCATATTCGTAGATTAATTAGAAACTCTTTATTTATATACATTTCTAATAATAGACACTTGGCATTTTCTATATGATTAATTCGTTAATAGAGCAAACTCTGTAGTCATTAATTTTTAGCTAGCTATAGATGGAGTGGTTTACCATGGTAAACCAGTGTAGTACTCCTTTTGGTTATACATCCAGATCAGAGAAGTCGAAGCAACGATTAATGGACCCATAAAACCCTTGCCCAGTTTACAAGTACGGAAAATCAACAATTCACTACCGAAATGGAACAAAGCAATGATGTAGGAGATAAAGGTCAATTGGTAAATGTGGGGTTCAGTGATGTACAATGCACCATAGAATCTGATAACACAAGAGACAAAGGTCCAAGTACCGAAAGTTCTAGCACTCAGAGATGTTGTCTCAGAAGGTTTGTTTTCGTAGACTCTACGAGTTAGTTCAAGACCAGAAATGTATGTTTGAACAGAGTTAAATACCGACACAATGGAAATAAATAATAACCATTTTGGCAAGTAGCCAGGAGCCATGTTGGTGACAGCACTATGTACACCACCGGTCAATTGTTGTAAACTTAGCATATTTTTTTTAATTGTATAACCTTACTGATATTTAACCACTTCTGTTAAATTAAGTCAATGGAGGCATTAGAAATGCTAACGAAAATTTGCAATTGTCCTCTATTTATACCAATTGCCATTGTTTCTGAAAACATTTCGCATTGCTGGTCCCCCTAAAAAACTTTTGAATCAGCTGATAAATTTTTCGGCTTCATCGTTTAATTTGTTACCAAAGAGAATTGTTGTTTCTAAGGAAATTTGACAGTTTGTTCATATAGCTCACTGTTGAACTAGAGCCACCTGATCTTTCTGTACTTTATAAGTAGTTCTCGTTTCCGTGCAGCTAATAGACCAGCTAGAATTTGTTTTCGTTTTTGTTGCATTATCGCTACAGTTGACTGTGACATGCGTTCCTGATCAGTTTTCTTATTAAATCTCAACTTTTTATATAAACACAATAAAAACATGACTGTCTTATCCACGCACTTTAGGAACAGTTTGTAAGAATGGTTGTATTTTCCGAAGTTCTTCTTATATAGAGCAGCATAGATCCTCTTATCCTTACATTCTCGAGTTTCAGAGCTAATTCTGGCATATGCAGTTTTGCTTTTGGTATTATGACATTTCAAAAGACTGACAAAGCTTTCTAGCAAAGTAACCAGGTTTATCATTAGAGCCTCCACATTTGTATTAGTTATAAAAACTGTTGTTCTAGTGGTTATCATTGTGTTGATGATTGTGGATACAGTTTGGATGAATGATTTCTGTAGTGAAGTGACACAAACATTTAAAAAAAGCATATTGTTCTGTACTCTAATAATTAGACTCTTGTTCAAATAGCCTGGACAATTGGTAATTAATGCAGTTAGTTCTTGCTTAATGAACTTGAAAATGAGTCCATCAATCAAATGCCTTTTGATCGGATTCGGAATACCTTTATTTGTAACGTGATAATTGGTAGCAAGTCCAAAATAACTTATAATAATCAGTTCATAACATCTAAACGATATGGTAGCTGCTTCCGTAGTGATAGTTGGCCTAGTGCATGGCTGTTGATTCAAATAAAACAATAAAAACCGGTAATTACCGTAGTAATGGAGTAATAATCGCTGGTGTGTACAATCTTCCAATAGGTGAATAAGTAGAGTTCGGTTGTTCAAAAGTATGTCACAGCAATAAAGACTGTTCTCCCAGTTTTTCCTTCTTGCCCACATAAGGTTGAATATATTAATCAACTCCTCTTGCTTGTCATTTTTCGATAATTCGCTTGGTAGATGGCGCCTAAGATCACAGTACTGAAGCTCATCTTCATTAAACGAAGATATATCAGTTAGAAGGGGAATGTACACTCTATTTTGCTTACTAATTGTTCTGAGTTTGTATTTTACCAAAGCTATGCATATGACCCAGTCGGCTTCAGAGAGATTCATGTCCAATTTCAGTAAAGAACTTGAGAGCAAAATGAGACTGTTTCTTAGTAGTATATTGTATAAAGTATTGAAAGTTATAGGTGATGCTTTTTATGTCCTTAATTACAGTTTAGTATAGACTTCAAATACGTAGTGAGTTGTAATTTTTTTTTGCCGCTGCAGTCCAAAAACAGATTCCCAACGACTACCTTTACTGACCAAAATATTAAATTCAGAGAATTCACATAAATAATCGTGATAATTACTAAATCAGATAAGATTTACTATGAATTTATATATAATAGACACATTTTATATTGTTACTTAATCAATTAGAATATTGAATTAGTAAATGCATGGAATAATTGATTTCGAAGAGTTAAGATCCTATGAAAAAAGAACCAATAACAATTCCTGGAATGTATACTGTGAAGGTCCAGCCTTCCTAATGAATGTATGAGATCAGCAGATAATTAGTTATCATTATTGTTTCAAACTCCTGAAGAACCAAACTTAGCGGCCCATTCTTCATATTTTTCCAAACCTTCTTGAGAGACAGAAGGCTTTATGTACTCCAAACTGTTTTTGAAATCTTTCACCTCCAAAGGTCTGATACTCTCCCTTGTAGTTTCTAACAGCTTGTCACCAAGTTCACGAAGTGGTCCCATCGCAGCGTCTTTAGCCAATGAAGTAATATCACTACCAGAATAACCCTCAGTGAGATTTAATAGCTCAGCAAAAGCAGCGTCATCTAGATTATGTTTTTGATGAGATAAAAGCTTTTTCAATTGTACCATTCTGGTTTCTGGTTCGGGAAGGGGAATGTATTGTCTTCTAACAAATCTTCTTCTTGCTGCTTCATCAATACTCCAAGGAAGATTCGTTGCTGCAAGGACCAATACACGCCCATCATCTCCGTCTTCTCGATTGTTTCCAGCAGCAGCACTACTTAGCGAAGACCACTGAATTAAAAACTCGTTTTTTATTCTTCTGCTAGATTCATTTTCACCATCAGAATTTCTGCTACCCATGATAGAATCGATTTCATCAACAAATATAATTGATGGTGATAACTTCTTTGCAATGGCAAACAGAGCTCTAACCAATTTTTCACTCTCACCTAAATATTTGGATGTTAAACTCGAAGCACTAATGGAAAAAAAAGTAGAATGAGACTCCGTTGCAACTGCTCTTGCCAACATGGTTTTACCTGTACCTGGCGGACCAAAAAGCAGCATACCTCGGACTGGTTCACGTAATCCCAAAAATAAATCAGGTCTCAAGAAGGGGTAAACAACAGCTTCTTTTAATGAAAACTTTGCATTCTCTAAACCAGCAATGTCTTCCCAATGCACTTCATCCCCGTGTACAACAATTTCTGAAAAAATCTGCTTTGCAGCTGTTCTATCAACACCAGGCAGACTATTTATGATTTCATCTTCCAAAGCTTCCTTTAATTTTGCTTCATCAGCCTCCCCATCTGGTGCTTGTTTGATATTGGTATCAGGATCACCTTTTTTGTCCTCAAGGGCATCCACTTTTTTGACAACTTTCTTAGCTTGTGTGGGCTTGATTGGCTTTTTCGAAGTTACCACACCTTTAGTAGGTCTTGTGCTTCCGTTAATCTTCACGCTAGTAGGTTTTTGTTGTGCAGGCTTTTTTATTACCGTTTTCCGCAACACTGGTTTTACATTCTTGACTGCCTTCGATGATGTAGAAAGTTGAGTGTCTGATGTTTTCTTAATCACGGGAACAGACTTGGTAGGGTTTAAATTTGATGGCCTAGACATTGTTTTCTGGTCATTTACAGAACTTGAAAAATTAGCCTTAGTCCTATTCGGTTTAGGAATGCCAGTCGCACCTTTTTTGGCATAAACCATTTTGGCTGCAGCGGCAGCTGAAATTGGTTTAGTTGCAGGTATAACAATTTTTGCAGGAACTTCTTTTTTGGTGTTATTGCTAGATATCTTCTGAACTGGCTTACTTAATGAGGTCAATGATCCTGTCTTTCTACTCTTTTTTTCAGTTGGATTCGTTGCAGTTTTTTTCAAATTTATATCAGATAAATCCTTTCCCGTTTCATTACCCAGTAAAGTTGGTGCAGATTTGTTGATTTTGGATAATTCTGCTCTTTTTGTAGACCAAAATCTTTTATCATCCTGTATATCAAGAGGGGGAAGTGGTGGTAACGGTGGCGGCACTATCGGTACAGATATATCCTCGTCGCTCGCATTAGATTTGCAGGATGCACTTGATGTAGATATAGATGAATTTGTCTCGATCTTTTGCTCACCCATTAATTTGTCTAGTGCTTGTGATCTCGCTTGTTTCTCCTGTTCTGAGTCAACGGAAGAGTCATCATCAGTATTATCCGAGTAATCATCCGCAAAATAATCATCAACATCGAATTCGAAATCCTCATCACCATTAAAACTTGTAAAACGCTTTGAAATTCTATTTAAATCGGCTATGTTTTCACTGACAACCTTTTTAGACTTTTGAATTGCAACGGGGCTAGTAAATTTCTGGTCTTCGTCACTATTTAAGTCAATCAAATCTTCAATAGGATCGTCAAATTCATTATCCTGATAAGCAGTATCATCAAAGTCATCAAAGAAATCAGCTGTGGTACTCTTATGATCATTTAATTTAGGTTGTCCTAATGGTTTAGAAGTAGCAAAAAACACCTTAGGCTCTCTGTAGCCTGCATCTTTCAAAGAATTATTGTCGCCCCCAGAGAAAGCAAGTCTATTTGCTGTCCTATTGCTCTTCTTTGGTGCAGTATAATGTACATTATCTCGCAGTGTCGTATTCATCTTTCTGCCTTTATTATCACTTGAAAACGATATAATGGAGCCTGATGTATTATGAGTTTTGAGCGGTTTAACCGGTGAATTTATCCTAGTACCTTTTGATACCTGGGAATAAGATAGATTTCCCATATTGTCTTGTTGCGAACCATACTGCTCATTTAGTTCTTTTACTCTATCTAGATGCAACATGCTCTTCTGATATAGTTCGTTTATGCCAGTTTGGAGACTAATTTCCTCTGGGGTATATCTATCTGCATGTGGATACTGTCTCTCAATCATTGTCAATTGAAACATGACATTAGTAGTCATAGCTTTCCATCCCTGGACTGCCTGTTTGTACCTCCCCTTCTCCTCTAGCTTGAGAAACAAGATACTTTCATTGGCTATTTTGGAATAAAGCTCTGAGAGATCAGTTAAAGGTTGTTGCGGCCTCCTGCCAAGACTGGCAAGTTTACCAAACAATGATTTATTTGTAGTGCCTTCCATCTAGCAACATGAATATGAAGATAAAAAAATACTCTTTATTAATTATTAGGATTATAGGAATCTCTGTTTTCGAAATTCCAAATGCAAAATGATGTGGCTGTTATTCTATATGTAAAAGTGGCAACAAACAGAGTGTATATCAGATCTATTGGTAATGTCCTTGAAGTCACTGGTGTTAGTTATTTCTAGTTTTTGATCCTCCTTTGAAAAGCTCCCAAATGAAAAGAAGGAAAGAAAATTAGTGTGGGATCCAAATGCCTATTTTATTATGATTATTTGCCCAGTTTTTAAAGTGTTACTGAAGTCGTCTCTATGTGTAGATCAAGAAATATGAGACTATTTGCCATCTTTCTTGTGGATGCCGGTAGGGAGTTTCCGCAGTGAATTCGCGATGGCCCATCAAATTTTCAGACAAAGTAAGAAAACCGGTGATTTCGCAGTAGTAGGCGTTTTCTAATAATAAAACAATATAACAATCTGGCACAAAAAATGCACATCTAATAAAGTTTATCAGAACATTAACGTTATTAATACATTAGGCTATTTACTTAGTAGCTACTATACAGAACTTTTGAGCTTGGAAGAAAACGAATCGCTGAGTAAGTGCAAAAATGTGTTGACATGTCTCAAGGTTTGGAGCCGTGTTTTTGCTTCTCACCAAGGATAAATTCTTCAAATACCTTGGCTTCTTCTGCTTCTTCTGGAGATCTCTTTGCACTTGCAAATCTTGACGCAATGAACAATAGACCCTTAGCTCTTTCACGACGTTCGCTAGATGACACTGATTTATCCGATAGGACAGTGTTACATACATCTTTCAATTTTCTTTCCAATTCGAATTTGTTCATGGCCCACATGACACCCAAGGCCTTACCTGCCATCTCATTTTCGAACTTGGCTCTCTCATACTGATCAAGTTGATCCTCATCCACTTTACTCATCTGTTCCATGGCTTTTTGTGCTTCCATACCAGTTGACAATAAATTATAGGCCGACTTTACGGTACGTGCGTTATCCCTAGTACTTGTGAAAATCTTGGAGAAACCGAATGTCTTCTTAGCCATTAAGTAGTTATTGGCTTTCGTCTTGTACACCCTTGCAATCAAGTAGAGTAACTCAAGACCAAAACTTTCCAATTTCAATTCTTCTACTTCCTGATCCAGTTTCCTGTTGAAGTCATCAAGGTGTCCACCTTTGACAGCCAAATTGTATTGTAATAGTTTTTCCTTCAACTTACGAGCCAACTCCTCGACTTGCTTTGCGACTTCCTCCCGTCTCTTCTTCTCCATCTCCCACAACTTCTCCCTTTGTTCTTTGGTCATCTTCCCACTCTTGTCCTTGGCATCTGTCTTCCCATCATGCTTGACCATGCCGGCTTCAGAAGTTGTAGCGGCAGCAGTAGCGTCAGTAGTGGCATCCTCAGACATCATGTCAGTAGCCTCGTTCAGCTCCTTGAACAAAGAGAAATCACCAATCCAGTCCTTGAAACCATCACCACCAAAAATCGCGGTGAAATACTCCTCAGCGTCCTCGAAACCTTGCTGAGGCACTGCATTGTCTTTACCAAATTCATCATACTGCTTCCGCAATGCAGGATCGTTCAAAACCTGGTACGCTTCACCTACCGCCTGGAATTTAGCCTGCGCTTCAGGATCATCAGGGTGCTTATCCGGATGCGTCAACATCGCCATCTTACGGTACGCCTTCTTGATCTCAGAAGGCGTAGCCTCAGGGGATATCCCCAACACATCATAAAACTCAGTATCCTTGACCATGGCCGCTCTGGTGTTCTTTCACCTGAACTAGTAATCGAGTTTCAAATAGTTACTCTGTTCTATATATTGATTCCAGCTATTATTGGGCATCGGCTTAGCCTGCGGTGGTGTGGACAAGGCAAGATTCGCTTTTTTCCCCTTTTGGGACATGGATGTTCGTGCAGCTGTTTCTGAGTGACAAGCTCCAGAGTTAATTTTTTTTTTCAAGTTTTGATGTGTACAAAACTGCAGATTCTTTTCCCCGTCAACAAGAACTTCTTATGGTTCTATAGTGTAGTGGTTATCACTTTCGGTTTTGATCCGAACAACCCCGGTTCGAATCCGGGTAGGACCTATTATATTTTTTTTCAATTCACCATCTTTTCAAATATTGTTCTGCGTATGCTATACCTCTCTATAAACATGTGGCATATAGGTGAATACCGCTCCTTGAAGTATCTATACAACATTTTTATTTTTACTTTGATGGCAATGTATCGTTATGCAGTTGAAATGCTGTGCTTCTTTGAAATGTAGTCTACATGTTGTTACTGAACTGTGGATCACGAGGAATACGTCATAACGATTGGGGGTGTGTGTGTGTGTGCAGATGTTGACCCGGTTCTGGATTTTTTGGTTCTTGGTGATTACTAACATGACTTATATATAATGGAGATGTAGTCCTGTGTCAAGTCATCGGGTTCCCATTTTAGACTAGCGGAACAAGACACAACACACTATGGTAGCCAGACAGCAGGTATTGCAGCTTTACAAGCAGATAATCAAGAACGCCAACCAGTTCAGTAACTACAACTTCCGGGAGTACTTCCTGAGGAAGGCCAGGACAGAGTTCAAGGCGAACAAGGCTCTGACGGACGCAGCTAAGATAGAGTCCCTATTCCAAGGCGCGCAGCGCGACCTCGGCGTGTTGAAGAGACAGTCCATTATATCACAGATGTACACCTTTGACAAGCTGGTGGTGGAGCCAGTGGAGCCAGTGGAGCCAGTGGAGCCAGTGGAGCCAGTGGAGCCCGTGGAGCCAAAGCAGTAATCCACTGGAAAACGTCCACAGAAAATAACAAACCCTTTTGCATACTTATATATCTGTATATAAACCTCTAATATCTCTCCAATATAATGAAATGTTAAAATGAAGCAGGCTATATGCCCTGGATCAGTGTATGTCTATTATTCAGCAACTCTCTCAGAGGATTACCGCAGGGACGCTATGACTGGTGAAAAATTTTGATAAAAATGAAAAAAATAAAAAATTTTCTAGCTCATCGCACAGCTCATCGCTAGGAAATATAGTAGTTTACCATTTATAAATTGAATCATTGATTGATCTTAAGTTTCTTTCACCCAAGTTCCCTAACTACACAAGAACAGGAAAGATATTATAATCCCAGAATGAAGAGAAAGGCTGAAGCTCAAGAGAACGGTAACAAGCAACTTGACTTGGAAGAGGACAAAGTTAAAGGTCTTTTCAACCAAAAGCTATGGACTCCAGAGTTCAGAGAAGGTTTGAAGAACCAGATTGACTCCTCAGCTCCTTATAACTGGGGTAACATCAGTGGTTTGGTTAACGATGATCTGTTGCGTGCTGTGCGTAAGGAAATTGAAACTGAAATCCACTTCACCAAGAAGGAAACTGATATTTACAAAGTCAACCAAAGTGGTGACTTAGCTAACTTGTCAGGCCTAAACTGGGATGACTTGTCCAGATTGCCAAATATGTACAAGTTGCGTCAAATTCTATACTCGGATGTCTACAGAGACTTGATCGGTTACGTTACTGGTGCTGGTAAACTATCCGGTTCCAAGATGGATATGAGTGTCAACACTTACACTAAGGGTTGTCACTTGTTGACTCACGACGATGTCATCGGTTCCAGACGTATCAGTTTCATCTTGTACTTGCCAGACCCAGACAGAAAGTGGAAGCCACAATATGGTGGTGGTTTGAGATTGTTCTCAAGTATCTTGCCAAACATCCCAGAGACCGACCCATGTGCTAAGTTCGTTCCTCAATTCAACGAGATCGCTTTCTTCAAGGTCTTGCCTGGTTTCTCTTTCCACGATGTTGAAGAAGTCAAGGTTGACAAGCACAGATTGTCCATTCAAGGTTGGTACCATTTCCCACAACCAGGTGAGCCTGGTTACACTCCAGGTCAAGAGGAAGCATGGGTTAAGAACAATACCTCCACTTTGACTCAATTGGAAACTAACGTCCTACAAGATTTTGAATATCCAAAACAAGAGAGGGATATTCTACCATACCATCAAGTCAAGCACTTCGAGAAGGTATTATATGCCGCTGATGGTAAAAAGATTGATGAAGACGAAGTCAAGAGTGTCGTTCAAGATACTGACAGCTTGTCTGAGAAGGAATACAAGTACTTGTCTCAATACATCTCTGCAGAACACTTGACTAAGGAAGGTATCAAGAAATTACAAGAACAATTCTTGGAAAACTCTACTTTACAAATCAAGGACTTCTTGAATGAAGAAGTTTCTGAGCTACTGAAGAAGATGATCAAGACCGAGGAATTGGAAAAGGCTTGTCCATATATGGCCAAGGATGTCGAAACTCCATGGCAAACAGCTATGCCATCCCACAAGTGGAGATACATGTACATTGATGGTAAGAACCCACGTAAGCTATTGAAGGCCTCTGACATCATGGAAGCTTTGAACAACGAAGAACTACCAAACTTCGAGCTGCTAAGAGAAACCTTACCAAAGGACGGTTCTGTAGACGTTGAACTAAAATTGATTGACCTTGCTATCTTCTATAAGAGTACTATTTTCAAGAAGTATTTGGCTCTATTAACTGCTCTTTGTCCATTGAGTGAGCAAATCCTAATTAGAAGATTCAGACCTGGTAATGATTTCACCTTGGCTACCCAATGCCGTTTGAATGAGTTCCTACAAGACGTCGAAGGTATCCTACCATCTATCTTGGTAGGTAACCTATGTTTGACTCCAAGCAGTGGCTGGGAATCCGGTGAAGTTGGTGGTTATGAACTATACATGATGGATGACGAAAACACAGAAGAAGAAGAAAGAATGCACAAGGATGTTGAAGATGCCTCCGTCTACCGTACCGATGACAATGGTGATTCTGTTCTTGTGAACAACCCACCAAGCTGGAATACTTTCAACCTAGTTCTAAGAGACCAATCTGTTCTAGAATTTGTCAAGTACGTCAGTTGCGCTGCCAAGTCCAGCAGATGGGATGTTAAGATGGAATGGGATGTCAAATATGTTGGTGAAGACAACGAATAAATGCCTTAATTTCACATTTCCATTTGATGATCTTACATTTTTATTTGTTTTTATGACTATAAGCTCCAGTTTGTTACGACATGATTTATATTTTTATAGAGAGAGAAAACCTTATATATTTAGCCACAGACATTCTCGAACATAGATAGTCTTTATTTTAGAGTATAATCTCCATATTGCTAATTTATCGAATGCTACAACACATAAAGATAGTAATTAATAATGATTAAAGCCTTTGTATTATATTTACATGAACCATAGATTTTATTATAGAATATACATGACATGTTTTTAGTTCCAGTTCACTCCAAAAAGTTTGTAAACCTGTGAGTCTTAGACATCAGACCAATGGCTTGACATCTTCTAATGGCCTTTGCCATACGACGCTGGTTCTTCGCTGATAGACCAGTGACATCTCTGTGCAATATTTTACCTGTAGAACCGACATAGTATGATAAAATCTCGGGACGTGCATAAAAGTTCAATGGATTTAACCCGTACTTCTCAAACAAGTCATGATGCTGAATCTTGGGACGGTTCATCTTCCTATCCAGGTTTAGCCTTGACAGCGAGAAATCGAATGGATCGTAAACTGCAGACCTTTGAAACTGAGGCACAAAGTTGGCATTAATGGTCTTAATATTCTCCCTGCTGCCTTCAAAATCAACATCTATAACAGACTTTTTCTTAGGTCTCATATCAACTATACCACGCTTCTGCACCATACGCAACCCCATTGCAACATTAGCACTCTCAATACCACAAATTCTTCCAACCATGAACATCCCTGACACCGTTCTCTACCTAGTCACTTGCAACTCTTCACCTTCAAAACAACAATGCCAAATGTAAACCACCAACCGGTACACTAGCCTGATAGTTTAATATGTAACAATAGCAGTCTGAATGTCCTTCTTGTAGCTAATAAATTACTGTTTCTCGACCATCTTGCCGATTATTCATTTGGCTACAACTTCTTGGAATTTTTCAGCTTCGGGGCCAAAGTTTGCACTTAGCACCAAATGACAGGAAAAAGCGATGAGCTTTGCCTAGTAGTACGCAATGAATCATCACGACTAGGACTGAAGTTTTATGAAGAGGAATTGCTACATATTGAAGTTTGCCATATAGCTAGTCAAATAAATAAATTTGGGCCGATTACGAAGCTTTGAGTGATCAAATGGCGGTTAAAATTGAACAAGCTCTCGGTGAGAAAAGGTCATTGAATGACAATGACGAGGTTCCAAGGAAGAAACGGTATAACTTCAGGAAGAAGGTAGAGCTGGATTACTCTGCGTTGAATGAAGGTGAGGATAAGAAATCTAAGTTTTTCCACCCTCACATAGCCCTCTTTGAGAAGGAATTTGAGAAATGTTTATCGAATGTCACAGAGGACATGTCTATGACATGCTCAGAGTATTGCAAGAGGTTTGATGATATTGACTTCCCATTAAAGATATCTGATCCGGAGAACTCTGGAATGGTGGTTTCGACTAATAATAAGACTACGAGGGACCTAACAGTTGATGATATCACTCAAGCTGTTGGTGATGACTACTTCGTTAATGTGATGGATGTGCAATCACAAGAGAATGAACGGTGGAGTCTGAGGGAATGGTGCAATTATTTCAATAAACCAGCAGAGGAGAAGGATAGAATAAGAAATGTTATATCTTTAGAAGTTTCCCATGTTGAAGATTTACAATATGACAGGCCAGACATTGTAGATGATAAAGATTTGGTTGACATTGTATGGAATAATGTTGAGAATCTTGATACCGAGAATGACCCAAGACCAAAAGTGACCAAGTACTGTCTAATGTCAGTAAAAAACGCATTTACAGATTACCATCTAGACTTTGCTGGAACGTCGGTATATTATAATCTTGCCTTCGGAAAGAAGAAATTCATACTTTACCCACCTACTCCAGAGAATATCGAAAATTATATCGAATGGTCTACAAGCACTTATCAGAATATGCTGTTCCTGGGTGAAAAACTTACAGGTGGTGTGGCTATGGAATTGAATGGTGGTGATCTTTTCATGATACCATCAGGCTATATACATGTAGTGTATACCCCTGAGGATTCACTAATATTTGGTGGTAACTACCTTACTTTCCGAGATATATCACAGCAACTTAAAATTGTGGATGTGGAAAAACAAACCGGTGTGACGAAGAGATACACTTTCCCGATGTTTGATGAAGTCATGGGCAGGACCTGTGAATGGCTCTGCCAAAACCAAAAAAAGGGCAAGCAAATGCAAGTTAAGAAGGAAACTGTTAACGATTTAATCAGTTATATGAAGTCAGGTAAAACTAAATATAAGCCTACCAATTTTATAAATAAGAAGCAAATGCTTCAAGAGCTAAGTAACTTGTATCTATAATAATAACGAAGTACCAAATATCAACTTGAAGGCATTATTGTCATTAATATATCCTGAAAAAATATATACATTACCTAGTTGTATAAATTAAACATGCAGATTGTAGTTCTAGTTGTCTTTCAAAAAATAATTAGGCCATTGATGATAGCCTGAGAATATAAATGGCGGCAATATAGGTCATCTACAAGTTCAACCTCTTGATTTGTTCAAGTCTTTCATCGACCGCCTTCTCAAATTGTTCAGAGCCAGATCCATTTTCTGGGAGTTCGTCTAGTAGTTTCTTGTGAATGGATTGAAGGGCTTTTATGGAGTCCATTTCATCAATAACACAGGAGATGTTAATCTCGTTGGCACCTTGAGAAATCATTTCGATGTTGATACCTTGCTCTGCCAGAGTGGTAAACATGGTACCGGCGATACCAATGAATTGTTTCATTTGCTTACCGACCAAGGAAACGATGGACATCTTCTTGATGATATCGACTGAACCCAAGGGCTTCAATTTCTCAACTGCGGATCTCAGAGCCTTCATCGAGTCACTATCAGGGATTGGAAGAGCCATAGAGACGTGAACTTCTGAGGTGGAAATCAAATCGACAACTAGCTTGTACTTATCCAGAACGGTAAATATCTGAGCTAGGAAACCGTGAGACAGAGTCTTCTTGTTGGAGTGAACATTCAGCACGACGATATCGTTCTTAGTAGTGATAGCGGTAGCACCTCTTCTCTTCTTTTCGAAGAAAGTGGAGCTCAAGGCCTCAGGTGGATGTGGTGGAGTGGACTCACCTTTCTTGGCCACATTGTCTGGATAAATGATTGTACCGTTGCCCTTTGGATTCTGGACGTTCTTGATTCTGATAGGAATCTTAGCTCTTATGACTTGCTCCATGGTGAATGGGTGAATGACTTCGGAACCGTAGTAGGTCAATTCTGAGGCCTCTTCAGGCGTGACACTGTCCAGTAGACGAGCCTGAGGGACTTTACGTGGATCGGCGGTGAAGATACCATCGACTTCTTTCCATACTTGCAATTCGTCTGCGTTCAAGGCGACGGCGATCAAAGCCGCACACAAGTCAGTGTAACCACGACCGACACCATTCAGCAGACCCATTGGGATGAAACCGAAGAAACCGGTGAATACTGGCACGATTCTCTCCTTGGAGTTTACGAATGGTTCCAGTTTTTCCTTCAGGGCCTGGACCAGGAAAGTGTAGAAACTGGTATCTAGTGTAGTAGTTTGATAATCTGATGGGACCACGTTGGAAAGGTCGACATACTTGGCTTTGCACCCACGGTCGTTGCAAAGCGCGGTGATGAACAGACAACTCAACTTCTCACCACAGGACATCACCAGGTCGATGGTTCTATTGCTGACCTCACCCAACACCTTCGAGGCGGACAGGTACTTATCCACTAGGGCCAGCTCTTTGTTAGTGTCGTCGATCAACTTGGCGACTAAAGGAGAGTCCTCCAGAAACCTCTCGGCGTTGCTGACGTGATCCTGCCTTATGGTCTCGATAATGTCGCTGTACTCCTGGTCCTGAGATGCCAGATCACAACACTTCAGCAGCCTAGAAGTGGTACCTTCCTGCTTGGTATAGGAGGACCTCGCGGAACACACAACGGCGACATCGTTATCAAACCCACCGTCCTGTTTGGAAGAAGAGTAGTACTTGACTATCTCGTCCACGATCTGCACAGGGAATTTACCGACAGAAGTACCACCGAACTTCTGCACAACCCAATTAGATGTAGCACTTGTACTGTAAGCCATTTGTAGTTAACCTTGAAGTATGTTTTTTTTTTTTTTCACACAGTTTTTTTATCTATTAACTGACCTGTTTTGTGTGCTAATTGCGTGCTAATTGCGTGCTAATTGTGTGCTAACTGCGTGCCAGTATACTTCCTGCTTATATGAAACTGCAAGCGTCTGTTCACCTTACGCAATGTCGAAACTACCGAGACTCGATGAGCCCGTTTATATACTTCCCCAGTTGAAAGCTTCGAGAAGTTTTTTGAAAAATTGGCTTCCCACCACCGTTTTCACCAAAACCAAGGTTAAACCAGAAAAACCCACAGAAAGTGGCGTACAGATGAAAAGCCCTAAGTTTTTCATTCTTACCACCTCAGCCAAATAAGGAAAAGACCACCGGATGAGTCATTATCACTTTGTACTACATAGTAACCGCCATTTTGGGAGGGTAATAGTCTGTCTATAAGGCATAGTGTTGTGGTGTGTGTGCTGTTTATTGTAGTGTGCAGTAGAGATATTTGCCGATTTTGAATATTTACTTTATTTACTTTACTTGAGAGCGTTTGCGAAGGGGTTTCTGAAGCCGTCCATGACCAGGTCCACGCAGTAGTTCTTGCCGCAGTTGTTGTCCCAGAACTCTAGTCTCTGGGTGTCGTCTCTTGTGGTGTACTGTATGCAGAACTCGAGGCTGGCTTTGCCCTCCCACTTGGTGGCGTCGTCGATGACAAAGTGGAAGACGTCCATGGCGGCGCCGCCGGGCACCAGTCCCTGTGCGCTGCTGACCCACACGCCTTCCACGTCCTGGACGTTCCGCCAGCGGTCCCAGGTGTACCGTATCAGCACCCTCTTGTCGAAGAATATGTTCTTGACGAGCACACGCCCGCTCAGCAAACGTGTGTTTATCGGAGTGCCTATGTCCACACCACTGCCGGGGCTGTAGAATGCCCTCTCCCTGTGAATATGCAGCGACAACTCCTGCAAGAACACCTCCTTCCCTTGCGAGAGGTTGATGAAGATGTTCAACTTCAGGCTCTTCGGGTTCTTGTTACTCAGGATAGGGAAATTCTCGTTGTATAGCCCCACAACCCGTTGCTGCTGCTTCCCAGAGTACGACCCGTTGAACATGGAACCACCATTGGACACCGAGGCTCCGCTGTCCGTTCTATAGTTGCTGTATGGTGTGTTCCCTTGGTTTGCGGCCGTGCCCATGTCTCTGAGCGAGGTGCTACTGGAGTTCGCTGAAGATGGTGTGGAGTTCGGATTAGACACATTCTCCTTGTTGTTTTCGTTATCTTTATCTTTCTTCTTGATCGCATGAAACCGTTTACTCTTCCTTAGCTTCGGACCAGCGTTGCCTTGGCCACCTGCAGCAATGGTAGAGTCATACCCTTCGTCCACCCTCTTGGACTCGAGCTCGAGCGCACGCAGCCTCTCCTTGGTCTTGTCGTCTAGCGACATTTCCTGCATCATGGCCGACAATCCTCCTGCCCTACCGGCTTTTCTTCTATCTTCTATACCGTACTCATTCAGGTACGCGCCGTATTGCTGGTATATGTCCGCGTTTGAGACGTCGATGGGCCTCTCGTTCTCGTTGAAGTAGCGCACAGGCGCCGTCTGGTCGAAGTGCACACTCTTGCTTCTCATCAGCTTGTTCGGAGGACTGGCGCCGTGCATTGAGGTGTTGAGGCCCGGGGTACCCGGCAGCGACTTAGACCTCCTCTTCAGCACGCTCTTCACCGGCTCACCGGACTTCTTATACACAGGAGGTGAGAATGGTGCGAGGTCGTTGCTGCTGTTGTCGCTGTCCAGGGTGTTGTCGAGCATGTTCGTGTCCAGCTCGGGGAGCGTAGACTTCGGCGAGAGCGGTATGAGGTCGTCTCGCGCCTGCTGGCGCTCTGAGGCCCCGCCGTCGCCGGGCCCTTGGCTGTACTCCCTGTAGTTCGAGTCCACCTGGTGCAGGTTCTTGTTCAGCTGGGTGTTCCTGAGCAGCTCCTCCTCGGGGAACCTGTCCTTGTTGAGCTGCGAGACCCGCTGCGGCTTGTGCAGAAACTGCAAGGACGTGAGCTTCCCGGACCCGCCCACTATGGCACCGTTCATTTTCCCGGCGTACACGTTCGCGGTGTGCTTCTCCCTCGGGCTCTTCTCCTGCAGCGGCACAGCACCCGCCCTTATATAAGTCATCTGTCCAGTCGAAAGAAAATTGTATGTTCGAGATTTGTGGTCTTATGTGTTGGGGATGTCGTCAATGCCAAACAATGGGAGTGAGCGACTTTTTATATAATCCCAGCGGAGGTGCAGCGAAACCCCTTTCGGTTTAGAAGGTCCCCCCTTGCCATGATCAACGAACCCGGGGGTGAAGTGATAAAAGCTGGGGGTAGGGAAGGAGTAACCGCAATCCTAGCATCCATATATAACCAGGACCAGACAATGAGCCGAGCCAGTAAGATAACCTTTGGCGTTTCATGCGCGGTGACGCTAGCGACCATCATCGGCGTGCACTATGTGCAGGAGCTGGAGCGGGAGACGCTGCACCAGGGGCCCATCAAGGACGCGAAGCGTGTTGCTGAGAAGAAGAAGCTAATGCCTGCGGGCACGGACGAGAAGAAGCTGCTGAACAGGAGCGAGCACGAGCTGCAGCAGGAGCTCCGAAAGAAGTACGAGTCCATGCAGCCTCTGAGCGGCGAGGTCGTCACCCAGGATGGCGAGCGTGTCAAGTGAAGTTACACGTAAATAGTCAAAGAATAACCTGTATTTAGGGTGTGTAAATAGTGGCAATACATATATGAAGCAATCCCAGAAGTATTTCTGAGAGTTAGAGTGAGAGTGAGGATCAGAATGAGAATGGAATCATTGGCGTATAACTGTCACTATACACAAACGTGTCATATGACACGTTTGTGTATAGTGATAACATAAAATTCCCGCGGATCCGTACAACGGTACACGTTCCTAGTGATTTACGGTAATTCTTTGGGTTTTCCCTCCTCCTCCCCTTCGCAGATTTATAGTGGGGGGATGTGTGTGCGTGAGTTTCTTAGCAAATTTCTTATAAAAATTGCTTTTTTTTTATTAAATTGCTTTTTTTCTTCTCTTCTCTAAATTCTACACAGAAATAGATCTCTTCAGATCTCTCTATTTCTCTCGTCAGCAACTCAGAAACACGCGAACAATGGGGAGATGAATGCAGAAAAAAAGCAATGTGGGTTCTGCTGTAAGAACCGGCGCGGGGCTCCCGATGGTAAAGGGGTCTGCGGTGGTTTCAGTTGGTCATCACGTAGTAAGCAGAGAAGTCTGTGCAGAGTGGAAGCATGACAAGCATTGGTTGGCATTGGATGGCACTGGATAGCACTGGATGGCATCACAACTTCTCGAGACTTCTCCTTGTCTAACCCAATTTAAAATATAACTTGTAATTAAACTACTTAGACTCCTTCGTCGCGACTGGAATATATAAAGGAATGGGTTGTGGATTTGTTAACGTGCCCCCCCCAATTGAAAGAATGTTAAAAGTTGTAAATGTAGAAAATAGATATAACATCCCCATATACACATACACATACACATACACATACAGATATATACCAATATCACGATGTCTTACGAGGATAAGAAGGATCTCTATGATATGGAGATGCAGGTGGAGTCGTCAGCCAACAGCCATGTTGAGACTGACGGCTACAACGATGCCACTGTGCTGGAGACGAAGCTGTCTCTGCTGAACAGGCTGGCTGCGATGATCAGTGCCGAGACGAAAGGTATCGAGCCTATCACGGACGATGAGAAGAACGACGACTCGCTGATCAATGCTGCGTCGATGTGGTTCTCTGCCAACATGGTCTTGCCTGCGCTGGCCATCGGTGGTCTGGGTCCGCTGGTGTTCGGGCTGAACTTCGGTGTCTCTGTGCTCACAATCGTGTTCTTCAACATCCTGGGTCTGTTCGCCGTGGCGTTCTTCTCTGTGTTCGGTGCCAAGTTCGGCCTGAGACAGATGGTGCTGTCCCGTTACTTGGTCGGGAACATCACTGCCAGAATCTTCGCGTTGATCAACTCCGTTGCCTGTGTCGGCTGGGGTATTGTGAACACTGTCGCCGCATCCCAACTGCTGAACGAAATCAACCCGGGCTCCCACCAGCTGCCGCTGTGGGGTGGCTGTCTGGTCATCATCGGTGCCACCATCCTCGTCTCTTTCTTCGGTTACAAAGTAATCCACACTTATGAAAAGTACTCCTGGGTCCCAAACTTCGCTGTCTTCCTAGTGCTTATCGCTAGATTAAAGATCTCTGGTAAGTTCCACAACGGTGCTTGGGGGTCCGGCCCTACCACCGCCGGTAGCGTGCTGTCCTTCGGTTCTGCCGTGTTTGGTTTCGCCTCCGGCTGGACTACTTACGCCGCCGACTACACCGTCTACATGCCCAGAAACACCAACTCTTACAAGATCTTCTTCGCCCTTGTCGCAGGCTTGGCCTTCCCATTGTTCTTCACCATGATCCTAGGTAGCGCCTGCGCCCAGGCCGCCGTCGACTACACCCCATGGCAAGAGTTCTACAACAAGAACGGTATGGGTGGCCTGACATTCGCCATCCTGGTGCCTGACTCCCTACACGGTTTCGGACAGTTCTGCTGTGTGGTGCTGGCTATGTCCACTATCGCCAACAATGTTCCAAACATGTACACCATCGCCCTGTCCGCACAGTCCGTCTGGGACCCATTCGCCAAGATCCCAAGAGTCGTGTGGACCATGATCGGTAACTTGGCCGCCTTGGGTATCTCCATCCCAGCTTGTTACTACTTCTCCACCTTCATGCAATACTTCATGGACTCCATCGCCTACTACTTGTCCATCTACATCTCCATCGCTCTATGTGAGCATTTGATCTACAGACACAACAGCTTCAGCAACTACAATGTCGAGGACTGGAACAACTTCAAGAAGCTACCAATTGGTATCGCCGGTACCATCTCCTTGGTCGTCGGTGCTTTCGGTGTTGCGCTAGGTATGTCCCAATCCTACTGGGTTGGTGAAATCGCTAGACACATCGGTGAATACGGTGGTGACATTGCCATCGAATTGGGTGCCGGTTGGGCATTCATTGCATACAACATTTGCAGACCTCTAGAATTGAAATACTTTGGACGTTAAAAAAATATTCGTGTTTGTCAATTGAACAGTCCTAATCATACTCACTAATTAACCACTTTGCATCAATATTTCATACTAGCATATTTTGAAACGATCAGCTTAACCATTACCGCTCTGCATTATTCCAATCTAATAACGACCTTCCTTGCATTATCATTAAAATCATTATTTATTTCGCAACAAAATATAAAAAATCAGCTAATAGATATTCGTATTAATATTATAATATTATTGTTTTCAAATCTCAGCAGTTATTTACATAATTATTCATGCCATCTCCTGAAGAGTAGAGATGTATTAACACCCCCAAATCCGAAACTATTACATAAAGCATATTCCAAATCTGCTACTTTGTGTGGCTGGCTCTTGACAAAACGCATTGACGAGCTTTCAAAATTTCCCAAAACATTCTTCAGATTGTAAGTGTGCGGAATAGTCCTGTTATACAGTGACAATATCGTAAAAATACTCTCAGCTGCACCAGCTGCACCAAGCAAGTGCCCAATAGAGCCCTTATTACTCGATATGTATAGGGGCTTCTGTCTATTCACATTATCAATTAGAGTGTTCTGTATGGCACAGCATTCGGTATTATCGCCCAACTTTGTAGATGTTGCATGAGCGTTAACGTATTCAATATCCCTGGCATTCACATTCCCATGTGATAAATCTAGTGCCATCTTGATTGCACGGCTTGCACCTTCTCCGTCATTCGGTGGTGACGTTATGTGGTGTGCGTCACAACTTAGCCCATAACCGACTATCTCTGCAAGAATTGGCGCTCCTCTACGCTCAGCACTCTCGAGTGATTCCAACACCACAATACCGGCACCTTCACCCAGGACAAAACCGTTTCTCTCTTCATCGAAAGGTCTGGATATACCATCTGGTGATAGACTCTTAGCCCTCAGGAAACCAGCCAGACTTAACGGGTGAACACTTGCCTCTGACGCACCAGCGAGGCAGATATCTTGCATCCCCAACTTGATCATGTTATAGCCATCACCTATGGCGTTGTTTCCAGTAGCACATGCGGTGGATACACTATGCGTCGGACCTCTCAGGTTAAACTTTATCGCAATGTTACCTGCAGCCATGTTGGTCAGGATCCTCGGCACAAAGTATGGATTTATTCTGTTCTTCTTCGTGTTTGAGTCAAAGGTTACCGATGTCTCATATATGTCCTCGATTGATCCAATCCCTGATCCGATGAGACATCCTACTTTATCGGGGTCGATCCCTTGATTATGCTGGTCGATTGGTATCCTACCATCCTCCGACATCTTTGTTTCCTTATTCACTAGTCCACTACTCACTAGGGCCTCATAACTAGCAATTGTAGCCAGCTTGATGAACCGGGACATCCTTCTGTCGTCCTGCGAAGTGAACAGCTGCGAGTTTACTTCAAATGATTCAATTGGTGAAACAGCACCAACTCGCAGCTCTGGCGGGAATATACCACGCCACTTGGCGAAATCACCTTTGGTCAATTGATCCAACTTTACCAGACCATTGCTGTCCCGTTGCAACAGCCTATGCCATGATTCCTTCACGCTCTTCCCCAGCGGTGTCACGCAACCAAGCCCCGTAACTACCACCCTTCTAGACATTACACGTATCCACTTATAGATGTGCTACAAGTGTATGGACCATTTAAGTTCAGCTATGACTATTCTTTTGACTATGAGCAAAGTTCAGTCACTTTGACTATTTGTGCATGCAGCGCGACATGCTCCGATGAGGTTCGGAGGGAATCGTGGAAAAAAAAGCTGGCGAGCTTTCGCCGACAGAGAGCAACAACATATATAAGGAGAATACAGCAAAGTCAATTGAGTTTCGAGGACAACACAAGTCTTTAGGATAACTGTAACGAGCTAGACAATACTATTGATATATAAATAATGAGCAATTATTCTGCGTTGACTGTGGTGCAATTGAAGGAGCTGCTGACTGAGCGTAATCTGTCCGTCGCGGGCTTGAAGAACCAGTTGGTTGAGCGTTTAACTAACGATGACAAGGCCAAGGAGGCTGCTGGTGAGGCTGCTCCAGCTCCTGTGACCGAAGAGGCTGCACCAGCACCAGCTGCTGCACCAGTGGCTGCTGAAGTTGAGGAGGCCAAGCCAGAAGAGGCCAAGCCAGAAGAAGAAACAAAGGCTGAGCCGGCCAGCAATGAGGCTGCTCCAGCTGTTGCAAGCGAGCAGCCAGCGGAAGCTAGTGAGGACAAGCCTGCTGAGGTTCAAGAAAAGGCACCTGAGGTAAAAGAGCCAGAGAAGGAGCTTTTCGATATTCTAACAGCGGAAGAGATCAAGCAAAGAGCCACCGAATTGATAGACAAGAAACTTCACCGTGCGAAGAAGTTCGGTGCTGAACAAGACCAAATTGACTCATTGGAGAAGCTGAAGGTGAGAATCGATAGATTTGGTGTCGACCGTAATATGTCTATTGCTCTTGAACTTGGCTTGGTAAAGCCTAAGGAAGTGCGTCAACAAAACAGAAGCAACAAGAACAACAATAGAAACGGTCACAAAGGAGGTAATAACAAGAACAGAAAGGGTAGAGTGAACAAGAATAGAGGTTCTGGTAGAAGGTGGTAAACCTAACGAACTTTTGTGTTTAATACCCTTGTGTTTTATCTGATTTTATTTTACCATAATTTCCTTTTATTCTTAATACCATAACATGGTGTACGTTACTTTTATGCATAAACCATATTGTATGTTGATCTTTTGATAAGATTGCAAGGACAAACACCTTATTAGAATTGAGGGACGAATTTTGTAATGATAGCTAACTGGATTTTTATTTTTTTTGTTTTACTTAACCTCCATACCACGGTACAGGAAGAACAAACCATTGTATATGTATAAGAGATTTAAAAAAGTCTATCCGGTGTATATTCATGTTTTGAATATTGTAGTATTCTTTATTGTAATTAAGCCACAACTTGCGCGAAACGATAGACTTATATACATATTTGTGTGTGCGTATGCCTTTTGTAAGAAATTAGTTGTTATATCTTGTTGTGAGCGGTGTCGTCAATTCAGCATCAATTGTATGGTGTTTGGTTTTGAAGGGCTAACATCTCTCCATCTAAGTGTAGAAAAGACACGTAAAACAAATAAAGTATGATTGATTAAACATTAAACAGCGACTATACACACCACAATTAAAAAATAATATATCTAAAAACTAGCCAAATAGCATTCACAATTATTCTTTACAAGAATATTGGGGGAAATGCAGTTAAACGTATTTACTTTATGAAGCTTAAAATTAGTGCTTATAGAAAATTGGTTGTTAGTTTTTATGGGATATTACCCTTTTCACATGGTTGGGCATCATTAAAAGACTGTTCATTAGTTGATGGGTCCGTTGAGAGATCCAAATTGTCCCTAGGAGAACTATGATAGTGATTGGGCGATTGGATGTGGTAGGTTACCGTCTTTGAATAGATGTCTTTTCATACCATTGTTACTTTCGCTCACTTGTTGGTTTTGGGTTGTGTTTTTCTGGTGGATTCTGTTGATAATGTTGTCGATGACACTCAGGTCAGGTTTTGACTGAGTTGTCAAAGCGCTGACGGACCTTGGTGGGATCGATGCAGCTGGTGCTGGGATAGGCAGGGATAATGTGTTTGATGGTGTTTGTGATCTTCTCGGTATCTGTGGCAGCTTGATTGTTTGGGATCCATTGGATTGTGCGAATAGATTGTTTTGGTTGGATGTCATCTGGCTGTTATGCTGTTGAGATTCCTGGTCGATTTGCAAAGACACGGTACTCAATATGTCCAGTCCGACAGCAGATTTTGATCTTTGGTGTTGCTCCGGTGGAGCCACAGGTGTAGGTGTTGGAGCAGTGAACAGAGTGATTGTTAGGTCCTCGAGGAAAGGATTTAGCACAGCCAGGGTCTTTTCGAAACCGTGGTCTGTCACTAGAGCGCCGATGATGATGAACAGCAGTTTTACGATGAAAGGTGAGTCGTTCTGCTTGAAAGTGTTTGCGTTTATGTTGAACTTGTTGAACAAGTTCTTCGCGAAAGTGGTCAATGATTCCTGTTGGAAAGTCTTTAGAGTGATGTACTCCTTAGTTGATGCAAATTTTGAGAACTTGTCGTTGAAGTTCTTCTCTACAGAGAAGGACACCGACGACTTCAGTACCATTTCACCCAGAATTTCCATGTTAGCGAAGACAGCGAATATGGTGGAGACGTCGGGGCCCGAGTTGCCCGAGTTGCCCGAGTTGCCCGTGTTGGCTTGGGAGTCCTGTTTGTTGATTATAGTGTTACAAGTGTGCGACTCCTTGACCAGGTCGACGAACTCTTTGTTGTTGATGACTGGCAGCACTATCAGGTCGGACATGATGGACCTGGCGACGTCGTCGTCGGTCAGTGTTTTCTGTGTCTCCTGAGCAGGCGGCATGTTGTTGCTGTCGGTGTTGTTAGACAGCAAGGTCGACTTCTTCAAGGAGGTAGGCAGAGGCAGCAGTATGTTTTGCACAGCGGTTTGGAAGTTCTGGTTTGGTGGCGACAGGACCGACTGGTGGAAAGGCAGCGAGATGGTAGAAGGAGGCGACGCGATGGAGCTGGGGGTGTTTACCCTTGTGATGTGGGTGCCGTTGTTCGAGGCTGAAGTGGAGTGTGGAGACGCAGCGGCAGTCGAGGTGGTGGCAGAGCTTGCCCTGGAGTGGGACATCGAGGATGAGTCGCTGGCGTGCCCGTCGTCGCTGGAGTTGCTCGTGACGCTGTCGCTTCTGTTTCTCTTGGCCTGAGTCTTGGAAGGCGTTGGTGTGAGCGGTTTCCGTACTCTCTTAGAGGTGGAAGAGGAGGAGGAAGGGCTCTTCTTCTTTGAGCGTTTCCTGTTGCGTCTCACCGATTGCACAGCTGCGGTGACCAGTTTCTCGAAGCCCTGTGTGGCCTCGACGGGGAACTCGAACTCTATTCTCAGCATGTTAGCTATCTGCTTGATGTTGTCGTCCTGCTCGCTAGCTTTGTACTTGCTGAGCTCGAACTTGTCGATAAGCTCGAGGCGTCTGCTCGAGAACTGTTTCCACTTGATCTCATCAGTGAACCGCAATTGCTCGCGGATCTTGTGGGTGGTACCGTATCCAGACAATGAGAAAGGCATTGTGTATCTCTGCTGTTGTGGCAATAGTGTTTATGTAGTTGTAATATAAGTAATATATAAGTCTCAAATGGGGGGGATCATCGTTGATTCAGAAAGAAAAAATGAATGAAAAATAACAAGAAAAAAAGTTTCAAGACTCAGCAGGAATTGTAACTGCGCATGATCCATTGTGCAGATAGCATTATTGTAATCGATTGCTCAATCAATGTACTGTACTCGACTCGACTCGACTCGACTCGACTACTTCGACTACTTCGATGGCAAGATGGCAAGATGGCAAGATGGCAAGGCTTCGAGGAATTTTTCAGCTTTCACGATTTTCTCGAGAAAGGCTAAGAAAAAAAAAGCAATTTTCTTGATTAGGATTACATTAAGAAAGTGCCGCAGAGTGAAAGGAGGGAAAGGCAGATCTTTGTTGAGAAGAGGGGCCACGCAGTGTTCTGTGCGGGATGGGACGTTGGATGCAGAGATCCAGGTGAGGACACAAGTGCCCACACAGAAAGGTGCGTAGAACGGTGCATGGTAAATATACAAACCTGTCTTTACGTCATTGGGCCATCACTCGAAAAATGTGTCAAAACCTTGTCAGATGACTGAAGTGATGGCTGTGATAACACTGATACATTGCGATACACTGATACATTGATTGCGATATTGTTAAATATAAATTGGAATATATAAGATAAACGAGAGCTCGAAATTTACAAGTTGGATTTGAATTGGTCCTCTGTGACACCTTGGCCCATGGCCGCGGTGGCGCTGACACCACCTTGTGCTAGTTTCAGTAGGCCGTCGATGTACTCGGCACCGGACCACTTCTGGTGCTTTAGCACGTCGACGCCTTCGTCCATCTCTATCTGCTGGACGTTTTGGGCGTACGCCTTCATGCCTTCCCTGGCGAAGTCCTCGGAGAACTTGTGGATGGCCAGCGCGGTGGTGTGCAGGCCTGCCAAGGTGATGAACTGCCAGATGTAGCCCAGTTGGCCCAGTCTCTCGATGAAAGTGGCCTGCTCGTCCACGGACATGGCCTTAGGCCAGTTGAAGGATGGGGACAGGTTGTAGGCTAGCCACTGGTCTGGGTACTTGGCCTTGACGCCCTCGGCGAACTCGCGGGCTTGCTCGAAGTCTGGGTAGTTGGACTCCATCCAGACCAGGTCGGCGTATGGAGCGAAGGCACGGGCTCTCATCACGGAGCACTGGGTGCCACCGCGGTAGCGGTACAGGCCCTCTCTGACTCTTGGCAAGTCCCAGTCGAAGAAGATGTCCTTGCCGAGCAGTTCCTTGGCGAGCTTCTTGGCCTCGCGGTGGGAGGTCTCGGTCAGTGGGCCGACCTTGTCGTTGAACTTCTTGATGATCTCTTGCTTGTTGGAGACGGAGGACTTGTTGACCTCGTCGGCGAAGGCCTCGTGGAACAGCTTCAGGCCGGCCTTCTCGATCCAGGCGGCCTCCAGCTTCTGCAGCTCGTCACCGGAGACGCCGGCCATGATGGCCCTGTCCATGTACTCGGCGAAGGGCTCGATATCTGGGTTCGTGGCGCCGACGACGAAGTAGTGGTCGCGGGTGTCGATGGTGGAGCTGATCAGCGTGGCGGCCTCTGAGTCGGTTCTTGCGACGATCACCAGCTCGGAGTGCATTATGTCCGCGCACATTCTGATGGTGACCAGTCTGTTGATGTGCTCCTGGACTGGGATGACACACCTGCCGGCCATGTGGCCACACTTCTTGTTGGTGGACGTCTGGTCCTCCATGTGGATACCGGCTGCGCCGCGCTCGATGAACATCTTGGTCAGCTTGAAGACGGCTGTGAGGCCACCGTGGCCGGCGTCGGCGTCGGCGATGATGGGGGTCATGTAGTCGATGGCGGGTCCCATGGCGTCGAGCTCCTCCTGTGAGGTGGCCTTAGCGCGGTTCTCCCACTGCTTCCTGTCGTGGAACTGCTGTGCCTTGAACAAGTGTTCGACTTTGTTGGGCACGGTGTCCATAGGGTAGTCAGCCAAGTCCGGGCCTGGCTCGTTTGAAGTGGAAGCGGTGGAGGAGCACTGCCAGCCGGAGACGTAGATGGTGTCTAGGAACTTGGCCATCTGGGAGACTTGGACTGGGTCCAGGGCACCGAAGGTACGGGACACGGTACCTTCCTTGTGGTGTTTCTCTAGCACTTTGTAGACCTTCTTGGCCATTACGGAGGAAGGGTAAGTCAGAGGAGGGAAAGTCCCGCGTCTGATGGCGATCTCTCTTGCGGAGTAAGTTCTCTTGGTCTTGTTCCAGCGGGGCTCGGACCACCACTGTTCGATTTCTTTAGCATCGGCGTCGATGCGGGCTTGCAAAGCTTGGAATTCGTTAGCTTCTGAGTTAGGCACAGGCATATTTTCTGTTGTATGTTGTGTGTGTTTTGTGGTATTGGGATGGGCAAGAGAACGGTTTTTGGATTGCATAGTTGGACAGTTTATATATGAATTTTCTCGAGTCCCAGAACAATGAAATGATTGGCACCGGGGTGTCAAGAGCCTAAGACCGGACCAATACCCCGGACCAAAGGAGTTTACAGTTCAGGTACAGGTGTACAACTACAAGTACTTGCAGTACTAGTAGTGGTAGTAGTAGTACTTGTAGTAGTACTTGTAGTAGTACTTGTAGTAGTACTTGTAGTAGTACTTGTAGTAGTACTTGTAGTAGTACTTGTAGTAGTACTTGTAGTAATACTTGTAGTAGTACTTGTAGTAGTACTTGTAGTAGTACTTGTAGTAGTACTTGTAGTAGTACTTGTAGTAGTACTTGTAGTAGTACTTGTAGTAGTACTTGTAGTAGTACTTGTAGTAGTACTTGTAGTAGTGTAAGTAATTCAAGTAGTAATACAAGTAGTAATTCAAGTAGTAATACAAGTACTAGTACAACTACAACTACAATTACAACTACTGGTCGATGACTCTCCCCTATAAGACCCACTCATCCGGTACCCATCTGGCTCCCATCAGGCCACACAGAGTCATCCAACTGCCCTGCCCCAACGGACAGAGAGAGCCAAACACCGAGAACTCGGTGAACGCGGGCTAGAAGCACCATTGTACGTATGCGAGTATATGCACATGACACCCACGTACATCTGTACATCAGTATATACTTACACACGTACACGCACATGACCTCCACACGTACACACGCACATCTGTATATACCCCCACACGCACGCACACATGATCTACGGTCAGCATAAGGGCCATTCAGGGGGGGAAGAGACAATGGGGCTGTGCGACAATGGGGGGCCAGGGGGGGTGTTAAGTGTGTGGGGTCTGGGTGGTAGTGAAGGGGGTAGTGAAGGGGGTGATGGATCCCCCCCCCCTTCACCCCGGATTGTTGCATTGTGATTGGCTCAATGGGTTGAAATAGCCTGGTATAGCAGTGTATAACAAGAGCATAGCAGTGTATAGCAAGAGCATAACAGGGTATAACGTAGTACCACCTGGCAATAGCAGTTGCTTGTCCAATTGATGCCCCTCTTTCTAATATGGTGGGGCAAACGTATATAAGGGCTCGATTGTTCTCTGAACTTGTAACTTGTAACTTGTAACTTGTACTTCTAACTCTTGTCTGGATACAACTACAACTACAACTACAACTACAACTACAAATACAAATACAATCTATAATGGCTAAGAAGGATAAGAAACCAAAGGTTAACACTATTGTTACCAAGGACGGTGAGTCTCTGAAGGTGTTCGAGGACCTCAATGACTTCGAGATGTTCATCAAGAACGAGACCGAGGACGAGGAGTTCGACCACATCCACTGCAAGCTGACTTACTACCCGCCATTTGTGCTGCACGAGTCCCACGACGACCCCGAGAAGATCAAGGACACCAACAACTCCCACAACAAGAAGTTCGTGAGACACTTGCACCAGCACGTCGAGAAGCACTTGCTCAAGGACATCAAGGAGGCCCTCCACAAGCCAGAGCTGAAGTTCCACGACAAGTCCAAGGACGAGACCTTCGAGCACATTGTGTGGCACTACGGCGAAGAGACCGAGTACCACGACAGGAAGTTCAGGATCCAGGTCACCGTGACTTGCAACCACGACGACGCTATGGTCGACGTCGACTACAAGACCATCCCTTTGTAAGTTATATAAATGTGTAATGATGTTACGATTTAATAAATTCTTATATCTCAATTATGTACCACCTCTCTAATCCTGCAATCTGCTTTCAGATACATCTCTGTACACTTACCATCTATACAGATAAGCACTTGGAAATATATGCTCTAGTATGGCTATAATTAGATAACAAATAACAAGTTTTGTATACTATTTCAGTCGACTAAGAAAACCAATTGTATATGTAGGCCCTGAGTTGTACCCGTGCTTATGATATAACACTCGCTAGTGCTACATCAACTGCATCATATATATCTTACCCAGAAATTGCCTTGTCGCAATTATTTACATAATTCTTGCTGTCTGCCTTCCCAACTCACCACCAGAACATACTGACATTTCAAGTTTAGGTCCTGCAATGTCAACATGGCAGGGAAATCACAATAAAAAAAATCATATAATCGATATTAGAATAACAACTACCCATAAACCAGAACACATCCCCCTCCAACTTCAATTGACCACAGTATAACTCACAATACCCACAAATAAGTACCCACCCATGGCGCAAACTATATGAGCTGTATAGACTGCTTATACTGCTTATACTGCTTATACTGCAAGATCACGCCACATAACTATACACGATATGGGAAAATTTCTTTTGAAAGGCGAAAAGCTCAAAGTTCTGGCAATGCAAAGGCTATTAACGATAATAAGCTGGAAAGTTGGGAGCCTATGCACAGCTCGTAAGCAGACTCTTAGCCCATAAAAGAAGCTATACGGATATACACACGCACACCATGATAAACCCACACGTTCAGGAGAACTTACAAGCTATTCAGAACACGCTGAGCAACTACGACACATCGTTCTTGTCTGAGGATGAGGAGGATTACTGCCCGCTATGTATCGAGCCGATGGATATCACGGATAAGAACTTCTTCCCATGTCCCTGTGGCTACCAGATCTGCCAGTTCTGCTACAACAACATCAGACAGAACCCCGAGCTGAACGGTAGGTGTCCTGCGTGCCGTCGTAAGTTCGACGACGAGTCCGTACGATACGTGGTGCTCACACCGGAAGAGCTGAAGATGGAGAGGGCCAAGCTGGCCAGGAAGGAGAAAGAGAGGAAGCAGAGGGAGAAGGAGAAGAAGGAGTACGAGCAGAATAACAGGAAGCATCTAGCAGGCACCAGGGTGATCCAGAAGAACTTGGTGTATGTGATCGGTGTGAATCCACCAGTGCCACCCGAGGAAGTCGCCGCAACGTTGAAGTCCGACAAGTACTTTGGACAATACGGTAAGATCAACAAGATTGTGGTGAACAGGAAAGCTCCTCACGGTGGAAGCAACAACGACCATTACCACCACCATGCTCCAGGCTACGGTGTCTACATAACTTTCTCCTCCAAGGATGATGCTGCCAGATGTATCGCACAAGTTGACGGTACATACATGGATGGTCGCTTGATCAAAGCTGCATACGGTACTACAAAGTACTGCTCTTCATACTTGAAAGGTATGGTATGTCCAAATCCTAACTGTATGTTTTTGCATGAACCAGGTGAAGAAGTGGACGCTTCCAACAAAAGAGAACTATCCAAACCTCAATTACATACTCAGAACTCTATGAATTCTGGTAGTTTCAGAAACGGTAGTGAGTTTGGTTCTGCTGCTGCGTCCCCACTTCCACTGAAGGCTCACTTAAACAGTGCCACTTCATCCGTGGCTGCGAACAATGACTCCTCCGCCTCTACACCTGTCCTAACTCCAGCACCAGCTCCACCAAGTACTTCCAATCCTTGGGGTATTAGTCAAACAGCATCTGCAATTGCAAATATCAACTTATCAAAACCTAACAGCTCCATCAACCTACCAACATTAAACGATAACGTTACACAAGATAATGACAATAATAATGAAGTGCCAAGCAAACCAAAACCTGTAAGTAATACCAACACATCCAGCAGCAAGAAGAAGAACTCATCCAAGGAATACGTTGATCCATACGATGCATTGAATGGTTGTATTACTTTTATGAACGAGAGATTCAAGAGCTTGTCAAATTACCAAAACAAGACTTTCTCATTGAGGTCTGATGCCATTGACCAAGAAACACTGAAATCTTACCCACCTTTATTTACCGCAAGCAATATCAAGATCAGTGAAACCAGTGAGAACATCCTAACACAAAAGCTAGTGGAGATTTTGGCCATCAAGCCTACAGATTACTCTCAGTCTGTTATTCAATTCTTACAAAGTGTGAGTGCAAGCCAACCCGAACTGATTAATTTGCCTAGTGTCCAAAGTTTCACCAGTGCCAACAACGCCCAAGCTACACAAACACCAATCAACAACCCAATCAACCCTAACCTTGCCCAGCTAGGTAATGGTGGTGTTATGGGCCCAGGCACTCCTGGCCCACAGAACGTAATGCTACAGGCAATGCAGCCACCACAACAAATGCAAGCACAACCACCACAGCAAATGCAACAGATGCCAATGAACATGGGTGGTAACGCCAACGGTATGTTTGTGTCCCCACAAGAACTTGCCCAGAAACAAGCTCAACCGCAAATGGCACAGATGCAGTCTAATAACGTTGGCTCTAACGACCTCCTAAACCAACTAATCAGTGGTAAGAGGCTCGCCGCTGCCAATTAGACGTACATACAAAATTATTTAAACAAATACAATCCTTTACATAATTATAAATTATTTGATAAAAATAATGATCATTGCAATACTTGATCATCTTTTGCATTTAATGATCCACCAATGCAACGATGATACCCTAGCAACATCATTGGCATCTGATCTGGTATACGGTAAGACTACTCAATTATCAAACATTAGAACTGTAATGAGCATATAACTATATACACACTTCGCTTGCCACTACCCGTTACAGACTTTACTTCCGTATCTGTTCCCAATCCGAAAATTCATCTCACCGTTAATGGAAGCTGCAAGAGAGATACGGTGTTAGAGTAAAGCAGCCTCGCTCCTAGATGCCGTCTAAATGTATGAGTCAAATCGGGCTCTTCTGCCTTTCTCGCCATATGTTTCCATAAATTGTGACAGCCTGCTGGCCTCGAGGTCCGCATACCGGTGAAAGGTCACAACGATGCCGGTTTCAAAAAATGGAAACTACAGGCGACAATGGTGTTATGCCTTGGGAGTCCCCCATCAACCAGCAACCTTAACAAACATATATAAGTGGGAGCTCTCACAGGGCAACTGTGTTTCATTTGACTTGAAGAAACAATTGAGTTTCTCTAAGATTGCATTTGGGTATACCATAAATCACAATCACGATTACATTTGACACTTATTCCTGCTCTTGTGTATCAAATCAAAGGTCATCGATTTTTTTTTCACAGTTACAAGCAATCAGCTAACAAAAAAAAAAGCTGAGCAAATAAAGGTATTACTGGATTGTCCATTAGCCAATTGAATATCTGATACATAATACTCATACAAATATACAAACGATGGTGAGTGTCCTCGTTTCCACAAAGGGTTTTAACCCAGCTAAGTTCAAGCAGGCCTCTAAATTGCTGAATAAGAGCACAGTTGGGTTCTTGAGCACATCAGCCAAGAACAAGTACTCCTTACAGAGCAAAGTCCAAAACATAAAGAACAGTGAAGTACCCAAGACTTTTACTAGATCTAAAGTTGGTTTCTCAAAGAGAAGTCTGTCGTCCTCGAACGGCATTGGCACTTCAGGTACCAGGTCCACAGTGATTCAACTACTAAACAATATCAGCACAAAAAGAGAGGTTGAGCAGTACCTTAAATACTTCACCTCTGTATCGCAACAACAATTTGCCGTTATTAAGGTAGGTGGTGCTATTATCAGTGACAACTTACCTGAGCTAGCATCATGCCTGGCGTTCTTATACCATGTCGGACTCTACCCAATTGTTCTGCACGGTACAGGTCCACAGGTCAATGGCAGATTGGAAGCCCAGGGCATTGAACCAGACTATATAGACGGTATTAGAATTACAGATGAGCACACCATGGCAGTTGTCAGAGAATGTTTCCTAGAACAAAACTTGAAGCTAGTGACAGCTCTTGAACAATTGGGTGTCCGTGCCAGACCTATCACATCTGGTGTGTTCCAAGCCGAATACTTGGACAAGAGCAAATACCAACTAGTTGGTGATATTACAAAGGTCAACAAGGATGCCATCGAGGCCTCTATCAAAGCCGGTGCTCTACCGATCCTTACTTCACTAGCTGAAACTCCATCAGGCCAAATGCTGAACGTCAACGCAGATGTTGCTGCTGGTGAACTAGCTCGTGTGTTCGAGCCTTTAAAGATTGTCTACCTGAATGAAAAGGGTGGTATAATTAATGGTGAAACTGGGGAAAGAATATCAATGATCAACTTGGATGAGGAATACGAAGATTTATTGAAACAAAGTTGGGTTAAGTATGGTACCAAATTAAAGATTAAGGAAATTAAGGAATTACTAGATTACTTACCACGTTCTTCCTCGGTTGCAATTATCAACGTACAAGACTTGCAAAAAGAACTGTTTACCGACTCTGGTGCTGGTACTATGATCAGAAGAGGATACAAACTGTTGAAGAGATCAAGTCTATCTGAATTTCAATCGGCTGATGCTCTAAGAAATGTGCTTCAGAGAGATGCAGACATTGCTTCCAAAGCTCAATCAGCAGCTACATATTTAAGAGAGCTTGAAAAAGCTCAATTTGTATCATACTCTGATGAACCATTAGAAGCTTTAGCCATCGTCAGAACTGAACCTAAGATTCCAAAGTTAGAGAAGTTCCTATGCTCAAACTCTGCGTGGTTGAACAATGTTACGGATAATGTGTTTAGCACTCTGAAGCGCGATTTCCCTGCTTTGCAATGGATTGTTTCTGAAGATGATGCCAACATTGCTTGGCACTTTGACAAGTCCCAAGGTTCTTATTTGAAGGATGGCAAGGTTCTGTTCTGGTATGGTGTTAAGGATTTGAACACTGTCTCCGAGTTGATTGGGGAATTTACTAAAGGTGTAACCAACAGTGGGCACTCCAGCGGTGTCTTTGGCTCCCAACAAGCTAAGAGGGCGTACTCTACTGTCAGAAGAACACCACCCAAGCCAGAGGCAACTAACACTTCTCCAGCTCGAGTTGCATTGATTGGTGCCAGAGGTTACACCGGTAGAAATCTTGTTGCATTGATCGATAGCCACCCTTATTTTGAAATCTCGCATGTTTCCAGTCGTGAATTGAAGGGTCAAAAGCTGCCAGATTACAAGAAGGCTGAGATTATCTATGACAACTTACAAATCGAGGATATCAAGAAGTTAGAATCTGAGAATGCTGTAGACTTCTGGGTGATGGCTTTACCAAACAATGTCTCTGAGCCATTCATCGAAGCCATTGACAGCTGCAATGGTAAGTCCAAGATCATTGATCTATCTGCTGACCACAGATTTGTCTCTGAGGAAGAATGGGCTTATGGTCTACCTGAGATCAATGACAGAGAACACATCTACAAAGCCAAGAAGATATCAAACCCAGGCTGCTATGCCACTGGTTCCCAATTGTCTATTGCACCATTGTTGAAGTACGTTGATGGTCTACCAACTGTCTTTGGTGTCTCTGGTTACTCTGGTGCTGGCGCAAAACCTTCACCTAAGAATGATCCCGAGAATCTAAACAATAACATTATTCCATACGCTTTAACCAACCACATACACGAAAGAGAGATCTCCACTCGTTTGGGACATGAAGTGGCATTCATGCCCCATGTTGGCCAATGGTTCCAAGGCATTGCCCTGACTGTATCCATTCCAATCAAGAAAGGCAGTATCCAAAGCAACGAGGAAGCCATGAACATCTACAAAGATTTCTACAAAGGTGAAAATCTGGTACACATAATGGAAGACATCCCATCCGTGAAGGAGATAGCTGGCACCCACGGCGTGGTCATTGGTGGGTTCAAGCTGAACGACAACAAGGACAGAATAGTGGTCTGTGGCACAATCGACAACTTGCTAAAAGGTGCAGCCACCCAATGTTTACAAAACATGAACCTAGCCATGGGCTACGGGGAATACGACGGTATTCCAAAGGACAAGATAGTCTCTTAGAACATAGCATATAAATCTCTTCTGTACATTAATTAGCTTCTTAAATTCCAATCCCTTTCTAGATAGAAATAGCATTACCGCATTGGGAATCCTAAGCACTATCAACAATAAGATATACAATAAATATTTACAGCAGTCCAATCCCATCTACAGTAGAATATGCAGTGGCAAGAGTTGTTTTGGTTGGTGGGGGGAGGGAAGATCATAATAACCACAGACCGAGGCTTCTTCTTAGGCTTCTTCTCCTTTGTAAATAGTAAACACGAAACTTGTTTACGCGTTCCACTCGGGATTCCACTATTCACACACCCAGTCTACTTATTATTGTTTACATTTTCTGCCATTAATTTGTAATTTATGGCAAAAATTAATATTCCTTCACGCGTCATACGGTCTAACAAACCCACGTACAAACACACTTAAATATCCATAAAATAAAGTTAATTTCTTTTTCTCACGCGTCACCCCCCATCGCTCTCTTCTAAGCAACTTGGAAAACTTTTCAACTTCAATCCTGTTAGAGGATCATACACTTATAGCATCGAACTAGCTGTGTGCCAGTCGCCAACGAACCAGTACTACTATTTTCGTGTCCTCTTGCTTACTTTGCCATCCTGGGTCAAGGATTTATAGCAAAAAAAAAAAGATATATAAAGCAGAAGGGAAATCAGGATAGATTTTATAAAATTCTTTCTCTCCCTAAACTAGAACAGTAATAGAAAAAAACCCGGAAACCTTTTGATAAAGATCAAGGAGATATATATTACTGATATCTATACCTCTAAACCCACAGAAAATAGAACACACACACACAACAAAAGTTTTTCACTTTAAAGAATGTATGTGTATAAGAGAAGTGGCCGTAAAGAGCCTGTCAAGTTTGACAAGATCACAGCACGTATCTCCAGACTCTGTTATGGTCTAGATCCACGTATCGATGCTGTTAAGGTCACCCAGAGAATCATCTCTGGTGTCTACGAAGGTGTTACCACTGTCGAGCTGGATAATCTGGCTGCTGAGACATGTGCTTACATGACTACTATCCACCCAGATTACGCCACTCTGGCCGCTAGAGTCGCTATTTCTAACTTGCACAAGCAGACCACGAAACAGTTCTCCCAAGTTGTCTCTAACTTGTACCATTACATCAACCCTGCCACTGGCAAGCATGCTCCTATGATCAGCGATGAGGTTTACCAAATTGTCATGGACAACAAGGATGAGCTGGATTCCGCTATCGTTTACGACAGAGACTTCCAGTTCAACTACTTCGGTTTCAAGACTTTGGAACGTTCCTACTTGCTAAGAATAAATGGTGAAGTTGCTGAACGTCCTCAACATTTGATCATGAGAGTTGCCTTGGGTATCCACGGTAGAGATCTAGAAGCTGCATTGGAAACTTATAACCTGATGTCTCTAAGATACTTCACTCACGCTTCTCCAACATTATTTAATGCTGGTACTCCACACCCACAAATGTCCTCTTGTTTCTTGGTCGCCATGAAAGATGACTCCATTGAGGGTATTTACGACACTCTAAAGGAATGTGCTTTGATTTCCAAGACTGCTGGTGGTATTGGTCTACACATTCACAACATTCGTGCCACAGGTTCCTACATCGCCGGTACTAACGGTACTTCCAACGGTTTGATTCCTATGGTCCGTGTCTTCAACAACACTGCCCGTTACGTTGACCAAGGTGGTAACAAGAGACCAGGTGCTTTTGCCCTATACTTGGAACCATGGCATGCCGATATCTTCGACTTCATCGATATCAGAAAGAACCACGGTAAGGAAGAAATTCGTGCTAGAGATTTGTTCCCAGCTTTGTGGGTTCCTGATTTGTTCATGAAGCGTGTTGAACAAAACGGTAACTGGACTTTGTTCTCCCCAAGCTCCGCTCCAGGTCTAAGCGACTGCTACGGTAAGGAATTTGAAGAGCTTTACGAACGTTACGAAAGAGAAGGCCGTGGTAAGACTATCAAGGCTCAAAAGCTTTGGTACTCTATCCTGGAAGCTCAAACCGAAACTGGTACCCCATTTATGATCTACAAGGATGCCTGTAACGAAAAATCTAACCAAAGAAACTTGGGTGTTATCAAGTCTTCTAACTTGTGTTGTGAAATCGTCGAATACTCTTCTCCAGATGAAACCGCCGTTTGTAACTTGGCTTCTATTGCTTTGCCAGCTTTCATTGAAACAAGTGAAGATGGTAAGACCTCTACTTACAACTTCCAAAAGTTGCACGACATCGCCAAGGTTATTACCCGTAACTTGAACAAGGTTATTGACCGTAACTACTACCCAGTTCCAGAGGCCAAGAACTCTAACATGAGACACAGACCTATTGCTCTTGGTGTCCAAGGTTTAGCTGATACTTTCATGTTGTTGCGTTTGCCATTCGACTCTGAGGGTGCCGCTAAGCTAAACATCCAAATCTTCGAAACCATCTACCACGCCTCCTTGGAAGCTTCTTGTGAATTGGCCCAAAAGGATGGTCCATACCAATCTTACCAAGGCTCTCCAATCTCTAAGGGTGTCTTCCAATTCGACATGTGGAATGCTAAGCCATTCGGTATGTGGGACTGGGATGCTTTGAGAAAGGACATCTTGAAGCATGGTGTCAGAAACTCTTTGACTATGGCCCCAATGCCAACTGCTTCCACTTCCCAAATTTTGGGTTACAACGAATGTTTCGAGCCAGTTACTTCCAACATGTACTCTCGTCGTGTTCTATCTGGTGAGTTCCAAGTCGTTAACCCATACTTGTTGCGTGACTTGGTTGACTTGGGTATCTGGGATGAAGGTATGAAGCAACACATTATTACACAAAATGGTTCCATTCAAAACCTACCAAACATTCCTCAAGAATTGAAAGATCTTTACAAGACTGTTTGGGAAATCTCACAAAAGACCATTATCAACATGGCTGCTGACCGTTCTGTCTACATCGATCAATCTCATTCTTTGAACTTGTTCTTGCAAGCTCCAACCATGGGTAAGATCACCAGTATGCACTTCTACGGTTGGAAGAAGGGTTTGAAGACCGGTATGTACTACCTAAGAACTCAAGCTGCCTCTGCCGCCATTCAATTCACTATCGATCAATCTGTTGCTCAACAAGCTGCAAACAATATCGCCGACTTGTCCAACTTGAAGAGACCATCTTATGTTGAAAGTGAGCCATCCTATGTTCCAAGCGACTTTAAGGCTGACTGGGAAAACATCAAGCCATCCAAGATTACCTACTCCGAAACCGAAGATGAATCTAGAAACGTTTCTCTAACACCATCTGCTTCTTCTTCAAATGACGACTTGAGCAGCAGTGTCGGTTCATTGAAGATCTCTGAACACCCAGCTACTCCAGTTTCATCAACCACCACAAACATTCCAGTTAAGGAAGACAAGAAAGAAGTTGCCCCAGAAGCTGAAGATGCCGAATCCGAGTTTGACATCTACAACTCTAAGGTCATTGCCTGTGCCATCGACAAGCCAGAAGCTTGTGAAATGTGCTCTGGTTAATCTTTGCTCTTTCTAGTTTTTCTATTCTAATTTGTTGTTTTCTATTTGGGTTTCATTTATTTTCTAATAATTCGGTGTATTTTACTTTTGATACAATTTTTTTTTACTGGTTTTCTTTATCTTTCACATTATGAGTTAGTCATGTCCACCTTTCACATCTTTAATTTCATATTTTTTTATTAAAATAACGATATAAACATAAAAAATAATAATCTTCATTTAATATTAAAAAAGCATTATATTTCTCTTAAATTATATTAGTTTATATTATAGCGGTCTTGATACGCTACTCCATTGTAGTTCAATTTTCCTGATCCTTAGGCTGGAGACCGGGTAAGTAAATTTCTCAAGACGCTCCTGTCAACAATCAAGAAATCGAAAAAGGGTAATAGCAAGTAAGCCATAATAGCAGTACATTCTTTTGCAAAAGCTTTGTAATTGGTTTTACCACATCAAACACATTTGACCACATCAAACAGTGTTCAATTGCTTGAAAAACTGAAGGTATAACAGTCGTGGCGAAAGGTCGACAAAGAGCTGTAAAGAATAAGCCAAACAGGTTCACTGTGCTGAATTTTAGAGCAACTAACACATTTATTCGACAAATGGTGGCAAATAGTATGAACTTAGCAGATATACTCAAGGATGAAGTATCCCTTGAGAGAGTTAAGGAGTTAAAGGACCAGCTTCTTAAGGAGAAATCCACTATTGATTACCAACTAAGTAAAGAATCGAACAAGAATTACGAAGCTGTGCAAGAGAGTATAAAGCTACTAAACATATCACAAAAGGATGTTATTGAGGTGAAAGATCAGTTATCTAAAGTTAAGACGCTCAGTGATGAGAGCAAGTCATCAATATCCAGATATGACATTATCTTCGATGCAACTAGAATGTATGAAAAGGTAGACATGACCTCGGAGATATACGATAAGATTGTAGCATTTAGTGATACAGTAGAACAGGTCAACAGAATGCTTGATACGGAACTAGCACAAGATGGTTTAGAAACTGGCTGTCCCTATTTGATTCAAATCCATTACCTGCTAACAACGATAAGAAACTTTCAGGATCAAATGACAATTATGGCTAATGTATCCACAGATGATGTACAACGTACATGCCAAAAGCTTTTTTCTAAAGTTTCTGGTCTAGTGGATAAATTTGATCAGCTATTGGAATCACTTATATATGACATTGTCGAAATGATAAGAGCTGAAAATTATTCTTTAGTAGTGAGATTGTTCAAAATAATAGATTTTGAAGAACGAGAAGACCTGAGGATTGAGGCCATTAGAAACATTATCAAGAAGAAAGAGATAGAAGCAGAAAAGTCAACATTTAAAAAGCTACCTAGTTCTAAGAACATTGGTAGACTGGAACTTGAAAGTAATTCTAAGGCATTAGAATATCCAACAGATCAAGGGCTATATCAAGAAATTATAAATGGTACAATAACAACGAGAGTACAGTCGAGAGGCTACAAAAATTTGTTGTACAATAAAATCAAACAATCGATACAAGAAATGTTTATTGAAGTCCGCAAAGAGTACGATGGCGATAAAAAATTTGATGTACTTAACAATCTTGATTGGGTGTTCAACGAGTTACTTGTTGTTAAGGACTATGTGTCCAAGTATTCCCCTCCCTATTGGAATATATTTGACAAATACTACCAATTCTACTATGATGAGCTTCACATCTTAATCAATGAGTTAGTTGATGCTGAACCGGAAACAATCATTATATTAGATATTATAGATTTTGACAAAACATTCCAGAATACTTTGGTCAAGGACTTTGGCTTTAAGAGGAAAGAAACGAAGACAGTTATTGGTGACACACAGAAGGAAACACTATTCAAAGACTATTTGAATCTAATTGTGATCAAAATGACCGAATGGCTTGGGAACTTACAAAAGACGGAGTTCAAAACGTTCAAAGATCGTTCTATTCCTCCACAATCAGATGCCGAGAACTTGTTATTATTAGAAGGGACAAAGACATGCTTTCAAATGTTCAGTCAACAAGTTGAAGTGGCTGCCGGTTCAAGTCAGGCAAAGATTTTAGTTGGTGTTATTGAGAAGTTTTCCGAACTTATTGAAAATAGATTAAGCAATTGGATTTCTGTTGTAGACGAAGAAGTGAGAAGACTAATGAAATATAATGAACTTTATGACCTTGATCCTAATGCTATCGCCCCTGAAAACGAAGTTCCAGGTGGTCTACTAGAGTATGTTATTGCTCTTGCAAATGACCAGATGAGGGCTGCCGACTATGCAATGGCAATTGGTTCCAAATACGGAGCCATGGTGACCAAAGCATACGAGAAGGAAATTCAAACAAACATTGACAATATTCTTGACAGATTTGCAGATGTGAGTCAAGTATGTATATCAGCTCTGCTTACAATTATCTTTGATGACCTTAAGAAACCATACAGTGAGATATTTAGCAAGACATGGTATAAAGGTAGCCAGGCACAACAAATTTCAGATACAATTTCTGAATACCTTGAAGATATAAAGGTACTGATGAACCCAGTTTTGTATGGGCTGTTTATGGAAAGGCTAATTGAAAATACTATATTAGGTTATATTGGGGCATTGAAGTATGAACACAGTATAAAGAATAAGAACAACAAGTTCTTAGAGAGTGTCAAACGTGATTTCGAGATCTTTTATAAGCTCTTCGCTACATATATTGGTTCCTCAGACGAGACCATAGAAATAGTGAAGGAGAAATTTGAAGTCATGGACTACTTCATGGATCTATGCTGCGAACCTATAGATTCAGTGATGGGTATATGGGATAATTTCCTACAGAGGTACCCAGATGTTCCTGTGGTAATATTAGAATTTGTGTTGAAGAGCAGAAAGGATATCGATCGCTCTAGAAGAAAGAAGCTTGTCCAAAGGGCCATTGATCTTTCATTGAGACCTGAACATTTAGCATTCATCAGCAGCGAAGAATACGAACCATCGTACCTGTCCAACTTCACCATCAAATCAGCAAAGAAGTCTGAGGATGTAGGAGATGACTATTAAGTAGAAAAAAAATCATAGACTAGTATATTCGAATTGTAAGACAAACGAATGGTGTATTCTAGTGACAAATTATATATATACTCAGTATTCATAGTCATTTAGATAACCATGCCACTGAGACAACATGATTCTTCCCGGCATGCTTATCTTCCAATACATGTGTTAGGAAACCATCCTTTTTGGCGTTCCAAGAGGCACCAAACTTATTATCTATTTCACATGAGCTAGAACTTTCCGTGGGTATATCAATGCTAGTTACCGATACAATGTATTTGTACTGAGAGGAATGCTTATTCAAACTTTCCAGTATATGTTGGATCAAGGTGTCAGCACTCACCTGAGACTCGGAGAACTGACTCTCAATCAAGTCAATTAGTCTTGGGGCAGTCAATGGACTGTTCGAACTTTTGTCATCAATCTTTTCAATGACCATTTTTTTTTTTTAAATTGTGTCTGCTAAGTACTTGTCTACACTTTACACATTATTTAATAATAATATATTATGCATAGTGTTATTCATGATTTTTTGTTTTTGTATGGTGCCCTATTTTTTCATACTTATTTTTTTTTTTAGGGGAAGAAAAAAAGGATCCAACCAGGATTCGAACGGATCGATTTCGGCTAAATGGCAGTATGTGGTCAAAGTGTGACTACTCCATTAAGAGTATATTAATATCCTCCTATCAATGTCCCAAGAGAATAACTATGACGACATATGGTATAACGATCAAAAAAAAAAGAGGGTTAGATAGTCTCCTCTTTTACAGGCAGTTCGGCTCTTAAAATGTTTCTATAATAATCTGCATGGATAGCATTTTTGTCTCGTAGCTTCCCCTCACTTTTTGATTTGTGATTTGTGATTTGTGATTTGTGATTTGTAATTTGTGATTGCTAGCTCTTTTGTACCGACTCATACAACTCTCAAAGCTCCTCTTTTTTTTTCTTCACTAGAACTCTAACTTTGACCCATCTGCTTGTGTGGTTGTCCAACAAATGCATAGAGGGTCTCAATGAAGCTGATAGCTGTTCTTCCTCGAGGAAATGCTTTCCCACAACCAACATCTTGCACGTCATTTTCTAAGGACCCGTGTTTTCTTTCTTTCTTTTTTCTTTCTTTCCCAGAGTACTTCCGCGCAGACGCAATCTGCATTGTCTTTAGTTCGCAAACTAAGAGATTTCTCGAAGGGGGTCCTCTCTGCGAGTGGGTCTAAGGAATATCTGGAAAATAGCAAATCACAAGATCCTCTTTCTTTCTTTCTTTTTTTTCTCTTCTAGCTTTTCCGGGTTCAAATTCAAGATCCATTTTGTACGTGTATTTCTTATGCAATTTCTTAACGCAGTTTCTTAGGCAGTTTCTTAACGCAGTTTCTTGCATTCAATAATACCCTATAGCCCATTCACAAGCAAAGCTGTTGGGCTATAATGCTAGTACTATAGTTGTGTTGAAATCCAGTTTCTGATTCGAACAACCGTGGATGGTATCTTTTCCTTGTTGAAAAGGGACAATTGACTCACATTATTGAGAATTGTCCCCGAGGCTCCGGTACAGGACTTTTGTATTCCGATGTGCTTTAGGACAATTGTCTTTGTAATCGATGAGCCATAGAGATGAGAGCCACCCCTCTTCACCGAGTATACATATATAAGTGTGTGCTTTTTGTTGCTTTCTTCCCATTAAAGTATTCAATTTTGTAATTGTAGCTTGAGTTACAAGATACACACGCATCTCCAACGCATAGCTCCAATGTTCTCCCGTACTATTACCAGAACTCTACGTGCTCCTGCGGTGCTACGTTTGTACTCAACTAACGTTCCATTGGAAGTACCAGTTACTTTGCCAAATGGTATCAAGTATATGCAACCAACCGGTCTGTTCATCAACGGTGAGTTTGTGAAGTCACACGAGGGTAAGACCTTCGATGTGCTGAACCCATCTACCGAAGAAACGATCGCTACGCTATATGAAGCCCAGGCTGCCGACGTCGACATCGCCGTCAAGGCCGCTAAGGAGGCCTTCGAGAACCACTGGTCCAGAGAAGACCCTGAAGTGCGTGCCAGAGCTTTGTTCAACTTGGCCGACTTAGTCGAAGCTAACTTGGAAACTTTGGCCGGTATCGACTCTCTAGACAACGGTAAGTCCCTGCTGTGTTCCCGTGCCGATGTCGCGCTAGTGGCCAAGTACTTGCGTTCCTGTGGTGGTTGGGCTGATAAGATCTACGGTGACGTTATCGACACCGGTAAGTCCCACTTCACTTACTCCGTCAAGGAACCATTGGGTGTCTGTGGTCAAATTATCCCATGGAACTTCCCATTGTTGATGTGGTCCTGGAAGATCGGTCCAGCTTTGGCCACCGGTAACACCGTCGTTCTAAAACCTGCCGAATTGACTCCATTGTCCGCCCTTTTCGCTTCCAAACTTTGCCAAGAAGCTGGTATCCCAGCTGGTGTAGTTAACATTATCCCAGGTCCAGGTAAAACCGTCGGTGAAAGAATCTGTACCCACCCTGACATCAAGAAGGTTGCATTCACTGGTTCTACCGCTACTGGTTCCCGTATCATGAAGACCGCCGCTGACAGCATCAAGAAGGTTACTCTTGAACTGGGTGGTAAGTCTCCAAACATCGTCTTCGCTGATGCTGACTTGGAACAAGCTGTTGAAAACATTGCCCATGGTATTTTCTTCAACTCTGGTGAAGTCTGTTGTGCCGGTTCTAGAATCTACGTTCAAGATAAGTGTTATGACGAAGTCTTGGACAGATTAAAGAAGTACACTGAAAGCTTGAAGGTCGGTAACCCATTCGGTGACAACACTTACCAAGGTTCTCAAACTTCCCAACAACAATTAGACAAGATTTTGGAATACGTCGACATTGGTAAGCAAGAAGGTGCCAGAATTGTCACCGGTGGTGAAAGAATCGGTGAGAAGGGTTACTTCTTCAAGCCAACCGTCTTCGCCGATGTTAAGGAAAACATGCGTATTGTCAAGGATGAAATCTTTGGTCCAATCGTCACCGTCTCCCAGTTCTCCACTGTTGACGAGGTTATCGCCATGGCTAACGACTCCCAATACGGTCTAGCCGCCGGTATCCACACCAACGATGTCAACAAGGCCGTCGAAGTCTCCAGCAGATTGAAGGCCGGTACCATCTGGATCAACACTTACAACGCATTCCACCAAAACGTTCCATTCGGTGGTTTCGGTCAATCTGGTATTGGCCGTGAAATGGGTTCTGCCGCCTTGGACAACTACACTCAAGTCAAGTCTGTCAGAATGGCCATCACCAAGCCAAGAGTCTAAATTCCATCGAAAATAAACTTTGCATGATTTAGATAAACCAATAGTATGAAATCATTACCGAAAAATGTCACATTACTATGGTGGAAAGCACACAATGTGCTTCATTGAAAACATTACAATCCCTTCAAATATATAGAGACTTTTTTAATTTTGTACACTAGAACACAACAATCCAATATTCATTCTTCATTCGGAAATACTGCTCAATTTGTATTTAATTATATATCTATCCTTACAACCTCTCGCCAGTAAAGTGGCTATAGTATTGTGAGGGAACAAAACCATGTGTCAGTATTCTGTCACATGCAAATGTCTATATGTACGAATAATTAGCAGTCACAAATGTTTATTCATAACACCCAAACACCAACAACACCCAGACCCAACACATTTTGCTGACCGTTCTTTTTTTGCAGTTGTATTATCACTTTAGCACCCAACATCACTGGAAAAAATGTATTCCAGACTCACACGGAAGGTGGTCTGGCTTGCGTCCCAACTGGCAAATCAGCTCCGCCTGCGCTCCTGCGACATCGTGGTATCAGCCCACTCCAGCCCAGCTCATGCCGTAAAGATCGTAGCACCACCCAGCCCACCCAGCAAAGCTCTGTCCTGCTGGTACCGCAACTGCCTAGGGTCACTCACCGGACTAGTCCATACTGAGGGACCGCTTACCAAGTCCGTTCCTGAGCTTCCAGTGGGAACACACACTTCCCCCCCTACTGCCCACCAACTTGCCACTTGGAACCTAGGTTCACGGCTAGGCTGAGCTTCGCTTGCTTAGCTCAGTCTCCAGTCTCAAGTCCCACAGAGCCTTGAGCCTAGCTCTTGGCCCGGTGATCGGTGAGGCTGGTACTACTGCTAGCCGGTGGGGGGTGTTCTGTTCAGTGAGGATGGGACCACATTGGCACGCTTGATACTCACCGCAAGCTGAGCAGGTCACATTTTGTCAAATGTCTCCATTGAGCAAAAGTTGCAAAAATGAATCGCTGAAGAGCAATATACGTGATATTCTTTAAGCGGTATATTATATATTACGTGTGTTTTTTTTGGGTGTCGTTTATTAGCTGAACACAACGAAATAACCAAGGAATAACACAGCCGAAATGGTATGTTTTATAGTATATGCGAAACAAGCGCTGGAAGGGCCTGGATGAGGAACTAAGAGAGGCAATGAGCACGATAGGAGAATGAGTATACTGGAAGTCGGGAAGAAAGCAGGACTTATGATGATATAGAAACAACGTGAACAATACTTTATTAGAAACCGGACATAGTGGCTAAAATTGAGGTGACTGGATAGATGCGATTTGCCTGGATACGTCACAATGTAAGCAACAGACGCTCGAAATGAAAAAATAGATACAAAGAAGCTCATGAATCATTGCCAATACCATTGACCGAACTCACACATGGATATCTCTCATATGGCACCAGTTGTGAAAAACAATATTATTGAACTTTTTGAATACTAACAGTACATTTTCTCTTTTATTTCAATCTAATCCTGTATATTTTATTGGTTACTCTACTGTGTGTCTGAGTTTGTGAAGAAGAAATCTCGAATATGGTGAATCAATTGTGAAAAATGGGAGAAGAAGTTCCAATGACAATAACTGCAAAAGACACAGCGTGGAGAGGCTAAGACAAAGAATATAAATGGGGGTTATTGCTATGAATCAAATTCAAGAGATTATAAAATTATTACAGTCTGACTCTGTCACTATCCGTACTAGAAAGGTTATCACTAACCCATTGTTGGCTAGAAAGCAATTCGTCGTCGACGTCTTGCACCCAAACAGAGCTAATGTCTCCAAGGATGAACTACGTGAAAAGTTGGCCGAAGCTTACAAGGCTGAAAAGGACGCTGTTTCCGTCTTCGGTTTCAGAACCCAATTCGGTGGTGGTAAGTCCACTGGTTTCGGTTTGGTCTACAACTCTGTTGCTGACGCCAAGAAGTTCGAACCAACCTACAGATTGGTCAGATACGGTCTAGCTGAAAAGGTTGAAAAGGCTTCCAGACAACAAAGAAAGCAAAAGAAGAACAGAGACAAGAAGATCTTCGGTACTGGTAGAAGATTGGCCAAGAAGGTTGCTCGTCGTAACGCTGATTAAGAGAAGTTCATTTCATTATGTTTTCTTTCAATATCTTTTCTATATCCTTCAACTATTAAACCTGTCTATTTCTTTTTTTTTTAAAATCTAAAAAGAAAAAAAACATAAAACGTATAATAATAAAATCGTTTCCAAGTAGCATACAATTACTATTTTTTGCTTTTTTCAAACCTCCATCCATAAACAATCTATATAATCAAGTCTCAAGAACGTATTTGTATAAATATTAATACATGCTGACTATAACACATCTACCTTGAAACCGTGGGCAAAAGTAGTAACGATGGGAATTATATGAAGATCGATTAGATCAACTGGATTTGTAGACAACCCAGTGGGTAACGAAGTGCTTTGATACCAAATATTCTACTCTTTTTGAAGATATAAATCATTCAATATTTAGTTATTAGCTTTGCGTAATACATCATACATAACGACTAGCATTATTTGCCGTTCTTTCAGTGAAATTTAAAGGTTTTAAATTTGAAGCCAATATTAGAACTAATCACGTAGTAATCATACCAATCAACCAGATTTTAACTATTACATCTACTCTCATCAAAGTTATAGTAACATTTTTGCGAGGATGATTTTTGGGCTTGGAAGACTATTCTACGTGACACTATTATTGATCAATGCTGTTGCTGTTCTAAGTGAAGAGAGGTTTTTATCGAGGAGTATGTTGAACAACTTTACATTAACATATACATAGGTTATGGAGCAATTGAATTATATTACTAACACGTCACTTTCCTCTAACATACCCAATTACTTAAATTTAAACCGGAATCATATAAGGAAACCAAAATTGGGTTCGTGTATTAGGGAAGATGTATCATTATAGTCGGTTTAGGAAGATCCGGTTCGGAAGCACCTGCGTTTGGGCAGAATGCTAATTCTACAAAATCGAAAGTTGTACAGCTGATAGGCGCTGTTCAAACGCTATTAAGAAGTATGTCATTGAAAAACTCTACACGGTTTTGTGTTTTTTTAGAAAGTACACGGGATACGTTTTACTAACAAATTTATTATTCTGGCATAGACTCTTTTAAAAGACAGAACTATGCAAGAACTAACACACTCAGTTCCTCTTATTGGTATAAACATACTAGTTATTGTTTACGAGCTATTATTGGGTTGAATCATAGTTATTTGAGATATTGATTATCACTGACGTTCACGTTTTCCTTCATATCATCACAGATTTATTTATAGATCAAAGGGAAAGGCAACTCTACTGTATATTATTAATAAAGAAAAAATATAAATTCATTTTTTGAGAATATTTGTTTCAAGTTTAATATTTATCATAAAATTGTTAAAAATTTAGTTACAATAATAACCTAGTTACATACTAAATGAAAATAGGCTCAACCTCTTTCATTTTCTTATCCACGAATTCGTTTAGCGATTTGATATGTCTAGACTGGTCATAAATGGCCGATAAGGGCTTTGTGAGTATATCCTTTTTTCCATGGTTCTCAAGACACAGTGAAAAATAGCATACGAGACTGTCATAAATAAACAAGAACTGGTTGACATTTTGTACCATTGAAATTCTCTGCTTACGGAAGGTGTTAATAGTCCATGAAATTGGATCGTAAACCTTTCCCTTCATCTCAACTTGTAGCTCATTCCGCAGTACCTCAAACACATCAAGATTCGAGATCACACTATCGATTGTACACCAAGTACCAGTACGCCCGCATCCAGCAGAGCAATGGACCAGCACTGTTGGTCGTGTCCCAGGCTGGTACATCTTTCTTTCAAAGAGGCTATCAATAATGCTATTTTTCAAGTGAATTATTTGAATAATATTGGTGGGATCGGTAAGAACCCCCAAATCAGGCCAGTTCCTTATTTGAATCTGAATCACTTCATAGTTGCAACCTGCCTCATCATATTCTATATTGATTCTTCTTAGTACAATATCATTTTTGTTATCCTTATCAGCAGGCTCACTTTCTGTGCCATAGGATTTGGGAACTTCAATTTCTTCTAATAATTTAACCTTGAAACCTTCGTAATCTCCATCTTCCCAGTACTGCACACATTTTTCAATGCCATTCTCGAATGTGTCCGTTAAGGATAGGATAATCGGCACTTTATTGTTTAACAAACAAGTATAAAAATCATGCACAGTAGTTTTCATTGGAGCTTGCGTAGCAATGTACCGACAGTTTCTACCCTTGCCAGCTGATAGATTCTTTAACAGTTCTTTTTTCTGATCAGAGAGCGTATTTGGTAATGATGGGAGTTCTATATAATTCGCATTGATATAATTATCAACTGGCTGAGTTAAGGTAAGGTCATTCAGTTTATTAACAAGTGAATTATCCCTACTATGATTCGGTGTCTGTTCTTGAGAGCTTGAAAGGGAGGACACAGACCTTCTCTTTAATTTAACTCTTGTGTTCTCAAATGGAAAGATATCTTTGTACCTATTCTTTACACCAAGTTCAACTCCTGAGGATATCTCAATATCATGCTCATCTTCCATATCATCTACATCAATACAACATTTCCAATCAGATTTCAAATACGAACAGTTAGGCTGAGAATATGAACGCTTCTGAGATTTTTTACGCTTTATTTGCGTAGACATTGAACCCTTATTGGAATTAAAATCAAAACTTTTTTCATCAATTGGCGTCATCTTTGACAACTCAGGCCTGCTGATAGTAGTCAAAGCAGATTTTGTGCTTTTATGTTTCGAAATAGACTTATTAAGTCTTCTTCTCTCCAGATAATCCAATTTTTGAAATTGTGAAATTATCTCAACTTTAGATTTTGTGACTAATTCTTGAAACCATTGAGGTATAACCTCATTAATAAGATCATCATTGTATTCTGTGCACAATTTGGCATACTTTCGTTGGAAATTTAATTTATCCTCATTTGGAGAGCGAGTAGAATATTCTGCACTTTGATGCTTCTTTGGGAATTCAAAAGATTGAAATTTAAATTCCTTTGTTCTATTTTCCTGATTTTCCCTAGCATTAACTGCACTAATATAATCCTCCAGACTCAATGCCTCTTCATTCTGAGGAAGTTTAAATACAGGAGATGCAAGTTGTTGTCTATTTGGTAATTGGAATTTAAACAATGCCGAAATTGGTGACGATGTGGATACTGGTGATTCTAAAGAGAAGTCATTAGAGTTTGTCATGGAGTTATTTATACTTGATCCTGATATCGAAGGCGATTTCGTAGCCGTCGAAGCCAGAGATGGAGAAAATGATAGCCCATTTACAGTCTGTCGTATGTATTCTTCACCTGAGGTATTAATATTATGAGGCATAGGAATAAATAAGTCTGGGTGCTCTACCATCGGGCTGTTCATCGCAGAGCATTCTGTAATATTTTTTAAGCAAGTCTCGGTGGACTCTATAACGTCATCTGGAAAGAGGAGCTTAAAGACACTGTAACCCACATTCAAGATGTATAAGCCACAATTTTCCATTCTTTCATCTTGATTCCTGTACTCTGATATCTTTGTTGCTACCCCATAACACGGTAGCGACAGCGACGTATCGGTTTGGTTTGGTGTATTATCATATATCAAGAAACTAAGCTTCTTTGCCTCCAGGGCCATTGCATTCATCTTGTTCTCCAATCTAACTCTATCATCCACGGGCAGATTCTGCACCAGTTTGTTGAAATCGAAGTTCTTTCGCCTCAGCAACGTCGATGGCAACCCGACGTGTATCGAATCGCGTATCGACGACTTGGAATACTCTGAGTACGTCCTCAGATCAAGCACAATGATGTCTTTGTTCTCTAATATCCTGTTACACTCCAACGCGCTGACCAAAGCACACCCACTGGGCTTCTTGAAAGTACTTGCCTGCTTAATACTAGGTGCAAATACTGGGCTCGTCACTGACTTCACCAGCGGCGATCTCACAATACTAGAGCCATTAGAATGCGGTATATCCAACGAGGGTGGCGCCATCTGCCTGATCGCACACTTAAAATCACTATCACCTGTCGGTGATGAGCTATCCATGCTTATCAATGCTATTTCTCACTGGAGGCTTTTCAAATGCTTTATATTATATCTTCCAAAGCCCAGTCTGTTCCTCCCTCTCAAACTTCCTCCTATTTGCCAAAAAAAATTATTGCCTTCTGATGCAACTGATCAATCGAATCAAAGTTTTTCCTTGCTAATAATTTTTTTTTATCTTGTTGTGCTCTGGATATGAATTTTTTGGTTATTTTTTGATATTTTTTTTTGCCAGTTATTATTGCTAATTCTTCTTTCTTTCTTTCTTTTTTTTGAGCAGTACTTTATCTATATTTAAACGTAAGGTCCCTGCATAGCTCTCTCAGGAAGAGTATGACGTAGTGCCATCGCCACTCAGCTTCTGCCGAAGTTCATCTTCCATCTTCTTGTTGACACTATACCATGAAGAAACCTCTTGATTATTGCTAACAAACCACCGCACAACATTTCCCAAAAACGAGCAGAAAAGTGATTTCCAGAACCGGGGTTCTATGCTCCTTCGCAGAAGAATGAGATTCCCTTCGATGCATTATTGCTATTCTAAAAAATTTATGCCCCATCCGTGCGGTAATTTCTAAGTGAAATCCAATTTTTTCTCTTGCCCACTCTAACGATAAATTAATCGAAGGACCCTTCCCATTCAGTTGATTCCTTCTATCCTCGAGGATATCCTCGAGGATTTGAGCATTTCCTTTGAGGATTCCTGGAAGAGACTGGTAGGTATTCACTCCCCCCCATGGGTTCTTCTGTGCTTTGTAAGTAACCAGAAGGCAATAAAATAGATAAAATGTATTTTTAGAATTTGGGCCTTTTACCGTTTATGTAATCCCAGCTGCGAGATCAATTGGCTGAGGTCGTCCGGCAATTGTGGGGTGTTCTTGTCTATGGAGTCTACGATATGTACCAGTCTTGTCTTCACTCTGAGGAGCAGTCTCCTATACAGGAACTTGTCTCTGAGTTCCAATGGTATGTCTTCGAGGTCTACCGTGGGTGGCAGTCTGAGTTGCTCGCCCAGGGAGTTTATAACGCGGATACCGGCCAGTAAAGTAGACTTGGCCTCTTTGTTTAGGGGTAACCTCAAGGCGCTGATTGTGCTGAGGAAGCTTTGCGTTAGGTGGACCTGGGGCTCCTCGCTTAGTTGTGATCCCTGTTGCAACTTCTCCGCGATGGGTAGCACAAACTTCCACGCTGCCAGAGGTACGACGTTGTCCTTGGTGGGTTCTACGTGCTTGACAAATTCGTTTACTCTTTGCAATAGTGCGTTGGCTCTCGTAGCGTCACAGTATACAGATTGTTTATTGCCTTGCCGTTGAACAGCGGTATATACATGTCTCAACAGAACCTTCATCGGTAACTGCTTCAACGATGGCGTGCTATTGATGGTCTCAAAGAGATCCATGCTGCGAGAACCACATACACTGGTCCTATGACGTACCAGCAGATCAATATAGTTCTTGAACAGTTGGTATGTCAATTGCGGGCCTTCCAGTAACGCTTGCTCTCCCCCTGTTTCATTTTCATATGGAAACCCAGTGATTTTTGCAAAAAACTTGATCCCTATCTGTGGCAAGTCTGAATAATTACATGCCTGTATAATGGAGGGGTAAAGCTTGTCCTGACGTAACCCATCCCCACGCGAACGCATGGACTCTTTGATTACATCATAATGAATACGTCTTTCCACTCCTGAATCGGAAATGCCAAGATCTAATGTAAATACCTCACTGGCCAGTAACAACGCCTCCCTATTTAATCGCTTACTTCTGTCAGACCCGCTCAATGCACTAACAAGCTGGTTTACTAGCATTGGATCAATCGATCTATGCGTCATTTTCGCGATGATCTCATTCAGCATCGAAATCAGTAAGTCCTCATCTTTGATTTTATTGCATGCTTTGATCATCGTGGTGAAGGTAATGGCATCAAATTTACGTGAGTAGCGCTGAGATCGGCTGTCAAATAATTGGAACGCCAGCGAATAGTCAGTACAGTTGGTAAGTGCTCCAAGAGCCGCATTGAATTCCCTGATATTGAACTCTTCATCTTCTCCTTTAGAATCCAGGATCTTCAAAACCATCTCTCCGTACTTAGTCGATATTGGTTCTGGTTGCTTTGCTAAACCATCAAAAAGCGTCACATCTGTATATTCATTAATCGGGATCCCATTTTTCTTCCTCCAATTGTACATATCCACTGCAGATTTAGGCGAGTGCAACTCATTCAAATAATAGTCCATGATTAAGTTTGCACCGCTAGATCCTTTGGCCTTGGCTAACTTCACTAACATGACCGCCTTCTCAACTTGCCCTCTTTTCAAGAACTTCTCAACATCTTTAGTCACCAAGATAGCATCCCGTAGTTGAAAACCATTAACTCCCAGAATGGTATATAGTAACCTATTATCCTTGATCTTAGACAGGAATTTAATATCATTCTCACTCGTAGGACCCAATTGGTCCCTTGATATATCAGATATGCCGTATTTACTTTTCAAAATGTGAACAGCTCTGTCCTTATGGTAAGACGCCTTCTGAGCCTTGTTCCTCTTAATCTTCTGCTTCTCAGCAAGCCGTTGAAGCTCCTTAGATGATTTTCTAATTACAGTAGATTTCTTCTTCAAAACATGAAGCTTTTCTTTCAAGTTCGTATTGCCAAAATTAACCAACGATCCATGGTAGAAACGCACAGTAACTCTGCTCACTTTTACAGCTATCATACTCATGGCCACTGATCCTGCCTGTTTATAGATAGCTTATTAAAGTATCCACAAACACTTGCTCTATCACTACTCTTTATACTATGCAATATTCGAAGACTTTTCTTTGCTCATCGCGGAAATACCGATGACTTGGCTAAATGACAAAATACAAAAGATGATACAGTAAAATATTAAATTTATTTGAAAGAAATCAATTGACAGGGTCATGGCATTTCTAAATTTATTATCATAACATTATATATATTTACATGAATTTTGGCTTCGATGCTATCACTTAACCTATCCTTGCAATGGACTAACAACGTCGTCTTCAAAGTCTGTAGTTGTACCATTCTGCATCACATTCTCAATGTCCTTGATCTCCTTAACAGCCTCAACTGTTAGATTGATATAGCCATCTTTCTTCAGAACAACATCGTCTTCGATTCTAATACCAATGTTCCTGAACTCTGCAGGATACTCGGGGCTGTCAGGTATATACAAACCAGGCTCGATTGTGATGACCTGTCCCTCTACAAGTGGGTTGAACCTTGAGACTTCTGGAACATCATGTACATCCAGACCCAAATTGTGGCCAATGTAATGTGGATACAACTTTTCTGCGATTTCAGTAGCCTTTGAGAAGTTTAAGTTCTTCAATTCTTGTTTGGTAAGTTTCACCGAAGCTTCATGGAGATCATGTAAAGACATATTATTTTCCAGCGCCTTTTTACAATTTTTTAACGATTCTCTTTGCACATTCAAGACTGCCTCGTAAAGATCTTTATGAGCACTAGAAGGCCATTTGCCAGCAACAGGCCAGGTTCGTGAAATGTCTGAACAATACCCTCCGAGTGCACCAGCAGCATCCACTAAAACCATTTCATCATCATACATAACATCGTCGTTACTTGTGTAGTGAATACACAGAGCATTTGGTCCTGTTGCAACAACTGGAATGTAGGCACTCTTGTCACAGCCACCGGAGATGAATTTATGCTCCAAGAATGTATGCAAAGTTCTTTCATTCCTGAATCTCTGTGCCATGGCCATGTTATAACTTCTACCCGAGATCTGCCCAGCTCTCCTCATAAGTCTTATCTCGCTCTCAGACTTTACCTTTCTTAGATCAGCTACCAGAGATTTCAATTTCTTTGGTGTACCTTTATTAGTCTCCTTTATCAAGTTTAAAATATTAGAATTAATCTTGGAGTTCTTGTTGCTGTCGGGATCAAAATAAATACCCTTGTTCCGTTTTATAATCTTAGCCAACTCATTTACCATGCTCATTGAATTATCCACACTGTATGAATGGTCAGCGTTGAAGAATTCCTTAACTGCATCCACACCAGTTCTAAAACCTTCCCACTTCTCCTTAAATTCATTCTTAGGCGGTACAAACATCGTCAACTCATGGTCTTCTATGTTCTCACTGGGCTTTTCCAGCACCATTATACTATCTGGCTCATTCCAACCTGTGAGATAGAACAGATCGTTGTCCTGTTGGAAGGGGTAGAAGACCGCACCAGAGGCAAACTTTATTTGATTAGCCAGAATAATTAAACAACTACCAACAGGAAGATTACGCACAAGCTCTGCACGTCTCTGATAATACTCAGCAGCAGTGATACCTGGAGTCAACTCCCCTGGTTGCAACAGAAACGGTCTATTTTCATGTAATCTCTGACCCAAATTCCACTGGACTTTCGGCCTGTTCACAAACTTGGCACCATTACTCAAATACCGTCTCAGCATCATTGTCATGGTCACTATCCTTGATCCAACTAGCAATCAATTCGTGCCGTCGTTGGGCAAGTGTTGCTTATATATACCAAGCTCATCGCGATGATTCAGCGAATTGTCATGAATTTTTCAGCCCGAAATTTCAGCTCGTTGAGACTTTTCACATTCTATAAAAGGGAAAAGTTAGTCAATGCTTTCAAATTTCAATCACTGGTTGGTAATTGCATAAACTGACCAAATTGTTAGTGAATAAGAAACAATGCTACGTATTCCTTCGAGAATTGGAAGCAGGCAGGTGTTGGCTTGTGCCGGTCGCAATCTGAAATGTGGTTCGGTGATGAGACATATTTCCAGGAGAAATATTTCTAAGGAGCCGGAGAAAGTGTACACCAATTTGGCTGATGTGAATGATCCCAAGCGGGATCAGTTCTTCAAGTATACCTGGGGTACTTGGTTGCAAAATGACAAGCTTGAGAAGGACAAAAGGACTACAAAGTTTTCTCTGAATGGACTGAACTCTGTCCTAGATGATATCTATAGACAAGCCACTAAAAATACTAAGGATAATTTCAAATCTGAAACTGAAATTGTACCACAACCTTTGACGAACAAGAATAGAACTGTATCCATGCCAAATAATATCGCTATCACTAAGTTAGGTACCTTGAACCCCAACGAGAAATCGGTCACTATCAAGACTATTGCCAGTGTCCACGAAGGTAAGCACCACAGGATATATAAAGTTCAAACTAACTTATCAGACGAAAAATCCTTTGTTCTAAGGATTCCCTATCAACTAGACGATGATAAGGCAACAATTTCTCACCGTATTAGAAGTGAAGTTGCTACTCTAGATTTCCTAGATCTCCAATTGAAAATGAAGGTTCCAAAAGTTATCTGCTATGCAGCTGACGATGGTAATCCGCTTGGGGTTCCATTTATATTGCAAGAATACATAGATGGCTCGTTGCTGATGAAAGATTGGAACCCTCTAATGGACGATAAGGCTTTGATGGTCGAAACCGGCGAGGGGTCAACCGAGAATCCTGAGTTGGCTTCTTTGAATAAAGTTGTCAAGAGTATGGCAGATTTCCATGCTAAACTTAACAGCATCTCATTCAACGCCGCGGGTTCTATATATTTCAAGAATGACTCAAATTTGAATTCTGAGACAGTCATTGATAACATTAGTAATGATCTGGCTTCTAACTTGAAGGACAGGTGGGTTCTAGGACCTTCTGTCGAGAGGCGTCTATGGAAAAAGAAGAGCGACTTAGCTATTGAAGAAAGATTGAAATATCTTGGTCCATGGAAGGAGGATAAAGAGACATCTATATCTGCCCAAATTCTAAGAGACACTGCCATTCTGGAGTTGAAAAATGCTGAGGCCAGATTAGCAAAATCCGAACAAAATGGTAGCAAGGATAAAAACACAGAAACATTAATAAAAAAGCAAATAGAAACATTCCAAAATGTGGAAAAAATATCGGGCGATTTGATCTCTTCTGAAATGAAGGCTATTCCAAACATAAAGGATCTCTTAAAGCCAACCATCTTTCATCCTGATTTAGATCCAATGAATGTTCTAATAGAGAACAAAACAGAAACTCCGTTTATGCTAGATTTGGAAGGTGCTGTAGTAAAACCTTTCATTCTGCAAAGTTCACCTCAATTTGTTGCTTACGATGGCCCTAAGATTTACAACATGAAGAGTGACATACCTGAATTTGAAAAGCTGTCAGAAGAGGAAAGAAAACACTACGAATTTATGTATAAACGTACTAGAAACCAATTTCTATGGGAAAAGGCAGTCAACGAGCGTTTACCAAATTTGATTATGACTGTTGCTCCACCAGTTAAAGTACTAAGAAGACCTTATACTGCTGTTCTGGAACAAAAGACTGATAATGACTACATTCTGGTTGATGACTCCTTCTTCCAATTGAGAGAAGCCTGGGCTTTCTTTTTTAAAAACGGTCTTGTTACCAAAGAGGAATTCCCACTAACTTTCACTGATGAGCAAGTCAAACAGCATGCAGATGACTTGAATTCCCTACATGAGAAATTAGTGTCCACTCCGTTCGCTGCTACCCAAGGTTGGGTTCCTCAGGATATGTTTGATAACCTTGTCAGAGCAGGTGTAATCATCAAAGACAGTACTGGAAACTTCACAGTTAACGATATCAACCCATCTGCTTAGCTTTCCCTTTTTTTTATGAATCAATACCATGTATATAGCAAAAATACAGAAAGAATCGTTTCATGCAATTCTTTTTACCTGGTTCCTAGCCAGCGGTCTGATAATGCATGCATCCAGAGTTATTCAATTACTCTATTAACTTTATATAATAGGGTCTTATTTAAATCTACCCAATGCAGAATCCACTACGTCAGTATAATTTTCATCAAGTTCACCTTTGGATATTTTGTGCTTTCTATCACGTAATTGCTTTTCCTTTTCTATCAATTTTTGTACTCTGACCTTTCTTTCATCTATAACATTTTTAGTCTTCTTACGCATAAATGCACGTAAACCAGAGTTTTTCCCCTTTGTATCAACTTTCACTTGGGGAATATCTGAATTGTCATTCTTGACATTGTCTTGTTGCAAAGTAACTTGCTCTAGGTCCTTAGCGGTAAGTCTTGTGGCAGCGGCCTTACTAGACACTGTACCAATAACATTTGGATCCAAAGAAATTGAATCTGCTGGTAATTTGTTTAATAATGTTCTCACTTCTTGTTCTTGTCTTTGCTTTGCAGTTTCGAATGGGTTGATCTCCAAAGCATCGTAGTTTGCTTCACCAGCACCAGGAATTATCAGATTTGTAACACCACTTTCATGACCAACAGATAATAAATCTTCAAATGGGACAAATTTCATATTTCTCACTTTATTGCCAGGGAACAGTTGTGTCATATAAGGTGTATTTCTATTTGGATCGCCATTAATAGATCCGAAGCATGGACGTGCAGATTTACTACTCTTGAGCGCATCCTTCCAAAGTGTGACATGGGGACCCCTGCTAACAGCTAAAACTCCTGTATCTGAAATTGTGACATTTGTGCCGGGTGTAGGTAGGTTTTCCACACTATGAAGTTCTTTAAAGTTTCTTATATCCCAGATCTTCAAAGATTTATCCTGACTCACTGTTGCCATATAGTAACCACTTCTGTCAACAGCAACACTATTTATTGGTCCTCTACCTGACAGCAATTTAACTAGAGGCTCTGGCATTGATGGAGACCACAGAGTAACAGTACCGTTACTATGACCCAAGTGCATCACAGCGTTCCATGGATTGTGCGTCATTGACGTTGTAGGACCCAATTTTGTTCTAAGTTCGGATACCATCTGACCAGTAGAAACATCATGGTATTTCAACCACCCAGTTTGACCAGCTGTTGCTAATAGATAATGGTAAGGTAAGAATTCCAAGTGTCTAGCCTCGATATGTTGTTTCAGCCTATGTAATTCAACACCTTCATGGTCATAAATAAATGTGTATTTCTTTTGTGCAACAGCAAAAAATTGCTCATTTTGTAAATAACAAGCAGCGTTACATGTCTCATTCAGGTTTAATTCTGCCCTTAATTCACCTTTTCTCCAATCCATGGAGGCCACATGACCTTTCAAACCAGTAATCAACATATGTGTACCGTTCCTGTTAAAATTAACATGGTAAGGACCAAAATCATTTAGTTTCAGATCAATACCCTTGGATGCAGTTAAAACATCGACACTATCTCTAATTTCATCCTGTTTCACTCTAAATGTCTTTTCCATCTCAGTTTCAGCTTCCATAAAACCGCTGGATTCGGGCAGCAAGAACTCCGTGGCAGAGGCACTCTCCACAGCTTCCTTATACCTCTTGTCCTGCTTCCGCAGGTTAGCCTTCAGCTTCTTATCCTTGGTCTTATACACATCCTTGGTCTTCTTCACTCCTTTTCTCTGCACATTGGCATTCCTCCTGTACTTTTCAGTAGACATCTTGGCTCAGCTACTTATACTATGCTAATTTGAACACTAGATAAACGATCAGTTAATCAATCAATACTATTATCTCCAACCAATGTAGCTGTTTTGTATGTAAATACTGGGCATCTCATCGCAAAGCTCATCGCAAATTTTTTTTTCACTTTTGGGCTTCTGCGCACAGCATACTCGCAGACGATGATTCCAGTGGACCATCATAGTCTCTAATGGAAGGTATTAAGCTCGTTATCTACATAATATATACATTTATATCTGTGACACTAGTCCGATGGCCACCAGAACGAAGCAGACGTCCCCTATCATCATGGCTATGATGTTCCAGTACTTCATGGCGAGTATCACTTTCCCGCGTAAGTCAGCGATGGGTAAAATACCTTCTGGAACCATGGATACCAGGCTGACTATCTTACTAGTGTCCTGCAAAGTCTTCACACCCGTCTCTCTCTCCACACCGACGCTCAACTGGTAGTAGATTGAGGTTGCGAGAATCTCGAATGTCAAGAAGATTGAAAAGAAGCTCGATTGAGAAGTGAACACTTCTGGCAAGTACGACCTGACAACAAAAGGAAAGTATGTATCATCTGTTCTTGTTAACAAAAAAATGTAAGCAAGTAGAACTATCCACTTCACGAGCGTTGTCTTCGCGGTCAACGTATTGACCCTGTATTTGTGGTACTCAACAAGTTCGGGGTCAATGGCCTCTACCTGTTGCTCTGCCATGGGGAATGGAGAGTCACCTGTAGCACCCAAGTTCTTCATCATTGAAAAGAGATCTGGAGTAGATTCAGTGGCACCTTGGCCTTGCATCTCCGCCAATTGCCTGAACAATTCGACCTGCGGATCTTCCGCCTTTGCCTGAGCCGTACTCTCCTTCTTGGCCTGTACACTGGAATTCATCTCAGGCTTCACAGCCTCACGAGGGATCTCCTCAACCACTTCAGGCTTCTCATCCAAAGCAGATTTGGTATCCAGCTGGCTGCCTTGACCACCAACTATCTTGTTCAACCTCTCACTAGCACCCCCACGGCTAAACTTCTGCTGCCTTCTCTCCCGCAGTATCTTACGCTTCTCAGCTTCACTTAACGACATATGGCCCACTTTTCACTCTACTTCTGTCCTGAACAGATCAGTGTACTTGTCCCAAGTTAGTGCTCTTTTTAACCATCTTGCTTTATTTTGACGGATTTGCTGCAAAATTTGGAAAACTTGACAAATTTCAAGAACTTCGAAATGGGCATCGCAAGTTAAGTAGAGTCATTAGATTTAGGACACAAGTGCAGTACCGTATTGACATCTTCTAATCCAAGTGTCTTTGTACTTGAGACGAAACATAACTAAGATTAGTAATAACTGTAATGGCGACGTTTGTGGAGGATACCAAAGGTGAGAAAATGCTGGCACCTTCTATTGAGGATGTCAACGAGGATCCCGATGAGTTACGTAGTATTCGAGGCCAAAGTAGATACTTTGGTGAGACTGAGGATGATACGATAAAGGAGCCTGAGGCCAAATGCAGTAACTGTTCAGAGACGGGCCATTTTAAGCGTGATTGCCCCCATGTAATATGCTCTTACTGCGGTGTGATGGACGACCATTACTCCCAACAGTGTCCAACCACCATGAGATGTGCTCTGTGTAATGAAAGTGGGCACTATAGGATGCACTGTCCCTTGAAGTGGAAGAAACTTAACTGTACGCTTTGTAATAGTCCAAAACATCTGCGTAATAGATGTCCAAGTGTATGGCGAGTCTACCTATTGAAGAACGAGGATAACAAAAGGAAAGTGCTGCCGATGCACCAGATCTATTGCTATAACTGTGGTGACAAGGGTCATTACGGTGACGAATGTGACAAGGCCAGGTCTTCTCGTGTGCCCAACGATGACGGCAGTGCCTTCTCAGGAAAGAATCTATCCTCGGAACTCAGAGGTCAGTATACACATAACATAGATAGACAGAGGTCAAGTCAGGACATGGTCTCGTCAGTGTACGATAACCTACGCTCTTCGCAACCTATTGCATACCAGGTTGGATCAGACCGCGGATCTTTATTGGAGGATTCCGATAAACAAACTGATAGTAATCGACCATCCAGGTTCTCCAACACTAAAATAGATACCGCTAGATTATCAAAGACGCCCGCTAGGTATGTACAAGACCGTAGTTCGAAGAATAAAAGGAAGTTTAAGGACTCGTTATATGACGACGGAGAGGATGACGAGGATGAAGAGGATCAACTCTACAAAGAGAACTCAAGGCATGATAATCACAAAAGATCAGACCGCCGGTCTAGATACGGTAATAAGAAAACGAACGGAAACTCAGGATATAACCAACAGCAAAGCCATTTCTACAGACCACCATACCAGGGATACCAGTCTGCCTCTTACGAACAATACCCATCACAGAATTCCGGTTACGAACATCACAGTGGAATACTGCCAACTAGATCCGGAGTGAATGTAGGAGCTACAAACACTGGCCATTACCAGCAACAGTATTACCAAAATAACAGCAGCACGTACCCACCACAGAATATGATCTACAACCAGCAGGTACCTATGAGTGCATATGCTCCACCAGCACCCACACCTGTGAAACCCAGTAGGAGTGGTGTAATTAAGCGTTACGATGAGTAAATAACGAATACATATTTTATAGATCAGAATTTTGTATTGGAAGCCCAGTGCGGGCAAGTATAAGATTCAACTCTCTCTTATTAGAAACGCCAACATACCAAGCACATCACCACTTTTGGAAGCTATTTGTATTGATACAGAAATGGACCAAAACCTTGTTGTGATTATACATTGACTGACAAATATAAGAGATAAACTAGTAAAAAAAAGTAAATGGTCTCTAGCGGGATCGAACCGCTGATCCCCGCGTTATTAGCACGGTGCCTTAACCAACTGGGCCAAGAGACCATTGTGATTTGTTATGTCCGGAAAAATAAAATGGTCAGTTTCATAGTGTGGATAACATGAAAAAAAAATATCTGAGTCTCGAGTGGTATAGGCTACAATAGTATTCCATAGCGTTTGGGAAACGGCAAGATTGGAGCTAATATTGGTGATTCCTCCCTAATATATGTGGGGCTCAGACTGTGGTACTATATTGCACACTAAAATCAATTTTTGTACATTAAGGGGAATCAAAGCAGTTCATTCTCACGTACTGTTAAGAGGCTTTGAACAGTCAAGATAACGAGATCGATCTGCAGCAAGGTTTTAAGTTTGCAATAATTTCTTTTTAAGGATTTTATGAGCAAGTTTAGAATCTTTACACTCTTCTTAAGTGAGTCCCCACCTAACGTGGAAAGTCCTCCCCAGAGCAAATCCTTGTGGTTGGTGATATTCCTGTAGGTAGCACTCAAGATCACCCCATAGTGATGATGAGGGCCCTTGGAGGAGAAGATCGCAAGGGCACTTTCTCAGCGTGCAGCACTTGCAAATTGGGAAGATCAGTGTACCATCATATTCTATATAAGAGTAATACCTATTTGTACTTTCGCTACCTAATGTATTGATTTAAACGTAACCGACCAACACACATGGCAAAAAGATGAACACGCCGCATATACCAAAGTATGAGCCTGGCACCACAGTGACAGTTGGATCACATAGCGTGCATATTTTGAAGTATTTGACTAGTGGTGGATATGCTCAGATCTACAGTGCACAGATCATGCCTGCAGACCAGTTTTTGGGAACCAACATGGCCGTCTTGAAGAGGGTCATTGTACCAGACAAGTCACACTTGAATACCCTCAGAGCTGAAGTGGACGCAATGAAAAGGTTAAAACATCACAAATACATTGTCTCCTATATTGATTCGCATGCGGCTAAGTCTCAGTACATGGATGGTACTTATGAGGTGTTCCTGATCATGGAATACTGCAGTCGAGGTGGATTAATCGACTTTATGAATACTAGATTACAGAACAGACTTACCGAGACAGAGATATTAACAATTCAGCTTCATATATCTCAAGGTGTGGCTGCTATGCATACTCTACAGCCTCCCTTAATCCACAGAGATATAAAGATTGAAAACGTCTTGATATCTAACGATCACAAGTATAAACTATGTGATTTTGGTTCAGTTTCAGGCTATATAAGGCCTCCAAAGACACCAGAAGAGTTAGCCTATGTGAGACACGACATAATGATGAGTACCACAGCCCAATACAGAGCACCGGAAATGTTGGACTTAACCAAAGGTTTCTCCGTGAATGACAAATCAGATATCTGGGCCCTGGGTGTATTTTTATACAAACTTTGTTATTACACTACACCATTTGAACAAACCGGAGAAGCAGGTATTCTAAACGGTGGTGTAGAATTCCCACCATACCCTCATTATAGCGATGCGGTGAAGCAGCTGATAATGTCTATGTTAGCAAAGAATCCACTACATAGACCCAACATATTCCAAATTATACAAACAGTTTCCAAACTACTGAATGTTAACTGCCCAATTCCAAATATTCATGTACCCACAGATATCAGTATTGCTGTATCCAATAATAACACAGGAAATATGTCAATTAACGGCTACTACAAACCTATGAACCAGAACTCTGGAATTTCTACTCCACACTCTGCTGGCAAGATGTTAGCAGGATTCCAGAATGATATGCCTAAACCTAGCACAAAGTTAGGAAAGCAAGAGCTATTCAGCCGCTCAAAGACAGTGCCAAATGACATAGGTGGTCTAAACGAAAGATCCGATATTTCGGCATTCTTACTAAGAAAGAAAGCAGAATTAGAGGCTACACCCAATCCTCTAGAGTCTTCAAAATATATTGATGACGATTCATCATCAACAACCTCCGAGGATAGCTTTGATGACCATGCATCATTCATATCCAAAACACAATCTGCACACAGCGTTTCGACAGTTGATAGATTCAATGCATACCTAAAAGCAAATGATAGTATCTCAGAAGAGGATAGTGATGAGTCATTCATGCCAGGTGCATCGCATTTAAATAGATTCAGAAGTGATACACAAGAAACCAGTAATAAAAGGCAAACAAAAGATGAAATTCTGCTGAAGAGAAGAAGTCTACCATTCACCAATAATGAAGCCCGGAGAAACCAAAGTACTGACTCCGAATTAGATACCTTGTCCAAAGCAGAGAAGAAGGAGCAATTGAGACAGAGGATGATGAGTGCACTGAATGCATCTGAGGATGTTATAAAGAAAACTAAGTCTAGAGATGGTTCTGTTAGCAATGACAACAATTATCTGTTAAAATCGAAACTTCACGGAAGAAGAGATAATGAACAGAGGTTTTCTAGTGTCGTGGTTAACCCTCTTGACAATTCAAATAATCTTCCTACAAAGAAAACTCCACCTGTTAAGCCTCCGAAACCCGACCATCTTAAACCAAAAGTACCACCAAAGCCAGCATTTTTAAAGACATAAGAATGATTTTTTTTCTCTCTCATAAACCAGTATTAATTTTCAGTTTAGCTTATATAATAGTAATCTTCATCATATAGTTATAAAACATAATTTAACATTGCATAGTTGACATTGCATAGGAAAAACCCGTTTTCCAGTTATATAAGTACTAGGAGACTTTAAGATGGCGTTAATTTAATGCCTGCGCAAATCATTCACTGTCACTCCATTCTTCGAAAGAATCTAAGATGAAATCTGTAGATTCCTCAAGTCTTTCTTCTATGATGTTATTCATTCCTTCGGCGTCACACCTTAACACACGTCCAAACTTCTTTCTAGGCTTCCTATTTTCATTGTCTCCCCAACAGCTGTGGCTATGATCTGTAAAAACTAAAGAATTCTTAAAGTACCAATCTCCCAGTGATTCGTTCACTAATGGGACTAAAGGTTTCAATGATTTTTTACCAATGAAACTAACGACCGATTTGACAACACTTCTTGTATCTCTGTGACCAAGTAAATGAACGATTCCTGCTGAAGCATCACCAATACCAATAAAGGCCACCTTAGTTAAAGAAGGAAAAAACTTCAGATAATTGTCCCATATATATATCAATATCTCTTGCGATGTCAACACAGCAGTATAATTTTCTTGTTCAAATAGAGATTGAGGGATATTGATATCCATAATACCATACTTTCTTTCTAATCCCCATTTAATAAATTCGGCTCCTGAATCAACAACCAGAGATGTTGATGGGTCAATTGTACCAGTAATAACATTTCTCTTGGCCCATATTTCTGGTGTATCATGTACAACAACCAAAATAGTAGTTTCATTAAATAAATTAGGTGAACAGATGACGCTATCTTGTGGAACTTCCATATTAAGGAGTGGTAGTGTTACAAATCCAAAATCTTCAGAAAGCTGATGGAATTGCTCTTGGCGAATAGCAGTCTGTAAAGGAAAACTCTTTGACATCATCAGAGCTTTGACGACATTTTCGGATGGAAGTCCTAAATTACCATATCTTTTTCCAAAACATTTCCAATACTTAGATTGTAAGCTGATAACTTTATCTATTATTTCCAAAGCTTCAGCTTTAGGTTCTCTCAGAGGATCTGGTAACTCATCTGGTGGTTCTCCTATTAATATCTTTGCTACAGAGAGGGCACTGATGGCAATTGCATCTAGGTTATAACCACCTTCCAAGACAACACATAAATTACCTCTTGCCAGAGATTTCAACATATGTGTCATATGCCCATAACAGCTAGGAGTAACGTGGCATTGGCCGATTGTATCACCATCTGCTGCATCAAAACCAGACGATATGATCACCAAATCTGGTTGGAATTCTCTTCCCATTGGCATGACTACTTGTTCAAAAGCCCACATGTATTCCGCGTCACCAACACCTCCAACTGGCCATGTAATATTACAATTAAAACCTTTACCTTTACCTTCACCTATCTGATCATACTGCCCTTGAATTGTACCTGGATAATACTTGCCCAGCTCGAATCTGTGAAGTGATATATATAAAACTCTATCATCGTCATAAAATGCCTTCTGAGTACCATTACCATGATGAACGTCCCAATCCAGAATCAGTATTCTGCGTACACTCTCAGGGTAATTTTTTAAAATGTTTTTAGCGGCCACCGCTACATTAGAGAACAAACAAAACCCACCTGCAGCTTCAGGCTCAGCATGATGACCAGGTGGTCTAACCACAGCCAGTGAGTTCTTAACCCTACCTTCCACCACAGCTTTACATGCCTCAATTGCACCTCCACATGGTAACCTCGAAGTAGCATACGAGTCGTTATTAAAATATACAGAATCTCCTTTCTCCGTTTCCTTCAGCAACTCCTCACGATTCATCTTTTCCGTCTTTTCTATAAATTCCAAGTGCTCCTTCGAGTGCACTTCTAGGATCTCTTCAGCTGTAGCTGCTCTAATAGGTATCTTCAACATTAAATCACCAATATCGTTAACACCGCTAAGGGTAGGATCATTTATCAACCCATTCTCCGCCAGAATTTTGTAAATACGGTATATTCTCCTGGGATCCTCTGGATGTGGATCAATGTACTCGAAATATGAAGTGAAGATTTTCGCATGGTAACGCATCCTCACGTCATAACATATACCAGTCTTCAATGGAGTATAATGTATTTGAGCCTTGCGGGTAGGCACAATCACTGGCCTTTTAACATCCTGACTTGCAACATCATCCTCTAACTTACGCTTTGATTCCCCAGGCTCCTGCTTCAATTCAACACCCATTGTTGATATTCCTGTTGACAACACTTATCTTGGCCTCCAGCAACAGTGAACGCTCGCAGAAAAAAACTCACCAGATAATCACTAACCCAATTGCAACAATAATTTAGCGCTAGCCAACGTAACAATGGTTTTCTAGATATATATTGACCGATTTGAACTTTAACCTTTTTCATTGTTGATCATTCGAACGCTTGCTGATTTCCAGTTTTTTCAGGTTTTCAGCTGAAAAATTTTGAAAAAAAAAAAAATTTGCGATGAGCTCATCGCAAAGGCATAAAGAATGGTAGCTATCAGAATAGCATTTGATCATTATTAGAGCTTGATATTGGCATTCTAACATTTGAAGAACAACAAGCAGAGCACAATGTCTACACAGCTACCACCGCCATCGAAGAAGCAGAAGAAGGAGGCTCAGAATGCCAGAGAAGTGGTAGGGTTGGTCCCCGAGGATGTTCCTCATGTATCTATTAAATTTAAAGCGGAAGACACTGGTGAGTTTGTTGGAGGTACTCTACGTGTCCCAGGTGGCATTACTGAGAAGCAGCTAGAGGAACTATTGAATCAGTTGAATGGTAATGGTGAAGATCCGGTACCGTACACTTTCAGTTGTACTGTCAAGAACACTAAGAATGCAGTTACTACTACGCATACTGTTGATATTGTTGATAACATATACAGTTCGCTGTTGAAGCCCGGTCATAACAGTACGGAAGATATAATAACTTTGGATTTCCAGCCTAGGGCTGTTTTCAAGGTGAAGCCCATCACTCGTAGTTCATCAGCCATTGCGGGCCACGGTGCAACTATTCTGTGTTCTGCTTTTGCTCCACATACAAGCTCAAGAGTTGTCACAGGTGGTGGTGATAACACCGCCAGAATATGGGACTGTGATACACAAACTCCAAAGGTCACCCTCAATGGACACAGAAACTGGGTTCTATGTGTATCGTGGTCCGCGGACGGTGAAGTTATAGCTACTGGATCCATGGACAACACTATAAGATTATGGGATGCTGAGAGTGGTAAGCCATTAGGTGATGCATTGAGAGGGCATTCTAAATGGATTACTTCTTTGACCTGGGAACCTATTCACTTGGTTGAGCCAGGCTCTAAGCCTAGACTGGCATCTGCTTCGAAGGATGGTACCATCAGAATTTGGGACTCAAGCAGGAGAGTTTGTTTGATGACACTGGGTGGTCACACAAACTCGGTATCCTGTGTGAAATGGGGTGGTGAAGGTATATTATACAGTGGTTCTCACGACAAGACCGTCAGGGCTTGGGATATGAAGCAGAACGGTAAATGTATCAATATTCTCAAATCACACGCACATTGGGTAAATCACTTGTCTCTATCCACAGATTATGCGCTACGTGTAGGTGCATTCGACTACACTGGAGTAAAACCTGCCAATGCAAAGGAGGCTAGAGACAAAGCACTACAGAACTACGAGAAAGTCGCCAGGAAGAACGGCAAGCATGAAGAGCTGATGGTCACAGCAAGTGACGATTTCACCATGTTCTTGTGGAACCCATTGAAGGGCACAAAACCAATCTCCAGAATGACAGGACACCAGAAACTGGTAAACCATGTAGCATTCAGCCCCGATGGGAAGTACATTGTCTCAGCATCGTTCGATAACTCCATAAAGCTGTGGGATGGTAAAGAGGGTACTTTCCTATCCACGTTCAGAGGCCATGTAGCCAGTGTTTACCAAGTAGCATGGTCCTCTGACTGCAGACTGCTAGTTTCTTGCTCTAAGGATACTACTTTAAAAGTCTGGGATGTCAAGACCAGAAAGCTGTCTGTGGACTTGCCAGGCCACCAGGACGAAGTATACACCGTCGACTGGAGTGTCGATGGTAAGCGTGTATGCAGCGGAGGTAAGGACAAGATGATGAGACTGTGGACACATTGAGCTCATATATACGAATAGCCTATAGATATCCCTTGCCATATAGCAAACACAAATACAAATACCAAGTAAACCTCTATGCATTATATCGTACTAATCTCTATATTTATCACTATCCACGCCATAGTTTAGATGGCTTTTCCTTCGAAGCACTTGAACATCAGCTGGAAGGGCCCTGTAGGATACTAGCAATAGCCACATCTCATGCTGGAGGATATAAATGGCATATTGTAGTTTGGAGGTCTTAGAGTTCGTGGTCAGGATAGCCACTGTCGAGGAATAGGGTCTGGTATAGGTATGTTGTCGCGTGTGGCCCGGAGGAACGGTGTATTTGTGAGGTTTCAGTCGAGTGCGGTCTTCCCATCAGTTAGCGAAGTGCGTAACGATGAGCTGGTTGGGCATGGCAGTTATACTAGCAAGAGTTATTTTGTGGAGAGGAGTCGAGTAGGCAATCTTCCCGTTTATTCTGACTATCGTGGTGGCGGTAACAAAGTGGTCACTGAGATACGCAGAATTAGAGGTAACGCAGTGCAATTGAAGAAGGACTTGCAAGCGGTGCTGCCACATATCCCTGAGAAGGATTGGCGTGTGATCTCGCAATCTAATAAGATAGAGATCAAAGGTAACTACATCTCCGAACTGAAGAGTGTGCTGTCAGAAACATTCTGAAAGATACAATATTCCCAAGTGAATTAATATTCAAGTGCGTCACGAAGCATATAACTCACCAAATTGTAATTTGGACTAGTAATAATATTGGCAAAAATAGTCTAATAATGTTGCGCTCCGTTTTTTACATCCACATGTACATAGAAACTGATAACTTTCCATCGAATCATTTCAAATAATCATATTATATTTTCATATATAAAAAAAACAAGATTTTATACAAAGTTATTCATGAACTAAGCCTTAGTTTCTGGGACGGATCTCCACTGCTTCAATGACACGATATTAGTTCTCTTCAAGAATTCAGCTCTGTGCTTGAATACATAGAAGCAAACAGCCAAAGAGACTAGGATAAAGAAGACCTTGAATAATGGGAATCCAGAGTGTCTGACATAACCGTTGTACAAGGCATTTGCTGGCATTTTCTTTGGAATAGCAGCAGTTTCCTCAGCCTTGAAATATCTGGCAATTGAAACACCCTTGGTCTTGTCACCATTGTTATACTCTTCCAATCTCTTCAGCCATTTAGCGTGCAACTCATCTGGCTTGGCGAGACGCAAGTCTTCCTTGACCATGTACTTCAAGATCATGTCCTTGGTGGAAGAGACTTCGGCGTGTTGAACTTCATTCAAGATGACATCTAGACCAGAGACAACTTGGCCAAAAATACTGTATCTGCCGTCTAGTTCGGTATCAGGCTTGGGGTTGGTAGAGATAAAGAATTGAGACTCTTGCTTACCTTGACCGTGGTTCCACATAGCAATTCTACCTGGTCTGTCAAACTTCAAGTCAAAGTTTTCCTCAGGCCATTTGTCACCATAGATAGAGTATGGTGAGATACCAGGCAAGATTTCACCACCAAGAATGTACTTATTTGGAAGAACATTGGTGAACTTAGTACCTGGATATCTCAAGGTCATGACACCACTACCACGACCTTCAATAACAGCTTTAATACCTCTAATCAAGGTAATAAAGTTGTCTCTGGCCTTAGGGCACACAGTACCGTACACGTCAATACTGAAGTCCACTTCTTTCTTGACATCGCTACCCTTTGGGAAATAGCTAATGGTCATGGAAATACGGTTGGTAGCAGGTGGGTCTGGCGCATACATTGATCTCAAATCCACATCAGCACTGTCGGCCAATGTGGATTGCATGCTAAATAGCATGGTGAATAAAAACAACAAAATATTGGCAAGCATCCTTATAGTATTGAAAACAATTCCACGTTTGGCCTATCTTTCGAACTGGAGGTGAATTGATATTAACAGTTGCAGCAGCTTTTGAAAAGAGAAGATGGCGTTATGTGTGTACTTGCAATTGGTCTTTATTTGGTTTAACTTACAGTAAGAACAAGTTTCTCAGAAATGCTCTCTTTATTTTTTATATAATGCAGAATGGCGAAATGTTGTACAAAAGATTAGTTAGTTGCAAATCATTTACAGAATATAAAAAGTAGCAAAGAAAACCCAGGACGACAGTAACTAAGAAGGGCAAAAGACTGAGTTCTTTGGGACACTTGAAACGCAATTCTTCTGCGAAGGGGTTCTTCCTCCTTTGGGTTTGGGAAAGGGATTCGCAAGAGAGCTTTGAAGGAAGCAACCTGCAAGTGTTGCCTTAGGTTGGGAGAAGACAAACGATGCAAGAGTTGTGAGAGGGCAACACTGAGGAGCAGCAATAATGGGAAAAACTCAGCTGACAAAAGGACATTTCTCATGAATAAGTACGCGATTTTTCAAAGCGAAGAAAACAATTCGTTAAGATGAATGGATATCGTGTACTGCAATAATATTATTTTGATGACTCCTCACATGACGGCATGAATGATATGTCAATGGTGATTGAAGAAAAATGCATGGCCTGACTATATCGACGCCGGTAGTCATACATCTCTCTCGCTCTCATTGTCGCTATGCAAGTTGTTTTCAGTGGTAAAAATTATTGCTAATGTGGCCATATTTTGTAGTTTATCCTTATATTATTGGCAACAGTTTAAATCACACACCGTAATCTGTACATATTCCCAGCCAGTTTCTTCCTATGCATGTTTTTTCTGGTGCGTCTGTAGAGGTCAAGGTCTCAGATTCTGAATGAGAGGATGTTAATTGTGAAGAAGATGCAATAGAGCTTGATGATTCCTCCCTTCTGTTCCTCCGTTTGTTAACAAACTTCCAATTGTAGCAATCTATACAAGTAGGAGCTCTCTGACACTTTGCTGGTCTGCCATATTCCAAGATAACCTCATCTATAACTCTATGGATTCTATGATTCAACAGGTTCACTCTCCAGCCTTTGTCGTTTACAACATCGTACATGCAGTATTGGCCAGAGTGGCATGCAGTTTCCATCGCATATCCACCGATGGAACAAGAAGAGCTGGCCCCATTACAGGTTCCCATGAAAATGGGATCGGCGTTGTGTCCAAAATGCCATATAGCCTCCTCATAGTCTGGTAGTCCCGGTGGTAAAGGCAGGTGTAATCTCTTTGCTGGTAATAACTCACCCGGTGCTTCAAAGGTCACTGCAGGGACACCATATGTCCTTCCCAGAAGTGCGGCCAGCGCACCACCAAGAGAGTGGCCTGTCAGCCAAATTGCCGAATCTGGATACATCTCAGTAACTTGTTTATAAAGCTTTAGTGTTGCCGCATAGTATCTGTCTTTCCTCTTCAGCTCAGCCTCCACACAGTTCTCATCACATGTATACGATTTCATGTAACAATCGCAAACAGTTGTCCATAGATAGCTAATCCTTGCACAACAACATGAGAAAAGTAGATTATCGTTAATTTTATCGTTTGTGATGGTATCTTCTTCACCAGATCCGAACAGCCCCTGTGAGCTTGTACCCTTTATTGCTATAACCACAACTTTTGTAATTTTATTAACAAATATGTGCCCTCGCAGTCCGTCCTTGTCCCATCCGAACTTCTCCTCGCCAGTGTGGCCCCAGGAAGATGATAAGTTCCGCCAATCACCGGTATACGGTGTTCTCACATACGCATTTGAAGACATCAGCGCCAGCGCCAACACGGTGTTTCTATTGCGCACATCCGGCACCTGTATCTTTGCCGTTTCCCACTCTAGCTCAATGGTGCGCGCCAATTCGGGGTTCTCTAAGCTAAAATCGATGTACTTCTCCATCGATACGGGATCTCGATCTTGCAACCTCTGAATATCCATGCTTCGGGACCGTAGATCAAACACATGGCTAAACGGCCTCGCACCAGTCTTAGCCCACCAACTCTCGACAAACTCAGAACCTGACTCCATACTAACATACTCGTCCGCACTCACACGCATCTCCTCGCTAACATCTACACAACTGCTTACTACATCCTCAGGATCATACGCCCAGATGTGCTCTAACCGGAACCCATTGCCACTGCTATCACTAAGGCCATCACCATTGCTACCGTCACCGCGTGAAGAATCCCGGCTCCTGTGCCATACAAACAGCACTGCTACAGCTACTATAACCTTCAAAAGCATCGTAACCTGACGCCCTAGCATGGACTCATATGTGGCTCTGATAAACGCCCAGCAAGAGAGGAATGCCCTTTTTATGATATTGCACAAACTGAAATTCTAGAGATTTCCCGTGATAATAAATGGTTCATCGGAGATTCGAATGGCCATCCAGTTTGCGTATGGAGTGATACTTTGTTCCTCTTGGCTTCGATGTGAATTTGGCAAAGTGAATAGGACTAATAGTAATGAAATAAGCATATTGATAGTTGTTTGATTGGGCGTGTGGATTTCTAGGATGTGTCACCGGCAGGTGAATTAAGTACAATTGGTTGTGGCTTACTGCTAGCTTTTTTTTTTTTTACTCCATTCTGGTGTTTCTGTCGAGATACGAGTGCCAAGCACAAAGGAAGCACAAAAGATGGTGTTTGATAGCGAGTATGATCTCGGGTATCCTGTATATGGGGCCCAGTTTTTGAGTGATGGGATGCTGCTGGTTGCCGGTGGTGGTGGTGTTGGGGTTATGATCCCGAACAAACTGACTGCGCTGCGTGTGAACTTCGAGAAGAAGAAAGTGCTGAAACGGTACAGGGAGATCACATTAGACTCCCAGGATGACTCGCCTTCTAACCTTGGTGTCGCACAGAACATGATCCTGATGGGCTGTAACGAAGGATATGATAAGATCAGCTCTACAGGGGAGAATCACCACATTCGGAAGTTTGTATTTGAGAATGATCATTTGAAGTTTATCGGGGCCATTGACTTCGATGGCTCTACGGATCCCGAAGTATACACAAAACTAATTTGCATGTCAAAGGACGGCACTATTGCTGCAATTGCGTCTTCAAAGCTGCCAACTGTGATTCGGATCATCGACCCGATCGATCTGACTGAAAAGTATGAGATCGAGACCGGTAGAGATGTCAGGGACATTCACTTCTCTCCAGATGGGAAACTCCTTGTTTATATCACAGCTACGTCACTAGAAGTAGTTTCTGTGGTCACTGGCAGGTTTCTGTTCAGAAAGACCGATTTCAATAAAGCCACTGACCTGGCGCGTGTCAAATTTATTAACGATGACGATTTTGTCTTGGCTTCGGGATTTAAAGACAAGGCCGGTATCGCACTAACGACATTCAGAATTCGGAACACAAATCCAACTATACTATCCTCTAAGAAGGTTTTCAAGGACTATAAGAAGATTACGGCGATGGATGTGGATCCAAAGGGACAATTGATAGCATTGACTACAGATGATAATTCCTTAGCTTTATTGTCAGTCAAAAAACTCAATGTTATCAAATTGTTTAAGCAAGTACATAAGGACACGATCACTAGAGTGACTGTTTCTCCTGGGGGTCAATACGTTGCAACTGGGTCTACAGATAAGACTGTTCATATATTTAAAATCTCCCCTGACGCAATGGGCGGCTCCAACTTATGGAAATCACTATTACGCTTTTTATTTAATGTGATGAAGCTCGCAGTGGTGGTTATCTGGGCGCATCTATTTTATAAATATGATCTACACCACAAATTATACGATGTTACCAAGGTTCAGTTGGAAAAGAGATCAATTGAATTTCCATCGTTCTTGGATGGCATTCTCGGTACTACTACCACTAGATCAACTATTATTGAGGGCGATATTGTAAGTGTTGTAACTGATACAGCACCAGCCTTGACGTCATCTGTCTTCAGCGAGGATAATAAGGAATACGCCAAAGTAGAAGAAACTACACCTAGTAATAGCTGGAGTTCTGTTTCTGAAAGTTATTGGCCTTCTGAGGTTTCCAATGATATTGAAAGTGTGCAAGAAAATTTTGATGATATAGAGAATAAAATCCTAGAAAATGAGGATGTGGTAATGAAAAATGATGCGATAGAGACTGAAGATGAAAGTGTTGGTTTTGACATAGATGATACAATTAAGCCAATTGCACCTATTGACATAGATTTGGAACTAGATGATCCACTAGCTTCAACCTCTGTTGATACTTCAGAGGTTTTGTCCAGTCAGGTCCCAGTTCAATTGGAGACCCTTTCTGGGCAAAGTGAAATTATTGATGATAAGCCCGAACACCTAGATGAAGAAGTGAGCGAGGGATTTCTAGGTGATCATTCGAAGGCGAACCTCGAAACGGAAATTGAAAATGCAAGCACTTCTATCAGCATTGAGGAAAGTACTAATAGCCATAGCACTTTTATTGAGTCAAGCTCGTCTTTAGAAGAAGGCAGAAACACAACAAGCGAGAGCTCTAGGGAAATTAGTAGCGAAACCTCTATAATCAAAGAAGATATGCTCTACCCAACTGAAAATGTTTCTGAGCAAAGCGCCACTGATAAAGTTAACAAGAATCAAAGTATTGACAAGATTGATGTATCTTCAAGTTCTTCAATCCCAACATCTTCTGAAGGGTCCTCTAATAGCATTGTGGGAGATGAAGCTCAAATGCATATAAGTTCCCTTTCTAGTATAGAAACAGAATTATCGAGCTCATCTATTATGATCAATGAAGAAAGTACCATTAGAAATGCTGATTCGGTAGTCGATGAGAATCATAGTGAAAGTAAGTTGCCAACCGAAGCAAAAACAAGCATTGTTGGGTCTATCGACAACGAAAATATTGATTCCACAGAGCTGAACAATTTGGAAGAAGCTGTAAAGACATCATCTAATGAATCATCACTGAGTCAAGTAACTGAAGAATTAGTAAAGAATAATGAAAGAGTCTCCAATCAGTCACTGTCAACTGTATCAACTGAGCACACTGAAATGAAGGAGTCCTCAAATTTGACAGAAAAGAAACCTGAAAGCAACTCACCAGAGTCTAATTTGTCAGAATCCAGCTTACAAACACATGATTTCTCTCAAATCAGTGATACCGAGAGGAATATTGTCAGTAGTAGCGCATTTGTTACTGATCTCCCATCCGAAGAGGCTAGTGTTAATCCTGGTAATACTGAGGGGACTATCGTAAACGCTTCTCTTGTTGACTCTCAATCGAGTAATTCAAGTGTTAAGACAGTCGAAACTAATGTATCTCAGGATGAACAAACTTCACAAAATGAAACTCTATCTGTTGGAGCAGCAACAATAGATGTTATTCAGGGATCATATACATCTGTTTCCGATTCTCTCGACGGTATGAACAATGAAGAAGTGGGCAATAAAGTACATATTGAAGACGTATCGAATACCCTTGAGATAGACTCATCTGCATCTGCGTTATCTGAGCAGGGTGATAATCAATTTTCAGATTCAACCCCTGAGGTCGTTAATGTTATAAATGAATTCACTACAACACCAGAAAACGAGACTTCTTCTCCCTTAGCTTCTTCTTCGACAACGTTTATGACCGAATCACCATCTCCTATTGCTGTGGCTAATGAAGTAATTGAAAATATTCAACAGGATGAGCAAGTTGCCCAGCAAATGGAAGATACTAACTCTGGTTCAAGTAATTTTCAGGATACACAACATAATGTGATAAACGATGAATTGTAGATTCTCGCATAATGAATTGACTACAGTGGAATGTAACTACAACAGTTATTTGTTTTGTGAAATATATGGATATTTGTAAATTACCTTCTGTATTTCATTTATGCACTTGTTCTATAGGTCAATAAATAGAGAATTATATGATAATCGTATAGTATTTTATGTTGCAGATAGCTCTGTTTGAGTTGAGCTTTCTCTGGGAGATTGTGATGTCATTAAGGTTTCGTTCTCAGTCTTTCTCCTTGTCTTTTTTGCATCACATAGCAATCTGTTAAAGGAGTTTTTGTGTAGCAGCATCCATCCTTTCTTATCAAATGAGTCTTTCTTGAAATCTTTCAAGAGTTTTTCGTATTCCTTTCCTTTATTTTTACTGTTCATTTTCATTAATTGTGATATAGTATTTGTTCCCCCGTTGCTACTGTTATTGTTACCATTGTGACTGGCGTCCCAGCTCATAAGTTGCCTTCGTAATTCGGATTCAGAAACTGGATTGATGGAGTCTATGAAATTGCTATTCCATAGCATTTCGTAATAGTTATATCTAGCTACCATGTTGGCTCTAGTTCCACTAACTGGTAAAGACAATGATGCTAATTTCTGTTTTAGCTGACTCGTCGTCATTTTGGCAAAATTAAGCTTCGGCAGCCTTTGTTGAGTAGATGTATTTGTAGAGTTTAAGTATCTTTTTACATGCGAAACAGACTCACTGGGTTTTGGCGACAATCTTGATTGTTTAATTGGTGGTGAACTTGTTGGTGGTTTGGTCAAACACTCATCTAAATGTGTTCTCTCTAAATAACGTATGGGGAACAGCTGTGAGCATATTGGGCATGGTGCCTTCTCTTCTGTTTTAGCTTTTCTAGTTGTGAACATGTCGCTGATTTTTGCAGCTTTGGTCGGTCTACTCCCATTCAAAATAGTTCTGGCAGTTCTCTTTGTACCAGTAATTTGTATCTCATTATCCTCATCTATGATATCACTAGTATCATTAACAGTTATATGATTACTATTTTCATTAACGTCGTCATCTATTTGTAACAAAGACGGTTCTTTATCAGAGACAACCTCTATAACAGAATTATCCTGATTGGTCTCTAAACTGTTTAGTTCATCTAACAGTCGCTGTCTGGCTGCCTTGTAGGTCTCTGTTATTTCATTCACCAAATATTCGCTCCTTAGCATTGATTCTCGTAACTCATGCAGGCATAACGGGCACTTTGGTTCATTACTGAGGTAACCCCGAATGCAGAGTGAGCAGAAGGTATGCCCACATGGAGTTAACACTGGGTTCTTGAGGAAATCCTTGCAAATGTGGCAGCGAAGAAGATCATCAAGCTCTTGCAGCTGCGGCACTTTACTCTTCTTGAAGTCAGCAGCACTAGTTAGCACATCCATGACCAGCACAGTTCCAAAAGATTATGTATACTAGCTATTCCTTTCTTGGGATCAATAACATTGAGTCTCCCACTAGTAATAAATTACAGCTCATCGACTTTTATTATATGTTTTTTGTCAAATTAATGATTTTTGTCACTTTTCGGTGGTTAAAGGCCAGTGATAATATGCATAGACATCACCGATAAAAGAAGTATAATGACTTTACAGTTTTATCGGGCTGGATAATCCTACAGCATTAAGAAAGCATAAAAGAACAAGAATTCTTTTCAACTCTAATCCTAGCCGCGTTATTGTTGTTAACCTCGCTTCAATAGAATATATATATTGAAGCAAGTATTATAATATAAAAGTTAAAAAATGAAGTAGAAAATTAATTAAACCCAATATCCTGTTAATCCTGTCCTTGGATAAATAATATAAAAAAGTAAAAATTATAGAAAAAAATGTTCAAAGTACAAAAATTGATACGCGTCCACTAGTCATCAACAAGTGGAGGCACCTTCTTATCATAACCAGCTGATAAGTTTGTCATGGCAGTTTCCTATCATAAGAAAAAAAAGAATATTTTAATGATAATGACCTTATTAAGCAGTTTCGTAAATTGAATTAAGAGGCAGTTCTCATTTAGAGCCATCGTTGCTTTCATCTTTCTTGTCCTGAGCATTCGATGAAGTTGACCCAGCTCTTTTCAAAACGGAAAAGATATCCACACCAAATAAACCACTTGATGGGAACTTTGTGGCCTTGTGGAACCCAGGTATCTGTTGTGACCTTGGTGACAAATTATTGTGTTTCGTGTCACATGGGGTAGCTGAGAACTTCAACGGTGTACCCATGGCTCTAAACATTGGGGAAAGATAGGTATCCTCGAACAAATGAGAAGGTGTTTGCAACTTGCGTAGTATAGAATTGCTATCCTTTGGTGTCTCCGTGAACCTAGCCGGTGTCTTTACATTAGTTATGCTATTGACTTCTGGTGTCTTTAGCACATTTACTTGAATCGGCGGTAGCTTTAGATGCGTAGTATCCTCAGAGTACCTATTCACATATGGGGTAGTAATCTGTGGTAAAGTGGTTGGAGAAGAAGACATGGGTACCGGCCCAAGAAGCGTGCTAGGTTCGTGTCTTGCGTGAGAAGGGGAGTCAGTGTCAAAACTTGAGTTAAACGAGCACATGTACCTTCTCATGTTAGGTGGAGAGTTTAAAGGATTCAAGGTCGTAATGGGATCTTGAATATCACCTATAGTTGGCAACCTTTCGGTCTTGCTCTTACTTAATGGAGTTGCTATCTCTGGCAATTCAGTCTTTTTCATAGGATATGGTGAATCCAGTAAGTTGTGATCGTTCTGCCTTATTACCATGCCAAAATTGAATACTTCCTCCTTCCCTTGTGATATGCTGCCATCCTTGGGCTTGTCTTCTGGAGGTGACACTTTTATCGAAAAAGTCGAATTTAGGTCTGTGAAAGAGCTGTCAGCGTTTGGTGTAGAGCTTATGCTACTTGATTCACTAGCTGATGTTTGAGCGTTAGATGTGTTCTTCTTTTCGTTAGTGCTTTCGCGGTTCAGATAAGTTGGTTTTTCGTTGTCAAATTCTTCTAGCATAGCGGGATCGATGTCGAAGTACTTTTCAATCGTCTGTACTTGTTTGCGTAAGTTTTCGTAATCTCCATAGTCACCTTTGAAAAATTTCGACTCTGATCCCACTTTCACCTGCCAGAAATGTCCTTTACCATCGCTCGACTTCTCAGTCTTGGTGAAAGCGCTGTTCAGAGACAGGTTGTGTCTGATCGAGTTCTGCCAGCTGGCGTCTTTTGGTCTATAATATGGGAAGTGCACTGATATCCAGCAGTATATCTGCGACAGTGTGAGCTTACCCTCAGGCGACTGCAAAATGGCGAGACATATCAGCACCGCGTAGGAGTACTGCGGCTTGGAGTTCTTGTCACCGGATTCTTTACGCTTGGCCAGGGACTCGAACAGTTCTTCCAGAGTCAAAGTACCATTAGACCGCGCACTGCCAACAGTCTTCTGCCTCTTCGCCTTCGTTGTAGTTATAGGCGACGACCGTGCCGGCGACAGCGGCCTACTATCACTAGAGTCACCCATGGGCGGGTTCTTCACCAGCCGCGACTTCGCAGGAGTCGACTTAGGTGGCGTGATGAGCGCCTCGTCCATCGCCCTCTTCTTCATATTTGACGTGTCAATGAATATGTTCGCGGGCGACGTACTGTGCAAATTGTACATGCTAATAAACTCAGGTTCCATCTATCAAACGTCGTCTAAAAAAGTTTTGCTCCTATTGTATAAGTGTTTCCTCTGTGTCTTGTAGTTATTCTCTCCGTGTAGTCCGTATTATTCAATCCTCCCTACCACTTAGCGGTATCGTTCTATGGTGTTGCGGTTTGCTAAAGAATGCGGGAAAAGGGTAATGAACATGCCACTTATAAATAAGACAATCGAAAGGGATTTGCTAAAAAAATTTTCTCCTCTATTAGACCTCTTTTGCTTTTTTTTTACTTCTAATTATTAAGGATGATTGAGCTGCCTCGCATGGCACAAATTCCTTGCACAAGAGAACACGTATTACTCAGGAGTCAGCCATCCACACGCGACTGTATCCCAATCGCCAATAACCCAGTGAGCCACTATCCCAAGAACCAGTGTCCTGTGCCAGGACTGTCCCCCCACTCCCATCCAGGGCACTTTACCCAAGGAGCTATAACCCAACAGCCCAATCGCTTTTCGCGTCACAAAACACTTTTATGTCCCAAATAGGAAATACCGTCCTGCCCGAAACGCGAAAAAATCTTTTTTTGGCGGAAAAGCCGCGACTTTCGTGTTTTCGTTCATAGTTATTATATCACATGACTTATACAAACCTGCTTCTCACTTCACTTCCTTCTCCCCCCCCCGTCACCCAGACGTCTCACACGTCCCACAAAAGTGTATGGCAAAGCTGTATAGCTCCTAGGTACAAGTCCGCGTGTATGTATGGTTGGCAAAAAGCTGTATACAGCTTTTTGCAAAGGTTCGTGATGACTCATAGTGTCTTCCATTGTTCCGGGCCACTGCGAATGCGAATGCGAATGCGGATTCGTATTCGGATGCAGATGCAGAGGAGAAATGAAGACGAAGTGTCATATCCATAAACAAACTGTCCTTCTATACTGTTGGGTATCAAGCAGGTACGGTCTTGATTTCAGCCAATTTTTTTTGCATTACTTCTTAACTACTCCATCATTATTTTCAGTTAGTTTCATTGTTACAAACATTAAATATGGGCGCAAATAGCATTGGCAATATCCCAAAATTACCCATTAAATTTTCTATGGGCCTAAATTTCAATACAGCAACTCTTTATCTTGTATAATTCTGTGCATGTCGTCAGTCTGTGCTGGCGCAGCCGTGGCAGCCGCAGTTCACACACTCCTTGAAGCTGACCGGGACGCCTTTCTTCTCGGCCTCGGCCTCGAGCTGCAGCCTGGGCACACGGCAGATGCAGGTGCTCCCGTGGTTTGTCTCGCTCTGCTGTACACACTGCAGGCAGCACAGCTTCTCGTAGCCGCGCTTCCGCCACTTCGCAATCAGCCGCCGGTCGGCTACCTTCTTCTTCAGCAGCCACTCGTAAAGCTCCCGCGAGATCGCACGCCGCTTGTAGTACATGGTATACACATACCGCGACCGCTCGCTGTGGATCTGCACTATCCGCCACAGATCTTCCTTGCCTTGGCCCTTGCCTAGGCTCTTGCTCTTGTCCTTACCGATCTCCTTCAGCCGCCGCTCAAACTCTGCAAGAACAGGCTCGACCCGCTCATACCCTTTCACCTTCATGTCCGCCTGTTTGCTAGTATTTGTCACAAGAGCTGCAACTACAACTACAACTACAACTGCAACTGCAACTTCCACTACAATTATATAAGCTCTTCTTACGTTTGCAACCCGGTAACGGTCATCGCTCGCTGGGAAGAAAAAATTTTGAAAAAAAATTGGCTGGAAAAGTATATAAGAGCAATAGTGGTCGGATCAGCGGTTCCTGGAGCTGGTTTGGATTGCTAGGACACTGGTTAAGACTAGCAGCAGAAGATGAGTGACGAGAAGAAAGGTCTGGTGTTAGAGAACACCGGGCGTAGAGACGCGCTAATTGCGATTGAGAAGAAGTACCAGCAAGTTTGGGCGGAGGAGCACCAGTTCGAGCTGGATGCGCCCTCGATTGACGACGAGCCTATCACTATGAGCACTGAGGAGCTGCACAAGAAGTACCCCAAGTTCATGAGCTCCATGGCGTACCCATACATGAACGGTGTGTTGCACGCGGGCCACTGTTTCACCTTGTCCAAGGTTGAGTTCTCCATTGGTTTCGAGCGTATGAACGGTAAGCGTGCGCTTTTCCCATTGGGTTTCCACTGTACCGGTATGCCTATTCTTGCGTGTGCTGACAAGCTGAAGCGTGAGGCCGAGATGTTCGGTACTGACTTCAGCAAAGCGCCAGCTGAGGACGAAGAGGAGCCACAGGTCGAGGAAAAGAAGGCTGAGTCCGAGGACGTCACTAAGTTCAAGGCCAAGAAGTCCAAGGCTGCTGCCAAGAAGGGCCGTGGTAAGTACCAGTTCGAGATTATGTTGCAATTGGGTATCCCAAGAGACGAGGTCTACAAGTTCGCTGATGCCAGCTACTGGTTGACTTACTTCCCACCTCTGTGTCAAAGAGACTGTAGTTCCTTAGGTTCTCGTATTGACTGGAGACGTTCTTACATCACCACCGATGAAAACCCATACTACGACGCCTTTATCAGATGGCAAATGAACAAACTGAAAGCCCTAGGTAAGATCAAGTTCGGTGAGCGTTACACTATCTACTCCGTCAAGGATGGCCAACCATGTATGGACCACGATAGACAATCCGGTGAAGGTGTCACTCCACAGGAATACGTCGGCATCAAAATCGAAGCCACCGAGTTCGCTCCAGAGGCCAAGAAGTTGATCGACGAGAACGACAAGATTGACAAGAGCAAGAAGATCTACTTCGTCGCTGCCACTCTAAGACCAGAAACCATGTACGGTCAAACATGTTGTTTCGTCTCTCCAAAGATTGACTACGGTATCTTCGATGCTGGTGACTCTTACTACATCACCACTGAGCGTGCTTTCAAGAACATGTCCTACCAAAAGTTGACTCCAGTTAGAGGTGAATACTCACCAGTTGCTGTCATCAACGGTAAGGCCTTCATTGGTACCAAGATTCACGCTCCATTGACCCCATACAAGGAATTAAGAATCTTACCAATGGAAACTGTCATCGCCACCAAGGGTACCGGTGTGGTGACTTGTGTTCCAACAAACTCCCCAGATGATTACATGACCGTCAAGGATTTGATTAAGAAATCCGAATACTACGGTATCGACCCAACTTGGATCGACATGGAATTAATCCCTGTTATTAAGACTGACAAGTACGGTGATTTGACCGCTAAGGCACTATGTGAAGAGCTGAAAATCCAATCTCCAAATGACACTACCAAGCTTGCAGAAGCCAAGAAGATTGCTTACAAGGAGGATTACTACAGCGGTGTTATGATCTACGGTGACTACAAGGGTGAGAAGGTCGAAATTGCCAAGGCTAAGGTTAAGGCTGACATGATTGCCAAGGGTGAAGCTTTTGTTTACAACGAACCAGAAGGTTTGGTCATGTCTCGTTCCGGTGACGAATGTATTGTTTCCCTAGAGGACCAATGGTACTTGGATTATGGTGAGGAAGAATGGAGAAAGCAAGCTGAAGAATGTTTGAGTCAAATGGAAGTCTTCGCTCCAGAAGTCAACCACGCCTTTAAGGGTGTCCTTGGTTGGTTAAGAAACTGGGCCGTCAGTCGTACCTATGGTCTAGGTACTAAGCTACCATGGGACGATAAGTACTTGGTTGAATCTTTGTCTGACTCCACTATTTACCAAGCTTTCTATACCGTTGCCCACTTGTTGTTCAAAGATTACTATGGTAAGGAAATTGGTCCATTGAACATCAAGCCTGAACAAATGACAGACGATGTTTTCGATTACATTTTCCAACACGTTGATGATGTCAAGTCTGATATTCCATTGAGATCTTTGCAAATCTTAAGAAGAGAATTTGAGTACTTCTATCCATTAGATGTCTCTATCTCCGGTAAGGATTTGATTCCAAACCATTTGACTTTCTTTATCTACACACATGTTGCTTTGTTCCCTAAGAAGTTCTGGCCTAAGGGTATCAGAGCTAACGGTCACTTAATGTTGAACAACGCTAAGATGTCCAAGTCTACCGGTAACTTTATGACCTTGGAACAAATTGTTGAGAAGTTCGGTGCTGATGCATCCCGTATTGCTTTGGCCGATGCTGGTGACACTGTTGAAGATGCTAACTTGGACGAATCCAATGCCAATGCAGCTATCTTGAGATTGTTCAACCTAAAGGAATGGTCTGAGGAAATCGTGAAGGACATTGACACTCTAAGATCTGGTGAAATTACTGAGATCTTTGATGTTGCTTTCGAGCACGAAATGAACTCTTTGATTGAAGAGACTTACAAGCAATACGAATTGACCAATTACAAGAACGCCTTGAAGACTGGTCTATTTGACTTCCAAACAGCTAGAGATTACTACCGTGAAGCTACTGGTACCATGCACAAAGACTTGGTTCTACGTTACATAGAAACTCAAGCATTGATGTTGGCTCCGATTGCTCCTCATTTTGCCGAATATGTCTACCGTGATGTCCTTGGTAAGAAGGGTTCTGTGCAGACTGCCAACTTCCCTCGTGCTTCTAAGCCAATTGACAGATCCATTCTAGCCGGTTTGGAATATGTCAGAGCTCTACAAAGAAGCATCAGAGAAGCTGAAGGTCAAGCTTTGAAGAAGAAGAAGGGTAAGGGTGCTGAAGTTGACCAATCTAAGCCAGTCAAGTTGACTTTGTTAGTCTCCAAGACATTCCCAGAATGGCAAGCCGGCTGCATTGAAATTGTACGTGAAATGTTTGCTAACCAAACTTTGAACGACAATAAAATGATTAAGGAGAAGGTTAATCCAAAGGAAATGAAGAGAGCTATGCCTTTCATTTCTTTGCTAAAACAGCGTTTAGCCACTGAATCACCAGAAGCTGTCTTCAACAGAGAATTACAATTCAACGAGACTGAAACCATCAAGGCAACCATTGACAACATCAAGAAGGCTGCACAACAATTGAAGGTGGAAGAGATTGAAGTTCTAGCATTCCCACATGGTTCTAACGTTGCTACTAACATCTTCACAGGTCAAGAAGTGGAGCTACCATCTGCTCCAAAGGCTATCGAGTCAGCCTTACCAGGTAACCCATCCATCCTTTTCAACAACATATAAACAACTTTATTCTGTTAAAATAAATTGTATGATAGAAACGATATGATATACCTTCTGTAATTCAAATAGATTAATACATTTCTCAATTATTATTAATTTCATAAAGAAAACAGCGATGAGCTTGTTCGGCTTTAAGCTGTGAAAAAGCGAGGCATCATAATTGCAAATAGACACCTCTATTTTATAAACAAGAGTCATAGACTAGTCATATCATAATCAAGACGATATATTACTTAGCAATTGAAATAAGGCTTTAAGATTTCTGCAAAGTTTTAAAGGCAAGAGGACTCTGAATTAAATTGAGAGCGCAAGGAGGATATTTGTAAGGATAGCGAAGCGTTTGACAAAGCAAGGAGGTATACAACTAACTCAGATTTAGTGGTTGTTGTACACACGGCTATCCAGATGTTTGGTAACGCATTTCACTTACGTAATAGGATCCATAAAAGGTCCAGTTCCTCTGATAGACTCGATCAAGATGAGTCCAGTGATGATGGGGATAATGCCCCTAATATTGTGGAACAGAAGACCAAGGATATTAAGTTAGTGAAGCCGCTAAAGAGGCCAAGATTGAGCAATTGCTGCTCACCCACAACACCCATGGCTAATAGGTTACAGACAATGGCGGTTGCTTGGCATATTTCCTCATTTGTGCTGTTTAGCATTTTCTCCCTGTTGATTATTTCCAATCCATTCACATGGATAGTTGTAATTCCTTATCTCATTTATTTCTTCAATGACAGGTCTCCAGCTAATGGGGATGTAGTCTACCGATACTCACCTTGGGTACGTTCTTTAAAGATTTGGAAATACTATTGTGATTATTTCCCTATTGAACTGGTTAAGACGGTTGATTTGGAACCTACGTTTACACCATGTAATGAAGAAGAGGAGAAGGAAAACAAAAAGCTTCAAGAATATTATACTTTACGTCTCTGGCCATCAGACTACGAGATAAGATTGTTCAAGAAGAACACCGTGTATTCGCACGGCTATAAGCGCACGGGGCCAAAGTATATCTTCGGATATCATCCACATGGTATTGGTGCTTTAGGATCGTTTGGTGCTTTTGCAACAGAAGGACGTGGCTGGTCTAATAAATTTCCGGGCATTCCGGTATCTCTATTGACTTTAGTTACACAATTCCATATTCCTTTCTATCGTGATTATCTGCTTTCGGTTGGGATATCATCAGTTTCCAGGAAGAATGCTTTGAAAGTTCTTGATAATAACCAATCGATATGTATTGTTGTTGGTGGGGCTAGAGAATCTTTAATAAGCATTCCTGGTACATCTGGATTAATTCTAAATAAAAGGAAGGGGTTTATTAAGTTAGCTATTCAAGCCGGTAATGTTAGTCTTGTCCCAGTGTATACTTTTGGCGAAAATGACTGTTATAATATATTAGCTACAGATGAGACATCCATCATTAGGAAATTACAGCTCTGGGTTAAGGAAAATTTTGGATTTACTATACCAATTTTCTACGCAAGAGGATTATTCAACTATGATTTTGGGCTATTGCCATTCAGAGCACCTTTACATGTGGTTGTTGGTAGGCCCATACATGTCAAAGAACAGCAAGAAAATCCTGAACAAAGCCTTGTTGACCACTACCATGAACTGTATGTGGAAGAATTAAAAAGAATATATTTAGAAAACAGAGACAGGTATGGCTATGGTGCAGCAGACTTTGAAATATTGGGATAAGCAGTAGGTTTGCTAGTAACGAAAAATGCAAAAAGTTCTATTTAATAATACAAACTGTTTCTTGTTGAAGAAACATAACGACATATAGACTAAACTATTTAGAAACATTTATTTTGCCTTAAAATTAATCATATGGCTTGGACTGCTTGGATAGTAAAAACAACTACCAGGCAAATCTCAATTGCGATGCAGTAAATACAGGAGGTTTCCATAGTAACTTCTCTGCATCGATATGTCTTCTCTTTTTGGTTTTTAACTGGTTGTACCTTTCTAATATATCGTCATTTAAAAATATAATATGCTGTCCCTTGTAGTATCGTAGAATGTTTAATGTTTTTAAAGTGTGAAGGATATCAGTTGTTGTCATTGATGTCATTGAACTTATTTCATCAATGGTAACTTCTTTTCCATGCTCCACTAGAAGTGTGATTAAAACGTCCGACCAATAAGCTCTATAAGATAGCAAACCCAAATCCGACAATGGCTTTTCCGGCGAACCTACTTTTCCTTCCTTTTTGGATAGTTCATAAGAAAATTCGATTAATAATCTACCATAACCCATACGCTGATATTGTGGTAATGTTAGGATACATGCAACATTATAACCATCAGCAGATTCCTTTTCCTTAGAAAAGTAGCCAACAAAATGATGGCCCATCTCATCTCTTCTAGTCATACAATAAAATAAAAATGGATCAACATCGTAATATAACGTCTTATGGTCTAAAAAGAGTTTAGATAACAAACACAGATTTCTACACCACGTTCTCTGCTTTCGACCATCTATCTCAAAGAATGAAACATAATCGTCTCTGTAAATTTCATTTCCAGGTGGATGCCGTAGTGTACACTTCTTTCTATAACGTTCGTATTGTTTTCTGGAACCAAAGTATTGCAGCGTGAAGTCATCGATGTATACCACATCAAGATCTGTGAGCTCAATTGGATATGGAGAAAAATACCAAGGCTCGATTTCAAATTTCCCCATAATGATCTTGGACAAATTTCTAACGTGAGCCACTTCATGTGGATTTTGAATCATGGAACCGGAAGTCCTTAACTTTTTGATCTCATCTTCCCTAGATATCTCTTCGTCTTTCAGACCTCGCACATTTAAGTTATCCAGATCCATAACATCACTACCTTCACCCATCTCTGAGCTCTTCGCATCAGACTCCACCACTGCAGCTTTCTGTGGAAACTTCTTCTTTTTCTTTTGCTTCTTGTTCGTGTCCTCTTCCAACTGTCTCTTGGGTCTCGGAAATATAACTTCCTTATCCAGGTTTATACGATCCCCAGTAACCCATTCATCCAAACGCTTGTTGAAATTGACATAGTGCACATAGAATTTCGATGGGCTCACGCGCGCGTTTATCGACAGTATCTCAGCCAGCCGCTCCTCCTCATCCTTACGCACCCAGCACTGACACTTAATCAGTACTTCCTCAGTGCTCTCAATCTTCTTAGGAATACCAGCTTCCTCTTCAACTTCTGCACCAGCCATTACAAATATCTAGAGACGTGACAAAAAAAACCCTTCAAATCAACATCCAATAGCCCAAAGTTCTCGCGGAAAAAAGAACACCCAACAATCCAATACCGCCCAGTTCCGCACAAAAGCAATCACAAGGCCTCTGATAAACCTTCCTGGCCTTTTTAGCCTCTGAAAGCATGAATAAATTCACCTGTTTATAACGTCGCCAGGCTCAAACTCTGAAAAATTTCAGGCGTTACGCCCACAAACATCAAAATCGCAGAGCACGACTAAATGAAAATTTGTTCATCGAGCATAAGCTCATCGCATCAGCTCATCGCATAAAAGCACTTAGTCAAAGTCAAACTGGGTAGTAAACTTTGGAGTTGTGGACTTTAGCAGCTGATAAGCGGTTCTGTAGTTGACGGTGAAATTGGAATTGTAACAGGGTCCCTTTTAATCTGTTTGCTAGGGTGTAATATGACTGCTGAGAAGAGAAGTGCCGAGGTTGCTGATGATGAAGTGTTGAAGCGTGTGAAGTTGGAAGTCACCGGGGATATCAAGGAGCGGGATGCTGGTATTACTTTGTACTTGTCTGATTTGCCTGGTTTTACTGGTCAGATCAAGCAAAGGTACACTGATTTCTTGGTGAATGAGATCACGATGGAGGGTGAAGTTGTGCATTTGGTCGACAAGGGATTCAAAGTACCAAAGAGGAACGCCGAGCCCAAGATGAGTGACGAGGAGAGGAAAGCTCAGAAACAGGCGGAGTATGCCAAGCGTGAGGCCTTCGAAGTTGAAGAGGAGTTGAAAGCTAGTCTGATTGACATTTTTGGAGAGGAGGATTTTAACAAGATAGTTGATGTATACAAGAATGCACAAAAGATGGAATCTCAGAAATCATTTGACGATAAAGCTACAAGGACAAAGATTCATCAATTGATCCGCCAAGCTTTCAACAACGAGTTGGAGTCTGTCACCACTGCTGAAAACACTTTTAAGATAGCCAGAAACAATAGAAACTCGAGAGTCAACAAGCAAACGCTGGTCGAATCTACCAAGGACGAGAATGGTGTAGAAAACTATGGTTATGGTCCAGCAAAGGAGTTTATTCACTTCACTCTTCACAAGGAGAATAAAGATACCATGGAAGCTGTGAATGTCCTGACAAAATTGATGAGAGTGCCAAACAAGCTGGTCAGATATGCCGGTACAAAGGACAGAAGAGCTGTTACTTGTCAAAGACTGTCCATTTCTGGTGTCAACTTGGAAAGACTAAATGCATTGAATAGAACTTTGAAAGGGATGATTATCGGTGGTTACAAATACTCTGATGTTTCCATGAATTTAGGTGAACTAAATGGTAATGAATTCCACATTGTCATCCGTGATGCCAAGGTCGATCCTGCTTGTGGTAAATCATTAAAGGAAGTTCTAGAGGCAGGTTCTAAATCTTTGGTGGATAACGGTTTTGTCAACTATTATGGTTTACAGCGATTTGGTACTTTCAGTATATCAACCCACACAATTGGTAAAGAACTTCTTCTAGGAAATTGGAGAGCCGCCATAGAAATGATATTATCTGATCAAGAGAACATATTGCCAGCATCTAAGGAAGCCAGACAACTTTGGGCACAGAACAGAGATCCTTATGAGGCAATGAAAAAAATGCCCAAGCAATGTATTGCTGAAAATGCCATCTTGCATACTCTTTCCAACCATAGAAAAGAAGAGAGTGGAGATTTTGGTACCGGTGCTTACCATGATGCTATTATGAAGATTCCAAGAAACTTGAGAACCATGTATGTTCATGCTTATCAAAGTTATGTGTGGAACAAAGTAGCAAGTAAAAGAATTGAACTTTTTGGTACCGATATCAGAGTAGGAGACTTGGTAATCATTGAAAAGGATGAAGATAAACAAACTGACAAGGCAGACGGTTCTACAAGCGATGATGATTTTGATGAAGATCTCCGTTCTGCTGATTTTATTAGAGCAAAGGCATTGACAGAAGAAGAGGTCAAAAGTGGCAAGTATACCATTGAAGACGTGGTTCTTCCAACTCCAGGTTTTGATATTCTATATCCATCATCTGATGAATTGAAACAACTATATGTCGATATCATGGGAGCAGATGGTATGGATCCTTTTGACATGAGACGTAAAGTTAGAGATTTCTCCCTTGCTGGATCATATAGAAATATTATTCAGAAACCTAAAAATTTTGAATATAAAATTATTCAGTATGAAGATCCTGTTCAGCAAATTGTCAACACTGACCTTGAGATCCTAAATAATCAAAGGGCTAAGGAAAACCATCAGAAATACATGAAGGCAAAGCTAGAAAGATATGTTCCAGACAAGCCGGGCAGTAGGACTGCTGTTGTTTTGAAATTTCAACTTGGAACATCTGCTTATGCTACTATGGCTTTGAGAGAGCTAATGAAACTTGAGACTTCAAGACGTGGTGACATGTGCGCTGTTACTTCTTCAACATGAGTTGGTCGATTAATGGTGATATTTATGTTTATAAAAGGCATTGCATTATTATTCCTAGCATTATTCATTTATATTCCAAGTTCATACAGAGATTGTTATGGCATCGGTAAATTACTTTATTATTGTTGTTTTCGCATTTCACTCCAATTGGCGCAATAACGTTATTTGTGTCATCACTGAATTCTTGTGAGTGTAAAATATATAAAAGCAATGAAAAGAATGCTATAACATTTAGCATAGTGTTGTTCTGTGTTATTTGTCATTGAATTTATTGTTGACAGACTTATAGTAGTCAAAGAACAATAAAACCATATAACAAAACATAATCCTTAATTAAAAATAACAATTACATCTATCAAATAGTACCCTGAAATGGATTTGAGTAACCACTGGGCTAGAAACTTCTCAGGCAAATTACACAATATCCATAACGGTCCGACATTGTCATCTATTTTTGGTCTGGATGCTAACTATAAGCAAGATGTTAATATTTCCAATGTTCATGTAGCTGAAGTTAAGCCGTTTAGTATTCGCAGATTAGCGAAAACTTTAATTCTAGGTTCCCCCATTGAATCGGTTGCTTTAAATAAAGATAACACTGGCAAAATAAAGAAGAGAGGTGCTATTGTTCTAAGTAGTTACGGAAGTTGCGCTGATTTGAAACGTCCCAAAATAAATTCGGCGGATAAAATCTGCAGAAGTAGAACTGATGATAACTTACAGAAAGCACTTCTTGGTCTAATACAAGATATGTCCTCAGAGGATGCGATAGAACTCTGTCGAAATGTGTCTCTTTTTCAAAAATGTAATAAGTTTGGCAATTCCAGTATTCTTTCATTAGGGTCCGATACCAAAGATATAACTGATATTGTCTTTGATAATATCCCTGCAAATATTGGACTCGAAAGCATAGTATACCAATTACAAGGAGGTCCGATTGCTAAAATACAGGCAGTTCCACATGAGTCAAATGTAGATCAATTAAAAAAACTTCATGTTAAATTTACTACTTCAAAGGCTGCAAGTGACTTCATGAAACTTGGTACAAGAAATATGTTTAAAGTTAATGGTGTCTATTTGCGACCTAAATGGGTACAATTCTGTGAAACTAAAACTGATAAATGGTATCAAGACCTCATAAAACAAAATACTTCAAAAAACGTTTGCAGATGTATTATTTTAAAGAGGTATCCCACAAAGAATAATATGAGATATATTCAATCTACTAAGCAGCCTCCTTTAGAAAACATAGACGTTAATGCAATAAGAAGGGATTTCGAAAATTACGGTAACATACTTGATATAACACCAGTTATATCAAGAAAACTATGTATATCAATTGTTTACTATGATATTTTCAGTGCTATGAAGGCAATGATGTCTTATGAAGATAACACTTCGTTTCTACATGAAAATTACTACGGTAAATGGGCCATTTGGTATGGAAAGGATATATCAGATCGACCGGTAATCCCAGTTTGATTATTCTTTCTTCTGTATTGTTTACAATGAGGATTTGTACTACACTGCAGCAGAGTGTCCCCAAGAAGTTCTAAATGTATTACATAAAAAACCACTACTCTATAATATAATAAAAACTGCTTATCGAAAATTCAATAATTCCTTAGTTTCAATTCTGTTTCAATTTTATAGTCCTGTATTACTTCCTATAGTCCTTATTGGTTGTTATATTTATCCAGTACTACAAGAAATCCTCCAACGAGATGTAATGATCCTGTTACAAAAACATCAACTTCATCTATATCATAATCTTCGATTATATTTATTGCACTTTCTATATTGGCACAAATGTTTGATTTAGTTTCACTTGACAAGTCTTTCCATACACTTGCTAGCTCCTTTTGGACTTCCAATTTATCGACTTGTTCTTGTGAGACATTTATAGATACAAGGTCAGCATTGTAGGAGCCTGTTTTCCATGTAACATTAGTGGTAAATAAGGCTTCACTGAAATTTAGCCTATTATTAGTTACACTATGTAGGACTTTCAATAATAATGCAGCATCTCTAGTTTGCTGATTGAATAAAAGTATTTTTTTGTTATTGTTGGAAGCGACTTCTTGGGCAAACCAACGAGAAGCGGCTTCGATACTTTCTTTGGTGTGAGCACCGTCGATGTACCAATTTATCTTCCCAGTCTTGATATATTGACAACGACCTTCCCATATGGTTTTCTTTAAGCCAGTAATAAATTTTTCCGGTAGAATAGAATCTGAGTTGATTGGTGTATCTTCCTTTATAATGGATAATGAATTCAGTGCTTGTGAAGCCAATACTACTGCCAATGAAGCATTCGTTTTCTGAAAATCGCCAGCAATCCCAAGTTTGATATTGTCTAATTGTTTAAATGTTGGGACCTCGGTCAATGATGTTTCCCTTTCCTTGGCTCTTTCTTGTAGAACTTTAAGTCCCGCTGGTTCTTGGCCCATAATTGTGTATGCAGGGGCATCCTTTTTGAATATTCCACCTTTATTCCATGCAATTTCTTCTATTGTATCGCCTAGCATGAATGTATGATCAATACCCAACAAGGAAACACCACATGTGACCGGTTTTTCAATTATATTTGTGCTATCAAGTTCACCTCCAACGCCGACTTCATACACACAGCAACTACACTCTTCTTTCATGAAAGCATGGAAGGATAACAATGTAAGAAATTTGAAATAGCCAGGCTTACTACCTGGGACCATATGTGGAAACTCATTTAGAGGTGAAGTGGTCTTATCAAGCTTATCCCACACTTGAAAGAAGTATTCAGTGAACTTGGACTCTGAGATTGGTTCGCCATTAATCCTGATCCTCTCCCTGACAGACCTCAGATGAGGTGAAGTGTAAAGACCAATCTTGGTCAGTTTGTCCTGGTACTGTTGAAGAATTGAGCTCGTAAATGCAGCAGTTGAGCCTTTCCCCTTCGTTCCCGTAATGTGCACAATGTTCAATTTATTGAAATCAGATACTTTGTAGCCCAGGCGTCGACTCCACTCGTACATCTCTAATATACTCATCCGATTCTTACGGTCTCCAGACTGGCGGACTGCCATGATATTGGCATAATTGGACTGTAATGAGTTTAATGCAGTCAATGCATCCTGGTACGTTCTCTTAGAAGCCATCCTCAGCGTAGGTGTAATCAGCATGAAGCAGACTTTGGTAAATTATCAAGCAAATGTACCAGTACAAATTTCAGACACCTAGTATATAATGCTGCCTTTTATATAATTCTCGAAGTGACTGGTTGACTTATAACTAGGTGAAAGCTGTGTGTGTCATTTGATTCAAGAGAGCTCATCGAGTAAACTGTGTAAAAATAGTGAGTGACGAATATGATGCCTCCTATGGCTCACTATGACTATTAATAGTTGGCCATACATAGCATAGATGGTTCAGAATTTTCTTATTAGAATAACTTCTATACTACATATGTTCTAATATCTTGGTCTAGCTTACACAGCTATCGAAATTGCATTCAAACAGCAAGTTTCACTTGGATGGGAGATGCACTGTTTTTGGCAATTCGGACCGAAAGGTTAGAAAAGTTATATGATTACTGTTTATTAAATAAAGTAGCAATGCTAATGTGGAGAGAAAACGTATGGTATCTAATGCACATGTTACTTTTATTAGTAAATGTAAACTCCCTTCATTACTTTGCTTCTATAACTATGGAATGTTGTGGTGAACAACGACATCAGATTGTAATGATTCAGTTTGGTACATCGAAGACAGCTTGCAGCCAGCAACGGTACATCTTCAACTGTCTCTTTCTGTTGACCAATAATCTTCTATCTGTTCCGATCTTGTTCTCTTTGAAATACTTCTTTGTGAAGATGTCTCTTAGTTCTTCTTCGGTGAAGAAGTAAACTCTCGTACCGTCACCTCTTACATAGAAGTTATCATCCAATAATCTGTTCTTCTTAAATCTCACTTGAACTTGGTCGTAACGGCCATAGTCTCTGAACAAGATCTTACCACCTGGTTTTAATATGTTATGCAAGTTGTCCATAGCATGGTCCCATTGTGATGGGGATAATGCACTAAAGACAAAGATCATCACAGCAATGTCCACTGAATGTGGTTCAACACCGTCGGGCAATTGACCATCTGGGTTGGCTAAATCCCAAACAGTGGCATGGCCATACTTAGGATTGAAGTTCTCAGACTCCTTGACCAACTCAACAGCCCTTGGTGCAAAATCGGCAGCGATAATTCTCAAGTTTTCATTCTCATTTTCATTCAAGATAGGGAAGAAAGTGTTACCTGCACCGCAACCAATTTCGAAGATGGTAACTGGGCCTGCGTCTTTCTTTGTAGATTGGTATAAAATTGGAAATTCAATTTGTAACCATTTTCTATCCTTGAAGAAGTTCTCTTTGTTATTCTTGTAAAAAATGTCCCAGTATCTTGATGGGTTACTGTTGTACAACTCCTTGTCGAACTCTGAGACAGGGCAATCGTATTGGAGTTTGATCTTTTCTTCAGCTTGTTGGATCTGTTCTTCACCCCACTCGACGTTATCCCAAGCGTTGTGGTTCCAAACGTCAGAGTCCTCAGTTAGGTTTCTTTTACCAAACTCAAATGGATTATCACGACCCAGTCTTGAAGTACCCTCTACCTCATTAGGAGCAGATTCATGAGCAATACCTTCGAAGGTCTCTTCGTGTAGGTCCTGTGTAATTGCTTTGATTTCTTCTTTATTCTCTGATTGATCAAGGCCTAAGCGAATCAGATGGGGTTTCCTCCTCATTGGAACCGTTTTCACCCTCAGTAGCAGCCTTTGCGGCAGCCTTCTTGGCCTTCTTCTTGTTCTTCTTCTTCTTGTTCTTCTTGCTTTTAGAAGATTGCTCAGAATTCTCCTGTGTGTTGTCACCTTCAGCAGAAGCCTCTTGGTCGTCTTCAGTCTTTTCACTCTCGGCCTCTTGAGCTGGAGTTTCTTCTGGTGCAGTTTCTGAATCAGTTGCAGGAGTATTTTCAGCAGTTTCAGCTGGAGTTTCCTCTGTATTAGCTTCAGCTTCTTGAGCAGTTTCAGCTGGAGTTTCTTCGGTGGTAGCTTCAGCTTCTTGAGCAGCTTCAGCTGGAGTTTCCTCTGTAGTAGTTTCAACTGGAGTTTCTTCTGAAGCTTCAACTGGGGTTGGTTCAGCTGGTTCAGCACTTTCGTCAGTCAAAGCTTCAGTAGCTTCAGTAGCTTCAGTAGCTTCAGTAGCTTCAGTGGCATCAGAAGGTTCAGCAACAGCAGGCGTGGGCTTCTTCACCTCAGTCTTGGGAGACTCTTGAGAAATTTGCTCAAACTTCTTAATCAAATCAGCAACACCCATCGTTACAGCTATGTGGTCCTTGGTCCTGGCTTCGATAATTACTCGAACTATTTTTATTTATATTTTTATACTTCGATGTCCACTTTTCAAGCCTTTTGGCAACCTCATCGCACCAAAACAATAAATCCTAGTGATCCATGACCTGCAAGAACAATGGGAGGGAGACGGGGACCCTTAGTCTTAGTAATACATAAACCGGTCTTGTTGTATTAGGACTGGGGTATTCTGGGCGAAGAGCAAGCAGACCCACAGATATTCGATGACTTGGAACAAGACTGCTACTTACGAACACATCTCGAGCATCAAGCCGAGGTTTATCTCGAGGGCCTTTGCTGCTGAGAACCAATTGAAGTCCCTAGCGTTCAGCAATGAGCTGGTTCCGGACACGGATGCGCATGAGTTGAAGACGAAGCTGCTGTACTCGCAAGGGTCAGAGATATATGAGCTGGAGTGTGCTTACCCACTGATCACGGAGGACAAGGAGCCCGTGAGCGACTATGGGGATGCGTTTAAGGCCATGGAAAATGTGCCATTGCAGCCCAAGTGGGTGTACCAAGGTGAGACTGTGGCCAAGATGGAGTTTCTGGGCGAGGAGGAGGACACCAATGTGATTGCGATGTCCAAGAACGGTTCTTTGGCGTGGTTCACAGAAGGTGTTAAAGTGCCAGTGCACATTGTGCAGGAGATGATGGGCCCTTCTACCAAGTTCTCCAGCATCCACTCGCTGACCAGACCGGACAACCTGGCCGTTGCTGATTTCTCCTTGTCCTTGGACCAGGAGACCATTGTGAAGTCTCAGAGCAACGGTGACGAGGAAGACAGTATCCTTAAGTTGATTGACAATGCAGGCAAACCCAGCGAAGTGTTGCGTGTGATCCGTGTCCCAGGCACCACTGTGACACACTCTGTGAGGTTCCTAGACAACCACGTCTTCGCCTCTTGCTCCGACGACAACGTTATCAGATTCTGGGACACCAGAACCGCTGACAAGCCATTGTGGTCGCTGAGCGACCCACAGAACGGCAGCCTGACCGCATTCGATGTCTCCCAGCTGTCTGGCAACCTGTTTGCAACCGGTTTCAGTACCGGTGTGGTCAAGCTGTGGGATGCCCGTGCTGTCGAGGACGCCACGTTGGACCTATCAAACAGACAGAACGGTGAGGAGCCTATCCAGAAGGAGATTGCCAACTGGTACCACCGCGGCGGCGACTCCGTGGTCGACCTGAAGTTCTCCTCGACCAGCCCAACGGAGTTCCTCACAGTCGGAGGCTCTGGCAACGTATACCACTGGGACGCAGACTACGCCCTCTCCAACTACGACCCTGAGAACCACGCCCCACAAGAAGCCTCCGAGCAGCTACAGAACGAGTCCCTAACTTTCCTACACACCGGTGGCTCCAGAAGAAGCACCACCGCCTACGGACTAAGAAACACTGTCGCTTGGCACCCAGTGATCGAGGGTCTGGTCGCCCACGTCGACCCAGACACCTTGATCACCACTTACCTGCCATACAACAACTAGTTATATTTATTTAAAGCCAAACACAAGGCAAACTGAAACGACTCCCAATAACTTATTGTAACGTACTTACCATATATATCCAGGTATTTAATCGAAACTTCGAAGCCTTCACTATGCCACTCGCTATTATCATCACTTTGTCCGCAAAAATTTGGGCCTCGAAAGCTTTGAAAAGTTGGGCATCGCTGATCTGGATCCATTAACTGGATCCATTAACTAGGTTATCTGGCCAGGTTCTTCCAGTGGTTTCCATAGAGCTTTAAGTGAAGCAAGGACAGGTATAAGATGGCCTCATTGTTCCGCCCACCTGAGTCTACGAGGCAGAATGCGCGGTCTCCGCGGTTGAAGCTGCCTCCGTTGAGCAACGTCAGTCTTGCGGTGCCTGGGGAGAGTCCCACTGGGAAGCTCAGTGCTACGTCGTCGCGTGGGTCGAGTGCCACGTCTGCGAACATGAAGAGGCCCATGCCGCCGCCGCTGCCGAAGCTGGACGTTCCGCTGAGTGCGGCGAGCTCCACGGAAGGGCTTGTGCGTAAGATGAAGCAGCTCTCGGTGGAGGATGAGAGTCCTCAGAGCGGAAGTTCGCGCGGTGTGGAACGGGATGACACCACAGCTGTCAACCAGTCTGTTGACTCCTTCTTCTCTAATCTGATATCTGTCTATGACCAGAGCTCGAGTGCTATCACGAGCCCCAAAATCGATGAACCAGAGGATTCGGCGGTGAAGGATGCCCTGGCAACTCGGGTGCCCAGGTCATTGACGCAGGGTAAGGACATTGATGAGTTGAGTGAAGAGGTGTGGCACAGCAAGAATTTACTCGCGGAGATAGAGACACAAGGTGTGCTAGGAGAAGGCGCCGGAGGTTCGGTGGCCAAGTGTAAGCTAAGGACAGGAAAGAAAGTGTTTGCATTGAAGACGATAAATATACTGAACGGCGACCCTGAGTTCCAGAAACAGTTGCTCAGAGAGTTGCAATTTAACAAGAGTTTTAAGTCCGAGTACATAGTGCGGTATTTCGGTATGTTCACCGATGAGCAGAATTCTAGTATATACATAGCCATGGAATACATGGGAGGGAAGTCCCTGGAGGCCATATACAAGGAGCTGCTTAGTCGAGGTGGGAGGATAAGTGAGAAAGTGTTAGGTAAAATCTCAGAAGCAGTGCTGCGAGGCCTATCGTATCTGCATGAGAAGAAAGTTATCCACAGAGACATCAAACCTCAAAATATCCTTCTCAATGAAGACGGTCAAGTTAAACTGTGCGACTTTGGTGTAAGTGGTGAAGCAGTAAACTCATTAGCTACCACCTTCACAGGAACGTCTTACTACATGGCGCCAGAGAGAATTCAAGGCCAGCCCTACAGTGTCACCTGCGATGTGTGGTCATTAGGGCTGACGATATTAGAAGTAGCACAAGGCCACTTCCCGTTTGGACCTGATAAGATGGCTACAACGATCGCACCCATCGAGCTACTAACACTTATCCTCACATTCACACCACACTTAGACGACGAGCCCGACAAGAACATTAAGTGGAGCAGGGCCTTCAAGTCCTTCATCGAGTACTGTCTCAGAAAGGAGGCCCGTGCTAGACCATCTCCAAGACAGATGATCCAGCACCCATGGATACAGGGCCAGATGAAGAAACAAGTGGATATGAGGAAGTTTATCACTAAATGCTGGCAGAAGTGATCAAGAAAACAGACACCTTAATTTCTTATACTAAAAACCAATTAAATACCCTTTAACACAAAAATGGAGGCCTCAAACATCTCCTCCGAGACTATATAAGTACATAGCAAGATCATTTATCATCGCTCACTCTCTTATCCCTCGTTCCTCTTATTACGGTGACTCAACGAAATCATGCATAACGACTCAAATTTTTTGTCAAATGGACGACTTCCACTTTGCCAGTAAAGGTGTTTCCTTCATATTTCAAATCATAAAATGGCGTAGCTGTTGTTATTGATTGTAACCACATCAACAGGGCAACGAGTCAAGTGATACGCCAGGATGAGAGCTTTCAGTAACGTTTCCAGAATTTCCAGAGTTTCCAGAGTTTCTAGAGTGGCCTTGGCTGCTCCTGCTAGGACTGTTCCATTGATGAACAGAAACGCCATGTCCATGATGCGTTTTTACTCTGAGGATGCCAAGGCTAGTGAGAAAGCCGGCGAGAAGGCCGAGGAGAAGGCTGAGGAGCAGAACCTCAGTGCTGAGGAGCAGAAGCTCAAGGATTTGCAAGAGCAATTGGACAAGAAGACTAAAGAGGCTGCTGAGTTGAAGGACAGGCTATTGAGGTCTGTTGCTGATTTCAGAAACTTGCAAGAAGTTACCAAGAAGGACGTTGAGAAGGCCAAGAGTTACGCTTTGCAGAAATTCGCAAAGGATCTATTGGAATCCGTGGATAACTTTGGACATGCGTTGGGTGCCTTCAAAGAGGAAGATCTAGAGAAATCTAAGGAGATCAGTGACCTATACACTGGTGTCAAGATGACCAGAGACGTCTTCGAGAAGACTTTGAAGAAGTACGGTATCGAGAAGCTGGACCCACTAGGTGAGCGTTTTGATCCAAACAAGCATGAGGCCACTTTCGAACTTGCACAACCAGACAAAGAGCCAGGTACCGTCTTCCACGTCCAACAACTAGGTTACACCCTGAACGAGAGAGTCATTAGACCAGCTAAGGTTGGTGTTGTCAAGGAGGACTGAATGCCATTTGCATAAGTTGCATTTTCACATGTTTTGTTCTATTTTTATTTTTCTTTTTTGTATTGAAAACCATCCCCCACCCAATTGTAATGTTTGATGATCCAACGAAATGCCATGTTTTCTCTTTTAATGCTCCATATTGCAATTCTGTGTTAGTAACATATTAGAAAAAGACCCCCAAAGACTATTTTTACTTCCTTCTCATTCACTGGAGGGAAATAGAGAGAACCTAATTTTTTAACCATGTACATATCTCATGTCAAAAAGACCAGTTTCAAATATATAATACTAATGATATATATAATACTAGTAATACAAAGCCCTAGGAGGCTAATATCATCCCTTCCCCTCCCCCCCGACCGCAAAATGATACCATAATCGACACACCATCTTAGCAGCAGTCCATAGTCTTTATAGCAGTCTCAAGTAACATCACCAAGAACGTACACATAATGGCCATTGGGACTTCTCAAAGATCCCGAGACGCCAGAAAAATCAGAAATAGGCGTTTCAACAGGCAATGACAGCAACATAGCTTGATAAAGCAGTTTTGCTGGATAGTTCTATCTTGGAAACCATCAAATATTCGAGTTACGAGAGTAAGACGCGTAAACCTGGAAGTTTAGCAACCGAGAAATTCTGGAAGTTCGGGAGTCTAGTTATTTTTAGAAACTGAGATCTGGCGTGCAGCAACATAGAAATTTAATTCAGAACTGGACAGCCATGGCGACAATACCGAAGAGGCATACTTATGGTGGAGGACCCGAGGTGCACTACACGCGGAACCCATATTCAGCCGCTCCTAGGAATTCCATGAGTAGTAGGGGTAAGAAGCACGTGACTTTTGGTCCATATATTGTTGGTTCTACTCTAGGCGAAGGTGAGTTTGGGAAAGTGAAGCTAGGTTGGACGAGAACGCCATCTACGGGTCCTGAGCAACGTCCTGCGGTCTCCAAGCAGGTGGCCATCAAGCTTATCAGGAGAGACACCATAGTCAAGAACTCAGAGAAGGAGATTAAAATATACAGGGAGATCAATGCTTTGAAACACTTGACACACCCTAATGTAGTGAGACTCGAAGAAGTGCTACAGAATTCAAAGTATATCGGAATAGTACTGGAATATGCTTCTGGTGGTGAATTCTACAAATATATTCAACGGAAGAGAAGATTGAAAGAGTCAACTGCATGCAGACTTTTTGCTCAATTAATAAGTGGTGTTACATACATGCACTCGAAGAATCTAGTACATAGGGATTTGAAGTTAGAAAACTTGCTTCTGGATAAAAATGAGAATTTAGTGATAACGGATTTTGGTTTTGTCAACGAGTTTTTACCGGACAACGAATACATGAAGACATCGTGTGGTTCTCCCTGCTACGCGGCACCTGAATTGGTGATAAGTACCAGACCTTATGTTGCTAGAAAAGCAGACGTCTGGTCCTGCGGTATCATTTTGTATGCAATGTTGGCCGGATATCTACCGTGGGATGACGATTCTACAAATCCTGAAGGAGATGACATCGGCAAACTTTACCAATACATAACGAGAACTCCACTAAAGTTTCCAGAGTATATCACACCGATACCCAGAGATTTACTAAGGAAGATACTGGTTCCAGACCCTAATAAGAGAGTGAATATGCAGTATATCCACAGACATGAATGGCTAAAACCACATAGGCCGTTTTTGGCAGTTAGCACATCGCAGTGGGATAAACTTATAAAGAATAGTGCAAATGTACAATTGGATCATACAAAGAGAGTTAGCAGAACATCACAACATTTTGAAACAGAGCAGGAAAATTCATCCGTTAACCAACCAGTCAGGTCTGATATGGTGAATAAAGCAATGGACACGTCAAATACCACCGATGATGCACAACACAGTATACCGAACAGGCAACCTTTAGCTAACGTATTCATCAATTCTAGGACCTACTCTGCAAGATCTGCATCATATGCTCCAAGACATTCTATGTCAGATGATCCAAATGCCATCGAATCAGCGAGACATGCTGTTCAAAATAAACATGAAAGTAATTTGGCAACTGTGATGGGATCGCCCAATAAGGATAAGGATGACACAACAGAAGATAATAACCTAGAGACTGTGGCACGTACCAGTTCACATCACAGGAAACCCCGCCCCACGTCTTACTACCCTGTAGATATCAACAGATCTGCAAACAACTTCTCTCCAATCGTCCTAAACTTAACTAACTCAGATGAGAATGATAACTCAAAGCATCCATACTCCACAAGCACAAGCAACAACCCAGTGGCACCAACACCACAGCGAGACCAGAGCCAAGTGGTCACTGACGAGCATGGTTTGCAATTGGAGAAAAACAGAGTTCGAGAACAACCGCTGACATCAGACAAATCACGCATGTCGAGTCTGCGCAGCAACGCTACTGCTAAGTCTAGCGATTCCAAGAAGAACAAGAGATTCAGTCTTCTCTCCTTTTACACAAATAACGGGTCCAAGACATCCCTCCATAATGACTCCAAGGTGTCCGTGACTCCATCCTCGAAAGAAGAATCAGCCACGGTGCCACCTTCTATACCTTCAGTAGTCCACCATACGGACACTACGGAGAACAAGAGAAATCACAGAGCCTCAATGATGGGCCCTTCAGCGGGCGGAGATAAGTCCACTGCTAGAAGAGTCATCGACTTCTTCAAACGGAGAAGCATGAGAATGTGAAACCTATATATTCATATAACATATCCTTAATTGATACCCCCACTTTATCCTCATTAAAAGTAATATAAAAGCGTAAACGTACTGCAATTGAGATTAGTAGAAAACCCAACAATACTAGATACCTACATAACACAATACAGAACAAACTATGGAAGAACAGAGCAACAGAGCAAACTATACCGCCAAACAGTCCAAAAAATGCCCTAACTGTATGGCTGAAACCCTAACTGTCCCAATGGTATCCACATATGTTACCCGCAACTGTAGGGCTCACTGCATTTTCTGAAAAATTTTCACCGTACAGCACGATTATGAAAACATATATAAAGGCCAGCTTGATTCATGGTTTATAGTTTCTGTCATTGTTCTTCTATTCTAGTTTTACTTCTTGTTTCTTTCATAAAAAAAGTGTCGACGTACTTCAGTATGTAACTTACCCATAAGTTTCCAATTCCCAATAGCATTCCAGTGATAAATATTGTTACTTTCCAGACAAATGTGACTTTGGATTCACACATTGCAGTGGTTTTATGCTATTTTCAATTTAAATTTGAGCACCATTTGACTAACACATTCTATAGTAGGATCATTTCTATAGGAATCGTCACTCTTTGACTCTTCAAAAGAGCCACTGAATCCAACTTGGTTGATGAGCCACAGAACCTTTGTACCCCAGAGTGAGAAACAAACCCAATGGAGGTGACATCTCTTCCGAAAGGAAGATGCAGTTTGGTTCCGTAATCCTAAGCGGTTCGGTCATCTGTACTGTCCCTTCGCCCAACCCTTACGTTTTGCTGTTTGCGTATAGAATTGGTTTGATGCCCACAGGACTTCGGTCTTGCGGGTGGACGACCTCTTCGACCCCTTCAAAATGGCGCGATGATCTTTACCCATCTTGTGTACTTCTCTTCGTGGAAGGGACAAGTTTTTATGGCCTAGGAGTTGATATCTTTCGGGACATCTTCTCTGTTTGGGTCTTGGGTGGGTACAAATGGCAGTCTGACAAGTTGTTTTTATTTCTTTCCTAGGTTGTAATTGTAATCAAAGGCTTGATTACCAACACTAGCATGAAATAAGAAAAAATTGTATATTGATGTAATATTTAATTTTGACTCTGTATTGCAATTTTGCTATGAGCACTGCCGGAGATGCGATGTGCAAGATAAGAACAACGATGCCCACGATTTATATATAAGAACAAGAACCCTTTGATAAGAAACGGGAAAGAACCTTTTTAAGTACATCACTTAAGTACCCACCAACACAATGTCGAAAGTTCCAGTGGTAGGGATAGTAGCAGCGCTGCTGCCAGAGATGGGCATCGGTTTCCAAGGTAATTTGCCTTGGAGACTAGCCAAGGAGATGAAATATTTTAGAGAAGTCACTACATTGACCAACGATAACAGCAAACAAAATGTAGTTATCATGGGCAGAAAGACATGGGAATCAATTCCTCAGAAATTCAGACCATTGCCCAAGAGAATCAACGTCGTAGTGTCAAGAAGCTTCGATGGCGAACTACGCAAAGTGGAGGACGGTATTTACCACTCCAATTCGCTGCGCAACTGCTTAACAGCATTGCAATCGTCCCTAGCTAACGAGAACAAGATTGAACGCATATATATCATTGGTGGTGGAGAAATCTACCGTCAATCAATGGATCTGGCTGACCACTGGCTCATCACAAAGATTATGCCGCTGCCAGAGACCACCATCCCACAAATGGACACTTTCCTACAAAAACAAGAATTGGAACAGAGATTCTACGACAACTCTGATAAATTAGTAGACTTCTTACCATCTTCAATACAATTGGAAGGAAGACTTACTTCCCAGGAATGGAATGGTGAACTGGTCAAAGGCCTTCCTGTCCAGGAAAAGGGCTATCAATTCTACTTTACACTGTACACTAAAAAATAGATAGTGCAAACTGCTGCATTTTACACATCAAATCTAAGTAATAAGAAGGAATAGCATTGGCCTTAGTTGATCCCAAGGTTCTCGCTTTGTATAAGGTTTTTAGAAGCAAAAAACAGTCAAATGTGGTAAATATACAAATAATAGTAAGGAAGCAATTCGACATATTATTGATACATAAATGGCAAAATTTCAGCGAAGAGGTGTGTCGTCGTTCCGGTACATGATCTGTTGAATTACTCTTCCAGGGACAGATCCATCGTTTAGTTACAATGGCTCGTTTGATCATCCATTGTTTTAAAAGGATTCTGTGATCAACATTTCGAGACCCCTCACGGATATGTGATAACTAAACGGAGTTGATATGCTGTATACCTCCCTGAGCTCTACAATCATTAATGCCATTGGGATACAAAATTACTTTTAACTTCGTGACTTCGTTTGAGTACGTTGGTCGTAAACATTATTTCGGGTCGGCACTATACAACTCATACTGTAAATTAATGTTGAACAACATTGCTAAGCCCTATTCGAACAAGGAACTCGCTCCAATTAATAAATATTTGGATATTATTGAATTAACTATTTTTGAATCCTAGTATATATACCAACAACAATTATAAGGGCCACCATTAATGTAATGCTTTCATCAACCTCTTCTACCATACATTCTTGGCTATACATTGTTAAGAATAACGATTTATTTGCCAACTACTCACAAGCATCACCAAATAATTTATAATGACACAAGACAGAGCTAGCTCTTCCACTTGGACAACCTTTTTGAAGTCTTTGGCATCATTTAATGGTGATCTTTCCGCCTTATCAGCACCGCCTTTTATTCTTTCACCAGTTTCTCTAGTAGAATTCTGTCAATATTGGGCAGAGCACCCAGACTTATTTTTAGAACCATCATTCATCAATGAGACTAACTATAAGGAAAGAATGGGACAATGCGACCCGGACATCGATTCTCCAGAAGCTGCTCGCATGCTGGCTGTGATAAAATGGTTTCTCTCTACTTTAAGATCACAATACAGCTCACGTAGTGAGAAGTCTGGGTCTGAAAAGAAACCATTAAACCCCTTCCTAGGTGAATTGTTTGTTGGTAAATGGGAAAGCAAGACATATCCTCATTTCGGTGAAACTATATTGCTGAGTGAACAGGTATCCCACCATCCTCCAATGTCTGCTTACAGTATATATAATGAAAAGAACAATGTCAAAATTGAGGGTTACAATAACATCAAGTCTAGCATATCTAAGACTCTTACACTAAATGTGAAACAATATGGGCACAACTTATTGACAATTGGAGACAAAGAGACTTATTTAGTCATCCCACCGCCTTTGCATATTGAAGGTATACTAATGGCTTCTCCATTTGTTGAACTGGAAGGTAAATCATATATACAATCCACAACTGGTATGTGTTGTCAGTTCGAGTACTCCGGTAGAGGTTATTTCAGTGGACAAAAGAACTCTTTCAAAGCCAAAGTCTACAAATCTGGTGCTGATTTGAAGAACAATGGTACTCCTCTTTATGTTATATCAGGTCAATGGTCAGGTAGCTCAAAAATTGTAAAGAATCTACCTAATGGTAAGCAATCCGCACCAGTTTTGTTCCATGACACAAACATTACCGCAACTGAAAGTCTACAAGTGAAAACCATTGACAAACAGCATCCATTAGAAAGTAGAAGAGCATGGAAGGATGTTGCAGATGCTATTAGACTAGGTGACTACGGTTTGATCAACAAAACTAAATCTGCTCTAGAGAACAAACAAAGAGAAATGAGAAAGGAGGAAGCTGCAAATGGCACTACATGGAAGAGAAGATGGTTTAATGAGGTTGATTACTCTCAAAACATGAAGGATAAAGATTTGTTCTTGACCTTAGCTAACGAGTTGGGATTATCGATAAAGAATGTACCAAGTGGTACTTTGGTTAATGATCGAGAGGACCAGAAGGCCAATTCTTCAGCTAAACATTGGAGATTTGACCATAGCAAGTGGGTGGCAGATGATGAAATTACAGTTTAATATTCGATGTCATCGGGACATTGTTTTAAGTTTTAATAGTATACTAATAGAAGAGAATGGGAATAATTAGATTCAGGTTCCTAATATATATATACATATATGTATCTTGACATTGAGATCATTTAATAATTTTTATAAATTAACTGGATGTAGTTAGCCTTACTTTCTTTCAATGTTGTTCTAAAGTTATCAATATTTGAAGCGATGATCTAAGACACAGAAAAAGAGTCGGAATAGTTTAGACAACAAATCAATCTCTGGCAACACCTGGTCAAGCACTAAGCTATCCAAGTTCAAAGGCCAAATGAGTTCACTTCGAAAGGATCATGCCATAATGGTCCCATGCCATTCTATTTGGAATTACTTCACCAGTTGCAGTGATTATATTCATTTAGGACAAGATCCAGAACAATGGTTTCTTGCACCATTTCAGTACGAGGGAAGAGACCATTTAAGCTTTATAAAGCATGGACTGGCAGGTTTGGATACTTTACTAAGTGATTTTGCAAATTCAACACTTATCTTTAGTGGTTCACAAACGAAGGCAGAGGCTGGTCCAGTCTCAGAAGCACAAAGCTATCAATTGTTGATGTATAGGATAATAAAGCAATCCATTGACGACATTAATGTAGTGAATGGCATTTTTGGCAACATTGATAGTGAGATATTGAAGCTTATTCAATCAATCATAAGTAAAATGAGAGATCAGGAAATTACATTAGATCAACTCTTCGAATCCCATCGGATTACTCTTGAAGAATACGCGTTAGACTCATTTGATAACCTTCTTTATTCATTAGGACAATTCCAAGCTGTGAATGGAAATTATCCTAAAAAGATGACCATTGTAGGATTTGGCTTCAAACAATCAAGATACCTGGACTTACACGCTAAGGCTATTGACTTTAAGAATATAAACTATATTTCAATAGAGCCATCACCAACAGGATATAATTCAGAACAACTAGAGGTATATTTTAGTACTCTATCTGCTATGGAAAAAAAGAATGCAGCAGCATTATTTCAAAATGATTATTATGGAAGAAGATCACCTTTGCTGGATAAGAAACAATCTAGGAATCCGTTCAACAAACAGCCAAAATATGAAATACTCAATATCCTAAAAGGACTGGAAAATTATAGCGATGAAGAATTTTTACAGAAACATATTGTTGGACATACACCATGGTAAAAGATTGTACAGCATAATAAATAACGTTCAATAACAATTTTTAGATATAAATACCGATAGACATAAATATTTAACATATTATAATAGATAGTAATGCAAAATTTAGTGCTAAAACGTAATGATAGATAAACGTCAACACAAAGAATAAATGTTTTCAGATTGAGGATAATTCAGTCGTTCTTACTGAATTCAGTTCCATCAAAGGGCTTGTAAACAGTAATGGAGTTCTTGGATGAAATAGTAGCGCTCAGGTCGTGCACCATAGGATGCAAAGCTACAGTGTTTCTGGAGCCGCTCTTAACACGGCTTGGTTGGCAGAACTTCAAACAGTGACTTTGTAATTCTTCTGGTTCCAAGCTTGGCAGATAATCCTCGTTGTCATCATCATTTCTAGAGAATAGATATTCCATATCCCAGTGATAAATGTTACCGGAACCACCCACAGTGACAAATTCACTAGAAGAAGTTTCGGAAAACTTGATATCAACGACCGAATCACCACCAGAATGAAACACCTTTGCCATCTCAACTTGAATTGGGTCTTCACCATTTTGTCTGTAGGATAAATCTTGAGTTGCTTCATATGTAGCACGGGCATCCCATAATTTAATCAAACCCGTGCTGAAACCAGTTGCAAACAGGTTTTCAGTTATTGGCGAGACATCGAAAGTTGTCAATCTACCATTTTGTGGTTCACTCAAAATCCAGATTGGCTTATCATCTGTTCTAGTATCCCAAAATCTGATAACGTTATCGTCAGAGCAGGATGCAAATAGATGATTATCGAAGAATCTGACCGTGTGTGTAACTACAGTTCCAGGGACTTTCATTGTGCGTAAGATTTCACCAGGTTTGCCCGAGTTATCAATAATCTTCAAGATACTTTCTTCTTCGTAGCCGTTGCTTTGCGATTTTACAATGGTTTCACTGTCCATTGATAGAGAGAAATCAGAAACAGCCAATTCTGCTGGTTTCTGTCCAGAATGCATACTAGCAAAGCTAGTAGATGGTCCCATCATCTCCTGGACGATATGAACTGGCACTTTGCAATCGTCCTTGAACCAAGCCAAAGAACCATTCTTGGACATCGCAATCAATGCGTTGTCGTTTAAATCATCAAGGTAAGTCATCTTGGCGACAGTCTCACCTTGATATACCCACTTGGCACTGTTCACAACATCTGCATCCTGCACAATACCGTATTTACCTTCTTCAACCTTGGCACTTTCGTCAGAGGCTTGCTCTTCAACAGGAGTGTATGGCAGGATGTCCAAAGGGAAAACACCTTTGAACTCGTATATGTCACTGCCTTGAGAGTATATCAAAGTAGTAGAGAAGTTCTTGTTGCTCTTGTCTGGAATAACATCGTGTCTCCAAGCCAGCGTTCTGTCAGCATGCCCAGCACTGAGCTTGTTCACAAACTTTGGCGTGAACTCAGAAATGTGCTGGTAAAGGTTAGGCCTTCTGTTATGTAGCATCTTACTTACAGTCTAGTATCTGTATTACCCACTGGTTTCACTCGTTATGTCCCAAGTCCAAGTGCTCCTCCACTAGAGAACCTCTAAAAGCCCAGATAAATACTATATAAATATAACTAAAATTTTACCATCCACCAGACGTCCCCACACCCCCTCTCTCTCCTCCTGGCAAGGGCCTTGGGTGTCTGATTCAGAATCAATCGATGTACCAATACTGATTCTCTTCGCAAATGGGAACAATGGGTACTCAGTTCCTCGATACCGAAGTTTCTTTCTTTTTTTTTCTTGTGCTTTCCTTCCAAGAATTTTTAAAGTTGCACAGCGTCTTCTAAGCCGAAGAAAGAAGCTTTCTCCAAGGGTGTACGAACCTCTCTGTGCCTAATTTAGCTATTAATACTTTTCGTTTCTTTTTTTTCCTGCTGAGAAGCCGATCTCGATGAGTAAGCATGTTCTATGCAGCTTACAGAGCTAATATCAGTCAGCCGGGGCCAGTTCAGTGGAATAAGTATTGTCGGAAGTGGTACAAGAATGGAGTATGGTCTCTTATGGTTGTAGTGAATAGTTGGACTGATCGTAATACAAGTACGTTTGAAGGATATAGTATACAACGCTTACCCGAGGGTATTATTGCCGGGTACAGTAGTCTTGAAGAAGGAGTTGGTACAAGTAGAGCAATAGTGTATGAGCCACATATACAATACAGTTACAAACAGCTTGTTGGGACTATCTCAAACAGTATATATCCGCCAAAATTCGGAATCACATGCCTAAGTTTTGACACACGACTACCCTAATTTAACTCCCCTTTGCTCATCACTTCCCCCCTCGACAAAGAGAACACTCATCCTCAAGTCTGGTAAATGTCAAAGTACCATTGTAATTTCTCCATCCCACTCGGATTTCGAGTTCCATTCTATCAACTTATATTATATTTCTTGAACGGGTTTCATTTATCGGTTTTAAGGGGGGGTGAAGCGGTCCCAGTTGTTAAATTGATCATTGCCAAAGCTGTCCAATTATATTAGATACATGTATCCCCTTATTAAATTCCATATTGTTGCATAGTATATAAATACAAGTATAATTTCATAGTTATTTGGTATATAGATGATCCTTTGTACCACACCAAGACTAAAACATAAAAACAACTATAAAAAATGTCTAAGAATCTTAAAGAAGTATCACCTACACCACTAAAACCAGACGAGAGGCCTATCTCTTACAACCCTAGAAAGATCCTGGGTATTGAGGTCTCCACTACTACTGTGGTTCATGCTTTGTTCAAGCTACAAAGACTATCGATTGTGCCAATGGCACTATATTTCCCGGTCCATGCGGTTAATACGATGATTACACCATTGGTTAACCCAGAGACTGCCCCAGACTCGTTCCTGACCGCAGTACACAAGTGGGTTCCTCAGGCTGCGTCCAAGATACTGATCGCTTCATTGCTAACCCACATTGCAAGCGGCGTCTTGCTACGTGGCTGGAAGCTTTACAAGAGTCATGTGCTGAAGGAGAAATACCATCTCCACCACCAGCACAAACATACCACATCTCAAGATGACATTGGATTGACTGGTGGTATTTCTGGCTACTTGTTTGGAATTTACAAACAGTTCACTCTTTCACCTTTGTCAATGTCCGGATATGTTCTAACACCATTAGTGCTATATCACTTGCTGATAATGAAATGGGTTCCAGAGAGTTTGGGTGAGCCTGCCACAGGGTTCGACTTTGTCAAACAGCTGTTGAGAGCTAGTGAGTGGTGGATTCGTTGGTTTGCCGGTATAATTCCGCTATCCGCGTTAATTTCTGCCGCTTCTTATCATATTGTTGCTGGAGCTTGTAGATTGCTCGATGTCAAAGACATGAAGAAGAGAAAGAACGCTTCCAGGATTATCTCTGGTTTGAGTATTGCCGGATTTTTATCGATTCTAAGACTATCAAATGCCAAGTCATTCTCATCTGACTGGTCTCAATTTAATGATATTTTCACTAAATTAAATTTCTTGAGAACTTGAGTTTACAATAGAAATGAATTGAAAACAACATTAAAAAAGCTCTCTATTATACTACTGTATATTGTGGTCTCCCATATAGTGGCTCTAAATATCGTATGCGAATTATATAAAATTTTTTAAATGCAGGGCATTAAATTATATATTATTGACTGATTCTAATGAACATGATTAATTAAATGAATTTTGAATATTAACATAGTTATTCCATACAACTGGGACTAAAGCGGCTCTAAATACTCCACTCATGCTTAATAAATGTACTTCGTGAACGTTTATCAACATAATAATATAAACTGATGTCTCATGAACACATAACAGTAAACAATATAAATAAAGTAGAATGGATGCAGCATAAAGAAGAAAATTGAAAAAAAAACAAAATAAAATAAATCATTGCTTGCTAGTTCTCTTTTGTGATATAGAGTTTAATAGCTCATCATACTTCTCTGTCACCAATTCATCCGTTTTAGAATCGGTAGAAGTTGATCTTCCAGAAGCTTCGGTATTACCCTCAGATGCGTTGCGTGAAGTATAGTCCACATCTTGAGCTCCCAAAATGGGGAACGGTTTCAAGGACTCACCATAGATTTTCTTCAAACCATGATCATCCTTACTAACTTTCTTTATTAGATCCTCGATACTATCAATACCTTTAGCCTTGATAATAGCTTCTCTTAATTCATTACCTGAAGGCACAGTTTGTATTTTTGGCACAGTAACTCTTTCTGGTGCATTAGTGTTTTCCGATACATTAGGAGTTTTTTCAGGTCCACTTTTCTTATCATCGGTATCAGGATTAGTAGTCCCCTTCTGGTGAACAAAAAAACCCCACTTATGGAATTCACCTTCTTCATGCTCCTGCTTCTTAACTAACAAGGAAGTACTTGATGAGGTTTTATAAAGTAGCGCTTTACCAGTTGTCGCATCCACAACCTTTCCTGATTCGGTAGCCATAGAATGTGGTATTTGACTAGCATCCACATCTGGGGACTTAGGTGAATGGTGACTAGCAAACCCAAATATCCTATCAGAATCCAAGTGTTTTAGGAATGGACGGATGTGACTCGTATTAGTGGAGTTATTTTTTTCATCAGCGCTGTCGTTACTGTCATCGGCAAAATTGGCCTTTCCAATCAATTCGGCTTCAGGGGTCTCCATAATTTTCATTGACGAAGTTGATGCAAATAGTTGCATTATGTTGGATAAATTTTTTTCTAGCAAAACTAATCTTAACAAGTTTTCCTTCTCTTTTAATGGTAATGTACCAGTTTCTCGTTTCTCAAACATAATATCGATCTTCTTTTGGACTTCATAATGTAAACTTTCAATCTTCTCAACAAATTTCTTTAGTAAATACATTTTTGTTGGATCTGATTGGTCTCCCAAATTACTAGTCAAACGATGCAATATTCCTTCTGCGTTTTCAGAAATGACTTTACCATCAAACAACAAATCATCTTGTGATGTTACTTCATCCTGAGAAAAGTTTGAATCAATAGTTTTTTTCATGTTAATCATCAATGTTACTGCTATTCTAGATTGAATTTCATCTGATATATCACCATAATCAACGTCCAAACCCAATAAGGTTGATCTATCTCTACAAAATCCATACAATGTTGCTCCTAAAGTCCGGGCTGCAAATTCTTTCGTTGATTTATCATCCGATCCATCTTCCTTCTCTTGATCCTTGATAGCTTCAGGGTATGTGAGTTCGTTTTTCATTGAAACATGTGCCAGTTTGGGACATTTTTGCAGTATCTCACAAAGCATGATACATTGTTTATATGTCAAACAATTTGAATCAAAGTGTATTCTCTGAAGAGATGGAAATAAAGGCAAATACTTGTAGAGATATGCAAATACCGAAGGAAACATCTCTGGTATGTTACTCATATCCAAAAATCTTAAATTAGGAAGCCTAGACAGGTACTTCAACAACGATCCAATATTTTGAGTACATGAAAACGAAGAGCTGTTTAGTGTGAAATATTCCAAGTTATTGTAAGGTAACGTTGAAAGTTTGTCAATGATAATATGGATATAAGGCTCCAATTCATTAAATCCCAAGTCAACACCTTGAACACTGAATTGAGAAATAACATCAAATAGAAATGACATACATTTTTCTGAGAAAGATGCAGCTGCCATACCAAGTCTTTTATTTGGACTTGAATTTTTACTAGCAAAAGTTAGCAACAAATCTTGATAGTCATCAAAACTCATTTCATCAAAATGGACACCATTCAACAACAACTCTTCTAAAGGTCTCCCAGTGCGTTCACGTAATACATTGCAGAACAATTTCCAGTTCATATTATGGCGATAACATTCTGCGGGTAGATCAGGCTTAATCTTTGTCTGGGAAAGATCGAGGCGAATAATGGACTTGTTAACCAATAAAAATTTACAAAGCATCTCCCAGTCCTTGGAACTTAAAACAACATTACGAATGCCCAGCTTTTCTATGGATTTTGAGTTAATTAAAGAGGACAATACAATTTGGATCATATCTGAATTTAGTGCAACATTATCAAAAACAACAACTTGAATAGGCGTAATTGAAATAAAATCACAGAAAGAAAGAATATCAATGAGTGTAGGTTTAGGATTCAAAAACTTAAGAGTTTGTAAGGGAGCAGTCTTACCTTTTACTTGCCTTAAAGTTGATGGAATAGGCAATATTTCTCTTAGATGACAACATCTTGTGTATACAACATCCAAAGGTAGCTCATGATGATGTTGATGTAGATCAGGGTTTGAGTTTACCTGAGACGTCGAAGAGTCATAACCTTCTGTCTCAAAAAAAGTTTCGTGAGCATGTATAGGTTTATCAATTGTCAGTTCAGCTACACGCGAGTCAAGAGCAACAGTGGGATCAGAGTCGATCACAGACGCTTCAGTTGGACTTGAAGGGCTCAAAACTTTGTTAACAACAGCGTTATGTGCCGCTTCAAAAAGGGAGCCAGATCTAATTCTATAACCAGTCACCTCGTTGGCAATTCTCTCAGCTACTCGATGAGCTTCTAGTTGCTGCCTCTCTGACTCTTTCTGCAACCTCTTGTAGTTTTCCAAAACCATTTTGTACTCCTGTGAATCCTTGCTATATTTACGTTTTGGGGCAGAAGAGGCTTTATTATCTGAAGTCGTAGTAATACCTACAGATATCTTAGGTTCTTCGCTGATCATGTCTTCAGGCACCACGATATCTCCCATCTTGGGTTTCCTGGAAGGAAGCTGTTGTGCTGGTTCATGATGGAATTTGTCCAAGGCAAAAGAGACTCTCTTCAAGTCAATTTTATTCAATTTTTCAATCGATTCTTTGTCTCTGCTTTGCCCTTGGTCATGATGACTATGGTGATGTTTTGAGCTTTCAATTCTTTCATCGAGTGGATCCATGGAGGGAGAAGGCGAGCCCCTTGAGATTGGAGCCGCGTGACTCTCAGAATTGGACTGTCCAAAATGAAATAATCTAAGTGGTGAGCTAGGAGACTTCGGTTCGTGGGATTTAGGCTTTTCACGGTTGACGTTGATGTTAATTGGTACAGAAGCGGTTGGGGACGCAGAGGAAGTACTGGTTTTCACCGACACGGGTGACTTCGCACTCGACTGTGGGGGTTTCTTATCAGTACTGTCGCTCTTCTTACCGAATAGTGACCCAAATATGGATTTCTTCTTCTCCTTCTCGCTGTGGGACACGCTGTGCCTCCTTGAGTAATCCGTAGCGGGCGCCTCCCGTTGCGCACTTTTGTCATTCGAGAGGTCACCGTTTGAGATTGAGCTAGACCTGGGTCGCCTCCTCGCCACGCCCTCTGGCATGGTCTCCCGCACAGAGATCGTAGCCCTCCTCCCGAGCCTGTTCCCGTCCATGGGATCGCTGCGCATGGGATCCACACTCCCTGCCTTGGGCAGCTTGCGCTTCTTCCCCTTGTACAGCCACTCTATCTGCACATCTACCTGGTTCTTGAGCACTTCAATCGAAGCCATCGTTGGTGCTTTCCTTTACCCAGTATGCCTAGTAACAAATTAAACTAACCTATGTATATATATATTTAAACTTGAAGGCTGTAGCCACGGACGTCCAGATCACCCCTTTTATCATGCAGTAGAAATAACGCAAGAATCAGCAATAATAGCCAATGCTCATGATCGTCACAGGGACTGAACAACTGACCAACTGACCCAGCTGAAGTGAGCAATAGAGCAATTGAGAATAGAGCAATTGAGCAATAGAACAAAAGCAAGAACAGTTGACAGTTGACACATCTGCTGACAGTTGCGATGAGCAATTGTATGACGGGGGGAACACCACAATGGGGACCCAGAGAGTAAAAGCTTGGACCAATCAAAACAGAGAGTGGGTGGGATGACTCTATCAGGAAAGTGAAAGCGTGGGATGTAGGTGTCTATCCTATCTTATTGCACGTATATCATATGATATTACACTATAAAGTGATGTATGACGCATATTACAGACACCCAGACACCGCACACATACACACACTTTGCTATCTGTATTTCAGTTTTTGCTCACTTGTACGGGTGTTTGAATACCCCACCTAGTGTGTTGTGCGTGTATCTCTGAGGCCCCATTACTGGCTTCCCATTGTTCTGTCTCGAGGGCAGCGAGATCCAGGATTTGTCAGCAGAGCAGTGGGGGGGGGGGTGTCTGGTGTGTGGCCGATGCCGGGAAGCTGTGGTATATATAAGCGTGTTAAATAGAGTAGATATACAAATGACTACAACTTGAAATACACTTACACATACACACTCATACACACATACACACACATACACACATACATATACAACTACGAAATGTTTTTGAGAAGTACTAGATTGATGCGTCCGTTTACCAGGATGTACCATCCGAAGGTGATAGAGCACTACACCAACCCTAGGAATGTGGGGTCTATGGACAAGACTCTGCGGAACGTCGGCACGGGTGTGGTCGGTGCGCCAGCGTGTGGTGACGTGATCAAGCTGCAGATACAAGTGAACGACAACACTGGGGTGATAGAGGAGGCCAAGTTCAAGACATTCGGCTGCGGGTCCGCCATCGCATCGAGTTCGTACCTGACAGAGCTGGTCCAAGGAATAACCATCGAGGACGCCGAAAAGATCAAGAACATAGAGATCGCAAAGGAGCTGAGTCTCCCTCCCGTCAAACTGCATTGTTCGATGCTCGCAGAGGACGCCATCAAGGCCGCGGTGAGAGACTACAAGACCAAGAGAAGCTCAACAACCCTCCACTAATCCAACTCTCACTTCAGAACTCAATATTCACAAAAAATATATCATACATACCTGTGTAACTCTAATAGAAACTCCTTCTTAATATCACACTGCATACAAACCCAGTATTATCATCACGTCACACTAAGTGTCACAGGTTTTTTCAACTTCGCTCTTCTCTGCACTTCCTCCCCTCCCATCGAATTCTCAAAAAATTTTCAGTCACAAGCATAATAAAGCCCATTGAAAACACTAGGCCATCGCTTTCAAAATAGTTGTGTTACATGCGTTTACAGCGTTTAAACACACTGGTAATATAGTGTACGAGCTCTTCATCTCTTCGCTGAAAATCACTCTCAACCGCATAGAGCTATGTCCACTACACTGTTCGACGATATATTCACCATCTCCGAGGTGGATCCAGGCCGTTACAACAATGTCTGCCGTATAGAAGCCGGCTCTACTACACAGGAGCAATGCAAGCTGACCCTAGATATAAATACCAACTTGTTCCCAGTGCAAGTCAACGAACAACTGACAGTGACAGTGGCCTCCTCCTTGGATGTTGATGACGACGACAAGGCCAAAGTTAACGACTCTACCGGTGCATCCAGAAGTTGGAGACCACCACAACCTGGCGACAGATCATTGGCAGACGACTACGACTATGTGATGCACGGTACTGCATACAAGTTCGAGGAAGTAAGCAAGGATGTCATCGCTGTGTACTACTCCTTCGGAGGTCTACTGATGAGATTGGAAGGTAACTACAGAAACTTGAACAACTTGAAGCAAGAGACCGCCTACTTGTTGATCCGTCGTTAATTTTACTGAATCACAAGACCATACAGCTTATTACATGGTATTTTAATAAACAACTTCGCACCCTCCCCACATTGTAAATTAGTCAATTTCGAAGCTTATCTTTCGTCATTCCCCTTTCCACATATCCATAGTGCTAAATCGATAAATACATTGTATAAAATCAAACTATTCATATTGGAAGATAAGAAATAATAATAAAGGAATACTTTATCTATTTATTCATGTAATAGTCATTACTTATTGATATTTGATTTAAAATCCCCTAACTAGACAGAACAGCACGTTGGTAGCTACTCCGACTATGATCGACATCCTCTGTCTCTTATTGAACAAACCCTCGTTCTTCATTAGTAACAGTGCAAATATTCCAAGACAGAATCCTGTTGTTATACCTATTAACAGATCTTTGTTGTGCCGTATATCCGTAACTGGAATTGAATTGAAACGATCTTCCACCTCTCCATTTCTGTCTCTCCCTGGTTGTAACCCATCTCCGGCGGTGGCCATAGGATCATTACCACTCTCCATCCACATCTCTTCTAATTGCCTTATGTCTCTCCTTGCGTTACCACCACGGCTTCCTATGTTGCTTTGGGATTCGTCGCCGTTCAGGAGGTCGTCTTCCTCCTCTGGGTCGCCATAGGTAGATCTGAACTGCTGTCTCAACAACTCAATTTCTTCCTCACTGAAACCCACAGAGGCTAATCTATCGAAACCTATGGCCTGAGTGGTCACTGAGTCCGCACTTGGTCCCATTGTATCCATTACATCCTCGCTCGCGAGTTGCTCATCGGTCAAATCCTCTGTACCTATTATACAATGCACATAGAACAGAAGCTCATTTAACGTACCTTCTGTATTCTCTGCTTGCAACCGTTCAAAATACTGTAGAATCTCAGAGCCAAGGTTCGCCCTAGAATTCAATATGTTACCATTCCTAATAAACCGCAGCCTTCTCCTATGTGTCTGCTCTCCTCTCAGTTCCCTACACAGGCGACGTAACCATTGCGTGTTAATAGTATCCATCGATACATGTGTAATATTTAGCTTAAGATCAGGAATGGTGTCGTCATTGAAACGAACCACTATGAATCTTGATATCCCACCATTATCGCCAGGCATCCCATCTAAGGATCCCGTTCCAAGCCCAGAAGACATCTCTATTATATTTGCTGTATTGTTGTCAATTTAATAATACTTAGAGTAGCTGTAACACCGCTCATATGGTCCTGATTACTGGCTCGCCAAAGATATCTTTAGAGTGACCACCAGCCTGGTCTATTATCCTTGTCATTAAGGGACCAAAATCTTGTCACTACCCACAATAATAGTCATGTGTGGTGCTCCAATGCTCAAGTAATGGCATAGATGATGGTATGCTGCAACTGATTCATGATTGTATGGTTTACATCGAGGTTAATTAAAATATATTTCTCGCTATTTACTTTTAATATGCTCTTCTTTTATATAACTTCATGGGGGTTTAGAGGGGGATCATTCTTGCCATCCAAAATATTTGGATCCGATCACTGGTTCCCTAACACTATGACAATAATACGAATATTTACAATAAAAGAGGTCCCTTTCCCCATTGGAATGTAATGGTTAGATGTATCCACGGTGCACTGGTTTAAAATATGTTTTTCTTGTAAAGGAATGGTTTTTTTTGTTTTGGAAATCAAGGAGATGATAATGTAGCGAAAGAGCCTGTAAATATGGCGGTAATGAATGTTTACAGAACAGTTAAAACGCTCACTTACCGTATTTCATCTCTTGGAAGAATGCCATCATACCGTTAAAGACCACCAACATGATACCACCACCTGGACCCAGTCTCAGGATCTTTGGAATGAATCCCTTGTAAAGGGCGGTGAAACCTTCCTCGGAGTAGATCTTGAACAAAGATGGCCATGTCCAATTGTATTTTGGTACCACAGTACCATCGGCCAATGTAGTTGTAGCACCACTTTGGATTCTAGATTTTACAACACTCAAAATGGTGTGTTCAGTAGAGTACCTACAGTACCCACCGATGGTACCAGCGATCAAATCGTTGGTGGTCTTCTCAGTGTTGGTCTTAGCCTTTGGCAATAGGGCTCTAATCTGGAAGATGACACCAAAGTAACCACCGTTCCAGAAGGCGTTTCTCCACATGGTAGACTCCAGCCCATTGTACAGCGAGAGAATACCAGTCTCTCTAATGGTTTTGAAGACGACCTCCATTGGTCCGTTAAATTTGGAGTTGACATCCTGTAGACGAATCTTCACCAATTCAAATGGCACAATGACACAGGCTTCCGTGACACCCGCCAAAGAACCACTCAGAATAGAGATCTGCTGAGTCAGCTTGTCCACACCATACAGATCCTTGAACATCTTCTGGTAAGAGTCATTACAAGCGAACTTTGTGGCTCTCTTTGGTGCTTCCATCAGCATCGGAGAAGAAATACCCTTATACAGACGGCTAAACCCTTCACGCTTGACAATCTGCCCTAAACAGTCGATAACACCATTGTAGGCGACACCGGAACCTGTCCCCGAGCCAACTTGCAATTGCATCCGTGTCTTAACAACATCCAACGGATACATAACAAGCAGCTCGGAAACACCAGCAGCAGCACCAGAAACAAACTGGTAGATAAATGGCAAAGGCTTCTCAGACATAGTAAGCAATTATATTCTGTGTTTGTCGGCCCTACTACCCCAGTAACACCATAACTCTCATGAAATATATATCGTCCAGCTTACTTTATACTTTGAAATCAAGATTTTTGTCAAAAGAATTTCGGTTTGACTCAATCCTCGGGATTGGTCGTCCCACTACGAAATCACTATGCAACTTAAAACTATCTCGCACCAATGGGTAGTATCCCCTTCTCCCAAGTATAGCAATATTAATCATCCTCCCCGCATTCAATAACTTTAAGACAGTTAGCTCTGGACTTCTGAAGTAGGGCTTGAATTCGGAACTCTGGAGACCCTCCCCTCTAGCTTACTGGATCCTACTCAAAACTTGTCGGAAGTTAACTAACGCATCGTGGTTTATACACCGACACAAGAATTCCCAGTTTTAAATTCAAACTTTTGAGCTGAATCGAACTAGAACTCGATCATCTAAACAATTAGTTTTAGATATATAATATTTCGCTCCTCCAAATAGCATTTAACTCTATTTGACAGCCAAACAGGACACAATCCGCTAAATGAAGTTGGTTACATTCCCTGGACAAGGCACTCCGATCCCTGTTGCTGTACTGAAGGCCTTGATTCGGAACAAAGATGCGCAGTTCAACACTATCTTGAATCGTGGACTGCACAGACGGGACTTACTAGAGTACATATTCAGAAACCCATCTAGCCCCGGTAGCATCGCAGTGTGTTCCAATTTCCTATATGAAATGTATGGTCTGATCTCCGAGGACTTGCGGCCCCACCATCGGGACTCGCTTATACTGCTTGGGCACTCGCTAGGTGAGCTGACCTGCTTGAAGGTGAATGAGCTGTTCACTACAAAGGAGCTGTTTGAGATTGCCAACTACAGAAATGACCTAATGGTCAAGTACACGGAACAGTACCTGAGGGCTTACAACAGAAGAGGATCGAAGTTTGAGATGTGGGCGCTGTCGTCTCCAAAGGCTACTGACTTACCATATGAGATACATAAATTGCTCACGGAGTCACCTACGTTCCCGGGATCCCACACAATATCGGTCGCCAATGCAAATTCAGTTAAGCAGTGCGTGGTAACGGGTCTAGTCGAGGACTTAGAAGCATTGAGAACAGAATTACACTTGAATATACCAAGACTAAGAATTTCAGAACTAACCAATCCACATAACTTGCCATTCCACAACAACACAGTACTAAGACCAATTCAGGAACCACTATACGATTTCATATGGAAGATAATGAAGAATAACGGCACACATACATGGACTACGCTAAACCACCCAATAGTTTCCAACCTCGACGGTAAAGAAACCAAATTTATACACCACGCACTGGATAAGTTTGTAAAGTGTAGCTCAACCACTGTACAGTTCACAAAATGCTACGATACCATTAACAGAATAGCGGAAGCCACAAAAGATCAAGAGGACCCCTTGGATGCAGCTATCTGTATCGGGCCGGGAAATGTCATCTACAACTTAATCAGAAGGAATGTCCCTAGCCTGAAATGCGTGGAATACTCTTCAATGGCCACCATAGACTCCTACCATGGTACACACGACTTATAAAGGAAAGTGCTTTAAACAAATATAAACACTGTTATCAATTTCCCTAATACCTGTACATATAATGTCATTTGTCACTCAATTTTGCTAATTCAGTTCTGCATGCAAGTTTAATGTTTCCGTTCAGTTCAATTCAGTTCAATTCAGTTATATCTTTTCACTATTCACTATTGCTATACATTATCTTTTTCTCAATTTGAATTTCATAATAATCTGGGGTAGCGTTGCAAGCGCTATTTTATAGACTTTGATGAATTATTGCTTTGTTATATTTTTATTAACACTTCTATTATGTGTATTCGAGGACCTATTTAAATATATGAGACCGTGTGCGTATATATAATTATGCATTCTAGCAACTGCTAACGTTTTTCCAATATGAGGTTCAAAAAAGACTATAACTAGCTTCATAGAAGCAATCCCCTAACTAGTTAAAGAACTCATCGACAGTTATACTGGGGCTTAAAGGTGGTGGAGTATTTGAAGCCATCTTGTTTACAGCGTCTGTCGATACTGTCAGCTTCTGAGACTTATGAAGCTCCGTGGTACCGGGACTAGATTCCTTTGAGCTATCACTCTTTGTAGGGAGAGGCTCTCTGTAAAGGTGGGCCTTCTCATCATTTGCAAACTTCAATAACGTTGGCGATTCAAGAGACGTTCTTCTATCTGGGGATAGAGAGGGACTCCCCATTGCTAACGATTGGACGTTAATACCCGTGCTGACTGGGTTTGTATCTAGTGAAAGTATAGGTTTGTCACCAATTGCACTGTTGCTGTCAGCACTCCCGTTGCTTGCAGCATTAGAATCCTCTGGCGAAGACTCTCCCATCGACCTCGACCTGAACCTGTTCGATAACAGGGACTCCGTCAAGTACAGTTTTATGCTCTTATCATTGACCACACTGGGCTCCTCCTTCTGCAAATACTCGTATATCTCCATCGTGGCGGCCTCATCATCAAGTATAATTATAACTCTATCCAGGAACGGAAGCGGCGTGAAGTACTGCAGGTGCTTCCTATACTGTGGATACTTCTCCTTGAACAACTTCTTCTCCAGCGTATCTGGCCACTTCGAGTCAAACTTATTCTTGGGAACATCCGTAATCAATACCTGTGTCTTCATCTTGTGCTGCTATATCTGCGTGTCTGTGTCTATGTCTGTGTGTGATGTCTGTGTACTGGACGTATTATCTACTTCTGTATGTATATGCACGTATACCTTATACGCCTTCTATAGAAATAAAAACTCTATTAGAAACTATAAGCAACTCCGTTTAGAGTCAAGAGTAAGTATCAATTATATATATCGTACTTACAAAGAGAAAAAAGGCTAGGGTACCTAGATTTTATCCATTTGGAGGCTTGAAATCAATCAGAAATTGCCCAAATTCGCCTCTTAGGCCAAAGGGTCCCTTAACCCCCTTCTCTAAATGGCTGCTCCTCCCATGGGCCACTATCTCCCCCGTCCCATTCCTCCGTTTCCCATTAAGGACTTCTAAATGGTAAATGGGAATCCCATTCAGAGCTTCTCGTCCGTGCAGACCCCCTCACCTCTGGCTCATCTCAATCAACTTTTGCCCAACGAGCAATCAGCCCAATTGTAACCCACAAAGGCATTGGGACGTAACACCGATGATCAGCACTTATCAAACTTTATGGCGGGGGAAACTAGTCATTATAGAAACCAATAAGCCTCCAATTTAATTCGCATCCGCCTTGATCCATATTTTGAAAAACAGTGTATTTGCGCTGCCCTGATTAGATTACTGATAACACATCCACAAATGGCGAAGCGGATATACGATCCTATCCATGATGTGTTCCAGGACACCGGCGACAACGAACCCAAGAGGTCGAAAGTGCTGTCCGTTAGCGAGTTAAACTCGAGCGAGACTTCGAGGAGGAATGTATCGAGCATTAGCAGCCTCTTGACGTCTGATGATCAGACTGCGGAGAAGGCCATACCTGAGCGAGCTCACAGGAACTCGATCTCCAATCTATTGAGCAATGATCCCGAGGAAGATAACAATGCTGAAAAGGAGAAAGTTGTGCCCGTGCCCCATATGACCAATACCAAGTATACAAGGCATTTAAAGAAGCCCGACGGCGATTTCTTCTCGAGAAAGGATATACAATATGATATGTTGAAGGCTTTGCTCACCGACGATCGATGTTTATTTACTAATCATTTGAAAGCCCAGTACACTAATTCGTTGGCTCCTATGTCTTTGCCAAATAACAAGATACCTATTATCACTGATAAGGAATACGATGCCAGAACATTTGTGTTTAACGACAAATTGACTTTCGCCCAGATGTATGCTTTAACTATGGCGACTTCGTCCAAATGCTCGAAGATACTGAGAGACAAGTTGCTACTGGACGGTCAAGTGGCTTTTTCTACTTGTGTGCTGGGCTTTCTTGTCAATATTGGTAGGCTTAACACAACAATCAACTTCTACTTGGAGATGACCTCGCAACTGAGAACGTACCACAGTGTTCCTTGTTTGCAGGCTCACACTTTGGATATCAAGTCTTTACAAGATACGCCACGTATCAAATCGATACTACGAAACTTGCCAACGGGTAACAACCCGATACATCTGTCGTTGATATACAAGCTACTGGGCGTGATATCAGAGGAGAAGTTTAACGAAATCGGAGACAGCGCATCCCAGAAACTAGATAAACAAGTATCGTCTGCCGAGAAGTTCGGCTTGAATGGTAAATTCAACTGCATAAATATGCTGTTTGCATTATGTGATAACGCTACTATAGTGAGGACCCAATTTTTATCCAAGTACATCCAACTTATAGACCCCCAGGATAATAATCACCGATTCGATCTCGACAAAGATTTGACATTGTTTAACATACTGGACAATTCCAAATTCGATGTAATCGATAGAGTGAACGTTGTATTATGGCTGCTCTACATCCACACAGAAACAGATCTAACAGAAGCAGAAGTTGTAGAATCTTTGAAACTATTCATACCGCCAACGAGCGTTCCAGATTTACAACATAATAAGATACCATTAAGATTGACTACAAACAATTATGATGTAGACACAGAAGAGGAATTGAAATATGGCAAGGAGCAAAAGGAGAAAAGACTACTGTTCTTACAGAAATTAGACAAATCTGATACTAGAAAAGAAGAAAAGACATCAACTGCTGATAGTAAAGATGACGACTCTATTACAGAAAGGGCAACAAGGCGAAAGCGGAAGAAAACTTTGGAGAAAGAAATACTCCTGGAATCTAGCAAACCTAATAAAAAGATCAAGAAAGAGGAAGAAACTGAGGACCGCGTAAAGGTTGAACCTGAGCAGGATCAGGAAGCACTAAAGACAGCAAAAGAGAAGCCCGAGGCTCCTTTACTGGCCGCAGAAAGAACCCCCGATGTTAAAAAGAGCAAAGAATCAATTCATCAAGACCGTGCTGACAGATTAATTAACTTCGATCAGAATAAAGAAGTTGGTATTCTTGAAAAATCGAGGGAAAGAAAGACGCAACGAGAACTACTGCAAGATCTGTCAGATGCTCAAGAAATTGTGAAAAGAAAAAGGAAGCAAATTGGCATGTTACGTTTATTTAATAAATACGATGACATACCCATGGGCTCTGTTATAGGTGTTAGGGGGAAGAAAAGACGGAAATATAAGGATGACGTATTGGGATATGAGACAAGTTTCTTGAAAACCCTTTCTATAGCAAAACAGAAATTTATTAAGGCATTGAGAAGTGCAGATACGAAACCCCAACAAAGCGAGAACAATATCTTTCATCTTTAAAATAGCTTATATTTAATGATGTTCTATTACTAATCACAATATTTCATTTGCATTTTTTAGACAAAACTATAAACTTATTTATTAATTAATGCATGGGTAAAAATCACGAAGGAATAATGATAGATAGTATTTATAATATTACTTGTATCAACGTGTGGCTGCCTGTATAATATAATACAGCGACAGCCTCGAATAGAGAGTAAGAATTTTTTAATAATCAAATATTTTATTATTATATAGTATATTCGACCAATTTATAGCATATTACCAGAATAGCTTCAATTGGTCGGAGAACTAAATAATCTCATGCTATACTTATACTAAATATTATCAATCTGTTTTTTTAAAAGTTTTTTTGAAAGTTGGAACAGTATAAAAAATAACTGAACATCAGATGTTATTCAAGTTTATTTTTCACCACCGTGAACAGACTTGGAGACGTATTCGACGGCATCGTTCAACTTGGACTTAGCAGCATCCATGTATTCTCTAGCAGTGTCTGCGTAGGATTCAGCGTTAGCTTCATCGGCACCCTTTTGAGCGGAGTCATGCATACCTTGGGCAACACCCTTGTTTTCCTCACCTTGGAACTTACCAGCAAGCTTGTCGGTTTCGTCAGTGACGAATTCCTTACCCTTGTCCCAAGTAGACTTTTGAGAGTCTGGGGTCAAACCTTCGTTTAGCTTGTCAGAGAAGTTCTTTCTACCAGCGTCAGACATTGTTAAATTAATATGTGTGTGTTGTTGTTGTTCGGTTGTAAGAAAAAATTATTATATTGAATAAAATAATCTCTTTCTTGTTGATGGTTTCTTATTATTTGTTATAAAAAAAATAAATTGGAAGAAGAAAGAATTGATCTATCTGAATAATTTTACCACCCTTATATACCTTTTTTTCTGTTGGGCTTGATCTCCCCCCCTACTCGAATTCCTAATTTAATTTCTATAAAGCATAGTAATGAGGGGGGTGGTGGCTTTACTAATTAATCCTTTTTTTCTTCTTTTAACTTCGAAATCGAAAATTAATTTAGTTTTCGAATTGTTCAATGACATCAATTGTACTGTACTCTGCAATGGGATCAATAGCACCCCTCCCTTTACAATACCATATTGGTAATTCAATACATTTTATTTTTTTCAATATCATGCGTTATACCTTTTCTTATCATTACCCTTATTTTTTTCTTTTAATGGTGCTCGGCTCCTTGAGCTTCCTTAATGCCGAGTGAGGCACTATACCTAATGGTTCTAATGATAATTTTAATGATACGTTATGATACGTTATGATACATCATGATACGTTATGATTTGTTTATACTCAGTACAATACAATGTTTCCCAGCACACCATGTCCATATTATGTGTCGTTATGCCTATAACCAGTATGCCTTATGCCAATTTGGTGCCAATTTGGTGCCAATACGCTTTGAGTGCCCAACCCGCAAGTACAAAGTCCGCACCACAAAACAATCCTACAGGCATACTCTGCTTCTTTCTTTTTCTCATTTTAATTAATTTGGATCCATTTTCTTCCACTTCCACTTCCACTTTTACTTCCACTTCCACGGAATATGTCTGTGTGTGGGGACGGCAGCTCATCGCCTTCTTCTCTTCTCCGTTTCTTAATCTCCGAGAGACATCTTCGTACCGTCTGGTGCAACTCTGTAGAACCCAGTACAACCCACTGCAACCCTGCACAAGGGTTAAATTTAAATAGTGCCAAGAGTTGCTTGTTTCTAATCATTTTCCCAAAATCCCAGTGTATTCCCGCACCACCCGCATTCCCAAAGTTCTACTCTTGCCACACCCCTTCTAATATCACTGTGCGAGCTTGCATCTTAAATTCTATCTGCACAGAATTCTCAGTACCAAAAATTGTATGTAATTAATTTTAGGGGATGGACCCTTTGATAATTAAATGAGTCCTGTGCGCTGTTAACAGACATCCCCCCTACAACTTCCCCTACAACCCCCCCTGCACCCCACCTAGTTCCAGATTTCCTTAAAATTAATTATTTTCTTGATTTTAATTTTTTAGAGTTGCGCGCTGCGGATCCGCTCTCAGGTACGCCGTGAGTTTTTTCGATGACGTTTTTTTGTCCCTTGCTCTGTGCAGAAATAAGGGCGTGTATAATCCACAGTAAACACCTGCAGAACACAGGAACAACACATGAAGGATGCTGGCAGAACGCTTGCAAGACGTTCCAGACCTTAATACAAAGGGGGATGCTCCCAAGGCTCGGAGAAAATGCCTTGCACTCAGCACAGAGTATAATAAGAAAGCCTCGTTTAAAACGAGCATGGACCTATTAACAAGAATGAGAAATAGCATCATAACCCTAAAATCGGGAACCATTTAACCCTAACCCTAATGCCCAACGATATTTTTCATTTGGAGCGTACATGATTATGAGAATTCACATGTCTTACCGTATTCTACAACATGATTTGATAATGCTCTATAGTGACTGGAAATTTCTGGAAAACCCATCAGTAATAGACAAATAGTCGGTGATTTGATATAGTATTAACCGCCCAAGAACTGGAAGTAATACTATTATATAAGTCTCTCACTCTTTTTCTTTGAGTTCCTCCTTATAGACCAAGAAATATTTCACTAGGAAGCGGGAGGGCAACAGTGTTTTGAAGAGAAATGAAGAGTACACGATCATTACTGCTGCAAAGACGGTACTTGTCGCTGACACACAGGCGGGTGCTGAGCTCTAGTGTGAGACAGCCGTTGCTACGGAGAGGATTCCACTCTACATCGTCTGTGAAGCAAGAGTTTAAGGACCCTTATGAGACACTGGGTGTCAAGAAGTCATCGTCCCAGTCGGACATCAAGAAAGCGTATTATAAGCTGGCCAAGAAGTACCACCCGGATATTAACAAAGAGGCTGGCGCAGAGAAGAAGTTCCACGACTTGCAGAACGCGTACGAGATCTTATCCGATGAAAGCAAGAGGAAACAGTACGATCAGTTCGGCGCAGCTGCGTTCTCTGGTGGCGCGGGTGCTGGCCCCGGCGGGCCAGGTGCTGGTCCCGGTGGGTTTAATCCCTTTGGCAACGGGTTTGGCTTCGATTTCTCGGGAGGCCAGGCCGGTGGCGCTGGTGGTTTCGGAGGCATCAACTTCGAGGACTTGTTCGGAACTGCTTTCGGAGGCGGGCCATTCGGTTCCTCGTCAAACAGCGGGCGCAGGTCTTCCTCAATGTTCAGAGAGTACAAAGGTGATACCATCGAAGTCATACAGAACCTGGATTTCAAAGATGCAGTCTTCGGTAAGAAAAACGTATCGATTAAGTTCAGAGCGCTCGACCCTTGCGGAACTTGCAACGGTTCTGGTCTCAAGTCCGGCGCATCAAAGACCACTTGTCCGTCTTGCCACGGATCAGGTACAACTGTTCACGTAAGAGCCGGGTTCCAGATGATGTCCACTTGCCAGACGTGTGGCGGTGAAGGAACCACGGTGAACGCCTCCGATTTCTGCAAATCCTGCCACGGTGAAGGTGTCAATGTAAATACCCAAAAGACCATCACTGTTGACTTACCACACGGACTACAGGACGGAGATGTAGTCAGAATACCCGGCCAGGGTTCATACCCAGATATCGCTGTGGACAAGGAAATGGCAAAATCTGTCAAACTGTCCCGTGGTGATATCCTGGTGAGAATACGCGTCAACAAGGACCCGCATTTCAGCATAAAGAACAAGTACGACATCTGGTACACCAAAGAAATACCTATCACAACAGCAGCCCTGGGTGGTACTGTATCGATCCCCACCATCGAAGGCACAAAGATCAGAATCAAAGTCCCTGCTGGAACAGCCCCTGAGCAGGTCATCTCTATACCAAACATGGGTGTGCCTAAATCCAGCCCATACAGAAACTCTGCCGTCCAGGCTAGAGGCGATATGAAGATTCAGTACAAAGTCGTGATCAGAAAGCCGCAATCCAAAGCCGAACAGTGCTTATGGGAAGCCCTGGCTGATGTGACGAACGACACTAACGCCAAGAGAACTATGGAAAGTTTTGCCTCCTCGGTCGAGAAGTCTGTAGAAGACAAGCTCAGCGATAATGACAACAAGACTTCCAATAACTCTAAGGAGACGTATAACACAACCGAAGACAACTCTATGAACCCAGACGCCCCAAGCACCTTGGGTAGATTGGAGAAGTTCATCAGTAACACTTTTAAGAAGATCAAAGGTGACAAGAACTAAAGTTTATGATCCACGAAGAGAGTTAGAAATGAGGTGACATTTCATTTACTATATCTATATCTATATCTCTTTCACTATTATTTTTGGGCCTTTGGTTTGCTTGCTTTTTGATTCAGAAATTCATGTACATACACTCGAACAATGAGACTGCTTATATCAGGATCAAGCCAATTGTAATCCCTTTTCTAAATTAAAGATTGTAAATACTTATCTTATTTCCTTATCTATACATATCTACAACCGAGTAAATAATTCTGAACAGGTGCATTGTTAACAGCTACTTATCCATAATCGTTGACGTAGATGGAGAGCCTCACCCATTTCTGGGTAAATTGCGAGTGATAAGCACAAATTCGATGGGGTGTTAGGATAACACCTCAACTACCTGCAAAGAAGTGTACCAGATACTTGAAACAAAATAATATGCTGGAGTGATCAATATTCACACTGACATTCTTGTAACAGATAAGGGCATATGCCGAACTACTGAAACATACGTTAGGAATCTTGAAATATATTACAAAATTTCAATATAAAATCATTGTTACATCTCATTGTGAGTCGACTGGGGCGACTTTTGCCTAATTGCCAACTTAACAATACACTCTACTCAAAGGTAGCGTTTCCAGTTGCTAGCATCACAAAGAACTTGACAAGAATGGCTAAGAAGAAAGGAGGATTCTATGCTGTTCAGAACGGTAGGAGCACAGGCGTCTTCACCGACTGGAACCAATGCAGCAGCCAGGTGAAGGGCTACCAAGGTGCTGTATATAAAAAGTTCGATACATATCAAGAGGCCCAAGCATTCTCGGAATCCTCAAGTGGTTATGGAGCTTCCCATTCCTCTAGTGGTAGTGGATCTGGGAACAGAGTTAGAGGTACGGGAGGGTATAGAGGTACGGGAGGGTATAGAGATACGGGAGGGTATAGAGACTCTAGTTCTTCAAACCATGAGCCAGTTCATGCCTACTTTTTTGGCTCTGGCCTAACCATTGATTCAACTCCAAATTCTAGCCCATCAAGATCAGAATCATATAAATCTGACAATTACAAGAGCAGTTCTAGTAATACGTACAAGTCACCCCACTCGAGCAATGGTAAAATCAAGAAAAAAACCTATAATACCAGATCAGATAAGTACTACGCTGTGAAAAATAGTAATCACCCTTGGCAAAATCAAGTATTTACCAATTGGAGCGAATGCCAGGACTACGTTAAAGGTAGGAAAGGTGTTAGTTTTAAGAAATTTGAGAGTGAACAAGGGGCATATGATTTCTTGGATGGCAATACTGAAAGTACTGACTCAAGAATCTTAGGAATGTCAAGAGAAGATTTCAAACAGCAATATCGTGCTAGTGATGATCACAAACCTGTGCAAAAGGTTACTACTTACTGTGATGGTTCATCATTAGGAAATGGTACTCATGCTTCAAAAGCTGGATATGGTGTGTACTTTCCTCACAATCCATCATATAACATTTCTAAACCATTACTGATAGGCCCCCAGACTAATAATAGGGCTGAAATAATGGCAGTTTCTGAGGCGCTTGATACAATTTGGAACGATCTAACATGTCACGGAAACAAAGTCGAATATACTATCAAAACTGATTCTGAATACGTTTCTAAGCTTTTGAACGATCGTTATTCTAGTTATACGGAGAAGGAGATGGAAACTTTACCCAACAAAGATCTAGTAAAGCCTCTGATTGAGAAATACGTAAAAGTTAAGACATATTATGATGTCAACAAGGACAAATTCTCTAATGATAAAGGTTTAAAAATTGAATGGGTCAAAGGTCATGCTGGCGAACCAGGGAATGAGATGGCTGATCTGTTGGCGAGGAGAGGTGCCGATCAACGGAACTGATCTGGTAGGCTATGTGCGTATATTCTATTAGCTCCCTAAACTCGACATAAACACTTTATTATATCTGCTTTCTTCAAACCCTTATGCTATCTATAATATGCACTTTATTTTCTCGGCGCGATCTAATTAGCTATAGCATGACCATCAATCGTTAAGAGCAATATGCAAGATCAATACAATAACAATTCGCATTTAACTAAACTTTTTAATACAATAAAGACAAGAATATATATTCATTTATTTTACTCACTTACCTACTATAGAGATCTTGATAATATCTCTAAGTTTTATGAAATACTTATATACCGAGAAGCTATCTGGAACTATTACATGATATTTTTTCCTTTTATGTGATCATTACTCATTACAAGAATCGTCCATCTGGCTAGTGCTTATTAATCTAACAACCTATTCAACAGGGTCCCAAGACTCAACTTTCATGGTACCCTTTTCAGCTAAGTTGGTATGGAACTTGAAAGCATTCTTCAACATATGAGGTTCATGTAGACAACCATGCTTAGTAGCATAATGTTCAGCTCTGTCCAAGTAGTCTTGTAGCAATGGCTTGTAGTCTGGATGAGCACATTTGTTGATAATCTCACGGGCTCTCTCTCTTGGTGATAGACCTCTCAAATCTGCTAGACCTTGGTCAGTGACCAAGACATCCAAGTCGTGTTCTGTTTGATCAACATGGGAAACCATAGGAACAATACTGGAAATACCAGTTGGGTCAACCTTAGTTGGTCTGGCTGCTGGACAATGCATAATGGACAGCTTAGCATTTCTCAAGAAGTCAGCAGAGCCACCTAAACCATTTAGCATACGGGAACCATTCACGTTTGTGGAGTTAGCGTGTGCGTAAATGTCAGCCTCAACAGGAGTGTTCATAGCAATCACACCCAATCTACGAATTAATTCTGGGTTATTTGATACAACTTGAGATCTCAAACATAATCTAGACTTGTAGAAATCCCAGTTCTTGAAAACTCTTTCAAAGCCTGGCTCAGTCAATCTAATGGATGTAGCAGTTGCGTAGTCAAGGGAACCATTTTCAAATAGATCCAAGAATGAGTCTTGCAAGACTTCGGTCCAGACATTCAGGTGCTTAAAGTTAGCGTCGGTCAAACCCTCAATGACTGCATTAGCAATATTACCAATACCACTTTGTAGAGGTAGCAAGTTTTCTGGTAATCTACCATGCTTAACTTCATTTCTAAAGAATTCAATTAGGTTACCAGCAATAGCCTTAGACATATCGTCGGATGGAGTGTTTGGACCAACTTGGTCACGGGTCTTAGATTCAACGATAGCAATGACTCTCTCTGGGTCAACAGGGATGGAGTCTACACCAATCTTTTGGTCAACCTTGGTGTATGGGTATGGAACTCTGTGAGGAGGATTTACGGGCATGTCAATGTCATGAACACCTTCGAATGATGGAGTAGCCGTGTTCACTTCAATGATAACTTTATCACTGACAGAGATGAATTCTGGAGAACCACCAACAGATGGACCCGGAACGATGGAACCATCTTCCTTAATGGCGGTGGCTTCAATAATCATGTAGTCAAGAATCTTACCATCGGTTCTGTCCCTCGTGTAGTAACCGTATGTTAGATCTTGTGGGAACATAGACAAGTGCTTGTCGAAGAACTGAATCTTACCGTTGTTAATGGCCTTTGCAATTGGCTTACCAACTTGATGAGGAGCTCTTCTGATGATCATGTCATGTTCAGCCCATTTGTTTTCTTCTGGACCAGCAGATGCACCAACAAATAAGTTAAATCTTAGCTTGCCTTGCAGATTATTGTCCTCAACATGCTTAATCAAAGCATCAGGCACAGCCTTTGGTGTACCAACACCAGTGAAACCAGACCAACCCAAGTACTGACCATTCTTAAACAATGGAATCAGCTCTTCTGGGGTCTTGACCTTAGCCAAATATGGAGCGTATCTAACTCTCTCTTTTAAAAGTTTAGAGACAGTCATTTTTTTGTGTATATCCGTGGGTGTTTTTCTTTTTAGAAAACTTTTGAATTAGGATTATCAGATGCTAATGCCTTTTAAGAAATAAAAAAAATTGGTACTATGAAAAGCAAAGAGTTGTTAGCTGGATGCTTGAAAGAATATTATGAGTATGACTTGTTTTTCCAAAAAATTATCAGTTGAAAAAAAGTTTATTATGCGTTCTTCGGTGTGCAAGTCCTTATCGCAAAATCCTTTTTTTTCTCTTTCTGTATTTCCTTTATTTACAGCTTTTGATTTTGTGTTTCTGATGTTAGAGACAACAGATAACTTTTTACATTACATTTATATATCTAATCCTAGGTGTAGTTAGCATGGAGACATCATAGAGATTGTGGACGTGACTTCAGTGATCCGCATCACACCTCTCTCCTACCCCCTCCTCCTCCACCTTCTCTAACTCCTACATTAGCCATTCAAAACATTCAAGGCTTGCCCAATCAAGTTCAGAATTTAGGCTCTTTTCCCACTTTCTCATTCCAACAGCCTTTGTTCTGAAAAAAGGACTTCAACGAGGACTCTATAACTTTTAGTCCACACATAAGCCAATGAGCTATTATTTGCGGGACCAATGACTTTTTCTTGTTCCTTCCCCCCCTTCCCCTTCTCTCGAGAAATTTTGAAATTAAAACTCGGCAGGTTCTACGCTAGTTTCTTCGAAACATGAATCCTGACCAATCATATCAATGAAAACCTCGAAGTTTTTTTATTTTTTATTTTTGTTTTTCAATGGCCCCCCACCGGTCTCCCATGCTCTCATTCTCAGTTTTTCTTCTTACAAGTCAGAAGAGCCTCCCACGTAGAGAGGGAACCCCTACGGGTTCCTGAAATCCTCGAGGAATTGGTGCAGAGGGGAGTTTTGGGATGAGTTGCACAGAAGCTGCTGTACCATGTCTGTGAAATTTAACAAGTTGTACAATTATTTTTTTGTGTTAAGTGTAAATCTCAACCTATTTCTACGTCTGCACGTTCGTTTCAGAGCGCAGTATCACGGATCACCAACCACTGCTTCCTGCAGGGGTTCTTAGTAACATTCCATGCAGAAAAAAAAAAAAAAATAAATAGAAGTGGTATGTGCGATTTCTCGGCGTGATTCCGTTTGCTGGTACGTGTTTTTGTTGGAAAAGATTGCTCAGGGAGTCATGCATACACAATAACAAAAAAAACTGCTTCTACTGGCTTCACTGACAACCAAACCGAAATCGGGAATTTATACTGTAATGACCAAGTTTCATCTCTGTCGGATGAATGGGGACACAAATAAAAACAGTAAATTCTGACGCTACTGATTTTTCATAGAATAAACAATTTGTTCGTTTACTAGTGTCACGGATATGAATGGTGTAAGGCTGTCACATCCTAATGTGTAAAAACACCCAGACACAATCTATGTGTGCCAGATCCTTACATTTTTAACCGCGGAAGGTTGAGATAAACCCCAGAAATATATGTGCAAAAACAAATGATGCAACATTTTCTAAGTAGAAAAAACAACGAAATAAGGCATACTATTTCTAATTATAGTAACACCCCCATACCACCTTTTCTCTCCTCCAAAGTTGCAGTTGGAAGAAGTATTTGTAGCACAACTTCCTAATTAGGTAATCATAAGACTAAATACTGGATCGTGGTGATTGGCGGCTATTTTTTTTCCTTTACCTACGAGATCTATCTGGAAAGAAATCTTGCGAAATGTTCTACGCACTTGTGTTGGAAAACCTTTGAGCGCAGTTCCACCCCCCCTTAAAATTTGATTATTAATTCAATTTCTTTCAATATTTGACAGATCTCCCACCAAAAAAAAAAGTATAAATAGCCGACCAAAATCCTCTTTTCCCCTTCTTCAGTTTCCTTTCCCTTTTCATTTGAGTTTCAGCGGTTCCAATTCACTTTGATTTTTTGTTTACCTAACTAGAATTTCCTTTATTCAATTTTTATTGCACTTTTAATTTTTTTTTCAACCTATCTTGTGATTACCCAAATCTAATTGATATTTCGTGAATTTGTTGTTGAAAGTCATCCGCGCCAAGTTAATGATACAATTAAAGACTACTATGGAAATACTGTAATCTCAAAAAAAATAAAATAAAATAAAATAAATAAAACAGGTGTCCAAAAGGAGAAGATACAAAACCAATACTGAGAAGATAAAGATGGCAATTAGGCAAAGTAATATTTTTTCTTATTTTGTCTAGTTATTTTTTAAAAAGAAAAAAAAAAATTTAAGTTGCTTGTTCATGAAAGATTTCGTTCCACAACAATTTCTTTAGATCCTTTGTGGTAAGAACTTCCTTGTACTGATCAAACTGAAAGAAATCAGGAGGTATAGGTTCACCGGCAGGCTCATCCTCTGGAACATGATAAGTAGACAGATAAGGATGTGCCAAAGCGTCATCAGCTGATATTCGCTCTCTAGGGTCAAATACTAGCATGCGAGATAAAAGATCCACACCCACGGGATTAACTCCCGGAAATGCTTTCTGCAATGGCCGAACAGGCGGATATTTTTGCAGAGATGCAATATATTGTCTCGCTCTTCTCGACTCTATGCATTCCATGCTTTTGTCAGATGAGTCTGGCGTACCAATTAATCCAAAAATTAGCAACAATTGGTGTCTGTAATCCTTCCCAGGAAATAGTGGTCGTTTCAAAAATAACTCCCCAAGTATGCATCCACAAGACCATATGTCCATCGCTCTTGAATACTTGGCATTTGTTAACATCACTTCTGGTGCTCGATACCATCGAGTTGCAACATATTCCGTCATTCCGATCTTGTCGACCTCATTATCACCATTCTCCCCGCTATCTATTATCCTAGCTAATCCAAAGTCACAAACCTTTAAATCACAATTTGAGTTGATCAATATATTACTAGGTTTAAGGTCACGGTGTATAACATTTGATCCATGCAATGTTTTGATTGCCCTTAAAGTTTGATAGATAAAATATTGGATGTGATCATCAGTTAGTGTTTGTGTGGCAATGACTCGATGTAAATCAGTTTGCATTAACTCTTGAATAATGTAGACCTCGTTAAATTTCTCAAAACTTTCTGGTTTCTGTATATCAAAGATTGAAATTATATTTTCATGTTGAAACCTTCTTAGTATCTTTATTTCCCTTAATGTCCGCAATGCAAACAACGGCTTATCAAATGGAACAATTTTCTTTATAGCTACAATTTCACCCGTAGGCTTATGAACCGCAGAACAAACAACTCCATAAGCGCCTTCTCCCAACAGTGATTTAAGTTGGAAGTCGCTGGAAATGTTGAAGACAATTTTCTTGCCCATTTTTTTATATTCAGTTTGCAATCCTAATAAAGATGTCGGTCGCGGTATAATGGTGTAAACTTTTCCATATATTTTTGCCAACACAAACCACTTCTCCTATAACAGATATTCAATAGGGAATTCTCAGTACGACAAAAATTAGGTTGAGAGAGACAAAAATATTCTGAATAAGCTGTTCACATTAAAATTTCATTCATAATACGCTGGGAGTATACAAGTTTTTAAATCATAAGATGTATTTATATATGATCTTTTCCATTTCCTTTGAATTGTGGTGTTTTTTTGAATTATAGAATCATCATATTATCAAATTCAACAAATTATTACGTGGAGTAGAAGCCCACTAATAGTGATATGGTAGGAAAGCTAGTTTATCCGTCGGAAAGTTGAACTCTAGTGAAAGGTTGCTTGTTTCAAGATAATACATCTAGCTGACTCTAAATGTTTCCGTCATCAATTGTTTCAGTTTACCTCAATAATCGTTTTCCCAATATTCAATTAGAACAATTACACCCCTAATGTCCCCACTCTAAATACGGTATCAAGAAAACTAACAATGCTAATTATGAGGCATACAAGTATTGGTACTATTAATATTATCCATTATTAATTGTGAAAAATAAACTACACAATTATACAAGCTCAAAGAAGTTTCTAATTTCAAACATAATAACCTTATATGCTGGGTTTGAAGTGGTCTTCATTAGCATATTCAGCACCTATGGTGTACAATGTCTTGTAACTTAGTGCACTCATAGTGACAAACACAGTTTCGAACCAAAACCGTTGTCACAGTTAGCCAGGATATCAGAACGTTGAAATGCATTTGTACGGAAATATGAATGTGCAGTCGGCTTCATAATCTGACTATTATCGCCCCTGCTTTTTTGCGAGCTTCAAAGAACAATCTGCAACCGTTGCAATTTATACTAGAGTTTGCTTGAAACGGCCATGATAGAGTTTATCTATACATTGATAAAACGCCAACAGACGAGCTATTACTAATTCAATTGACCTTTTGGTTCTCAATTTTTCCTGGCGACCATTTTATAATCTTCTTGGGCATAAACTCCGTTGAGTGAAGAAAGTTTACATCAATTTTGATCTCATATTTATTCAATACTGAATTAAACAGACATACTCATTTGTCTTTGTTTGAAGCCATTGAAGCATTATCCCAGTTGAGGACTGTTTTCAACTAACATAGTAGAGTTGAAGTTTGGAATATATTATAGCTAACTTCACCAATCTAGAGCATCAGAACTAGAAGACCTGAACAAGTGCGTAATAATTGTCAATTGAATTGACTTTTTCTCATTTGAAAGCATCCAAATAAAAAACTTTATCTGGTGCTCAATTCATACTAGAAGTGTACTTGGAGAATTAAATTTGTTAGAAACGAGCTCCAGAAAACCAACTAGGTCCAGTTTATTATAGAAGGAATGCGATTACCCAGTATCTTTTTAGTATTTTTTTACCTCTTTGCGAGGACCTTGTGCTGGTCTCCTGAAGTAAGCTTACTCCATGGAGTCGACTCGCTTGCGAGTATTATACCGTTCGATGATTCGTCTACCATATTATCTGTGGGGCGAAAAGGCGTTAATGTCAGTCATGACTACGGAAGAACTTGGGAAACAAAATTGAGAAATAAGGGTGAATATCCGGTAAGTGTAACACTGAATACTTTTAGACCAAATAGCAGAGCTTTTGTTTTCTTGAATGGTAAACTTTACGGAACACATAACGAAGGTTCTGACTGGTTTGAAAGTAAATTCCCGAGTGACAGACAACTCACAAAAGCATTAACAATTGATTTTTCACCTTTTGCGAAAGATGTTATAATAGCAAGTTTTGTTGCTAAAGACAATCAAAATGATGAAAAAGAGTTTAATTATGTTTCAACCGATGATGGTAAGTCTTTCAGAGTTCTAGATGTAGGCCAAGAATATGAAAGCATGCGATGCCGGTTTCTGTCGATATCGCATGAAAGTAATTTTCCTCATAATGACAACATTATTTGTATGACGAAAACAAGTAGTCCTGATCAAAATAAGTTATTACTATCGGAAAACAGAGGAAAGTCATTCAAAGAGTTGTCAATTGGTGAAGATATTGCCTTTGATAATTTTTATTTGACTAATTCATACCTGGTAATAAGATCCATTAGAGACATACATAACAAAGCTGCCGAAGTTGATCTTTATGTATCCAGCGATGCCAAGGACTTCAAGAAGGCTTACCTCCCAACTACCTTGAGAAGATCTGACATACGTAGGATTATTGAACTACTAGGACGAAAAATGTTCATTACTCTTACCCGTAGTAGTGAGTCAAATGTTCAAGATGACAATGGCAATACATTATTTACGGATGGATTGGTGTCAAATTCAGATGGTTTGAAATTTACAAGTTTCTCAACATCCGCCAGTAAATCTAGAACAACAATAACGCCAGTGGAATTTTTGAACGGTACATTTATTCAAAAACAGGTTGGACGTAATTCTGGTGGATACTCAATTTCAATAGATAACGGTAACACATGGAGAAAGTTGAAGTATTCTGATAAGGGGAATAAAAATCCTATCAAATGTCAAGATGAAAATGATTGCAACTTAGAACTTTTAATCCCACAGATATTTCATGGTCCTACTGCTGGTATCCTTGTAATGCTTGGTCATATCAATGATAATTTTTCTGACCAACAGACTTTTATATCAAGAGACGGAGGTCTTAATTGGGAAATGGGACTTGAGTTTCCAGGGATTTATGCTACAGGTGATCTCGGTAACGTTATAGTTGCATGTCCAGTTGACCCATCTAGTGACAATGACCCGCAAAGCGAAATATATTATTCTTTAGATCAAGGTATGACCTGGAGTGAATACCAGCTCGATGAAATGTTTATTCCTATCGATGTCATAAACATTACCCCTGATGGTTCAGGGTTATCATTTATATTAACTGGGTTTTCTTTAGATAAACCTGATGACCAAAGACCCAATATTGACAACAGGGTCACATACCTAATCGATTTTAACAACGTTCACGACGGTAAGAAGTGTAAAGCAAAAGATTATGAGAAGTTTGAATTAGCAGAAGGTTCTTGCATTAATGGCGCGAAATACACTTTCAACAGAAGAAAGCAATCAGCAAAATGTATTGGTGGGGAAGTTTTTAAGGATTTACTATTTGATATGGAAGTTTGTACAGAGTGTCAGGAGCAAGATTATGAATGTTCATCGGAGTTTATTAAGGATTCAAAGGGTGTATGTGTTGTTGATGAAAAATGGCTTAGTGCTACTGGTAACTGTCCGTCTACTGATATTAAGAAGCCAGCAATGAGATTGATTGCAGATAATATGTGTAAAAAGGAATTACCAATTCAATCTAAATCAGTATCATGTAAAAATAAGAATCCAAGTGATCCAAAGGACATTCCAAAGAAGCCGAAGGAAGGTGACAGACCGACATTTGGTACCGGTGATATTCAAGCTACATTTAACACATTCAAAGGAAAAGTTAGATTTTATCAATACTTCGACACAGATGAGGACGAATCCTTAATCTTGGCAACATCCGAGGGAGAAGCGTATATATCTCATGATAGCGGTCAAACATACACCCATTTTAATTACAACAAGCCTAAAGTTCATGAAATTGTGTTCAATGAGTACTTCAATTCTTCTGCATACATATTTGATATCGATGGAAACTTGCACGTTACACATGATCGTGGGTATACATTTGATACAATTAGATTACCAGCAAGTCTACAATTAGGATTGCCATTAAACTTCCACTCAAAGGACCCTAATACTTTTATATATTATGGCGGTAAAAATTGTAAGTCAATTTTTGATACAAATTGCCATATTGTGGCTTTTATAACTAGAGATGGGGGTAAATCATTCTCTGAACTTCTACCAAACGCAATACACTGTGAATTTGTTGGCTCGTCTCTAAAACTGTCTGATAGCGATGATTTATTATTCTGTCAAGTTAAGGATGAAACAAGTTCAAAAACACGTCAAAGATCCTTAGTGTCTACCACCGACTATTTTGAAACCGAGCCAAAGGTTGTATTTCAAAAAATTCTAGGTTACATGACGAATGGTGAGTATGTGATCATTGCAGTACCCGGAGAAAATCATGAAATAACGGCTTATGTTACAATGGATGGTGATGAATTTGCCGAAACTTTGCTACCATATGACTTAGATATTGAACAACCTGAAGCTTTCACTGTCTTAGGATCAAGTACTGGTTCGGTGTTCTTGCATTTTACCTCATTTCAAGAAAATAGTGTTGCTTTTGGTAGCTTGTTGAAATCCAATACAAATGGTACATCATATGTAAAATTGCAGTCCAATGTTAATAGAAATGAAGCAGGTTATGTTGACTTTGAAAAGGTTCAAGGTCTAGATGGTATTATTCTAACAAATGTGGTTACTAACGCTGACGAAATAAAGGATGGTAGTAGCCAGAAACATCTACGAACTAAGATTACATTCAACGATGGGGTTGATTGGGAGTATATTAAACCCCCAAAGAAAGACAGCTCTGGTGACAGTTACCACTGCAAATCTAATAAGCTGGAGCATTGTTCTTTGAACCTACACAGCTATACTGAAAGAAAAGATTTTAGGGACACGTTTTCATCTGGTTCGGCATTAGGTATGATGATTGGTGTAGGTAATGTGGGAGATAAACTGCTACCATTTGAAGAATGCTCCACTTTCTTGACTATTGATGGGGGCAAGTCTTGGACTGAAATAAAGAAGGGCGCGTACCAATGGGAGTTTGGTGATCACGGAGGTATATTGATACTTTCGCGTGACGGAGAAATGACTAACAGCATATCATATTCTACAGATTTTGGGAAAAGTTGGTATGATTACCAATTCAGTGATGAAAAGGTATTAGTTTCGGACATAGTTACTGTTCCTCAAGATTCAGCATTGCGTTTCTTACTTATTACTGCAGATAGAATAGGAAGAGGGTTTGAATCAGGAACAGTAACTGTCGACTTTTCAGGATTATTCAAGAGACAATGTGTTTTGGATTTCAATAATGAAAATCACGATGATTTTGATTATTTCTCTATAGGAAATTCTGAGAATGAATGCATTTTTGGACACAAAGTTAAATATTTGAGGAAGAATTCGGAAGAGTGTTACGTTGGTGCTGTAAGTTTATCTCAGTTTACCAGAGTCATGAAAAATTGTACTTGTACGAGAGCTGACTTTGAATGTGATTATAATTTTGTTAGACAATACGATGGAACTTGTAAACTGGTTGATGGCCTACAACCAGGGAATGAGGCAGCTATATGTAAGAAGGACCCCGATCTTGTAGAATACTTCCAATCAACAGGATATAGGAAAATACCGCTATCTACTTGCCAAGGTGGATTGAAATTGGATGGCCGTACTGAGCCACTACCTTGTCCTGGCAAAGAAAAGGAGTTCAAGCAAAAGTATGGTATTAGTGGATCATCATTTTTTTTGCTCTTCTTTGTTCCATTTCTCTTTTTTGTTTCTGCTGGTTGGTTTGTGTATGACCGAGGTATTAGAAGAAATGGCGGATTTGCAAGATTTGGGGAAATACGTCTTGGAGATGACCAATTGATAGAAGAGAACACAACCGATAAAGTTGTGAATACGATTATAAGATTTGGTGTTGCTTCATTTGAAGTTATGGCAGGGGGATTTGGTATAATACGTCGCATTGCTAACAATAGTTTTAACAGAATTACTGGCCGAATGAATGGACGGTACAGACCATCTTATTCGAACTTAATGCATGATGATTTCCTTGACGAAGCTGATGATTTGTTAGCCGGCCATGACGATGACGCTAACGACTTAGCAAGTTTCATGGATGACGACAGCAACTTTGACATCGAAGATGAGACTACTTCAGTAAATGACTCTGGGTATAGAGACCAATCACCTGAAACAGAAAATGTAGTTGACTCGAATAACTGAGAACCATGTCATCTATTTAGTTAATCTCTATATAGCATCCGCATCAGATAGCTGTATTTTCTACATACGATTACCATACCATACCTCTTATATACATAATTCATTGGTTAATAGTAAATAGCGAAAATCAGGTAAACAATTATCCGTACTTTCTTATTTAATATAATACAGTCAATGAAACATTGATACTCTTTTAAAAGTTCAATATAACCACTGGAAGTGTATATTTCTCTGTAACTCTACGGTTGTTTTATACTTTGGGTTTCTGAGATTGCCTTAAGGTCCTTTTTTGAATCAGTGGTTTTCGAAAATTTGCGATGACATTGATCTACTTCAGAGCGAACAAAATAAAATGAAATGCAATATCTACTAGAGTAGAGCAAACGCTATTTTTTGTAGTAACGTATTAAAAAGGGGTCAATATAGCATCAATTGGGTACTTTAGGAATGGGATCCACAAAATACAAAGAATGGCAATATTTTTTGCTTTCAATAAGAGCAGAGAGTGATGTTGATCATATCGATGAAGTTACATGGAAACAGGCAGTATCAAATGCTCTAAGAAAGTCACATGGATTATTTGGTGAGCAAATTGAGTTGTATTGGTTGAAAATTGATAATAAGAGAGCTATTATCAAATGTGGTTTTGCAGACAAAGATATATTAAAGACTGCACTGGCTACATATATATCCAGTACTGAGCTAGTTGGATCTCCATTAGTTATCACAATGGAACAAGAAGCGTCTCAATTGAATAATTTATTTCTACCTGAGGATGATAAATTATGGTTTAACAAAATAGTTGAAATAGAGAATGGGGACTGATGTAAAAAATAGAGGTCGAAAAACTAACAAGTATACAATACGAAACTGATTGGATATTTCAGAAAAGTGTCAATATCATGATGAAAGATTGAATTTGATTCATTAATTACTTGTTAAGCTATGTATATACAGGATCAGGCCCATTCAAAAAAACCACATGAGGAGTTTTCATCATTTTGATGACCTCTTGGCTTTGAACATGTCCAAAACTTTTTTCCTGGATTATTTGATGTCTTGGAAGTTTTAAGTATAGCATGCTGCTTATGCTTACAAAGTGGAGGCGGGCCAAAGGAACCTTGAAAAAATAAGGCAATTTTATCTTTCGGCGTTTGATTAGGAGTGGTGCCCATCTTATCGGTAATTGCTTCTGCGGATCTCTTATGAATAGGTTTTGAAACTTTATCTTTGATAGGTTCAGATTTTAATTTATTACCAATTGAAGAAGAGCTCTTTCCACTTTTCTTGGCAAACATATCAAATATATTTCGATTTGTCATATTGTATCTGTATCTCGCTTCAAATTTTGGTATTTTCTCCTCTACTGATATATTCGATGTTAATGTTAAATTGTTAAGATTTATATCACAGAAGACAGGACAATGATCGGATCCATTTATGTCTGGTAGTATGTCGGCCTTTTCAATGTTATTACCGAGATCCTTACTTACTAAGATAAAATCTATTCGAGATCCAAAATTGCTGGGCCGCGTATTTTTCAATGTATTCCACACAGTATACATTTTTAGTCTATCTCTGCCTTGCACTTTCCTGGTTGTATCTATTAGACAAAATTCGTTATCTGTATTAGGAACCATAGAATCGTCTAATATTTGATTTAAAAGTAACCTGTGAGGAACCTCAGGGTTGACAATGAATTTGATAGCAAAATCTCTGTACTCTTCGTCGATCTGGGTCCCAGTTGATTCGTTACCAATTGATATATGATATTCTTCTAAAGACACCGCATGATCTATCAGATCTCTGCATATATTTAAATCACCCATAAGAACCACCATTTTACCCATCATTTGTAAATTTCTAATCCTTGCAAACAATAGTTTCAAATATCTCATTCTAAATACTTCTCCTTCGTCAGTACATGTTGAATTGGCGGGGCAATAAACAGATATAACCACAATTCCGCATTTAAGTTCCACTATGACACATCTACCTTCCGAATCAAGCTGTAATGCATCAGATGTTGATATATGATCTGGAAGACTATCGTCAGGGATATAACCACCTATGCCGATTTCTGAATCATCTCTATACGATACTGATTGTTTGCCGTTCTTGACTTCAAGGTAACCCGTTATTCCTTCCTCAGCTCTCAAAACTTGTAAAGCATTATATTTTGGACTGTCCCTTGGCGGTATTCTTACCCAACATCCAACGCCTGAATAACCCTTTCTTTTCTGTGGTATTGATATGAATGAATAGAACCCATCAACCTTACCCCATTTATTGAGTGACAATGGCTCTGTTTTCAGTTCCTGGAAGGTAATAACATCAGATTCAAACCAGTCAAAGACACTCCTCAGTGATTGTCTCATCTCTGAGAAAGGTGCATAGTGGAAGAATGTCCTAACTCCATTGACATTAAATGTAACAAATCGAATATTATCAGGCAGCAGCGGATCTATAGCTCCCATGTTAGTGGTATTAGTCGACGCAAATTTCTTGCCAGTGTCTCCACTATGTAAAACTACTTTCCAACCTTGAGATGAAATCTTTCCGTATGTGTATTATTTGTAACTGTGACAATAAATCGTATCCATTGTTTGCGATGAGCCCATAAGTTGCAAAACTCGCGATTTTGGCATTCATATGACAAATCACTCAGAAAGGTACGCAGTCGGTCGTGCTTGGTATATATTTTTGACTTCAGTGATGATCTATGAACATGTATTATATATTAAACTTCTAATTGAGGAAACGAAACGATTATAAGTGCTACCTGCAGAATCAAACCGACTTCATATTTGCAGCTCTTCTGTTAATAATTAGCTCATTCAAAGTTGCGCGCTCCTTGATTAAGATTACAGACAACAAGATTAATGCTAGTGTTGCACTTGTTATAAACCCGTTGAAACTGGAGACGTAGCCTACCATTTGCCAGTTTAGTATAGCTACTAGTGCAGCCGCACCTAATGTAGCTTTGAAGTTAGTGAAGTTCATAAAAATTGAAGATTCTGTGTGTAATTCCCGGTAAAATTTCACAATAAAACTGAAACTGTAAATAATTCTCAGCGACATATTGATTATGTTAGAGATAATCAGGCCGTTCACGGATAAATCTAGGTATTCTATAAATATCCAACTGTTAATTAGGAAAGCAAACGAACACATCATCATAAAGTAGGAGTGGCGTAGAATTTGATCACCTGTGGCAACACTAGCAAGGAAAGCTTCAAATATACCATTGAAAGAAAGGAATGGAATATATACACAGTATACACGGATAGCGTGTAGAACTGAGTTTGTGGACCACTTAGATCCAATCAAAAACTGCAATAGATAAGAAGAATTGTTTGGACCAAAAATCATAACTAGTAACGAGAGGTAAAGATAGAACTTAGTTAAATTCACTAACACTTTCATTGATAATTGAAGATTTTTAGAGTCTTTTTTAGAGAGCAAAACGGCTAGAAGTAGACGTAAGGATTCTTCAATTGGAGCAAATAATAATCTTGTTATCAACGACCCATAGTTGGATAATAAGGAATAAATGCCTTGTTCCTCCACTGTACAGAATGTGTTAATAATTAATTTGTCACCTTCAGTCAGTAAATGCTTGAAACACAGTTGGAAATAGACCTTTTTAAAATGCTCCAGTATATCAGAGCGGAAGTAGTACGTTTGTTTTTCATTTACCTTGGATTTGATTTTCTGTAATGATAATTTAAATGGCTTGTTTGATTTGAAGTTCATCAAGTAGTTGTAGTAGTAGCACATCAATAGGGTCGCGGCGTATGCAAGCTTACCGAGAGCGAACGCTAAAATAGCAATACCTTCTCTGAATCTTTCAGAGTCGTCAAAATAAGATGTAAGAATGAGTTTTTTCTCATATGAATATACCACAGTAAAATTTACGAGGCAGTTAGCTGTTACTGCTATACTCTCGTATCTTGATCTAGCTCCATAGTTTAAAAAATGTTGGTTCAATACGAATAAAGGCTCATTCACAAGTTCTAATATGATACCTACCCAAATCGCAAAGACAGACCATTGGAAAAATGGTAAAGTAACAAAATAGCCATTAATGTTATGATATTGCCACGCTATTAGCCCAATTGACAGCGGTATACCAATGAATAGAGGAATCATAGCGAAATTGACACAAACTTGAAGAGCAGAGTCATCACGATCATGATCATGATCATTGTCAGCATCATTACCATCCGCAATTCTTTGCGTAGATAGTCTGATAGCCTCTCTACTGAAAAACAGCACAGTCCCAACAATAAACTCTAGAAAGGCAGTAATTCCGAATATTCTAGGCGATAAGTACCTCACTAGAGTATTATTCAGCAAAAATGTAACAATCTTACTGAATAACTGGCCCATCATCAGGAAAGTAGCGCCACGAGTGGTTTTCTCCAAGATGTCAGCACCGCTCATTGTTCAACAGTATATTGTGCACTTTCAAGCCACCTATAGAAACAATTCGGCCAGCGGTAACGGAATACACTCCTTTGTAGTTATAGACAACGTTATATTACCAGCTATAGGTGCTCGGCAGTTGCTGTATCAGTACTTATAGTCCGACTTTTGTTAAACCATAACTATATTACTTGAACTCATCGTAGTTTAACCAATTTTGGCCTCGAGACAATCGTAATTTCACGAATTTCAGCGACTTTGCCATAGAGATGACAACTTTCGACTATCAGAGCAACGAGGTGGGTGTTATTATTTAAAGGTACCCCATTGTATTGGTGTATAGCTGGTATTTCAAGGTGTGTAAGACACAAGTTACAGGGAAATTGTAACGAAGCTAGCTCATCAAGAGGCTGTTTTAGTTGAGAGTATTCACCTGCAGAACAAATATAATATGGGGAACACTACAGAGGACGATATCGACAAGCAGATAGAATTGAGGGAGCAAGACAGGTGGTTACCCATCAATAATGTTGCGCGTTTGATGAAGAACACACTACCAGAGACTGCGAAAGTTTCCAAGAGTGCGAAGGAGTGTATGCAAGAATGTGTGAGCGAGTTCATTTCATTTGTAACAAGTGAGGCCAGTGATAGGTGTGCGCAGGATCGCAGGAAGACCATCAATGGTGAGGATATTCTTATATCCTTGCATGCATTAGGATTTGAAAACTATGCTGAAGTGCTTAAGATATACTTGGCTAAATACAGGCAGCAGCAAGCTCTAAAGAACAACTACGAAGAGGACTCATAAATTGTGCAACCTCTATAGAACTGGTAATATGAGCGGTATCAAGAACTGCTGTATATCTCCATCCTAAATTGACCCTCAAGGCCATCTATAGTGCTGGTTATGCTTGTAAATAATAATCATGTTTATTCTAATACTATTGGCTGATAACGCTGAAATTTTTCTGGAGCGAACAAGAAAATAAAATGAGTATGGACTCGAATTTATTATAAGCCAACTTCTGACAACGCGTGTGGTATAGATGAACTCAGAAGTTACTCACATATGGCAGTTTGTATAGCTGGAACTATATTACTTAAGAACATATATCATACATAACGACATAGTTAAGGGTTTCTTCACACCTTTTTCCCCCGCCGCCAATTTTCGGTGGGATTTCAAGCAATGAGTCCTGCCAAAAGCATAAATAGCAAATAAAGGTTTCTGCCTGGCAGTTTCATTGCACCCAGAGTCCTAAAACTAGTCTAAAACAGTTCAAACGTTAGATTACTGAAATAGTTTGCTTTACACACCTTTTCTTTGCTGTGAAAAGTGTTAAATTTTGGGTAAAATAGAGGGTTAAATTGGGTTCCCGCCACTTAAGTCGACGTACATATAGGCATAGACCCGATTACTGATAGCGAAGGTATTTGAACTTTGCATTGCGGCTCAACACATTTGTAGCTTCAAGGACAGAAATATGCTGGGCACTCGGGTTACTAGAGCGGTCTATACCCGTGCGCCTCTCAAATTACAACTGAGGGCGCTGGGCTTACATCGAAGGTATGTGCATAATGGCAGCAAGAATGATGAGGGGAGCTCTACAAGCACGACTACAAATAAAGAAGAGAACGATAAAAAACTGCCAGATGTCTATCCACAAATGCTAGCCCTACCTATATCGAGAAGGCCCTTGTTTCCCGGTTTTTATAAAGCTGTAGTGATTTCAGAGCCAAGAGTAATGAAGGCAATCACTGATATGGTTGAGAGACAGCAACCATACATTGGTGCGTTTATGCTTAAGGATAGTAATAATGACACAGACATTATACACGATATAAGTGAGGTGCATGAATTGGGTGTGCTAGCTCAAGTTACCTCAGCATTTCCCAGCAAGGATGAGAAAACTGGTAAGGAAACCATGACCGCATTACTATATCCTCATAAGCGTATAAAGATTGATCAGTTAATCCCACCAAAAGATGTGAAAATAGAAGATATTGTAGTCGAAAAAGTAGTGGATAATGAAGTAGCATCTGAAGAGACAAAGGACGAAGAAACAGTTGATAAAACTGAATCAGCGACTGATAAAGTAAGTGAAGAAATTACTGAAGAGATTGCTAAAGCACCTTCTACAGAAGTAACAGAAGATCCAGATAATTATGAGAATCCGACGGATTTCTTGAAAGATTATAATGTCACTTTAGTGAATGTTTCTAATCTGGAAGATGAACCATTTGATATCAAATCACCAATCATTAATGCATTAACATCAGAAATCCTTAAAGTATTCAAGGAAATTTCACAACTGAACTCCATGTTCAGAGAGCAAATTGCGACTTTCTCTGCATCTATTCAATCTGCAACCACTAATATATTTGAGGAGCCTGCTAAATTGGCAGATTTTGCAGCGGCTGTATCTGCGGGTGAAGAAGAAGAATTACAAGAGGTCCTGGAGTCTTTGAATATAGAGCAAAGATTGGAAAAATCTTTGTTGGTACTTAAGAAGGAATTGATGAATGCTGAACTTCAAAACAAAATATCGAAAGATGTAGAGACAAAAATACAAAAGAGACAGAAAGAATATTACTTGATGGAACAGTTAAAAGGTATTAAGAGAGAACTTGGAATTGATGATGGCCGTGATAAACTTGTTGATACTTATAAAAAAAGAGTAGAAAAGCTAAATCTTCCAGAAAATGTTCAGAAAACTTTTGATGAGGAAATAACAAAACTAGCAACCCTAGAAACATCTATGTCCGAATTTGGTGTTATCAGAAACTATTTAGATTGGCTTACATCGCTTCCATGGGGAATTAACTCCAAAGAACAATACTCTATTCCAAGAGCTCGTAAGATCTTAGATGAAGATCATTATGGTATGAAAGATGTTAAGGACCGTATTCTAGAATTTATTGCCGTAGGAAAGCTTCTTGGAAAAGTTGATGGTAAAATCATATGTTTTGTGGGTCCACCGGGTGTGGGTAAAACGTCCATCGGTAAATCGATCTCAAGAGCTTTGAACCGTCAATTCTTCAGATTTTCTGTCGGTGGTATGACTGATGTTGCTGAAATCAAAGGTCATAGAAGAACGTACATTGGTGCTCTACCAGGTAGAATTATTCAAGCACTGAAGAAATGTCAAACTCAAAATCCTTTGATTTTAATTGATGAGATAGACAAAATTGGTCATGGTGGTATTCATGGTGATCCTTCTGCTGCACTTCTCGAAGTTCTTGATCCTGAACAAAACAACAGTTTCTTGGATAATTACTTAGACATCCCAATTGACTTATCTAAGGTTTTGTTTGTTTGTACCGCTAACTCTTTAGATACTATACCAAGACCATTACTTGATCGTATGGAGGTTATTGAACTTACTGGTTATGTGGCCGAAGATAAAATTAAAATTGCCGAGCAGTATTTAGTTCCAAGCGCTAAAAAAACTGCAGGTTTGCAAAATGCTACTGTATCCATGGATGAAGAAGCAATCAATGCGCTAATGAAATATTATTGTAGAGAGAGTGGTGTTAGAAACTTAAAAAAGCATATTGAGAAAATCTATCGTAAGGCAGCTTTAGAAGTTGTTAAAAAGATGAGCATCGAGGATACAGAACCTCTAGTCTCAACTTCTGAGGAACCACAATTATCTCAAACAAATCAAAATATATCGTCAAGTTCTGCTGAGGATTCTACTACGGATCTTGAAGATAGTGTCAATCCAGATACTGCCAAGGAAGCATCAAAGCCCAATAATTCGCAAGAAGGTGCATCAGTAGAAGAAACCAAGAAGGCTGTGAAAACAGAAGAGGAAGAAGACACTTCTATGATTGTTCCAGAAGATATTAAAGTTGAAATTACTCCAGAAGATTTGAAAAAGTATGTTGGGCCACCAATCTACACTACTGACAGATTATATGAAACTACTCCTCCTGGTGTGATCATGGGATTGGCTTGGACTAATATGGGAGGCTGTTCCCTATATGTTGAATCTGTACTGGAACAGCCATTACACAACTGTAAACATGCGAATTTAGAGAGAACAGGTCAGCTTGGTGATGTCATGAAAGAGTCATCGCGTCTAGCCTACTCTTTCTCAAAGATGTACCTGTCAAAGAAGTTCCCTGAAAATAGATTCTTTGAAAAGGCAGCTATTCACTTGCACTGTCCTGAAGGTGCAACACCAAAGGACGGTCCATCTGCTGGTGTCACAATGGCAACTTCATTCCTATCACTTGCATTAAACAAGCCTGTTGATCCAACTGTAGCAATGACTGGTGAATTAACATTAACCGGAAAAGTATTGCGTATTGGTGGTTTAAGAGAAAAGGTTGTGGCTGCTAAGAGATCTGGTGCCAAGACTGTAATTTTCCCTAAGGATAACTTAAACGACTGGGAAGAGCTTCCAGAGAATGTGAAAGAAGGCATGGAGCCACTGGCTGCTGATTGGTATGATGACATTTACAAAAGACTGTTTTCTGGTGTCAAGAAATCAGAAGGTAATAACGTCTGGAAATCAGAATTTGAGCTAATCGATAAGAAGAAGAAAGAAAACGATTAGAAAACTGACTCTCAAAAGCCTGTACTTTTGTACACCCCCATTGAATGTAATACAAATGCTCAGATGTTATGCTTGCCATAGTCACACTGTTGCATTATCAGCATTGTTCTGTAAATAGTATATATCACACTAAAATAATGGGTATGTTTGAAAGAATAGCATATTTAAGGAAAGTGGCAGGATAATAATCTAGTCCCTGATTACATCATTGATTAGTGTTGATAATAGGTGTTTTTTATATTATATAAAACAAATTGCACAATACTAAATCTATATTAAGTTCGGTTTGACAATAGTGTTATAAGTGCAGAAGGTTGCTATTTGGGTAAAGTTAATTATGTTTCCCGATTAGGAAATATCTTCAATTTTGTCGTTTTTCCACCAATTTTTTCCTGCCTTGGCAAAAGTTAGCCATCGAGACTACAAAATACATAGTATTCTTAGTCTAGTAGAATTCTCAAACAGTGTCCAAGAGACAACAGATAGGCTTTCAACTACATTATTGTATATCATAATACTAATTGCCCTCGTTGCCATCTTTCTCTGGTGTTTGAAGTATAAAAATTGGTTAATTGGCTGTCCGGTTTGAATAATTAGCGACTCATAGACTTGAAATTGTGGTACAGTGGTTTGGGAAAGCAGATAAAATAATACACATATACTATGTCTGATAACAGGAGGCGTAGAAGAGATCCAGAAGATGACGAGCATGACTCTGACAATGAAAATGTCGGTATGCCGCCATCCTCGCCACAACATCATGGTTCAAGAAACCTGTTTGGTCCTGGGTCATCACCCATTGGTTCCCCTGTTAGAGATGAGGATCAGGAGAACGATGATGAGTTGGGCATGTTGAATCCAGAAGGTGATGATAACGAGATTGATGATGCACCTGATATTGATGAAGTGGAAGAACAAATGAACGAAGTTGATCTTATGGATGACGACATGTACGGCGATTACAGGTCTGATCCAACCAAGGATAGATATGAAGGGTTAGGTGTTGATGATACTGAACAGAAAGAACTGAGTCTGAGCGACAGAAGAAGAATTGATGCACAATTAAATGAAAGAGATAGACTTTTGAAGAATGTGGCCTATTTAGATGATGATGATGAAGCCATGGGAAACGAACAATTGGATGAAATGGGTTTGCCAAAACAAAGAAGAAGGCGTAGAAGGCAATACGAGGATTTTGAACATAGTGATGATGATCTACTAAGTGATTTGGATGCTGATCCATTAAGAGAAGAATTGACATTAGAGTCACTAAGTAATGTTAAGGCCAACAGTTATTCTGAATGGGTTGTTCAACCTAATGTCTCCAGGACAATCGCAAGAGAACTAAAATCATTTTTGCTTGAATACACAGATGAAACTGGTAGATCGGTCTATGGTGCACGTATTAGAGTGTTAGGTGAAATGAATTCTGAATCTCTAGAAGTAAATTTTAGACATCTTGCTGAATCAAAGGCTATATTAGCGCTGTTTTTGGCAAAGTGTCCGGAAGAAATGCTTAAGATTTTTGATTTGGTCGCAATGGAGGCAACTGAATTGCACTATCCGGATTATTCACGTATCCATTCAGAAATTCATGTTAGAATATCAGATTTCCCAACAATTCACAACTTAAGAGAATTACGTCAGTCTAATTTATCTACATTGGTCCGTGTGACTGGTGTTGTGACAAGAAGAACAGGTGTCTTCCCACAACTAAAATATGTGAAATTCAACTGTCTCAAGTGTGGCTCTATCTTGGGGCCGTTTTTCCAAGATTCAAATGAAGAAATAAAAATTTCATTCTGTACTAATTGTAAATCTAAAGGCCCTTTTAGTATTAACGGTGAAAAGACAGTTTATCGTAATTACCAAAGAATCACGCTACAAGAAGCACCAGGTACAGTACCTGCAGGTCGTTTGCCAAGGCACAGAGAAGTTATTCTATTAGCTGATCTTGTTGATGTATCAAAGCCCGGTGAGGAAATTGAAGTGACTGGTATCTATAAGAATAACTATGATGGTAATTTGAATGCTAAAAATGGTTTCCCAGTTTTTGCAACTATAATTGAAGCAAATGCAGTAAGAAGAAGAGAAGGAAATCTTGCTAATGAGAATGAAGAAGGTTTAAATGTATTTAGTTGGACAGAAGAAGAAGAGAGAGAGTTCAGAAAATTATCCAAGGATAGAGGAATTGTTGATAAGATTATTGCTTCCATGGCGCCTTCCATCTATGGTCACAAAGATATTAAAACCGCTGTAGCATGCTCGCTTTTTAGTGGTGTACCAAAAAATATCAATGGTAAGCACGCCATTCGTGGTGATATAAATGTTCTAGTCCTCGGTGACCCAGGTACTGCAAAATCTCAGATATTGAAATATGTTGAGAAAACTGCCCACAGAGCTGTGTTTGCAACAGGTCAAGGTGCGTCTGCTGTTGGTTTGACCGCTTCAGTACGTAAAGATCCCATCACAAAAGAATGGACACTAGAAGGTGGTGCTCTTGTGCTTGCTGATAAGGGTGTCTGTTTGATTGATGAATTCGATAAAATGAATGATCAAGACAGAACATCTATTCACGAAGCTATGGAACAACAAAGTATTTCTATTTCTAAAGCTGGTATTGTTACAACATTGCAAGCCCGTTGTTCTATCATTGCTGCAGCAAATCCAAATGGTGGTAGATATAACTCAACTCTTCCGTTGTCTCAAAATGTGAGTCTAACTGAGCCCATTTTATCAAGATTTGATATTTTATGTGTTGTTAGAGATGTAGTAGATGAAGAATCGGATGAAAGGTTGGCATCATTCGTTGTTGATTCTCACGTACGTTCTCATCCGGGTTATGATTCTATTGATGACGAAGAAGGAAAGGACGGTGAGCAGAAAAATGATGATGATATACAGTTATCAAATAGACAAAAGAGAGCAGAGCGTCAAAGGAAAAAAGAGGAGGAGATCTCCCCAATACCACAAGAATTACTAATAAAATACATTCATTATGCCAGAACCAAGGTGTATCCTAGACTTCATCAAATGGATATGGACAAAGTAAGCAAGGTGTATGCTGATTTAAGAAGAGAAAGTATCACAACTGGTTCTTTCCCTATTACAGTGCGTCACTTGGAATCTATTCTAAGAATAGCAGAATCTTTCGCTAAGATGAGGCTATCAGAATTTGTATCGTCATGGGATTTGGATAGAGCTATTAAAGTGGTGGTTGATTCTTTTGTGGATGCTCAAAAGATCAGTGTTCGCCGCCAATTGCGGAGATCATTTGCTATCTATACATTAGGACAAAATTAAAATTGATAGAAAACCTTATATAAAGGCTTGACATTGTACTATAGTCATTATTTAAATATTGGCGCACCTTGTATTAATACACTATTATTATATTAGTAAATGTAACACTTTATTAATTGAGAAAAATCAATACATACTAACTAGAATCCAAAACTTAAAGAAACTGGAAATAACTTTAATTGAAACGTTCTATAGAGGTATAAAAAATGCATATAATATAACCTTTTATAATACTAACAATTCTCAAAAATATCACAATAACCTATCATAATACTTTTATCTATACTATCAAAGCATAAGTATTATAATCCATTGGGACATTCTTATGGGTGTGCCGACCGTAATATCTAATATTTTTAGGATATATAAATTTGTTGAGATGGAGCACGATGTCTACCATTAATATTTATCGTTGTATGGTTGGTGAACATACACAACCTTTTTTCTTTGCCTCACAGTCATCCAACAGAAGAGGTTAAGAAGTGCTGCTACCACTGCGGCCCATAACAGTGCTAAAAATTTCCTTCCCAGGCTTAAATGAATACCATAGTCGCTATAGTTTTTGTTTAGGATATGGCGAATGTAGATGTAGGTACCCATATTAGTGCCAACACTGATCAGCAAACTTGCAAATGATAGGAAACAAACAAATCCACCGACGAAGTTAACGAAACTGAAATGTAGAAACCACCGCAATACGTTAATAACTAAGTTCAGGAATGTCAATACTATACCAATGATCAATGTGATGAACATACACTTTACCAGGTTATTGTAATAGACAAGTTTGTCCTGTAATTGCTGTGGTAGAACGATCTTGGCAACATCATCGACTAATTGTAAGACTTGATTGTTCTCAATATTATCTTTCAGTAGGTTCTTTAGGTTGAAAGTTTGTATACCGTTTGGAGATGTGCAGCTAGTAACATCGGTTGAAGAACTAGCCACACAGTATGACCACAGACCTATGTTTATGAATTTAGGCAAACCCAGGTCTGATATACTGAATGAACTAGCTGCGGGTATCACTGTAGCTATATCAAGGTTTGAAAGGTCCAATTGTGCACAAAATATTTGATTTATCGGGTAATAGTTCTTAGTTGATCCAGCACATGCAATGCAAGCTAGCACTAGCGAAGCAAGTGCAAAAAACAGTGCTAATATAAGAGCGACGAAATTCCTCATGGTTATCTCTTATTCCAGTGTAATGTTTATAAGTTTGATGAAATTGAAAGGTTTGGCGTTTGTTAGCTGTGTATATCAAAATTTGTTCAAATATTTAGTTGATGGAATGTGCTTTTTAGATATTCCAAGACAAAGGTCGGTGTGCGAATTAGAGAACCAGATTCAGAGTCTACGGAAGAGATCGTTATATATATGTGGAGAGCTGCTCAAATTACGCTGTCGCCGAATTGGTATGCATGATGATTCCGATAAAGTGTGCATCGACATGTAAATTATAAACCAAGCCATTCTAAAAATAGGAACCCATCTAGAGGGCATCGCAAGTTATCTCAGTAAAAACCTCTACAGGAGAACCACTGGCTGAAGAAGAAAAATTGTAATTCTGAAGATAGTAATCCAGGGTTCGATATTTCACTACGCATTGTAACGGGGCTTGCACGAAACCACCCTCCACGTCACGAAAGCTCAAAATGGCAAGAAGTGACAATAAGAATCAACCCTACAAAGAGATGCAACTCTTGAAAATTGCTGGATAATAAATATTGCTGTGTTCAGTTGATCTTATCCATGAAGAGACACATGAGAGTATCCTCTACATCAGAATTTGATCAAAGTCTTCCACCACACAATCAATATCAACAGAATAAAATAGCTCGGGATCAGCAATTTCTGCTATTCTTCATATCGCCTTAGAAACACTCGTACGGGACTGGTTGGAATGCTGTACAAAAAAATTCGATGGGCTTGGTTCCCAGTGCTTAGCTATTAAGTTGGGGGCGAAGGTAGATGGGGGAGACAAATAATGAGGCTAGAGAGACACACTAGGCTTTTACATGTCAGTCATAATTCCCTTAAGAGGGCAAATCCACATACTCAGCTCAAAATCAGGTAAGTTTTCTTGGGGGGGGGCTCACAATATGGTGGCTCTGTGAGCAGGTAAGGGAGTGGTAACAAGAATCAAAGTATGGGATGGCTCAAAGCATTGATCTCTAAGGAAGCCCAGGTACTTAACTTGCGAAACATGTGATACATGTCATGTATTAAGAGATCTCAGTGCTTTATTGAAATGTAATAGTTAATGACTACAAAGCTGAGTCAAGAATCGCAATCAATCAATCAATCCATCAATCATGTGTTTTATACTCTATAACAGCAGCTCGGTCTATAGTGACTCGTAGAAAACTACCTAAGTTGCATCTTGGCGCGTATGGAAAATTTCAAAAAACTTCTTTTCTTAAATTGTGAAGTTGATAACGTAAGATCAGACTTCCTGCGCACTAATCATAAGGAGTAATTTTTTTTAATTGACTGTATCTGAAATGAGTAAATCAATTTGCCTTAGTTTATTTTATCTGTTGAATTGACGCATTTACTCCACAAGTTTTGCGTAGCGCAGACGAAATTAAGTCATTTTAAAAAAAAAATAAGGTTGCTATTTACTTGTGATTATGTAAGTTTTTTTTTGTTGTAATTTCATTAATTCTATTTTTCTACAGTGTATTGCATTCGCAGGTAGTATTTCGAATTTTTTGCTGCAATATAGTTCGGTTTTGGGAATTGGGAGTATTCATATTATTTCATGTTTTTGTCAGGAATCATGAATGTTCTGAGGTTCGGTATGTGTATTAATGCCTAGCTTTTGAGCTTACAGTTTCTAGTCTCTATAGTATACCAAAAACCAAAGTGAAAGTTTGATACTGCTTTTTGAATACAGGATCCTGTGCCATTGAATTGGCCTAAATAGAGCGATAACAACATTAAAAATATGATATTATTACAACAAGAATTTGTATCAAATAGATGGATTCTTGAGACACTAATTAATTTTTAAATTACAGAAGTGAACGCATTACTAGAATTTACACCAAGTTCAGAACGCAAAAAGGCTATTGCGATACTAGTTATAAATATTTCATGTGTAACTATATCGACTCCGGTGACATCACCAAAAACGTCCGATTTTCCCTTTATATGGCCAGCCAAACCCACATTTTTGTATACAATAGTCATGAAGAACTATATTGAACCACTGAGTGAGTTACGTTTTCTTAGATTATAATAACTCGAAGGAATAAAATTTATTGAATAAGCAGATGGAATACTGGCACTATGTTGAAACTACGGAATCCGGACAACCATTACTACGTGAAAGTGAAAAGGATATATTGATCGATCATAACGTTGGTTTATACCAAGGTAAAGAACGAATTAGGAATAGACAGAATGGTAGGATTTTTCTTACCTCTCAGCGTATAATCTATGTCGATTCTAAGGAACCTACAAAATATTCTCTTGGGATTGAACTCGATGATATAGACCATCTGGACTATTCTTCAAGCTTTCTTAGGAGGTCAGCGAGATTAATAATATTCATGGATGTTCATTCAGCTTCTAGTGGCCTACATAACATCAATAACAAACTTACTGAAGAGGTACATACAACCACTTGGGTTTGCCCGATATGTATGGTGACTAATGAGACAGAAGGTGAATTTAAGGCAAATACACAACCTCCACCGGTATGTGTCAACTGTGGTGTACCAGCTGATTACGAATTGACTAAAAACTCTATTACAATTCAAGGCAATTCAACCGATAGTAATAGTCATTCTGATAAAAAAGAGAACAAAAATAGTTGTCCGGCATGTACTTTCATTAATCATCCTCAAGTAAGAAATTGTGAAATATGTGGAACAAGACTGAACAATACAAAGATAAGAAACAGATTAGCGCTTTCAAGGAGAAAACAGGACTCCAGGTTGACCATTGAGCTAGATTCAATTTCAAGTGTCAAATCATCCCGAAGCGCAGAGGAGTGTTTCATACAGGTAAGTTTCAGGAAATCAGATGGGATTTTATTCTCAGATGCTGTTGAGAAGACAATAACCGATTTGAAAGCTAGCACAAAATTCAATCGGAACACTATTGAAAAGACTAACAAGTCTGAAGAAAATGGTGAACTAAACTTGCTAGAGACTAAGCTGTCAAAAATTGGAATTACCAGTCTTGAACATAGCAGAGAAAATCAAATCTTGAACAATGACATAATATTTACCAGTGCTCTGACTGACTTGGATAAGCTCATTTCTTTAGCTGACTCAATTGAAAGATTATACAGAAAGGAAAGTATAGACAATCAGAGTGTTAAAAAGCCTAACCTAATATTAGACAGAGATACATTCTATAATAAGGAGCAGTTCCTATCCGAAGTTTCAAGGGAGATATACGATTTTGTTAAAAACGGATTTAAGAATAATTATGTAATGATTACGCTTGTGGATCTCTATGCCCTTTATAATAAATCCATGCGAATCGGCACAGGCCTAATATCTCCCGCTGAAATGCGAGAAGCATGTGAAAAGTTCGGTAGCTTTGGCTTAAGTGATCTCTATCTGAAAAAAATTAATGGATGTGTCTTATGTGTCTGCACAGATGATGCTTTCGATTACATACGCCAGAAGATAATAGACATTATTGATCGCTCACCGGGAGCAGATCTCCTAACTTTAACGCAAAAGTTTAACGATGAGCCCAACAATAATTGGGGAATTGGTGTCATTCAGGAGGTCCTGAAAAGTTGTATTGATGAAGGACAACTATTAATTGACAAGCAAATTAGTGGTATTTACTACTATTGTAACAATGCTTGGAAACTCTGAGTTATCTACCGTACCTCATTCGAAGTAAGACAATAAATTGTCCATAGAATAAATTCATGACCTATTTTATAATACATTAATTCCTTATTTATCTGATATAGAGGATAGTAAATGGCTAAAAAAATTTACAGCATATTATTTATCGGAATCCTCTAGCCATTAGTTCTTTTTCAATTGTATTCCAGAAATAACGTACAACCTCCACATCTTTAAATCTCTTCGTTTTATCTAGTTCGACTTTATCTACATTCCATTGCTGGACATTTTGTGGAACTGAGTCCCCAGTAAAGTGGAAGTAGTATCCCTTACAGTGTTGAAATAGTTCTTGAGGTGTGTTCCACTGATAGTTGTTAAACTGCCATGTGTGTCCTGTAGTAAATACTGCTACCACTCTATCCCAATACTCAGGCTTAGTAAACATTCTAGTATTGTTGACTACAATAAATTTAATCGGTCTTGAAATACGGTCAAATTTCTTTTCCACAGTTATCACGTCTGAGCCTGTATTTGCTGTTGCATCTCTAGGGTTGATGTATTGAGAGGATTCTAAAAATTGTTTAATATTCGAAATAGCAAACAATGAAGATGCCGCAGATGGTATCAAAATAATTGGATCTTTCTTTTGAGTCTTTTGATTTTGTGAACCGTGCTTTGACACAGCACCTGGCTTACCGCTACCTTGCTTCGAGCGTAATGTTGCCTTGATGGAGTGAACTAATTTCAGTTCTGCATCTTTGATTAGATAGCCGAAATCAACTGGCTTACTACCGTGCAGCATAGAGTTATGATCAATCAAGATACGCTCTTTTTGAGTGGCCTCCTGTAATACTGGATCATCTATAATCTTCTGACTTTCACTTACATCCGTTTTAGTATTTACATCCGCTTCACTATTATCAGTCTTTATGTTCTTGACATCTAGATACTCAGAAGTTTCCGATTCACCTGATAACCATTTTAAAAGATCATTTCTTTGCAGAAATGAAATGTTGGTAATCTTCTTTTCTTGGCAATCTGCAAGATATTCAGCAGCACTGTCATCCTTATGCAACCAGCATTGAATGATAACCCGTAGCTTTGCTGGCTGCTCATCAACAATAAATTCTGTTGCTTCATCCAATGGTAATTTATCCTCTTTAAACTGTATGAACTCAGCATTAGTTATATCGGCCGTCGTACTACCAGTGCCGTCCACAAGAGTGAACTCCGAGGCACTGCTGAGCTGCTTCTTTAACTGAACTAAAACAGACATCGCCTAATTCAATTGCTATATTTTCTGAGCCCACGTTCAAACAGAAGAAGCACTAGTATTGTACTCTTGACTACCTCTGAATAGTTTATAGTCTTTGTTTTCGATAATTTTTCAATTTTTTGCCAGCTCGTCCTGGAAAAAAAAGCTGCTTGAATTTTAATTTTGACAAAAAAATCGATGAGCTTAGTATTTATATTAATATGAGCTACCAATTGTTTGACAAACGAGTGCCCTGGCTAACAATTAGATCAATCATACAGACTCACGCAACTTTATTGAGTTATGGCCAAGAAAAAAGGGAAAAATGAAACTCCAGCGTTGGAGAAGGCTGCAAATAAAAGTAACTCCGGGCCTACTGGTGGGAAGAGAGGCAAGAGGGTGTTAACTGAGGAGCAGAAGGCTCAACAACAGAGTAATAGAGCCAAGGTAACCTCGACATCTAGTTGGACCGGTAAGCTTCCGCATACATTGCTTCATGAGTTCTGTCAAAAGAGAAAATGGGGTAAAGTGGAATATGACATGAAGAAAATTGGCTCAAAGGGCTTCATTGGTATAGCCATTATATCATCTGTTGATCCGAAGACTCGCGAAACGTTATTAGTAAGACTTAATGACCCTACTTATGATAAAGCTGTGGGCCAGGGTGCTCTAGAACCCCAGGAAACTACCATGGAGGCTCGCCATTACGCTGCCACTGTGGCACTTTACAGGCTAGCTTATAACACTAACACACATATGATGCTGCCACCTAATCATAAATCCATATGGTATAAGTTGGACGATTTTAGAAAATCACTGAAAAAGGACGATAGAGCTCAAAGATATTTTTGTGATGATCCTTTTAAACAGTTAATTGAAGAAAGGAAAGAGAAAGCCATTAAAGATAAACAAAACGAATCTAGAATGCAACAGGCTGCCAAAAATGAGAGCACACCTGTAATTATAAACTCTGTCAACAACAATATGAAAGACAATGACGGCTCTTTGACCAAAAAAGTTAACAAGCCGGTGAGGAAATCCACAAAAGAAGTGACCTTTTCAAGAAACGTTTGGGAGTCGGCAAATTTTATTGATTTAAATGAATCTTCTAGGCAACAGATTGAAAACTGTATAAAGAGAAATGCTGATTGGGAATCTGAAATGCTAAAGTCAAGTAATAACACACCGGAGCGTCAAGAATTAAAATCCAAACTGATTAATCTTGGATTTCGAGAAGCACATGTGAACGAAGCCATGTTGTATAAGGACCCATTATCATTTTTACTTTTTAATCTTCCTGAAGATGACTTTCCGAGATACTTCCAAAAGCGCAAAGAGGACTCTAAAAACATCATTGAAATATCTACACTACCTTTGCAGAAGCAAATAACTCTGGAAAGATTGCAAGAGTTTCCAGTTTCAAAAGACGAAGCGTTATTCGCTTTGGATCTATACAATGGAAGCGAAGCATTGGCTGCCGGATACTTAACACAAAGCATGATACCTGATTTACCAATTTTAGGAACCGAAGAAATTGACAACCCGGAAAGTAAAGAAATGTGGATACAGGAACTTGAAAGTTTAAAGTGTATTTTTGAAGATAAAATAGAAGTTATTGACGAGCCGAACTGCTATGTAATATCTCTGATGGAAAAATACTCACTAAAATTGAAAGTGTATAGGACTCCAAACTACCCACAACATATTCCCGGTATTGTAGTTTCAACCTTTTCAAAAAAAATCAAACTGCCTAACTATATTAAAAAACAAGTGATGATCAAGCTTTTACATCACGTCAAAGAATCTGGTATTATTGGTGGTGAAATGATCTATGAAATATATCAATGGCTATTAGACAATATAAAATCGATCATAGATAATCCTGGAAAGTTACTAAATATAGATGATATGAAAAGCTCCAGCAATTTCGAAATCATAGAGGCTCGCAAGAGTAAAATGAAATTGAATAAAAAAAACCAAGAGGCATCATTGACCAAAGACGAACTATCGGCGTTATTGGATGAATACAAGAAAAGGATCTTAACCAATAACTATAAACTGATGCAAGATCAAAGAATGCAATTACCTGCTTGGAAAAAGAAAGATCATATTGTTGATTTGATAATGAAAAACCAAATTGTACTAATAACTGGTGAAACGGGTTCTGGTAAGTCGACACAGGTATGTCAGTTTGTATTGGATGCGCTGTTTACATCTAATAACTCTAATGAACTTCAAAAAAAAATTCTAGTAACACAGCCAAGAAGAATATCTGCCATTGGTCTAGCGGAGCGTGTGGCTGCAGAGAGGTGTGTTCCATGTGGAGAGGAAGTTGGCTACACTATTAGAGGTGTTAACAAGAGCTCCAAATTCTCAAAAATTCGTTTTATGACTACTGGTGTTCTGGTAAGGATACTTCAAAGTTCTATGAAAAGTCTTGAAAACTGTATTATCATCATAGATGAAGTCCATGAGAGATCCATCGATACAGACTTGTTGGTGGCTTTACTTAAGCAAATAATGGAAAAAGTTAAAACACTAAAGATTGTGCTAATGAGTGCCACAGTAAATGTAAATCTATTCCATAATTACTTTCCTGGTCTTGTATCATCTCATATTGAAGGTCGTACATTTCCAATCAAAGACTACTTTTTGGAGGATATACTGGATCAACTTGATTTTAAAATTAAAAGAAACAAATACCATGAATATGATGACGATGACGATGACGATTCTATATCATCTCATGATAACCAGTTTTTACGACCTACTGCGGACTCCAAATTTTTTAGAACTGGACAAATCAACTATGATCTATTATGCCAACTAGTGCTACACGTTAACGATAAATTAACTTCTGAGAACAACTCTGGCTCCATAATCGTATTTCTTCCTGGTGTAGCTGAAATAAACAGACTCTGCAGAATGCTTGAGAATAATAATTTGGTTGTATTGCCTTTACACTCTGCATTATCAGCTGAAGATCAGAAACAAGTTTTCAAGAAGTTCTCCAAGAGGAAAGTAGTGGTTTCCACAAATATTGCTGAGACATCTATAACAATTGATGACTGTGTTGCTACCATAGATACTGGTAAAGCTAAAATTATGATGTATAATGCTAAGGATAATAGCACACGTCTTATCGAACGCTTCATTTCTCGGGCAGAATCAAAACAAAGAAGAGGCCGTGCAGGTAGAGTTCGTGAAGGTCTTTCATATAAATTGTACTCCAAACGGCTTTACGAAGAGGATATGGTCGAAATGCCAACATCAGAAATAAATAGAGTTGCATTAGATTCTCTTTACCTTTCAGTAAAAGCGATGGGAATCAGGAATGTGAAATCTTTCTTAGCTAAGGGTTTGGAACCTCCTCCATTAAACGCATTGGAAATGGCCGAAATTCAGCTTTCTATGATAGGTCTTCTTGACAGGAAAAATGAAGAACTAACTCAACTTGGAAAATATGTAAGTATGATGCCATTAGTAGATCCAAAGTATGGTAAGCTTTTATTATTTGGTATTATTTTTGGCTGTGTGTCAAAATGTGTTCTGATTGCATCAATATTAAGCTTATCAAATTCACCATTCATAGGTGGTACTGAAAACAGAGATAATATTAAGCAGATGTTAAAGGAACATGGTGACGATGGAGATATTCTTGCCATCGTGGACATAGTAGAAAAATGCTTATCCAAAACCAATAGTAGTGATCGTGGTAAGTATATGAAGCAACATTACCTCTCCTTTAATAAACTAAGAGAGATCGAATCAAGCATATCCCAGTACTATTCAATACTGAGTGATTTAGGATTTTTACCCATTAAGTACCGTCAATCAGAAGGTTCAGAACTGGAAAGAAATGGGAAGAGTAAATCTATTCTTAAGGCCATATTAGCGGGAACTCTATATCCAAACATTGCCCGTGTTCAATTACCGGATATGAAATATTTATCAACTAGCATGGGTTCAATTGAAAAGGACCTTGAAGCAAAGCAAATTAAATACTGGATTAGAAATGAAGAGTTGCAAACCGAACTTCAAAAATTGAAGGATGAAGGGAAAGAAATTAATTGGAGGAACAATGACTTACCACCTTCTACCAAGAGAGCCTTTTTACATCCATCATCTGTACTATTTCAAGGAAATGAAATGAGTGTTGTTGAGTTGCAAGCGTTACAGGATGACCTTCATAGAATCTCGAAGAAAACATCCCCCACATCACTAACTAGCCCATTTGTCGCCTACGTTTCAACGCAGTTAACATCTAAACAATTCATAAATGGATTAACTCCTGTGTCAACTTTAGTTTTACTTTTGTTTGGTGGTGTTCTAAGATATGATATTGATAGTGAATCACTTTCTCCTGGTATCATCATGGATGATTGGATACCAATAAGAACATGGTGTAAGAACGGCATCCTCCTCAATGAACTCCGGTTAACATTAGACAAAGCTATACAAACGGTTTTAGAAAAGCCTCAGTACGTTAGTGGCACCCAAAATACTAGCAAGAATTTAGAGCATGTTTTTCAACTGGTACATAATCTGATAGAAATTGAATCTTGAACACTCTCACTTGCATTATGCCTTAGTAAACCGGCGCGCCACGTATTTATTTCTGGCATATTTAGTTGTTCAATAATATACTATTTAATCCATTGCATATTTATATCGTTATAGATAATTATACTGAAACTATTGTTGAAATGAAAATGAATTTTAATTGAATAGAAATGGAAACGTAGCTAATCTTTCATAAAGTGATTAACCACTTCATTTATAGCCTTAGCAACATGTTGTACATTCCCAGTATTTAGGCCTGCAACAGATGCCCTACCAGTAGGCACCATATAAACTGCATGTTCAGTTTCCAATCGCTTGGTCATCTCAGGAGTTAGTCCTGTAAATGAGAACATACCACACTGCTGAACAATATGATCCCAGTTTCCAGGTGTATTGTACTCAGCTAATAGGTCACGTAAACGTGTCCTAACCGATATGATTCTACTTGACATGGTCACCAAATCTTGATACCATTGCTCCTTCAGTTCTGGTGTAGTAAATATTTTTGATACAACCTTAGCACCGTATGCTGGTGGAGTTGAAATTTCACTTCTGATAATTCTCGAAAGTTGGGAGGTTATAGCATCCTTTATTGGTACAATATCCTCCTTCTGCGCCGGTAGAACTAAGTGCAGACAACCAACTCTCTCACCATACATTCCAACATTTTTAGCAAATGATTGTGCTACAAATATAGGTGCACAGTCTCTTAATTGATTTATGGTGTAGCGTATAGCATATGCATCTCTTTCAAGATCGCCGGACGCAAAGCCTTGATAAGCAGAGTCAAATAGTGGGATGTGATCACCTTTCTGAATGGATTCAATAATTTGATGCCATTGCTCTTGCGTTGGATCAAGTCCCGTTGGGTTGTGTGCACAAGCATGCAGAACAAATATGGATCCTCTTGGGGCATGATCAATTGCCTTTATGAAACCCTCAAAATCCAAGCTTTTATTGGTAGCATCCCAATATGGGTAGGAATCAGTCTCTAAATCCACATTTTCAAATATTGACTGATGAATAGGCCAAGTTGGGTTTGACAAGTAAATTTTCTTTTCAGGTGTGTACTTTTTAATAAATTTAGCAGCCACATGTAAGGCACCTGCACCTGACAGAGATTGTACAGAGATAACCCTACTTTCTCTCAATGCTGGACAATCCTCCCCAAGTATAACTTTAGCAGCGCTGTTTGTTAAACTGTCAAGACCACAAATATTTAGATATTCGTGGTCATAATCATCTTCCTCTTGTACCAACCTTTCAGCCTTACGTACCGAGGGAAGAATCCATGGCTTACCATTGTCAGCGCGATATGCTCCAACACCCAAATCAACTTTGAAACCTCTGGTATCCTTCAAGTACCTTTGCTTTGTTGCAAATAATATGTCGGTCTTGATCGGTTCGACATCGTTGTACACCGTAGCTGAAATTTTTACCATTGTTGATTATGTGTTTTTTGTTCACCTTCACTCGACGGAACTAATTGATATATCTATTGGAATGTTACAAACTTATCTATTTAAATACATTCCCAAGAGAACAGAAACCAGTTCTCTGGTCTTCTATTCCTACATAAAATTATCGTTATCATCCAGATATTTTTCAGTTTTCGCTACTTTTTTTGCTGTATGCCTAGGACACCCACTTTCATTGGGGCTTATTGTCTTATCATTGTTAAGTTTCTTAGTAGCATGGCCAAAACTACCCTATTAAAGGGTAGTTTCTCGAGAGGAGATGGCTTACTCGGGATGCTGACACGAATGTGTCAAAAACATCTCTTGCATTTTTTGACTCAGTCGCCAAGAATAAAATGCACTATTAAACAGTTATCTTCCATCAAACATAAACATTCCTTATCCATTCAAAAGCTTTTTCTTTCTTTCTTTTTTGCCATTTGTGATGCAAGATATAACCCCGTTGCAAGAAAAACATAATTGTCTGCGCAGAGTTCTGTGGATATAGCTGTTGTATTAGATAATGAAAAAAGAAATTAACTAATTAAACTAATTTATAAATAACAATTACGATAACAGTTGTGGGTAACCGGAAGCACAGATTCAAGGAGAAATTCTGTTGCTATATAAAAATAGAAGAGTCAGTGCTGTCAGGTGGTGTGTGGGGTGGTGGTGTGGGGTAACAGCCGTTCTGTCTTATACAATTCATTGACTCTGATTTTGACTCTTTCTGGCAGCGTCCTCTTGGTCGAATTCGTATCCCCTGGCGATACCTGAGATACCTTCTTCTACTGTAGCACCATCTTCTTCGTAACCCTCATCATCTTTATAATCTGAACCCAATCCGGTCCATGCTCTGTTGGCCAGGTGCTCCACGGCTGTAGATACTGTACCCTTGATGACAGTACCACCGTTGACTCTTGCCATCACTTGTTTATCCTCATTACTTGGCGCATCCAATTGCAAGTGATTCAGTGCTCTTAGAGGCCTCGAACTGCTGACGTATTTACCAGTGACCGCATCAAATTCTGGAGCATCGAGGTCGTGGTCTGAGTCATTGCCATGTTTACTATCGTCAATTCCTAACTCTGCCAAACTGTTATCAATCTCTGTGATGGCCTTCTGGAAATCAATAATCCACTTACCAGTCCAAGTCACCTCAAAGTTTAATGCTAACGTCAATTCATAAGGTGTAATGATAGGCTTGTAAAATTCACCAAACTCATCTACGATAATACCACTTTGACCACAACCCAGAATACACCATATGTCGACGGGTTCAAAATTGGCTAATTTTGGAACATTTGGTTTACCAACCACAAATAAATAATGCTTCTTTCCATTCTCTCGTATAAGCTTGATTAACTTGTTTACTGTTTCCCTAGTGCCCCTAATAGACAACGTATTCACCAAGATACCGATACACCCAGCGGTTCTTGCTTTATGCATATTCTTATATCTTCTGGTTAGAGAAGGGTAAGGTCCATTCGAAATAACCTGGTCTGCGACATCATATGTGTGAATGGACTCAAATACCGTCGTTAGGTAAAGCAAATGAGGATCATGAGGCATAGTTATATGGAATAATGCATACTCATTTCTCAGGGTTTCTTCATCAATATCTTCTTCTTGTCTTGCACCCATTAATACTCTATTTCCAAGAGTAAAAAGCTCATCGGTATCCGAAAGAGGGGTAGTGTTATCAATGATCTCTGCAGTTTCAGTCAGTAGGCCAGTATTTACAACAGAGTAGACAACATTTGTGTATCCATTAGATTTTAATCTGGAGTATAGGTCTGGGATATGGTGTGTATAACTTGCATTAGACATCAAACAAATTTTTTGATCTTTGTCTTTGAATTCTTCAGTGAAGCAAGCCAATAGTACATCTGTATCAAGGAAAGGCTTACCAAAATCGTAAACTACTGGAAGTTTTTGAATCGCATTCAGACAAGCATCACCAAAATGTATCACAAGATCACCCTTAACATGCTCTGCAGCAACTTCGTCGACACAGCACGCACTATAAGCGGTATCAGCCAAAGCCCAAAACTTCCTACCAGCTCCATCACCATCTAGTTTATCTTGCAATGCACGTATAATAAAACTACTGTCCTTCACAAGTGTATCAGGGAATTGTAATGTAATTTGAACGTATTCTGGATTTCTCTGTAGATATGCTATCAGTTTGTCAATAGAGTAATACTGCATCAGTTTGTCCCATAGTTCGTCCTGACTACTCAAAGGGCCTAAATAGAATGATCTCTCCATAGAATCGCTGTCGAACTTCTGGAATGTAAAATCACTCTCATCCTGATGAGTGGATAATGCTGCCGGTACAAGTATATCCTCATTAGACATCCTTTCAAAATTTATTTGCTATGGAACTAGCGGCTCTTTTTAATATGCAATAAATCTAATAAAATAAATATCCTTCAGGCTGATCATATGAGTGTATACACTGTGATTTTAAATACCAATCCATAAAAACCACCAGTCAGTAGAGTAATATTTCTATATTTGTAAGCAGTATTAGGATCAAAATCTTTGCGATGAGCTTGAAATTTTTCAGTTGAAAAAATGAAAAATTTCAGCGATGAGCTGGAAACGGAGATGTTAATCATTGATGATTAAAGGAATTGAACTGTCTCGCTAGGAGGACTCTACATCACATAAAATATCTGGATTGTATATTTTGTGAAAAATAGATCAGGTCAATAAAGTAAGGTTTAGATAATGAGTGAAATTGATTTGGGTATTACTTGCGACATGCATGTGCATGTCCGTGAAGGGGATATGTGTGAGTTGGTGACTCCTTCTATCCGTGATGGCGGTGTCTCTGTCTGCTATGTGATGCCTAACTTACAACCACCTATTACCACTTTGGATAGAGTGGTTGCGTATAAGAAGAAATTGCAAGAACTTGCTCCCGAGACCACCTTCTTAATGAGTTTCTACTTGTCCCGTGATTTGACTCCGGAATTGATCCATGAAGCTGCCAGAGCCAAGGCTATTCAAGGTGTGAAATGCTATCCTGCTGGTGTAACTACAAACTCAAGTGCTGGTGTTGATCCAAACGATTTTACTGCCTTCTATCCTATATTCAAGGCTATGGAAGAAGAACATCTGGTCTTGAATCTTCATGGTGAGAAACCCTCAGTGGCCAAGGAAGATATCCATGTTCTAAATGCAGAAGAATCATTTCTACCGGCTCTGAAGAAATTACACACAGATTTCCCAAACTTGAAAATTATATTGGAACATTGCACAACTGAGGCTGCAGTAAATGCCATCGAGGAGATTAACAAGAATGTGACAAACATATCTGATGTTAAAGTGGCCGCCACCTTAACAGCTCATCACTTGTACTTAACAATAGATGACTGGGCCGGTAATCCAATTAATTTCTGTAAACCAGTGGCAAAGTTGCCTAGAGACAGAAGAGCGCTAGTTGCTGCAGCAACCTCTGGCAAGCCATACTTTTTCTTTGGCTCTGATTCAGCACCTCATCCTCTGGAGATGAAAGGACGTCACATTGGTGTCTGTGCTGGTGTATACACTCAGTCACTAGCTATCCCGTACGTTGCTCAAGTGTTCCATGAAGCCAATGCCATGGATAAATTGAAGGGTTTTGTATCCGATTTTGGCTTGGCATTCTACGATGTACCACAAAGTGAAATTAGATCGACCCAGCACGCAATCTTGTACAAACAAGAACAAACAGTTCAAGACACCATTCAAGGAAAGAACAATTTGAAGGTTGCTTTATTTAAACCAGGTGAGAAATTGGATTTTTCTGTTAAGTGGCAATAAGAGACTAAAACAATACTGCCATGGCATAGCATATATCCACATGATAGATCCAAGTGCGCAACTCCTGGACGCATGCATGATATATCTCGTTATATATATTAGTATCAATATTATTACGAAATTTGACTTTTTATATTTATCAAGTTATAACATTCAATATGTAGTTAGAGACATTTTCATATTCTAATCTTTCATTTCGACATCTTCATGTTTCAGTTTCTCTGTCAAATCTTCAGCTTCTTCTTCTTCTTCTTCCTCAGGGCCCTTCAGTATACTATCCAGCTTCTCCAAGAACTTCAAATCGTTTTCACTAAACTGATCTAGCTTCAGACTACCCGCATTCTTCTCTTGCAACCAGAAGAAGTATTTCTGATCAGAGGAAAACACTAGAGAAAACACTCTACCGTTCTTGCTACTTAACCGCACACACTTCGTTTCACCAGGAATCAAAATGAGCGAAATTGGCTCCATAGGCTTGGCTGTCTTCTCCACAGGAGACCATTCAAACGACCAAAACCCTAGCTCTATACCTTCCTCGTGTGGCGCCATCTTGATGCTCCCTTGCACTGGCAAAGGATCACACAACTTGCTGCTCTCATCAAACTCACAAATACCTGCACGTACTACTACTTCACTCATTTCAATAACCTTATTTACTTTGCTTTCACCCCAATTCTTAAGTCTATAATTGCTTTCTAAAATTTACTTCTCTCTTTATATTTTAACCTTTTCATGATCCTGAAATTTGTCCCCGGCGACCGATGAGTTTCAAAACTTATAGAAATAAAACAATAGAGAGACAATAAGTCAGAAGGAATTCTTAATCATAGCACCCAGAAAGTACCAAGTGAAATTAACTAGGATATATAGCAATGGTAGAGGTTAAGAGGCGATGGGTGCCGCTGAATGGATTGCAGTTCGGTGTCATGGTGCGGTCTTACTTGCCGTTGAAGAGACACCCAAGCTTGTTCTACCACAACCACCAGTTCATGAACGTGTATGCTGGTGCGGAAGTCTATGTATTTGAAGAAAGTGAAGATGGCAAATGGTGCAGGGCTTATTTCTGTTGTAGACCTTTTCCCGAGGAGTTTATTGCCAGCTCTTCCTCCACTAACGAGAAACTACCCGACGTGAAACCAGTGGTATGTGTGTTTCCGAAATGCTATGTTGCATTGGATCCCAATAGGTTTGTTCACATCATATCGTTCTTTAAGGCCCCAGATAGATCTGATTTTGAGAACGAACAGCTTGCGGAATGCAAGTCACCAAGTCTATATGATACCTTAAGTGAATCACAAGATCATGAAGTAGCCAAATTAGCAAATTCAAAGCCAACAAGACCACCATTTCCGTACTTTAGATACCAGAAAAGGCCCTTTGTTGATGAGATGGGGCCCGTGCTATCCCTACTGTGTTCACATATTTACTGGATGTACTCTCTTGGTGAGTTTGAGATACATACAAAGCTTGTTGGCCTTTATTATGAGTTGGATAATATAAGACTACGATTGAGATTGCAATTGACTACTGAAATTGAAAGGATAAAACTAATCAGAGCTGCTAACTCGTTACTTGCCAAGATTTCCAAGTTTATTTCTTCAAAGGGAAGAACAAATAGGTTTTTGATTCAATCGAAATCATCCAACCCTGATCCTTACGGATTTGAAGGTATTTTTGCTAGGGATATAATTACAGGTGAGTTACTATCCTACCACGACACCGAATTGAGAACATTGATGTTAAGCTCGATGTTGTATGGGCTAACAAATAATTTTCCGAACACCGAATCTAGTATATTACAATTCGAGGCTCCCAAATGCGAAGTTTATGATAGAGCAAAATCACATATCTTAATAGATTTTAAATCTATCACAAGTGACCCATCAGTTCTGAACCCAAATTTGGAAAATGCAACGGCAATCACCTATTTAATGACCCCAAATGAACGCTTAACAGATCCTATAGAATTTCAGATCCCTAATGGCAAAAGAGACACTAGTTTTGTAACACTACTTTTTGAGAGTTTATTTCATTCCGTAATAAAAAAAAACAAAATATACCTTGTTCTGATTATTACGGAGACGGTGGATATAAATACGAACACTATGAAAAGCAAAGCTGCCTTGTCTTCCTTCAAGGAACCTTTCATACCATTTAAAGAAAACGATGAATCGTTGTTACATAAACTTAAAAGAGGTATTGTTGCTGGTGTTATAGATATATCTCCTGTGTTTTCAAAACAGAAAGGTATTGCCCATGCAGATACACCACATAGATTTGTCATCAATTTGTTTGGTTCACGGTTTAAATCTGGCTTCTGTCCTTCATCTGCATCTCAAAATAGTTATGATGATCAAGAAACTTTACTGGGATGGGGTGCTCTAGTGAATAACATTTTGAGTGACTCGACTATGGGTATTGCTATCAACCCAAGAGCTTTATCCGTGCCAGTTACAGTCAAAGAAATACTTGATGAACCTTTTGCAGATAAGGTAAGAAGCTCAAATATTATTTCGGTGTTAAGCGTTCCTATGAAAGTAAATCGCAATAAAATAGAAAAGAAAGAAAGCTTGTATCTGACGCTAGGTTGTGTCTGTCTTTGTGATATTGGTCAAAAAGAAACTAACATTAAAAATATCGCGGTACAAGTAAATTCAAAGAACGACAAAGTTAAATTCTCTTACAGTGACCTAGGGGTTAAACGTAATAACTGGAATTTTATATCAGTCAGACCAGGTGAATCTATTGGCGAAACAGTAAGAATAGATGGTTTGGAGCATATGGCAGAAGATGAGTCCATTAGAGTTTTGGTATTTTTGAATGGCTTTTTAATGGCAAAATCAAATATTTGCATAAAAAAGAATGGAGTTTTCCTTGAGTACAAGAAATTCACTGGTTTTCATCTAATGTCTTCTATCGGTCAGAAACTAGTTAATTTACAACTGAAACTCAAATATAATGGTGCCAATTATAATATTCATCCTTCAATTTCAAAATTCTTAGTATTTAGAGATTACTCTGATATGTTGGCTGAATGCAAAAAGCAATCAGTCGACTGCATCATATCTGGCTTACAAGATGCTCCATTGCCACAACTAATTGTTCATTTCCATTCACTTTTGCGCAAGCTACTTCAATATTTCAAGGATGTCAAAGAACTAAATCATGATAAAGAAGGAAAAAAAAATAGGCTAACTGTGTTTGCTAATTTAGTAGGATTATTAAACTCCCTTGTTGTCGATGACGTAAATGATATATGCTTTTTTGAAGAATTTTATGAAAACTTACCTCTGCATGAACCCGAATTATCAATGACAGGTATAGAGATTGTTAATTGTATGTCCGATGTTTTTGAGCCTGGTTTCGAGTGCTGGCATAAAATTGGAAGACAAGCTTGCAAGGCTTTTGTTCATCTTTTGTTACTGTCTACTATTTCATGTCTTGATTATATGAATGAATGGAAACAAGCGGTAAAAAGTCTGTTTGTGAATATCACAAAATTCTTATCTTTAACTGAGGAGTCAATATACTATGATCAAATATTGATTCTTAGAGCTTACCCACTCTGTATTTCAGCATTACATCAATATTTTGAACCATACGAACTTCTGATTGTTACAGATCGTTTGTTTGGTAGTTGCCAGGAGAAGGATAATAAATTAAACTTTACCCAAAAATGCATATCACCAGAAGAAGAGAAATACCTGGGAGAGAAATTCTCTTCTTTATTGAGTGTCATCACACACAAATCTCTTCAAACATATCTATTTGACTGTAACGATAACTCAAATATGAAACTAGAGTTTTTCTCAAGATGTATAGAATGGGTTCAACAGCCATACTTCTATTACTCAGATAATAACGATGTGATTTCGTATACGCGGGTTGCAAATACAGTAATGATGACACTTCTAGAAAATATTACTAATGTCCAAATTCTAAGAAATTTAATTAGATTAATACCTAGATATTGTGAATACTTTATTCTCATAAGAAAGTATTGTAAAAAGGCGAACTTTTTCAGAACGAGAAGAATATTCACCAAGCTGTTTCCCACACAGACTGCGCCATTCAGTATACCAATGGACTCTATTGTAAATGATGAGGTGGTTATTGAAATCCTTCTAGAAATTGCAACAATAATATGTAAAATCACCAAAATGGCTACAACACTTTATGGGAAGAACCCTTCTTTTCTAGAAATCATTAATGAATGCAAGAATGATACTCACTTTCAGTCATCCGCTTATATTAAACATTGTTCGAAGGAAACTGTGTTACTAATAACTAAAACTCAGAAATACTTTTTAAAAGGTGATTTCTTTCCATGCAAAAAGTGGTTAGGTGTGACTGCATTATTTGCTCGTTCATGTTTAATCATGCTTACTATGTGTAAACAGTTTATGATTAAAGAATTTTCGCCATATCCAATAACAAGAGGGAATGATATGCATTTCGATGAACAATTATGGGCAGACTATTTTTCAGCATTATTTATGATAGCCAATCACAAGGTTAGTACGTTAACCAGGTTGGCAATTATACCAAGAAAGGCTGTATACTTGATATCTGGCAACTTAAAAAAGCAAGTATCTTCTGTTTTGAGTGAATGTTGGACTGGGTTAGCCAATGAAAGCTTTGACCATGATTTCCTATGTAAATATGGTACTGGCGACGTTTCATCATATCAACTACAACTACTGACAAACCACCCAAATATAGTACGTGAAATTTTCAGATTTGGTTTAAACAGACATCTACAAGCAGTCAAAACCAGTACCAACATAATATGGACAATGGTTCTTTTATTTTGGAATCACTATGAGTCTCTACAACCGGCAATCAACCTTTGTATTCCAGAATTGTTTAATGCTTACCAAAGTGGAAAATTCTACATGTATGACGATGAATTAGAAAGATTCATGATTTGCTTGTTTTACCGAATCCATATTGATGAACATGATGTTATGTATAATCCTCTAATTGACTTTTTAGAAAAGATAATGGGATTTTTCCATATTGTTAGCGAAACTTATAAAATTCCTACACAGCAAGAATTTGATGACGATAGAACGGCTCATCGAATTGAAATGTTTAGCTACTTATTAGAAGCTGATAGACCAGAATTATTTCATAAAATGGTGTATGATTTGTTCATACATTTCATACAGAAGAGGGACAATGTTCAGGCCGGATTATGTTTGGAACTGTTGGCTAATACCTACGAATGGGATCCTAACGACTTTTTGTCAGCCATAGCTTATCCTCCTTTACCAGAGCAATCGAGCTTTGAAAGGAAGGAATATTTATTCAAGGAAGCTGCTAGAAATTTTGCCAAAGGTCTAAAACTTGAAAAAGCATTATCAATTTATAAAGATCTAACGAAAGCATACGATGAAATTAATTATGATTTGAATGGTTTGGCTTTTGTCCATGACCAGATTGCTGCAATCTACACAGAATTACAGTCTGTGGATAGACTAGTTCCAACATACTTCCGTGTTGCATTGCTAGGTTTTGGTTTCCCAAATTCTTTAAGGAACCGTATGTTCATATTTGAAGGTTTACCATTTGAGCATATAACGTCAATGCATGATAGACTGTTAAAAATATATCACGGTTCTAGTATAGTCCAAACGTTAGATGAGGTGGATGAATTATTAATGCATCCACCAATGGGCAAATTCATCCATGTTTGTACAGTAGAACCGAGGTTTGCGTTATCGGAACAATACTCAACTAGTAGAAAGAGTGAATTAAATAACAAGATCAGGATGTACATTGAAAACAGAAACTTGCGGACTTTTAGCCATTTCAGGAGATTGGCTGGTTCCAAGTCTGTAACTGATCTATGGGTTGAAGAATACACATATGGTACAGTTAATACATTCCCAACACTGATGAACAGATCGGAGATAATTGAAGTATCACGAAGGAAATTATCACCACTAGAAAATGCTTTGAGGACACTACAGATGAAAATCCAGGAACTATATGGTTTGGAAAACATGTGTTATAAAGTTATCAAAGAACAAAGCGACTACATTAATGTATTGAACGAACTTTCAAGAAGTATAACTGGTACCATTTCAGCCCCAATAAATGGAGGCATCTCTCAATATAAAGTATTCCTTGAGGAGGCGAACCGTGATAAGTTTGATAAAAACGACTTGAAACTATTAATGTCTAGTTTTGATGAACTGGTGCATGCGTTGAGCAAGTGCTTAGTTTTACAAAGTGAGCTATCTGGAACAGGTAGCACCAACAAGTCGGGACACAATCTACTGGTAGAGTTATTTGAAGAGAATTTTGCGGAAGAGATCAAGAGAAACCGTATTGATATCAGCACCATGAGTGTGGACTCCATCATGAAGGACTCTAACAAGCCCGTGCATAACAAATCAGTGGTACACAAGTGGCATATCAATTCACATTGGGACAGACCTAACTTTGGGAAGTCACAGCGGGTCAAGAGCGATACAAATGATAATGGCGTGCCTTTTGGCACATCTATGTTGGGGAGATACCTGTCTAGCACTAGATCACAATCAAGAAATGCAAGTGAGAGAAACACAGCTGCATCCAGCCCTATGCCATACGCTATACCAGACTTCTAAATTTCTTGTTAGCTTATTTATTCAAGTTTTGAATTTTTGTAAATATCGTAATTAAAAGAATCATAGACTGATTTGAACAAATACTGATATATATATGCTTTATTGAACTGATGTAACAACGGAACATTGACGGACACCTCCGATGATAGGACTCTTTTATATGTTCACGTGATCTATATATACCTGTCACCTCCGAAAGCTCTGCGAAATCATAAAGCGATGAGGGCCGTCGACTTTCTTGAAGGCTGACTGCTGATTAATTTCAGAAGTATAAGTTAGTCATAGTCTGGATTTGGAGAACACTTTTTGGAATTTCCATACTGGACTGATTGAAAATAGACGGCACTGAACTTCCTAACAATATACCAGATGTTTTCTCGACTAGTACCACGCTTAGCCACCCGTGCTTTAATACCAAGTACAGTTATTGCCAGACCAATGCTCGTGACTCCCATGCTGATGAGACAATACAGTGTTAAGAGTAAAGATGAGATTTCTCAGAAATTGATTGAAGTTGTGAAGAACTTTGTCAAGGGTGAGTCATCACAGAATGTTACTGCTGATTCAAAGTTTCACAAAGACCTAGGTCTTGACTCACTGGACACCGTTGAGTTGATTGTGTCAATTGAGGAAGAGTTTGATACTGAAATCCCAGATGATGTTGCAGACAGATTGACTAGTATCCGTGAAACCATTGATTATTTAGCATCTCAAAAGAATTAATTGTAAATATAGCTTCACTTACTGTCTGATTACGGCTTGGGGAATCAAGTCTTAATTTACATACAAGGATGCATAATTTACCCGCAATGATAATTTTTGGACACCGTGTAAATACCAGTTGTATATATTTAATATTATAAGCATTTACAATACAATTTCTTCATCATTATATTGTCATTTCTAGTGATCTGCCTCAGTGTTCAAATTTCTTTGATATGGTAATCGAGTGCATATAACGGTGATAGGTCGTCTATTTCTCCTGGCCATATTGTCTCTGGCAGGAATGCACCGTTCTCACTCAGGAAATGCGTTCGCAGCTTTTGGTCTTCATCATGAAGTGTTTTTAATTCGTTTTCACAGTTTTTTATAATTCCTAACATCTTTTGACTCAAAGCTCGCCTTCTTTGAACTTCCTGTAGTAATTTATTGTAACTATTCTCGAATTCGTCGTAAAACTTATACAACTCTTTCGTAAGTTGAATGTCCTGCATACAACCTTCCTTAAACTTCTCAATTGAAGTGGCAATGCCTTTGAAAATGGCCAAATACTCGCTATACTTGGTGCAGTTGGCTATTAGCTCATTGATCTTTCCATGCAAAATTGTCTTTTGCTTGGTCTTGATATCTAATATCTCATATACTTTGTCTATTTGATGATTGGTACTATCAATTGTATTGAGTAGGTGTTTCATTATGTCATCCAATTGACTATCATCTGCCGATACAATTTTAAGTAGCTCATCATATTCATTCGAATCGTTGAACAGGCCTTTCTCTAGTGCTTGACACTTATCAAAGTGATCGGTTAAAGAATTGATGTAATCCACTAATTCCAATTCTATACTATCAAGATCTCGAGGCTTTACTTCAGTAAGTTCTGCCGTCTCGGTCAATTCATCACCAAACTGAGAGTCAAAGATAGTTTTTATCTCAGTCAGTCTTTTATTAATCAACTTTTGTCGTACTCGTTTGCACATAGTGTCATATTGTGTTTGTATATTCTCTATTTGTGGTCTTATTATAGGTACTTCGTCTAGCCTCTTTTTCAATACTAACGCTTGCTCCTGTGATATATAATGACTTAAATGTTTATTATCCGCCACAAGAATATTTTCAACCTGGTCTAGCCTTTCTAATCTAAGCTGTATCTTATCATACCATAACTTCATCTCATTGACCAAATCAACTAAAACCACTTGACTCCATTCAGTCTCGATCAAAGCCCGGCCTATACCTTGTCTCAAGGCACACTGTTCCAAAAAGCCTAACTGGTGCTCCAAACAGCTAACCAAAAACCTCAATGTGTGTCTATTCTTCTCCCATTGTGACAGCCGGTCCTTTACTTCAGCTATCCGGGACTCCACTTCTCGACATAACACCTGAGCCTTTAAAAGTGTGCTTCTCGCCCGCTCAGCCAACGACTCCGGCATTGTATATGTGCTTGTTACGCCCACGTATTATTTTCAGAAGTCAAACTGATACCCTGGTTCATTCCTTTATGCTGTTGCTTATCCTGCCCATTGTTCCCTCTTTTTGATAATCGCGATGAGCTTTAAATTTTAGAAATCTTGCAAACAGTGGTTGAACAATAGAAATATTGTAAAATGTGGTGTGTAGGTCCTTGAGATTGAGATTGATAGCTGAACAGTCTGCATAAGAAAGAAGGCTTTGGTGTGTTTCAACGCAGGTATGGGCTTAGAAGAGCAGTATGGGTTTGGTGCCCGGCTGTTAAAAAAGCTTGGCTATGTGGAAGGACAAGGTTTAGGCAGCGATGGGCGTGGACGAGCCTCTCCAATCGAGGTTAACGCTGAGCAGCATGGGACACATGCAGGGCTTGGTATGTTATCCAAGAGAGCAACTGCTGAGGATATTGATATGCATATCACTTCGTCTAGCGATGAGGGCCGCGAGGTGAATGAGAATGCAAGAGCTAGACCGTTGCAGTTCAAGAAAACCGATGCTACAAAACCATCTAGTGACATCATATATCAGATAGAGGCGTTAGGTCTTCCAGTAGACGCCAATGTACTGGCTAGACATCCTAACGCATCGACAATTGTTGAAGAATTGGTTACTAAACAAAGAACTTTGGATGCTATAGTTAGGAAAGTTGAAGTGGTGAAGCAAGAACTAGATGATGTAGAAACCCAATTGAATACTTTGAGAAATCTGCAACATTCCGAAATGTCTTTGTTGGATAAGATTTCTGAGGTTTTAAAGCTTAATAATGAAACCATAATTGATGAACTGGCAGCTAAAATCTTGAAGGATGAATTACAGAAATACAATAACCTTTCCTTAAAAGATGATCGGATAACAAATACCCTAGAACCAGTTGTAGAATTATTGCAGTACGCTTTAGAGAGTGATCCCGGCGCTCTCAATAAGAACCAAACTCAATTATACCAATGGCTTTGTCCCCGAATTGAAGCGGCTATTACAGAAATTGATTTCAAAAACTCAGATTCAGTTGACAGTATCATTTATATCCTTGTGGAATACGAACTGATATTAAAATATATTATGATGTATGATAAGTTGATAGACAAGTTTTTAATGCCGAGACTCCTGGGCCTAATCAAAGAGTGGGCTCCCGAAAGAAATGGTATCGATCATCATTTCTACGATTTTTATATTCTATTGAATCAGGAACAAAGGAAAAAGTTGCAAGACGCTCTCAAAGTTATCTTTAGTGACTATTGTTCAGGGTGGTACCACAAAGATGCATTTCATTTTGATTGCCATTATTTCAAATTGATTTTCGGTGAAACTGTATTTTACAGTATAACAGAAAAAAAATTACTCCCAATCATGGTGAAGCAGCTATATGAAGAACATTTTACTTTAGTAGATGACTTGGAAGATTGGTCTGATATAAATCATGACAGAGAAGGGCCTGCATACTGCTTTAAGAAAGTCAAGGAATTTGCCAATTTTTTAACCAACACTCAAATTACTACCATAATGAAGGGGATGTTCAATGATATAAGAAAGTTAGTGTTCCAATGGTATCTGTTCAGTGAACCAAATGATTGGCAAAATTGCCAAAATCTGATACATGATTTTTTTAACATTGTCTACGCAGAAGAGTCTAAAATCTCAGATTTTGAGATAACTGAGTTAAGAGAAATTTTAAGAATGGGTACTGAAGTAGGGAAATTATCTACTGTCTGTTATGATAGGGAGTTTGATATCTTAAAGGAATTGCATTTGAAAAAAAGGGAATTTATAGATCTCGAACGAGATGAAAATGACCATCCCAACGTAATACAGATTGATGATTCTGATGAGGATATGAGGGATTCTGATGGATATACTGTACAAGACATTCCTATCAGAAGGGTAGATGCTACTTTCAAAGAAATTCTTCAGCGTTACTGTGAAGAGAATGGTTATGAAATGATAAGGGACACTACAAATTACACGCAACTTCCATATGGTATCAATGGCACTTCTTTGGTACCAATTATTACTATTCGTAAAGGTACCAAAGCCAGGAAAGTTGCCATTAAGGATGACATTTTATGGATTGAAGGACTATCCGGATATAGACCAGAATTTTTATATAATTTAACCTTATAGACCTACGCAACATTATTGAATTATAACTCTGAGAAAAAAAAAAAAAAGAAAAATAGTTAATATCATCAAGCTAAGTCATAATCATAACCAAATAGGATGTCAGAAAGAGTATATATATTCCTATTAGTTCATGGAACTACAACGGTAGCTTAGATCATATTATAGTTCATTCGATTTTGGAAAACATTTATTGCAAGAGCAATAAAAAATAATCGACCCCGGTGAGGATTGAACTCACGATCTTGCGATTAACAGTCGCACGCCTTAACCAGCTTGGCCACGGAGTCTTATTAAATTCGTGATAACCGAAAATGTTGTCAATCACCAAATTATAGAAAAATATAATTTGTAAAAATTATATATATATATAAATACATAGCTATAATAACATATAAAACCTTCTAGTGATTTATACTTTATATACATGGAACTATTACTAAATTGTTGCTGTGGTTATTTAGTTTGCTGATGTCTTCAATGATACCAAACCCAAATCTTTAATAGTCTATGGTTGATCTCATCGGAGATCAATGTCCTTATACGATGTTTTCTCTCGACCACCACAAAAGCCCTCAGTGAAATGGATGATCAAACCACAGTATCAATCGGTAAACTGGAATAGCCATTCGAAACCTGGGTCAATTACCCATGTTCTAGTGACTTGAGTTTCTTGATTGTTAGAATACTGAGTAACTGTTTTGTACAATAAAGAGAAAACACAGGAGGTTTGGAAGGAAAGTATTCAATTGTAACGAATCCACCAATAGGTTTAGAATCAACAACAATAAACTTCATGTTCTAGGGACGCTCGATTGATTTGAGACATTGCAAACATGTATAGATACAATACACCCAACACTCCTGAGAGGTCGAAGGGTGGAAATACCCGGAGTCGAGACTCCCCTGGTGTGCAAGGAGATGTGATATTACCGAAGCTACCACCGCTCAATACACGCAGCTCGTTTCTTGAGTCTGACATGATGCAGAGTGATGTGTCCATTGGATGGACTCCCTTGACAGAGAACACGATATCGACTAGTGGACAATTTGCAGATGAACATATTGGTTATGGGAATTCTCCACAGTTGAGAAGTCCGAAATCACCCGCTAATCGTCGTAATAGCTTGATTTATGAAAATTTCAATGGCGATTCTCCCATGTCAGTTAAATCGGTGGGAAATGGTAAGTCACGTAGGCGACCACCTCCGCCATCTTTACAGCATTCAATTTCACAATTAGACTCGTATCAGAGCTCCCCGGGTTCTCCCGCAACTCCTTTTATCACAAAGAGAAGAACTAATGATTTTATTACACCTACTAAAACAAAGCCATATAAATCACCTTTTGTTGGGGAACAAGATATTGAAGACTCAATGTTACAGCAGTCTACTCATTTTGCCGGTAAGGTGTATAAATCGCCTTTCGTTGGTGATCTGGATTCTGACATTATAATTTCTCCATCAAACGCAAATGAAACTACAAAGACAAGAAAGGAATCTAGTAGAGTACAATCAAAAACAATTAGTAATACAGAATTGAACTTCTACTCTAAGCCTCAAATTCCATTGACATCTTCTAGAAATATAACTGGAATTAGCAGGTTTTCAGATCAAGTTGAGAGCTTTTATTCGGATTCAAATTATACTTTTAACAATTCTAGTGCTAGAAATAGTAGCTTCAACTCTTTCTTGGGAGCAAAACCTTTACAATATGCCCCAAGTGTGACTGCTCCCACACAAGCTTTTTCGATTGATCTAATAGATGAGCATAAACTATACCAATGTTATAGTATATACAGACTTTCAGATATTTACGAGTGGCTTTTGAAAGTATACTTTGAATGGTTTAATGAATATATTTTTGAGAAGCTGGATCTTTTCCAAATTGTACAGTTGTTGTTAGAATTTCAATCTCCAAAGACGTATGAACAAGAAGTTATTGACTCAAATGTTGATAGAATAATGTCCTCTCTTATTAATCAAGGAGCAATAAAGTTTGAGGTAGACAATGAACAAGAAATAGCCGTAATTGTAGCTGGTCTCACAATTTCTAGTATATTTACTGATCTTTTACCATGTTATTCATTTATTGATTCAACATTCAATGAGTTTGATCATTCCACTATTTGTTACTCTACCACCTGTTGTAATAGATTATCCAATGAATCAAGACAAGAAATAAAGGTTTCAGAAATAATCAATAAGTCTGTGGGGTTATGGACGGACTATTGGCAACTATCCGCTGAAGAACTGTCAGAAATAAATCCAAAAGAGATTCAAAGACAAAGTTTTATATTTGATCTAATTATCTTGGAAGAGAGATCTTTGAGTATGGCCAATGCTGCTGTCGAAATATATGGAAAGCGCTTTGACCCAGATCTCCTGCCAGATGAAACTAATTTTGCATCTCTTGCTTTTGATATATTTTTGCCAATTATCGAAATTCATAAGGAATTTATTCTAAAGCCACTATTTTGGAAAATTAAAACTCGGGGTAAATTTATTGATGGGATTGGAAAAATATATTTGAAATGGTGTCATGAGGTTCGAGATGCTTATTTAAATTACGCAAATGCAATGGCTACTGTACATGAGGTAATATCATGGGAAAAGACACATCATACAAAATTTGCAGAATGGCTCTTAGAGACCGATAATCTGCCTGAAATAACAAGATCGAAAATGTACCATGATGTTATCTTCTTTGGGGGCTATTTTAAATCCCTTCAAAATATGCCAGTAACTCTCAGCTCAATATTAAAAAATACCAGCCCATCAAGCGAAGATTATGGAGCATTGCAATTGGTTATCAAAGAAGTAACACAACTAAGTGCAGATGTAGATAAAGTCCATGGTATGGCAATTGATAGGAGAAAACTGATTCGTTTTTCCAAACAACTTGTTTATAGTAGCGGCAACAAAGGTAGCACCACGGGTTATATAAATATTGGAAACCCTGAGAAGATGGTTAAAGGGGATAAATTATCATTAGGTTTAGCTGATCCAAAAAGAGTAATGATTAACTGTGATACAGTACTAAAAAAAAGTGATCACTGGTTAGAACCTTATCCTGTATTCCTGGCCCTACTAGATAATTTTTTATTAATTACAGAGTTAGTTTCAAAAGGCTTGGAGAAGAAATACAAATTGATTGACAGACCAATTCCTATAGAGTATCTAAATCTGGAAATAAAAAGGGCACCAGAAGAATTTAATAAGGATTTACCATTAGGAGATTCGAGACCAACATCACAAATAGTCTCGGATTTGGACAACAAAAGTAGTTTAAACAGCCGCAGCTCGGTAGTTGGTGATTTGAATTACGGGCACACAGGAATTTCAAATAATCTACCAAGTTCAACTGAGTTTGCATTCAAAGTGCGTAATACAGCCACTAATGATTCTTACACATTTTATGTTCCTAATAGCATCGAATGGAATAATTGGATGAATGCCTTCAAGTGCTGTTTCAAGAATAGGAATAATGATGATAATAGACATCCGATAAACTTGAGCATCATAACAGCAGAATTTTCATATCAGGATAGAAATGCTCCAGTCAACTTACCTGTGGCTCCAGAAGGTTCAGAAATTGATAGTGCATTAAAGACTTACAAGCGTTATCTTAAAGACGAATTTGAGAATATAGCAACGACGGTTTTTTGTTCTACAGAATTTGATAATGAAGATACTAAATTTAATCTCATTGCAACCAATAGTGGTGTATTTTTGAGAAGGAAAAACGATTATACTACCAAATTTGTGAAAGTATTACAAAATATATCTGTTAGCAGACTTCAGGCTGTACCTAAATTAGGTTTACTGTTTGTTCTTGATGGTCAAAAATTGTGTTATTTCAGCATTAGCAGTATCCTAGCAGTCTACTATAATCCTGAACGTTTCCTCAATGCCAATTTTGTTGTTGGAATAGTCCTCAAAGACAAGGTTTCATTTTTCAAGTTTGCAGATGATTTTGGGAACTCTAAGCAATTATTTTATGAACGGAAGGGTAAAATTGTTGTTTCGACACCTGAGTTTCATTCAATCATGAATAATTTCAATTGTTTCAAGATTTACAAGAAATATTATCTACCATCTTCAAGTAAGATGCTTGCATCACATAGCATAAGTGATATCGTGATATTCAAGAAGAGCTTTATGGTGTTCACAAAGAAGAATGTCTTTTTATTCAATGATGCCTTTAATGAATTAGGAGCTTCATTACCAGGATTTTATAATGATAAAGAGATGATAGCATATATCAAACATCCACATCTAAATTCAGGTAGGTTTTCATCATCCTCTAGTAAATTAGACGCAAACCTAAGTATGGTCACAGATGTAAAGAAGGACATCGCTTCAGGTAAAACTAAACCAATAACTGCTTTCCGACTACAAAGTGGTGATGGATTTCTCATGGTATATGATGAAGCAATTGTTAAGATCAATAGCTCTGGTATGATCCCCAACTGGAAGAACGATATATTGATCCTCGATTTTTACTGTACAGGTGCTTCATATCATAATGGTTATCTGTTCTTAATTGGTGAGAATTTAATATTAGTTTATCAATTGTCATATGAAGGTACTCCAATTTCAGAGCTGACTCCGGTTCAAATAATTAATAGTAAAAAGATAGAACTATTAAACTCGGGTGGAATGGATTACCCAACTGTCACATCGAGTCATCCAAAGATTCCAAACAGACAACTCCTATTTAGCTGCATACCTGCAAATTATCAGGTAAAATAGTAACAATTTATAGATTTAATATGTTATGTTCTTTTTGCAATATAAAGTTATTTTTGATATAGCTGATCTTAGTAGCATTCCATTGTTATCACTATTTTGTTCCAACACAGTGAGCTCATTGACGTCAGCTCTATTTTAAGCAATTTTCGATGAGTAGGTTAAAATGTATTGAGCAAGGATGTAGGAACAAGTCATCAAGATAACAAAGAATTTATCAATGGGTTTCGATATAGATTTTATATTATCTTATGTCGTATTTCCATTGTTGAGGTTTCCTGTTCCCATTGCCTTTGCATGCTCTAAGTATGTTTGATATTTACATCACAACAGCAGTATAGATTATTGATTACTAACATGGGAACATTATTACTAGAGATTACAGGCTGTATGCGATTGTAGTGTTCAGTATTTGGACACTTATCATCAACGGATTTTATTGGCTAGAGTTATGGTTCAGAAGTAGAGGTGAGCAAACCTGGAAGTCACTTAATGAACTTCATGATCCAATTGTGCTAATCACTGGTGGCTCTAATGGTCTGGGTCGGTGTATTATACATAAACTCTTGAGGAGCTATAATAATATCAAAGTAATTAATCTCGATTTAGATGTGCAATATTGGTCTGAAGAAGCCCGTGTCATTAACATTGAATGTGATTTAGTGAATGCTGACGGTCTTGAACTAGCATTGAAGAAGATCAAGTTGGAGTATGAGGATAAGATCAACTTATTAATATGTAACGCAGGTGTGAGATCCAGGTTCAATTGGTTTGAAGATACCCCAATTGATGAAATGCAAAGAATAATGAATATCAATACTTGGTCTACTGCTCGAATTCTACAGGCAATCATTCCTCGTGATAATCAGAGGCAGTTGTACATAGTAACGATTTCGAGTGTCTTGGGGATCCTTGCACCATCCAAGGTAGCTAGTTATGCAGCGAGCAAAGCAGCAATTACAGCGTTGCATAATTCTATGACCAATGACTTTTTGGTGCGAGGTATTGGCAATATTAGAACGCTGTTGGTGCTTCCGGGTCAAATTGACACCCAAATGTTCGATGGTTTCCCACCACCAAGGAAATTCTGGGCACCAATAGTATGTCCAGCTGCGTTGGCAGAAGCTATAATAGACCACTGCGAAAATGGTTTAAGAGGAACCTTGAGAACACCTCTGTACTCATATTTCCCAGAATTTCTGATGGGAATACCTTATTTACTCCAGCGCTTCGCAAGAAACTTCTCCAAGATGGACAACTGCTTACCTATAGAGACTATTAGCAGCAAAAGGTCACTCGCATCCGTAGATTTATAGACTATTTGATAGAGACACTACATATAAGCATTCCGAATAATATGTAATATAAGTAACTTCTCAGCACAACGTACGGAGTTACACTCTTTTAAAGGTTCAAAAGCCTAAGAGGTAGGCCAACGTTAAGAATAATGAGATTTAAACACTGTTACTGATACCTAAGTAGTCAGCGCTTATTTCATCAAAGCAATACAGCACCTCAATTTGCCATTAATTGGCAGAACTCTACCTCTACTTAAAAGAGTTATCTTTTCAGGCATTTCTATTGCAAGCAGGGGTCAAACGCCATCGCCCTAAATTCCACGTGTGCAAATCTACCAACAATACTAAGTGCAACACACAAATCACTGCTGTTACATTTTAGTGTCTGTTGCATATTATTGCTGCTGTATGATCTTTTTCATCCTGTGTTTGAGGAAAGAGTCTGTTAATCGAAGAAGGAAAAGTGTGAGCTAGCTGCCGTATATTTAAAATTGCTAAAGCTTGGTATTGATCTGTTGAGATAAAATGAGTTCATCTACAAACTCTAATTCTTCCACTAGGAAGTCACGGAATCAAGGAAATGGTAAAACCGACACTGGACGCCCTCGTAGAAGACAAAACAATGGTGGTTCGAAGTTCACAAAGTATGACCTCGACAAACAGGAAAGGTTTGATGCGTCTATAGAGCAAGAACTGAACCAAGGCAATTTTAAGATGAGAGGGCGGAAAACAAAAGTCTCAATTGATCATCTACTTGACTTTCAACTTCCGGAAGTGCAGCGGGAGAACCATACGCATCGGAAAGTAAATAAACGGAGAATTGACAGCCATACTTATCTCCATGGAGAATCCTTCATTAATGTAAACTATAGACTCTTAGTATCGGATCGTTACGATTATAAAGATCAAGAAAATGATCCCAATAAATTTGTTGATAAGGAGAAAATTGTGAGGGTCATCGTTCCGCGTGGACAAAACTGTCCTATTTGTCTTAATGAAATACCTGTGGCTCCTAGGATGGTTACATGTGGTCACATATTTTGTATGAGCTGCTTAGAGAATTTTTTTGAGATTGAAGAAGTAGTTAAGAACCCAGAAACTGGAATTAAACAGAAGAAAAAATTCAAGGAGTGCCCACTTTGTGGTAGCATTGTTAAGCCAAATAATGTGAAGGAGGTCCTATTTGAAGAAGACTACAGTTTTAATAAACAAGCATTCCAAGAAGGGTCTGATCACCGACCTGAGCCTGGACACGAGGCATCTCTGGTTTTAATGTGTAAACCACATGGATCAATACTGGCATTGCCAATATCTTTAGATATTGATCCAAAGAAAGTTGGTGACATTCCTCCTGCAAACATTGAAGAGATTTCGGAATACTCCCACATTATGAAATGTGGAGATGATTATGCATTAAAGTACTATCAACTTGATATGGATGCGATTGAGAATCAGTACGAGATAGACAAAGCATTGTATAGTGACAGTGGTAAGTATGTGAAAGTTGCACTTGATAAGATACGTCAAAATATCTCCACGATATTGTCTAAGGATGATTTTAATTCATCAATAAATCATATAACCGAAGACTTTATGAACAAACTGCATTTTGATGGTAATCAAAGTTATGATGACACATCAGCATATTTCTTTTATCAGACAAATTTTCAATCTCCAATAAAATACTATTTAAGTCCACTGGACATCAAGATCTTATTAACTATTTTTGGTCATTACAGTAAATTTCCTGAGCTACTAGAGGTGAAAATAGAGAATATCCATTATGGTAATATCGTAACAGAGGCATTGATAAAAAGATACAAGTACCTAGGCCATTTGCCATATGGTACGGAGATTGCACTTCTGGATTTAGATTGGAGGTCTGTGCCCTTTATTGAGAAAGATGTCTACAATAGATTTGCATCTGAGCTGAAGCAACGCAGAAGGAAGCTAATTATTAGAAAGCAACGGGAAGACCAAGAGAAAAAGAAGTACGAGGAACGGTTGGAGCAGGAACAAAGGGAGTTTTATCAACGTGAAAATAGCAATTTCACTGGATGGGAACCACAGATCAATAAGAAAGATATTCAATTGACTTCACTTCCAGCACCTGTTAAGCCGCCACAGAATACCGAAGCAAAACTGAGTAAATATAATGAAAAGACAATATGGGGAACATCGATAGAGATCACAGAGGATGAGAAAACCACAAAGGAAAATAAAGAGTTTGAAGACATGCTGTTGCAGAAAATGAGACAAGAGAAATCCAACAAGAAAAAGAAAGGCAAGATTATGCTGTTCAGTAACACTCAGCAGCATCTGTAATGTAAATAATTGGTGCTTAATAACCGTAAACATAACAGAGAAGCTATTTAGCTACTATATAACGTTCAGGGACATGTTAATGGACAATAAATTGCATATTTAACAGTCTATATCAGATATTCTACTCATGACATACTCAAAATTGGCAATATTATCGTAATATACGGCACATAGCTAGTCTTGAATCGAAGTTGCAGAAATATCGCAGATCAGCCAACTTGCGGATCATAATAGGTATAGTTGCTGGTTATTTTCTTAAGAGGATAACTTCCCAGAGCTCTCCAATTGGGTAACCACATAAGCTTGGAAGTAGTTATAGTTAGGACTGGGGGTATAAATCGAGGAAAAAATGAGTGGAAAGTTTGTTCGTGCGTCCAAGTATAGGCATGTCTTCGGTCAGGCAGCCAAGAAGGAGTTGCAATATGAAAATGTTCGGGTTACAAACAACGCTTGGGACTCTAACTTGATAAAGAGTAATGGTAAGTATCTCTCAGTTAATTGGAACTCCTCTGGTGGTGGTGCATTTGCCATTGTACCAGTTAGTGAGCCAGGCAAGCTTCCAGATCAAGTGCCACTGTTTAGGGGTCATACCGCGCAAGTCCTAGATACCGACTTTGATCCATTTGATGACAACAGGGTTGCCTCTTCTTCTGACGATGGTAAGATTGGTATCTGGGATATCCCACAGGACTATTCAATTTTGAAATCTGGTGATAATGAAGAAATAAAGGACATTGAACCAACTAAATTTTTGACCGGCCACAGCAGGAAAGTTGGTCATATTTTGTATCACCCAACTGCTAAGGATGTGCTTGCATCCTCTTCATTGGATTATACTGTCAGAATCTGGAATGTAGAGACTGGTGAGGACATTTACAAGTTGAAGCATCCGGATATGGTTACTTCAATGTCCTTCTCCTATGATGGTACACATCTAGCCACTGTTGCCCGTGATAAAAAGTTGAGAGTTTGGAATGTTAGAGAAGAGAAGGTCGTTAGCGAAGGTGCTGCTCATGCTGGTGCTAAAAACCAAAGAGTTGTCTGGTTAGGTAATTCTGAAAGATTAGCCACAACTGGTTTTTCCAAGCTAAGTGATCGTCAAATCGGTATTTGGGATGCTTTTAACTTAGAAAAGGGTGACTTGGGTGGATTCTATACAGTTGATCAATCTTCTGGTATTTTGATGCCTTTCTATGATGACGGAAACAAGATACTGTACCTAGCTGGTAAAGGTGACGGTAATATTCGTTATTATGAATTTCAAAATGATGAGTTATTTGAGTTATCTGAATTTCAATCCATTGAAGCACAAAGAGGATTTGCTGTCACTCCAAAGCGTTTAGTTAACATTAGGGAAAATGAAGTGATGAAATGCTATAAGACTGTAGGTGATCAACGTATAGAACCAGTATCTTTCTATGTGCCAAGAAGATCGGAAGAATTTCAAGAAGATATTTATCCAGATGCACCTTCTAATAAGCCTGCTCTATCTGCTGATGAGTGGTTTTCTGGTAAAACCACCGAAGGCCCAATATTGGTTAGTATGAAATCTCTTTATGACGGTGCTGAGCCTGAACTACATCAATCTCACAAGGCAGAGGCAACAGTTAAAGTGGTGCCAGAACCTGCAATTAAGATTGAGAAGAAAAAACCAGCCGAGAAACCAGTTGAAAAGGAGCCTACACCTGAGCCAGAGAAACCTAAAACAGTAGGTAATGCTAATGAAGTATTGAAATCTGATAACTCCATCGATAAGTTGTTACAAAAGTCTTCAGATTTGGACATGACAAATAATGTGGAAGATCCATCTAAGGATACATCTGGTTGGGACGAAGAAGATGATAAACCAATTTCAGTTAACGTTGACTCTACTGCGTCAAGTACCGTTGACAAAGTCGATGTAAACATTCAAAAAGAACAAGAACCAAAGAAGAGCGAAGAATCATCAAAAGTCCCAACACCTGTAAAGTCATCGACTCCCGAACCAGTTAAAACTGAGATGCCAGTTTCTAAGATCACACCTACCAAGGAAAATAAAACTATGGAACCTGTCAGAGAGTCTACACCTGTTACTGAAAAGGCCTCTACTGAGAAAGAATCTGTATCTACACCTAGGTCCACAAGCAGTAAGGATGAAGCAGCAACACCAGGAAAATCAGCTAAGTCTCTTGGATTGAAGCAGTCTGTAGAGAAGCTCTCAGAATTAGTTTTGAAATTGCAACAAACCGTTGATGATTTGAGAGAATCCAATTTACAAAAGGATGATCGCTTGAAGGCTCTTGAAGAAAAGATCGACTCACTACTAAAGAAATAGAAGAAATGATGTATCATCATACATGTTAATGCTTTATCATCAAGATGGTAGCAAAATAGTTATTATTCCAGTTGACTTTGGTATTTAAACTTGTGATATATCTGTATAATATTGGACTTTCATTTGATATGAATGACAATCCCATCTAACATAATGTAATTAATAATCATCATATTTTATTTGTTGAACTCAGTTCATGAGCAAATACTGGTATTTTGTTCATTTAGTGTTATTAGTATATTTACAAGATATTTGCCTTATTTACAGTTATATATTTATCTACATTGTGCAAGAAATTATTGAAATCCTGAGCTTCAACGCCTTTCAATGTCGAGTCAACGATAAATCCCTTTTCAACAGCAATAGAATGCTCTTTGCCAGTTTTTGAGTCTCTAATGTGTACTTTAAACTTTGGGCCACTGTGGTACTTCCAATCATTCGATTGAAGCTTTTGCATGGTCTCTTTTATATCGTCATTATTTTCCATAACTGATTCATTACAAACATAACTATTATTGTTCAAATGAAACATTTTGTTGAATTGGGATGTGCATAGATCTATGAAAGTATCAGGAGATGGGAGAGGTAAATTTTCAATCGGTGATCTAACACTTACAACACTATTTGTTTCCCAGTTTATTCCCTCAATGATATCAGGTTTCAAAAGTCCTTTGAAATCGGATAGGTTTGATTTAATTAGCATGGTACCATGATGATATGCCTTACCAAGAGCAACCTTATAAGCACTTCCACTGATCTTGAAACCGTTACTCAAGATATCACCCCGTTGGTTTAAGCTAACTGGTAGTGCATGGTTGTACTGTTTCAACCAAGATACTATTCTGCCATTAAAGTACTTTGTATCAAATTCATCTCGAGAGCAAATGTAAGAGTAGTTCACATTACCTAAATCGTGCAGTACTGCACCACCACCAGAGAGTCTTCTCAAAACTTCATAACCTTTTTCCTTTAGCTTCTGTAGATGCAACTCTTCCCATATGTTCTGATTTTTGCCGATTACTGCACATTTGTTGTTGATATAGAACACCAGTCTGTGGCTATCGAAGCTTTTGCTATTCTTGTCTATCGGAGTGTTACGAAATAGGTAATCCTCTAATGCTAAGTTGAAGTATGGGTTATGTGATATACTTCGAAGTACAAAAGGACCTTCTCCCTTTATTAGCTTATTCAGTTCAGTACTAGTGTTGATTTTAATGTGTCTCGGGTTATTCATACCAACATTGTACAAAGAATCTATTTCCTCATTCAGCAAATCTACTTCAGAAACTTCATCTGTCGCATCATTTGACATATATGGAACTGTCTCACCGCTGAACATCTCTTCATACATTGTATTCAGCTCCTTATATTTGGGATCACTCTCATCCAAATCAAACGGGGTGTTCGTAGCCATATATCTGACCATGGAGGTCCTCCTAGCCGGTAGAGCCGGCAGCAGTCGAGTACCTAACTTCAACATCTCTCCTTAGTCAATCTTCTGAGTTGGTCAGGGCACTTTATCTTTCTATCATCAATATTTAATTATATATAGGACTCGTAATACTGATAAGACAGTTGCAAGCTCATCGCAAATCCGGGACCTTATTTTTGACAGAAAAAATCGAAGCAAATTTTGGTATTCAAAAGGTTCATTTGACAGACAGTTTTGGGAATCTAACATATATTATTTGACCTGATCTATCAATTGCTATTAACACTTTCAACTTTAGTACCGTTGATGCTAGAAAGATGAACGTTGAAGCGTCTCTTCGGGAGCTTGGTGAGCTATTTGACACTGCAGGCAGTATAGCGCAGAGTAATATTCATTTGGTTAGCATACCCGATAAGGATCGTGATTTCCTTGTGTGGAGGGCAAATATGTTGAGGTTTCAATGCCAATATTTGACACAGCGTCGAGACTTTGACATCAATGAGCTTGACAACGGTGATAGCCACTCTTCAGGTAGGAAAAGACTGAAGACAGATAGTTCTGCGAGGCTATATACTGCAATAAGCGAATTCTGGAAATTTATTAGTAGTCGTATTGAGACGCTGGCGGATCAATATGCGTTGATGGTAGTAGATCATTATAACCTGAATCAAGATTTGGACTGGTATGCCGAACAGCATAATGGAGTATTTAGATATTTCAACGTGAGTATGGAGATGTTGTTAGATACATTTGAGAGGTTTATTTCTCTATTAGCACCCATAACTGAGTACAGTTTCCTGAACTATACCAAGATCATGCGTGATTTATGTTGTTTTCATAGTGCTTTTGATTTTGCTTTTGTATCTCTCATAAAGAAGTTGAAATTATACATGGGTAGTAACTTTAAACTGATTCTCAAGGACTCCTTTGAAGTGCTGAAGGACAAAAACTATCAGCAAGAAGGTAAAGTACAATACTCCCTGATCTCATTGTTCCATTATTACAAGATTGAAGTAGATGAGAATGTTACTGTCAGTGAATTTGTGAATGAATTAATAAACCATGATATTAGTGAACTAACCTCAAGAGACATTAGTGATGATTACTTTGAAAGGATAAGCAGTGGCGCCACAGCAGAAATGCTTCTAATCAAATGTTGTGGATTCCCTGAGCAAACCGAAAGTAGGTATGTTTCCTTAGTACTAGACAAGCAGGTATTCTTCAAAATACTGGCATGCCAACTCGATAAACTTGACAAGATCTTAAAGTCTGGCAATTGTAATATAAAACTGAGAAAGAATGATGTTCAATATAGTCTGTGTGCCTATTATACACGGCATGGGAAGAAAGATGATTACTATAGATTGGTATCAGTATTTTTCAATGACCGATTCAAAAATTGCCCTCTAGAGAGAAATATAAGTGAGGTTATATTCATTGAGTGCACAAAATTGATGTTACTTTTTTACTTTGATAACCAGATTCTACAGATATTGATGTCTTCTCTATGTGAGAAATTTGGAGGTGTATTGAAGATGTATGAAAATTACGAGAAGTTACTGGAATACAAGATCAGAAAGTACAATCGAAGTCATGAACTTTGGAACAAGAATAACAGCGATATCGAAAAGCCGTACAGACTCTCCGATGATATAAAAAAACACCAATACTATGAAAGGTTCCTAATCATGCTTCCCTCTAGGCTAAAATTTGACTCTTCGTTTCTGCGGCTACATCAACAAAAGTTATTTAGAAGAGCAGTTTTACAAGGACCCAGCATTTATGAGAGTATAAGTGATTTCAGTTATCTGGAGATGAATATTTTATTCTCCCTGATTTCAGAGTACGAGACCTCTGATGAATTCCACTACTTATATGATCTATACACGTCATTGCGGAAAAGCTACGTATTTTATCAACAATATTCGAAAGACCATGGAGACCAAGTGGTACCGCTTGTCATAGATAAGAAAAGTGTACCTACAGCATTTCAAAAAGAAGAAAATGAAAATGTTATCCTACCCGAAATCTTACAGAGGCAGTGGGGTAAGTTAGTGGAGTACTATAACAGCACATTGAAGACATCGGCTAGTCGGACCTTGGTACCTGCATACGCTTTACAACATTGTGATGTTGAAACTGAATTTTTAGTTGAAGGTACTAGGGATAAGTATGTGACATTTAATATCTCGGTGTATCAAACTTGTGTTCTGAACTTGTTTAATGACCACGATAAGTTGGACATAGCAAAGATCATGCAACTCACAGGGCTGTCTGAACGGATGAGCAAAGCAGTTATTACATCTTATTTGTCGGCAGGAATATTCAAAGAGGACAAAGGCACATACACAATCGATTCAAGTTTCAAGGCTGATCCCAGAAAATTAAAAGATGGCAAGCTCAGAATACCTATGGCACCGGGGCCACCATCAAGACTTAGAAGGGACACTTCATCTAGCTCATCAACAGCATCTGCTACTGTGTCTACGTCAGCATCTCATAATGAGGGCTACAGTTCCCTGTGGATACAGGAAGTTATCAAGGCTGCCATCGTCCGTACATTGAAAGCCAACGGCAAACCTATGAATTTCGACACTCTTTTCGAACAGATCAAAACAGGAATAAATGGTGTAAGTGTAGGGGAGTGTAAGGAGTCAATCAATCGTCTAGTCTCTGAAAAAATAATCAGCCAGACTGCAGAAGGCTACACGTATTAGTTCAAATATAGCCCTAATCACAATTACCACAGTATAACGTTAACCATGACTTGAATGATATTTTTTTCACTTTTTTTGTCGAATTTTTCAGCTTCTTAGCAGTTCATAAATACATATATAAAGCTTTACAAGGTCCATCTTGAGAAGTTTCTGTTCTAATATTAGTTTGTACTACGGTTCTAAGAAAGGATACTTATCTCTTGAACTATGGAGCTTGTAATGCTCTACAATCTGGTGAGCGAAAGGAACACTGACTTTTCAGAATAGGAAAGTATTCAGTTGAATGCTATCTCTGTTCAGAAGTTGGTTTTCCTGGACACCAGGGAAGAGGAAAGGAATTAACAAAGGTTTCTTTTAATATGATGATAAAACAATCTCTTAGTGCATAGTTCAACTGAGAAGATTATATTCTAATCTATTATGAAGATAAAAATTTCCATCGAATTTAGTCTTTCGCTCCTATCTGACTCTATTTAAGAAAGAAAAGCCTTTGTTAAAGACCCTTTCATAGCATATCTCGATACTTGTGGGACTACGTAATACCATTTAAGTAGGACATTTGTTGTAAATGACCATTATCTTGTAGATGAGATGGGTGGTGTGGACTTTTCGGTTCTAATCAGCCATGGTGTTCCTTAAAATGTCGGGATTTGCAATGGGACAGTAGGGGAGACCCTATCAGAGGTTGAGATGCTCTTGCAAATATGCTCTTGCAAATATGCTCTTGCAGTTACGCATTGTATTTAAACTCCACTTATACAGTGAAAGGGGGGGCATTATGATGACCACATTTGAGACATTTTTATTTACTTACAGTCCTAGAAATCGGTAAACTATTTTATCATTATTGGATTACTAGAGCTATATATATGGAAGTACCAGTACCCCACATCACCAGACAGGATAGTAATGTTTGGTTTAGCTCTCTTGAATAGTAGGATCGAACTAAAAATATCTATGTAGAAGAAGATGGATGTTGAGAGTCTGCTGTGGCTATCCATTAGGGACAGCAGAAGAATTATAGTAACTGTAACTGACGAACCTATGGGTGAGTTGGCTGATGAGTGTCAGATAGTCAGGCTTTCGAGGGATTCAGGTAGTTTCCAGCGGTTTGTTAGTGTTTTTAATAGTAGTAAGACTGCTTTATACTATTATATTGAAGGTCCAACTGTGGTGGAGGCCCGCAGTCTGGATGAGTTGAAAGCTCGATTCCCTAATAAGAACAGCACAAGACCCTATGAAAGTGAGAGACAAAGGATTATAGACTTGATAAATGCAGATAAACTAGAGCGAAACTCAAGAAGCAGGCAGTTATCTGGATATACTGCCCTGTCTTCTGAAGTTGTACTCAAAGATAATATCAAAAACAACAAGAGCGACATATGTACATTGAAGATTAGGATGACTAACGGTGACTATGTACAATATGATTTTGACTCCAATACTTCCTTAGGAAGTGTGAGAAGGTGGCTGAAAGACTACCGTACTGATGGGGACTTTCCCTACTTGTTCCACCAAAATATCTCTAGGAAAAGCATAAGGATAACTGAAGAATATAAAACTTTGGCCGAGCTAGATTTGACCCCAAGGTCTATTCTAATGTTGAAACAATATGACCTACGGCCTAGGACTCGAGTCCCAAAGCCCAGAAAGAGATCGTGGTATTGGCAGTTCTTGACCGTAAGGATTAAGAGACAACTTCTCGAAGGATTATCAGAAATTCTAGCGAGCCACAGGACCACTAGTAATATTATGAGAAGCTCGTCGATGAGTTATTTGCAGGCAGATGATTCTAATATGACCAAGATTACTAATAGTCTCCCTCCTAATGATGACAATTCAGAAGATATTGTCAAAATCAAACAAAAATACAATCAAAATACGGGATCAATTATGAACACTCCTCTGGAAATAGCAAGACCAGACTCACCTAGCGTTTTGCAGATAAATACATGAAGTTGTGTGTCAAATTGTTTTTAAGGTCGAGAGTTATGGCCACTATCTTGATAATATCATGATTGCTATCTATAATAAGCAAGATAAATTGAGTGACTTTTATTAGATTATTTATTTTGTAGAGGTTTAGATACCACTTACTTTTAAGTCAGAATATATATTCATTATCGTTTTTAATCCAGAAATAATGGTTTATAGGTTGAGTATAGTTATGGTGACAACATGAAGCATTAGTTTGGGTGGAATAAATGTTAATAACATTATTACGCTGCTTCTTCCCGTAACATAAATTTCTCATTATGTTTCTTATTTGAATTATTGTTAACTACGTTTAATGATTGTTCATCTTTGATGTTCAAATTCTCTAATTGTTCGAGAATCTTACTTTCATCATCTTCTTTGTTCTTTTCGCTCTGAGTTTTAGATATCTCTTGACCTGCAAGCTCCTTTTCCATTTCTTTTAGCTCCTCATCCAACTCATCATCGTCAAATTTCGATATTTCCATTGATAGAACTTTTGTGATCTCTTCATTATCTGTTGACCTCTCTCTGATTTCTTCAAGCAAATCATGTACTTTTTCTGCGGGACCTATCTTGCCATTTATCGTTGTAATTATTTTATTTGAAGATTGTAATGTCTTGTATAGTACCAAGTTTGAGACACTCATATCCAATTGATACTTCACTTCTACCAGATTGTTTCTAAACTTGAACAATTTCAGTAGCATTTTCTGAGCTAAAAAGTATCCTCGTTTATACTCCGTCTGAGCTATTTTCGTTAGTTTCTTAAAGTCATCTCCTTTTAGTTTCATCTTATATTCATAAACCTCTATCTCATATTTCTCTATTGCGTTTTCGATGTTAGTAAAGCATTGTTTAATTTCTGCTATACTCTGGTCAGTTTCTGTGATTTCCACACCAAATTGTTTATATATACTTTCTACTAGAGGGTCAATAATCTTTACTATATTTTCTTTCCTGGTTATCGTATTTTTGTGATACTCTAGATAATTTAACATTACCTCCCATTCGATAAGTGAATCACTTGGCAAAGTGTAAGATATACCTGAAAAATCGATAAAATCTTCTAGAGGAAATATCAAATCACATACTGTGGTAGCTTTGGCAAGAATATTATTTCTGATGATGTCGTAGATTTTAGTAAATTTCTCCTCTAGGAGAGGCCTAATCACAAATGTGTCCTGTTTCAAATAATTTGTAGCGTTGTCATTCTTTCGGGATTGATATCTATTCAGCTTACCTATTGAAGAAGCATGAATCCATGAAAATATCCTTGTTATTGTCTTTTCATCCCTTTTTGTAGCACTGTTTTTGAATTCATCTAATTTAATTAAAATGTTTTCCTGAATCAGGTTATCGATTACAACATCTATACTCGCGGGAGCTCCATATTTCTTGTCACTAATATCCTGAAGGAATCTCGTACCAATAGTGACACAGATCTTATCCTGCTTAGGGAAATATTTTTTCAGTAAATAGTTTTGCCAATCATTGACATTAGCAACATAACCGTCGAAGTTTAGTTCCTTCAAGGGTCTGAAATCTTTGTATAGGGAATTTAACCTGCTCTGAGATACAAGCTTGTCCATTTAAACAGTCTCAGTAGAGTATCAATAGTATATTAAAAAGCGATCTTTTAGTGTGTATGATTAATATACTTTCTTATTTTTTATTCTTTTGTATAAGTTCTTTTTTTAATTTGACAAGAGATAGAATAGATTTTGTTGACTGGAGCAGAAATCAGAAATACCGAATACCCTTGTAGAAAAACACTTTTCATATACTTGCTCTATATATTGACATTATAACTATTAATGTATATCTATATCAATCACTATATAATAAGTGACTATAGTATGGTGTTTTAAAGTTATTGAAGTTTTGCGATGAGCTCCCTCTCGTGTTAATAAAATTTTGGAATTTCGGCCCTTAAAAATTTCTGCGGTGAAACCTTAGTCCAATACAAAGATATCTATATGAAATAAATAAAGTCTACTTGATCAAAGAAATACAAACCGTACTTTCTAGATAATATATTAATATCGGAGTTATCAATGGTTGTAACAGAGTAATGTACATAATATTCTTTATTTTCTGTTCAAAAATCCCGTGCTTGTCCGTAATGAGTACAAAGCATACATATATATATATATATATATATTGGTAGAAGGAAAATAACTAATAAAGCTTCCATTCTAACTGCAATAGAATAATCTCGAATTTACCTATAGATACAAAGAGCCAGCAGAAACAATATCTCTATGTATTAGTTTCAGGACTGCTTCCATTTTCTCCCTTAATGCTTGGTTACCAATTGTGTTTGCAACATCGACCAGTTCCTTTACAAGTTCTTCCAATCTCTTGAACATTCTGATTAAAGAACCTTCGTAGACGTCAGTCATCTTACAAATTTGAGTAAAAGAGGCACCTCTACACCACTCGTAGACAACTTCCATCAATTCGTGGCGGAAACTCTCTACATAATCCTTTTCTACTACCTCAATCTTAGAGTCTTTCATGATTTTTGCTATTTTGGCTGCTAGTTCCCTCAAATCTTTCAATGGCTCGGATAGCTCTGGTTTTAGTTTAGGTGCTTCTTTGCAACGTTCTTGGAATGCAAAACATGAAAGTAATGCAGCAGCTTGTTCTGGTTTCAGTTCAGTAAAGTTACCATTGAAAATCAACTCTGTTAAAAGCAATTCATCACCACTTGAAATTTCACACGCAACTCTACCTTTTAGCTCAATAATGTCATTTGGTGTACAGAATTCTAGTCTACGTAAAACTCTCTTACGTTTCCTTAGGTCATCTAGCTGGATAACAGCTTGTGAATCAGTAATTTTTGCTCGTAGTTTCTTCATTGCATCGGATAACTCATGCTTAGAGTTGTAGGCTTCATAGAGTTCATTTAACTTGACAGAACCGTGTAATGGGTTAGTTTTTAGTTTTTCTTCTAGGACTTGAATTTTCTTTTGCAGTTTCATGAAATCATCATCAGTAATTTTCATATGCTTGACTGGATCTATCAATGGGATTCCATCCGGGAATCTTCTTCCAACTTCCTTCAATGATTTACCAACAATATCGACTTGACCGGAAGCTTTGACATCCTTTGGCATAAATAGCCTTAGGTTACCGACATTTGTGATTGATGATATAGTAATTGGAATAATAGCACATAGTGATTTTTCTCCTTCCTGGGCTGGACGAATACCTTCAGGGAATGCAGGATTGAATGGTTTAATTAAGTTAATAGGTGAGTCGACATACATTGAGCTAACAACCACATTTACAATATAAGAGTCATAGTCGGAATATACAGCTGTAGGGTTCCTCTTGTTTACTCTCTTTGCAAAGTCAACGACAGCACCCCAACCATATCTTTGATTTCCATCAACTACAACCTCGATTAATCTGCCTGGTTGTAAGAAACTCAATAAATGTGCTGGATGAGTCATTACTTTCCTTACATCTTCGTAATAACCTTTCAAGGTCTGCTTGACTTCATAGTATTCTTTAATTCCTGACTCATCTTCAATATGGATATTATCATATTGTTGCTGATATTCAATTAGTTTTTTCTCCATTACTGGAACTGCAATGACATTTTGGAATTGAAAGAAAGAGTTCTCCAACATAAACTCAGGGGAGATACCTTCAACTCTCATCAAATTCAAAATCATGTTATAGCCCAAATGGAACGCAGAGTCCAGCCTGTCAGCTTGACCTTTAACCATACCCTTGGCGACCTGAGGTTCCATCTTTTCATCAATCATCATAATGACAATACCACGATCATCCAGACCACGACGACCGGCACGACCAGACATTTGAATATATTCACCACCAGATACCCATCTAAATTGTTGACCGTCCCATTTTCTAACAGATGTAAAAACAACGGTTTTAGCAGGCATATTCAAACCGATGGAAAAAGTTTCTGTAGCAAATAGCACCTTGAGGAAACCCTCTTGGAACAGGATTTCGATAACTTCCTTTAATATAGGTAATAACCCCGAATGATGGATACCAATACCTCTCCTTAGCAATGGTAGAATGTGTTTGATTTGTGGTAATTCTCTGTCGTTTTCAGGCAGTAATGCAATTGCATTGTTGAATATTTTAGTCAATGCATCCTTTTCATCATCAGAATTGAAGTCCAGCTTAGACATTTTTAGAGCCAGTTCTTCACAATCACGTTTACTAAAAGAGAAGACAATTACTGGATTATATTTTTTTTTCCAAATCATCTTGACAATTTTATATATATCACCTTTTGCGTCACCTTTTGCTGCTCCACCTTTAAATGTTTGACCCTTCTTACCTCTTGATTCGGTTGAGTTAGGGTCATCACCAGCTTGGTTCCCAATTGAAGTCATAGCTTTCTGAAAATTCTCTTCTCTAAAAGTACTCTTTTCATCTACAACTAAATAAATACCATCACCATGTGCGGGGAACAGATAATGCTGAAGTGGAGTAGGTCTAAAATTTGTATAGACAATATGACATGGTTGGGAATGGATTTTACATATCCATTCAGCAAACTCCATTGCATTTGGGATGGTGGCAGATAAGAAGACATAACGCACCTTATCTGGGAGTAGAATGATAGTTTCTTCCCAAACAACACCACGTTCCTTGTCTCTCATATAATGGACCTCATCAAAGATAACCCATGCCACTTCTCTCATAACCTCACTACCTCTGTAAAGCATACTTCTCAAAATTTCGGTGGTCATAACCAAACAACCTGCATCGGGATTAATAGTAATATCACCGGTCATTAAGCCAACATCACCAAATTCAGCCAACAGTTCTCTATATTTCTGATTCGAAAGAGCCTTGATTGGTGATGTGTAAATAACTCTTTGCTTCTCTCTCAAAGATTGGGCAATGGCATATTCAGCCACCACTGTCTTACCTGCAGATGTGTGAGCTGAAACTAAAACAGATTCACCTCTATCTATACAAGAGATAGCAGTATCTTGGAAAGGGTCTAACGTAAAAGGGTAAGTACGGGCTTCATTGGTTCTCTTATGCTGACCAATAGGTTTATAATCGTAGAATGGAGGTAGTGCGACTTGATGACGGACTTGATGTGAAAGTTTGACTTTACCATCCTCTTCAACCTCAGTAGTAGCTTGAGTAGATAATCCTGCGGATGCATCCACTTCTCTCGAGGCTTCCTGTTCGAAGTCATCTGCTACAATTGGAATAATCTTTGAAGTTTCCTTCTTTGAACCACTTGTTTTGTTAGGTTTCACCTTCTTATTAGACTCGCCATCTTCTTCATCTGAAGTTAGCGTATGCTTTTCATTTGATTTCGGTACCTTGGCAGAGTCATTCTCAATCTCTTCATCTGATACATCAGGTACTTCTTCAGGCACAGCCGAGAAGACATCAAACAAATCGTTCGAATCCATAGTTTCACTATTTGTGCGTTTCTAGACCAGCCTGTCTGAAACGTATTTTAGAAGCAATAGTCTTCAATTACACCGGTAGGTATGTTTGTAATTTTAACTATGTTCTTGCGATGAGCTTTGCTTTTGCAGCTCATCGCACAGAAAAACTGAAGATCGAAGTAAACTTAAAAAAATTTTCAAAACTTACCCGGAAGTTAAATACTGCCATTCATAATAGTGATATAAATGACAAGCAATGGAATATAAACTTACACAAGTATACTTATACTGATTGAATTAGTAACATGGATAGATATTTGCTTCTAATATTTAATCTCATAATGGTATTTATTGTGTTGAAATTCTTTTCTTAATGTGTGTTCTCATAAATGAATAGTAATACTATTATGTCAAATGCTAAAAGATGTACATAAGATATGCTTTACAAGTGGAAAAGTTAATCATTAAATATTGGGAACAGGTTCATTTAATGTATTCCATTTTTCTTTATCATATTCACTCATTGCCTGTTCTGGGTATCTTTCGGTTTCGTCTGAAAGCGAAGTCTCAATTGTACCTCCGCTAACCTCACGGAGCTCGGGATTAGGAATATTCACTTCAAATCTTGTTGTGTTGATGTTGTGAACTTGAAAGCTTGATTTACTGTTTTGGTTTGAAGGAAAGTCATACATAACATCAGTGGCTACACTATGGCGTCGTTGGTCCTGAGTCATTTGATCCCAGATAGTGCTATGTCTCCTGATATTGTTTTTAGTTGGTGAATTTCCATCGTTACCTTGTAAGGAGTGGATGTAACTGAAATCTATACTCTTATTCAGCTTATGCCCAATACTATTGTTATACTTCTGGTTAGAGTTCTTATTTTCCCATTTGGTTGGTGATCCGAAATCTGATAGATTAGAAAATGATAATTTTTGGCTTAGTCTCTGTCTTCTTTCTGATTTAGTTGGTGATGAGTGAATTGAGTTGTTGGGTAGTCTTGTTTGTGTAACCAAAGAATTCCCCCTCGAATGTCCCAGGAAACTTGCAATTTTACTGTAAGAGCGCTTGTGATTTAGGCTAGTATTGCCGCTCATGATAGATATGACTGATTTAGTTGGTGAATGTCTGGCTAGAACTTCATTGTTACCATAGGAGTCCAGAATGAATGATGATGAAAGATTCTGGTTCAAACTTTCTTCCATAATGCTATCATCAATGTTTTCTTGATGCTCTTCTTCTTTTAGGTATTCATCAAGGGCACTAATGGCATCGTCATTATTGTAAAACTCATTACTTACCTTGTTGGGACTGATAGGTGTTTCCACTATTGACTCCTCGTTAGATCCACTAATAGGTGCCATATATAACTTATCTTCAGACTCGACTGTATCCTTAGATGGGAAACTAAATCCTGATGATGTATTTATTCCTAGACCTACAAGCTGACTATTATTTTCGCTTTCTTGTAATGTTTCCAACTTTTTCAAATTTATATTGGATGAGTCCATGAAACTGTCCTGTGTAAATATTGGCAGTAGTAAACTCTTTGACTTTGTTCGCGAGGTATTTAGATAATCTTCTTTATTTTTTTCCCACATCTCCAGAGAAATATGACTAGGATAATTGACATGTTCGGTAGTTGGATAGTCATCATGAGCAAAAACATTATCATTTGGCCCTTCGATTGTATGGAGATCAAATTCGTCCAGGACATTAGAATGATTCGATGAAGTCTTCATTAGCATCTCTTCTTGTGGATGAGGAATGTCTAAAAGATTTACATGATCTGAGTTGACTTCAGGAGTTTTTGGAGCACTTGGGTTGATCCGTAGGTAAGGCGGCAGTAGCATATTATCAAATCTTCCAATTGCACTTCTTTCCACTTCCATCTGTGGTGAATTTTGGATTGATAGTTGCTCATTCCGATTATGAGCAAGATCCAGTATTAATGAGTATGAGCTATTTTCATGCTTGGACTCCTTGTCCGAATTATTACCTACAAAGGGTATGAGTCCCTTGGAAAGACCAGATATGTCGGAGAGGATTGTTCCTCTTTTATTTGTGGTATGCAAATCTGTTTGTGAGTCATTTTCTACTTGGAGTGGTAATGCTTTGGGTACTGTTTTCCTGCCTTTAAATCTCACATGCAAAGTCTTGAATTGTCGTAGCAATCTCTTCCGTCTTCTCTTTGTCATTTGTGTCTCGGATGTATTGTTTAAGTTGGCTATATTCACTAAAGGATGTCTTATCACAGACCCGCCAGAAAGTGCGCTTGAGTCGTACCTTGTCCGAGTTACATTCGGGTCCGTCACTACAGTGACGCTATTAAGTGCATTTCTGCCATCCAAGTTTTGGTTTGCGTCTCTCGTAGGGACATTTGTGGTTATCTCCATGCCCGGTGTCAAAGTCTGTGCAGAGTTTTTCATCGGTATAAATTTTTCTGGGTCGCTGACCAATTTAGTACTGTCTTCCAGCGGTAAGTTTTCTTGATCACCAATTGGTGGTTGCTGCTTATTGATTTGCGCGCCGATGCTCAGCCCGCTCACTAGCAATTTCAATACCAATAACGACTGGAAAGAGGTCAGCACCCGCTGAGAGCTGTGGTTGATAGCGGCCATGAAACTCGCCTGGTTAGTCCTGTGAAACACATACACCGACGCCCACAGCGTTATCATCTCCAAGGAGAACGACACCAGTAGCCCAGAACCATTCAGCGCCGCGAGCTTCGCACCGCACACTGCACTCAAAAAAGCGGCTATACCATACAAGTACGTCGCACACACAATAACGGTCAGGGCACCTGTAATCGACCTGATCTGTGCGAGCAGCGCAATCACCATAGACCCGCATGCGAATGACACCGCACTGGCCAGCATGAGTAGCATCCGCGATCCTTGCATTGCTTGGCCCCCTTCCAAAAGAAACTATACAATACACAATAATTTAATCTAGCTCGTTATATACAGAAGCCACTTGAACCTCTTGAAGCTGCCTTCTCTAACACTAGCTCATCGACATTATTTATATTTACCCATTACCCTTTTAGGAAAAATCTTTAAATTTCACAATGGTTGTCCCTTAGACCCAACTCCCAGTGAAATTTCTGAAATTTCTAACATCTTTGAAATCTTCATGAAGTCTGTGAAGTTCTCTGATACTTATGAGCAAGGTCTCTCTCATGGCTTCACCCCCAGGACTTGTATCCCCAGGCTAGTGATACTTCCCAGAGACTAGCTCTCTCCCGTTTTTACGTTTAGGTCGCTGTCTTGCACTACCGGATCAGACAGAAAGCATATTAAGCTACTGTGTATGGTGTGTGTGGGGGGAGGGCGATGATGGGATGGATAAAACAAAACTACACCATAGACGCAAAGCCACTCTCGGTTCAAATTTTTGTTGCCATGCATCACATATCTTTCGCAATATATCTGCTTCTAACGGAATATAGCTGTGATGCAGCAATATTGCGTAAGAGTGTTAAAGCAAAAAAAGGAATGTGCTGTCTAGGCAACGAACGGATCCTTAGTGGAGATTATGAAAAAAAAATTAATCAGAATTAATTACGATTTACACTATATAATGGCAAGATGGCGATGAGCTTCTCATATATTTTCTGTATAGAAGAGGTTGAGCCTGGTAACGATGGTGATAGCTGTTGCAGATCAGAGGCCTCGCGGGTTCAGAAGTGCCTTCTCGGGGATTTTCTCTAAGACCGACAAGAGGGCCACTGGTAAGAAACTGGCAGCCGATGCCCTCAGTTTGAACTCGAAGGCTATCAAGTTTGCCAAGGGTACCACTTGCGATGTCGTGGTCTCTCTGGACAAGAAGACTGGCCAGACGGTTGCGAAGAAAGTTTACAATACCGATCGGGATCCGTCAAAGGATTATAGGGACTACATGGTCACAGTTTTGAGAAATGAGTATGATATCCTTGTGACTCTGCGTAAATCCAAGTACGTGGTGAACGTGTATGACCTGGATATATCGAAACGCACCATCAAGATGGAATTCCTGCCGTTCAGTCTCAGCAGGGTACTGTCAATGGACTTGTCGCCGAGCCTCCAGGAGAAGAAATGCTACTTTCTCCAAATTTGCGAAGCTGTACAGTATTTGCACTCTAGAGGCATAGTCCACAGAGACCTGAAACTGGAAAATATAATGCTGTGTGCAGATGCCTGTCAGATAAAGCTCATCGATTTCGGTGTCGCGGTGAACAGGCAAGACCCACAATCACTGACTACAGCATGTAAAGGCATGTGCGGTACAGAAGCATTAATGGCACCTGAAGTGTTAGGCAGCATATCCTATGTCGGCGAGTATGCTGACTGTTGGTCCGTCGGGATAATAATGTTCCAGATCTTCAACATTTCTAATGACTCAGTTAGATGGAAACCTCGTTACCCTTGGGAATCAGCAAGGTTTTCAAATAGCATTTACAAGATTTATTCAGAAGAAGCAGACACTAGTGTTGTACTAACCAATCTAGAAGACGACGAAGATTTGAAAGAGCTTATCTTGCTGTTTTTACACATCGATTCCTTGAAGCGACTGACTATGAAGAAAGCACTAGAGAGTAAATTTTTGGCATCAATTAAAGGTGTTAAACATAGCCACGACAGAACTCTCAGAGTTTGCAATAAAGTTTTTCAGCTAAAACATTAATTAGCATGATATCACACTCATCCAGCTAGGTGGTTAACTGTAATGAATTCGCATACTCTTCTAATAGTCTTCTTTATACATATTTGAGACGTTAAGTATTTTATATTCCTTATTTTAAAAAATTGCATTAAATTTTGAAAGCATCTTTAGTAGCTACTATTGTCTTGTCCTGTACAATATGATTTCCGATTGCTTAAAGTATCTTCTCCCATCCTCATCAATTATTACCAAGCTTAAATAGTTCTTGACATTGAATTGATTATTGGACATTGTAGGCGTTAGGCTATATCCGCCTAAAAATAGTCTTATCGGAATAGTCTCTCCTTTTACTGGAGAACCATCCATTATTTCATATCGTACTGCTGTAGTATCGGTCAGTGTATTTCCGGTATGAATACCAGCAGACTCTCTAGTTATTAGACTTATTTCCATATGCTTTATTTTAAGTCTTGTTAACAAAAAGTATATTCTACCAACTATTACATCTTTCAAACTAAACTCAGCTTTCGAGTACTCGAATTCAATATGTAAACAGTTTTCAATACCAATATCAAGCTTAACTGGTTTTTTGAACGCTTCAACTTTGTTTTTGTCACTGTTCTCTCCTTCTGAAGTATCTGTATTAATCAGATTGGTGTTTTCAATAATGGGCTTCGAAAGGTCGTTATATAGATAAACCCAAAGCCTTTTCATTTTTGACACATCTGCGGACTTCCTAATTACTGTGACTTTCACAGCGTATGTCACGTCAACATTTTTGCCGGTATAGGACTCATACTGTTTGTTTATGTCTTTGAACAGAAAAGGGAATGTCTTTGTATGTTGTAGTTCACCAGGTGGACAAAGGTCGTAACTCAGTGTTAAAAATTGGTCAACACATTTCTTATTAACATCCGTACTCGTACCAAAAGAAGACTGTGAATTAGATTTCCCAGATCCAACACCATTGACCATATCAATTGACCCTATCACTGACACTTTCACCCCCAAATGCTCAACTCTCCTACCATCTCGAACTCTCATGGTAATATTACCACTAATAGATTCCCCATCTTCGAACAACGGATAACTCTCCTTAAGAGTCTTGGAGTTGCTAGTATTTGTCACATCCACATGCTTCCTGGTTTCTTCACCATCTAACTGTATTTCAATATCCACAGGTGACTTGAAGAACATCGTACAAGTTGGAGGTGTATTTGGTTCGATGGCAATCTTATCTGTGCAACTTCCGGATGACTATTTATAAATTAGCAAATGAAAAACAAGTAAAGTTGATTTAAACTTTTACCTTTATTGCCTGCTTCAGCTATCGACAATGAATAGCTTGGAACTCACACCGGTCATCCACTGCTATTTCATCCAGTACTTATTGCTGTCCAAGAAGCCTTACGCCCTTTATAATTGAGCGATTCACTGTGCATGAACCTTGTTCTGAAGAAGCCGGGTAAATTCTAGTTATTTCGCCATCAGATCGCAGGAATAGCGATATTAGTATAATCTATCTGAAAGCAAAAAAGCCTTCCTACCCGGGATGCCACGTATTGCAACTAATTTCTATTGATGCTAACAATGATTAAGTAACTATGCTATTATACTATCTTTTATTTGTTTAGATGAGAGATGGTTTTATATACAGAAAAATGCATTACCCCAGCAATAAAAAAAAAAGTGAGTGCAATACATTGAAAAAGCCCAAAGTACTAATCTACTCTTTAGTATCTTTGGTGGTATGTTTTGGTAGTTCAAAGACATGCATCTTCGAGACCACTCTTTGATCCTGTACTAATTCCTGAGTCCATTCACTGTTTTTCTCAATTCCGGTTTTCACCCATTGCTTAGGCCAGTCCGATTCTTCTTCTAGTGCCAAGTTTATATGTTTATCAGGTTCATATTTGACAATATGTTCCTGCTTCACCAAGTTGGAGGCTTCACGGCATACTTCATCAACAAAGAATCTTCTTTGGTAGAATCTGTAGATTCTTTCTGGGATTGTGAGGAAACCGATCAAGTTTGGTACTGGGATAACTAGCACAGGTTGGTGCAGCAGTGATGGAACGTTAGTCTTCGGATCTTTCAGTAAAGCATCTTTTTCAAGCACTGGCTCGACCTCTGGCGGTATTGGCGTGTCATGGAACGCTGTTCTCAGTAAATACGGTTTCAGCACTCTTGATTTTTCTTCATCAGGTTCATCTTTTCCTTCCTCATTTTCTGTATCTTTTCCTTCTACTTCCACTTTATCAGCGCTTTCCAGTGTTGTTTCGACCATTGTTTCCACGGCAGTTTCTACGGTAGTTTCTACATTATCTCCGTCATTCATGGACTTCAATTTAGAGCCCATTTCGACCTCCTGTGTTGTCTCCTCAGGTGGATCCAGAGGACCCAATAAACCTTCATGTAAGCCAGTGATATACTCCTTGTATGCACCTCTTCCGACACAGACAACGCCACCTGCCAGGACTGGATCAGCTACTAAAGAATCAGTCTGCACAATAGTGTCCAGTTTCGGAACTTTAGTATAAATGCCCATGACATTACGGAAATCGAAATCTGCCTTAAACTGTCTCGCTTGCTCTGGGTCAAATTTTTGTTCTTCTTCAGGGTCCTTTGCGTGTGGTTTCTTGAAGATCGACAACAAGGAGTCCCCACTATTTCCTTGTTGCTCATTATCAGCTTCCAGCAACTCTCTTCGCAGTTGCCTTATCCTTGACGCAACTTCTGACCTGATAATTCCTTGTCTATCCTCCTCTATGACTTCGTAATCCAAGCCCGCATAGTACAACACCGGCTTGATGTACCTTCTCCAGATCTTCAGCGATGTCTCGAGGTAATCGTTCGGTGGTGGTGCGATGAACACGGTGATCTTTCTTGGCGACTTGTTCACGTCGCAATGCTGCAACGACAAAGGCTTCACCTCGTCACAGTACCTGCTGATAATCTGCCTCTGCTGGTACTTGTCGTAACCCACACCACCCAGCGAGCCGGCCAGCACCGTCCAGAAGATTGTCCAGTTCCGCGAGGGCAACTTGAAGTTGCCCAACCCAAGAGCCTTCAAAGCGGGATTCATTCAAGTTATGTGTGTGTGTGTGTCTCTCTCTCGCTATCTCGCTCTATCTCTACAGCATCCATCCACTGTGTCCCCACTTATTGCCATAAGCAATGTCTTTTCTGCATGAATTTCTATCTTAAGCAAGTTTTTTTTTGGTTTGAATTGTTGGGACGCCAGGGTAAACACATAATACGGGTAGGGGCTCCTCTATTCCTAGTGCGAGTTCCATATTACATAGGCTATTTATTTTACATACAGGTTTACAACCCTTCGTCGGACCACTTCAAGTTGAACCGCCCTTCTGGGACTTTGTAGTTGACGATGAGGTCGATAGCCTCCTGCGGCGTGGAGGCCACTTGCAAGATGCTGCCGTTGGCCTCGCTGATGAACCCCGCCGCGATGGCGTCCCGGAAGAACCGCAGCAGCGCGTCGAAGTAGCCGTTGGTGTTCAGCACCACCACCGGCTTGTTGTGGATCCCCAGCTGCGACCAAGTGACGCACTCCAGCAGCTCCTCCAGCGTGCCGAACCCGCCGGGCAGCGCCACGAACGCATCGCTCATAGACGCCATCAGCCGCTTCCTGGTGTGCATGTCCGGCACCACCGTGGTCTCACCGTAGTCGCTCGACACCACCGTGGTACCATTGACAGGCTCGCTGTACTCCTCCTGCTCCTGCTCCTGCTCTTGCCCAGCGCCACCACCATCGCTACGTTCCTTGGCCACCAGCGCATCCGGGATGATCCCATGCACCGAGCCGTCCTTGCTGGGGCCCATGGCACCGCGGGCCACCCCGCCCATCAGCCCAGTGGTGCCCCCGCCGTACACCAGCGACCACCGTCTCGCGTGGATCAGCGCGCCCAGCTCCTCCGCAGCAGCTACGAAGCTCTTGTCCCCGCTAGCCGAACCGCAATAAACACAAACGCTCTTCATTCTTCCTCTGTGCCCTGACGCCTTCCCACCTTCCAACTACAACTTACAAGTTACAAGTATTACACGTCCTGCAAATTTATTTTTCTTCGACTGGAAGGACCGCACCACGGGAGGGACAACAGGGAACAGAAGGGGACAGGAGAGTACAGGGGACAACAGGAGAGGGACAAATGCAAGAGGGACAAATCGTCGGTGTTATAAAGTTTAACAAAATGCGTACAAAAACTTGCACAAAGCAGTTGCACAAGCCGCGCAAGAAGTATCCCCCCCCCCACACACACACACACACGGGAAGGCACCAACGTCCCAAAAGAAATTAGATCTCGGAGATACCCGGAATGACCCCCCCAGATCTCAACCCCCAGATCTCAACCCCCAACCCTCAGCGGCTAAACCCACAAAAAAGAAATAAAAATTTCTGGGGTTTCTACAAATCACTTCACACTAACACATGGTACCGTACATGATAACACTGTTTCTTCTCACTTTTTTTGATAACCCTTAGGGTGGATGTATAATGCTGTTGATTGTGGTGGGAGATGCTTTTGGGCTCATCGCTTCGCTAACTCTTACCAAATAGCTGGATAAAAAGTGTGTGATCCATAATTGAGTATAAAAAGGACTACAAAAGCTAAGAAACTACAGACCGGCTTGGGTACAAGAGGATAACGATGGTGGAAGGAGTAGTGCACGGGCATATACACAACAGCGAGCGGTACACGTATGTGCATGGGCATGTGCATCATGACTCGGAGGAGTGTGAAGGGTTCGAGGACTGCCGGGTGCCGGGTATGAACATGCTGAACTTGAACATGGGTATGAATATGGGGATGAATATGAGCACGAATATGGATTTGCAAGCGATGCAGGTGCAAGCTAATCCACACGCACATCCACATGCACATGCACAAGCGCAGATGTTCCACGAGTACAACAGCGCGAGCAGCAGCGGTGCGAGTTCTCCCGTGCAGTGTTGTAACCCGAATATCCTGGAGATATGTTGTGACTTGGATCACCCTGTGTCGAACCAGATTGGTGCCACGGGTGGCTCTGCAGGCTCTGCGGGTTCTACAGGTTCTACAGGTTCTACAGGCTCTGCTGGCTCGGCGGGCTCGGCGGGCCACTCGGGGCCAGGGTCGGCCTCGATGACGAACAACGCTATGTCTCTGAACACAGCCAGCTCTGTCTTCACTAATGACTTCAGCAAGGACATGATGATATTCACGGATAACGCACTCACGCAGCTGGCGAACACAGGCACCGCTACAGCGACGAACACCACAACAACCGCATCCACTTCGCCGATAGGGACGAGGAACGACACCGCAGCGGGAAACGAGGACGAAGACATGAAAATACTGCAGGACCTCTGCAACATATCCCAGCTTTACGAACTCCCCATGGCCAAACACATCAACCACCACCACCACAACCATGGAAACGTTGTGAACTTGCTTGAGGACACACACCTCTGTGGTGGCGGAGACGCAAACCAAAACGCAAACAGTGGTGACGGCCACGCCTGCGACGGATCACACCAAACAGATGCGCCTTGCACTGGCAATTGCACTTCCGGTAAACCACACCACCACCACAGGATACAGGTTCACCCACACGACATGAAGGAGTATAAACCACATAGAAAGAGGCGGAAGCTTGTGGAGTCGCCGATGTTCGGCTCACGGAAACTGGTGATGTCGCCACAGCCGTTGACATCCCACGATAGGCATATCCCTGCCGACTTCAACGACCTGAACACCAACACAATCAACTTCAACTGGAACTTCAGGGACGACGACGACATCCACTGTCAATGGGACGATTGTGGTGAAACGTACACAACATTGTTTGACCTACAGAGACATATGCTCAAGGACCACATCACTAACGAGGATAAACACAACATTTTCAATGGAGAGAGCGAACACCTCTCGCATTGTCAATGGAAGGACTGTGAGTTCAAAGGTGGTGACATTTGCTCCTTGGTGAACCACATCAATGATGAACACGGTATCCACTTTGAGATAAATGTTCTAGAGAACGACACATCGGTATCTAACAGCTCTGCTCCATCATGTGCATCCTCAATAAAATCATCTCTGCACTTCGACTCTCCTCACCCTGATATCAGATCAATGAGTAGTCCCGTGATGATCAAAGCTGAGCAAGAGAACGACCTAAATAACTCGAATAGCACAAGGACTAGAGCTAGGCAAAGGGTGAGTAGGAGCAAAAAACTGCCAGAGCCCACAAAGCCTGACGAGACAGAATTCTGCTGTAAATGGGCCGGTTGTAACGAAAGGTTCAAATCCGCTGGTGATCTAAATGATCACTTGGAAGAAATGCATTTAACAAAGGGGAAATCACAATACACTTGTGAATGGGAAGGTTGCAACAAGACCTTCAGCCAGAGACAAAAGCTGGTGCGGCATTTGAAAGTACATTCAAAGTACAAACCATACCAATGCCCACAGTGCCAAAAATGCTTCTCAACAGAAGATACACTAAACCAACATAAGAGAGTTCACTCTGGCGAGAAGCCTTACGAGTGCCATATATGCCACAAACGATTTGCCATCTCAAATTCATTGAAAATACATATCAGAACTCACACGGGTGAGAAACCACTGAAGTGCAAAGTGTGCGGCAGGTGCTTCAACGAGTCCTCAAACCTCAGTAAGCACATGAAAACCCACATGAAGAAATACTTTTGTAGCCAATGTTCCCGAAGTTTTGATACATTGGAAAAATATAAAGCTCATGAGCTGAGGTCTCACCCGAAAACAATAAAGGACCAGCAGATTGCCACCTAGATGTGTTTAAAACGGACACCTACTGCACCTCTGTTTGTCCTTTTTTTTTTTTTACCATAGCATTGCCCATTCACTATACTGTACATAGTCCAATAAATATATAGACATAACTCCAACTCGTCCCAAAAGAAATATCCATCTTATGCATCTTCTCGTGTATTGAATGCCATTATCCCAACCCATTGTTGTTCACTATCAGGTCCAGTTAATGGCAACCGATGCTCTGCTTCTCGCTGTGATCAACGCTCAGAACGACTCAAGAAAAGGCCGATGCCCTTTACCAATCTAGGAACAATGGAGGGGGGATGCTTACTACATAAACGGATTTAATGGATTGCACCGGGTGAGAGCACCAGGTTAGACAAGACACCATTAAGCTATGGAAGTATGAGTTTAGTTCCATACAAGGAAGGTTCCATTATTTTGAATGATCCAAGCTCGCGGTCACTGGCCATTGTTGATCCTAAAATAGGGTCTGTTGCGATATATAAGCAGATCAATGCGAGAGTAGAGCATCTAAGGAGTGATCGGAGGTCGTCGGTGGAGTCTATAGCTTCGTATATGTGCCCGCACTGTGGCACTGAGGTGCATTTGAGTAATGATGAGGGTTATGGCTCTTCAGCGAGGAAGGCGAGGAAGGAGAATACGAATAGACGGAATGTATCCCCGGATTTTGACCCCGATGATTTGAGTAATTATAATATGCTATCGACCACCACGGGATCGAGTGCATACTTTAGGCTGTTGCAGAGGAATCATCAGTTTTACGCAATACAAGATGGTGAACAAACTGAGAACAGCCACATACCGGATGACATGTTCATACCTGGATATTTCCATAAGTTCTTTGACATTTTAGAACCCCTAGGAAATGGTGCCCGCGGATCAGTCTACAAAGTTGTTCATAAGTTGGGATCTACACCTCTAGGCACATATGCGCTGAAGAAAATACCCATTGGTAACGACGATGAATGGTTTAAGAAATGTATTCGTGAAGTAAAGATTTTGAGCTCTTTGAAACATACTTCTGAGAATTTGATAACATATAACCATGTCTGGATGGAGATGGATGCTTCTGTTGGGCACGTTCAGAGTCTTGATGGTAGTAGCACAGGTATGGTAGGTGACGTGCCATGTATGTTTATTCTTCAGCAATATTGTGCTGGAGGTAACTTGGAGGATTGCATAAACAATGTCGTTTTTGAAAAGAACCCTGAACTGATATCTATTGAAGAAAGAAAAAAAAGATTTAGAGAAAGGCATGGGCAGAAATCCTCAGGTAGTGCAAAAGCTGGTCTTTCTACATTACAAATTCTATCGATATTGCATGATATAGCCAGTGGACTAAAGGAATTGCATAATTCTGGGCTTATTCATAGAGATTTGAAACCTTCTAATTGTTTACTTCTGTCCCCTTACAAGCATAACGATGAAGAGAGAGTATTTCCTACCGTTGTGATCGGTGATTTTGGAGAGAGCCAGATGAAAGGTGAATATAGAACAGCAACTGGCTGTACAGGTACCATGGAATTTACAGCTCCGGAATTGATCATTGAAAATTGTGATTCCAATTCGAATAGTCAATACCATGAGTTCTCTTTTCAATCTGACATGTACTCCCTTGGTATGATTGGTTACTTCGTGATATTTGGAGAATTGCCATTTGGTAGTGAGTTAGATATTCCGGAAATTAAAAATTGTATAAAAGCTCTCAATATTGACAAAACTTATATGGTGAAGAAGCATAGAGAGATGAGATTGAAAGATATAGATTACCGAATATTTGATGTTTTGCAACTACTTCTCAGTTCTAAGGAATCGATTAGGCCATCTGCAATTGAAGTCGAAAGTATCTTTGAAAAGTTAATTGGACTGAATATTAAACATGATGATAACGAAAAATTGGCATATGATTATTCCTCTAAAGACAAACTGGAAAAATCAGATGTTCTATATGAACAACCAGATGGTATTAATATTGGTAAACTGGAAGAATTCCAAAGTAGTGATAAGGGTTCGGCTTCCACGAACGAAGCTTATTTCCAAATTGCCTCTCTACCCGCAACTCCAAGGCTAGCTTTGCCTAATCTTATTGATAGACAACAAGTGTCAGATTCAACTAAGATAAATTTAACGAATATCACATTGAGAGGGTTGATCTTTGTCTTTGCTGCATTAGCGTATTATAGATATGCATTAACTGTAAATGCTATAAACCCTCAAGTTATGCATAGTTTCTTTTGGTCATCCACTTTTATGGCATTGAGCTTTGTTGATAATCAGAGGTTTTTATTCTGTATTTTTATTATTCAATTTATCATCTCATTGAGAGCAATGTTTTTATATTGATGAATAAGTAGTATATATGGCTAGAAAGTATATCTGCGTCTATATATAAATATATGCAATCATTTAATAGAAACTAAGAAATTAATAACACTATATAACTAGAATTTCTCAGTTGCTTTTTATTCCATCCTGCACCATGGTCTACCAGTGCTAACTTGATGGTTACAAATAGTAGGCTCTAAACCTAATCCTACCAAAGCTGCAATAAAGACGCCTAATGAATCTGCAATGGACACCGCACCCAGTGAGAACTCTCTTTTGTCCATATCGACCTCCTCCAGCACATTCAAGAAGGTATTCACATAAGAGCTCCCTCCAAGGAGGCCTTCATAGAATATTAGTATCATTATTGGCCACGGTGTGTGCACAATATATATCCAAGCCTGTAAAATAGTTAGGACTAAATTGAGTCCTTGAAGTGCACTGAGAAAGTACAAATTGTGCATTCGGAATTTGTGTGCTAATGATCTTGAAATGAAAACACCTAACTGATAAAGTGTTCCATAAGTGACATACATGTCTCTATATTTGTTGAAGAATGGAGGTAAGCCACGACTATCAAGAGGAAACAACAGAGTAGGACTTACGGCCTGGTTGATAAGATATTCAAACAGATACACTGAACTCAATGGTAACATATAAGGGACCACAAGAGCCTTCAAGTTAACACAAGTACTCTTAAAGTGGTCAATTGAACTTACAAAAATATTCTGCTCTTCGGTCTTGGATAGCCTGATACTTTCATTAAATGTATCTGTTTGTAGTGCATTTGAATTGCTGTTTCGAATCAAAGTTTCTTCACCTGAACTTGAGATGCTATCATACTCAATTTGAGTGGTATCTAACTTAAAATACAAGAGAAATGCAAATGGTAATATTGTGAAGCTTAATAAGGACAATCTGATGGGAAGTTTGAATATCGATGTTAACAGCATATAAACGCTACTTCCAACTATTCCTGCACCACCGGTACCCGATGACCATCCATTTAGTGCATTTTCCTCAAAAAAATGGGATAATTGTAAAAAGGAAACCTCACCAAAACCTGAAGATACAGAAGCCATAGCAATCCCTATCATGCACAGCAGTAGAGATTTTCCAGAAACAAATATCATTCCAATACAACTTAAGGCGATCAACGCGTATATTCTCATAGTATAAGGGATGGACTTTATAAAGAATGGTGCGGTGACTTTTATCAATAGCGATGGTGTTATGTCCATTAATAATACCAGAGTCTTGGGCACCTTCGGACCCACAATGTCTACCGCAGCGGAAAGAATAACAACATACAAGACATTGTTCACTAAACCAAATATCCAAAAGAACGCATAGACCCTTTGCTTGCTATTCATTGTTCAAGAACACATCAGATTTTATACTAGCAGCTCCTTCTCATCAAGTCAAACTGGTTATTCTACTGACTCAATGTATACACTCTTGTTGGAACTTTTATTCTAAGTGACTAATATGGTGAGCTCATCGATGTCATTTTTCAGCTTTTAAGCAGCCCATATTCGCGATAATGAAAATTTAAGGCTAAATGAGTTTATAGTTGCAAGTAACTACTATAATGAAATGTCGATATTGTATTTGTTCTATCTATTATCTCTAGTATTTAAGGTCTATAATACTATTAGCTAGGGATGTGATATTGGCCTCACCCAAGTTGTGTGGTTTTAGGTATCTATATCTATACTTTCTTGGTTCATAAATAATCTTTTAGGAGTTGGAATCTCTCAGCAGCTTTAGCTAAATATTCATCTTCTTTGCATACAGCAAACCTCAGCAAAGTTTCGGCATCTTTCTCGTGTTCTTTAATGTAGAATTCTGTGGGTGGGATAGCTACAATTCCAATTTCATTGATTAGCCAGTATGAAATTCTGAAGTCCTTTGCCTTCTCCAACAATTCTTCTGGGTAGACGTAGTCCTCTGGTATCTTAACCTTTGAGAAATCTACAAGAATGAAATAAGTACCTTCTGGCTGTGTATAGTTAAGACCCAATTTATCAAATGCAGTGGTTAAAATTTCGAATTTCTTCCTATACTCTTCTCTCATCTTAGGAAAGTAATCGATCTTCAAAGCGTGTTCAATAGAGCCAGCACAAGCCTCCTGTAATGGCGATGGTGACGCAAAGCAAATTCTGGTATGAGCTTTTGAAACATAGTTCAGCAGTTGGTCGTTTTTTGAAATAATCCAACCAATTCTCCAGCCTGTAGCGGCAAAAGATTTGCCTGCAGATCCCACAGTTAAGGTCAAGTTAGCGATGTCCTCATTAATATTTGCAATCCTTGGGAAACTCTCAGTGAAGTATAAATGCTCATAAACTTCATCCGAAATTACCACAGTGTTATGTTCAACACAAAGCTGGGCTAATTTAGTCAATTCTTGCTCTGTGAACACTTTACCGATCGGGTTATGAGGAGTGTTGATAATCACAGCTTTAGTCTTGTTATTAAAGGTCTTCTCTAATGCATCCCAATCAATTTGCCATTCATCACCAGTAGTGTTGCGTGTCTTCATTTCCTTAGGAGGATGAATAGGCACATAGCGCACGACACCACCACATAGTTCTATGTTTGGGATGTACTGGTCAAAGAAAGGTTCAAAAACAATAACCTCATCGCCGGCATTCAAAATACCCATGAGACACGAAAGTATACCTTCGTTGGCACCTGTTGTGACCAGCACATTCTGGTTGTCTATGAAGTCTCCAAAAACAGGCTTGTACAACTCGACCAAAGACTTAATCAAGGATGGTCTACCTCTTGTAGGGGAGTACTGGTTCACCAAGGGCACGTCTAGGGCAGACTTGGCTGCATTAATGGCAAATTGCGGTGGTGAGTACGAGAAGAAACCCTGTCCTAAATTGATCAACTCTCGTCCCTCGCTCTTCCCTACTGCAGAAGCAGCAAATTCATTGGTGAGCGTCCACACATCCTTCGAAGTGTTCTTCTGGAAATACTTATTTGGTGTTATCTTAGTCATTCTGTTCAAAGTCCTTTTCATATGTGGCTCTCTCTACCTTGAAAACAACTAACGCAATGAAAGTAACTTAGAAAATTGAATGTAGTATTACAATACAGCATCAATTGATAGCTTTATATGATCAAAGAATTCAGGATCCTCTTGAAATCTAAAGTGTAATTGAAGTGAAATTATTGCGTCGAAATCATCCTCCGATAGAAATCAAGAACCATCCCAACAGCCACCACACCTTTCAGTGTAGTGATGTTGAAGCATTTATAAAACTGTGTGAATTATCATCAATAAGAACAGGAGTGACAGAGACACTTAGTGACACTCAGTGACACTCAGTGACACTCAACGAGATGTGGATAAAGTAATCATCTGGAAAGTCATATGAAGACTGGTATTTGAATGCCAACATATAATTGCTTAAGATAGTCGACTATCTACAAGCTGGTGCAGGGCATAAGCTTATAGCCATTCGATATTAATTAGAGCTTTGGCTATGATTGTGTATCATTGAAGGATAAATAGATATATAATATTTCTGATGTTCTTGTAAGCTCACTAGCTGAATTTATTCAAGTTGTGGAACCATTTGACCAAAACATAAAATTTGAAGAATAATATATAGTAAAAAATGGAAAATTGTAAGCATATTGTAGTATGCAGATTTAAGGTTGGCCAATAGCCCATAATTACTTTCTTCCATAGAGATTTAAAAACAGAAAACACAAATAGGAATTAATATAGATATAAAGTGTCTTAATTCTTATTGAAAATACGAAAAAAAATATATATTGATATTGAGATGCCCAGTATTGAAATAATATTAAATCATAGGCCCTTTCGAATAAAAGATAGATACAAAAACGTTCATAATAAAATCATAATGAAATAGAAAATAGAAAATGGAAGACAAAAAAAGAGAAGAAGGGCTGCTCATTATTGAGCAACCTCAAGAAAGTTTTGCTGTTGACTCACTTCTTTGATGATAGCAAAGCAATGAACTAAGCGACAAAATCATCTCAATTAAACGATAATACAAAGTACAATACCGGATAATACAACAGCCGCATATAACTTACTAACATTCAATTTCTCTCCTGCACCAGTGAATGTTGCTGAAGACACGGATGATGGTGATACAGTTGGAACAGTGTGTGTACCTTGCAATGTTGTCCGCGAAGACTTATTGGTAGGAGAGGAAATATTGGCTTGTGAATTTATAGGTGTATTTGAGATAATATTTTGGGATAAGAATTCAGAAGACGATGGTATCAATGTTCTTATTGTGGTTGGGCTACCATTGCCGTCAGTGGTGGTGATGTGGGATACAAATACAGATGTTGGTGTACCATTCGATGTGATGACAGTGGTATGGTCGCTTTCCCCAGCATTGTTGCCGGCTGAGTTACCGTTGTTGTTGCCGCTGTTGTTGCCGCTGTTGTTGCCGCTGTTGTTACCACTGTTGTTACCACTAGATGGCAATGCAAGTGTGGTAGCTATGGTGGATGGGTTACCATTGCTGTCAGTTGTAGTGATGTGGGATACAAATACAGATGTTGGTGTACCATTCGATGTGATGACAGTGGTATGGTCGCTTTCCCCAGCATTGTTGCCGGCTGAGTTACCGTTGTTGTCGCCGCTGTTGTTGACGCTGTTGTTGCCGCTGTTGTTGCCGCTGTTGTTACCACTGTTGTTACCACTAGATGGCAATGCAAGTGTAGTAGCTACTGTGGTTGGATTACCATTGCTATCAGTGGTGGTGATGTGCGAGATAATGTCTGTGTGAACAACACCATCCTTGTCAGTGGTGACTGTGGTCTTGTCCTTACCATCGTCGCTTGGAGATGGGTAGGTGGTCAAGATAGTCGTTGGCTTACCGTCAGAGTCAGTGGTGGTGATGTGCGAGATAATGTCTGTGTGAACAACACCATCCTTGTCAGTGGTGACTGTGGTCTTGTCCTTACCATCGTCGCTTGGAGATGGGTAGGTGGTCAAGATAGTCGTTGGCTTACCGTCAGAGTCAGTGGTGGTGATGTGCGAGATAATGTCTGTGTGAACAACACCATCCTTGTCAGTGGTGACTGTGGTCTTGTCCTTACCATCGTCGCTTGGAGATGGGTAGGTGGTCAAGATAGTCGTTGGCTTACCGTCAGAGTCAGTGGTGGTGATGTGCGAGATAATGTCTGTGTGAACAACACCATCCTTGTCAGTGGTGACTGTGGTCTTGTCCTTACCATCGTCGCTTGGAGATGGGTAGGTGGTCAAGATAGTCGTTGGCTTACCGTCAGAGTCAGTGGTGGTGATGTGCGAGATAATGTCTGTGTGAACAACACCATCCTTGTCAGTGGTGACTGTGGTCTTGTCCTTACCATCGTCGCTTGGAGATGGGTAGGTGGTCAAGATAGTCGTTGGCTTACCGTCAGAGTCAGTGGTGGTGATGTGCGAGATAATGTCTGTGTGAACAACACCATCCTTGTCAGTGGTGACTGTGGTCTTGTCCTTACCATCGTCGCTTGGAGATGGGTAGGTGGTCAAGATAGTCGTTGGCTTACCGTCAGAGTCAGTGGTGGTGATGTGCGAGATAATGTCTGTGTGAACAACACCATCCTTGTCAGTGGTGACTGTGGTCTTGTCCTTACCATCATCAATGATACTGGAGCTAATGACTCTACTGTCAGTGATAATGTTACCTTCAGAGTCAACAGTAATAAAGTACGAGTACACATCCTCCTCCTCGTAGTGATCACTCTTGATAGTGACGGTAGAAATGGGTGGAGGAGAGTAGACTGCAACAGAACTGGTAGTGATGAACTTGCCGTTCTCATCAACAGTCGTCCAGTAACTCACAACATCATACTCTGTTATACCATTACCAAGATCCTTGGTGATCGTACTGCCAGAAGGTGCTGGGTCATGAGACACACTGGAGCTGATCAGTTTACTGTCAGTGATAATGTTACCTTCAGAGTCAACAGTAATAAAGTACGAGTACACATCCTCCTCCTCGTAGTGATCACTCTTGATAGTGACGGTAGAAATGGGTGGAGGAGAGTAGACTGCAACAGAACTGGTAGTGATGAACTTGCCGTTCTCATCAACAGTCGTCCAGTAACTCACAACATCATACTCTGTTATACCATTACCAAGATCCTTGGTGATCGTACTGCCAGAAGGTGCTGGGTCATGAGACACACTGGAGCTGATCAGTTTACTGTCAGTGATAATGTTACCTTCAGAGTCAACAGTAATAAAGTACGAGTACACATCCTCCTCCTCGTAGTGATCACTCTTGATAGTGACGGTAGAAATGGGTGGAGGAGAGTAGACTGCAACAGAACTGGTAGTGATGAACTTGCCGTTCTCATCAACAGTCGTCCAGTAACTCACAACATCATACTCTGTTATACCATTACCAAGATCCTTGGTGATCGTACTGCCAGAAGGTGCTGGGTCATGAGACACACTGGAGCTGATCAGTTTACTGTCAGTGATAATGTTACCTTCAGAGTCAACAGTAATAAAGTACGAGTACACATCCTCCTCCTCGTAGTGATCACTCTTGATAGTGACGGTAGAAATGGGTGGAGGAGAGTAGACTGCAACAGAACTGGTAGTGATGAACTTGCCGTTCTCATCAACAGTCGTCCAGTAACTCACAACATCATACTCTGTTATACCATTACCAAGATCCTTGGTGATCGTACTGCCAGAAGGTGCTGGGTCGTGAGACACACTGGAGCTGATCTCTGTACTGTCAGTTATTATTTGACCTTGCCCATTAACTGTAATAAAATAAGAGTACACATCTTCTTCAACATAGTGATCCCCAAGTACTGTAATTGTCTTTAATGGTGGTGGTGAATAGACGCTACTTCCACTCGTAAAAATAATTTGTCCATCTTTTGCACTCGTATAATAGGAAATAATAGCCCAAATAGTGACTCCATTGGAATCAACAGTTTTGCTTGTCAGTGGAGGTGGAGTAATATAGGCTCTAGATGAAGAGATAGTAGTACTCGCGGTAAAGACCTTCCTGTTGGAGTCTTGGGTTAGGTAGTAAGAAATAACATCCACCTCAGAGTATTGCGAATTGCTAATAGTAACTGTGGTAACTGGTGGGACCTTATACTGGGTTAATGTGATTGTTGAGATTGTTTTAGTTGATGAAGCCGTGTAAGTGCCACCTTGAGCATTCACGGTGCTGTAGTAGGTGACTACACCAATATATTCATAGTTGCCAGAAAAGGATGTAAAAGTTGTTGGTTTTGGGAAAGGTGGGATAATGGTAGAAATAAATGTAGAAGTGGAATGGGAGTTACCTTTGAGTATATCAGTAAAAGAGTAATATACTTCGTGTGTGACACCTTTCTCTGTTATTGTAGTAGTGTAAGGGGCGTGCAAAACAGGGTAGGTTGTTGAACTAATTAGTGGGCCACCCTTTGCGTTTACAGTTGAGAAGTAAGATACCACATATGATTCAGTAGTGGAGTCATGAATGGTGAACGTTGTATAAGGTGAAGAGATTGGTGTACTCCATGGTATTGAGGTCCTTATAGTTGTAGGAAATCCTCCTTTATCACTGGTCGCAATGTATGAAACAGTAAATTCCTCAGTGACATCAAGAGTGTATATTGTAGTGTTGTATGGTGATGGAAGAGGTTGAAATGTCCTCGTTGTAGGGGGCTGAGCACCATAATATATTGCTGAAATGATATAGTTAGTACCAAGGTATTCTTGTTGTGTACTATCCAGTTTGATAAAACTGTTAATATCATAGCCTGGGCCAATGTAAACCTTAACTGTAACTTGGTTAGAGACTAGGTTTAATACATTTCCATCATAAGTATAAGTAAAGTTTGGATCAGTGAAACCCAAAAAATTGTTGGGATCAAAAGATGCCAAGTTGATAGTAACTAAACGAGGTGTTGTGTTGCCTCTAGTATCAAAAAGCATAAGAGAGCCGAAACCTATAGTAATGTTTTGTAGAATATTACTTTCCGTCTGATCAAAACCTAAAATAAGAAAGCCACTAAACAAATTAATATTACCGTTGCCTACAATAGGTTGATGAATTCTCAACGCAGTACCATACACGTTTAGAACACCATTATTCGTAATGTCACCAGTAGTGATATCAACACCACCCGCTTGGTATAAGGTCAAAGTACCAGTATTAAGGATAGAATCCTTTGGCGATAAAACTATAGAAAGGTCGTGGTTGACAATAGCAGCGGCGTCGTTATTTTGCAATAACAATGTACCTGTATTCAGGATACTGTCACCAGTAATTTTAATTCTGGCGTTAGTAGTTCCATCATTAAGCACAGAAACTTGTCCATTGTTGATCGTATCACCTGTTATACTTATGTTCAACAGACTACCACTTTGAGGATTATGAATCGTTAGCTTACCATTTTTCATGATATAGACCTTGTCGTTAAAAGTGTAAGGACCTGATCCTTCAAACGTAACATCACCCCCGGTACCAACCGCCACAGGTGTAGGGAACGTTACTGCTTGTGGTATCGGAATTGTCGTAGTTACTACAAGCTGTGCAGTAACCCTGGACAATAGCAATGTCCACAATAAGGTTATGGTCCAGTTGAGCAACATTTTTTTTCTCCTTAGTTGGACCACAAAAATTATTGTTAATCAATAAATAATCACTTCTTTATAGTGTTACAAAAACTAAGTGGTTTATCAAATGATAAATTGTAGATTACTTTTGTATTTTCTTTTAGCTATCAGGAAAACTTCTAAGTGAAAACTTGAATAAAATGAAAACTTTAATGATTGTAATGTCCAAAGACCACTTCTGAAATTGAAAAACTTCTTAGTTCACACTTTTATATCAAATCCTTATGATATGTGGAATTGGCCAGTCTTTCGAACCTTATATTCAGTCACTAAAATTTATTCACCTTATAAAAATAGGATATTTCTATTAGTTTGTTTTTCAGTTTTTATTGAACCAAATACCAAAGTAAAGGGTAAGAAATATGTAAAGATAGTTCTTTTCAACCTTTATATCGTATTTATGTTTGGTGTATTCTAAAGCTGATACTTTTACCAGAAAATAAAAAACGTTGGATTTTTATAAATACTTGTCAATTCAAAAGTAGAGTTTTTGAAGAAAGAAATAAAGGATTGATTAGAGGTTTTTATTTTAAAAGAGAGAGCAAAAACTCATTCCAATGAACTTTGTTCTAAAGAGTGGGTAAGAGAATTTCTATCTCTATTTGAATGGTTATATATTAGAATCAGACGTGTTGTAGGGGAATTTCATATGCTTCTTCCACAGTGAAAATTAGATGGAAAAAAAAAATCGATGGTAAAGCAATGCAGCCAGGGATCAAAAAAACCAAAAATGAAGAGTAGAAATAATACAAGATGAGCATCTTCTGAACTTTCTTGTCCTCCTTAATTCTTACCTCATTTATTCAGTGCGATAGTGGAGGTTAAGCTTCGTCCAGATAAAACAACAAAATTGAACCACTATTTACCCAATCTCTTCCTTATTTGTCAGTAGTAGAAATTTTTTTTTAGAATCTTCTAAGCTTTACAGTAATGTTCATCTACATTAAGAATATAGTAGAATCCTGATTGAATAAAATAATCGTTTTATCATGGTAACAGAAATTTTTTCGTGAATCGCTGAGTATAATTTTTTTTTCTTTTCTATTATTCATATCAATTTTTCTAAAAGAAAAAAAAAGAAATACCTTATAATATCTAATACAGAAAGAAATAATTGAACATGAAAATTGGTGTTTAATTAATCCCACTTGACTGTAAAAAAATAATTATCACAAGGGTGTATTGATTTTCTTCTATCTTGAAAGTTTTGAGACTATGAGTGAATTTTGTTTTGTTTTGTAATTCATTTTGTAAAATCCCTAAAATCCTATCGGGCACAACATTACCGATCGGATTATAGAACGCTGAAGAACCTGGCAAAATAGTGGTATTCCTCTCCTTGGGAGGAAGAAAAAGAAAGAAATGAGAGGAGCTACTATGTCTGAGTAGAACGGCTATACAAGTAACTCGAAGAAAACTCAGGCAGTATGTTTGCAGAATATGAATTCTGTGAAAAAAATAAAAGGCTAGTGAAAAATGCAAGTCATAGATCTATGAAGGTGTAGAATCTGATGCAGAAAGAAGTTCTATACTAACTGGTCCTACAATTTAGGGGGACCACAAATGAATGTATATGGAATATCCTTCGTATCTGGGTTGAAGGGACCCATAGACACTAACGCCTGACGCATACGAGATCTCGTTCGAGCTTCGGGATGGGTTGTACAGGGGTGTATTAGATCCGGAACATACTTCGGGATCCGTTTTCAGAAAATGATTATTTCATCATTTCCTATCAGCAGTGTGCGAGTTTCTCACTGACATAATGTATTTTTCTTCCTAGTCTTCTCTGGCCACAACCAGAAAACGCTAAATAAAAATGAAAAAGCAATTTCAAACCAAAATAGTTTTTCCGTGGTTTTCATGTTGTTCACAGAAACGTTCGTTACAGAGAGTGGACTTGTAAGCTTACCACATCTGGGGTCAAAGTTTCGACGATTTTCTATTTTTTCCTCATAATTTACAGAAACTTGATCAATTACACAGAAATGTCCGCGAGGAATATTTGCAAGAAATGAAACACTTTGTTTCTCTGCGTTGGTTTCACTGTCGGAATTTACACATACAGTGGAGAATTATTTCCGGCCTCGGTGCTCTTACTCTCTGCTTCATATACTTCCGAGGGCCAAAGCTAAGACAAGCCTATCGCGATGGGAAATTTTTGGGTTAACTGTCGTCTAATTCGAAAAGATGTAAGACCCTCGAATCATGAATGGAAATGGGCATGGCATTTCTTTTTGCATATTTACTTCTCGAATGTGTCATGTTGTGCAAAACTTTCTCAATTAGGAAGGGGAGCTGCGCGATGGTATCCGTATTATTGCTGACGGATGGAGAAAAGATGGGGGGGGGGCTACTCGATAAAAAGAAGATGTAGTAATGAGGGTTGCATGCAAAGCTCTACGATTTTGCTTATTCGGTTACATGTATTTTATATTTTTAGCTTTTGTTACTTATATGATGTCATATGTTTATTATATGATGCTCTAAAGTGTCCATAGCCCTTATACATAGTGCTTTTAGAGAACCTCAAAAACAAGATAAATTTTATTGTTGGAATGCGATCGAGACCTTGATTGGATTACAGAGTTTACATCACTGGAGTAATAGATCTCTGCGAAATAATTTAGAGTGTTTCAATCTCAAGTTTTGTTTTGTGACTTACATCCATGTGGTTCATACCTGTAGAAGCCTGTAATTTTCAATGGCTACATATCTATCTAGTGAGTTTAATGGACAGACGTAAAGCACCATAAAAAGATGCCTTTCTTATGTTCCAGAATGTATTAAAATAACTTCAAGGATTTTAATAATGTTATTATGGTAACATGCGACATTTAGAATTTGTACTCATAATAATTGTAAATTGAAGCAAACCTCACATTTCAAACGCCATAAAGATTGAGACCAATAGAACAACAGTTCTGTAATCAGCAAACGATTTTCTGAACTAGTGAAAGAGTGTTTATTGCTTAGCCAGCGTTATTATATCGATAGAACCATTTATTTTACATCTGAGTAGTACTGGCTTCTTGAGTTAGCTATTCTTTTTGATCACATAAAAGAGAGAAAGGAAATGTGAACTATACCTGTGATTGTATTTCTTATGCCTTGTTGATATGCTAATTACTTCTTCTGGTCTGAATGTAAATATAAACTAACAAAAACTGAGTTCTAAAAATAAAACATTATTATAAGATCTCAATGATTGCTTTCTTAATATGTGGATAGCATTGTGTGATTCTCTCTGTACACTAATATTGAACTGCGGCGAATCCCTATAGCTTTCCCCTTTTGAGTTACCTTTTTCATGTTCTACAATTAATCATTGTCGTTACAATAAAGAATTTTGTGGGGGATATACCCAGAAAAAGAAACACACGAAACTAGAATTGAAGTTCAATATGAGAACATTAGCTAGAAAAAAAGGTCGGTGGAAAAAAAATGAAATAGCTGGTTTCAGTAATGTAAAACTAACTAAGAAACTTATGTAGTTCTTATTTACCAATCAAACAAATACAGATAAAAAGTCTGTCTATGCTACGTAGTAGTTTAAAATGGCTCGGCCATAGTGTACTGATTGGTGGGGACCTTTGATTGTATTTACACACAAACGTTCAACCTCCATAAATTGAACAAATTTTTTCTGTACTTCATGTTCTTTTTTTCTGGATTGTTATGATAGAAAGAAAAAAGAAACAAAACATTAAAAATGGTATAACGCTGGTTAGTACGAAACCATATTCTAATGCTTATCAGTGTTTATTGTATTCCAATTCAATAACTTAACAGTTTGATTGATTAGAATACAATATATCCCACGGATCAAGGTATGGTTATGTGGGATTTATCTAAAATAGGTTGCTAATACATCTTCCTCAGTGTATGGTAACTCTTGCGTACACCTGATAAGATACGCGCTTGAAGGATTGAAAGAGAAATGAGAGATAGTATACAAAAAAAGAAATGGCTTAAGCAATTTCTCGTACACATACAACAGATAAAACACATGAGTGATTTATTCAATGTATTTAGTTTTTTAGACTGACTTGGCTAAGGGGTTTGATATAGATATTGGTATTCTGATGATAGAACATGTATAAATTACTATTCTACTTTGGTTTTATTACTCGCACTGGATTAGTGATTTTTGCTCTATTATCTTACACATGTAAATGCCTATTACGTACTACTTGACCAGAAAATTGTAATTCTCTAGCTCGTTTTGAAGATGCATTGATCCAAGGTAATTAGTTTGCATAGTATGTGGGTGGTCATATTTGTGGGTACTATGTAAGCATAATTCAGAATGTGCCGATTTTCAGTAACGAGAATATTTTAATTTTGGTAGTAAAAGAACTCAGAGGTTTTTGCCTCAAAAAAATAACTTACATGTTACTAGAAAATTGTCAAATTAATTTAAGAGGTGCCACCATTAAGAAAAATGGCAGTTCTCGTATATAGAAAATCTTCTATCCTTCAGATCATAAAATTACTTTTCTAGCGATTCATATGCTTAGGAAGGGTATAATTCAACTTTATAATATCGAAATATTACCACCCACTTATTTTTTTTGGTGCTTTGCAATAATAAATATATGATATCTTGACCAATCTAAATCAAAAAATTGATCTAAAATGAATTGAACCCAACACACTAGTGTGTTAATGTAAATTACATCTATTGCATTTATCAGGTATTTTGATAAACTAGTAAATTTTCAAAAAAAAAATGATTTATACTTTCTACCTTTTCTTGCGTAATAAAACTACAGTGAACTACCTCGATTTCTATGTCTCCCCATCCTGATGAACTATTATATTGCTGTTTAATGGTCATCCCACATATTCACAAGATTTAACCGTTAATGCCATATCAAATTTCACCTTCTATTTTTAGGATGTTTGTAATATGTTATGAAAAGTTATCTAAGCTATATTTGGAGTATTAAAGTGGGATAATATTCTTGCAAGGTGGCTTTTCAGTCGAAGTTTTTATTGAAGGTTATGTTTCATTGGGGGGGAGTAGAGAAGATATGTAGAAGCTCTCCAGTTATCCATCAACTGGAGCTTGAGCTCTTAAAAATAAAGAAGTGTAGAGCTATACGGTTTATTTTTTACTTCCGTTTACGTAACGTAAGGGATAGTTGATTTATTAATATCGATCTTGCATACTCAGTGAATAATCAAACGTAGTAAGATTGTATGTGTATCTCCTATTTCAACACACTCCCCCCTCCCCATTGTAATAAGAGGTTATGTGAGATCGAGTAAGTACTAAGTACTTGGCTAGAAAAAGAAACCAAAGAGCTTATCAACACAAACAGCTCTCTCAGTTTAATGCACGCACTGGCTTCCCTCTCCTAATAGAACAGATAAGTCTATGGACAAACATTCGGTAATTGAAATTATCGCCGAGAGAATATGATTATTAATAGATTTACGGTTTTTGGGTAAAAGTGCCAGTCAGTGTATTCCCAGCAGAGTCCCCCCTGAATGTTCTACACAGACGTACTCGGAAGAGAAGCGGCAGTATTCCTTGCAAGCCAGAACACCACGCAGAAGCAAAGATCTTCAGTAGAACTACTCGCCTCGAGACAAAAAGCGAATAGAGACTTCTCTGCGTTATTGTCTGTGATAAAAAATCGGGTAGGGGAGTTGCGGAAAAAGAAATAATATGCCAAGTTGTTTCTCGAGCCATTGTCTTATACACTTCGTATGCTGGCCATCTCCTGTAAATAGGGTCTTCTGCAAGATATTGCATCAAGATAGAACAATACTGAGAGAATGGAGGAAGAAGCGAACGCATTGGAAGATGGTAGGAAAGAAGAAAAGGGCAAGTAGCTGGTGGAAGATACTCAGTTGTTACTTTTGCTTGGTACAATACTTTCTGTTTGATCATACCATTTACATCACTGTGGATCAAGTGAAGCTTCGCACCTTACCTAAATCGCAGAAAAATAGGGAAGGACTTCTCTCTAACCAATGATCGTTAATGTGTTGTGGATGTTATTCCCTCTTTGGAAGGAATTATCCATCATTCTATATCTGGGGATTGTTGATAGCAATTACGTTCATTCTCAAAATACCGCATCTTCTACAGATAACATTCTATTGGGGTGTTCCAATTAAAATATCGGTATACATGTGTGAATATGAATCAAAGAAAAACAGATGCTGCTGTTTTCTTCCACTTGTTATTGAATTACTGATATGTAATTTTTTAGTAAGGCTCTCCTTTTCGTGCTCATTTGATCATCTGCATGGGTTTCGTTGTCTGTTCAGATAATTACTAGTGTTGTGGTTGTTATTGTTGAAAAATAGGATATCTTAGCTTTAGGGATTAAATTCCTCTTCGGTTTTCAAAATTATTGCCGAAAACGTAGTATCAATATTTCTTCTACATAGTCCCAATAATAATTCGAAAAATTGAAAAGAACAGGTAATCATTCCGATTATGACTTCATAGTGATATCAGAACGGCATAAATGGGAATGCCAATGAAAACTTTACTTACTATATCCTTATGATTGCTCTAGCAACGCCTAACTACATTGTGTAAGCTGAGGAATAAAAATTCTAAAAACAAAGTAAACTGTTTTTCCTTGCAATTCATACCTTGTATGTGTTTGGTTTTGGCCGCATTCTTGAATTCACCCATATACTCAAAAACTCTTTGTCAAATCTCAATATCAGATAGCAAAATTCTTACATTATTTTTGATATGAATGACACTCTATAAATGATGAAATATATAAATAAAAGTATGAATTCTTGAATATGACTTCGATTCCTGTTCATAATGAATTCGTACTAAAAAGTATGAAAACTCCAATTAAATGAATAAAATTCTCCTATATTTGAACATGACTATTGCTGAAAGCAGATTACTTAAGAAGGATGGATTTGGTGATGGAATCAAATTTGCTGTTTCAAAATTAAAGTTCAAGACTTTTATGAATTGAAAGCTATGTACATAAAAGGCATAATTTTCATGATAGGAAGTGTCTTCTGATAGAGACTGTTAAAAATTAATAAAAGTTGAAGAAGAACAGTACCTTGCTAGTTTATTTTCTTGGTAATAGTACTACTATTATTTATAAATCGCTATTCGCTTAATCAATAAAACCCAGTAATCTTGTTTTCTATAAAAAATATTCTTAATACTTATTAGGAGAAAAACGCGATAACTATTAGTTATAGACATACTAGTTTTCTGACAGTTACTATATTCCACGACTATTTTATTATTCTAAGGGTGATTTATATCTGAACATAATCATTCTACATGATAAAGTTAAACATTATACTATAAGCCTAAAAACAATAGTAGGAAGTGACACAATTGCTCATAACAGTTTGAACATTAGTCGACTACCAAAATATAAAATTTCGATAAGCACATATATACATATTTTAGATATTCCAATAAAAAAGATAATGAAGACTTTTACTATTTAAAATGTCACATAAACGTATCTTTACTAATTTTTTTTGTAACATTGAGCTATGTAAGTTTTAGTAAGTTCGACTCTTAGCCAGCATTGCTTATGCACGATTATATTTTAAGTTGGTTAATACCGTTTACCGCAGTGTCGCATTTTTTCTCAAATTCAGAAATTATTTTCAAGTCTGTTCGCAGAAGCTGTTGAAGATCATTCCATTCTTTGCCATTTTCCGAGCTTATGTCTGGTTTTTGATTAGCTATTTGAGCCTGTTGCTCTTTTATGAATTCCAACTCTTGATGATTAGTCGAGGCCTTCCTAACATAACTGTTAAACTCGATAACCGACCTTTTAATCTCAGCAAACCACTCACTTTCAGCAGCTGAAATATTAGAGTTATTCATCGATCCCATTTCCTTTTGCCCTTCAACCTTATCGTATAATGATGATAGTCTTTCCATTAGTTTTTGTTGTTTTTCTTTTACCTTATCGATCTTAGTATTTTGGACCTCTCTTATTTGTTCAAAATTATCCCAAAACTTATTTATTTGATAGGTCGTCTCGATTTGCCTGCTGAATTCCTCAATAGAGTCAATCATTCTTTTCCTATATATGTAACCGAGCGTCTGAGCCATTGATATCATTTTCATATAACTTTCAGAAATTTTGGTCAATGATTCTAATTGATTTTCGTTACTTGAGTTTTTCAGTGGTGCACTTCTTATTTCAAGCGGTATTTTTGTAAAATTTTGATTTTGAAGATTCTTATAGTATATTTGCTCATAATGTTGTATTTCTGTCAATGGTCTTGCAAATTTAACTTCATAAAGACCGTTTTTTAATTCCGGTAAGTCAAGTTTACTTTCCACCTGACTATTGGATTGATCAATTAATTTGTGTTTCGTTGTACTTGAAATTCCATCAAGCATGTCCAACTCCTCAATTTTTTTATCACTAATAATATAATTGCATGAGATGTTTTCATTTTTCCAGTATATTATGCTTTTAAAGGTAGTAGCTAATTGTTGAAGGTTTTCAATATTTGATTTAACCTTTAAGTTTGCTAATAGTTTAATATCAGAATCATCAATTATTTGAGCCAGAATTGTAGACCAATCACAAGTGTTAACAAAGAAATTCGACTTAACATTGTCAGTGACCACAAATTTACCATAGGTTCCTGGAATCGATAAAAACTTTGCATTATCTGTTATTTCGAGCTTTATCTGTTCCAAAAGTGCCAATGAGTTGCTTCCGGGAAATCTAGAAATATCCCAACTCATAATAGGTTCTAAATCTGAAAGAAATAAAAGAACAGTTCCATTACTAAACGCAATTGCTAGTAAGGATATGTTTTGTGTAATTTGAATGATATTGATATCTGTTGCCATGAAATCATATAGTTCATTAGGATAAGGTGTCATAGAAAATGGCCCTTGGGGTTGTGCATTAAGGTAAGCATCCTCAAGTATTAAAGGTTTTTTATCATTCCTGAAGGCAGTCTTTTGACCTCTGATTTTCTCCATGAAATTAAGCTGCTTGACAATATTTCTTTTTTCCTGCGGTGTTGTGTTTACATTCATGTTGTTATAAAGAAGCAATGATTTCGCAAATAATGTGTCTACTTCATGTAGAGAGATATCCCACCGTCTTGGAAGGCACGGATAAATGGTAAATATATCACAACCTTCCTCAGCACTAAGTATGAGCAAAGACAAGCCATCCTGTGAGAAAATAATCTTTTGGATATCGTTGATTCGATCGTATAGCCCGAGGGCAGAGTTCTTGCTATTAAGATTAATCATATTCTTGTCAGATCTATTATCGTCTGTGTTTATCATGAAAATACTATCGTCATTCGTCAGAACAAGTATAGTAGAATCCAGATAGCTCTTAGGGTGAAATAAAACTTGTTTAATACTATGATTTTCATCAAATTTGTGGCTGTAAATGTGGCAAAGATGTTTTAGGCCATTCTCCTCTCCAGAATACATCCATGGAACTTCCAACACATGCAGCTCATCTCGATTGTAGATACATACGTAATCGGCTGTTGTACTTGAAACCGCACCCTCCACTTTACCTTCAAATTGCAAATCAAAATCTAAGCTTTTATAAGTTGTAGAAGTGCTATGGCACCAACGGAGATGCCCACGGTCAGCGATTGATACAATCTTTGTGCCGTCAGAAGATGAAAAAAGGAACCTCTGAGCTGCATTTCCAGTAAACGCTTCGGAGTTTTTGAGTATATTGGGGATCGACATTATTTGCCTGTAATTCAAAGTCACGACACAGTTAAACTTCTTGGAATGAGGTCGTTTCAGTGCTTTTTTTTCTTTCCACTATCCTTACCTAACAGGATAATTCTGACTAAATTGGGGACTCGCTAGTAAGTTCTAGTCTATGCAAATATATTGGCTTCCAAATAGAATTAGGACTTATACTGCTGATCAATTGATCCTGTCACTTGATTCCAAAGATCAGTTCTTGATCTTGGATGCTGTCTTTAAAACTTCTAAATGCCTGAAACTCATCGAATTGCCCATTTTTTTCCGGTTCTCTACTTCGTGTACAAGCACAATAATACGGTATATGTTCATCCAAGTTGTGATTCTCTGGCCACTGTCTAAAGTGAGTGTCTATAACATTTCAATCTACAATATTTGATATATAATTAGTTCTATGAGTTAATTGCAAATCCATGGAGTTCAAGAAAAGAGCATTTACAAACCTATTTTTCAGGTCAATAGTAAAAGGATTTCCGGTATCCAATGCACGATGATACCAACAAATATGGTCCACACCATATAATAGCACAGTTTTGGAGAAAACACACTCCATATGAACAAGTGATATCTAAGTATGATACATGCCAGCAGTAGACAACATCCAATGGTCGATTGAATGATAATAAATGGATACTTGGCGGCGACCAAGGTCTGCCATCTACTGGAGTTTGCGTTTGCGTAAGTGATCCGCCAATTATAGAACGACCAATATATCGTTGGTGCAAAGTTAGAGATGCACATCATCAATCCAACAACATAAATATTGTAGTTCTCAGAGACACCATTGTACGCATTTGAAAGGTCAACTGTAGCTATGGAGTTCGTGCCTCCACTTTGAAAGAAAGTAAAAAACTGCAAGATAATACCAAATATAACAGCCAGCAGATAGTCACTTTGGTATCTTTCCCTTATAATATGTACAGTTATCTCATTTATTATTTCAAAGAACAAAAATAAACCAATGTTGTGACTAGGTGTCTGAAATACAAGGAAAATAGTAACATAACGGCTCACCACTGCCAAAGATTTAGAGATATCGGATACTTGGAAGAATTTTTGTATCATTAACCTGGAGACAAGTACAGCAAAGAATAGTTTAAAAAATATCCTTGCCAAAGGAATCAATGCAGTGTGTATTAGATCTTCCTCTCGGTATAATGTTGCATCTTCAACTATTAATGAGGCTGTTTCAAGAACCCATTTATAAAACAAATCTGGAACTCTTTCACCATTGACAATGGACCAGTTTACCTTGTACAGAAAAGTTATCATAGATAATAAACCCATAGAAAGTAGATCTGAAAATCCAAGAAGAGAAACAGTGTGATTACCAAAACGTAAAGACTTTAAATTTAAGCCTACTACTGTAACTGTTATCAGGTTTAACCACCATAGGGCATCGATATTTCCCTTTAGCAAGTTTGCAATCACGTTATCATAAGTATACTTCTGGCCACTGTTATTCCAGCCTCTAATCAAACGTAAACAAAACAGAACTATGATATGTGATTTCCAACTACTAAAGTTTAAATTAACCATTGATAGTAGCACTAGACCAGTAATAATCCACCACCAAAATTGATGTTCTTCTTCGATAAAACTACTTCCAAATACTGAGATGCCCATAAGCGCAGCAATTGCTATCAGGATGGAGGTGTTGATGTTAATTGCGACATGCCTAGCATATCTATAATATATAGTACCGGTAATAACAATAGAAAGGAAACAACCAATGAATAGTAATGGGTAATTGTAGTCCGTAGCAGTTTTGGCTAGATTCTCTTGCACATCCTTCATGTTCTTGATTACATCCTCAATTACAAAATTCTTTGTTTCTTCCATGATTTGCGTTTTACCCTTTGTTAAACCAGAAAGTTGGTTCCAATTCTCCTTGACTATAGCCTTCTGCAATGAGACATCTTTGAACAATTGCAAGAACTCAGGTATTATAACTCCCACATTGTTTTTCGGTATGGCTACATTGAATAGTGAGCTTATTGTGGGTACAACATCGATTTGCTGGATCTTCTTCAAGTAGTGAAATGTTTTCTCTTCACCAGCGTTTAGACTTGGAATTTTCATGGGGAATTCCTTAGCGCTGCTTTGTTCCTTAGAAGGCTTATATGCTGCCAATTTATCAGATAAGAAGACCATCCCAGCGGAGGTCTCACCAGCTGAGGAACCACCGTGATTGCCGAGGTCGTTCATACCGTGGTCACCCATCAGCACGAGCAAAGTAGACTGCATATCTAGCTCGTCGTAAAGCTTCCTAATGATGCTGTCCATCTCTTCGTGTTTGGGCCCCATAAACCTGGAGTAAGGCCCGTCTTTGTGCCCGATGTGGTCCAAACCGAGGTAGTGCAGGATCAGCACGTCCCACTCGCTTGTCTCACGCAGTTGCCTGTCGATATGTCTTGTTACATTGAGGTCCACCTGGGTGAAGTCGCTCACGAAGAAAGAGTTGGTTCCTTCGTATTCATCGAACATGGTCTGGGAGTCCTCATTGGCCTCTACAGGTGGGAACAGCTTCAACCACGTATCGTCACCGAAGAACCTGATGCGCTTGCCGGCGTTGTTTCTGAACTGCCACAGCCAGGAGTCCTGTGCCAGCAGACTCGAGGAAGTATCGTCCTCGGCCACGTTCAGGATAGCGTCCAGGAAGTTCGGTGTGGAGCCAGTGGTGATGCCTTTCAGCCGCGGCAGCGTCACAGTGGGCGGATTTGAGTGCGCAGTGAAGCCCCAGGCGCTGCCGTCCGCGAGCTTCTCATGTATGAAGTGGAACTTGGAGATGGACGCATCGAAGAGGAAGTCGCTGCGCATGGCGTCGACGACCACGACCACGAGCTTGTCGAACACAGGGTCTCTGGCGTGTGTACCATCCAACGCGGCGTGGCCATCGAGCACTTTCTTCTGCGGGAAGAACCCACAGCCAAATATAAGCACCGCAATTGCGTGTGCTACCACCAGCAGAAACAGCATTGTCGATAGTTAAGTGCCCTCTTGTTTGCTGCTTGCACAGGCCAATTGCATTGCATCGACAGCTTCCCAATTTGTATCATTCGAAGTGGAAAAAAGAGAGCTATTGAATTTTGATTAGAGATAGATAGATTATACAACCAGGGTCATATATACTTTCGCGTAGTGTAATGTGTAGCATGTGTAGCATGTGTCTAGTGCGAATGGGGTGGGGGGGATATATACAGGGATGGCTTTGGCGGGAGCTCACTTCTTCTTGTGCTCCTCGTACTCTTTCTTCAATTGCTCGAGCTCCTTCGGGTCGATAGGAGGCACAGGCACGTCCTCGAAGTCGTTGTCCTTGTGCAGGAACTTGTATGTGTAGACGTAAATGCCGCCCGTGACGGCCAGCAGACCGGCCAGCCCAACCATGTTGCCCTTGAAGAACGGCTGTCTCGCACGGATCATCGCAGGCGTCATCTTCCATGTCCGCGGATCCTGGTAACGTGAAGGCTCCAATACCATATCGAAGTACTTGTGCTTATGTGGTTATGTGGCTATGTAGCTATGTGATTGTGTGGACTATGTGCTTGCAAATACATATGTCCCCAGTTATGTTCCCAGTTATACTGCCCCCTTCGCTCCCAGTCCAAGTCATGCCGCACGCCACCTCGAACTTCGAGTCCAACTACTTCAGCAGTTGCAAGTTGCAAGTTGGAATGAGCTAAAGGTACTTGAACTGCAGCTTGAACTGCAGCTTGCATAGGCTAATACAACTTGAAATTGCACAGATACCAACCATGACTGCTGGTATAGCTAGGCGGTTGAGTCGGGACAAGCCGCACCGGGAGATGATGCTGCGGAACCTTGTGACGTCGTTGCTGGAGCACGGGAGTGTGGTCAGTACGCATGAGAAGTGCATGGAGGCGTCGCGGCTGGCGGACCGGGTGATCCACTGGTCGAAGAGCGCTGGCCACAGCTCTAAGTACGTGTCGCTGATCCAGTCGAAGCTGTTTCTGAGCGGGAACAACTCGGGCCTGTTGCGGAAGCTGTGCGGCGAGATTGCGCCGCGGTACGTGGAGAGGCCAGGCGGGTACACCCGTGTGATGAAGCTGGAGCCCCGGCTGGGCGACAGGGCGCGCCAGAGCGTGCTGGAGCTCGTGGACACGCCCGTGGTCACCGCGGGGGACGTAGCGCACCCGCAGCCTTCCATCCAGCGCGGGAACATGAAGCTGTGGCTGCTTGCGAGGGCTACGTTGACAGACGAGTCGCTGGCCAGGGCCCACAACCCTCAAACTCTGCTGAACTTGAAGAAGATGCTCAAGTTCAGGGATGCCGGGGATGTCGCGAGGGACCTGCTGGTCGTGAGATCGCTGCTGAGAGAGGATATGGGGCTCGAGCCAGTCGACAAAGAGCAGGACCACGCTGCGGTGACCACACTGATCCAGGCAGCACAGGCAGCTACACCAGTGTCCAAGAAGAAGGTCAGAAACGACTACAAGTTCGAGACCGCGAGACCCAACGGCCCCCAGTAGAAAAGTTGAAATGAAGGGCCTCTATGGAACTTGTGAAGTTCAAAAGAAACGGGCAAACCTTGTACATATCTATATAGCGAAGACGTAATCAATATAGCCCTACAGAAATTCTATATTCCTATCATTGTGTTATGCTTGTCACTGCCACTGGCTCATCATATGCCTCGCGCAAAACAAATTGGTGAAATGCGAAATTATAAAAAGGCAGACGGCAGAGCCAATTGGGACTTGATTTGTTAGTAGCTCACGCTGGGGCCAAACAGACAGGAGTCGACGATGGAGCAGCCAGCGGACAAGCCAGTTGAGATGGAGACAAGAAACGAAGGAGCAGAAGCGGTAGAGCCGGCGGTTGAAGCGGTTGAAGCGGTTGAAGTTGAAGCAGCTGAAGCAGCTGAAGCAGCTGAGCAGAAGGACGCGGAAGCCATGAATGAGACGGTGGATGGCGACACGGATCAAGGCGATGAGAGCAGGTCGAATGCGCAAGTGATTGAGATCGAGGACAGTGACTCGTCGCCTGAAGGTGACACTGAAATGGATATCGATGAGGACCAGGAGATGAAGCACGATGATCGCGATGAGACGAGACCCACAACGCAGTCGTCTGCGAAGGAGGAGTCCCGGTCTTCTAGCCGTGTGGTCAAGAGCGAGATGGATGAGTCTATAGCGCAGTCCAGAAGGGAGATGGAGGAATTGGAGAGCGAGCTTGGCGAGGAAGCACGCAAGGAAAAGCAACGTGTGGTAGATGAATTGAAGAAGCAGTACAAACTGATAAACAGGGAGTATATCAGACGATGCTCACGATTCCCGATCTCAAAGATGAGAATGATTGCTAAGAATGACCCTGAATACTTAGAGTGTACCAAGGATGCGTTGATCGCAACAGCCTTCGCTACTGAGCTATTTGTGCAGACTTTGACCTACGAGACATTGATCGTCAACGGATCGGTACCGTACGGGGACGGCAACTTCCAACAGGAGCCCAAACCAGAGCCTTCAACACCTATAAACAGCGACGAGTTGCTCCTGGATTATAAATCGCTCTCAGAGTCAATAGCTCTGGTCGACCACTTCCAATTTTTGGCAGACATTGTTCCAAGAACCAAGAACCTACGAGAGTTAGTCAAGGAGAACAAAGTCAGATACACTGCCACCCAAAAGAACTGAGTCATTGTCGTAGAGATTATATACTCCAAGATTCCAAGATTGAAGAAGGAGTTCATATGTGTAGTATTAGTTTTCAATTTGTATAAAGAAACTCATTTTATAACGTTAACAAAATAAGGTCCGTTCTCATTGATCAAGGATCAATTTCTAGAAATTCAAGGAACGGTAGTTCTAGTATAGATATATAAGTTGGACCACCAAGAACAGTATCTTGTCACAAATACATTAGTAGCGTCTGTGGTTAGCTATCACTTAGGAAATTTGATGGAATAATGGGCTTGTTTAATGGAGACGACGAAAAGTTGAAAGAGCTATGCGACTCCGGGGTAAAGGATGAGTTGAACAGGGAGTCGTTGTTCGACGATGGGCTCATTCCTCATGGGTTGAAAGATAGTGCTTTAGAACTCTATGACAAAGCCGGATTGAAAGACATCTTTGAGTCCGGGTATGGCAGTTTGTGGGATACATTGAAAGAGATAGGAAACTACAACACCAATCTTGGCAGTCTTGTGAGCAGACCCCAAGGCAACGATGTTATTCAACAAGGTATTACTGGTCTATACCATTATGGTACACCCAATATGAGCCAATATAAAGAGTGTGCTGATGTGGATGGTCTCTCTGTTTGGGACACCCAAGGTTGGTGGAGATGCTTGTTTCCTCAAGGGGTCATAAGGGACAAGTTGAAGGTCGACGACTTATCAAGCAAAGAACAAGACAGCGTAATGAGTAAAATATTGACCAAAGAAGCTGTGGTCAACGACAAGGATAACAAGTACGGTGTTTTCTTCCCCGAGTGGTCTCTTTACATGAAATGGAGAGTGCATATGAACCATCTCATCCAGCAAAGGAAAGAGGAAGAGATCACTAAGAGAAAGAATAATGACTTGAAGGATTGGGCTTATGGATTCTATGACAGCGATGACAAAACTCCAGAAGATATCATGATGAAGAAGTCCCTACAGGACTTCGACCACAAGGATGGTCCTGAGATCATAGGCAAGTCAGAGTATGTTACCATACAATCGACTAACGATGGTAAAGAAGAAGTAAAACAACTAAAGACTTTTTACAACAACGGTACGACATCGATAGAGTCGATTAAGAAGGTTTACCCAAAGGATGGTGGCAAGCCTAGGATTGAAAGAACTGTCAGAACTGTGCCATCTTCAAGGGACAAAGGCAATGGCTTCTAAAATTTCCTGCTTTATTTATCTCTAACGCTATGTTTAATGACCAATATTTAAAGGAAGTATATAATTTACTAGATATTCATGTATGTATTTGTTAAAAAGCCCACTATCCTATACTAGTTATCACTCCGTCATCAGGAGGCGAAATCGGTGTTATAAGAAACAAAAAAAAGGGAATATAACATTGAAGCACAGCTATTGAGGACATATACAGAGCTTAACTGTTAATAATTATTGCAAGAAGGTTGACATTATAAAAACAGAACTAGATGAAGCAAGTGAAAAGTATTGCTGTGTGTGGAGGCAAGCTGCTACAATTGAAGCATGCATCCGAAGTATTGCACTGTGAGATGGACGTCAATGTTTATCTACCAAAGCAGTACAATACCAACAGCCAGGGGAAGAAGATTCCAACCATCTACTACTTGTCAGGGTTGACATGCACTCCACAAAATGCCAGTGAGAAGGCCTTTTGGCAAGCCCAAGCTGATAAGTACGGGTTCGCCATGGTATACCCAGACACTTCTCCAAGAGGTGACGATGTTGCCGGTGATCCCGAAGGCAGTTGGGACTTTGGAAAAGGTGCTGGGTTCTATATCAATGCTACGAAGGAGCCATTCCAAAAGCATTACCACATGTTTGACTACGTCCACAAGGAACTGCCTTCCGAATTGGCAAAGTTCTTTGAAGAACAAGGCCAAAGCAAAATCGATTTCCTGGATAACGTATCTATCACAGGCCATTCAATGGGTGGATTTGGTGCGTTATCGGGCTACTTGCTGCATTACTCAGACAATAAGTACAAATCCTGCTCAGCGTTTGCACCTATTGTAAACCCATCTGTGGTACCATGGGGCCAGAAAGCTTTCAAGGGCTACTTCAATGACCCCAAGGAAGGTGAACATTATGATCCATGCAACCTGGTGAAGCAAGTAAAGAACACAAACAACAGCTCTATTCTGATCCACGTAGGTACTAACGACCCATTCTTGAAAGAACAGTTGCAACCACACTTACTAAAGGAAGCTGCGACAGGGACTACATGGGAAAACAAGATTGATATAAACTTAGTGGATGGTTTCGACCACTCTTACTACTTCATCAGTACATTTGTCCCAGAACACGCAGCTTTCCACGCCAAACACTTGGGTTTAGCATGAGCAGTAGGACAAGGGACTTGAACGAGAACCTGCCCACTTTTAAGTATACTTAGTTACAACACAGCACAGGACAATACATAGATGTCGACATATACCAATACCAATATAGATTATTTGCTACTTATGTTTTTTATAAAATGATTTTCTAGATGAATTCAAACTTGATTTATCGTTAGTAAACTTAGGAAATAAAATATTTTGCAAATGCAAAATAAAAAATGTACTCCCCAAACCTTATAGCAGTATCATGGCCAATTATAGTCAACAGACATTGAACTGGTTTCTATAGTTTGTAGCCCATTCCGGTTGGACTTTTTATTACAATTACTTTTTTTCAGACAAAGGGTCCTATTTTGTTATAGTTAATCAACCTATGGATGCTTCTCAGCATTGTTTTATTTTTGTAATTATTTATCGAGCATTATTTATCTGCATGGAGGTGTTTGCTGTGTTTGCAATTGGGTGAATGAAGTACTCTATTCCCCACGTGTAACTAGTAACTCTATCTCAAAGTATAGATGATCAAAAAGAAATCTGGTATCCACTATAAATCTATTATAACATTTTTTTTTTCTCTTATGTCAAGAGGGTGAATCTTTTGATATCATTCTGATGAGAGCCTTCTGTATGTTCATCTTTCTTGCATATCGTGTAAGTCTCATAGTTATTAAGAGAACAGCACATTTGAATTGGTATTTGAAGTATGCAGTTAGACAAAGTACCGGAGTTTTATAGTAAATGTCTTTGACCACTATCAAATATTCATTACTCCCATTGTAGTACATTGACTTCCCTTTACCCCGCATCCAATATCGGACAGTTACATGAAGTTACTAGGCACTATGCTTTACAGTAATTAATAATAACTGATGTAAAGACAACATAAGATGTATACATTTTTTGAAAGAAAAAGAGTTTGAGTTATTATCAAAATTTTACAAAATTTAAGCACATTAGCGCTGTAATTCTGTAGTACACAGCCAGAAATAAGTAAACACCGATAAACAACACCATAACCATTGAGAAAGTGCTCTTGACAGAGAATAGACTCAAAATAAAAAATTATATTCTGGACAGCATGTGAACAAAACTTCATTGAGCAGAATATTCACATGCAAATGCTCTTATCTAGACTTTCATTATCTTACCTTGTGTTTCGCTGGCATCCATTTGATTTAGGAGATTTACATATTTTCATGGAAACACAAAAAAGGAAGGAGTCCGGTTAGAAGTTATGTAACCCCAAGAAAATGGTAAATCACAATATAGCAACGAGAAAAGGTTGTTTTCGAGGCCATAAAAACTTGACATAAGGACATTTTAACTGCAAAACATACATCGATTTGTTTAATGTTGAGATTTTAGACTGCTTCAAGCACCGTATTAGATACTCAACAATTGCTTTGGCTTGAGTTCTAGAGTGAGACGTATAATATATTATAAATTGAAATGTATATATTTTAGCTACAAATAATGAAAAATAAGTGTTCTTGCATAAACAGTAGAAGTCCAAATGAATGCTGATCATTTGCGTACATGCTGCTAGTCGGCAATGTAACTCCACTTTCACATGTCAAGCAAATAAAGCGATTCAGGTTTTGGCGAAGCATAAAAAACCCCTATAATCACAAAACGTATAGTTAATTGATATTCTGATGAAGATTTCGGTTTAATGTTTGATTTGGATTAGCATTATAATCATCACATTAATGGTTGTTTTAAACGCGGTAGATAATGAATCAATATTTGTAGGTCTAGATAAAGAGAGAAAATTTATTCTTGACTAATATATAGAAAAGAAGCTGCTACTTTAAAGTCTATTGCTTGTACCCGGCAGAAACAGAGAACTGTCCACCTGAACCAGCCAATACCATATCGACTTCTTTGGTTGCTGTGTTTGTAATTTTAACCGGAACTTCGATGTCATCGCCAGCAGGACCTTGACCGACTGCATATGTTTCCCCGAAACCCCAAGTATATAGTTTACCATCTTGGCTAATAGCAATACTGTGATGTGAGCCAGCAGCGATATTCTTGAATTTCATTTCTTTATATTCTCTATCGTCTTCGTCATCTTCTGGATCCAATTCTTCCAGAGTTTTTACAACCTTCGTAGGTAGCGGAACTGCTCTAACTCGCTCATGCTCATCCTTATAGGCATATGTAGGTAATTCTTTCTTTAGCAAACCAATTTCATTCATGTCAATTCTTCCACAAGTATATAGTGCTCCAGATTCCATCAAAAATAAACTGTGATGTTCTCCAGCACTTATTGTTCTAATGCTATCATTATCCAATGGTAAATTCATCACTTGCGATGGAACAGCAACAATACCACCATCTTCAATACTTTCACCGATACCACATTGACCGAACTGATTTAGACCCCAACTCACAACTTTACCAGTTTCTGTTAAAGCAAAACAGTGATTTTCACCACTTGCAATGTATTTCACTTTCTTTAGACCAAATGGTAAAGGATAAAGAGTCTTTAATCTGAATCTATCCAATATTTTTCTACCTAGTTGGTATTGTTGACCATTACCCCAGGCGTAGACAATACCTGCCTCATCCAAAAATAATATGTGGTCCTTACCTCCGGCCATTTGAACAATTTTACCCTTCGCGAATTTTGGTACAACCCATGGTTCTCTTTGAACTTCGATTTCATCCTGGTAAAAACCAAGTATACCTTCGTTACAACGGAAAGTACCCCAAGCGTAAATGGTACCATCGCTTAAAAGTACAGAACTTAAGTTGTCAGTTGCAACCAACTGGACTATCTTAGCGTCTTTTTCGCTGGTACCTTCAAATTTGAATGGTAGTTTGGTGGGAGTACTTTCCAGTTCATTTAGGTCACCATCTTCATCATCGCTGGAATCATTAGCATCCTTCAATTTTTCTTTAGCTCCGCTGGTATCTCTTCCTAGGGCACCATAATCATTACAACCCCAAGACCAAATGTTGTTATCTTTATCCAAAGCTAATGTGTGCATACCACCAACAGCAATGGAAACAATGCCGACTTTGTCTTGTGGCAAAAATGGGTTTAACCTTGGCCTTTTAACCTCCTTGTTCTTGGCCAATGGACCCAGCCCCAGTTCACACATGGAACCAGTACCCCATACAAACACATCTAGTGGACGGACACTAATATATCTGTGCGTGTAGTCATCTAGCTGATTCAAAACTTTCTTAGTAGAAACACGCTTAGCAGTTGGTGCTTCGTCGCTAGCACTTCTCTTAACCATCTTTGATCCTGAGTGGTTTAACTTCTAATATATATTCAAACTAGTCCAAACAGATACTTAGTATAGGTTAATAAAGTTTAGTCTATTCAAGTGTCCAAGCATTTTGTTAATGAAAGTACTATTGTTAATTCTAATACACTATTAGTGCTAATCGCAACGGCGAACGAAAAAAAATGATCCGAACTGAATGCGATGAGCTGAGCTACAATTACAAAAAAAATGAAAAATAATGACAAGGCGAATGCCAGCTCGATTTATCTTTCAAACATCATTATCTATCATGAATTTAGAGAAGTATTCCACTATATTGATGATTATATATGTTGTATTGAATAATGTAGTATTTTTTTTTTTTTTTATGAAGGCTTTATAATGTAGTATGAAATAATCTCCAATCTGGCACGCTTTGGTGTCTTACGGGGCATTTGAAAAGCGTAGTAATGAAACTTCACTTGATTATAAATTTATCTACTTAAAATAATAGTAAAACCTCCCTTACATAGCTGGGAATATTTTAATGATGATAAATGTAACGCATAAACCAATGAACATAAATAGGAAAGTCAAAATATAAAACAAATATCCAAGTTTGGCTTTGTCATAGGTTTTAAGCTTCCCACTTATGTCAACAATGCCTCGCGACGCCACTTGAATACCTATTTCAGCTGCACCAAGAACTTTTTGATCCTCTTCCAAGGCGTTTTGAAATGCTACTGCACCTTGCTTCAAGCTGCCTACAAGTTTGCTCATATCCTCATACAAGTTCTGTTGCATGTCCTCATGATTTTGAATCTGAGTTTCAACAGATTGTCCAGCATCCTGTTCAGCCTTGTCACTCAGTCTGCCTAGTAATCGTTTTCTTAGTTCAGCAACCGATTCATCCTCTGTATTAATTTTAAGCTCTTTTGAATCATCTTCATCGCCATGCGTGCCATCAAAGTCCTCACTGTACCTTCTATGTTTTATTGATGATTCATACTTATTATACTCTTTTTCCATATCTTTTAAGAGGCTGTAACATTTTGAATCATATTCAAATGATGTCTTGGAGTACTGTTGTTCATATTGCTCCACTGTTCCATCTCTGATAGCAGCTTCTCTTCTGCACTTGTTATTGCAAGCTTCCTTTGAAGTAACCAAAAAATCAATCAATGTTGATGACATATTAAATATCCCAATTGTTCTTGATTGACAAAGTTAAAATATTTTGCTGTAGTCTAATTTGTATATTTACTGTTTGCTGTTCTTTTACGTCTCTTAATATAAAAATGACCTTTTATAACCCGATTTACTTACAGGAATTACGTTTAACGTTAGCCAAAAAGCTCACGACTATGCAATATCGAGAAGAACAAGCTACAATTCCCAATGTCAATATATAGCGCATAAGACACCTTTATATAAATACTTCTCATATAAATATGTATGCCCATCTACTATCAAACTTATGAACTGTGGAAGAAGATATCAGTCATTGTTAGCGAAAAAGGGCACGAAATAATTCTGGGCATCTTGAGCTTATTTCATATAGGGAGCGTGGGGGTTCAATGCTCCGCCATCCATCAAATCCATAGGCAAGTTCTCCAAAAGTCTCTCCACTAGTAGAACACTAGCAGTTCCAAGCATTCTCATCACTTCGAAAAGAAATAAAAATACTAAAAGAAAACGAAACTTCTGGAAATAAATCACCTGAACAGAAGGAGTAACAGAAAGCATCGGGTTGAGCACCTCGAAATGTGTATAAGAGCCCATACTTATTTCAATATTGAGAACGAAATCACCAAATACACAAAGGAGCAAGTGATTGTAGAATAAACTGCAATTAATTCTGCTTTTTATATAATTTTTCATAACGAAAATTTTCCAGATTTCCTCAAGCTAACAGAAACGTTCAGTGCGATTTTAATTGCAAGAGGACATACGGACAAGAGTAGGGTTTCATATAGTAGTATGACACCTGATAAAGGTTATAAAATTTGTTGTTTCTTATATATTTGTATGCTTCTTTTCACGGTATATTTATGCAAGATTATGTTATGGCAAAATTAGGAATAGTGTATGAAAAATATATACGGTTTATTCAAAGTTTAAGTTACGGACTTTACCCTTTTTGTTCTTCTTGTTGTGTTTCTTTGAACCAGATTGAGATTGCTGCTTATGGAATGGAGTCGTGAGTTTCCCTTCGACTTTGTTCATGTTAAAAAATTCTCTATCCAAATCGTCTGCGGCATTGTATAGCGCGGCTTGCTTACCACCGTGTGTTACCGACGACGCTTTCTTGTTTGCCTCGGCAGCTGTATGTGCAGAGAATGTCAGTTTGGAAAGGTCTCTAGCTAGATCAAGCACTTCAATACCTTTAGCTTTTGCTGCTTCCCTTAGTTGTTCTTGACGAGTTTCCGGTAGTTTATCAAATACGTATAATTCCTTGTTGAACTCTTTACATTCTTCTCTAGTGTATGGTGTATCATCTTCTAGATGTGGTGGTGGATTGACATATAGTAACTTACCATTGACATAGTCCTTTAGAATATAACGACTTGCTCTTGATTCATCTGCAGAACCAAAACCTTGGGTCATGTAACCACGAGCACGCGCATATGCGACTAGTAACTCTTGCGCCGTTGGGTTCTCTGGTTCTATATCACCACTTTCCTCCCTTGATCTTGTTTGAATATGGATACCGTATACTGCTTCCAAGTAGTACTTAGGAATACGTTCAGCAACTAAAGCACATGGACCAACATAGTCACGAAGTTGATCGATTGGTAACACACCGTTACAAACCAACTCACCCTTGTTGTAAGCGAAGTTTGCGAACACTAAACCGGGACAATCACAAAGCATAACATGATCTGACAGTTTAATGGTTTGGAAATGCTTGGTTTTACCTGGAGTGGAGGAAACAGAGACTTTCTTTGCACCAACTAGAGAGTTAATAGTAGAGGATTTACCTACATTAGGGTAACCAACTAAACCAATTTGTAACAGAGATTCTTGACCAGGCAAAGGTTCAGTAAGTGGCTCAGATGGTGCTCTAGATAAGAATAATTCCTCTAATTGATCAATGGTTAAGATCTTAATACCTTCTCTGACACTTTCTTCAAGCGTCTCTTCACTGTCATCCGATTCTTCCTCTATGTGTTCTTCGCTGTAATCATCACCTAGTTCTTTTTGTTTTTCCAGTAACTGATTGGCTCTTAATGCGGAGTAAAAAGCATATGAGTTATTCTTCTTAGCAAAGTATTTAGCCCACGTTATTCTTTGGTTTCTAGTCAGTAAATCTGCCTTGTTGATAAGCAATAGATTCTGTTTACGGTCATCCACTTCTGTAACGTATCTCTCTAAATCGACAGATCTGAAAAGCAGTGGGTCTCTGGCGTCCACGATTTGAACAACTAAATCACTTCTTTCGACCACTCTCCACAGTTGTTTCCAGACTTCTATGTTTCTTTCAAAAGGAGTCAACAGTAAATCCTCGTTATTCTCTTGTAAGTGAGCCAATTTACGTCTCCATTCCAAGAAGGCGTCGTTCTCTTGTCTCTCCAACTGATATTTCGTCATGGACTCGTCCCAGTACGGCCTCCTTGGCACAATCAAGTCATTGGCCAAAGCACGTTGTTTAGCGTCGATGGTAGATTTCTGTTCGTTGGTCAAGGAAAAGCCCTGAGATGTAGCGGAGCCATCACCGTTGTCGATCCTGATGATCTTAACGTTCGAGTGCCTGTCAGCAGTGAAATCCTTGTCAGCCAACGCAGCGGTGTTCAAAAACTCATCCAGCGCACTCTCCTGCGTCACAGACCGTAGCTTCACCCAGTTGGCCTCGTGCTTGTCGGTAGTGAACCGCATCTCACCATCAGGTAGATACTCAATAGTGTTCTCCTTGGACCGCTGGTGCATGATAGCCCTACCCAGCCCAATGGGGTTCTTGTTCTTTCTCTGGATGGGCTTGGGACCCTTTGGTGGCTTCCATTTCTTAGGCTCAGTCTTTGGCGGCATGGTTTTTTGTTTTTGGTCTAAATTACCTGATCTGTGTCTTACAGCTTTTGTATACTAGCGACCACCAATATTTACGACTCTAGCGACATTGCAGAAATATTGTGTTACATCTGTATGCGATGAGCTTGCGATGAGATGGCAAATTCAACTTTTCTCATTTTTTTTTGCCAAATTTTTCATTCCTCACGGTAATTAAGATAAGACCCACACACCACATCCACATGGTTTTAGACTTGTGTATGTAAACTTGTGTCCGAGTGAAAGGCAGGTAACATCCATACACCACACCTCTAAGCATGTGAACCGCCATTTTATAGTTCTTCGTACCGCGTGACCATTCGACTTTCATTGGTGTTTTGGGAAGGGCCGCCTTAGCATATTTATCGGTGGCCCTTGGGACAGCGGCCATCAAATACAGATACATTACTATTTATGACAATTGTCTAAATGGCCAGTGATGTAAAAACTTGCGGTGTTCTCCCGATGAAACTGCATCAGCATCGATGCTTAATATGGCCGTTTCTGGGCTCTTTACCCGGACAGCTCCCCCTTCCCTGTCAGCTTGTCTCGTCTCTCGACTTTCGCCCAAGTTTTCGTGGCTTCAACACTTTTCATTGGGATTTGTATATATAAGCTGTTTCCTGGATGGAAGGGGAGGTTTGCGACTTTTTGGTTAGTGCAGTATCATTGACAGTCCAGAGCTTGTGTCTAGGAAATAAAAAAAGAGGGAAAACAATGGATAAAGTTAGAGAGAAGTTGAACAACTTGAAGTTGGAAGCCGAGTCGTGGCAAGAGAAGTACGAGGAGTTGAAGGAGAAGAACAAAGAATTGGAGCAGGAGAAGACTGATCTGGAGAACCAGGCCAAGGCTTTGACTGTCAAGAACCAGTCTCTTGAGGAGGAAGTTGAGAAGTTGGAGAGTGGTGCTGATCAGTCCCGTGGCTTGGAACAGGAGAAGACTGATCTGGAGAACCAGGTGAAGGCTCTGACTGTCAAGAACCAGACTTTGGAAGAAGAAGTCGAGAAGCTGGAATCTGAGTTGTCTGAATTGAAGCAAACCTCTGAGGAGTCCACTACTCTAAGGTCCAACAACGAGAACTTCACCAAGAAGAACCAGCAATTGGAGGAGGAGCTTGAAGAGAGTGACGCCAAGTTGAAGGAAACTACGGAGAAGTTGAGAGAATCTGACCTAAAGGTCGATCAATTGGAGAGAAGGGTCACTGCCTTGGAAGAAGAAAGAGACGAGGCCGAGAAGAAGAACGAAGAATTGACCGCCAAGTACGAAGAAGCAAAGAAGGAATTGGACGAGATTGCCGCTTCCCTAGAAAACTTGTAATCAACACGTTGCCAAATTTATCTTATCAATTCTCCTTTCTTTCTCCCTTGTTCAATATTAGTTAAACACCAAAAGTTATAGTCAAATATAAAGTATTATATGAAAAGCATTTTTTTTTACCTACTTGTATATTCTTGTTATTTGTGTGAAATTGCTAGATATAGTCTTTTGTTTTTGACCGCACAATATCATACATTTCTAAGCACATATATAAACATAAAATATGCGGATATGAAACGATACCTACGTCAAATCAATGCATGAACCGAAATTTGGTGTTCGATCGATGAATCTACATTTCAGCCACACACCGACAAGAACAATTTATTCTCCATAACATTTTTAACCTCATCATTAGATCTAAGTTACACAAACATGTTTGATATCTGGGAGACAACGCTGTTCGAAATGGAATTGTACTACTGCTTCAATGTTTATATAAACTCCATATATCCTCATCGCATCTCATCGCATCGCACTGCATCGGGGACGCCTGTGAAATCTTCGCAAAAAAGAAAAATAACAAAGGAGAGTCGCAGAAGACAAAAGAGCAGTTCTGCCAATTCACAAAAATAAAAGATTGAATTAGATGAGCAACTATTTAGAAACAAGAAATTAAGCTTGAGATTATTTATAGCCGCTTCTGAATACAACTGTTAAGAACTAGAATATTTATACTATGGCCACTGAAGCTGGCACAGGCCAAATGACGAAGGAGTCACTCCGAGATGCTTACCGTTCCATAAAGAAGATGTCTCTAAACCATCTAAGTGCAAAGCAGCACCTGCTGATGGCACTCTGTAGAGATGTCTCTATGCTTCCTCCAGTCTATTATACATTTATGTCGTTGAAGAAAGCTTGGCAGATATCCATACAAACAACGATAAAGCTTTATGAGCCGCAATCACTTCGAGAAAGTTTAATAGCGTTTTGGCAGACGTATATGGTTGCTAATATAAGTGATTCAGTACAGTTTAGTAATTTAAGAACTATGGAGAATGTTACACAGCATAATGTTAACAACACAAGTGCAGAGAATTGGGAATCTGTGCTGTTTACCGCACTAACCAAGGCTCGTGCTTCTGAACACTTATTCTGTGCACTATGGTGTTTGGTTTCCTTGTACTTGACTTATGCTATCCTTGATTCTTTAATGGTACGATGGATTGTAAAGTACTCTACTCTGGCAGCAATTTTGAGAATGTTTTCTATGTCTATGATAATAATAACATTTGAACTGATGTTACTAGCATCTTTATCCCCCGAAAAGAACTATTTTTTACACACTTGGATTACAATTAGTTGTATTCTAACGGCTGTCTATATCTGGCAAAGCTATTTGACCTCTGATCTTAATTATGTGAGAAATAAAAAACTAGACATCAATGACATTGATGTTGACGATGAAATAGAAGGTATTAATGGACAATTCAGTTATTCTACAACTATAGAGGCTACACCAGATAATAATAGCGAATATGAGGTTATCTCTAATGAGGATAGCCCATCACAAATAAATCAGAGAAGACTAAACACGATTGGAAGTCAACAGTCGCGATCATCGACACCAACATCTGCAACATCGCAAAGGCGGTCACAAAAAAGAAACACTGTGAAAAGTATCGATTTTACAACTAAAAGATACATTGATCTCTACAACATTACAGTATTCTGTGTTGTTCCTGTTGGGATAGCAAGTTTTATCACCATGGTCGGATTACTGAGGAATTTATTTATCCAGAGATTAGATGTTGAACAACTAGGAAGAATGTTACATGAAAGTTATAATCCATAAAATATGTCTCACTGGTTGTTTTTTTCTTAATTCAGAGCGAGACAAATTTATTCATTCATAACCTATGGCATTTTGTTGTATTCTTAATTTTTATTTGATTCTTTTTCTTCCCATTAATTCGTTGGAGTTTTATTTGCATCCGAATTTCTTTTTGCTTTCCGTCTTTTTTCATCACAAATTGCATTTAATCTTATCGGAACCTCATTCTATTCTATAAGTTCTAACTATTTTGCTGTATAATAGATATATCATAGTTAACATTGTATCGAGAAAACGCTTTCTTTTACATTAAAATGTATGACATAATCAAAAAATATCAGCACCATATAAAAATTATGAAATTGAAGTACTGTACAGATGAAAAAATATAATGATGGATATTGATATCTATTCGGCATTTCAATGACTTACAAAAATTCTTGAAACCAATACAATAAATGTAATTAATAGCATAGCGATAACACTCGTAATATTATCATTTTGTACTAATACACTTGAGTACATCCGGAATTTGGCCAACTGGAACAAGCTTTCAAGCATTATAAGCATTGAATCAATATTCATCAATCATAAGCAACAATATATTTGCAATAAGTAGATCAGCCTGTTGAAACTTTTCTAATAAATATCTTTGGAGCTACTTTAAACAAGGTGAGCTGATAACTACTCAACTTTACTGTACCAAAAGAAAATGGTGGTCCATATTTTGGGTAAGGCCTTCAAAGGTAAAGAGGTGATAAGAATTGCGTTGGCATCTAAATTCTATGGTGTTGGTAAGTCAACAGCTGAGAGACTATGCTCTAAGCTTGGATTTTATCCTTGGATGAGAATGCATCAGTTATCTGAACCACAGATATTAAATATAACTAGTGAACTATCTAATATGACAATTGAGGGTGACGCTAGAGCTATAGTTAGGGAGAACATTGCTTTGAAGAAGAAGATCGGCTCATATGAAGGTATGAGGCATGCGTTAGGATTACCTGTTAGAGGTCAACGTACTAGAAATAACGCAAAGACGGCTAGAAAGATAAATCGAATAGGTGTAAGGGCATTCCACACTGCCCAGTAAAGGTATTATCTAGCAGGGGTAGCTTGCAATATTTTCATACTACAATAGTCGAATTTTTTGGGAGTCCCTAAACTATTCATGTACATAGATAATTTGAAATTTTTAATTGTCATTTCAAATTTACAACAATAGTCTATATATATCCTTCAGATGACAAATCTAAACACTATCATATTCATAATAAAGTCTGCACTGTAAACAGGAAACAAATTGCTAAATTTTATAATTTATAGTCTTCCGAGAACGACTTCCAATTTTGCAACTCCATTAGATGCCTCATAGTTGGGCGGCCATGAGGACAATTCCAAGGCTTATCCAGAGTACTCAGGTTTTGTACCACCCTCGTCATGGTTCTCATATTTAGCGGTTTTCCAACCATGATACTACTTCTGCAAGCTCTCATTGCAAACATTGCTCGTATTTTACTACATTTTATGTTACTCTTGTTTGTACCTCCATCCTCTTTAATCAAGTATACCAGTTCTTGGAAATCTGCAACTCCGAATATTGTTCGTTTTGAGACTGGAATGCTAATCAGCTTGACCTTGTGTCCTGCCATTGCATCTTCATCTATTTCAATCTTAAACCCATTTCTCTCGAATACACTTAGATTATCCATTACTATTAGTTCATCAATGACACTTAATTCAATAGTTTCTGGCGAAATTAATTTTTGTGATTTGAACCTTGTAGTTTGTTGCAAGTTCTCAAAATTAAACTTCTCGTCGCTAGCATGTTGATCTACAATAAACAGGTCATAATTGCTACCCATGTTTCTAGTGACTAGAATAAACCCCAAATTAAACTGGCCCACAACTTTCATGTCTTTGAAATCACTCTTTTTGACAGATAATGACAAATATTGTGCACCTTTGTCTAAATCATTCAGTGCAGAATTTCTTATTATTTTACTTGTACCTTGTCTCTCATTCATGTAAGTGTTGTTGGTGATTATTTCTTTCAGATTAGATATATTTACAATATCATCAATATTGTGAACGACCAGGTGCTGTGATAGCAGTTGTATATTGTTCTTACTTAGAACATTATCAGTCATTGATCTGAATGTATCACGCTTCGAAGTTCTACTGGTTACTGACTTAATAGGTGATCTAATGTTGTAGTCCGTGGGATGGAATGACGCTAAATCCTCATCTTTGTCGTCATCATATTCGAGCAATTCATCGTTCGATCTCAATCCAGGTATGTTAGAATCATCTTTGCAACTTTCGCATGAATCTGTCTCTTGGCTTTCAGTCTTACTATCATTCTCTCTTGCAGTACTATGTTGGGAGTCGTATTCTTTGCTTGGAGTTATATTCTCTATTGATACAATATCGCTATTGTTATTCACTGTTACAGTTTGCTTGTACACTTTGTCGTCGATTTGTAGTATAAGTGATTCTTGTGACTTTTTAGGCGACCCATTCTTAGCTATATAACTTTCTGGTTCATGAATAGGGTTAGCAAACTCTTCTATGTTCACTACCTTGGGTCTTCTGAGATTTCTTTGTGGGGCATATACCTCAGATAACTCTTGTTCTTTATGAATTTCATTGTAATTATCATCTGGAGAGTGGGGCTCTTTTGAAGGACTGCTATTGCATTGCATATTATCATCCTCTATATCGTTACGAAAGTCCGGTTCTGATGCCGGCAAAGACTCCTTTCCGTCATATTCAAAGCTGTTAGTCTCTACTAGCTCAGTTATGTCCATCTCAATGGGGGTTACAAAAGAGCTTTCATTTGTTGAACTGATTTCTAACTGTGAAGAGGATCCATCATCAGCAGAATCCGATGGATGGTCTAATAACCTTCGCCTTTTTGAAATATGATCCTGTGGTTCTTCTTTGGGTAGTGCCATATCTTGTGTATCAAAATAGTCGCTTAAATTTTCATATAAAACATCGATAACACTTTGCTCATTATGCAACACTACTGTTCTCTTATCTGGTGTTATATTCACGTCGATTAAATCAGGTGTAAGTTCAAAATTTAATATGAACATGGGATATTGGACATTATTATATGTTCTGTAGACTTCATTGCAGCATTTAACCACAGCTGGATAATCAATCGGGCGTTTATTCATGAAAATAAATTGACGATCCTTAGAAGTTCTGCCACAACCAAAAGAATTCTGCGAAAATAATCCGGTGACTTTTACTTTATAGTCCATATTGTCAAAATCGGGGTCGTCTACGTATCGACTCTTAATATTCTTTTTAAATGGATTCATATCCAAAGTTAGTGATATCGGTGAAAGGCCCCTTAAACTTGTAGAACCAAATATGCTAATAATTCTTTTGTTTAAATTTTGGTTTGCCGCTGTTGAAAGTATGTTGTTTTTCTTGCCAGTGGAGGTAATATTAGTTACTGTAATTCTTACGCTCTCATTTATAATTGCATAACTCTGTAATAAAGTAATACATTTAGTGAAATGCCTCTTAGCTGTTCTTTCAAAATCCTTTTGTCTAACTGGAAGATTGTGGAATAGGTCACTTATTATTACGGTGGTACCTTTATTTCTTGTTGTGGTGGATTTACTTGAAAGATGGCCTGCCATATCGTATTCAAGTCTATCAGCACGCGGAGGCTGTGTAGTAGTAATGACTGCCATTCGAGCAATGCCACATAATGATGATAAAGCTTCTCCACGGAATCCTAGGGTATTGATATTTGTTAATACATCGTCAAAATTTTTAATCTTTGAAGTGTGATGTTTTAGGGCGAGGCTCTCATAGTCGTCCTTCGAAATTCCTGTACCATTATCAGACACTTCTAGTCCATCTATACCGTACTTTCTGAACGTTATGTCTATCTGGGTTGCTTGAGCGTCCAAACTATTCTCTACCAGCTCTTTTACAGCGGACGCCAAATCAATGATGACTTGGCCTGATGTGATTCTATGGACGTCTTGCTCTGATATTTGACTAATTGGCATGATAGTCTGCAAATTAGGTAAAGCAAAGGACTTCAACTGTGTGATTGATCAAAATGCGGTTGGTTTTAATCTGAAGATTAGCTGGATCATCCATCTTCTAAATTTTGTACTACTATTCTTCAAAATGAAGCTCATCGCGAAAGCTCGCATCAGCAGTAACCTTTTTTTTTCAACAGGTAAATGCATGCTATATAAGTGACTTGGAGTTCGAAAAGAATATTAACATCTAATTTATAAAAATATTATGTACCAATATGAAAACTTTTCTTCGCAGACCATTGATGAGTGATTTCAGTTTTTACTAATAACGGATCTCGAATCTTTCTACTCTTAATTACAAGAAGGGGAGCAATTGTAGATTCAAACAGAAAAATAGTTGCATGCAGGAATATGTTTCAAATTGTTGTTCTAATGATTACATCCTTAACTTTCTTTTGCTGTTTAAGTTTCGTTGGCTAGTTGATGTGACCAAAAAAATGTATTTTTTCCTATTTCAAATATGGAAGAGTATGACATGAACTAAACTCCTTTTCGTAGCATCATTAAGCTAAAATTCTTGGTTAAGACTGCAATTTCATTAACTTTTTCAAGTTTTCATAACATAAATAGCTGATAGAGACAGCAGGACACACTTTAGCTAAAGTTGGTACCAAACCTTTAAAGAGACCTGGGTAACCTTCTCTTTGGATAGTTTTTAGCAGGACGTCCCTGAAGCCGTCATATCTATAAGGATGAGCAAAGGTACCTTGTGCTTGCAGTCTTGTTCTCAGTAAATTGATTGGATAGACTACAGTGGCACCAAAGGTACCACTAAAGGCACCCATTGGTAGAACGACTAAGTTGCTGAGTTCCACATCTTCTTCTTTCTTATTTAATTTTTTTGCCTTTGATGAAATGTACCATTTTTTCAACATACTGAAAGTTCCAAGATCTAATGCTGCATACGGAAAGATACCAAGTACACCAACAGTAACACCTCTGTAGAATAACTTTAGACCACCTTCGGTGTACATTTCTTTCGCTGTTTGAATCATTAGTTTTCTACCTTTCAATTCTGCATTCAATGGGGCACATTGCATTCTAAATTTCAGTGTATCAATTGGGTAAACAGAAAATTGTGCACAAACACCCGCTAACCCACCTGCAATGAAAGTTGATAATTTGGACAGATCTTTAGTGTCTTTACAATTTTCTACTTTTGTCATTAATTTCTTTGTAATTTCAAATGACCCGAATTTAATTGAACTTTCAGGAAACACTTTCAAAGCGTTTAAACCATTCCCCACATAGAAAGACTTTATACCACCTTGTCTATAAAGACTTATTATGGCTTTAACTAATGGAGATCTAAGTTTGTTTGGTTTGGCATGTGGATTTTTAGCCAGCACGTCCTCTGTGGAGTTTAACAAAGTAGATGATAAATCTGTTCTAGCAATTAAAAACACCTTCAATCTATCAAACGGTGCAGTACAAGTACGAGAAATAACACCAGAAATACCACCTGCGATGAAGAAACCAAACCCTTTTATAAAGTCGTTAATCAAAGTCATATCACCTTCAGAAGACAGATCCACATCCTCATTGAATAAATAAAAATACGAGTAAGCAGTATGTAGTCTCGAGCCTTGTTCTCGAGGCATCATTAGCAGAAAATCTCTCCATTGGTCGTAGGTTATATATTCAGGGTCAGAGCTAGACTTTGCTTTTCTTCTCAAGAAAGCCCATTTTATGAAACTATTAAATCTTGGCTTCATAACTTGCTTATCCTCTGGTCGTACACCATTGTCAGCTGAAGTTGACAATGAGTGTAGATACTCAGTTAGCTCACTAGTTTTAATTTTCCCATCGTTGTCTGCATCTATTCGTTGAAACCCGAGTTCTATCTGTTCTTCAGCTTTCCTAGCATACTTTTTGAAATCTTCGATGTCTATAACGGAGTCATGATTTGAGTCCATGGCATTGAAGAGAAGATGTAAGGCATCATCACTTTTACTCAAAGGGTGGTCTTTCTCTTTGAAAGCCCGTTTCAAAGCCCGTAAATCTATCCGACCATTACCATCGACATCTAAGTCCTTAAACAGCCGTTCATATCTCGAATCATCAGCATTACTACCTGCCATTACTAACACTTGCAATAATACTTTTCAAAAACAAAAGTTTGAGTAAATAAAATCGCCTAGAGTCACTCTTATGGGCCATACAAAGTCAACCAAAACAGCCTTAATGTTTATAAGATACACGACCAATGCCGAATATTAACACGAAGTACAGTACTGAAGAAAATGCCAAGCTTCACTCAGGCTCATCGGTCACCCCAGGGCTCTAAAATTTTAATTTAAAGGATTTTCGCCTTGAAATGGTCAATTTCAGGACTTTTTTTTTTCACAAGAAAAATGGGATAAGAAGAGCCTATTGGGCTGAATTTGTTGCATTAAAAAGGAGACTATTGGAGTATTTGGACAAGGACGTGAAGTTTAGTAGGGAAAAGGAAGTACAATTGGCGATGCCTAAGTTAGAGCAGTTTGAGATCAAGAAGTATTGGCAGATTTTCTCCGGTTTGAAGCCGGTTGAGAACAAAGTAAGCCACGATCAGGTGTTGCCCATTCTTTACAATTCGAAGCTGGATTCTTCGATATTGAACAAGATATGGTTTCTTGCCGATATTGATGACGATGATAACCTTGATTTTGAGGAATTTGTGATCTGTATGAGGTTAATTTTTGATATGGTAAATAAGAACATTGATTCTGTTCCTGATGAACTCCCTGAATGGTTAGTTCCGGGAAGCAAAGCTAAGTTGATTAAGGAAAGACAGAAAGCTAAGCAACAAGAGAATGCTGAGATTCCAAGACAAGAAGTTCCAGATGTTGACTGGTATATATCACCAGAGGATAAGACATACTATGAAAAGATACTATCCACATGTGGACCAATGGCGGATGGTACTGTCACTTTTGCGGAGTTAAGCCTGGCTTTGAAGTCAAAGTTTTTCAATATTGGTGTAAGCGATATGGAAAGGACTTGGAAGTTGATAAACCCTAGGGATTTACCATCCATTGATAGGGATCCAGCTATGTATTTTATCCATTGCCTAAGACAACGCAATGATATTGGAACATCAATTCCATCAGAATTACCACCTGCATTGGCAGAAGTGTGCAATAAGCAAAGAGTTGAATATGACCTGTCCTCTAAACAAGCCGACTTAAAGAGACTAGACACAAAGGAACCCACAAAGAATGATGTGACAAAACTGGGCGACGAATTGGATCGTTTGGAGCACAGCCTTGAGAATTTAACCACTGGAAGTACATCCTCAACATTACAAGGTACAATTAAAATGAGTAAAGAATCGTTAAATCAGTTTAAGGGTTTGTTAGCATTCATGGAAAATGATTTGAACCATCCAAACCCAGATAGTAATGCTAATGTAAAATATGTCACAGATGATCTAGATAACATTGATCAACAAGTACAGATGTTAGAGACCTACTTGCAACAAAAAAGGCAAGAACTTGGATCACTGAAGGCAGAAGTTGGTTCTACGTAGTTTTTATGGTTTATGTGGAACTAAAATCAATAACTCTAAATATTGTAATGTATCTAGTAGTATATAAACAAAAAAAAAATGGCATTAAAAAAATCTTAGCTTATGATGCAAAAAAAGATCATTGGAATTTATTTCTTAAAGGACAAGAAGCACTTTTAACATTCGGCGTGTTTATATACAATATAGAATCATTAATGTATACCATTGAATGAACTTCAGCAAGTATGTACAATTCTGCGTAAAGCAAGCTCAACCGATTAACAGCATCCATTCATCTCTCTATCTAAGGAATGTCCAGGATTTGTGCTTCTTATCATGCATTATCGTTCTATCCTAGAGCTCAAAGTGTCAGAGAAGTATTACACATTGATATCAAAAAATTCATTAGGAAGATGAATAAGCAGATATAGCAAAATCTGTAGCAGCTGATAGTAGTGATGCATCAGAGGCTTTTATTAGATTGTTATTTGCCAGTTCTTTTGCAACTGCTTTAACCTGTTGTAAGAATTCTAAAGATTCTTGGAATTTTTCATCAAGGTCTGGAGTGGACTTGTAAGTACTGAAATCAGTAGCCACCAATGACAACGCGTCCGCTTTGGCATTGCCATTGTGAAGATATTTTTGCAAAAAGAACTCCCACATCATAGCCATTATGGTATTTGGTGTGTCTAGTTTAAATGGCATACTTCTCACAACAGACTTTTTCCAGTTAAAATTATCTAGGTTTAATCTATCAAATTCACCAGATGTTAATGAGGAAACGGTTATTGCTTCAAACAGTTCATTCAGATTCTCTTTAACAAATGCCAGGTGATCTCTGAAAACAAGTGTCTTCTTATCTATTGGACCATGGTAGTTAGATGGCTTTTGTTTAATCTGGAATAGTGTTAAGATTCTGGCTATTATTAAAATATGTTGTGAAGCATCTGGATACGATCTTAGTGTGGCTTCAGATAGTGCTGAAGTGGTAGATGGTACAGTATCTTTTCCTAGTTCAAGCACATCTAGTTTTAAGAACACCATCAAAATGAAAATTGGTTCGATGTAGTCCTTGGATACCTGTAGTTCTGGTAATTTCATCAAGACCTCACCCCATTTTGTTGGAGTTAATTCCTTCTTCGATATGTTACAATCAAAGAACCCTAGAACAACTAATGTTCTCAAAAAACATGTCGCAAGCAAATCAAAAGCGCTGTGTAGTTTCTTTTCATGATTCACTGATGCAGGGAAAATAACTTCATTTGAGATAAATTTGTCACCTAAATTGTCTGAAGTTGACAACAATTGTAAAAATGATAGTAGTGAAAATGGAGCTTCACTATCAGTTTTCACTATTATTCGATTAATTTTTTCAAAAGCTGAAGGTGTCATTCTATTGGTCAATTGAACGCTTTCCTCTGGGGCAAACCATTTGACATGTTTAATTTGTTTGATCTGGTAGTATCTGTTAATTGGTTGAGTAAGCAAGTTTACCTCTTGATTCTTAAAGGCATCAACGGATTTTTCGACAAGCTTTCTGTATGAATTGGAAGAGCCACCATCCAATGGTGGCTCTTCTGGATAAACTCCAGTTGTAATCGCATCAAACAACTTTCCTGTAACCAAACCAATGGAACGGTAAAAGTAATACTCATGTGGCAATCTTTGAGCAATAAAATCGTGAACATCAGCAGGAATTGCGTCAGGATCATCAAATGAAGCACTGGGGATACTTTTCTTCTTTTCATTATCGGATTCACCTGGGGAAGTGTGTGTAGCCGAATTTTCTTTTTGGGCTTCATCAGAATTCTCATTCTCACTCAAAAGTTCCACTCTACCGTTCGCTTTCAAGACAGGCATAAACTTCAAGGCTGCGTAGCCCTTTTGATATTTAATCAAATATTGATCTTTTTCGGATTTGATAGGATTGGTTAATTCATATGTGTAGAAATTTGTCCCTGCATTCAAAACCATTTCCAAAGCAATATCAAAAAGTTGTGGAACAGGATAGATTTGCAATGGAGGTAATGTGACTGGTTGCAAGTCATTTCCAACAGCCATGGAAATGTCAACTAACTCCTCATGAGTAATGCCAAACTCCTTTAGGACTCTTGACTTTTCAATAAATCTAAACTCTTTATTTGGGAATTCCATACCTAAGATAAACTTGTCTACCTTTGGAAGCATTAGACAGTCTGTTGGGCCGTAAATAGCATCGATGAACTCATTCTCAAATAGATATGCAAGTTGAATCCATGAAGTATATGGTGCAACTTGGTACATTATATCGTGTTCGATAAAGTAAGAAATAAGATCTGCTTGATATGCCTTTGGATCGATTGTAGTTGTATATCTAAATGGTTCTTGTGGCTGGATTGGTTGGTCAATGTATGACTCTTGGTTGCTGGTAACAAGGTTGTTCCACTGAGTCCAAGCTCTATGTCTCTGGGCCAGGACAGTCTCCTTGTTTGAGCGCATTGTTGGGTTAGTCGCAGCATTTGGACCTGAAGTTGTCGCACCATTAGATGCAGCTTTAGCAGACTCCTTTGACGCAGCTGAGAAATAACCTTCATTCTCCAATTGATCATGAGTCAACGACCCATTGAAAATGAAAATTGGGGTGATATTATACTCATTGTAAACTTTCAAATCGCTTTCCAAGTACAGCTTTAAGCTAGTGGGAAAACCCCCAATTGCATCCAAGTACTGCTCCCTCTTGCTGGTAAGTAACCTTGACACATAGTGGTTAACATCAATACCTAGAGTGCAATTGGCTAAGCTCTCTATGGAATAGGAGCCCACCAAAGATCTCTCAAACAAGTAAGACTCTAATGATTTGATTGGCATAATTAATTTTTGTTCTGTATTTCAAGTATTACCAGTACCAATTTCCTTACTTTTATGATGAGGAATGCTTTCACAATTGCTAAATCGTGCTCCAAATGTCAAAAGATCTCCAAAAGAATATGCAATAATTCCTGCAAATACCTCAATCGAGAACAAATTTATAAAGATGTTTCAAAGACACAGGTGTCAAAAAAAATAATAGATATCCGATGAGTTAGTGCTTCGAGGTAGATCAAAAACAATGAAAGCGCCCAGTGATAGATGGTTACACTACCTAAGACCAATCGGAGCTTCACGAAGTAGAATCCTGTAATCCAATCTGATATCTGTTCCCTTTTTAATGACCATTAAAATGGGCTCTTACTTCGAAATCCCAAAGTTTCCTTTTCCGAATTGCTTTGAATTTTGCTTCTCGCCGGAAAAATGGCAAAATACTCCCAAAATCTATGCATACGAGTAATAAGTCACATGTACCTTCTACACTTCAAATTGTAATAGTTAGTTATATACTAATATTACTCAAATTATGGATAATCTCTACCGCTATGGTACTGAAATGGTACTGAACTGGTGCTGAACTGGTACTGAAATTGATCCTTTCTTCCGTTACTAGTCTATGGATTACTGTTTTATACACTATTCTGCGCTTGTGAGAATATACAAATACGTACTCGAAATTACAAAATGGGAAATTATATGCTAGATCATGAATATTGACGTATTTCAGAAGGCTTACACATATCTTCACGAGCTGGTAGTTAATTGACTGGATCTTCTCTCAAGATCTTTCAAGCGTAAAGTTATCTTTTGTAACCGTTTCTGCAGATTGTTTACCTCTTTAAATTGGGCTTTATATTCGTTGGAGTCAAACAAGAGCTCGTTCTCCAGCCTTAACGAGTCTCTTACAGTCCGCAACTTTAAGATCAGTAGTGCTTGGGACTCTCGCAGTTCGTTGATTGCTTGGTATAGATTATCCAGGTCTGATGAAACCAACGAATACACACTTAACTCGACTGGATGTATACCTTGTACTTCACTGTTATCAGACATTAATCGTTTTTAAAACCCTTGCTGCACTTATAAATAGATTTCTGTTTATGAACACTTTAAGTTTACTAGACTTTTCATTAAATTTCAAAAGGTTGCTATCTAATTTTACATTTTGGTAATCAACCCTTGAATTGAGTTCTTCATAAATAAGAAGGAGCAAAACTTGTCTTTCTCCGATATCATGGCCAAACTTTTATGATAATAACAGATGGTTGCTATAAAACGTAAAAGAACTATATTACATACTCACTTGAGACCACATTTCAGTATTTTAAAGTCTCATTAAAGATACAAAAAAAATAATACGTAACAGTAAATGCAGATGTTTACCCCAACCGACTTTACTATATGTATGTTATGCAATCATTCATCATTGAAAGATTCATCAGAGTCAACTTCTTCATCCTCATCATCGTCAATGAAATCTTCTTCATCCGATATCTCTATAGGCTCAGCATATGACTTCTTTGCTGTCTGTCTAGAGGACCTTTGTCTTCTGACTGGTACGACTTCTTCATCGTCTTGCTCTGACAAGTTTGCATCAGAGAGTTCGTCTTCAGAAGATTCGACTACTTTGGCTTTTCTCTTGGGTGGAGCTTTTTTCTTTGCTGCAGGAGCACTTGATTCCTTTACAGAGGTATCCTCTGACGTAATTTGATCTAATGGTGCATCTTCATCAAAGGCTGAAGCGATCTTGTTGAACTTACTAGAAAATGCGCTTATTCCACTCTCGTCACTATTCTCTTGTTTGACCTTTTGATCAAATATAGTAGTTGATGGGGTAGAAGCGTTACTCGTTACATCTGAAACCCCAAGTTCTTCTTTTACGCTGGGTGTTGATGCAGCTGAAGATGGTGGTTCGACCTTTACTTTAACGGGCCTCTTAGCCTTTATCTTCGCCTGAGGTTTGATCAAAATTCTATCGAAATCGTCTTCCTTCTTAATTTTCTTAATTCTTCTTGCAGGTTTCTTCTTACCCGATGGATCATAGTCATCGTCATCACCACCTTTTCTCTTCCTTTTCCCACCTTTTGTTTTTGGAACAGCACTGTTACGCAAGAACAAGTCCATTTTTTGGAAGTCCTCATACGCAGTCAAAAAGTCATCCAAGTCATTATTCCATAGATCCTTGGCAGAAAGTTTCAACAGATTTTCGAGCTCAGTTTCTTTTTCTTGCTTCTGCTTCAAAAGTTTTTCGTAACGTTCTTTTGTTAAAGACCAAATCTTTAAACCTAACAGGTATTCATAAGTACCAAAGAGTTCTTCAGGCCCATTAACAGTACTTTCATCGTCCTTGTCCTTCTTTCTAGTAGCTTCTTCACTCTCTTCCAAGTCCTCATCTTCGTCTTCACTAATTATAGCTTCAACTTCTTCATCAATCTTACCGAAGTGTGGTTTTCCTTCTTTATTGATTCTAGGGAAACCTAATTCCTCAAGTTCGGATATCAATTGCTTCTTTGGTTTATTTGTGACAATTAGAGATTTATCAATGATCATCTTGATAAATTTAACTTGGAAAGACAATTTTTCAGCCTCCCATTGTAATCTACCTGTCATATAATCCTTTCTCTTTTGATAATATTCTAATCTAACCTCATAGAAATCTTTTAAAATTTCATGAACATGATCATATTTCTTGATCTTACCTCTGTAGTCAAAGGCGACCATATTTTGTAGACTAATTGGCGATATCAGTTTAAATCTTTCATAAAATCCAAGTTTTCTAGTTTTAGTCATTTCTTCATCTGTCAATTTAATTATAAACTTGATAGTTTCAGCGTGCTGTTCCTCCATATCTTTGATCCAAGGCTTAACCTTTTCACTACCACCTAAACCTAGCAATAGATGCTCCTTAATGGTAGAAGTCCAAGTTCTAGCAGGAAGTTCAGTAATTTCAAGTGTATTTGGACCAACTTGTTCAATTCTACCATACATCCTGTATCTCTGTGACTCAATTTTTTCCATTGTACCAGTCCAACCTCTAAACCATGGGTGCATATCATCCATTTCTTCATCATTCAATAAATGCCTGATATTGTTAACAACATCTAGAGGATTAAATGGAGGAATACTGGTACTCCAACCAGTACCAATACCTTCTGCACCATTAATTAGCACCATTGGTACGACTGGAAGATACCACTCAGGCTCAACAGTCTTTTCATCTTCTTGAACATAGCGGAAAAGAGGATCATCAGCAGGATGGAATACTTTTCTCGCAATTTTATTCAGCTCAGTGTAGATATATCTTGCAGCAGCAGCATCCTTACCACCAGTAGCTCTTGTACCAAAGGCACCATTCGGCTTCAAGAAATATATGTTATTAGTACCAACAAAATTTTGAGCCATACCAATAATAGTTTGAACAAGGGCCTGTTCACCATGATGATAAGCAGTGTAATCACTGACAGCTGGAGCTAAATTAGCAACCTTCTTTTCTGTAGTTAGATTCTTCTTGAAACAAGTATACAAAACCTTTCTTTGACCAGGTTTAAAACCATCAAGTACACTAGGAATAGATCTAACATTGTCCGCCAAAGAGAATAAAATCAACTCTTTATTAATAAAATCACTTATTGGAATTTCATTTAGAGTTGGGTCCAAGACTGTACCAGGCTCATATTGACGTAGCCATTCTTTTCTATCATCAGCTTTCTTCTTTGAGAATGCCAAGTCTATGAGGTCCTTATCATCCCCTTGTAAAGCATGAAACTTTTTCAAATGCGTATCTAGATTAGAAAAATATTCAATAATTTCTGGACTTGTGGAGGTACCTAAACCCTTGTAGTACTTCTGCTTCCAACTGTACTTATGAGACTCTTCTTCTCTCCATTTTTCATAATCTGGAAGATTGAAAAACGAGATTACCTTTTTGATTGGCTTGGTGATAGTCACTTTGACAATTGGAGTGATGAACTCAATTAAGAAACCAGGAATATCTAGCAAACCAGGAAAAGATGTCTCAATAAAGTTGATAATCAAACCCTTGATATGTGAACCGTCATGATCTTGATCTGTCATAATCATCAAGTGCCCATATCTTAGTGATTTCGTATCTTCATACTTCTTTCTGTGTTGAAGACCCATGATCTTTTTTATGGCCTGAATTTCAGCATTTTTTAGAATCTGATCTGCAGTGGCCTCTCTAACATTTAACATTTTACCTCTTAGCGGATAACAACCGTAGTAATCTCTACCAACAACAGCTAAACCAGCAACTGCTAAGGACAAGGCAGAGTCACCCTCTGTCAAAATAAGCGTACATTTGTAACCATCTTTAGTACCTGCTTTATTGGCATCTTCTAATTTTGGATAATCAGTAATTCTTGACTTCCTGGAACCATCTGATTTCTTTAGTGCATTATTAGCATTCTCATCAGCAATTTCAAAAATCTTTGTGGCTAAATCAGTTTTCATAATTTTATTGATATAGTCGCTACTAATATCACACCTTGATCCAAAATCTTTAACTCTTGTGGTCAGTTGCTCTTTTGTTTGCGATGTGAATGCAGGATTTTCAATTAGACAGTTGATAAATATGAACATGTTATTCTTGATTTGATATGGCTTAATATTTTTCTTCTTCTTCTTAAGGATATCAGAAACTTTTCTGACGATTTGATCAGCAATATAATTAACATGAGTACCACCCGTTGTTGTAGCAATTGAGTTAACAAATGAAACCTGCTTGAAAGAAATATCGGAGACTGCAAAGGCTATTTCCCATCTGTCACTGACACGTTCATATAAAATAGTTGGAATATTACTTGGAGTAGTGTCTGATTCACCATTGTCCATTTTCCTCATCTTTTCTAATGACTTCAAATACAATTCCACGTAGTTCTTGAAATTCCTTATCTTCAATGGTTTTCCATTCAGGTAAACATTAACATCACGTACAGAACCGTTAATATCATAAACACGACGACGCATCACACCCAATATATCACTGTCTAGTGACTCCATACCAAATCTGCTCAAGTCAGGCTTAAATGCTACTTTAGTATACGATGGACCTTTCTTATAAGAGGTAATCTTAGGCGGATGACACACATTCATATTGTTTTCCCACGTCTGAACATACTTACGGCCATTTTTGGGGTCTGCTGTCTCCAAAGTAAACTCTGTTGAGAATATATTACACAATTTGGCACCGTAACCGTTTCTACCACCAGTGACCTTTTTTTCATCATCATCATAATTAGAAGACGTCAACAAGTGTCCAAAAATTAGTTCTGGAATATAGATCTTCTCCTTTTCATGAATTTCAATTGGGATACCTTTACCATCGTTTCTAACTTCAATGAAGTTTTCCTCAGGGTTGATGGTAACATCAATCCTTTTCATTGAGGGATCACGTACCTTATTATCAGCTGCATTCACTAGAATTTCATCGAAGATTTTAAATAGACCTGGAACAATATTCACGGTCTTGTCAATCATACAATCAGTTTCCTCATCATAAATCCACTGCTCTTGTTCTTGTATTTCTACAGATCCAATATATGTATCGGGTCTCTTAAGAATATGCTCTAACTGAGATATCTTCTGATATCTTTCAGAAGCGGTTTTAGGTTCACTCATTTGAACACCCGATATCAATCCTTTAACTTTGATACTTGCTTGCAATTACGTGTTCTAGTCCGTACGAACCCCAAATCTGAAAGAGCTTCCCACGTCAATTTTGCTTTCCTAATTGAGCGCGTAGGATCTACTTCTTGCCTGAACTCACAAACAGTAACGAGTACAACACAATAAAAGAAAACTCTAAACACGTCACTCACGGGATGCTTTAAGAAGATGGCGGCAATTCCTTGTTGTTGTCGTTCTTGAACAATAGCATTGGCAGATCAAAAATATGATCAACAATACAAATCACAACTCGATTTTCCCAGAATTTTCGTATTTTACAGTTTACGTGTAACACTAACGTACTTAGTGACGGTAATAGCAATTCATCGGAGTTCGAGTATTAATTAGTACCTTAATAGCAAGTAGAGTATTTTCTAGAAAAATCTCAAAGGAATTTAAGTGATCTCATATTCTATTCGTTTAAATATTGCAAATATATGATTCTATACATGGAATAAATTAGTAATCAAAATAGAGGTAGCAATGCCAGCAATTGCAATCATAAAAAGTGTATGTGTATTCAAGTCATACACGCAAACACCACTAAAATTTGTGTAGGTAAATGGCACATTCCAGAGATAAAAAAGGAGTAACCAGATATTTGTGAATGCTTATTTCTATTAAAAGAATATCTGTTCATATCGTAAGTCCTTTCTCGATACCATGGTCCTCGTCGGTGTTATTATTTTGCATTCATTCGAGAGGTTAAAATGAGAGAAAAATTAATTTTCTATAGAATAAGTTCGTTCACAATTTTGTTGGTGATGTTCCTCTTTAGTTTATTAGTATTCCCCCCACGAAGCGAAATTCACGTCAAGATAAATGTATTATGGGCCCTCTGAATGTCACTTGAAATTGAGAGCCTCTAATAAAAAATCATATATAGTACATCTCCGAGATGTATAACTGGAGTCCTAAGATATCGAACAACAAAAATGGTCCGGTTCTTTGTGCATTAGCAAGCTTGATCTTGTGGCCAACTCAAAAACATCATCGACACCTTCACCAGTCAACGCACTGCATTCCAAATACTTTTTAGCCCCAATGGCCTTCGCTACTTGTTCTGCATCTTCTCTATTTACGAAAACTATGCCTTCTTGTTTTGATTTCCTCAAATCTTCCTTTAGCCCTACAAGTATCACAGGTGCATCTGGACAGTACCTGAACGCTTCTTCGGCCCATTTTGTCCTGGCATTATGTAGAGATTCAACATTGTCCACAGAAAAAGCAATCAGTATTACATCTGCCCCTGAATAAGAAAATGGTCTTAATCTTTCGTATTCTTCTTGTCCTGCTGTATCCCACAATGCCAGAGATACTTTTATCCCATCAACGCGACAATCTGTTACATAGTTCTCAAACACTGTAGGATGGTATTGTTCAGGGAATTTCCCCAGCGTAAACACATAAAGTAACGATGTTTTACCGCACGCACCATCACCGATAATCACCAATTTTCTCCGTATAGCTTTCTCGGACATTTCTTAATAAATGTTTACTTATAGTCTATAGTTTCTTATGTGGCTTCTTTAACCAATGATGCAATTACTCTTTCCAATAACTGTCTCGCTTACTTGATAGACATGCAAGACACTCTCCAACTGTCTATACTTATCGATCGAAATAAGCTCACCTATCCCCTTGTTTCCTAATCAACCTCACAATCGAAAACAAACGGTACACTGCAAGCCAGAGATATTATGTTATATATTGTAACCTGTACAACAACAATCAGCTGGTACTTAATCGAGTCTGAAAGTAGCTAAGTAGTCTTAATAAAGTTTTCTGTAGTTTCTGATCTTACAAACGGTAATTTGTGCATTTTCAACTAAAACTGCCTTTGAACTACTTTTTTTCCTTTGTCCTCGAGCAATTGAAATAGCGATGGATTCTGAAGAACAAATGTAAAATCTACAATATTTAATCGTTCAGCAGCCTGGTATATGTTCTAACAGTCATATTAACGTATCAGATAGCTATTTTAATCAAATCAATTCAACGTTATCTCAGAGTTTGGCTGGTTAACTTTGTACTTAGATCTTACTTTAGGAACAGAAATTTGCACTGTGCGGAATTGATTTATCAATAGAACATTACGTGCCTGTGAAGCGTTTTGACAATTTCAGCACTGGGATTACAAGCAGATATTATCATAAGTATGACTAATGTTCTGGGACGTTTAAAGCGTCTTTCTGGACAGGTTAACGACAACTACTTCACCACCAGAACTATTTTGACCGATGAATTTGCATCCAGTTGGAATAGCAAAAGGGAGGAATTGATTGATAATTACAAAAAATTGGATAACGATTCTGAGAGGAAAGAATGGCTGCGATCTTTTTTCATGGATGTTATTAGATTGTTGAAACTGTCTGAAGATAACAATTCTCTACAAATTGATACTTTATCTGAACTCATCAAACTGGTATATAATGCCACTCCGTCTTTTAAGCAAACTATAGGTGAAGTGTTTGCTGCAGTGGTAAATACATATTGTCCGAAGTCGGTAATTGACAAAGTTTTGAGGTTGATTACTTTAACGCCAATTCTTCGCACTGAAGTATATAAATACAGCTGGTTGTCGACAAAGTTAATGACCAACGACCAAAAGATACTAACAAAACACCTACTAAAAAAAAATAGGTATGAAATCAAAAAATATAACTTGATATATGAAAATCCAATTGGTTTTACGCAAATAACATCGCTATTAAATGTACTGGTCCTAGATCCTTATGCACATCAAAAAATTCCATACTTCGTTTCACAGCTATATCAGATAATGGGAAAATACTCATTGGACCCATTGAGAACCCTAGATGTAATGATAACGTTTTTTGCAGAGCATGTAACTCTTCATTATAAACTAATACTCGATTTTCTGAAATGTACAAACTACTGGCCAAGGGATACTCAACTTGCCAATCCTGATAACATCATGAGTTTAAACCACGGTGGTAACAAAACAGCTGCCAAATTGATTACTGTAAGGTTGAATTCTTTCTTTCAATCGGCGGTTGAAGGAAAATCTATTTCTTCGTTCGAGGACAATTATCTTAACCTCAGTTGCTTACTCATAAAAGAAGGATTTGTAAATTTTTCAAATATATGGAGTAATTTAAGTCCATTAAGTGAAGAGTTCAAGAGCACCTTAGATGATTATATGAAAAAACTTGAGTTGGAGTCTACAAAAGGGTTAGATAATCCGTTAGCTATGGCTTCTGCTTTGACCAACGAGGATGACGAGGCTGATAACAAAGAATTAGACAACAAAGATTCTGATACAACTATGACAGGTACAGAAGAAGAAGATAAGGAACTTGAGGAAGCACAGAAACGAAATTTTGAAGCGGCTGTATTGAATCACGGCAAACTCAAGCTTCTTATAAAACTTTTAGCTCATGGAACTTATGCACCAACTTTATGGGCCATTAGTGAGTTTCCAGAAATTTCTCATTTAGATACAGATATTCCAATCTTGTTTTCAAAGCTATTCGAAATACAAATAGAGAACCTCTATGAGAGCATGTCGTTCAGGTGGCGTAATACTCCTGCCATAATCTCAGGACTAAAAAAGCTGGAAAATGGCCTCTTGTCTTCTAAGCCAAGATTATATGAAACAATATACTCAGATGATACCAACGAGTGTGTAGAGCTGAATACTAAGAGAAAATTCTACTATCAAGATTGGTCATCTGGCTTACCAAGAATAGCTGACATCAATGAATTGGTAGATGTGTGTCACCAGTATTTCAAGTACTTTGATGTCTCATTAGGATGCAATAGCAGCTTAATAATAAAGCTTTGTCGGATTGTATCTGCAAAGTTAAGAGGAACCGAAGTTGATGGGACTGATCAATCTCAGACACTCGAATTAGCTATAAATTATACCCGTAAATTTCTTTTGCCTATTGTAGGTGTGATGAGCGAAAATTCCACTCTTGGGAGTGAGATATTTAATCTTTTGAAGGAATTTCCATTGGAAAAAAGGTACTTCATGTACAATGAAATGTTAACTAAGACATCGCAGGATAATCTTCTCGTAAAGATCGGATTTAATAAAGCTGAAAGGGAAGCTAAGTCAATTCTGAAATCTTTGAGTACAGATAATATTGAAACTGGTTCCAGGAAATTTGCAAGACTTTTATCATCAAATCCACTTGCAACTTTGCTCCCCACGATAAAGCAAATTGAAAACTACGACAAAGTTAGTGAATTGATAATCTTTACAACAAAGTTCTTAAATCAATTTGGATACGATGTTCTTCAATATATTCTACTTCTTCGTTTAACATATTCTAGGCCCATTATGCAAGATGATGGTATAAATCAGTCTATGTGGGTTCAGAGATTGGCAGTATTTATTGCTGGGTTAGTCAAAAGTTGTCCTCAAATGGATATCTCGGAGCTTATCACTTATATAATCAAACAATTGCATGTTGGAAGTTCTATTGCAATCACAATTATGAAAGAGTTAATTTCGACTGTTGCAGGTATACGTGATTTGAATCATGTTAGCAGAGAACGTCTAATCTTGATCAACTCAAGTAGACCTCTTCAAAAATATGGTCATAAGCTTATATTTGATGTTAGAAATGAAAATAAATCATTGGGTATGAAACTTATGACTTTATTCCAAAATCAAGATGCTGTTTCTGAAATTATTGTTTTGCTATACAATCTCAATTTGAATATTAATCAACAAGATCTGCATTACAAAATTCTCTCCTCCAAATGCGATGAGATGAATACGTTATTATGGTCTTACATAGAGCTTGTAAAATACAGTAATACTCATGACAACTTTCCAAAATATGTTTACCCTTTCGAAAGACTGATTAATGAGTTTCACATTTCCACACCATGGGCATTCCATATCTGGAGAGATTATTTTAAGGAAGAGGATGAAATATCTGGGGATCTATCAAATTTTAGTAGCTATGAAAAAATAGATTTCCCAGAACTTTCAGCATCGAACTTTGACAGAAGCTTCTTTCTGACATTTTGGAGACTATCTCTTTTACATGTTCAATTTGATAAGAATCTTTATAATACCAGAAAAAAGGAAATTGAAAGTGAAATAGTTCCAGGATTGACTAACAGACAAAAAAATCAAAAAGTAGGTGAGAAGAAGGAAATAATGTCAAGTTGTATTACTCATGAACATATCTTTATCAAAACCAAAAAATATTTATGTGAAAATTCATCTAGCTGGGGTAATAGCTTGGACTTAGATAACCAGCACATTTTCATTAAATTCTGTATTGTGCCTAGAATTTTATTTTCTCCTTCGGATGCCTTATTCACCTCAAGATTTTTGATAGAAACTTTTGGTAATGAATTATTATTTTCCCTCATGGACACCTTTATCAAATCAAGAATGATGCATGCTTTGATATTTTGTTCTACTATTTCGGAGGCTGCTAACTTAGGTATATTTTTTGCTGATTTGTTTGAATATTTGGAAAAAGCCAGAATATCTGGGAAATTGACAGACGATCTAACAGCTACCCTTTATAATTGGCATGACGTTCTTGTAGAAGAATCAATTATACTGTTGAAAGAAAGAAACTATATGTCTATTCGTAATGGAATTGAATTTCTTCGTAACGTTTCTGATATATTCCCTGTTGTTGACATTCATATCAAGTTATGCTGTCAGGCATTAAGAGACATATTAGAAGCTGAAACTAGAGAGGACATCAAACTTCCTACAAATGCTCTTTTAGGTCACTTAAACTCCAAATTAAAATCGTCGATTAGAAAGAGTGAATATTGTCAATTAACAGAAGATGAAAAGCTTCTGGAAGAGAAATATAATGAGGAGCTGAATGAAATTAAGGATTATGAAACTAGCCTAGAAAATGAGAAAAAACAAGCTGAATTGAGGGCAAAAATAGAAGAAAATAAACAAAAGAGATTGGAGGCTGAGAAGCAGAAAGCAGAGTTGCAAAAACAACAGCAGGTTGAATCTTCCAGAGAAACAAGAGTGTCAGAAGCAAAACTAAAACAAAAAGGTCAATCCCACACTTGGAGATTAACCAAACTGTTTAGAGTTATGGATGATGTTTGCTACTTCATTTCAAGAAATGAATTGAACAGAGCTATTAATCTTGTTGAAGATGATTCTGAAGTGTGGAATATTAAGCATGCTATCAAGAATAAAGGCTCTCTAGGAAGCTTTAGGAATAACATCTTTGAAATTTTTGGACGCTATTTCAAATCGCTTATTTTGTATCCACAAAATAGTGATTTCCAGGTAAGAATGGACGAATTGAAGGCGGCAACCAAATATTTGGATCGTAAATCCAATGATGTTGAACCCGAGAAGAGCAGCAGATACGGGGGCTCTGTAAAGGTTCCTCCTGGTGCATCAGCAAAGTCAGAGGACCTGAGAGGACGCTCAACTACACCCAGTGGGCCAGCATCAGATAAGAACAAACAAAGTTCTAATCAGTTCAGACAAGCACCTGGTAGAAATACCTACAATAATGATAGACAACATAGTGGTCATAGCTACAAAACTGGCAAGGATGATAAAGAAAAGACTCCCCAGCAACGGTCTCAACTTCAATTCCCTGACCGTCCGACTCAAGGAAGAAATGATCATCAGATTGCTGGTCAGAAAAGAGGATACCAATCTCAACAAAAAGACAGTCATGATGACCATGCTAGCAAACGGTTCAGAAAGGAGGACTCCTCACGCATGTCTTACACAGACAGAAATAATCGCTCATTTAATCAGAATTTGGCTTCAAGATTCGGGGGTCCCACAAATAAAAACAGCAATGCCTCTAGTGATCACAAGCCAACAGCATTGCCTCAAGGCCCCAAGGGATCAAGTGGCAGCAGATACCAACGTTAAATCGTCAGTTAATAGATACATTTCTCATCTCATCAATTTATATAACTATAACAAACTTTATACGCTGTGAAGTCCCCGTGGAGACATTCAAAATAATATATAATGCATAATTCAGAGTAATTTATCATCATTCCTTACCATTGATGATGATTACAGAAGATATGACAATTTTTGTTGATACTCCATTGATATTAAAGCTAAAGCTAGTTAGCTCATCGCGTTTTTCATGTAAAGCAATCTCGCACAGAAATTTTGCAGCTTTCTTAATGATCAAAATACAAAAAACAAAAGATCAACAAAGTGAAATATTGCAACTGTATTGAGTTAAGTCCTTTCAATGAATTGAATTCTATAATAACTAGTCTATTTATTGGTTGTCAGTAGGTTAGTGGTATTTCATACATTTCTCAATTGTGATCTAATACAAGTTTAAAAAGCACATAATTGCCGGGGGATAACAAGAGCGGTAGATCATATATAAAGGTGTGGATTCAATTGTTCCATGAGTGAAGAAGTTTGGGATGGAAATCAAGGGACTTTGTCCGTTTATGTTAGTAAAGCCAAGGACTTACCTAATCTAGATAAACTGGATAAGCAGGATGTGCTTTTGAGATTGAGAATCGCTCATATGACTCGTGAGAGCGATACCATAATTAGGGCAGGTCAAACGCCAATTTTCAAATACTACGAGAAATTCGAAATCACACCAGAGTTAAGACCCTTGATGTATGTTGAGATTTATTCGGATAGGAGGAAAAAAGCACCCATTCTTATAGGAAGATGTGAGGTTGATCTTTTGAATGGTATTCGTGCAGATCCCAAGGAAGGCTACTGTACCTGGTACGAATTGAAGAAGCCAAATAACGACTTTGCTGGAACTGTGTTTATCGAATTGACTTTTAAGCCTACGTACCCCACATTCAGGAGAGATGGGGAGTCTTATAATTCAAGAAATCAGGACAAATCCATGGCCGCAAGACCTATACCTCCATTACCAGATGACATGAGCCAATTTGAAAATGAACCAGAATCATTCAGGCCGAACCACTATAATTCCCATTTTTCATCTTCGAGTAGTTCAAGAACTCAATCCAGATTTGGGGGAAGTGAAAGCGATTATTTGCATGCCTCGGCGGTACGACAAGTCACACCAGCGATAGTAGATGACAATCACCATCGTGTAGCTCAACGGTTTGCTACGTCTGATAATTATGGAAACGAAAACGGACCAGCGAACTTCATGTCTTCTGTTGGAACTAGCTCCACAGTAACTACGCAAGATTCGAGTACAACTACTATAACAAATAACTCGGATACTAAGTTTCACTTTGCTAATTTGAGGAAACTGAAAGAAAAGATTAATATCTTTAAGAATCCTAACAATTCTGAAGAGCCAGAAACAAAAAACTCAAATGTTGATATAGAAGCGCTACAAAAGGCGATAGGTATAAATAACGACGCTCAATCAGATGATGTTAGCTCAACGGAATCATTTCATGAACGTTACCAAGCATCAAGAGATATTTCAAAATCGAGCAGTAGAGGGCATAATGATGCTCTTTTTAAATACTCGGGTGGGCAGAATAATGAACCTCCACTACCACCTTTACCAAAAAGTCCGTCAAGATCTCCTACAAGAGACAGGAGCCCTCATCGTACTCCTCATAGCCATCACTATCATCAACATCAGGAAATGGTATCACCTAAATTACCTCCATTACCTACAAGTAGAAACAACTCAACTTCTCCAACAAGAAGGAGACCGCCACCTATTTAAAAAATCAGCAGGTGAGTATATATCCATTATAATAATTTCAATAGGCATTATTTAACTCGTCTCTCATTCCTTTAGATATCTCGCTCAGTTTGATTAATTGAATGCAATGATGGTTTTTAATTAAGATTAGATAAGTGATAAGAATAATATACAGTTTATGCATGAAAATATAACCAAGAAAAAAATAAACCCATTGAAGGATGACGAGCTTTTAAAATGTTGGAATCGACCGTAATAATACTAGGATTATTATTTATTAGATGGTAGATTTTGAGATTCGGATTTGCTAAGCATCTTAAATTCAAAATGCAGGCTCATCACCATAATCATCTTCACCGATATCATCATCGTCACCACCACTGAAGTATTTCTCGGCGTTGTAATCGTCATCGTCGTCTTCATCATCAAATTCATCATCTACCGGTTCTTCAGTACCATCCTCTTCCTTCTTGTTCTCGTCCTCTTCGTCAACTTCTTCAGCGAGTTCCTTGTATTTCTCCAGCATCGATAAACCTAGAGCTTCATCTTGTTCAGATCCTGTAAATATGTCATCCTCATTATTGAATTTTGATAACGTCATGAGCTTCTTTTTATTAATACCCATGACAGCATATAGGTCCTTCGGGAACAGCTCCAAATGAAACGGATGCTCATCAATCGAAACACCAAGTTTCCTTTTCTTCAAGTATTTGTCAGAGTATCTCGCTATCCCATCTGATGGCCCTTCATTGTTAACAAGCTCACGTTTACCTTTCTTCTTGTTCTTATTGTCCCCTTCTTCAGCCGCCTCCAATGTGCCTGTGAAAAATGGACTTTCCCTAAGCGCAGCATTGAAATTAATATACTTTAACGCAATGGAACGATCTCTGCTACTCACATTGCCATTAACAGGTAATGATAAGCTCGGAAATTCAGCAATGTTGTTTGGTCCAATATCCTGATACCCGAGACCAAACGGCAATGATCTAGCACCGCCACCACTTCCTGCACCTCGCCTTCCACTCATGTTGTCCTATCTTCTTGAATTATGTGATACGTTTGCTTAAGTAGGGGGAGTGTGACAGGTCTGCTAGCCCTACCAATCTCATATATATCAGTTGCGATGAGCTTTCTTGCAAGTTTTTTCTTTGTCAAAATCAAAATTTTTCACTTTGAGTAATTTACGGTTTCTACGATGGTTTCTGAGTTTGGATCAAAAGAAAACAATGGCATATAAGAGCTCATCGGTCTAATTGGTATAGTCTGGCATCTGTGCGAAACTGGTAAATATTACAGATTCTTATATCTCAGAGTATTCTGAAAGGAGTTCAGTTAAATATATATTAGTTTGAAAATCTATAAGATAGTATATATAAATGCGAGTTTTGAATGAGTCAAGCAAAATAAAAATATCGGATGTTACGTTGTGTTTAAATGTAGCAATTGATGTAGCGATTCCATGAATAATAAGTAGTGCAACTTTCTTTTTGTGGTATTGACTACAAGAGTGTGTTTTGAAGGTTCACAATGAAATGAATCCTAGTCCTCTAGAAGCTCTTCAATCTCTTCGTCGCTATCGTAACCAGTACCTGAAAGTTTTAGCTGTTCATGTCTCTTCAAGTCATCCACTGCTCTTTCAAGAACTTCTTGCTGCCTCTTCACACGTTGCCTTGTCTTCTTACCCCAGCCGTACTCAGTAGTGGATGATTTGGCAATGGTTTCGACTTCAAAATCTTCTGGGCGTTCTAACAAAGTCTTCTCTCTTTCCTCTTTCTTTCTCTCTTCTTCTTGACGCACTTGTCTAGCCAATTGTCTGCGGTTCTGATCCCTTGTTACCAGGTTCCTGAACAGCATGTATGCACCAACAATTATAACAATCCTAAGAGCCTTTCTGGGCTCGATACTAAGAATGTTGTCAATTGAATTCTCAAAAATTTTGGATATTCTCTCCATTGTTTTGATTTTGGTCTTGGTCTTGGTCTTGGTCTTGGTCTTGCTATATTAGCTGAAGTTCTGAACAACGCGAGTAAACTCCAACTTATGCTTCCGATGCCTCAAAAAAAAAATAGTATTTAGCAAATACTCTTACAATAATAAACTATCTAGATTCAACCGTTGTTAGCTAATATCAAGATTGAGATTTGCCTCCTAAGAGATTACAAAATCTAAATTTTAATTCCGATTTCATCACTATCAACCAAAAATTGCGTTCTTTTTTTCCTTCTTCTGTCAACTTACTAAAGACATCGCAGGAACTCATCGCAAATTCAACATATGATGGCTATCCTGGCTTCGGAAACCTATCTAATACTCTATTGTACAGTAGAGTCCTTGTTTATGATAGCGTTTCCTTTCACTTTCCTTGATATTTCAAAAATTTGCGTTCACACGCAGCTTATATCTCATCGGAGTCCGAACCCGAGGTTTCGAAAGGAGCATATTGTGTTCCTGTTTCCACCTGTTGTGGTCTCACAAATCCACCGTGGTTGTCACTAACAGGCCCAAAATATGTGTGTTCTTTGAAAACACCGTTGTTTTTACCCTCAGCCTTATCGAATTCCACACCACACCATAATCCAGTTAACCCCTCGACAGGACCAACGTATCTGAGCCAGCCGCGTCTCTCAGAGACACCCTTAACCGTGCATCTCTCACCCAATTGTAACTGAGACGCCTTGAGCTCTTGTTGTTCTAGGTCTTTGGCCATATTTGCATTGTACTCAGAATCAAATCTGCCCAACTGTTCTTGCTGTTTCCATCTAAGAACTGTGTTATCACGGTTCTCGTAATCCTTTTGGCTGTATTCAAACAGGGGACCTTCATCTTGTTCATCTTGCTTCATCAATTGATATATTAACGAGTCCTTGTTTGTATCCTGGACTATTATATAACAACTGGAATGGCCTTCTAGTATACGTTGATCACCGTTGGTTTCCTTAGTGACTTCCAGATCCCATTGTCTCTCATCTGAGCTAGCGCGACCCATTGGCGTTCTGTTAAAAGCTACATAGAGTTTCATATCCTGCGGATCAACTCCACTAAATGCATAGATCTGCTCACGGAGCTCGGACACGGTAATACTGTCAGAGTACATCTTTGTGGGCTCTTGGCCATTGAAAAGCCTCACAGTTACTGGGATTTTCTTGTCACTGGTCATATGGAAACGAGGTTTGTCTTGCTAAACACTTAATATTAAACTAACTATTTGTTATAGGTACGCCTCTTCTGAAATTATCCAAGAGGCCTCTTTCCAGTATGCAATTGATATTTCAAATTTATCATGCTGTTGCTAATGGATATCACATTATTTCAACTTGCGATGAGTTCGCTCGCCATAGTCAAAAAGTGAAAAAAATGAAAATTCATCTAAAATTTAGTAGTATAATAACATTTACAGGACATAGTTCAAGAGTTTTGATTGCTCATTGCTAACCATTAAATAATATATCACAGCATTCACAGAACCATATAATCTATAGGTTTTACCAATAAAGCAATAATGAGCGAACAGGTATGTATTTATCCCGAAGGGATTGTTAAATGGCAATTAGCCCCACCAACTATGTTCATAATACTAACCGACCTTTTCTTTTCGATATTGCAAAGCTCTTACCATGCAAATCATAAACTTGATGTGTAAACTGGTGTGGCTGTAATAATTGTGCTTTATAGGTACAGAATACTCAACAAGCGGAACAGAATAACAACAACAGAGGGCAGCAAAAGAAGAAGTTTGAAGCTCCAAAGAGAGAGGCCATTGTAGATCTAGGTAAATATAAAGACAGCAAGGTTTCAGTCAAACTGATGGGTGGTAGAATAGTGACAGGCATTCTAAAGGGTTACGATCAGTTGATGAATCTCGTGCTTGAAGAAACAGAAGAGACATTGAAACCAGAAGTCGAAACAGGTGCTACCCAGCAAGTTACAAGGCAATTGGGTCTAACTGTCATAAGAGGAACTATTTTAATATCCTTGAGCCCACTGGATGGCTCTGAGGTGCTTTACATTCAAACTAACTAAGCTATACAAGGCAAGACTCATGAAATGATATACACGGAAAGCTGAACATTTTTCTTTCACTAAATTGAAACAACAAACCATTATAAATCAATCATGGCAAATGCTATGTATTGGTACTCCCTAGCAATTAGTTCTAATTCAATCTTTTGTAATTATGATGCCTATCAAACATTTGGTAAAACATCAAAACTCTTATCCTTTCCATTTTTAATAAACAGAATTTCAAAAATGATACTTAATGGTGAAGTTGAGGTATTTGTATTTGCAGTTATTTTATAATGTTATTCTGTCTTTGCCATCTGATAAATAAAATATCATCGAGGAGAGTTATAAATTAAATGTATAGTAATATAATATTAATTAACTAATTCAAAACCCTTCAGAACCATTAAATCCTGTAAATGATGTCAATAAGAAGATGTTATAATACTTCTTCTTGGAGATTTCGTTACAGTGGTTCCATGCTGAAGTTAATCTACCGTCAATGCAAGATCCACTCATGTAAAAGTTGTCTGCTCCTGATCCATCAAACATATGAGCAAATGCATCCTGTAAGATAGTCATTTTCAAATCCTCAACAGAACCATATTCCTTTTTAATATAATCCAGTAAGTACTCATCATTTTTAACAAGGTCATTTATTTGGATTAATGTTTGATCGAATGGAATTAGAATGCTTGGTACTTGAGTGTACTTGTCCAGGAAGAACAGGGCATTAGGAACAGCATCATCTCCTAAATGGACAACAGATGACCCCACCCAAGCTTCTGTTTTAGATCTACACTCCCCAATAATCCTGTGCATTTCTTTGTAGATTCTAGGACAAGGTTTAATCCGATTTAGGCCATGTCCTGTTGAAGCCAGTCTATAGTTAGATCCATCAAATAGATCGAGGTCAGCAATATACCATAACTTTACCATCTCCCTTTGAATAATAGACCAAAGTGTTAGAGACTGTTGTACGTAGTGCCATTGTCTCTCATGATCGTGTGTTAATCTGGCACCATTGCGACCATACTGAATACCAATGTTATACTTTGCAGCCACTTCTGGTTGGCGGAATATTTCTAATCTCGATAACATTCTCAACACAGGCTTTCTGTTCATATTCACATATGCGTTGTAATCTCCAATAGAGTACAAAGCCTGTCTGATGTCTTCCTTTGAGTAGTGTTTGCTGCTGTACTTTGATGCTAGAGTTTCAATAGCAGTTTCTTTTTGTTTAATACTTCTATTTATTTGATTCCTTGTTCTACCGACAGGAGAAATATGGCTAGTAGCCGCTAGGATCAATTTATCTTTGAAAATTCCCATTGCTTTACCATTATCTTCCGTCTTAGTTGTTAAGAATGACTGAACTGTTAAGATAGGTTTGTATAAGTGAAATTCCATATGTTCACAAATTTGAGGTAATCTGGAATCCATAACCATGTAGCATAACTTACCGTATGTGTCACGCATACGTTCGGGGTTCATGATTTTGTATCTTCTTCCGATTTCAAAGATATCCTGGAACCATTTAGCATTGTCAGAAAAGTTTTTCATATCCAATAGCTTCTGACCCAATTTCATGTTGGAAGCCACTACCAAGCCTGAAAGCACAGAACATATTTCTTTCAATTGTTCTACTATACGTCTTGATTTCGATTTGTTTGACAAAATATCGACTCTATCTGTATATTCGGAGACTTGCAAAGCTGCTTCCAACAGCCTTAGCAAATGTCTTTCTTCATATGTTAATCTCATAGGTATGTAATGAGACGTTTCAAAAAGAATGGACATCAATTTGTTGTCAATAGAATTGGTATCTTCAACAGATTCCTGTTTCTGAGCCGGTATCTCTGAACCATCATAATTATTTATCGTATCTTGTAATTCTTTCTGTTCACTACTGTCAGCAGGTAATTGTTGTAGTGTTGTTTCAGTGGCCTCACCCGGGTTATCTATTGAAACTTTAGTGAATTCATGCTTTCTTCTTTTACCACCTCTGTGAATCATTTCATAGCAGATCACACAAAAGTTCTCTTGACAATCTTTACATATGATCTCAAACTTCATATCCCTACATTCTTCACAAATACTGGGATCAAGTGGTGCTTCCTCATTGTCAGACACATCGTGATCGCTATCACCATGCTGTACTTCGTCATCGCTATTCTCAACGTACTCAGAGTCCAATATTTCCTTTAGTGATCTTTTATTCGCGGTCCCCATTGTTACTGCTACAAATTTGAGTTGATGTTTTCAATATAATTGAATACTTTCCAAATTCAAGAACTTCGCTTGACAAATAGTTATTAATTATATATCTGGCTTCATCATCTCATCGATGCCGTTTCTGCCAAGTTTTTCAATATTTTTTCAAAATTTCGCTTAGAACTCGATGGTAGGATTAGGGATCATCAAAGATCATTATCGAGTTGATAGTTTTCAAGAGGAAGCAAGAGAAGTATCAAACAGATCCACTTATTACAATATTTGATATTCATTTCATTGATTGACGTAAGTTTGAAAGGTTTCATCTCAGTCAACGCTCCTCCAAAATTGACATAATGAAGACTACGAAAAGTTCAAATGGAAGTTATTATCATGATCTGAGGCGTGCATTACGTATTGGTGTATTATTTATACTTATTTCACTGCTATTCACTTCTCGATTGAGAAATATAGTACAGCAGTTTTTGAATATGTTTGGTAGAGTACGAAGTGGTTACTCGATAGAAGATGTCAACCATGTACCGATATTCTCTGAGCCAGATTTTGATGGTGTGGATGTGCATACAGTAGACATTAAGAGATTAATAATGTTTTTAGTGGTATTTTTTTCATTAGCCATTCCTTTCGTATTTTAGATAATGTCAATAGCAATCTATATTTCCGTGCTAAATTTGCACTACTGTCAATAAGTTTAAATTTAAAGAATAATGTGACTCTTTAAGGGAAAAAAATATTCTAAAATTCATATAACAGTATTGTTTATATCACTACAAAAAAAAAAAATATAATAAAGCCAATAGGTCATTAAAAAGGGGAGAATACTAAGTAGACATAGCTCCAACTATTTTTGTTTCCATTAGGTATGGTTTGATATCCTTTAGAAGTGATGGATTGTACATCTTATTACGAAGACCAGCTTTAACGTAAATAGTTTCTCCCTCCCATTTAGCATCAGGAGCTAATGGTCTGATACACCGCAGTGAGTGTCTTATATAGCGTTTTCTTGTTTGCTCTTTTTTGACAGGGTTCCACTTAGTGTCACAATCATTCATGTCATCAGTTTCCAGCTCTTCACCTTCTTCAAATATTTCAAACTCTTCTAATCCGTAATCTTCAATATCGATATCGTCCTCGTCATCCTCTTCAATCTCCTCCTCTAATTCGATCAACTCGGGAATCATACCATCAGGATATGTTGACTCATTTGAATCAAATGAACAATCCATGGAATTGCTGAGTCCAAGAGAAGACGTTGACGACAGAGAGCTACCAAACTGTAGAGGGGACCAATAGTCGAAATTGTAATTGATCCTAGCCAATTTTGCATGTGGTTTATCGAGGTCATATTCGCAGAATGATGAGTTCGCTGTGAGAGTCTCATATAATGAAAGGCATTCTGAAGGCGACCTGGTGAGGTTGTTTAACCCGTCCATCACATCAGACTCGTTATCGTGCAACGAGGTTGTAGTTGATCTTGATATTGAGTTGTTTGGCGTAATATCTCCATGAGCAGAACTCTCACTTCTACTTTGATCAGAGGCGGGCGTCCTTTCTGGAGGCTCATGGTGAGATTTTTGCCTCACTAATGCGGCATCTGGCTGCTGTTCGGATGTGAATGGATTTTTGAAATCGATCTGTAAGGGTTCAGAAGCTGATTTTGCACCTGTGAAGTGCTTCAAGAACGAATTAGCCCGTCTTCTAGTTGACGATGATGGGCCTTCCGTGTTTCTTACAGGTGTTCTCCCCGAACTGTGTCTTCTTCTAGAGCTGAAGCGTCTCCTACTGTGCCCACTATGTCTTCTTCTGCGCCTTCTGGGCACGATTCTGTAGTTTGGGTATTCTCTGTCGTAGAGGTCCTTTGACACATTTATGCCCATGCTCAAGTACATCGACCACATGATCATGTCATCTATGTGCTCGAACTGGACGAGAAACTGCTGGTCCTCCATCCGCAGACGCAGGCACACTAAGTAGGCGTCCTTGTAAACGTTCTCTTCATCTATGTACACTTTCTTCCGGGACTCGGAAGTGGGCATTCCGACTTTTGCGCCTTGCAAAGAGTAGCTCTTGAAAGGTACGAACCCCGTGCTCACGTCCATCGAGTCGCAAGTCTCTGAGCAGTACTCCTCGTAGTTTGTATCGTATATGAAGTCGTACTGGTTCGACCTCTTCTTCCTAGCACCGAGGGCATCCTGCGGCATGTTTTGATAAGAGTTTGTGAATCCCGCGGGCGTCGGGTGGAAATCCAGCGGCTCGAACGCCGGCAGATAATTCTTCTTAAACCTGGTAAACCGCTCCGACAGCCTCCGCACACCGCTCACACTGGGCTTGGCACTCACGTAGCTCAGACTCTTGCTTGCGGGCCTGCTCTTGGGACACCTCGGCAAGTACAGGTTCAGCTGCGTCGAATTGATATGCAGCACCACATCGTACCAGCAGGGGTCTCGCGACACCTGTGTCGGCGACTCCCACTCCAGCTTGAACTTAGCCCTCACAAACTTCTCAACAGCAGGCGAGTACCCGGGCAGCTCTTCCGCACACTCCAAACTATCCGCACTATCCACACTATGCACACTATGCACACTATCCACGCTATGCACGCTATACGCCGGCAGCTCTATACCCATATCCATCTCTGTGTCCATGTCTGACTCGATCTTGTCCGCGACACCTCGGCCGTATTGACTCCCAGTTCTGTGCGTTTCACTGCTATTATATAGTTTCTATGTTTCTTATCATAGTTTATAGGAGCTAATTTGACAGGATCCCAGTCCATTATAGCGATTCGAGTGCGAGAAGCACAGAACAGACAGCACAGAATGACTTCCGCTGCATAGAAATAGTGTGGGGGGGATAAGGGAACACAGAAGGCACCGCACACGCACAAACAGATAATGATTGGAGGAGGGGGCTCAGACAGCATTGCAGGAGAAAGAAAGCCAATTAGTGGGGTCCTCTCTCAGTGTGGGGGAATTGATTGGGTAAGGGGGGCTTGCAGTGGGGGGCTTGCAGTGGGGGGGTACTTATCTCTTAGTGAGATCTGTATGCACATGATCGGCACCGTTGAGAACAATGGGGGGGAGGGAGGAAATAGCGTATATCAATTACTTATATTATTTAACTAATGTATTCTTTGATCTCGGATTCGATCCAGTCCCAGAGAGCCAGGTCTGTTCCGTTTTGCAGGCCTTCCTTGACGTCCTCTCTTGGTTCGTGTACCTGGTCGAACGGGCAGATGTACTTGCCTTGGTCGCTTGTGGTTAGCGATGGGGAGAGCACGCTGTATAGTTCTGTGTAGGCACCGTACTCAGCTGGGTAGAACAAGCGGCCGACAGTGGCGCGTGTCCATGGGTGCCAGTCTCTCTGCAGGTCGGTTCTGAGGTTGCCCGGGTAGCACGAGACGGAGACGCAGCCGATCTTGTCTACCATCTCCTTGTTTCTTGTGGCCCACGCCTTGGCCTGCAAGATGTTTGCGGCCTTGGTGGCACCGTACAGGGTAGTTGCTGCTGGGCGCTTCTCAATGGCAACGCCGTCGAATCCCGGGTTCTCCCAGAAGATACCATACTGGCTTGGGCCCAGCAAGTGTGCACCGCTGCTGACCCACACTATCCTCTTCAAAGAGGTGTCGTCTTCTTTCAAAAACACTGGGTCCAAGTAGTGTTGTAGCAGCTGTGGGCCCATGACATTGGTTTGAAACATAGCCTCGAGTCCCTGCTTGGAGGTCCCGGCGTTGCTGGAACTCATCAACCCAGCGTTGTGGATAATAATGTTCAATGGCTTGCCCGCAAGTATCTCTTGGATTCTCTTGCCAGCTTGTGGGACCGTGGTGAAATCCAGGAAGTCGCAGCCACTGACAACGCTGATGGAACCTTTGCTGTTTCCGATCTCCTGCTTGATTGACTCTGCAGCTTCAAGACCCTTGGACTCCGTCCTACAGACACCGATGACATTGCAATTCTTCTGGTATAGCAGCTTCGCAGCTTCTTTACCAACACCGGTGTTGCAGCCAGTGACCACCGCTGTCTTGCCAGTGAGGTCTGGGTACTTGTCTGGCGTGTATGTAACTTTAGTTGCCCAGAAACCATAGATGATCTCCTTGAGAGCATAACATTTGCTGTAGCTAGGAGCCGGTTGGGTAGGTGCTGGCATTGTTACTTTTTTGTATGGTTGCTTCTTTATGTTCTTGTTAAAAAGCAGTTCTCAGGTGCTTTTCGACTGTAGTGGTTCTCTTAAATATGAACAAATTAATAATTGGAACAGGGGAAATTTATTTGTTGTCAGTCACAGAATCAGTCAGTTTTTATACACATAGAGGATCAATTATAACTAATTCAGCTTAAATGGTTGCTTAGAACTAAAAAAAACCTTCAAAAAGAAATTTGGGCATAGGCATTGGTTCGATCGGGTCAGTCGGGTCGGAACATTTCTATCTACAACACTCCCCCCACAGTCAATCATGCCAGTAAGTTGCCAATATCAATTGAAATCCGATCATGCTTATTCTAACTATAGTGTGCTTTGCTGCCTGTATGTTGTCAATAGCTAGAATAAGATTTACCGTTTCTACTACTGATGTTTCTGAGGAAATATATGCGGGAAAAGTAGTATTTTTTGCAACCCAATCGGCAACTTCGATCTGGTGGGTGGGGGGCAAACATTGGAATAAAGGGTCTCATCCGATATCCCATCCGATATCCCATCCGATATCCCATCCGATATCCCATCCGATATCCCATCCGACTGCAATAAGACAGCAACCAGATTCAGTTATGCTTATTACAGCTATACTGGTATTACACACTGGGAAGTAGCAGCTATAGGATGTTAGCCGGGACCATTCCGAATCTTTTCTGATAATCCAATGGAAGTTCAAGGTCCCATTTAGAAGTTGTTACTATGCCAAAATCTCATCTACAGGTTCCACGGGATACTTACACTTTGTGGCCGTATTAACAAATAATTAGACAATTGGTGACGATAGTTACAACGCATAGTTGCATAAAGTTCTGAGTTATATGGTTGTATATGTGGATAGTGTTATGTCAGCCCCGTTTATTTATATATGTCGTTTCGTATGAGTGTGTACCGTCGGCCGATGAGGAGGCGGCAAATTTAGTCCCACGGCGTCCGTTACTCAAATCGCATCGCCTATAAAGATAATTAAAAAGTGTAGTGGTCCCTTATCTATTTTATTTTAGTGTTTCATTTTTGGCTAAACTCTATTTATGAAACTATCTCATTTATTCATTAAAACGTTAAATATTTAGCTTAAAAAAGTCCTGAAAGTATCTGCTGCGTACTCTTATACCTTCTCACTATAGTTAGACCCACGCATAGACTAAAGAAAAACCCAGCAATCATTAGATAGGTTGTACCTCCAATACCATATAGCAAATAAACTAATATCGTAACAATCTTTATGCTTTTCTTATACCATCTGAAAAAAAATCCGAGAATCATTCTATAAATTCCAACTGATACAGGATATTCTTCCGTATCTGTGTATGACCTATCTATATTCAATATCCGTCTCAAAAGAGCCTCACCTATTGGCAATGAGTAATACACGATGATGTTATGAAATTTCCCTAACAGTCCTAAGCCTGGACCGCTATCGGATGTCTCTGGGGTACTTGGCTTTATTAGACTGATAACGTCAACTGTATCTATTGCATACCAATATGTTAAAATCTCTCTAGTGAAATCACGCTCTGAAAATGTCATGGTACTAAATCCACTTCTCAATACATTGTATAGTGAAAAAGGGAATAATAACGAAAGTACTAGATAGTTCAAAACTAGTAAGTTCCTGACCAATGTTCTGAAAAATGAGGGTCTCTGAGCGAAGGGTGTTCTTTGATTCACCCCATTGCTGTTGCTACCAATACTATTGTGAGAGGGGAGATTTATACCTAGCATATTTCCATAATTATTATTTCTATTCTCAGTGGCTGCACCATTATTGTATGAGTTATTTGTATGACTATTAGAATTCGTGTTCTCATGCCTTCTGCCAGTAATTCGTATCCTCACATGATGATTATCAATTTCTTGGCTCCAGTTCCTAAGTACCCGACTTAAAGTCTCATCTAGATTTCTTTGTAATACTTCTTCGCTTGTCTGTATCTCGTGGGCATCCTCCCTAGATTGTAATCTCCTCCTATCCTCCAAATACTGCTCGTATAGTTCCGAGTCAGAATCTCCTTCCTGATCATTCATCTTGTAAGTCACCTCCCAATATACAGTAGTTCTGTTCTAGAAAATAGATAGTACTTATATTTCTTGTTGATGTTTGATGAGTCTTGAACTAATTAATTTATAATAGGTACTGTAATTACACGGCCTGCATTCGGGTACCTTCCCTATTTTCTATAGTAAGTCATTTCCGATCAATTTTGAAAAAGTTTCCAGGGCATCGCCTGATTGTGCCAATATAATAGATGAGCACACTATAATAGAACACTACGTGAGGGATCGGTGTTGTTGTAATATGATCCACTTATTGAACCAATTCTGTTAGATTTGTGGTTTGGCATGCTTTTATATTATACAGTACTTCCGGTCCTGTGGCTTTGTGCCATTGTCAGTGCCAACACCGAGACTTTACGGATCAGGATACCTAGGCAATTCAAGACCTCTGAGCTAACAAGGCAAGTTCATGACAGTTATAGCATATTAAAGAATTTAGAAGATACAGCAATTGTTTCAGGTAATATCAATAGCACGAGTCCATTTCATGTGATTGAGGTGAGGAGTAATTGGAGTGGTACAACGTTGGATGTCAGAGTATCATGGACAGCAGCAGATGGATACAGTATAAATGATCTTGGCTATCTGCTTATAACTAAAGAACACGAAGTTGTTACACCATGGTCAAATGAAACTTTCGAAGGACTCCATGAGAAGCTATACGTATATTTTAAAGTTGTTCCAGATAGTTATCCGCTCTTAGAAGATGGTCAAGTATTCAATGTTGCTATTAACATTAAGGAAACGTTTTTGGGCCTTACATCAGACTTATATGTAATGATAGCGTATCTAATTGTGCTGGCAAGTATATCCAGATTGGTGGTGGTTCATGGGTGGAAACTGTTGTCGCCTTTACTGTAAGGTAGTCATCAACTTTTAGCATAAAGATTAGTAAGAAAGTAAGAGTTATATAGCATTGCATTACTGAATAATTATTCTAATATAAATGCCGGGGTAATTTACGGGTAATCCATAGAGAAACGGTTAGCAGAGAGAAGATGGATGTGATAGAATAGAATTGATTATATATGTGCAAAGTGGATAAATAATTGTATGAGTACTCCAAAATGGGGGTCTAGATCATAGGTGGTATAAGTATCTACCGATCTTACCGAACATCAAGGAACCCAAGAAGTAAAAATCCATGAAATATAGGAACTGAGAAACGTCTGTGATTTCATGAAAGCATGACGCGCAACATAGCAGACCCAGCACGGAACAATTTGAGAACATGGATAAAGTACCATCAAAGAATAACCACAGGATAACGTTAAGAAGACCCCATGCACCAGCTGCTTGGCCTGAAGATGCCCATTGGATCTTCCTGATACCGAAGGTTACACCTAGCATTGCGTTAATGCTTCTGATCACCGAGGATAGACTGTAACTTGTTGGTCTTAGCTTAACTTTAGTGATGTGATCCATCAATGGGATAATTGATCCGAAGATGATACCTTCTAGGGCGTAACCGAACCAATCTGGCAATATGCCACAACTTAGTTTCTGTTGGATGGTGACACCCCATAGCAATGGTCTGGAGGCAAAGTCCTCGTGTAATAGATGGTTATCGTGTAGATTCCGAGATAACTGGTGGTATGCTACACCGCTTATAGAAAGCACGACGATGGCGAATACGAAGTTTGTAAACCTTTGGAACGGTGTAACATGGAAGGACATAGTATTGGCCATAGTGGCATCAAGTCCCAAGTTGCCACCTGCAGACATGGAAGGTGTCAGCAATGTCTCATTTATAAGCTTCTTGTGTTGAGAAAGCGGGCGTATGTGCGATCCCTCGGAAACATCGATCAGTGGAGATTCGTTTACCTTGTCGTTGTCTTTCTTCAAATGTATAATTTCATCAATGGCATAAAGAGGTGTGTCCAAAGAGCTAGACTTTGACCTGGACCGTTTCAGTTCTTCGTAAATTTCAGCGTCTTCACTCTTGACAATGTCCTGGTCATAGATAGAATACAATTGAGGAGTCGTAAGCGATGAAATAGACTCGCTGCTCTCCACAGTCTTGACGGCTTTCTTCTTTCTACCTTTCACCATTGTTCGTTGTTGTAGTTGATACTGGTCTGTTCTGATTGATACAAACAATGGCCACTATTCTAACAACTATTATAGGATTCGCACAGCAACTCTTTTTTGGGCTCAAATGATGAACTTCTGAATTTTAAAAGAGGCGAAAAAAAAAGTCTTGAACAGGAGCAAATAGTGGGTTTAAGAACAACTATGAACGCCATATTGGCATGGATAGGATAGGGATCTCAGTCAGATAAACGCAGACGTAGTTTGGAAGTATTATGTATACAATCTACAATTGGTTAGTTGCTGTGGTATCCCCATCTTGATAGCGTGTAGCTCTTTTTTTTATTGCATTTTCGAGTGGATAGTTCCTCTTCTATAGATGGACTCACCATTAAAAATGTATATAACTGTTCAAGATACTACAACAGCAAGTTTCATAGATATTTGTGTATTACAGGAAAAGACAGCTGTATCATTTGATATTCAAGAAGTTATCTGGTACTTTCACAGCACACATTTCATCAATTGCCTAATTATTGTGTCGAAATGTGTCAATGCAACGGTGAAATCAGTGGCCATAGGTTTAATATCCCATTGATAGTATCATTGTAAAATATCAAGTATTAGTCTATACTATCTCAGGCATACGGTGTCATGTTAGATATCCTATTAGTTACTACTTCCCTTGTCATAAATATTCGTTCAATGTCATTGTGGTGCTGCATTCATTGATCCTTGTGTCTCCGACCCAATGATCAGCACGACCCAGGAGGGGGGGGATGAGTGTGGATCGTGAAGTGCAGGTACATATATATATGCGTGTAGGGTTAATACTTCTCATGTTCCGTGGCTTATTTGCAACAGATGAGTGTATGGGACAATGTCTTTGCAACAGCATATAGTTACCAAGAACCACTTGGCTGCTACTACAACCGCGACGACTAACGACACTTCTCAGTATCCAAATGCAAGTAATGTGAGATTGCTTAACGGGCATATGCCGCACTCTCTAACTGGGACGCCGTCTCCTGGAATGATTACCAGCAATAGCAGCACCCAAGGAAGCATGTCCTCTTCTAAGGACAACGGTAACGGTGGTACCATCGCTGGTTTGCACTACCAGATCGGTAAGAAGATCGGTGAAGGGTCCTTTGGTGTACTATTTGAAGGAACAAATATCATAAACGGGATGCCTGTGGCAGTTAAATTCGAACCTCGCAAGACAGAGGCACCACAGTTAAAGGATGAGTATAGAACCTACAAGATCCTCGCAGGTACTCCAGGTGTTCCTCAGGCATATTATTTCGGTCAGGAAGGGTTGCACAACATCTTAGTGATGGATTTATTGGGTCCTTCTTTGGAAGATCTGTTTGACTGGTGTGGAAGACAGTTCTCTCCAAAGACAGTGGTACAAGTTGCTGTGCAAATGATCACACTGATAGAGGATTTGCACGCACACGACCTGATATACAGAGATATTAAGCCTGATAACTTCCTGGTTGGAAGACCTGGTCAACCTGACGAAAATAATATCCACTTGATCGACTTCGGTATGGCCAAGCAATACAGGGATCCAAAGACTAAACAACATATCCCTTATAGGGAGAAGAAATCACTGAGTGGTACCGCAAGATATATGTCCATCAACACCCACCTGGGCAGAGAGCAATCTAGAAGAGATGACATGGAGGCATTGGGACATGTTTTCTTTTATTTCTTGAGAGGACAATTGCCATGGCAAGGGTTGAAAGCTCCAAATAACAAGCAAAAATATGAGAGGATAGGTGAAAAGAAGAGAACAACTGACGTTTATGATCTAGCCAATGGTTATCCTGTTCAATTCGCGAGATACTTAGAGATAGTAAGAAATTTAGGTTTTGATGAAACACCAGACTACGAAGGCTACCGTAAGTTGTTAGCCTCTGCATTGGATGACATCGGAGAGACTATGGACGGTAAATACGACTGGATGGAGCTTAACGGAGGTCGTGGCTGGGACTTAACGATTAACAAGAAGCCCAATTTGCACGGCTATGGACATCCAAATCCGCCTGGTGACAAATCTCATAGGAACAGAAACGCTGCCAAAGGTGGTAATCATGCAAACGATGCTAATCATGGCGGTCTAGATCCCACCTCTTATGAGGCCTATCAACAACAAACCCAACAGAAGATGTTGCAACAACAGCAAAAGCAATCGCAAAGAAATCAAAATACTGCAGTTGATCAGCAAAACTATAGATTAAACAACAATCCAATAAATAACACTAGCCAGCCAAATAACTACAAAGGAAATGGCGGTAAAGATACGAATATGATGAACGGCAACGGTAATGGTAATAGATATAACTTTCAAGAGCAGCCAACTACGACGCATGGTCAAACCAAAAATACACAGCAGGACATGCATTCCTCTTCATCTGAGAAAGGATTTTTCAGTAAGCTGGGTTGTTGCTGACTGATATACTATAGCACATTATCATTTTCCAACCTTCAAATGCATATGAAATGTAGTTTTTACAACAGTTTTGAAAATAAATGTCGCACCCTTTATGGCATTGGTCTTACATCAAATGATTTGATGTTGTAGTAAGTATCATGACAGATCAATTCATATGGGTAAAACTGTTCTAATCATTTATGCAATAACCTAAATATTGTATTAGGTTAATTTTGAAAAATCCTGATCTTTAATTTTTAATTAAACTATTCCATTTTCTCGATATATAATAAATTGATTACTATTATTCTTATGAGCGGATATTTTGGATGTTAAATTATATAGATTGTTACTTATATTACTATATTTGGCCTCTGACCAAATACAAAGTATCTAAGTCCTTTACTAAAACGTTGACCCTTCCGGAGGTTTCAATCCCAACGTATTCATTAAGCTTCTCATCGTATTTGTACAAAAATAACTTCTCGCCTTTAGTTGTGTCCACGTTCCCATTTACATTCGTGACATGGAGTTGCTGGGATAGATAATCAAGTGCTCTGCCAACGGGCCAAATCTTATTGATATATAATGGTACTTTAGTCAAGCCTAGGGTATCACTCGTTTCATCCTCACCCAATATTACTTGGCAATAAATATAAATCCTGTTTTGCACAGGTATCTTAGAGTCACCTTTAGCGGTTTTCTTTAGAGTAGAGAGTTCTACTAATCTGTTGGAACTAGTTGATACCTTTTTCTTTGTTTTTGGGTCGGATTTTGTTCTCTTAAAGAAATTCAGAAGCTTGTTCAATGCTGCTGGATTTAGAGTTGATCGTATCTTGGTTGTCTCAGAAGGCTTATTCTTTGTTGTTACACCGCTTGAGCCTAACTTCACTGGTGATTGTGAAGTCGTTGAACTTGGCGATGGTGATTTGACCCTTATATGGGCCTTCTCAGGTAATAAACTTTGAAAGAACTTACCCCCATTCGATTTGGAGGATGAAGGAGGGCTTCTTGCCCCATTGTTCTCTAATTCTTCAGGATGGTCTAATAGCCATTTACAATGGTGTGATTCCTTGGACCTATGCTCCGAACAAAAATCTCCATCACATAGCTTACAGTGAAACGGTAGAAAGTCAAGTTGACGGCAATACTGACAGTGTGTACCAACATCAAGCATACCCGTTTCTTTCTCCTTATTATTCATATCATTCACCACACTCTGTGGCGCTCTTTTTGCAAACATATCTATGCTCTTATTATTTGAAAATCTTTAGTATTTATTGATACTGATTATAATTGCGAGATAACATTTGGATAAAGCAGTAAGACCTTTATATATTCATATTGGTTAAATTTGGTAAGGCTTTTGACGATTTGCCATCGGTATTATGATGTACATCCTTAATTTGCTGCTGTTTGCACTGCAGTTTCTGTGAGCTCATCGAGGAGAAAGTGATATAGAGAGCTCATCGCCAGCCTTGCCACAATAGTAGTCATAGTCATAATTGATGGAATAACAATATTCCAGCACAATCAAGAATAATTAAGCTTCTCCAAAACTATCCTAAATCTTGGTATAAAGATTGGATCATAGTAGGATATAAGCTATTTCTATATTAGCTAAAAAAAAAATATTGTTGTATGAATTATAGTACCTATGTTGAATAGTAGTTTTTGAATTATAAATAAATGCCCCCATTATGCTATGCACGTATTCATGCTTAATGTAGTTTATAAATGGATATTGTTGAGAATGCAAGTTGTAATTTTCGGGAAAGTTGGTGTATTGAATTAGTTGGTGTACTTGGCAACCACGGCGTCAACCTTGGCCAGTAGTTCCTCCTTTCTCTTTTGTTCACACCAGGAACCGTTGATACCGTTCTTGGCAATACGTTCCCAGACCTTGAAGTCCCAGTCTGGGAAGTCCTTGTTGACTTGGTAGTAGTTGTCAAGAATGTAGCCACCAAAGTAAGCTGGATCATCAGAGTTTAGGGAGAATGCGATGTTCTTGTCCAAAAACAATTGCAATGGAATCTCCTTCACTGATTGTACCACTTGTAGTTTAACGTTGGATAATGGACAAACAGTCAACAGAGTTTGTTGTTCTGCTAGTCTAGCCATTAATTCCTCACTTTGCTTGGAGTTTACACCGTGATCGATTCTAGTAACATTCAACAGGTCCAAAGCATCAGAAACAAATTGATGAGTACCTTCCTCACCGGCATGGGCTGTTAGTCTCAATTCAGGGTTAATCTTAGCGGCACGCTCATAACATTCGACAAACAAGCTTGGTGGGAAAGGCTTCTCAGCAGAGTCCAAACCTAGACCATGAATGACACCGGATTTGATTAATTGTTCAGCTTCCTCGATTGTTTGCAAACAATCTTGAGGTGGTAAGTGTCTTAGCAAACACATGATTAGTTTGGATGTAATGCCTAATTCTTCATGAGCCTTCTTGCAGGCCCTTTCAAAACCTCTGGTGACTGTCTCCAAAGAGACACCTCTAGTGGTGTGAGATTGCGGATCATAGAACAATTCAGCATGCACCAAACCTTGTTTAGAGACCTTAGTGAAATATGCCCATGCAAGGTCAAAGAAATCTTCCTCTTTCAACAAGACATTGGTACCGATGTAGTAGTAGTCCAAGAAGTCCTGCAAGTCCTTGAATTGAGTATAACGAACAGCTAGTTCTTCTGGGGTCTGAGGGAAGTGATCAGGCAACTGAATATTGTTTCTCTTGGCCAAGGGGAACAATAGATCAGGCTCTAAAGTACCTTCCAAATGCAAGTGGTGTTCACACTTTGGCAACTCTAACAAAAAGGATTCTGGGACCATCTCTTCAAAGAAAATAAAACTCGATTAAGGCTTTATTGTATGTACTATTCCAGGATATAAATGCAAGAAACTACACAAAGAAGAGAAAACACAGAACCATTTCCTTCCAAAAGGATTAAAACCAGAACGATTCCCAGACAGTTTAAAAGAGAAAGAGAATAACTCGAAAAATGCCAATCATATGCATCCAGGAACTATAAGTATATTAAAAAGTCGATGACTATTTATACTTTTCGACAAAACTCATACTGAAAGTGAAAAAAGTGAAAAAAAAAAAAATTTGCGATGAGCTTGTCACTGAAATAAAAGAAATTAGAAATAAAAAAAAAAAAGAAACAGTGAAGGGGAAGTTTATAAGCTGGGTGTGAGGATCATTGAGATACTATATCATACCAAAAAACATCGGCAAAGATGGAACTACTACCAGAAGGCAAGAAGAATAATATTGAGGTGACCTTTGCTGATCAACAAAAGATCAATGAGTTCTCCAAGCTGATAATGCGCAAGGATGCTTTGGAAGCAGAGTTGAAGAAAGAGAGACAGGAGAAGGAATACCTAGAGGATGTTTCACTAGAAATTGAACTTATAGATGAGGATGAGGAAGTACAATATAAAATGGGTGAGGTTTTTGTGTTTCTGAAACAGAGTAAAGTTGTTGAGCAACTCGAAAAGGATACAGAGATAATAGACGAAAAGATTTCTCAATTGGAAAGTAAACAGGATGATTTGGAGGACAGAATAAAAGAATTGAAAACCTCTTTATATGCTAAATTTGGTGACAATATCAATTTAGAACGTTAATACTAGGTAATAAAATCAAAGGTAATACACTGTTGCTGTACATATATAATCTTCATTTGTTTGCTGGATAACACTCTCGAGATAATAAACAAAAAGCTTTATACGGTAAGCCTAATTACGATACAAAATATAGACATATTCTGTTGTAAAATAAAAATAATAAAACACTATACCATTATAGAAGTGAAACTTTTAATCTTACTTTGTTATTGATAAATTAAATTAAATTGCACATGCGAAAAATTACTTATTAGACTGAAAAGCATTATGATTTGTATCTTGGAAACTATATATTGGGATCAAAACGAGGGACTTCAAAATAGGGATTAACAAAAATGAATACTTTAGTGAGATATATTTAAACTGTTTGCTTTTCACCCATATTAGAGCCTGCCTCATTAGATCCTGATTCTGACTCAGAAAGCTTTGAATCAATCACTTGTTGTGGTCCAGTAATTTTATCGTCAATGGAGGACATTTTTGGTTGCATACCTGGAGACCTTGAACGGACTGGTTCAGGAATATATTCTTGTTCCTCTTGGTATGTAAACTCGCCAATCTCCGCTTCATCAGTACCTTGTTCCTCTTCTTCTGGTCTTAATCTTAGTCTCAGGAATGGAATTTGATCCATGGCAAGAAGCAAAATTGCAGTAATGGTGACTGTCCAGGCAATTGTTGCACAAATAGCAGCCAATTGGTATCCCACTTGTTTCCAGTGATGGTTTAACCATCCTCCTGCAATTGGGGCGATGTATGAACCTGCTGTTGCGTTAACATAATCAGCTGCGAAGATACCGGTTAGCACGGAACCAATACAACCACCAACACCATGCAATGCATACACATCAAGACCATCGTCGATGTGCAGAACATTCTTCAAGTCAACGGCTAAGTTACAGCCTGCTGCAGAAAGCACACCGATGATAAATGAAGACCAAATTGGAACAAAGCCAGCACCAGGTGTAATACCGACCAAACCAGAAATGATACCAGAGCACATACCAACGGTGGTCCATTTTCCGCCAGTTCTGAAATAGTCGATGAATAACCAAGTTAGACCACCAGATGCGGCAGCCAGGTTTGTGTTCATAGCAGAGTACCAGGCTCTAATGGAAGCATTACCAGCAGAACCTGGGTTAAAGAATTGCCATCCAAACCATAGGAAGACGGTACCCAGCACAACAGAAGTGACTGAGTGTGGCTTATACTTTGGCATACCTTTCTTGGCGACTGGATCGTTTCTCTTACCCAAGATTAATGCGTAGACAAGAGCACCATGGCCGGAGGCCGTGTGAACAGGTCCAGAGCCTGCATAGTCCAGAGCACCCAGTTTAGCTAACCATCCCTCCGCATTCCATGTCCAGCATGCAATGGGGCAGTAGACGATTGTCATCCATAGAAATAGGAAGATCATCATTGGCATTAGACGAGCTCTTTCGCAAGCACCACCAAGCATTAAAGCACCAGTTACAGCAGCGAACATTCCTTGGAAGATGGCAAAGACGATATCAGGTACTGATGTGACGACGGATGGTGCACCAAGGACATTTCTAAAACCAAAAAACTCTAGAGTTCCCAAGAATCCGTTTCCTCTAGTTTCATGGGAAAATGATAGTGAGTAACCCCAGAAGAACCATTGGAATATCACTAAGCAAGCGGCCATGAGCGATGCCCATAGAAGTGATAAGGCGTGTTTCTTTCTGGAAAGACCAGAGTACAGCAGACCTATGCCAGGCACCATAAGCCAGACACCTGAGGTACATACACCTAGCCACGTCATATTGACTAGGTCAAATTGTGTGTTTAAATCGGTGGTAAGTGAGTCACCACCTGTCCCATGACCCGTTGGGGTCCCTGTAAAGTTGTAAGACATTGTTGTATTCTAGTGTATAATTGTTTTCAATGTGTTCACTTTTATTGAATATACTAACACTGTCAAAACAAGATTTCATATTATCAAGCTGTTATGGAATTGAAATATTGGGTAGTTTATATATGTTTTTTTATGGTCAGTTGATTGAATCATGACTTCATTTTATTCCTCTATATAGAAAATCGTTACTAATGGAGACAATTAAGGTTTCCCTTATCTGTGATAGATAATATTAACGATGCAGAGGTCAATACATCAAGAACTGTAGCACCTAATGCATAACCGCGTTATATTGAGAGTTTAAACAATCATGATCACAAAAAGAAAAGTAATGTGACATGCAATATGGGTTGTTATCTCAGATAAAATGATTACAGATTTGGAGTTCCGCATCGGGTAAAAGATAAGACACCTGCAGGCGGACTTGCATTTTTACAACTGAACTTGCAAACAGTATGAAGACCCTTTTGTTTTTAATCATACTTAGCGAGGGATTCCTACGATCTTACTAAACTCCGTTTCAGTTTGCATTTGACTAAACTACAAAGCAACCTCTATTTGTTATTTTTTCATGATGATTCGGGTGATGCGATGGGCCGATAACAGTTGCTTATCTGAGAGATAAGGCTCAGAGATTAGAAAGATAAGTTAGAGATAACGAGGGAAACGTGATATTCCGTCGGGATTTCGGCATTGTTGGTGGTAATAGCTTTCACGTTATCGCTGCAGAGAAGTGTCGATGTTGTGTCGTTGATATTGGAAAGATAAGATAAGATGGTTTATCTCTGGTCGATGAGTTTATGATTGTTGACTAGATGAGAATAGTTATTGTTGTGTATGACTCGTTTCGAATTGAGCAACAATCGGCATATATATATATATATATGTATATATATATGTGTGTGTGTGTGCTTTTCTAAGATGAGATAAAAACTAAGAACTTAATCAAATTCAAAGAGAAAATTAATTATAAATTATAATTAAGGTATCACAAGTGTACTTGCTTTACAACCAGGTATAGATTAAAAACCCTTGTATAGTAGAAAAATATGTAGGAAAAAAATAAAAGTCAAATAAAGAAATTGAATCGAAGAGGGAAATCTTGCTTCGCAAAGCAAAGCAAAACCCATTCGAGGTGGACGAACAATCGGGGCAAAGTCAAGTTGTCAAACTGTGAAATTAAATTTAGGCTTTTTCGCAGTATTAAACTCTTCTCTATACTGCCTCGACATAAAAAAATGTGTTAACGTGTAGTAGAAAGTAAAAGTCGGAGTTTGAAATAAAAAAAATAGTGGTATTAGAAAGTTCATGACGGTATTATGCGTTCGGAGTTCTGATTGCTATACACAGAACTTGCAGTGTAATGGCAAGAGAACTTCTTGCTTAATTTGATATTATTGGTAAAAAATGTATCGCCTTCCATAGCAAATTAAGAAATAAAAACAAACTGGAAAAGATAAAGAAATTAAAGTGCCTAGAATCACAGAGGACCCTCCATTACTGTTCTAACTTACGATATTAAAACGTTGGATTAGAAGAGGCCTGCAGTGAAAACAAATCACTCACTTTAATATAATTGTATCAGTTTAGTTTGGGAAGATGGACATCAAAGCTTCATCGGAGTTGACACCGTTGATGGCAGCAATGGACAATAGCAATTGAGCCTTAACTGGGGTCAAGTAACCGGCAGATAGAGCGTTTTGTGGGACGTCCTTGGAAGAAACTGGGGTCAATGGAGCACCAGAGTTAGCGTAGACGACTGGGATTTGAGCGGACTCGATGGTAGAAGTGGTAGAGTTGGAGCTACCGGAGGAGACAACGACCAAACCTTGGACGGTAGAGGCCAAGGAGGAGATCAAAGAGCTGGAGTAACCACCATCGTAGACAATTGGGACCAATGGGGTAGCAGCGAATTCGATGTCGGTGTTGGTGAAGTTAGTGTAGTTAACTCTGATGGTGCTGTTGCTGTTGATCAAAGCTGGTGGAGCTGGGGAGAAGAACCATTGGACCTTCTTGGCATCATCGATGACAGCGACTGGTAGGCCGACAGCGTTGGCAGAAGATGGGGTGAAGATACCAGCGTAGACTAGACCTTCCTTGGAAACGACCAATGGACCACGGTTCCAGGCGGCAGTTTCGTTAGCGACAGCCAAGGCCATCTTCTCGTCAGCAGAGATGACAATTGGCTTCTTGGAGTCCAAGACAATGGAGGTCAAGAAACCTAGGGATTCTAGGGACTTAGCGTTAGCAACAACGACGGCACCCTTGGTGGAGTTGTCGGCCAAAGTTTGGTTGATGGTGGCAGCGACGGAGTATAGTTCGGTGATGTTCAAAGCGGAAGTGGTGTTGAACAAAGCTGTAGAGTTTGTAGAGAACGCAGTAGTGTTAGTAGCGTTGGTGGATGGGATAGCGACTTGGCCACCGGTGTAGATGACTTGCAATTGTTGCTTTTGTGGGGCAACAGTGCTGTTAGTCATGTTAGAAGCGTTACCAGTAGTGTTAGCCAACAAAGAGGCCAAAGAGGATGGCAAAGCCTTAGCATGTGCGGAAGAAGTTGGCTTACCCTTTGTGGTAGAAGATGGGTGTACACTAGAAGTGGAGCTCTTCTTAGCCTTGTGTTTGAACAAGTCCTCAACTGGAGAGGCAACGGCAGCAGCGGCCAATAGAGAAGTCAAAGCAACTTGGAATTTCATTGTTAATAATATTTGACTTTTTTATGTGATCGGGTGTTGTTCTTTATAGCAACTTCCTTTTTATTTTTGGGATTCTTGGTAAGTCCTGGAATGAAAAGGAATCGAGTCACAAGAAAAGCTATATAGATTTGTTTATATATGTTTTTTTTAAAAAAAAATTGTTTCCAAGAAATGCTTTCCTTATGTGGATGAGCTCCTATTTCGTTTGTCTCTCCTTAATAAGGGAATTGTCCTTGTCCTTATTTCATGTGCTACAGTTAATTGCTTTCTCATTATTGTGATGGGGGCTCTCTCTGTCTCTCTCTCTATTTTACACAATTACCAATTATTACAAGTTCTTTTTACAAAAACAAAAAAGCCCTCAAACCTTCAAAGGTTACACTGTGTACAGGTTAGTCCCAGGGCACATCGCTGACTAGAAATGGGAAAGGTACTGCAAGGAACATTGAAAATTGAAAATTGAAAAAAAAGATGAAAAAGATGAAAAAGATGAATTGAGCAAAAGAGTTGTTATTGTTTTTCCGAATTCTCTCAGTTTTAGGGGAGTTTTCCCTCCCAACTCGATGCCTTTGTACCCTCAGATGGGTTCGCTACTCATCGAGGTTTTCACCTTCGATGAGTCCTTTAGCTGTCTCATCCTACCCTTCGGTCCCTCTTCTGTACTTTCTGTGTGCAGCTAATTTCCTCAACATTATCGGGCCAGAACATCCCTATTCCCTCTTTTCTCTTCCATTCTGCGTCCACCTTCCTTCTCGTCTTTCTACACTTACCACTTCCCATCCTTCCCCCCCCCCGTTCGTACATAACGGTTGTTAATACAACTGTTTGACCCGATTGGGACTGCGTGTATCTGTTATATGAGCTTACTCTATTTTATTAACTTCCTCGTACGGATTGTTGTAATTATGTACCGTGTTTGTCTCTCTCCTTGAACTTCTGTACAGATCCCCTCCCCCGGGGGGGCTCTTCTTACACTTTTGGTTGGAGAGGAATCGACTACGGGAAAAGGGGATTCCTATTCTTCGCTTCCCAATCCCGATCATCCGTTGGTGTGGCAAATCCTCCCCCCAAAGTACTTAGAGACCGTGGAGGAAGTAGTTCCCTTATTCAGAAATGTCTCCCCCCTTTCAGTATTCCCGAACGGGTCATTGCGGGATTGGGCTCCCCCTTCTATCCCTTTGTGGTTAAAGAAGGACACGCCCCCCCCTCCCCCGATATGAAAAGGGGCAAGAGCCGCACAAAATTGGTTTCAAACTCGGAAAGGGTTGTGAACACACACCCCTTTTGGGTAAGTCAATTACCCAAAACGGGGCGTCCGACGGATGAGCGTGATTTCGACTTCGATACAATTTAGGACGCCCCATAGAACATGGAAAGGAAAATGGAAAGGAAAAAGAACGCAACTTCATACACATAGAAAGCACGCACAAGAGCATCGTACTCTAAATTTAAGTAAATCACTATGCACAGTTGTTCCCTGAGTCTGGGTGTACAGGTGTTTTAATTCCAACTCTAAACCTTTTCTACGGATTGTGTTGCAACACAGAGAATTCTATCTTGCCAGATTGGAAATCGAAAATACGACCCAAGAAAAAAAGAAATGTTAATGCCTTTAATGATCTGCTCCATTTTCTGTGCGCTTTTCGTCCAAATAGGGCCACACAATGCCAGAGGATGATGTCATGGTCTTTTTGATTTCAATATCTTTGCCTAATCGGGTAATGTGAGTGGTTTTCCATCTGCCATCGACTCGATCTTCCATCTGCCATCTTCTAGTTCCCTGGGCACTGAGAGATTATTTTCCTTTGATTTTTGGGGGGGGGGGGGACCACTCCTTGTAATCGTTTAAGGTCCACAGCTGCCAATTGTTCCTGACACATGTCTCACAAAGGAGTAACAATGGGAGGGCTAAAAGGGGGGGGGGGTGGAAGGCTACGTAAAATTCTGTTTTCAATTTTGCATTGGCGGCTATGACTGTGTGGCTAACATATTGAACACGTATGCTGTCTATACAATTATTTATACCACACACTTAGCTTGTGGTCACTGGGGCGAGCTGCAATGACATTTGGATATTGTACAGTGTCTCGTGGGTTGAAAAGTGATAATCATTTGTATCTTTATGTATAAAAAAAAATTAGAACTTATAAATGAAACTAAGGAAAAAACTTATAATGCATTCTTTCTCGTCAAGTAGTCGAATCTGGAGTAAGTGTAGCCGATGAAAGGTAGATCTTCCTTCACTTGGTTCTGGTTCGGATTCACACCGTTCTTCATCATTTGCTCCCTTTGTTTTGCAGCTTGTGCCATTGCGGGCGAGTCTGGGACATTCTCTAACTCGTCCGTTGGGAAGAATCGGGTATCCGTGATGGAACTCAACTTGGGGATGTATGGTGCCTCCACTTGTCGTATGGTGTTCCAGTCCACCCCACGGAAGAACGGATGACTCTTGATCTCGTCAGCACCGCCTTGTCTCCCCAACCTCTGATTGGAGTGCGTTAGCAACCTACGGATCAAATCCTCCGCCTCGTAAGAGATATGTACATCCTCAGGGAATTGCAACGTTTGCTCAAAATTCATGATCTTACGATACGTCTCCTGCGGGGTCTCCGAACAGAATGGTGGCCATCCAATTAAACACTCATACATAATAGCCCCCAAGGACCACCAATCACAGTCCTGGCCATACCCTTGGTACAAAAAGATCTCAGGCGCAATGTAATCAGGTGTACCAACAGTCGAGTACGCCATCAGCCTTCTAGATTTCCTCCACGTTTGAATCTGCTGCCTGTTAGACATAGTCAGGTTGATAGAATCAACAATCATGGTTTGCCGGTTGTTACTACCGTCTCCTGCGTCATTTGGTGCCCCATTCTTCGTAGTAGCCTCGTCCTGCTGCAACAACTTCTTGTAGTAATTGGAATCGTGGGTCTTGTGGAACCCCGTAGATAAACCAAAATCTGAAAGTTTAATGTGCCCACGAATGTCAATTAGAATATTATCCGGTTTAATATCTCTGTGAATGAAACCAAGCTTATGGATAGTCTCGATGGCCAATATACACTCGGCCATGTAGAATCTGGTAACATCTTCCGTGAACAACTGCCATCTGATCAACATCGTCATCAAATCACCACCCGGTAGAAACTCCATGATCAAGTAAAGGTATTGTGCATCCTGGAATGAGTAGTACAATGAAACAATCCAAGGGGAGTCCGTGCCTGCCAGGACATCTCTTTCAGCCTTGACATGCGCTAATTGATCCTTCTTGTACATCTCAGACTTAAGCAACGTCTTCATCGCATAGATCTTACCAGTATCCTTCTTTTGAACAAGTCTAACTTCACCAAATGCACCTTTACCAATAACTTGAACCGTATGAAAATCTTCCAACGATAGCCTGGTCCTCCTCAACCTCAAGAATTGCGATTCTTTCTTACCTAGGGAGGCAAGCTGTCTTGCATTCCGTTCTTCAGACCAGTTATGCGATCCCAGCTCTGTCTCAAGCTCTACTCTACGCTCGTTCCTCTCGATTGCATACTTCACTGACTGTTGATAGTAATTCTCAACCTTAAGCTTGACAGCAGCGGCTTTGTCCTGTGTCGACTTACTCAATAAGTCGGGTCTCCTCTCAAAATACATATAGCTACCCGCATTTTGTAGCTCTTGCTGTTGTTGCTGTTGAAGCTGTGTTTGTTGTGGAGGAACCATGCTTTGAAATTTTGGCTGCTGCTGCTGCTGTTGTTGCTGTTGCTGTTGCTGTTGCTGTTGCTGTTGGGGAGGTAAAGAAGGTTGCGGAAGTTGGGTGAAAGTTGTCTGTTGTAATGGCTGTGCAGGCTGCCTTTGAGGAGATGATCTATGGGCACTTAATTGTCCCGATGACAAATTGCTGTTGGTGTAGAAAGTCTGTGGTTGATGATAAGGACTGCTACTTTGACTTCCATTAATATTATAATTCCCATTAGCCATAACGTGGTTCCCGGCCCCATTGTTGAAATCGGAATCAACTGAATAACGATCCGGAGAAAACTGTGAACGAGCTTGGTTTAGATTATCCTGTAACAGATTAGTAGAGTTATTGTCGTGCGAATACAGTGGGTTGTTTCCCATAGTAGGTGGAGGCGTATTGAACATGTTGTTCATGTTACTTGTGCTCGGTATATTTCCACCCTGGTTCATAGCAGGATGGAAATTACCATTACTTATTTTTTGTACTAGACCATGTGGAGGCGTGGAAGGGTGTAACTGAGGTATATCAGTGAAACCAGCACCATACGCCGCATTATGTTGTTGTTGTTGTTGTTGTTGTTGTTGCTCCATGTGACTCGAATACTGATCGTGCAAAGACTGGTTTGAGATCTGCTGTCTCAGAAAATGATCCCCAACACTGGGACTACCGGGCTTCTCAAACTCCATGGCATCCAGCACTGGCGGCTGGAACCGCTGCCCGTTATTAGCATCATACGCGTGATCATACTCGCCACCAAACATACTGGTTTTTGCTCTACACTGCTTTTATTTGCGTCTCCCACGTAACACCACGCCTTCTACAAATTTGTGTGCTAAATGAACTCCCAGCAATGTTTGATCTAGCGCTTGTTATTGTTGATTTGCAATTCCTGATCTGCACATCTCAGTGATTCCAAAGATTCGCTGTTCGTTATTTTGGCAAAATTTTGTTTTTAGGAGCTTCGAAGCATTTACGCTGGCGTACCTGGTGATATGCATAGCCTTCGCAGGCATAACAGTGGATATTGAAGGCTGGGGTATTTGTAATATATTGGCTATTCGTGTCTATATATCTGGCTAAAATATAGATGATATAATATCAAATGTGAAGTAGGTCCTTTACCGTAATTCTGGTGAATATATATTTGTGGCTGTGTGCTCTGCGTGCACTGTGTGCCTATGCATGTGTGTAAAATGTAATTAATAGCTGTGTATGTTCAGTGTCGGCTAGGTGGTTTCTCTATCTTGGTAGATGCTTCCAGTAGTTCTGACCCTTCCACATATACCAGGTTGCTCTCTATACCGCCCGGTGTGTTGAACGGGTACATACACTTGTCGTTGGCACACATCACCACGGCATGCTTCATCCGGATCATGAACCTGTGTAATAACTCTCCACACTGCGGACACACCCTCGCATCCATCCTTACTCTCTGACCACAATACACTTGCCTTGTTCCTTGCGCAAGGTGCTCTCCTCAAGTATGAAGTACCCTCTATACTCTTAATAGCTTTAGCTCATCGCAAATTTTTGCCAAAAAATCGCAAAATCGGCTTCTCGATGAGGGCAATATAAAGCATCAACATATTTACATGGGTCATTGAGTGTTGTTTTAGCCAAGTACATCACACAGCAAACAATAAAAACCACGGTAAAAATGGTTAGAGTACTCCCAGAGACTTTCAAGCGGTTGCAGAGCGATCCCACCTGTGTGCGGAACATATGTATTGTTGCACATGTGGATCATGGTAAGACATCGCTGGCTGACTCACTGTTGGCCTCCAACGGTATTATCTCCCAGAGACTGGCCGGTAGAGTGAGATACTTGGATGCCAGACCAGACGAGCAGTTGCGTGGTATCACGATGGAGTCATCTGCCATTTCACTTTACTTCAGAGTGCTGCATAAGCAAGAAGGGAAAGATGAACCCCTGGTCAATGAACATCTGATCAACTTGATTGACTCGCCGGGCCATATTGACTTCTCAAGTGAAGTGAGTGCTGCCTCGAGACTATGTGACGGTGCTGTTGTGCTGGTTGATGTAGTGGAGGGTGTTTGCTCTCAAACAGTCACTGTGCTGAGACAATGTTGGACAGAAAAGCTGAAACCAGTGCTGGTACTGAATAAGATTGATAGACTAATCACAGAACTACAATTGACACCTATGGAGGCGTACATCCACCTAAACAAGACTATTGAACAAGTTAACTCCGTCATTGGTTCATTCTTCGCTGGTGAGAGACAGTTAGATGATTTGTCCTGGAGAGAAAGGCTTGAAACCAACGCCAACGCAGAATTCATTGAAAAGGATGACTCCGAGATTTACTTTACACCAACGGATAATAGGGTGATCTTTGCCTCTGCAGCAGATGGCTGGGGTTTCAACATTGGACAACTAGCCAAATTCTATGAAAAGAAAATGGGCGCCAAAAGAGAGAACTTGCAGAAAGTCCTATGGGGTGATTTTTACATGGAGCCAAAGACCAAGAAAATAATCACTAATAAAAACCTGAAAGGAAGAAATCTAAAGCCTCTATTTGTTTCATTGATACTCGATAACATATGGAAGATATATGAAAATGTTATTATGGAAAAGGACCTCGATATGGTAGAGAAGTTTACCAAAATTCTAGACGTGACCTTAACTGCCCGTGATCTAAGAACTAAAGATGATAAACAACTACTAAGACAGATTATGGGCCAGTGGCTACCTGTAAGTACAGCTGTTCTACTAACTGTGATCGAAAAATTGCCTTCACCACTAGAGTCACAATCAGAGAGGCTAGATGTCATAATTGGTAAGGAATATGAAAAAGAGGATGTTGACGAAGACTTGATCAAAGATATGAAGGAATGTAATAGAAATGGTCAATTATGTGCATATGTATCCAAGATGTTATCGATCCCAAGAGATGAATTACCTCTTGAGGACAATAAGAACATGACAGCAGATCAGATAATTGAAAGAAATAGGAGAGCTCGTGAAGTGGCGATGAATGCAGCTAAAAGAGCAGAAATGCTAGAAAAATCAAAAGATAACTCAACTGAAGAGGACCTATATGCAAGGGCTAAAGAGACGATCATAACTCCAGAGTTAGATTCAGGAACTGAAAACAAAACCAAAAACGATACTTTCCAGATTGTTACGGCACCTGCTGCTCCTCTAGATCTTGGCTTTGAATATGAGGAAGATCCTGAAGCTGTGTCAGATGATGATTCAGATACAAATGGCGATGCTATTCCTGAATTTGTCCCAGGTGAAATCGATCCTAACGATCCGCTCAGCTCTATGTTTGAATATGAAGAAGAAGACCCATTTTCTACCGGTGCTACTTTAGCGGAAACACATTTCGAACCTGTCTCTTTAGAAGAGTTAAAGGATGACGATATTTTTGATGAAAAGGACGAAGTTCTAATCGGATTTGCAAGGATATACAGTGGTACATTAGAAGTTGGACAAGAAATCTCAGTCATAGGTCCCAAGTATGACCCAAAAAATCCTACTGAGCATATACACACAACAACAATTACCAAGCTGTATTTATTTATGGGTAAGGAACTAGTAAGCTTAAACTCTTGTCCTTCTGGTAATATTGTGGGTATTGGAGGTTTAGCTGGAAAAATCATTAAAAATGGTACTATTGTAGGTAACTCTGCAAAGGGCTTAAACCTTGCAGGAGTAAACTTACACTCCACACCTATTGTTCGTGTTGCGATTGAACCATCAAATCCTATGGAGATTAATAAACTAGTCAGAGGTCTAAAATTACTGGATTTAGCTGATCCATGTGTGAATATTGAGGTTGAAGACTCTGGTGAGCACATTTTATGTACAGCTGGTGAACTGCACTTGGAAAGGTGTTTGAAGGATTTGAAAGAAAGATTTGCTGGTATTGACATCACACATAGTGAACCTGCTATCCCATACAGAGAGACATTTTTAAATGTATCAGGAATGAATCCACCAAAGAATCCGGAACTTGGAAGATCTGTTATTGAGCTAAAACTAGGAAAATACAGAATGTCCTTTAGAAGTATCCCACTATCAGATGAAATAACCAACTTTTTGACACATCACGAGAGAACGATTGCCAGAATTGTATCCTCTAAGTCAGCTAATGAGAACATTGAGGAACAGATACTGGATGAAGATACATTTTGGAAAAAATTGGGGTCACTATTTGAAGAAAGCGAAGGAACTGAAGAATTAGTTAGTTATATGGACAAGATAGCAGCGTTTGGTCCAAAAAGAATTGGTGCAAATATTTTAGTGTCCAATAATGGTATTCTTGGAAATGTCAAACAACATGAGGCCCCACAGTTCGAATACTCAGATTCGATAATAAATGGTTTTCTATTATCTGTGAATGAGGGTCCATTAGCAAACGAGCAAGTCCAAGGAATGTGCGTTGTGTTGGAAGATATTCACGAGATGACAGAAAATGAAATTTCAGAGATAGATGACCCACATTATCAGGTCGATGAGCCAAATCTCTCTGGTAGATTGATTACAACAACTAGAGACTGCATTCATAAGTCATTTTTGGACTGGTCACCACGTATAATGTGGGCAATGTATACATGTGATATTCAAACGTCAGTGGATGTTCTTGGTAAAGTATACGCCGTTGTGCAACAAAGACACGGTAAAATTATATCAGAAGAAATGAAAGAAGGTACACCATTCTTCCAGATTATTGCTAGAATCCCTGTTGTCGAGGCCTTCGGTCTCAGTGAGGACATCAGAAAGAAAACTTCGGGTGCAGCTCAACCTCAGCTAGTCTTTGATGGATATGAAAGTATAGACCTGGATCCATTCTGGGTACCAACCACAGAGGAAGAATTGGAAGAATTAGGTGAAACGGCAGACAAGGAAAATATTGCGCGTGCTCATATGAATAACATTAGAAGACGCAAAGGTCTATTTATTGAAGAAAAGGTGATCCAAAATGCTGAGAAGCAAAGAACTTTGAAGAGAAATTGAATTAAAAATATTTAAAAAAAAATATAAATACAAGAAAATATATCAATCAAGTTCACTTTTGTATCTCTGTTTAAAAATGATAGTACAATATGGCTTTGACAATTATGAATTATATACATTCACTACAATCACTAATCACGTTATGTATTTCTTGAAATTTTACATCCGCAGATCGTCTAACTGTGGTATGGGCATCTCTAATAGTGAAATACTATACATTGATGACTAAAAGTAGTTCAGGTTATTGTTATAGTTCAAACGATACTTAGTCTCCATATTAAGACTACAGAAGGGTATAATATTTCTATCTGCTATTTAGCGCTTTTACTATCATTTCAGAAACAGAAGATTGCGAAGAGACGTTGCTTATAGTGTAGGTTAGATGATTTATTAACAGTGGCAATAATTGAAAAGAAGGATGAGCTCTAATAATCAAAATACGAATAACACTTCCATAGAGCTGATTTCGGAAAATGGCCCCATATCGCTAAATTTAATGATGGAAGAAGGAGTGAAAGCTTTAACTAGAATTTTGTCGAATCAATTAAATGATACCCCAGGAACACAACCTATGCATTTCATAATAAAAAAAAATGATAAAGACAATAAGGCTATAGATATTAATGGTGACGATGAAGAAGTCGTTGAATTAGGCAATGAAAGTAATTACCATATGTCCGACGGTGTTCAAAATGAAGCGGAGATAATACTAAATGACCAACTAAATGATATATTGAAGAATCACGAGTCCCAACTGCGGCTTGATGGCGAAGAAGCAGAGATCATTTTTGATTATGAAACTCAGGGTACTGTAGATGGCTCTGATTCAATCGGAGAGAAAATCACACAGATGATTGAATCTGTACTTCCGAATGGTTTGGGTCCCAACACTACTGGGAAACTACAGGCAGTTCTTAATGGCAAAGAGCTTAACATAACGGAGGAGATCCATAAATCTGATAGGATAGAAGAAGAGGAGCATATTGAGGGCGGATTGACTACCGCTGAAGGTAATTTCGAGGTGGAATTCGAAACGGAGCCTCTACCGGAAGATCATAAACATACTGAAGAAAATATAGATGGTCACGAAAACTACAACGACTGTTGTCCGCATCATCATAACAACCAAGACAATCGTCGAAGAGCGCCTAAGTACAAAAATTATAATTATCATGATTACGAATATACAGTACAACACCCAAAAACTGAACCTAATTTCAGCGCTCTAATTAATCAAAAAAAGCCAGTTTGCCTGTTTTGTGAATATTATATGGTATTTGGGGAGCCCCCAAAGAACATGATCAAGTGGTACAACATGCATTACGGTTATAACCATCTTCCACAGAGGAATGACAGACATCATAGGAATAGATAATAGCATTAGTATAACTGAATTAGGCAAAAATCCATTTAGTACCTTGATCTCTATTTTAATTACATAGCATACCTCACTTTCTGCATATAATAAAACTCAGAAAATAATCACTTTATAAGCGAGTTCAAAATCGCTTCTCTCAGCAAGTTACATCAACATTCCCGGACCAACTAGTTGCGAACGCAAAGTCGCATTATGTCTCTTGTCTTTACGAGACTCATATTCATGTAAAAGCATGCACATGCAAGTTAAAACCTGTGTGTCCCATGGTAAGCCAAAAGCCGTATTTGGATTATCAGAAGAAAGTTCTCTATTCTGTTCTTTTATATCTAGTGTGGCAACTCTTAACGTCCGTTTCTTCGGAATCACAGAAACCTTATCATCTGAGTATCGAGCCCATACAGGAAGGTATCCTAAAGGTCGGAGTCTCTCCGCCCTTCTAGCCTGTTCATAGTCATTTAGTGTATCTTGAGTCATATAGGATGGCATAGAGTCATCAAGAACCAGCAGCTTGATGTTGTTAGAACCAAATGGGCTTGCAAAACCAGTCGATCCATACCACCTCAAGTTTAGACCTGCATAGTTCGTATCAGCGTTTCTGCTCTGCATATAGTTAGTCATATTGACATTTTCCGTAATAACAGTGTCCTTGACATCGCTAGTTAGCTTACTAAACGCAAACTTATGTTCTACTTTACCAGTTTTAGTGTCAACTGCCTTGAATATTGTACAGAACTGATATTTGTAGACAGAATACGGAGTGCCTTGTAACTCTGATACAAGTTCGGAACCCTGAGGAGCAAAATCCAACACATCAGCGCGAGTGCTTCCCTCATTATCGTTGGCATCACATGTTCGCACCACGATAAACTTGAATATCCTCATCACTGGAGTACTTCTTGATCCGAACATCGATTTAACTACATTAGACGGCAGTGCATGAAACAGAGGTATTCCCAGTTCAGACTGCACATCAAATTTTTCTATCTTTCTCTTGTTTCCCAGGTAAGCCTTGTATGACTCCTCACTCGCAAAGGCATAAAAGCCTCTACTCAAAAGCACAGAGACAAACGGCACTACCCGCTCATTATCGAAGTTGGGACATCGATTTACAAACCCGAGTCTCTGGAAATCACCAATTGTAGAGCTCTCGGAAAGCAGAGTATGCATAGTCATGTCGTCTCGATCACCGTCAATCATTGTCATCTGATCGTCGTCATCCCCGCCGACATGCGGTCTATACAGATGCTCTGCTGTGGACTCAACACTCACCGAATTTTGCGGAGGTAGCAATACCCTCTCACCTTCATCTTCCGGAACTCTGACTACTCGCCTGGAATTCAACAGCGACCGCACACGATCCATGATAATACCGCCTATTCCGCACACAAAGTTCTTGAAATGGTCCCTTGCCCGGAATCATTGGTATGATAGGTCAGAACTGTTATCTAGGCTGGACAAGCCGGTTGAAGTTATGTGATGTGGACAGCTCATCGCAAATCGATCAATCCGGAGCTCGATGGCCTCGGGTTATCACTTTGGCAGTTCGCAAAGAGCTTTGCGAAAGTCTTTTGGAAAAACACCAAAATAGCAAGAAAATAACCAAAACAACGCCAAAGTGTAGGATATTAGAAAAGGAGCATAGGCTCTTAGCTGCGCGTCAGATATTAGCAAAGACAGTGTGTGCAAGATGCTGGATCAGGAAGATGTCAAGAAACGTATGTCCCAGATTGAGTTAGACATCAACCAGATGAACAAGATGATCGATGAGAACTTGCAACTAGGCGAGAACGACGGCCATGACTCTGGTACCGAAGGTGTCGAAGGTGCAGTTGGTGAGGGAGTAGATGGACAAGCTGGTCCAGTAGAACCCGTGGTTACCACAGCAGCTGAGGAAACTTCTGAGACAAAGGATATTGAACATGAACAAGTTACGAATGAAGGTATGGCAAAGGAGGTAGAGGACGCCTCCGAGAGTTCTGTCCAAGCAACAGAACAAGCACAAGATCAACAGGCTGGTACTAATGAGGAAACGAATACATTTAAAACTGAAAGCATGCCAGAACCAGAGACACAAGCACCGGAGGTAAATGATTTAGAGATGAAAGAACCAGAGATGAAAGAACCAGAGATGAAAGAACCAGAGACGGTAGAACCAGAGACGGTAGAACCAGAGATGAAAGAACCAGAGACGGTAGAACCAGAGATGAAAGAACCTGTGATAAAGGAGACAGACGCACTAGAACCTGAGATGAAACATGCCGAAATTCCGCCGCAAGCTACTACAGAGGAACAACCTACAAGACACGATGAGTGGGAGGATGTGGAAGAGGAAGAGTTCAATGAGATAGATACTTCCACTGAGAGCAATAACGTTATAGGAGACACCAAGCAGGTTGAGGGATCATCTGTACTAGCTGCTGGAGATCTTAGAGGCAACGTTGCGGACAATGGCAACTTGACACCGGTGACAGATATAGATGATGCTGAGTCCACGATATTTATACCCAAGAAACAGAATCAGAACAGCGAGCTTACAGAGCAGATGAAAGAGACGCTGAGAAACACCAGAAGAACCACCAACCCATTCCGTGTGATCTCTGTGAGCAGTAGTAATAGCTCTACTAACAGCTCCCGGAAGTCCAGTGGACACGACATGGGTCTGGAGCAAACTCCAAGCGAGCAGCTGAAGAGATACGAACAAAGACACTACTACTTGACCACAAAGTGCGGCAAGATACAGAAAGAGATCGATTACTTAAATAAAATGAACTCGCAGGGCACATTATCTATAGACGATTCACGTAAGCTCACAAGAGCAATTGCAAAACTACAAGAATACCTGGACAAGAAAAACAAAGAAAGATACGAAGTAGGTGTATTACTAAGTCGGCAATTAAGAAGAGATATCAACCGTGGGGAAAACGGAGAGTTCTGGATAGGTACCAAGTAGTCAACCCCCCTCCTCTCTCCTCCCCCCACATAAATATTTTTTTCAAAGTTTTCTAACGTGTTTAAAGCAATCTGTACTATTCTTTCATTACCTATTTTTTGCACTCAATAACAAATACTGTAGTTAGTACATAAAATTCGGGATGTATAAATCAATATAGCTACACAACCCCACCAATATACACCCACCACCAGTAGCTGCATATCAACATGACGTGCATAGGCCCTGTCAAACATCCAAAATGACGTATTGCGGGATGGCAAAAAATTTAAAGGATTCCCCCAGGAACAAAAGAACTGGTGATAAGGAAAGTTTGTTGGAAATTCCCAAGTAGTTGGACCCATACCAAGCACTCCTCCCTGGATCATTATACAATCTATTAGGCGTTGCAAGTGTGCGTTTGAGCTTGAAGTGGCCCCCGGGATTAAACTATCGTGCAGAGGAGAAGAAAAAGAAATAGGAAAGAGATACCGCACAGCTGCAAGGGATCTAGCTCTCAATATTGGAATATTTGTTGTAGAAGCGGGTAAATTCTGCATAATAGCAAATATATCGAAAGTGCAAGGAAAAAAGTATATAATACGAGGTTTCTGTTAGGAAGATCACGATCAAGAAGTAGACTTCCGTGAATAGAGCAAAGGAAAGCATCTGACAGCTATGCAGAACACGTCTTCTAGACCATCGGGGTCGTTGGGGACAGTGTCGTCGTTTGATCTGGAGCCCAATCCCTTTGAGCAAAGTTTTGCGTCGACAAAGAAAACAGAAAGTGGTGGTGATGGTGGGAACATAGGTAATACGAATGATTCTGCCGCGAATGGAGATGGTTTAGACAACGCTAAGGGCATGGCCTCGTTGAGCTATCTGGATTCCCAGAACAACGGTAGTTCGGGTAGTTTGAATATAGACCCTCAAATAGCTGGTGACCAAAAGCGTGCCGCATCTTTGATTTATGGCAACCAGAGAGGGCCGATGCAGTCGCCTCCTTTGCTGACCCCAGGTGGCTCTAAGAAACTGCCACCTCTTTTAATGTCACCATCTTATTTACAAGGACAGTCCCAATCTGGTCAAAATGGTAGTTCGCACAACGGTAGTGCTACTGGGGGACAAACACCACTAGGTGGTTCACAAGGAGTAGCAAATGGTAGTGAAACAGATGGCCAATTGCCTGGGTTTTTGATGAACTTATTTAAGTCAGGATTAACACCTAACGAATCTAACCTGAGGGCTAATTTCACACCGGGCATATTGGGTAGCCAGTTCAATCAAGGGTCTCTACCCTCGCTGATGAATAACAATGTGAGCATTTCTCGAGCGAACAGTAACTCTGTAGTTCCAACAAATGGAGATAAAGACGAATCAGGATCTGGTAGAAAGATGAATGGACAAATAGACATTCCTAATAAAGCCCTAACTGCATTGGGGGGTCTTCCCGCTGGTCAATTAACCCCTGGGTTGAGCTCTTTATTAGCCTCTTCTGCCAAGCAACTGAACTTGGACAATAATACACGAGAGTCTACTCCTAACATATCCGTAAGTCAACCAGTTGTACAAGGCGTCACTAAATCTAATTCAGTACCGACCAACAGTTACTTCCCACTTGCAGACACCACCATTGAGAAGGACTCAGGTGCCGATGGTGCTGATAATCAATCTGGTACACAAAAGAAACGAGGAAGGAAGAAGAGTGTTTCGACAAAGGCTACAGAACCTAAGAGAAAACGTGCTTCAACAAGCTCAGCTTCTAAGAAATCGGAAGGCAATACTGGAACTGCAACTGTCACTAACCCGGAAGCAAACAATGCTGTCAACACTGGTAACGACGATTTGGATGAACAAGAGAGAAGAAGACAGGAGTTCTTGGAAAGAAACAGAGTTGCTGCGTCAAGGTTTAGACGGAAGAAGAAAGAGTATATAAAGAAGATAGAAACGGATTTGGGCATTTTACAAACAGAGTATAATGATATGTCGAAGATAATCGGCCATCTCGCTGGTATAACACCCGAAGGCAGTGACGATAGAGTCTCAGCTTCCATATTACTTATGCTTGAGCAATCCTTGATGAACAATGACATAAAGGCTGCACTTCAAATTATAGAAAGCACAAAGCAAATTCTAACATCATCAAACTTTGTCAAGAGAAACGGTGCAAACCCAGTTGCCAAAAATACAAGTCATGATAGTTCAGATTCGGGCAAATAAATGTAAACAATTCTATAGACCGGCCCCTTGTCTCTCTACTATTGGTTCTATTAAGCATATTCTCAAACATTTTCACCTTCCGTTTACCATGGCTGGATGAAAGGTATTGACTAATGAGGGCAAAAGAGATACAAGGACAACTAGTAAATTTAAGTAATATCCGTTGTAATATTATGGGAAATCAATCGTCCTACAATTTATATACTATCCTCCCTTTTTGAATATTCTGTCTAGCCTACTTATAAATATCAAAGAGTCACGTTTGTCATCTGTTCAATCTTCACATGACTAACCAATCATAAAGGACTTCGGAATTCCCCACATCGCAATCTTATCCATTTAACTGCTTTGGAGTCCTGGAATTTGAATCACGCCTGTCGATTTCATTGATCATCTTCCAAATGATTTACATGCTACTGCCCCACGTATAAAAGCTACAGTACCGTCATCGAAGTTTCTTCTATTCAGATAATTCCGAAGATGTCGATAGCTAAGCTATTTGCAGGGAAGATGAGCTACACTTACCTGAAGGACGCAAAGAAGATAATTTGTATTGGTAGAAACTATGCTGCACACATCAAAGAGTTGAACAATGCAACTCCAAAACAGCCATTCTTCTTCTTGAAGCCAATGTCCAGTGTTGTAACACCAGTCGATGAGAAACACGCCATAAAAGAGTTGCCTAAGCAAGCAAGCTACCATGGTTTGAACGATGACGGTACCAACCCAGGCACTATCCAGATACCAAAAGGTACGGTAGTCCATCATGAGATTGAAGTTGCATTGGTGATGGACAAGTACATCTCGAATGCCAACGAGTCTGAATTCACTGCAGCTGATGTTTACGATTCCATCAGAGGTGTAGCCCTGGCGCTGGACTTAACTGCTCGTAATGTTCAGGACGAAGCCAAGAAGAAAGGTCTACCGTGGTCCATCGGCAAAGGTTTCGATACGTTCTTGCCCATGTCACATATGATCCCAAAGACCAAATTCGAAGCCAATAAAGAAAATCTACAGGAAGCATTCAGAGTTACTTGCGATGTCAACGGCACTCGCAGACAAGACGGTAACACAAACCTGATGCTATATCCACTCCACAAAATCATCCAGCATATCTCAACAATGATGACTTTGGAGCCAGGCGACATCATCCTCACAGGTACACCTGCTGGTGTGGGCCCAATTGCTGCCGGTGACAACATCAGCGGTCAGTTGTACTACACAGACGACTTGCTCATTGACTTCAATTTCGACTGCGTAGTTCGCCCTGGTCCTTACGAATACAAAGAAACTTAGTTTAATCAAACAAAAATAAAAATAAAAATGGTACTAAAACTAAACCTAAATACTACTCTAACACTGATCTGTACGACTTATATCAAAGCTCTATGTAATCAATATTAATGCATTCATCATTGTAGTTTGAAGGCTTTAAAAGGCCATTATGCCAAAAATCCTTCGGCATTCTTCATTTTTGAGCCCATCTCGCGTAACCTTTCGCACAAATCGACTTCTTAGGAAGCCAAACAAAGACTCTCGAATGCTCATCGTGCTCTTTGCGTTTAGTCATAAGACACTATTCAAAACAAACCAAGAGGACCGTTAGAGTGATCGTGGTATCCTTGCACCTGAGATAATAGAAATTAAGACGGTGAGCTCTTTTTCTCTGGGAAAGAAACTAGCGCTGCTTAAGGGAATACCAGTACCAAATCGCGATGATTCCAGTCAAGACTGTGCTGTTAAAGAGCAAGACTCTGCTTAGTGGTAGGATGCCTGTGCGCCTTTCTAATGGTATGCAGTTGCGCAACAGAACTGCCATCTTGAAGCGTGGCATTACCAATAGGTTAAGCAATCCGCAGAGGAAGTCCAATGAGATTGTCCGCAAAGCTAGGAGTTATGCTAGTGTTACCACGAAACAGAAGGAGAAATACATTGTTTCTGTAAATATGAAATGGGCGGTGCTAACAGGTGTCACAATTGTTCTTGGGACTCTGTTGCTGACTTCACGTAGAATTGAGGAAGATGAGGATAGCAAGAAGGACAGCGAGGGCCAAGGGAAAAGGTATAAGAAGATTAGGATTCTTGACAACAACTGGCTATTTTTTTGCTACTCAACGTTACCTTTGAACGCTATTTCACGTCTTTGGGGCCAGGTTAATTCCTACACTTTACCCATTTGGTTAAGACCTTCGGGATTTAAATTTTACTCTTACCTGTTTGGTGTTAACTTGGATGAAATGGAGAACCCAAATCTAGAGGACTATGCAAACCTATCAGATTTCTTCTACCGTAATATTAGGCCTGAGACCAGACCTGTTGCTCCTGGTGATGAAGTCATCGTTTGTCCTAGCGATGGTAAAGTTCTTCAGATTGGTATTATTAACTCTGAAACTGGCGAAGTTGAACAGGTCAAAGGATTAACATATTCTATCAAGGAATTTTTGGGTACGCATAGCCATCCTTTACTATGTAAGAGTGAATCCACTCTGGACTTATCCGGCCATGAAGAGCGCCATCAGGAATTTGCACGAGCAAACAAATTCAAAGTGTCTTATTCATCTCCAGACTTGAATGCTACGAAAGATGAGGAGGCAACTGACGTTATTAAATTTGAGAATGAGGGTGATAAAACTGTCGACGAGTATAATACTCCTAGCATCTCTAAGACAATGAAACTTCTAACCGAAGTCTCACCTAACTTCCCTTCATATACTTCGAGTATGACTGGCCCCGAAGAGACTAACCTATATTTTGCTGTCATCTACTTGGCTCCTGGTGACTATCACCACTTTCATTCACCAATAAACTGGGTTTGTCGCCTCCGTCGTCACTTTCCTGGTGACCTTTTCTCTGTTGCACCATATTTTCAAAGAAATTTCCCCAATCTGTTTGTTTTAAATGAGAGAGTTGCTCTTTTAGGTTACTGGAGACATGGATTCTTCAGTATGACTCCAGTTGGTGCCACTAATGTTGGATCAATCAAATTGAATTTTGATGAAGAACTAAAGACCAATGCAAAAAGGAGGAAAATAAAACCACATACTTGCTATGAAGCCGTTTATGAGAAAGCCAGTAAGGTTTTAGGGGGACTTCCTTTGACAAAGGGGGAGGAAATGGGTGGTTTCATGTTAGGAAGCACTGTAGTTCTTTGTTTTGAAGCACCAAAAGATTTTCAATTCCATATCAAAACTGGTGAGAAAGTCAAAATGGGACAAAAGCTAGGCTCTATCCAGAAAGACTAACTATGAATTAATCACAATTGCTACCCTTTCATAACTCTATGTTGAATATCAACATATTATCAAATTAACCATATTTTGCATATTCTTTTATAAATAACGGTACTTCTCAAATGAGAAAGCTCTACATATCTCTTGGGAGACCATATATCTAGATATACGCATACCAATAAAAATATATAGTTTCAATACGCTCATTACCTAAAATTGCAAAGATGAAAAGATCGCATCATTTACAATAATCTAAACAGTTTTGTTTGAGTTAACGAATATAGATGCATACATATTTATATCTATGTGCATTTTCAGAAACTCCTCATTCACACCACGATTTAGTAACAGCCAGTTAAATCAATGCTGCGCTTCCTCGTAAAGCTTCCACCAAATTGCTAGGTCATCATTTGATATCGATGATACTCTTCTATTGTTTTGAATTAATTCAAGATCAAATTTAGAGTTTCTTGAACAGATACTAGAATCTTCGAACTCATTTAGCGGGTCCTGCAAATCCTTGCCTTTTATATGCAACAAAGAAAGTATAGAAGAAGCAGGCTGTACCATAATTTTATCAAACCGTAATCTTTTCTCTATTTTCTTACTTAGAGAAAGGTCAACTACATCCGTATTATTCCGAGTTCTGTAGTCAGAAGCACCATTAGGATATGAAGACTCTTTCTTTGATTGGACATACAAAATTGTCCCGTTTTTGAATAATTTTGATGCAGAGATATTTTTACTGAAATCAATGTGAAGGGGATAGTAGTCATTGGATATTAGCGATATTGCCTTAATGGCGTTAATTTCAGGCAGAAGACAAGGAGTTCGCAAAATTTGTTCATTGAGCTTTTGTGAGTTGGCAGACTTTGTGAGAACTCTGATATCAACACCAGATACCATTTTATCCGTAGTAGCATCTTTAACTAAGAGACATCTAGATTCAACTGCCAAACTCCAAAAATGTCTCAATTCTTGAAGATAATACGGAGGTAAAAATAAAGGTAAAGTGCTCAAGATTAAATAAGCGACAGACTCTTTATCGGTGTTCTTTAAGGCATACTGACCCGAACCTAAAAACAAAAATCCTATGGACAGACTTGTGGCAATATATTTTGCATAGTGATTATCTGTGTCGGGTTGGTCAAAATTTGGGGGTACGGTATCTTCTCCTGCTGAACCTCCTTCAACAACCTCCTCAAACCCGTTTAGAGAACTCCTTCGACTACTACCTACTGCCTGATTGTTAATTGTGTTAGCATCGGAATGATCCCAGTTGTTCTGTGATTTCGATTCTTTTCTATGATAAATATCTGAGCTACTTCCAAATACCACCTCATGAACGTATCTAATTCGTTTAAATACATCCAAATCACCCCGTGCACTCATAACCATACTGAGGGATACCATAATAACATTTAACAGCACATTAATAGAAGTTACAACTAATTTGAAATCAACAGAGTCTCTTCCAGGGTATTGATAAAAGGGAAGAAGTTGGTCAAACAAGGAGAGCAAGAATTCCTTAATTCTTAAATTTCCAGTAGAGGCAAACTTTAACCCTAGGGATAAAATCCTGCCTGATAATATGTAATATATTTGCATATGATCAGACTTCAAACAAGAGTCTAGTATATCCACGCCTAGCTCTTCCATCAAGAATTCAACAGAGTCATGGATCGAGTCCCACATTATCATGCGATATGCAAACTCTGAAAACATATAAAACTCGGGACGGCAAGAGCTTCTTTCAAAGCCAAAAATAATCTTTGGCTTAACTTGATCGGCAACATCTGCGTTTTCACTCTTCAGATATATCAACATAATAGCTAAAAGCCTGCCTATATATGAGTTCTGAGGCAGCTCAGATTTCTCAGCTTCTGAATGAAATTTCAACTTGTTTAACAATCCATCTGTCAAAGAAGTAAAATATGCAGAATCTTGAATCTCCGGCAAATTATAAGATGAATCAAGGTCGTCTTCAACCAAATTGCTTCGACTTTTTTTGTGCTCTTCAGTACCACATGATTTAGTAAAATTGTCAGCTGCACCTAGATTGATCATGCCAATAGCTATACCAGCAGCCATTCTATATCCTTCATTAGCAACATACTCCTCATTAATGAGTACTAAAGACTCCAACTGATCAACAAGGATGTTTGTCATCTTTTTATGTTGAGACTTCAAGAATAAAAGTCCTAAGCTAACAAGTCCGGCTGTCTGCACTCGAATATCAATATTCAAATCATTAGCTCCTTTAGGCAATAAGGAAGCGATATGGATGCTCAAAATTTTTGTTAACGTCAGATCCATGGTACCTCTCATGCTAGCGGTCATTCCTAACAATAGACCAACGCCAACATGTGTATTCTTTAGGCTGAGGTAGTTATAAATATGCCATTCTTCTAACTCTTTTAAATGCCCATTTAAACCAAGACCTAATAGGAAACCTGCATGTGATGCACTTACATCCTTTGGCTTATTGAAAACAATCCAACTACCATTTACTCCTTTGGTTTTTCTAGATATTTTTAAACCAGAACTTACACCTGCATGAAATTCACCCCATTCAATTATATCGCTTGGGATGAGATCCTTGTCAACATTAATTACAGTCTCGTCAGGAAAGGAAACTGAAAAATTTATTGGCCTCAAAACCCACTTTTGGGTTGACAATGGCTTTTCTGTTGCAAAAACTACCATTGCCCAACCAATACCCTGAGCGCATGATCTAAGAGCAATAATTTCTGCAATCTTCTTTTTTTTACTTAGTATTTTCGAGTACTCGGAATCAGTAGAAAAGAAAGGAACTTTTTGAACCTTACTAAAAGACAACAATGTCATAGCATCATTAAACCTTCTATCCTCCGAAAATATCAGACTCGAGTTTTTCTTTAGATTGACACCATCATCGATATCTTCTGAAGCATTTTGATCTAAAAGTATATCCTTTGACAGTTGGGATTCTGAACTCAAAACAATATCAGAAAGAACAGACAGTATGGATTTCGTTGATTTCGCGTTTAGTAATGGTGACGCTTTTATATCAGTTTTCAAAGCACTTTCATTGCTACCCTTCCATGTCATTTTTTCTTTAAGTATGCTTGAGTATCTCGCTAAATCTGCTCTCGATATAAGTCCAACATCAACATCCTCTTCAATCTCAGCAAAATTGTTCTCAAACAATTGTAAGGCTTCCACCATAGGCTTAAAAAGTCCAGGTGGATAGGATTGCAGATCTTCCCTATTCATCTTGAACTTTGTCAAGACTTTCAAAAAGTGACTTTTAGGTGATATATTATTTAGTGACTCAAATAGTCGAGTTACTTTAAAAGTCCGAGGAGTGATAAGTTCGTTAACCTTATTGTCCATTTCAACTAGTCTAGAAAACTCTATAAAAGGGACAATAGTGTTAACATCTTTATCACTTAAACTCGATAAAGATCCAAGAATTGAAGTCGGTGCATCCAAGGGTTTGACATAACCATTTACTATATTAGAGGACAAGTTTAGGCAGCACGGGATTGCTTTGAGACCTTTATAATCTTGGTAGTAATCATCCCATTGAGAGGGCCATTCCAGAATAGTTGTTATTGCGCCAATCAAAGAACCCATGTCGTCGGTATCCCTTCTCCTATATATGTTTAGAATGGTCTCCTCTCTTAACAAATGCAGTCCCATAACCATTTTTGGAAAAGTGACACCAACATCCATTCTTTCAAGTGAATTTAAAATTCGAGAGTTCCGTAAGGAAGGTAGTGAAGTTAAAGAGTCTGGTGACATTAGACTAGAAATCAAAACCTTAAAGCATTCCCATTCACAATCAAACACATCGAGATTTTCTTTAGAATTAACATACTCAAGACTAATTTGAAACCAAAAGAAAACAAGTAGTTGATAAAATTTCGAGTCACAAATATACCTAAACGAAAGAAAAATCTCTCTTAACAACAGCCTTTTGGGACAGCGGTCATATAGAGTAAAATATCTCACAAATGTAGAAGGGAATTGATGAACTATCAGTTGTTCTTTGCTAACCATTTCCATTCTTCTAATGGCCATTATATTTTCTTCATAATATATATCAAGGTAAGGATTCATGATATATGTCTTCTCTTCTGTAATGGCAAAAACACAGCCATCTAATCTATATTCCGAGCTATTTGTTGGTTGAAAGTCCAATATATTACCAAAATCCACTTTAGGCAGATTTTTTAACTGGATCATCAGTTGTGGAAATGTGCCATAAAGTAGAAATGAATTAGAGTTAATTACTTCAGGGATCATATCAATAAACCATAATTTATAATAACCCTTTTCCGTGTCAAAAATTAATACACCCTCCATATTTTCATACTTTAAAGGAAGACATTTTATATTTATACCTCCTTCGCCATTTCTCAAGGATTCAGGAAGTTTAACAGTTGAAATCTTAGTTAATACAACATCTTTTATTGATGTTTCGCTGCTCATAGTGTCGGTTGTGGCCATAGTACTACTCGAAACTCTTACGCTGCTATTGGGGTGATTTTTCAATAAGCTTTCGTTGCCGTTTATCCCCAATCTATCCATAGTAGATGAGTCATTCCGTTTTAAAGTTGATGATGACAGCTGTTGATGACTTACATTAACTTCTTGAAAAAAATCTGCAGGTGATTTCAGTTGAACATCAACCGGAAGGCCAGCGTTTGGTGTTACTTTTCGATTCATCAACGAAAGTTTTCTTAAGTCATTGCTGTATTGATGTCTATTTTCTAGTTGCTGACTTGCTTCCAATTTACTTATAGTTCTAGGTTTGGAGATTTGTAAATGACTATTCTGACCTGCACTATTACTATTTTTATAGTCTGACAAAGTGTTTTCTGTTCTAGCATTATCTCCAAGTATCCTAGTGTAATAAAATTGCAAATTCAATTCTTCTGAATCATAGAGAACAGTGATACTAAGCCCAGAATTTTTTGGAAAGGTCATCATTTTTAAAGGATGTCGTACCCTAGATGATGCTAAACAAGTCTGTTCGCTATTTTCCAGTTCTTTAGTATATTCATTTGGACTACATGTACGTCTTTTTTTCTTAAATAGAATATTACCATCCACAGTATCGATCTCCCGCGTATTCCGTCTCTTACCACTTGAGGTGAGTATTGTATCATCTTCATTAATAAATACTAGGGTCCCAAAAGGTGCCAATGGGTCAGAAAGTGATATGAACTGCTGCTCAATAGAGGTTCTTCCACTATTTTCTTCAGAAAAAATTGATTTGCCGCCACTTCCAGGTTCTAATGATAACATATCATCCCGTTCCAATATTATACCATTTTGATACATAAATGCATCTTTTATTGGAAAAGGGAAGCATATTGTGGAACTATCACTTTTTGCACTTTCTGAGCTTTCATTGGCGATATAGTAGACATATGCAAGCTCTCTCAGTACAATTATTAGACATTTCGTCTGTAGATTTTCAAATTTGGTAAATCCAGCTCTTACTACAGCAGATGAGTTGAAAGTAAATCGCCTTCTACATTCCGTGCCTTTACCTACTAACCACTCGACAGTTCTCCGGTCAGGAGATACCCAAAGGTCACCTAGATCATCATCACTACATTCAAAGCATTTCTTGAATAATGAAAAGTCCTCTTTAAAATTCATTCCAGTAATCAGAAAAACTGGCGCACAGTACAAAAAATAGTGTCTGTTCGCTTTTATTGATCTAGCAGTAGTATCTTTCTATTATCAGAAATAAATCCAAATTGAATAGATTTAGTAAATTCCTAGTAGGTAAATTTAATTGCAATATTAGATAGATCAAGAGCCCAAATTTATTTGCGACTGCTCAACCTTCTATTAGATCCTAACATTCAATGAACGAACAGTATGCCAATCCGCAATAAGAATGATTGGTAATATTAGGTCTGTTTTAGGTGAATATTTACACCTAAACAATTATATACAAAATCGATTCTATCAGTAATAAATAAATGCATTCGATATTAATAGTTACCGTTTCAATTGGATCGCAATGAGATGGTACAAAAGCCTATTATTGCTAGTTTTGATGATCTGTGCGCATGCGCGAAGGCCTTTGTCTCGAAAACCTTAAAATTAATGAAATATCGTATATGATGATCACTATAGACATATATTGTTGTTGATGTTTGTGTATAATAAAGGCACTATGAGACAGACAATAATGAATATAAAAAAAGTTACATTAATAATTAAGACTACTCAAGCAAAAATATACCCGAGCAGTTTATTGTGAGAATGGCTGAAATGCAACAGTATATGATTAGATTGAAGATATGACGAAATTATCAGATAGTGACCTCTGTTTCTTCCTACTCTGTCCCATTTCAATATCTGATTGCGACCTTTTACGACTTGATACTTGTTCTTTGAAATCAGTTATGAAAATTAATTTATCAACGAATTTACCGACTTTTGTTAACTGAATACTGTCGGTGCATTCATAGCTTCCAATTCTTGAATGAGGTCTCATCATGCAATTATAAGAGTTTATCTCGCCACTTAGGTTTGTTGTAATTAACTGGAAATTGAGTAGTACACCACTACAATCCTTGCAAGTTTCAAAGCGATCAACCAGTAATATAGCATCATTCAGTAGGCCCAGATCTATCTTAATGATACAAATTGATTCAATTGGGTTATCGCTTAAGTGATTCATATACTTAAGAAGACTTCTATCTAATAATAAAACACCACCACTTCCTATAATTAGAATTATCTTTTCTGTTAATACAAACAACTTTTTGAATGAGCAAACTTGTGATAATATTTCATCAAATCTCTCCCTCGAATCCTTTGTATTGCTAAATTCACTGTACTGGTGATTTGGGTACACATTGATTTCCACCAAGGGTTCATTCATCAACCTTGGTCTGAAAACATGAAATTTCAAAAACTTTTCGATACTATAAATGTCCAAATTCCTATATTTGTCTGTAAGGAAGGATACTATCACATCATCTTCTACATCAGATGGCGGCTCATCATTGAACGTATATGACCCATTAAATATATGTTGCTGACTTTCTTGTCGCAATTGAACAGCACAAAAATCAATAGGGAAGGTGTTTTTTTTTAGTGATTTCAGGAGCGTATCCACTTTTTTTTCCGTCAACTGTCTAGACATGTAATTTATTCGTCTGAACAGGGAGTCTTGGGACCTATTTACCATCAAATTCCCTCTAGATAGTGGCCTAGTAGATATACTTAAATTTTCCGCTAATTCAACATTTTGATTATCAGCTATGTTATGCAATAGTTTATCAATTTCATCTTTCCTCCCCCCAAACTTTTGCTTCCAAACGATAATTGATTGTAATGGAGCTGTACCAGACAGCTGTATAATCGAATTCCACAAACGATGATCAATTTGTGGCATGTTTGCAATGTCATTATCCAGATTGAAAATCAATGAGGATGATTGCAAATATTGATTTGATTGGCATTCTAATTTCTTCTTCAAATAGGTACGCAAAAAAATAACAAATATCCGTGTCATAACAACTTTTCTTATCATAAGCGGTGACCTTTGTGCAGATACAATAAAACTCAGCCTATCCAGTGGGTTTATTTGAAAATTTGCAATACCTTGGTCAAGTCTATTATAACCTGACGACTTATACATTATTGCTCCACTATAGCTGGCTGTGTATTTTTGTTGTCCCAAGATACTATTACGAGTGTCTTCATCAATAGGAATTAAAAAATAGCAGATATCATCAGTTTTACCGCAGTATCTGTATTGAGTCAATTTAAAGAATTCGTCTTCATCAGGGGATATATTTCGAGCAGCAGTTGTTCCTCCATTACCATCATTTTTCATATCTTTGATCTTGTTGCTATCACTGTTACTAATTAGGTTTTCAACCTGAATATAATCTTCTGGAAGATTAAGAATAAATATATATACTTTTCCAGATGTGGTGCAACAATAAAGCAAGCCCTTGAAGTATGATAGATTTGCAATGCTAAAGTCGAAATCTCCTGTTGGGTCGATGTCATCAGGGAAGCATTTCCATAAGAATTGTGGGCATAAAGAGGAATTCTGATAAATTTTTTGTCGATAGTCCTTAACAACCTCAATGATCCCATTAGACCTGCATATGAGCATATAGTCAGAATCATCTTTTAGGTCAAAATTAGGAAAATTAGTTTCGTTTTCTTCGACTTCAGAGTTAATGTTACTAGTACAGTCACCTTCAACTGGATTGTTAGTTTTTTCAGCTCTTTGACTTGGTTTTTGGTTGCCATATAGTGATCTATCCTTTGGAACCAGGTAGCAAAATGCCAGCACACTGCTATCTACGCTTTCATCGCCAAAATTCGAGCTTCTTCGTATTCTTGTAAACTTGCCATCCTTATTATCCAATATACAGTAAGTGGACGTGTTACCCTTCTTATTAGAGGGGGTAGATACAGCTAGTGTTATTGTTCTGGACATTAATAGGCCAAGCGCATTTATTATCTCCAAATTGAATTAATTCAAACAGCAGGTCTTCTTATATGTATATTTAGGAAATATTGAGCAAACACTCTCTTTTCGTTTCAACTAAGTATCTGCTGCGCTCAATACGCTACTAATCTGAATAATTTCAACTCTCAATGTGCTCTGCGTTTTCCACAGAATTAGTATGTGAATACACCTTATTGATTCAATCTCCACAAAAAGATAAAACTGTTATCCTTATTGTTTCTATGGTTCAAAATGCAGAGAAATAGATCCAGCTATATACCTCTAGCCTAGAACTCTTACAAAACAGACCAAATTCCAAAACAGAGGGGCAGGAATGTAGCCTATATCTTTGTTGGTACTGATGAGATCTTGGAATCCTTATGATTAAACCTTTGGTATCGAGCCATCCTAATTCGCCCTTAAATACTTGAGTGAAAAAAAATCGCGGTGATTTTCAGGTTGAACAATGGCGAACTAGAATGGCTATAAGAATGGTATTAATTAAAGCTCATCGCAACAATATCAAATGAGTATAATCGGATGTGTATGAGAATGACGAGCATACAGATCAGATTTTGAATTAGGAGCAAATTATTAATATGGATTGGAATGTATCAGATGTCGTAACGGATAAGAAATCAAAATTTCAAGCTAGGTGCTGCTTTTTGAGAGACCAGAAGGACATACCAGATATATTGCAAGGCATGATTCAAAGTGATAAGCATATAGCAAAGGCTAGTCACATGCATATGTATGCTTGGCGAACTGGAACTGAAGAGTTGAAAGGAAATGAGAAGCAAACCAAAAAAAAGAATAACAAGAAGCAGGATGAGGTGGTTCAGCTAAAAAATGTTCAGCAAGGTAGCTCAGACTGTGGTGAAGCTGGTGCAGGCCAGCGGCTTCTAACTTTATTGGAAAGGTCTAATGCTTTCAATGTTATAGTAATTGTTACTAGATGGTATGGTGGCACTCCCTTAGGTCCAGCTCGATTCAGGCACATTTGTTCAGCCGCACTTCAAAGTTTGCGTATCGGAGGTTTTGTTCCATAGAGGAAGTAGATTTGAACGTTCTATTTTTAACAAGTAACACGTAACTTATAAATGAATAATGATTACTAAATATAACTAATACTTAACTCGTATACCGTAGTTTGATTCCTAATGATAAATGTTATGAGAAAGTTTTGATGGAGTCAAACACTGAATATATTATTTTAACAAGAAACCTCTCAGATATACTTGTAAGGATTCAAGATGGAGTTCGGATCGTATTGATTTTTTATAGATTTGATCATCTCAATCTCCTCAGGGGTTTTCGAATACTGAATGTAATTCTTCTTCTGGAAACCCAGCCCATGTTCAGCGCTCACAGAACCATGGTGTCTTTGAATGAACTCATATACAAAGGGTTCTAAGCATTTCTCTACCTCTTTCGTATATTCACGAACTGCAACATTCAAATGAAGGTTACCATCACCTATATGCCCATATCCAATAGCTGAAACAACTGGCTTTGGTGCTTCACCTAGGAGACCATGCTGAGTTAATCTGTCATTTACAGCCTCAACTAGAGAGTACATACTCTTCAATGGTAAAGAAACATCATATTTATATACACCACCATTGGATTGACTTGATTCAGGAATCATCTCTCTCCATTGCCATAGATTAGCTAGCTCTGTTTCATCTTGTGCCACAACACCGTCAGTCACTAAACCTTCCTCCATTGCTAACTCTAAGAAAGCTTCAAGTTTTGCATCATCATGCTCTTTGTTTGATCCAGAAGTTTCGATCAAAACATAAAAAGGATGTTCATCTTCCAGTGGGAAAGGTACGCCTTCCAAATGATCTTTAGTTAAGCTCAAAGACTTATTGTCCATAAATTCATAAGCAGATATAATCTCTGACAGCTCTTGCCTTGCTTTCACAAATACTTTTTGGACGGATTCGTAATCTTCAAGTGATAAGAAACAGACGTTAGTGAACTTTGGCTTTGGAGGTGCTAAAATGGAAACCCCTGTAATAATACCAATCGTACCCTCTGAACCAATAAATAATTGTTTTATATCATAACCAGTGTTGTCTTTTCTTAGGGAATGCATACTATTTACAATCTTCCCATTTGGTAGAACAACTTCCAAACCTAGAACAGATCCATGTAATGAACCATAGCGCAGTAATCTTAAACCTCCAGCATTTGTAGCTACCACACCTCCAACATGACAGGAACCCTTAGCACCCAAATCCAGAGGGAAGATGTAACCATTCTTCTCCAAATACTCATTTGCAGCTTCTAGGATAACACCGGCGTCACATTTAAAAATTCCACTTACTGGATCAAATTCTCTTATTTTGTTCAAGTTAGCGAGAGATAAAATTATTTCATCAAAAACAGGGATAGATCCACCAACAAGGCCGGTATTACCACCTTGAGGAACTACAGCAAGTCGATTATCATTACAGTATTTGATAATCTTTGAGACTTGTTCCACAGTTTTTGGTTTCAACAATAACTTACTTTGACCTTTGTATTTCCTCATCCAATCTTCATTGTAAGCTGCCAATGAGTCATTACTATCATTTCCTTCTAATAACTCGGTTTCAGACAGGATAGATTTAAAATAGTCAATATCATCTTTAGCCAAAGACTTAAACCTGCCATCTCTTTTCACTTCTGGGTATGTCTCTGCTGTTAAACGTGGTGGTAGTTTCGAAGAGTATGTTCGAGTATAAGCTGCCATGGTCAACAATGGCTGCATGTAAAGTCCCAATCTGTTTCTGCCACTAACGGCAGTGCTATTCAGCACTCTGCTGGCATTCTTCGAAACAATCCTGTACTGCCTGCCACACTTTAACATCATGTCTTGCGCTAGAAGTTTGAGGAATTAGCTTACTCTGATGGCTCTGCAACCTGTAGATATCTATGCTACTTTGACAAAATTAGCAGTGTGATGCACATATAGTAGTAGCAATATAGAAGAACGCAATTTGCTGATATATCGGATGACTGTGGATCGGCAGTGACTTGATTGTCATCATCATCGAGATGTGGAATTATTACACGTGTAACATTATATTATCGGGTGCTATATAATGGTCGGTTATGTTCAGAATTCTCTACCTCTGCAGTCTTTGATGTGTATTGAGTATCTTTCCCGACTAGATTGTAGAACATTTATATTACTTATAAGATTTTGTTGTTGTAAAGATTCTTGATTTATACAGCAAGCTTTGTCCTTAAAAAAAGTCAGCAAGTTAACCTTTGCAAAAGTGAGTCATGCATTATGTTTGCTATAAAAAGTGCTTATTTATCTTATGTCATTGTTCTATCGAATTAATTGGTATTTTAACAAGACAGCTACATTAATATAGTTGCATAATGATATGATAAAACTGAAATTATTTTGATTTTATTTAAAATGACATCTGTAGAAAAGACTATTTCAAATTGAATGGAAACACGAGGTATCACTTAGTTTAGTTGTTACAATGTGCATTATAGTATGCTTCTAAGTTAAAGAAAATATGCACATAACCACTTTGATAATGAATATGAAAAAAGTATACTTTTTAATTGATAAAGTTATCAACTTATCAGTCGCTGCGAATTGGTAAAAATCGTTAGTGTTTAAGTTCAAAAATTTTAAGTACTTAGATTATAGTACATTCAAAAAACCATTGACCATCGATTATTCCACCTTACCAATTTTTTGTCACGTTTGAACAAATATTCTAGATTGCTTTCTTCCTCTTCAGACTTAGTGGATTTCAAATCACTTGAATGGCCTCTTTTTCTTTGATTCGAACTATCTAATACATATTCCGAACTAACTGTACTGTTTCCGAGCGCTGGAGTAGAGCAATTATCGCACAGATATAGTCGACCGTTATGCCCTGATTGCATTGATGTAGGTGACTCAGAGTCATAAAAGGTACTAATACTGGACACTGGGGATGCATCGTCAAGATAGGTCGATATTTCTTCTGCAATTTGTTTTTGAAGCACTGGGTGAGAGCTTAGCTTAATACGCCCATCAATTTTACCTGGAGAAGACGAAGGCGTTGGTAAGTACAGTGTATATCTTCTTGTAACCATTTCTTCTCTAATTGGTTTCAAAATAGGTTCTAAAGTATTGTATAATTCCTCAATCTGAATGTTGATATCCCAATTAAAGTACGATAACAGCTCACGCTCTATTGAATTGACCTCCTTCAACGTAAGTAGTCCATTACAGTATTTTGTCCAATGTTTATTGAAAAGTGATGAGTCATCCAAAGATTTGGATGATAAGATTAAGCATCCTAGAAACATTCTATGCTTTGTAGTTTCAATGCCACATACGTTAGAGGGGATTATTCTGCTCAATCTATCCAAATATACAGCTGTTGCCATTAATGTAGAAGCTTGGACTTTAGATGATGCGACTAATTCCTCAACAAATAGACTCAATTCCACAGGTTTGGGGCTATTAGTCTTTTTTATTTTAATCATTGAATTCGTTTTAGATATCAGAAAGGTGAGCATCTCATATGTGACATTCCTTTTAAGAAATCGCACAAGTATTTCATATTCCACGGGATTAAGACCGCAGTACGGGGGCGTCTCAAACATCTTGCCAATAATCGTTCCAATGAAAAATGACTTGCAACTATTTTCTCTCTCTTTACAAAAGAATGTTTAATGGTTTTTACTAAAGTCCTCTGGTATCACCCTAATTTCCCGATTTGAAAGAGTATGATGATATTCAATTGTAAAATGTTAATTTTACGCGCTTTTCATTAAGCCATAACCCAGGGATCAAGATATGCTCATTAATTTTGCTTCTAGAGTTATGATTGAGACAATTTTGGGTAGAGAAAACTATTACTTATATATATTGAGCCACATTTTAGCCAGGGTCCATCTCAGTCCCATTTTCAAAATAAATCGATATCATCCTCAAGCCTATTAGACAAATGGACCTCAGAAATAATTTGTCAAGTTGTCTCTCCGATCAACGTTTTCATTAGTGTGTCTTGCGATAATTGCATTGCATAAAGAAAACAGAAGAGATGACTTGGTCAATTCTAGATCAAAAAATATTCTAAGCTAGCACAAGCATTTGAAATCTCCACTATTAAACACCAACTGTCCTAGTTTGAAATAAATTTCGCAGGCTCAATTTAGCTATAGTACCAGCAGATATTATGTAGTCGTGCTGTTATCATTCATAGCATACAGCTTATTAGTTGATGACCTGGCTAGTTCAAAACATCATAAAATACGTCGCCAGCAGTAGCTAGTTATTTTCACGAGATCTTTTGAAACCTACGGTGCCTTCTGTGCAGTATTTTGAATTAAAGGGTAGAGACCAGATCAAAAATCCGCAATTGAAGCAAAATGTCAAAATTACATGCAATTGACAGTGAATCATGCATATGGCATGATGGAAATTATAGTAAAAATATCTCCAGCTTTATGATCTGTGCGAATGAAAGCATTTGTTGACTTTTTATGCTTTTCAGGTGCTCTGTATGGGGTGCTGAGGGTAAATAATTATGCCGACAGTGTTAGAATATTTATGGTGTTCGTGGCCGATCAACAATACACGTATATCAAAACACATTTTATGTCTTTATATTTTCCTTCTGATCTGGTACTAAACATGGGGGTCTTCTCTCAGTTTGTTGATTATTGGGACGATACAGCCTCAATTACAGACAAATGAAATGTTTGGGAGAAGATAAAAGCCTTATCAGATCCATCTTAGTTTCTCTTTTCTAGGTCATACGGTATATAGTTGGAAACATACCCAGCCTAAACTCAAGCACAAAAGAAAATGAGAATACCCAAACGTTATAACCAGCGTTATTTTATCTTGAAGGGATATTAAACGATGGGATCGTAGCAAAAAGGCCACACACAAATACAGATAGTCCCCATATAAACATTGCAGACAAGACAAATTGGTCAGACGCTGATATCTCTTTCCATTTTATTATCATTCTTTTGGCAAGCTTTAAAGGTTTGGGATCATTTGCATCGTAGTCATCGGCGTTATTATGGCTACCGTAGAGCATTGCACTTTCCATTAACAATGCCGAATCGTATGAGGAAGTTAAGTCTTGTCTCGTTGGCTTTGAGTTTGCTGTACTCACTCTTTTTTTGTTGGGAAAAAGTAATGAGTTTTCAACAATTGGATAATAGGGATATTGGTTATTTAAGGAAGCACCAATACCTCCATTCATATTAAAGTACGGGTCGATAAACCATTCAACAAGTGTGTCCTGAAGGTAGATATAGGTATTGATTAAAAAATTCATTGAAACAAATGGTATGAATACGACTAGCAGGAAATATGTAATATCTTTACTGCCAAAAAATATTACTGTGTCAGAGAATAATTTCTCATGCCCTCTGACATAAATGAAATATATTGACATTAGCAATGACTGGCCAATGGTCATCCAAATGTTGCTAAAAATAACTACCGACATGATAAAGAAATTCTTACCTAAATGGCCATATCCCTTCAATGTAAAATAGGATTTTTGCCCTCCGTTCGATGTAAGTCTTTCTATTACGTTAGCATGCCTAATCGAGGTTGTATCACTATCTAGCATATTACCTTGATTTTCCAAGTAATTATCTTCTTTCCACCGGACCCAAGTAAATCCCCTCTTGTCTTTAAATATTGGTTCACTTTCTTCGAACTCCAGATGGTTACCTTCTCTATTCAAGGAGGTGATTCTCAAGGAGTTGTCCTTCGGATTTATAATTATCAAAGGATCACGTCCTGTTTTGTCTGTGGTGATGTTTTTGTTCGCTTCACGACCATACTCGTCGCTATTGAAGTTTGATTTTCTGAATTTATCCCAACTCGTATAATCCATGTAAGTGAGAGTACCATATTTTGAAGTGGATACCTCAGGATCGGCATCATTAGTATAAACGTTGTTTGAAATGGTAGATGACTTTCTTCTGACACCAATACATTTTGATAGAGTGATGTTTTCCCTATTCAAGGAATTCTTTCTATTAAGTACATCTATTTCTGAATCTTCTTTTGAATTCAATTGTCCCGCAATCGATACTTCTTGAAACTCAAAAAGATTGCTAATAGCACATATAATAAATTCACTTAAGGACCATGATATTCCAAAAATATAAGATTGTTTTGGAATAATATGCCACTGCACCGCAGATGCATCATCTCCATCGTTTTTAGTATGTATTCCGTGGCCATCTTGGATCTGAGGGTATGCCAGACCTATTATAATCAGTAAGAGAAAGCTGTCATTTATAGGAAAGTCAAGTATCAAGTTTATAAAACGTTGATTTGGATTAACCGATAGTAAAAATGATCTTGTCAAATAAAGTAGACAAGGAGAGAAAAACCCTAATAAAAATGTCCTAAAATAGTCCTGACTATTAGGAGCAAACATATTAGGGTCATCGTACGCATTCGGAAGAATTGTGGATGATAGATATGCTAACGAATATATTAAGGTTACCACAAAAACTGCAGATACGACCACCGAAGGCTTCTTGGAGCACAGTAGCGGCATGAAGTATGATGCAGCACTCGATATTCGTACCATTCCTTTTGTATCAGATATGTATGTGCGCTGACTTGAGTGATTGAAATAGGAGATATATACTCTTTGCTATTTGTGAATGCAATGCAAAATGATTAAGTCTTCGGAAAAAATGCCAAATGTTGACTCTTCTTTATCAGAGAACAAATTATTATGCTGTTTAATTTATATGCAATGTCAACAATACCACCATAGCTAGTAAACTAAATATTTGCTTTGAGTACTCACTAATCATAAGTTTGGACCTATTATTGCGATTCAAGCTTTAATTTACTTTTAAAGGTAAAGATTGTCAAGCTCATCGGAGATTAAAGAGATCACTCGTAGTAAACGATAATCATATATATCTACTACCATAAGTTAGAGCCGATTGCGAATACTAATTAAATAATAGAAATGAGTTAATTCATTATATGAATAGGAAACATTTCTGTAATTTGTATATTCTACCGTAACCAAAGTAAATTTTTTTGATAATTTTTTATAATTCTTTTATATTAATATAAAAAAAGCTTTATGAACTATGAAGATAGAATTTGTACATTTGCTTGTGAATTGCGTAAAAAAGTTTGTAATATAAGACTTTCTGTGCGCTTAGTCGAACAAACCGAAACCCATGTCGTCATCGGATTCTTCAGCTTCTTCTTCGGCCTTTTCTTCAGCAGCAGCTTCACCAGAGGCGGCAGCAGCACCACCAGCGGCAGCAGCACCACCGACAGCTGGACCAGCAGTGTGGAAACCAGATAGGATTTCCTTCAAGTCCTTACCTTCCAAAGCCTTAGCGTAAACATCAGCCCAGACCTAAACATATATAGTTCTCCCCCTTACAATAATTTATTGCATCACCCATAACAACCGTTGGCGTTTTGTGTTTATTCCCTATAATGTCGATATCTAGCTCAGTACTAGCGTTTCTGTTATTATTCTTTCGTCGCCCCAAAGAGCATTTATTAAAGATCATAGTTTCTAATTTTCAAATTTTCAAAACAATATTATTACAATATTGGACATACAGTCTCGATTCCATAGTTGGTTAAATTAATATAGCTGCCATGGTATTCCTTTTTCAGATTATAAATATCAACCAGGCACTTAATATGAAGGATTTAGTCAGAAAAAAATATTCTCAATACCGTCCTAAATAGCATTCACAGAGATTTAAACACAAAAACGGGGCAAAGCTTCAAAGTAGAGCAATTAATAAGTTGGAGGAAATGAATAGATTGTTAGTAAAAATGAATTCTATAACCAATTGATCACGGAAAGGACGTTGAGGCTTTGATGTCCTAAATAGACTTTAATCGATTAACATACGTTGTCAACGTTGGCACCGGCAGCCTTGGTCAAGGTTTGCAAGTTTTCAGAAGTGATTTCCAAACCAGCGTCAGCTAGGATGAAGGCAGCGTAAGAGATAGCAGCGTCAGACATTTCTTCTTATGTTGGTGTATATGGTTCTGTACAATGAAACTACAAGAAAAAAAAACAAATGTAAAAATTTGTATGAACTACTAATATGCAAAAACTTTTTTGACAAGGAACTGCTTAATTACTGGTAATAATATGCGATAGGCGTATGCACCACTGAACCAGTATTATGGTATTGGAATGGCGTCAATGTAGAGATTCAGTGAATAATCTGACCCACATACTGCCATCGAGCAAGTTGAAACTTTTTGAAAAAAAAAAGATGAGTTATAAATAGTAATACAACACGATTATAGGCATGATGTTTCGTGTACTATTATATTTATATGAATTTACGTTTAAATTTCCTAAACAGGAAATAATTGCATTTCTGAAATTTTGCTTCTAAGTTTGAGAAAGTTTAAAAAATGTCTGGGTGTTACAACAATGAATTGCTAACTTCTAAATATTTTGCAAGTCACAAATATATCACATGTATTTGATGTTATCTTTACTATAGTGAACGTTGTTCATTGTGTCTGAGGTTTTTTTATGTTTTGGTTGTCGAGCTCTGAAGGCATTGTATATTGGAGGAACTGACAAACAAGAATTGCGACTGACGTACATTGTTAGATTATGTAGCGTATACATAAGAATTATAGAAATGAATCATCTTGAAATCAGACGCAAAAGAATATTGTTGCCTTTATTTTATTGTTATATCTGGTAGCCTTGGCTAATATGTAAGTATATGGAATAAACTCTAGTGAGGAAACAAAACAATTTCCATACAACTGAATCAATTGCAAGCAGGATAACAGAACAACGGAGTCAATAACTTGATTATTGCTAAGCAATACTGTTGTCCATTTACTAAATGTGCAAGTCATATAATGACTTTAGTCAATTTGTGAAAAAGAAGAAAAATTCAATAAGTAATACTATCAATAATAATGACATATTTTATTCTTTTTGCTTTTTGAATAGAATAGTGTAAAATGAATTTTAAGAATAATTGGAATATTTAATAAAAAGTAATAAAAGTGGATATTAGTTTTTCATTTTCCTTTGGACACTCAAATGATAAATGAAAATAATAGGAAGAAGACTATTAGCTATAAGCATTTTCCAGTTTGGAATTGTAGTAAAGAAACCTGTTTCATGCATTCGTGTCTAGGATTTTAGTTCTTGGTAATCTTCTCTATCTTTTCTTCCAAATCCTGTAATTGCTCCTTGTGGTGCTTCAGTTGTTCCCTTAAGTTCTTCAACTGTTCCTTCTCATGTTGTTTAATGAAATAGTCTTCCGCAGCCTTCTCCCTTTTGTTGAAAGTGTCGCTTTGGCCAGTACTACTGAACCCTCCTACTGGTGGTGGAATGTTGGAATATCTTCTCATTGCTGTTTGGCAAGCTGGAGTGACACTCTTGCTTTGCTTCAAAGTATTTATAGCGTTTAAACGTAGCATAATAATCTGTTTGTTTGTTTGTAAACTTGTGCTGTCTTGTTAGTATAACTTATCAAGAAGTACTTATAAAAAGTTATACAAAACTATGTAAAGTAAAAGAGCATTAAATACAGAGCTCTCAAAATAAAAAAGCGGGTAAGAAATATGAAGATACGATACTTGATTTACTTGTCATAAACATGGAAAAGGGAAGTTAGCATATATTATATATTAGATGGCTCCAAGGCATGATGTGGTATCCAATGCCAGCACTGAAACTGCCATAAAGGGCCGTAGAATTCCCAGATTTCTTTGTGTTTTTGGACTGACCTACGCTTACATCGGGCTCCATTCCCAGAAGAAAGAGGTAATGATAGAGAACACTTTAGAAATTAGGGTATTCTAGTTACTGACCCAAAACACTCCAGTGCAATAGGTTCGTCCAAAAATATTAATTTATACCCTAACTTTCACTGTGGTTTCTGCACAGACAGAGAGGTGAGTGTCAATAAACCACCTTCAAGGTTTAGCCATACTAAATAGTCATGAATGAGCAGATGCAAGAGCTTATATTATGGCTTTTGTTTCAAGTTTATATATTTGTATAGTTAATCCAAATTTCCAAGAATGGTTTAACATATGGTGGTATTAACTTGTAGAAGCCCTAATATATGGCTAGGCGACGAACATCAAGGGCACATTATCTAGCTTATTCTATTTTTAGGGTTAGAAGCCATGTGTCAGGTTTTTTATGATTCTCCTTGAACCCTACTTCTCCACTACTATCCCCCCACAAAAATAGGTGTCATTTGGTGCGTGAGAAGAAACGCAGTAGCACAACTGATTTTACTACTGAATCAACCAATGACTTCGAAGCATTTTCTTTTTTTAGGGCTTGATCTTTTCTTCAACCGGGGAACAGATCGATTTCTTTTCTGGATTCTGTTGTACAATTTTTTAGGGTTTCTGAATAACCTCGAGTGAGAACTTCGAGACTAGAGATACCAGTCAACCCTAAGCTTTTAAAGAAGAGTAGCTGTAAAGATGAGCAAACATAATCACATGACCTTGTCAATATGCCTCATGTGTACCAGCTATAAATATTTGCTAATACTACATTCATAATACAGTATCACCTTTCAATCATTCTGAAGATAAAGAGCCGATAAATATATGCAAATTCTTTATATTTTCTTCTTTTACTTGGGATGACTGTTTATTAACATATACACATAACATACTCTAATATGTAAGAACGTAATGCTTAATCAACTCTTGCTTTCTTTTGAGCTGGCTCATTTTCTTCTACTGTGTCCAAGCTTTGTAGGTCAATAGCACTGGTCCTAGCTTGGCCATTAATACTGCGTAGTTGTGGTGTAGTAATTTCTGCATGGAAGTCCTTGATTATAGAATCCACATCATCAATATTTAGAGGTCTGACATCACCTAGTTTCTTGATCTTGGCGGTAACTTCCTTGATTTGATCATCGGTCAAATTCAAGTTCAATTGATCAACTCTCGCCTTGATGGCGTTCCAACCTGTAAGCCTGTTAGCAAAATGTATATATCTCTTCATACCGAAATCATGTGGGTCCAGGATTTCATATGTGGATGGGTTCGCTAGAATGGCTTTAGCGTGAATACCAGCTTTGTGTGTGAAAGCACAGAAACCAGTAATTGGGTTATTGAAAGGGATATTAACCTCAACTGCCTCTGCAACAAGGTTTTCGATATCTCTGATCTTATGCAATTTGTACTTGGATTTGACATAGTCTGGTGCGGCTACAATCATTCTGGCCATCAGACCACCTAGCGGGGTAATACCATTTCTTTCACCAATACCCAGAACACTGACATCTATCAACTTAGCACCACCTTCCAATGCGGTGTATGCATTTGCAATGGCACACCCTGTATCATTATGGAAATGGCACTCAATATCACAGGAAACCACAGATTTCAAAGTCCTTACCAATTCGTAAACTTGTCTAGGGTTGGCGCAACCAACAGTGTCGGCAATACCGACTCTGTTGACACCGATCTTGTCGACAGTCTTGTAAATATTCAGCAGATCGACCAGGTCACTTCTGAAACTATCTTCAGAAGAAAATCTGATCTCAATGCCTTTGGATTTAACAAATTCGATAACCTCAATGGCACTCTTGGCAATATAGTTCATGTCCTTACCATGAGAGTATTGCCTTAAAAACTTGGATGTACCGATGACAACATCAACACCATCAACACCAGTCTCAACGGCCACTTTGGCATCGTCCATGTGGCAACGAATGTGGGTCAGAATTTTTGCCTTCAACCCTAGATTACAGATTGCCTTACAATCTTTGTAAGACTGTTCAGAAGCAACTGGGGATGTCAGCTCAATATAGTCGACACCAAAGTCATCCAGAGCCTTTGCAATCTCTATCTTCTTTTCGGTATCAAAAAACGCATTAGCAAATTGCTCACCTTCTCTCAGCGTCGAGTCAATTAATTGAAAGCTGTTAACGTTGGACAAGTAATCAGTTGGACTTGGCGCGTATGGATTATTATTTGCGGTCATCTTTTGATCTTTTTTAAATTCTTAAAATTGATTTAAAATTGATTTTTTTTATTAGCTTCACTTAATAGAAAAAGTGTAGATTTCAATCAGCTAGGTACCAATTAAAGGTATTGTATCAACTAATGTACTGTTATATTTTTTTTTATATACTAAGTTAATATATGTAACAATAATTTTAAAATGCAAAATCATTAACTCTCTTATATATCAAAAAAATTCATAAAGTTTCAATTCTTGACAGAAAAAATTGTTATGTATCAATTGAATATTGCGCATGACCAGTATAAACTGTTACTCATATTGAATTATTGAATAAAAATTTTTCTATCCAAGTTATAATTTCAAAGACTTAGGTCCGTACACCTACCGTACCTGTTAGTCATAAAAAAAAAAAGGTCAAACGCTCTAGACTATCCTATTCTATTACAACATGTATAAGTCTATTTTAACTGAAAATAGAATTTTATGTCGTTTTCTAGCAAGTATTGTGCGCGGATTTCATAAGAACTTGATTCTTCCACTCAATTTCACCGAAAAATAACGACAAGACTATCAATGCTACATAGTATTTCACAATACACCATAAGACGGCTATTACTCTCAACATTAGCTGGCTGTGACATCTAAGCAAAATAGCAGTGGGATAATGCGCTTTCCCAGCAGAACTCTCACAAACGCCATGAGTTACACGCCTTCCATTGCAGTTCCCTTTGAGTCATGGGTGGGACAATGACAAAGAAAGCTTCATCTTCTGCATTAGAAGCTCAGAAAAGAAAATGACAATCAAATAAAGAGAAAACACTCAGATAGTCACGTACAACTCTCCTGCCTTTTCAACCTTCCCTTCCCTTACCTGAGATCCACAGGCGAGCCAAGTCCTACGTCAATCGTCTCTCAGAAGTATAGTCCCAGCTACGTCCGCTGCTCTTAGACCCTTCAACTGGAGCTACAGCGCAAGAATCGGGTGTCTGCTCTGCCACTAGCCGAAACTTGTGATCCGAGGAGTCTTCGACAGAGACAGAGATATCGCGCAGAGGTTAATCCAACTTACCCCTTCACCATCCCCTTGCCCCCCCACGCCGTTTTCTGACTTTTTGCTCCCTCCACTTCCATCTGTACAGTTAACCAGGGCTCCTGAAAAACTGAAGTGCTTAGTTACTCAAAGAAATCAAAATTCCGCCGGAATTTATGTCGCGCAATTGCCACTTGATCTGTTCTATACTGATCAACAAAGAAATTAGCGGAATAAATCGTGGAATAGGGGTTCCATCGGGAAAATATCAGCTCTCTCATTAACATTTCAAAATTTACGGAATTTGCAAACCCTCAACAAATTCCGGTGGAAATTTGCCACTTTCAGGAAGAGCTTGGGGGGGGGGGGGCATCATCATGAATCTGTCAGAATCTTCTTCAGCTTCTTCCCATTAATTATGAGAATACCACGGGAAATTCTGGAGAAAAATGCGGATTTCTGGGTGTCTGGTGTTACGGGTCTAAACCACAGCCCATTGTAGATAATATAGTACGTGACTATCACATGACGTACCATTCCAAGTCTGGGGCTGCAGTACGTCGCTGCTATTTCTATCTGGCAGTGTATTTTCAGCGGTTCCATGGAGCATTTACCCAAATGTGAAAACATTGGTTATAAAGTGTTACACTTATTATATTTTACAGATATTAGTAATGTTACAATGTATAGAAAATGATTTGAAGGCTTCGGTGTTTTCACAGTAATTCATATATAGTATTTTTCATCCTAAAACAAGCCCATGAGATATCGTTTTATCAAGCGTCCTGTGCTGTATCAAACATTTCACAGTTTGGATGAATGACATAGACAATTTTGCCATTGCCATCATGGTCTTCGTCATCATCGAGATTATCCTTCGTACCATGAATCTCCATTAATATCCTATCTTTCACGAGTCTTTTCAGGACTTTGTATGCAAGCTTTCTTTCAGCGTAGTACTCTTCCTCTGAAGAAATATCGTTCTCCCTCTGTACACAGTACCAATCAATGATATCCGTCGCTGTCATTTCCGCCCCTTCATTCTTTTCTACTTCCGATATCTTCCTGACGATCATATTCATCATAGTAACATATTTTTCATATGTAACAACAACTTTTTGTTTGTCTGATTTTTGTTGGTCAGTGTTTTCTTGAACAATTGCAGCTTGAACATCCGTGGCAATCTCTTCAGGCTCTTCAGGGTCTTCGTCTATCTCAATGTCATCGACATCGACTCTAATAATACTCTGCTTCAATAGATCATATGCTTCTGCTACAAATTCAGGAGTGATCTCGTCAGAACAGTTAGCTCTAGCAATAGCTTCCGATAATCTGACCATACTCTCCAGTTGCCTCACGGTAATTCTGTAACTAGATCTACTGTAACCTTGTGCATCATCCTTTCTCAGCGCTTTATACTTCTCAACTAGAAATTTTCTAGCTTCTTTGTTGATAACCGGCTTGAAGGTCTTTGCATACTTGATGTAACGTTGCAACTGTTCCGCAGAATATGGAGAAGTAATTGCTTCATCTTGTTTCATGTGAAGATCAATAATATGAGAGGCTAGCTCTGTATCAATCTTCTCATTACAATCATCTAATACAACGAAAAATAAGTCAAATCTTGACATGATAGGTGCCGTCATATTCAAGTTGGCCCTAAGGGATGTTTTCCTATTATATCTACCACCGATTGGATTAGCTGCAGCTAAAATAGAAGTTCTTGCATTTAAAGTGGCATGGATACCAGCCTTTGCGATAGAAATCGTTTGCTGTTCCATAGCTTCATGGATAGCAACTTGATCTGATATATCCATCTTATCAAATTCATCAATACAACAAATACCATTATCAGCCAACATAAGGGCACCTGCTTCGATAGTGTAGTCTCCACCTTCTTCATCTCTAACCACAGCTGCAGTCAAACCAGCAGCTGAGGAGGCCTTACCAGAGGTGTACACTGATCTAGGAGCAAATCGGCAAACATATTTCAAAAACTGAGACTTAGATGTAGATGGGTCACCAACAATACAAATATTAATGTCACCTCTTAGTTTGATACCTTCAACAGTGGTTTTGTGAACACCACCTAGCATTTGCAGTAATATACCTTTTTTTATAGCTTCATGACCGAACACAGATGGTGCAATTGATCTCACTAACTTATCATAAACATGATCATCCTTAACCATATCTTGCAGTTCATTAATCTCATCAGGGCTTAAACTACTTAAAAATATCTCTTGATCTTTCTCACGATCGCTGTAGATATCATTATTTTGTAGCTTTGAAATAAACTGCAGATTAGTCTCTGCAGAACTATTTTCGTTTGGATTCATATTAGAACCTACACTAACAACATGGGAACCTAAGAATGTGATCTTATAAGTAAGATCGCGCACACCAAGAGATTTTAGACCAGTAACACCTGAGTTGAGCCCTTCTGAACTTCTAGCAATACCTCTGGTGTCCAACGATGAACTGGGTTTAACACCAGGTAACATTAATTGTGAGACATCTGGTACCACAATTTCAACACCAGTAAATTGGCATTTATCACCAGGTTTTGCTCTATCTACAGCATCACCTCTCAAAATAACATCTAATGTACGCGGCATAGAACCATTTGGAATCTCATTTGTATTTTCTTGTATTCTTACCTTTTGCCAGTCCAAGAATTTTGATCTAGATACGTTCAATGTCCAAAACGCTCTATTTTCACATGCAGGGTTTGGACAAAATGTCGGTTCAGTATATTTGAAAGATTGTTCAACGTTATCAACCATAGCACGGCACATATCACAAGTGAAACTTGCTTTATAGAGTTCAGGCCTTACTTCAGATGTCCTTGTTACAGTACCAGAGATACACATTAGCGAGCCTATTTTGTCTGATCTGATCTCTCTAATTCTATGTACAGTAGGTAAATTGAAGAAACTTATTTGGAAAAGTCTTTCAGTTTGTTCAGGACTATTAGTTGTGGTCGATTTAGTCGCCTGCTGAGAGTTTTCAGAATCTCTTGGCATGCTTGAGGGATCTATAGTAGACAAATCATCATCCTCATTCTGCATCTTGACCGAATCTGATGTCAGGAGTAATTCTGGTGCATATTTACGCACAACCCTCTTTAGACCCTTGATCAAAAATGGAGAAAAACGGTAATATTGTTCCGAGATAGCCATAGCTAAAGCACCGTTTTCTCTCATGGACAAATGCTGGTAGTCAATATATAAAGTGCTTAAATCATATAGCTTCATAAACTCAATTTGTGCTCTATAGACCTTTTGTAATTCACCTGTATCAGACGATTGAATAGTAAATTCATCCAAAAATTGTTCAAAAGCCTCCCTTACCTTTTCACCTGTGACATCCTCAACTTTCTTAATATGGTTGAATGTCCTCTTCCTCCAACCTTGCATTGGCATGTCTTCATTTTCCTCATGTTCCGGCTCATTTTCATATGGTCTCTGTGAACTGAATTGTGAGGAATCTCTCGCTGAACTATCTCTTATACCGGGTATATTACTGCCCACAGAATCAGGAACATGTGGTTGTGATGAACTAGGGAACTGTAAGCGCGAACCAACCTGAGACTCATCAAAGCCACTACTACTACCAAAGCCTCCTAAAGACGAAGCAGGCTGGGAAGATGGACCACCCCTCGTCTCTTCATCATGTGGAAATGGCGACGACATTATATTCTAGTCGAAATTATGTGAAGTTTAGTGTTCAAGTTTGTTATTGCTGCTACTCCACAGAAAATAGAAAAACTGGTTAACAAAACACTATAATTATCCTCAACTTACAGTTCAGATGAAATGAATAAAAACCCTGAAAACCTTAGAAGTATTAACTAATTTAAGTTGACTATACCGCTTTCGCAAGACTGCTGTACGTCGAATTGGCTATTTGAAACAGAAAACAGGAAAATTTGACGTTTTTCCTAATCGGGAAACATAATTGAAAAAAAAGATTTCACGAAATTGAACATTAAATGCAAAAAAAATGAGCGGTACGAGAATCGAACCCGTGTCTCCACCTTGGAAGGGTGGAATGATAACCACTACACTAACCGCCCTTTAAGTGTTTGTTACCAATAGGTGTTAAAAAATCTCAACTTATAGGCTCACTACAAAAAATTTGAGCGTAAGAACAAAATATCACAGATCTTGGCTTATTATCTTTTGTCAGTATAAATAGTGTAAAAATATGCTTTAACATTTGTTGATAGTAATTTGACATAGATGTGCCATCTTATGGAATAATAAATTTATTTGTCTTTGGGAAGCTTTTTGTTCTGAAAGTAAATAAAATAGCAGATATAATAATAACTGTTAATACATAAGAATAGTAAGTATATATGAATAATAAATATTCCGATGAATATTTTAGTTTCGTTACATTTAAAATGAGTAAAATATATGCATACATCAGCGGAGGCTCAAACAAGTATAGCGTGGACATTAAAATATCATATATTTTATCAAATCGTAAAGTTCACGGATTCGAGATCAAATACGGATTCGAAGTCCTAGGGGGCACTAGGTGGCACATCATGAATACTCTTACGAGAGAAGCCTGTATAATAGAGTGTATAGTAGAATAAATTGGCAAATTTCTGGCCAACTAATCTTGTCAAATAGTTTTAATCACTGTCTTTCATTTGACTTTGCCAGATCTTGAAAGATATTAAAAAGTTCGTTCCAACCACTCGTATGCTCCCTGGCATATGTAGATGGAGCATCACCATATACAATAGTATGTCCATATCTTAAATTACCAGCAAGTGTGGCATCTTTTACCAGCTTGAATATCGGTTCAATTGTTGGAGACGTAGACCCTGCTACACAGATGAAATCAATGGTGTCGCTTTGACCAGAAAACATTGCTGACATCTCGTTGTTGTGTTTACTTGGAGTAGAGTGACCTGTATTGTATACTTTACCACTATTATGGAACTTTAGGATAAACTTTGTAGTTTCTAAAGACAATTCCTTTTGCTGCACAAACAATATATTCTTATGCACGTAAGCATGAATGCCACGATCGGCAAATAATGTGTTAATATGTGTCATAGCTTCACCGATAACACTGGCAACTCTGTCTTGATCTTCTGCATTTTCAGTGTGAAATCTGACCATAGAGTCTGCTAGTTTATAGTACGAGCCAGGCAATCTTTCAATCTTGGTATCCAAAATCTTAGTGACTTCCTCAAGCCAGTCAACATGATCCACAATGCTGTACCATGTTCCATTCAACCTTACATAAGCACCGCCTTCAGCAATAAGACCCAAATTACCAACACGACCGTAAAGGTTTTCAAGAGTTGTCTTGGAAAAGGTATTCATAATATAAACAGTACACCTTGAACTCAGTTCCCTTAAGATTGCTAACATTCTAGGGCTTGGAGGCTCCGAGATTTTCAAGATGAATAATTTATTCGATGCAGATTGGTATTCACTTGCCAACTCCTCTGAAGACAGACTGAACAACGTAGAGCTCTCTTTACTGAATTCCCAACAATGTTCAATAGCTTGTAGATTCGACATAATCCAATTCGTTGAGTCATTGTTAATCAACGATTTCATCATAATCTTCCATCTTCTTTTCCTTTCATCCAATGGCATCTCAAGACCCATCTTAATGCATTTAGCTAGATGTCTTGTATCCCATGGATTAATTAAGATGGCACCATCCTTCAATAGTTCAGCACTACCAGTAAATTCCGAGATCAGAAGTGGTGAATTCTTTTCTCTTGAACAAACAATAAATTCATGACAAGTTAAATTCATACCTTCCCTAAATGTGTTTATCAAAAACAGATCCGCTTCTGAGCTTAGAGCTAGGTATTGGGCAAAGTCCAGATCTTGATGTAAAAAGACCACAGGCTGTGAAACACTGATGCTGATAGAAAGAGAATTGATTCTGTCAACCACCACCATCACTTTACGCTCAAGTTCAGGATCAGAACTTTTTCCAATACAAATTTGAATCAAAACTACTTTCTCAATATAATCTGGATTCTCTCTCAGAAATCTTTCATAAGCTAAAAGCTTCTTATGAAGTCCTCTAATCTTATCAAATTGATCACGGCAAACAATAAGTTTCTTACCAGCCCATCTTTGTCTTATCAATTGCCTCCATTTTGTAACAGGGTCAGTCAGTAACTGATTTGCTAAATCAAAGGCATCTATACCAATCGGTGTCGATTTTACTGAGACGACCTTACCCTTGTATCTTAAATGATCACCAGATACATCGGCTGTCAATAGCAAGTTTGCTGTTGTCAAGAAATGTCTTGCGTACTCAGCAGTCTGGAACCCAACGAAGTTGGCACCCAAAATACCTTCTAACATGTTCTCTCTTTGTGCGAAGCATCTGAACACTTCACTACTAGGGAAAGATACATGTAGAAAGAATCCTATCTTTGCATTCGGAAGTTTTTGACGCACCATACCTGGAACTAACATTAAATGGTAGTCATGAACCCATACAATATCACCATCTTCATAAATCGAAACAATTTTTTCAGCAAAGTACTGGTTAAGCCTTTGGAAGTAATTCCAAGAATGATCTTCAAAAGCTTTAGAATTTGGATTATCTGGAATTTGATAATGAAGTGTAGGCCATAAGATTTGCTTACAAAAGTTTTTATATGCACCTTTAAAAGTTACATCATCAGCAATAACAGCCGAAGATTGGTAGTTTTCATTAAGATCCTTCACGATTTTTTTCGTTGTCTCAACAGGAATCTCATCAGTAGGAATACCCAACGTACCAACCCATTTAACGCCATCCTTGATATCCTTTTCTAAAATTGATGTATTAATGGCGTTTTTCAATGCACCATTACCCTTTCTAGAAGGAACTATCTTCCAAGGCACTCTGCTAAAAATTTCTAGTGAGTTTTTTAATCTTTTAGAAGTTGAAGAATATCCACCAAAGCCTGGAACATTATAATGAACTTTTCTGTCAGTTTCATAATCAGACTCGGCTTCTGAGTTCTGTCTGTCATCAGCATCATCGATAACATCAGATTCTAGAGCAGCATCTATAGCATTCTGAGAATATTTTAAGTGAGAGGGTCCATGTGAGCCTGAAGCAACCCTTTTCATCGAAGGGAATGCTGAGTTCGATTGACTATCACGTCTTTCCTTATAATTATCAAAGTTAACTACACCAGGATTGCTCTCTGGAACTGCTCTAGATTTAGGGGTAATAACAGTAGTGTTTGGGTTAGTTAAATGCGTCGCCGTATGACCTTCTACCGCATTAGGGCTAGAGACTCCCTGTCCACTGTTTAGAACAGAGTGTAACAGCAAAGACTTATTGACATTATCTAACAAATCAGCGGTAACATCCATTGTATCAGTTCCGTCAACATTAGCATTGATTTCCGGTGCTATTGAAGAGACAGAAAATGGAGGAGAAGACGCATTGTTGTTTATGGCAGTTGAATTGTTCGTAGTGAAGAAATCCTCTGCGGATGCATGCCCATGAACACCCAAGTTTGGGTTAACTGGAGTGCCAGCCGTTGTGGCATTTGCTGTTAAGTTCTCCAAAAATTGCTCTGAGGATAATGGACCCTGCTTAACATTCAATTGGGAAGCAGCCGAACTCAACGCAAGCGGTGTTCTACTATTTAGAAACGGCTGAGTTGCTGCAGTAGCATATGCATCTGTCTCTTGTACTCTCACATCTGGTAAATTCTTATTAGCATGAGCCTCTTGTTCACCGGATATTTTGACCAATTTGGAATCAACCAACTCAGCTGTCTGTTCTTGGTCAGCATTCACCTCGAACTGAGGTTGAAACGGCAAAAACAACGAGGCTACTATAATAGTCATATTTTCTTATAGTTTCCACCTGGTCACTTAGTTTAGCTACCTTTTCCAGATAAGTATCACAACTATATACAAATTGAGAACCAATTGAATTGGAAATAGTTCATTAAGTTATATATAATGCTTTCCACAAGGTTAGGTAATTTTGTGATCAACAATAATGGACCCCTCTTTCGCAAAGCAAGGGTCTTGGGCAATATGCACAATATCAGGATGCACATCACCCCTCCCCCCCCTTCCTTCGTCCTGCAGACGTTATCGGTTCGCTCGAAGAGAGAATCTGCTCAGACTTTTGGCTAGTTCTCATCTTCATTGTCACTTCCCACCAGTTGTTGATGGTCAAGAGGAACTATCTTATTAGCAGTTCATACAACATTTGCATACTGCTTCAAAATCTAAACAGAGCCATATCGACTTTGCTGTAGTTTAAATATATGCCGATCAGAGAATTACTAACTAGAGGGTTCTATATGAGAAAGCTCTAATCTCATCCTCAGGCACAAAACTGTATGTAAATGATCACATATCTTGCTGTACATTGATCTATTCAAATAGACATGCTCAAGTGTCATGTCAAATCCATAAGGGTGTACTACAAATCAAGCATCTTTGCTCTTTATAAGTCTCAGTTTTGCAATTTGTTAGTGCTCATCGGAAGTTTCCCATTTTGAAAAATCATTATTGGAACTTTAATGCAAAGCCGATGAGCGTGCCAATTGCAGAATATAAAGACAAATCATGGAAGTTTAATTATAATACTCATAATTCTTGCCTTTGCAACTGCCAATATAGATCGTTTAGCGAGTAGATTAGTACATAGTACAATGGATCTGTCTACAAAAGTATTCTTGGGTTTGCTGGTGGCGTTCATTTTGGTGGTAAAGAGGTATCTCAACCAACCTACTCATAAGAATATAAATAAAACTGTGGATATTAGCAATGACGGAGAAGAAATAGATAAGGATGTTCTTGTATCTGGCAAAGATCAAAAGACTGTCAAGAGGCGGAGGAAGAGACGTGTGACTGAGGGAATGATTGAGATTGTTTCTACATTAGCCCCACACCTGGATGTAGAACAGATCAAATATGACTTGGAAAAGACAGGCTCTGTAGAGTTGACCGTCGAGAGATTATTGAAAGGTGAAGAGTTTGAATTTCCACCAAAGGAGGATGAAAGCTCAACTGCAAATAATAGCAAGAGTAATGAAGAACCACAAAATGAAGAAGATTACTACGAAGACTACCACACTGAAACTGATAGTAGCGACTCAGAAGACGACGATGACTAAGACTTCCAAATATTATTTTCTATTCTATTATTTTCGCATTATATTTATAGAAGAGTGTATTTCATATTTATAGCTCCTGTCAGCAGGACAGCTCAGTAAGCAGAACCACTTAACTAGCTTCACAATAGTAATATCTAATAAAGATACTATGCAAAGTTAAGATATTATCGAAAGTGACTTAATAATGATATCCAATTATAAATATGAATTGACTTATATATTATTTACGAATTTTCAGTCTCCGTGTTCTTAATTATTTCTAAGGTCTTTGCGTCATCTTTATTCTCCTTATCATTACCAGTAGCATCCGGTGTACTAGCGCTATCAGTAGTACTCTTATTAGTATCTACCTTCGATTTTTTCCTAACTGGAAGGATGTTAATTATATCATGAGATCGCTTTGGCTGCTTTACTTCTGACGCATCTTCTCTATTCAAGCTTATCTCTTCTTTCACAATAGTATTAGTGAAACTTGGTTTCTTCGTTCTCCGACCAAAAACCGCTGTATTTATAGAAATAGCAGAACAAAAACCGTCAGTAGATGAAACCATAACCATATCACCTCTGGGTGACCATGTTAAATCAGTCAATGGCGTGTAATGCAAATTACTTACTATCGAAATAGGTTCAATATTTTCGGTATCATAGAAGATAACTTGGTTAATTGTAGCAATAGCAAAAACTAGTTTATACGGAAGATCCACATACGGTTTATTGGAGGTCCGTTCATAGAAAATGGGACTAAATGCTACAGCAACCGCTGGTTTCTTGAAGAACGGCAGACATATGCTAGGTTTACCCAAATTTTGTTTGATCGCAGCTCTTGTGTATATGAATACCGCATTATTAAAATCACTCGATGCGGAGGTATTAATACTATTAGATTGTGAACTCTCTTCACCATCATCTTTCGTTCCTATACTAGTAGAAGTTGGATGGTTCTTGATTAGTCCAGTTGGGACTACAAGAAGACTACCACAAGGGGACATCACTAATCTCCTAAAAAAAGATGGCAGTGTTTCATTGTGATATAAGTAAGATGATTTTTGAACTGAATAGTCAATTTTGCGACTACTAGCATCTTCGTCTATAAAAGGCAGTTCGCTCTTGAATATTCTATTTTTGAGCTTAAGCCTTTTTATCAATTCTGTAGATGTTGTTGAACTAGTTATATCTTTTGAATCTCTTAATTCAATTTCATAGATATTAATAGACCTATCAACTGATTGTGAGATAATGTATTGATTTAATGGATCCCAGGTAACACCTTGAACATAATGGTTGTGATCTTTTGCAAATGCAACACAGTTTCCTGTATCAACATTAAACACCTTTAAGCTGTTGTCCATTGAAGCTGTTACCAGATATTTGTCGTCAGGTGACCATGATAAATCATAAATTTCTGAAGCACCACCACCCGGCATGTTATCTAAGTCATTTGCCGTGCCTCGTAAACGTTTCCAAACAGCCCAACCATCACCTTCAACAGGTTCATCTCCCATACGTTGTTGTTTCTTGCGTGTTTCTTCGTTAGTTAGTTTCCATAGCAGAACCTGCCCATCATCACCAGCAGATGCCAAGACGTTCCCTCTATGATCAAACCGTATTACGTTTACAGCTTGTTCGTGCAATGATAAACCTGATAAAAAGTCAATTGTATCCACTTTACAAGTACCTTTACCTGTTTCCTCACAATTCAAACGCCATAATCTGACCTTGTTGTCCCCGCCTGCAGTGAACAACTCACCCTTCTCATTAAAGTTCTCATCATCATTATCATCGTCAGCCTGACTTCCACGAAAGGTAATACTATACACAGGTTGTGACTCATGCCAATATATTTGTAGATTAGTCGCCTCCATGTTAAATTTGAGATATCACCTAATGTCTTGGTCCTATATTCTTTTCAACACACCTTAAAATTACCAACTTCTCAATCATAACTGGCAATTTAAATGTGTCGATGCCCTAATCATTACTTCAGTTTTTTTTTTTTTTATTTTAGAAACTCAACTCATCGCAATTGATGAGATTTTTCGTGTTAACTTCGAAACAGTAGGCAATTTTTTTTTTCACTTTTGATGACAGTTGTGTTCAACATGAGAATCCTTCATATTGAGTGTTGGTATAACTTATTAATACAATGTCCTATCAGAAAGTTATAGTAAATCAAACGCGTATTATAACTTTAAGGAAACGTTGTACCAGAATGATAAATTGTACAGGTATTCTACTTTATTCTGTGGGAGATACATTCCATTTCTATTGGTTATGATGCTAGGACGTGCACACTTAAATAATAGTCGTCAGACGACGACCTGAGTTTGCATTCTAGTTTTAACCAGTTTTATTCACATTTTTAACCCCCAATCTCTGTTGCACATATGTCAAATTCCCGGCCAGCTCAATTAATATACTGGTCGGAGCCGTAATTGTGCAGATATCAATATATGGTTGTGTTACCTTTCGAGGTAGTACAATCTGCATACGAGTCACTCTGTTCTTTTTTGAACTGTAATTGTCCCAGTTCTTGAACTTTCTATTACTGGAAAGTTCAAAGAACTACGATAATCTAGTTATCTGACGGGACCTCTGGCTCAATAGCATACATATACCCAACCCCCTACCCCCACCTTCTCTTACTGAGATCCTTTGTAAATCTAATAAACCTATCCAATAGGTATTTTAAGACCTATTATCTAGATAAGCACAGAGCTGTTTTGATCCTTGCCGGCTACAGAAAGATCCAATTCACCATAGTGCTCGGCTAAACTTTCTTATTAAATTTTGTAGTATCATGTTCTTCATCAATAGCTGCTCACTAGTCACATACTTCAGCCGCTCAAGATTCAGCGGCTGAAAGCAGATCTCATCCTTATAAGCTTCTAGTAAACAGCTTATACACATCATTCAACACGTCGTACTAATCTTAACGTCATTTTTTTTCTTTGAAATTTTGTCCTCATTACGAACTTCAAAAATGGGAACTTGGAAATCTAAACATTATTAGATGGGCTTAAAGTGGTCTATCCTGTGCAATTGACGTATACACTACTAATAACTCTTCGGTTATCTTTGGAAGGGCAGGGCTGAAGGAACTCTTATATAATAGGGTTCTTATTTTAAGAAAGATTGGTTTCCGTGCTTTTTTAACCTTTTAAAAAGGAACATACCCGAGATCTATATTCATGATGGCGATGACGATGGAGTACAGAGACGTTGCCGGGTTTCTAAATAGCATTGAGGATGATGCGATAAACAAGGAGCATATTAATGCCGTCAGCGCATTTCTAGAGAAGAATAAAAGGCAGTTACTGGAATTGCAATTGGGATCAAATGAGAGCACCAAGCACAATGATAACAACGATACTAAGAGAATTATTGCTAGGAAAATATTGGGATATGACTACGATTTTGAGGGGTCCAATGAGTATAATTTGAATGAGTTTCTGGAGAAAGAATTGTTGGAACGTAACTCGATGGTGGATATTATGGTTGATCTAAATACTAGGCGGCACATATGCGATAGATACATTCCTGATTTGAATGTAAACAATGCAAAGAATGAGGATTCATTGACCGGAAGAATATCGACTGTTATTGATGTTCTGCTGAATACTCTAACAGCAACAAATAGTGTCGACGAATGTGTCTTACAATGTATGGACCACTTGGAAGAGTTGCACCTCGACAATGAGGACACAATCCAAGATATAATTGATTTGATCATCAACTATAACATTCTGTATTGTTTCAAACTATTGAAGTTATTAACACTATACATAATAAACCGTAACGTGGCTGTCTCTTTAACCCAGAAATGGTTTTCTAATTTTAGCGAGATTGTTAATCAAGTTACACTAATATCTTCTACCCATTCAAACAGAAGATTCTTGGATAATACAGAAAGGTCAATGGTTGATACATTATTCATTGCTAAATTAGAATCAACAATTTCCATTGTATCAATAGTGTTTTTGGGATTATCTAGCGCTCGAGAAGATAGCAATCTCAATATGGATACTGACTTCCTACATGACGTTGCTACATTCGAACTAGTACACTCTGTTCTGTTGGATGAGATGCATAAAAAGCGTATGCCAATTGTTCTGTATATGTGGTCTTTTATTCTTTGCGCAAAATCAATTATAGCAGAGGATGATAGCGACGAAATAACATCGATTAACGAGCTAGATTTTATTAGAAAATGCTTTCCACAAGATTCAATTCATTCTATGAGTATACTATTTGCTAAAAATGCAGAAGATATTGGTCTCTTGGCGAAGTTCCTTGAGACATCAAACTGCATAAGAAACGATAATATCTTCACTACTCTATTTGCATCTTTCATGACATTATCGGTCAATTTTATCCCTTTTACAGCATCTACTACTAAAATTATCAAATCAGTGCTTAATGATCTACCAAGGGGTGTCATCGAGAACTTTATTTCAAATAATGCATTTATTACAAAATTCGATACAATCAAGGCAAAATTACCTCTAATTGATGAAGGTTTACTTCCCTTTATTAATCTCACTTCAATAAATGAGGAGCTGGCTGAATTTAACTGGGAAGCATTTGGCTCTTATGCTGTAAAAATGCCATTAGGCTCAATAGATTATGATGTGGCGGATAGAAGTAATAGTAACGATTCTTCTACCCTAGAGCAAATTCAACTCAGCTCTGAAGTGTTGGTAAAACCACCATTTGAACAAGATGATGATGTATTAATGCCACTCCCCAAATCGACAAAGGCTTTTATTGTGGCTGACGTGCCCGCAATTACCTCTGGGAAGGAACATACAAAAGACTCAATAGTGAAATACAATTCTGAAGATGGAAGTAGTAACTTTACGACAAATAATGTTACTAACGAAACGCTTCTTGTCTTTGACTATCAGTATAATGGATGGTCATTGCTAGGAAGAATATTACAAAATTTATCCATTTTATACACTGTCAAAGGGAATGATATCAATTATGAACAAAAGGAATTTATGATAGCCGCTATCAGTCTTTTGTCTAATATCATGTCTTCTACTATACCTGTTGATCATTCAATTAAAATATTAGAGTCACTTTCTTCGCAATTATCCAAACCAAGAGATGATGACATAATATCTGTGGTATTTAAAATTTTTGAAAGAGCTTTGCATAAGAGAAATTATGAGCTACTGTGCATTTGTGCCTCCTTTACTAATGTTCTAGTCCGTAGATTCCCACACTTCGTATGGGCCTACCTTTCGACTTCTGACTTGTTAGATCACTACGGAAAATCCGGACTTGTGAATATTATTTTAGGATCAATTGAGCTAACAAATGGTGAATATGACTTTACAATTTCTATCGCTAAGATGACTGTAGGCTTGATTGATGATGCTGTTACCACTAGCCTATATTCTGATTCTGGGGTACCATTGAAGACTAAAAAATCGATTTTATCAAACCTTATCGTTCATTTGCTAAATGTTTATGAAAGTTTTCAGTTCTGGAAATATTCTAAATCTATAGAACAAAGATTTGAGCTCTCTCTGGAACTAACAAAAGCCTTTTCAAAAATACTCTACTTTGTTCACGGAATTGATTCAGAAACACCTCCGGAAAACAAAATTACGAATGTACTTTCAAAAGCAGCGGATACAATCACCAACGCATTCTTAGTCCCAGACTCCTACGATCCTCCTGTGGTGATCTCATTAATAAATACTATCACATCCCCCAAGAATAAAACAATTTATATTTTTGGAAATGGGCTATTTGATGAACTATATGATCATGTTGTTCAAAAAGCATACGATTTAGCTAATCTTCTGGTTTCTATTAGAGGAGTTTCAAAACTCAATGCCAGCTCTCTTGAAAGGATGTTGTTTTGCCAATCACCTAAATTAATCGACATTTATTTAACTAAACCAACATTAAAAATATCAATAGTGAAATTATTGAACAGCCTGGTTGGAGTACCATGGTCTAGTGAGTATCCATTTTTGTACTCATATCTTGGACATACTTACTCTGAAAAGTTTTTGTCTTCAATTATCAAGGATTTGACCACAACACTACAGGATTATCAACTGGCAAAGACGCTATATGTTTTTTTTGGAACTTTGATAAGAAGCAAACAAGATGGTTTATCAATCCTATTCCTAACGGGAAGAGCTCCGGATAAAGCTATATCGTCCAGTTTAAAGAATACTTCGAAAGACAACCAAATTTCTATCTTGAACGTATTGAAGAACAATGCAAAAAAAATGGATCAATATCCTGAGACAACCTGCTGTTATTTGCTTGAGGCCATATCCTATGCATTTAATACATGGAGTAATGCGAGAAACTTAGATGAAGACAATGACTTTATTGTATCTCTGCTTAATAAGCTGGAAAATTTAATGGATGCAACTGTTGGAACTAATTCCTCAGACGATAGCCAGGTGACTCATGACAAAGAATTGAAAAGACGCTATAAGCTAATTGCTAGAATTGTAGAGATTTTTGCTCTATACATTTTTACATCGAAAAACCCTAATAGTGATTTAATGTCTTTGCTTGAAAGTGACAAGATTGTTCCTCACCTCCAAAAGTTTTTCTTGATCGAAGGTTACCAAAGTGACTTACAGACAAACCTAGAGAAGAATATATCAGAAATTTGGAACAAAGCAGAACTTTCTATGTTCGCTCTTTCACCTATTGCCAAAACATTCATTAATTTTGACGATAACATTTTTGACATTTCGATATTGGATCAATGTTTAGGTAATGACTCGTCTTGGACTGGTACCGATAGCATAAGAAATCAAATTATCGATGCATCTTCTAATTTACAAAGCACAGTAGCTCAAGTAGCTGCAGCTAAATCATGGGGCGCTTTAATTACTGCTTTCATCAAGAGAAAAAATAGTATTGTTCCAGAATGCTACATGTCTTTGCTATCCGATCTTTTACAATATAATATCGAGTATGGCGTTGAAGCTCCTATTTTCACAGATGTTTATATGGAAAGATTAGAGCTTGTGTTTTTTTTCTTGTACAATATTCACAATAACGGTCAACAGCTTCCAGATAAAAATATCCAAAAACTATTAGCTCAATTATTAGAAATACTCAAAAGTCCAGAGGTTAATTTTTTGACAAATATACCGGAAAATACTGGTTCATTGCTATACAGACCAATATTACGTTCCATCTTACTATTACTATCTATGGTAAAAGATGGCCCTCAATTTGTGGAGCTAAATGCCGACCTTCTAATACAAACCAACGAAGAATCCTTCTGTAAAGGACTATATTTGCTATTCTCTAATATTCTCTCCGAAATCAATAGCATGAAAGCTACATCTGGACAATATTCTATTGCAAACATCGATGAAAAAATTCAGGACATTTCTCTATTACTGAATATAGTTGTAAAAACACAGGAGCTAAACCCCTCTTCAGAATTCAATTCCATTTTTGCTTCATCACTTTATGAAGTGGGTACATTACAAGTGATGCTAAATTTATATTCCAGCTCCCATTTGTATTTAGTCAACGATGAACCAATCCTGGGTCAGTTAAGTTTGAGCATTATTGCAGAATTGTGCATGATAAGAGAAGTTGCAGAAAAACTTATAACTAATGGACTATTTACAGTTCTTGTTGAATCTCCACTTTCGGTTGCGTTACAGAGAAATGCGATTAAAACTTCAAGTCAACCAAGGATCCATTATATTTGGAGCAATGGATTATTGTCAATTACCTTAATTCTATTGAGTAACTTCGGTTCGAAAATCTTACCAGAGACCTATCTTTTCATCTCTTACTTTTCCAATCAGATCGGAAATGTCTTGAGTTCTTGGTTCGACAGCAACATGTCTGTATCAACTGCTTTAGTCAATGAAACTAAACAAATAATCCTATTGCAAAAAATGCTGGAGGCTATAAACAAGGTCAATTCAGTATCCACATCCAGAAACAACAGTACAGTTCAGAACCCGGATAATGTGAAACAAATCCCAGGTCTTGTTTCAGAACAGGACTATAAGCAATTGAATTCTGCCTTGAAGAAATTGTTAACTCATCCAAAATATCTAAATTCCAGAATAGTTGCTTCTACGACTGATGAACAACATATGCTGGAGGAAATAAGCAGACGAAATGAGCTGTCCACGATCATTTCTAATCAAATCAAAGAAATACAAGATTTGCTTTTTGAAACATTGTAAACAGTAGTATCGTCAACAATATAGTTAAGTAGAGAAACCATATAGTTAAGTAGAGAAACCATAGATATATCTTGGTGGACTTCAAACCTAAGAATTCAACTAAATCAGTTAATGATAAATATATACTACTCAAAGTTACTTCGAACGGCTTAAAATCTCAATGGATACCTTTTGTCATAAGAATGATAATAACCTAATAACTTGAAGATAGTCATTGATACAAGTTTATTCCAGAAATACTTTCTTCAATCCAGGCCACGAATGTAATATTAACTAAAAAAAAATTTATTTTATGCTGTATGCTGAATGATATATATTTTCGAGAAGATTGCTAGCTGAGACTTTGTGATATTACCATTGAATGCAAAAACTGCCGAGCGTGTTTGGGTTCGCAATCCTTTTATTTGTACCATCCTTATTTAGAAATGGCTTGTTAATTCTATGCATACTGTCTTTGGCCATAATATTTTTGCTTTGCAGCATAATTAAACTGCAGAATTTTATTACAGGATCACACTTCAAGAGTAAACGAATAAATGAAATAGTTTCGTGTCATAAAAATATACTACCAAATAATGTGGCCACCTATAAAAGTAAATTTATTACAATTGATAAATATCCTCGAACTGCATCAGAAATCAGGGAAATTATCGAGTTTATTGTCACTGATTTTATACAATCATGGCTTTTAAGAATCGAGAAGGATAACGACCAATCTCTTCCCAATTTAATTCAGTCCTTACTAGAGAATACAACTGATAAAATAGCGACTATTCAAGCAGACAAAAATATTGTTGATATCATTAGTACAAAATGTATCCCCAAGATTACAAAGCACATAAACATCTATAAACGATGTGTAACTACAGAAGCTAATTTGAAAAGGCAAACCACTCTTCATAAAAATAGCTTGCATTTAGCTGTAGAATTCAACAAGTACCAAAAGTTCCACAGAAATGTCTCACTCAGAAACCATATCTTGGATGATAGTGTAAAAAACTATTGTTTGGATAAAGCCCAGCTCATCCAGAAAAGAATTTTGAATGAGAATGAGGCTTCTTCCACAATTGTTTCATCTTTAGTGAAAGAGATACTGGCAGGCTCTGTATTGTATCCTTTAATTAATAAACTAATAAATCCGTATGATATTAATCTACAGATAATATCAATGTCTGAAAGAATTTTGAAAGAAACTAAACAAGTGTCTCGCATTCGACAGCTATTAAATGAAGAAACTGATACTTCAGGTACTACGGAAGAACTGATAAATAACGCTAAAGTATGGTGGTTATTTAAAGAACTGCCCATAAATAATAAGCAATATGAGTTGAGCCTGAGATATATTACCACATGCGGACAAATCGTACCTTTACATAATATAGGATACGTACTATTATTATGCTTTGGTATCCTCGATGATAATATCGATAAAAAGGCATCAAAACAAAGGCTATTACTGATGCTGAACTTAGTTGAAATGCGACTGAAAACTTTTAATTCTAAGTTAATATATGGTCCTTCTTTATCTTCAAAGGTGCTTAATTCTAAGAATAGTTGGAGGGAATCAACACAATTTGTAAAAAATTTTATTAGCACTATTACATTTGCTGATATAGTTCAACAAAACGAATTGATATTGTTCTTCGAAGAATTTTTGGCGAATGAAAATAATATAAATCTGAAACCATTGCTATCATTTATTTGTGAATCCAATCTCATTTTGACTCCACTTGATGATAGTTACGAGGAAGACCAATCAATTGTAGAGCCACTTGCTTTTTACAGGCAACTAAAACAGTTCATAACTGAAACCATGATACATGCTTTGCGAAATATAAATGCAGAACGGACAGATAATATCATGAATTTTATGTCACAAAACGAACCTGATATGAATATATACTTTATTGATTGTCTGAAAAGTATCCGATTTTTGAACAATTTAGTTGAAAACATCCTAAAGCAATACTTTGAACAGTTTAAGTCATCAGCTTCATTTCTGAATATGATCACATCCTCCAAATTTTTCCAAACTAATGTTTACATAAAAGGTATTCTAGAATTTTCCCTGAGACAAAAAAGTGAAGATTACTCTCAAGAAAATGCAACAAATATGGGTACAAAAAACTCCAGAATTGATCAGAAACTGGAGTCTATAATCTTTGAAAACGGTATACTTGCAAATGATCTACCCAAAAGAAATGTAGAGGACTCCACTCTTGCCAACGCCTTGCTGGATAACTATGACAAAGATAAGTCTATAGATGATATCCAACTTTCAGTACCTCAAGAGAGCAAAGAATTACTATTCAGACCAGGTTTAAAGAGTTTCAAAGATATCAAAGAAGCCATAGCAGATCTAACATTAAAGATCAATCAAACTGAAAAGGAAGATGAAATACTAGATCATCTATTACTAAAGGCGGAATTAATCAATGACAAGGAACAATTGCGAATTCTATCAAAGTCAAAACGCGCAATGAAGAAAGATATAGAGCGAATGGATGTTGCAAGACAACTTCTTCTAATCCAAGAATCATCCAATGCATTATATGGCACAACCGAAGTGTCAATATCTTCTTTTTATGAAGATGTAGATGAAGGCGGTAAAAAACTAATTACCTTTTATTTGGTAAATGTTAAACGACAAAATGGCGATAAATCTACTTCATGGGAAGTTTCAAGGAGATTCAATGAGTTTGCTGTACTATACAAGTACTTGCACGCCAATTACTCTAAAAAGTTAAAAAAGTTAGATCTCTCATTTCCATCTAAGATTCCAATTACAGAAAATTACAACATTGCTAAAGTTGACATATGCAATGAAAGAAGGATTAAATTTGAACTATTTTTAAATCAGCTCTTACAAATTCAAGAAATTTGTGAGGATGATTTATTTAGGACGTTTTTGACCAACCCCTTATCATTCAGTATAAACAGAAACCCCGAAGAATTACCTTTGATTAACAATTCCCAAAGCTATGAGTGCATACCAGAACTTTCTTTAATGGATGAGGGTCTTAGATCAACTGATGATTTAGTTTACGACAATAAATACCTTACTTCTCATTATGCAAAGGTACCCACATCGAACGAAACGAAATCAACTGTAAAGATTATCTCAGAATTCTTTATAGCAATATTTTCCAGTAGAACAAACTCGCGCTGGCTGCGAGGAAGAGCTATTGTGACACTATTACAACAATTAATGGGGAGCACCATTGACAAATACATGAAAGAGCAGGGTGATAAATGGAGCTCAGATAGTCATGTTAGTGATCTACTGGCTAGCTTAAAATTCTTATTATGGGGACCTAATGGAACTTTTAGGAGACCTAAGGTGGACAAGAAGGAAATAAGTAGCAATGAAAAACGCAAAGTAGAAATCAAGGCCTTCCAAATGATGCAAACCTTGTTTATCGAGCAATTTGGGACTTTTATAGGTTACCAAAGGTCAAAGGAAGCATCAAAGTCACTGCATGAGATGCTTCAGAATCAATATTTGAATTGCAATCTAGTCTTCGAGCTATTCGATGACATTATAGATGAATTCTTACTTAGAAAAGAGGAACTAGAAACAAACAAAATAACTATGTAAGCTTTACTGTGATTCTTGTTCATGCTGAATTATTTGCGAGTGAAAACACAAATTTATAGACTAGTTAAACTCAATTTTAAATTCGATCAGTACAACTGTTCCAACTTACAATGGCTTCCTCTTCATTGGATTGTATATTATAGTTCTATATATCATATACGACGTATTTCTACCAAGCCCGATGAATTTGTTTTTTAGTTTGTAGGAAGTTTGGTTTTAGCAGCGATGGTAATAGCTGACAAGTAGCGATAGCTTTACAGTTTTCGCAGCAGTCAAATGTTTATCATCTAAACTAAATTTATTTTGAATTATTTACAGTATTGTTTTTCCTTATAGGCCAGTTGTTTACCAAATTGAACACAATAAGAATATTATCCAAGCATGCCGAAGTTGGAAGAAATTGAAGACTACGATGACATCGACAATATGGATATGGATCTGGCGGAGCTGGATCCAACTTTGAATACACCAATTGCTCCAAAGATAACACCCACAGTGGTCAGAAGTCAGGATATTGAAGAAGAAGAACGTAAAAAGCAATATGCTGGTAGCAACAAGGAAATGATAAGTTTCATCAACCCTCAAACAGGTAAAGTTGAAGAATCCGCCCCAATCACAAAACAAGAACTAGATGAGGTTAAAAAATTCCAAGTTTTATATCCTTGCTATTTTGATAAAAACAGATCACACAAGGAGGGTAGAAGAGTTCCAATAGAAATGGCTGTTGAGAATCCGTTGGCAAAAACTATATCAGATGCTGTGCGTGAATATGGCTTACTATCTATATTTGAAGGTGACAAATGTCATCCGCAGGACTTTGGTAACCCAGGAAGAATCAGGGTTTTGCTCAAAGAAGAAGGCAAGTTAGTTCCAAGTGCTTCTAAGTTCTCTGGTGGTAAAAGACAACTCATGAAGCTTGTTGCTGAGTATTTACAGAAGCATCCCACAACTGTGGAATCCCTAAGGGAACTACCATATGGTCCAGATTTTGATAATATAGAGTTTAAGAAGATTCCTAAAGTCAAAGGGTTTAAGATGAACGATATAGTACCGCTACATAGTCCATACTTGTGGGGCCACCCAATGACGAAATCAATCTATGAAGCTCCTAAGATTGAAGCACCTGAAAAGCAATTCAAGGCTCCTAAGAACAAATTCAAGGTTGTTAGAAGGTAATTTCAGTCAAACTTAATGATGCATGGAATATATTGAAATTGATGATATATGATACTACAATAGAAGTCAACATTTCCTAAATAATAGCTGCTTGAGTAATTCTTGTCCAGCAATTTTTCAATCTTATCGAGTAATGGAGACAAAAATATAATCAAGAGATATTACCCTTTATCTATCTGTATAATAATGTTTACTATAATTGGCACATACGTTTGTTTTTTTAGGTTACCGCACCAAATATGACCATTGCCCAGAAATGAAGTGAATGCAAGAAGATATGACTAAGGACTAAGGTAAATAAATTTTGATTTAGAATAAAATAGAAAGAACATCTATAGAAGAGGAACTGTTTTTTTCTATGACATTGGGCATCAGATGGATGAGGTATGTAGCAGACATGTAGGAAGATAATGGTATGGTAGAAGCAATAGCCAAAGTGAAAGCTAATAATATAAGCCAACTTGGCTCATCTCAGCAGCTCCATTTATTGTATTCAACAAGGTTATCATTGTTGACCAATATAAAGTAGAGGAAGTTTGGAGGGGATTGGTAGCTAGAGATACAAATTACCAACGAGCTTACATGATGAAGAACTGCAGATATGAAACTTTTTTGGAATAGATTGATAAAAAAAAACATTAGAAAAGAAAAGACAAAAACAACTACTACGTTAATCTATTAATGAGCGTGGAAATGAAAAATATTAGATATATTTCTGCTAAAACAGCATAGAGGATTGAAGTTCACAATAATTCCGATAATTACTGTAGAATCTGAATCTCATCTAGGCCCCGTACTTTTGCAAGTAGTCTTCAATTTTCTGTTTCTCCTCAGCGGTGATTCTACCATCCAAGAAATTAATAACATGGCTCAGTGATACAATGCTTAGAACTGGAATGTTGTATCTTTTACTTACAGCCTGGGTGGCGCTCATGCTATCTGTAGAATCTGGCGAGCCGACAACTTCTTGTCTATCTAGAGCGATGATAGATCCCACTACTTGACCTTGGTTGGCAGCAATAATCTCAAAGGCCTCGTTGATGGCAGTACCGGCGGTCATAACATCGTCGATAATCAAGATCTTCTTACCTTCTAGAGCTGCACCAACAATGTTACCACCTTCACCGTGGTCCTTGGCCTCCTTTCTGTTGAAAGCGTACTGGACATTTTGGAACTTCGAACCACCAATTTCAGCAAGCTTAACACATACAATGGCAGCTAAGGGGATACCTTTGTAAGCTGGACCGAAGATGATGTCAAACTTCAAGTCAGATTGGATAATGGCAATTGCATAGGCCGTGGCCAAGTTGGATAGCAGCTTACCAGTGTTGAACAAACCCAAATTGAAGAAATATGGGGATTGTCTGCCGGACTTCAAAGTGAAAGAGCCAAACTTCAAAGCTTGGGACTCAATGGCAAGCTCCAAGAAATTCTTCTGATAATCTTCCAATGGCATTGTACGATTCTATACTTTTTGCTATTCTTTCCTTCCTTTAGAGAATGACCCAATATTCTATTCCCAAAAAAAAATTCTCTTAACTGCCAAGAAATTAAGACAACCGAACAATTCAACCAAATATTTATTCCACAATGAAAGTTAATGAGTCTCTAACTATGATTCAAAATTTGAAATTCGAAATTTCTGAACCAAAATAGAATTGCTTGCTCTCTGTAAACTCAGGTTTACTGTGTGAAGATGGCCTCTGATGCCCAAAAGTTTGCCAAATTTCGTCAATTTTTCGTCAATTTTTCAGTTCAGAAAATTTTCATTTTTTTGTCTGGAAGAGCTTGTCTTGCCTGGGGGGGGTCACGGGACTTCCAATCAGCATTGAGGGCTGTTCACCGTCAGGTCATGATCACACACAGTTACAGAAAGGGTCTATTAGTTGGTAACCAGTGTGCTGTGTATTTGCGATGTGCTGTTCATGCAGGCAAATAAACTGATGGATCTGGAAGCGCGGTTGTTGCGATTATCTCGGGAGCTGGACTCCTATCATGGGCACCTAGTGCATCGAAATGAAGCGGTGCCCCGGACCGCTGAGCGGATCGTTAAGAGGAGGAAATACAGGAGCTGCGGTCCGCTTAAGAGTAATCGATTTCTGAGCTCGAAGAACATGAAGTTTAGAAAATTATACGAAAACTTGGTCGAAACAGAGAAAGAAAAGACACATTTACAATACACTCTAGCTGAAATTCTGGAGAAGTATCAACATTTACTAGATGGTACCAAGTACCTCGACATAGAATGGAGCAAATTAACAAATCCACTGACGTTGGTGGCTAATGGGTGGTCTATGCATAGAATTGTCGATAGGAAGGCCCCCGATGCTGGGGAAACTCACAATAGTTTAATATGCACTTGTTCGAATTGTCACCAGCTTATATCATTTAATTGTGATAAAACATCAATGGACTTATCTGACAAATTGGCTTTGAGAGGGTGGCTAACAGATAGTCATCTAAAAGACTGCTCTTGGAGACATTACCAGTTCCCTTTAGAAAGAGACTATTACCTAAACAAACATAATCTACTTGCCGAATTCCTATGTTTACAAAAGCTCAATTTACGAGCAACGATTGAAGTAGATATCTTCTATAGGAACAGCATTGATCAAATACGTTATTGTTTCAACATTAAAGATGAAAATAACCTGAAATTGTTTCTAAGAGGATTCTGGAGTTCGAATCCATCACACACGATAAAAGATTTCGTGACTTGCCAATACTGTTGTTGTAGATCAGCATTGACTTCATTATCTAAAAATGATCATGTCGGTCACTATCCTTGGTGCAGGTACCAAGATCAAGATCAACTATATCACCTAATTGAGGATGCAATTCATGATAGCTCCTATATTGTCAAGGAATTACCAATTGTGGCTAGATTGAATAAGTTGGAAAAGACCTTAGAGAAATTGTAAATAACTTTAACTACATGACATAATAAATTATACATAATTGCATGAACATTGATTATTCCAATGCTTAATCTGTCTACTTCATCGTCTATGTCATATACAGGATAAGAATCAAAAAAATAAAAAATAGGTCCTACCCGGATTCGAACCGGGGTTGTTCGGATCAGAACCGAAAGTGATAACCACTACACTATAAGACCCTGTAGGATTACGATTAATCAAGCGGAATTGGGATCTCAACAAAACAGTACAGACGATAAATTTCTGATTTATTTGAAATATACTTTCTCCATATCGTTAAGAAGACATGAACTTTTCACCTAAGAGCTATTGAAGTAAAAATGTGAACATATGAATTTTCTGCTAAAACTAGCATAAAGTTTTAACTGTGAACAGCCAATCCTCTCAAGACTGCTGCTGTCAGCGACTTTAGAATATATTTTAAATAACGAACAATAAAAGTAACACCTCTCGAGCCAGTAATATACCAAATAAAAAATAATCACAAATACAGTATATATTTAAAATATTAGATATAAAAATGCTTGGATTGGCATGCTTTTTACCTCATATCTTATAAATTAGAAACTGGACTTTAGTTTACAAATGGAGGAGGTGAAATGTTATATTTTCACTCCTATCAGTTCTAATATATCCATTTTGGACAACCATATATTTTCACAGATTTTTAATAGGATCCGTGTAACACTTATAACCTAAAGACAATTTCATGACATTAAACTAACGCATTGATATGTCTTAAATATCTCAAGCATCTTCCTCATCTTCATCTTCGACATTGTTTTGCTCGACAAATGTTTTTACCTTACCTACAAATTCTTCCCCTAGCTCTTTATCCAGAATCAGCACAATAAGACCATCACTTGTAATCTCATATTTAATGTGGCCTTCATTCGGTATACATATTTCATCATCAAACTTATCAAACCATTTATTCAGTAGATCAATTTCATCAATTTGAAAAGGTAATGTCAACTCATCCATAAATTCATGCATTACTTTCTTCTCTTCTTTCGAATCAGAAATGGTAATGTCTTCTTCCATTGGTTCTTCCAGAAGAACCATCATTCTGTATAAATTACTCATATTTTCTTAGTTTTTCCTGAGTATATAAAAGTGTACCAGCTTATTATTATACGGTTGTTAAACCAAAGATCTCACAGTAACTCGAAAGCAGTTAAAAGGATAATAGCAGCACTTACACACTTGTATAAGCTTCTATCACAAGCATTTGTATTGCTCTTGAGATCTATATTACAGTTCATAATTTGCGATGAGCAATGCTCATCGCAAAATTTTTGAATTACCGAGAGTCAACAAAGACGATGATCGATCAAAAGTAGTATTTCAATGTCATTGGGAACATTCATGCTGACTTTATAGAGTTGTATAATGCTTTCGTTATGATATGTATGAGAATAGTAAGGAATAAATATGCTGCTATTTACTTTAGAATTAGTTGTAGAAATAAAATGAATAAAAAGAAAATCGATGAAATAAAATTAAACCCAAAAGACTTCTTTATGCACTATTGACATAAAGATGCTTTACCACCAGTTGAATAATATTTTAGACCAAATGGTGATATCAAATAACACAAATGCAAAATAAAATGAGACTTAAAAAATAAGCTTGACGTTCAGCTTATTATCATTTGAAAATAATTTGGGAATGGAATGGACGAATTAGCCACCCTAGACTGTGATACGGATTATTGTAACTCAGGAATCAAAATTGTACCATCTGATTGATTGTGAGCTGTATTGTAATTAGAGCCCTCAAGCTCAACTACCTTGTTGTCTGGCGATGATGTAGATTGCTTATCTTGTTCAGCTTCTTCAACAGATAATGTATGCTCAACCAAATTCAAATAAGCATACATAAAATTACTTAAAAGAACTTGTTGACGCAATTCCCTGTTCGTCTCGCTTAGTTTTAAATGGCTTAACCTATAGATTGCACGCTCAACATTAATACCCAATCTGTGGTCACACATAATTACAGTCGAAATTGTTAATGGAGGTAATGGAAATCCAAATGCACTATCAGTAAATTCCATTGGTGCGTTTGCCCTTTCAGGTTTCTTTACATCATCAAATGTTAATTTCTTTGGTTTACCTACTTTGTTTGGTTCATCTGTATGCAATGAGTATGATTGATTAATTGATACGCTTTCATTAGAATTATCAATAGAATACTCCAAATGTCTATTGTATTCATCATTCAGATCGTTGAAGATATCACTTCCGGACAATTCTCTAGAGTCCTCCTCTAACTCTTGAACATACTCAACAACTTCGTCTGATAAACGACGTTGTTGATTATCCGATTGATACGATTTGACATCTATATCATCTGCTGAATTTGTAAAACTAATCAAAGAACCACCTCTTATGGATTCTGGAGAAGTCGTGCGCGGAATTACATTCCCAATTTCCTCTTGTGACTCACTAGAAATAATGTCATAGCAATTGTCCTTTTCTAGAGGGACATCAGCCTCTAAAACATTGTCAGTTTTTTTGCCCTTTTTTCTCTTGAATAGATTTGATATTTTTTTATCTAAACGTTCTTTTTTCTCAATAAACGTGTTCTTCTGAATTGTTTGATGATTCGAAATAGCTGATTGTTCTAGATTCTTATCTTTTATTTCTGTTGCACCAGTTATTCTATGCTCTAACGAGGGCCTTTTAGTATCCACCGTTGGCTCATCTATCTTATTTTCGCTGGAGCCTAAATTAGAGAACTGATCAGTTTTTTCTATCTCGCGGTCTAATTTCTCTGATACATATGAGTAAGAGTGTTCGGGTCTGTTTAAAATACTGTTTGATGTCGAATCGGATGACACCATACTACTATCCTGTGAAAAAGAACTACCTGATATATCATGGTTATCATCACTCACTGTTGTAACTACAGGAATATTCGAATCCAAAATACTGTGCTGCTTATTGTGGTAAGAAGTTGAATGTTCATCATAAGAATCCTTCAATGGAGTCTCCCAGGTATGTCTTGCAATTAGGTTATCGGTACGATTTGTGCTATCAATATAATTACTTCTTGAAATACCCCTTTGTTGTCCTGCTTTTACTCTATATGTATTGAACTTACTTCTTCTAAGAGATGATGTATTCGATGCTAATGAATGCGAGTTGCCAACAACTGCAGTAGCAAAAGTGTCATCATCAGCATCTTCTGATTGTTTTTGTTGTTCAGTATTTGACTGATCATTTCTGCCCGTTTCATTTTGGTTGGTTACACTACTTGCTATACTTAATGTACGAGCTAATGTAACTGCATTGTCATCGGTAAGTCCAGCTTTGTTACTATGTTTGACTAGCTCATTGGTGATTTCTTTTAGTGACAACCTCTTTGAATTTGTTGTATTTCTTGTTGATATAATCCTATTATTCGACAAAGCTTTGTCCAGTAATTCCAGATCTTCTGAACTAAACTCTGTATATGACTTTCTTAGTTTTGAAGGTCTTCTTACTATAGAGCCACGCAATCGACCATTTTCGTTGATGTTCTCTTTGTTTGACACCTCTTCCTCTGAGTTGTTCTCAGATTTTTCTTTTCCATCTGTATTTATATCTCGGATTTTATTCAATGTCTCTTTAACCAATTCCAGGTAATTCTCAGGTTTTACGTTTGGATGTTGATTTGCAGGCACCCAAAATAATTTGTCACTAACTGACTGTTCTTCATTTTTAGGCTTTTTCAAATTGGAGAGGCTTCGCGATCCTCTTAAAGTTCTTTCTTTTATAGATATATCTGAATTGCTATTGGCATGATAATTTAAATTAAGTGATCGAGTTCTAGCAACACCTTTCGGACTCTCATTTGAACTCTCTTGTGTGTTATCATATGAGGTCAGATATTCTACCCTTGTGCGATCAATGCTTGCTGATGTTTCGTCAGCATCACTTCCATCAATTTCTGTCGTTGTGTCATCTTCTTCAGTAAATGATCCATTGCTCAAATCTGCATCATATGACGTGTCTTCGCGTTCGGTTCCTGTTACTGTAACATTTAATTCTGGGTCTGTAATCAAATCTATCGATCCAATAGAGAGTCTTTTTAGATTTTTAACATTTTGAACCTCCTGATCCAAAGATTGAGCAGCTCTAAGGTATTCAGAACTAACTCCGTCTGTTTTTTGTACTCTCGATCGCCTTTTCGGTACCTCCAACCTACTCATCACCAAGTTTTTATGTTATAATAGTTTTATAGTTCCGTCTTTATTAACAAACTCTCAATTGTTCTTGTTCTTTAATTATTTATTCTACTGATGATATCGATTTCTTATTATTTGTAACCTTACCACACTTTTTTTTTATAGCTTTATTGTTGTTTATCTCCCACCTTTGTATCTAATTAGTTTTGATCCCCATCAAATCTATTTTAGATATCACCACCTGATATGCTTATTTATTTCCCACAACAAGATGACGAGAATATTATATTCAATACCATCGAACGTATATTTTATATGAGCGAAATACTCATCTCAAATTGGTTCTTGTTAACAAAATGATCGGAATTCTTGGCTCAAAAGAGAAACATCGAGAAAACACAATTAACGAAACAGATCAAGAAACTTCGATGCTCACGAAAAAAAAAAAAAAAAAAGGAATCTAAACTAAAATTAAACAAGAAGATCAAGAAAAAAGCTCGAAGGGCAATTCTAAATAAGAGAAAGTACCGTACGTCTTTCTCCTATTCTATATTATTTAGTTTTCCCCGTCCCCCAGATTCAGCAATCTGATTATTGTGATTTTCTGTGCTTCAAATTAAGGAAAAGAGGACAGCGTAATAATAGGGTAACCAATAAAATAACACCAAAAAATTGTCCTACTTGTCATACACGTAAAAAAAATAAGACGGCAACTTTCATTATAAAAGTTAATAGGTAAAATCAATTCAAGTATTTTTTTTTCAGTTTTCTTTAAGCGTATCAGCTCTTCTTCGGGCCCTGTTGTGTGACAAGAACAACTCTAATCCCCCTACCCCTTCCCCTCTTACTCTTCCTTCTAAGGTGGATGTACACATGTAAAAAGAACGATGGACAAAAATTCAAAAATGAGACCACAACAATAACAAAAAATCTAAAAAAAAAAAACAAAAATAAAAAACATCAGAAAAAAACAATTAACGCGTAAGAAGATAGAGCATAAATTTTGATTAGCCAACAAACAGTTTGTCCAAGTGGTTATGCAAATCCTACTCACACATAACGTATGATATGACCCCGAGTTCCTTCAAAAAAATTTCTTTTAAAAAGTCTTGGCACATGGTATTCGTTAACCATTATATAATTTGAGTCTCAGCAGAAATGAAAATTTCAAACATTTTCGTCTAAAAAAGGGTCCCCGAGATCTCAAAGAAAAACTGAAAATTAGCCGCCGATCAGTACATCGTCTTGCAGGGGGGAAACTGGTAAATAGCCGCCGAGTGTGATCACATTAAAACAAAAAACAAAAATCAAGCATATATCGATATCAGGCAATTAAAGGCAACAAAAAATAAAGTATTCCACGATCAACAAAAACATCGAGGCAATTAGCGACAGATTGAAAGTTAGTAAGAATTGAAAAGTAAAGTCTTGAAGGCAGGAAAACTCAAACAAAGGGGAAATGGTAATATGACAATAAACTCTAAGTAATTATTTCAGTTCTATACTTTTGTGTTGTCTTTTATGCATTTGAATAAAAGAGTCAGCAAAATGATTCAAAACTAGCTAACTTCTTAAAACTCATAGAAATCACAACCGAATTAGTGTGTACATACCAATTCTATATGATGACACTCACAAAATGTTACTAGCTGTTATAATGCAAAGAGATCAGAAACAATAAGTTTTCTTGGTAGATAATTTCAAAGCTTCGATGCTTATATACTTTTCGAATCCGGCAAATTCTGAATTGATGGAGTCCGCGGGCGAGAGTTGAAAGAGAGAGCTCCACACGAAAATATTGGCAAAAACGAGGGAAAAACGAAGGGAAGGTGAAATTGTCGATGAGTGAGAACATGAGCGAAGCATTGTAAGAGCGAGAGATAACGAAGGGAGTTGCGTTTAAGTTATGGGGAGCATTGAGAAGTGGAGGGTTTTAGTCTTCAACATGCTATCGATTTCTACATTGTTAGATTTAGCATCAAAACTACAAATTATTTTGTAATTGAACCACCGGGTAGAGTGTTAATATGTTTTTGACTAGACGTTCGGCAATTGCAGCCAGACGGTTGACTTCAAATATCAAGCTATGTGCATGGAATTCGACTCAGAGTAATAATACTACCCATTTTGGATCTAAAACTGTTCCAGTTGAAGAGAAAGAGAAATTGGTCGGGGATGTTTTCAGTTCGGTAGCTTCGAAATACGATTTGATGAATGATGTGATGTCGCTTGGTATCCATAGATGCTGGAAGGATCACTTTATTCATAAGCTAGATGCAGGCAAACGTCCCAACTCTACTGAACCTCTAAACTTTATAGATGTGGCTGGTGGCTCCGGTGATATTGCCTTTGGTCTTCTTGATTACGCTGAAGAGAAATTCCACGACACAGAGTCCACCATGGATGTCGTTGATATCAACCCTGATATGTTGAAAGAGGGAGAGAAGCGTGCTATGGAAAACAAAAAATACTATAACGATCCAAGGGTTAATTTCATGGTACAAAATGGTGAAGTCTTGGATAAGATTCCTTCAGACTCAAAGGACGTGTACACCATTTCCTTCGGTATTAGAAATTTCACAAACATCCAAGCGGGTTTAAATGCCGCTTATAGAGTTTTAAAGCCAGGTGGTATTTTCTACTGTTTAGAATTCTCAAAGATTGAAAATCCAGTAATGGACCTGGCTTACCAACAATGGGCAAAGTTGCTGCCTGTTATGGGATCCATAGTTGCAAATGATTATAACTCATATGAGTACCTGGTGGAGTCTATCGAAAGATTCCCTGATCAAGAGACTTTCAAATCAATGATAGAGAAGGCTGGATTCAAATCCGTTGGATATGAAAGTTTGACTTTTGGGGTATGTGCTATTCATTGGGGTGTTAAGGTCTAAGATATTCTCCTGAAATTGCCAAGCATAATAACTTGGTAGACTTAGCCAATATAATTTATATTTCAAAAAACAAACTACTGTATATAGACAATAAGCTCTGATATTTTATTATAAGAATATTTAATATGTTTTCTTTTGATGAATAGTTTTATAGTACAAAATTATTCTATAATCTATATGTACTATATAATGCACGTTTCTATTATGTAATCGTAATATTATTATATGGTATTCGTAATGCTGATCTATATAACACAGATTCAAGTGGTTATCCTTTTAACTGAAACAGGAATATCTAATGTAGCTGTTCCGATATGGTGGTCAAATTTTATGCACACCCTCACAACATAAAACCTGGTGCATAGACAACTCTCAAAATTCGGAGGAAGAGTTTCTTTCATATGTGGATCTAAAGAGAGGTGAACATTAACATCTCTTTCAAAGGTAAATTTACCGGTGCTTCTCCAACCACTTGCTGAAGTTTCGCTTTTGGTTGGCTTAGGTGAATTATTTGCATCAATTATTTCAGAAGGAGAACTAGCATTGTTTCCTATAGTCTCACTGCTGGACAACGAAAAGTTGAAGTAAGAGTCATTTGAACTGGTGGACTTTGTAAAAAAGGATTGCTTTCTGAAAACTTGGTGAAGTTCAGTTACATCAACATGTAATTCCATCAAACTCTCTACATCGTTATGAAGATTCGTAGGGATGAAATCAGTAAATTTCAATCCTCTATTGGTTTGTGATAACATTGAGTTTCCATGATAAAGGATGTTAAGTTTTTCCTCGTTTTCTTCGAATAATGCTTTGTATTCGGTTATCTTCTTGTTGTAATCTGTGAAAGTTTTCTTTAAGGTGGTGACATTCTCTTCGTTGTATAATAGCTTTGAACTTAACTGAATAGGAATGGAATTATCAGAGCTAGCTGTTATGCAGATCAAAGAAGTTGTAATGATTTGAATACCAGGTGGTTGATGAATTGGCCCATTATTCGACACAAAGCATTTTAGTTTAACATTGACATTCTCTAAAGGAGTTTTTTCCTCCTCAGATAACAAGTCGATTAGTCTGACCCAGTTCTCTTGATCATGCTTATTCTTCGATTCAAATGTATTCGTTTTTCTAAATAATGAAGGAGACCAATACTTAACTGCCTTTGTGGGGATAGTTGTACTCAGTGTGATTAGTCCAGTTTTATCCGAGTGTTTCAAGTGTTTTTTCAAATGAGAAGAGGAGCCATCTAAGATTTTGCCAGTTTCAGAGTTACTTGAAGATGAACTCGATTTCAAGGAACTCATCGACGATGAACTTTTAAAACCAGAAAATAAACTGTTGGCTATGTTGGTACCAGAATTCAACTTCCTGGACTTGATTTGATATCTGAGTTCTGATTCTACTAGGTTATCGGGCTGACTCATCCTTTTCAGCCCAGACCAACTGTCACTTTCTTCGATACGGTTTCTTACATGAAGTTGGTTGAGTTTTCTTTCTAAGTGTTCTCGTACATCTAGGTCTGTCTCTGAGTCTATTGTTCCGCTAATATCAGTACCATAAATATCAGCATTTTGTATTGGTTCGTTCTTTTTTAGTCTTTCAAATACTCTTTCTAATGCAGCAATTCTTTCATTGAGAAGTCTCTTTAATTCTTTTAATTGTGACTTACTTCTTAAATTCGATTGCACTGGTGATGGTGTGTTGAATCCGAATGGTACAACTCTCAAATTATACTCTCTTTCTCTCATGATGTTTAGCTTTGATGTTTTCTTCTCTTTACCGACTATTTTAGCATCAATAGTATAATTTATTGACAAGTTTTCATCGGTTATGTCATTAGTAAGAATTGGTGAACCCTTTGTACCCAAATGGCCACACCCCAAAACATTATTAACTTTAATGATTGAATATTTCCCGTTATCCTTCCATTTGTCGATACCCAAACTAGGTGGCAGAGAACAATGAGGAAATATTTCTTGTCTACATGTGACATCTAACAGTTGATCTGGAATTTTAAACATGAAATATTTCTTGTATTTTGTCTTAGGTAAAAAAGTTCTGCTATTGCTTAACCCTAAAATAGAATCATCAAAGTCAACATCTCCCGGTACATATTCGATCCCAGAACTTACTTGCATACTGGAATAAGACCAGCTTGCACTCATGTCAACCATTCTCAAAAATCTTTTGATTGTTCTCTTACCCTTCTGTTTATCTACTATAGAAATGTAGGCTTCCAATGTTACATAAAACATTTCAAATTTTAATGGTTGTGTTGATCTGTTTTCGATAACACAGTAGCCATGAATAATGTCACCAGAAGTAAATTCCTTCAGGACAGATTCTTCCTCTGGTTTTTCATGCGGTTTTGGCACATGCTTAGTTATCCGTATGTCGATTTCCAAGGGAGTCGAAAATTTTGGTAAGGAGTATAACTTGTCTATTGCTATATTATCGGCGTCATTAACATCGTCTTCTATGTTGGTGTTGTCATTAACAGCTGTGCTCCCGCTTACTGTCGGGTGCAATGGGTTGTTCTGATTGGGATTAAGTGAATAATGTCTAGTAGAATAAGGTTGTAAAGAGCTTCCACCAAATATACCAGATGTTGTAGGTAGAAGAGTATTGCTGGAACTATTGCGGAAGTTGCCATGTATACTAGTCTGACTTCCATTCATTCTTAAAGGGCTTTCTACATTTAGTTCTGAACCAGATTGTGACGAAGAACTACCTTGCAATGCAGGCAATCTTTGTGTTTGAACTTCCTGATAAGTAGGTGGGAAATCATGAATGTCGGGGTCTACATTGCCTTGAGGGATGTGTTTATGTAGCACATTGTAGAATTCAAAAGAAGGCAGTACATCGATTATCATATTCGGATCCTTGCTATCAGTATTCATCTGGTTTAACTCTGTGCTTGATTTTGCAACGCATAATGCATCAAGGTCATTGGGATTTGGTGTGTTGTAGACATTAATCTCTTTGATATGCTTCCTACGCATATTAGCAATATTGGTAGTCGAGGCCCGCCTCCTTTCCTGTTCTTCAGATAGTCTAGCATTTCCTAGCTCAGTTTCGTGGTGATGTGCTCTTGGTGGGGATAATGGAAACTTAACATGATTACTACTCTCATTTTCCGCTCTGTTTGACCTGTTTGAAGTGTTTATGCTACTATCAGTAGACAGTGTAAACAATGGAGGTCTTCTTCTCCTTCCTGGTTTCTCCGGTGATTGCATTCTAGTTCTGTGTATTTTGGATCGGTCCTTGTTGTATGATTGTTTTTATCTGGTAGTAGATGGTTGTTGCAGTAGGGCCGTGGAAAAGACAGTGTTATAGTGCAGTACTCTAGAATATACGAGTATATATTCTTCTTTTCGTAAAGCCTGCAATGACAATCACTAAAGCTCTCTGGATCACAGGTTATCTAGCTCTCTTGTAGTTCCCTCTTGCCGTAACGTAAGTGTTAGATCAAATCAAATAACTATAGTTTCCTAACCTAATATAACTTACAAATCTAACTATGTTCTGGCAGAATAACAAATCCCACAAGAGCAGTCTTATCAAGATGGCTAACATAATCACACTTTACTCATCGTAGTTTTTACTCGAGAAATCGCTGAAGCTGAAAATTCCCCCAGCCTAGAACTGCAGGAAACTTAAGACCTAACACCACAACCATAAAATTTTCAGAATTTCATTTGATTTTTTGTTTTCATTTTGAGAGAAAATTTCAATTTCTATTTTAAAGATTCTTCGGAATCGGCACTTGCTTCCGATACCGGGATCGGGTTTTGGGTTTCATCTGAGAAGTCGAAAAGATTCAGATCCACGAAACCTCCGCAGAGGAGTAAAAATTTGATCCGAAAACTGGTACACTGTATCTTGCATGTTGTCCATATTTGTATGCAGTTACACACTGAATGGAATGTAATCGTTTATATACTTAGAGACATAGATGCGTATGCTGGAGGGAAGGGGGGGGATGGCGATAGAACAGTATTCATACCTTTATACTTTGTTCTCCATATCAAGTTTTTTTTTGATCTATATACTTTTTGGTGAATATCTTGTTTTTATCCCCAGCCCTTTCAAAGTGTTATTCCCAGAAAGCTTACAGACAAAAAAAAAAATTGGGTACCAAATAAATTTTTGGAATGCTTGTAGAAGATATATGCTTGCTTGTTCTATAGTTTCAGTTGTTAAATCAAGTAGCTTCCTCTGGCTATTGTATGCAATTGTCGTATATCCTTTTGGTCGCTTCTTGATAGTGATGGAAGGGAAGTAATTGAGTTCCATGCTGCTTTGAATTCATTCTCATCCAGCATAGACTGTGAAACACGTTCGACAACCCAGTTGTTCTCCTTTTGTCGCTTGTGTCTCTCTCTATCGTTCTCCATTCTGTGTAGTATATTGCTCACGTTGTTGTTACTCGTGCTGCTATTGTGTGAGTTCTTTAGGTTGCAAACACCGTTGGTGACAAAGGTTTTGAACACTACATACTTCTTAATCATTCTATCATTCAATAGCTCACGGGTCCACAGTATAGACTGGCTTACGTTCTGCGGCTTATCATCGTTTGCTATCGTTTTCCAGTCTAATTCAGATGTGGGTTGAGTCATCGCCTGTATTACTTCCTCAGAATCCATTGTATATTCAGATAGTGTCATTTCTTCAGGCGACATCTCGAGCTGGTACCCCGGTAGTGTTTTTAATAACCGAAGAAGGTTGTAGTATATATCTGTGCATGATTTCAAGTTGGAGAGTGCCTTCCAATCATCCTTCGGTAGACATATTTCAAATATGCGTGGCATGGACGGTATTAGATGTTCATACACAACAGTAGCTTGAAGACTGCTGGTGTCTAGTTTGCGTTTCTTCATCTCTGCGACAAGCGCTAATATAATTTGGTAGTAGAATATCACAATATTCAGTCTATGCAATGGGTCCATCTTTAAACCTGTGTCAAAAAGACACTGGTGGAAGTCCTCATAGTGATGTGCATAATGCTTCAAGTAAAATTGTAGTGGATCTGACATTGACTTCGATACTTGCGTGCCAATTGTGGTATCGTCCAGTTCCTGTATATTAGAATAACTACCACTATGCGATACAGAGTTCGCCCCACTGGATTGACCTGACCCTAGACCTATTCCCAAGGTTCCATCTGTATCTTCCTTTGAAACGTTTAGACTTTTCTGTAAGTTCTTAATAACTTGGATAAACTGCAAACGTGCTTCAAATGAATCCATTATCTTATTTATTGTTCGTCTTCGCTGAACTTTTTGAAGCAGTCCCTATTTCTCTCACAATAAGCTTATTATTTCACAGCAACAATATGCAGCACTTAAACTAGTATTGCCTAAATATAATTTTTGCAGTTATACGGTTCGAAAGGCATACTGGCAGTATTATTTAATTGCCCCATCGCTAGCAGAAGTGGCTCTTTAAACAGTTTTCACTTAATAAAAATGAAAAGTAAAATGCCAAAACACTTTACCCGGCTATCGTGTCTGTAAAAAACTACATTTACAAGAAGGATGGAAAAAAGAGCTAACAATTCCGATGAGCTTCAAAAATTGCTAAGTTAAAAAAATAAATTCATTAGTCGGGTACCATCTGTTAGATTAACAAAGATTTCTAGAAGTACTCACCTTTCGAGGACACAATTGTGGAATATCATATTATTCTTATTAACTGTGGGTACGCTGTGCTTCAGCTTTAAAGTCAAGGTCCAAATAGGAAAGAAAAACGGCACCAGAAACAGAGATAGAGCTGTAATAAGGGAACCTTTAGCAAACATACGATTTAGTACTTCAGAGGACCAGTAAGTTGGTGATTTTGTCTGGTATTGAAATTTGTACTAAAGACATTTGATAAATCTTTTGCATAAACCATATAGTGAAAAAATAAACTCAATATGTCAGGGATTATGTTAACTGAACTAAACCTAGTTGAAGTACTACAGCAGGCTAGTGACATGCAGCATATGGGTACCGAAAGACAGAGGATGGCCGAATCACAATTGAAGGCATGGGAAACCCAGCCTGGCTTCCACTTTCTTTTGCAATCAATATACTTGGACTTATCAAATGGCTTGCATGTACGGTGGCTAGCTGTTATACAGTTTAAAAATGGTGTTGAGAAGTATTGGAGGGCGACAAGAATTAATAGCATCGGAAAGGATGAAAAGGCGTCTATTAGGAAAAGATTATTTGATGTGGTGGATGAGCAGAATAATCAACTCTGTATCCAAAATGCACAAGCAACAGCTCGTATTTCTCGTATTGATTTCCCTGTAGAATGGCCAAATCTTTTTGAGTCAATCGAGCAACTGCTTAACATTAACCACAGGAAAGAAATTCAAACACATAATATATTGATGCACTTGAATCAGATAATCAAAATCTTGGGAAGTGCCCGTATTGGAAGGTGCAGACCAGCAATGCAAAGTAAAATACCTTTGATATTTTCACTAGTTGTTCGTATTTATTTGGAGTCATTCGATGAATGGACGCATTCTAACGTTGCTGACGGAGACATTCTATCTAAATTACAGATCTCATACTTGGCTTTAAAAGTATTAAGAAGAATGGTTTCTGATGGTTATGAATACCCACAAAGAGATGAAACTGTTTGTGAATTTATGAAACTTTCAATTACCCATTTCGATGTTCTCATTGCTAACCATGAAAATTTCAAAAAGTTTGATCTTTACGAGAAGTTTATCAAATGCTTTGGAAAGCTGTATTTTAACTTAGTTACCGCATCGCCTGCTAATTTTATCTTGATACCAAGTTCATCACAAATTTTAATTTCCTACACCAGTTTCCTACTTAACAAAGCTCAGTTTGTATACCAAGAAAATCCGGATGTAACAGGAGATTTCTGGGAACAAGTTGCTATTAGGGGCATTATGATAATAAAAAGAGTTATCAATTTTGTATCTAAAAAGGGTGCTGTCACTATTAAAGCCAGGAGTGATAAACCCAACATTGATGCAGCAATCACTAAGATTAACAATGAGTATTTAAATGAAAATCTTATTAAAAAGATGGTGGACACATTGATGGAGTGGTATTTGAAGTTGAGAGCTACTGAATTAGACAACTGGTTTATGGATCCGGAAGAATGGATAAACGAGCAGATGGCTTCGAGTTACGAATATCAAATAAGGCCTTGCGCAGAAAACTTCTTTCAAGATTTAATCAATACATTTCCTGAATTGTTGGCTTCCTATCTCTTAAATAAGATTGAAACATCAGCCAGTACATTATCCGATTCTTTGGAGGACTTCTTAAGGAAGGACGCCATCTATGCCGCTTTCCAATTAAGTGCATCTGCAGTTAGTGAAATGGTTGACTTCGACAGACTTTTGCCTACAGTCTTCTTGCCAGAAGCGGCCGGATCTAACACACCAGGAGAAAGATTAAAAATTATTAGAAGGAGAGTTGCATTAATTATCAATGAATGGTCGATAGTGAAATGTTCTGAAGAAAGTAAGAATCTGTGCTACAAATTTTTCGCTGAAATGTTGGCTACGGAAGAGGACAAAGTTGTATTACTTACTGTAGTACAATCGCTAAGGACCATGCTGGATGATTGGAATTTTAATAAAGATAACTTTGAACCATATTTAAATTCAGTTGCTTCTTTGTTATTAAGAAAAATTTTACCATCAGTTTCCTTGACAGAAACTAGGCTTTACGTTTTGAATACAATGAGTGATTTAATTATACAAACAAAATCTCTCATAGGCCAAGATATGCTGATTGAAATTCTTCAAATCGTGCCTAACCTTTGGAACGTAGCCACCAATGAAACCACAGAGTCGATCTTGTGCAATTCCCTGCTGAGATTGTTAAGACATTTGGCTACCTCGTTAGGAGCATTTTCCTATATGACGTGGGAAATCTCAATACCAATTGTTATGACATCCTGTAATCCGTCATCCAAAGATTACCAACTATTGAACGAAGATGGTTTTGAACTATGGAGTGTGCTGTTACAGAATTATTCTCCTGAAAAACAGCAACTGGATACAAGATTTACAGAGTTTTTGCCTTATGTTAGTTCAGCAGTTGAGTGTCATACCGAAATACTACCTACCCTTTTAGAAATTATCAAGAGTTATGCATTGCTTTTGGAACCATCTCAATTTTTTGCACATCCATCAGTTGCAGAAGTTTTCAGAAAGCTATCTCAGTACCTATTAAAGTTAAGAGAAGACTCCTTCCAATTGGTTCTCGAAATTTGGGAAATTTTAACCCTTTGTAATGAGTCTAACAATGAATCATTATTGATAGAAAATTTTTACAGTAATGGTATATTTATTGCCCTATTTGATGCAGTACTTCTTGAGGAAGCATTATCAAGTTATCAATGCTTGCAAGTTCTTCAAGTAATTTCCAGAATCACATACGTTAACCCTAGTGCTGTAATGAATTTCTTGACAAGCTATCATTCTAATTTGCCCTTGATGGAACAAAATATGCAATTGCCGGTGACTGAAAGAAAACTGGTTTCCAGTGATATGAGTTATGACGACGTTGTACGTAAGTTTATTTCTGTATGGGTCGTCTGTTTTAAGGATGTATACGACCCAAAACAGAAAAAGGTTCATATTCTGGGCTTATCAAGTCTTTTAAGAACTGGGTTAGTGTCAGTAATTGGCGAATTTCCAGCGATTGCATCAATCTGGATTGAAATGCTAGAAGAAATAAAGGAGACAAATGATGGCGATTGTGAAAAGTATCATTTGAACGATATCGTCACAGAGCAATCTCTAGAATTTTATCCTATCAGTTGTGAACAGTTAAGATATCATCAACTAGTCAAGAATAATGACCCCACACATAACATAAGCCTCAGAGATTTCATCTCTCAAACGATGCAATTCTTAGAAACACAAATGGGTTCCCAAGAATATCAAGCATTCTTAAACTCAAATAATCCCACACTTCTCGAAAATCTACAACTATTCTTGAGCATTCAACAACAGTAGCTTAAGCCAGCATAATATCGTGGATATATTTTTAATTATATATACATATATTGCATTTCGACTAAATAAACCTAAATCACAGCCATAAATTCATCAATTTAATAACTGCTCGACATTTGCAGATGGATTGCATTTTAAAAAATATAACTAACAATGCTTTAAAATGGAGTTTGAGCACATTTCTTTGTTATCCAATACATGGTTATTCCAAGCAAGCTGGTCATGTGACCTAGTTTGTTTTCAAAGGAGGACTCACTCACGCGTTTCGCGCCATTAAAAATTGTATGGATAACTCATCACAATAAATAGTGTCAATGTATATTACTTAACTAGCTAATTATATAGTTATAACATTTTAGTGTGGATTTGTTCATAACATTATACAGCCACTCTTCTTCTTAATAAGATTTGCATAAATTAAAAGATGGTGGTTGGTCCTATTTCTAATCTGCGAGATGACGCTCTCAAGGATGATACGTTAAATCATATTCGAAAAGAATACTTAGAGTCAAAGAAACAAATATCAAATCTGCTTTCGCAGGAGACAAATACAAATGAATTTTCTAGAAAACCTTACCCAAATAGCTCTCCAATTCGGAAATTTGATCATTTTGCTAATGAGCGCCCAACAACCATTGATGCAAAACTTCGAGAGCAGTTACGAACTGGGGCTTCCGATGTAGCTATAGAACAAAGTTTACGTACAAATTCTGATGAATCCAGGAATCAAATGATATATGATGATATGAAGGTCATGAAGAGAATAATTGACGGGCAACAAGAGAGCATAAGAGAATTGAGAAGGGCGTTAGAGCAAGAAAGATATATGAACTCAGAGTTACAAAGAAAATATAATGAGATGGAGAGGAGATTTGATAGGTTAGAGTGGTTTATTAATAGTCACGATAAATTCCAAGCATATCAGGACATCAGATCAAATACCACTAAGAAGGATTTCTCGGATCCGATATTTAACAATGGTTTAAAAAGACGATGGGATGAATATCCTATAAGGTCATTTGAACCAGACACGAATATTAATCGAAACAATAGAATTTTCTCCAATTATGATGATAGCACTACAAGATTAATGCAAATAACGGATCCACATTACAGAAGTGTTGGTTAATTTATTTGTAACGAATTAAATTATAAATAGTGAATTTGTGCGCATAATATTGATTGCATCAATTTATTTACTTCCGGTTGAATTTCAATTGAAATTTGTATTTGAGATTGCTATTTTTCTCGTTCGATACTGCAAACACAACGGAACGGGAAGTTCTTCCATTTTTTGGTGCACTTTCAGCGCCCCACTCAAAAGATCCTGAATAGCCCAAGATACCCTTTTCTTCATTGTAATCAAACTGGGTTGCATAATCTGGCGATCTACTAGAGCAGTCCAGCTGGGACTTATCATTGTGAACTGTACAATAACCCATTCTGGATTTCAATAAATAGTTACCGTATTTTGATTCTATCAATTCAAAATTTGCGGGTGTGCCTCTTTTCATCCACCTCCCTGTCTTTATCAAAAAGCCACCATATTGGCTTATCCTAATTGTCCCCCTTGATATCGGTTTTTTGTTGGGGCCTCTGTTATCTCTCCGTTGATAGCCCTTTGGATAATATTTTATGCCTTGGTCTTTGCACCTTGACATTGATCTCAAAGGATCTAAAGGAATGAAATCTTCATTTAATATTGAGCCATTGAGTTGATGATAGTACCAGACCTCTGTTAATGCATTTTGGGAATTGCAATTGATGTGAGCTTGCGTACCTTGGAACTCCGAACTCAAAGCAGATAGAATTTCTGATTTAGTGTAACTAGTGTCATTACTAGGTGTAATATTATGTTTTGCAAGCATTTCATAAGTATTTAACTTCTGAAATAGATCATACGATATACGGAAGTAATCATATACTGCTTTTTTTTTGTAGTACTTGGGACCCTTTTGACTTGTAGTAGGATTCCATCTGCTATAGCATTGTGGTTGGAGAGTACTTAGGCAAGTGCCGTGCTTATTATATTCATGAATCCATAGTGATTCATGGTTTCCATTATTACTCTTCCAGTATTTGTTCAAATTGTTAAGTAGTTCTTCTCCTTGTATAGGTAAAGTATCGTCATTGTTGAAGGCATCTGATTTGAGAAGGTAGTCTACATCATCAATAAACAGGTCTCTTTTACAAAATTGGGGGTATCCGCCCATACAGTCATCTGGCCAGAGTCCATGAATTGTAAAAGAATCAACAGGACCCAGTTCTTCTTCAAGTTCTGTTCTATTCAAATTAGGTTTTGATGGTGCATAGTTCCAGAACTGAGTCATAAGTAAAATTCCTCCAGGATACTCAAAACAGCATAGATCAGATATTGCTGTTTCATTTCCACAAGATAGTGGTAGATTGATTGGACAGCTAGGAGAGCCATCTTGGTAAGAGTGTTGCAACCCTGTTTGAAGTCCTTGAAAGGCTTTCAAGACACTTGCTAAAATCATGAAAACTGTACAATTTCAGAAAGAACAAAAGCTCAGTCACAGTTGTTATTGTAAATTATATGATATTCGATAAGTATCTAATATTGATGCCGTTTATATATGCTAGATATTTGAGCGATCAGCCAGGTCACTCTTGTGATTGGAATGAATGCAATATTTTTAAGGGTTCCACAACTGGTTAAGATGGTAAACACTTGAGCCGGGTAATATTTTAGGCAGTCGTTAGTGCAAATAGATGTGCAAGTAGACCGTCTCAATAACAGCTTTATCTGACTCTGAATGTAATGGTATTTAATAGTAAACAATTAATGCAGTAGGTTCTACCGTTGCTCGGTTTATTCTTCCTTCTTTTTGATTTTCCTTTTTGCATACTCTAGAACTTGAGCATTACCCTCTCTAGAAACAAATAGTTTTCTCTTCCTATCATCTTTCCATAGTAGAGCGCCAATATCCTGTGCATATTTACAGAGCATATTGAAATCTTGTGCTGTATCAAAGTCAATGTATAGAGAACCTTCATACGTTAACACTCTATCTAATTCTAGTTGCCATAATTTAATTTGATCGACGACGGTTGGGGGTAGCACTTGCAAGGGATCTTTACAGTTGGGATCTAGTTCTAATTTCTTTTGCAGTTTTTCCTCAGCTAATCTTCTCATCTGAGGATGCGCATGAGATTCTAAATAAGCAATTACCTGATCAGCAGTGATACCATTGATTAAAGCTCTTCTGATAGATTCTCTTGTAATTTGACCAGCCACCATATTAGCAAATCTAGATTTCAAATGCACAAATAAACTTAGAATAGCTATCTGTAAGGGTGAGTTGCAGTATGAGTATAGTTTGAAGTTGGTTTCAATAATCAGAGCACCATCTTGTATATCCTCAGCTTTACCTTCCAATGAATCATATTTGTCATCCGTTGATTTTGCCGCATCGTCAGGTTTGTTTAGAACACTCTCCATAGCACCAGATGCTGTTCTCATGCTCTTAGTATCTGACGTCAACATTTGTGCCAACCGTGTCGGATAGAATATATTAGGATTACTTGTTTTTTGAAACACTAGACCATAATCTCTCATATCGAGAAGCATTTTTAATTGAGTTTCGCTGAGGTTTTCTGTGCTATATGCCTTTCCAGTCTCTAAAGCACCTAGCATAAAGATAAAGTTCAAGACATGAACTGGGTCCATATGCAATGATTCGGCTAGTTTCAGATACTGTAAAAGTAATGACCAGATTTGTGAGTTAACTTCCTGTAGAAGGAATTGAAAACCTTCATTAGTAATCATAAACTCAGAGGAGTCGGGAACTTCTTCCATTAATTTGCTATGTTTTAATAGATTAAGAACATTTTCCGATGGCATTTTTGCCATTGGAGTACCGACCATAAAATGTAAAATTGTCTCCCATTTCGTTGCTGCATATTCATCTAGGACAGCTAAGTTTACCACGGTGTCGAGTCTATCTTCATCAACTACAATACCAAATGAGTTGTTCACTTCACCACCTGTTAACGCATTTCTGAAACTTTCTCTAAATGTTGGATTCAAGTTGATTAAAAGTTGCCCATTTACCCTTGTCGGTATCAGCAAATGTAAAGATTTCATTGACTTGATAGCCTCTTGAAATTGTAGCTTGCCGTTCGATTTAACCCAACGATCCAGGTCACGTAATGATATATCTTTATCATTGAATATAACTGTCATTATGAAAAACTTTGCCAGTGTCGGCAGAAGTCTGTAAATAGCCAAGCATGTAGCCGGGGATTTATACAGTCTTGTTTGCACTTGGCTTGGTATCTCTTCCAAGTACTGTGTAATCGAGTGCTTGAGACCACTGAAACTCATTCTTAATCACTCTTATTGAAAAATATAGCAATGTTCTAGTTAGTAATATTATCTTATTTGACAAGTGGTGAAATAAACTTTTATGCTATGTATTATAATATTGATCTTGATCTTTTTATTTTTTTTTTTTCAGGGTTCACATAGCCGGTGCACTAAATTTTCAAAGATGTTACCGAGCGATTCGGTTTTTTCAGTATAAAAACTAGATGCTAATAGAAAGATGTTCACTATGCTATGGATCGAGTTTCATAAATGTCAGCCATATATCTAAACAATCATTTTTATCAATGAGGAAATATTAGTTTATAGTCAATTTTCAGCAACTTCGTCAATTCTTGAAGAGTGAAAACGTCGTCTACATTTTCATATTCCTTTTCAATTTCTTTTGCTTTTTGTAATTTTAATTTTTCCAAATCATATCTTCTAGAATTTATTTGATCCTTATATTCTTCTTGTTGCTCTTCACTCAGTCTTTCAAATTCATCTGATTCAAGAAAACTTCCCATCTCCTCTTCAAATCTGGTATATTCATCTTCGATCTCTAGTAATTTATTCTCCAGTTCCCTTTCCATGTATTTTTTGAATCCACCCATTTTATCGATCTTTAGTACTGTTGAATATTGCATATATGATAAAGTCTTCTGGGACACTTCACGCCATTTCTCTATTAGCGACATCAAATGTTCAAGCTTCTTTTCTTCTATTATTTTAATAGCCTGTTTTAGTTCTCGGATATCTTTCTCTTCATCGCGAATTTTCCTTCTGTACTCACTTAAAATTAGCCTGTGTCTCTTTATGTTTTCATTCCTTGGTTTTAAGACCTTGCCATTGTTAACTGTTTTAACCGAAGGTTTTTCTCCAGGCTGGGATGCTGATTCTAACAGTGTAGTGTCATCGCCAATAAATGTATCCTCCATAATACACTACAATACCCAGAAAACAAATGCCAAATAAGCTGGATCTAACGAATCTGTTTACTTATTCAGTTAGTTATTCACTGATTATTAATGAGCAATGCCTTGGAGAATTAACACAAGGAAAAACCTGGCCTTCAGTTAATATATACCAACGGTAATCCAGTATTAAGTCTAAATTTAAAAAAAAAGGCAAAATACCACAAAACTGTAACACTCTGGGTATAATTGGATAATTTAGCCGCCGAAACCGGATATCGTCGCTAGAGAAACCAGGATTTCCCGACTTTAGCCAACTTGAAGAAGTGGGCTCTAAACTTTTCGTAGATTGTGATCTCCTTGTTTTTGGATTATGACTTTTGTAAATGAAGTCTACTATGTTTGTACATCTGCATCGATACTATGTAGCGATGCGTTGCTAGAAAAGATGGGCGATTATATGTGTATATGACGAAGAAGCGCTATATGTGTGTTTAGTTTTGGTTTAGTAGATGAGTATGGTTGTTCATTAAGTACAAGGAACTAGGGTTATTGATTTTAATTTGATAGAAAAGTTGGTTTGAGGTGTATTAAAGTGTGAACTAAGTTTTATTTTTGTGTTATAATTGTTACGAGATAGTCATAAGATAATGAATGACTTGCAGTTTGATAGTTTGAAAGTTTTCAAGTGCCAGAATTGTCACTTGCCTTTGCAGGTGGATCCCACCATGCTGCATCTTAGCAAATCGCAACGTGAGTTGCTGCTACCCAGGGAGGATAGGCGACCTGGTGTAGAAGAGTTTAATTTACGTCAAGAAAGTCAGGACATGTTGAAGAAAGTTAAAACCGGCAAAGAGGCGAAACAGTTACTGAAAGAAGACTTTCAGAGTTCTGATTTTCTGTTTCTGAGAGATATTGATGATAGCATCGCGGAGAAGGATCTTAAAAAGGGTCTTGAAGGAGATAATGATGATCGGAAGAGCAATGAAGATTCTATGGTGTCGGAATTGGACGTTGAGGACACCGCTAAGACATTATCAACGCAGATCGAAAGGCTTAGCAAACTGTTCGAGATAATGTCTACGTCTGAATCGAACATAGACTATCCTATCTGTCAAGAATGTTGCAATATAATGATGAAAAGGCTGAAAACCGACTATGAAAAGGCTGTTAAAGAGCGTGACCTCTACTTTCAATTTGTGAAACGTATAGAGAAACAACAGTTGGATGAATCAGACTCAAGCCAACTATCCCTTAGACAAAAAGAGTATACTGATCAAACAAAAAAGATAAATCAAGAGAGAGAGCGACTATTATTGGAATTGACAAAGAAAGAACAAGTTGAAGAGGAATTAGATGCTGAGATAGCTGAACTTACACGGCAAATATCAGAGAAAAAGGCTAACGAAAGGGCTACTAGAAAAATTGACAATGCAAAGCAATGGGATAAAATGAAACTGTTGAATGATATATCATCCCTACAGTATCAATATGAGACGGAATTAAATAAGTTGGATCAACTAAGGAAAACGAACATATACAATGAAAGTTTTCGAATATCCCATCAAGGTCCGTTTGCGACAATCTGTGGATTAAAATTGGGCAGTTATGAGGACCATAAAGTATCGTATAGTGAAATTAATGCAGCACTAGGACAACTTGTTCTTCTCCTAATGACAATAAGTTCATCGTTAAATATAAAGATTTCAGGTTATAGACTGCAGCCTATAGGTTCTACTTCGAAGGTTTCAAAATTTTTAGCAGATAAAGAGGATTGGGAAACATATGAACTATATTTTTCGTCAAATTTCAGTCTGGAAAAAATCTTTAAAAGAGAGACAGATTTTGATAAAGGAATGGAAAGTTTACTCGACATAGTAAAACAGATATCACTATCATTTTCTACGGTTGTGTCTAGCGATACTGATATAAATATTCAAGATGAGAGAACTAGAAGCAATGATTCCATGTTGAATGGAGGAGCCAATCGAAATGCTAATTTAAGAGCTGATAGGTTATTTACAGAAAGTGAGCTACCTTATATGATAGATGGAGATAGAATAAATGGAATATCTGTCAAACTGTACGGTGCAGAACCCAATCTCGAATGGACCACTGCTATGAAATTCTTATTAACTGACGCCAAATGGCTATTGGTTTTTTGCTCTAGTAAACTCTCACTCCAATGATGTAGCATATAATGGTTTCTAATATTAGATAGACTTTATTTTGGATATTAGTTAAAGAACCAGTACAGTCGTTAATCTTTACTAACAATCATGAACAAAACATAAAAATTATAAAAGGGATTACTAAGATCAAATACACAGCGTAGTGTTCATCAAACTTCTTTCATTTCAGCAAAAGTGTACATACTATATAACTGTTACAACATAAAACTTAGCTATTACCACCACGAGTTTGCAGCTTTGTTAGTAAAACCATCACCAGAAGACGATCCCCAGTTATTACCAAAACCACGATTGTCATTACTTCTAAAACCCCTTCTTGACGACCCTAGACTACCCCAGTCATCTTTATTAGAGTGTCTATAATCTCTTGTATTGGAGCCTCTTCCTCTATTACTTCCAGTTCTAGAATTACGTCCACCTCTACCAAATCTCATGCTATCTTGAACCATATTGACCAAAAACTGAGGGACCTCCTGATTGGCTTCTGTCAACAAATCCATAAGTTCCTTGGCAATATTCATGCTATTTGAGTTGAAAAAGGATGTAGCGACACCGACGTTACCAGCACGTCCAGTTCTACCAATTCTGTGAACATAGTCATCAATATCCGTTGGTAAGTCATAATTTATCACATTAGTAACATTTGGTATATCCAAGCCTCTAGCTGCCACTGCAGTTGCAACAAGTATATTAGCTATACCGTTTCTAAATGCATGTAGGGCTCTTTCACGCTCAGCTTGTGTTCTGTCACCGTGAATTGCTGTTGCTTTAAAATTCTGAACTATCAGAAAATCCGTCAATTGATCTGCCATTCTTTTTGTTTCCACAAAAACCAGAGTCAATCCATCAATTTCATTAATTAATATATCCAGAAGTGCAGAATTCTTATCGTAATCTTCAACAAATAGCACCTTCTGTTGAATGTTTTCCGAGGTAGAGCCAACCCTACCGACTGATAGAAATATGTAGTCTTTCAAAAAATCTCTAGCAAGGTGCTGTATTTCTCTCGGAAATGTAGCAGAGAACATTAACGTCTGTCTGTCATTAACACTAGGCATATCGCAATCCTCTACAATATGCCTAATTTGAGGCTCAAACCCCATATCTAACATCCTATCAGCTTCATCGAGTACTAGATACTTAACATTAACAAGAGAAATTTTACCTCTTTCCAACAAGTCATTCAACCTACCGGGTGTGGCTACCAGTAGGTTACACCCGCGGTCCATGTCTCTCATCTGTTGACCGATTGGAGCTCCACCGTATACTACGTAGGGCTTTACCCACGATCTATAAGTATATTTCTTGGCCTCGTCAAATATTTGTATTGCCAGTTCTCTTGTTGGTGCAAGCACAAGCGCGCTGGGATAGCATTTCCTCATATAAGAGTGTCTAGTGTGCTCTGGGAGCGGCGCTGGCCCATTTAAAAACAACTCTGACAAAACTGGGAACAGAAACCCACCTGTCTTACCAGATCCAGTTTGTGCACAAGCCATTAGATCTCTGTTCTTGGTGACAATTGGGATCGAGTATTTCTGTACCGGAGTAGGCTTTGAGAAATTGGCCAGTTCGACATTTTCAAGCAATAGTTCATCTAGTGGTGGTGACTTGAACTCTGTTATTGCTTCAGGAACATTGTCACCACTGGCCTCTACGGGTATATCATCGTAGTTATCAAAGTTTATACCAGAAGTTACGTGATCCGTTGCATTACCAAACAACTCCATCTCTAACCTTGGATTTTTCGGGTATGGTACATGTTTACCGTTTACCCATCCGTATCTACCACCAGAGCCACCGAACCCACCAGAGCCACTTGCCCTACTTCCTTGACCAGTCCTTCTATCGTTGAACGGCCTAGATCCAAAAAACCCGCCTGAAGACTTATGATTACCTCTATTGGGACTGGAGAAAAATCCGTTGCCACTATACCTAGAGCCGCTTAAACCATCTGCAGCAGCACTTTCATGCGAATTACCACCTCCCCGTCTAATATGTGGGGGCACGTATCTACCTGACCCATCACTCATCTATTTCTTCTGTTCAAAAACTAAACTCACGAAAACAATTCTCACTTCAGTATACTTGTATTGAAGTAAGCACCTAAACAACTGTTAGGCTCATTAAAGTGTCAAAACAGAGATAAGAAGTATACTTCTGACGTAATCTAAGATCTATTTTGACTATTTATACTAGTGGAATGTTGAAACTCTCCCTTATTTTTGTTCGATGCCAACGAACGATCGTTATGCGAAGTTACGATACTGGTGAATGTGAAAGAAAGGATTTTTTGCTCGTGAAGTGCAGGATCCTGCTTTTAGCTTTACATTTCGATTGAGCTATAACTCAAGTAAAGTATTTCGCCATATACCAGTTGGGAGCCATTGCTTGATACTATCTATCGGAGGGGATCACAAAAAAAAAAATTCGACAAAACAAGTAGAATGTCGCTGTCAAATATGCTGCGTGCGTCGCGGCTTGCCCAGGTCTATAAGTCTTCCAAGCCGTTAAGTACAGGATTGAAAATAGCTCCTACCCACCAGGTTATAGAGACTAAACCTGCACTATTGAAGTTCCATGAATGGGGGTTGAAGTCCGCGATTCCATCTAAGGTCAAGACACAGTATTTGATGTATAAGGAGCTCGATACTTTGGAACGTCTCACCGATTTTGAGCCTAGAGGAGGTGCTAATTGGAATAGAATACGTGTCCAGGAGTTTGGATTAAGTCCCCGCTACAATGCAAACACCAAAAATCCGCTATTTAATAAGGAGCATTACGATTTCTCATCCTTAAATGAAGTTTTCACTAAATTCTTCTTCGAGAAACAACAACATGGGTCTATGAAGTATGGCTCTTTGAGCGAATCCAGAAAGTTGTTCATTAAAAATGTCCGCCAAGAATTCAAGGAATGGCTAGTTGCAAAGTACCCAGAAGCTATTTTGAATCAAAGCTTTACGAAACCTGACAACATGCTAACTTATGGTAAGGAATTTTTGCAATCCTACAACAATAGATCGAGTTCAAAACTAAATTCTCCAGATACAATGATTGGTACCGGTGGGCTAACATATGCATTGAAAGGTAGATTAAGGAATTCACCTAATGGTGTCATTCAGAAGCACATTGTACCAGGTAGATTTGTTGCTCCCACCAATGATAACAAGATCGCAGCTATTGGAGGATTTGTCGCAAATGCAGCTTCTTCTGTGATATCTGCTCAACCTCAAAAGTGGGTCTCCAATAGAGACAAGATATATCCATTTGAAGTATCGAACTTGTCCGTTAACAATGGCCAGATTACTTTAGATGCTAAGGGTACGATGCTAAATAAGCCCGAACAGAAACGACTACGCCGCAATCATTACCCAAAACCTCTTTATGGTAACAGGTATTCAACGGGGGAAAGAAAGAGTGATGTGGCTGAATCACTGAAAGCAATTCTCGAGTTCAATAAATCCTAAGAGATAAATATATGCAGATAACATTCACAACTCATGTAAAAAGACGATCAATGGGAAAGGTGCATTTCATATACATAATTAACATTTAGATTCCTATTCAAGTAGTAAATTTCATGTAAGTAATTTTTATAAGTATCACGTTAATTAAATATTTGAAAACCTTCTAATAGTTCTATCTAGATAAAAATATCAAAATATACTAATGATTACTGTGCTTCCATAACGATTAGATGAGAATAAATTAGAGATAATGGATTTGTTGAGAAAATTTTAAGAAATACAGATAACTGAATATATTCATCCTACTGTTCATAACATTCTATGTATTTGAGAATCGTTTTCAACCTTTGACAAGTCCTGTAATTGCTCCCACCATTGGAATAAATAACTATCGCAGATAATTTTGAACCAAGGAGTGAACTTGTATTGTGGGTCGTTAAACATAGCCTTCAATTCATCGGCCGAAACCCAACGGAAATCCCTGACTTCATTTAAGTTTGGTTGTACAGTGAGTTGTTTACCTTCATCGATCTTGTAGAATAGAATGTAATCAATTTCATGCTCACCCCATGGCTCGTTAGAAGGAGCCATATAGTGAATTCTGTTCAAGAAATGGAACTTACCTCTAGTAGCAGTCTCCGCTTCTGGGATACCTAGCTCATGCTCCAACTTTCTGCTTGCTGCAGTCTTGGCACCAAGAACCTTAGCTGGCAAAGAGCCGTTTTCACCGAGTTCGTCATCAACACAAAGTGGATGGGAACAACAAGTGTTGGTCCATAGATCAGGGAATGTAATCTTTTCGGTAGCTCTTTGTTGCAACAATAGTTTACCCTCAGTGTTGAATATAAACACAGAGAAGGCTCTATGCAGAAGACCACGGTTGATGTTGTCCATTAGGTGGCACACTTTTTTGGTTCCGGCACCGATGGCGTTATCTTCCCAGTCTAAGACGATACAGTTCTCATTCATCAATCGTATCTGCTCTTGATCATGTCCTGCAAACACATCATCCTTGCCACGACTGGCGTCTTCGCTTGAGTGTGTATTTGGTCTGCTCTGCAATGGGATAATCTCTGGGAAATTCTCCAAGATAGCAGCCTCATCTAGACCTTCCACTAGCTTCCTGTATTCTGACATTTTTATAAATGCTAAAAGGGAGTTTGCAACAATAAATATCCTTGAGTATTTGACCTTTCGTTTAAATACCCAAAATAGTATAGAAAGGAAGTTGAAAATAACAATGACTACTAGTCAAAAAGGTTTTAAAAAAATACTCTCGAAAATAAAAAGATAATGTGGTTATATCTGTATCGATAGCAACTGGATAGCAATATACAGATATTTAATTTTCTTTTTTGACCTCGAGAATATATATCCCAACAATTGAAATTTGATGAGAAGAGCTCTTATTACCGTAAATTTTCACTAATAGCCAGATACGAAAATTCCGATGACACCGATAAAAAGGAACTGCCGGTGTTATTCAGCTGAGAGCCTTGGACCTGATAATCGACACGGTATAATGAAAGTTGTTGTGAAATGTATTACTACAAAACGAGGTGCTTATAGTCCCACTAACAAACAAGCAACTAGACAATACCGTATCCACTCGATCAAAAATAGGGCCCCGCGGCTCTAAACCTACATAGCAGATAACATAATGCATACAACGTGTCCCCGCCTAATTGAAAGAAACGCATGCTCTTGCATATATCTCTGTATCAGTACCTTCTGTTACAGAGATATATACAGGTTATTGCAACCAGAAAAATATACACCAATATCAGATTACTAAACCACAACCAGTCTACAGCAAGAGACTGAACCAATTGTTTATTTTGTACTCAATTCTGTGGACCCAAACACTTCATAAGATATCTTCAAAGGAAATAAAAAGACAATACAAACCGATACAGTAGACCATACAGTAGACCATACGTAGACTATACCACATAGACAGCCATTATATATCATATCTTGCTACCACATACAAAAGGGCAAAAACCCTAAAAACCCTAAAAAGCCCTAGTAAAAAAACCCTAAACCCTAGGGCATTCTCATTCTCAATCTTTGTCCATTTGTCCTCAAAATCAGGATCCCAATTTGCATTTAAGGTACAAGAAAAACTTGCAATTGCAAACTTGTTAGCAGTGAAAACACGCGGAGGGGTTTGATTTTCGGTTTTTTTGTTGTGAATTTGTCCCGGGACATAAAGGAAGTGACACGCAGAAGTGTCCTTGTTTTTGTATTCCCTAATTGCTGGACTTCCCATTCACTTGTGAAAAAAAAAAATCATCGAAGCAAGCACCAGGGCTGATCCTTTTGTTTACTTGTCCTAAATGGCTAATAAATAATACAAGGACTTTATTTGGGCTGTTCAGCGGGTTGCTTGTTCTTGAAAGTTATTTCAGCTATCAGATTCATAAGTAAACTTGGAACGAACCTGGGCGGGAGTGAGGATAGGCACTAGATAACGCTAAAGAATCGCCAAAAATAGTCATACCAAGACATATACTAAACCATGGATGATCCGCTGAGTAAGTTCTTCCAGCAGTTCCAACTGTTTGTTCAGAACAACCCCAATGTTATTTCTGCAGCCAGGGCTGCAGCCCAGATACCGGAGAGTGCCAAAGCAGTGATTGTGCTTTCGCCGTACTCGTTGTCTCATGAATTTAGCAGGGACTGGGTAGCGAAGTCATACAAGAAAACCATCGTTGAGCGGCCTGAGCGTCTGCTGGCTGCGGCGATGGGTGTTGCCGCCGCCATCACCATGTACCCTGCGCTGTTCACGCTGAAGTCTTCCCATAGAAGACAAAGCTCGCTGCTGTCTCCACATGTACTCAAGGTTCATGGGTCAGAGTGGCCGCGCACACTACTACAACTATGTAAACAATCTGATAGTAAATTGGCTCGCGGTGAGGTAGAAGTCCCTGACAACTGGAATGCAGGCGATATTTATTTAACCTCCCGCACTATCGAGGCCTTGCAAGGTACAATTGGCGCAGTTGAGACCGGTGTGGATTCCATATTTTCAGGTCCTTCCCTAGAGCATATCAGTAACAGGGTTTTCGTTGCCATACGACCCCCAGGACACCATTGCCATTACGCAACACCATCTGGATTCTGTCTTTTGAATAATGCCCATATCGGTATTGAATATGCCGCAGACAAATACGGCGTTACTCACGCAGTCATACTAGATTTTGATCTGCATCATGGTGATGGTACTCAGGACTTGTGCTGGAAGAGGGCGGGCTTCAAGCCTGATGAACACACAGAAGAGGATGGTTACGATGAATTTGGTAAGAAATTTGCCGAGTTTCCAAAGGTCGGCTATTTTTCAATGCATGATATCAATTCTTTCCCAACAGAATCCGGCTTTGCAACAAAGGAGAATATCAAGAATGCCTCGACTTGTATAATGAATTCCCATGATCTAAATATATGGAATGTGCATTTATCCAGATGGTCCACAGAGGAAGAGTTTGCAAAAATTTACAAATCTAAATATAGAACATTATTTGCAAAAGCCGATGAATTCTTCAAGAACTCAAAAAATGAAATGAACGAACTAGGCAAGCCATTTAAAGGACTAGTTGTAATTAGCGCCGGTTTTGATGCTTCTGAGTTTGAACAAACATCTATGCAAAGACATTCAGTTAACGTACCAACAAGTTTTTATACCATGTTCACTAAGGATGCACTAAAGTTAGCTCAAATGCATTGCCAAGGAAAAGTCTTATCATTATTAGAAGGCGGTTATTCAGACAAAGCTATTACATCCGGTGTTTTCTCTCACTTAATTGGTTTGCAAAACCAAGATTGGATTAATGAATGGGGTTCTGAACAAGTTGTTAAAGAAATTGTCCGTGGCTGTAAACCAAGTTGGAAACCTTACAAAACAAAGAAAGCTAGAGATGTTATTAGAATTTGGGCCGAAGAGGTTATTAGATTAGGGAGAGCAATGATCCCTGAATTTGAAGATATATTATTCAAAGAAGGTCTTCAGAGCAACCCTGGACTTGGCGATGTTCCAACTTCTACTATTGCACAGAGACTCAGAAAGACACATGTTAAAGAAGAGCCTACTAAAACTAAAGAATTGACAGAACCTCCAAAAACCTCTACGAACACCAGAAAGTCTCGGAATGATGATACTAAAAAGGATGTTCCATTCATACAGCAGGAACTATCAAGTGAAGATGAAGGAGAAGATGAAGACTATGTCTATGATGAAGAACTGAATAAAACCTTTAATCGTACCGTTGAAGATATAACAATTGATGATATTTCAAGACACTTGGAAACTTTAGAGTTAGAACAAATTGACGAAAATGAGCCCCAAGAATTATTTATCAAAAAGGATGAAAACAAGCAGCAACGTCATCTTCAGAGCAATGGGATGTATAAAATACCCTCCTCCAAAACCCAACGGTTCAAAAACAGCCAGCAACCTCAATCAAATTCACCCCCCACATACGATGATAGTGATATCTCCATGATATCTCATGTTTCAGTTGCAAGAAAGCACAATACAAGAAGTGGAAGAAAATGGTAAATTTATAGGTAAGTTCAAGAAATACTTTACACTTCGATCATAGGTATAATAACGTATTTGTGCTGGATCATAAAAACTGATTAAAACTTCACATATCTGCATTTATGTACTTCCTGTACTACTAAACTTAATAAAATAAAAAATATATATATACTTCATCAAATATTATAATCATTCACCTGAAAGCCATTATTGCATTCAATCAAATAAAATGGAAAATATAGTGGCAAATTCCCAAGCAATTGCATTGTATTAAAATATAGTACAAACTGGCTGTTATAGTCATTCGCCATATTATGTAGACGAACATGAGATAATATGCCATAAATCAGAAAGTAGTATTTATAAAGTTCTTAACTAGTAATCACACATTCGGTATATGAATATCAATTTGCTCTCTCGAAGAGTCTGGGATTGGATCTGCTCCTTTAAATATGCATGCAAAATCCACAATAAATGGTTGTAGGACACCTATTGGAATATTAAGGGTTGGCGAGAAAACAATACATAGATTTCTCAAATTCATTTTATTATAGCGACTATTTTCATTGATTCGTAGTAGCAATTCAAAGAGAGCGTACATTAAAGATAAATTTTGGTGAGGAATCTTGCCACTTGCAATAATATCACGAAAACCTAGAGCTATCTTGGCAGGGTTGTCATGGTTCATATCAACAACACCTTTAAAATAGCCATACTCATCATCACCACAAATCAGATGCGGAAGCTGTCTCAGATACAATTTCAATAAACCTGAAACAGTGTTTACACTAATGAATTGCCCACCATTACTGTCATCTTCATTGCCAGCACCCTCGAGTTTGTTATTAAAATTTGATAGATCAACATCATACTCACGGTCAAACTTTTCCTGTAGCTGCTTTATCAAGGTTGATGACCCACTTAAACGGAATATACCTTCTTCTTGAATACCATGATTTTTGTAAAGATACTCCAAACATCTGTACACTATACTTGGTAAATGATATTGACGTTGATATGTCTTCGAGCTCAGCTGCATAGATTTCTGCAATGGAGCACCAAAAACTGTATTCAAAGACACAGGTAAAGGTGTCGATTCCACCAATCTTTGGGAGTAGTTATCATTATTTGATGTGACAAATGTTTCCACACTTTTGTTCAAACTATCATTCTCAGTGTCTCTATCCTCATCATGGGGGAAAACTCCTCCAGCTATCTTCTTGAATGGGAATATACTTCTCATTTTCATACGCCTTGATTCTCTTTCATCATCAGCACCCTCATTCTGTTCAGAAATACCAGACGGAGAAGATATCCCACTATAGTTGCTAGCTGTTTCAATATTATAGCTGTTACGATGGTTGCTTAAATCTGTCACGTAATGCGGATCAGGTTTAGAAGAATCGGGTCTACCGAAAGAAATGTTATCAGTATGATTACTTCCACTACGAATACTTGAAGTTGAGGGTGCCAAGTTACTAGAATTAGGATCCAGTAAACCGTGCAATGCTGATATCCATCCTTCCCTCTCTTTTGCAGTTTCAGTACATAAATAATATTTGTTTGATCCCGACAAACCTGATTTTTTATGCTCAGTTAAAAGAAAGCCATTCTTTGTGCCGAATTTGTCATCAGGTAGATTCGGCAATATTTCTAAAGACACTTGCCTTACTTTTACTTGTTCCATTATCTGATCATTCTCTAACAACTGAAGAGTTTTGGAATTGAGCGCACCATACCTTAACTTCCAAGTATTGCCACCACCGAGAGCCTTTGGTTTTCTCATCAGTAGCCTTCCTTCATATAATGTGTCTCCTAAAGTCAGAGGTGTCATTACCGTATCCGTGCTAATAAATTCAGCAATTTTCAAACCAACATTTACGGGAAAATTCGGAATACTCACTAAACTTGAAAAATATCCATTTAGCATTTCTCTTCTCTGATCTACCCTAACAGGTAACAGTGATTTGTACAGTTGTTCGGACGGCAAATCTGGAATGGATACAGACGGTATATGAGATTTCAGATACACATCTAACTCTCTTAATTTTTTTAAAGACTTGCTGAATTTAAACATCTCTTGGCTGGAACTACGATCGATGACACTGAATAACACTGAATTCTCTTCTCCTTGAAAATTAATTTCTGGATCTTTGTACAGGGTACTTAGTATCTGTATCTGGATTGTGCCCAAGTCCTCTGGTTGAACAAACAATGGTATATCTGAAGTAACAGGCTTTAGCGAAGGGTTACTTCTGAGGCTGTTATCTCTATTTACTGAAGTTAAATCAACTCGTAAACCCTGTTGTGAATTTGCCGGGGGTTTCTGTGGACTAATGTGGGATGGTGTTTCTTGTCTTTGTTCATTAGATGGGAGATATTCTCTTTCATGCCTTAAATTGTCAGCACGACCTAACGGAGTTTCATTAGGCAATGAACCAGGTACAATACTTGATACAATCGATGATGTACCTGGAGTCGACATCTGGCTGTCATGATTTACCAAAACATCTTTCTTCTTGTTTACAATAATGGGAGATCCTAGTTGTTGAGCAGAAACTGGTGTAGATGTGATACTTGCATTAATTGTAACATTAGGCAAACCTTGAGATTTTATAGCATTGGACTTCTTCAAATCCTGATGGCCATTTTGGGTGTCGTGTTTACTAACTTCCTCTTCACCAAACGATGCCTCCAATAGCTCAGCAAAGTTGTCAATTTTTTCTTTAGAGCTAGGTGAAAAGTCTTGTCCCTTTGGTTTTTGAAAGTCTGTTCTGGGTGGACTCATTGGAGCAAAACTACGATCAACACTTTGATCCTTTTCTAGATGCTTAGTTGGTGTATTTCTCCCCGACTGACTATTGCTACACGATTCCAGAGGACCATTTTGCTGCTTTCTTATGGTTTGACTTACTATTCTCCTTGAAGGTGACTCCGGTACTTGTGCAGTTGTATCTTGTTTTGGCTCATGCCTTACTGATCTGGGTGACGAAATTGTTATTCTTGAAGTTGTGTATGTAACGGATGTGGCTGGGCTAGTGAAATTTTGAGGTGCCTCAGTAATACGGATAGGGCTTATGTTTAGTTTATTTGCATAACTAGAAGGTAAAGTTGGTTCCTCAGATGACTGAGTTTTTGTGGAATTACTTTGAAATGATCCTGTAGCACTGGGGGTAGGTCTAGGTGTGTTTTCTGAGACTTTCTTCAATTTCATTTCATTTTCGAAGTCATCAAGTGGATCTGTTGTCCTTTGATTGTTCGTCCTTTCTGTAGATCTAGGTGGTAGTGCAAATTGATGCTCATGTTTTGCATTGTCTATCTCTGTAACCACCTTCTTGAGATCTTCCAAAGTACTATTCTTATTGACATTATACTTTGCATTGACAACACCAATGTTGTCCCTCAAATATACCACAACTTTTTCTAAAAGCGCAATTTCCTTATCTTTGTCTTGTAGCTGTTTGTTCATACGTAAGTTATCTTGAAACATATCGTCATACAAACTCTTCCAATCATTATTGCCGCCGTCTAGACTACCACGACGCCAACTTGCTCTTTTATCTGGATCTAGGTAATTTTTTTGCTCTGTAGGCTTGTTACGTTCTATATGCTCGAGCTTTTTATCCTTTTCTAATCTCTGATCATTGTATTGCTCAAGAAGTTGTAATGCTGAACTTCCAGCACCAAAGTTCCCTGCCATTTTCTTTCCTAATTTTTGGTGTGGTTAATGTTGTGCAATGATTTTCAATTTACTTTAGACTAAACTATTTAACCAATTTGTCCCTTATTATGTCCACAAATTATAATCAATACTAAAAGATCCAGCTGGTAGTATAGTTATAATATAATCTCTGCTCTAAAATCAATCAGTAACTGTTTATTTTTCAAATGCTATTCTGGAATATGTAATTCTCTTGACTTCTTCACCAAAAAAAAGGAACAATATCAAAGAACACAACCCCAAATAACCTCACAAATAATACAAGACAATAATACAGGTTGTATCCAGTATTATTCTCACTTTCTCCTCAACAAGGTACGGTAGTTCTTAAACCACGACCACGAATGCAGTTTATGCCAGATTGAAATTGAAGTGCCAACAATTTCTACAATTGATAACCGTCCACGTTAAACCAAGCCTGGTAATGTATTAGTGCATACAACCACGGTTTTCGATATACACTTGTGTTCGAAGGGGAATTGACTTGTTCCCCAGGTAGTTTGGTGTGGTGACATTCCTTGCTTATGGGCCCTTGGGTTGGAACTTCACACGTCTCGCTTCAAAAAGATAATTACTGACGTGAAGGGCCCACAAATTACCAACATAAAGGGAATCGAATAGGCACACTTCCAACAAAAATGGTAAATAATCTAAAAGTTAAACCATAATTTTAAAAGACCGTAGTTTCCGGTTTACTTGACCCTTGATTACCTTTTCATTAGGCAGTTTATGATAACCAAGGGTTAATTGTAACATACCTCTATTTTGCTAATTTCAACAGGTATTAATTGAGAAAGGCACATATGTCTGAGTCATGCTGTTAAATTTAATTAAGTCGCGAGCTAAAGTTACAACTGCTCTGGCTAAAGTACGAGTGGTCGGTCGTCAGAGGCGGTTCTTGATAAGTCCTCTTACAACTGCGAGCATAGCTACTGGTGCTATATCATTATCGATTTATCATAATCGTAGGGAGCATTTGCTAAATGAAACTTTAGAACCGGATCCGACAGGAGATACATTTGAAATGGGTTTATATATTGCGTCGGAGAAAGAGCGGGAAACTCTTGCTGCAAGTGGTAAGCTAGACGTTATCAGAAAGTCTAGGTCGCTGCTTGTTAGAAGTATACTAAAATTATGGGTTGTTCTAGATGATAATATAATTGAACCTGTCTTGACAGTTTGTAGGTTCTTAGAACTTATGGGATTGTTTCTACCTGTTTTTTCTCTTTACCCAATTTGTTGGTTAGGAAGAAGGATCAAATTAAATGATGATATCACAGATACAAGAGGTTCCATAATATGGTGTAAATTGATTAGAATTGCTTTAGAACTGGCTGGTCCAAGTTTTATCAAGCTAGGTCAATGGGCAGGTTCCAGGACAGATATATTCTCAGAGACATTGTGCTACGAGCTAGGTAAATTGCACAGCAAGGTGAGACCCCATTCCATAGAATACAGTAAGAAAATGATAACCTCTTCATTTGAAGTAGATGACTTCGATGAAATATTTGATAGTTTCGGAGAAAAACCACTAGGTGTTGGTGCAATTGCACAAGTCCATGTAGGGAAATTAAATGATGCATTTTACAACAAATATAGTAATAAAACACCAGAAAATAATAAATGGTGTGCGATAAAGATTATTCATCCTAGGGTAAGAAATCAAATATACAGAGATTTGAAAATTATGAAATTTTTTGCCTGTGTAATTGATGGTATACCAACCATGGAGTGGCTTTCTCTGCCTAATGAAGTCGAACAATTCTCAATATTAATGAAGCTACAGTTAGATCTACGTATAGAGGCCCTGAATCTCAAAAGGTTTAATGAGAATTTTAAAGATGCAACTCAAGTTAAATTTGCAACTCCGTATCTAGAGTTGTCAAATAGGGACGTTTTATTTGAAGAATATTTACATGGCTTCCCGATGGAGGATTTCTTAAAAGTGAAGAGACATATCAAAGATGATGATCTTTGTAGGAGAGTAAGTGACCCATTTGTCGAAGCTTTCCTCCAGATGTTAATCCGTGATGATTTTGTTCATGCAGACTTACATCCTGGCAATGTCATGATTAGGTTTGTCAAGACGAATAAATACGGAACTCAGATAATCTCATCTGAGGAATCATCTTATAACATCTCGCACACATTAAGAGAAAAATGGAGGAACAAAGACTCTGATTTGATACCATATCTGAAATCGGCACTCACAACATACACACCACAAATATGTTATATCGATACCGGCCTGGTGACAGAATTGAATGATAGGAACCGTGTTAATTTTATAGCTCTATTTAATGCATTAGCACAATTTGATGGCTACAGGGCAGGTGAATTAATGATTGAGAGGTCTCGTACACCCGAGACTGCAATAGATAAAGATCTATTTGCACTAAAAGTGGAAAAATTAGTAGATAAAGTCAAGCAAAGGACTTTTACATTGGGGAATGTCTCAATTGGAGATCTTCTTGACCAAATGCTGAGAATGGTCAGATCACACCACGTTAGAATGGAAGGTGACTTTGTATCTGTTGTGGTGGCCATTTTACTGTTGGAAGGTATTGGTAGGCAACTGGATCCAGACCTGGATTTGTTCGAGAGGTTCGTATTTTATTATTCTCTTCATTTTTAAGCCATTTTTGATATAATAAATATCAAATGTGCTGTTTTAATCTAACTAGGATATTGGATTACTAACAAGTATTATTCGACGATCTATTTTCTTTTTTGTTTGCCCTTTACTACTATTTTCTTCTTCATTTTGGTCATTGCAAATTCTTCAGACGTATTGTAGTTTTTGATATGGTCCTTTACAAGGTAATTTGCTTAAAGGCGAGGAAGAATATGGACATGAAGAGAGAGAGGGCAAACAGTTAAGTAGTGACCTGGAAATTTGGATTGTTTTAGCTCCATTCCATTACTGAGAGATTTCAACTTTATGAAAGAAACCAACAACAAATTCCTGACTGAAATTGGTACTTACAAAATCTTGAAACTTCTTGTAGGTCTAGAGATCAGAAAATTGATGACGGTTTCCGTACGTGAACTGTACAATCTTGTTAAAACAGACCAATTGTGTCCGAATTACTAGAGGAATGGTACAATTCTTTTACGCCAAAGATTGAAACAAGCTCCCCCCCCGGAGATTATTGAAATCTCTCTAAGAGCCAAGGAACCAGCAAGCACAAGAGTCAAAGAAAATGGGGTATATATGAAGAATATGAATATAACCTAGATTCCATTTCATTATATATATATACGTCGCCCTCATTGCTGCCTAATAATAAGGGCATTGATATTCAAGTACCTCGTGGGCATATACTTTTATGCTATGGAAGTTGAACCGTCACGTGATTTCACCTGTTGAGAAGTTTGTGTACAGCAGGAGCAGTATACGGATCTGGGACAAATGGACAATACGGGACAAAATGGAAAGAACAAAGAAGTGAGGGTGGGAACGAGAGGACGGAACGTGTCCATGTGCGAGTTAAATTCATAAAGCATCAGAGTGAGAAACGGCCGTAGTAGGCCAATAACCTAATGTGAACATGTATTCTGTTTCTAGGACAAATAAATTTGGTGGAAAACACACATAGAAAGAGACGGAGCCACATGGGACCGATGAGCCCTAAGTTTGTCCTCTGTTTTAAGAGGATGAAGGAGTTGGATATAGAACAGTTTAGTTGCCGATTACTACGTGTGAGTCTCCCCCATCGTTATCCTGCACTTATTATCTGTTAGGCCTTTTTTTTTTAAGGGAAATTGCCTTTAGGGCTTCCGGGTTAGGCTTCTGGGATGAGATTCCGATTTACGCACATGGGATTATAATCATTTCACAAGTATGGGAATAGGTATATAAAAAGCGACAGCATTATACATAACGAGATAAGTGGTTTACTTGTTGTAATTTGCAGTGAAGTGCTTAGTTGAAGAATAAGTCAAAGGAAAAAGGTTCTGCTATGAAATTTGGTAAGACACTGTTGAAGTTACGGATCCCAGAGTGGTCCCATCTTTATGTCAATTATAAAGTGTTGAAGAAGATATTGAAGGAGATAACTAAAGTGCAAGATGATCTTTATCAGCAGGAAAACAGTGCCAATGGCGAAGGTGATAAGCCGCTTTGGAAGAAAGAAGAAGATGGTATGACATCAGATAGGAAGACGTTTGCGGAGAACAAGAAAATACAGCAACTGATAATATCTTTCTTTTTCAATCTGGATAGAGACATTGAGAAAGTTGATTCCTTTTATAACTCTCAATTCTCTGAGTATGAGAAGAGATTGCAGAAATTGCTACAATCTAGCCAATTCCAAGATGTGACGTATCTTATCGAAAACAGAGAAGGAGAGAAAGAGCTTACTCCTGTTGGTAATGGATCTATCCCACCTCGTTACGCGACACCCCACCACATTGACGATGTTAATGAGGTATATAACATCTTATCAGAGCTGAAGACCCAATTCAGGAACTTGAAAAATTACAGTGAGTTGAATAAAAGAGCGTTTGTTAAGATTTTGAAGAAGTTTGATAAGATCACAGGGTTGAGCAGGAAGGATATCTTCTTGCAAAACAGAATTTATCCTTTGCCATTCGCTAACGAGACACAGATATCCAAAGATCTTGGGACTATAAACGAAATTTGGAGCAAATTATCAAGCAGAGTAGGTGTTATTGGAGCTTTGAATCCCAGTGTAGATGAGTTACTACAATCTACTGAAAACTTAATCCCCCAGATCAAACTCAATGACTCTCCAAGTGTTAAAGGACAAGTTACTTCGATTAATGATATCACTCCTTTTATTGATGAGGACAATGGCAAAGGAATCATTGCTCAATTAATACAACTGTATGGTACTATTACAGCCGTACCAACTAGATCACTAATAAACATACTTAATAAAAGTGCGTTAAAGAAATCTTATAACTGTGTGGATTCTATTTTAGAGGTTATTCCATCGTTTAACGATGTGACAGATATCAACAACAGAAATTTTTTTCATCATTTTATTATTTCATTGAGTAAGAAGCTACCTTCCAATGATCAACAAGAAGAGATTCCATTCGTATTGAAAAGTCAACCATCCTTTGCTAAACCAACTGAAGATGTTATTTTATCCTCTAACTTGGAGGTCATTTACAATACTTATATGAACCGTGGCACCACAGGCACTGTTCTCGAAAAACAAAAATTAGACGAGAACTATTTAGATCCTTTCAGACATATAATACAAAAATTACCAGTAAGATTGAGACCATGCATTTTACAGGTTGATAATTACTCCCGTACACCACTTCATTATGCAGCAAAATTTGGCTTTACTGGTATCGCAGCTGAAATAATTGAAATGCTTAAAGCCTGGGGCTATTGGAAAGATGATATATCGTTAGATGATAAAGATTTTTGGGGAGATTCTGAGGGACTTTCTCCTGTTCATTTGGCTGTACTTGGTAGGAATACTGACACATTAAAAATGCTTCTAGATTCCATGAACAACAATCTGCTGTTGACATCTCCTACTTTGTTATTCTTAGCTATTCAAACTAACGAGTTTGACTTAATAAACACTATCCTATCCTCTAGTAGAATTGATATCAATTTTCAAGACGAACAAACCAAAGAAACTGCCCTATATCAGGCTGTTGCGGCGAATTTATTTGAAGCAACTGCATGCTTACTGATAAATGGTGCTAGTACAGAAATTAAAGAAAAACTTTTTGGTTGGACTCCACTATTCATTGGTGCAGCAGAGGGCTACTCTGATATAGTCAGACTACTGGTTAATAATGGTGCAAACATAAACATATTAGATGACGGAGGATGGACGCCAATGGAACATGCAGTATTGCGTGGACACCTAGAAGTCGCAAAAATTGTTGAAGTTAAAGATTGGCCAGAAGTCTGCCATCCTGTCTACAATTCAACAAAAAACCAAGACTCACAAAGTAGAGATAACTCTGAAATAATAAAGGGCAACAGTAATTCTAGTGAACAAATGAATGATACAAAAGTGAAGCGTATCAAATCTTTTGGTCATAGCTATCTGAAAGAGGAAGAAGCAATAATGCTGATTACTTTAGGTGGAACTGACACAAGAATAACAACACCAGCAATATCATTGAATTTAAAGAAACTACTTCAGTCAGCGGACATTGACACGGCTCTTTCACTAGTTATCTCTTGTGATGATGATGTATCCTCTGTTCCAGTTGTATTGGACTTGCCTTTAGATGCCAGTATGGCTAATATAAATTTCAAAGTACCATTCAAGGATAATGGAGTTTACACTGTCTTTTTTGACATTGTGTACACTTATGGTTCATATTCTCCAGACAATGGAAATTCCCTAGTCAGACCTAATCTAGATCGTAATGCGTCTGTTGACTCTGTCATTCTATCATCAGCCAGTGACAGAGATCAAAACGATTCACCTCCTCCTGTTGAGTATTTGAAGGATAGGTTAGTTGCAAGGGCAGTTGCACTTTTGAATAAAACCAATAGTGCTGCTGGTACAAACAGGCGTCTACTTAACGATAACGTTACCATTCCAATTCAATCTAAATATGGCATGGATTTGGTTGGGACAATATCGTTTGAGTATTCGATCGTCACTCCTTTTTCACATCCAAAAATGGGTGTGTATGCTACTGACACTTATTGGAAGTCTTTAGTTTCAACTAGGGTAATTGGGCATCGTGGTTTGGGGAAAAATTATCAATCAAGTAAATCCCTACAACTAGGTGAAAACACCGTTGAATCATTCATAGCGGCTGCATCTTTAGGTGCGTCATATGTTGAATTTGATGTACAATTAACCAAAGATAATATTCCTGTGGTATACCATGATTTTTCAGTTGCAGAAACCGGTGTTGATATACCAATGCATGAACTTACATTGGAGCAATTTCTAGATCTCAATAATTATGGGGGGTCCAGGGAGCTTTTGAAGTCGAGGAGGAAATCCATGGATGATAGTGACTTCAAGAACTTAAAGAAAGATTGGGATCTTGGCGAACCAGATGATGGCCGAAAATCTCCGTACTACCAATCGAGATCAAAATTGATGGAGGAGCGGATGAAACTGACAAAAGCATATAAAAGTAATAATTACAAAGGCAATTCTAGAGGGCATTCTATTGCATCCTCATTTGTCACATTGAAAGAACTATTCAAGAAGATTCCTCAAAATGTTGGATTTAATATTGAATGTAAATATCCAATGTTGGATGAAGCTGAAGCTGAAGAACTTGGCCAAATTGCTCTTGAAATGAACCATTGGGTCGATACCGTTCTACAAGTTGTATATGATAATTTTAATGGTCGTGATTTGATATTTTCGTCCTTCCATCCAGATATATGTGTCATGCTGTCCTTGAAGCAGCCAAATTTTCCTATTTTGTATCTAACAGAATCAGGAACAACAAAAATGGCTGACTATAGAGCTATTTCATTGCAAAATGCGATAAAATTTGCTAAAAGTTGGAATCTATTAGGTATAGTATCTGCAGCCTATCCCATAGTGAAAGCGCCAAGATTGGCAAAAGTTGTAAAGTCTAACGGGTTAGTATGTGTTACATATGGTGTTGAAAATAATGATCCTAATAATGCGGCCATAGAAATAGATGCTGGTGTTGATGCAGTTATTGTTGATAGTGTTCTGGCGATTAGGCGTGGTCTCACCAAAATTCAAACTAAGTAGAATTATAATAGAATAGTAATGAGCAATTAAATAAGGTATATGCTTACTGAATCTTAACATAGAAATGAATATAACAAATTAATTTTCCCAGCAAATTGAGGGTTAGATACATAAATATGGGAATCATTCAATAATAATTATGACAGCTGATTATCAAATAGAATGGCAATTCGAAATCGAATGTACTGAAAATAACTTTTCTGAGACACATTACAGTTTTGCCAATGCACAGTAACTTTAAAATCGCTTGTATCAACTTTGAATAAGATTGCAATTGAAAAGAAAATACTTCCATCTAGACTGCAAAATCACTCATGACTTTAGATGAAATAAATACACGAATAAGCAAAAAGTGAGTAAGCGACTTCGTATCCCATTTAATTAATGCGATTACAACAGAGTTTCACCCAAGGCACATCTTGCAATAGCACAGCCAGCAGAAATTGTGTTAGACACATGAATATCTTGGATAGCCAAATCTGGGTTACACTCGACAACATCTAAGGAAATCAAGTTACCAGTTTCTGCCAATCTTTCTGCTAAGAATAAACCTTCTCTCAAAGTCAAGCCACCTCTTACTGGTGTGCCTGTAGCTGGCACGAATAGTGGGTCGATCGAGTCAACATCGTAAGAGCAAATAATTGGTGTATTTTCTGATTCAGGATCTTTAATGGCTTCTAGTGCCATTTCGATAACAGTGTTAATACCATATCTGTCAATATGGTACATAGAGAAGGCTTTGATACCCAACTCCTTCAAAATCTTCCTTTCTCCAGAGTCTACATCTCTTAAACCGATGTATGCAATCTTGTTTGGCTTCAGTTTGCCTGGAACCCAATCCAAAGACTTTAAGCTTTCGTGCTTACCTTTGTTCAAGCCCAAAAGGAATGAAACAGGGCAACCGTGTAAGTTACCAGATGGAGAAGATTCCAAAGTGTTGATATCAGCATGTGCATCAATCCAAAGCAAACCAGCGTTTGGGTGCTTGTCCAAAGCAGCAGAAACTGTACCGATCGCTATAGAGTGGTCACCACCAAGGGTAACTGGGAATCTGTCCCTGCTTAGTACATCGGTCACAGATTTGTAGATAAGTTCAGTGGCTTCACCGACAAGTTGTGGTCTCTTGATGATTCCGAATTGGTCCTGGGTGTTCTCCTTCACCTTTTTAACGTATTCTTCCTCATCTAAGGGACTTTGGATCTCGGTTCCCCAACCCAACTCTTCCAAGTCCTTCTGTAAACCATGCTTCAACATGTATTTTGGACCCTTTTCAACACCTAATTTACCTTGGCCACCAGAGAATGGTGCTAACACCAAAGACAGTTGACGGTCCTTGTAGTATTTGTAGTCAGTCATTTCCTTTTTCTTTTTGTAGAGTATTTGTAATAAGTTTGTTTTGTCCTTATTGTTGTTGTGAGTATATGTGCTAAGTCCAGAGTTGCCTCACTAGCCTACTGCTTATATACTTTTTTTTTTTATAAGACTTTTGGTATTCTTTTCAAGAGGTATTTACTCCAAAGATATTACTCCAATCTTTTATTGTGATTCACATCTTATCTTTACAGGAGAAAATTTTTTTTCTCTTGTCTTTATCAGTATTTATAATCTCCACTTTACACATCTCTTGCGCCTGCACTTAACAGCTCATCGCTTATTATTGTTCTTAATTGTTACCTAACTTTCGTTGTTTTTTCAATTTCAAGTACTTATTGGTTTTTTTTCAAGGGGACCATACACAGAAATACTCGTACAATAGGAAATTATATAAATATTTTCATTTTTTTTTTTTTTCACAAGAGTATTTCACTGCTTTTAAAGGTCAAAAATCATGAAAGTTTAGAAGATTTGGACCCGATTTTGGGACCCGATTTTCTTTTTGGGAAGTGATTTGCCCCCAATGAAAGATCTAGAGAATAGAGTTATCTGATACTTACCCGGGCATATGCTTATGCAGATTTCTCATTGCCACATACAACTACTGATTGTAAAGATTAATAGCAATGGATTAGCCAAGTGCAATTCTGCATGAAATACGGGGCCTTTTGTATACAAGCACCTGTGACAGACACCCCCCCTTGCCCCTCACCAGCAAGTCTAATCGGATTCTTATTCGGATGCGGATTCGGATTCACCGGCATAACCAAACGGAAGGTAGCACCAGTGGACTTCCTTGGGCAGTTGAAAAGCTGGGAAGTTAGGAAGTTGGGAAGTTGGGAAGTGGGGGGTGTTACGCAATACACAGCTTGATACGCAATATCCAAAGGCATTTCTGTGAAGCTGGACGTACAGCGTTATGCTCAAGGTGACCGTTAAGTGCAACTGAAAAGCACTTGCAATTACGTCTGATGTGATAGATACATAACTGATAACGGCGTCTCTTATCGTTTTGAGCTTCCGTAGAAAGAGAGCATATGTCGTTATCAGTTATGAGTAAGAATGACGTTTCTGGGTTGTTAGATATTCAAATTGATATTAGGGTTTCTAGGGTTTTCTCCCAATGAAACTTAGAAAAAGATCATGCCGATTCTGGCTCTGGCTCAATTGAACTTGAAGTTGCACTCTCACTCCCTCCCCCCCACGTATTTTTTTTTGATGCTATCGATGTTCATTCACCGATTGCAAGCTGAGTCACGCTATAATGGAACAGACACAGCCACTCAATTGCCAATATCACCAATACGGATCCTCGAGGGTATCACAATTGACAATTTTGCCTTGGATAATATTCCAAAATGTGTCAAGTCAATTGTCCGAATTACCTCCCATAATATAGGCTCGAAGTATATATAATGACTTGTATGTAACTTAAGTAAAACATAGACGGAACAAGATATCCATCCCCTCCGTTGTAGAGAAATACTGAACAGACCTATGAGACCAAAGGTATTGATTCCATATCAGCAGACTTGGGAAGTTGCTTCTCATATCCCAGAATGGGAGAAGTTGAAGGACAAGTTGGACTTCATAGAGTATAAGATGACTAATGCGGATGACTTCCGCGAATACTTGCATAGCAACGATATCGCCGCGCTGTGGGTTACTGAGGAGTTCTTCCGGGTGCTCGGTGGGCCCACACCATACATTGAGGACTACCCAAGCAGCCTAAGGGTCATTGCCGTGCCTTGGGTCGGTTGCGACTTCATAGACGGGAAGATGTTGTTAGAGAAGTACAATATTTACTTGTGTAACATCGGACCCCACGCAGTGGACAACGTCACTGACTTGGCAATCCATCTGGTAGTCAGTTGTTTCAGATTGACGTCCTTTTGGGAATACTGTTTCAGGTTCTCGGAGCCAGGAAGCATCGATGAGTGTAAGAAATACGTAGGCGGTACTAGTAAGGACCAGATTACCAAGGATGGTGCTTTGTACCCTCAGAAATTGGACGATGACCAATCCAGATTCCTGAATCTCGCGAAAGATTTCAATGTGGCTGGCAAGAAAGTCGACTCACCTACTAAGAAAACAGCACTTATTCTTGGATTTGGCTCAATTGGGCAAAACATTGGCTCAAAACTAAAATTCTCCTTTGACATGAAAATTAAGTACTACAAGAGGTCTGGTGAAGTTCCTAGAGAACAACTGGGCTACGATGCAATTTACTGCTCTGATTTACAAAGTGCTGACACCTGGCAAGACGTCGATGTCATTGTCCTAGCACTTCCAGGATCACCATCCACCGATGATATTATCAATGACTCTTCTTTGGGTATGTGTAAGGATGGTGTTCGTATTGTAAATGTTGGTAGAGGATCCTGTATCGATGAAGATGCTCTGATTTCAGCCCTAGATAGTGGTAAAGTCAACAGTTGTGGGCTTGATGTATATAAAAATGAAGAGACACTGATCAATGAAAAGTTTTTGAAGCGCTGGGATGTAACACTATTGCCTCACATTGGCAGTGCCGTAGCTGACATGATGGTACGCCAGACAATTATTACCTTGGATAATATTGAGGACATCCTTTTGAAAAATGGTGAAGGTATTTACAGAGCCAATTGAATACCTCATGTCATACATAGTACTGTGGTATTATCACTTAACTTCCAACTCTTGAAGAACGTAATCGACTCAAACCATATATTAAATCCAATGTAACCATTAGTCAAGCTTCTATCAATTTAACAATAACTTGCTATCGTGTCTACTAAAAAACGGTAAATAAGAATGAAGTTGATATTTTATTACATTGTCATTATAAGTACATCTTTTTACTTGCATATTTTTTATATCGAATTTTTATTGTATCGGTATGACACTTACACTTGATTTTTTACAACTATACCAGTACCGGAAATATAGTATAGTGTTAATACTCCGAAAGTTGTTATTTAGACCCACTCCGCTTCCACTTGTGCCTTTTGGAATGAATAATCTTTTCTATTGACAGTAGCAATACCGTCTTTTAATGTACATTTCCATCTTGCCTTGGTTCTTGTTACTTTATCATATAGACACAAAATAATATTTTCATCTGGGCCTTCATCTTCACCTTCTGATATCAGATAGTTGTCGTCAGAATCATCTAGCTCGGAGCCAACTTCATCTGCATCGAGAAGAGCACTTCTTTTAGCCTCTTTGTGGTCTTTGTTCTTTGATTCGAGATCAGATGTATCCGCATTTTCTATAGTCATCTCAAATTTAACATCTCCCTCTTGTTTTACCTGTACATTGTTGTCGCTTACATTGTTCTCATTGTTATTTAAGTCGTCGTCGCCACCAGCCAGCATACCTGCCGTTGCATCGCCATCGTCTGCATTATTTGTATTTTCATCTTGTGGGGACATATCATTCCCTGTGCTTGGTGCCGAAATTACTGCCCCACCAGGTAATTGTAATCCATTGGTCTCCGTTGTAGAAGTTTCTTGCTGATTCGTTTCGTTTGTAGCTGGAACTGCATCAGTTACTGGATCCCAACTAAAATGTGTAACCTTAGTTTCAGTAAGTTTCTCTTGCCACACTCGCTTCAGATCCTGTAACGTTTGTTCATCTATACCTGCACTCTCGAAATCCTCTCTCACTTCATTGATAACATTACTGACAATGAGTTCATATACTTTACTAGCTTCCAAGTTCGACATGTTCTGCTTCTTCCTATATCCTTCTATAAAGTAGAAAACTGTATTGCTGCTACTTCAAAATTATTATCCTCCAAATAGATTCTAAGAGGAGTACTGTATGTGCTGTGATAGCTTATCAAGAATCGTTGTAATAATAATTATGTTTCTGCAATACTATCACTACTCTTATTTGCAAGTTTGACTTTTTTTGGATTTTTTTTCTTCTTGTCGCTGTACCGTGGTCACCTGACATGGAATAATAAAGACATCAGCATTGAAGAGGTATACTAACGTTAGAATACGTACGTTTGCTAGGGAGACGGCAATGCTGCTTTTTCATACTTTAGGAAAGAGAACACTAGTACAGTTGGCAAGACTCTCGAACTCAACAAGAGCAAAGGGCTATTTTCTGTCCAACAGAACAGAGGGAAGCTCTGAATACTAGGCTATACACCAATTATAGCACCGTACACATGATACTAGTTCACAAGATATGACGCCTTGTTTTAAAAGTGACTAGTTTCATCAAGACAAGACTATCTCTGATCCTGTGCACTATAAAAATTCTAATCTCCGTCATACTAAACTAAACTCCGTAATCTCTCACAGCCTGTATCACCGAAGTACAGTACTTCATCGCATACAGGTCTTATCAAAAAGGAGAGTAAAAAACGAATTGTCGGGGAAGTTCATGTTACGGAAGGAGAACTTCGATGCAAAATGCAGTGCATGAGAACCTCGATAAATTTGTCACTTGGTAGGAGCATATATTCTTACCCAACTTTTGAGATAACGAGCATCGGCCGATTCGGGACAATTTTCGGATGGAAAAACAATTTGTCCATGTTGATTTACGGTTTACTGATTTGTGTATCTTCCACAGCTATCTTTTTCATAATTTTTGCCCAGTCTTTTCCGTAGTGCTGCTTAGCTTTGAACAGAAATTGTCCAGATTTTTTCTTGGAATTTTATCACTATATATTGTGAGACGAGATGAATGAAATAATTCATTGGCAAGATGCTACGGACATTTCTGTTGCTGACGTCAGCCCTTCACTGCTTCGTCGCGTCTGTTCCTTCGGTTCTCGCAGGATGGCAAACTGGCCAGTGCTTCAATTGCAGGGGGGAGGACAACTTGGGATCAACCGTTGATTTGTAAGTTTAAGCTTTACATTTGTACAAATTTTTGAAAATAATTATCAATTGCCTTCCTATCCTTTTCCAATTGGTCTATATATAATCTCTTCTGAATTAATTGATAAGTTAGAAATATAGTTAACACTTTGACAAGAAACAAGAATTATTTATATTGCAATAATGGCTTCTAACCCACCAGGAAAATGTTGTTTTGAAGGCTTTTACCATGAAGGTCAAGCCAAGGGTACTCATAAGGATGTCTGCGGCGTTGACACCTATGTTACCGGTGCTGAGAACTCTTCCGATAGAGTTATTGTTATTTTGACAGATATTTACGGTAACAGATTGAACAATGTCCTTTTGACTGCTGATCAAATGGCAACTGATTGTTACCAAGTCTACATTCCAGACATATTGTTCAATGACCCTGTTGTCGCTCTTGATGGCTCTACCGACTTCAACGCTTGGTTGGCTGCTCACCCTGCTGAGAAAGTTCAAGAGCTAGTTACCAAATACTTGACTGACTTGAGAGCTCAATTGAAGCCTAAGTTCTTGGCTGTCGTGGGCTACTGTTACGGTGCCAAATTTGCTATTCAGCAAATTGGTGCTAACCCATTGGCTGATTGTTGTGCCATTGCTCATCCATCTTTCGTTTCAATTGAAGAAGTCGATGCTATCTCGAAGCCAGTTTTGATTTCCGCTGCCGAAGAAGATCCTATCTTCCCAGAAGAATTGAGACATCAAACTGAAGCCAAGCTAAAGGAAAATAAGGCTAGATACCAGTTGGATTTGTTCAGCGGTGTTTCTCATGGGTTTGCTGCTAGAGGTGATACTTCTAATCCGGTTGTGAAGTACGCTAAGGAGAAGGTATTAGTAGACCAATTGTACTGGTTTAACTATTTCTCCGGTTGCTGTCAAAAATAATCGATTTTACTGATGTTGAGAGCTGTATATCTTTTACCCAAATATATATATTTCCTGTACTAAAATACAAATACCCAGTTTTTAAGTTTGGTTTATATTGTTTTGAAAAATTTACTTAGCACTCCAAGAATGAAGAACTATGGTTCTTGTAATGTCTATTATAACTAAAGTCATTCGTTTGACTGTTGATTTTACCTATTCTGTTATATACCCACTATATGAAGCATGTTAACTTTCAGGTTTGTGATGTTGCGTTATTAAACATAAATAATAATTACATATTTTTTTCATGATAATAGTTTGATTTGGGAATATTAACAAGTTCTTTAATTCTTGATTTATGCTTGTATTTCAGTAATCCATCAATTGAATGGTTTTAATGTTCAAAAGATGCTGTATATGGATTTCATTTTTCGTGAAATAATAGCCTCTGATTTCCGTTTATACATACAATAATATTAATGAAGTCATCCGAACTTCATGCTCTTACTGGAATTGGTTACCCAATAAAAATTCGAAATCAAGCACACCTAAAGTGGCTGATATTCCAAAGAAATCAGCTAACGGTTCCTCGGTATTATTCAAATTAACATTAGCAACGCCATTGTTGTTTATCATTTGGTTTTGCTGATTAGTAGAGCCTAAGATTGGAAATGCTGTAGGAATATTTTCATTCACAGGGCCTTGGTTGTCACTATTTGATTGGGAAGCAGGTTGTTGAGATTGAATGGGTAGTACAGGTATTGATAATGGTTGGGATGATAGCAACGCAGCATTGGATAGTTGTGTTAATCCAGTAGCAGGTGTAGCCATAATTTCCACCGGTTCTTCTGATTTAATTCTTGGAAGATTGGGTGAAACTGTTCTGTTAGAAAAATTAGGGGTTACAGTTTCTTCCTTAATAACAACCAGAGGTTCCTCCTTCATTGGTATTAACGGTTCTAAACTGCTTTCAGGAGTAGATTCCAAATCAACATTATAGGTGTTGATAAGATTTAGTCTGCTCTTATAATTGGTCATAGACTTATGTAACTTTGTAATTTTCTCCAACTCAAAATGGGCAAGATGGCTTCGAAGCTGCATGTCTTCAACAAGACCAGTTTTTCTAATTAACTGTATTCTCAGAGTAATTGCTAGCACCTTTGCTATTTTAGGATCGACATTATCTAGGTGTGCCATTCTCAAAATTCCAATCCAGAGTTCGTTTTTCTCTATCCTATCTAATAGGGCATCAAATAACGTTAACATTTTGAAGATAGTGAAGTATTCAAAACGTAAAGATGTAGAACATACGTGATATATGTTTTTCAATTGAGTTTCAAAAATCACTTTCATATCATTAAGTAATTGTATTTTTGAGTTCATTTCTGAGTATATTTGCTCTTTATAGACACCTTGTGTCTGTAATGACTGAAGTTCATTGAATAAAATGCTTGCAGCCAGGTCGAATCTCATAATAACAGCCAACAGGCCAAAAAGAACGGTGTTAATGGCAACTTGTATAGCTTTTTTTATTATAAAGTCTGAAGCCTTTGCTATTACAGCATCAAAAGTACCATCAAAAAACTTCTCCATGGTATTCCCTAGTGCAATTAGGTCCAAGCAAAGTTTGGTAAAGAAATATATGTAATGATTTTTGACATTTTCTTCAGTGACTAGTCTCTCCTCGAAATGCAGAAACAATGCAATGGATATCCGGAGGTTCATTAATTGAAAAATGATACCAGATAAAACATCACAACAATTTAGCATATAAAACAAGGGAAGTTTTGCTTTATCACCACTTGGACCATGTTTAGGAGAATAAGAACTAACGAGGTCAATGTACTCTTTCGACATTATATGAACCTTTGAAGAAAGTATCTCATATTCAGAAAGTGTAAATCTGCCATCTGGAGATAATAAAAGGGCATTTAAATCGTATAATGCATAAGATGTTTGAGTTCGCCTAAATAGATTTTCAATAACATTCATAACTTCTATTGATCCTTCGTCATTATGGTCACAGTCTTTTTTCACTCTATCCATTAACTCATATACAGAGCTTGGGTCCCGAAGATCTATGAAAATATCAAATAAGTCATCGTGTTTATCAACAGTAGACCCCTTGGTGTTTGTTTCAAATGTCAGTACACAAATCATGGCAATCCATAGTAATCTCCTTTGATTACACACTCTCTTATCTCCTAAAGTATCATTTGAAAAGACTGGATAATCGCTGGGATCCTTGTGTAGACCAATTGAAACACCCAGCATCATTGCTATACTAGCTAAAACTCCGGTCGGCTGCTCATAAAAGAAATCACCTTCATCAGGTGAAAAAACAAAAAATGCCCATAATAGTAATAGGCATGAAATGATATTTTCATTAGGTGTAGCACACCAGTTTTCAGCAGACAGACAATTTTGAACAACATGGGCGACTTCGCTAGATATTGGATATTTCCTTACAATGTCCATAGTCAGGACGGAACTATACTTTCTAATATCGTCGTCAGTCAAAATGATAGACGTATAAGCTAATTTCATAACCAACAAAAGCATAGACATTGTTTCTAGTTTAGATCTTAATTTCGAGTTTCCAAATACAACTTTGACCTTTTGAGGATCTTTGTCGTCACGAACCAAAATTTGCGCCAGGTCGTCCTCGAAAATAGACTTGTGAACAAAAGGTGCGATATAGTAAACATTGTCATAATACCATTTCTTGTATGCAATTATAATATCATATGGTGGTAGCAGGGATTCAATTGAATCTATAAGGGATTGCAAAAGCTCAGAATAAGGTGCCCCTTTGGGACAATAATCTTCAACAAAACTGTTATCTAAAGATGTTAGAAAATTCTTGGCTTCTTCACCTTTCTGAAAAAGGTCTGGTGGAGGTTCGATGTTCTGGGCTAATTTATTTACAAATAGTTTTATTCTCTTCCCTTGTAGGTCATTGCGACACTGCTTCAATAAGTTTTCTTTTATTATACTAATATTATTTTGAACATTTGTTGATGTTTTGGTAATACTCATGTCAGATGCCAAAGCACTTAATAAAGCACTTCCTTGATAGTTTAGAAATACAGAAGCAATTGCAGTTGTGGTAAATTTGTCTTGTATTATCAAATAGTTTTCTGATAAAGGATTCACTTCACGTTTTATTACACCACTGACAATCAAACGTGGATGTACTTTAAATAAGTTAACTTCAACATTAGTACAGTTCGCTCTTAAAGAAGAGAGCTCAATATCCATGGCAGGTTCATTAGTCGAAATTAAATGCCTGGAGACTGGTGGTAATGTCTTGGTTAGTTTTAACGTCTTCTTTTTCCAATAACTTAGTTCCTTTTCTAAACGGGCTATCATTGCATCTTTATTAGGATTCTTGGGTGCTTTTTGGGATGTAAGATCATAGACGCATCGAATTCCATGTTTTAGGCATCTTGAGCAAGCAGGCTTTTCTTTATCACATTTGGTTTTAGCCTTTCTGCAGCCTTGGCATACAAAAGAGAGCCTATTTCGCTTCTTAGAGATATCAGAGCTATCCCCTTCATCGACGTATTTCATTTAATATTGGCATATAAATTCTGCGTCCTACTTAATTTTTTTGAATGCAATTAGTTTTAATAGAGAATAATAGTAATGACTGCAACTCTGAAAATATGTCTCTCGATCCAGCTGATACTGTTATGATTGTGAAATACTGGATATTAAATCGGAAAATACAGCTTGATTACCCAACATTAAATACACTGAGATGATAGGATCAATATTTTACCTCCAAATCTGTGTTAAAATCAATATAGTGGGAATTGAAAGCACGCTTAAAGAAATGTATTATCTAGTTAGATCCAGATAGCGAGTTCAAATTCAAAATTATTTGATGCTTATATCAAATATCAAATGCTCTCTTAAAGACAGAAGTGAAACGGCAAATCAATAGTTTAGGGCAAAAAAAATTATAGGCACTAAAGAACCTTCGAGATTTGTAAAAAAATGGCCCCCACCTTTATAATGTTAGAACTATAGCTTTTTAATATCCTTCCTGTACTAGACGATCCAGCGATGGTTATGTTAAACAGTAGGAGAGCTTATTGTATACTCTTCTATAGAATGTGGGAAAAAATATCAGTACTCTTTGATGTTTTATAAACGGCCCACTTTATGTCTATCGGATTATAATATTTTGAGTAAACTCCTCTTTTGAGCAACGAACAAATCAAAGAGGTATTTAAACCTGGAACCCCCCACTAGATACTGATATACTACTAATATAAAGCAGTAATTCGATTGTGTTTTGTATTATCTTGCTATATTATCGTAATGGTGCTCTTGAACTGGAAATAAAATTCCAAGTAGTTGCAAAAGAAACAAAAGCATATTGTATTACTACAATATACTGGTAGTCCCTTTATTCTAATTCCTACTGCTTTGTTTTGCAAATCTGTATCACACTTAAGGAACATTTTCTAATGGCACAACGCAGTAGTGCTAGCAATGGGGATACTGGGAAATAGTAGTAGCTAAGAAATAAAAGTACAGGATTTTTTAACCTTTCAGAAATTTATGGGAAAGGTACTAGAAGTGCATGCACGTACTAAGAAAAGTGGATTACGAGTGAGAGTGTAATCCCGGCATTGTACAGTAACAAATTATCGTTTATCGCTGCGAATTAAGAATCCTAACCCACTTTGAACACCCCCGTATTTTAGTTTGGATCGAATACAAGACAAAATAAGTGGAAAGCAAACATACTTCCTCGCAGTGTAAGGTGGCATAATTTTTGCTCGTTTTGATATGGACGACAAGAGTTTCTCAGAGGCCCGGTGAAGGTCTGTTTCTTAGTCAAATGGTATAGAATGAGAAAAGTAAGGTAAAAAAAAGAAACAATACTACTTCTCAGTATGGAAAACTGCAGAATGGTTACTGTAATGTTGCGGGCATTAATGATATTTAGGAGCAGAGAACAGATACAAATTATTGCCTAAGGATTCTCTACTCCTAGTTGCCCTGCTTAACCATGTTCTGTTGCACCACTCTGCGATGGTAGTTAAGAAAAAAAGGCATTTATAGAGACTTACAAAGCATAGATATTTAGAGGTGGACCCTATCTTCAAAGAAAGGTTTGCATCTAGAGAGTTCACTGGCAGGTCTTACGTTTTGAATTTAATGTTTCTTTTCGAGAAGGAATTTTGCATAAAAAATGAAATGAATTTAACGTGCAATTATTATCTTGTGTAACCTTTTTTTCAGTTGATCCAACTAAAACGTCGACTAATGATGAGATGAATGAGTATAGTTAAAAGGATGGCAAGAAATACACTATTGAAGCTGGGTTCAAGAATATCACAAATGAATTGGTTAAGTAAAAAAGCGCTATTATTTGAGTACTTAACTGATTACAAAAATAGTGCAATTGTTTTGTGATAATATGAAAATTATTCAAAGATAATAGAACACAGAACACAATTCTTGTAAGTAAATGGTATTTTGTCGTATCATAAGTCATTCTGATGTAAAAGAACATCTTCAATTTAAGACCGTTTCAATTGTGGCTTTCCGATACTAATGTAAATATTTGAATCGTGTTAATTCATAGATATCTATCTAGCTTAAGCTCAAAAGCCCAGCAATAGTATACCTATTTTAAAATGGATTCTTTGTAATGAAATAATACAATCGTCTTTATTTGTAAAAGCAATTGTCTCCTGGTTCTGTTATTACTTGATTTCGTACAACTGACATATCCATTATTACATTTATTCCCGTTATTTTACAAAAATTGTTAGATCGGTATTAAGTTTTTGTCTCCGATTGGTAACAGAGTTCAAGTAACTAAATAAACGTTACTTAATGTATTCATCATTACAAATCTCAAACAAAAATGCTTCAATCTTAGCCAATTGGATATGTGCTCTGTTGATAGGAGAATATAATAGTATTCTTCCCAGCTTCTTTCTAAACAACACTGCTAAATTTAGCCCTAACATCAGATATTTGGGTTGATCAAGCTTCAATTTACATAAATCTGATCAATCCATAATGTATTCTGGCAAAATTCAGTGGTGCAAGTTGAAAAACGTATTTGCAAGATTGTTTATACTACCTACAAGTCACCAGACCTATGCGAAAGTTTTTAGAAGTATATCGGGGTTACGCAACAATCCTAAACAACTAACAGCAACTGATAAAAGCCCTCGATAATAGTAGCCGTAACCTTACTTAATACACACCTCCATTGAATTGTTGTATCTTCATGCCAAAGACATCAAAATTTTTTGGAAGTTATCGTTGTCTATTTCCTTAGACTGGGTTATATCTCCTAAATCATTAGTGGATTATTGCATTATACTGTAGTTTATCAATAGTTTTTATTTTCTTGGATGTTGTGTAGTTTATCCTACTGTATCTTATGTCGTATTCATTCAACAAAAACATTTGTATATATGTTATCAAGGCTAACTATTAAATTAAACTCTCTTCTAAAAAATACAGAAATATCATCGCTAAAAAGATGAAAAACACAATCGACTAGGGATGATGATGATCTTTATTTTAAAGGGTAAGATGAGGTTCGTGCTAGCTTGGAATTGAGATATATGGTAAATACACTGAAACTATTTACAGATTAGAGTATCTTCTCGGTAGTTACGACTGTATACATAAGGCTCCCCCCACTACTTAATAAGTGCAGAAGTGCGACACTAGTTTAATATCAGTACCATATTACATAATGGAGAAGGTCTATGGGGTGAAACCTGATGTTACTACCTTAGATGATGATTTAAAGCAACTAAGGAGTGGTAAATTCTCAAAAGAGGCGGTTGATGAAATAAAGAACTGGATTTTTAGTAGCATTCTGAAAGAAAGACCAGAAAATTCCGATTCTAGTCTTTTAGAGTTACTCAAAGATGGCAGTGTTCTCTGTAAAGTTGCAAATAAACTAGGAGAGCTAGAACATGGATTCTCGCCTATAAAATGGAAGGTATCTAACATGCCATTTGTCCAAATGGAACAAATATCGTTATTCCTTGCGTTTAGCAGGCAGTACGGTGTACCAGAGGATGAACTTTTCCAGACTGTTGATCTTTTTGAGGAAAAAGATCCGGCAAGTGTCTATCAAGCATTGAAATCTCTGAGTAGATATGCTAACAAGAAACACCCAGATAAGTTCCCAGTATTGGGTCCACAGTTGACGGAGAAAAAGCCAAGGCCACCAGTAAAAGCTAAGCCTAAGCATTTGCAAACTGAATCTCCAGGTTGGAGTACTTATGAATACGGTTACATGAAAGGGGCATCCCAAAAAACAGAAAACATAGTGTTTGGTCAGAAAAGAGATATCGCTTAAGATATTAGACCTTTACTTTCACAGAAGATATGTAATAATTTCTGTAATGTATAAATGCATCTGACATTCATATGAGGTCTAGTAATTTAAGAGTAATAATTAAGTCTCATCGAGATAGTTCATTAATTGTTGGGATGACTTTATTTGTGAGATTTTATCGCAGTATCTACCAATATCATCAGGAACTTTAATATCATCTGCACACACAAGTAATTCGTTCTTTTTTAGAGTACGCACGCATGCCCATAAACCTAGTTCAGTGTCACAATTAATAATTTTGTGTGTATCTGTTTTGATGTCATTACTGTTCTGAAAGTCATTTACAGATGGTAAGATTAGGAATACTATATCTTCTTGTAGTATCTCGTCCCAATCCAACTCCACTAGATTTGATAACTTATTAGAAATTATAACACATAATGATCGATGTAATCTCTTCTTGCCTAATTTTATAGCTGGTTTTTCTTTAATCTGATTGTCTTGAGCAGTGCCATCATCTTGTTGATTAAATTTTGATACTGAGTCATCCTCGGAGTGATTTCTCCACCACAAATAAGCGGCTGCACCAATACTAACAGCAGCTATTATTGCCAAGTAGCCTTGATTCTTTCTCCGCTTGGACATTGTGAGGTATAAATTTGCAGTTTCAGTTTAGTTTGTTAAACCTCAATAGCCAGTGCAATAGTAGAATCTTTCAAAATTCTGTCGCTACCTTAAATTCGTAAAGCCTCTAACTGACACTAAGGATAACTTTTCAGATTACTTGAGTTTATAGCAATACGAAAATAATCGAGTAAGCTTTATATAATATATTACTATTGATGCACTTGAGTGTCCCTTATTATCTCAGCTACATAGTACTTGGTATCCAATGTTTTGCCTTTCTACCGTTATGGCATAGGGACGTGAATTAGTGAAAAAAATGGCGTTGCCGAAACGATCTCATTTTTGACCGAAACATAAAATTGATTTGAAGTACCTCATCATGTCATTATGTTTAAAGTTATACCAATATACACTCTAATTAGATATGCCATTGCAACAAACCTTTCTATCATAATTCGCATCCTTGAAATTATTTATTACACACTGATATACACTACAGGATGGTAAAGAGTCGATTTAGTGCCACCACTGTTCACTTAGAACATATTACAACAGCGTTAAACTGTTTGACACCTTTTGGGAGTAAGGATGATATATTGATATATATTGATCATGATGGACTTTCCTTTGTTAAAGATAACAACGGTGTTATACGTATTTCTCTTTTGCTGGCGAAAGAGTTGTTTAGCTCATATCATTTTGCTACCACTGAATCAAACCAAACTGACAATGATGGTGATGACCTTGATTACATGAAGCTTTGTGTTAAGATAAATCACATATTGGATAGTGTTAGTGTGGTAAATAAGAATTTGGATGATGTTGTTGAGTGTATTTTATCCTATGATGGACGCGGTTCTCCGTTTTCTCTTACCTTTGAGGACTCAATGATATCTGAGAGAGTGGATTATTCCACATATCTGATCAAGGAGATGGATACTTCTGCGTTAGAGTTGGATAGACAAAAAATTATACTTGAATGTATTTTGAAAGGAGAGGTAATGCACTCAGCCTTAAAAGACTTGAAAGAGATCAATTGCAAAGATATATACTTATATGCAAACGTCACGAGTAATGGGGACTCGACCCTAGCATTCATTTCAAGATCCCAATTAGGCTTGTCTAAGATAAAATTTCCGAGTAATAAAAATGTTATAGAAAAGCTTGAAATTTACGACAACAACTCAACAACAATGTGCTATGATAAACCTGTAATTGGCTATTTTAACTATACTTCCTTTAACAAGATAATACTGAGCACGAAGATTGCCAGTAAGATACTACTGAGAATGGATGTTCACGGGATTCTAAGCATAAATATATTAAGTCACACTGATAATGTTATGATGTCTGAGGATAAATTTACCAAGCAATCTTCTAGTACCTCCAGTAAACGGTATAACTCCATGCAACTTCCAAAGGACTACCCCGGTATAGTAATAGATGTCTGCATGATAGAGAAAGAGCCACTAGATATGTATGCCCAAGAAGAAATACATCAATTTATGGGAAGCGGTGCAATAACTGGAGTACCTAATTCAAAAGACTCTGCCGCCGACGTACCTCAACATAATCTATTAAGCCACCCGGTTACGGAATACGAATCGAATTCGAATACGAAAGATACTTCATCTAGTAGTAATATGAATGAAGACCTACCTATATTTTTCTGATCATTTTAAGATAGCACACATACTTCATATAATGACTAGTAAAGATATAGAAATTCACAATACACGAATAACGATATGAACACTACTTCGCAATTCATATGATCACGTTTTGATTTTGTGAAATTGGCATATATTATTAAATGTCTATTATACACATGGTTTAGGGAATACTTACCTGTAAAAGAGGAATAGCCCCTGCCATGAGATCTAGGCTAATTTATATAATATGTAATATACCATTGAAGCAAGAACGAGTAATAAAACTCAATTCTCATTCAATCAGTGGCTGTGAATGACAACATTTTTTTATGGAATTATAACTCCAGTAAACAATAGAAAGGAAAAAAAAAGTTTTTCAAATCATATTATTTATTGTTGGGAGAAGTGTTCCAAGATCATGTTACGTTCATCAGTTTCAGCACCCCACTTCTTGACAACAACAACGGAGGCACCGACAACCTTTCTGGCGTTACCGTCACGGTCGATCTTACCTAGACCAGCCCATTCACCCAATTGCTTAGCGTCAGCAACCTTGATCAATGGAACCTTGTTGTTTGGGTCGTTAGCCAAACCTTCGACTAACTTGATGATGTTGTCTTCGGTGACAGAGGAGACCAAGACAACCAATTGAGCTTCGTGTCTGGTCAAAGCCTTGGTGGATTCTCTCAAACCTCTGGCCAAACCATCGTGGACCAAAGCGGTTCTCAAGACAACCTTCAAAGCATCTTCAATAGAAACTTCAGCGGTTTGTTCAACAACTTCTTCTTGAACTTCAACGACTTCTTCAACGTCAGACATGTTTTGCTATTAATAAATTTGTGGTAGAGTGATTAGCCTAGAATGTGACTTCCTTACAGTAAGTGTAGAATAAAGACTGCTCAGTGGTGATCTAGGAACAAGACGAAAATAAACTCTTAAATAGAGAAAAGCAATAGTAAAGAAACTATTATTCAAGATAAAATTCTAAAGCTCATTGACGAAAGAAAGATTGTAAGTTTTGCAAGATAGTTTCACATTGAATATTATAATTATTGTCACCGAAGTGCCTAACCACGCAAATTGGGCATCGTTTGCCTCATCGCAGTGAAGAAAGTTTTTCAAAAAAAAAAAAAATTTTTTTTCAAGCGTATTACTATCGTATACTATGACCACTAAAGTATGGATCTTATAATAATATCCTTCTAGACGTCTTATCACAGTGTGTAAGTCCATGGGCGTTGTATGATGGGTATATATGCGCATGGCTCAGTAGTATCAATCATCCAATACTCTATACGACTATAACTCTTTAAACTACTGTCACATAGGCCTTGGGACTTCATATACATTGCATGTATTACGTGCATAGACTTGTACCGCTTAAGGCATATGACGTATGTGATGATAAATACATATAAAGTGGGACTATGTATGTGAGAACAAGTGCTCGCTGTAGTAAGTAGTTGTTTAATGCTGTTCGAGGCTGATGTTCTAATTTGTACTGCATTGCTATGTATATAGAGTCTTTTGATAACAGCCGCTTTGTTCCTTAACATAGGCATTGTAGTTGAGATTGATAAACGTGATATACGTATATAAGTACTTACATATGTTACCGATTTTCTTCGAGGAAACAAATTACTACATCCGGTAATTTGCTGGTGTGCCGAGAAATTCAAACGGAGCAAGAGAACAAATCAAAGTGGGAATGACTTTAGATTATTGGGTAAGATGTATGGGTGTTACGATGTTAGCCATCGATTGAGGAATTTTGAAGGGAGCAGTCACAGAAAACTAGCAATTGCCCTTTTCTGGCACTATATGACTACTATATAATGCTTTGCCTAACCGCTTCAAGTACCATTTCACATACGTTCATCCATAGTCATAGTAACATTAACCTAAACTATCACAACTTGTAATAATATTCGGAGGTCTACATAGGACTGTTCTTAGAATTTTCAATAACCTTGCATGGACAAGTTACAGAAACCACGAATTTATTTTCATTATGATAACTAGGATATACACAAGGTACAGGGGAATTCTATTTATATGTCAGATATACATGACAATCCTATGGTAGTGAAATACATTAAGTTTACTTTTCTATGCTACTTCTGAAAAAATGACTAAGAAATTTGATTTTTACTCCATATAATTATAAATAATGTGCTATGCTGTGTTCTTTAAAATAATAAACAAATTATTACTCAGTTATGAAAAAACTTGATTATTTTTAATACTTTCATTTTTTTTTACCAATTTTCTAAGTTTTCACCTGAATTTTTTTTATAATAGTAGTGGAATATATCTTGGATTATATATACAAATTTTTCTTGTTTTTTTGTAGTTTTTTCTTTATTGAATTTATTTATCGGCAATATCCTTCATATAAATGGAAATGATTCAACTTATGAGATTATCACAACAGAGCTGCAAGTGGAAGTCACTCAGTCATTGGATGCCTTTGATTTCAGAAAAATAACAAACTAAAAGGTAATGCAAATAAAAATATGATATGAAATTTCAAAGCAAAATAATAAATCACAATCAATGAGCTGCGTCATATCTCCATTTCTCCAACAAACTCTGAGTCATCATTTCTATCCATTTCAACATCTTGAGAGTCATCATCTTCGTCGACAATTGCGTTTTCGTAAATCATGGGGTTAGCAATGCCTGCATTGGTCTGTTGTGAACCCACTTTATTGTTTGTCATATCATTTGAAGCTGCATTAGCAGCAATTTCTCTCATCTCATCTTCATCTTCGAAATCTACATCGAAAAAGTCGTCGTCACTACCTACAATTTTCTCGTACAGTACCTTTGCGGCGGTTATCACTTCATCGTAAGATATCTCAACAGAGGGCATTGGTGAGTAGATGATGCCATTATCGCTAGCACCAGGGATCATGAGTTCCTTTGAGCTCGTATTTGTGGCAAAAAGTGCGGGGTTAACGACGTCAAATGGTGGTGTTGATGTAAATTGTGTGTAGTATAGTTTGAATAGAAATTGAAGTTTCTCTCTTGGAATATATTCTCTGAACGACTGTCCTAGTTTCACAGAATTAATTATAGTTTGTCCGTTTACCGAAAATTGGACTATGTCATCATTGTTCTCCAAATCACTGGAGGATTCACGTAGAATTGAAATTTCCATTGCCTCCAAAGCAGCGTCAAGGTCCAGTTCAGCCTTCGAGCCTTGCTGACTGGTAGATAAATACCATATGCAGGTACCAGCAGGGCATGTTTCACTACCTGGACCGAGAATTAGAGCTTGGACAACTTCAGTGTTGTTTGATTTCAAAGAACCTGGAGGAAAAACTACTACCGCAGCCGATTCCCCTTCATTGAACCATTCTAGACATGGCTTGTCGACAATACAAGTCAATCTATGAACTTCGTATTTTTGTTGTGGAATGTTTTGGGAATCTGGAGGTGCTTGGGTTGGTGAGGCAATCACCTTTTCAGTTACTTTTACATTACTGCCATCCGAGAAAGTAGCCACTTTAGTGGATGGGTTATATGATACTAGTTGCTCGTTCAACTTATATGTAGCGCCACCAACAGCTGCAGATCTACAGAAACCCTGTGATACTTCACCAGGGCCACCATATTTCGAGTATAATACTGGGAATGGGCCGTAGACGTCAAAGCTCGACAAGTATCTACGTATTCTCTGGAATACTGCAGGCATCTTTGCGTTCATGTTGTAGCACAGACCGATAGAGAAAATAAGTTCAGAGATTTGAGCTTTCTCCAACTTGAATTTCTCCGTTAGAAATTCTTCCAAAGTTCTGTCCTGGTACGGTTGCCATATCTCAGGTTGTTGTTCCCAGTTAAACACAAATTTGATAAATCTCATGAGGTTTCTCTTAGTCATTAGAGGTAGTTTCTGGTCGGTGAATATCTCTTGTTTTGAGTTGGTCAGTTTTTCGAAGGAGTCATTTTCGTAGGTGTGAAAGTTCGATAAGGATTGGAATTCCAAGTACTGGTACACACGGGACTTCACCAGTATTGATAACAGGTCTGACTTGGCGAACAGCACCTTTGGGGATAAATCGATACCGAAATCGCGGGAGGCATACCTGTTGGGCCCTATTAGGGTGGACACGTACAGTTTTGCATTAGTGTAACCTTTAACCTCACCGGAGTTAATCCCATTCACCCACTTCTTTATCTGGTCCACAGTCAGCGTAGCCGAGGTGTCTCCGTAGTAATCGTTCTTATCTATATGCAACACAGAGGATCCTTGCCAGGACAACGCCGCTGCCAACACACTCTCCACCATACCTGTACCAATGATAACCACGTCCACTTCCTCTGGTGTGGCCTCTGGTAGCGGGTCCTCAATACCAGCAAGATGTGGCACCATCAGCGTATGCACAACGCTCGAACCGTCCCTATTATGATCGATATGTGGCACAAGTATAGAAGGTCTTCTCTCGGCCATAGACGGACGTCTCTCGGGACTCAGCATGGTCATTTACTCAAGTGTTTATGGGTCTTTTTTTTTATTATTATAATTTGGCTTGTGTACCTCACAGCGTCTCAATAGAATAAAAAAAGTCTATAGCCAACCTTTACTTTATACCTTACCATTATTGCGTCATCCGAACAAAAATTTTCCAGCACTGGCCTTGAAGAAAATTTATTCCCAGGCGATCTTCCTAATCTCCGTACCGGGAAACCTGCCAGAAAAGCTGTCAACTGCTTTAAGCCATTAAATTGTCCTTTTTCGGGACAAAAGGGGACAAATCAGCTTGCATGTGCTTTCCCCTCCACCAAAACCAAGACACTATTTGACGGGGGGGGGAGTCCTAGCGTTGTCTCTGAGATTTGTCTCTATGTGGGGGTGTAGTACAATCTCGAACAGCCCCATTGTTTGCCTCCTAGAGAAGGCTGTTTACTCTGTAATTCGTGTCCCAGGGGTTGACAAAAGTCTAAAGACTAATTTTGAGGGGATCTCCCCTCAGACAAGAAATCACAAACAGCGTTCCTTGTTATGCAGGAACAATCTGGAAATCGCCTGCTGACAGGGAATTAAGGAGAAGGACCATTTGGCCTAGTAAGACAGACTTATAGGTGGTATTACGAACTGGAGGACAGTGGCACGTAGTTTTAAGTCCTTCAGGTTGGAGCGCAGTGCGAGGATTCCGCCCACCACGAAGAGACTGCCATTTATGTGGACAGTAGCGCCCGCGGTGGTCATCACTGAGTGTGATTTCTTGGGCTTGTCCTGCTCGTAAATGTACTCGTAGTGGCCCTGGGCGTTCTTTCTGATCTTGTAGCCCTGCAGGGTGCTTGTCTCCATGTCGAAGATGTTGACGGTGTTTTGTCCCAGCAGCGGGCGTGGCTCACTGTCTGCGTCGATAGGCCCGTCGTGGTACATAGATGGCAGATCCGTCTGCGTGATACCACCGAGAAGCACAAGCATGTGGCCCTCATAGGCCATGTCGTGCCCAGTCAGCTTCAAGTCAACGGGTACTTCCTCAACAATCGTACGGGGCTCGTCTGGCGCTGCCAAGCTGATGTCACCTTGGCATTCATGGCGGGGCTTGTCCTTGATCTCCTTAGCAAAGAGATTCGATCTTGACCACACCTCGTTCTTGATATCAAACATCCAAAGATCACCGTATATCTCATCGTGGTCAGATCCACCATGCATGATTATGTTAATGCCTTTACTGTTGTACAGAATCTGCATCCGGGTCTCAAATGCCGTCATCGAGTTAGAAATTACATTGCTGTGTTCTGTGGGAGCACCGAGATTAACGGCCGAACCTTGCTGACTAGGCTTGTTCAGGCTGTTTAAGCTAATGTGACTGCTAAATTGACTATGTATACTGGGTCCCAGATCGTGGTATGCTTCTCCAAGGTCCGATTTAACACCAACTGTGGTGCCAAACAAGTTGGATGTGTTGCCTGTTAGATTCTTTGTATCAATAGAGTATTGCTCTTCTAAGCGCTTCAATAAATTCGACTCTAGGGACTCTTTTATAGGGGGGAACACTTCAGATATGGTGAAAGCTGAAAATGCTCGAGCAGATGGCCAGACTTCTTTCTTTGGCAGATTGATGAGCTCAGCCTTTGAGGCAAATTTGATGAATCCTCTTTTACCTCTAATCTCCACCGGGAGATCTATACGCCACATATCGTCAAGAGCCTTGTACTGGTCGTCCTCAGTCTGTGTGTAGCCACCGAACACAAATATAGAATGTATTGACTTGTATGGAGACAAATTGGTCTTGTTATGTATCTTTGTCTCTGAGTCGTTAGTAACTTTTGAGTCGGAACCCAGACTGTGAGGCATCTTTTTCGCAATAGAAGATAATTCTTCAGGTTGCCGGATATTGTTTTGACCGTTGCCATGATTGGTCTTGTAGTGGTGATGACTTCCGTAGTACAATTGATGCGAAGAGGTGCGTCTAGAAGAAAGTACTGAAACATTCTCTGAACTCGATGTGACAGAATTGTTAGTCAGGTCGATATTTGCAGACAATTGAATATGGCCAAATCTGGGATAAAATTTGTTATTCCTCTCAGATCCTTGTCCTGGGTTGATGACTTCAACTTTTGAAAACTTTAATGTCTCTGTGTCTAAGATATACCCCAAATTGTTAACGAACGCTCTTTTCTTCAAGTAATACTTGCCATTTTCATCCTTCTTCGTTTCTGTCTTAATCTCAAAACCACCATAGTAAAAAATATACCTATCATTTATAATCGATCCTTTTGCACAAATTAAAGGAGGTGGGGCATTACCGGAAAAATCTGGCTTACCGAACCTACTTTGCAATGTCGAATATACATATAGAAATGGATTCGATATCAGACTTGGATTGTTGATTAGTTTGGATAATAGAGGAGGAGGGAGGTTTTTGATGGGATCAACATAGAAGTCAGAAAGGTCCGGAGCTTCTTCATCAAACCTATAGCATGCTGTTAAACCACCAATAATATATATGTTATTATTCAAGTGTACTGAACAATGGTACACTAGGCCCGGCATTTTATAGTCAGCAAAAATCGATGGTACAATAGAAGTACCAGAGTATGTATCGTAATTCTTCGGTACAAAGTCCAATCCTTTTATGAATAAAGGACAAGCCTTTGAAGTGAAGTAGTCTCGGTAGATAGCTGCTGCTTCTTCGCTAGGTTCTCTATAATCTAAAGTTTGTTGCAGTTTTTCAGGTTTCAATATGTAATGATATTTCCGCTTTACAACAGGCATCCAGAGATTGTGCCTATGTATAACCTCCGAATCTCTAAATTTGACACTCAACGGTTTTTTATAATACAGCAGATATGGTTTAGTAGAGTTGAAATAAGTATCGTTGTTGTCACCAGCTTCATTGTTAAGGTTCTCCATGTTCTTATCTGATTTATTATCATTATTATCGAAGTGTGGTCGAAATGGTGAATCACGATAGAATTGACTTCTGTCCATCTTCATGATTTTTTGCAATATGGACGGGTTTAGCTTATGCTCTTTATGAATGAGGAAATCATTTAATACTTTATATATACTTTGCCTTTCATTTTGTAGGATAGATGTCTCAATAGAACTTGTAATTGAGCCGTGTCTATGCTGATCTGGATTAAATTGTATGTCATTCATTGAGCTCAAGTTAGTATAACTATTAGTTGCACTATTGACTGTATGGTTCATTATGTTTGAGAAAGCGCTCCTGTATTCGTAATAACATTTCAATAGTTTTTCATTCTCCAAACATATCTTGTCGTTATTATTCTTTTCCAATGGTTCTGCAAATATTGAAACATAGTTCGTTGCAAAACTTAACGGTTCAAACGTTTCATATCTAGAAGGACTATCGGATTTCATAAATTTACTTATGCTTCCAGGAACAGATATTAAAGTGGGTTTTTCATGGTTGCTGTTTATGTTAACAGACCCATCGTTCACTATTCCTTCCATAATGGAAGTATAAGTACTTTTAATTAATTGGAAATGGCTTTTCCCCCAAAATTCAACTAAAAATACAAAACCGATATAATGATTGAACTTATACCCGGCTGTCAGAATGTAAAACTTGCTACCTTCAAATTGTTTCTATCACACGATCACCTCGAATGTAAACAAAAAAAATCTATCAAAATAAAACTGATTAAAATTATTTTTCTCTTATTAAAATACTTTCCTGAATCTAATTGACCTAAAATATACTCTTGTAGTATCGACTTTATAATACCTTATCGCTAATCTTTTCTTCCAAGAGTACAGACCCTTGCTCTTTTCGGAATTATGTCTATCAAGTTTTTATTTGATCCTGTTGTACTTAAATACTGAGAACAATGGCAATTCCTTCCACACTTGCTCTCGACATATGAAATATTATTTGAAAAGAACCCAACCCATTGTTTCCAATTGCTAAAATCCATCGGATTAAATTGCTAACAAAGGGATTTTCAATTTTTTGATGAGGGATGTGCGAGATGACGTTATATGCTTTTCCGTCTGTAGTAGCAACTGGAGGGGACAACGCAAACTGATGGTTCTTGAGCCAACCTTTACATACCATTAATCATATTTTGCGGATGTTAATCATGTAGTGCGGATATTAATCATGCATTGCAGATTTAATGGCCACCAAATAGATAAACCGTGTTTATGGATGTTGCTTGGCAGGAGTAAATAAACTATGACATTCGCTATCGTCACGAACTGAAGTCATCAAATATCACATCAATTGTATACAAGAATAATATTTAAATATATAGCATAACTATTTAGGGAAAGCTTCACGACAAGGGGTCGTGGCATTCACAAGATTGGTACCTTGTCCAACCAGTACTTTCTCTATTTCCAACGGTTTTGTTTCATTCAAAGAATCCATAATTACAATCTGCTGATTTTTGCATTGAACCTCTTGATAGCCATTATCACGGTCATTAATATTCATACTGTTCCCTTGTATTAATGCGCCAATATCAACATAGTCATCATCAGTTATTGCATCTGGTGTTTGAGAGAGTTTTAGTTGAGGTGATAGTTCAACATTTCCGATGTCATTACTGTTAAGATCAGGATCTCGATACTGATCCATACCATCCAACACATTTACTATTGTCAACAAAGAAGTGAATTCCTGAAACTCATCCCACTTAGAACAAGGCAGCAGAAATCCTAAAAGCATCGATGGGTCTAAATCACTAAAGTTGAGTTTCCCAAAATTTTCGGTATGACATGATTCATCAAAGTCATCAATTAACGCTGTTTGTGAATTATGAGGATCAAAAAAAAGTAAAGTATCATCAAAATACCCAAAAAAATAAAGCGACGATGAGGGCCTGCCCCCAGCTATGCCAACAGAAAATGGCGATTCTAACATTGTCTTGATTTCGCCCCAATATCGTTCATGAACAGAATCGAGACCCAGTTTTATTCCCAGCAAAATTAAAATATTTCCATTTGGATACCTATCTATCATACCTTGTATATTCTCCTTAAAAATGTCTCCAGAAGACACTGATATATAACACGCCTCTATACCATAGCATGGATTTTCCTGTATTAGATACCTGATACATGTAGCGGTAGTTGCGGGACCAAACCATTCACCTGGTGCTATTTTGTTATATATCCGACCACATTTGACAAAATTCTGCAAAGAAAAAGCTGATTTAGTATTATCCTTAAATAAATCAGTGATTTCCTTCGTGTCATCCATTTCGTATATATACGGCTGATCTTTAACGGTAGATTTTACTCTTTGAAGAGCATTTCCCAATAAACTTTGACCTGTTCTAATCATACAGCCCCATCCTACATCTGTAAAAAAGCACTCTCTATTATTGAAAACATTCTCAATAGCATCGATCGGATTTATTCTCAGCATTATTAGTGGGTTTATTGGGGAGGGCCCATCTGGTGCCCGTTCAATGGGTTCAAAATTTGTTCTGTAAGTAAAATTTAACTTAGATCTTATAGCATTCAATATTTCCTCAGGTATTTCACTGTTTGTAGTAAACCATTGCATTAATGCGTTTATTCCCGTGTTGCGATCAACAGCATAGCTGTACTTTTCTCCCAGTATAACTACCAAATGTCGTACCTTCTCGACCTCATTATCCTCTTGATTTGAACTCAAACTATCATTATCAGTATCTACATTAACACTCTTGTTTGTAGCTAGCACTTCTTGTAACCGATTCGATATATTATGTATCGTTTCCATCTAAAACTCCTTAAATTATCAGTATCAATAAAATAAAAAGAGCTAATAAAACACTATATTGTTAATCTGATCTCACCATTACCAACTAAAACTAAAGCTTTCTTAAGTATTATTGAATTTACCGATGATATGGCTTCTTTTACCTGGCTTGACCATCATTAAGTAAAGCTTTGATCTAACTAACTGCCCTTTATTTTATCACTTTTTTATTTCACCGATTTTGTTAGAGGCGATGAGCTAGGATGAAATGCTCACATTTCTGAATAAATTTGCATATATTAGTGCAATGCTACCTTGAGGTAGTTAATATGAAAAAAGTTAACAACTATACAACGTCTAACCTTTTTTTTGGTGTATTAAATAATCATTGATTAAATTTTGGTCAGATGGCTAAGAGACATAAGCACTTCGAAAGTAGAGGTGGGTTTAGGAAGAAAAGAGGTGGCGGTAGAGGTAGCCAACGTGGCCGGGGCAGTAAAAGAGGAAGAGGTGGTAGATTTAGAGGGTTTGAAGAAACTGAGAGAAGTGCATCTGAGCCTGGTGCTTGGCTGAATTCGTCTGTGCCGCTAGGAGATGGTGATCTAAGTAATCCAGACATGATGGTAGATAATTATCGACCAAGGAAACATATATCTCAGGATACTATAACTGACCATTATTTTGGTCGCAAATCAAGTCTAAAATTAAACTCTATGCGAATGGCTGGTCTAAGACATAATGATTGGAGAGACCCAAATAATGGCAACAGCGCATCATTTCGAAAGAGACCCATAGAATTTATAAAAGCCAACTGTACTTATGATCCTTCGAGAGACTTAATATTACAATTAGCAAACAGATCCAAGAATCAAGAATCAAAAGAACCTGAAGAAGATGCCAATAAATGTTCAGAATACGCAGAACATTCCGAAAAAGATATGGAAATTGATACAGCCGCAACAGAAAATGACGCTAATATTAGTTATGATGAATCTGATACAGATCAAGAAATTGGTAATTTTAATCACAGTATAGAAAATTCTAAGCATAACAATAACATTTCAGAGTGTGATATCACCGCCGTTACGGACCAGGAACTATTTTTTGTGGATGAAGAAGGAATGGACATATCTCAAAAACCCACGAAGGTAGTGCATATAACCGAACATGAGAAAAAAATGGGGAGTAATGTTGAGTTTCATAATGTTTTAACAGTCGGAAAAGTCGAAATATCACTTAATCAAGATGAAAACGATGAGGTTTATGTTGACAGAAAACCCACAGCAAAATACCATCCCTTTCATAACTATATTTCAAATGTGATAGAGCGTATGCAGGAAGAAGAAAATATTGATTCTGATGACTTTGAAGATGAAGATGATATATATCTAGACAACAGTGGCAACGACATGCCTGAAACGGAACTTGACCAAGATGAAATTATAGATTTACAAAGACATGACGATAAAGATCACGCTGTCCAAACCTGTGCAATCCCAACTAATACTCTTTCAAATGATCTTGACACTCTTCATATTACGGAAAGTAACGATGACAGAATAACTATTAATAATCATAACATGGACTCCACTGTTGAAACAGATAAAGAAAAAGATCCTGAATTTGGATTTTTGGAAGAAGATTATGCAGTAAACACATCTGAGGTTATCGTAGATAATATAAGACTGGGACTAAACGACAATAGCTACTTTTTAAAGTGCTATAGATTTTTCGGCGACTACTCCTTTCATTGGATTGACCAAGAGGCTTTTGTTTCGTTTCTGACAGAAGACCTCGAACTCCCTATGAATCGGGTAGGGGCCTATTTAGCGTATGTGAAAAATAGTTTAGTACCAGATGAAACACCACCGTCACCGACATACTCTGATATTCCATTTTCAGATACCAGCAATGAATCAGATGAGGATAATGCATTACCTAATGTTGATGCGGTATCTTCTTGCAGTAATGATGATGAAGATGAAGAGTTAGGAGATGATGTAGACGACCTTGTTTCATACTCCTTGAAGTACGCTAACTCTAGAAACATTGATTATGAAACAAGAGCATTAGAATTCACAGGCAAGGGTAAGAAAAAGAAGCTTTTGGTTAATGAACAGCTTGACTTGGATAATGAAACCATGGAAACATTACAAGCAAAGTTATCTAAGAGAATGGAGAACAAAGCCAAAAAGAGAAGGTTGAAAGAAGATTTTATTGATAAGGAGAATATGAACTCTGATGATCTATTTTTGAAATACCCATATGGTTTCCACGTACAGAATATTAGAGATGAATTCGAACTCTTTTTGACAAGAAATAAGGACAGAATGTCCTTTCCTCCACTCGATCCACATGGAAATAAAGTAATAACCAAATTTGCAACCTGTTATAATATAAAAAGTAGCAAAGTTGGAAAAGGTAATCACACTCACATAATGGTCGAGAAAGTAAAGAAAACCAAATGGAGTAGACCAAATTACAACATGGTCTTACAACTCACTAGACAAAGACCTGTTTTCATGCGAATTGATGTACGCAGACCAAAAGAAGATGCAATCAAAGAGAACAGTGGTAGAAGAGGACCTACTGCTAAATTTCATGTTAAGGAAGGGGAAGTTGTTGGAGAGAATGCTCCTGAAATCGGTCAGGACAATATTGGAAGAAGAATGCTTGAGAAATTGGGCTGGTCTAGCGGAGAAGGTCTTGGTGCACATGGCAACAAAGGTATCAGTATACCAGTTATGGCTCGTGTGAAGAAAAGTAAATCTGGTCTGAGACATAGTAAAGAAGACGAGGACACAGGCCGTTCCTCATCATTCAGAAAAAAATAGTATAATTCTTTTTCTCTCATAGATTTTGAATAGGTAAGGAACAGCTACATGATATTATAAACAACTTGTTCAGTTATTTATTCCTTTTATATTATGCTGCATATCCATCTCTAGCATTCATTAAGTGTTTTTTTTATAAAATCTTTATTTTTAATGGATTATATTAGGTTATTCGATGTGTTATGTAAATTGCATTTTTTTTCAACTTTGTATATTTATACTACGCGTAATCTTGACAAATGATTCACCTTAATTTTTGTGTTTACAAAAAAAATAAAAACAACTATTGAAAACGATGTATTGCGCAGCTATATATTAATTGAAATATATAAAATATCCCAGTATATCTGAAGCTACTATCTTTTGACTTTAAAGTTAAAAATCAAAAATACGTTGAGTTTTTACCAAAGGTTTTGTTACTAAAACTCCATTATTCGGTATACGGGCATTTTACGTGGAGAAAGGATCCTAACATTCGAAATACTGATAGAAAAAATTATAAATAGGAATATAAAATGTCTTTGTCAGTTGAAGATCAGCGAGCTGAACATATGCGTAAAGAGGCAGCGCTTGTTGCACTTCAATATGCATATGATGAAGAGGATAAAGAAAACCACCCGCTTCGAGAGACAAATGGCCACTTTTTAAACCATCCAAAAACCACAATTCCTCACTCAACTCCGCTAGTTAAAATTGATGATTTTAACTCTAAATATGAAAAAGAAATAGAAACATTAAAGGATCAGCTATTTAGTATCAAGAATTTACTAGGCATCGAAGACCCAGATAGTGAGCACAGCGATTATGAATTAATAGAGACATCGATTAAAAAAATGAAAGGACAAATAGAAAACGCTCTTAAAGAGAATAGGATGCTCAAAGACCAGGCTGTCGAAAATGCATCGGTAACCAGTTCCAGAATATCAGAATTAGAGACAAAGATGAATGAATTAACAGCGCAGAATCAAACACAAAATGAACTCATACAAAGTTTGAAGAAAGACAATCAACTGAAGGAGGAGGAACTTCAGCAATCTTCAAAGGCGGCTGAGCAACTTACTTTGGAATTAGATACCTCAAAGGAAGAGATCAAGAATTTAACGAATGAAAGGATGTCCAATAGGGAGTATATTAAGACATTTATCTTATTTGGTAGACCAATCGGTGAAATAATAACAGATTGTTTAGATTCTTCGATAAATGTGTTGGATGACTCAATTAAGAAAACTCATGCTGACATTGTCAGCTTCAAAACAAATCAAGATATAAATTATACTTCGATACAAAGTAAGGCGGTAGAAAGACTAGATGAAATTAAAGCAATCTTAAGCCAATTACCTCAGCAAATAAAGGACAACGAAAATTTGAACTCTGAAAAGCTCAATGAATTGGTCTCAAAATATAACGAGCAAAACCTAGAAACCATTGAAAAAGTCAATAAGACCAACAAGATAAGCACGGGAATAAACAATGAGACATTGAATTTGATCACACAAGTCAACGAGTTGAAGAGCGAAATACAGCAATTACACTCAGAAGTTGAGCAAATCAATAACCAACAATTCAATCTACAAGAAATTCTGCAAGAAAAAGAGCAATTACAAAAGACAGTATTTGAGTTACAGCTACAATTGAATACAGAGAGAGAATCCAAGATGGAATTGCAACAGTTAAACGATTCAAAAGATAATAAGTTACTATCAATAACAGGAAACACAAATAATATGTTAAGCTTTGAAAAACTGAAACAGTTGGATAATTCATTTTGCAAAGAAGAATACGTATCATTAAAAATCAGCGAGATCGAAGATATATCTTTAGTTCAGCTTCAAAATATGGCTAAAATGATATGTATGTACTTCAGAACTCCATTTGATAAACTCGATATCAAACTACCATTAGCGGCAATTCAAATCATTCACGAACGCAAAATCCTAATACATTTTGCTAATATTCTTAATGAATACTTTATGAGCAAGCCGCTTTCAATGAAAAAATGTACCGATAGTGCCTACTGTGAATGGCAGCTATCTCATAACATATTTAGAATTGAGCATCCCTTAAAATTCAAATTAGAGGAATTATACACAACAATCTTACGTTCAACTTGAGATTTGATCTTACCTTCTCTATAGATTTCACCAAGCATGAATCACTTTCATATTGATATCCATTATTTCTATCTATGCGATCCCGATTTCAGTATCATTTTTTTCATATTGCAATGCGCAAAAAAAAAAAAGTGAAGCGATGCCTGAAAAAAAAAAACAACTAAAAACATTGAAAGGTTATGTGATCGCCATAATCCATCAAGTGAGGCCAGTACCAAAGTCTCAACTAATTTACTGTTCTGTTTTATCTTTCTACTACTAATTCCTATAGAATTTTCCATCTGAAAAACTATTAAGAATTTGAAAAGATATATTACGTATCGCATAGAAAGGTGCGCTAGGAAATAACATTCGCTTATAAAAATACTGAGGGCAAATTGATCTATGATCAAAAAATGAAAACATGTTATTATGACCTACTTGAGGTACGATCTGATGCAAGTGATCTTGATCTAAAAAAAGCTTATAGACGGAAGGCATTACAGTATCATCCTGACAAAAATCCAGATAATGTGGAAGAGGCCACCACAATATTTGCTGAGATAAGAGCTGCCTATGAAGTCCTTTCTGATCCCCAAGAGAGGGCTTGGTATGACAGTCACAAAGAGCAGATCTTATCAGATACCCCGCTCAATCCAAACGATGAAGATGATGACTACGTTGTTGACAGCACTGTTACTGGTGTCACAACAGAGGAATTGATGATGTTTTTCAATTCCTCTCTGTACACTAGTATAGATAACTCTCCGGCCGGCTTTTACCAAATTGCAGGAAAAGTGTTTGCTAAAATCGCAAAAGATGAAGTGAGTTGGGGTCTCCGATTAGGTTTAGATGGCTACAAAAATTATAAGGATATGGAATTTGAAGAGCACATAAATAGCAGAGGTTATATTTTAGCTTGTGATAGTAGTAAAGCAAACCTAAGCAACCTTTTGTTCCCAATATTTGGATATTCAAGTACCAGCTATGAAGAACTAAAACTATTTTACACAAAATGGTCATCTTTCAACACACTAAAGTCATTTACATGGAAGGATGAATATATGTACTCCCGGAATTACGATAGAAGGACTAAGAGAGAGATCAATAAGCGGAACGAAAAAGCGAGGGCTAAAGCTAAGGAGGAATATATAAAAACAGTAAAGAGATACGTCAATTTCATAAAGAAACTCGATCAACGGATGAAAGAGGGTGCTAAAAAGGCTGCCGAAAAGCGACTAGCCGATGAAAGACTAAGAAAGGAAAATGAAATGAAACTTAGAAAAGAGCGTCTAAATAATGAACAAGGTGCGCAGTTTCACTTACAAAGCTGGCAAACAATTGATCAAGAGAATTGGAAAGAATTGGAAAAGCAATATGAAAAAGAATTTGAAAAGAGAAATGTTGACAAGGACGATGAACTAATAGGACATGAATTTACTAAAAATCAATTTCAAACTAATAATAATTCTCAGCATGAAGATGTTGACGAAATTATTATCTATGATTGCTTCATTTGTAAGAAGTCTTTTAAGTCAGAGAAGCAGCTTGAAAATCATATTAAGACCAAATTGCACAAGAGAAATCTTGATCGAGTACAAAAAGAGATGAAGAAAGATAGTATGGCATTGGGTTTAGATGAACTTTCCGATTATAATGATTTTGACTCTGCAGAATCTGAAACAGAGAAATTGTACTCTGGAATGGACCTTAATGACATCGATGCTGAACTAAAAAAAATCGAGGAACAACTAGCACAATCATCTGTAACAGATAGCGAAGATTTTACTGACGACAACAATGATACTGAGGACCAGAATAGCCTGGTTGACAAATTATCAAACACCAATTATGATATCGAGATTGATGATGAGATTAATGATGATACCAATGAAGAAGTACAGATCTCAGGAGCTGATAACTCAGAAACACAGAACGCTGAACAAGACCATGATAGCAATGGCGACTCAGAAGAGGAGAAAGAAGATGAACTGACTCGTATACTGCGTGAACTTGAGGAAAGTAAGACCTCAAGATCAAATTTTAGTGATAGTGATGAAGAATGGTCAAATAAAAAGAAGACAAAGGCTAAAAAGAAAAAAAATAAGGCAAATACACCAGACAAGCAACCAGTCACTGCCAACAAAAATGATGCTAAAGAGGTTTGTGGAGAATGTAGAGCTGAGTTTGAAAGTAGGAATCAGCTCTTTAGTCATATACAGACAGAGGGTCATGTATCGCCCCTTTCCAAAGTCAAAAAGGGAAAAAGATCCAAAAAAAATAAATAGCATGATTTAACTCAGAATATTATAAATATAATGCATCAATTACAAAATTACTTAATATTATGTATCATAACCATTTAGAACTAATCATCTCAAATTGCTTGGAAACATCATTTCTTATGACGAATATCTGTTGCACTTTTTTTCCTCTGTTTATTCAAACGTACATTAAATCCCGGTCATTCTCAAAGCAAAAAAAATTCAGCGAGTCAAAATTTTGAGATTTTTCCAACAGAGAAGATTACAGAAAAGTCCAACAAATAGAAACATATCTTGCTTGGAGACATAACGATAAATAAAATACTACATCGATTAAACAAGTACTGGGTTGACCTTACTGCCACATTTGGTTTCTTTGCAAAAAAAAAGAATTTGAAGCTACTTATTACTCACAACAGCGGTGCCTGATCCTTATAATACACACATACATTGGAAATTACTGGTATTACCTAAAACTTGTTTAGGATAGAACAAATAATATTAAACTGGATTTGAAAACAAAAGAATTTTCATCAAAGCTGTACTTATAGTTAGATTTACGATTTGTGGGAACACTAACATTTCGAAATAATACCTGGACGAATAATTTACATTCATTATTATTTTTTGGCAGAATAGGTGTTATTAGATACCATCGATTTTGATTCATTAGAATAAGAACACTATATCATCAGCTCAAAATATTAGCACAACAACACAATTTTTATAAAACCTCCTTAAGAACAAAATATGGGTGACTCACGCAATACTGGAACTATCTCTAATCTATCGAGTGCTTTACGTCAAGTAAATATCGGCAGTGGACAGGATCAAAAGAATATAAATTATGAGTTTTCAAATGGTCTAAATAACAACGTTAATGATAATGGAAATCACAATTTGGTAAATACAAATGAAGATAACGTCAATAAAGATGGTAGCATAAATACCAATATGATGTCTCGCCAAGTACCTATTCAGCACACTCATGGATCGCAACTATTACAACAAGAGCGTATGAATGAACAACAATTCAACCCGATGGAGTATTCCAGAATATCGAAATTTTTTCAAAACCAACCCATGGAAGGTTATACCTTATTCTCTCATCGTTCTGCACCAAATGGATTTAAAGTGTCAATAGTTTTGAGCGAACTAGGCTTACAATATAACACAATTTTCTTAGATTTTAATCTAGGGGAGCACAGGGCGCCAGAATTTGTTTCAGTAAATCCTAATGCTAGAGTTCCAGCTCTAATAGACCATGGTTTGGAAAATCTCGCCATATGGGAATCTGGTGCTATATTGCTGCACTTAGTAAATAAGTTTTACAAAGAAACCGGCAATCCACTACTTTGGTCTGATGATTTAGCTGACCAAGCGCAGATAAACGCTTGGTTATTTTTCCAAACATCAGGCCACGCTCCAATGATCGGTCAAGCACTTCATTTCAGATATTTCCATACTCAAAAAATTGAAAGTGCTGTGGAAAGATATACGGAAGAAGTTAGAAGAGTTTACGGTGTTATCGAAATGGCACTTGCTGAGCGGAGAGAAGCATTAATTATGGAATTGGACACAGATAATGCTGCAGCTTACTCTGCAGGAACTACACCTTTGTCACAGAGCAGGTTCTTTGATTACCCAGTTTGGCTGGTAGGTGACAAGCTGACAATTGCAGATCTATCCTTTGTTCCTTGGAACAACGTTGTGGACAGAATAGGTATAAATATTAAGGTAGAGTTTCCAGAGGTATATAAATGGACGAAACACATGATGAGAAGACCTGCTGTCATAAAAGCCCTTCGCGGAGAGTAAATTAAGGAAACCACTGTTGGTTGGTCCTTTTTCAGGACGCTCCTTAGATCTTCATAGTTATCTGGCCGATGACTACATTTGCATATAAATAAAGGTGCACATTACTTTTTTTTTCTAAATCCATTTCCCTCAAAAGAGCGGAGGTAGATAGCTTGCCTTGTTAGTACCTTATGTCACTAGATAAATATTAAATAAACTACTATAACTAACATAAAAGTAATTTGCAAGCGTCTGTATTGTTTGATGGAATTGTAACCGCATACCGAATTGCTATATCACAGTCCAAAATTTTAATCGAAATATGTAATGGAGAAACTTAATGCTAATGAAAAGAGTATTTAATTTAAAATAATATATATAAACTAAACTTTAATATGCTTCAGTTTTACCTTTACATCTTTTATCAGTTTCAGATAAATTTTTGACACATTATTTTCTTACTTCGGACGTAAAACCGATCATAAATGTAATAAAAAATTGCGATGAGGGCCACAATAGGAACAATGGCATTATGTATTTGACTCGTGCCTGAATATCCATTTTTGCAAGCAAGGTCTATGACCGATAATAAATCACTTGAAGAAGATTTACAGTCTTATTGTTGGCGGTCAATAAAGTGAGAGAAAAAGATAGTATCCAGCCCAATACATAGCATAACAATCGAAGAATAATTAGAGCTGCTGTCATATGTCATGCATCAGATATGAAATCCTTAAGTGAAATATGTCAGATACACTTGATGCGGCATTGTAACCGAATAGAAGGTGTCAACAATGTACCATACAGACTCATCAGTGGAATTCTAGAGAAACTGAAACTGGATCAGCTGAGAAAACTAGAGTCTACAAATGTACTATTATTACTAGAGGACGAAGAGCTGTGGCTAAAACTGCTTACAAATAATTTTCCAACAAATGTCCACGAGATATATATCAGTAAAAAGGATAAGATAATAAACTACTACATATCATATTTTGAAGAACACGATCCTTTACTTGTTCACGACAATGAAGAACTGCTAAGAAATTGGATTCAACAGTGTATAAAGAAGAACCCTGACAATGGCAAATATCGACTGCCTTATAGGATGCTGTACGACAAATATGAATCGGATATGATTGAGAAGCAAGAAGAGAGTGCTAGACGATTGAGGCAACAAATGAGGCAGATTGAAGAGCAAAGGCAAAAGAAACAAACAGAGTTAATAGAAGGAAAGTCGCTTGCCTTTGGAACTAGCAGACGCTCTGGTAGTAATAATGAGAGATCGGAGTTATTTCGTAAATCATTGAAAGATCACAAAGACAGACTGCAACACTTCAAAAGTGGCGGGTTTGATGTTACTCGTAGACTCGATGACAGTAAACGGAAAGTATACAATAATAGAGTTGCATTTGGTGGGGGATCTGGGAGTATAAATACAAACAGATCATCGATTAAAGTGTCAGCAGGGAATAAAGACGAACGAATAGACACTAGTAATCAGGCTAAACCGGCATTATCACCAGGTAAAGAAACTCCAAAAGAAAATAAACCGATAGTCAAGAAAAGGCGATCAGAGAGGGAAGAACCCAGCATATTTCTAAAAAATAAGAGACCGAACATGATTCGACGTGTTTTCGATACAAGGCCTTCACGTCCCGAACACTCAAATAGAAACACAGAAATAAATACTTCGCCAGTACGACATAGGAATGACACAGCAAATACTTCCCCAGTGCGACACGTTAACGTATCTACAGAGACACCAAAGATCGGAAAGAGGAAGAAGTCATCTTTCTTTAACTTAAAATGATCTTTACAGTTATATAGACCCAATAAACTGCATTTGTAATTATACTATATAGGTATAAATCTATTGTATGCTCGGCACACAATACGTAAATAACCATATGACTCAGTTTTAATGACGGATATTTGCTCCGTGGGAACAACACACAACTCCACTTCGGATCCGTTTCGTTATCAGTATCGAACACCTTGGTGGATCCGGCTCATCTCCATTCTGATGTCTTTCCGTGGGACTCTTCGCAAACCATTCAAGAATTACACGTGATAAATCCGCACCAATCTGGGGGCGAAAGGATGCGGGAATATTATCGGATATGTCGTTTCGGTGTTTCTAATAGTCTCGTATGATCTTCAAAATTCACAGGAAACGTTCCGTTTTCTTAGTATCAAGTTTCTACGAGATTATCACTCTTAAGAATTGCCATCTGTTTGTGTAATCCTTTTTTGTTGTGATGCTTTTCTTTTCGTGTTTTCGTGGAGTCAGAATGAAAACTGTACAGTAGAACCGGGAGGTACGTGTTTGGGATGGTAGTATATCTACCGACAAACACATTATAGTGGCATCCCTGGGTGCGATAGGTTGTTAATGCAGATAGTCTCTCACAAGACACTTGCGATACTAACACATCGGTGTTATTGCATCGCTTTCCTTTGAATTGAAATGCTCTTCTCGCACTGTAAAAAGCAAAAAATTGAAATTTTTCAATTCCATCGAGAAACTGAAGAAAAAATTTGACAAAAAAAAAAAGATAATGTGTGTGATGGGCAAAAATTTAACAAAACACCAGTATTATTGTAAAAAATCATTACAAATCGTTAGAAAGTCGTGTAGCTTTTGATTTCCAGCTACTTCTAATCATCTTATTACTTTTAAGAGCTCAGTTCTGTTTTATTTATGCACTTGAGCATATCCCATTATTCTCCTTTTTTTCTAATATTCCAAAATTAATTATTTATATAAACGTTTCATAATTTGCTTTGGTCTTTATCTCGCTAGACTATACAGTTAGCCAACCCAGAAGATTTAATTCTAAAAGAGGTAATCGAACGATGTTTAAGAAGCTTACAGGTAAGAAAGAGGTCAAGAAAGTTGATGAATCGAAGCTTATATCCATAGATAAGCCAATCAAGTCTCTTCCAGAAGAGATTAAGAGACCGGAAGAAGAGAAGTTGACTGCTGAACAACAAGCGAAGTACGATGAAGTCTACAAGTACCTCACAAATGCTGAATTGAAAGTTGGTAATAAAGAAAAAAATCCAACTGAATCCTCGGGTTTAATCGATGAAGAAAGAGCATGGCTAACCAGAGAGTGTATAATACGTTACTTAAAGGCTACTAAGTGGCATGTTAAGGATGCCATTGACAGAATCCTAGGATCATTGGCCTGGAGACGTGAATTTGGAATTAACCATTTGGGTGAAGAAAATGGTGACGAGGTTACATCGGATTTGGTTGCTGTAGAGAATGAAAGTGGTAAACAAGTTGTTCTAGGGTATGAAAATAATGCTAGACCTATTTTATACTTGAAACCGGGTAGACAAAATACCAAAACCTCGCATAGACAAGTTCAACATCTAGTTTTTATGTTGGAAAGAGTAATTGATTTCATGCCTATTGGTCAAGGATCTCTAGCTTTATTAATTGATTTTAAAGAGTATAGTGATGTACCAAAGGTGCCGGCTAACAGTAAAATTCCTCCAATTGGTGTAGGGAAAGAGGTTTTGCATATTCTACAAACACATTATCCAGAAAGACTTGGAAAAGCTTTGCTGACAAACATTCCTTGGTTAGCTTGGACATTTTTGAAACTTATCCATCCATTCATTGACCCAATGACCAGAGAAAAGTTAGTCTTTGATGAACCTTTCACAAAATATGTTCCTATGGATCAACTAGATGCCATTTATGGTGGTCATTTGAACTTCAAATACAAACATGAAGTATATTGGCCTGCTTTGATTGAATATTCAAAAGAAAAGAGAGAACATTACATGAAGAGATTCCAGAAATTTGGTAGTAAGATTGGTTTGAGTGAGTACGACTTGAGAGGAACTCATGAAACACCACTGTATCCTGTCAACTGATTATATCATCCCATTTATTTGTATTTTTTTGGATGATTACTAATAAACATTCAATTATTTCCAGCTATAAGACATTCCCTCTCATGGACACATTATTGTAATACTGTAACCGCCCAATACATTTTATAGAATCATTAAATAAAGAGAATAATCTATTCATGATAATATAAAACTAATTCAGTTAATTCCGATAAGCACTTACATATCATCGAAAATTCTGTCACAGATTGCAGTGATGTCCCTCTAGTTTATCTGGGAAATATTGAAACAATATATAAAGAAAAATACTATATTAATGCAGTTCGAGGTATATCAATGTGCGATATATTACTATACAAAGATTATTCGTATTCAAATGGTTTGGCACATTTTCTTCTCTCTTGTACACCAGTAAATGGCGACACCATGGTTTGCCAATCCACAGCATACATCAACCCACCGGCGCCATTATCAGATCTAGCAAAAACTACACCTAAATCATTTCTTGCAGTTGTCAAATAATAATTATTCCCATCACCTAATGATAATATCTGAGCTCTGATTATATCACCAGGCTTGTAGGATTCTATCACTTTTACTCTGTCTCTTTCAGTAGCTCTAATGTCTTGTGACCTGATCATACCACGGAATGTTTCTCCCAAATCAGAAGAGGCCTGAGATACAGAAAATGTTGATGCCCCAGAACCACCACCTGGTGCAACTTTACCAGCACCATTACTACCAACACCACTATCTAGAGGGATTGGTTCATTCTCTACTGCCAATATTTCAACGTTTACCTTCTGTGCCGATATTCTTGTTACTCTAGCAAGAACAACATCTCCTTCTTTTGGTAAATTATTCGCAAAATTATTATCCTTGTTTGATTTGTACTCAACTTCTAGATCCTTCGGTATTGGAACTACTCGAACCTCTACATACTTCACCGTTCTATCAGTGTCTCCTTCGGTGGTTACCGTATTATTCTCTTTTGTTTCTGTAGTCTCGGGTTCTATTTCTTGTGTTTCTACTACACCAACCACTGTTGATACAATCGCATCTAGAGAATGTTGATTGTATTTATATTTTTGCAAACTGCAGCCTCTTCCTGGGGTATATTTATAGATTATAAGCTTGTCTTCTTGCTTCTCAGAGCCGATTTCGGGACATATTAAGTCTCCTGGAAAGACGGTTTGATCTATAGGTAAGTGTTCAGACATTAATTCTTGAGCAGACTTCTAGTTATTGAAATCTAGTTCAAAGTTATGCTAATCCCGATTCAAGCTTTATTTGTGTTAATGTAATTTATACAGTTTTGTATGCATGCCAAAAGTTTTTCAGCTTCTCTTAGTTATTTTTTTTTTCAGCTCATCGCAAATTTTGAATGTGCATAACGATAACTATATACTTAAACCATCAGTTGTCAGCTCTCTCAAATGACTAGGGAATGTTAGAAAAAAAATGCATAGTATGTAAATATATAATATTTAACTCTGTGAAATCCAAAATACACAGGTGCTATTGAAGAAAATTGGTGAACAAAAGTTATTATAATGAACCTCTTACTATTCCGATCCGATAAATTTCATGTTTCAGAAAATACTCAATAGTAGTGGGTATAACATTTAGATTCTTCATGAATTTCCATCTCATCTTTTATTTCATTGAGTTCAGCTTTAATCATTTGAGCCAATTGTGGTGTTAATTGGTTACAGGTTGCAATATCTGGGCGTCTGTCATACTCTTCTTCTCCATAAGTCTCAAAAAGTAATATCTCGGAAGAGAAGCATACTTTCAGCTGAGGGATTCCATGAGAGCCAGTCTCTGGTATTTGAAGAAGATTCAAAGCAGGCTCCTGTAAGCCTAGTCCTTCATACTTTCTTAATTTGGTCGCCCAATTTTCATCAATTTGATGTAAGTTTTGCTCATATTCTAGTTGACTGTCATCAATTTCATTGAAGTCCTCGTTCTCAAATTCATTAGGATCAATAACCTTATTGTCAAGAACTTGATAGTTTCCAGGAGTGCTAGCAGGTGGTGAAGGTAACGAAGTTTCAATTCTGTCTTGTGGAATCTTGTATTTAAAGACATCTTCATTTTCTTCAGTAAGTGAGCTCTTCTGTTCAGCTGCTCTAGTTTCAATTTGTTGTGTAGTTTCTTTTTCTGTTCCTTGATCATACATGCTCTCCACCAGTTTATTGTTGTTTGGTAACAGTTCCTGACTATTATAATTGATACCTAATCCTACATCTAGTTCGTCACCAAAATCAATTATGTTCGCAAAATCCATAATATCAGTTATTAATTGTTCATCCTCCTCATATATTAAATCCTCCTTCTTAGTCAAATTTGGTATAGGTTCTCTATTAGTAATAGTGTCATCTGTCGAAATTAGTTGATTGAATTGAGCTTCCATATTTTCCACATTGAAAGCATTGGTATCATACTGCTCTTCCTCATATTCATATTGAGTTCTACCATAGTCATCATGTGAATGGTCAAGTTCAACAACACCAGCAGGTTGTGGAGAAGATTCAATAGTAGAAGAAATAGTAGGAGGTTCAAACATACCATTTCGAAGAATGCTACTGGCTGGGGATTTGGTTAGATCAGGAGTAGAAATTACCATTGGGCCAACTTCTTTAATGAACATCCCTTCATTTTGTGCATTTATGGATAGAGTATCTGTCAGAGAGCGTCTGTGTGATGTTATAGAACTCCTTTTATTTGATTTCATGGATCTCGTACGCTCTAATGAGACAATTGAATCAACTTCAAAGGAGTTTAGAAACTTTGGAAACAGTGCCTCACCAGCATCGGGTCTAGGCAAGCTGAATGCAGGGGACTCGCGATATTCACTGATATTGTCGTTCTTTTCATCATTTTGTCTAGTTGTACTCTCAATTAGCTCTGGATCATTTTTAATCTGTAAGTCTATGTTTAGCGGTGTAGGTTTTCTGATATTCACTTCTGATTCGGTACCAGTGAAATGAGATCCATCTTTTAGTAGGCTCTGACTCTCTGTTTCTGCATGCACTATGCGAGTCTTGGAAATGTTCAATTCGTTATTATCGAAATCATTGCTAATTTGGTTCCTTTCACTCTTCTTCTTCCTGAAATTGCTAAATAATGTATTACTGCTTTGTGATTTAATAGGCTCCTTTTTTCTCCCCGAATTCACATCATTAGGTGAGCTAACAACAGAATTGTTGCTGTTTGAAAAAGCACGCTTATTTTCTTGCTGATGTACTGTTTTGTTATTATTTTTCCTCTTATCACCGCTAGCGCTGCTACTTTTATTCTTTCTTTTCAAAAACGAGAAGAAACCTTTCTTTTCTTTGTAGTCAGATATTTGTTCTAGTACAGGGCCTGTCGATACAGTTCTCGTCGCTCTAGTTTTGGGGTCAACCCTTGGCCCCTTCCGTAAAAGATTGTTCTTTATTTGTTCATTTGTTACAGATCTTTTGATAGGTTGGCCAGCGGAATGTATTGTAGTATAGGGAAGGGAAGTGGTTGAGAAGTTTCTATTCTCTGTTAGCGGGTATTTATTTCCATTATTAGCAAAATTGGTATTGGAATCGTCACCATTGTGATTATCCCTGTGTTTTTCTAGTAAATGTCCCCCATCATTTTGTGATTCTTGTTTAACCTCTGATTCGCTTATAGGTTGTACATGAATTTGAGGTTGTGCTTCCACTATTTTCAAATTTGTGATTGTAGACTGTTCTGCAGAAACTGGTTCGAGTTTTGGTAGAGATGCCGAACGGGACTGTTTGGGCATTGATTGAATCTCAACATGCTCAAACTGTTTCAAATTAGATGTTTCCTGGACAGGGCTCTCTTGTATACAATCTAGATTAGATGCATAAGTAGGTTTATTGCCTAAATCAGGCTGGATTTTAGGTGTAGTTAAAAAATCAGGTTGGTCATAATCATTGGAGTTAATTTGTGTATAATTAACTGTTTGTGAACCATCAATATCTATCAAATTAGGAGAGTTTATCAGGTCTATCTGTGGTTTTTGTTGCAAACTGTTGCCAACTGTTTTAGAATTTGTAATATTAGTATAGTTATTTTCTACTACTTCGTTATCTTCCGATATGTTCAGTAGTCCGCTATTTCTCATCTTCTTATCAGCATTTTTTGATTTCTCTTGAAGTATATTTGCTAATGCACTTAAAGATGGTGATGTAGTCATATTTATGGTTTGTATTTCGTTTTTTTTCAATAAGTTAGATCTGTTAGGCTGAGACTCATTGTTAGAGAGTGTAGATGAATTACTATCCTCATCTCGCTTGACTGCGATGTCACTTTCATTATCTTCAACATACGTTACATCACCTCCATCATCCGCTATTGTAGAGTAATTACCTTCATCTTTATCAGTAGAGTTAGCAATACTGTTGTCAGATAAAACATTCAGAATCAATGAGTTTCTAAATGTCTTAGCATGGTCCATAGTATTTATCGATGTAGATGAATAGAATGTGCTGTTTAAGAGATCATTTTTTGATCTCATTTGGCCTTGTGACATTATTCGCTAATTTTGAAAGGAATACCCTTCTAAAATGTGTTCTCTGAAGTATATTAAATGTTTCGTTACCACGTCAATAGTTGTCAAAATCAAATACCAGCTAAAATTTTAACAGATTTAAAAGTATCCCCACAGAGCTCCAATCTAAAACGCAGGATATATGCTATTCCTTTGAGATACTTGTTGGGCAACAGTACTTCACTTATAGTACAGTGTTATTGGTGGCTATGTTTCCAGTTTATTTACCTGAATAATAGTTTGAGTAATATATAGTTTTTATCAGTCTTAGTTCGATAGGATCAGTTTTGACCTTAGTAGAAAGTTCAATGTTAGAATTTTACCTTCAAGAAAGAAAATAGGACAAGCAGAGTTCAAATTATACGGGTAAGTTATGAGAAACGCGAAATGATCCCCAAAAATTGCTTGCTACTACGAGGAATATACTCAAGCAAACGTTGAACTCATGAAGCCATATGAGATAGTATAGAACCCAATAACGTTGATCAGTTCGAACAGGATTAGGATAAAGTACAGTGACAAACTTGAATGATAGAAGTGAGGTTGTGCAACATTCTAACCTCTCTTTGCCATAAAGTTGCCTCTTCAGGTAACCTAAGTGACGCGTAAATTTTCAATGAGAACAGCCAAGTAAAAATGTCCTCCAGAATACTGAAAGTCACGAAATCGAAAGTGAAATATTCATATGATACGCTGGTTATCACGTGAATTTTTCGTCATCTTGGTAGAAATGTCGTGATGTAAACCTTATTGTATCTCTATATCGGTATTATTTTGCGAGTTTACATATTGTTGAATGAATATATTAAATAAAATTAATTAGGGTGGGATATAAATAGTATATCAAAATTATTAACCTTGAATGTCTTGTCTCAGTGTTTCGTTATTATCTGAGTATAAATACAAATTCAGACTGCCAGTAGAGATTGCTATGTTGTAGGCACCATTTCCATGATGCCAGAATACTTATCAAAGAGGATACCGGTCCCTCCAGGATAATATAAATTAGCTCTCATTCCGTAGTTTTTGGGCGTTCAATTTAGGTTCTGTAAACTCTCTAAAAGAAAGTTATTAAGTTTATGATAATAAAATAAAAAATTAATTCGTCACATAATAATACAATCTCTTTTGGACATCTTGTATGGTGTTTCAATAGGTGCTGATATCTTTTTCTTCATTTTGTTTTGCAGCACAGCCTTCTTCCTTGTTTTCTCCGAGATGGAAGAAGCTGTTGACATATTATCTTTAGATGATGATGCAGAACTCTTTGGATTGACGGAATCTAGTGGAGTTTTTTTCACTTGAATAGAATCTTTGTGTGTCATTTCTGCTTTATTCATGTTAAAACCAAAGTTTTTTATCATGTCTTTAACATCATCTACATCATTATCATTTTCATTTATACTTGTTTCGGTGGTCAATATCTCTGGAATAGGAAAATCGAGATCATCTTCTTCGACAATATCGCAATTGAATTGTGCCATGTATGTCTTGAAATCAGACGTATCTGATTCCTGAGCTTTGGAGAAGGAAGAATTGCGCAAACTAGCATCGCCTGAAGACGTTGTTCGTAATGTGTCCAAGCTATTAGCTCTGGTGGATTTAATACTCTGAGGCAAAACTGGGTCGACACCGAATGCTATCATACCATTCGCCAGGTATGAATACAGGCGAGACCATATATCTTCTAACTCTATTGTGAAAAATATACCAAATCTGTCTTGAAATGTCCTTATGAATGCTTTACCCATGGTCTCAAAATAAGCAGGTTTTATGCCTAATATTCTGGAATGTCTTTTGCCGATTCCACGAAGGTAACTATCAAGGACATGTATATTTTCTAAATTATCTACAGCAGTGTTTAGAACACCGGAAAATGAAACTGCTTGATGTCTAATGGAGGGAAACATTCTTTCAACATTTTGGTCCATTGCTATCAAGTTTTCATAAAATTGTGCGCAAAACAAAGAACCTTCGATAGTACTTGTATTGGATATTTGGTATGGAATACTTTTATCCTTTATAAGTCTTTTCCTATTTTCTTCATATTGTTGGTTCATAACATTGAATTTTTCATTCGTAATCAGGTTGGCAGTCAAAGATATCTTCTTGTTCTGCCTTAGCTTGCCATAAAATGCAGCCATGGTTTGAGGTGACAAGTCATCATTTAACATTATGAACCATGAATCTCTTATGAGTTCTATCTCTCTCTCTGTTAGATGAAGTTCAAGCTTAAGCATTCGTGGATCCATTAGCGATGACGATGTAGTAGATTTTTTACTAGAACCTTTCACCAAACTTTGCGATTCTCCAATGATATCTTCAAGAACTTTGTTCTTCTCTGAATCGCTCATATTTGAAGAGTTCTCCTTCATAAATGATATCGATGTTTCACTACTCATCATAATTTATATTCTTTTGAAGTAGTAGTGATGCTATGGCAATAGGAAAATTGGGATTTAGCTATGTTTAATAGAAAAGATCAATAGGGGAATCTGTTAAAGCACATATGAAGTTTTAATAAAAACTCAAAAAATTTTTAATAGCATAAGGTTCTTTTAACTCTAGCTATCCATATTTCAAAAGTAGGAAGGACCCGTTCATAATATATAAAGTGATGTTCGGTATATAAATGATTCTTAGCTGTAATTAAGAAAATATTGCAGAGAGGTAATGAAAAATCTGAGCTGAAAAAAAAATTACTACAACTAGTATATAGCAGTGGCAGAGGGCCAAGGAACAACTTGGTGAGGAAGTTCCATCAAGTGTGTATTGTTTTCCCATTTGACTATTTAGAACCCTGTACATTCCTCTGTGCATAATCCTCGAGAAAATCTTAAAAGACAATTTTGTTATAGATTTGTGTGCTATAAGAGAACGGTAAAGGGATTTGCTCAAGTAACCCGCGAGATTCTACAATGATTATCTCATTCTTCAATTTTTCTTAGATAGAGGAAGACCACTTCATCCCTCTAAAATATCTCTCATCCCCCTTTCAGTACATGGCTCATATTATTATGTTGCTTTTTACAAATTACATGGATAAGACGGAAAACTTGGTGTAGCTTACATTTCTTTTTGTTAGAGGCTAAAGGGAAGCAGTAAATTAGGAGTTAGTATTCGCTTAGATAGCACGTATTTGGGTCAAACTGCAGGAAGACTCTCTAATTCAATCTAACAATAAATTTCTTTTTCCTTTTTCTTCTGATGCTATCGTTCTTAAGTCTTTAGGATACCGTACTATTGTCTGCAAGATGACCACAGAGAATATCTAGCAGTGACAAGTAGGTGTAAAGTAGAAAGTGGCAAATCCTACCTGCCTAACACCAGATCATTGCAGAACGAAGACTTACAAATTCAAAGCTGTTTCTCATTTCTTTTTCCTTACGTACAAGTTCAGTTACTAATAATGTCATACTTCTCACTTCTATGCAGCACTCACAAGTCTTCAAAAATCTAAAGAAATATTTGACGATGTCGCATCTCTCCTTACATTGGACGTAGTCTCTTTCAGTTTGAGTTGGACATAGCCTACGATATTATATCAATTAATCTGGAAAAGTGAACTATATGAGTTTTTCCGAGCTTCTATCAACATAAGACTTCCACGCTACAAGCCGTTACTTTCGGAAAAACTATATGCTCCAGAGTGAAAATACTAAACATCCTTTGCAAAAACCGGATAATTATCCGGTCAGAATTAACATTGAAGGTAAATGTTCATCAGAGATGCCACGGAAGTATCTCAAAATAACAAAACTCACGCATCAATTTAGGAAAAGGGACGTATTCGGTACCGTTCTATATATTTTTATTTTTACAAATCACTCTGCTGCTGAAATTGCAAAAACATTCTTGCTGTTTTGTGTCATTACAAGCTAAGTAAAGGCGTTATTTGTATTGGGTGTGTTACAATGTCTGCTTACAGACAAGGTCTTGTGTACATGGTAACATAATATTGGCCGATTTTTAATAAGATATCTGTTTAAACATCAATCGAAAGTAGGAAACATACGTAGTTCCTTGCTATCTTAAAATTTGTACGCAATTTTCAACTTATTAGCCCATATATCTCATTGTTTTCCAATAATTAGCAGATTGAACTACTCTTAGCTGTCCTTCTATAGTTTAACGATAAATTATTTCACACAGGTAGAGTTTGTCATAGGAAATTAAACTGCGAATTCCAAGATTGATCTATCTCATTTTACTAAACGGACAATTTGACACTTTTCTAATATTTCTAATATTATTCAGCTTACCCTCTCAAGGATGAAGTTCTTTAACAATAATACCGGATTCCGGACATAATAATTTGTAGACTAGCTTAGGTCAATTAAATTGTATTAAATATAGTCTCCGCGGAACAACATATATATAGAATTGTTATTTTCATTAATAATAGTCCTATGTGCAAAGTTAAAACATAAATTCATAGTTAGACAAAAAGAAATTATATCTATTTCAGTTACCTAAAAATCTTTCTATTAGTGATAGATGTGTTATCGCCTATAACTCATACAGCATACCGAGACAAATACACATGCGGGTATACATAGTTGGCCATCTTCTAGTACTAATGGAAGTCGGTACAATTGTTTTATTAGTTGGAATTGGGTATCCCGCTTTGGTAACTGCCCCACACCTGTTACAGCGCTTCAGCTTGTTATCTGATAACTCCTCTTTTGAAAACCGATCGTAAGTAATTCCATCATATGTAAGCTTTGTAAAGGTTTTAGAATCTCTAAAAGTTGCAGGCATATTTTTTTCATCGATCACAATGCCATCTTCAATGGGTTGTAAAAGTCGGTGAACACCAGGCTCGAAAAACTCATCACATGATATTCTAAGGCCACTGGTATCGGAGAAGTAAATAGCAGATGCATCAGCATGTGAAATAACAGTATTACTGGAGTACTGAAGTAAAAACTCAGTTATTTTATTCAACTCGTTTGGAACTGAAGATCTAACTAACAGTGTTGGCTCTCGCATAATTGATGGCTGTTGTTCACTAAAAGCTGAGAGTTTGTTATTCACATCCATGAGGAATGTCTCGAACTTTTCAAAATTTATAGGCGACTCAATCAAGAGCATTTTTAAGTAAGTAGATGATTCATTCAAAATCGGATAGTTAGTCTCTGGAAACTTGGTAATAATGGCTGTTACATTTTTGATTTCTTTCAAGATTGTAAGAATTAGCGTTCTAGGAATCTTAGCACCAAATACACCCAGAACCAATCTATTGTCAGGGTTTTCGGGATCATTAGTTAGAATTAAAATTTGTTGGATCAGATAAGTAATAAACTTAACAAACCATTTTGTCACTGGTATTAAGGAATGTACAAGATCTTGTTTGGAAAATGCTGTTTGGAAAAACTTATCACCGGAGAGCGGTGGATTGCTAGAATTGGTACTATTGGTCATCTGTTCGATTGCAAATTGCAAATTTCTCGCAACACCGTTAAAAGCAAACGATACATTTTTTAAATATAATATCACCCTTGCCATTTCGCAAGTGTTTTCATCAGTAAATATACTGCCCAATTCTAGCTGAAGCAACATTACTTTTTGTAATGGTCTACTGGATATTATTTTATCCATAAGCTCTTTAGGAGCGCCAGGGGAAAAGTTAAAGAAATTATAAAGATTGAACATTAATGTAGTAGTAAAGTCTTTTGCTCTCTTCTCATCAATCTTTGCAATCTTTAATATGTGTTGTTTGCACGCTAAAGCTATGTCCTCACCTGAAAGCTGTCTATGTGCACTTGTAACATATCCGAAGGCCATTGTTGCCGCATTTATTTCATCTTTAGATTTGTCACTGACATCATCAATATTCATTGGCTGGAATTGAGGTAAATCGTCGTGTCTATATTTGTATAAAATTCCTGCCATTGCTGGTGATACTCTGATCCATTCCACGGTCCCCAGGTTTTTTATAGTTGGATATTTGAAGCCTGCACTCAAAATTGAAGTTATTATGTTACTGAATTTTCCTTGAGGGCCTTGATTTAGCAACCTTTCAGTCTCTAACTTCCAATCATTTTGATTATATATTTCAATCTCACCATTTCTGTAATAGAATGAGACAAATCCATCCAATACTTCAGAAGATATACTTGCAACTTTATGGTGCAAGTTTAGAACACCTAAGAATCGCAAATTGGATCTGTTAGACCTCAAAGCTTGATTGTGATTCTCATTTGAGGTATTTAGTTCTGGTTTCAGTATGCCAAGATAGTCCAATGGGAGCCGGACTTGACCTAGTTTGAATCTTTTGATCAACGATTCTGGTGTTCCTACAACATCGTAGGCAAGTAAAACTTCTGGAGCTGCATCCTTTTCAGCAACAACTTTAGCCAGCACATGTACATGTGTAAAGTCTAAAATTCTTCCTTCGTCATCAGTTTGATCTACTGTAGCATCTAAAATATGTTTGATTTTTAATGATGGATCATTGAGAACAACAGGTTTTGCTGTATTTACATTCCAATCAACAAATAGTTTGTAAAATGATAGCTTTCCTGTGAGTCTAGAGTATGTGGTTATCAATATAGAGTTGTCATTATTCACAGAAGTAATTTTGGCATATTGAAGAAAGTCTAAACCCTTTGACCTTTCATTATGTGGGTTGAAAAGTTGTAGTGTTATTTTTTTATGATCTTTTGAATTAGAGAATTGATACCAAAAGTCTAACTGGCCATTTCGACGTATAGCCAGTCCTGCATATTTCATAAATGGAGGATGAAAAATTCCATGGGGTGATAGTTGTTGTGCCTTGTTTCTATACATATTAATTGAACTATCGAACGCACAAAACTGAGACACTATTACTGGCTTTGACGAACTTAACCAGTGAAAATCGAGAATAGTAGTATTATATTCCTTCTTTGTTTTCTTACGTTCCAACTTAGAGTCAGTATTTTCTCTCTCAGGTTCCAATTGCATAACGTGGTTGTGAATTTTGTAGACATTATCTTGAAAAAGCATTGTTAATTTATCTAGCGTTGTTGGACCATCTGGACTTTGCCCTGCAATAAGCATCGTCATATTTCCCAATTCATCGCATACTGCTAGCATGTCGCCTGGTAAACTGAACCAATTGTTCCAGTGAATTGATGAGATATCATAGAAAAATTGATGTTGGTGTTTCCCTGCGGAGCCGGGTACACTTGTCGTTCCATGAATATTTGATTGCGCTGTACTGGACCCTGAGGCACCATTTATTCCATTACCTGTTTCTGTTTTTAAAGGTACTTCATGCAATTGAGGATGTATAACATATCGTTGTGGTGGATGAAATCTACAGTTAACGCCATTAATTGTTTCCAAAAATGATATGCAGAGGTTTCCATAAGTAGACTGTTCATCAGCATATGCGATTAGTCCTGTCTTTGACCAAGATACCCGTTTGTTATTCAGTTCACACATATTTAAGATCAACTCAATTTCTTTTATACTGAGATATTTCAGCAGCCTTTTTGGATTTCCACTATTGTATATAATTAGGGTAGTATAAGACCTGTTCTGTCTATCCCAACGCTGAATGATTGGTCTGAACAGATATCTATCAAACAGGTGTCCAAGTGTAGTAAATGAAACTGTTGACTAGTTAAAACTGTCGAAAACTAACAGTAAATATGAAGTCTAGCACACTTTCTAACTCTGCAACTAATATTCTCAAATGAAGTGAGTTGATTGTTATTGCTATCGTGTTGAGTTGTTGTTAGTTATGTGGTAGTACCTGAGTTGCACTATATGCGGATATCTTTTCACACCTACGACCTTTTTATTTTCAGTCTCAATTCTTGAAAAAGTTCGTGAACAGGAGTTCGATTCTAGCAAAAAGCACTTATGTTATGAAAACGATAGTTGAATGTATAGCGAAACACTATATATTACGAAGGGTTATGGATTAGACGTTATTGCAGACGCGCTATATTATAATAAGTCACCGCTCATATTATAGGGTAATATATATGGTAATTCTAGTGATATTAATCTTGATTTATGCTAGTTAAGTATATTGCGTTCATCTAATTATGCTAATGATGCTTGATATAGCAGGTATATAGAGATTATCAATATGCAACATACTTGGTGTTGTTCATGCCATATTTATTATATATTTATGTGTCAGATGAATGTGTTTGTGCTTGTTCGCCTGTTGGGTTTTGTTCTGGATTATCGGAATCCAATAGACGTTGATCCAGCGATTCATCATTATTAAACAAATGATTGTATTGAGTATTTTCTTCGTCTGATATATCAAACTCGTTGTCATCGATATCAGATAATCTGAATGTATCCGGAAGAGGAGTAGATGACGATTCGTTTGTAGAATCATATTCTGCATCTGTATCGATCACATCATAATCGTAGTTGCTGGCTCTTACTCTTTTTATCCTTCTACGCGTTCTAACAAAAAACATAAAATGTAAGAGTAAGAACACACAGCCAATAATGAAAATTGATACTATCAAATGAACACCAGTTGGGATAGTTGGCGTCATGTGATGGCCAGTATTTTTATCCGTCCCATTATCTCCATCATTTTCAGGGTTTTCAGTTTCTGGTTGCTGATCAGACCCTGTTTCCTCGGTAACATTATTATTATCAGTTTCTGGACCATCCTCCTTTCGGTTATCATCATCGTTCTCTGACGGTATGTCACCTTCTTTTAACTTCTGTTCTGAGTATTCCGACAATCCGAAAAGTGTTATACTCCAGCTATGAAACTCGACTTTGTCGTCGTCAGAGGTAGTTTTTACTATCAATTTCCATTCACCAGAGCCAAGTTCTCCCCAGTGAGCTACACTCATAAACGTCCAGTCTCTAAAGCCTTCATTGGAGTCATCCTTGCGTCTAACAACACCTAGATGAGATACTACACCAAATGGAGATATTAGATCAATTGTCGTTGTGCCCCTATTTTCAGTGCTAATATCAACATTAATAGTGACATGCTCAACAGATCTGAACTTGGCCTTCTCCAGATCTGATGCAGTAATTTCGATTGTCGATTCAATTGGTTTATCTTCTTTGTCTGTCTCTTCATTCACTTCTTTAATATCAGTGGCAAATTCTACTTGTGGATTAACGTTTTCCCAATCTTTCGCCAAAGCAACTATATTGTGAGCATTCAACTTACCGTAACCATATTTGTGTGAGTATTTCTTCTCCAATTTAGTGGTTTGCCAGTCACCATCCTCAAGGTTATTTTCAATTGTTTCTGAAGAAAGAATTGATAAATATTGCATATCTCTCCACGTAATATTTGGATTAGCTTCCAAGACAAGTGCATAAATACCAGCAGCAATGGGGGCGGCAGCAGAAGTACCTCCATGCCTATCATAGCAGCCACCATTAATATCTGTAGAGTGAATATATTCACCTGAGCCAGACGAATAGGTGACAACAAGTACTGCTGAACAACTTTCGGAGTACGGTGGGTGTAAACCTTTGTGATCGATGGCACCAACTGTAATTGAATATATAGAATTGGTGTACCCATCGTAATTACAATTATCACCATGCATGCCACCATTACCACTAGCAAATACATAAATTGCACCTTTATTGCCTCTTCCTTCTGTGACACCTTTTTTCATTGCCTTTTTAACTAAAGGTGAGGGACCTTGTAAATGTTTTCCATCATCTGTAGGTCCCCAGGAGCAGGAATATATATCATTAACGTCTAAAGCATGGACTAGAGAAGCAGCTTCATCTTCTGCTGTCAAAGGGCCTGATAATATTCTAATTCCAGAGACTTTTGCATCATATGCAACGCCAACACCACAGTAATTATTATTTCTTATTGCAGCAATCTCACCAGCACATCTAGTACCATGGTTATCATCGCTCAAAAGAGGCATTGGGAGTTGTTGATTCTCATTAAAGTCCCACGATCCTTCTTTGCAGAAATTGTCTTTTAAGTCCGGACTAGTATAGTCAACACCATCATCGATGATTGCGGCAACTACACCTTTACCTGTTATATTTTGCAACCAGACATCCTTTACGTTTATATCGTTCCCTGGGAATGCTGGGTTTATTAAATGCCACTGTTTGGGGAACAATGGATCATTGATGCCTATTTTATCCTTGATTTCTTGTATCGGCAGCATGCTAGAATCTAGAGGAGGTGCTGGTACGGGCATCCTTTTCTGTAGTTTATTTGAAGGTGTTAAAAACTCAGACGATAGGATATGATCCTCATTTTCAATAGCTCTCTTCCTCAAAGAGTTGCCTGAGTCTATGTCATCCTCATTCTCGGATTTAGCAACCGAAAACACGTAGTGGTTATCTAGACCCCTCACCAGATGTTCAAAGGTCCAATCTGGATGTAATTTGGATAACTCCGCCGCCGATAGATGAGATTCAACAGCAAAATAATCTCTAGATGTGAAGTTCTTCGCAGGTATGAGCTCTGCATTGCTATTTTTCGATATGAGTGCGATATACGCCAGGTATATGCAACCCTTGTTCCACCACTTCATACTGGCTTTCTCTTTCCCTTTCCCTCTTTTCCAGGAAGTATTATCAAACCGTCTTCTTGGTGAAAGTTTTGAAGTTTCTGTATCTTCAAATAAAACACAGTGAAGAGATGTCCTATCTCAACTTGTATTGGGTCTATTGTAAAGAGAGCTGAGCTAATTTAATCAATTTTTCCTCAAATATATTGTGGTTCAAAACTCTGTGTCTTTGTATCCACTACCCTTTGCTTACTTCTCGTCTCGTCCACTTCCAAGGAACGATCACACAGTCAGCCAAGAGCGGTCACAGATATAAGACATAAGAGTTTGCTAGTATACCATATTAAAAGTGTTCATATGATCACTTTGGGCTATTCGTTGGTTCCTGCGGGATGTGCAGATTCTCAGGGAAAAGCAATAAACACGTCTGGCTTTTCGTTATTCTGCACTTTCGTGTGTGTCTGAAAAGCCCAAAATAGAAGGTCTTTTAATGAACGGAGATAGGAGAGCTCTCAGTTATCTGATACGTCCACTTCATGTGACTATGCCTAGTATTGAATAGCAATTTCTTTTTTATTTTATTTACCTATTTTATGATGTATTGATATTTAGTTTAAGTTTCTATATTCTTCTGCTGCTGTGTACTTACTCTGCTAGTGCGCCCATTGGGTCCCAAATTGGCAGGACAATTGGTTCTTTGTCGTCGAATTTTTCAGCTAGATCGGTTGGCAACTCATCTATGTCGACTACGATTTGGTAGCAGTATTCTTCAAAGTATTCTGGAGTCATCACGTACATACCATCTTTGCCGGAGTCCTTACCCCATGAGTTCTCGACGCAGAATCTCACTGGGTTCCCATCGTCGTCGACATGGGCTGCAGTGATCAGCATCGCGTGGGTCATCAGACTCTCGTGGTATTCAATACGGGAGGCCTTGGACTGCTTCAAGTCGTATTTGATGGCGTGGTAGTTCCACAGGTCAATGTCCATGACACCTGTCTTCTTGTCCATGTATTTTGGAGTGTGAGAGCCGAAGAACACTGGTTTATCATTCTTCAAACGCTTGACGATCAAGTCAGTCAAAGTCTTGTTGTCGACATTCAAGTACAATGTCTCTTCGCCACCAATGACATTACCTAGTCTGTCTATCTTGATCAACTTTCCGTATGGGTTTCTTGGGTCGTTGATCAACGAGACAGGCTTTGCAGCGTCAAGCTTAGCATATTTAGAAGCAAACTCTAAAGGTGTGGACTCTATGGTGTGTACTTTCTTGTCCTTGTCCTGGTAAGTCCATGTAAACTTCTCGTCTGGCTTAACTGGAGGCAAGTCCATGAACAAAGTCATCAATCTGAAGATTTCCTTCTGCATGGAGGTGCGCAACTCCTTGAACTCCTTGCTTTCGACGTCTTTGGTCTTTAGAGTCTCTCTAATAGTCTCGGCAAATTCACGCAGCTTAGAAGTTAGGATGCTGTTCCACTTGCGGGAGGCGGTAGTGGAGTAGGCGGCATCGTTGTATAGGTCCTTAGGGATTAGACCGTACTTCTTGACAATGTTCAAGAACATGCTGTACTGGCCACCGTCCTGTGTTGGGTCAGTCAGCAAGTACTGCACTAGCCTGGAGTCCACTGGTTCTTCATGCGATTGTGTGATCTGATCAAGGAAGTAGTTTGCCTTCTCCAGTTTATCGTAGAAGAACAAGTAAGCTTGAGATAGCTCGAAATCCTTCAATTGCAACTCCTTGACCACATTAACTCTCAGGTGGTTAGTGGCAGCAAATAGCCAGCATCTACCGGAGGCACGCTGGTTGGTGACTGGGGTGCAGTCCACGGACAGCTTTGTGTTAAAGACTCTGACATCTTGCTCTTGTAGTCTGGTCTTATTCAACAACGCATCATCTGCGTTGATGTTCTTCAACACAGTGGTCGCCAATTGGTGGTGTAAGTCCTTGGACAACTCCTTGTCCCAGGATGCAATCTCATCGATAGCCAATGAACGTGACATACTGTATTTTCTTATAGGTCTAATCAGTGAACGGAGCCTGTACATATAATTGTTTTAGCTTTTCTTCAACTTACTCGTTTGCAAAAGTTATAAAAAGAGAAGCTAAAGCCACGGTGTAAGGAAACAATCAGACTTTATATATGATGACCTGGTCCCCGACGTATCCTGGACTCAAAACAGGGTTCAGTTCAGGTATCAAACTAGCAATCAACCTTTCAGGTTCCGTTATCTTTATCCGTACAGTTGTCTCTCAGTGGGTCTGCTACAGTGAGTGGTTGTCACATGACAATCATGGGAACATAGGGAACGATAAGTCACGGGATTAGTGTCTGATGGGGGTGGCACTTTGTCATTGAGAGCGATGAGCTTAGTCATCGGGCATCGCTTAAGTATATTTTAGTAATGTTGGGAAGCATATAAAAGGTTATGCTTGTGTTCTTCTTTTGGTGTTTTCAACTATTTTCTACTTTATACTTTGGTGGTCGAGGACTTTAAGAAAGTAGTCATGAGTGCGTTGTTGTCGGAGGATTATCTGAATGACTATATCAGTCCTGCGTTGGCGTGCACCAAGCCGACGGAGATCAAGAAAGAGAAGTTTGTGACTGAGGATGGTGAGTTTCAAGTCGGAGTAGAGCCCCAGGAGCTTGAGAAAGTGACTATCTCGCTGTCAGACTGTCTGGCGTGCTCGGGCTGTATTACTTCCAGTGAAGAGATCATGCTGAGCCAGCAGAGTCACAGCGTGTTTCTGGATGCGTGGCGTGAGCTCGGATTCGACAAGTGTGGGAGTGCTGGTGACGCGCAGTGCACCAACAAGCTCGTGGTCAGCATTTCGCCGCACTGCCGTGCCTCTATGGCGCGGTACTATGGGGTTGACGTCGATGCCGCTGATTACGCCATACTGCGGGTTTTCAAAGAAGTGTTCCATGCGACCAGTGTGATAGGTGACGGTGCTGGTCGTCTGTTATCTGTGAAGCGCGTGGTAGAGGAGCTTATGGAGAGGCGCAAAGCCAGCCAAGGCACTGCGTTGTCGTCTATATGTCCTGGGTTCCTGATATACACAGAGAAGACGAAGCCGAAGCTAGTGCCGATGCTGCTGAATGTGAAGTCCGCGCAGCAAGTTACCGGGGCACTCTTCAAGGAGATAGCGCTTGAGGAAGGGTATGACGTGGACACGAGCCTGAAGGACGGCAAGAGGACCAACGTGCAGTACCACTTGACCATTGTTCCGTGTTTTGACAAGAAGTTAGAGGCGTCTAGGCCCGATGGCGAAGGTGAAGTGAACTGTGTGATCACGCCGCGGGAAGTGCTGGCGATGCTTGGTGAGATGGGCGTGTCGTTTAGGAAATACCTGGGCGACTGGGCGTCGCTGGACAAGCAGCTACAACAATCGCAGCTGGGCATGCTGCGCGCAGAGATGAGTCCCGCCGGGTGGGACCCGCTGCTGCACTGGAGCATCCCTGCGAACGGCGACGGCTACAGCGATGGGTATGCGTACCAGTATGCGTGCACGGTGCGGGATGCACACGTAGCCAGCGGTTGCGCAGCACAGGTGGTGAGTGTTCCCGGGAAGAACGCGGACGTGCTGGAGTACAGGGTTGTTGAGCCGAGCAGCGAGGGCGGCAAAGTCATTGCGCGCGCGTGCGTGCTGTCCGGGTTCCGCAACATCCAGAACCTGTGCAGGAAGCTGGACCCGTCCGGACACAAGAAGCGCAGTGTGCGGCGTGTGGCAGCGCTGAGATCTCGTGGCAGGAAGGACAGTTCCAGTGAGGACAGCACTGGTACGCCATCAGCGATCAGCAACGCGCTGGGAGGCACTGCGAACCCAGCTGAGTGCGACTACGTGGAGGTGAGTGCGTGCCCGAGCGGCAGCATCAACGGTGGGGGTCTGCTGATGGAGCTTGCACCCGAGCGCGAGGAGATGGGCGAGACCCCGTTGCCATCGTCTACCATCGGAGGCAATGCCCGCCGCAGACAGCAGCAACTGCAGGAGCTGCAAGCGATGTACAAGGCCCAGATCCGTATCACCGACGAAACACCGACGTCTCTTCCACCCGCAGCACTCCCACCACTCCCACCACAGTACACCATGCAGTACACCTTCTACATCCAGGAAGAGGACCCAGCCAAGCCAGACATCGTCACCGTGGGAAACACCTGGTAAGAAAGTGCAGCAGCACAGACCCGCACCACAGACCCGCACCGCACCACAAAAATAAAGGAAATTGAGAAGTGGGAATGTATAACACCGCATATAACACCGTTTGTGAGATAGAGACCAGCATTACATAATGGCCTGCTCCCCCCCCCCAGCTTGCCTTAACAGAATGCACACACAAAAGGGGACAGAACACGCATACCGTATAAGATAATATAAGATAATATAAGATAATACAGTATAAATATGAGCATATAGAGAAGAGAAACCGGCAGTGACACTACAATGCCCGCACGCAGGCAGACTATTGAGAAACTGCAAATCACTCCCGAGCCAGACAGCTCGTACAAATCACCCCTGAGCAATCACACCTGACGTTAGTATTTTCAGGGCCACACAGACACACACAGACACACACAGACACAGACAGACAGAGAGAGACACACACACACCGCACATATCCACACTATGCAACTTAAAAGGGGTTTTGGCTTTTCGCAGGGTGGAAGAGGGATGGGAGTGAAGGAACAGAGATAACTCAGACGGAGGTGCACAAAGGTGGGATTTTCGATTGTCCCCCAGGAAATAGGGACATCCCCCTTAGTTTGCAAATTCGAACTGCAACTTTTTCCCACTATATAAAGGATGATGGATGGCAAAAGTCAATTCGACGGTTAAGCTGAGACCTTACACACATCAAACCCTCAACCCCGCCCCCCAAAATAATTGAAACAATTATTTAAAACAAAGAAAAGCAAAAAATGTCAGAACCTGTTAAGTTTGAGAAGAATACCGTTGTTGTGGTGTTTGGTGCTTCTGGTGATTTGGCCAAGAAGAAGACTTTCCCAGCTTTGTTTGGTTTGTTCAGAGAAGGATACCTGCACGAATCCACCAAGATTATCGGTTATGCGCGTTCCAGTCTTACCGTTGAGGAATTGACTGAGCGTATCAAGCCTCACTTGAAGACTCCAAGGGGTAAGGAGGACGAGGCCAAGATTCCACAGTTCTTCAAGCTGCTGACCTATGTCTCCGGTCCTTACGACCAGGACGACGGTTTCATCCGCTTGCGTGAGCAGATTGAGACCTTCGAAGGTGCCAAGTGCTCCACCGTGCCACACAGACTGTTCTACTTCGCTTTGCCACCAAGCGTGTTCTTGCCAGTCGCCACCAACATTAAGCGTCTGGTGTACGCCGAAAACGGTGTCACTAGACTGATCGTGGAGAAGCCATTTGGTAGAGATCTAGAGACCGCTAGAAAGCTACAAGCCGACTTGAGTCCATTGTTCAAAGAAGAAGAAATCTACAGAATTGACCATTACTTGGGTAAGGAATTGGTCAAGAACTTGCTAGTCATGAGATTCGGTAACCAGTTCTTGAACAGTGCTTGGAACAGAGACAACATCCAATCCATTCAGATCTCCTTCAAAGAACCTTTCGGTACCGAGGGCCGTGGTGGTTACTTCGATAACATCGGTATCATAAGAGACGTCATGCAAAACCACTTGTTGCAAGTGTTGACTTTGTTGACCATGGAGAGACCTGTCTCCTTCGACCCAGAAGCCATCCGTGACGAGAAGGTTAAGGTCCTAAAAGCTATGGCTCCATTCGACCCTAAGGACATCTTGATCGGTCAATACGGTAAGTCCGAAGATGGCTCTAAGCCAGCTTACTTGGATGACGAAACCGTTAAGCCAGGCTCCAAGTGTGTCACCTTCGCCGCCATCGCCTTCCAAATCGAAAACGAACGTTGGGAAGGTGTTCCAATCGTTATGAGAGCTGGTAAAGCTCTTAACGAGGGTAAAGTAGAAATCAGACTGCAATACAAGGCTGTCGCTTCCGGTGTATTCAAGAACATCCCACACAACGAATTGGTTATCAGAATTCAACCAAATGAAGCCGTTTACATGAAATTCAACGCCAAGACACCAGGTCTGTCAAACGCTACTCAAGTCACTGACCTAGACTTGACTTACTCTTCCAGATACAAGGACTTCTGGATCCCAGAAGCTTACGAAGCTTTGATCAGAGATGCTCTATTGGGTGACCACTCTAATTTCGTTAGAGATGATGAGCTTGATGTCAGTTGGAGTTTATTCACACCTCTATTGAACTACCTAGAAGGACCAGATGCTCCTCAACCAGAAATATATCCATACGGTTCAAGAGGTCCAAGCGGTCTAAGGGACTACTTGAAGAAGCACAATTACATGATCGAGGAAAAGCACCCATACACTTGGCCAGTCACCACTCCAGATGAGGATTAAGTGGTTCGTTAGTTTACAGTATCCTTTTTTATGTGTATTTAGAGATACAAGAGCCTTCCTATTTTGAGAGGTCTGATTCTTTTGATAAGAAGAAGCTATCAGATGTGGAATTGCGGAGTAACCCGTAGATAGATTGCTGTGCTTTTATATATTTCGCCCCGCAGATTTGTGGCGCCTGTGAGTCACACTGCGGTAAATAAACATTTTCATCAATACAGGCTCTGACTTTCCCAGGTGGAGTGTGGGGTGTTCCAATGGAACATTTAATATCTGTATACATTTTATATAGTTATTAGTGATATAGCACAAGTGTTTGATCATTATTGAAAAGTGATTAATTGGTTCGAATAGCGAGTGCTGTCTTATCTTCTACAAAGTTGGCGGCGGATATACTTTATGTTAAGTTGTAAGAATCTTATATAATGTATGTTAGTGTTACAAATACTGTACTTTGGTTAATTGGCAGAAATAACTATTATACTCAATTTGACCATTTTCAACATTTGTTGGCAGAAAAAAAACGCTCTGCGCTTTTCTCAATTTTGTATGCAAAACATAAAAAGATCATTCTTAATGTGTAATACAAAAAATCGACTAAACTACTCATACTACTATTTAATTGTCTTCCTTTTTATATTTATCATTAATTTCCTCAATATTGGATTTATCCAATTGATTATATATGCCTTGCAATGTTTTCGCTATCGCCTCTGTTGCACCTATCATTGGCCTGATAACTGCAACAGGTGCGGCTTTTGCAATAGTGACAGCAGCTGCCTTCGCACTCCTAGACTCTTCGCCTCTCAACTCCTGGTTAGTCTGCCATATTGTATTATAAGCAATCTGTATGTGCTTTTCGAGGGCATGGTAGGCCTCTTCAAGGCCTTTATGTAAATCCAGAGGCTGCTCGGAATAAAGGCTAACAACCTTCGGTCTACCTGACTCCTCAAGGTCTGCCGCATCGATGATTATAGCACTAGGACTTTTATTTCTAATCTTAGGATTTCTTCCAATGAGAACCTGATCTTGTTGCAAAAGTGAATCTAGGTCTAGGACTTTATTTGTTTGACTTACATCAGCAAGGGTCCTATTTTGCGTTGCATTTCCAGATAAAATTCCTTCTGTGTTTTCGAGTAGTGCTTGCGTTCCTACCGCAAGTTTTGCGCCCAATTTAATAAAATCACCAGTAGTAGTTTTGATAAATATATTACCACTCTTTTTTACACTTCGGGATATACTCCTATCGCGTTTATACTCAGCAAGTAACACTGTTATAAATGTTTGTGCTCCAGCTCCCAACGCAATGAACGACTTTACAGGGGCAAATCCTTGCAATATGTTAAATATCTGCTTTGAGGTAACATCATTTCCCCAAATTTTTACGAGTTGTTCGGAAAGTTCATTAAAACCATTTATGCCATGCAAAACAACACCTTTTAGAGTCACTTTAGACTCATCTAACACAAATAAATTAATTAAATCAGAAATCTTTCCAGAGTACATCCCACTAGATGTTTTATTTGGTTTGTAGTCTATCCGTAACTTTATTGTATTTGACTTAAACTTCTGAAGAAATAGAATCTCAGGGTACTCATCGATCAACTCAAATCTTTTATCATTAAACTGAAAAAATCTTAGTAGAAAATCCACCATATATTGATCTGCATGTATTCTTAGGGGTGCTGAACGAATATTGATGGTCGCTTCTGTGGCCTCTAAACTATTAATTGGTTTGAAAAGCATAAAATCAAAATATAGCATTGGCTCAGATTTTGGCCATGCCTCCTTCTTAAGTAAAGTAACAAACTTATTCCAAGTTGAGGTAGGCAAATTGTCCAAAACCTCATAAGTAGATATCGAGGCTGTAATCTGAAAGAGCTTTGCTGCATGGTTATTGAACTCTTCATTACGTGGAGAATTGGAATCGTAAATTTTTATTTTAAATATCAATTCATTTGCCTTGATAAGAGATTTGTAATGTTTTGATGGATATAAGTAAACTTTATCGGAGTTTAAATGATCATGTTTGCCTTGAACTTGTTCTGATATAATTTGCTTCAAATTTCCCAAATCCTTTTGTTTGGTTGCTATACAAATGGAGTCGAAAACAGTCGTCCGCGATAGTTCTGATTCAGTCTGTTCTTGACGTTGTATCCCAGATAATAGTCCTTCTTCTAATTCACTAATGGCGGAGGAGACGTTTTTTCTGGTGTATCGCCAATCATAACCGTCATATAATCTAATATCCGCATTCTTTATATCAAAATCTATTTCACTGATTATATTCCTGTCATTACTTTGTGAATGCTTTTGAACTTCAGTTCTGCGACTATCCAAGTACTCTTCCTTCAGACTTATAGGTAGAATATCGGAACTGGAGTGTGTATCAGAGGTCGTATGACTCCAAACTGTTCCCGAATTATAGTCTTCATGAAATTGGAAATCTTCAACTTCATCGAGAAAACTGTTCACAATATGAAGAGAATCTGAATCACTTCCAATTGATTTATCAATATCTTTATTATCTAAGTTAGATAAATTAAATTCATTCTCCTCGATTGTCTCAAATAAATCGACAGCGACTGAAGGAACTGGTTGGTATTTTTTATCATCAGGAAAAGTAACCGGGACTTTCAAATCCATACACAATTGTACTAAAGTGTGGAAGGAATCAGAACATACGGATAATATAACTTTCTCCAAACATCCATTACAGTTAACTATCTTGTGCTTCTTATTAAGCGTCATTGATAGTCCTTCAAACTTTCCTATTTGACTATACCCACTCTTTATTAGTGAATCACATATTGTTTTATTCATAACTTGAGTGGTCTTCAAATGATCGTAATTATCAGTTAAATAGAACCTACCAACTTTGCTGTGCATGTTAATAAGAGCATCATTACCAGATTTTGTTACGATGATAGATTCAAACAAAATTACCAGAGAAGGATTAATTCTAAATGGAAGAAAATTAATTGCTGAATCCCTGATAGATATACTAAATTCCGGCAATTCACTATATTCAACATTTTGACCCTTTTCCTGATCTAAACTTGCGTTTCTTTGAACAGAGTCAAGCCACTTTGCTTGATAAAATATCATGATGTCCTTGATTGATACTTTTATCTTTTTATCTGCAAATATACATAATATCAAATGCGGTTGTCCAGAAACTCCGATATTCGTACTTCTGATAATATCATTTAATGATCCGCTGAAGAACTTAATTTCCACATGAGGTTGAAAGATATTGAACAATAAACCTTTGTCAATCTGGTTCAAAAATAGTAAGCGCTGTAAACTAAACTTACAGTGCCTAATTTGGTCAGCATCAAATCCAGAAATACATACTTTAATATCATCAAGCTCAATAATATATTTTGCTAAAATGGCTCTTTTGTTTATCATTAATGAAGTACTAAGAAGACGCTTATTATTATCATGAAATCGAACGCTATTTTTGTTTGTGGCTTCTGGATATTCTTGTACTGGCGATGCAATATAAAACTGTTCTATCACCGCACCTATTATCCATAGTGACTTTAAGTTTATTTGACTATCAATTCCTGTTATTTGTACCTTATAATGAGTAAAAACAAAATATTGAGAAAAATGCTCATTATAGCATTTCATTTTTTTTCTTGCACTTGAGAGATCAATTGATACCTCCTTTAATTTCAAACTGCTGATTTTGATAGACTCAACAATATGTGTCATATTTACTTCGTATAATTTTAAATCCTGATTTAGAGAATCATGCTCTATATTGGGTATGTTAATCTCTAAAATCGAATTATCAAGAGGTATCTCAATAACTAAAGAGCCGACATTGAGTGAGAATTTCTCATCATTTCTCAATTGACTAACTTGTTTGACACCTAAAATCTTCCATTTAGAAAGCACAAAATCGATAAAATCCATTATTTCGTAATATATTTTCAGGAATAAGATTAGGTCATGTTCAGACACTCTGATGATGGTATTCGCAAGTTCTATAATTGTATTGGACTTACCAAAACTTGCATTGAAACATGGTCTTGTTTCAGATATCCAATCCATATCAAGTCCAACCAAATCAATATCTCCTACACTTAAATTAATGCCATTAATTTCATTTGACTCCAAATCAACAGCTCTCAAAATAATCTTTTGATTAGACGACAGACCAATTAAAATTTCCTCTATTGCTAAATTTGAGAACAAATTTGTATCATTAGAATGAAGCTCATTCTGGAACCTTTTGTATGCTGGTGAATTTTTAACATCAACCTTATCAGTATGTCGGGGCGAGATTAGTTTGAATATCATAGTTAATATAATATCCTCCCTCACTTTCAAAAGAAAAGGAATATTAACTTGTAAGGTACCTAAATTAATTTTTATTCGTGAGATAGCAAAATCATCAATAGATGATATACCTACAAAAGAGAAACTCATTCCGTTTATACTAAGTAGCTCATACCTTTCACTATTGAACACTGATGCATCTAAACTTTTTATATCAGTATTTGCATCACTTAGAGCACTCATATAAATCGAACTCGCATCTGCCTGTGAAAAATATAAACTTTCTGCCATATCCATATTATTAGGCGGTACTACTGAGGGCTCATTATTTATATATGCAATACTAATACCATTTGCATCAAAATTTCTCACATGACCCTCAGATGTTGACATATCAATTCTCTTCACTACTACATCCAGACAGTTACAATCCTTCCTTTTGCCTAAATTAATCCTAATTCTTACACTTTGAAGTGTTATTTTTAATTTTGCGAGTGCTGTAGCTATTACCTTCTGCTGCATGATATTGAACCTAGAGGTAGGGATACTATCGATTGGAGATGAATCATCACTTTCAGTTGTGCTGCTTGCCGTATCATCAACAATTATGTCATAAGTATTGGTCGTGGGATTACCTCCAGCGCTTGATGGGTTAGTATAGTCGTCAGGTATTCTAGGAGAATCACTACCCGAGCCAGATATCTCATTCTTCAAATGTGCATCTGGTTTGAATTGCATAATAGAACTCGTCAAATCATAAAAACTTTTCGCCAGCGAAAATGAATTCATATCATTAAAATCATCCTCATTAATCATCGTAATCATAAAATCAATATTATCTCCAGAGATATGGACATCCCCCGACACAGTTAGTCCCAGCATCAATTTTCCTAGCATACCAGAATTCACCTCACATCCAGAAATATTCATCTCGCTGATATTAAGATCAACATCTTGGAAGGTAAATTTACTGTGCGATCCCAACGAAACATCCAGCTTTGTAATATCAACATTTGAAAACAATGTAATCTGCTGCAACACATACAATATCAACCGTCTTTGTATATTTTGGGGTAACCAAAAAGCCATTACTAATGAATCCAACTACTTTGCGGTAACAGATGTAGTCCTTATATGTTACTGTTGATGTTTCTATCTTCCGTTTTAGCTTGTTGCAACCTTAACTTTCATGTAAATTCGATGGCCTTCTGTTGTGGTATAAACAAACTAAATCTCTGATATTTTGAGACAAATGGTACAATAGTGTTTGGATCAGAGATGTTATATTACTGCTATGAGAGCTACTAGAGTCACCGATGGTAATTATTTGATAACATGCCAATGATAAAGTCATCGCAAGTTTTCTTGATGATCGGACATTTTTTCTCCCTTTAAAAAATTCAAGCGCAATGAGTACAAAGAGGTGGCACACAAAAGAAACAACTAAAGTATTCCTCATCTAAAGTTCCAATATATTTGGCTTTTACACATCCGATTAATGGTATTCATAATATTGGTACAATGTTCTTTCTTTTAATACACAATGTGCTATATAAGGTGCGATAAAATAATAGAGAATACAAAATGTCTTGCTTTATTCGTCTTGTTCAGTAAAGTATGCATGCTTTCTAATTTCACCCAACTTTTTTCTTGCAATATTCAATGATTGCTCTAAACGCAATATCTCTACTTGCTGCTCCATCTCTACGGTCTTTAGTTGATGTTCAGAAGTAAATTCCATTGGTTGGTCATCTTGAGCTTCTGAATTATACTTCACGAGAACAGTATGCCCTAATTCCTTACAGGCCTCTGTAACAGCCCTTGAACACTCTTCAAGTTTTTCTTGCGCTTTCGAGTGAACTCCTGATTTCACTCTGGAGGCTGCTACCAGTTGGATTGTAGAAGCTGCAACTTCTTTTGCAGCAACAGCAAATCTCTCAGGAGAGCCCTCCTTATCATCAGTAACAAGTTCACCAGCAGTGCTTATTAATATATCAGTGGCACCACCAACTGCTTTTGCAGCAGATATCAGACCCTCCGTCCACCTACTATTTTTCTTGTAAAATTGTGATAATGGTGTATTTGTAGTTGTTGCTATTTCATTTTGACATTGAACAGCTGCTTGCACTAAAGCAACAACTGCATCAATAATAGCCAATGCCAGAGTCAACAGAGGCTTTGGAACGTTTGGTGTTATTCTTAATGGTTGTGACGATTTAACAATGGCATCTGCTGTAGCAATAAGTTGGGAATGTGGATCCTGCTCCTTGTTTTTGTTTTGAGGGGCAGATTGTAGTACTTTTTCGATTGTTGTCGTTAGATGCTGAAGCTTTTCTTGAAAGTTTACGTTAGAATTAATGACAACATCAGTTTTACCTTCATCATCATAAGGCATCAAATTTTCTGATAACAGATCCTCAAAGAAAAACTCAGCTTCTCTAGCACATTTCTTGGCCATGCTGGCGATAGACTCCGAGTCATTTTCTCCTAGTAGCGATGTTGTATAAGCATTAACGTAGGTAACCAAGGTAGCAATTGAAACACTAAAATCACTTACACTATGAATTACTGCAGTTTGGTCACCATTGACTAGACCATCAACAATCAAGTTATTGAAATTTGTAGCAAACTCAGTTGCCCTTTCGGAGGTATTATCAGCAAGTGCTAATAAGAACGAAGCTGGAGCCAATGGACCAGACCAACTCAATGAATTGTCCATATTGAACACTGATTCCTGGATCGTATTAATACCACTTAGCAAAACTGCATCTAACATTGGCAAGACTCTATCGTCAGCAAACTTTTCAACACCATCTGAATTCAAATCCTCTGATTTATTTGAAATCAAACGCTCATTATCCAGTCTGAGTCTATCACGTTCTTTAATGGCATCAATAAGTTGTAAGTCCTTCTTCTTCAGCTTCTGTTCCAGAACCTCTTTATTTGCAACAGCCTCTTGAATGCTTCCAACCTTTATTTGTAATTTCTTGAAACGTGGTAACAATTGCAGGTGCTCTTGACGTAGCTGTGAGTACAGTTTAGCCAATGACTCATATTTCTTTTCCCACATTTCCAACTGATCCTGCAGTGATCCAATTTGCTCATTCTTGTTATCAATCTGTTCGTTGGCATTCTTGTCAATATTTGATATTTCTTCTTCCAATTGCTGAACTCTTTGGTCATATTGCTGTAGTAAAGCTTGGTCCTTCTCGTACTGGTTAGTTAACGCAATTAGATCATTTTGATGTTGGCTCTGTTGTTGCATTTGCATGTTCATCATCTCCTGCTGAGTCTGTTGCAGTTGCCTTTGGAATTCTTCTTGTTGCTGTTGTTGTAATGCAAGTTGTTGTTGGCGCTCTTGAGCCAACCTTTGCTGCTCCTGAGCCAACTGTGCTTGTTGATTGACCCAGAAATCTGGCTGAATTTGTTGCTGTTGTTGTGGGAAGGCTTGTTGAACAGCACCTGTTACCGTTGGTATCATAACGTTAGCGGTGAACATTGGTGACAAAGTATTAGCTGTGCTTGCTGTTCTAGTGGGTTTCAATTGTTCTCTTGGTCCTGGCGATGGTTTTCTCACTTCTGGTGTTGGAGTTTTCTTTGGTTGTGGGGTAGGAGTCTTTCTAGTGGTTTCAATATCATTGCTGTTGTCTACCAAAACATCTGGCGCTTTTGTTGGTAGTTTTGGTATGGTAACCATGGTAGTTAAGAACTTAATCGAAGAACAATCAGCGTAGAACTCGAACAGACGAGCGTGTTGTAGGTCGTACTTTTCTATCAGTGGTTGCAAAGCAGCATCACCTTCTGCATCATTCAATTGGGCGTGCAAACCTCTCAGCATAGATGTTATGAACTTGTAGATACCGTAGGACTCGGCCACCAAGGGTATCAAAGCTGCGATTCTCAACTCAGAGCTGTCTCTTTCCGAGTGGATTGACGCAAAGATGATCTGAGAGTAATCTTCCAATTGATCCTGTAAAGTCATCAAGTCCAGTACTGTTTCGTAACCTTCATCCAGATCAGAGACATTGATCAAAGAGACGTACTCTTCATACTCAAATGTACCGTTCTTGAACCCCTTGTGAGTGGCATGGAAGTCCAATTTCAACATCAAGAACCTGACATACTCCTTTACTAATTTTGTGTATGGCGAATGGCCTATGTTTATTCTTCCTAGGGACCTGATCCATTCTCTATCCTTGATAGCTTGTGCCAACGCAGAAGGGTGGCCTTCCTGGATAACTTTATGCAGCACAATCAGCAATTTGAAAAGCTGGATTTCATGGTCAGTGAAGGGCATACTCTTCAAAGCTGAGAACACAGCTCGAGCGCTAGCATGATCCCAAGTGAACACAATGCACGCCCTGACGTGTTTCCTCTTTGGAGCCGACTCGTCAATCGAGCAAGCTTTCTTCAAGATTTTCTGCAAATCTGCTTCACTTGATTTCCTAGACATGGCTCAAAAATATTATCAACGGGTATATTTCCTTTTTTTTTTTAGCCTATCAAAAATTCTTCCACCTGTTCTGTACTATAATCAATTGGTTATGTATCTGTTCGTTTTTCCCACTCCCAATCAGTATATGTACCTCCGCTTAATGACTATGATTATGACAGAAAGTATTTTTGGTCTATCCGATTCCAGACTCGCTACCAGGATTATATCTGAAGAGCGATAAAAAAAATAGGATAAAGAATCTTGTGCGGATGAGAAGTCAAAGCAAAGATTTCTGGTATAACCGCCTAATAGCAGAGTAACTCTTATAAAATACTCCTTTTCACAAGACGAGGATCCCACTATTGTCAATTGTAACTGGAACCATCAAAAAAAAAAAGGGCTTTACAATCTTCTCTACCTGGAAGGGAGCAACGAAGAACGAAGAACGAAAAGACGGGATGATCTCTTCGGACCAAACTAACAATCACTTCTAAGGAAACATCGTATCTAACGTAGGGATAGATCACGGGGAACATATCCATAAACGATTAATCATATGATATATCGTTTAGAATTATATAATATACTAAATCACGAATGTATCATATGATTATAGTATGTAGTGATAAACATAATACCTGAATACGGGTACACATCTGACAGTAACGTCTATAGGGATACAGTTTAATTGGTTACTGAGAAAATTTAATGAAAAAAAAAAAAAAATTTCACTTTTTGCGTTTTTGCTAGTGAGGAGGGTGCGTGTGCTGGGGATGGTTCTAGCAAAACTGCATAACTAGCAAAATAGAAGAACAACGCAAAATTTATTGAAAATACATTTAGTTTATAAGAAAACTTATATTAAATACTTGATTTTTAATAAGTAAAAAGGTTGACTTTACACATAGAAGAACCAAGTTTAAAAAAAAACAAAACAAATAAAAACCCCTGTTATATGTCTATTGAGAACTTGAAATCTTTTGATCCTTTTGCTGATACTGGTGACGACGAGACTGCTGCCTCTAACTACATCCATATCCGTATCCAACAAAGAAACGGTAGAAAGACACTAACCACTGTGCAAGGTGTCCCAGCTGAGTATGACCAGAAGCGTATCTTGAAAGTTTTGAAGAAAGATTTCGCTTGTAACGGTAACATTGTCAAGGACTCTGAAATGGGTGAGATTATCCAATTGCAAGGTGACCAAAGAGCTAAAGTTTGCGAGTTTATGATCTCCCAACTAGGTCTACAAAAGAAGAACATTAAGATCCACGGTTTCTAAACAAGTGCTTCACTTAGTTCTTTTTCTACTAAAATTTGCAGTATTTTACGCTTTACAAAAAGTGCAAGAAAGGTGGCGATATATCTGGGCGTAACTGGTATCATACTTACTCCCATTACTTGCTACTGGATATTAGGAATACTTAAGTGTGTAAATTCAAAAAGAAAACTACCCATTTGAATTCCTCTATTTTTTCTTTGCTTGCAGCTATACATTCCGTTCAATTCATTCCCTAACTTTATTTTTTTTTATATTTCATTACTATTTTTTTCCCACATATTATAATACATACTGAATAATCTATTCGAATTAGTCTAGATATATAGAAGCACTAGAATAGCTGAATATATTGTTGACCAATATTAATAACGTCACCTCCCATACTTGTACCATACCTCTCCATAAGGCTAGGTGCACTTCTAGGAGATTGCTGTCTTCTGCATAGGACCGGAGATAAAAAAAAAAAAAAATAAATTTCACATGAAGCTCATCGCATCGCAAATTTTAAGATATATCATGATGAGGTAAATGTATTCATCGGATGTACTAAGAGTTCTACTGATAATATACCAAAAACGGTACATATCACAAAACTAACATAAAATGGGTACTGGAGACTTGAATCTATTGAAATCGTGGAACCCTAAGCTTGTCAAAAATAGAAAGAAAGTATGGGAAAAAGAACAAAGACTACTAGAAGAGGACGAGAAGATACGAAAGAGACAGCTTGAGATAGCGAAGGAGAAAGAAGAAGAGGAGTTACTTGCGGGCAGGGACTCTACTAAGGGTAGAAAGACTGGGTTGGAATGGATGTATCAGGACGATCCCACAGCAAAGGAGGATTACTTGCTCGGAAAGAAGAAACTAGACACTACAGTTATAAAAAAAGCAGAAGTGATGGAGGAAAATCAAACCCCACTAACGAAAATTAATAAAACTACTGTTATTCCTGACGCCATTTACTCAAAAGAGGATCCAATGGCTCGCTTTGGCACAAAAGTTAAACGTAACAAAGTTGTTAAGAAGGAGCCTGTGAAGCCGTTACGAGGTAAAACTACGAATGAGCCACGAACTGACAACATAAAACCAAAATCTGACTACAAGAAACGCTTACAAGAAGAACTTGACTACTGATGCATTTTAAAAGGAATAATTACGTATAGATATAGATTATTTATTTAAATTTTTCTTCTCTTTTTATCAGATTCCTCACTTTCGGACTCAACCTCCAAATCAAGCGGTTCCTCACTGCTGTTGTCCTCTGAGTCATCCTCTTCTTCGTCTTCCAAATCTCTTTGGGCTTCCGTATAGTACTTGACACAGTAAGGATAAATGTCTTCACTGAATAAGGTAGCAAGTGAGTCTCCATGTGGAAACTCCTTACCAGGTTTCTTCCCTGTCCACTTAAACCATCCAAAAAATGATTTCATACCTTGACGATAACTCTTCTTACCTTCTTTACTGTGTTTGTCTTCGATTAATGATGGATTAATTGAATCGTAGCTTTTTGGCCATTGAATGTCAACTGGCTCACTCACCAATCTCTCCTCTTCGGTCTCATCATCAGTATCACCCTCATTTATATCACCTTTGATCAATTTGAATACCTTAGATACTGTCTGCTCGTTAAAATCATCATCAATACTATTGAAATGCAATGTTATCCTGAAATCACCCACGGAGTATTGTTTTGGATCCTCAATGATTAACCAATCAACCTTAACTTTATCAATTAGGTCAATATACTTGAAATCAGAAGCTCTTATAAAATCAGCAAAACTAGTGTGCTGAGATAATACTATTTTCCAGAATTCGGGTATATTTTTGATAATATTGTCCCTTCTTTCAACCATTGGTTGCATCATCTTCAACCTATAATGTTCAATATCATCTTCAACCTTTGCAACATCTTCTTCGTATTTTGCCAAATCCAAGAAGGCTTTCCCAACAATTTCCTTGTCAGACATATTTATTATTCTCTGGTATCTGATACTGTTCTATAACACAATTTAATTTACTTCAATATGATAATAAATGACCATACTCTTGACTGCTCTAGGCCTGTCGTTTTTATGCGATGAGCAAGGCAATCATTCCCAAAACCAAAATTTTCAAAAAATTGAACAAAATAATAATGATTTTATTGAAAAGCTTAGGTATTGTCAGTATTCAGGAGAATTCATTGATCTTGATGCTAACTGTACACACACTAAATTAATAATAACTCATGTTGTCTAAATCATACAATACCAAATGGTAACTATTCATATCGCATAAGGACTTATTAATATTAAATATCTATAAACAGCAAATCTGAACTTTGTTTGTTAGAATCATGCAAGCTAATGTAAAAAATTGAAACTTCAGCTACTCAATGGACCGTTAAATTCTTCATAAAGTTTCTTCTGTTGTTCCCACTGTTTCTTTAGTTTTTTAGTCATACTTTTGGTGATATCATTACCATCCTTGTCCTTGGTTGGTAGACCTTGTTCATCCCAAGCACTATACAGAGTGGTGTCTTTGAACATTTCTAAGGGTGATACCTTTGCCTTTTCTTGTCTTTCTTTTTCCTTAGCTTCTTTTATTTTCTGTTGTTCAAGTTTCTTCTTTAACTTTTCCTCTTCCCTTTGCTTCTTTTCTGCATTTAATTTAATAATTTCATCCTTTTCATGTTGCGTTAAGAACTTTACCAAAGCAGATTGGCCATTCCTATCATCTAAAGAGACATTTAAGTTCAACAGGTCGTTGTCTCTAACAGTATCTGTTAACTTTAAAAATTCTTGCGGTTGTGCCTTAGCAATGGCCATCGAACGTACACTATCACGGAACGTAGACAAACATTTAACATATGGCATGGCAATCTCTTCAATTGACCCTGAAATTTGGTTAGCAGATTCACTACCACTAGATACCGAGGATGCTTGTGCAACCCAACCCAGGCCATCAGGGCGACCAGGAAAACCAACAATGTCTAAAATTTTAGTAATGTATTTGCAAATGCTGATAACTGGCTCAATCTTCAAATCTTTACCACTGTTTGTGATATAAGTGTTTGTCGTAGTGACCAAATCAGAAAGAGTTTTCAAGGCTTGACCGGTGGATAAGTTATCACAGAAAGCAGCATGTACTTTTTCCTGAGATTTCTTGAACTCTTCCAATAGATCTTTTTCCAAGTTAGTTAATTTTTTGCTTACAATGATAGAGTCATCTTCAAGACTTGACTTATAGTCATTATAATGAGCTCTAACATTGGCGAAAAAGTTGTTCATGGATGTTTCAAATGATTTAACTTCATGAATCAAGCTTTCTTTGAAATCTAGTTGGTTATTCCAGGGAACAGATGCAAAAGCCAATCTCAATTGACGTGGGGTGTACTTTTGTAGAGCTTCTTGAATTGTGATAAAATTCTTTAATGACTTGGACATTTTTTGACCTTCAATGTGAAGATGTCCTGTATGTAGAAAGTAATTGATCCATTGTTTGTTATCAAATTTGGCTTCTGATTGAGCAAGTTCATTGTCATGATGAGGGAATGCTAAGTCAATACCACCAGAGTGAATATCAATGTTGGAACCCAGGATATCTGAGGCCATGACTGAACACTCAATATGCCATCCTGGTCTACCTTTACCCCAAGGTGAGTCCCAAGCTGGTTCACCGGGCTTACTTCCTTTCCATAAGGCAAAATCGTTAGCTGACTTCTTACCGTTGTTGTCAAAGTTACTCAATGAACCTTCACCGTCGTTAATCAAGTCCAACTTACCTTTATTCCATGGCTGACACTTTGCGTAGTCGTGCTTTTCATTTTGGTCAAATCTTACTGTGTCAAAGTATACTGACCCATCATTTGTGGCATAAGCATAACCGTTATTAATAATATCCTCTACAAAAGATACAATCTCAGGGACATACTCGGAAACCCTAGTAGTCACATTTGGTGGAATCACATTTAGTGCTGCCATGTCGCTGTCATACTGTTTCTCCCAATAAGCAGGCAGTTTTCTAAAGATTTCAGGATCATTGATGGTGGAACCCAACTCTTTATCCAATACAGGAACCAAAACATCTTTCACACCATCAAAGAATTTTCTTCTTGGCAATTTAGATACATTAGATAAAGCTGAAATAGCATTCTGGACACTTGTCATATGCATTGGGAATTTAGGGTCCTTTAACTTAGCCTCCTCGTGGTTTACCTTTTCAGCTGCCACAAGGAAGGTGTTTACAGACTCTTGGGATGATCCCAATACATCTGCTAAGTTTTTGTTGATGTATGATATTGTCGCATCATTAGCCTTCTTCACTATCTCATCAGATTCATTTAAAGGAGTCTCGGAGTCATTTTGCTTTACAAATTCTTCAAACAGATAATTGTGTCTTGCCCTAATGATAATTTTGTCATCAATATCTGTGACGTTCTGAACAAACTGAATATCATAACCAAAGTAATTCTGGATCAATCTTCTGTTGATATCAATAGAAACATAGTTCCTAGCATGGCCCATGTGCGAGGCATCATAGACAGTGGGGCCACATGAATACCAACTAACTGTCTTAGTACCAGAAGAAGGTGCAAATACTTCTTTACTTCTAGTCAAACTGTTATACAACTTGAGCACAGGGGCTTGTGTCCTTTCAGAACATTGTGCCGGATTAATCCACTTAGGTTGAACCACTTTAGAGTTTGCTGCAGACATTACGGTTCTTTTCAGTACAGACCAATTGACCATAAAAGAATGTGTACTAAAATCACAACCCGAAACTTAAAAGAAAGAGATTCAAAAGGTAAAAAAAAAGGCCTTATATAACAAATATGAATTAAACGCTTTTGCGATAAAAAGGTTTATAAAACTTGTACCTCTTTCAGCATATATTAACTACACATTTATCCTACAAAGTTGCAACTTTTTCACTTTTTTTTTTTGGTAAGTTCAATTTCGCTGATTAAAAACTCTACGTATATTTCTGGGGACTGTGAAAGAAAATTTTTCTGAAAACTGAAAAAAAAAATATTAAATTAAAATTTTGCGATGAGCTTGATCAATCCACTATACAATTGTAGTTGTAGTAGCAGTTCTGTAACTTATTAGTCGCTGCTAGTCAGATTGATAAGGTGTGAATTTGTTTAATCTGTTATTTGGCCATTGGTTTCTGAATAGAGTTGACAACTCAAAAAAAAAATTAATATATAAAAGAACCAGAGAATATGGGTGAGAAGCGTTCTATTGCTATTGATAGTTATCAAGAGGATCCATCGGTAGTTGTGTCCAACTTCTTCAAAGGCGTTAGAGTTCCAAAGGACACAGAATTTCAACTATACAAGAAGCGTAAGCAAGATCAGTTTGTTTTGCATGGTGAAAACGAGAGATTAGAGTATGATGGTGAAACCGATGAGCTGACGACCAAGACTAACCAATATGTTGTTGGTCTCTACGACAAGCAATCAGGAAAGATAAATTTGTATAGAGCACCTGTGGTCACTTCCAAAATTGTCTCTAAATTCAGTAAGAACTTGAAGGGACCTGAAATTAAAAGTAAAGGTGATACCAGATACGGGGCAATGCGTAATGCTCTTGGTGAAGCCTTTGGTACCAAAAAGGCCAAGAAAGCTATTGCTGATCTAGAGAGAAACCGTGTTGATTCCGATAAGCTTACTGATGTTGCAATCGATATTGTTGATTCTGTCAAGACTGCATCCAAGGATCTACCCACCAGAGCGGAATTACAAGAAAATGTTTCAGCAAGCAACAGACCAACTCCAGTTGCAAACCTGGATGCAACCGATGTGGAACAAATTTACCCAGTGGAAAATATTATACCCAAAAAAGAGTTACAATTTATTCGTGTTGGTCCTATACTAAAAGAAAAAGATCAAGAGAAGAAGCTGGAATTATTCCCTTACACTTCATCCAAATATGTTGCAAAGAAATTGGAAACTCTAACACAAGCCTCTCAAATGGAAAAGTTGCAATTACTGTATTACTTATCTCTATTGCTAGGTGTGTATGAAAACAGACGTGTTAGTAATAAGGATAAACTACTCGAAAGATTAAACTCACCTCCAGAGCTCTTAATCGATGGTATTCTAGACAGATTCACAATTGCAAGAGGTGGACATTTTGGTAAATCTAAGAACCGTTCTTACTTCATTGATCCTCAAAATGAAGATAAGTTGCTATGCTTTATTCTAACCATTGTTATGCATTTGGACAACTTCCTAGTAGAAATCTCTCCATTGGCGCAGGAGCTTGGAATCAAACCATCAAGGATTGTCAACTTGTTTAGAATATTGGGTGCCATAGTTAAAGGTGCCACCGTTTCTCAAGCGGAGGCCTTTGGCATTCCAAAGAGTGCAGCAGCAACATATAAGATCGCATCATTGAAGGTCCCCTTCAAATTACCAGAATTGACTAGAAGAGGTAGACGTTAAAAAAGGACAAAATAAGAATACTTGATATCTGCATAATGTCTCAACAACCAAAATTTCAGTATTTATAGGGAGCTTCCATTAGTTTATACTTGCATATACTTTCCATTAGTCCGGAGTTTCGGTTCTTGTTAATGCCATTAATATTTTGGCATTCAATATGTATATTATGACATTAATTAAATATGCGTGTTATAAACTAAAAATATATTGGATATAAATCAAAATTTAGTGCGGCCCGGTTGTAGCTCAATGTAAAAACATCTTGGCTAGTAGCAGGTTTTTCATCCTATTCAGTTACTTTATTGATATCAACCCACTCTATTAATGACTTCAGTCTGTCGTCTCTTTTTACCCTGAAAAAATGGTCAGTAAAGCTAGCAGCATTCATATGGTTCAAAAACTTTTCATCATGGGTAATGACAATCAACTGGAAGTTCTTTTGATGCTTTCTAAATTCGATGATATTGTGTAATGATTTTGCTAAACTTTCAATATTTTCCTCGTCAAGATTTGTTGTGGGTTCATCTAGAGCTATGACTCCACAATTGATACCAAAAGTCTCTGATAAAGCCAACCGGATAATAATAGACGCTAAAACTTTTTGACCTGCAGAACACCTTCCTCTCATATCCAATTCGGCATCTTGTTTATACATAACGACTCTATAATTATAGGATTTCCCTTTTGTCGTCGAGCCAACTTCATCTGAGCAAATTTTTATTGTATCTATATCCGTCCCAGTATAGGTTCGCTTCCATAGCTCGTCTATAATTCTATTTATATCCTCCATTTTCAAACTATGGTATTTCATAATAGCACTATCCAATGCTTTGGAATAGGTATCGATATCATCATTGGCAAACGATCTCGTTTGGAGTTCTACCCATTCTTTTTGATATTTATCATCAATATCTTTATAATCACTTCTCAATTGCTGTGTAAGAGAGTCAATCTGGTTTTGTATTTGCCTTATTTCACCTAATTTACCAGCATTCTGAGCACTTAATCTCTCATATTGGGTCCTTAAGCGGGCAGATTCTTGTTGATACTTGTCTCTTTCTGCTTCTGCGTTTTGAGCGTTCAAGCTGCTCAATTCATTATTCATTGATAGTAATTGTTCTTTGAGATCAATTAATTCAATATTCTGCAGCAAGTTTCGCTTTTCTCCTGTAGAGTCATATAACTTCTGAGATTGTTCATTTAATACATGATTGTCAGCCTCTAGGCCATTTTTCAGAATATTCATTTCCTTCTCCAATTCTTTTATTGATCTCTCACATTCTTGCAAATGCTGTTCATCAGAAGTGTTATATTGCATTAATTGATGATGTAGCTGATTAACCTGTAAGACCAGTTCGTTAAAGGATTGGAACTCCCCCTTTTTTCTCTTTGCATCTTTATCAAGAGTAGATATCTTTTCTGAATTCTCTTTGTTTAACATTTCAACACTTTTGGATAGATCATTGATATGTAATTTAATGCTCTCCTTACTATTAGTCAGTTCTTCAATATGTTTTTTATCGTTTGCTATTTGTTCTTGAATAGTCACCTTCATGTCGAATTGCTTTTCAATTTCAGCAACATCATCGTTTGCTTGTCGTATTTGATTTATCAATGTGTTGTTTTTTGAAGAAATGTTTTCTCTTTGTTCTTGCAACGATTCGATTTCACTTCTAATTTTCCATATAAGCTCTCGTGTGGATTTTTGGTTATCTTGTAACTGTTCCATTGTCACACTGTCCCCATTTTCGGCAGAACTACGAATCACATCATTCAACGAGTTCTTCTCTTCTTCGTGGTTGTAAATTTCTTTCTGTAGATAGTCTATTTTGTCCATTTTTGGTTTAATATAATTATCACAATGATCTCGTTTTTCCTTTAGCTTCTCGATGGTTGTATTTGCTTCGGCGACTTCAGATTTCTTATTATCTAATTCTTTTGATAGTTGGCTAATTCTATCTTGCAGTGCTTTCGACTCAGAACTAATTGAATTTAGATTATAAATGTCTTTCTCAGCCAATCTCAGGTTGTTTAAGTATTCCTTTTCATCTTCAAGCGTTGTTTTCAGTGACTCCTCAAACTTGGTATCAGTTTTTTCTTTCAGTTCTTTAAGTATTTTGCTTCTGAATTCAGTGTTCTCAAAGCTTCTCGAGCACAAATAACAACAGTCATTGTTGATTGCAACCTCGAGAGCTTTACGATTAAACTCTAGTGTTGTTTGATGCATCTTTAAATTTTCCAATGCAGTCTTATAGGAGACCTCCGTTTCCAGGAGAACATCATCATAATCTTCGATTGAACAGTCTTCTGGTAGAACGCTATTAATGTTTAAAATCAATTTTTCTTTTTTATGTTGAAGATTATTGACTTTTCCTTTACAAGTATTCAGTTCATACTCCAATTCGGTTTGGCTCTTACTGATTTCATTAAATGCTTTTAAATTGGTTGCAATATTTTTCTGAAGAGCAATATAGTGTGTCTTAAATTCGAAGGACAATTGCTTGACATCGTCAAGACCCCATTCTTTGATCATGGTATCATTTAGTAAAGCAGTAGTTATTTTGTTTATTTCATTTTGTTTTTCATCCATATTTTCAATTAGAACAGATAGTTTTGTTGATAATTCACTCTTTTTAGAGTAATTCTGTAAGTCTGTTTCGATCTGTTGCGCCAGCAGTTCAGATTTTGAAAGCTCCTCATTATTTGATTTTATCTGATTGTTTATGTCAGTAATGTTATTTTCTTTTTCAAACTCTTGTAGTTCCTTACTTAATTTGGACCATACTGCCTTTTTGGCCTTCAATTGTTCTTCGATGTCTGCCGGTATTGAACTTATTTGCTTTTGCTTTTGATCTAATTTGGTGGCAAGTTGCTTTATATCGCTTTCATAGTAAGACAGTTTTTGTTCTTCAAGATTAATAGAATTCCTTATACTGTCAGACTTTTCTTTAAGGTTCATTTTTGTTTCTTCTAATTTGGATATGGCTTCATTTACAGAAGATTCCATATCAGCTTTCTTTTTTAAAATATGATCTACATTTCGCTGTGGTGGTTCTTCTGCATTCAAATCTAGCTTATGTTCATCTTTAATCTGTCTTATAGTATCTTGAAAAGATTTCAATGTGTTTTCATTCTGTAGCTTTTTGGCAGTCAGTTCACCCTGCTGTAGCATAAGTCTATTTGATTGTTTCTGGCAGTTCTCCAATTTTTGACGGTCTGAAGCAATTTTTGATTCTAGCCTTTTAACATCCAGTTCCTTTTGTTCAATTGATTCAGAGAAGTTCTTGAGCAGGTTTTCTAGGTCTACCTTTGGCATATCCAATTTTTCTATTGAATTCGAGAGCCTTTCAATCTGAGTTGAAGCAGCAGATATTGAAGCATTTAATGTTTCAATTCTTGATAAAACGCTTTGGAAATTTTGGTTTGATTTAAATAAAGAGTCAAGGCTACCGTTAATTGATTCCAGTTCTTGTTCAACGTCATCTACTTGAGATTGATAGTCATTTATTTTTTCATTCAACTGCTTTACCTTCATTTTTGTAGCCCTAGACCTGTCCCTGTCAATTCTAAGGTGTTCAACAGATTGTGTTAACAGCTTAATATTAACAGCCATCTCTTTTTTGATTGCTTTCAAGTTGTCGATTGCCTTTGTAAATTTCATTGCTTGGAAAATTTCATCGAACTTCTTCTTTAGGTTTGAAGGTTCACTCAGTGGCCATAGACTATCCTCTTGGTGACAAAATATTACGTATTCCAGAATTGCCTTTGGAACGCCGAGGTATAAAGGTACGTGGGAATCTAAATCCACAGATCTGGTACTTAAAGTTGTTCTTTCACCACTTTTATTTATGGCAACCAATTGACCTTCTAAAGTCTTAAATGTGGTCGTCGTCTTCTTCGCCAGCAATTGAATATTCCTTGTAACAATCATGCTTAGCCCGTTTGTGCTGGTAAACGCCAGTTTCACCTGGGCTCTGACATCTTTCTCACCCGTAATCTTGGGATCATGCACAAAAACACCACCTTTACTATTTGGGGGCAGATCACCCGTTGTCGCATACTTGAGACACTCTATAATAGTCGTCTTACCAGATCCGTTCATACCAACGATCAGCGTCAAGGGCTTCCCGAACTCGATGGTCTCCCGGTCATTGGAATCGAAGGACCGTATACCCTGTATAGAAAGCTTATAGATAGCACTCATAAGTCATATATCCCTGCACTAGTTTCTCGAATAGTATATGTCACTTTTCCCTCCATATTACCTAGCTTTAGGAAGTGCACATACTTGATATATATTATAATAATATTAGTTAAACTATTGAACTGACGCTATAAGAATCCATTATATACAAGTCACTTTGTACAACGAGAGGGTGAGATGCTCATCGCCCCCAAACAAAAAGGGTTTAACCAAATTAAAGGCTCCCGTTGTAGTGGTCAAGAAAATGCATACCCGATACATCTATACAACTATCAAAAGCAAGAGCCGTTAATATACCAAAAGCTTCTATAACTATTGGAATGTCCACCATATTGGCACTCAAGACACTATGACGTCTTTTCTACAGTATATTCTTGCACACGACATAATTAACAGCTTTTCGATAATTTTTCAGCTAAATTTTCTTGCCGGAAAAACTATAAAAGGCAGCTGGGAATATCGAGAACTTCGAAAAACGAGAAGAAATTTTTAATTCTTACAGATTCAGTTAAAGGGGTGGTAGTTAGCATCATTACGACTATAAGCACAGGAACAAGACCGAAACGCGGGAGGAAAGTACTAGTATCAAAAATTGAAATTTTTAATCTTTTGTTTGTAGTAATAAATTCCCCTCAAATTCAGACAGCGTGAAACTCCTTTACTATAAAGAAGTACAACTGATAAAACTCTTTTGTAGAAGAGGAAACCTCCATATTTTATTTTCTGGTAAGTGGTTCTAAAATTGTTTTTCAGATAATATCAAAGCTATCTTAGTGGGATTAATCCTATTTACAAATAAGAAATTTTTGTTTACAACGAAAACTAAGATCTATAAATCAACGATTATACAAGTGAAGAGATTTTACAACTTTTGAAAGAAAAGAAATTAATCTAAAGAGAAACATTTTTGATAGTATAATCATAAAGTACAGATATAACAACGAAGAAGATGAGCGGTGATTCGGAACATCAAGAATTTGTAGAAACCTTAGAATCCTTTCATGACCTTAAAACAGGTATTTCAGGGTCTCGTATTAAAAAATTGACAACGTATGCCCTTGAGCATGTTGCCTCCGAGGAACAACTGATATCCCTCATAATAAATTACTCAAGAACTTGTGAAAGTTCTCATAAACTTGGGTCTCTGTATATCATCGACTCCATCGGTAGAGCGTATCTTGATGAGGCAAGATCCGGAACTGTAGATACACCAGCCCCAGCAGGCACCGCTGCACACGCAGTGGCGACTCTAGGCGAGGTTATCCAAGAGCTTTTATCAGATGCCTTAGAGAAAAGCAATCAGGACCACAAGGAGAAGATCAAACTCCTGATGGATATTTGGGACAGATCTGCACTTTTTCAAAAAGAGTGTATCAACTCTGTAAGAAACAAGTTCTTCCCCACACCTACATCAAGCGCCAATAAAAGCATAGACGATGATATGGTACAACTTCCCAATGATCCTAGTGAGAGAGCTGATAAAATTCTAGAGACTCTAAAGCCCATTGATATTGTTCCCGCAGTGTCTCTCCCATCTGGTTTATTCTCAGATGTTGAGCATGACCAGAAGCGAGCCCTTGTGCAACTTTTGGTATCCATACAAAAACAGTATGAAGAAGACCCAAGATTGTCCAAGCAGGATAGTGCTGCACAGCCTGTTCCACAGTCTAGAAGAGACGAAAACAGGCAATCTCGCCATGTTATAACCGAATATGGTAGTAGACGTGAGCGCGAACGTGAACGTGAAAAGAATAACAGAAGAAATAGATCGAGGTCACCAAAACGTGATACAATGAACTATGGCGGTGACTCAGCCCCATCACGTTACCAAAATATGCCGCCTGTAAACAATAGTAACTACAACTTAGGTGCACCAAATATGAACTTTGGAGTAAATAATCATCACTTGTATCCTGATGAAGTAAATGTGCCGGCCAACCCTCACTATAGAAACAAGACTGTAACATTTGAGCCTTCTATTCCACCTGACCACATCAAGGTGTACAGTAGAACACTTTTCCTAGGTGGTGTTCCTATGAATATGAAGGAATGGGATATAGCAAATGTTTTGAGACCGTATTCCGAAGTACAAAGTGTAATCTTGAATAATGCGAGAAAGCATGCCTTTGTAAAAGTCTACTCTAGACAAGAAGCTGAGAATGCTCTGTTAAACTTTAACAAGGATGGCTCGTTACCGTTGAGAACTAGATGGGGTGTTGGTTTCGGCCCTAGAGATTGTTGTGATTATCAACATGGTTTCAGCATAATACCATTGCATCGTCTTACTGATGCTGATAAGAAATGGTCCGTCAGTGCCCAATGGGGTGGTACTGGTGGACAACCACTAACAAGTGGTATAGCTTTTGAAGAACCAGATATTGTTGTAGGTGAAGGTGTTTCCTCCAAAGCAATATCTCAAAAAATGCCTACTGACTCTGGTAGGAATGGCCCAAGATCTAATAAGGCGAAAAACATGGCACCTCAATATGGTCCTCCACAAGCAGCTGTTATATCACCCAGTCAAGGTTATGCTGGGATGCAGCAAGGCTACCCACAGCAACAACAACAACAACAAATGGGAATGTATGGCCAACCAATGATGCAACAGCCAATCAATGCTTACGCTTCTCCTGCCCAACAACAGCCTATAATGCAAGCTCCTCCTCCTCCAGCACCTCCTAGCCAACAACAACAATCATCTAACTATGATCCTACAGCACAACTGAACTCGCTGATGAATATTTTGAATCAGCAGCAACAGTAAGGGTATAATTTAATTGGAAAAATTATCTTTTGATTGTATCTGGAATACGTGTTTTTGTTAATAGCCTTAGTTTCTAAGATATTAAAGGACCTATTGTATCATTAATAATTTCTAGTAACTAAAGTAACTCGAAAGCGGTGGGAACTTTCTGCTGACAGAATAATATTTTTTTGACCTGTAGATATCTGACAATATGATGGACGCTAATGTGTAATTTGTTGTAAAACCCACTAATATTTACTACTAGAATTTGTTTGTATATTGTAGAAAAATTGTAGACTTTGGAGTTTCTTAGGCCCATTACAGTTTGAATTGAAATTCAAAGCGAATAGTTGTTTTCTTCAGCCCAATGTGACAAAATTGCATGTCTTGTTTCATATCTTGCTAAAAGTTGTGAACTGCTGTTTATATAAACCTTCATCCAAAGTTACCAACTTTAAACTAAATAAAAATGGACATTTCAGAGCATATTATCCTGAAATAATCATATCATCTGATACGTATAATTTTGACTAGTCTCTCGTTAACCATCGAAGGAAAATGCTAGATTGTCAATTCTCGATGATATAGTACCATCCACACTGTTTGAGTAGCAATGTTGGATTCCCAGCAAGTGATTCAGATATAACATTTGATAAACAGCAAAGTCACTAGCGAGATTCGCTTCTATTGCAAGCAATTCGGTAAAATTTTAACGTTATTCAGGGGCCTGTCAAGCTGAATTGATTACCAATGTTAAGTGTTAGAGGTCTTGCAACTGCTGCGAAGGCCACGGGAAGTCCTGCTGTTAAGGTTGGTTTGATACTTTCAAGAGTCCCATTGGTTAGTCCTGAGAAATCAGAACTTGAAAGTAGTTATTACAAATACATGTCTGAGTTGGAAAGAAGATTGATGTGGACATTCCCTGCATACTTCTACTTCAAGAAAGGTACATTGTCAGAACATAGATTCTATGCAGCACAAAAAGGACCTATTAGTAAACAAGAGGGTGTATGGTTTCCTAAAGGTGTGCCTGATATAAAGCATGGTAGAGAGAGGTCGCAAAAGCAGACCATAAATCTTCCCAAATCAAAGCAACAAGAAGGACAAGCATCCGATGATATATCCAGACCTATTATAGCAAACAGTATTGTCACAGAAGCTGATAAGAATAATGATTTAACCAGCCTCGAGAGATCACTGAGAAGAACTTTGTATTTATTAATTAAGGATAAGAAAGGCATTTGGAAGTTCCCAAATTTTGACATTGGTGAGGAAAAATCATTGCATAGAGCTGCAGAAAAGGGTATAAGAGAGATCGGTGGTGAAAATATGAATACTTGGACAGTATCTAGGACACCAGCCGCAGTTCTGAAGGATGACCCAAAAAGCTCACAATTCTTAATCAAATCACACATCTTAATGGGTAGATTTGATATACAGGATAAAAGAATACTATCTGATTTTGCATGGCTATCAAAAGATGAAATTAAAGGTAAGGTTGAAAAAAACTATTACGAGAAAATCAGTTTCCTACTGTCTGATATCTAAAATTATACATGGCATTGTCATTGTTGAATCTTGTTTTATTTTGAAGCTTAACAGATTAATCAGAAGCACTGTAAATAAGATTGTTTTGGGTTTTCACTGACCTTCTTCTCAATGGGCGAAAATAATTCGATGATGGTATTGTTTTTAACTAATTCATAAAACTGTAAATACATAACTAAAGTAATTTCAAGTATATTCTATTAACGTCTCTTCGATGCCAGGAACCTACTCTTACGGTTAGGACGTGTAGATCTCGGCCCTTGACTCTTCTCTCTATCGGTATTACTTTTCTTGCTACTTTTCTTCGATATTCCTTTGCTGTGACCTTTAGAATCTCCATTTTTTCTGGATTCTGTGGATAAAACTGATAGTAATGACAATTTACCTGACCCATAGAAATGTTTCTCCAGAGTGTCATTCTTACCAGATAAAATAAACATAGTCTTATCTGGGAAAAATCTTAGTAGTGGTTCTGAATTAGAGCCGGATAAAGATGATTCATATATTATCTTTCCAGTCGTTACATCACAAAAGCATACCCTCTCATCTTCTAGACATAAACCTAACATTTTCCCTAAATGGCAGATATCCATTGATAAAATATTAGATTCTAACCCAGATATCTCTTTAATGCATATGAGAGTTCGAAGCTCCCATATTGAGCAGGAGCCATCTTTGCTACCAGAAAATAAATATCTGCCCAATGGATCTATTTTTAAACATGTAACTGAAAACCTATGTGCTGTTACTTCTAGTACCTTGAACATTTCATTATTTTCTTTATTTATGCTCATAGCTATAATACTGCCATTTTTAGTTCCAAGGAAAATATTAGAACCTGAACTGTCCCATGTTACAGAATATAGTGTATCACTGCTCATAATGGATTTCAATTTTATAGTATGTAACAGCCTATAGTCATCTTTTGCGCTGAATAAGTAAATTGAGTCTGATTTGGTAATTGCAAGTATATATTCGCCAGTGGGATCAAATAAAGCGTTATTAAGCTTAGTTTTATGATCGACCGAGATGCTCCTCACTTTGGATGCCTTTAAATTCAATTCGTCGTATTCCCATATATCTAGTTCATCAGAATTGCAAGAAGTAATCAATTGTGTTATTTCATTAGGATTCCATGAGATTGAAGTTACTAATTTATCGGTTCCACATGCATCTTTAATATGTATCATCTTTCCTGGAATAAAAGTGGCTTGAATAGATGGCCAAATAGTAATAGAACCATCAATTCTACTGTATGCTAACGAGTGACCAGCCGGGTGGAATTCAAAGGCCAGTATTTCATTAGGTGTTAACGAGTTTTTAAACCGTGATTGGATTCTGGTGATGACATGATTGTAGCGATCATCTTCTATAGCATTAATGTGTTCATTCTCGAAAGCACTTTGTAAAAACTTGACGGCGACATTCTCAACTACATTAACGTACTCGTGACTCTTGCTGGAAATGTTGTTGAATGAATCAATTGCTGTTGCTGGCATGGTTCAAAAAGCTGGACTATTTAGACTTCACTAAAACGAACTCTATTATAATTTGGCGGTTTTGTCAATCTTAACCATAAATACGGGTAGTGGCTGATATATGAGTTCAAATAAATTAGTATTGGGCTTGTAGATGCTGATCAATGGTGGTTTATAAATGATGAATCACTTATATGGTACTTTTTAAGCATTTTTCAATCAATGCCATTTTTTCAATAGGAATATTCCCAATTTTTCATATTTTACGTTTTGGTCTCATAAAGGAAGCAGAACTACACAAAGAGGAACCATTTGAGATATCTTTGAAATGAGTAAAGATGAAGAGCGACTACTGAAAGTGCTAGCAATTTGCCAGGATATCAAAGAGCTACGATGCACTACAGATCCTAGAAAGGGGGCAGTACAAGCAATTGAGAAGACTTTGCAGTTACTGTATTGCATGCGTGTATAATAAATTGTTTCCTTGAGTGCAGTAGAGTGGTATAGTGGGTTCGCGGTTGTTAATAGTGGCTATGGAGGACAGCATCGATTTACAGCGCGAGTCCCTTAACAAGCTGATACCAGAGTCTGGTAGCGATGATACTAGTAGTAGTGATGAGGTTAACGGATTGCCAACGAGTAGCGATGGTGCTGACGACGTTAGCTTGATTAACAGCGAAGATTTGAATAGTTCGTTATTGAAGAGCGACCCTGGAGGTACTAATAAATCAGATCAAACCAAGAATGATGAGACTGATTCGAACGATGATCAACGAATAGTTTTATCGGGTGGAGTTGAATTGGAAGAAGTACAAGAAACTGTAAAAGTATACAATAACGTAAAACAGGCATTGCTAGAAGTGGAAACAACAGATGAGTCTCAGTTAATATTAGATAAAATTAAAAGAGATAGTCAGTATTCTAGTGACACAGAGTGTGAAAGTCGAGATGCGGATAGTGAATTAGAAGATATTCAATTAGAGTTCCGAAGTAAATATCCACAGTTACAAATCCCATATAGCGATGAGCTTTGTGTAAAGATCATACCTTACTTGGATATTGTTTATGACATTCTGAGTGGGGTTGTTACTTCAATGTACTATACTAGAGCTAAGAGAGCAGCCATGGATTCCAAAAAGGCATTTTTATCAGCAGAGGATTTTCGAAACTTGGACATCAATTTATTTACTGCCGGATATTTTGGTCTCCGAAGACAATTGAAAGTTGGTAATATTATTTATGAAAAGTTTAGGGATGAACTTGCTCGTTCTAAATCTCCTAAGATACAATGGTGGGGCCCCATTGACTTTGCCAATTACGTCTTGGCACCAGAAGTATTAGTTAGCTTTGTGCTTGATACATGCCAGAATAAAAGGTCTGTGCAGCTGACCTCGAGGCAAGATGTTTATGAATTATTCGACAATACGACTTATTATGGCAACACAGTGACAGACAATGAACCTTTAGAGTCCTGGGAATTATCAAGGAAAAAAAGAAAATATGGACCTACTAATAATCAAAAAACTCACAAAACTAGGAAGAAGAAGTCATGATCCGTTTTATATTTATCTGTTGTCATCCTCCAACAATATTAGAACTCCATCTAATGAAAGTAAGACTACCTAGATGCTTTTGTTTGTAACAATTGTATTATAATTACAGTGTAACTGTAATTTTGCGTAAAAAGGAGAGAGGACTACATAGGTGGTGGTAGTTCCTATACTTATCAGGATGCAGGAGGATGTATTTCAGCGGCAGAAAGTACGAATTGAAATTGTATCAGTATATACGAGATTGTCAGGCTTGAAAGTGTGAACATTCGCCGTCTCTAGAGACTGAAATTTTTCATCTTTTGCTGCGAGATGGCAACGACGATGAGCATAGCAGCAGAGGATGTGCAATAGTAGAGACAGACCTCATCCATTAGCCGATGTTCGGGATCAGCATAGTGGTTAGCATTGGAGTGGGCGGCTAGGTGTAGAACAGTTGTATTTGATTCATCATAGATTTGAAATAGTTGTGCGTCTGATTTCACTTTGTCAGCGTTTTACATTTCTTTCTAGCAATTTTGTTCAGAAAAGATAACCTGGATTTTGCAAAAGATTGCCATTTAATTTCAAAAACTACAAAGGATGTCTCAAAAAGCTTGTTACGTTTGCGGTAAGATCGGCCATTTAGCTGATGACTGTGATTCTGAAAGACTATGTTACAACTGTAACCAACCAGGCCATGTTCAATCCGAATGTACAATGCCAAGAACTGTTGAACACAAGCAATGCTACAACTGTGGTGAAACCGGCCATGTCAAGAGTGAGTGTTCCATTCAACGTTGTTTCAACTGTAATCAAACTGGCCATGTCTCAAGAGAGTGTCCTGAACCAAGAAAGGGTAGATTTGGTGCTGCCAGCAAGAACGTTTCTTGTTACAAGTGTGGTGGTCCTAACCATGTTGCCAGAGACTGTATGCAAACTGACACCAAGTGTTACTCATGTGGTAGATTCGGTCACGTTTCCAGGGATTGTCCAAATGGCCCAAATGAGAAGGTTTGTTATAACTGTAACGAAACTGGTCACATCTCTAGAGACTGCCCAGTTTTGTAATCTTCCTAACCAATTACGTTATTATTAATCAGAAAGAAGAGACAATATTTTTATTTTTAACTAGTGAGCTATGAAGATGTCATTACGATCTGCAATTATCCATTATTTAATTAACATTTTGTGACTCAGTGTTCTGGAAAACAAGGATTTGTCACAATTCGGCATATAAAAGATAGTAAAGAATCAATTTGAAAAGTTATATGTTAATGCGTCTTCTGTGTATTATATATTAGATATTTGGAGATTGATATTTTATCTCGAGCATGACTAAAAATCTGCCATTAGCTATTTACTTAACCCTATTAATGAATATCCGTTACTTTTTTATGCGCATTTCAAAAAAGTTGAAAAAAAACTGATATAGCTGAATTTCACACAATAAAAGTTAATAATGTCCTATCCATATCGTTATCTCAATCAAAGAGAGGTAAATACTTAGGTTAAGGTCGCAGATCTGTACAATTCATTTGCCAATTTAATACTTTGGATACACTCTCTGACATTGTGCACTCTAATAATATCCGCATCAAATCCTACACATGTAGCTGCTATAGAACTGGTGGCTGAGTCTCTTTTAGATGGATCATCTTCTTTTGTTATAGTACCCAAGAATTTTTTTCTGGAAGGGCCGACTAACACTGGAATATTTCTGAAATTAACCGATAGATTGTCTTGTACATAACTGTAATTTTTTAAAAGGGAAGTTTGTTTAATTATCTGCAAATTCTGTTTGGCATTTTTGGCAAATCCAATACCAGGATCCAAAATTAATTGGGACCTTTGAACTCCTTTCTTCATGGCCAAACAATATCTATCGGCCATTTCCTTTCCGATATTCCTGATAAGAACCGTGCTTTCTGATGTGTTTTTTCTACCATTTACATAATGCGTTCCATCTGGTTCACCATATGTGGTTTTAGTAGACATCGTGGCAATATCACCTCTGATATGAGATAATACATATGCTATTTGTGGATTATTGGCGATGACATCAAACATTGTCGGATCAAAAGACCCGGCTGAAATATCATTTACAATATCAATACCGCATTCAATAGCACTCTGAGCAACCTTTGACCTATATGTATCTATCGACAATAAAACCTTATCAAATGGGATATCAGAGCATGCTTTAATGGCCTTTATTAAAGGAATAGTCCTTTCAATTTCTTCTTCTTCAGAAACCTGTGTTGAGCCAGGTCTTGTTGAACACCCGCCAATATCCACAATTAACTGCTCACTTAATCTTAGACCATCATTTATCATTTTCTTAACCTTTTCAACCTTTTCATTTACGTCTAAGTAAGATTCCGAACCATCAGAAAAGGAATCCGGTGTTGTGTTCACAACTCCCATAGCCAAAGCAGACGATTGTGTTCTCCATCTACTTATACCTAGAATCTCATCATAAACCTTAACGTTTTTGAACTTCAGAAATTTTTCACTTTCTCCATCTTTTGACGGTAGTGGTATAAGCTTCCATAAAATATCTTCTGGGTTCTCATTATCATATATATTTTCCAAATGATTGAAAACAGGTTCTGCAGATACAGGATGTGTAAATTCTGGGTGTAATAATTCGCATAGTGGTTCGAGAACGAACGTCCGTTCCAACATCCTTGGATGAGGTACAGTAAGATCTGTATCATTCACCAAAACATGCTCACCGCTCTCGCTTAAATAAAATATAATATCCAGGTCAATTGTTCGTGGCCCATTATTGAACTTTTTGACTCTCCCTAACTTTGTGTATTCGATGTCCTTACACAACTCTAGTAGTTCGTGAGGTGAAAGTGTTGTTTCAATACCAATACAACCATTCAAGAAAGGTGACTGATCTTTAAAATACATCGGTTCACTCTCAAAGTATGAGGAAAAGCCCTTTACTTTCACATTTGGATTTTCTCTCAGTAAATTTATAGCTCTTTCCACTTGCTGCCTTCTAGGTTCAATATTTGACCCAAATGCAAGGAATGCAGTATTCCAAGCTCCTTCAATTAATGGAACGTTTGTACCCACCGGTAAATTAAACGAATCATCCAAACTTTTTGGATCAGAACGATTGCTAAATGGCTTTTGATCATAGTGAGGCAATTCACTTGGTTTTCTCACACAACTGACACCCACACCTTCAGTATCAGTGATAGCATTTAATTTAATAACCTTAACAGAAATTGGTAGGTCTTTCAAATTGTGTCCAAAATATGAGTCATGTCCAATAATACCACATATATTTTCTGCTAGTGCCTCTACTGTTTTAAAATTTGAGTTCTCAACATGTTGAACTATCTTATCTACTATTTTCTTGATTGAAATATGATGTTCTCTGTTTCTTGGCCATGGTATTTTAATATCTAGGTCCACAAACTGTTTTTCCTTTCTTTCAAAGGTAAAAACACCAATTAGCGTCAATAGACGGAGGTTCTGTATTTTGATAAAGTCCTGTAAATCCTCTGTAACAGCAGCACGACTTCTGTTAACCTCACACGCAATATCCTTGGAACGGATGTGGACAGATGGGACATTAACTTCTAAATTTAAATTATTGATACCAAGCCAACTATCCATTGCAAATTGAGCTACATCACGAGTCATCGCACCAACGGATCCCCATCTATTGTTCTTAAGTCCTATGTATTTCAACATGTCCTTACAGATCACAGCGTAGTTCAATGAATATTTCAAATCATCTGTCTCTGAAGATTTAGAAAAATCTGTGCCCATATTCATGGTTATGTTACAACGTTGTTCAGTGGGTTGACCCCACATATCCGGACCCATATGGGCAGACGCTTCCAACTTTATCACATGAACATGATCTCGATCAGATGCATGCTTATCAACCACCAATGTACTCATAGGGAGCGTTCTAAAAAACTGTCCAATCGCAAGTTTGCGAGTATTACCCTTGATCAATTGAAACAACTTGCCTTTTAAAGAATAAGAAGCACTTTACCGAACAACAATAGATGTTATGAATAAATTAATCAAAATAACCCATTGAACGCTTGGATTCTGACTGAAGAAGTATAATTTGAGAATCCTAATGTAGTACATTCGTTCTGCTGCTACTTGTTTAAATCACTTGGGGCAAACCAATGGCTCATCGCACTTTGAACAATTTTTCATTTTGACACAGCTGAAAAATTGTGGATTGCTCGCTACCAACATTCCACTGCCAGATTATTGAAAAACACTAAATAAACAGTAGATGAGCTCTGTGCTTTGTTCAGTCTTAGACCATAACCTCTGATTGGCATTAACTCCTGGACTCATACAAAGGCCATTGTACGGATATTTGACATTTTATTGTGCAGGGACTAACAAATGAATAGACTGCTGGTCAAAGGATTGACATTAATTTCACCATCGTTATAACATAAGGATTTGTTCAGTTTAAAATTAACTGATTGAGAAATGGCCCCGTTAGAAGAACATCACAACCAGCGACAACTGCGACTTATTTCTGTTGCTTTTAAGGAGGCATCAATTGATTCGCCATCTTTCAGAGCTACAGTAAATTTCTTCCACACAAGAGTTGATATTTTTGAAGAATGGATAGACAAGTCCATGGCTTTCTATGAGAAAAAGTATACACATTCATATGATGATTTCAAAAGAACCCAAAATTCACTCTTGTCACAGCTATTACCTTCTCCATCAATGTTAAGTAGTGGACTTGTTAGCAATCAGGGATATACACCAAGCTTGGTAAGTAACTTTTTATTTGATTTTACGGAATACTCAGAAAGGATAATTAAAGCTCTTAAAGGTAACGATATATTGAATTCAACTCCGTTATCTGAATTAATATCTGTTGCTATTGATCCGTATAAGGCCTGCCGAAAATCTTTTGACTACTATCAGACAAAATATGATTCCATGCTTTCTACATTTCAAGCTGCTAACATAAGGGAGGTTAGTATTGATCCAGAGACCACCAAGAATGATACGATCCATATTTTTACGCTACAGAAAAGCTACATACAAGCATCTTTAGACCTCATAGAGGCCATTTATACACTGCGGCTACAAATTGACAAATTCTTATTGGATACAATGAATAATATGAAATCGGACTCAATATATTCCCCAAAGGATGGTTCACGACCACTTGATCTGATGCCTTCCATGAATGAATATATGAAAGACTACACCATGTGGGTTCAAAATGCTATAGATGGTGCTAGAGCATTGGAACGTGACATTGAAAATGCAAAAAAACAAGCATATGAATATACCTTGAGTCATATTACTCCATCAGAAGATATTAATGATTATGATATAAGGACTATTTCCACAAATACATTCGTCGACCAAAATATCCACATAAACAAAACACCAGAAAAGAGCGGGTGGTTATTTATGAAGACATATGTGGGGACACCGAGCAGAGAAATATGGGTGAATAGATGGTGTTTCCTGCAAAATGGTGTGTTTGGAACTTTACTATTATCACCTTCAAAAACATACGTAGAAGAAACTGATAAATTTGGTATATTTTTGACAAATATTAGATACAAACCGGAAGAATATCGAAAATTTTGTTTTGAAATGAAAATATTCAATGGTAATAATTCCGCATCACAGGATAAAAGGAAGATGATCGAGTTAGTCTTTCAAGCTTCAAGCTTGAAAGAGCTAAAATCATGGATTAACGCATTTGAAACTACTCGAAAGGTTGTCAGCCAATTAGATAAGAACAGTTTGAATTATGAAATTGCTTATAAGAGATTCTCTCCCAAATATATTGAATTCGCATCTAGTACAACGACAAAAATCGATCAACAAATAACAACTTTTGATGACACAACCGAGTCGTTATTCCAGAAGTACAAATGTGCCTTTTCAGAATATGAAGTGTTATCAGTTGGAAGCGAAAAAATATTCAATTTCCAAACAATAATAACTCCAATTTCGACGAAAATGACGAACTTAGCGTTTTTAGCTGATAATTCAGTGTATGGATCATACTGTACCAATGCTGTGGTAGCAAACATATGGGGTACGACTTACTGGAGCGATTATTCTCTGATATTGTCAACTGTCCCTATGAATGAGGAGAGAACTACCTCCAAACCGACAACTCGTTTGGTATCTCCTCATGATAAGATTATCTATCCCAAATTCTATCCAAATGCCATGAAATTTTATGACTTACAGTTTAAGAATTTATTCTTTTCCATTGACCAAAGACTAAGCAAAATAACAGAGGAGTTTCTTCTTTTCAAATTCGATGCATTCTGGTGCCCAAATAAAAAACAGAAATTTGCTTCTACTTGCTACTTAACACAATACAACCTTTACTCATTCATTAATTCTGTTGGATTTATTTGTCTAACTAAAGTCAATCTAGATGACTTAGTTTCAATCGAGAAAGACAAAGCTACACGTACACTAATAAGAATATATGACTCTAGTGGATTGCAGCTTCGGGTAAATGTCCTATTTACAGATCCTGAAGCAGTGGCCTTAAAACTCCAATATCTACTAGAAAAGAAGGCTTCAGGGACCAATGATTCGATAATGGAAATCTTTGCTAGATTCTCAGAAATTGATAAAGAAATGGAGGAGAAGAGAAACTTGGAAAGAGCCAATTCAGATTCATCTGAATCTGTTTACGATAGCCAACTCGTAGGGAGTAAACATGATCATGAGCTAACATTCTGGAATATCACTAAAGAGAGCGCTGAGCTATTAAATAAAAGAAAAATGCTACAAAAAGAAAGTAGTGTATACTTTAGTCACAATTATGACATTCCATGTAAAGGATTGATGCATTTACTGTTTGGTGACGAATCTCAAGCTTTCCCCAAATCACTATTTTTAGCGAGGAAGAATGGAACTCAACATGTAAACTGGTACTGGAAACAGAAGCGTACTAACAAAACGGGCGATGTAATTCTATCCAGAAAAATTGAGTTTGTTGTCGACATGACCGATAACTTTCTAACAACTAGCAAATATTCTGATAATAACGTAGAGGAGTTGTCATTAGAACAAAACATTGTGAAGGCAATTGATAATAAGTATTATGAGATTGACCAAACACCTGTCAGAATTAAACTACCTTTTGCAAGAATTATGAAAATCACTACAAAGTATATTATCAGTGAAGCATATGATCCAGAGAAGTCTACTTCAGAGAACAAATCAAAATCACCACGAAATGGCTCTTGCTTTCAATTGTTCTTTAATATAGATTTCCTCGATTGTAAGTCAGGGAATCCTGTGAAGGATCTTCATTTCCTAGAGAGAGTATATTTAGACTGGGCTATACATTTTGCTGGAACTGAATTCTTTCTTTTTAGGAAGGTTATTAGATTTTACTTAGAAAAGATGGGCAAGCATGGTAAAGTAATAAAAGCAATGAGATTATGCGGATTAATCGGAGTTTCTGATGAAGCAACTAATGAAACAGAAAAACATGAAGTAATAACTGAGAAAGATATAGGTACAAACAAGGATGTAAATGTTGACCCCATTGTTGACAGGAAGCAATACGATGCCCGATACACACTAAATATTATCAGCAAAGTTCTTCTCAAGAGGCTTGTTTACCGTGTTTCAAATCTGTTTTTTTTCTTATTCAGAGTTATTATCTCATTATTCTTGGGATCAAGCACTGTTGTCCAGAGTTTAAACAGATACTTGCTATTTGGACTTCTGTTATCCATTATTGTGAATTTATATCTATCTGGACGTAGCACCCTGAATTTCTGGTCTGTTCATAACGCAGAGAAAAAGTTCAATAATTTTATGAGTGATTCCGGTAAGTTTACAATGCAAAGATCAATCAAGATTGATGATCTTGACTTATTAACCGAATATCTTGCCATCGATGAAAATAACAGAGCTTACAATAAATTCCAAGAGTATTTACACGATATCGATCATGATTTCAAATACAAAACAACAAGAAAGGATCTTGCTGTGAAACGTAACGAATTACTAGTGGAACTACGTATTCTCCAGAACATGGAACGAGAACTTGTACAAGGTGAATACAAACGATTTTTACTTGAAGAGGTGGATAGATGTGAGCAAGCTTTAAGAGAAGTACCAGACCTTTTCACAAACGATGAAAACATAAAATCTTATTGCGAAAACTGCAATGACGAACTTACGCGTGTTTCAAGACTACTGCTTTGAACATTATGACCTACCTACCTTTTCATACAGATGCATTTTATATTTATATCTCTCAATTCATAAACCCTAACCTTAACATCTTCGTTATCACAACCGACGTTTGACTTTTCTGTCTTTTTCAAATGTCCTTGCGTTAACATAGATGGAAAAAAATTTAGTATTTAAAGCGGAGCATAAATTGTTCTTTCAAACTGGACGGTTTGATATATTCTCAAGTATTTCACTCCAACACTAACAAGAGTAAATTACTCTAGTATTACATGACTCCGATGGCAAATTAACTTGTAAGGTTACAGGCCCATGGATGCTTACATTTTGACTTTCGACCACTATTATTGGTGCTTTCAACAACCAATTCTAATAGCGAGAAAGTTTTCGAAGTTAAGCAACAAGGTGTACGCCAATATTTCTTGACCTGAAATACTAAAATATGTTAATACACTGTTGTGTTTATGATGACAAACTATATCTCAGCTCACTCAGATCACCCGTGATTGATAATATATTCCTATCCAACATTCATCAATTTACCTGACTTTTATCACAACAGAATTTAGCTTCTTAGTATTTCACGTAATCAAACCCTTGCAACAGTAATACAAAACCATTTAGCGTTGTCAAATTAGAATATGTATTTGTATTTTGAATCTGTAGCTGTATTGAACTCTCGATACTTTTTTCTAAAGGAATCCTGGCAGTGTAGGACTTTTGTCATCAATTTCATTTCAATTAGGTCAAATTTCAACAGTAGTACTAAACAGCAAAAACAGCAATTTTATATCAAAGCTTTATCACTACAAGTGCTACAACTTACAAGCCTAAATACAGAAGCCTATCAACTTGAAGCCCAATTAGAAATACAGTCATGACCTATGCTGATAAAGATCATGTTATTACTGAATTATTGAAGGATCCTGTATATTTGAGTCGACACAATTCGTTGGCTACCCATCCAAAAGATGAGAATGACTTGTATGCCTTGGAAACCAAATTAGAGGAAGAACTTCATGACCTTAAGGACCTGAAGATCGTGTCTTCATTGGTTAAAGAGACTCAGGTAAATCTGGATTTGATGGAACTAGAGAATTGCTACTACTCCTTATATAACTTATCAAAGAAATTAAAAAGCAGCCGTTCTTTTCTGAAACAATCATTGCATTTCCAAAGATCGGTTGCAGTACATGTTGATGAATTAAGAATCAAATTACTGTCTACAATTTATGATATTTTAGCTACAAAGTTTTGGTCTATTAGCGAAAGTAGTTTTGAGTTCCACCCAGATATTAAATGGAAGGAAGAAGAATTCATGATGAAATATGAAGAGTTCAAGTCTTTTGTCTCAAAGAGTTTTTTCCCTGACAATGCGATTAATAATTCTCATTGGCTGATTACTGATATTATACATAGCGAAGAGCAAGAGAGAATGCGTAACAAGTTGAAGGATATTTACATCAATTACATTGATTTTGCAAGTTTAACAAAAGCTGTTAAGGATGCCTTATTCTCGGATGAGTATGAGTTCGAATGGAGTGACAATAACTACACTAAACTGCTGATAACAAAGAGGGGGGCTTTATGCATACAGAAAAGAATTGAGAGCTTTAACAATCTACTGAGCTTTTTGGAGAAAGGAATTTCAAATAGTGATAAATTCAAATTACTCACAAATCTAGGCAAGGCAATAGGAATTGAGTTTTTGAGATTTGTTAAATCAAATGCTACTGGAATTATAGATAAGAATGCAAACTCAATTAAACAACAAACATTATTGTTGAACGACAGATTAAAAACTATTTCTGAGCAATCTGGAGCTTGGAATTTCGATAGTGATCAAATTAGTAAACTTCTGAATGATGAGATCCTGTATAAGAGTTTGTTACTGGATGGCGTTCTTGGACGTGCAATCTCTGATGTCAGAAAATTGATTGCTAACGAGTCCTGGAAATCAAAAACAAAAATAACATTAAAAAATTCTGAGATGCTCAATGACTCTAAGGAAAAAGAGATATCACAAGATAATGTAGGAGATGAATGGGAGTGGAACGAGGAAGAAATGGATGATGATGTTCATAACTCAACATCTAAGGTCCCAAACTCAAAATCTGAGGATTTGAATGACGATGAAGATGGTTGGGCTGATGAAATCGATGTTGATTTGGAGGACGAAATAAACACAAAAGAAACCGAACCTGAAGATGACGCCTGGAACGATGAATGGGATGTTGAAGAAGATATTAAGTCTACACATTCCAATAAAAATTCCAAAAGTAAGCATTTTATAAATACAACAGAAGAAGTAACAATAACAGAATTACCAAAAAAATTCCTCAATATAATGGAAAAACTATTGGAAGACGCACGAGCAATTGATGTAAACCTACCACTAACGGAAGATTTCAAATACAAAGCTAACCTTCTACAAACTGTCTTCTTTTCGATCAGTTCTACTAAATATGGTAACGAATGGTGGCAATTTTATAACGACATGAAATTTACTTTCGACCAAAATAACGACATGAAGAGACTACAAGAGCTAATATACAACTACATGGAAACTAATTTACAAAATACAAAGAAAATCTCCAAGAGGATACTAAGCAGCCAATTACAACAATTTCAGAGAAACGAAAACAATCCAAGTTGGAATGACACTCTTGACAACTTCTTACCATTTCTAGAAGAGGAACTTGCTAATATCACAACTCACATCACACAAGAGGATAGCTTCAGATATATCACAAGACTGTTCAGCTTTATTTTTGAGGATGTGATAATTCAAAATATACTATCATGGGATATTATTTCTGAGAAAAATTCTGAAAATATATCTGAGCTTTTAAAATTGATAATTACCAGCACACAAATCGACAGTTTAAACACATATCCAAAGTACAGAGAATTATACGAAAGAGTCAATATTGTGGCAAAGTTGTTACCATTACACTTGAAAGAAATCATGGAAATGTTTTACAACGGTGACTTCTATCTGTTTGCGACGGAAGAGATCATAACTTGGATAAAATTGCTATTTGCTGAGACGCCCTTACGGAAAGACGCAATCGATGACATATATGAAATCAGAAACACACCAACCGAAGACTGACACTGGCAAATGGCTTCATTGCATTATTCAAACAAGAGAAATGTACTATTTCACCAATATCCACTACTTTGAATCATATACAACGACATATAAAAAAGGGTGTAGTTTTGACAGTTTTACTCATGTTGCAAGACCGGACTTTCGTTATCATCTGATAGTCATGGATTTTATGTTTGCTTCTCAGTACATATTACTATATTAATATATAACAAACGACAGAAGACTGTCTCATCTCATATTTATCTAAGTTTCATATTAAAATCTGTATTTTGCTCTCTTATTTGAGTCTACCACTATTTGAAAAAAAAATAAATCATAAAACTCATTTACTTTTAGAACATGAGCGAAAATCAAAACCATTACCAATTTGATGTCGTAATGACATGTTCCGGATGTTCTAGCGCTGTTGAACGTGTGCTGAAGAAACTTGAACCAGATGTCTCCCACATTGATATATCCTTACCACAACAAACTGTGGATGTATATACCACATTGCCATACGAAACCATCCTTGAAAAGATCAAAAAGACAGGTAAAGAGGTCAAATCTGGAACCACTCTTTAGATGAATTAATCTAAAATATCAAGTTGAAGATTGGTAAATGGAACATCAAATAATTACCGAAGGTTGACTATCATTGTTCTATCCCAATCGATAATTTGAGATAGCATCGGCAAAACACTAGGGCTTTTTCTGAGTTAGATGTCACTTGAAAAATTGCAAAAAATCCAAAAATGTTACGATGCTTTTATGCGATGAGCTAATTGATTTGTCAGGAACCCAATATAAAGCTATCCATTTGAATCAGTAAGTATTTTGTAACTTTAATAAATATTCCTTTGTAAGAAACACCATCAACTCTCGTTCAGTTCCAAATTCATTATTTATTACTTCATCATTAAATTATTCAGCTGATAATCATGAATACTGATGAATTACTATTCTTAGAGGAACAGTTCTATCAAGAAGGTTATGAAGAAGGCAGAAATGAAAACTTGAAGAACAATTTAATAGAAGGTAAAGAGTTTGGGTTACAAGTTGGATTTCAAAGATTTGTGTTACTAGGTCAAATGGTTGGGATGTGTGATGTCCTTGATTCTTTACAGTTGAAGAATAATTCGTTATTTAAGAACATCGCAAATGTCAGAGAGCTGATCAGCTCTATCGAGCTTAACAACAAAGAGGAGAATGTTGAAAGTTTAGAAAAGACTCTAGTGAAATTAAAGAATAAATTTAGATTGATTTTACTTTCATTCCAGAGGGAATTTAAACACAACGATCGCAAGCCTATCAATTTTGATAATTTTGAAGACTTGTCAAGAGCAATTGCAGGAGAAATCAAAGGGTTTGTTGAGGATGAAGATGCTACAGACGCTAAGACGACTCAAGACCAGGCACAGGCTTGGTAGATTTATTTATTATCGATATTCATTCTAGGGAACCGGATTTCTAAACTTTCTTAAATGGCGAGTCCATTTATGAATCTTCAGAATCCACCCAATATCGCGGATCTTCATATCGAATATTATAAAATAAAACGAAATGGACATATTTATTATTATATGGAACTGTGCTATATGTTCTGATAATTTAATCATGGACACCACTGAAATATTCCGATATATCAAAACTTACAGAACTTGCAATTTCAGAAATGATTTCCCAAGGTATATTTACTCTCCATTTTATTTTATTTCCCAAAACGTCAAGATTTTTTGAACTACTGCAAGTTATTAGTTTCAAGGAAAATAACTCAGCTAAATTCTGGAATACCTCAACATTAGATTTCATGAGATCATCAACTTTTAAGGCTGCTAATGAACCCTTAGGAACTTCTATTTCGAGGGGGTATATTGACTGGAATATGGCCAGTAACCTCTCGATGTAAAAAAAAGACGGTTGTAGATATCTTGGATTTTGTTCCTTCTTCTTGCGTTTGCTATTCGCAGCCTTGCTTCCTCGCTTTGAAAATATTCCTATATCAAATTTAGTTTCAATGTAGGAACAAAAATATGCTGCAATAAGAAGATATTTTGATATGTTGGATAGCTCATATGTTTGTGTCATTGCAGTATCTGAGTAATCCTCATAGGTGTCGTTAAAGTCATTTTTTAGACTATCATCAGTTGTTATGAATAATCTAACATTGGCACGATAGAGTGCCAATGGATCTAGAATATTATTCTTATCGAGATTTTTCAAATATAGTGGCCATTTAAAGTCTATCAAATCATTTAGTGCGTATATGTCATTCCCTGTATAAGAGTGAAAAGCTTGAACAATTAATTGTATAAAATTAACCGCCACCTTTTCTAAAGATTCGTTAGTATATTCACATTCATCTAAAAGCTCTAATTGCATGACAAGGAACGAACTTCCAACTAGTTCTTGTGCTCTAGTCAGAATTAAAATTTTTATTATTTCATCTAAGTTATACCTAGGAAAAACAACCATAGGAATTGCATTGCTGCTATATCTATTAACAAAATTCAAATCTCGTACGGTGTAGATGGATTTCATAACAATTGCATTGTCATTAGGAAGAAGTTCATGAAGTTTAAGTAATTTGTACAATATTTGGGAGTCTAAATCTTGTAAACTATCAAATCCATCATAGACAATATATAACGGTATCTTTTCTGGTAGTTCCTTGTAATGACTGAACAGCTTTATTAAATATTTCACCAAAAAGGAAGGTTCCTCTACAGCCATTGGATCGTATTCTTTATCCTGAAGTCCAGGATATTTTTGCATCAGTCTTTGTTGCGTAGACCTAGCTATCGCTTGAAATAGAGGCTTCCAGGATACAACTTCAATTGGATCCAGCCATACATTAATAATATCTGGCTTCAACTCAAAAACTTTCCTCAAGGTTAGTGTCTTACCAGTCCCGCTATATCCTTGTAGGATTAAATTCGGGGTTGTTAATGTTGAATCCACATCAATCAAGGAATCAAGCAATTCCAATTGATAATCCCTAAACAAAACTACCAAGTTAGACTTACTCATTGAATTCCATACAGTATTACACTTTCTTATTTTAGTTGACCAAGCTTAGTTTAATCGTGAATCAACCTCTTGTTGGTGTTTCCTGTAATATACCTACTCATCGCAGAACATTTTTTTTAGCAGTTTGTTTCGCGAAGTCCATAATTTTTCATTTAATAAAGACTGGTTAATCATATACCAAAAAATAGTATATAAATAATAAACATTAAAATATATGCTGAATGCACTCTATGAGTATTTGTTATATAGATGCTGTTTATATTATTTTCATTATTGATTTTTTTTGTCTAATATTAAGTTAGAAAAGTAAAAGTTGCGGTCTCGACAATGTTCCATCAATATAGCGACTCTAAAGCATTTTTCACAAGACTGTAGTTATAAAACTCTGCGACTTGTTTGTAAATTTTAACAATGTTGCTTAGTTTTTCTGGTTTAGTCGTACATACCCAATTACCTGAGCAGTTACAATTGGTGCTCATCAAATCGCGTTTTACTGTATGACACTTTTCACACCTTAAATCCTGAGTGATATATGTCTGATATTCAATGGCTAAGTTCTGAATCATATGCTCTTGCAATAAAGAATCATTAATACTCTTATCACATCTAGGGCATTGAAATTTACCGTCAAGTCCATCACGACATAGATCCAGGTCAGACACATAGGAGCAATACTCACACAATATACCATTGATTACCAAAGAATCGGACGGGTTTTGGAATTCAGCCTCTTTTGCAAACTCTCGGATCTCTAAAAATTTCAAAACTTCTTTTCTTAGTTGCCTAACCTCTAATGTAGTACTCTTTGATAACAATAGTATTTGGAATAAACTCTTTATAAATTCCAGAAGAGGATCATCCATTTTTATATGGGAGCCAGGAAGAATAGGAAATGCATAGTCTTCTGAAAATCCGGGATCCAAAATAAATTCACGCTGGTTGCGGAATAGTTTGTTGACTCTTTGAAGTAAAGGTTTACCAATTTCCTTTGAAAACGATGATAGTGGAGAAATATCTTCTGTATCTGATTGAGGTGTCAAACCAGTCACTATTTGAGTTGCCCTTTGAGTTCCATATGATGATTCTAAAAATGCTCTTTTAGTTTTCACCATACTATCCAAAATAATCATGGCCCAATCTTCAAATTCTGATTGATAGATTCTAGGTAAGTAATACTTGATTTGCCAATTAGAATAAGCCGTATAATCTTGCTTTTCACGTTCCTCTATTTGGGAACATGACAAGCCACTAAAGTTATATTTATCCATCCATATAAGTAGGTCCCAGTAGCGTTCAATGTTTAGATCAAGATAGGTAAACATTGGATTAGATCTGATGGATTTGATCATGTAGTGGCTATAGGCATAACAAGTTTCTGGTGATATTTTGTTGGTCTTAATTAATAGCCGGTTCCTATCGGCAGACACTATAAATGAGCCAAGCTCATTAAACTCATTCATCAATTGAAAGAGTGACTTTTTTGTCAAGTTATGAATGTGATATCTTAACGAACCATCGAACAGTTTTGAATCAGTGCTGTAAACCCAGCTTACCAAAGAATTGACTAATAAATCTGCAGTGATATTTTTTTCAAGTGCTCTATCCCACCATTCTTTCAGCAACGACTTCAAGACCGCCAGGGCATCATGGGAAAATGAGTCTTGGACAATTCCTTGATTATTTCCAACTGGCTTATCCGAAACGTCTACAGTATTCATGTCTACCAAATCGCTACCTTCGGCCTCATTTATGAGTGTGGAGCATAAAATCGTATTAACGACTAAATTCTCAATTGACACTTCAAGAACAACATTATCATAAACATCTGGCACATTGATGTTGGGAAAATCAAGATCATTCATGATCCAGGAGGTATTTTGATCAAAATCATTTTCCATACCACCGTGATCAGGTAATGGTGATTGCTCATTCCACCACAATATGATATTATCCAATTTCAGTCTTCTCGCATAAATGACATCAATAACAAAGTCCATCTTTTCTAAGTTTATGTTACATATTGGAACATTGCTATGTTGTGACAGTGAAACCAAATGAGAGACCCAATAACTTGTGGAGATAATATAAGAGCACAGTTTATTGATCATCACATTTTGCCAATTTAATTGTGGTAATGCTAAAATATTCATAGACAATTCAATAATAGGGATTTGAGTGGAGTATCTAATATTCTTCTTGATTAAACTGGGGAAAGGACTTTGCATCAAAAGGAGAACCTGTTGTCCCTTCTGTTCCTTTATCATAGCAAATTCTTGATTAATTGCTTTGAATAATTTCTTTTTGTCAGTGTAATGATTGCTATTCATATCCACATTATCAGATAAGTTGATATACTTGTTAAATTTGGTAATTCTATCCTTCCTCTTATGGTATTGCTCCTTAAAAATACCAATAATAGTACTTTCTAGTAACTCTTGTGCGTTATTTGACGGCTTCTTTACAAATATGCTTAGTTTATTCTCCCACGACCTGAAAATTACAAAGAATTCATAGTCAATATTAGTATCGATATGCAATAAATAACACACATTCAAGTCAAAATGTGATAAATATCTGTCATTTCCAACACTTGTGAGATCCTTCAAATGAAAACCATCTTGTAAACTCTTACCTAGGCTACCAACCTTTTTAGATTTGAATGAGATTGTTGTCCCTAAATCCATTAACGCTTTCTGGGCAGGACTAATATGTGATTCATAAATACCCAAAACACTCTCATCATTCAAAACACTACCGCTATCCTCTAATTCATCTAGATATACTTGTTCCGATAGAGTTAGTTTAAACAGCGGACTGGCTGAATCGTTGTTTATACGTGCGTCGTTTGGCAAAATCGCATTAGATCTCTCAACTTCACAATTTTTAATTTTTTTTAGAGGAACGGAGTCAGTTTTGAAGTTAATATAAAGTGTTCTAGGAACATATATCTTTAAAACTTGAACTTTGCCATTAATAATCACATAAGCATCAACTGCACCTGCTTCATAATTGTCTCTATACTGCAAAACCTCCCAAGACCCATTAGCAAACATTTCCGCCTGCTTCCTAATCATGCTACCCAAAACTGATCTTGAATTTGTTTCACCTGATTTACCGAATAGTTGAGTTCTCCGAATACGATCTCTGCGTTGGATTTTCCATTTTATTTTCTGGTAGCTCAACCATGAGACATAATCTTCCTCCATAGATGGCATTGTTGCAGGAAGCACTAAAGATTCCTCGTCATTCTTTTGGACATCACGATTCCTTTTGTTTTTATTTCTAGAAGTAACTTTAGCCAATTTAATTCTTTTTATGTCGTCATCCTCATGAAATAATTCCTCAATATCTTTTATCCTCCTGTTTTGTGGCTCCTGCGAACTTTTGCTCAAAAATCTTTCCAGTTTTGACTGCTTAAACTTATCTTCTTTCACAGCAATCCTTCTTTTCAACCAATCTGGATGCTCGACCCTTGGTACAGGATTGGGAACATTTTGTAAAGCGGCAGGTATCGTAATGATTTTTTGAATCACAGACGCTAATCTTTCTCTATAATACCCCCAATCTAAAATTGTACGAATATCAAAATTATCTAATGAATGATCCATGGTCCATCTTCTTAAAAATGATCTTTTCACATTAATATCTGATGAAAATATAGCCACAGGAATAGCTCTTTCCGTAACCGGTGCACCATGGGGCTTTGAGCTAATGATGTACTTACATTGTAAACCCTTATCCTTTACCATATCTTCACCCAAAAATTCACCCAATCTCTTAGCAGTAGTGATGGATGTAGATTTCTGACCTTCATATTCCTTGAGTGATTTTGACATGCTTCTGTTTTCACAAATCAAAGAAACTAAATCCTCATCCTCCAACATTGAACCCTTATTATCAAGAATGTCTAACCATCTATTCGAAACAGCTGCAACTGATGCATAGCATTCTTCCAAGGTTTTACCATCCAAGAAAACTTTGAAAATATCACTTTGGAAATTTTTGATCAACTGCAATTCACCACGTCTCTTCAGTTCAAAACCTTTAAGTTCAGCCAATGAACCATCCTCATTAAAAACAGCATATCTTTTTTTAATACCTTTACCTTCTTCCTTCGAAGTTGGCAGAATCATAGCTTTATAAGGACCATCAACTTCAAAAAAGATGGTATTTTCGCTATGAGTTTCATATTTATGTTTTACTGGATCTACTAATTCTTGATATTGATGGTTGGTAAACTTTTGATGAACCCTGTAATTTAACATAGAGCATGGATAAGACACAAATAATTTCTTGCCATTTTCAAGTTTCAGGAAAAAGTTTTCAGGAAATGATTTTGGTAAGATACACCAAATACCATCGGTATCTAACTCTAAGGGTCTACCCACACGCTCAACAAGCGCTCTAGCCATCTGAATAATAGTTGCACCCGTTAAACATGTAATACCAGCCATTTCCATCGAATACCAACGCGAACCCTTTCTCATGACATAACCGTAAAACGAGTTCAAAATAACTTTATGAGCTAATTGAAGGGAGTCATATAAAACAACCATTTTATTAGCTTCATCCTTCCCATGTTTATCATTTCTATCAATACTGGACATTTTCCCTTTCCATTTCTTTGCTAAACCTTTGAACTCATAACGTCTGTCACGGAACGATTTCACTGTATTAACATAAAATGGGTTTTCTCTTTGACAAACAATAGCTTCTCTTTCAACAATTTCTGATACTTTTATTCTATGGTAGACTTTTTTGGAATATTCTGTTAGACGTTTTTTAATATGTGCCACTTGTTCTGAATAACTAAGTTCATCAAAGGTTAAGTATGGCTTTTTGGAGAACTTATTTTTATTAGGAAATGTTTCATTTTGGAGAGCTCTTTTAATCATATTGTATTCATCAGATTTAGCAGGATAAAATTCACCTCTCCATGCCCATTTTAGCCGCCGAGCACAACTTTTACCTGGCCTGTTGAAATCACAACTAGCACAATCCTTTTCAGTTTTTATACTATCGGGTTGTAATCTATTTGTGGTCATAATGTTAGGATACATCGATGCAACATCAACATGGTAAATAAGCGGTTTTTCATGTCGCTTATTATTTTCTTTTAGTTCCAAGAGCTGTTCCTTTATTTGCTCCTTTATTTCTTCGAAATTTGTGACATCTTCCATCTTGGCTTTATTTTCTACTTCAACGGCAAATTTCAATGCATGAGGTAGATCTTCTATTAGCTCATCTATGGCTGATGTGTCAATCTTGAATTCTGTTGCCAGATCACTTCTAAATACACCGGCCTCTAAAGACTCCACATGGCCACCAACATATGTTTCTGATTCCAGCAAGTGTCCATCGTAAAATCTTTCTAGCGGATCAGTATGCTTGTTTGGTAATAATATGTTACCTTGATAGGCTTGGACCATTAATAACATTTCACAAAGAGTACCTGTACCCTTTCTTAAAACTTCGTCTGGATTTAATGGAATAATTGTACATAGAGAAAAGATGAATGGATGCACATACTTCATATACAGGTAGTATGTTGCAACCGCATCAGAAACCGAATATTCTGATAATTGTTGTGGTCTTTCGTAAGCATATGGGGTCATTAATTCTGGATCAAGTTCAATAGGATTGTAACCAAGTTTTGCTTGAGTCACAGCCTTCAAACCTTGAGATCCTTGAGGTAAATACGAATCACGCTTTACCCAACGGAAACAATCCATATGAACACAATAAGATGACTTATATTCTCCTTCTGAATCTGGAGCAAAACCAATTTCTTCAAACATATCTAGACCTCTAACAGATGCTCTTTTCTCTATAAAAGGCCAATCAAAGAAGTCACCGTTGAATGTTGATATCACGGTTGGTCTTACATCTCTTATATGCTCAAAAAATCTTTGCAAAACTGCAAGTTCGTCCACTTCATTAAAAATAGTAACATGTCCCTGTAGTTCGGGTTTTGGTGTATACTCAAAATCTTCAATGTCCTCAGATATAATTTCTCTGTTAGTGATTAGAAAACCATCTCCGTCAATCATATATGATATCATCATGACTTGGTCTACTGAAGCTTCAGGAAATTTTAGTGGCGCTTTAGTTGTTTCGATATCAAATGCCAATACAACTGGGTCAGCAAATGCAACTTTATCTGGCCAAACAAAAAAACCCTCGTGAGTAACCTTGTACCATTTTCCCACCCTTATGTCTTTGTCTATCGATACTCTTACATGGTATGGTACGTCATATTCTCTAATATCTTCAATGTATTGTTTGGCATCTTTTTTATCTTGAACGCTGGAGGATGCAAATCGATTCACATTGGAACTGAGCATACCATTTCCATTAGAAATATTGCTGTGCTTGAACACGTTCCTTTGTTGTTTATTGCTCTCATTCTCAGCCAATATTGGTCTCAGTAATTTTCTTGCTTCGAATAACTGGTTAGAGTTTACAAATGACAATTTGATGAGTGATTTCTGTAGACCAAGTAAATGGTTATCGAGTTTTAAGTCTTCCTTCTTCAAAGTTGAGATATCTTTCAGACAAGTTTCCAAGTACTTTTTTAAAAACTCTTCCACATCATTGAGCCTTGCATCATCAGTAACTGTTACAAAGAAGTAAGGGTCATATGTTATCGATGACTTGAAACTACCACCTTCTTCATCCAGAAAGTAAAAGTCTACACCGGCAATACCTGCAGCGCTAGGGTTGTAATCTGAACCACCACCGGATGCAATCTCCTCTGATATTAACGTTGGGTGCATATTTACCAGCCACCCTGTCCTACCCGGTACTTGATCAAGCCTGTCTGGATCTACCCTGCCGTTATATTGCGGCGGCACATACCTCTCAAATCCCATCATTGCATCAATGTCATCAACTTTTGCAGCTTGTAATAACTGCTGAGCAGTCACAGCATAACCATTGGAAAGACTTCCTGCCTGGCCATTACCTCTCTTAAACCTCGCCGTACTCATCACACAAAGCTATATAATATCACGACCTTTGTATCTTCCCTCGGGAAATGTATTTATATTGGAACCTCTATTTGCAATGGGAGGTGTGCAGTTCTAATGGGCTTGAAATTCTATAACCGCCCAACAAACCTTCAGAGCAGCAAATCCAACCGGGTGAGGAAGTGAAAAATTTATGTTAATGCCGAACCAGCTCACCAATACGCTTACCGTAGAGCTCACTGATATTCAATTACTTTACCCAAAACAGCCTAGTTTGCACAGAAACTAGTACGTTCAACCTTGCCTAAGATGTAGAGACGCGTAAAATTAACTTTGTTCTAACGTATTCGCATGAAAAAAAAAATATTCAGAAAAAGATCTTCACGCGTTTGTCATTGTGTACTAGAGATTATCAATATGATCACACACTACATACGGAGCTGCTTCTGATGTTTACTGTTTACCCAGCTTTCATCCTTTTTGTCAGTATTTTTTGTCACTTTGCTGCTGTTCTACAAACATAACGGTGGCTGTGTCTCTTTGTCTCTTAGTCTCTGATTGTTTGGGCTAACTGTCATTCACTCTAGCTCTCCTTCAGTACAGAAGTGGCCTTTCTTTTTGGTCAGAACCCAACCGTTTTCCCTTTCCCGAAGCTTGTTTTCCTCACCTCTCCCTCACTCAAGGAATTTCTCTAAATTTACTGCAGAATAGTAGAACGAGAAAACCCAAGCTAATAAAGCTAGGATCAGACCGGTTTATAGTATAAAGACTTAAAAATCTCTGTGGTACAAATACAGTTTAATTTTGGTAGTTCTGTATACGGAATCCTGATATATAATAATAAGGCGAAATTTAACTAGGGATTGTGTTTTACTTTTATTTGCCATCATAAGGGATTAAAGGTAGTTATTTTCCTCAAACACTACTAACTGCAATAAAATCAGCAATATTTAAACCATGTCATATAATCCATACTCTTTTCAAGGAGAAGCTACCGCGAATGACAGGTTCCGCCATGGTTCGCAACCCTCAATGGAACAAGGCCAACCACTATTTGGTGCGCAACAGGCTTCTCAGCAGCAAATGCCACCTCAACAACAGCAACAGCAACAACAACCAGGTTTCAATTTCCAGAATCCTACTCAATCAATGGCATTTCAATTAGGTCAATCCGCTTTTTCTAATTTCATTGGTGAACAGAATTTCAGTCAGTTCCAAGAGACAGTGTCTAAGGCAACTAGTGCAAACGGTTCCCTGTCTCTTTACTTCCAGGTCACAACAAATTATGTCATAAATAAGCTGAGGGTAATTTTGATACCTTTCACAAATAAGAACTGGCAGAGAATTCCAGAGGCACAGCAGGGAAGTAATGGCGCGTTGTCGTTCATGCCACCAAAGGATGATATCAATTCCCCAGATATGTACATCCCAATCATGGGTCTAGTCACATATATCCTGATATGGAATACCCAACAAGGTCTAAAGGGCTCTTTCAACCCAGAAAACTTATACTATAAACTATCTTCTACCGTGGCGTTTGTTCTCCTGGACTTGGTGATCTTGAAACTAGGTCTGTACTTATTAGTCTCTACCAACTCACGTACCACCAATATTGTTGAACTGATCTGTTTCGTTGGATATAAGTTTGTGCCCCTGATCCTAGCTCTGTTCCTCCCAAGCAGTCCTATATACTTAAAGATGATTGTCCAGGTGTACCTATTCATTGCCTTTGGCGTTTTCTTGCTGAGATCAGTGAAATTCAATTTATTCACAAATACAAATAGCGATATGGTCACCTTCAACAAAGCTACAGTACGTAAGTGCAATTACTTCCTGTTTGTGTATGGTTTCATTTGGCAAAGTATTCTAATGTGGCTAATGGGTTAACCTTGAGGGACAGATACAGACCATCAAGCACACTAGAAACAAATACACATATATATAAACTCTACACTAAGACTTTGTATATCAACTTGTAATAGAAACAACTTTCAGTATTGAAACTTTTCGACATAACAACGATATTCTATGGTGGCTTTCTTCACGCATAGAATATATACACCTGTAGACAACAAAATCACAGTAGTTATTGGCCAACCAAAAATAACACCACTATCACATAATCAGATTTATTGTACCGCTACCTATGTTATTACACTTACTACATTGGCAGCTCTAATAAACTTATCCACCCCCCACCTCAAATCAGTTTACAAAGTTCTTCCATGCATCCATTGTTTAAAAAAATTCACTAAAACTCCGCAGTAGTCCATTGGAAAAAGAAAGAATCTTCGGGGGAGAAGGGGAGCGTTTCTATAAAAATTCGCTGTTTCTTTAGGCGCACGCGTACTTGATGTGCACAAAGATTAAGTGAAATAGTAGATCATACAACATTTAAACTTATGAGGTTATACTGTGTCTAGATCTAGAAGTACAGATATCAAAATATGCAAGATCGGATCTGTGTTATGTAATAATAACTAATTTAAACGCGGAACGAAGTGCAGTTTTTCATGTGCAGTCACTATTCATATAATATCAAAAGGTGTCTCACTGGCCTATAAATTTTTTTTCAAATAAGTTTGGTCAGAATTTCCCTTCATTTATAGAAGTAATAGAAAAAATATAATGGTAAAAACAAGAAGACTAAGCTGTGGAAGAAATCATTCACTTTATAGATTTGAGTGGTTTTTTTTTCTTGTTGAATTTTTCATGTCAAAACTCTCAGGGTCCTCACTAATTTTCCATTTTGAGTGACTTTTTTTTACATTCCCGGCTCCATATGGGTGTCACATCGTGTTTCCGACATCTCTTGAGTTTTGCATGATGAATTATATTCTTTCAAACTCTAATGGATTTTCATAATATATATAATATTTGCATTATAAAATTTTTTGATTAACGCTTAAATATCAGAGTCCATATTAGGATACACAGTTACCGCAGATCAAATATAGAGCCTTAAAAAAAATGGGTATTTTCTCAAGGAAGAAGAAGGAAGCTACCCCGGTTAATAGGGGCGATCTAATCCCATGTGAAACTATGATCGAAGCGCCACCTAAGGGCTCTCCACCACCAAAAAAACCTGCTGATCTTGATGCTGAACAGACAAAGAAACTGGCACAAATGCTAGAACACTTTAATAAGCCAGACCTTGTTCTACCTGTGTCATCTACTGATGACACAGGCAAGACCAGACCTATAAGCTCTTGGGAGAAGTTCTTCTTGACCCGTGATTGTTTCTTAAGATATCTAAGAGCTCAAAAATGGGATGTCCCTAAAGCTATCAAAATGCTAACAGAGACACTTGTTTGGAGACGTGAAGTCGGGATCACACATGGAGAAGAAGATGAGCACCCATTGAAACCCGAAGATATTGCTGTTGAGAATGAAACAGGTAAGGAAATTCTTCTAGGTTTTGATTACGATCGCAGACCATTGTTTTATATGAAGAATGGTCGACAAAATACTGAATCCTCTTTCAGGCAAGTACAACAGATGCTCTTCATGATGGAATGTGCCACCACATTAACCCCACAAGGTGTTGAGAAGATGTGTGTCTTAGTTGATTTCAAACATTATAAAGAACCTGGTATCATTACTGATAAGGCTCCACCAATTTCAATTGCAAAAATGTGTCTACATATTATGCAAAATCATTATCCAGAAAGACTTGGAAAATGTATTCTGATTAACATACCATGGTTTATCTGGGCTTTCCTAAAAATGATGTACAATTTCCTTGATCCAGCAACCAAAGAAAAAGTAATTTTCGATGAACCATTTACAAATCATATTGATCCAAGTCAACTTGAAGCTACGTATGATGGTAGACTTGATTTTAAGTATAATCATGCTGTCTATTGGCCTGATATGAATGCCAAAATTGAAGCTATTCGTAACAAGCAGTATGAACGTTTTCAAAAATTTGGTGCCGTTATGGGGCTCAGTGAGTGGGATCTAAAAGGTGACCATGATGAACTTGTGTACCCTGTAGATTCAATTAAAGCTTAATGTTATGAACATTTAATTTTATCTACTACACTTGAAATGTCTTTGTCTTACCTCTAATAATTTTTACGATGTTACGAATATTAATTAAATATTCAAGATTTTCAATTTATTGACTATTTCTCATGGATATATAGATTAATTTTTAATATGTTTCTGCAATATTTGTTAACCCAAACACGAGTTCATAAAAGACATGACTACATAATTACCGTTGATCATTGCGAACTATCTGTGCTACGATTATCAATATTACATTTGATCTTTTAATTCCTATAGCAATTGGGTTTAACATTTTTAGATATGAGCAGCACAAAAAGGATTACTTGAGGGTATATTGATTTTATATCATGTCAAAGTCAGTTTTAGAACTTCTCTATAAACAACTAATACTTAATATGAAAGTTGATGCTTATTAATGTTTGTCCTTATGTGATCATGCCTCATTTCTTTGACTTCTTACTCTTTCTTAATGATTGCCCTTCCCCAATAAACACCTTCTTGTCATTCTCTTCTTCGTCGGCATTTTCATCCTTAGGTAGTACTAATGGAAAACCAAAGAAAAGTTGGCCTTCAGGTAAATCAAGTCTCGCTGGCTCACTATCGAGTGATATCTTGATCTCGCTTATATCCTGTTTTCCTTTACTAGTTTTGTTAGGCTTTCCGGATATCTTTTGCCCTTCACCTGCAAAACGAATAGTCTCTGAATCTGTGGAATTCAAGATATTAGAGTAATTTATTCTGGTAGCCATACTTCCTTGACTATGTTTAACAGGATCTATGGCTGCTGATTTTCTCTTCGCATCCTGTTCTGCCTTCAGCGCCTTATAATCAGGTTCTACATATCCCACTGGTGGGGCAAAATCAGTTACTAAATCAGTCTCTATAACACATATACTTTTGGCTGCAGATTCCGGTTTAACCTCCAAGACCTTTATTCTATAAGTTTTGTTGTTATAACTAATTTCGATAATATCATCAATCGTTAATGTTGAAAAGTTCCGTAACACGTTCTCCAGGACAGCCTTGGGGTCAGTTATATCTAAGAAGTCTGTAGATTGAGGCTCAATCTTCACAAACTGTCCTAAAGGAACATCAGTGGAGTTAATCTTCATAAGTGAGCCTGGCTGTGCATTTAAGGTCTCCATCATCCATTGCGGTAAATAAACTCTTCCTTCCTCAGCAATAAATTCTAGAACACCACCGTGTGTTACTTTACCACTTTCATTACTCGTAAGCCTGAATAGCATGGGGTATCTAATGTTCAGCATTGATAGCCTATTTAGGGCGCTAGGTGGCAAGAATATCTTGCCACCAAAATTGGCATCATCTTTCCTTATTCTATCATTCATCATAGCAATAGGGTAGCATCTGAAAAAATCCTCAAATTCCTGAGGAATAGGAACAGAGCCAGTATTACCGAAACCAAAGCCTGAAAACATCTCTGAATCTAGTTTGTACCTCTACTCAACTTGGATTAATAGCAGCAGGAGTTGATTATGTCCAAACAAAGTGTGTCTCAACCTCAGTTAAACTTAATTTTATACTTTAAATTTAAGAATTGGGTAGAAGGTCACAGTAAAGGAATAGATACAACTACTTGATACTGGGTTCCCAATGTCAAAGCAAGCAATATGATCAATAAAAGCTGTAGCCCTCGATGGGCTTTTGGCCCTTTATTTTAGAAAAAGTGGTAGAGCGAGCCTTTGAAATTTGTACGTGATGATGTGGTATAATGCAATATATTGTCTTGTAACTAGCAAATGTTAAGAACGATTAGCCTACTTGTAATTGAATAACGTGAACCTTTTGGTTTTTCTTCTGAAAATATTTATATTGCAATACACTTCATGTATATAACTGAATAAGATAGTTTCTGTCATGTCTATGTATGGTGGGAGAGTCACTTATGCCTTGTAAAGAATATTACTAACGCAATTAGTGTCAAACCTACATTGGTATAATTGATATTTAAATTGAAAGTTATACTGGCAGCTGATGGCTTATTACTCACAGCTATCATGGTTCTTTATGGATTGTATATGTCATTCGATTATGGTAGTTCTTCATAATCACTTGTATCCTAGTCATCGTTGTGCACAACGATATCCGCTTCTGAAGGACTGCCTTGGTTAAAAGGGTTTTGAACCTTTATCGATACATTGAAAGTGGAATGTCTTTCTATCACTTAATTACTATTATTTGTAATGCAGTGGCAGTACATATCGCAACATAACAAGAGACAATGTCTAAAGCTATGCAACAAGCACCATATAATGTATGTTTGACTAATTTATCTATTGCCCCTTATCCGAAGCACCTTTACTAACAGCCCTGGTTTACAAACAAAAATATTATAATATTTTTAATTTGCTTTATAAGTAAACTGTCGTTTTAGATAAGATTAAAGACATGTCTGAAGATGTGTATTCAAAGGCTCCGGTATGCCCAGGATAAGCAGCAGGCACTTGCGAAGCAAGGGAGAAGAGAAGTTGCTCAATTGTTGGGAAACTCAAAAGAGCAGAAAGCTAGATATAGAGCTGAGAGTTTGATTCACGACGACTTACATATTGAATTACTGGAGCTGCTGGAGTTGTACTGTGAATTACTACATGCTCGAGTAAACATTTTGAGTAATATTGAAAATGAGGTCAGTTTAATCGAAAGTCACACAGATGATGGGATAAATGAGGCCGTAAGGGCTTTAGTGTATTGTACTTTAGCGGCTCCAGAAGTTAGGGAGTTGACTCAATTAAGAGACTTGCTTATTTTAAAGTTCGGACATGAATTTGCTAAAGTTATTATTGATGAGAAAGTTGGAGTACCTCCAAAAGTATTGAAAAAATGTGATATTAATCTACCAAATCAAGACCTAGTGGATCTTTATTTAAAGGAAATTGCTAGGACATATGATGTACCATTTTCTTTGCTAACAGACTCAGAAGATAGTAGCTCTGGTAGTGACTCAGAAAATGAATCGGACGGAGGAAATTTTAAGGTAGAAGAAGAAAACAAGAAAGGGGAGACGGATAAAGATGGAAAACCTATTCTAGCTGTTAATAATGGCGAAGAGTTCACTGGAGATTCAGAACATCCGATTAAGATAAGAAAACCTAGAAAAAATAGTGACACCTTAAAATCAGAACTCAAGATTCCCAAGGATGTTAAGAAGAGTGTTGAAGTTAAACATAGCAAGCCTAAATCCATTGCTAAGAAGAAGGATGATGAATTAGAGGCTTTGAAAAAGAGATTTGATGCCTTAAGAAGATGAATGGCGCACAGATGGTGAATCTCTGGCTCTTTAATTATTCATTATATATGCATTATACAAAATGGCATCACTTGTTTAACTACGTAGCAAAAATTTGTTCTTGAACATCCATTATTAAATTATATTATATGCATTAAAATATTATTGATTGTCCAGTCTATTTATATTAACTTATTGAGTGTATCAAAAAACGAGTAGTACGGTATAGGTGACCAAAAAAGCATGTATTTAACTATAAATACCTTGGGTTAGTAATTGGAATTGGTCATATAGTCTTGTGTAGATATTACCAAGTGATCTACCAATCAAGAAGTTATCCACAAAGGCATCAGTTTCTTCTTCAGTTAACTCAAGGTGGAAACGTTGCTTTAATTGAATACTAGTCTGTTGGCCAGCGTTGAAGCAAGGTTGCATGTTATCTTTTTGCATGATCTCACACATTGAGACAATCTGATCAGCATACTTCCTAAGGGCTTTAAATGAATCTTTTGTCAATTGAACAAACTTCTTATATGGAGCCCCGTCGAGACCGCCCAGCAGCTCAACATATTCATAAGTCAGCTTGAAAGGTGCTGCCTCAAAGTTAACAGAACCTGGAGAGTTGGATAGCATGAAACCAAAATCAATATGACTAACATGGCCTTCGTTATCTATCATAATGTTACCATTGTGCCTATCTTTAATTTGGAGTAAGTAACAAATGATTGAGTATGCTGCCAAAGAGCTAGCAAAATTATCTTGTGCCCTCTTGAACTTAAATCCTTCAGGGTCACCAAACATTCTCAAGTAATGATCTTTTAAAGTTGCTATACCTCCATTGGCATCTAATTCACCGTCTTCTATCATTTTTTTACTTAACGCCTTCTTAATACTATGAACAGACATAGCATTTGTGATAGTTTCCACTAGACCAGTATTAGCACTAGTTATTAAAATTTTCATCCTTTTCACCCATACATCAACACGTTCGCTTGTCCAAATTTGTGCCATTGCTTGGATTAGCTGGCATGCAAATGCTTCTTGCCTCAAATCATCACCTGTTTTGGCAATAACGGAGCACAAATCCCAGTTTTCTAAATGGCCATATTCGGAAGTTTTCCTAATTCGTTCTTTCTTTGTTGCCCAATCTTCTCCCAGATAAGAACTGCTAATACCGGCAGTTATTAGATCGTTTTCAAGCTTACGTTCACCAGCTTTACCGTGAAGATTTTCAACATCCTTGTATCCAAATCTATCTTGAACTTCCTTCATGGAAGCAATAATCTGGGCTCTAATTTGATTTGTAGTTTCGGATAGCTGTTGGGGAGATTGATCTAGCTGAGCCAGCATTACTGCTGAAACTCTCATCTGGTCAGCTAAGTCATCGGTCTGACTCTTGAAACTATCAGATAAATTGTTTCCTTGATTGATGAATTCTTGCATTGTACTTGAAAAGTTAAGTTCTGGAGTTCGATCATGTGAATCTGTGGGTAATACTGGAACATTAGAAGCTCGTTTCAAAACAAGTGAAGATCTGTAGGCTTCTGCATCACTTAGATTCTTTACTCTAATCATGGACATGTCACCCAGATCCTCTTCTTTTAAGAGATTTACACTTGAATTAGATTTCGAAGTATCCTCACCAGGGGTTGAAGATGCATGACGACTATTTTTAGAGGGTATAGCATCTGTGCTAGAGAATATTGTATCTTCATCAAATTTCTTTCGGTTCTTAGTAATGTAATTCAGGTCAAAAATTAGATTACTATGATTATTCCCCTTTTTGATTATCTCCTCATTTTCTGGAGTTGTCGGATCAAAGTCAAATTCATCGCGTAAATATTCGATTAATAATAAATATGGAACTTTTTCGGCAGAGTTTAGCACTTGAGCTTCATTGGCTGTGATTAATACTAGTTTATGAAGCTTTCCCTTTTTATTCGGTGGAAGTAAAGTTGGAATATCTACACAAGCAGGTAAATCTCGATTCAGTAGTGACAGTTCGGCTCTTAATGCACTTAATCTAGCTTCTGTAGGAACTTGAGCCAAACTCCTAGATATTGTCTCTAATGCAATTGCAAATTGTGTTTCACATCTAAAATAATTGGCCTTTAGCATTTTGATCTTTACAGTGGTAGGAATTTTTGATGGATCTAATTCCTTAAATCTCGAATCAGTATTTGTATAGTTTCTAGTAGCGTCGTGCTTGACACTCTGGGAATGTGATCTGCTTAAACCTCCAGAAGACTTTGCTAAGGAAGTATAAGATGAGCCTGAGTTACGAGGCTTATTTCCAATCAAATCTGGCATAGACGATATGAACCTGTCTGTTTTCATAGGGATTCGCGATTCACTGTCAGTTTCTTCATCACTTTCATCAGAGTTTTGCCCTGTATTTGTCTGTGAAACTCTAGGTGATTCTTCAGGCGAAGAAACAGCATCGAAACCTCTTAATCTTTGTGGCTTCGATGTTCCTAAGGTTCTGATAGATGTATCAGTTGATGTTCTTTGCATACCATCAGTTGGTCTAGTTTTCCTTTTAGGCATTCTAATCGATGTAGATATTCTCTCTTCGAACACTTTTTGGCCCACATTGTCAACCATATCAAAATCTAGATTAATTTCTGTACTCTTGCTCTTACGAAACATTACGTCTTCCTTTGTTGTAGTTGGATTGATGATATCAACAGGGGCTGCTTGTGTAATATGTTTCGTTTTCTTTTTATGAGATTTGTTGTGAAGTGTATTTTTTAAAGTCATATTTCTTGTAAAGTCTTTCATTAAATTCTTAGCTAGTTTGAAAACATATGATTTTTGTCTTCTACCTTGTGATCTAACTAATGGTTCTATTGATTCTGCAAGTTGTGGGAGCGCCATACAAGAAAAAACCATTGAAGACATGACTAATGCAGGTGCGACGTTTTCGTGCATCTTCGTTTTCTTTTCAATCTCGCTTACATCCGTACTAAATAGGTTAGCTTGTAAGCTATTCAGCACTCTTCTTGCAACTTGAAAACCATAGGATTCAGGGTCTGTGGATAAATCGGTCAATAATGCCTGTAATTGCCAAAATGTCAGAAGTGCAAAATGGGGATTCTCTGTCCTTAGCTTCAGTAAAAGATCCTCTAGAGCCATTGATTCAGTCTCTATTGTCAACAAGATTTGAACCAATTGAGGAATATAAAACTGTAATTCACTGTGGGGGAAGTTTTCTAATCTTTGACAGAGAAAAAAATGAATACCAATGTTGTTCGCATTCTTGCACAAAAGTTCAATGCACCTGTGTACATTAAAAGTTGGCGAGTTAACAGCTTCTATCACTTCCTCTGAGGCTTGGTTTTGGTTTTTTGGCCTGTTCTCTATAATATTCATTGTGTGTTGGAATTGTTAAACTCGGCCCAGATTTATAGTTATAATAGTGTTTGAAAATTAAACAAAAATATTAGAATGAGTTCAAAATGTACTCAAATGAATCATAAATGAATATGAGTTGGGAGTAGGGGTTGTTATTTTAGAGACTATCGATCAACCTCAGTACTGGGTTTGAAATTGATCCTTAACTAAAAATCTAAGTGGCTAGTTTCTAAGGTTAATTCAAAATAGAACACCTTATGACAAATGCAGAAATTTGAAAATAGTAGTGATAAGACTCAAATGAGATAGTGATATCTTATTCGAATCAATTTAGCAAATATCAATACTAAATCCGACCTGATTACTTTTATATTCTCAGGTAACAGTATCTCGGTCACTGGAGAAAATATCTAGTTTAAACAGTGCTGCAGAGTTGGCAACCGCTGTGTGGTCAAATGTTGCTTTCTTGTTCTCAAAACAATAGCTATAATGGGGTCTTTACTGGGACCTAAGTTTTGCTGTTTGGTTCCTTTATTATTTTTTTTTTCAAGTTTGTTGTTGGATGTTTCTTCAACATCGCGCATTTTACAAGGCGAAAACCAGAGAAGGGGACAAAAATTCGCTTTCGGAAGTAAATGCCCTCATGAAAACATATAGTAAGGTATCACGTGAAGTAGGTTCTACATAGTTGTATAATGTTTGATAGACATTAATATTTAGTATAGGAGTATATCTTTTGTCTTGGAGTTTCCGTTATGTGGTGTGCAGTGAACTATTGGAGATCTTATAGTTTAACTAGAGTTAATAAAGTATGTAAAAAACAGGTACGCATTTTAGGTTGTCTGACAACTATGTAGCAAAGTTATGTCTATAGGGTGAAATTCTCAAATCAATCTGTTTGACACATTTTAGTTAAAACTTCTTTTGGAACATAATAGATTATCAATACTATAAACTAAAGAGAATGATATTTTGATTTAAACATGTTTTATGCAGAATATAGAAATAGGTTAATAAAAATTTAGCATATTTGATTTTATTTAAAAAATGCAATGTGCTTAGAAGTAGACATGGCATAGAAAACAACAGAAAAGTGAGCTGAAGTAGTTTCATGGATCTAAGCGAGTTCGAATATCCTGAAAAGCTAGGTCTAGAATCTTTGCCCATTCTTTTGGAAAGAAATGAAAAATGAAGGAAATAGTATGAATAGAAGGAAATTAGAAGAAAAAAAAACTGAAAAACATCGAGCATGAGTAGTGTACAACGCCAGTTACATTAGTAAACTGTTAATATGCAATAAAAAAGAAACATTAGAGAGATAAAGAATTCATGTTTGGAAAGGTAAAAATTATGCAACAATTTTTTTTTTAAGCGACTGCGGCCCAGAACTTCTCCCACAGGTTCTGAGGTTCGTCGTCTTCCCACACAATAGCATCAATTTCTCTTCTATCACTATCAATGTCGATGTCTTCTAACTTCCATAAGAATCTGCATCTGTAGTACAATTGGCAACCAGCGAATAACACGACCAGCAGTATCAAGGAGATGTAAGCGGTAAAGAATTCTGACACGTCAAACTTAGGAGCGAAGGCTTGGAAACCTTGGATGAAGATAATAACGGTAACGAAGAAAGAAGCGTAGTAGGCACCCCAAGGCATGAACTTAGCCTTGAATGGTAGGTCATCTCTGGAGATACCACGGAACTTCAATGCTTGCATGAATCTGATGTGAGCCAAGGAGATGAATAACCAAGCACATAGACCAGCCAGAGTGGAGATATTGATCAGCCAGTTGAAAGCGGTGTTGGCGTTGTGGTTAACAACCAAGAAAGCCAGTAGACCCAGCAAAGCTGTGCAGATCACACCCAGGTATGGGACACCGTGGCGGGTCACGTAGGCAAATTGCTTTGGAGCGTTGCCGCTTTGGGCCAAGGCGTAAAGGACACGGGAGCCGACGTAGACGTTGGAGTTAGCTGCTGAGATGACGGTGACTAAGACGACCGCGTTGAAGATATCTGGTAGTACTTTTGTACCTGCGTTTTGGATAGAGATGACAAATGGCGAAGATGCGATGACGGCGGAGCTTGCTGACAGACGAGGGTCGTTGTATGGAACCAACAGGCCGACGAAGAACAAGGACATGATGTAGAAGAGCACGATTCTGAAGACCACTTTGTTGATGGCTCTTGGCACGGACTTTCTTGGGTTTGCGGCTTCACCGGCGGTGATACCGACCAGTTCAGTACCTTGGTAAGTGAACGCAGCGTTGATCAATGACGAGACCCAGCCCAAGAATCTGGCTTCTCCCAGGTCTGACGAGATGATACCGGCGCCCATGGCACCAGGGTTACGCCAGTAACGGAAGCCGATAGGGCCCTGGTGGGATCCACCGCACACGATGATCAGGGCGTATATCAAGTAGCCGACGATGGCGATGACTTTGATGGATGCGACCCAGAACTCGAATTCACCGTATATTTTCACTGGGAAGAAGTTCATCAGTGTGATCAGGACCCAGAAGATACCGATCCAGGCGGCCAGAGGCACTTTAAAAGTCCAGTACTGGATGACCTGGCCGATGACGGAGACTTCTACTGCGTAGGTGATGGCCCAGTTGAACCAGTACATGTAGCCGTTAGCGACACCGAATGCAGGCGACAGGAATCTCTTTGAGAAGACTGTGATGGAGGAAGTGACGGGGATGAAAGTGGCCATTTCACCCAGGGACTGTGTGACGAAGTAGATGATGGTACCCATGAAGATGTACGCGATCAGAGCGCCCACGGGGCCCGAGTTGGACAGCGGCGTGGAGATACCGACGAACAGACCAGTACCGATAGTACCACCCAGGGCGATCATACCGATGTGTCTCTGTTTCAACGCACGCTTGACACGAGTGTCGTGCACCTCTGCTTCTTCGGCATCCTCGTCCTCCATAGACGTGGGTATGCGCGACCTAGAGAGCGTATGTGTCAGCGAGATGGTATCGTCGAACCCTGTAGAGCCGGTTTTCTTCTTATGTGTGGCCTCTGTGGCGGAGTAGAACTTCTCGTTATCGTAGCGGGATGGTATAATTTCTATGTCTTCGGAAGCATGAGAAGTCGAGGCGGAAGCCTCGTTCTTCTCATTCTTCTCATTCTTCAATATATTCCTGAACTTCATTGGGTTCTTGGTTCTTTATTGGTCTTGCATGAGAGTTAGTTTCCTAGTATATCAAAGCTTATATATATAGCAATGATCCCAGTGAAAAAAATTTCATTATTGGGGGGGTTGGTCAGAGGGTGAGCAATAGGCAGGGTGTGACAGAATCCCGACGGTAGTGACAAATTAGCTGTGGGATTTCCGGCAAAAGCGATGGGATAGTGATGCGTTCGATAGATACTTGTACAGAGACGAGGAGACGAAGAGACGAGAAGAAAAGAGAAGAGACAAAAGTCGCAGAGACGTAGACGAAGACGGAGACGGAGACGGACCTTCCCAAGTACGTAATTTCCTCGAGGAATTGGATGGGAGATAAGGGTTGTGGATGGGAAGGGACAGGCGATGGTGCGGGGGGGGAGAGGCAAGAAACCTTCCATATTCTGTCTGGATGTGGGACAGATAAGATGGCAATGAAATGTGGTAGAAGCCTGTGCTGTGCTGTCTGTGGTGTGCTGTGCTCTGCTGTGCTGTGCTGTAGGGGCAAATGAAAAGAAAGAAGGAGGAAGCGATCGGCGTACTTTGCTTAATACGTACCGAGAACAAGACACAGAATACACAGAAGAGACAGAATACACAGAGAATACACAGAATACACAGAATACACGGAGCGAGCTGAAAAAAGCAATTTTTTAATCGGGAATCGTGAATCGTGAATCTGGGAAGGGAGACGATCTCTGCAGGGAATGGAGCCAGGCAGTGAATTTAAGGAAGCGGGAAACCAAGAAACTGCGCACGCGCACACAGAAGATCATATACAACACTGAGATGCTTGCGCAGTGATGAAAGAAAAGGCTGGAAAGTGGAAACAATAAGTGACAAGCAAAAAGTGAAAGGGAAAAAAAAAAGCAATTTTCAATGGAATTGATAATATGTGATATGGCAAGAGGTGAGTTTAAAAGGAAAGTAAAACTATAATACACAAAGGAAGAAAAAAATTTTAATGGAAGGGATCATTTAAAGGAAAGTGCCCCTCATCTCATTAGACATATATGAATTGGAGTAACGATCAATATATAAACCTCTGACTCCTGTACCGATAGGGAGAAAAAGACTTGGTAGGCAAACCTAACACATTCAAAGCATAACAAGCATACCAAAAAAAAAAAATAAAACTTAAGAATGGAAATAGGTCCTAGCGATTTGAAAGAGAAGTCGGTAATACAGGATATCGATACGATCATAGATGGCAATGACAGCGATAGTCATAACAGTAACACTGGTGAGCTAGGGCGTCGGAAGCGGAAAACCTCCGTTTCTTCTACGCAGTACGAAGACTTGGCCACGGAGAAAGATGAATTGTTGGAACACCACGATGTGAAGAGGTCGCTTAAACAGAGACACATTGGTATGATCGCCTTGGGTGGTACCATTGGTACGGGTCTTTTCATCGGTATTGCTACGCCGTTGGCCAATGCGGGCCCTGTGGGTGCGCTGGTTGCTTATTTATTCATGGGAACCGTTGTCTTCTCAGTGACGCAGTCCCTGGGTGAAATGGCTACTTTCATCCCAGTCACTTCCTCTTTCTCCGTTTTCGCTCAGAGATTCTTGTCTCCAGCATTGGGTGCTGCAAACGGTTACATGTACTTCTTGTCCTGGTGTTTCACATTCGCTTTGGAATTGTCCGTGGTTGGCCAGATCATCCAGTTCTGGACTTTTAAAGTGCCATTGGCAGCTTGGATCAGTATTTTCTGGGTGCTCTTGACTGCGTTCAATATGTTCCCAGTTAAGTTTTACGGTGAGTTTGAATTCTGGATCGCTTCTATTAAAGTCCTCGCACTGATGGGTTTCCTAATTTACTCTCTATGTATAGTGTGTGGTGCTGGTAAGACTGGTCCTATCGGTTTCCGTTATTGGCGTAACCCTGGTGCTATGGGCCCCGGTATCATCTCATCTAACACTGGTGAGGCAAGGTTTTTGGGTTGGGTTTCATCGCTGATTAACGCTGCATTCACATATCAAGGTACTGAACTGGTCGGTATCACCGCCGGTGAAGCCGCAAACCCAAGAAAAGCAGTTCCCAGAGCGATCAGAAAAGTCCTGATCAGAATCTTGCTCTTCTACATTGGTTCTTTGTTCTTTATCGGATTGACTGTCCCTTACAACGATCCTAAGCTGACTAGTACCGATTCTTACGTCTCCTCTTCTCCTTTCATCATTACAATTCAAAATGCGGGAACAAGAGTACTGCCACATATCTTTAACGCTGTCATTCTGACTACTATCATCTCAGCAGGTAACTCAAATGTTTATGTTGGATCTCGTATTCTGTTCAGTATGGCAAAGAATGGTCTAGCTCCAAAGTTCTTGGCCAAGACTACTTTGCAAGGTGTTCCATATTTATCTGTCCTTGCTATTTCTGCATTTGGTTCATTGAGTTATATGGAGTTGTCCACTGGTGGTGCCAAGGCCTTCAATTGGTTGTTGAACATTACAGGTGTGGCCGGTTTCTTCGCATGGCTGTTAATCTCTTGCTCTCACGTTAGATTCATGCAGGCATTGAAACATCGTGGTATCTCAAGAGATGATTTACCTTATAAAGCGCTATGGATGCCATGGTTGGCTTATTACGCCATTTTCTTCATGGTTGTTATAATCTTGATTCAAGGTTTTACCTCCTTTGCACCTCATTTCAGCGGCAGAGATTTCGTTGCTGCATACATCTCGGTGGGTTTGTTCCTGGTTTTCTGGGGCTTCTTCCAAATCTACTTCAGATGCAGAATAATATGGAAACTAGAAGACGTTGATATCGACACAGACCGTAGAGAAATTGAATCTGTGGTCTGGGAAGATGATGCACCAAAGACACTTTGGGATAAGTTTTGGGACTTTGTTGCCTAAGTGGCTCAAATGAGCAATATATCATGAACTTTTTCTTTTTTTGATGACTAATCCTATATTTGTAACTACTCTTTTTTTGGTGCTATTATTCTTTGTTCTTCAGTTCTTCTTTTTTTAGTGGCATGTGACTACTGCTAGAAAGTATTCATCTGTCATTTTAATGATTCTCGTATTATTAATACTATTTTTATTTTACTTTATGCATTCTAACCAGTTTTCTATTTCGGACTAACAGTTTCCTTCCACATTTTCCACCCGAATTTCGACTCGTTCACGATATCGTTCATACATTCTTAGCATAAGCATAGTGTGCATAAACATCTGAATAGAGGTCGCGAGCTCTATCTGTAGATGACAAGCAGTTTGCACTTGTAATACATTACAAATATTTTCCGGTTAAAAATCTATTGTGTTGAATTGCAAACTTATTAACACATTCACCTACCACATTAAATTATGTATGCTCCTACTATTTATAAATATTATACAGATGTTATAAAATACCAAGACACAGTCAACTTTAGAAGCCTTTTCTACAGCATTTTAGCCTCCTCGTTCCCGCTATCAATGTATACATTACCACTCGAAGCTAATCAAATATCAACTATCGTATTTTAATATCACTATCAACGGGTTTTGCTGTCTCTTTCCTAATTGTGCAATGCAATTTTCCATTTGTAGCGTGTGAGTGTTTTTTTGTCACTGCAAAGGGACTTCTTGGGAAACAAAGAGGATAATTACGTCAAGTTGAATGAGGTTTATGGAAGTGTTAGGCAAGGAGCCGTAAATCAATCTCAGATTTTAATAGAACTTTCGCATACAACTTGAAACACTTTTTTTGCTTGCAAGTGTTTGGAACAGAGACAGCTTGTGTTACGTTTGGTACAAGTAATTTACTGTGGCTAACTTCTGAAAGCTGTTGATTCTCGAAAGCAACGAGTCTCATAGTATTTGGACTGTTGTCAGTTTTCTGGAAAAAAAGAATCAATTGGAAACATAGGATACTATTGAAGAACAAAAAAGAACACGATTGGCTCTTTGACTACTTTACTGTTGGTAACCAAGTGAATCAAGTGAATCAAGTAGATAAAGGACATAGTAACAACTACAGCCACGTTACAACAGTCTGTATCAAGAATACCCTATTTCAGTAGAAATGTTGAAAGGATCCAACTCGAAGTCTTCAGATGGATCAGGGAGTGGGTCTAATTCTGGTTTATTTCAGAACTTAAGAAGACTAACCACAAAGGATAGAGACAACAGAAATAAAAGCCCTAAGCGGACCTCTCTCGATAATGATAATATTTCCCAGAGAAGCACAAAGAATATTAATGTATCACAGGCAGTTTCGTCGAGACATGGATCTATTGACCAGTCAAGACCACTTAACAAGAAGTCAACACTGAATTCACAAAATTTGTCTCAATATGTTAACAACGGGAAGGCACTGAGCCCTGAGTCTGGCTCTAATCATCATAGAACAGATTCCACACAATCGGGATTTAAGTACTCATACTCAAGGAGATCTTCAGGGCAGGTCTCTATGGCTCCTAGCAGTATGGGTAACATAAACTTAACTCGTCACAATACCAATACTAGCTTTTCATCGGCTAGTGTTCTTTCCCATGGTTCTATAACAAATTTATCACGTTTCATGACACCAGATGGGAAAATAAATTTGACCATGCCCTCTGATCCATATGAAGTGGAATCTTTGTTTGAGGACATCATGTACAAACGAAATATCCTCCAAAGTCTCCCTCAGGAAAAACAAAACGAACTTATGAGTTATAGTATTGAGAAAAAATGGCTTATTGTCAAACAAGACTTGCAGAATGAGTTTAAGAGGATTAAGGCGTCAAATAAGGGTGATAGCAGAACAGGTATGTCAATGCCAGATTTAGGTTCTGATCCCAGTAATTCTGTTTCACCTCCGGGACCAATTTCATCTTCTGGTTCTTCCATATTCTCTAGTGACGTAACAAGTACAGCACCATCCACATATAGCCGTTCCGGAAAGAAGAATATACCAATCAGTAAGCCAATAGCTGCAACATCTACCGAATTATACCATATTGCAGAAAGAAACACTAGCTCGTCAACAATCCAATCCGATAAAGCGAACAGACCGCCAATTCATTATGTAAAGAAAATCGTAGATGACAAACTGAGCAAAGATGAGATGAAAGATTTATGGGTTACGTTGCGAACAGAACAACTAGATTGGGTAGATGCTTTTCTTGAAAATCAGGGACACATTGCTATGGCTAATATTTTGATGAAATCGATATACAAGACCACACCCAAAGATAAAGTTTCAGAGCCTTTGCTCGATAAAGAAAATGCTTTTTTCAAGTGTTTTCGTGTGTTAGCGGTATTGTCGCAAGGGCTGCATGAATTTACAATACACTCCTTAATGACTGATACAATTGCACAAGGTCTATTTTCTGGTAGGCTTGCAACTAGGAAAATGGCTACTGAAATATTTGTGTTCCTATTAGAAAAGAAGAATAAGAAGCGTTTTGAATCAGTACTAAGCTCTTTAGATAAAAACTTTATAATTGGGCAGAACTCCCATATGAATGAGAGCTATAAGAAACTACCACAATACTTTACACATTTGACTTCAAATAGTAATCTGAAAGTCATTCAGGCTTGGTTATTTGCGGTAGAGCAAACTCTAGATGGTCGTGGTAAAATGGGATCATTAGTTGGAGCCTCTGAGGATTATAAGAACGCCGGTGGGGAGAATGCAATATTAGAGTACTGTCAATGGACAATGGTATTTATTAATCATTTATGTTCAAGTTCTGAAAATATAAATCAAAGAACATTGTTAAGAAGAAAACTTGAAAATTGTGGTATTTTAAGGATAATGAACAAAATCAAGTTGCTGGATTATGAGAAAGTTATCGACCAAATAGAGCTCTATGAGAATAATAAGCTTGACGATTTCAATGCACTTCTAGAAAGTAATAAGAAAAATATTAATGTTGATCTCCAGGATCCCGTATCATTGATGAAAAATCTTCTTGACGCATGTAAAGGTACAGAAAATGAAAAAACACTGGTATCACTAGTCCAGCATATATTCTTGCCCACTTCAAAGCTATTAGATGAAAAACAAGATCCAAACAAGGTTACAAAACAATTGAAACTCATGGACTCATTGGTAACTAATGTAAGCGTGACCAGCACAGAAGAAGGTTCAAACGTGAATATGGCTATTCAACGTTTATATGATTCAATGCAGACCGATGAAGTAGCTAGGAGAGCCATATTAGAAAGCAGAACATTAACCAAGAAATTAGAGGAAATGGAAGCTGAACGAGATATGTTAGTTGAAAAGTTATCAAAAGCAGAGCATGGACTGGTTGGACAGTTAGAGATGGAAGTTAAGGAACGTGATAGAATTCTTGCAAAAAATCAAAGGGTGATGAAACAGCTGGAGTCAGAGCTAGAAGAACTAAAGAAAAAGCATTTATTGGAAAAGCATGAACAGGAAGTAGAATTAAGGAAGATGTTAACAATTTTGAATTCACGACCGGCAAAAACAAAAGAGCAGAAAAAGAAGATTGGCTCTATAGAAGCCTCAGAAAAAGAAGATTTACAGAGAGCTCTCCAGAGTGGCCTTCAGAAAGCGAAGAAAGACTTCAAGGATGACTCCAAAAAGTTTGGTATGACCATTCAGCCAAATCAAAGGCTGAAAGTGTTACGTATGCAGATGGAAAGTATTGAAAATGAGGCTCGTAAATTGGAAATGACAAATTTTGCAGAATACGAGAAGAAAGGGCTCAAACCGCCTGCAAATGTGCAGAAGAAGAGCAAACCGATTTCAGAACTGAATAAAGAACAGAGAATTCAAAAACTAAATGAATTGAGGGATAAATTGAGGAGAATTCAAATGGAATCTAACGATGTATCCAAATTCAATGTAGATGAAAGAGTGAATGAGCTATTTAATGATAAAAAGAGAACCGCACTACAAAGACTCAAGGAACTGGAAACTAAGTATAAAGGGTTTGGAATAGACTTCAAAGTGGAAGATTTCACCCATGAGTCTACAGATTCTAGTAATGAAGGATATTCTAGTTTGGATCCTAAAGTTTATCAGGACAAACTAGACGAAATAACAAAGATTTCAGAAGAGCTTCTGCAGCAAAAGAATGAACTAGAAACAACTCAGACGTCAAGTTCTGAGTCAAACTCAGACTCCGAATCATCTTCAGATTCTGATGATAGTATGGAGGATGCTTTAACGAACAACAAGGATATAAATGGCACAAGTTCTAACGTGTCTGATCTGGCATCAGGTTCATTTTTAGACACTTTAACTCAAAAATATGGAACTGGTCAAGCAGAGCCAATTCAGTCTCCAGTTGGCCATTATTCTAATAGAAATGAAAAGTCTTTTGTGGACCGAATGAAGCGTAACTCTCGTGTGCCATCTTATGTTGAAGAATTGTCAAAGAAGATGAGGGGAAATAAGGATCATGAATTTGAGGAGGATGACCATAAAAATGGCAATCAATCATCTGACGATTTTGATTCTGAAAGCAAAACCAATATGGATCAAGATCAGTTATTAGCAACCTCCGCGGTATCACCTACAACTTCAGCTCCCCCACCACCACCTCCTCCAATGCCTGCTGGGCTATTTGGCGCTAATAATGACAACAATACTGGTGATTCTGATGCGATATCCGTTTCAGGAACGCCTGCTCCACCTCCACCACCTCCACCACCTCCATTTTTGAAAGACTCATCACCAATTCCACCACCACCAATGCCAACCATGTTAACGCCCTCAGAGTCAACTACATCTCTGTCATCTATTCCACCTGCACCACCAATGATGACCAAGGACTCTAAAAAGAAGGTTGTTTCTTCGCCTCTACTTCCTCAGTCCCCATCATTGTTTGAGAACTATCCCCGTCCACAGAAGAAATTAAAGCAACTACATTGGGAGAAGGTGGAATCTACTGACAATTCAATTTGGGGATCGCAGAAAGCAGAGAAATTTGCTGATGATTTGTATGAAAAAGGTGTTCTATCTGAATTAGAGAAGGCATTCGCTGCAAGAGAAATAAAGAGCTTAGCTACAAGGAAGAAAGAAGATTTACAAAAAATATCATTTTTGTCACACGATATATCGCAACAATTTGGTATTAACTTACATATGTATTCTAATCTGACTGTTAACCAATTTGTTGAAAAAGTTCTGAAGTGTGAGAGGGATTTCATGAACACACCAAGTGTTATTGAATTTTTATCGAAACAAGAGATCGTAGAGGTCTCTACAAACTTGGCAAGAAACTATGCTCCTTATAGTACTGATTGGGAAGGTATCAAAAAGATCGAAGATGCCAAAGCTCCAGAGAAAGATCCAAATGAGCTTCAACGTGCTGATCAAATTTATCTTCAATTAATGGTTAACTTACAATCTTATTGGGCTTCTCGTATGAGGGCAATTAGGATGATAACTTCGTATGAAAGGGAATATAATGAGTTACTGGCAAAACTTCATAGAGTAGACAAAGCTGTCGGATCTCTGCAAGGCTCAGATAACCTAAAAAACATCTTTAATGTTATTCTTGCAGTGGGTAATTTTATGAATGACTCTGCTAAGCAAGCTAAAGGTTTCAAATTATCAACTCTACAAAGATTAACATTTATAAAAGATGCAGACAACAGTATGACTTTCTTGAATTATGTTGAGAAAATTGTCCGGTCTAACTATCCAGAGTTTAACAACTTTTTAATTGAATTGGAACCAGTTTTAGAAGTTGTGAAGGTTTCAATAGAGCAATTGGTAAACGATTGTAATGATTTTGTACAGGGTATTAACAATGTTGAGCGTTCTATTGAGATTGGTAACTTGAGTGACTCTTCTAAGTTTCACCCATTGGATAAGGTGTTGCTAAAAGTATTGCCTAATTTATCGGAGGCAAGGAAAAAGGGAGAACTACTTGCTGATGAAATGAAACTAACAATAATGGAATTTGAACAAATTATGCAAACTTACGGTGAAGATTATGGCGATAAATTTGCTAAGATATCTTTTTTCCAGAAATTTGCAGACTTCATTGCAGAATATAAGAAGGCACAAGCCCAAAATATTAAGGTTGAAGAGGAAGAAGCAGCATATGAAAGACATAAAAAAATGGTTGAAGAACAACAACGGAAAGCACAAGAGGATGCTAGCAAGTTGAATGAGAATAGTTCTCAGACAGGGAATAGCGATGAGGAGGAGGAATCGGAAGATAGGCGTGCTGTAATGGATAAATTGCTAGAACAATTAAAGAATGCGGGACAAGTGAAAACTGATCCAACATCTGCAAGAAAAAGAGCTTTATTGAGGAAAAAGATTCACAGCAGTGAAGAATCAGAGTCCAGTCCATTGGCTGAGATGCAGGTTGGCGGGGACTCTTTAATTTATTCACCTGATGCTAAGGAACAAATCGAACTTGAAATTCACATGGCATCACCAACACCAAAAACTAAAGAAGATGGTAAATTGGGGACAGGTGAAAACAGTAATGGAGAATCGCCATTGAAAAAAATCAATGAAGATGAAGAGATAGGTGACAGAGCTAAAACCCTTCTAATGGAATTAAGAGGAAGTGATGCATTAATGGATAGGAACACTGCATTGGATGAGCACAAAGAAAGATTGCGTGCACGTAGAAAGAGAACAGATAGTAATAAAATCCCAAGCAGTAATAGATTGAAATTTGTGGATGAAAAGAGCCCAGATGAAGAGCAAGAAGAAGTTTCATCTAGCTCGATATCAACAACAGGCATAGTTACTGCTCAAGAAAGTCCTGTGCAAATCGATGAAAATGAGGATTGAATTGTATCTTCATTCTTGCCTATATTAACTAATTAAAAAAATCTTTATTTTTGCATTGATAAATGACATATATATATACGTTTATTGCATATTAATATAATTTGCTAGTGAGCATTGTATTATATTTTAATATACTATACTCCAAAACCAGAACTTTTGAACTCGCTTCGTTTAAAAATCACAGAACACTAAATTATATAATTGAATCAAAACAAAGGGAAATCGAGTAAACTCAGTAAGTAGATCCTGCGATCACAAGTTTTTGACTTGGAGTAGTAATTGAACGAATTTCACACTGATAAGAATTGGACTAGTTTTATCTTGAAACAAGCTCTTCTGAGGAGAAAAATATTAGTGGTAGGATTCTGTTAAAATAGGGCATTATTATTAGAAGGCGAAACTAATCACACATTTAATTCATTGAATCATATTTTATCACATTACTCTCTCATGTCAGATCCTATCGAAGAATCTAACAGAATATCTGTTCAAGTGTCGACATTATCAACACAGCTTATTGAAAGTATTGATAGGCAGTCGGAGCTTGAGAAACGACTTCGAGACGCTCAAATTATTATTAATAAGCAAAAACATGTTATGCATGAATTCGAGACTTTGAAACAGAAGAATAAAGAGCTTTCAGATGGTCAGCAATCCTTTGAAGAAAAGATACGAGCTTTATCTGCACAGTTAGAAGAAGAGAAAAGTAAGCGTTTAGCAGCAGAAAAAGAGGTCGATAAATTAGGTCAAGAGGTCGAAGATTTAACTGCGTCATTGTTTGATGAAGCTAATAATATGGTATCTGATGCTAGAAGAGAGAAACATGATATCGAAATACAAAATAGCAGGTTACAAGAAACACTAAAAGAAAAGGACACTGTTCTAGAGACATTGAACCTGCAGTTGAAAAACTTGAAGAAAGTATTACAAACAGTCGACTCTGAATCTTCTATAAATGCAAATATAAGAAGTCCTATAAGTACTGAAAATAGTACTACAACATCAGCGTCAGGTAATAAGCTGACAAGGCGGCAATCCCAGTTATCAATTAGTCATAATGAATCACCTTTATTTTCTCCATACGTTACAACATTAAGATACGACCAGTCGCTTTATAATGAGTTTTTGAAGTTTTTAGCTGTTCTACCAAGTAGTTCTAGTTTGAAAGCAACATCTACAGAGTCTAAACTACTCAAGAGATTGGTGTCTGATGAAATTCAACCGGTATTAAAGATTGATAATGCTTCGGGAATAGGTTGGCTAGTAAGAAAGTCGTTGCTAACTTCTATGATGGAGGGGCAGGTCGTTGTGGAGCCATTGAGCGGTATAAATGAAGCATATCAACTGGGTTATGAAACAAAAGAACATGTTTCACAAAATGAAGGTGAAGAAATGCCACACATGTTTAATTTCCCATTAAATTCACCTCCTATTGCAGTTAGGGATCCATGTGCATTTTGTGCTGAGCAAAGAGATGATATTATTGAGCATGCACGTATGTACGTTATGAAAACATTCAATAAAGAAAATGATGGCTCTACAACAATAACAAATTCTTTCCCACTTTGTCATTGGTGTCTAATGAAAGTTAGACAAACTTGTGAGATCTTCGCATTCTTGAGATCGTTGAAGTTAGGTACTTGGCATTTGGAAAAAGTGACGTTAAATACTATCTCTAAAGGCGAGTCGCTCTCTAAGTTTTCAGAAGTTACTAAGTCTACAAACGGGTCTACTTCAAATGAGGAAAAGAAAAGCAACCGAAAGAGCTTTATACCATCATTACCAAAGGGCTCTCCTAAAAAGTCCTCCCCTGTCGTGGAGACCCACATAGATACAACAAAGGCTGGGCAGCCTACATCAAATATTCAAAGAGCGTGGGTACATTTGTGTAAATTGAGATCGATGCTACATTGGGCACACGTTGGTATATGGAACATGGAAGACTCCATATCACTCAAAATGGGGCCAATAACTGATCATCCAACCCATAGCCAGGAATTGTTGTTGCCTGTGTTGAGCGAAAGTGAGAGTCTGAATATGCTGGAGGAATATGTTCCTGCTAACGACTCAGAAAGTTTCAACTTAAAGAAGACAGAAACTTCTAATACATTCGACTTTGAGAAATCTTCTAATGACGCGGTTGATATCTCATCAAACCAAGATATCAACTCACAAACAAAAGTAGCGCCTGATGTCAACGAAAATTTGAAAGGACAGCCTTCAACGGGTGAAGCATCAACTATTGAGCCAGTTAACATTAAGGTCGATCCTGCAACGATAGGAGCTAATGTTGATGCTAAAAAAAAAAATGCAATTTCCGGTAATACTTTAGATACAGCAAAGGATACAGACAATCTCAGTAAAGATAAGATGGAAGCTAAAATGATAGAAAAAGATACAACAGAGGATAGCAAGAAGACTACTAAGTCTTCAAAGCGGACTTCCGAAATAATTGACCAATTGAACGATATTGGAAGTGATGCTAAAGAGTTATTTGGTACTGTTGAAGAATCTGGAAAGGAATCGCAAAGTGATGATAAACAATCAGACAAACACCTGAATTCTGATGAAACCAAAAACGGCGATGCCACCATGCCTAACGAGGATGATATGACTCTAGATGCAAAGGAGGTGATGCGTGGATTGAATGATGATGATGCGGATTCATCTAGTCTAGACAACTTTGATGATAGTAAAGAATTTCAGTAATAGCTTAAACGAAAAAACTCAATATATTTAGTGTTACAAAATTTTATTTTCTAATTACTTCTCGTAGTTGTTTAGTATCATTATTTTTTAGTATCAGTGCCAACTACTATGACATTAGGATTTGGGGTGTCATCATCGTGTAGCAATTAATGATTATATTTTCTTTGTTGCTATTTCCAAGTTCATCATAACTATGTTTCCTCTTAAAAGTTTGAGTGATCAGGCGCTAACCACAAAGTTTGGGTGATAAAAAATATGCAATAATGGCATAAGGCTAGCTCGACGATAAACTGCTAGCATAGAGCCGTGGATTTGAATCGTTTTAGTTAGCTGATGTTCTCCTTTTTTTAGTTATAGGTTCATCGTCATCAGCTTCACTTTCTACATGGCCATGCGAAATGCCAATATTCCTGGCGTTTTTATTAATTGTTAAGTTTTCAGAAGTTTCATCAACTTGCTCATTTACCTGTGTGTTCTCGTTATCTTGATTGCTTTCATTGATTTCAACTCTTGAAAGTGTTAACAGAGTCTTATCTGGGCCTTTTCTGGTAATGCCTTCTAATGGTAGCGCATCTATAGGAGGCACTGGGCCATCAAATAAACTAGTAAAGTCACTCACGACCTTCCCATTATTCGACAGACGCTCATTTACAAACCGACCAAAGCTTAGGAATTTATCATTTGGAAGCTGGCCATTATATTTATCAAGTAGCCAACGCATGTACATCTCATTTTCGAAAAATACAGGATTTAAAATCTCTTCATCGTCCTCGTCCGAATCGCTGATATATTCTTTACTGAATACCTCAAGATTTTCTTGAGGTTGTTTGTCTTTACCCTCAATGGCATTTGGTAATCGAAAGGATGCCTTTTTCCTATTTCTCGATGTTTTATTTTTCGATTGTGTCTTTTTACTTGCAATACCCACAGTTCTCTTCTCTTTTCTAATATTTGTACTTTTGTCTAAATCTTTGAAGTAATCATTGTCATCTACTTCATTATCAGGTACAATGTTAGGATCTGTATAATCATAATCCTCGTTGCCTTTCCATCCGTCAGACTCTAGTGAATTATTTTTTTCTGACTGTTGTTTTAGGTAACTAGACGATGGTAGGCCATTTGGAGTTTCAAATGGTATGTTGAGGTATTTGGTTATCGATTCTTCGCATTTGACTAAACGCGAAAACTCAGTTGTGCCACGGTAAAAGCATGGATCAGATTTCAGTATTGGTATTTCGAACCCCACAAGTTGTAGTAATGCTCTTATGTGTCTATTGTAATGTAATGGATTCACATCATATTCTTCTTTCAGGATAAATGCTTCATTATTTGGCGTTTTTTCGTTCTCTCCAGCAACTTCTAGATGGGAGGTAAATACAGCTATCAAATGCTGTACATTTTCACGCACCAACTCCACTAGATTCTGGGAGCCTTCATCGATTAATGTTGAAACCAGTACACCGATTTGCATATCTAAAATCATATTCTCAGACATCATTTCCTGTTGCTCAAAAGGAATAAATTGAGATGGTTGTACAGCATAAATTTCACTTTCCTTGGTCATTTTGTGTTCACCATATTTTTGGAAATACCCGACAACACCATCATTCAAAGGTGGAAATAGTATTCCAACATGCCAAGCTGGTGAAGACTTCAGCTTCCTTTTCAGTCTGCTTAGATAGTATTTCGCAAAATCATTGATATGTGTTCTCGCTTTTGATGTTCTTGGTAGTCCATCTTGCTTCAGCATATCTTTAAGCAAAATGATAAAATCTAATCTATAAAACAGAGTTTCTTCATTATTTTCGACAAAAAGTCTGTACAGAAAAGAAATGATCATCTTGATATGGGAATATTCTAATTCATTGAATCTTTTTAGTGTGTTGATGTATAGATCAATGGTATTCCTATGAAAGAATGAACTTTGTACCCTTTTGAAATTAATAACAATAGTTTTATGGCCAGGATTAAGAATTTCAATGGCTTCATCAGGATCGTAGCCCTCTTCATTTACTAGCCGTTCATAGTCTTCCTTTGATATAGATTTCATTTTCTTTGCACGTCTCTTAGACTCCACTACCAACGAGTTATCCCCGCTATACATTTCTAATATTTTCAATACAGTGTGAGTAAGCTCGATAGATGTTTTCATAAAGGACAGGGAGTGAGTTGATGCAATTCTGGGAAGATTAGATAGTAGTTGTATTCTCTCATCGCTAAAAAGTCTGCTTAAAACGTACTCTATATCTTCATTATCTTCGAATTTCTTCAAGCTGTTTACAAGTTTCAACAGCTCATTGAAAGCAAGCATAGATGAATGAACAACTGCCCATGCCTTAGAGTCATATGAGGACCGTAGCAGTGAAGAAACTAAAATAAAAGTTGTTTCTTTGATAGACTCCGAGATCATCATAATATCTGCATCTTTATCTACTTGGCATCTTAATATTTGGTATTTGTTGAACCATGCAAAGAATAATAGATACTCAATTTTTTCAAGACTTATTATTTTATCTTCCTCTGTTACAAAATAATTCGTGACACTTTTCAATAAATAATTGAAACTTGAATCGATAAAATCATTGATAAAGTCATTCAAATATTTTGAAATAGTTAATGGTAGGTATGTGCCGCTCTTCTTATGCACGTTCAATAAATTTGTAGGAAGACTCTCATTATCTGTTTCATTTCTAATCATTGGTCTTCTGCCTTTAGATTTTTTACTGTCATCAATTTTTTGTAACGCTTTAGAGTTGTCCAAAAGGTTTTGACTTCCAGAAACAGTTAATCTTTTCTGGTCTAAGGTTTGAATTGAGAGCATAGCACCAAACCTAGAATGTCTGGTTGAAGTATTCATTATAACTTTTTTTTTTAGTTGTGATTCCTTTTGTAGAAGATCATTCAGTTCTTGGCCCGCCTTTGAAAGATGATTTTCGCTTTGTGCTGTATCAAGTTCACCCGATTTAAAAAGAAGGGAGTCTTGGCTTATATCCTTAGTTAAAAAAAACATAACCTCCATCAGGGGAATGTTTATAAAATCTTGGTCAAATTCTTTGGTCATTGAGCTTCCTAGGGTCAGCAAAAATGGAAACACTTTATTTTTCTTGAAGCAACTAATAACAGTGCTTTGGCTTATATCATCTTGAGTTACATTAGGAGGCAAAGTATCAACAGAATTTATACCTTTACTAGCAATATTCTTTCTCGCCGTTATTGTAAGCTCACCTGGCTCTATTGCAAGGATATTTCTAATGAAATTCAAGACCATTTTCAAAACCATATTATCCCTTGGAGTTCTAGCCAGCCGATCTAGTTTTATGACATCAATGGCTATTCTAATTGCCGCTTTAAGTACTTTACCATTCTCTACAGACAGGATCGCCTTCTTATAGGTCAATTGGTGTTTCTTAAGTTCACTGTATAGATTAATTTGATTTGTGGAAGACTGTTCTGTTAAAATCAAAGGCCATGTCATTAATACCATAAGCTGTAAGCAGTTCAGTGCTATTTTATCGTAATACTGTTTATTCTTGAAATGTGCAGATATGTCGCTATTACCTTTGGATAGTTTAGTAGCTAGATAGCATTTATTTTCCCAGTCTATGAGAATCGGAAGCAGGTCGTCCGTCAATATTTTGTATTCCGCGACCGCCATGGCTACGTCCCATCTCCTCTGATTATCGTCAACCAGTCGAAACCATCTTTTCAAGTCCTTTAGACACGCCAGACAATCATCACCTATCTGATATGGTGGTGGATCAATCTGAGAAGTATAATCTGGCCCACCAATGGCAGTAGCAAGAAGCGCTATTCTTGCCTTCAAAACTGTGAGTGGGGACTCTGTATCACTCATTTGTTACCAATTTTAACTCCCTAATTTACAGTCCCGGTCACTAGTTAATTCTTTTGACCAATTCAATCTGGATCTGGTTACGGTATCCAACTTTTCAATGCTAGTATGGAGGGCGATGAGGTCTATTAATTACTGTTCTTTGCTCGAGGCCTGAACAGATTTATTTTTTCTAGGTTATCTCGCGTCGCGTCACGTTGAGAAAACTTGAAAAATATGTCAAAATAATGAAAAGTATAGGATAATAGCAAAAGCGTATGTTAGTAGGAATTTGCTTGTAGTCACTTTGATTTGTAATGCACCCTCTTACCGGCTGTGGTGCTTATCCGGCTAGAAGATCGAAATGTACAAGATCGGTTTTATCTAGCATTCTTTCTGAATTAATGCGGGGGGAGTGATATTGTAAAATAAACCCGATGAGGGAGCGGAGGGTGAGGTGTTATACCGTTGAGTAGAATAGGTGCATAGCACTTGGGTTGATGGATATATGTTGGCCCCAAAGAATGAGGAGATTGACATGATAACGACCTTCAGATATGTCTATAATTCCCTCCTGGATTTATTACGTCATATGGTTGAGAGTGACACATTTCTTTTTCGCTTCGAGCAGCCAGATTGCTGATAATCACAACAGGGTCCAAAGTCACTATGGATTGATAAGAGATTTGGATCTTGTGCATGATATAAAAAGGAGGTCTAATAACGAATGTGATGAACCGATGTTAATTGGCTTGCTTTAGATATTTTTCTTTGATTTGTTTTTGCTATCGCAGTGTTTCTCTAGATTCTCAATATCAAAGAGGGAACAAAGACGTAACGTTGTTAACAATGGCTAAACCAATTATCTTAAGACTTGGAAGTTTGACTTTTGCGCAACCGCAATGGAAAGAAGTGGAGGAGATTGCAGATGTTATCACTGTCGATGATTCAATGACCAGGGAGCAATTCTTGAAAGAATTAAAGAATCCTGAGAGTAAGTTAAGCAAAGTGAGTGTGATTACCAGGACTGTTGGTAGTGCCTCGCAAACCGGTTTGTTTGATGAAGAGATTGCAAAGGCTTTACCTGACTCTGTCATTGCAATTTGTCACACAGGTGCAGGGTACGACCAAATACAGGTACAGTATTTCAAAGAAAGACACATACAGGTTGCGAATGTTCCTGAAATTGTTAGTAATGCCACTGCTGATACTCATGTTTTTTTACTACTTGGAGCCCTAAGGAATTTTGCTTATGGACACCATAACATTCTTGCAGGGAAATGGCAAGAAGTTACTAGTGCAGCTGAGACACCTTTCGGTTATGATCCAGACGGCAAAACTGTTGCTATTTTAGGTCTCGGGAGGATAGGCAGAGCTATAGTTGATAGGTTAAAACCATTTGGCTTCGGTAAATTCATCTATCATAATAGACACAGACTACCAGAAGATGAAGAAAATGGTTGTGAATACGTTGCCTCAATAGATGACTTTTATCAGCAGGCAGACGTAATCTCAATTAATATTCCATTGAATACACATACTAAGCACTTAGTTAATAAAGAGGCCTTTGATAAAATGAAAGAAGGTGTTGTTATTGTCAATACTGCGAGAGGGCCAGTTGTAGATGAAAAGGCTTTGATTGCGGCTTTGAAATCGGGTAAAGTTAGAGGTGCCGGATTAGATGTGTTCGAGGATGAACCACATATACCAAAGGAATTGTTGGAATTGCCTCAAGTTCTTACAACTCCCCACATGGGTACACACTCAGTTCAAACCAGATGGAGAATGGAGAAACTTGTCCTAGATAATGCCATATCTGCTTTGAAGACTGGAAAAGTTATCACACCAGTCCCTGAAATTCAAAATGACAATTGGATTGAGGAGATTCAACCCGTCATCTAATATTATATTTTGTAAATATGTAATTGTCTATAAGTGCGTATACAAGAACTATTAGTTTCAATGATCATGCATGCTTATGATTAAAATATTATTCTGAGCATTATAAATCTATTCATATTCTTTTAAAATTAATGCAAAATATGTGCCAAAACATAAAATTAAGTGTCCTAAATATTTTTATATACTAGAAACATGTTCAACATCAGTTTCAACTTCATCTTTATTAGAGAAAAAATTAGCGTTTCTGATATTCTTCATTAGTAAGTTTTTAATTGTGAACTCCTGTGCAACATTGGAGTCAAGAATGTCTAGTTCTTCCTTTGTGAACATATATGGGAATAAGAGACAGGCAACCACAGTCAATAGCAGAATTATGGGGAATCCGATAGCAGCAATAGTGTCTGTTATGGCAAATTCGCCTGCAAAACCAATTAAACTGAATGTTAAGAATAATATTAACTTCTTTTTAGGCACATTTTGGAGCAGTTTGCTTTTGTCCTTCTTTCTCTCCTCCGTGAAAAGCCAAATCAATCTATGAATGATTTGATTACCGGTAAGCCCCTGTATACCCATAGTAATAAATAGACCAGATAACACTGCTTGCGGGATCTGTCCCAGACAAACTAGCAGACCTCTTGACATTGTGACTAGCATCAGACCGCCCTGTGCTGTGTTTGTAAATCTCTGTTCCACACAGCGTATAACTTTTTCATCTTTATCGTGGACCAATAAGGTTTCTGTATGTAAAGGCGCCTGAGGGATTAAACCATTAGGAGCTGGAATACCTAATACGCCACTAACACCGGTAGTTAGACCTAGTAAGGCAAAATCGTAATGGAACGAGGAAGGTTTCTTTAGTTTGTACTCCTCCTTTTGGGCCATCAATGAGGAAACACTATGATCGAAATAAAACAGCAAAGTTAGAATGATACCAAAGGGTAGAGCGATGAAAACATCACGAACAGGGATAGATTCGTATGCCAGCCAAGTCGATCTATCACGATAAGTTCCTGATGTTGGGTGGTATGCTTTGGTGATTGGCAGCTTTTGAAAATCCACGTTGTTTAAGTAACCACCGAAATGGATAAAACTAGACCAGAACAACACCGAGAGTGCATTTGAGTAATCTGAGATAATTGTTCTTAATTTTGGGGTTAGCAAAGGTGTCATCTTGATCAGCTTGAAGAAAGTACCGAAAACTGTCATGGCCATTGCCACTATGACGTTGGCAAACCCTGCTGCTGGGTCATCGTTTCCATTTTTATCCTTGAATTGATGTGTTAATATCTGTACACCTTTCTGCAAATAGACGATGTTGATGAAAAGACCAAATATGTCGCATGGGAAAGTTGTAACGTATTGTAACAAGCAGACGGCGTTGCCAAAAGCTAATATGAGGTCAAATATCATCGACCATATGTAAACCCAGAACATGAAACCAAAGTAGTTTGTGTTTAGCGGTTTGATAATGTCATACACGGTGTAGTTGAAAATGGAAATCGGTCCAGTCACACCGACAATACATAAAGGCTGGCCCGACAGTGCACCGAACACTATACCACCCATGGCACTAGCCAGCAACACTTCATTCACACCATATGCATTATCTGTACGATCGAACATATCCTGTGCGAAGGCGATAGCTGGAAGTAAGTTGTTGAAATAGGTTTCTACCACTGAGGGGATCACTCTGTAATCCCAAGAATCGGTCCAGTCCTGCCAGTACCAAGGTAGTCTATCCTTGAGGTCGAGCCATATACCGATACCAGGTTTTGGAAACCTTCGTTTTGATTTGTGTGAGTCTTCGTCGGAATCTAGTGCTGATTTCTCACCATCAATGTCAGATGGCGTAGAGGACAGATCGTAAGGTCCGTCCGCAGGCTGTCGTAGCGATGATTCCATCGAGTTTATACTAGTCGCTTGTAAATTTGCTGGTTGTTTAACCATATTCGAATGTCGCTTAATTATCATACTTTTTGAAAGTGTCTAAATATTGGGAATGAAATATTTTGAGAAGTGTATACTTAAATAATAAGGTACCAACAAAAAGAAACTTGTACCAAGGAAACTTTTCTTATCCTGCAATCCTGTAGCAATAGAAATCCAACGAATTCCTATAAGGACTCAAGAAAGTATTAATCTGGGGTAAGAGGTATGTTATTAACAAATTAGAACCGCAGGAAGGGCTTTATCTTTTTTCTTTTTGTCAATTCCTGACACTATTGCATCCTTGTACTATTAAAACAATCTACAAACGATGGCGATGTTGTTGGATATCTATTACTGTTGAGTGATGCCGGTATTAGTTTCTTAATTTTTTTTTTTCAGGAATCGAATTAATGATTTCATTGAATCAGAATCATGTATGACGTTATACTGTAATGGCATTTATGAGCCCGATTCGGCACCACACGCACACAGACTACTGCGTGGAATTTCGGAACATCTTAATGTGCTTCGCGAGTTCTGTGCCGAAAGTCCAGGGTTAGAAAGCAGTAGCGAACTTGACCAGTGGTACGCATGTATCTTAACAATCTGTGGCCATTCCACGGGGATCTCTGAGTGAGATCAGAAAATATATACAAATCTAAAAATCCGGAAAAACTTTCAAAAGCCCTGCGTGTTTGTAGTCCCGGAGGATGGTTTGAGCGGTGTTATCTAACAATATAACTAATATAATATAAAAATTACGGGGGGGACCCTTAAATCGAGTAATGGCAGCGTATGGGGAAGGGGGCTATGAATATTGGCTTAAGTCTAATGTCATGCATGTAGTCCCGATAGCATTTCTGTGCGATGCAATGATGCATGGTGTATACAACAAGGGAGTGCACACACGCACATGCAACACAACGGCTTGTATATTGCCCAGGTTCATGTGAAAGTCAAAGTTAATTGAAAGTTTATGTTTAATAGATAATTAAATGTATGCAAGCTTTTGAAAAATGTATCCTATGTCCTTTTTATATATTACAGCTGTACTGTACGGGGTATAAGCTACCAGTTTGTTACTTCTTCGGCTTCGCCGAACACGGAACCAGCATGTTCGTCTTGACCTATTTCACCGGTCCATTGACGTGGTGGGGCAGTCATGATATCCTTCACGTTCTTGTTCAAGAATTCTAGAATCAACTGGTTGATCAATTTGAACTCCAGTAGGAATGCGTCGTGGCCCTCGGGGGATTCTATCTTTTCGAGACGTGAGTTTGGCAAATACTCGGCCAAGAACTCTTGCTCCGAGTAAGTAAATAGTCCATCTGATTTAATACCAATGATCAAACTTGGGATGTCGATACTCTCTAGGACTCTTTCTATGTCCTCGTCGTATTCTGGCCTGTCTCTGGCAAGATCGTGTGTATCTAGCTTTCTAGTGATAGCAATGTAGCAGTTGGCATCGAACCTATTGACGAACTTGGCGCCTTGGTATCTCAAGTAACTCTGGGCAGAGAAATATGTCTGTGCAGGCTTAACCTCCTTCGCTTCACCGGTCACTGAACTCACGGAGGTCAACGAAGATGCAGATTTGATAGATTCAGCCGAGGATACGTCTGAAACCACGCTTCCGTTTCTTCCATTTCTGTTGAACTCGATTCTAGGCTGTGGAGTGCTAGACCTGTAGCCGTCGTTGTGGATGCGTAACGATTGCTCGCTGACAGAGGACGGTATCGTTGCTTCTTGTCCCTCACCTGCAGAGGCTTTTCTGTTAGATTTCTGTGCCTGTTCTATGGATGGTTTCCTTCTGGAGAACTTGTTTTCAAAACTGTTTCTGGACCTGTAAGTCAGCAGAGCGCTCATACGTGCTGCAGAGAGACCAGTTACAGGTGGTTCATCGAATGTGTAGTAACCGTCCATGTACTTAGGGTCAGAATAAATGGACTGTCTTTGAGCTTCTGACCACGATATACACCATGCAGAGTGTCTTGCTGAGGTCGCCAATGCCACCAGGTTGTGCACGTATTTTTCTGGACCGTGGCCATATAGCGAGGCCCATTCCAAAGCCAGCATACCACCCATAGAGCCACCGATCACACATGCGACCGACTTGACACCCAGCGACTCCAGAACAATCTTGTGAGCCCTGACATCGTCCCGTACCGTACACAAGGGGAACTCTGGGCCGTATGGCCTGCCGGTTTCCTCATTAATAGTCAGCGGCGAGAAGGAGCCGTACGGAGAGCCCATAGAGTTCAAGCACACGATGAAAAACCGCGATGGGTCGAACCCAAGGTCATTACCAAGCATGGGTCCCCACCAGTCCGACACATCGGAAGACCCCGTAAGCGCATGACAGATAACCATACAGTTATCGCCTCGACTGTTCAAATGACCCCATGTCTTGTACGCAATCGGAAAATTGTTCAACACCACACCAGACTCCAACACCAACTCAGGAACCTCCACTATCTTCTGCCCCTTCACCAACTTCACAAACGGATTAGTCTTGCTCAGCTCTGCAATATCAACTTCTTTCAACATGTTTGTTGCCCTTCTTCCCATGTCGAGGGTAGCTTACAATAGAGCTCCCCCCCCCATCCTCTTATATAGGGCATTTCCATGGGCTCGATGCGCTTGTGCTGCTGATAATCCCACCACCACCGTTTTTTTCTCTGGTTCCCAATCCCCCCCAGAGGCCTGGTCTGGTGGTCCAGTCCGTTCCTCTTATCCAGCGCCGGTACGGGTATTTCACGCTGCCACAGCGCATATGTGGGGGTGGAACTACGGGTACCTGCGGGAACCTGCGGGAATTACTGAGTTCTTGCGGGCCCTGAACATGCCGAGTCCCTCAGCCTGTTCTGTCTGTTCTGCCTGTTCTGCCTGTTCTGCCTGTGTGAATCATGTGAGATGACTTACCAGTTCAAGGGTAGAGTCAGAACTGTGGCTTCTTGGACTTGTCCGAATAATCAAGAGCCACAGTTTTTGCACTTTAAATGGACCAAAGCAAAAAGGCTTTGTCTCAACGCTTGTCTCAACGCTTGTCTCAACGCTTTCACGCCTTTTTTCCTCTGCATTACGCTGCTGGAAAAGATGGTGCCACAGTTCTGGTGGATCGGTTCCCACGGCCCTGTGAGAACAAAGGCGTGGGCGTGGGGGAGGGGGGGAGCTGACTTCTCCCTGACTTCTCTTCTCTTCTTGTCTCTTCTCTCTTCTCTCTAGTGCATCCACCAGTCCCCGGTTTTGGTATTTTGTACGTATATGCACGATATATCGTTGGAGGGTATATAGCTATGCACGCACTAAGTCATATTTTCAGTCACATGTAGGTGAGCGACAAAGTGCTAGCGTTTACTATGGATATGGGCTCTACAAGACGTGCTGAGAAACGGGCAATAAGGCTTGATGCTAGAAAAAAGTATACATATGTAATGTTACAGATTCCCACAGGTAGTGGTAGTTCGAATATGCAATACGGATCTTGGCAACCTTGTAAGATCAATGATATAGCACAAAATATAACAAGTAGAAAAAGAAAAGAAAACAGTATAATAGTCGTGACTTTCTATGCAGATTCAGTATGAGAAAGGGAAAGATAAAAAAAAAAGAGGGACTTGGAATGTTAAACTTAGAATACGTCTTTAGAGTTACTGGTTGGAGTATGGATTCGTAGCTGTGTTGGATGGTGGCATGAACTGCGAAAAACCGCCTTTCACCTTGGCTCTCTGCTTGCCACCTGGAGCTTGACCCTGGCCCCATTGGGGCATGGGTCCACGGCCCATGGCGCTCTGAACACCCGTTGGCATGCCGCCATTAGGCATAGGATACTGTGGGCTGCCGAACCCTGGTCTCTGATTGTACCCATACCCACCCATTTGGTTTGGTGGGGCATTGTTGTAGCCATACGGAGGCATGGGCATGTTCTGTGGGTGGCCACCCATGGGTCTTTGCATAGGCATGTTCTGTGGATAAGGTGGCTGCTGAGGTGGGTAGCCTTGTCCAGGCATGTTTGGAGACCCAGGCGACATACGCATCTGGTTGGTACCAGGGCCAGGTGGGGGGCGCATGTTGTGCTGTTGCGGATTCATAGGACTTTGCTGACCAATTACTGGTGAGGAAGAATTTCCTCTCACGTTAGGTGAACCACTGTTGAATTGTTCTCTCGCAGGTGGTCTGTACATTTGCTGTGGATTGGGACCATTTGCATATCCCATCTTGTTATTAGGGCTAACATAACTGCCACTTGGTGCGCCTGTCCTTACGCCTTGTGGCGGCGGTGTATGCATATTTGGTCTGGTATTGGCATATCCTGGCTTAACAGGTGCACTATTCCCAAGATCATTACTTGGTCTTTGCACGCTTTGTGATGGGTATCCTGCTTGTTTGTTAGGTACGATATTCTTTGGTTTATCATAAGGATTGACGGGTAGATTTGTATTTTCCATCGCATTGAGATGATTATTTGAAGTCTTTTCCTGTTTGGTTGGGGTATCGCCTCCCTCAGCAGGGTATGGTAGTGGATTGTTTCCAATCTTTGGACTAACTAGTTCACCTTTGAATTTTGAACTGTAAGGATTGTTGAAATCGCCATATGCATCATTGTGACCTATCGACATCGCTTCATCCTGGACCAAGTAATCAGGATCAAAAAGATTAGATTCGTCTGGGCCATCCTGAATTGGTAGTGTACCGCTAGACCCGAAATTTCCTTTCATTACTTTCTGCGGATGTTCAAATCCAAACTCGTTTATACTCCTTGCCATTTCACTAATTTCATCAGAGCTAGCATCATTTTCACCTCTCTGCCTTGGATTGGCATCATTGAAACGACGATCTAACTTATTGTAGTTCCTGCCTTGGACTTCATTGCCTGTCATGTGTTCGAGCTCATCGTCAGAATATTTCTCAATTAGTGAGGCTAAGTCAGAAGCAACGGACAGTTTTTTGGAATCATCTTGCTTGACAGTTAGATGGTCCTTGCCATATGCGTTGAAGTTCGAATCGACAATATTTAAATCTCTTGGTTTGCCACTCTTGTTCGTGTCTCTAGCATTATTAATATGCTGTGCTGGTACAGAAGGTTGGAAGTTTCTCTGGTTTTGATTATTTGGAAGAGGTGGAATTGTGGGTACATAGTTCGCAGGCTTTGCTTGTGATGATGCTTTTTCTGAAACGATGCGACGTTGGTTAGAGCCTTTTGATGGTGAGCCCCTACTCCTGTCTTTGGAATTTGTTAAGCTTTCAGATGAATTTGAAGCAGAGCCCGGTTTACCAGACATTAATGGCTGTGATACTGATCTAGGTGAAGCAATTGACTTACTAGTGTCAAATAGATCGTTTGATCCAAGCAAAGGTGACCCTAAGAAAGTAGAAGCTTCTACAATTGATCCACAACCGGAAGAACCTTCATTTAACTTTCTTTGTAATACCCCTCTTATTTGGTTCCACCACTCTCTATTATCCCAACCTATGGAGCTCATTGAACTAGACAGTTGAATCAGATCTGAAACTTCTAAGTAATAAATATGCGGTAGAACAGGTAATGCAAAAATAAGGGAGTCTTGGTCCCGCTTATCCGCTTTAAGCTTTTTAGGTCTACCATATAATTTAAATGCATTGAATGCTGGTAATAAAAACCTAATGACAGTATCATAGCCTGGAACAGCATTATGCTTCTCAGGCATTATAAATACCGTAGTATCTTGCGGATCCTCCTTTTTATTGAAGCTTATTTTTCCTTCTAATTTAATGATCGTAGAATCATCTATCAGTTGTACTGCTGAAGGATAAATAGCATATAAAAACTCTGCAGAGATAACTTTCGCCATAGAGTTTGACTTCTTTATTTTCTTATCACTCTCATAGAAATTTATTTCTCCAAGTGAGTTTTTCTTTGTAGGTTGAGAAATAACGGCATAACATCTTTTCCAGGGCATACCTGCGCCAAATCTGACGCTAACCCAATCTTCATAATCATACTTCACATCAGCTAGCAGCACCTTTATATCGCTAAGTTTCGCACCTCTACTGGAAAGAAACGCACCTGTATAAGCCATTTGTAATGAAGCACACTCGTAAAGAGATAATCTTAGCGCAGCATGCCATTCATTAAACGAATCCTTATTACTAAATTGTAAGAAATACCTGTTCTTTAACGTTGAAGATACAATAAGAACATTTTCTAGCTTCTTGCCAGATTCCGTGACTGCTCTATCACCAGCACCTAAAGGCTTTATAGTAGAATCTGTAAAGTTTATGTACGTGGGCTTTGATACAGCTTCTTTTAGTTTAGCAGAGACTTTATTTACATCCAACCTCTCAGCTTGGTTGAGTTCTGCTAATTCTTGAGCGTCCCATAGCGCTAATTGCGTACCTATAAGCACCGCGTATACTTCTTTCCATTTACGGCCACCAACAGAACCATCACCTTTTAGATCTTGTAAAAATAATAATACACCTTCATGATATCTTCTGTGAGTATGCGCTGTTAATAGCGTTAAAATAGGCACCAGTTCTGGAGAAACGGCTGATTTAGAGGTCAAATTATCTTGGTTGAATGTGCCTGACGTTTTTAAAATTGACTTGCCTATATTGGGACTATTGATTGGCGATTTTGGCAGCCCATCCGGTGACTTTGAACCAGAAAAAATTCTCTTCATTATGTATAGTCAATGTCAATTTCAGGATAGTTGTATTAAAAATTTTTCCTCTAGTTATATTTATAGTGTCGTTACTCTTTTGTAATATATTCAAAGTTGTTGTTGTTATTTTTTAGCCTGTTATTATCGCGATTTCATCGATTTTTGCTATCTTTCTTAGTTGGAATAGAATAGTAGACGTAGAAATCTAAAATATAATGACTGCACTGGGGTAAATGCTTTTGGGATATAAATATATATATTGTTCCTTTATTGTATATCGCTAAGATAGATATTAACAAGTCTCTATATTTACTTTGGTTTCTCCTCTTTAATTATCAACTTTCTTGAGTGCACATCAAAAATAAGTTAAGAAGAAAAATCTTTGCTGGTAAAGAGAGACTTTGACTCCGCAATAAGGTGTCCTAGTGAGTACACCAAGTATTGCAGAGATAGAAAGCAAGGGCACGAAAATTTATCTTAGCTTTTATCTCAGCTTCCACTGTTATTTCAGAGATTCACATTACTGGAATACTTCGGTTCACAGCAAATATTTAGTCCTACATTGATATCTGAGAGAATTAGTGTCAATAAAGGACTTTGTACAACACCAGAAGCAATGAAGGGCAACTTCTCACCCAGAGGTAAGTGAAGTCAAGTAGCAAGTTTTTCAACATGAAGGAACAACAAGTCGAAGAAAAGATGGACGACGATAAAGGCTTTGTGAACATCATCTCATCCCATACCACTCACACGGTTTGAAATTTTAATGCTGGTGAGCTAAGCCAGCATATCGTCATGTCCCAACTGCTTCTTTAGTTTGACTGTAAATAATTCCGCATCTGTGTTGAGAGCTACTGTGATCTGCAACTTTTATCACTCAAACGAGAGTTCTTTTGTTTACGTTTTTCCTGTGGTATCGCATCGTCTCCAGGACAGCAATAGAGCCATTGGGATTTGTGTTAACCAAATTCCAATTAATGCTAGGGGAACATACAATTCATTCAATGCGGTCTTGCGGGCTATGTTCACAATTTTTTCTACTTGGTCGAACATGTGGGATTCATTCGATGATGGTAACATTTTCGTGTGGCCAGCAATGTTAATGAGCTCTGTTGTGTTGATTCTAGGTAGCTTTATATGGGCTTCATTGTTTATCCAAGTCATTGCATTCTCGACAGATATTAACTTCCGCAATATTGCACATCCCACAACCGTTTTCATGGGTTTATACAATGGCGTATTGTTAAAGCTGGACGCTAAAATGTATTCAATTTTGTCAACAGCGTGTGCTACAGTGGCATTGACACTTGCAGTTGTGTTTGTTATCCATCCAAACACTTGTGTGTTCAGGTTTGCCTCAGTGCCATTTACGTATTGATTTGCCAGGGAAGTCCATAAATTGATGTCGCTTTTGATCATCTTGTTGATTTCATCGTTTGAAGCTTGTAATTGAATATGAACCTTGCCTGTGTTACTAAGATAATTACTAATTATCTGGATAACGATGAGTTGAATGGCTACAGTTATTAAACCGATTAATCCCATTGCCATTATTGTTGAGGACCTACTAGAAAAGATGTAGAGCATACAAAATTGCAATCTTTCTGAATATTCGGTCTCATCGTTCCCAAAGTATTTGCCCATTTTAATTGTCATCCACCTTGCTATTGGATTGAAATTACGTTGATATGATTCAGCTAAATTGAATTTACTATCGTTAAAGGGACTGTAATTGAGTGAAGAGTTGTCTCCGGAGGACATGAATTCTTTATTGTCAATATATTGACTTACTTCATCTTGAACGTTATTAAGTCGTTTCGATTCTTGATATTCTTTTTGAATACTAGGTATAGCCATAAACAAAGCTATAAAAATACCGAGTATTGCCACCAATATATTTCCTACTTTTAATATGTGGATTAGGTGTTCATATACTTTCTTAATATTTGGGATATATTGACCACAAATTGGGTATAAAGTTGTGTCGGTGTTATTTCTTAAATACAGAATTTTGGTATCAGGTAATAAAGATTCGGCATTTACTTTAGTAATTTCTCTTTTAACATGGTAAAACGGTATAGATATAAGATCCTTAGTTTCTGACTTCAAGTCGTCGAAACTGGGTACTTTATCTGCCATATACTGTAATTGGTCGTTTATCTTTGATGATAAATGTATATTTCGAAGGCCCTTGACAGTAAAGTTTACTTTACTTAAACTCGCAGCTACAGAGTTATCGCTCTTGAATATGCTGGACAGTCTATTTCCGCCTTTATTTATTAATGAGGTCAGGTCGTTTAAACCATCATCTAGTCCGCGTGTGGCCTCAATTAAAGTATTGTTTACTGCCTCTAATATATGTTCGGTAGTATTTGTAGCTACATCGACAGCGCCATCGACAGCACTAATTAAGAGGCAGGCATAAGTGCCAAGGTACAAATCCACTAAGAAACCTAACAGACCCTCGCTAGCGTCAATCAGGATCTCTAAACCACGGAGACTAGCCTCGACACTTTCAAGCATGGACTTTCTAATCATATAGTTTCCAAGAGTGTTCACAAAGATCGGAAGATCGTCATAAACTTTGCGATTCACTTGATCTAAACCATTACAACTTGAAATTGCATACTTTTCTGTATACCTTAGTATCCTTATAATGAAATAGTTAAATAATACAATCTTGGCGGTCAGAATAGTTACAGTTATGCTATACTTATTAAGCCAAACTTGTGTTAGTCTATCTCTCAACAATAAATAATTTCTCATTATGTAGCTTGCTATAAGACAGCTTGGTTCAATTATTAGTTGACAGCATTTGTGAAAATGACTGCAAACTGTATACAAATTTTACTAACTTATTTTTACATTTTATATTGGTTGACTCCCTCAATATTAAACTTCTCAAACTATCTTTTACATTTTGATGCAACAAACTTGTTTCAGATATATTGCCAAAGTAAAACAGTTCCGAGAGGTATGGCTTTTCCAAACTGTAGCTACATACTTAATGATCCATTCTAAGCTCTGTTATTTGGGAATTGGTTTTGTCTATTAGTGCCCATTGCTGTTCTAGTGTCATCTTTAGTAGGATTATTTATTACTTTCTGTACCTGAACTTTTTCCGATGAGCTTAAATAATCCGAATATAAATGAAGGTTGGCCTTCTAAGTTAAGCATAAGTTAGAAGAATCCTATTGTGTTGCTAGGGCTAGGAATTACAAAAGCAGAATCTGGAATTAAGCTGCTGAAGAATGGATGATTTTTCTTCCGATGATGACCTTCTTCTTACGCTAGTTAATGATAAAGAGATTGAGGACGCCAACGATCTGCTAGAGGAAGACAGTCATACCCATAATGAGACTAATGACAGTAATGAAGAATTAACTAGGGCTCTTGGGGAGTCTAGTATGCTAAGAGATAAGTTGAAATTACTACAAGCTCAAATTGAACAAGAAAGATCAAAGAGTAATTATAGAGTAAACGAAGTCAAGGAGGAATTTGATAAAGAAATACAAAAACTGCGACAACAGTTGCAAAGCCTCGAGGATGAGAAGAAATTTCTTGTTTTAGAATCTCGTGGTATTAATGCTGTTAATCAAAGAATAAAGACGTCTCCACCTGAGGCATTCAGCAGAGTTTCAAGCCAGCATCGTGCATTGAACACACCAGATAGCAGTCACATTCAAGAGCATATACCGAAGAAAAGGAAAACAGAGATAAGTACACAACCTTCAATTGTATTGAATCCCAATAGAGTTATTAAGGATGAAGTATCAGCATTTTTTGATTGTTTGTATGTTCATAGAATAGTGGGAGTGGAACTGTCTACCATAGAGATACTAAATTGTATCAAATTCGAGCATATTGATGAATTCAACTATAAATTATTGAAAATAAATAAGGATACTTCTATTGGTAGTGGTATTGTTGATTTTTTGCAATCATGTAAGAAGAATATGAAACTTAATGAGCTTGTAGATAGTGTCTTAGAACATCTAGCGACTTTGATAAAAGCAATCATTATCAATGATCAGGAGTTAAACTTTTCCGTTCCCTTTTTGGTGGCACTTATGGTTCAAACAATCTTATTCAGGCCAAGTGCAGTAAGTGTAAATTCCCTTAAAGATTTGTTCATTTTTACCTGTGATCTAATACGCAAATTTCAAATTGTTCTCAAGAAGCCACTTCATAAATCACCGCTAGAAGTGGATTTGGGGCCCCAAATATTTCAATATGAACTGATTGATAACTTAATACTGGTCTACTCATTCGATCTTTTAGAGTCCACCACAAAGGTAATACGGATACAGCAACTATCGGAAACGCTATACATGGAGTTCTTTGATGAAAGTTTGATGAAATCACTCGAAGCTGTTTACAAATTAACTTTGACAATATCATTTAAACCAGTAATTAATGTAATCTATAGTATGGTTGCGGTATTCGTAACCATTACTAATATTATGAATAACGACAACCTTTCGAAACCATTTGGTTCAAGTAAATGGTGGTCTGATCTTTTGACAAGACTATATCAACTACTAGGTAAAAGAATACTGAATTTTCATGTATTCGACGACACCAACACTAATAATATGCATATCGATAGATTTTTTGATTTCTACAGTCTCTTAAGAAACATGGGAACTAATAGTGTATCCCCATTACTAGCTCAGTTAGTAACACGGGGAGAAATAAAAGGTATACCTAATATTGTCTTAAAAGATGATATTATAGATAAATACGAGTCTAAAAAGGAGAAAGGCGTTCTTTCTGATAATTTAGAGCTTGAAAAGTGGTTCGTTTACTTAAAAGATGATATTTTATCAATAATTGAAAATTTGATGGGGTATTTTAAGAAGGACAGTAAAATAACCAATGGGGAAATTCTGATTAATTTAACGAAATTGATCTCTGTGGAACAGAGTCAGTTTATGGACCATCTCATTGACCAAGACACGGATGTATTTGCTGTGCGAATGAACCTTGTGGAGCATGCATTATCGATTATATATCGTATGTGGAAGTATTATGAGGAAAATATTACCCAAGAATCAATAAAAGAAGTGGAGAGTGAGCTTGTTATGTCTCTATGGAGAATAATTGTCTGCAAGCACGCTTCCAAAAAGATATGTAAAGATGATTTAATGGAACATAGGATCTTGATAAATCAGATGGAAAATCTTCATTTACAAGATACAATCGATTTATATGAAGATGCATTTGAAGATATGCCGGAATACATTAAGGAAGAACTTGAATGTTCAATTAATAATGGTACGCAGCAAAAGATGCAAGTGCAATATGATGATATATATATTGAGATGGCACGCTACATCTTAGAATCTAAACTAACCAATTTTATTTCGGTCGAGAACACAGATTCATTGTATTTGTCAATGGGATTTTGACATTTTCAGCTGTAAAGTTCTTTCTAATTTCATTACATTAGTATTACTTAGTACAGATTATTTATTGACGTGATTTTCTTAGAATATATGATGAAACTGTAATGTATAAAAGTATGAACAGATTTTGTCGAGCTTTTTTCCCAAAACATAAAAATCAATGTAAAGGAATAAATATTCAAACTGAACAGCTAAATCATTATTGAGATTGAAGATCAAATACTTGAGTAGTAGTCTCTATTTACAAGCTACAAGCTCAGTCTATCCAACACATTTCTTTATGAAAAAAATCTTAGGGGTTCAAATATAGTAGTATTCGGAATTCTTACAGTCTAAATTTCAATTAAAATTGAAGCTTCTTTGGTTTTTCCCAAGGATATTCTTGGTTGGTGAAGTGGCCATAAGTAGCAGTTGGCAAATAGATTGGTCTAGCCAAGTTCAATTCTCTAACAAGGACACCTGGTCTCAAATCGAAGTTTTTCTTAATAATTTCAATAATTTCTTCATCAGTCTTACTGGAAGTACCGTAAGTGTCAACACTGATGGACAAAGGTTCAGCAATACCAATGGCATATGAGAATTGCACTTGAACTCTCTTACATAGGCCAGCAGCTAAAAGGGACTTAGCCACCCATCTGGCGGCATAAGCAGCAGAACGGTCCACCTTTGAGTAATCTTTACCAGAGAATGCACCACCACCAACAGCAGCTGCACCACCATAGGCATCGACAATGATCTTTCTACCAGTTAGGCCAGCGTCACCTTGTGGACCACCGATGACAAATCTTCCAGATGGTTGAATGTAATATTTAGTGTTCTCATCAAGCATATCGGAAGGAATGACTTTGTCAATGATCTCAGTCTTTAGTTGGCTTCTTAGATCCTCAGTAGAGATGTATTCGGCATGCTGAGCAGAGATAACAATGGTATCGATTCTTAGTGGAATCCATCTACCATCTTTCTCTTCGTATTCAACAGTGACTTGAGTCTTGGTATCTGGTCTGATCCATTCTAGAGAACCATCACGTCTGGCATCAGCCATAGCCATATTCAATTTATGTGCCAAGAGAATGGTCAATGGCAAGCCTTCTGGGGTTTCGTCAGTAGCATAACCAAACATAATACCCTGGTCACCAGCACCCAATTCTTCAATGGCTTTGTCAAAGTGAAGACCTTGAGCGATATCTGGAGATTGTTGTTCAATGGCAACCAACACATTACAGGTCTTGTAGTCAAATCCCTTTTCATCATCGTCGTAACCAATCTTCTTGATAGTGTCTCTAACAATTTGTTGGTAATCTAGGTGAGCCTTTGTAGTAATCTCACCGAAGACCATGATCATACCAGTCTTGGCAGCAGTCTCACAAGCAACTTTAGACAAAGGGTCCTGCTCCAAACAGGCATCTAAGATGGCATCAGAGACTTGGTCACAGATCTTATCCGGATGACCCTCACCAACTGACTCTGAAGTGAATAAAAATCTGTTGTTACCCATTGTGTTTATTTGCTTCAATTGCAGAGTATATATGTAAAATTAAAGGCTTATAAGTTATTGTTATGAACTGTTGCTTCAAACTGCCAGAGAGTTGTTACAACTGGATACTCTTTATATACTTTTTGCCAAAAAGTTTTGCTCATACTTAAACGAGCACCCACAGAAGCAGTGTGCCAATTGACAATGCAGCTCAAAGACCGATACAAGAGCTGCGTTGATTTCAAATTCTTGTCATTGAACAACAATGCCTTGTTCAAACTGTGTTCTTTCAAACAAAAGATGCTGGAAAAGAGTGGGAACTGTGGGTATGTGACCATACGATAACTCAAATCATGATTACTGTACATTGTGATGTTGTGGTGTGTGCTATATAATGTATATTGGCTTATACAATAAGCTATTTCATCCTTCCTTTGTCCATACTATCATTGAGCTATATGGATCATGAGGCATATTTGGGCCCTTGTGTGCGTCGAGGTGCCCTTGTCCAACTCTATTCATGTCTAGAGCAAAGGAAAAACTAGTAGTAATGGGAAGGTTATATATAATCTTATGCTGGTAGTTCATATGTAGAGGAGCGTGGACTGAATACCCATCTCCAGCTGGCAGCTATCATAGCTATTCCGATGATACAGCCGGATACCACGTCGTACCAGTGGTGGCGATGGTCGGTTATCCTAGACATCATGACCAGAAGAATCAGTACTATGCACCATATGTGTCTAGTGTGATGACTTGACACAAATTGTTTCTGCCAGTAGTATGCAAACCCTAGTCCACTTGTAATGAAACTGGAGTGCCCACTTGGTGTACTCTTCAAACCCTCATACAGCAACCTTTTGTTCTGTTGTTGACATATATCCAGGCCGTAATACTTTGTGAGGTCGCTGGCTTTATCCAAGGCTGGTTCACAGCGAGCTATGAAATCAGGTCTGAAGTTACCGATAACCAGCTTCAAACAACCAGTAACGGCACCATTGAGTGATAGGATTAGGTACAGGCATAGAACACTGATGAAGAAGAAGTGGCCTCTAGTGGACGAGCTCTCTGGCTTCATATTTGTCCAATTCCCATGGAACTTTCTAAGTGAGTCTTTGCCAAATGTGCAGAACCACACAACAATAAGGCCACTTATAAGTGCACTCATTGTGATGACTTCAAACCCCGAGATCAACTCATTGCTGATGTGGCTCTTTCCAATGCTCTTATCGTCCAACCTGAACCTCTTGTTCTCCAGTCGCGGTACCAGCTTGAACTCGGTGAATAGGAATAGTATACTACAAAACACCGTGGCAAGCAGCTGTGGAGAGTACATCCTGGTATACTCCAGTGCTAACCCAAACGACACCTTCATCTCTTATATCAGTTAAAATCGCTGGCTTGAAGGAACCTCTTTGCGAGTTCTCCTATTTGCAGTTAGCACCACTTACAAAAAAGTCTTCAAATATGTAATGAAGCCTGATGACCACTTTGTTGTAAAACACTAATTATTAAATACCACTCACAAGCATCTATAAGTGGGTCCTGTAATGTTAATTTCTATAAATAACACCTGTCAATGCCATCACTTATTGAATGATAAAGCCTTCAAGAAGGCACTTGGAACGTTTGATAGATCAACAAGTTCAAGAGAGAAAAATACGTCATAGCTACTAACATTTAATTGCACAATTGAGATAACCATGCATGAGATTGCCAATGGCTACATACCCCATGGGAAAGAACTTATTCATGCTCGCTGTTTCTGTAGGATACTCTCTTTTTTTGTTTTACAACTGAATGTATTTTATTTTATATGAATATGTATAAAAGCGTTTAGATAAGAAATAGAAAAAACTGGAGGAATCAAAAACAAATTAGTAAAATAAGAAGGTAAAAGTAGAAGTATTATGGTAGATCATGTGAGAGAAATGGTCCTTATAGTCTATCAAAGAGTCGTTTTAACATGATTTGAATTGAGATAAAAGAAAAGAATAATAATAACATAACGCAAGTTGTATAATAAAAAAAAAGAGGAATATGAACTATAATGTTCTAAGTTTTTCTATAAGTTGGCGTGTCAGTACGGGTAGGAATAGCCATGTTCCAATAATCTATTAATATGAACATAATAATAACACAATAGGGGGTCTTGTTACAACTTTTTAACTCCCATTCTTTTTGAGGGCTGTGAAAAACAAGGAAGTCTTATATTAATTCAATAACAGCCTTATCAGACAAGGGTTGAATCACAGCGAAAAGGAGTGTATCCTAATAATCAAAATGGGTCTTGAATAGTTGGTTGACAAGTTCTTTATAAACACCAATTTGGAAATTGTCCAATTCCAACTTATTCAATGGTGGAGCCAGAACAGAACTATTATCGCTTTTCAATGGTGCATCTTGAACCTCCATTTGATTTTCACCATCAATCATATTCTGATACATATTCAGTTCCTTGTGATCTTTATCATAGTACTTAGTATCGACTTCCAGGTTGTTAGGAAGTGCGCATAACCAAATTCTAGTTTTATAATATTTGAAAAGCTCTTTGATAAGATCTCTAAAATCATTACGTTCTTCGCACAAGTAATAGAAAGTCAGTTTTTTGCGGTCAAATTGGAATTCGGCATTCAAAATTTTAATGTTCAAAGCCATCTTAGATCTCTGATTGGAATTGTCGTTCTCCTTTTCGCCTTGTTGAGAGCCATTAATAGTCTCATTTAAGGAGCTCAATTTGCTGCGAGCAATGTGCATGGCTCTCAACTCGTCCTGAAACTTATTGTGAAGGTTGGTACTCACCTCCCATGGTGTAGCAAATCTTAAAACCTGTTTAGATGGGATTATGAGTTCTGTTAGTTCAACAACGTCGTAAAGTTTTGGATTGATATCTGGCGTCTCACCGCTTTTTGAGGCCTCTAATAAACCAATAAAATTATCATTTGATATATGTTGGTTCCTATTAGTAATTAATGAATCAAAATGGATCTTCTTCTTCAAGAAATTAACAAAAAGGGCCAAGTTCAGATCTACTGAAGGTTCAACAACCAAAACTAAATCCTTACCACGATCACCATCAATAATTACAAGGTCTCCTCTCTTCATCAGAAGATTAGTTGTTTGAGGTGTAGACAGTAATTCAAGTTTACCATTTTTTAAGGCAACAAGTACCAAAGGTTTGTACGAGGCATTCCCACCATTGGTTGGATCATTCCCATTTTCGTTCAAGTTTCCATTCTCCTCACCATTAGATTGCTTGCTTCCCTTATTGAAATAATTACTGTTACGAGATTTCAAGAAATCCAGGAAGCTCAACACAGAGCTCGAAGTATTTTCGTTATCATTTGTAATCACCAATTGCTCCTTAATAAAATCAGCAAATTTGAAAACCTCTTTACTAGAAAAATAGTTAGCACCACACTCCAAATAAAATTGATGTAGTTTTGGAGTTGAAACAATTTGTCTCCCAGCAAGTAATAATAATCCAGTTTCATTCTGTAACTCTTCATAGTTATCCTTACAAATGCTGAAATCTAATGAGCTTTCAGATATATGGTTTTTTGAAGTATTCTGATGTGCACCATCATTCAAATGAGAAGACTTTACATTTTCAAAGTTGGATCCGTTATTGTAATGATTGAAGCGAGAATTATATTGGTCTTGTTGTTGTTTGGAAGCGTTATATGGGTACTGTTGTATATCCTTTTGACCCTGTCTGGAGCCAGGATTATTCTGGTGAGGGAACCTCTGATTATTTAAAGAGCGATTCTGGGGGTTATAATTATTCTCACCCTTCAAGTTTAAATTATTCAGTAGTGGAATTATATTAGACGTGTTCTTATAGCCGTATGGCATAGTGTTTTGTACAGTTGCCGTTTGATTAGGCATTTGGCCGTATATTTGAGAGGGATTGACCTGCATGAAAGGGTCCATTGCTCCAGCAGCAGAGCTATGATGCCTTAGTGCAGCGATACCATTGGGTATGGGATTGTTGTGGATATCATACTGACCATGGATTAAAGTATCAGAAATATATGACGATCTACGCCCGTCATTTCTGTCCTGCTGGGCTTCAAATCCAGAGAGTGCCGTCTTTGGGTTATTCCAGGCACCAGCAGATTGATTGCCGTTTGAATAGTCCATATGATCCTGCCCCGGGTTAGATTGATATTTGTGCAACGTCGGTAGCGCAAATTCGCTGAACGGCGAAGAGTGGCTGTTACTGTTGCTAACATCGTTACCATTACCCATTTTATCGGACATGTTATAGTTTGAGAATATATCCTGGTAGTTACCATTGCTATTAGGATCCAAGTTGTTTTGATTGTTGTTTTGACTCGGGTGATTCTGTTGTTGCAGTTGTCCTTGACTGTTGAAGAAATTGCTCGTTGGTATCTTTCTTTCAGTGTCCATAGATGTCATCTTCAAGCCAGAAAACGTAGGCATACGGTTTCTACCTTGTTCTAACTTAATACCATTCTTGTTACTCTTGAAACCATTGATAAAATCAAATTTCCTCTCTTTGTTCTCGTCGTCTTCGTTACTCCTGTGCGCTCTATTCTGTAAATCCGTAAGCGACTTGCCACTGCTGTTCTTAAACAGCAGCTTCTCGTAATAGTTGCGGAGATCGGCGTTATCAGATATACTCGTAGTACTACTGATAGATGGCAACTCCATTTGAAATAGCTTATCCTTCAATATTTTCCCTCAGTCCTGCCTTGTTTCTCAACTGTATTTGCTATCAAGTTTGGTTTTTTTTTCTCTTCCTCTTCCTCTTCCTCTTTCTCTTTCTATGGAAATGACACAGTATTAATAGTGCAAGCGCAGTGTACTGGTAAGTATGGCGCTTAAACGATGTTCCCAAATTATGATTACTAGTCAACGTGGTGTGTTTGCAGTGCCTCTTAAAGCTCTAAAAGACTTCCCACCTGAAAAATTGTCCTTATTGGGGTTCCCTTTCGTGATTTTCATGGAGTTTCCCAAAGAATGGCCGGAGGCATCGGTTGTCTCTTTCTTTTCTGCGGGTGCTTACGTGTGCTGTGATGATAATACCGTCATTCTCTGTCTATTAGACTAAAATACATGTAGCTACATACAGATATATGTCTTTTTGAAATCTATCTCATGATGGTGTAGTACATCAGTATGTCCACGCAGACCATGATAGATATGTATATAAGGAGTACTTTCGTCTTGTTATGTTTTATCGGGTTCGCGTACTCAGTTGCTTCTTCCGTTGTAGGGTCAGACTTTGCATTCCCTTTAACTCTGAACATGGCACCCAGACCCTTTGATACGTGCCAGTCAACATGGCAATGTAACAGCCAGTCTCCTGGCTCAGAGGTTCTTATCCTGAGCACTACAAATGATCTGCCAGGAAGATTGATACTGTCTCGGAACATGGGTGACTGCTCTGGGTGTGTTTCCCAGTACTCCATGTCTTCACGGTACTTCTGTTGGGCTTCGCGGCTGTCGAACTTTCCTTCCCCGCCTTTACCAATGGATATTACTTGGAACCGGTGACCGTGGAGGTGCCATGGGTGGCGCATGTGTTCAACGGAGTTCAGCACTATGTCTACCACATTGCCTTTACCTTCCGGCAGCTCAATGGGCTCCTTGAAGTAGTCACTTAATGCCTTGCCGTTGAGCAAAAACATCCCAGTGCCATACTTTTCTTGAATCTCGGGGTCTCTATAGTAGTCATAGCTCAGTTCGACAGTAGTGTTGGCCTTCTCCGCGACTTCAAGGCCCTTGACCTCATCTTCTACAGGCTGAAAATCTCTATACTTCTCAAGTTTGTCCAGACCAGGTAGACTGTTGATTCTAGGTATAGACGTTTCCGCAGTTAAAGTTCCGGCAACGTGCTTCGACGCTAACCAGGCCTGCTTTGCGTAATAGCCCATCATCTTGTTACAACCGTTTATCATCTGCAATGCCTCGTTCTCACCCTTCACAACAACCACAGAATAGCGCTGGCCTACCGCCATGGAAAGCGTATCCAACACATATGGCTTGATCAAAACGCCGTCCGTCTCGAATACAACTATCTTGTGGTTGGGGAAGTTAACAATCTGCGTACCTGACATACCACTGTTGACAAACCTGATGAGAGCATACTTTGTCGACTCCGGTATGTCGATTACCTGGAATGTTGACCTCTTGCCGTTGATCAGGGAGTCATCTAGTCGGGGATCCCGGGTTCCATCGGGCGAAAGAACAATTTTTGAGTTGATGTCAAGATTCCAACTGTTATACCAGTCACTCAGTGTAATTATTTGTTCAGTCATGCCGGTTCTTAACTTCTTCTTTGCATCAGATAGAGTCATCACGCCGTTAGTGTCCAGCACACTGGGATCTCCGTCTATCGTGGCCAGAATACGATCAAGGTATGTGTGGTATCTATCGCAATCCACTAGGAGCACTCCACGCAGCCCGTCTCCATACTGGACTGAACTATGCGAGTGATACCAGTAAGTCCCGCATATTGTCTCCGGGATCGTGATGTTATACCAGAACTCCTCGCCCGGCGCTATGGGGTCCTGCGTGATCCCCGGAACACCATCGAGCTCATTCCCAATCCCTATCAGACCATGGAAGTGCAAAGCTGTATGGCAGTACTCCCGCAACTGCTCGTCGGTTTCCATGGAGACCAGCTCCTCCGCAGAACAGATGTTGTTCACCACTTTTAAGTTGATAGTATCGCCCGACTTGACCCTTATTTGCGGCCCATACGTATTCCGCCTGCCATTTATCGATATTATCCGCCTGCCATCCCTGTTGGTCGCAGAAGCAACATTGAACACCAGCTCATGTGTGGTCGATGCCACACACACATATAAATTGACCAGAAACCAGAAGTACATCAGCATGTTTCCGCATACATTTCAATTAGTAAGTTGAATCCTAGTCGTCAGTTTCAAAGTACAGGGCCTTGATCAAAAAGGAACTGTCTTATGGGTATTTGGTGTCCTTATTTGCAATAGGACTCATTGTGTCTTGACTTCCTTATCGGATGTTGAAGGCTTTATTATGCTATTGGAAAAGGCACTCGCTAAGAAAGTGCCGTAGAAAGAGTATTACCTCTTTGAATGGTGAAAAAATCAAAAATCAAAAAAATTAATGGTTGCTAAGAGATTCGAACTCTTGCATCTTACGATACCTGAGTGCTCCTGAGTTTGTTAATCCAGTAAGTAATGTTTCAACTTGAATCAGGCGCCTTAGACCGCTCGGCCAAACAACCATACTGTATTTGGTGGAAATTTGAATGCGTCTGGTGATGATACCTTCTTGATCCATAATTTTGTTCCCCAGGGTATATAGCAGCTTGGCATAGCAGTCTAGCCAGTCCCTGTCCTTATAACAACATGTAAGAACAATATTTCTGCCTTTGAAGTTGTATATATGGTTATCCTGGCCATTGGGAGATATCTGTGTACCATGGGTTTCACGGGTTTGTGTATGGCTCGGAGTTTAGAAGGCGATGGCTGATTATGCCCGGTGGTTGGAGTATAGTCATCGCACATCGGAGACCATACTCTATTGCTCAGAATGTACATATAAAAGACATTTTGTGGGAAAACATTACTGAGGTTCTCCTTGTAACGTATGCCAATTGTTCACAGCAGGTAGGTATTTAAAAAAATAATGGAGGCTAGGGTGAACGAGAAGTACGAGAGGGAAGTGAAGACCACTGCTGCTGTATGGCCACGGTCCCGGAATGCTGTGCTGAACCCAGATGTTGATCGGTTGTGTGTGGTGTATGAGGTTTTCACCAGGTGTACTGGTAATGGTGGCTCGAAGAAGAAGAAAGTCAACCTTGTGTTCTGCCATGGGTCCGGTATGAACAGGGCCATATGGGAGTACCACGCGGATAGAATTGCCGACTTGAACAGCAACTGGGTTGTCGATAAGATTGTGGTTATTGACCAAGTCAACCACGGTGATTCTGCGCTGTTGAATAAAGGTAGGCTCGGTTTGGAGTTCGACTGGTTCGATGGTGCAAGAGACATATGTAAAGTGGCCGAGGAGGAGTTTAATTTCATGAATAATTACAATGTCATTGTTGGACACTCGATGGGTGGGTTTCAAACTCTGGCAGCTGTGGCGCACAACCCTAATCTCTTCCAGTTGGCCATTGTCATAGAACCTGTCATAATTAAGGACCCATCGCAATTGGAACCCAAGACAGAGTACTTATTCTTCCCACCTAACTTCTATAGAGCTCTGACCGCCAAGATGACTGACAATTTTGACTCAATGCAGGAGTTTGAGGAGTTTATGGAGAAGAAAAGCTTCTATGTGAAAGTCCATCCCGAGATAAGAAAGCGGCTCACCGAGTTTGAAGCTATCCAAAGACCAGACGGATCTGTGGTTACTAAGATGAAGAAAGTTCACAACTTCATGTGCTATGCAACTGATAATACATCGGCAAAGAGAATGGTGCAGTTGATGCCATTTATTGGCATCCCCGTGGTATCCCTAGTCGGGGCAAGCTCGAGATGGACCCCGCCTGTGAACAACGAATACGTTAGAACACGCATTCCTAACTGTAAGGAAGTGAGTGTAGCCAACGGCGATCATCTCATGAACTTGGAGATGCCAGATACTATTGTGGACTACATCAGTAAGCATATCTCCCAGTATGTAGCTAACCCACCACAAAGATCGGAAGGAGACTATGTGCTAGATCACAACGGGTCTTTAGCTGAAAGGAACCAATTCTTAGATAATTCCTACAAGCATTTTCTCAACAAGATAAGACTTCCTCAGAAATCCAAACTTTGATTGTCTTGCACATATGCGCTGGCACTGTGCTTACACAAAATCACCCAAAAGGGAAAAAGACTAACTGCAATAATATTCATGATAGTAAATAAAAAGTAACCGGTTAAATAGATAAACAATTACATATTCAATACATGTAAATGGTATAATATTGCCTGCACTCAATACTCCTGTGCTAAGTGCGTATATTTATCATATCCAACGAATAACACGTTACCGGATTTTTTCACCGAAATTCTGAGCCTGTCGATCATTGCTGGAGCAATTCGCTGGAGGGATAAGCAACCAGCAATGACGGGAACCATCAGAAACATGTTCAATGAGCAGTTTTTGTCGCTCTGAGGGATATTAGCCGCTGCTACAAGTCAATTGGCCACTCTGGACGTTACTGTTCTTTATTAATTATTGGATTTCCCGTTCGAAACAGCAAAAACGGCCGAGAAATAATCACAGTGTGAGAAAGCAAATGCAAATGTTTAACTTTTCTAGGCTAGTGGCCCTTTTGTTGGTCCTAGTCAATGTTTCCCTGGCATTGTCTCCAAAGCAGTTCAATAAAGAAAGATTAAAGTACAAGGACAGTATTATTGACCTGAATGACAGAAACTGGGGAAGATTATTGGCCAATCCTAAAGAATCATACTTGGTGACAGTTTTCACTGCCACTGGTCGTCAATATGGTTGTACAATGTGTACAGAGCTTGCAGAACACTACGAAACAGTAGTAAGATCCTGGTTTGCTGACCATCCTGATGGTATCTCCAAGAATGACGGATCCAAGTCGTTATTCTTCGCCAAAGTTGACGCTGTAGACCAAAATGTGCCTGAATTATTCCAAAAATTCAACGTCGAGCAAGTGCCACGTATAATTATCTATGAACCAGGTAAAGGTGATCCTCAATACAAATTTCTTGACATTCAATTGAGTGGTGAAAATGTTGTCGAGACCTTAATTGCTGGTATCAAGGAAAGCACAGATGTCCAGGATTTCGAGATCCATGAAGAGATCAATTGGAGTTCCGTTACTATTACTGGTGTGGCTACTTTTGCTACTGTTTTATTGGTTAAGAAGCAGAGTACATTGGCCCTGAAAATATTCACATCTAGATACGTCTGGGGTTTTGGTACCATCTTTTTCATTATTGCCATGCTTGGTGGCCATATGTTCAACCGTATCAGAAACACTCCTGAAGCTGGTATGGACAAGTTAAAAAACGTTATTTACATCTTGCCAGGCCAAATCTCCGGCCAATATGCTATTGAGACTCAAATTGTAGGCCTACTATATGCTGTCCTATGTGCATTGATAGTTGCCCTAGTTATGGTTGTCCCTAATGTTTCTAAGAAGCTGAGTGGGCCAGAAAATGCTAAAGAAACTGCACAAGTGATAGTTACTATTCTGACTGCTGTGTTCATTTATATGTTCTTTGCAGCATTCACTAAGGTGTTCGAAGTTAAGTACACTGGCTACCCTTACACATTGTTGAAGCTATTCAACTTCTTTGGTAAATAAGACGATTTAGAGTTCGTACATTAACAATTATAAATTTCAACATTTGTGATATGTAGATATCATCTTTAAATAGACAAATTCATTTCCTTTTGAACTCAAGATGTAAATATTAGATAGAGAAAAGTTGATACAGTGAATTAAAGTGTCATATATAATATAAGGTGTAGAAATAAACGATTTCGTGTTCAACTGTATATGAGACATTGTGTCTTGGTAAAATTCATGGTTACATATCCTTCAATCATCTTCGTTATGCTTCTTAGATTTCTTTAATCCTAATCCCCTTCCGATACCTTTACCGATTTTTCCTACAGATCCCAATCCACTGCTAACAACAGTTGTACCTGCTTTTAGGCCGCTACCAATAGATTTTACTGGTGCATCAGCGACTGTTTTTTGTTCACTGTCTGTTAAAGTCACAAATCTAGGGGAGAACTGGAATTCCAAGTGTACAATACCACCATCTCTTCCCTCGTCGTCAACCACTGGGACATCTAATGTGGTCGTGTTGTGTGGATCAATCTTAGATAAAGGAATAGTAGCACGTCCAATGACATCATCAGCCGATGCAGCATCCCAGTCCATGACCTTCAGGTAAAGGACGTCATAAACACGATTACGAACTTCAATAACACCTTTCTCATTCCAAGTTGGGTTAAGTGTCTTTTTGATCGTTTTGGTTTTGAAGCAAGCATCGTCTTCATCATTGTAATAAAATTTCAAGAATGGATCCGAATAACCATTAGTATCTGCAGATAGTAGGTTTTCAGCATTCTTTGCGATAATTGTTAGATCACCACTGTTGCTCATTAAATCTTCAGGAGGTAAGTCTTCGATATCCATAGGGAACCACTGTACTTGTAACATTAGCTTTGCTGTGTGTTGTCCTGAAAGTGTTAGAATTGATGGCTTATAGTAACTTTCTCTCAATAAGTCAATAGTAGATAGAGTGACATCACATAATTTATCAGAAGTCTTACCAGAAAACTTATCTCTGGTGACTTTGAAGGTAACGACAGAATTGTCTAATTCTTTGATCATGACATCACCAGTCCAACCACTATTAATGGTTCTGCTAGTCAGCTTTGGACTAATGAAACGTGCATGGGCGTTACCATCGAAAAATGATTGAACATAGACTCCAATATCTGGGACGTCACCACTCAAAACAGAAATTGCAAGAATACCAATCTTATGTTCAAGCAGTTGATCAAGAGATAATTTTCTCTTATTGTTGTGCATCTCCTCAATTTCCTTGATTTCAAGCTCCTCTTCCTCGAGTTTTTGTTTTTCCTCCTTTGACAGTTTACCGTCGGTCAGCAACTTACGCTTCTCATCAAGTTTTGCTTTTCTTTTTTCAGCAGATTCTATATCTTGAATCTCTTCCAATGTCAATACAGGTAAAGTTGGATAGAATGAAATCGAGTAGGTAACCACACCCTTGCTAAATTTCTTAGCAGTCAAGCGACCTTGCCTTTGAGTGGAATCGACCTTAGTGTCGTATCTGTCAAGTGAATTCTTCTGAAAGAAGTCATTTAACTTGATGTCAAACTGACCCAGAGTACGATCTTTATTAGAAGTTTCAACATCCATACATTCCAACGTGATTCTTTGGTTTGGTGATGTTAATGCAACATAAACACCTGTATTCCAAACTGGATTTGTTGTTTGTGCGTCGAAATCGGTTCTACCTCTCTGGATACCGTTAACCAAAATTTTAGCATATGGATCGATTTTACCGATTTTTTCGAGATTCTTTAAGTTACTTGCCTTATTTACGAATACTCTCAAAGCACCAATTGGTGGAGTGTAAGCAATGGATTTGTTACCAACATCTAGCATTACTGGTTTCCAGTAAGTAGTGACAGTTAATCTGGCATTACCATGAGCCAGAGGGATATTTTTTTGTCCGATTTGCGTTCTATCAATTAAGTCAGATAGAGACTGTAAAGTGGAGTTAATGTTTTCACCATTCTTATCTTTGACAACAAACCTGAATCTGGCTTTACGGCGATCAGTGATAATAGCCTCATACATATCACCCCAAGTGATAACACCTCTCTTTGGACTGCCTTTAGCTGTGCTCAATACCATAGTGGAGTTGAAGTATACCTCAACGGAAGCCGAGCCATCCTTGTCGACAATACTTGAACCTTCATCGACGATGATCTTAGCCAGACCTGTGTTCAAATCTGGTGCATCTTCCACAGTACCATCTGGTAGTTTCTTCGATGATAATGTTGGGAAGAATCTTAGGTCCATGGTCATCTTACCTACAGGTTTCGAATTTCTCAAGAATTGTTGAGATACATTCCTTTGTGTAGGCTTATCGTGCAAACTGTTTGCGTTGTACTCGATTCTACCTAAAATCTTGTCCTTCAATTTTTCACGTCTGTCATAAACTGTAATGGTCATTGGATCAGTGAAAGATGGCAATAGCATGTATATTGTTTCATTCCAAACTGGGTTAAGTGTATCTCTAACAGTTCTTGTACGTGCAACTTCCTTTCCGCCCATCTGAAATGTGATATATGGATCGACACTTGTATCAATCATATTGTTGACACGCTTTAGATCAGTAGCGTTCTTAACTGTGATTTCCAGAACACCTACAGATAATGGAGACTCTGAAACCAATTGAGGAACATTTAGTTGCAAAGAAAATGGGGGTAATAATATAGGGCCTGCGTATTTCCTAGCTAAAGCCTTTGCAAGGGGCATTAAACCTGGGATAGCTAGGATTTCCCATCCGAACAAATTGTTACCCATGAAATTGGCAACAAAGTCGATATCTGGGATCTCCAATAGTTGGATATTAATAGTTTCCACATGAGGGAATGGGGTCATAAGCTTGAATCTAATTCTGGTCTTAGCTTTGAAAGCCACATTAGCCACGGTAACAGGTATAGTCATACCAAAGAGTTTTGCCTTGACTAGAATCTTCTGGTTGACGTAGTTCTTCATCTGCTTAGCGTTCAGGTCAGATAAGTCATGTGGTGTGAATGATAGACCCCAGTCCATAACCACGACATCGGAATCAGTGTTTGGGAAAGTCTTTGCGTAGTCAACTCTTGGGGGTTTGATACCTAGAGTGAACTGGGCAATCCATAGAGCCTTGATGAATGCTGGAATGGAGTCATTTGTGGCCAGGATATCGTTGACCTGTTCGCAAACCATCTGGGAAACAGCGGGCTCAATGATAGGCCAGTATTTGTCCAGCAAAGTGTTCAACCACTCCAGGGATTCGTAGTCGTCCTCGATCTTCTGGACGGTAAACTCCTTCTGAACCAATTCTCTGATAGAGGCACGGTTTTTCTTTGCGGAAGTTCTGTAGTACAACGCAGAGAACAGAGTAATGAAGAAAACAGGGGCCAGAGAGAACTTGAAGTGGCCCACTGCAAACGACAACACACCAGCCAGGAAATATATGGCGACGTTGTGGTACCAGTCACCGTAAAGTGGCTCGGGAAGCACGTTGTTCAGCAGGGTGTCGCTGTTGGCGTCCATCAGCTCATCCTCCAGCGTCAGCTCATCCTTCTCTTCCCAGCCGCCCATCTGCTTCCACCCCACATACGCAGCCCTCTTCCGCTGCCTCTCAAACTCGTCAACCAGATCGCCCGCAGAAACCTGGATGTTCTTGCTCACCTTCAGCTCCTGCTTCGCAGCTATCTCCTTGATATCCCCGTCAGCTTCCTTCTTATCCGCTTTCAGCATGTCATCCTGGGTCTCCCGCGAAGAGCTCATCGTGATCTCGCCAATACCCTTAAACATAATCCCCTCGTCATGCTGAGAGGACTTGTACCCAGACGTAGACGCCTCATCCACCATCTGTTTTTATCCTTAATTGATCTCTTAAACCTCGCCAATGAATCAGCACCTACCCAGTACTGGGTCTTCCCCAAAACCTGGGGGGAACCCAGCCTATTTCCTATTTATACTATCCCCTCAGTATTTTTTTTTATTAATTCCGTCAAGAACTACCCACAGCCCATGAGAGTTTCCCAGGATCAACCCTCAGTCCCCTTTGTGCTCCCCTCTTCTCTCCATTGTTCTCCCAGGGATCACCAAAATTAGCTTACCTGCGTTCGATCCCCGGTTGGTGCCAGTACCTCCCTTCCCAGTTGTACCTTTAATAAGGATGCTTAAATATAATCCCCCCCATAGTACCGTACTTTACCATACTTTACCTGTGCTTTACACTTGGGGCTTGTTGGAGCAACTCATGTCTGAACAGTTGCCGGTGGATAATGAGGGCTGCCAGCCCGCGAACAGTGGGTATAACGTCGAGGCACCTACGTCGAGGCAGGTGCTGCGTGTTGCGTTGAACTTGAAGTACCTTGTGGACAAGGTAGTGCCCGTTACGTATGGGTGTGATGAGATTGAGAGTGACCACTCGAGTGTGGTTACGCCTGCCGTGGTGCAGCTGGCGCTGGAGGCCTGTGGCGGTGATCCCGAGGACAAGAAGAACCGGGACAAGTACAGGGCCGTGGTGGTGTTTGCGCTGTTGAAAGTGTACGGGTGGTACAGCCAGTTGGCTGCCACGGAGCTGCACAACGCTGAGCTGTATGAGTCCCGCGGTGTGGCTGCCCAGCAGCTGTGCAAGATAATTATCGACCAGGAGGAGATGAACGACTTGCACTTCATGTTTATGCAGATGCTGCTGAGACGGTACACCATCAATGAGAACGACGAGGACTCGGAGCCCGCCAACGCCATAGAGCTTGCGTCCGACATGCACTGCACCATCGTCATTGGCTCGGGCGGGTTCCAAAGGTGCTTGACGTGGCTGTGGCGCGGGTGGATCATACAGAACAGAAGAGACCCGACTACGTTCATCAGAGACGAGACCGTGTCCTCCCCGTACTTCATAGACCACTTCAACCCGGACAGAATCAAGACGCCCAAGTACCAGAACCTGCTGAACATCTTCTTCTCGATCCTGTTCCTGGTGCTATACACAGTGGTGGTGAACGGCAAGAACTCCGTCACGGTGTCCCCAATTGACCTGCCAGAGCTCGTTTTTTACTTGTTCACACTGGGCAATATCCTCGAGGAAATGACGAAGATGTACTACATCGGCGCGGCATACTTCTCCTTCTGGAGCAGCTTCAACCTCACCATGTACTCAATCATATCAGTCTCCTTCGTTTTGAGAATATTGTCCGTCGCGCCATTGAAGCTGCACAACCCGTCGGAGTACTGGGACAAGATATCCTACAGGATACTGTCCTGTGCCGCGCCATTCGTGTGGTCCAGAATGCTGCTGTACTTGGAGTCCGAGCCCTTCGTGGGCGTGATGTTAGTGGTCCTGAAACACATGATGAAGGAGTCGGCTGTGTTCTTCGTGCTGCTCGTGCTGATAATGGTAGGCTTTTGCCAAGGGTTCCTGGGTTTGGACTCGGCAGACGGTCACCGTGAAATCACAGGAACCATCATGGAAAACTTGACAATCGCAGTCCTGGGCCTCGGTAGTTTTGATAAGTTCAAGAGGTTCGCACCACCTTACGCAGAAATTCTTTACTACAGTTACTACTTCATCGTCTCTGTGATACTGTTGAACATCCTGATTGCACTCTACGCCAACGCTTACCAGCGTGTTGTCGACAACGCTGCTGACGAATACATGGCGCTTATGGTGCAAAAGACCTTGCGGTTCATTCGAGCCCCCGATGAGGATGTCTTCGTCGCTCCGCTGAACCTTATTGAGCTGTTGTTTTCGCCGGTATTCGCATTTCTGTCAAAGGCAAAGAAAAGTCAGTTGTCTTATTATGTCATGATGGTTATATATAGTCCAACGTTGGTACTGGTGGCTTTGTCCGAGGTCAGAACTTCGAAAAGAATCAAGTACAACAGGTTGAAGAATCTACCGGATGACGCTAATGAAGTTGATACTGCATGGGACCTAACAGATGGATATGTAGATGAAGAAGATACGCTATTCACAAGAAGCCACACTTCTGGAATCAGAGCAACGAATAAGAAGAATAAATTCTCTTTGCAGGTTCAAAGAGAGGCAGAGGCTAAGGATCCAAAGTTCTCTGTGCCTCGAGAATGGTACTCAAAAGTTAAGCACATCTGCCACAAGCATGAACAGGAAAAATGCGCCTCTGATGACGGCTCGAATGACTTATCAGAGAAAGTATCCGAACTGCTAGTGAAATTGAGTAAAGTTGGTTTGTCTGTCAATTCTTCTGGAAGTTCAACTCTTCCTGATGAAGTATTCAAGGAATTCAAAACTGATGTGGAGAAATTGGGCAACATGGTACAAGAGCTAAATGACTTGAAAAGAGAGCTTAAAGATATTTCTGATATGAAATCTTTACTCAAGGAGATTGTAAATCAGAAAAAGTAAATAGTTATATAAATATATTCATCTAAATACGTCCGCCTGTATCTTGTTTAAGAATATAAATTAGGCGTTGAAATAATCACAAACTCAACTAATTGATTAGTATATTAAAAGTCATAGATATTGTACACAGTAGCAACAAATGTGTTTTGGGAAGCCTACCTTTTGAGAAATGAATAAAGACGATCAGGTAAACTAGTGAACTTTTGGAGGCAATGAATAATTAGAATTAGAAAATACTGGATATTGCATTCAAGGGTTACTAAGTTCTCTTTGTTTAACTTTTTATATAAATGCTTAGATTTGTGGGTATATCACAGATCTAATAATGAAATGCATGAACTAAAGATTATCTCCTTTTCTAGCAACTACAGCTTGAGTTAGCAGCAGGATTATTTACCACTGATGTTAGGTCTACTCTTTGATTCTCATTAGCATTATTTGGAACATTTGCTTGGTTTGCGGTTTTTAAGGGTACTTTCTCACCAATGGCCAGGAATACATCTGTGATATTTTCTCCCGATTTGGCACTAGTCTCGAAGAATAATAAGTTTTCTTCCTCTGCAAGCTTTTCGGCCTCTTCACGAGATACACTTCTCTCGGTACCATTCTCTAGAACATCAATTTTGTTCCCCACTAGTGCTATAATTATATCTTTGCTAGCTTGTTCTTGTAACTCTTTCACCCAGTGACGTGCTTTTATGAATGATTGTGGCTTAGTCACGTCATATACAACAAGTGCCGCCTGTGCGTTTCTATAGTACATTGGTGCCAGAGATGCAAATCTTTCCTGGCCCGCCGTGTCCCATATCTCAAACTTTACTGTATGTTCATTGATAGTAACTCGTTGGGTCAAGAATGCGGCACCGATAGTAGGCTCTTTATTCTCTGAAAAGTCATTGGATACAAACCTCAATACGATAGAGGATTTCCCAACTGCTGCTTCACCCAATAGTACCAGCTTCAGAGATGTGATATTGTTGTTCATACTTGCTGTCTATGTTGAACTTCGATTGATGTTGATACACTATAAACTTCCGTTTCGTTTCTTTTTTTATCCGTTGTTACTCTGTCGCGCCAGATAAACTCCAATAACAGTTCCTAAACCAGATTTAGTTTTATTTCCTAAGCTTAATAACAGGAGCTTAGATTTGTGTGTCGATTTTTTTCTTTGCTACTGGAATATGCAAGTCCTGTGCGATGGCAAATGGGTATTATCCTTTTATTTGCCCTTTATTGAATAACTGAAATCCCTTTAATAAGCCCTTTGACGTGAAGTATGATGTCAATGCGTAACCTTGATGATGATTCAGTTGGTGTCATGGTATTAATATAGTTCGTATATGCAACTGCAAGAAGGATTCATTAAATCATTACTTTATATACAGATGATAGTTGGTATAAATATCATAGATAGAAGTGTATTACTTGCGAGGGCAGCCATATGTTTCTTACAACTTTGATTGCACAGGGGTGGTGGCATCAAGGTTGGGAAGTATTGTCTGGGTATCGGGAACCACGCTGCTATTGTTTTCGCCAAAGAATGCCACGGTCACAGTAAGGTCATCCCTATACTTTCTGCTCATAGGAGCTGGGATGCTCACAAGTGTTGAAACGTACTCGTTTTGTCCACCTGCGCTTAGTGCGTTTCTGATCAGATGAGTAGCTACATTTGCGTCCTCTAAGAAGTATGACATGTTTTCCAAGGATTGATCCTTACGGTATCTGAACGCGGGTCTCTGAGATTCGCTGTCCGTGCTTAGATCCTTGACTTTAGGTAGCTGTTTCTTAAATGACAGGCTCTTCACTTTAGTGTCATCAGAATGTTTCTCCATCCACTTCACCACAAGTGCAGCTATCTCTGTGTTACTCAAAAGTTCGAACAGCCCATCTGAAGCCAGAACCATGAATTTTGTGTTGTCGTTGACCTTTGCAGTGGTGACAACAGGTTTTGCTGTCACATAAGGAGGCGTCTTAAAATCTCTAGGTTCTTTTCTGAAGTACAGCTTCAAGTGATCAGGTAAGTCCGATAGTTTCTTCCCATCTATCTCTTTTACTTTATATCTGTAATCCCCAAAGGCCCTGGAGGGTTGTAAGGACCCGAGGACTCTGCCGTTGCGTACCACATTGTCCTCACCTGGGTGTTCGCTTCTTATCCGTTGCACTTCCTCTAAGTTGTCACCAGTCTGGTCAGTAGATAATGACTTAACATACCATTCGCCGTTAGAATCCAGTCCACCGATTAGGGCACGAGAATCACCTGTCACTGCCACTTTCACCGTGGATTCGTAGGAGTTATAGACTGCTAGTAACGCACATGAACCAGAGATGGCTGGCAATGCAGCCAGCATGTTGTCATTAGTAGGTTCTTTCAGTAGTTTTCCCAGGGAGTGGTACACTATATCATTGTCTAGTTGTACAAACCCCTTTTCAAGGGCTACATCAAAATTCATGTTATGTGTATAGTCTGACGTTAGTGCTTTATTGTGCTGCTGGTATACGTCGGCGATCTGGTGAGCCACGTATGGCACCAGGTCTGTAGAAAGCTTGGCTGAGGTGAACGCACCGCTGTGGCCGTCGAATATCCCAAAAAAGTACAGATCGTTGTCGAACGCTTCATCTTCGCGGTCCTTCAGGGGCTTGCTGCCATCAGGGCTAGGGAAAGTAATTAACTTCTCTACGTGATTGTCCTCAATGGGGTTGTTGGAAGGCAATTGCGCGACATCGTACCGAACAAGCCCTTTGTTCCTCTTCACAAAGAAACTTTGCTCCCTGGCCCGCAACCGTCTATCCACTTCCTCCTGGGACAAGATCTTGAAATCTGCGTTGCTGTTCTGAGAACCACCACTGGAGCTTATCAGCTTCCCGCCATCGTTGTGTATCGTGGAGTACTCCTTGAACGCCTTGAATACTTCCAGCGGGTTCCGCTTCTCTGAGAAATATGAGTACGTCAAGTACATGAGCCCGCCACTAACCAGCGCCAAGTTCAGCTCCCGCAACAGCAGCGTAGAGCTGCCCAGCCGCGCCATGGGCCTCATGTGCAGCCCTCTGCTCCCAACTCTCAGGGCACCCTTAGCAAGCTTGCTGCTCTTCTTCAAATTAACTATCCTGCTCAATGAAGACATCCCGCGCTTGTATACCTGTAGCAATACTGGGAATACAGCATGCAGCAGAGGATTATTGAAGTACCATTCCTTGTTGTACCAGCCAACCCAGGCGATGAGACTATGGAGGAACCCTTTAAAGATAGGGCCATTTCACACGTATCATGTGACTGAAAAATTTTTAGCGAAATTTGGTTGTGAATTGCGATGAGCAAAGATGGAAGGTATAGTGTTTAGGTTATAAGTCTGTGTGTCAGTGGTGGGGGGGGAGAAGTATTTGAAGTGCGTGGTACTTATTTGTGGATGGCGTTTTAGGCTAGGATAGCACACTAGAAGAGATAGAAGGATGCCACCTAAGAAGAAGCAGCAGCAGCCTGCTAAGAAGAAGGACAATGTCGACAAGACGTTTGGTATGAAGAACAAGAACCGTTCCACCAAGGTTCAGCGGTTTATCAAGCAGGTCCAGGCGCAGGCTGATCCTGCGAAGGAGGAGATGAAGCGTAAGAAGCTGGAGGAGAAGAAGATGAGGGAGGCTGCTGAGGCGGAGCGGAGGGCGCTATTTGGTAATGTTGCTGATCAGAGGATACGTGCGGGCGTGGATCCAAAGACCGTTGTTTGTGCGTTGTTCAAGATGGGTAATTGTAATAAAGGTGCCAAGTGTAAGTTCTCGCACGATCTTAACGTCGGCAGGAAAGTCGAGAAGAAGGACTTGTACCAGGACACCAGAGATGAGAAGGAGAAGGATACAATGGATGACTGGGATGAAGAGAAGCTGAGGAAAGTTATTTTGTCGAAGCACGGTAACCCTCGTACCACGACTGATAAAGTCTGTAAATACTTTATTGAAGCCGTCGAAAACGGTAAGTACGGTTGGTTCTGGGTGTGTCCGAACGGTGGTGACAAGTGTATGTATAAGCACTCCCTGCCAGAAGGTTTTGTATTGAAGACCAAGGAACAGAGAAGACTGGAGAGAGAAGCGCTGGAGAACCAACCAAAGATTACATTGGAAGAGTTTATTGAAACCGAAAGAGAACGCCTGGATAAGTCTAAATTGACTCCAATCACAATGCAGAATTTTGCCGAATGGAAGAAGAAGCACGTTATAGAGAGACTGAACGCCATGAAGGAAGAGAACAGTAAGAAGAAACCCTCTGGTCGTGAAGTAGTCCAAAAGCTTCTTGCAGACAACAAATCCTTCGACGACTCCTCTGTTGCGGAAACCGCCGGTACAGAAGGCACAGCATGGGATCTTACTGAATTCACAGAGGCTCTCAGAAAAGCTGACCATGCAGATGATGCCAACATTAAGGATTACGGTGATGGTAGCAACCCAACTTTTGAGATAACCAAAAAAATTGAAGCATAGGTAAACAATAGGTTTGCCAATTTCTATTTGATGAATTTTCAGTTAGCAAAAGAGTTTGCCCATCAGATGAAGGGAACTAATGAAGGAACTGGAGTGAGTACCCGGTGCTCCTCTAGCATAATGGCATGGGTGTCTGAAAACACACCGTTGTCCATTCTACGCATTATGACATTGTGCCAATAAATGGGATAGTTGTCCATGACTATCAATTAATTGTCGTCATCTCTATATATTTGGGTGCTATTTCTCAATAGAAGAAAAACAACCATAGAACATAGAGCATTGCATTATTTTGTTTAAATATTTAACAACTATAATAATTTAAAAAAGAAATAAAAACTTAATAATATACTACATCCGGATTAGTAACTTGACCTGCATAGAAGCGTCGATGAACCTACATAGTTTCGATGAGTAATGCGTTTCGGTATAGTCATCATAGAAAACGGAGTTTCGAGCAGCTCAATGCGCGATCCTGTGGAATAAGCAGTTGGTCTAATTATAGATGTCATCGAGCAAACAATACATTGCAAATCAGCTACGGGGAACATCGATGATAGAGACCGATTCATTGGTAATTTGTGGATTTGATAAATGTGTATCCCGTGGTTATTACAAGTTGAACGGTAGGCAACGGTAACAGGTGCGTGGAAAGGATGAATCATGATGCTATTGATTCATTGGAAAATGTTGGTCTTTGGAAGAAGCTAAGTAACCTCGAGTACTTCACCTTCTGCATGATAGGTATAGGCCTGTTGTGGCCTTGGAATTGTGTGTTGAGTGCAGTGCTCTATTTCAAACACAGTTTCTTTCAGGATGTGACGAATTGGGCGAAAGTGTTTGCCAGTTCAATGATGGCGGTCTCGACCATTACGTCGCTTGTGTTTAACGTATGGTTGGCAAACAGACAGAGGAACTATACGCAGAGAGTTGTTCGTGGGCTAGTATGGCAAGTGATGGCGTTTGTTGTCTTGGCTATAATATGCATGGTCCACAATATGCTGCCGATGTGGTTTTCCTTTCTATTCATCATGGTTGTGATTCTTTTCAGTTCGGTTGCCACTGCACTGACTCAAAATGGTATCCTTGCCATTGCCAATGTCTTTGGATCAGAATACAGTCAGGCAGTGATGCTGGGCCAAGCTGTCGCCGGGGTTCTGCCGTCTGTGGTACTGTTTGGCATCTCCTATATAGGTGACTCCACGGCTGCGGAGACTGGGGAACAAAGTCAAGCTGGAATCATCGTATATATCATCACTACTGCAATTGTTTGTGGTATTAGCACCACATTGTTCAAGTTTACGGGTATTGGAGGGCAGTTCATGGCGATTATGAGAGAAGAGTCCATAGATGTTGATGACAACGACGAACAAATTCCATTCCGCGTACTATTTGACAAGTTGAGACTATTAGTTTTATCCATCTTGTTGACATTTGTGATAACATTAATCTTCCCTGTATTTGCATCTACGGTGCGATCCACGGGACTCGGTATGAAAGATGAGCATTACATGCCATTGATCTTCACACTGTGGAACCTCGGTGACCTCTACGGAAGAGTGCTTGCCGACTTACCCTATTTCCAAAGTCCCTCTTTCACACCGTTAAAGACTTTTATTTATGCATTGTTAAGGTTCTTACACATCCCATTTTTTTTCTACTTCTCATCAAGAAATGACGGGCACTCTGTGGCGCTGGACATCGGCTACATGCTCTTGCAGTTTGTCTTCGGCTTGACCAACGGCCACGTCATCTCCCTGAGCTTCATGAAAGTTCCCCAGGTGCTGGACAATGACCTCGAGAAAGAAGCTGCCGGTGGCTTCACAAACATATTCGTATCAGTAGGTCTAGCACTTGGAAGCCTGGTCAGTTACATATTCGTCTTCCTGATAAATTAGGGCATCGGGAAGAAGACCCCCCCCTCTGTAGTCATTAGTCATATTGTCCCAAGCGTATTCAAGACATTAAAGAAGCACATCACATAGTATTTATAGGTTCTATCTAGCAAAGCTAATAGCTAATGTCTATTAAGGGCAGGGCTCAGATGCCTTACTACGTTGCGAACGACTGGGCAAGTCCCTCTATGTCAGAAGGGTTCGCCAAAAAAAAAAAAGTCGTCATTGTGAATTCACCAAGAACTTTTCTCTTCTTTTGGTGGATTGTTGTCTGGACGTTACCCAGGACTTTGGACTTACAACCCATTGGATTGACTTATATTGGTGTTATGTTGTAGTACTTCGCAACATATATTGAGTGGGAGAAGGGAATCACCGCTCAACGATCGCTTTAATAACAATTGACCATGTCTTCCACTGGTTTCCAGGGCAGTGAGAAGAGTGATGCCGAATTGAAGGCTAGAAAGCAGACGTCGGTAGACGATGTCCTGATAGAAGAGAAAGAGGATACGTCGAAGCTGAAGGATGCGAAGGTCTCGCAAAGTCCACTGCTGCAATTGGAGGCATACCTGATGCCGCTTGTCTTCACAGGGTTGGCTCTGTTTGTCAGAATGTATAGGATTGGCATAAACGGTAATGTGGTGTGGGATGAAGCCCATTTTGGTAAATTTGGTTCTTACTACTTGAGACACGAGTTCTATCACGATGTGCATCCACCACTGGGTAAGATGCTAGTGGGTCTTTCCGGTTACTTGGCCGGTTACAACGGGTCCTTTGACTTCGAGTCCGGACACGAGTACCCTGAATATGTGGACTTCGTCAAGATGAGACTGTTTAACGCTTCTTTCTCAGCTATGTGTGTTCCATTGGCCTACTTCACTGCTAAGGCAATTGGTTTCTCCTTGCCTGCCGTGTGGTTGTTCACCTGTATGGTGCTTTTTGAAAACTCCTACAGCACTCTGGGTAGATTTATCTTGCTGGATTCCATGTTATTGTTTTTTACCGTCGCATCTGTATTCAGTTTTGTGATGTTCCATAACCAAAGATCTCGTCCTTTCTCTAGAAAATGGTGGAAATGGCTCTTGCTGACCGGTATCAACCTTGGTTGCACAATCTCTGTCAAGATGGTGGGTCTCTTCGTTATCACTCTGGTCGGTATCTACACTGTCATTGACTTGTTGCAGATGCTAAATGAGAAGAAGATGTCTTGGAAGTCCTACACCGGTCACTGGCTGGCAAGAATCGTCGCGTTGATCTGCGTTCCAATGGCTGTCTTCATGATTTGCTTCAAGCTGCATTTCGACCTATTGTGGCACAGTGGTACTGGTGACGCTAACATGCCTTCTCTGTTCCAAGCTGGTTTGGTCGGAAGTGATGTCGGCGGAGGTCCTCGTGATGTGGCCATTGGTTCTTCTGTGTCTATTAAGAACCAGGCTCTGAGCGGTGCTTTGCTGCACTCCCACGTCCAAACTTATCCAGAAGGTTCTAACCAGCAACAAGTCACCGCTTACAGTTACAAAGATGCCAACAACAACTGGGTATTCCACAGAGTGAGAGAAGAAAGCCTATGGGACATAAACGAAACCGACATCGAGTACGTTGTCGACGGTGCTGTTTATAGACTTGTCCACGCCAACACCCAAAAGAACTTGCACACACATTCCATTGCTGCTCCTGTCGATAAGAAGAATTGGGAAGTTTCTGGTTACGGTAACCATACTATTGGTGATGCAAAGGATTACTGGGTTCTGGAAATTGTAGACCAAAAGGGTTCTGAAAATACAACTCAGGTTCATCCTTTGACTACCTCATTCCGTCTAAGAAACAAGGAATTGGACTGTTACTTAGCTCAAACTGGTAACCACTTGCCAGAATGGGGTTTCAGACAACACGAAATTAGTTGTGTCAAGGATCCTTTTAGGAGAGACAAGAGAACTTGGTGGAATGTTGAATCCCATGAAAATGAGAAACTTCCAACTCCAGAAGAGTTCAAATACCCAGGTTCTGGTTTCTTGAAGGATTTCATTCACTTGAACTTGGCTATGATGGCTACCAACAATGCTTTGGTTCCAGAAAGTGACAAATTTGACTATTTGGCATCTTCTGCCTGGGAATGGCCTACTTTGCACGTCGGTTTGAGACTATGTGGTTGGGGTGACAACAATCCAAAGTACTTCTTGTTGGGTACTCCGGTAACTACATGGGCATCATCTGTTGCTGTAATCTCTTTCATGATTTTGTTTGTTGTTCTCCTACTGAGATGGCAAAGACAGTACAATGATTTCTCCAACAAAGATGATTTCAATTTATTCCTGATGGGTGGTTTCTATCCAATTCTTGGATGGGGTCTACATTTTGTCCCATTTGTCATCATGTCAAGAGTCACCTACGTCCACCATTACTTGCCAGCTTTGTACTTCGCATTGATTATCCTAACATACATCATCGACGCTACAACCAAGAGATGGATGAAATCAAAGTGCGGAAGTATTATGAGACTAGTGGTCTTTGCCATCTCGATAGCTTCTGTAGTTGGTTGTTTCTGGTACTTCTCACCAATCTCCTTTGGTATGACTGGTCCAGCAATAAATTATCATTACTTGAAATGGGTCAAGACATGGCACATTCATGACTAAACGAAAACACAATGATTATTAGTTTTTTGTTTAATTTTCTTTTGACTATTGGACAGCAGTAGATAAACTCACATTACGGAAAGCTGATGAAACAGAACGCTCTAGCCCGATTTTTATCCTCTTTCATATACATATTTAATTATATACTACACTTTAGATTTTAAAAGAAAAACAAACAGTATTTGTACGATATAAATCCCACTCAGCAGTTTCCAGATTCATTTTATTGGCAACTATATTGTTCTTATACAGCCCATGTTATGCATATAATTGCGTATATCAAATACTGGTGTGTTATCTTCGCTTTTGCACTCCTTTCAAAAGTTTAGGGCGAGGCCAGGAAAAAAAGGAAGAAAGCATAGGATTTGACTTGGGAAATAGTTGCAGGATTACAGAACAGTACAGTGTCTATATGATTTCCACATAAGACAATCTTGTTGACATCATAAATATAGGCTAAGGATCTTTCTGGTTACTTATTTGTGCCAACAGTTCTGCAGTACTAGACAAGACTCAGCAAGGTAACAAGGGACAGATTTAAGGAAATAAATGCTGTTGTCTACATACCTTAATTGGGCAAGTGTTCTGTTAACGATAGCGGGTGCTGAAAGCAATATAGATCCCTGGGATGAAGTCAGTTCATTCCTTCAGGGGAAGCTCCGAAAGCTTGATGTTACGAATCCGAATGCGTATGATATGAATGATAATGAACAGGACGCCACATTCTATGTGTCGATGGATTATCATGAAGAAGAAGAGAGAAGCGAATATGAGAGTGTGTGGCAGTATTATAATGAAAATAGTGACCAAGACTGGCATAAATCTGTGTACGATAAGCTACAAGTGTCTGCAGATCAGTTCAATAACACTGAGGCAATGTATAAATTGTCACAGATAAATCTATGGGGGCAATATGGATATCCACACAATAAATCAGTTGCCTTCCAGTATCTACAGAAATTTAATGATATGACAAGTTATGAGAATAGCTCTGCATTGTTTGATTTAGCGGTGGCATATTCAACTGGTCTCTTTGGTACTTTGCCTGTGGACGTCGCTAGAGGATTATTATATTTCCAGAGATCGGCTAGACTAGGTGACTTAAAAGCGAAGCAGGTATTGGCTTATCGTTACTTTTCTGGCTACTCAGTAGCTAGGGATGTTGATAAAGCGCTGTTATTATATAAAGAGATAGCGGAAGAGATAAAAAAAAAGTACAGTGAAGAGCAATGGAATATGGTATTTCCATATATTGAGAGTTATATTGTCAGAATTCCTGATTTTGACGAAGGTTTACTAGGTAAAGGTTTGAGTACTGTTCCACAATCAGTTCGCCGTAAGAAAACAACAAGACCGCCATTTGCAGGTTCTTCAAACTTGAAACCTATAGGTGATGTTGGGTATGGAGAGGTTGTCATGCAGTTCAAATTCAACGCTGGTAATGGTAATCCTGGTTCATTTGTTATTAGTGATAGTGAACATGAAGATAGGCTGGTTGAACTGTTTTACACTGCATGGGACTTGTATAAAGGGACGTACACTCGTGGTAGAGATTGTGACAAGGCAAAAAGGTTGCTATTACAAGTTTACAAGACGTATGATGCAGAAGTCAAATACATGGATAATTTGCAGAAATTTTTCTACGTAAAATCCCTTGACTTACTTGCTCATATGTATTTTACGGGTGAAGGTTTTGAAAGACCTAATGTTCAGGCCGCTCTAGACTTATTTGACCGTTCTGAAAAAATCTTGGAAGGTGCCGAAATATCAAGAACAGCCAGTGAGGTTGATAAGGGTTTGATTAGTCAATACTATTTCAATAATACGCTAGGGGCTCTGAAGCATTATAAAAAGGCTAAAGAATCGGGAAATGCTCATGGAATTCTGTTTTATCAATTAGGGAAGCTGTCTGAAAAAAATCCAGAATTAAAAATAGGTGATCCATATCTATATATGCAAGAGGCCAGTTCACAGCAATATTTACCTGCCCAATACGAATTTGCCAAAATGGTTGAATCGAATGAATTAAGGAAATATAGTGTTGAAGACATTACAAGACTGTATAAGGCATTCGTTGAAGAAAATGAAAACATTATGGCCCCACATTTAAGACTGGGTTTCTCGGAGCTTCTTGGCGGGAGCAGTGAGGTTTCTCTATATGCCTATGCCCAGGCTGCTGAACAAGGCTATGAAGCGGCACAGATATCAGCTGCGTATCTTCTATATCAATTGCCCTACAAATTTGACGATCCGCCGGAAACTACAATTGAGAGAAAGACAATGGCTATCTCTTACTATACTAGAGCTTTCAAACAAGGTAATACTGATGCTGCTGTAGTAGCAGGTGATATATACTTCCAAATGAAGAACTATACAAAAGCGCTATCATTATATCAAAGTGCTGCACTAAAGTTCTCTGCTCAGGCCTTATGGAATATCGGTTACATGTATGAGCATGGATTAGGTGTAGAAAAGGACTTTCATCTGGCTAAACGATTCTACGATCAAATTTTAGAACATAACCAAAAATTATATTTTGCAGTAAAGGCAAGCGTTATGAAATTGCAATTGAAGTCATGGTTCATGTGGTTGAACGGGAAAGAGCTTGACAACATCAGTATCGATCAAGAGCAAGAAAGCACTGTCGTAAGACCTTTCTTTGACAGATTGGTACAGCTCTTGAAGAATTTATCCAGAGAAACTAGAGGAGACAATAAGAAGAAAAATCAACACAGAATTCTTAAGGAGAAAAAGACTCCTTCCCAAGGAATTATGGAAAGGTTTGGTCTACAGACCGAGGATTTATTAACGATGGTTTGTGTTCTGATAATATTTGCCATTAGTATGTTCTTTAGAACTGTTGCGCCTCGTGGGCAGTGGAATGTAAGAATCAATGGTGTCAATATAGCTGGGGGTAATGCCCTTGGTGAAGAAGGAAACCCCGAGAATGAAAACGAAGAGGATGATGAAAATGATGATGAAGGTAGGGCCAGGGCTCGTAACAACTTTGGTTTTGGTAATAATTTTGATGTACAAGTCTTTGCGATATAATCCAGATGCCGAAACAATTATTAACAGTTATAGTTTTGATGCAAAACCGGCTGATATTTTTGTTTAAGCTTGCACCATTAATTGTTTAGCAAAATCACATTAGTTTGATGAGAAAGTGTTATTAATAGATATATAGATTTTAATGCATTGAAATAAATAGACGCATGCAATTGGAAACCTTCAGGTTATATAGATAAGTACTTTCTCTCTGTTCATAGTACTCCATATTAGAACGTTTTCTTCATTTACCCGGTCCGCTGATTTAATTTTCACTATGTGAATCGTGAAGGCGAGTTCAGCTTTGAAGCTCAGGCTGGGCAAGTCAATGTAGAAATAATAATAGACAATCAAACTTGATGCATTGTGGGTTTTATGGTAGTCTTCTTATCAGCAAAACTTGAATATAAGAATTATTAGCGGCGGGCTCTAGTTCGTTTTGTTTTTTTGAAGTTTGTTGAAAAAGCTTGAAGCCCTAGTGACACGAATCAAATAAGCAAAGGATAATAATGGTTGAAATTGCTAATGCTCACAACGACTTGATCCACGATGCAGTACTGGACTACTATGGCAAGAAGTTAGCAACATGTTCATCTGATAAAACTATCAAGATATTTGAAGTGGAAGGTGAATCGCATAAATTAGTCGATACCTTGGTTGGTCATGAGGGACCAGTATGGAGGGTCGATTGGGCACACCCTAAGTTTGGTACTATTTTAGCATCATGTTCATATGACGGTAAAGTTATTATATGGAAGGAGGAGAATGATAGATGGTCTCAGATAGCCGTTCATGCAGTTCACACGGCTTCGGTGAATTCTGTACAATGGGCCCCTCACGAATATGGAGCATTGTTACTAGCGGCATCATCTGATGGAAAAGTTTCTGTAGTTGAGTTCAAAGAAAATGGTACAGCAACTCCTCTTATTTTTGATGCACATGCTATTGGTGTAAATGCTGCATCATGGGCACCTGCCACTGTTGAAGGGGGGAACAATCCTGGTGAAGCACCAAAGGAAGTGCGCCGCTTTGTAACAGGTGGTGCTGATAACCTTGTTAAGATATGGAGATATAATCCCGAAACGCAGTCATATTTGGTCGAAGATACCCTAGAGGGTCACTCAGATTGGGTTAGGGATGTGGCATGGTCACCATCTGTATTGCTGCGTTCTTACATTGCAAGTGTTTCTCAGGATCGGACTTGTAATATTTGGACTCAAGAAGATAATACAGGACCATGGGTAAAGACGCAATTGACTCCAGAAGAATTTCCAGACGTATTATGGAGAGCAAGTTGGTCTCTATCGGGGAACATATTAGCAATTTCCGGTGGTGATAACAAGGTAACACTATGGAAAGAAAATCTGAACGGAAAATGGGAATCAGCCGGAGAAGTCAATCAATAAGGAGGTTCTCGCAGCTTATTTCAGAGTATATATATTTCTACAAGCATGTTAAAAAGCCTCCAATTGTATAATATATTGAAATTAACAGATTGCTGAATATTTTAGAGATATTTAAGACTATCGCCAAGTAAGGATCATCGCATATAATTTCATAGTCACCTTGTTGAAGAAATTTGGAAATCTATAGAATATTTACTCTCTGTAATGTAATTTTCCTACAAACGTAGAAATCAACGTTTCTACATCCTTAGATGCTATTCTACCATTTTCCAATACTTCTGCATGCGAAGCTTTTCCATAGTCCATTGGAACAGGTGTATCAATTTTACCACTTGGTGGGTGATCAATAACTGCAACATTTGTTATTAAACTCAATGCTAAGACATCCCACCCACAATGTCTGGCTACGATTACTTCAGGTACCGTACTCATTCCAACCGAATCACCTCCCAATATTCTAATCATTCTAGATTCGGCACGAGTTTCAAAAGTTGGTCCTGATGCAAAAAAATATGTACCTTCATGTAATGGTCTATCCATTTTAAGTTCGTTGTGGGTTTGGAATAAAAGTTTTCTTAGGTCGTGACTGTACGCATCACTTAATGCAAGAAATCTTGGACCTATGTCATCAAAATTTGGCCCTTTCAATGGGTGTAATCCTGCTAAGCCTGGGAAGTTGATATGATCATATATACACATTATGTCTCCTGGTTTAAATTCGGAATTGATGCCACCCGCAGCGTTGGTAACAATTAGTGTCTTAATTCCTCCCTTAGAAAAATGGTGCAAAACTCTGATTGGGAAGACTGTTTCTTGCATTGTATTTCCTTCATATCCATGTAATCTACCACTCATTAAAACCACAGGGTAATCGTTCATTATTCCAAACACTAAGTTACCTGAGTGACCAGGAACTGTGCTTCTTTTGAAACCGGGAATTAGCTCATATGGAATAACCAAAGGCTCCAATTTATCTTTATTTAGTTTATCGGGGATGCCTGATAGACCAGATCCACAAATGATTAATGCCCTAGGTTCAAACTTCTCATTTTGGAACCGTTCTTGAAACCTTTCTGATAAATACTCACTAGCCTTCTCGATTTTCACACGTTCTTCTCCTAAGTCCCAATTTGTATTCATTTTTGTTTAAACCGTAGTGATGTATTGTCTGTATTAATACCAGCTTTCCTAATTGTAGTCGAAAAAACAATTATCTTATATAAGATATATCGTGAAATATAAAGGGTATATCATTGCATTAGTGGCATGTTACCTTTCACGTTAAATTAATTTTAGACTTGATGCACTTCTGGTAGTTGCTCCGTGTGTCATTGTAAACAAAATTACTATTTGATTGGATATGACAAAACTTTTCGTAGAAGAATGGATTCTAAAATGCAGGACCGATGGTGACTTACTGTAATTAAAATCCCAAATGCAGTCCCAAAACATAAAAATTTCTTGAACCAGAATATGAAGCACAAGAATAATACCAACCATGAAATCTAAACTCAGTGATTTAACAAAAACAATTACAACAAACTATTTTGCATGTCCTTAGAAGTTTACTTTCGGACTTGCACCACACCATTTCTTATAATTACTAGTCGACAACTATAATAGGAAGGCAAACATAATCTAATCGACGACAAAGCACATTCTTGTGATCTACAACTATGAAGAATGTTGAAGGCATGTAACTTCCATATTTGGAAACAAGGTTAGCATTTGTATATATGTGATTTACATTTATCTCTACGATAATCTCTGTGTTTTTGTGAAGTTGTTCTACCATCGATTCGTGCGTATTAATACTGCAATGGGTATAGTTCTTGCTTACTACGAGAATACTTACGAGTTGATATCGTCTATAGGTACGACATTTTCTTGGCTCCACCTACCATTTTGAAATATCTTTGTCAAAACGCGAAGAAAATCTCGCGGAGATCTATCAAACATATGAAATTCTGAACTACCATTTTTGGATATTTACATATTTCCATAATAGGAACTGCGTTATTATATTGTTTCTTTTTTCTGTTCCAGTGAAATACACAAAACACAAACAAACACAAAATTGAGCTACCAATTCATTGAGATGAATTTTAGAATTTCAGGATCAATCCATCAGATAACTAAGATTGAATGGAAATGAAAAGCTTGTGTTTTAGCTCTATGGATCTAATAAGTAGGTATTATAGTTTTTGACCACTGAACAATAACAAAAAGGAATTGTGAAAAAAAGAAACAATAGCAATTAAAGCAAATCCTTCTGCACAATAAACAATTGAAAGTTCCAATACATTTCTGGCACTACACAGTATATTCTCATTTAGAATTCAAAAAAAAATAATATTGGAACCATTCTTCTACTTTTGATTTTAATTGTCTATATCTAACTACTGATAAACCTTTGATTACAATAGTCTTAGAAACAACTTTCACAACTCTGTCAAGACTATATTGAATATTAGTTACCACAATTCAACGATTATCCCAGTTCAAAAATTGCAGATTTGCTATTTAGTTGAGAACATATTTAGAATAGAGAAGTCAGTGCTTGTTTTGTGATCGCTGTAGATTTAATAAATCGAAAAATATTTTAAACTACTGGACAAGAGTGAAACCATATTACCATAATAACTATCAGAAATAAAGTACACCCACGTTTATGAATAATACTGAAGATATGTTTAGGGACGTTGAAAATGCAAGCCAAAATATGGCTTCAACAGTGAACACTTCAAGAATGGACCAAAGACAAAGAAGGGCTTTGACTGATTTGACATCACAAAAAGTGAACAGAATTCATACTTCAAAAACAATTAAGGATATTCCAGCATATTTATCAAATTACACTGCCGATGGAGAGAATAAAAACATTGACCAAGCTTTTAATCATAGTAATGACCAAGATATCGGTTTAGTAAATCAAATCAACTCAGGATATGCCAATGTTGAAAACGAACCAGGAAAAGAAACTGATCACATATTTATAGATCAGGATGATCTGTCAGATTTAGATATTGTACAAGAGGACTCCTTGAGGGAGCAACTAGAAGAATTTGAACACGACTTTGAGAATTTTGTGGAGCCACTCTCACCAATATTTAATGATGAAATACAAGATACTCTTGATAGAGCATTTAAAGAATACTATAGAGCAACTCCAGATATGGAGGATGATGATACATTTGATGCTGTTATGGTAACGGAGTATGGTAGTGATATTTTTCGTTACATGAGAAAGCTTGAATTAAAATATAGACCAAATCCGTACTACATGGCAGGCCAACCGGAATTGAAATGGGAATATAGAAAGACTGTGATTGACTGGATTGTGCAGGTTCACGAGAGGTTCCAATTACTTCCTGAAACACTATATCTAACTATTAACATCATCGACAGATTTTTATCAAGAAAGAATATTACACTTAACAGATTCCAACTAGTTAGTGCTACTGCATTACTGATAGCATCCAAATACGAGGAAATCAATTGCCCTACTATAAAGGATATAGTCTATATGGTAGACAATACTTATTCCAGGGATGACATCATAGAAGCTGAAAAATATATGATTGATGCACTAGACTTCGAAGTTAGCTGGCCAGGTCCTATGTCGTTCTTGCGGAGAATAAGTAAAGCAGATGATTATGAATACCGAACTAGAAATCTAGCTAAGTATTTGCTAGAAACCACACTAATGGAATCCTCTTTAATCAGTGCACTACCAAGCTGGCTTGCAGCTGGTGCCTACTTTTTAAGTAGAATAATATTAGGTTACGAAGAGTGGACCCTTAAACATGTCTACTATTCGGGCTATACTCACGAACAGCTTTATCCTCTGGCTACACTTATCTTAGACAACTGCCAGAATTATGAAGAAAGCCACCAAGCAATTTGGACGAAGTATAGTCAACCACAATATCATCAAGTTTCAATACTGGTTACGAAGTTCTTAGGTAGAGTTTCTTCAGACGATATGTCAGAAATTTATTAACCATATAAATGAATTCAGTAGTCACGATAATTGCATGGTGTGAATATTGGAAGCACCCAATAGGGAAGTATCCTTGGTTTACACTAGTTAGGAGGGCTTTTTTTCTATATGTTCCTCTAAACCTTTAAGTAATAAATAATTCGTAAATGCATCTTCATAATATAATAAACAATAATTGTCAAATACAAATTCTCATGCATAAATTGAATGGTTTAAAAAAAGTACTACGAAAACAATATATGATATAAAACGGCCGCTTATTTTTTCCCGGCACGTAACCTCTTCTCTCTCTCGTATTTATTCTTCTCTGCACCCTCTTCTGTATTAATTGTGTTGATAATATTAGACATCTTAGAATGATATGCTTCTGCTTCCTTCTTCTTCTCGTCAATTCTTTGTCTAGCCTCGAATTTAGTGTCCTTACGCAATTCCTTCATTACGAATTTACGTTCCTTTTTCAATTGAGCCTTCATCTTATTCACCTCATTTCTAGCAACGTCAGTATCATATGACTTCTTTGCAGGATTGAAGTTCTCTTCAAACTTTGGCGCGTATGATGGAATGGCTGTTGGTCTGTGTGCTTGTAAAGCAAGAGGATAATGTTTATTGAGCTTCTTCATTCTCTTTATCTTCTCTTCAATAGACTCAACAGTTGTAATAGATGGATATCTAACTTTGTATACAGACAGTATTGGTTCAAAAATTTCACAAATTTCAGGGAATGCCGCTTCATTATTCCAGTGACTTCCTATCAGCTTCTCTAAGTCCTCAAATAAGTTACTTAATACATTTATTTTCAAGTCTTCCTCATTTGTTGTAGATTTTGTAAATAGCTCATGCAAATGAACTACTGCGTCATCAGGAAGAGATGGCTCTTTTAACTTTAGTCCGCAGTCAAACGTATCTAACCTGATAGGTAGTGTCATGTCACTTTCAATATCATCTGGATTTACAACTAGAGAAAGCAACGCTTTTTGCAAGAAATAAACAGTTTCAGGAATATACCTTTTCGATAGCCTTTGATACTGAAGAATGATTCTTAATAACACAGAACCGACAGCAATTCTTTTCAGAGATTTAAATCTGATTTGCTCTAAAAATTCACATAATATTATCTGTGCAGGAGTTACGACCAAATGGTATTGATCAGATGTGGAAAATAAGACACCGACAATTATGAAAAAAAGAATGTCTCCATTATTCAATGCATGAAAATTCTGCTTTTTGAACCTTTCCTGAATGTCAAGAATGTATTCCCTACTAACTTCAGAGATAGCTTGATTATATTTTTCCGATAATCGCTTCAAGATAATTAAAAATTCATTTTGGGTCTTGTCAAATTTGATCAAGTCTTTATCATACCTCTGATTGGCGAGATATATCATATGCTTAAGTAGAACTTTGGAAAAATTTGCCAGTTTAACCTTATTACCTTCAGCAAGCTTGGGCTGATATGCTTTAATAATAGCCTTTACATGAATTGGCTGTTCAAGTAGTGATAGCCCTTTTAAATCGTTTAAGAATTCTGGGTGTGTTTGAGGACATGAAATTGCAACCAATTTCTTCGATTTGTATGATATAGCTTCTTCGCTGCTACTTTCAACTTCTATATCTTCATCAGAGTTCGCTATATTTTCACCCTCTTCTACCTCACTGTCACTACCCCAAAAGCCATCATCCAGGTCTTCTACACCTCTTTCTTCACCCTCTTCATCTTCCAACATACCTTGCATACGGTTCAATCTCTGTTCCTCAAGCTTCTGTCTCCTCTCCTCAGCTTCTTTTTGTAATTCTTCTTCAGTCTTTGTTCTGTCAGCCGGGGCCGCTCTTTTTTCAAGATTCAATTCCTTAACCTTAATATCATAATCTTTCTCTTCTGCTGGGACTTCAATGTCATCCTGCTTGAGAGTTTGAGTAGTCATTAACTCTGCCATAACATCATCGAAATCTTCATCCAGTTCATCGATATTGTCTTCCAACTTTCTTTGAGCGGCTTGCCTTTCCTGCTTATGGAATTTCGATTTTGCTATAATTTCTTTCATGACTTCTAGTTTTGTCTTCTTCCTTTGAGGTTGTCCTTCTTCTAAATCTTCCGTATCTTCTGCTTGCACATTAAGATCATCCGCTAACGACAATGATTCACCGAGATGAGTTAGTTTATTACCAAACATATCTAACTCAATAGGTCCATCTTCATCATCATCTTCTAGATTAAATAGATTTTTCTTCCGTTGAGAACCAGCTTGTCTTTCTCTTGTGAAACGTTCCAGCATCTTTTCCTCCTCGGTAAGTGTCTTATCTCTCTCACCAAATCTTTTATCAATCACACCACCTTTTCTTTTCTTCATCAATTTTTTGGCTTCAAACGCCCTACGTCTGGCTTCTTCACCGATCTGCTTTGATATACCAGGCTTACCTACAGCTACTCTATCGGAGTTTAGTAAGCCTGGATCACCACCTTTACGCTTATTCTTTGTTGTCTTTACTTCAAATGGGTTGAATCTGTCACGAATCTTGGCAATAGTCCTTGCCTTTTCCTCATGATCATACTTCTTTGCCTCTCTTTTACCTTTCTTGGACTTTTTAACATTGGTTTGGCCCGTTAAGCCATGTGCCTTTAAAGTGGCTTTCAGCTCTTTTAATTGAGAACCGGCCATTACTTTTAAGTCAGTACTAGTATACCTTAAATTAGTTGGTGTACTTAACTAATCAGATTTACAGCTAAACTAATAGTAAAACTTTACTATTCGCTCTCATAAAGCCGTCTTAAAGTAAGACTTCACCTATCTCATCGCTAAAATATAAGCTCATCGCAAGAAATTCGTTTTCCCAGAAATTTTTCACTTCTAATAGTTACCCGCATATATTTCCGTTAATAGTGAGTTAGGAAAATAGTCAAATAACGGCAGTTGAATAACAGTAGCGTCTGTCAAAATAGGTTATATCGCCACTCGTATTCGTCATTCTGATATGGTTTGAACATCCCCAAATGTTGAATAAAAAGGCAGATAAAATATACAAATTCAATTACAGTCCTTGTTGGCGGTTTTTCCGTTGCCTAGCACTTTCAACTAAACTGTCCCATCTTTCCTTCAATTTTGAATTCTGCGAAGAGAGTTTCTTAACATCCTTATTTAGGTGTTCAACTTTTATTTGGTATTCTCTTGTTCTACGCTGTTCATAGATAAGCATTTCCTTTTTAAATTGGTCAATTTGGAATAGAGCAGTTGAAACCAGATCATTTACGTCTGTCTTTTGATTCTTAGCCTCTTTGATTAAATCCACCATAGAATTTTGTAGTTTACTTAACATAGAACTGGTATAAGGATCAATGAATGTACTAGATGTTATGTCAGTGATATTTCTAGTGCTGTCCCAATATTTTGATGCTGCTAGGTTATTGTTATTACCTGCAGAAGATTGAACTAGAGCCATTGACGCTTTGTTATTTTTGCTATCCTTCTCATCTTTTGATGACTCAATTACACAAATTTGTAATTCCTTTATCCGTAATTGAATATCATCTCTTAGCAGCTTTACCGCTTCAATAATAGTATCATCCAATCCTTGTAAATCAAAATTCGGAGATTTTAAATCGAGGCCTTCCAATGCGCTTACATACAAATCCAATGCATCACTTAAGTCACCACTTCGACATTTCTGCTCAGCACGCCTTATGTGCTCATAAACTGTGTTTAAGTCACTCATTTAATATTCCTCAAGATCCGTCAAATTCTAACTCGAATAGACCTAAGAAAACCTGGATGTTCATTCGATTGAGTATCAACTCTACCATGCATTGAGGTACTCCTTGAACTATTAACCGGCTCATAGGTTTAGTCCTCTGAAATGTGTGCTTACTTATATAGGTTATTAATGTGCCAAATACTCATAATGACTATCAACTTGACATTATTCCACAATACGATACGAACATACTACGATGTTACAACCCGTCGATTTTGTTAATTAAGTATAAATTAGTACAACAAGTCCTTGTACTACATTGCAAAAGAGATATATAGTACTTTCAGGCTTACTGATGATAATCGAAACAGATACATATTCTCGATAATTATTACTATTAATAATACAATTTTGCCATCCAGCAGGTACATATTTAACATGCAATTATATGTTGTTTTATGCCAATAACAGATCTATACTTTTGATCTTGTAGACACACGCTAGCTATCGCCTTCATTATCAAAACCGCCTATCATGATATCATCCTCATTTAGAATATCATCTAAGTATGTATCTTGTTCAGCGTTAGAATATTCTTCCATCATTCTGGTAATAACCTCTCTGGATTCTACGAACTCATCAAGGCCATTTTGAAATAACTGTCCTGACTCAAACTGGTTCAAGAAAGCACCTTTGTAAAACAGTTTGTCAAATGCTGATGCAGAACGTTCAAAGACTGAAGTAATTGCTGACGTGTTAGATAGCATCAAACCACTTACGCTATTTTCTCGCGACTCCAACGGAGGTAAATAAGGTGATCTTCTTCCTATGTTTACGTTGAGAGCCGATGTTGACCAAGATGGCATATTTAGCCGTTGTTGCATTTTCGGAAGAGCTCTCAAGATATGGTTCTGATCTACTTCACCTATCACTGTACTAAATACGTTAAAATGTGTAACCATGTCAGATCTTTGAGTAACCAAGGAATTGAAAGGATCTAACAGATCCAACAGTACATCATATGCCGTATTTTTTTTATATCTTTGACCGCCAATGATATAATCAGGAGTAAATGGTGTGAAATTGGGTGTTAGAAAGTGTAATTCCGGTGTTGGAATCAGTGTGGAAAAGATACTAGCCATTGAATTGTACATATAACTCGGAAACCTTAACGAATTGGTTATCGAGGAAAGTGCTGACGATATTAGTTGATTAGTGTGCTCATAGCTTGTATTAGGATCACGGAATGTTCTTGCTGTTAAATTTAGTAATGCATTATTGTCAAATATAATTGATGCATCGGCGTCTTCGCATAATCTCCTTAGAGTTAGCACAGTATTGTAAGGTCCCACCACAACTTCAGATTGCTTACTGGGGAATACTGAATATGTTGTAATAAAACTTTTTGAATATCGATCTGTTAAAGCCTCTAATAAACTAGATCCCAACCCTGACCCTGTTCCTCCGGCAACAGAATGAAGCAATTGAAATCCTTCGAAATTGTCTGTAGAATCCAATTCACGATCTATTATATCCATAATTCTATCCTGATTCTGTACTCCACGGTCATAACCAGTTGACCAAGAATTACCTGCACCTAAACCTTCAGAAGATACCCAAGTGTTTCTGGGGTTAAAAAGGTCATTGAATGAGCTTTGTACATCGGTTACTGCAGCTGGCTCAAGATCTATCATAATTGCCCTTGGGACATATCTGTTATTTGTTATTTGCTTGAAGAATGGATTCGTATCATCTTCACGAATATGTGTTAGATCGTCATTATATTTACTGTAGCCATCTTTGTCTATACCGTGCTCCTTTAATAATTGGTTCCAAAAGTATTTGCCAACATGATTACCACATTGACCCACTTGGATAGTTATAATCTCTCCAGTCATGTTTACTGTATATGAGCAAGGCAAATAAAACTGCTCTTTTACCTTACTTTTATAGTTCTGGGCTGTTTTTCCTACTCCTGTCTGATTCAATTAGCGTTAACACTAATAAAACGGTAAGAGGCCCCAAATGTGCGATATTCGCAGTCTAATAAAACGTCAAATATACTGGTTCACACTATCTATTTATGATTTTCTCTTAGTAAAAGTTAATGAGTAACAATCGACAATAGATTCTTATTTATTTGTGTTTTTGGTCTCATCGCGAAGTTTTCGCGAATCATCTCGGCTCATAATCAGATTACAAAAGATATATAGAAAGTGTAAAAGCATGGACTATTCTGACAGCTACAATATATATCAGTAAAAGTGAATTTGATTTATACATTGTTTCATTAGTGAATTTTATTAAATCATTACTTTGAATATGAAAAAGAAGTTCACTGTTTTCTACCTAATAACTTCTTCTGGAAATTACTCGATAATTTACTTGATAAATAATGATATAATTAGGAAGATAATTAATGGTAATGTCGAGCTTTTAGTTTTGTGAGCTGCAGAAGATTTTTGTCTCTTTGGTCTAAACATCATACTTCTCCTGTACCATTCCTCAACGTTTATTTCTTCGCTGTCATTTTCATTAGAATATTCTGAATTGGGGCTTTTCTCAAGAGAGTTCGTTTGCTTTCCTTTATTACCATAATATAGGTCTGTTCCAGAAGAACTACTGTTACTTAAATAAATGTCGTTGAAACAATCCCATTCTAGTGAGTTCTCATTATATCTATTGTCCCTCGAGGAGTTATAGTAAAATGTTGCCATTGACAGGTCTCTTGAAGTCAAATCGTTTATGTCCTTGTGAGACTTCCTAGTCAAACAATGATATATCCTAGGTAAGTGTCTATTCGCAGAGGGTTCAATTCTGATTACTTTGACATTAGCAGAAAAATAACCTTTTTCTAACATGTCAGGTGGATTATCCCAATCGACCAGACCTCCAGCCCACATTATTGTTCCAATTTCATTCTTTTCTGAACCACCAGGCCAAATTGCTATTTCCAACCTCATAGGCGAATCCGGAAATTTGTATACTTTCGCATTCGGATCCCAAGTATCTTTTTTGTATAAAGTTCTTACTACTACACCATCAATTACCCAATCCACTTTATCCTCAGTCCAAAATATCTCAAAGTTATGATAGTTAAGCCAGGTATTATCCTTAATTTCATGCTTTTTCATCTTTGTAAAATCCAATTCACCTTGATAGTAGTGATTTGTTTGAACTTGGTTCAGTTCGCTTCCTACAAACTCGAAATCCAACTCATCGCCCACCGCAGACATCAATACAAGGGCAGTAATTACACCACCAGATCGTGCTGTTTTCATTGTAACAGATACTTTTCCATATAAGAATGACCTCACTGATGCTACTAGACTGCCTGTACTCCTCTTTGGCATTGTAAGCTGAATCTCCGATGTAGTCGGATCCATCTGCGTCATTCCACTGTATATGAAGTCATAGTCCATCAACATTTTATTTGCTTCTGTTGCATCCTCAGTAATCAAAAAGTCTGAGAAATGAATCATTTTATTTCTCTTTAGTTCCATTTCTCTTTCCTTCATTCTAGCACCCTTTTTCAAGAAGGCATCTCCTTTCTGTAAATTACCTGAAGCTATTCGAATCAATTTAGTCCCTTCAGTTGAAAACTCTATAGCGTTATATGGGATCAGTACAGGACTCGGAACACAGCTATCCTCTCTGAAAGAATACTGTGGATTACACCCTCCAATACATGTTGGACCACTGCCACAGACTCCATAAGGCGAACAACATGGCCACTCAGCAGGACAGCTACCATCCCGAATGGAACATCTAACAGGAGTTTCAGGTTTATGTAAGTCTATTCCTCTCGAGAAATTAATCGAAAGTAGAAATCTAATTATTATCAATAGTTTCAATTGTTTTGCCATGGCTTGTTGACTGTCCTTCAGATATATTCTTTTTGTACTTGTTGCTCATAGAGCATTAATCACTGTACAATCAAATATAACCAATCGCCATAAATACAGAGCAATAAAAAACTTCAAAATCAACTACTACAATTAAAATTTTACCGATTAGTCGCAGTAGGTTTTTCAATAGTTTTGTGATCGCGCTTACAAATGACATAATTAGTGTTTTACCACAAAAAACATAAAATTGCAGATGAAGGTGAAATACATGAAAAACAAAATCTGGGGAATCATTGCGTACCAGCTACTTTTCCTCGTCGCTTGACTCTTTTTCCTGTTGAAGCAATAGCTCAGACCATTTCTGACTTAGCTCACGAATCCTTTCCGGATCTAGACTGGCATCAACAACATCCTTAGGAACATGGTTTTGAGAGTGCTCCTTAGAAGCAAAACGACCGATATTATTTTCTGTAATTAGCCTCAATTCATAGTCCCTATCTGGTTGTGCATTAATGTTAATGATCTCATTCCATGTGAATAACAATGGGTCAGTTTTCCTAGAAAATGGATTAATATCAATCAAAAACACCCTGTTGAAGGGCCTGGGAATGTATAGGTCGGTAACGAATGATTTATCTGGAAATTGTGGTACCATTTCATCTTCAACAAATTCATCAATTAGGTCCTTAAATGTATCTGTCAATTTGTCAAGGTAGTCATAATAATTCAAATCGCGTTGACTTACAGCGGCCACTTTTCCATCTTTAACAAATACTCTAAACTCTAGTGCCGGGTTAATTGCAAACCATTGCCTTAATACCAGTTCATATTCAGGAGTGGAAAACCCCTCCTTCTTATCAATACATTCATCGTATGCATGATTTAGATCATGTACAATATAATTAGAAGCATTTAGGAGTAGATAAATTTCATTCACCTCATTACATTTTGTAGTATTATTAGGTAGAATCCACGTAGCATCCTTAGGTGCTGACCAATTTAGTTTTGGTGTCACTGGACCTAACTCTACAATGATCTCTTTTATCTGATTGTGTAGTTCAGGGAAATCATTAAGTGGTTCAATACCAGGCTCATATTCAGTGGCTGTGTCTTCATCGCCTTCCCAATCACTATACTCATTGTCTTCAGTCCGTGCTACATCATCAGTATATGTCGAAAGCTCCGTACTAGACATAGGAAGTTTAATACCATCTTGTTCTAAATATTGAATAAACTGTTCTGGCAAAGGTTTAATTACCCTAGATTTAGGAACATGCTTCTTGAATTTCTCATACCAGAAAGAGAAAGCACAGTTATCTATCTGGGAGCAGGTAACTGGTAATTCACTCAATACTGCATACTCTTCTGACATAATTATACCTTGCTGAGACCTTTTTATGTTACTTACTGTGGTCAATCCAAATTGATATTCATGGTTAGTCTCAATTATATAGTTAGCTTAGCTCATCGCAATTTTTTGGCAATAATTTCGTCTTTCATTTTTCAAGTAGATCATCGAGCTCATCGCCACACCCTTTCTACGGGGTTATTCTGCACAGAGATATACCCTTACTTAAATAGAACTATAGCTATTGTGCACTTTATAGGATTAAAACATCAACTGATTTTTCAATATTAAATAGAATATAGTAAATGGAAATTTAATATCCAGTTTAATATTTAGACATTACTCTATATATCAATTATCCGAACATCTTGGATAAAGATTTTTTTTGCTTTTCTGTTTCCTGTTTCCTCTTCTTGATTGTGTCATTAATTGCCTTCGCAATAGCAGCATCATTAGGCTGGAAAGTGGTAGCCATTTCCAGGTCTGCTAAAGCCATATCTGTGTCATTTACATGATAATATGCAAGACCACGACGGTATAGAGCCTTTGCCTTTGCCTTTGCATCTGCAGCTTCAGCGTATAGCACTTCTGAACAAGCGACCATAACTGATCTGTAATCCTTGGATTTTAAAGCCGCAATGGCGATATTCAATGGAACGGTTACTTTAAAGTCGTTTATCTTCTTCATATCTTCTTCATTTAGGTCATCGGGGAAATACTCTTTTAGGAATTTGTCACACTTCTTATACTTAGCCAGAGCAACCTCGTAGTTTTGTTCCTTAAATTGTTTCGTACCAATATCCTTAACAGTTTCAATGGCCTTAATTACAGTCTCAACTTTCTTCAAGTCAACCTTAGCGTCGTCCTTCAAAGATTCTTCGTAGTTGTCACCAAACTCATCGGTTGGCGTTTGCTCTGCATCGGCTGGCACTTCATAGTCGTCAGGTAGTAATCCACAACCTTCTACTTTCACATCATGCATAGGCTTGTCTGTACCGTCCTCAGTCTGTTGCTTCTCAATTAAGCGGACTAGACGTTTGCCCTCGATAACTTCACCAAAGACAACGTGCTTCCCATCCAAATGCGGAGTTGGCACACAAGTGATGAACGCCTGGGACCCATTCGTGTTTGGACCAGCATTGGCCATAGACAGTAAGAATGGCTTGTCGTGTTTTATCTCAAAGTTTTCGTCCTCGAACTTCTCCCCATATATGGATTCACCACCGGTACCATCAAAGTTTGTAAAGTCACCGAACTGGATCATGAAATCCTTGATAACCCTGTGGAAAATAGACCCCTTATATGACAATGGCACATCTGGCTTACTCTTAGCCATGCCACTCTTACCCTCACATAGCTTCAAGAAGTTCTCCGCAGTCTTTGGAACCACGTCCTTGTACAGCTCAAACACAATACGCCCCTTTGGTGTACCTCCAATTGAGATATCAAAATATGCCTTTGGTCTAGTCATTGTTGTCCCGGTGTGTACAGCTAGGTTATGCAGGAACTGTATTTATAGTACAATTGCAAGCACAAAGAATAAGTGCTTCTTAAATATCCTATGTTTTGTATCAACTGCAGTGCATCCGGATCAGTTTTTTTTTGATCTTTTCCAGGCCCTTTTTAAATTGTCTCTTGTTGTGAGTTTTCAGTGCAATGACAAAGACAAATGCGATGAGATAGAAACTTCTAGAAGAGCTAGTAAATTGCAAAAGTATGTACAAGAATAGCTAGAGAATAAGTTACAGAGAGTCAAAGAAAGATTCTATAAAATGGGTTGTTTTTGTTTGTGTTGAAAATGGCCATGTCTTATTAGGAATCTCTATCAACAGTCTTGACACGGTCCCTGTTACCGTTGGACTCCCAACACTCTTTGAACTTGGCCATCTCGGGAAAACACTGTCGCCAGTCGTTCGTCTCCGCGTGGCACAGTTGCAATGCCAAGTTCTCAACGTAACACCCGGTGTCCGTGATCCTCTTGTCCCAGCTATCCCGCTCCGAGCCGTCCTGCTCTTCCTCTACCATCTCCTTGTATTGCTCCAACGCCTCCTTGTAGTACCGCGACTCAGACATCGTTCCTTTTTTGAAATATTGGCAATGGCACCATACACCTTGAAACAAGTTTCCCCCAGTTGTAACCTACCACCACCCACCAAATTCCTCTAAAATATATATATAATACCAGCACACATTGTATATATTGAACTGAATACCAGTTATCCCCTTATTTTCTCACAGAAGGGCATCCTTGGGGGACCGCTTTAAGACCTGATAGCGATCACATGAACAAAAGTTTCAGAACGTCCACAATGATATACATATACTTACACACGTAAAATCATATGATTACCGTACATAATATCATAACAAATAACGAATACACATGATCACATGTACATAACGATATAAATAGCTGGTTTCTTCGATTTTTTCGATTTTTTCGATTTTTTCTGAAATTTTTCCTTTTCGGCCTGTCCGCTTTGAAACTTTCCCGTCCTTTTTGTCATTCTGGCTTCTCGACTCTCGGTGCCCTCTTTGCTGAGCTCGCTGGCTCGCTGGAGGGAAGGGGGACAAGGAAGCAATTGGTCGATCACTAAAGTTGACTTTTTAATTTAATTTAGCTTTATCTTGGTATACTTGAACATAGTTTGACTGACAACAATATAGTAAGAGAACAAGAAACCCCCAATAATCTAGATGGTGAGAATCGCTGAGTATTCGCGTACCGCCACTTTTGCATGGTCCAATGACAGGATCCCTTACTTGGTCTCTGGTACCGCGTCAGGTACCATTGACGCTGATTTCTCTAATGAGTCCAAGCTTGAGTTGTGGTCCCTGCTAGGCACTGATGCTGATAAGCCCAGCCACTCTGTTTCCACAGATGCCAAGTTCAAAGATCTCGACTGGTCCGCTGATAACAAGTATATCGCCGGTGCTATGGACAATGGTGCCGTCGAGATCTACGAGTTCAACAGTAGCAAACAGGAGTTGAAGAAACAGGGCTCTTTCAAGAACCATTCTACCGTGGTCAGAACCGTGAAGTTCAACAGCAAGCAAAACAACGTGCTCCTGTCCGGTGGTAACTCCCAGGAGATCTTCATATGGGATCTGAACAAGCTGCTGGACTCTAAGGCCAACTACCAGCCATTGACGCCCGGCGTGTCCATGTCCCCTATCGACGAGATCCATTCTTTGTCATGGAACAAGTCCCTAGCCCACGTATTCGCATCCGCTAGCAACTCTTCCTTCGCCTCCATCTGGGATCTAAAGGCTAAGAAGGAGGTTATCCACTTGAGTTACACTTCCCAAAACACAGGACTGAAGTCTGACTTCTCCGCAGTCGAATGGCACCCACTGAACTCTACCAGAGTCGCCACAGCTACTTCCAACGATAACGAACCATTGATCTTGGTATGGGATCTAAGGAACTCAAACACCCCATTGCAGACATTGTCAGCCGCAAACAACCAAGGACACGGCCACTCCAAGGGTATCCTTTCCCTAGACTGGTGCCAACAGGACGAAAACTTGCTGCTGTCCAGTGCCCGTGACAGCTCCGTAATGCTATGGAACCCTCAATCCGGTGAAGCCCTAACAGAATACAACACTACCGGCAACTGGTGCTTCAAGTCCAAGTTCGCCCCACAAGCCCCAGACCTGTTTGCCTTTGCCACATTGGACGGCAAGAAGATCGAGGTTCAAACTCTACAAAACTATGAAACTACTCTGGACGAGGAAGTCTCCAAGACAAAACAGCAAGAGTCCGAAACTGACTTCTGGAACCACGTATCCGAAGAAAAGGCCGAAATCAAATCCACTGTGGTCCACTTACAAGCGCCATCCTGGTACGGTAACAAATCCGCCTCTGCCCAATGGGCCTTCGGTGGTAAATTGGTCCAAGTCACCAAGGATGGTAAAGGTGTCGAAGTCAACAAACCTGAAATCACCGACCTAAAATCTGACGACACATTAAAGAATGCACTAGCTTCAAAGGATTTCCAACCTCTGATCAACCAAAGACTCGTCAAGGTCGTTAATGAAACTAATGAAGAAGACTGGAACTTACTTGAAAAACTGTCCATGGATGGTAAAGAAGAATTCTTGAAGGAAGCATTAGAATTAGACGAAGAGGAGGATGAAGAAAAGGACCAAGAAGGAAAGGACGGCGACGAATTTTTCCAAAAGATAGAAAGCAACTTCCAACCTTCTGGCTCTTTTAAGATTGACAGCAACGAAGAATCTGTTATCAACAATATCCTGTCTGGAAACAACAGCAAAGCTGTATCTGAATTGTTAAAATCCGGCTCTATTCTTGAAGCATTCGTTGTTGCAGTCACCTGTAATGACGAGAAATTGAAAGAAGACGTCAAGGATGCTTATTTCGCCGCTCACGGAAAGGAATCAAGCTTATCTAGAGTCTTATTTTCTTCTTCGAAGAAGAATTCGGATGATATTGTCGAAAACTTAGACATTTCTCAATGGAAGTACATCACCAAGTCTATATACAACTTCCATGCTAATGACGAGGTAGAAAGAACAAACAAGCTGCTACAGTTGGGTGATAGATTACTGGCCAACAAGAACAGACAGGATGCTCTTGTCATATACATTGCGGCAGGTTCCCTAGACAAGATTGCCACTGTTTGGCTAAACGAGTTCTCTACTCTTGAGAACAAGATCAAGGATCAAGAAAAAACTATCTACGAAGCGCATATTGAATGTTTAACCGAATTCGTGGAAAGATTCACCATTCTATCTAACTTTGTCGGAAAGAAGCAGAAGATCACCAACGAGTCCCTAATTTCTAAATTTTTAGAATTTATCAACATAACTTCCGCAACTGGTAACTTCGATTTGGCTTTATTGTTTTTGGATATCCTTCCAGAAGATAACGAGTATGTCATTGCAGAAAAGAAGAGAGTGATGGTTGCATCTGGTAAGGTTGTCGATCAATCTCAATCTAGAAAGGGCAAATATGGCTCCCATGCGAACCTTGCCTCAGCTGGATTTTCTGGTCACGCCAAACAACCTGTTAACTTGCCTCCAACAGCTGCACCATTTGCTGCCCAAACAATGGGTGGATACGCACCACAAGCAGTTGGGGCCGTTCCAACTCCAGCGGTACCAGTTCCTCAAACACGTAATGCATCAGTTAGTATAAAGTCAAACCCTTACGGTCCAGCAGGTACCAACGTAGGTACGTCTGACAACAAGTTCAATGCTTATGCTCCTCCAACTCATACGCAAGTACCAGTAGCAACTCCAGTTACCTCCTCATTCATCCCACCAGCCAACCCATACTCAAATGTTGCGGCACAATCTTTGGCTATGGCTGCTGAACAAAACGCCATGTCTCCTAATCTAGCCGGCAGTGCACCACCAGTTAAGTCTCCTTCTGTCTATTCTGGTCAAACGCCTCACTTGAATAAGAAGGCAAATGATGGCTGGAATGACCTTGCGCTACCAGTTAAGGAAAAGCCTCAGCGTGCCAAACCTGTAACTGTTGCTCCTTCTCCAATATTAGCCCCTGCAACAAACGGAGCTGCTGCTGCTGTCCCAACAAAGTCAATTGGTACCGTATTCCCACCAACTGGAGGCAACTCTAGAGTTCCATCCAGCATGGTATCTCCTCCACCTCCACAAAAGAGAGCATCTAGAACACCATCTTTGATTAACATCGATGATGTTGTAAATGCCCGTCCAAAGGCCCATACCAGCATCTATGCTCCACAGACTACACAAGCCGGCCCAGCTCCTGTCGCCCCACAAAGTGACATTCCATTGGCTCCAACTGCCAACCCATATGCACCAAATCAATCTGTTGGAAGCACTCCATTGCAAAAGCCAGTGAATCCATACGCGCCACCAGCCCAACAGGCTGGTATTCCAAGCGCTGCTAACCCATATGCCAGCCAGATTCCATCCAAGGCACCAGTGAATGCCCCACCACCAATGAGCAGCAAGAAGGCACCAGTGGGTCCTCCACCAATGAGCTCAAGAAAAAAGGCACACGAGGGGAAGACTCTGAGCCACGAAGCTGCCAGTGTCCTTGACTCATCCAAACCTGTACAAACGCAACCAATTGCATCTGAGTTAAGCAGGGAGCCTGCTCCAGTCCCAACCAGTGCTTCGCAGACCCAAGTCCCACCTCCTGTCCAGGAGACCCCTGCCCGCAACACCATCTCACCAATAGACATGGCCGCCCCAGCAGTCGAACAAGGCATCTCCGCTGCGCAGCAACCAATCCGCGACTTCTTCAGCAGCGAGCTGGCCCGTGTCACTCCATTGACACCAAAGGAGTACAACAAGCAATTGAAGGACTGTGACAAGCGTCTGAAGATCCTGTTCACCCACCTGGAGAAGAACCTGCTGTCACAACCAACCGTGGACAAGCTACTGCACATCATCGAACTGCTGAAGGAGAAGAAGTACCACGAAGCCATGGAAGTGCACAAGGACATCGCCACCAACCACGCCGAAGAAGGCGGAAACTGGCTCACCGGTGTCAAGAGACTCATCAGCATCTCCGAGGCAACCGCATAGAAAACCATTATATACAATTTAAAAGCTACATAAAACCTTCTAATACATGTACAAAACAACTACTTCATGTGTAATCAGCTGTGCCAATAGCGCACCATACGCACAGCCCAAAGCATCCAAAGGACCCTTATTAGGCTATCCCCGATAAGCACACCACACGTCTGTAGTAATCAGATGATCACTGTCCCCTCCCTCCCATCAGGGCCCGATAGCCTTCCCGAATCGACACACAACCACCCGCACCAACAACCACAGTTACCCGATATGGAAATTTGCGGGGAGTTTTCTCACTTCTCCCCCCATTGATACAGGAACAACAGCGAGAATCTAAAAGGACTCAAATGAGCTAGAAACAGCCGTACAACTACTATTTTTTTTTCATCTCTCATCTCGTACCTCTGGTGTGCGTCGATCTCTTCGGGGAAGGATGGGGGGTGGACTGCTGTGGTCTCCTGCGGGATCTCCTCTGTCGGCGTCCAGTCAATCCTGCCAAGCCCGGGCTGGGGAGGAGGGCTATATAAGCAGAGGACTCCCTCAATGGGGGGGAATGGAATTAGCTAGTGAGCGTTCTTCATCCATGGCTGGAACTAGGCGCTTATTGACGGGTATTGGAGACTTAGGATAGAGGAAGATTTTGGCATAGGATGACGATCATATCGGAGGATGAGAAGAGTGTGGCCCGAGATAGAGAGGGTGTGTTGGCTCGGGCTATCAAAGTGGTAAACAGGAAGTTCAGGAGGAAAGATGTACGGCGGGAAAAGCTAGAGCGAGCGCTTAGCTGTGATAACCAGATGACGTTGAACTCTACGAATCTCTACGCGGCGCAGCAGCAAGAGTATCAGCGGAGGGAGGAGAATGATATAGAGGAGAACCAGGAGCCGGAGGGTGGTAATGACGATATAGACTACGACATCTCAATACTATCGGACGAGATGTCTACCGTGGACGACGCATCTCTGCTTTTTGCGGAGCCACCGCAGAAGCAGTCGCATATGATGTCTATAGTGGTGGGTGCGTTTGTTGCAGTTGGTGGATTTCTGTTTGGCTACGACACGGGGCTCATAAACAGTATAGTAGACATGAGGTATGTGCGGGAGAATATCGCGCCAAATCACGTTGGATTCACGGCGCAGCAGCTGGCCATATTGGTTTCGTTCCTATCTCTGGGCACTTTTGTAGGTGCTCTGTCGGCACCGGTGATATCTGATAAATACGGCAGGAAAAAGACAATTATGTTTAGCACAGCGGTGGTGTTCTCACTTGGTAATTCCTTGCAGGTGGGGGCACATAACATTCAATTACTTATTGCAGGCAGAGTTATATCTGGTCTAGGTGTTGGCCTGGTATCCGCAGTTGTACCATTATATCAAGCAGAGGCTGCTCATAAATCGCTGAGAGGTGCCATCATTTCAACTTATCAGTGGGCCATCACTTGGGGTTTGTTGGTGTCAAGTGCAGTATCGCAAGGAACACATAATAGAAATGACGCTTCCTCGTATAGGATACCCATAGGTCTTCAATATGTCTGGGCATATATATTAGCAGCTGGTATGCTATGGCTTCCGGAAAGCCCTCGGTATTATGTTCTCAGAGATCAACTAGACAAAGCTGCACAATCATTATCATTCTTAAGAGGAGTTCCTATCCATGATTCAGGACTACTAGAAGAACTTGTAGAAATAAAGGCAACATTTGACTACGAATCATCATTCGGCAAAACAACCTTCTGGGACTGTTTTAAATCGAATAAGAGTAGACCTAAACAAACACTTAGAATGTTTACAGGTATTGCTATTCAGGCATTCCAGCAATTTTCAGGTATCAATTTTATCTTCTACTATGGTGTAAGTTTCTTCAATAGATCTGGTGTCGAAAACAGCTACATTGTTTCATTAATAACGTACGCAGTAAATGTTGGGTTCAGTGTTCCCGGGATGTTCCTGGTGGAATATTTTGGTAGAAGAAGTGTGTTGCTATATGGAGGTGCGATTATGACTCTATCGAATTTCATTATCGCTATAGTAGGATCCTCGACACAATCCGTCGTGGCTAATAAAGTTATGATAGCTTTCATATGCTTATTCATTGCATCATTTGCGGCAACCTGGGGTGGTGTAGTGTGGGTTATATCTGCCGAGTTATACCCTCTTGGAGTCAGAGCCAAATGTACTGCCATCTGTGCGGCAGCTAATTGGCTGATTAATTTTGTTTGTGCTTTCATAACTCCTTACATTGTTGATACGGGCGAAAGAAGAGCATTGATTGGACCAAAGATTTATTTTATTTGGGGTAGCTTGAACGCTCTAGGTATTCTGGTGGTATATTTCACTGTTTATGAAACCAGAGGGCTAACCTTGGAAGAAATAGATGAACTATATACAAAATCACCCAACGGTATTGTATCAGCTAAGTGGAATAGGAGAATAAGACACAGAGAAAAAACATATGGCCACAAGGAGCAACAAAATAGAGATAGAAATCAACAAACTACCAAGGAAAACCTACGTAAGAATGTTGTAAATGAAGACATGCTAAGTGATGACCTAACTCCTCGCAATGACTCTATAAACACCCATCATAGTGTTGATTCTAATGAAAAGTATCAAAGTGAAAACACCGATAACACTTTAGCACCCGCAGTTAACGATAGGAGTATGATGGATTTTGGCAATGACATGATATTACATATATGTAATAGAGGTCCTCCATCTATCTCCACTGCAGCTAGTGTAGAAGAGTTTGGCGGAAACTCAACCCAAATGGAGAACCTCAGTTATAATGAAAGTAACAGTGTCGAAAAGAAAAAAGTGGGCTTGTTTTCCAAGTTCAAGCTGGGTTCACGAAAGTCTTCCATTAATGGGACTGAAGAAGACAGCAAACCAAAATCTCCGCAACTGGGTCAAGCCGAATTTTCTCCATCTCCATTAGATGTGAAGGTATCTGATGATGATCACAATGACTTCGTTGATTTAGGCAATGGTTTTGGTTTGTACAGTGTTACCAGAAGACTTTCCTCAGGAGTACCTGATACAAGTGACGAGGAATCTGCATATGATCTTGGTAATGCACCATCATCAACAAATACTTATAGAAATAGAGGTAACCTGGATTCAATAAACACGTATATGTCACAATTAATTCAGAGTAATACCTATACCAGCCAAAATACAGGGTACTCACAAAACGACAACGATCAGACGCAGCACCATCAATGAACATCGAGCAATGAGTTATAAGAACATCAGTTTTTTTTAATCTTGCCTGATTACGATATTGTTCATTTTAGACAATTAATTAAAAACAACCTTAATTTTTTCAGTGCCGACGAAAAACTGGCGATAATTTACAACCTAATGTCTTACTGATGTCAGATATTTAGGACCGTTCTTTTACAGACGCAATGCCATTTACTTTAATATTCTTATTATTTGAAAGCTTGAAGGTTTAACGACCATGAAATTTAATATTCAACTATTCTTTATTATAAATCAACTAATCTTTCACAAACTAATTTATATTCACTTCATATTCTAGGTATCTTAGATTCTTTCAATTTTCGTCTAATTAATATAGCATGCTCTTTTAGATGTTTTTATGTATTCATTATTCCTTTTGTTTGAGTAAATTTATCATTTTGGTTAACAATAAGCACACCAACTATGCGTTAAGTGAATTGTTGAAAAAGTATACAAAAAGGTAAGTATATATATATCAACAAGTTTTAGTAAAATCCGATAAAACACTGGTGATAGATCCCTGCTGTATAAATTCATGGTAATTTTAATGAACTGTTTTGTAGTCTTGACAATTGCCATGCTCTTTCACAGGCGCCTATTATCAATAAATCAGTGACCTTTTAAATTTACCCGGTCTTAATCTGAAACATGTTTTAAATCGAAACTGAATTTACACTGGTCAGCTAGATCTGCTAACTGTATCAGCAAACTAGTATAAATAGCAATCTACTTGATCACAGCTTTAATTATTAAACAGCTACTTGATCCATACGTGAACCCACTGGTTCCTGCCAAAAGCGACTAATTCTCCGCTGACAATAAAAATATACCAACAATCTGCGCCATCGTTGCAGTTAAATATCAGCTTTTATAAGTATTTTACAGTAAAGGTGGAACCAGGAAAAAGATTAGAAAGTATAATAACTGGCGAACTGCTGTTATTTGATTGGATTCACATAGCTTGAGTCATGGTAGAAATTAGAGATGACTTGGTCGAGGATATTGTTGAGTTAACCAGGCGGATACCTATCTTACATATAGAGGAATCCGGGCCCTTACTGGTTGATTTGGCACCAGAAAAGGAATGCTTAACTAACGGGAGTGCCAACACCAAGATCCGCTATGCACAAGCTATACTAGACTCAGTACTAACTGAATTTGGCGGCGGCAATAGCGGCAGCTCATTCTATGAGATACAAGTGCCAGATGGAGACGTTAAAAAGGGAAGGCTAATTTTCAGACAGTTCAGTAAATTAGAAAAATTTGTATATAAGATTCTTTTGGCTATTATTTTCTTTGTGTTTGGAATGCTCAGGTATGCACTATATCAGTACAATCAAATGAGGTTATCTTTGTTGCATCTGATATACAACCCATCCAGGATACCCCATTTGATAAGAAGGGATACTTTACGATTGAAAAAGATGCCTACTAGAGTTGCCTTTATATTAGAAGCCAAACCTATTGGACAGGTTGGGGGAGGACTCTATGGTCTTTTGTCAAATGCCGCAGAAGTGGTCTCCTGGAGTGTTTACGCTGGTGTCAAGGAAGTAATCTTATATGATATGGATGGTTATTTTCAAAAAAATATATTCCATTTGGAGGATGAAATATACAGTTCCTTAACGAACTATTCCAGCAGAAATAGCATTCCCAATTTCACGATCTATGTACCTCACAGCGGTAAAACATATAAGAGATATCACACGGGCAATAACGAGTCCCGTGAACATATCTCCATTACAGTTCTGTCTCACATCGACGGTAGACCCACCGTGGTCAACGTTGTGAAATCAATAATACAACTATGTAAAGAATCAAAGATGTCTGTGGGCGAGATATCTATGGAGTTAGTGAACTCTGTACTGACAAGATTGGTATGCGATGAACCAGATCTACTGGTGTACTTCGGCCCTACACTGGATCTCCAGGGGTTCCCACCTTGGCAGATTCGGCTCACCGAGCTGTTCTGGGAACAGGACAACAACCGAGTCTCTTACAGCGTCTTCATTCGTGCTCTGAACCACTACTCCAATTGCAAGATAAACCTCGGCAAGTAATGTATAGAGAATTAGCTAGATAAATGTCCAGGCAATGGAACTTCCCATACAGCAGCGTTACACAAATAGTTACTAGTTACCCTTTAATACTATATGGGAATAGTTCACTAAATACAATTTTTAGATAACACACATTATACAAATATAAATGGAATTGACATGGAACTGCTATTCAAATCATGTGATATATCACTATATATTCATGACGCGTAAACAGTAGAATATGGAAAAATGTCCCAATTTAAGACATTTCTTGCTGTATTGTCCTGAAGCTACGCGTACCCGTTATCCTGCAGCTAGACAATCCCCAGTAGCCTAAATGGAATGCGTTGGCTTTTGTCATGTCCTTTTTTTCTTTGCCCCTGAGAGACTGCAGTACAGCAGTGGGATCAATTTTCCCAATTAGGAAATTTCTTCAAAACAAAATCAAGGACATTTGGTGGTAACCTTTTAGCCACCACTTCGTGAGTTTTGCTCAAAATTTCATATTTTTTTTTTCACTTTTTTTTTGCTTTCTTCCATCCAAAGGACTGGAAAATAATAGAAATTTCAATTTGTTATATAATTGCTGGGATCGAGTTTGTTGCTGAATAGTCGCTGATCGCCAGGGATCAAACACTGATAGCAGGTTTTCTTGAACAAACAGATTTAAGTGCCAAATTTTTTTTTTTTAGCAGGAATAAAAGAAAAAAAATAACGTTTACTGGAAATACTTGTAATAAAAAGGAAACAATAGAGACGAACGACAAATAATAAGAAATGGGTTTGTTTGCTTCCAAGTTGTTTAGCAACCTGTTTGGTTCTAAAGAAATGCGTATTCTTATGGTTGGTCTAGATGGTGCTGGTAAGACCACTGTTCTTTACAAGTTGAAATTGGGTGAAGTTATCACCACTATTCCAACCATTGGTTTCAATGTCGAGACTGTGCAATACAAGAACATTTCCTTCACTGTCTGGGATGTGGGTGGACAAGACAGAATCAGATCTCTATGGAGACACTACTACAGAAACACCGAAGGTGTTATCTTCGTTGTTGACTCTAACGATAGATCCCGTATTGGTGAAGCCAGAGAGGTTATGCAAAGAATGTTGAACGAGGATGAATTGAGAAACGCCGTGTGGTTAGTGTTCGCCAACAAGCAAGATTTGCCAGAAGCCATGTCTGCTGCCGAAATTACCGAAAAGCTTGGTCTACACTCCATAAGAAACCGCCCATGGTTCATCCAAGCCACTTGTGCTACTTCCGGTGAAGGTTTGTATGAAGGTTTGGAATGGTTGAGTAACAACTTGAGCAACCAATCATGAATCAGATAAAAAAAGGGAACAGAACTAAAAACTATAGAAAAAAAGCAATGATTCAACATTGATCATTGCCTCTATCCATTTTTTTATCTTTTACTTCCTGTTATTATAACATCGCATTGCTCAATACTATCTGAACAAAAAACTATTTTTCTCAAGCTAATTATTACTATTACTATTTTTATTACTCTTCTCACTCCATTCTTAATCTGAATTAAAAATATACTAGACTCCCATTCAGATCTTCATCGCTCTTTCCGCCCAAATTGTAACGCTCAGTTTTATTTCTACATTGATTCCAATATACCCGCTAGTTAATGATGTCAAATGCCAGCTTTCTGGATAAAGTCTACAACTTCATGAGCTAAGGAGGAAAATCGCCAAGTAGAACCTGATATGAAGAATTGATCCTACTCAATTCTCATAATAGGAAGGGAAAGTACTATACGAATTTCCGTATTAGAGATCACACCCATTGCCGGCTTTGAATATTACGGGAATCAATTATAAACGGGCCATTAATTGGTGGGTTCGATGGACGATTTCAGACATACAACAAAGGAACTTTATAAAAAACTACAACATATATATGTGCGACATTATCCTTTTTTTTTCTCTCTATCATATATATCATATATACAATAGTGTATCACTACGTTCTACAACCGTAAAGGAAATGAATAACTCACTGCTAGCAGTGTTTATATTTGATTAAGAATTAACCGAGAAAAATAGTCATTGATTCAATTTAGCCCTCGAAGTCATGCAATTGATTAGATGTATCGTAATCCCCTGCAATCTCTTCCATATTGACACCATTTGTGCACTACCTTAGAATGTGACACAGTGGTGCAATCTATCAACGACTTGATCATTTTCTTGTGACTGCTTTGGCACTCAGCCATAGTATTGCAACGGTTTCCTAATTTGGGTTGTTGATAACACCCATACACCATGAAGTAGTTAGTGTCATATGGGTACACCGTTTTCTAGACTAGGAGCCAAATTTACTAAATCAGGAAAGTTTCTTAATATATTTACCCTGCCGTAATCCTCATATCTTGAGATTGTAGGCCCTAAGTTGCGACTGAATGGCACTAGAGGTAGTTTACTCTAGTAGAATGTGTAATGGCCCTCTCGACTGTTTCTGGGACCTACGCCCCAACGTGGGCTCTCTACACCGAGCCAGGCTTCCGTCTACACAGTGCCCATCCCATTGGCAAGAGTAAACTCCTTACCTCGACCCGCACCCTGACCAGGGGAGCGGTTGGCACCACTTCCGGCCTGCCATCTCCACTTTCGCTTAGCACCGTTCCTACCAAGGCAGTAGGATGAGCAGCCTCTGTACCACCTCCCCTCTAGATTCACCCTTCACAGAATACTACACTCCTCATACCCCCCCATCATGGGCCCAACCGTAGTCTGCAACTACCATTGCCCTCCAGAGAGAGATGCCCAGCCTAACATCCCCTTTCCACGCCCACAGCAAACGCCGGCCTAGCTGAGCCTAGCTCAGCCTAGCTGGGTCCATCTGAATCTGCTTTGAGCCTAGGAGGGCCTAGCAGGTAAGCTGCTAGACAGAAAGACCCTCTCTCTAGCCGGCCTAGAGCATCCCACTAGAATGTTCGGACAGTTACCACAATCACCATGGACGACTAAATGTGGGCAGCAAACACCGCAACGATCCACAGGAGAGACTTTGCCTTCTACTGCAGTTTGTTACCAGACTCTCCCATCTGTGCGGTTCTTTCACTGTACCATTATCGAGCCTCTCTTCATCTCTTTTTTTCCACTTCCCAAAGAGAGTTTCAAAATTTCGCTTGTGGCCAGAGACAGAGCCCACCATTTGTGAAAAATTTCCCACATCATCACTTGTTAGCATAGAATAAGAGAATACATAGCGTTTCTATATAAGAATAGTATCGTTAATTTCAGCTATTTCTTAGTTGAATCACAGCTCAAGACAGTCGATTGTAACCAAAATGGTATGTTAACCTCTCACAAAATGAAATACACGCCGAATACTATGAGAAGACAGGAAAAGCAATAGCAGAAACGGAAAAACCTGACACAGCAAAGTTGTTGATGAAGAAGATACTTATGTGTTATAACGTGGAGCATATAATGATCATATTCGTTTCTAGTAGATCTATATGAGGCGATTACTGCTTTTCTCAAGTATGCTATGGAGAACCCATTTACTAACATGGAAATTTTTTTATTACCTTTTCACCTCTTACTTTGGGACATTTATGAACATATGAACAAAACGTCGAGTCAAATAAAATACATGGGAACATACGCAAACCGAAGAGTCGGATTACAAACTGGAAACTTTCATGGTGTACCTCTAATAGTTGACAGCAATAGATTTGAATATGAATAATTTCAGAAGATACTACAAGAATACACATTTGCACCAAACAACTTTTTATAAAAAACAGAATGACGAACAATAAAAGACGTATTACTGGGTTTGGAATATCGTACTACGGGGAGGCGTGTGGATATCCCATTGATATAATGTTAAGCAAGTCGATTTTTGATGTTTTTCAATTCGTGAATGTCTCCTAGTGTGAAGTTTAGAAGAAATATAATTAATATTAATACAGGCCGGTGTTAAAGCTTACGAACTAAGAACCAAGTCTAAGGAACAATTGGAAAACCAATTGTTGTCCTTGAAGAAGGAATTGGCTGAATTGCAGGTCCAAAAGTTGTCCAGACCATCTTTGCCAAAGATCCACACCGTTAGAAAGGACATTGCCCGTGTCTTGACTATCATCAACGAACAACAAAGAGAAGCTGTCAGACAACTATACAAGGGTAAGAAGTACCAACCAAAGGACATGAGAGCTAAGAAGACCAGAGCTTTGAGAAGAGCTTTGACCAAGTTCGAAGCTACCAGAGTCACTGAGAAGCAAAAGAAGAAGCAAATTGCTTTCCCACAAAGAAAGTACGCTATCAAGGCTTAAACTTATTTCAGGAAATAATTTAATCATTTTCAAAATACTCCCTTTTTTGTAGAAATAGTTATAATCTGGTAGGTATATCTTTCATAATCCAATACACAATCATACTATAATAATAACTTCTGTCATAAAATGACGAGAACTGTTCCATGGAACATAGTAACACCATCAATCTTGATGCAATATACTTTTATGCCTAATTAATATATAATTTTATAAGAGTGATACGAAATCACTTTAATTGCATATAATATGACTGGTAATCTATTTCTTCATCTTCTTATTTTTCTTGTATTCTTCAATTTTCTGCTTCAACTCCGTGTTTGGAATAACTTGTTCCAATTTCAATGGCATTCTGTTAAATGGATCAGTTGAGTCACTTAATAGATGTGCCTTGATTGTTGCTCTATCGATGTTAACCTTAGATGTTGGTAAAGTCACTGGATCTTTCATAATAGTGTACATTAACGGATCCAAAAATTCTTCGGGGGCATCTCCATATTCCATATCTTCTTCTTCTTCGGCGTTCTTCCTTTCCTCGGCTTTCAATGCCAGGTTCATTAACTTGTCACAGAATTCAGGTGATACAAGACCAATTTTACTTTGTAAAATATGCACCGCTCTTTCAAATAGTGCTGTATCAAATGATCTGGAGTCTCTTGCAATTGCACTTATGAACTCATCTTCTCCTGCAAGATTAACATATACAGTTGTCAACGCTTTTAATAATTGTTTGGGATGAAACGAGTACTTCTCAGGATTTTTTACCTTAAGCTCTCCACACTTAGGGCCAACTAATGACACGAGATTATAGTTCAACATACTTGCTAGACGGTCCACAATTTCGGAGCTACAGAAAGCAGAAGGAATATCAGCGGTAAAAATCTCGAATAACTTAAGAGACTTCCCGGCCAGACCACAGGATGATTTTGCTTGTCTTTCTGCAGACATCAGCTTACTCTGTAGTTCCTGATCATTTTCTTCCCTAGTTGGCTGATTACCTTTGGCTCTGTTTTCAATTTCATTTTGAATGTTATGAACATCTGCTAGACTACTTAAACCTTCATCCAAAAGGAAGGTTAAATCATTTAACATACGCGCAACAAATCTGATAAAAAAATCACTGTTCTTTTGTGATTGCCAAATCAATTGATTTTTGTACAGTGGTATCCTTGAATACAATTCCTCCAAAATAATTGAGATGCTGTATCTACTATTGAATTTATCATAAAATTGAGATGATGATCCTGTTTTTTCAACAATAACATAAAAGTCTAACAATGCGTAAAGCAAGTTTTCTTTAATAAGTTCGTCATGCTCAAATATTTCCATCATAAAACCAGGTGAACCATCAGTTAACGGCATTGCTCCAACACTAAATAGTTGCACCAGTTTACCCTTTAAATGTGGGTTTGAAACCAACTCTGGGCAACGTAAAATGGTAGTACCAAATTCCAGGAAGGATTGTAATCTTGGATTTCTGAACAAAGGAGAAGTTGAATATTGGGCAATATACAACGCATAATTGATTGGTCCTTCCACACAGAATTCTGGATAATATTTGAATGGGACTGGCGCATTCTTTCTTAAATATTCTGCATTATCGACATTTTCAAAACCAACTTGATCAGGTATCAAAGGCAACTTGAAAGCCTGAGCAGGATACTGGTGGTTAGGATCAATCACTCTCATTAAGAATGTAGAAGCACCACATATAAAGTCAAATACCTCTAATTGCATGTTACGGTGCGTAAAAAATCCTTGAAGAGCAGACCGTATCGATTGTGTTATCTTTAGTGTCTTTTCCATTTGTTTTAGTTGCATATTAGCAAATGAAGCGAACATATCTTGTGAATTTGCGGCTTCTTTAACTCTTTCAATTTCTTCTCTTAACCGTTTCAATTGTGGCGTTATCTTTTCATCATACAATAAAGTACCTCCTAGACCATACTGTAAATACGTTAAAGTTAAGAAAAAACAATCTGAAATAAAATTTGGTTTCATTTCAGCATCTTTTTTATTCCTATCATAAAATTCATCAGCCTCTTTGAAATCAGAGTTCAATCTTGTTTCCTGGGATAGATCAAGATATAGATTCAATGTGTTAAAATAGTTTACATCAATCTTATCAATTTTCTTGTAAGATACATCCAAAAATGGTTGCGAGAACTTTACTAAAATTAGAGTAATATTTGTCATGAAAGCATTAGAAGCCAGCTTATTTTGATTGGCATGGTCACCTCTTCGCAGATGGTTCTTATTGACAATTTGTGCAAAGTAACTGATCATATCAGATCTTGATTCTTCAGAACCTCTAATAATTTTGTCAATAACAAAAAATAGACGTTCAATAATGACTTTATGTTCTGCTTGCAAGGATTCATGAATAATCATTGTTTGTTGCTTAGATCTCTCCAAGTTGTCTCCATAATTTCTTAAAGCTACATTGGGATTTAAAGGGGATAAAGTTAGAATAGGGCCTAATATGGTTACCTTTTCGAATTCATTTGCTTTGCAATTATAGTCTGCAAAAAACCCCTCTACTTTAGTGAAAATTGCAGCTACAGGTTTAAATGTCAGGAACATCTCATAAATAGATAGTGTGTTGTTGTAAGTCATGGAGTCATTGATATCAAACATTGCCATGTCCTTAGTTAAATAGAACTGCAAATTTGTGAAGACATTTGTTAGGAATTCTAATAGCGATCCTTCTTGATTAGCTCTTTCAATGATCTTTGGAATGAAATTTGTGTAATCATCCACTTTCTCAATGATCTTTTTGATATAGTTCTTAAAATTCCCATTCATACAGAACTCTTCAATTTGAAACGCCACCAGACCATAGCCTACCAGTAAAGTTTCGATCTCGTCAAAGGAAGATTGTAGCTCCTTTGCATTTTTGTTTTTTCTTCTTCTGGTCAATGTCCTATTGTAACAGTTATTCAAGTATGCAAAAGGCTCCAACAATTGTTCGTTCTCAGTCAATTGAGCTAATATAATCCCATCGATATTCCGATCGATTTCATCCGAGAGCACGGTATACTGCGGGTTATTCGTCTCAGACCCAGGCAACTTCACCTGAAAGATATCCTCAATGATCAATTCCATTTCTTATCAGTACTTGAAGAGTCTTAGTATACCTCCCTTTCTTAGACCTGCTGTGAAAAGCCTCCAAAGCACACAAAAGATCAGATATCGGAATATTTGCAAACAAACAGTTGGCAATCCAGACACTTACCCAAAATAAAGAGCGACTAATGGTGTGTTTATACCCCACAACAACATGCATCTGCCATTATGGTCCTTAACTACTACTTTTGAAGCTGATTCGAAGTTTGCCTTCAGCTAGAATTGGTGAGCTCATATATCATATTAAACGATAAGCGACTACAAGCCGCATAGCTCATAGCGATGAGCTCTCAAGGTTTGCATCCAGATGCAAATAGTCTAATGGAACTAATATACTGTTAAGTCTATAGGCAAAGTACATATTATATTTTTGAATCTGGGTATATCATTCACTACTATGTAGCTTTTGATTCAGAATGTGGTTGTAGTCATTGTAAGATCATACCTTTCTTCTAGGAACCGGAGGATCTAGAACTAATTAAATTCAAATGCAATATGGATCTAGTACTGGGAAGGGTTGGGGCCATTGTGGTCGGTTATTTCTATACATGTCTATTACGATCCCTGTTATCAAGCTACTGTTTGAGGGTATTAGTTGACGATGCTATGAAAGAAATGGGGAGAGGAGTGCAAAGGGGATGTGAAAAGGGTGTGCAAGGGACAACTCGTTAGTGCTGATTACGGAGTTTCTTTTGGTGGGTTTCCATCTGAAGTCTTTTAGTATGTGTCCCGTGTGCATTTTAAACAAAAGACCCAGGAAAAAATGGCTTGTGTCAATTACTTGGGTACAATTTTAGTTTTCCTGTTTCAGGTTTGCGCAGAATTTTGGGTTCCCTTTTTCCTATCATGACTTGGACTTGGCAATACAACGTAGAGCAAGGGAATAAGAAAGACCCAAAGGGGGAGATAAAACGGATTGCATCATTTCAAATCGCCGTACCTATTTTACTTGTACTGTATGCATATCTAATAAATTCCTAATAACCTTAAAATATCACACAGATTGTTCCAATTGAGCTCCCAAAGGAAAAATAAAAAATCAAAAATCAAGAATCAGGAAAGATAAGTGTTAATCATTAGAAACTTATATCAATCTATACATAGGGGAAGGTCAATAGAGAAGTTTTTGCTTTGAGCTAGTACATATACACAATACACTTATTTTTTTCTCATTTGAAAGATACATCCATTGTCTTGATAGAAAGAATAGTGCGCTATTATTAATCTTTTTGTATTTTTTGAGGGTTATTTTTTACACGCAACATAATTGCTAAACAATTGTTATTTCTAAGAGTGCAAACAGACTTTACTTTTTGATATCAACATAGATAAAGTCGAATACTCAAATAATCTCCAGCAAGGAAAGGAATCAAGTTGAATATAAAGAAATTCACTAATATTTGATATCCAACAACTTTCAAGTATTTAGCCTTTCACAAGACATTGTATTACGATTTGGAATAGGGAGATATTAAGACAACTTATTAATAATAGTCTTTAAAGATTAAACATTGATCTTATTTTGCTTCAATCACACTCATTAAGTAAAAGGTTCAACCATGGAGGAAAAACCGAACGTGAGCAATTCTGAGAGTTCTAGTAAGAATGTTAACGATTTGGATTGCGAAGAATTGGGGTTATCGCCTGCAATGATCACAGCTTTATTCAAAAGACCACATGACAGACAATTCATTATCGACAAGGAACAGGCTATAATCAATTTTATTGATTCTAACCAAAATTCGTTAGAGCTACGCCCTATGAACTCTTACTACCGAATGCTTTCTCATCAAATTGCCGAGTATCACCATCTGAGACATGTCATCGCACGGAGTAACGATGTTAGCGTTATACTCTTTAAAGTAGAGGATACGCACAAGTTTAGGAACAAGAAACCCCTATTGAAGAGCTTGGAGCCGTTATACGTAACTGAAAATAAATCCACAGTATCAGAGGAAGAATCTAAACCTGCAAACAACTCTGCTGGAAATACCAAGAAATTTAAAATACTAAAAAGATCAAAGTCAAAGGATGATGCCATTACCGACAATAGCAGCCAAGAGAACATCCAATTAACATCTGAAACACCTGAAACCCCATTACAGGAGTCAAATAATTCTAGTTCATCTGCTTTGTTAGAGGAGCAGCGCTTGAAGAAAGAGGAGGAATACAACCAAATCAGACAAAATTTATTCGAGAATGTCAATGGCGATGAGGTAATTGATGACAACTCCTTGAATGATGAGGATGATGGTGTTCATACAGACCTAAGTGAGGTTTTCGGAGATGTCAAGACCAACAATGATTCAGAAAATCAGGACACAGCAAATGGTAAGGATGAATCAACTTCTGCACCATATTATAGAGTCAAAATCGTGCAAGAAAAATTTGGTGGTATCAACGATTCAAAGAATGGTGCATCTCCACAACCTGATGAATTCCAGACATCTCGAAACAGTCTTCTGACAAACCAGGAATATCAATATCATTACAAAGGATATCAAAATAGAAATTCAAGAAGATCCTTCCATAGCAGTAACAGCGCAAGCAGCTTGGGTAATGACATGAACCCTGGATATAAATCGAAAAATAGAAGTGGCAGCTTTACCAGGCGTAGCAGTAATAGCAGCATTAATAGTAGGAGATCATCCTATAACAATAATTCTGAATATGGAGGCCTACATTATGGTAAATATATGCAGCAAATACCACAAGGAACTCCCGCTGGTTTTCCCATGCCTTACATGATGTATCCGCCACACCAAATGATGCAGTATCAACAGATACCACATTTAGGAATGTTTGCAGGTGCAGGTACTATACCAATCGATGGAGCTGGCGTGCCATTTTCAACATCAGCTCCGTATATGTACCCAATACCTATACCACCAACTACGGATGGAATCAATGTGCCTGGAAATGCTGCTGGCAGTATGACGGCCAACTTTACACCCTTCTCCCCTTCCTTACCAAATGGAGTACACATGAGCCCTATAATGGTGCCAAGTGTTCCTAGGTACAATCTAAACTCAACTAATCACCGTTCACATTACAGTAGTAATAATTCTGAGTCAAAGGGATATACAAGAAACAACAAGTATCAAAAGAATTCGTATAGGAATAAGATTACGACGGAGGGTGGTAGTAACGAATCATTCGACGGATCTGAATCAGAAAAAAGTATCGACAATGGCAGTAATAATAATGATCGTGAGGGCAACGCACCCAGTTATCGATCTAGAGGCAATGAGAAAGGAAATTCTGTGTCTGGGGATAACTCTCCAAAGGGGGAAGATATACTCTCATTAAATCAGAACTTGAAAACACTATCAATTTGATCGAGAAACGCTTAATAGATAAATAAATTTAGCAAATTCTATAGTAAATATAGGACATGTCACGACCGAAAATAATAAGACGAGCACCTAAGATACCTCAATGGGGCATGATGCACTCACTCTCTTCAATTCTAAGAATAATGCCACTACAAAGGGATTATTTTACTTTTGGAACATTGTTCGTTATAAAAATTAACTAAATGTTTAGCTGTATGAATACTTACATAAATCTATTTCAAGCCACAATAATTTAATTGTGAGGGATATCATATTCTCCAAATTAGATGATTGACTTCTATAGGAAAGAGGAACAAAAAAGATGAAGACCATAAATCTAACAAACCCAACAAAGTACTTCTTGTATCATACTTTCACCATAACTGTCAACATGATGGACGCCTAATTACAGTATGGAAGATAATGCAATTCTAAGAAACTTAAAAAATCTATTTCTTCACAATTTCGACACCCCAGTTCAAAGTTAGATGAGTTGTTTTGTCATCATCAATAAATTTAGAGACGGCACTGTAGTTACCTCTAGCCAAGAACCCACTTGGGGCCTCGCTTTCAGGCAATTCCACTTCATAGAAAGGCTTTTGTTTTGTGTTTGGGGCATATGATCCTAAATGATCATCAATTTTATCCACCGCGATCCCTGCCTTCTTAATATACTGAACATATCTAAGCCCTGTAATGATTTCATGCTGGACTTTAAAAGTGATACGTAACTTATAAATGGACTTTTCCTTAACTTTGTAACGCTTCGAGGCCAGTTCTTTTATCGTTGTCTCATTGGTCAAATCAAATGTAATTGGCTCTTTCTCTGTATCCACCAACAATTGAATCTTTTGTATCACAACTTTTCTGGTGTCGCCAGGAAACTCCAATGGCAGAACATCAGAGGACAGTCCCAAAGATTCCTTCCATTTAGCCAGGGACTCATCCTCAGCATCTAACTTCTTGTATTCATCAACAGTCTTCTTCTCAGAGACCTTGTACTTGTCATCATTAGTACTCTCTTCAAAATCGTTGAAATCTGGTTCACTCATCCTACCACGGCTATATTTTATACAGATTGTATATTACTTGATATGCCATACAGCAAATGATACAAAACAATTGATCAATCCAGAAGTATCGAAATAATTGGTATCCTCGAGGCCTTTTGCCATTATACTATATTGATCCGGCTCCCTCGAAGGGTTTCAAACGAAATTTCGATTTCTGATCCGTTTGTGCGGTGAAAAGCGTATTGGGAGATAGGCGTATGCCATGACACAAAGTAATATACATAACTGCGCCCAACTATACGTGAATATTTAATTATTTGACAGTGATACCAATTGCGTCAGCTGTACAGTATATGTGCATAATATAGTTTGGAATTTTCTTGAATTTTTGGTAATTTTTGTGGTCGATTTGGTGCGATTTTCAATGAGTGAGGCCTCAAATTTATTATTGGTAGAAATTTCAAATAAGTAATTTTAGTATCGAGCTCAATAGTGACGGAACTAGCTCATAATTATTATTCAGTAAGCCTTTCAACAGAATTTGAGTAACCATTGTTTCAGTAATGTCGAAGTTTGCTCGGATCAACCTAGAAACAGCAAGTCCCTTAGACCTTGTATTCAATCTCGATAGTAACGATTCACAAAGAGGTGTAGATGGTACATTGGATCACGGTTTGTCCAAGAACAAGTACTTTTTACCACAAGATGCTAACGTTTCTAGCGTCAGAGAATTGGTGATAGATTCTCAGAGCAAAAGAAAGCTGCGCCTAGGAAATAGATTTGTGGAGAAGATGGAGGATAATTTGGTAAAATGGAGACCACCGCTATCCTCCAATAGAGGAACTGTAATGGCAATAGAGGGTAAACATCCTTACCAAATTGCTGCTGAGATTTATGCTCCTAATTGTGACCCAGAACTCTTCAGAACCGCCGACCAGAACAACGGAAATGCTACACAAAGGCAGATGAGCCATACAATGTTTGATTCTTTTACACATTGGTGGAAGGAGAACGCAAGAGGTGCCCTTGAACTACGCAGACAACAGTTTGAAGAGGAGATACTGGGACTGTCCGATTTGCAGGATATGGACCAAGTGGTAGAAGTCACCGTGGCACCAGCAATAAAGGAAGAACCACAACTTGAGGATACAGGAATGAATACAGAAACGCAGAGTGCGCTAACGAACAATACCGCTGAATTGGCTAGGCTAATATCTCAAGAAGATGAGCGCAGGCTAGAGATAAGTGACTTGTCAAACTCAGGTATATCATCTGGAGTGTCTTCACAAGGAACGTTCCTGGCTAGACCAATAGTTAAGACACCTCCTGCTGCTGTGGTCAGAAGAAGACAGCAGTTACAGCAGGAATTGAAACGTACAGGAGCCGTTCCACAGATATACGAAGAAGTTTACAATGCACCCGTACCGGTAGCTTATCTGCCCGTGTCAAATAATGACCCAAGATACTCTCAACAATTATCACAGCGACAACGAGAGCACGTCAGCCAGAATGATGGTCCATTATGGTCTTGCAGCCAAACGGATATAGTTTCAAAATTAAATGAGTGGTCAGTGGCAATAATGAACTGCTTAACTCCAATTACCCAGGATCACATAAACCCATAGTCCTAAAGGAACTCTACGTAGTACAAGTAAAAAATAAAATCATGACCAGTATTAGCCAGAAGGCAGACAAATCTGGAAGATGCAAAAAAAGGCCTTTGTACAATAGCAGGTACAATTAACAGGCAAAACCAAACCAAATGGTCTTGTGTTATATTCGAACCATCCCAATCTCTTGGTAAGCCATTGACAAGTTAATCGAGCTCATCGCTGTTTTCAGTTGATTTTCTCTGGTTTAGCTTTAAGCACCCTTTAAACTGGAAAATTAATTAAAAATTCCAAATTAATTAAAATTTCCAAATTACATTTTAGAGTTACAAAATCATAAAGTGTTTAGAATTTAGTATCAATAGAGCATATTATAATCTCATTTTTTTATGACTAGAACGTATATCATACATCTGACACAATAACACCATAGTTTTTTATTTTCCTGAGACTGAGGGCCATATCGATTGTGGAGATAGTTTATTTAAGTCCTTATCATATTGTTTTGTATCAAAATTTAAAAGATATCAGAAAGGGTTATTCAAGAGTAATAGTGTCACCGGGAGTAGAAGATACCATTCTGACACAAAATGGAGCGCATGGTGAAGGATGTTGTTGGACATCCCCAGGATCCTGATGAGAGATCAGATAACAGTGTGTCTGATCAGCCCAGGGTTGATGGTGGGAAGCAAAGTAATAAGGGTAACGTGGGCCATGGAAATGGGGTGAGTGATCATAAAAGACAAATGGTTTCTTTGAATCCGTATGGTCTATATCCAAGTACAGTACCGCCATTTGTACTTGAGTCAGACTTTCGAAGACTGCATGGCATTAACGATGATTTCAACGACAGAGAGGTCAGATGGGCAAATTTTATAGGAAACGTAGGCTCTAATGTTGCCTACTCTACAGAACAACGTCTACCAAGTCGGGGAATAGCAAATAATGCTACTCTCCGACACAATTATTCGGTCGGTAACATAAAGGATCAGCCAAACAGACATATTGAAGACATAATTGACCCACTTGTCTCCACAGGTAACAATTCAATCAACGAGTCTGCTTCTCTAGACCACGAAGAAATGGAGAGAAAAAGGAAGATCCAGGAAGAGATACTCTATGATTTAGACTCGGAATGGAAAGGTGGCGAAAGATTAGATGCAGTATTCAATTTCTCTGTCAACAAAGACTTCGAATTTAAGAACGAAAAGGATAGAATAGACTGGGTGAATTACATCTCAAAGGTCAAGAATGCATACTACGCACCAAATAAAGAATCAAGCGGTATAAATGACGAGAGCTCATCAAGTCTATCTCAACAACAGGAGGGTAACAGAGGTGATCGTCAAAATTATGACTGGATAGAAGAATTGAACAAGGAGAAAGAGAAGTGGAAGAAACTCAAGCAAAGAAAAATCCAAAAATGGAAACCTGCTCTATCTAATCTATTATTCTACAACCAATACCTGCCTCTTGGGTTCCGAATAGTTATAGGCATACTTTGTCTCATATCGTTGGGGCTATCTGTACGGATATACCAGAATTCAGACTCCTCAATAGAACAGGTTGAAGGTGGTGGTGCTGACTTAGATACAGGTATACCGCAACAAGCAAGCACAATAATGGCTATATGTGTAAACACTATTGCCATAGCATATACATTTTACATTGCAATTGATGAATTTTCTGGTAAACCATTGGGGTTGAGAAATCCATTAGGAAAATTGAAACTCATATTGTTGGATCTGCTATTCATTATATTTGCCAGTGCTAATTTAGCCCTGGCATTCAATACAAGATTCGATAAAGAATGGGTATGCACTGGATTAGGAGTCACAATTGCTGAGGAGGAAGTTTACTATCCAAAGATACCATACATATGTCGAAAACAGAAGGCCCTGGCGTCATTTTTATTTGTACTTCTCTTTGCATGGGTTGTAACTTTTTCAGTCAGTATAGCCCGTGTTGTAGACAAAGTACATTCCAGCGCAACAAGAGATTGAGATGCTATAAACATATCCACATCAAAAGTGAGGTTACAAGATATGTCTAAATGTGCATCTTATATAAATGTTTATCAAGCATACATAAAGCCCCCTACAATTGCATACATATATTCACGTTATTATTATTATTTTTGGTTCTTATTTGTCTTCAATTAACATAACTCCTCTATCGCTGAACCAGCGTAGTTGAAAAAAAGTGCTGTTAATGTTAATATAGCATCAAATGTATATCACCAGATGGTTTATATAAATTTAGCAACTTTATTGGACTACTAACCGGTAATCAAAAGACAATAACCCGAAGTTATATACTATTACCAATGCCAGACCATCATAACAAACGATGGTATTTCGAAGGAAATTTTTTGCGAAAAGTAAATAATTCAAGCAAACCTGATCTCTGCGAATAATAGCAATGAAAATACAATGCTGGTTGTAAAAATTGCCCTTATTGTACTCTTCACAACATTCTGAGTTGTTACATATAGAAATCAGTAGCTCCTATCAACTATACTTTTGAAAGTAACACGACTGGGATTGGGGATTTGGATTTTTTTCATATTTAGAGCCAAAAATTTCACTGAAAAGTTACAACATAAATTTTGGTTTGATAAATATATCTGACACTTGCTATTGTGTGAACCTGAAGCAGGAGAAGTGAGTTATATATTGCTAGAACTCTATTTTGTCTTTTTTCATTGAATCTGTCACGCTATTATCATTACCAATTTATCCCCTGTTTTTGCTTGGAGGATTTGGAACACCCAGAAGCTACCTTGAGTATACAAACTGACAGCCGATCATATTAACTCCATATTGATTACACATTTAAGTTTAATTCCTCATTGATTCTACTGTATACATTCTTCTAATCGGAAAAACATGTCAGAAAACTTGCCTAGATCTGATGATCTAGATGCCACCTGGAATTTCATTCAACCAGGTATCGATCAAATCCTGGGAAATGACAGTACTGAAGTAACAAATAAAAAGGTACAGAAAATTTTATCACCAACAATGTACATGGAAATATACACAGCTATTTATAATTACTGTGTTAATAAATCTCGATCATCAGGACATTTCAACGCTGATAGACAACAATCTGGAAGTTCTGGCCAATCATCTATATTAGTTGGCAGTGAGATATACGAAAGATTGAAAAAGTATCTCAGACATTACATATCGAACTTTAAAAAGGATAGCAACGAGACATTCTTACAATTCTATGTTAGAAGGTGGAAAAGATACACTATTGGAGCAATCTTCCTTAACCATGCATTTGATTATATGAATAGGTATTGGGTGCAAAAAGAAAGAAGCGACGGTAAAAGGCATATTTTTGATGTAAATACACTTTGTTTGATGACATGGAAGGAAGTTTTATTCGATCCACACAGTGATGAACTTATTACTGAAATTCTTGATCAGATTACTGCTGAGAGAAATGGCGAGATAATCCAAAGAGATCATATAACAACCTCAATCAAGTCACTGGTGGCCTTAGGTATTGATCCTCAAGATCTAAAGAAGTTGAATTTGAATGTTTACATACAAGTCTTCGAAAAAAAATTCTTGAAAAAGACAGAAACTTATTACCAACAATATTCAGAAGATTATTTAACAACTCATTCAGTTACAGAATACATTTTCAAAGCCCACGAAATCATATCTCGTGAGGAGAAGGGAATGGCCATGTATTGGGACGATCATACCAAAAAACCATTGTCCGAAACTCTAAATGAGGTATTAGTTAAGAGTCACATTGAAAAGCTCGAATCCGAATTCATTGTCTTGCTAGATTCTAGAGACAATAGTAAAATATCAGCTCTTTACAGTTTGATATTGCGTGACTTTTCTCTTCTCCCCAGGTTGGCTAATGTTTTTGAAGAATACATCAGAAAAAGTGGAGAAAATGAAGTTTCCCAATTAATATCTGCACATAAGGCTGCTGTAATGGAAGCTTCTGCTGATGGAAATGGTACTAAAAAGATGGCAATGGCAACGACACAATCTTTACCTCCAAAAGATTACATCAAAGCACTTCTTAAGGTCTACAATACTTTTAAGAATATTGATAGGGAATGTTTTCCAACCGATCCTCTATTTGCAAAGGCTCTTGACAATGCTTGTAGGGCATATATTAACATTAACGAGTTTGCCCTACCAAGCGGATCTTCCAGATCTGCTACATCTAAAACTTCAGAAATGTTAGCAAAATATAGTGATCAACTATTGAAAAAGTCAACAAAACCCGAAGTTGCAAATGATATGAGTGATGACGACATTATTACGATATTCAAATTTATTACCGACAAGGACGCATTTGAATCTCATTACAGAAGATTATTTGCCAAGAGATTAATTCACGGTACTTCTACATCATCTGATGACGAAGAGTCCATTATCAAGAGACTACAGACAGAAAATAGTATGGAATACACTGGTAAGATAACCAAAATGTTTCAAGACGTTCGCTTATCAAAAATGTTGGAAAGCGATTTTGATGTTATGATTAAGAGTCAAAGTGACTACTCTAGGGAAAAGTTCCCAGAACTTCAACCATTCGTTTTAGCAGAAAACATGTGGCCCTTCTCATATCAAGAGGTGGACTTTAGGTTACCGGAGGAGCTTGTGGCATCTCATAAGAAGTTAGAATCTATGTATATTGGAAAGCACAACGGTAGAATATTGAAATGGTTGTGGCCTTTATGCCGCGGTGAACTAAAAGCAGATATTGGTAAGCCTGGCCGTGTTCCATTTGTATTCACTGTTACTTTATTCCAAATGTCCATTTTGCTGCTTTTCAATGATAAAGATGTGCTAACATTTGAGGAAATTCAAGAAGGCACTAACTTGAACATTCAAAACATTGCGTCATCAATGGTACCATTCATTAAATTCAAGCTAGTTCAGCAATTACCTCCGGGTTTAGATAATCTGGTAAAAGGTGACACACAATTTAAATTGAATAGACCATACAAAGCAGTAAAAACTCAAATTAACTTTGCTGCAGGTGTGAAGAACGATATCCTAGGCACCATATCCAAGTCATCAAATTCAGTTAGCAACGGAGTTTCTGGTATTTCCGATGAAAAATTGAGTGAGAGTGAAAAGATCGAAAAAGAACTGAATGCAGAAAGACAAATGTTCTTAGAAGCATGTATTGTCCGTATCATGAAAACGAAGAGAAACCTACCCCATTCTACGCTGGTCAACGAATGTATTGCGCAATCTCATCAAAGATTCAAAGCTAAGATCTCGATGATAAAACGAGCAATTGACAGCCTGATTCAAAAAGGTTACTTACAAAGAGGCGAAGATGGAGAATCATATACATATCTTGCATAGAGAAAGCGAAGAAGATATATCTAGTTTTTCTCCGCACTCTTACCCATTCTCATTTTTTTTAACTCAGCATTTTACTATAGATTTTTTTTCTTTCTTATAATCAAGTACATAGAATATATGCACATAGAAACAAAAAAGATAGGCAAGTTATTATTCAGACGCATTATCATAAAAAACTTTATTTATCTGTTAACGAAACAAAATTTAGCGCTATTTCTCAAAGGATTGTAGCAGCATCATGAGAAAAATATCGTCAATCGGAGCGAAGTTTATTACGTCTACACAGGTAACAAGGGTATCTGTGTATTGAACCTCGGATTGAACCGGCATATTCTCACACAAATGAGAAGCTTGAAATCCCCACGGATCCTGCCACACCCCCAACAATTAAAGTGACTAAGAAACAACTCTAGACCCTTGTTACTTATTTCACTCAAACTTGTACGTGCCCTGCTAACACAGTTTACAGATAGGAGTCCATATGACTGCAATTCCACACACCTCGAATGGCTCTTATCCTCTCCCCTCTCCAATAGAAGAGACTTGAGCTAAGAAAAAATTTACATCGGAATTTTTACAGCTGTGTTGGTTTCATCACTACTTTGCAAGCCTAGTTTTTACCACTTCCTCATATGGTTATGACTCTTTTCCTCATCTTTTTGGTGCTTTCATTTCTTTTTGCAACGGTTTATAATTTTTACCTTCGCAATTTTCTGATTTTTTTTTGCAAAAATATTTTCACAATTTACAAAATGCACTAAAAGTCCGTAGAGAAGTGGGATCAGTTATTATTCCTTCACTTACTAACATCGATACATTTCGAATCAGCTATTTCATAGTGGTTTATGCTATTCTAATCACACATTTTGTTACAACACTTCCTTCAATACACGATTGTAGTTGTTGTACGTATCCATATAGTCGACTCATTTGCGTCGCCTTCTCTTGCTTTTAGCAACAGTCGTTCTAGTTTTTGCAAGCTTCTGACTAATTCCTAAAGGCAAGTATAAATACATGCCGTTTCTTGCTGAAACCATATGTTATCTCGTATCTATGTTTCATTACACATTTTTGTAACAGCTATTTCAACTGGTGAAATACTACAAGTAAAAATATATTCTACCTAAAATATTTTTGCTGAACAAAGAATATTAAAGATGGATCAATACCAACAAGTAACTGAATCAACTCCAACTGTGGAGACAAGTAATCCATATGGACCAAACCCAGCTGACTTCTTGTCCAATGTCAAGGAATTTCAACTGATTGACTCTACCTTGAGAGAAGGTGAGCAATTTGCCAATGCTTTCTTCGACACTGAGAAGAAGATTGAAATTGCCAAGGCCTTGGATGACTTCGGTGTCGACTACATTGAATTGACCTCTCCAGTGGCCTCTGAGCAGTCTTTCAGAGATTGTAAGGCTATTTGCAACCTGGGATTAAAGGCAAAGATTCTTACCCACATTCGTTGTCACATGGACGATGCCAAGGTGGCCGTTGAGACTGGTGTCGATGGTGTTGATGTTGTCATTGGTACTTCCAAGTTCTTGAGACAGTACTCCCACGGTAAGGACATGAATTATATTGCCAAGAGTGCCATTGAGGTCATCGAGTTCGTTAAGTCAAAGGGTATTGAGATCAGATTTTCCTCCGAAGATAGTTTCAGAAGTGACCTGGTTGATCTACTGAATATTTATAAGACTGTCGACAAGATCGGTGTCAACAGAGTTGGTATTGCTGATACTGTTGGCTGTGCTAACCCAAGACAAGTTTACGAGTTGGTCAGAACTTTGAAGTCTGTGGTCTCCTGTGACATTGAGTGTCATTTCCATAACGATACTGGTTGTGCCATCGCTAATGCTTACACGGCTCTAGAAGGTGGTGCCAAGCTAATAGATGTCAGTGTTCTAGGTATTGGTGAAAGAAACGGTATCACACCATTGGGTGGTCTAATGGCTAGAATGATTGTCGCCGCTCCAGAATATGTCAAGTCCAAGTACAAGCTGCACAAGATCAGAGACATTGAGAATTTGGTCGCCGAAGCTGTTGAAGTCAACATTCCATTCAACAACCCAATCACTGGTTTCTGTGCCTTCACACACAAGGCTGGTATCCACGCCAAGGCCATTCTTGCCAACCCATCCACATACGAAATCCTTGACCCACATGATTTCGGTATGAAGAGATATATACATTTTGCTAACAGGCTAACAGGCTGGAACGCCATTAAGTCGAGAGTTGATCAATTGAACTTGAACTTGACAGATGACCAAGTCAAGGAAGTTACCACTAAGATTAAGAAGCTGGGTGATATCAGACCTCTGAATATCGACGATGTTGACTCCATTATCAAGGACTTCCACGCTGATCTAGCGACACCAATGGTCAGACCAACCGAAGACGGTGCTGACAACGAAGAGCCACTACAACTTGATGAACCAGCTAAGAAGAAATCTAAGCTATCCCAATAATTGAGAACATCGTAAAGGGAACATTTGTATTTATTCTCATTATTTCTTATTACCTTTTATTTCTCTCAAAAAGACCACAAAATTTCCGGTATTTTCTTTTATTCTAATATCCACATAATTATTTAGATTGCATAATATACATTTTAAGAAACACATTCTTCACACTCGGTAAAGCTGTAGCTCCTACTATGTTTCATCGCATATTATGTATATTACAAGTGACTCAAATTAAAGAGAGCCTTATAATCATCACGCAGAACGACGTATGAGCTGGAGTCACTACTGTCCTTTTCTTTGTTTTCATCCCCTTAGAGGGTTTTGGTTCTTCCATTGTTTAAATAGAGGGTACCTTTAAGTCATAGAAATGATCCAGAGTTTGCTATTCCTTAATCAATGCCAAAGAATACTCTGAGAAGTAACGATAAGTTTCAAAGCATAAAAAAGATGTTAGCTGCACGTACAGGATCTAGGGCTATTTTGAGGATACGTCCACAGGCTGTGATAAGACAATACTCTGATGGTTTCATGGCCACTGGCAATGGAATATTTGACCAAAGAGAAAAGGCCAAAGAGGACTATTTCATCAGACAGCATGAAAGAGAGCAATTACAAAAGTTAAAAGAACAACTCGAACACCACAAATCCAAGGTCAAGGATATACAGGAAAAGATCGACAAGTTGTCCAAGAAATGAAGTCAATTCTATGATGAGCTGCTATACAACATGACCTATACAATAAACCTGTTTTCCCATGCTAATGCCAAAATATTCACGAAGAACATCCAAATATATACACACACATAAAAGAATATATATTCAATATAAAGAATTACCTGATTGCCAAGGGACTAGTACAAACCGTATAACCTACAAATATGCTAACTCTCACTTGTGAGAATGTGGCTATTGCTGACATATTCTGGCATCGATTATAACTCCCAAATTGGTCTCATCTATCAAATGTCTTGAAAGTGCAGTGCTTTCAGTGAGAGTTGAGGCATTACCTTTCCCATTGTCTTCCATATACCAAAGGGTCTAGAACATGAAAAAAGTGAAAAGTGAAAGTTGCAAGTCTCCTTTTAGTCGGTGCGGTGTATTCTGTGGGGAGTGAAAAATAAAGAATGATGGGAATTAAGAATCGATGGGTAAGACTAATAAAGAGATGAGATGACTATAAAGAGCACAACGTATTGCTCAAATGGAATGAGCCGTTATTATTATTTGATGACCAGATAGGAACCAATAATACTATGTCTGAGTCAAGTAAGTTTAGGCCTCCTATTGCTGAGACAAAGAAGCTGGAAAGTGATATTTTGGCAATTATACAGCGACTGCGGGATGACGAGGCTGGTGAAGGACAGGTGGCGAAAGATGAGGTTATAAGCGTATTGAATCGGTCTTTGACAGCGCTGTCACACTGGGTCTTACAAGCCCAGCTGATGGAGCTGGACCCCAATAATCAAGATCGAGTTGCAGTTGAGAACAGTTTACTGAAAAAGGAAGTAGAGTTCTTATCCGGGAAAGCATCTCAAAAGCGTCTCCATCCTATTCAGATACCGCCAAGCCAACTTAAAGAGCCCTCAGAGAGGCCATACAAGGTAGATGTTCACACGCCCGTGAAGGAGAAAAGGAAAAAGAAGATAGACATCTCACAGATAACTCCCAAGAGAGGTGAATTCTCACCAAAACAGCAAAACACAGGTACAAAATATGATGCTGAGAAGTCCCCAACTGGTAGAAGCTTGAATACTAGGCGAACAAGTGGTGAGCCCTTATCTCCCAAGGGCTTACACGAACCAGGAACACAATTTAAGCTTGTCGAAAATAAGAAACCACATCCTAGGATGAGAAGAACCAGCGATAATCCTTCTAGAAACGAATATGTTAGGGTGTTCCATCTAGAGAAAGAGAAATGAGATCGGACCGCAATTTTGATATTGAAATGCTAATTGATCTTTGATAAATTTTTTTTTTCTGTGTGCTTCAGTTCTAAATTAGCTATTAAAAAGATGCCTTCACTTCATTCTATCACTTGATTGCTGTATTATTAATCCCAAACTTATAAAATATTCTTTACTACTTTAAATTTACTATATATTCAAAATTTAATAAGTACTAATGAGAAACTTTCACAATTCATATACTAGCTTAATCGCTATGCATATACTTGATGCGACATCTGCCGTCTTGCAGGTTAAAGATTTCCGAGTCACTGAGAGGTCCGTTTCAACCTTCACAACTTATATGTTCATAGTATAGCACATAAAAACATGTAGAATCTCCACCCAGATTAAAAGTGCTCATCCTCTGTGAGACTCCAAAAATGATTCTCAGTACTTTATTTTAGTGACCCATGATTGCCAAAATGATAAAAATTGGAAAATTCTTAAATTAACCAAGGATGCCCTTTTTTTTTCCCTCTAATAAAGTTTTCTTGAAAATAACGGTAATTTATTAATATGATTAGCTTATAAGGATTGATAATACATTATCATATTTTTGTATATTTTTTTTGATCCTGTCTGATCTAGCTGTAACACCAACGTCTGTATATTCGAATAAATTAGATTATAATACTGATACTTTGAGATTTTTTTTTAGAAGCTAAGGAATCAATATCTATTTTATAACAATCATCGGCATACAAGGAAAATAAAAATGGATTCCACAGCACCATTATTGGGACCTAACTCAAGACAGACTGCTCTGTCTACGTACTCTGCTGCAAAGAGAGACTTAATATATGTATGCGCATCATCTCCATTGCATCTTTTGCTGATATTTGTGCCTCTAGGTATCATTTGGGGTTATATGGAGTTGTCGCACACTTGGACATTTGTTTTCAATTTCTTAGCTATCATACCATTGGCTGCAATCCTAGCTCATGCCACAGAAGAATTGGCTGACAAAGCAGGTAGCACTATCGGTGGTTTATTGAATGCTACTTTCGGTAACGCCGTCGAACTAATTGTCTCAGTGATCGCTTTGAAAGAGGGCCAAGTCAGAATTGTTCAAGCCTCCATGCTTGGTAGTTTGCTCTCTAACTTGCTTTTGGTCCTAGGTTTCTGTTTCTTATTTGGTGGTTACAACAGAATCCAACAAACTTTTAACCAAACAGCAGCTCAGACTATGTCCTCTCTATTGGCCATCTCATGTGCTTCGCTATTGATTCCAGCTGCCTTTAAAGCTACTTTGCCTCACGGTAAGGAAGATTGGATTGTTGATGACAAAATTCTACACCTGTCTAGGGGCACCTCATTGATCTTGCTTATGATATATGTCCTATTCTTGGTATTCCAACTTGGTAGCCATCATGCCATGTTTGAACAACAACACGAGGAAACCGATGAAGTCGTTAGCGAACTCTCCATCAAACCACACCAGAGTCTGTCCATCAGATCATCTCTTTGGTTCTTGCTCCTTTCAACTGTCATTGTCTCTATTTGTGCTGACTACTTGGTTGGCACTATCGACAACGTTGTGGAGTCTACTGGGTTGTCTAAGACTTTCATCGGTTTGATTGTTATTCCAATCGTTGGTAACGCAGCCGAACATGTAACTTCAGTCATGGTTGCTATGAAGGACAAGATGGACCTTGCTATCAGTGTTGCCATCGGCTCCTCACTACAGATCGCCCTGTTCGTCACCCCATTCATGGTCCTTGTCGGCTGGTGGATCGATGTCCCAATGACTTTGAACTTCTCTACATTCGAAACCACAACATTGTTCATCGCAGTGTTCTTGTCAAACTACTTGATTTTAGACGGTGAGTCCAACTGGCTAGAAGGTGTGATGTCTCTGGCCATGTACGTCCTGATCGCCATGGCCTTCTTCTACTACCCTGATGTGATGGCTGATGCCGCCTGATTAAGTTACATACTTTCTAGATATTTTTTATTTTTAACTATTTCTAGCCTACTTTTACTTTTTTTCTCTTAATCTTCATATAAGAATACAGCTCAGAATAAATACCCTCTAAATGTAACACTATCTGTGTGCTGTATACTTCAGTTCTTAAAGGGCAAGAATTGATATTGCCCACACATGCATATACTTAGAAACGGAAATGCACGACCATGGGTCATGCACACAATTGCGTTAAACATGATTATTCAATGCTCCGTTACAGAAAATGCATAGAAGTTTCGCGTTGGTACAAGTATAACACTAAAACGCCTGTAGAATGCTCAGCCTTTAGGGAAGACAAATCCAGCCATTTCCCAATTGGGTATAGTTAGTCTCGAAAAACCCGTTTCTTGGGTCTACTAACTGCGGGTTTTCCATCCTCTACATTAAAGTAAAGCCAGCTGGGTATTTTTTGCCTGACAGTTTATGAAGTGCTTGTACGGCGTCGCCATGAGAAGAAAATTGTTCAAGTATCCTACGTGTGTTTATTAGCCCCTTCCTTGCTTCAGCTTTTTCTTTTTCCTTATTCCCCCCCGACCCCTTGACAATAAGAACTCAAAGCAGGGACGAGTCAAATCCACGTACAGGGAGTAACAAAGTGGCGGGTTTTTAGCAAAAAAGTAATTCTAGATCTGTTGTTCCACAAAATACCTGAGATCTACGGAAGTTTATGGGGGCTTCCCTCCCCTCCAAAAAGTAATTTACGTATTCAGTATCTTCCATGCTTTCGACCTCGACGTTGCTACCTGCACTATTTTCGCGGGTTGCCTTCCTTTCCCTCCCACTCCCTTGCACTCCCAGCACTTTCACAAAAGTGCACAGATTGTGCTGCAGACACTTCAGGGATTCTACACTGCAATCTCAATAATAAAAACCTTCCATGCAGAAAATTTTGATAGTGTAATTTCACTAAATTCCCTGCACAGAGAACCAGATCTGTAATAAATAATCCAGAGAAGTAACGCAGTCCCAGATACCCTAGCAGAAGACGGATAGAAGAACAAAAAAGAAGGAAGCTGGGTCAAAATGGGGGGAGTTGCCACAGATAGTTCCGTACAGACTTGGTTATTCAGATTAAATTTGGGAAGAGACGCTTGCTCCCGCCTTCCATTTTTTTCTTCCTTTTCTCGTTCTCGCTTTCCTCGCTTCTCGTTGCCGGAGCTTATTATGATAATAATGCAGGTCGCGAAAATTTGGCAATTAAAATTTATAGAAAATAATAGAGAGGGCAGGTAATAGCTAGCATTTTTGGCGTTTCGTTCACTAACGAACAGGATCCAAAAAAATCACCAAATGTCTTGAGTCAAACCTAACTGTCGATGACTTTTTTTAGCAAGCCATCAGAGTAAAAATAGAGAGACTAAGAGTAGAGATGGCTTGCGATAACCAGACCAAATGAGCAGCTCTTTAATATTGCTGAGTGAAAAGTGAAAGAAACTAGTATATATATAACATTGATGCTACTTGGAAGACAATTTCTTGCCAGGGCGTGTACATTTTTAGATTCATACACTTGCACAGAGACCATTACAAAAAAATACTTAATTGAACCGAGATCATTAACCATAATTAGATAATAACTCTGATCAAAAAAACCTCTAAAGCTCCCAAAAAATAAAATTTTATTTATTATTATAGATATTCACTCTACAAGGTTTTTTCTTCTTCTGCATAATACAAGCTAAACACCATGTCTGATATAGAGGCTTTATTGCAATTCAATCGGAAACCGGTTTCTCAAGAGATGATAACGTACTTGGCAAGGTCCACTGAGAGTATCATACAAGTACGTGAAACTCATAGCATGATTGATGTCGCTATTCCAGCACCAAAATTGGAATTGTTCATCAAGAAGCTCGTTAAGTACTCGAATGTGCAAACACCAACATTAATGGCTACCACGGTTTTTCTTACGAAACTGAGGTCTATTATACCAGCTAATGTATATGGTATTGAAACTACTAGACATAGAATATTTCTGGGTTGTTTGATCCTTTCGGCAAAGACTCTGAATGACTCCTCACCGTTGAACAAGCACTGGGCCCAATATACTGATGGATTGCTACATTTGAAAGAAGTCAACACTATTGAACGTGAGCTTCTCGAGTACTTCGATTGGAATCTTACTTTATCAACAAATGATTTGATCCAATCATTGGCTCCATTTTTGAAGCCTATCAAGGACCAAATCATCAGATCAAGACAACAGGAGTTGCTATTGTTCAATGCACCAACTCCTTCTCAATTGAAGTCGTACATGAACTCACCACAATCGCGTTCATCTTCCTACAACTCTATCCCATCATTGTCATCGTCAAACACAATCTCTACAATCAACTCATCGAGATCTAGATCCTCCCTCAATTACAGCGCCAACATACAAACCATACCAGAAGGCGAATCTGATGTGGTATCTCAAAGAAAGACTAGTCTGTCAAACCTAGATCCTAACAAATATGCAAACACTTCTGTATCAGAGAAGAGAAAATCAAGCAGACCAATAATATTAAAGACTGGGCTTGACAAGCCCATGGTTGCCGGACAAACTAAGATAAAGAGGTCAAATTGGACTAACTTCTTTTAGGAAACAGCAACTAACAGTTTTTTATATATTCTTGGGTTTTTCTGTTCGATCCGATAGCCTAGATACACAGTGCATATTCGTTTTTTTTGCTTTAACACACGGACATTTGTTCATTAGTACTTTCATTCAATTCAATAATCTAATTTCGCTCACAGGATTGAGCTCGACTATAAAATTTCATTTCATTTTTATGCATTAGTAGTCTAATATACATTAAAGTAGTATAATCTGTTATGCAGAATTAACTATGTAGATAACCATCATTCTAATAGATTTGACTATATTATCCTTTCCGTTATCCGTTTTCAAATTTTCATTCTCAATGTAGTCCACAATGAACTACTGGAACTCAATTAACGTTGAATAGTTATAATTTTATCTGATAAGAGTTTAATTATATATACTTTACTTAAGAAGGAGTCTAACTGTACAAATCGTCGTCGTCATCACCGGCTGAACCGAAGTTAGCACCGCTGTTACCGTCATTACCGGTTTCAGTAGTACCTTGGTTGGAATCACCAAAGTTGAAGTTACTGAATTGACCTCTGGAGGCCTTCATTTGTTGAGAGTAAGCTTCGTAACGACGTAATTCAGCATCAGAAACAGAACGCTTGGCAGTCTTCATAGCTTCAGCAAAATGCTCTCTGGTAATGTATGGAACTGGATCAACAGTCTCAACTGGTTCCTTCTTGACATCTTCACTGGTCATGTCAACATCTCCACCTTCTGTCTTGACTTCAGCTTCAGCAGCAGCTAAGCTTTCTCTGTGGGCTTCAATAGAATCCTTAATGGCGTATTTAGCAGCTCTTTGAACAATGTATGACAAATCAGCACCAGAGAAACCTTGGGTAGCCTTGGCAATTGCTGTTAGATCTAAGCCTGGTTCTAGAGGTGTCTTTCTTAATTGTGCCTTTAGAATTGATAATCTTGCTGGCTCATCTGGCAATGGAACATATATCAGTTGGTCCAATCTACCTGGTCTCAAAATAGCAGGATCGATTTGGTCTGGTCTATTGGTGGCACCAATAACGAAGACATTCTTCTTCGCATTCATACCATCCATTTCTGTCAATAATTGATTGACAACTCTGTCTGAGGCACCGCCAGCGTCACCCAAAGAACCACCTCTAGCCTTAGCAATCGAATCCAATTCATCAAGGAAAACAACAGTTGGAGCAGCAGCTCTAGCTTTATCGAAAATATCACGGATGTTGGATTCAGACTCACCATACCACATACTCAAAAGTTCAGGACCCTTAACAGAAATAAAGTTTGCAGAAACTTCAGTGGCAACAGCCTTGGCTAGTAAAGTCTTACCAGTACCTGGTGGACCATAGAATAGAACACCCTTGGATGGAGCCAAGCCAAACTTGGTGTATTGGTCTGGGTGAAGAACCGGGTATTCAACGGTTTCCTTCAATTCTTCCTTAATCTCATCTAGACCACCAACATCATCCCAAGTAACGTTGACACTCTCGACAACGGTTTCACGTAGGGCAGATGGGTTAGAGTTACCAAGAGCAAATCTAAAGTTATCCATAGTGACACCAAGAGAGTCTAGCACTTCTGCGTCAATTTCGTCTTCTTCAAGATCGATCAAGTCCATCTTCTCACGAATTTGTTGCATAGCTGCTTCAGAACACAAAGAAGCAATATCGGCACCAACATAACCATGGGTTTCAGCAGCCAAAGTCTCAAGATCGACGTCATCGGCAAGTTTCATGTTCTTGGTATGGATACGTAGAACCTCTAGTCTACCAGTAGCGTCTGGAATACCGATGTCGACCTCACGATCGAATCTACCAAATCTTCTTAGTGCTGGGTCAATGGAGTTAGGTCTGTTAGTGGCTGCGATGACAACAACATTAGATCTAGCCTTCATACCATCCATCAAAGTCAATAATTGGGAAACAACTCTTCTTTCAACTTCACCGTTAGTCTTGTCTCTCTTTGGAGCAATGGAATCGATTTCATCAATGAAGATGATAGCTGGAGCATTCTTTTCAGCCTCCTCAAAAGCCTTTCTTAGATTGGATTCTGATTCACCTGCCATCTTAGACATGACTTCAGGACCATTGATCAAGAAGAAGAAAGCACCAGTTTCATTGGCAACAGCTCTAGCCATCAAGGTTTTACCAGTACCAGGTGGACCATACATCAAAACACCCCTTGGTGGTTTAATACCGATGGCTTTGAACAATTGTGGGTGTCTCAAAGGCAATTCGACCATTTCTCTGATTTGAGCCATTTGCTTACGGCACCCACCAATATCGTCATAACCGACTTCGTTCATGTTATTTTCCTCATCTTCTCTGTTAATTGGCTCACCTTCCCAATGGATGATGGTATCTTGTGCAACCACGGCATATTCTTCTGGTTCGACATCAACAACCTTGAATTCAACAGCTCTCATACCACCTCTGACAACGAAATGGTCACCTTTTCTAACTGGTCTATAAGCTTCAACGAAGTATGGCTTCAAGTAGACGTCGAATAAGTTACCAGTGATACCTTCAATCGTGTCGGCAATTGGCAACACAGAAATTCTGCTAGCGTACTTGATGTCTGGGCATGGGTGGATCGAGACCAGGTCACCCAATCTCACACGCAAGTTGTTTCTTACCACACGGTTAATCCTACAGGCACCATCCTCCAATTCGTCATCAATCAACACAATTAGCACGGTGTCTTTCCTTTTCTTACCCTTTACAAGCACAGAGTCACCTCTGAACAACTCTAGCTTGTCCATGGTGTTTGAGTTGATAGCGATCACAGAGTTGTCATCATTGGTAGCATCGTCCACAATCAATGTGTTGTCCTTCTTCTTACGTCTCAAAATAGCAGTGGCGGTACTGTCCTCCACAGTTGGTTCGGCACCAGAACCATCCAACAAGGGCTTGTGTTCCTCACCCATTTTTATAGTTCCTTTCTATTGTCTCGTTTGTTCTCTGTTTCAGTTCTAAGGTAAATCACACAATGCTCGGCTCAAAGTCTCAGTATACTTTCAGAGGCCACACGTTAGTTTATTTACTTTAGAATGCTGTGGGTCTACTTCCAATTGAACAGCAACACCCGCATCCACAAGTTCCCTTCCTGTTTAAATACCTTTTGCAATTTGAAGGGTTGTTTCGGGTTCTTTGCCACCTCGGATTCCCAGGTTTCCAAGGAAAAGGGAATTAAGTATGGCGTACATAGTTATATGTATAAGCTGGGCAATGTTATTCGCATAGAGGCATAGTTATAGTATTTAAGTATCAGTCAGTGGGGGTCTCCACGTCGGCTATACATGGCTCATTATATAATTTCTAGGTTAAGGCGTCCCAAAACCCATTTCGTTAGCAATTGTAGGAAGTGTGTGCTGATATAAGTCGTTATGAAGCTCGTAGAAGCAATTCAGGATTCCAACTTGGCCACCAATTCCTTGTGGAACTTTGCCAATTGATCCATGTCGGCTTGCTTGGCAGGCCAGCCGACAATGAGGCCTGTCTTCTCGTCTGGCTTAGGGATCAAGTGGAAGTGGACGTGGTCTACCTCTTGGTGGGCGAGTCTGCCATTGTTTTGCAAAATGTTGTAGTTGCCGTCTGCGTCGAGGTTCAATGCCTTGGCGATCTTCTTGGCGGTTGGCAGCACGTCGTGTAGATACTCATCTGGAATGTCGTGCAGCTTGGCACCGTGCCACTTTGGAATAACCAAGGCGTGGCCTTGGGACGTTGGCTGGATGTCCAAGAACGAATAGACGTGCTTGGTCTCAATCAGCTTGAAGCTTGGGATTTCACCTGCGTGCGCTACTCCACATTCATTGCAGCTATTAATGCGTCAGAAGAGCGGGAATGTCGTCCACATCATGCAATGAATTGTAACAGAGACTTGTTAGTAATATGAACTCCATATTTCCTTTCCACATCGCTTTATGTAGGAAACATACCCTTGATAATCTTGCAGAAGATGCATGCGGCATCGTGAGCTACTGAGGCGGACATTAGATATATTTGTTGGTGGGTGAGTTACTGGTATGTCTCTCAAGTTGGCAATTCCCTCATGCAATTGGCTTATATACTCCAATTCTTAAGGATCCATGCGAGTAGAGGTCCGAACAGCCACACAATCATAGCAAACGGATTACTAACTTTGACAGCCCTATGCCAGCTTATCAACTATATCAGTCCCTAAATTCGCAATATATACACTTTCAATTGCAGCTATTGTAGCAAAGTCAATTGTATAAAGGACACCTATTACACAATGGTTAAGCAAGAATTCTTTAAGCTGAACAATGGCCATGAGATGCCCGGTGTGGCCATCGTTGGTACCGGTACCAAGTGGCACAAGGTTAATGAGACAGATGAGAACTTCTCACAGACACTGGTAGATCAATTGAAATACGCTCTGTCTCTGCCAGGTGTTGTTCATCTGGATGCCGCTGAATTTTATATGACCTATAGAGAGGTCGGAAGAGCACTAGCTGAGACTTCGAAGCCCAGAGATGAGATATTCATCACTGATAAATACTGGACTTTGAGCAAAGTTACTGAGAATCCCATTGTAGGTTTAGAGACTGGGTTGAAAAGACTCGGATTAGAGTACGTAGACTTGTACCTGTTGCATAGTCCCTTTATCTCTAAGGAAACCAACGGGTTCTCATTAGAGGAGGCCTGGGGTATGATGGAGGAATTATATCACAGTGGTAAAGCCAAGAATATTGGCGTCTCCAACTTTGCTAAGGAGGACTTAGAGAGAGTTTTGAAGGTCTGCAAAGTCAAGCCACAGGTCAATCAAATTGAGTTTAATGCCTTCTTACAAAACCAAACTCCTGGTATCTACAACTTTTGCAAGCAAAATGACATTCAATTAGCTGCATATTCTCCTCTAGGTCCTTTACAGAAAAAGCCAGCCGACGGTAATTCACAACCATTTTATAGCTATATCAACAAGCTGGCACAGCACTACAACAAAACCCCCGGTCAGGTTTTGTTGAGATGGGTTACCAAGAGAGGTGTCGTTGCTGTTACCACTTCTGAGAAGAAGGAGAGAATTAAACAAGCTCAGGAGATATTTGAATTTGATTTGAAAGATGATGAAGTTACTGAAATTACTAAACTAGGTCTAGACCACGAGCCTTTGAGACTGTATTGGCATGATCAATACAATAAGTACAACTCAGAGTCCCAGAAGGCCTAAACTTACGTTAAATAAAAGTTTGATCTTATATATAAGGTCTTCTATGTAATCTTCTATCTGCATGGTGGTTCAGTGTTCCACGGTTTGGTAGATTAATTAATTTGGTTGTTGCGTTAGATAAAGATATATAAAAATAACAGAATAAAAAATTAAACTTTAATTGGAAACTTCAGAGGTCATGAGTTGGTAAGAACTGTTCAGGGACTATATGGAGGTGGCATGCCCCCCTTCTTGTTATCGACAATATAACCAGGATCGTTGAGGAGAGGTGTTTGTACATCATAACCTCTCGATACTTCATCATTTGTAGCTTGTGGGGTTTCCCCTTGGGATGATTCAACTTGTGGGGTTGGATCGTGAGTGGCCAGTGGTACAGGCCTTGTGTCGCTATTACTGGAAACAAGTCTTTCGCTGTCTATCCAGCCTTGTTGGTATCTGGTTGAGTAGTCATCATTTCTTAGTGGACTAGTCATCGAAATATAGTATATGGCATGAATACAGCCGGGTACGAACCCACACATGGTCAAAAGCATATTCAGCACTAGATCAGAAGAGGCTATTCCCGACCTTATCACCACAGCGGCTGGTGGGAATATGAAAGCTAGTAGCATCAGGAGAAAGTCAGGAAATGTACAGCAACACATATTATTTCTATAGGTATAATCTAGTTTTTGGGTATAGTGTAAATGTTTCTCTTCGGAAGAATATTAAGTCAGTACAATAAATGTTTACTAATTTAGCCTTTTATATAATCCTAACAGTTACTCTTTCTATGATAAATATACATCAAAGCAGGTGTGTCATCTAAAGCTTTTCTAAGAGATGAGCCCTGATTTTAAGTCGTTATCATTATTTTGGCCCCAGCTTGCACGCATTCTTCCTGGGATTAAGTGACTAAAATATCATAGAGCCAACGATCAATTCAGGAAATAGCCAGCACGGATCTAACTAGCCAAGTCTGATAAGAATCTGCAGGAACGAGATATTCTCGTTATCGAAACTTACAATTTAGGTTTTGCTAGTATTAGAGTTATGATATTAGACTCCTTTTTGCGGATGTTAATATGCTACTCTATCTATGATAGAAGCCTTTTGTTTTAATAGCAAGGTTTAAACAATTACTATGTAGAGCTCAATTTCAACCAGCAGATTCCTAATTGGAAATGCTCAAAAATAAAAGTAGCGCATGTTTACTTTACAAGTATTTATTGTAGTGTAAATCTACATTGCTGCTTCTTCTTAATAGCTGTGGGTGGTAGACCATGTATTACACAATGAATATGGAAAAATAAATCACGTGGTTAGTTTACTATCTGATGTAGTATCCTCAATGACGTGTTAATATCAACAAATCACAATGGTCTCTTGGCCCAGTTGGTTAAGGCACCGTGCTAATAACGCGGGGATCAGCGGTTCGATCCCGCTAGAGACCATTTCTTTTTTCAGTTATCGCAGTGTTACCTTCAAGACCCAGATGGTCTGTAAATTATAAGTTTTGTTTCTTTTAACTTCTCTTAGTCTGTTAGTTTTGTCTTATTATTTGTTTTTTTGTTAGTTATGCGAGAGTTCTTCAATTTAAACCTTTTAGCTTAAAAGAAAAATATATGCTGAATCTATCTAATCTAATAACCAACAATTACAATATGTTTCTTTTACATATAACTATATTTGCTATTACCTTCAATTTCTTTCTGTGCTCCTATATGATTTCCGATTTTTCTTAGAATTGTTCCATCTCATGTTTTTAGCCTTAGCTTTATCATCGTTCCTAGAAAAGTTACCTCTTTTGCTATTATCATTAAAATCGTTTCTTTTGGATCTTGGAAACTCTAATGGATCCCGATGGGAATTGTTGTTTTTCTTCTGTTTCTTGTTGGTATTCTTCTTTTTTGTGCTACCACTGTACTTCCTATCCAGTTGCGAGTTGTCCCATTCATCGTAAATGCTATCGTCATATTCATAGTCGTCGTAATTGAAATTGTTATTGTCATCAAACCTCTTATGGTTTCCTTTCACCTTACTGTTATTCTTCCTACCTTTTTTGCCTCTCTCTTGGTCCAATTTTTTATAGTACTTTGTTCGTAACTCATCTCTCAAATTATTGCCAGCGAATGCACTACCATCATCCTTCGGTACTCTTGATGATCTCCTTTGATTACAGTCATCACCAAAATGGCCATTGCCACCACAATTATAGCAATATATGGCATCTGTATCCAGATCTAGTTTTTTCTTGTTGCCCTTACCAGTTAACTCTTCTCTTAGTAAATACGACCTCCAAAGCGATGGGCATCTGTCTCTATCATGTAGCTTACTGTTACAAAGAGTGCAAAACACCCTTTTCCATTTATTTGGACATTGAGATCTATAATGGCCTACTTTATTACAATTGGCACACTTAATCGCCTTGGGGCAGTGTTGAGAATAGTGGTCATCCATTGACCCACAAAAGGTACATATCACATGAGGACAATCTCTCTTGAAGTGCCCTCTTTGAGAACAATTCCGGCATTTAGGTTCCGGTTCCTTAATACCTTCGGAGTCATCTAAACCAAAATATCTTCCTTCACCACGGAGAAACCGCAGTTCATTGGGATCGTTTCCAACTTGTTCAATGGATGGTGCGACAACTTTTATATCATCATTACTCATAGGCGTTGTATCTTTCACAAATGGAAGTGTATCCATCGTCTCAACTTCTGAAAGAGATGTCATAATTGCTAAATTATTTAAATAGCTGAATGTATTTCCTGGTAGAAAATATGGTATCTGTGTTGGACAATCTCTGTTGTACAGTATCTGTATCTCTGAAATAGAAGGTGAAAGTAAAACTTCCTTTCTATAAATTTTTCACTTAGGAATAAATTAAAGAAAGACCTCCTTATGCTAGTATGACTTCAACTTAGAGATAACACTCTCACAAATCGTAATTCTCTTTCGATAACTCTTCAAATTGATGGTCTTGCCAAGTGAAAAATTCTGCGATGAGCATCTTTTTTCTTAGAAAATGAAAAAAATTGAAAAACTGCGGTAATACGCGATGAGTAGCTTGAATAAGTGTCGATTGCTGCCGATAAGTTAGTGCTATTTTGCTCAGCTCCTGAACTGCTACTACTCTAACTAGTTGTTCATTCTTTTGTATGCATACCAAATGTCTCTATCAGATATTCTCCCGAATGATATAACAACAATTACTAGCCTGGGGAGCTTCAAGGCCACACCTGGCACACGAGAAAATACTATATACCAAGCATTGTGTAATGTTCCTTGGTTGGATGGTCTTGGCAGAGCTCAGATCATTGAAACTAAGATGCTTGCTGTGGACAGGGACCTTCTTTTTCAGATCATGATGGTTGAGAATATAAGTAAATCTAAAGTGACTCAAATAGATGATATGAAGACTACAATTGATCCCAGAAATCAGCGGGTAGATAGACTCCATAATAGTAACCCCAATGGTCCTAGCAAGAAATATAAAGTCATCAATGAGGTAAATATTGAAGAAGACGATGGTAATGGAAGCACTGAATCAAATGGAGTGATCGGCGGAGAGAAAGTAATGTATAAATTGACTTTACAAAGCAGGTCCGGACAAATATTTTATGCAATAAATCTCAAGCCTATATCATGGCCTTTAGCTGTCTTGGGATCAAAAATCGTAATAAAAAAAGGTACAAAATTTAGTAGAGGCATGTTTTTGCTGGCCGAGGACAATGCTATATTTGTAGGTGGAATGGTAAAGAAATGGAATGAAGATAAAGACTTGAAAATATTAGAATATCTAGAGACTAAAGCAAATAAGGAAAACGAACGCTTGCAGGCCTTGAAGGACTCTAGGAAGAGGAAGAGGTAGGGATAATATGCCATCTCCATATTTATTAATTATGTAAAATTGGCTCATGATGCAGTTATTTATTACCTGAAGAAGTATATAATGATAAAAGCATATTGTAATTCAGCTGAGAATGTACTTCATATAAATTAGTTCATTTTCTAGGGAAATGTCATTCGGACCAGACATTGGGCATCAGTCTAACAATAGATCCCATAGTTCATCAGTTTCGATAAAATCATGGTGTACAATTGAAACCAAATAGTAGTCGGAATGTACTTCTCTTAATAAAGTGTTGGATGGTGTGTTCCTAGGAAATAACTTGGCCCATTCAGACCAAATACTAAAGGCCTCATCTCTCCAGGCTTTAAAAGATTCTTCTTCAATTATTGTAGTTTGAATAACTTGACTGTTTGGGAACACACCCCACGTAACAACATTAGAGCTATGAGGGTCCAAATTGGTTTCAAAAGAACCTTTTGAATCTCCCGCATAGTAACTAAACTTACGGCGGCCATAATAATCGAGTTTAGGCTTAAGTATTGTTTTCCATTGTTGTCGGTGCACAAACATTTCAATAAATGCTTTTTGATAAACATGGCCTTTGCTAGGACCCCATCCAAATATTTTATCGGTACTTGAAGACGCATTAGTGCATGGCTGTGATGCCAGAGTTAAATATCCTCTGTAATTAAGTTGAATTAGTTCTTCCTGAATTAATGCAGTTTCAGGTGACAGGCCTAAGTCGCACCATGGCAACGACTGTATTGAGCCTTCTAAATACTTCACAAAAACAGCCTTTAAATCTCTAATAGAAGTTGGTGATCCCCACAATTCATAAGCTCTTTTATTGCTGACTTTCAAGGAAGGTCCGTAACCATCAATCTCACCATATGCTGGTGATCTAGAGTCACCAAATCTACCATTAGGAAATTCATCCCAAGTAGCATCTCTACCTAGAACACCTGAGCCTCTAGAAATAGAAACAACTAGTTTCTTTGATGCTAATTCTGATGATTCGTTTCTATCCGTTTTTCCACGGTTTATTATTGCCCTATTGAAGATTACATCAGCAGAGACAGAGCTTGACTGCCTACGCCTCTTAAACTTTAATGGATTCTCTTCATGTTGATCAACTAATACAATATCACCATCTTCATCCTGTGATACTACTTGATCTTCTTCATTATCACTCTCTTCTAATATTTTTGATAGAGTAGAAGATTGGGAAACAATTTGAGCTACCGCCTTCTCCAAATTTAAAGTATAAAAGTGGAAACACTTCACTCTACCATTAGTTTTCGAGTATATCTCTTCAATTATATCGATTAAAACATCCACACCAATTGATTTGACAATACCATCATCGTTTTGGATCTCCTGTGGGAATCTATCCAACACGGCCTTCGGAATGGATGCATGAGACAGTCTTGCCGCTCTATGGAATAAACTGAAAGAGTTAATGGGCATTAAACCGGGAAAGACTGGAATAGTTTCAGATATTTGCTCTCTGAACATTTTTTCGAAATCCAAAAATTTTGATACATCATAAAATAGCTGAGTTATGACAAATTGCGCTCCTGCATCAATCTTCTCTTTCAAAAAAACCAGGTCCTTCAGAGGATCTTGTTCATTACCCTCAGCCTCGCCTTCACAATGTCCTTCGGGATATGCTGCGACACCGATACAGAACTCATCACCGTAGTTTTCCTTTATATATCTTACCAGATCAACAGCATATCTAAATTCAGGTCCTTCAGAACTATTAATAGTCTTATCATCCCATTGGTCCTCGATAGGAGCATCACCACGAAGAGCCAAAATATTCTTAATACCATATGATCTACATGCGTCCAGAGCTTCCTTGATGAGAGTGGTATCCATGTTTGTACAGGTCAAATGCATACAGATAGGCACATTTAGATCACGCTGTGCAATCTGTGCCAACTCCAGTGTCTTCTCAGAAGTGCTACCGCCGGCACCCCATGTCACAGTTATGAACAAAGGATCCAGTGCTGACATTCTCTCCATACGCTCCAGTAAGTTCCTCTTACCTGATTCAGTCTTTGGGGGGAAAAATTCCAGAGATATCAGAGGACCATCACGATCACTGAAAGTTTTACAGATCGACATCTTGCTGATTCTGTCTCCAATTTTGATAAAACAGGAAATGACTATCTTACGCTGCTAGCCTATTGGACTCGCTCGTTACCGACTAAAAAGAGAGAGGAATAACAATGGCAGAACTCTGCTGTGGATACTTTGCTTTTCAAGTATAAATAAACCTGCGTAGCTTATATAGAAGATAGAAACCTAGTCTTCAATCAATCTTTCATTAAAATTCCAATTTGACTCAGATTGTTGTGAAGTTCATGAAAAATTGCAGAAGTTTGATGATTTTTTTGCAGAAAATGCTGAGAAAAATTTAAAAATTAAGGATTGCGATGAGCTGAGGAGCTTAATACACTTTAGGAGTTTGTAGTTCTTAGGCTCAACCTATCGGTGCTGTTAGTGGTTATAGAACACTTAATGAACTAGATGCAATTGTTTGTACAAGACGACTCCGATGATGAGTTGCAATTGGAGCTGTCCCAGCAAGAGGAACAGAAGCAGAAACAGTTCAATGATTCACGTAGACTCATAGATGAGACTCAACAGAAGAACGATGAGCAAGTATCTGTGGTTAGTGAGACCACTGTCTACAGTCCAAATGATGAAGACGCTATACTCTATCCACTAATTCCAGATGATCTTGATGAATCAACTGAGTTCAAGCCCAATATTGAGGATATAAGGCCTGTTGACATACAATTGAATCTATCGTTGCCGTTTCAGCAGCAAATCATTGAGGATGTGCTTGCTACTGATGATCCTTTAGTAATTATGGGTAAAGGGCTTGGTATGGTCCCCATTGTGTCTAATCTGCTTCACGTACTAGCCACTCCTACTGTTATAAAAGGGCAATTGAAGCGCTCCCTTGTGGTTGTCTTGAATGCCACCGGGTCAGAGAATCGGCAAATATCAGAAGAGCTTGAGGAGTTGAATTGGCTAGTAAATGCAGATGATAATGCTGGGCCCTTTGCTAGCATAGATGAAGATGACGATGATGACCCTAAGTACTCAATATTTAATGAAGTCACGGCGGAAACTCTAAGTGTGGAGAAAAGAAGGCAATTATATTTAAAGGGTGGTATTGTCAGTGTTACGTCTCGGATATTTATCGTTGATTTGCTTTCAGGAACTATACATCCAAACAGAATAACTGGTTTCGTAGTTTTAAATGCTGATAACTTGAGAAATTTTTCGAATGAATCGTTTATTTTGGAGATATACAGATCAAAGAATAGATGGGGTTTCATAAAAGCGTTTTCAAATAACCCAGAATCATTTTCGATGTCTTTTTCTCCATTGATAAATAAAATGAAAGAGCTTCATCTTAAGAATGTTCTTTTATGGCCTCGATTTAGGATTGAGGTATCTGCCTCACTCAACAATGAAAAAGTTATCAATGGTCAGATTAGGTCGGATAAGGTTATTGAAGTGCGTATTAACCCCACTAATGCAATGTCACAGATACAATTTGGCCTAATGGGTTGTTTGAAGAAATGTATAGAAGAATTGACACGGAAAAATACAGAAATATCGATAGAATATTGGAATATCGAGAATATTTTGGATGCAAACTTTATCAGATCTATAGATGCGATAATGGTGCCAAATTGGCACAGAATTTCTTTTGAATCAAAACAATTGGTTAAGGATATCAAGTATTTGAAGAGATTATTAAAGATGCTCTACTCCAGTGATGCAGTTGATTTTTACGAAGAGGTACAGCTTAGTTTAGAAGCTAATAAGCCGAGTTTGGGTAGAAAATACTCAGAATCGCCATGGTTAATGGCAGAGGAATCTCAATTAGTTATTTCATATGCTAGACAAAGAATTTTCAACGGTCAGGATTATGTTTTAGAGGAACTTCCTAAATGGGATCAGTTACTAAGTATACTTGATGATATTGCCTATGAGAAAACAACTAGAAATATTGAAGGTTCTACCCTAATTGTTTGTAATAATAACACCACTGTGTTGCAGCTAAGGCGGGTAATCTCAAAATATGATAATGAGTTTGGTATGCGTAACATTATGCTAAGTAAACTTGAATGGTACAAAATGAAGAGAGAGGAGCGTAAAAGAATTGTTCGAGATTTCAAGAAAGAAGAAACCGAGCCTGAAGTACAGCTATCTGTCAGTTCCTCTTTTGCCAAGGAGGAAGTAGTGACCAAAAGAAGAAGGACTCGTGGGGCTGCCGCTGTAGCTGCTGTGCAAAAACTACATAGTGCTGGTTCAGGCATTGATATAGAGGATGTGATTGAAAATTACGATTTTAATGCGGAAGCACAGGGAACTATGAAATCTACGTCCGATGATTTGATAGAAGATTACAGGGTAGAGGAACAAGAGGGTTATTATAACGTTGAAGATGAAGGAGAGTACGATGACTTTGAAAACAGTACTTTATTCAAGGAGTTTATGAAAAGAGAAGCTGATCTAATTGATCAAACAATGCAAAAGAAGAAGGAAAATTTTGAGTACTTGGATAGACAGGATCAATTACTGATAGAAACTTTTAGTAGGATAGGTGATGACGTTTTATTTGAGGAGATGATGCCATCTTATATTATCATGTATGAACCTGACTTAGCGTTTATTAGAAAAGTCGAAATCTTCAGAGCTTTAAAAAGAGAGAACCCTCCAAAAATATTTTTTCTGTACTATGGTGATAGTGCAGAAGAACAAACTCACCTTCTTTCTATAAAAAAGGAAAAAGATGCTTTTAGTAAATTAATTAGAGAAAATGCAACTTTAGCACAGAGATTTGAAGCTCAGACGGATCTCTCACATTTCAAAAATCTTGCTGAAAGAAAGCTTAAGCTATCCAATATCCGGAAAACTAATACTAGAACTGCAGGTGGTCAACTTGGCCTGCGAGAGCTAACTCAAGATGTAGTATTGGTAGATACTAGAGAATTTAATGCCGCGTTGCCGGGTTTGCTGTTTCGATATGGGGTAAGGGTAATACCATGCATGTTAACTGTCGGTGATTATGTTCTTACACCAGATATTTGCGTTGAAAGGAAATCAATATCTGATCTAATTGGATCTCTCCAAAACCATAGACTTGAGGCGCAATGTAAAAAAATGTCTAAGCACTATAAGTATCCTACGTTGATGATAGAATTTGATGAAGGTCAATCATTTTCACTTGAACCTTTCAGTGAAAGAAGGCTATACAGATCAAGGGATTCTTCTACTACACATCCGATATCTAATAAGTTATCTCAAGATGATATTCAAATGAAACTTTGTAAGTTAGTGATGAAGTTCCCAGGACTTAGAATAATGTGGTGTTCTTCTCCCTTGCAATCTGTAAATATCATATTAGAATTAAAACTAGGGAGGGAACAACCGGATCCAAATATAGCAATTGAATTGGGTTTGCATAGGAAAATGGGTTTGTCTGAAAAAAGCATTGACAATGAGCAAAGCTTTAAAAAGCTGTTATCAATTCCGGTCTTGTCTAAAATAGATTACTTTAACATAAGAAAGAAGGTCAAAACTTTTAGGAAACTAACAAAGATGAGGCTTATTGACATCCAGAATGTTGTTGGGAATGAAATGGTCGCCACAAAAGTGTATGAATTCTTGCATAATGATGATAACGACGATGATGACTATGATATAAGTGATTTAGATTAAGATGTGCATACATGAAAAGCATAATAGGACAATGATAATATTAACTTCGTATTTAAATTAGTATTTTGTATCTGCTTAAAATTAGAAATGGAATATGTAACAACTATATGTATTGTATCTTATTAATTTAATAGTCATGGAAAATTCTTTTTGAAATCTTATTTCATGCTCTCGATAATATTTCATCTTTAAGTTCAATAAGGCATTGTGTCTGCTGTAGAATATCGGGGTGTAAATATTGATTGGTAATAATTTCGATACTTTCAATTTCTCCCGGGAAAAGCTCCGGAACAGCGGCCAATGTTTTAGACGCAATTTCATCTTTGTCATTAGTTTTCACCTTTTCATCAATTTCAAGCGCTTTATCTATCATTAAGTTGACTAATTTCAAGCATGATGAACCAATCAATGGAGCAAGTTTCTTGAATTCCATGTTTTCCATCACACTATTTCCGTTCGCCTTTGATAACTCATTGGTATCCCCAGATATATCATTGTAAAGCTTCCCTAATGAACGCAGCTTGTAACCGTAGTTTTCAGCGGTAGTTAGCCATATTAAAGGCATATTTTTCTTTAGTGTGTACTCATTAACAGATTTCTCATCACAAACCTGATCTACAATTAGAAGTAGAGATGTTATTGATTGTGAAATCAAAGGTGTCATGCTATAAAGCAGTGAGCTTGTTTCATTTATTTGCTCAAAGGGAATCACAGAGAGTAGAAATGAAACTACATCATTTAGTAATTTATATTGATCGCCCTTACAGTACGCATCTACTAGCTTTTTGGTTAGCAGTTCGTCTTTACTTAACGAGTCGTCTCTAGTGGCAGATGAAAATGAAAACAATAAACGCATTATGATATTTTTGGTCGATTGCTCAGTCGATAGCAGCTTAGAAAGTACATCCACACCAAATGACTGATATTTGCCCCATGTTAGAGAATACTCGTTATAAGACAGTTCGTCACTTCTTAAGCTGCCAGAGTTCTTCTTTGGTTCTCCAAAACTTAAGATCAGAATTAGTAGTAAAAATCCGTCCACGGACGAATGAAATGGCATTAGGTGAGCAATGTTAGACAATGTTATGGCAATATCTTTTCTGAAGTTTAGTCTTTTTCTTTCAAAAACAAACTTTTCGTGGTCTAAAAACACTGCCCATAACATATCGGCAAAAAATCTTCTTAGGAAAGGGTTAGATGCTAATATCCTTGCGTTCGCCTCTGAAAAGGAAGCATTTCTGAGAATCATACAGATGGTAGATAATTGATCTGTTATAAGAATTCTTGCATTCTCTGCACCTTTGGTGTTTACTTTTGTCAATGGGCAATCGACTTCATCTTTTACAGCTCTTAGTGACAAAAGGTAGGATGGCACATGAAGCTTATTTGGAAATTGATTCTGCAGGTACTTGACAGGTGTTGGTAAAAGATCCCATGTGTTATTGTATATTGGCTTTAGTAAGTCACTTATTTCACTTGTCATTGGGGGTATTGTATCTTTACTGTCTTGATTATCATTTAATGACGAATTTTGTAGGATATCGGTACCAGTTAATGAATCGACTCTTACTGAATTTCCACTTTCTACTGTGTTTTTTGCTAATTTATCAAAAATCTGATCAATATTGTGATTCGTCTTTGAAAATGTGCATGTATCATTGGACAGGAAGGATTCCACCTCATCGCTAAGTACATAAGAAAACAAATTGGTTTGAAGAAGCCTTAAATCTGATTTATTTTCACAAAGGTTGGAGAGTAAGTTGATGCCCAGAATGCACAATGACTCAATCAATTCTGGGTACATTTCTATATTTAATTCAAGTACAGCATCTGAGCTGGTAACCAGTAAGGTATTGAGTGCAACATTTATTTCACCAATATTTCCTGCCTGTAACGACATTGACAAAGCATGCAAATTTACGGTACCTAATTCCGGAGCAAACAAGAAAATTGGTTTGTTAGCATTCACTTTTTCTCCTACCTTAGCGACATATTCAATATCATATCCATTAGATCTTTGAATAACACGTTTGAGAGGAGTATAATTTCTACATAGAGATCGCTTGTATACTTTTGGCAATTTTTCCAACTCCTTTTTATACTGATCTTTTAGTTTTTGCTCTATAACCATTTTTTGCTGTAATTGTTGCTCTTCAATATATTGTTGCTGTTTCTTTTGCATTTCTTCTAATTGCTTCTTTTCGAGTTCAAGTTCTTTCTTAGTCTTTTTCTTTTGTCTTGGTTTCCTAGGTTTCTTCACAGCTTTTTTTGCGTTTTGATCTAAATTTATTATACTTGTTGAGGGTACAGGGGTTGCTATCGGAGTTCCTGTTGGTGTATCAGTAGATGCCTTCTTTCTTCTGTTCTCTTTTCTCTGTTTACTGTCAAATGTTGTTTGTTGATTTATCATGGGAGAGTTAGTAGTATCAAAGGATCCCACCATATTTTGACTCTGATTGGAAAAATGCATTTGGTTCTTTTGTGGAATTGCCTGTTGTTGAAGTTGCGTAGGAGTTTGACCTTGATTTTGGTTTTGTATCTGTCCTGGCTGTTGAGAAGGTTGTTGCTGTAATCCTTGCTGTTGTTGTAATCCTTGCTGCTGTTGGACTTTCTTTAATAGCTCTTGCAAAAATTGCTGTAGGAAGAATTTTTTGGCTTGAGTTTCTTTTTGTCCTTCAGGAGATTCTAGAAACTTCTCATATGGGTAGATTAATTTGTAATATACCCCTTCCAATTCTTGGGCGTTTGAAATTTGAAGTTTTTGAGCTAAAAAGTTCCATTGTTGATTTCTTGATATTTGCTCCCCGCCGCCAAGTCTTTGAGTAAACATGAACAGGTAAAATAAATTCACTTTCTTACCTTGAATTTCCGGAATTGATTGTAGAGGCATGTGGATTCTCTTACAGTTTTCTATCAGTGATTTCATGAATAGTTCGTATTGTTTGTTGTTAAGTTCCATTGATATCTTTTGCTGAAGAGCTGGATGTAGATTTTGAAGAATTGACTTTTTTTGCTGCTGTAGATTTCCATTTGCTGGGTTTGGTGAATTTGGTTGCTGCATTGCTTGTCTATTCTGCGCTTTAAATCGAGCCTGTGCTTGAGCCTGAGCTTGTGCCTGAGCCTTCGCCTGTGCTTGAGCTTGTGCTTGAGCTTGGGCCTGAGCTTGGGCCTGGGCCTGGGCCTGGGCCTTAGCCTTAGCCTGTGCTTGGGCTTGTGCTTGTGCTTGAGCTTGAGCTTGAGCTTGAGCCTGAGCTTGAGCTTGGGCTTGGGCTTGTGCTTGGGCTTGGGCTTGAGCTTGGGCTTGTGCTTGGGCTTGGGCTTGGGCTTGGGCTTGGGCTTGGGCTTGGGCTTGGGCTTGTGCCTGCATTTGAGCTTGTTTTTGAGCGTGTACTTGTTGTTGGACCTGTTGCTGAGCTTGCTTCTGTAACTGCTGTTGTGATTGTTGTTTACGTATCTGTTGTTGTTGTAAAGCTTGGAATCTTCTTTGTTGTCTCTGTTGTAGTGCAGCTAATATTGCAGCTCTATCTTGAGGGCTTGCGTTTTGTAATGCAAGAGCATCCTTTCCAGAAATCTTACTGTTATTACTGGAACTCCGTCCACTGTTCTGATTCATTGGTAAGTTGTTTTGTTGCATTTGGTTAGGAATGTTAGGTGAACCATGAGTAGACATAATACTGTTCGAAGGCATATTGGATCCAAATTGCATATTCATGTTATCCTGATTAGCACCTACAGCACCAGGAGTAGAATTACTGCCACTAAGATTCATATTGTTCGATGATCCAGGAGTATTAGCTGACTGATTAAACATCAAGATCTGTTGAGGAGTGTTAGCACTGGACTGTATATTAGACATGGTCATTTGAGGGGAAAGCGTATTTGTCATATTTGCATTCATATTATTATTAGAGTTATCAGCACCATTGAAGTTTAATCCCAATATCTGGTTATCCACCATAGAGTTTTTAGCAAGGATTGCCTGTGGTGACAAGCTGCCGCTGGCTTGGAAATTATTCATTGCAGAAGAGTTCTGAGGAGGTGCAGCGTCAAAATTAGAGCCTACAGAACCCATTGGTGATTGATTAGTCACAAAGTTGCCTGGTACTGTGTATGGAGTATTGGGATTGGATACAAAATTGTTCATATTATTACTATTATTATTCCCATTGTTATTCGATGTATTCGAGATATTCATGTTCATATTCATGTTACTATTATTACTCTGAGTTCTAATGTCTCCATCATTAAAAGGTTTGTTATTGTAAAACTGAGAATCGTCCATCTTCTGGTTCCCTGAATTGGAAGTATCCATTAGGTCTCCAAATAAAAACTGTGTAGAGTTCATTTCGTTATTAAAGAAAGGTGAATCCATATTATTATCGTCTCCTTCGGGAGCACCACTGTTGAAAAAGTCCATCTCACGCCAGTATTGTTTATTGAATTGTTGTGTATAGTCCTAAGATTTTCATAAACGTGTAATAAGTTCACTCGGTGGATGAAGGTGTATAGAGAAAGAAAAACCCTGCTTTCCTGTATTTGTTTTCCCAAATTATATGATAGCTAATTTTCCAGCTTGCGTTACAGAGTTAGGTAGAGTGTCAAAAGTTAGTTTGTTACCACTTTTCAACAAATTATTGTATCTGCAACTTTAACAAACACACTTTGTCCAAAACGTCTTTGTCGTGGCAAGAACAAGCTGTTCAGATTGAAAATTCTTAGTGAAAGATGAACTTTACTATAGGTATGGGTTATTCCCTCAAATATCAACCGAAATATGTTAACTTTCACCTTATCTCAAACTGAATGTGCTAAAGTTTGAACAAAGATGCTCATCAGTTTGCTTATTATGACATTTCGCATTTGTCGTTGCACCAACTTGAAGAAAAACAAACTGGCACCGTCGTGTTTTGAACTCTTTGGCCGGGTAAAGGTTTTCGGATGTTCTCATAGTAACAACAGTAGTCATAGTCATAACCAGATATGCTTTGGGTAACAGGTCGATTGAGACAATTGTAGTTTCATTGATATGTTTATTGAAAATTGTTTAGAGACTAATTTATATAGATATGAAGTAAATGACACCAAAGTTGGTTAGTTTATTGAAGAAAACAAAAAAAAAAAAAACGACAAAATAAAAGAGTGTGTAGTTATAAAAACTAGTTGCTAAACAATATTTTTTAAACATTAGTTAATTAGACACTAAATAGCGTTCAAGACAATATCAAGCGAATGCGATTCTCTATATTTGTTTTTAGCTCGATATCATCATCAGGTATTTTCAATAATGCATTCTTCAGAGAGGTCACAATGGTATTTTTGCCCTGTGCCTCAGTGAAAATTAGGTGTTCGATAAACGACTCAAGGTTCGTCGCTATTGGGGGAATTGGGGAGCCCTGCATGACTAAAGCTGTGAGCAAACTCTCTATTCCCCTTTGCAATTCGCCATTTTTCACTAAAGTGCTTCCCAGATTGTACCGCGCTCTGACAAAAGAGGGTTTCAACTCAATAGTGTTCATATAAACTTGAATGGCTGTGTCGTAACGTTTGGAGTTAGCCAGGGTGGCACCTAGGTGGTTCCAAGTTATTTCATCCTTGGGATCCTGTTCTAGAAGTTTTTCAAAGCATTTTATGGCGTTATCTGATCTGCCCAGCAGATAGTTAAAGAGTGCTAAAACGGTCAGTATATCCTTGTCTCTTGTAATATTTATAGCGGTAGAAGGTATATCTAGTAGAACATTTTCCATCGTCTCCCGGACGTTAAGAATTGACAGTTCCTGGGGCCAGTTCGATATTGTAACGCCTTTTAGTTCTAAAGCACGTGAGAGACACACGGTTGCCTCTACTGCGTTACCTTGGTTTATATGCGACACAGCCAGTAACTTCAATGCCTCCAAATGACCTGGTTCAAGCTCAAGCGCGTGTTGGAAAGCATCCATAGCGCTTTCTTCCTGTTCGTTTTGTAATTGCACTATCCCCAATCTGTACCAACAGTCGACCATGTGTTGTTGTTCATGCTCTTGCAAGGCCGCTTCAAAAGCCAAAATTATCTCACTTAAGTTGCAATTGTTTTCCATCAAGATGCATGCAATTTCGTAAGCGCTTGGGGATGAGTTCAAGTACTTGTTTTCTGTATTGAAAACATAGGCGTCTCTTGTTAGCGGATTGCGGTATGATGGGGAGCGAGCCAATCCCGGGCCTGCTGAGCATGTATTACCCTCAGAGTGTACTGAAGTCGCCTTGCTTGACACGTAGTCGTAGATGTTAAGGCAGTCTTCTTCTAGGTCTGAAGAATAGTGGTAGCCGACTGTCGATGTAGAATGCACCGATTCCTGGTGCTCTCTTTCTCCCCCGTAGGATACAGTAGTGCCCTCTAGGACGTTCTGAGACTCGCCTAATTCACCTTCAATTTGCGCAAATTCACGTTCCCAGTCAAACGACCCATCCAAGTTCAAAGGTTGTTGCAACCCCATGGTCCTGGGCGAAAACCCAATGGGTCTATGTGATACAGGCACATGTCTGGTGAAGTTGTAGTTGTTTGTAGGCGGTGCAGGTTCGTTTATCTTCTTGAACTCACGCACGAGGTCGTACCCGCTGTCATTATTTGCACAGTAGTTTACATTATTGTGTGCGTGACTAGAAGTAGAGCTACAAGTGGAGCTAGAAGCGGCTTTGTTCAGGGTGATACTTGGAATGGCCAATGGCGTAGGCTGGACATTGGGCGCATTGGGCACATTGGTATAAAGAAACGCGGAGGCCTCGTCCCTTGGCGACACTTTGTTCTCCAGTTTCTTGCCAAACCTGAGAGAAGAGTCGATCCTCCTCGTCAGTTGCAGAACACTGTTCCCGCCGCGGCAGTCCATTTCTTAGTGGCACGGCAAGAGCAAAGGTCAAAGATCAGTAAAAGGCTCAACCTGTTTCTTAGACTCCCCCGCCCTTTCAAGTTCGTGGTAGCTACTTGTCTGAGCGCTTTGTGTTGCGAAAGGAAAAGTGTACTGAGATCAGCAGCTATGGATACACGCACACGGATATAAGAGTATAAACCCCGGATGTGTAGCCCCCTGTGATAGTCCCTGCACAAAACCCGCTAGCGATGGGTTTCTCCAACTTTCAGTCCTTTTCCTGTTCTCAAAACCGAAAATTTCCTCCGCTTTTGTCAGTGTCACTTAGAACGCTTCGCACAACTTCAAGTGTAAATCACTAAAATTCTATGTGCAGTTCAGAAGTAAGATTGCGCAGCAGAAGCTTTCAAAACAAAAATAAAAATGGACCCCTAAAATAAAGTACTGTAATGGGAATGAGAACGGGTATGGCTTCTTGTAAATCGTCGCAGCAGAGTCGGGGTTTACAGGCGGGAAGTGGAAAAAGCACTATGGAACAAATATTACTATGTGCCTGCTATTCTGTGAGCCCGCTTTCAAAACAAAATATGATGACGAGCAATTAGTATTCCCACAGACAAGCTAGTACAGTCTGCAGAGTATCCAAAACTACAAAAAATTCAAAGTTCTACTACCGTCATTCAAAAGAGAACATTGGAAAAACGACGCTTCAAAACCCACAGTACTAGAAAGACCAGACCCTATTTATACTGTCTTCCTTCAATAGTGCTAACACCCTCTCCCCCCACACACACACTGCAATCTCCAACTTTTGTGGCTTGATCCAGCCCCCTTGTATTACTCTTCTCAGGACAAGCTACCCGCTATAGTGTTCGGTGTTAAGTAGTGATGAGCCGGTTCCTGACAAATTTCAATCTGAGTCGTAAGACGTGAGTATATTCTTATGGGACATAGCCGCTGTGGTTGTCCTGTACACCTTTCTATGCAGCTTGCGTACTTTGCTCGTGGCCTCGTTGGTGGTCTTGTTAGTGGTCCTGCTTGTGGTCCTGCTTGGGGTCTGCGTTTGTTGTGGCGGTAACAGTGATAGCAGCGCGTTTACCAGGTCTTCTTCCTTGTGCGCGCGCGACTGAGGATCCGGGTCCTCTCGGGCCCACTTGACTAGTAGACCAGTGCTGTCCTGCGCACCCAGTGCCGCGTCCTGTGCCATGGACAGAGACAGAGACTGGTCCCGCATGGCCTCCTTCGCAAACTCCGCTGTTATGTGGTGGCGGTACCGCACAAACGCACAGTTCTTCTCCGGTAGGTACCGTACTCGGTCCATCGGGCCCAGTCTGCCAAACATATACCGTATCCTGCTCTCCACCTGGCGGCTGTTCAGCGGTTTCCCGTTCTTCATAACCGCCGCATTGCCGATATTGCCCACGTACAACGTCCGGTTCTGCTGGTTGAAACTGCCTACCCCTGCCATGTCTTCCCGGTTCTCAGCATGCTTCTCGCGCCCAAAACAATCCAGCAGCGGCGTGCCTTCCACCAGGTACCTGTCGAAGTCGCTCTGCTCGGGTATGTGGTGCAGATACTCGCACTTGTGGCCCAACGCACATAGCCCACGCGCAAAATACAAGCAGAACTTCCACGTCCCGCTGCTGTCGCCTCGCGTCACACCGCTGTCCCGCTCGGGGTCCAGCCGGTGCACAGAAACATGTCTGCTGGACTGCCACTTGCCATACCATATGTTCACAGAATGCGTTTGCTGCGCAGCAGCCAGCTCGCCGCTCACTTCCGCAAGCTGTACCCGCGCCTTCCGCTGCCTCCACCCTTTATCGCTATCCATCAAGACAAGACTGTTTGCTGCCCTGAGTTTCCCAAAGCACAATATCCACTCGCCAAGTAACAATTACTTATAATATGTTTGCCAATGTACCTATGACTGTGGCTATACTATTACTGGCAGTTGCCCCGTTTGGTATGAAAGCCGTTTTAGCAAGGAAGGCCAGAAACACACACAGAAACGCACGCACAACTTGAACTTATTTCCTTTCCTGCGCCCTTTTCTAACAGAATTTTTGCAAAAAAATTTATGGATAATGTTAAGGTCATGTGATTATATTGAGGTGCCACGATACGTATCCCATCCCCCCCCCACGCTATTAGTGTGGTGACGAGATGGGCTTACCTCTCTCACTCTCTCACTCTCACCTCTTGCATTAAAATTTTTCTTTCAGCTAGTTCACACTGAAGTTTTTTGCAGAAATTTTTCAGCTTTGGCGATGAGCATTGCAATAGTGTTATTATCCTGGGTTATCCTCTGTGGTTCTTGGATGCTGACTGTTTGAATATAGAAGACCTTTGCATTTTATCACACATATACACACGCACAAACACAAGCATACACTCACATACACATACACAAACCAAGGAATAATGGCTAAGGAAGTAAAGGAAGATAACTACGAGGCTCGTATGCCAGCTGTGCTACCGTTTGCCAAACCACTAGCGTCTAAGAAGTTGAACAAGAAAGTCTTGAAGACTGTCAAGAAGGCCTCCCGTGCTAAGAACGTCAAGCGTGGTGTCAAGGAAGTTGTCAAGGCCCTAAGGAAAGGCGAGAAGGGTCTTGTGGTCATCGCCGGTGACATCAGTCCCGCCGACGTCATCTCCCACATCCCAGTGCTATGTGAGGACCACGGTGTCCCATACCTGTTCGTGCCATCCAAGCAAGACTTGGGTTCCGCAAGTGCAACCAAGAGACCTACCTCTGTGATATTCATCGTGCCAGGCAGCAACAAGAAGGACAAGTCCAAGGAGGAAGAATACAAGGAATCTTACAACGAAGTTGTCAAGGAAGTCAAGGCCTTGTAAGCGTCCTTACCAAATAAATCACTCCATTAAGAGAACCAGAGTCTCTCTATCATTATTATATGTGTAAATTATATCCTTTTGTATAAGAAATCCATTTAAGAAACCCCCCTCAAGAAATAAAAACCCATTGAGCATTAAGAAAATACATGAGCTGTCATATCTAGGAACTGACAAGGCCATCTAACACTCTGGTTCGATCATTGTGTATGTTATATACTAGTTTTTCCCTCATCACGCCTAAAAACTGAGAAAGAAAAAAAATCACAGAAGTACCACTCTTAAAAGATACAAAAACTGTATAATTGAATAGAACCTCGAAGACATTGGCAGACAGGATCGCTGGCAAATCTCAGGAGTATACCACCGCTGCAGATTAACCAATGCGTTTTGTGCTTGACGAATTATACTCAGACGAGGAGTCCTCGCTCGACCTGGGTGTTGGCTCGGACTCTGATTCCTCTAATGACCCAGACTACTCAAACATCGCTGATCCCCACGACTTGTACTCCCCCAAGCTGAGGATACCTAAGAAGAAAGATGTTCCAACTAAAACAAGAACAGCTAAAGAAGAAGAGGTTACTTTACTGCCCGAGATCGCAAGGATACTGGAGGGCAAGCAGTTTAAGAGTAGCGTCATCGCTGCAAATACTGTTCCCAGTGTAATACATCTGTCCAGGGAAGAGGAACAAAATACCGAGAGCCTGATAGATAAACGAAAGGATAATAAGCTTGCGCACAGCTTAGCTCCAGATGTAAATATAGAGCAGATGGAAGCGCAATTCTCGAAAGTTATGCTAGGAAAATTGGATAGCCTCGAGACTCTGAACAGGAAACGTATCGAAGAAGTCAGGGCAGAGAAAAAGCGAATAGAGGAAGAGCAAAAGAGGAAGTTGGAGGAAGAGAAACGCAGGAAAGAACTAGAAGATAAAAGGTTGAAAGAAGAGGAGGAAAGAGCTAAGAAAGAACAAGAGAAACAAGAGAAAGAACGGTTGGCGGCTCTTGAAGCTGAAAAGAAGCGAGAGCAAGAAGAAAAGGCTAAAAAGCAAGCTCAGGCTCAAGAAAAGGACAAGGCACAAAAAGCGGTAACAGATTTTGACTCAATAAGTAAAACTTTTTGGAAGTATAAAGCTAAGATCAAGTCTATCAAAGAAGAGATTGTGATACCAGTCAAAAATGCTGATAAGGAGCTCAGAAACATTCTATCGAAGCATAAGCGTAAGATTAATCCGAAGTTTGGGCAATTAACCAACACATTTTCACAATTACAGAGTATACAAAATGAGTTAAGTCATTTAATCGATGAAACAAAAGGCCAACAGTTGGCATACTTATGGATATTGAACTTTATTGCAAAAGCTATAGTTCACCAGGCCGAAACGGAGGTGCGTGCAAAGCCAGAATCTTCTGTACCATTAGCAAGGTTGGCATTGTATATAATGGTACGATATCCCGAATTTAAGGAATTATTGCTTGCAAGATTTGTTAAGAAATGTCCGTTTGTTATGGGATTTACGTGTGACATAGGAACAGAAGATGGAAGGGGAAATATGGGTTGGAAAAGAGATTCTTCCGGTAAATGGGAGGAACCTACTTCTTACAACGAACGTATTGGGGCTATGGTTACCTTATTTTCCGTTATAACTAGGCTAGAACTGCCTCAGGAATTTATCCAGACATCGAACCATCCGCTACCGATTTCCCATTCCTGGCATCTTGTTGCCAGAATCGCAAATACTCCATTAAAGCTGATACAAGACACACATTTTGTCGTTCTAGGTTCTTGGTGGGATGCTGCTGCCAAGGAGTTTTTACAAGCATATGGTGTCCAAGCTGCAAAGCTGCTTCAGTTAGTCGGTGACAACTTAACATCTGCAGTTGCTGATAGGAAGTACGTTGGGGCAGCCAGATTACGTATACTTCTGGAATCTTGGCAAGAAAACAAACTGGAAAGTTTTCCAGAAATGGTTCCTTGAATATGATCGACACTAATTCGTTCTTTTTTTCATTTGTAAGTAAAGATAGATACTTAAAACACAATTTGCATCTTTTTTATCTTGTAATACCAGTTTTTCCTGGTAGAAGTATTCCAATTTAGGAAGCATATCATCAGCAATATTGTAATTCCGATAGAATTAATTCTTATTTTCCACAAAAGTAGTGATCAAATATATCAACAAACTTCTTGGTGCGGATTAGCAATATCGTTGCTAGCTCATCGCATTTTGCTGATATCATAGCTCTCATTCCTAAAGAGTCAATGATTTCCTTAGAAAAGTTCGTACGAGAGGGGTTTTTTTCAGTTCTGAAATTTGGAAAAATAATAGCTGCCCACAGTGAGACATCCCAAAATTGTAATCATAGTTGCAATTCCCAAGCAATTACTGAATCAATTACGGCGGGAGGACCTCAAATAGCAGTTATAGTAACAGGCTACCGGGTAGATGGATGTTTCACTTGTGGCTCTCTATTTGAAGTATATAAATTTGAAGCATAATAGTAAGCACAGCTGAATTTTCTTGAATGGGGATATAAGCAAACCTTACATTAAGCATTGTGTGAGAAATTATAATTGAAAGAGAAATAGGACAGTCTAATAGGTAATCAAACTAAAAAATCAAAATGGCGGTCATTCCGCGGTTGTTGGCTGTTTGCCTGTTTTATTCTATCAACCTAATTGCAGTAATACGATATTTTGACTATGATGATAGGAGTGGTTTTGGTTTTTATTCGAAATTGATTCTGCTGACCGAATGTTTTATGATGCTTGGTATACTGACATCAGATTATTTGATACCATCGTTGTCCTTCATATCGAGGGATATCCTAAAGATATCAGATAGGGTTTCTGGTATGACTTTACTTGCCCTAGGTAATGCAATCCCTGATATCACCACTACCTACCAATCTATGAAACGAAATGAAACATCATTGGCTTTGGGTGAATTGATTGGTGGTGTTTTTTTCCTTCTTACTGTAATATTAGGAGTTGTTGGAATAGTATCAACAGTGAAATTTGAGCCATCCACTTCACCATTTGCAGATTATCCAGAAAGCTGTGAAACGTATCGCGAGTCGATGCAATCACATTCTTATAGTAGAGAGATTTTTTTGCAGGACATGAAAATCTTTTTGACTATGATAGTGGTTTCAACATTGTTTTTATATGACGGAAGATTATTCGTATGGGAATGCCTTATTATGGTGGTTACATACGTTGCTTGTGCAGCATATATGGTGTCAAGTCATTTAAACTACGGACTAGAAAATAATTCTGCTGTTTTGAATGGTGACGATCATTCCTCTTTGCGTGATATTATATATGATAATTTATCTACCATTACCGAGGAAAATGAGAACTCCAGTCTTCTTGGCGATAATGACCACATAGTCTCACCTTTGACAAATGAAAATGTCAATATAAGGTTATTTGAAGCAGGTATAGCTGAAAGGAGGAAATACATCCGCCGTGGAATTCAGCGTTACATGCGAACACACTATACAGGTTGGGTGAGAATGACATTAAATGACTGTCTTGACCTTTGGGAGCACTCGGATATGCTCAAAAGTCAAGAAAATTTAGGTAAGCAAGATCAAGATGATATTGTTGATAGAACTAGAGAGATTGGTTCAAATGAGATGGATCAGACTGAGATATCAGATACATTATCCGAATTGCCCTTGCCAGAACAACTACCAATCAGTAAGAGAATCAAAAGAAGATCCACATCATTAACTTCCAACTTAGAAAGACTAGAAATTCCTAAGATTGTCTATTCTGATTTTAGTCAGGGACTTGTGAGTGACAGATTTGAACAAACAGCAACTCCAGCTCCGGTACCCATATTTTCTACCCCACAGCCTCTACATGCACCAGTATTTGATGGAAGACCTCCAACTTATAGATCATTGAGTTACGATCATTTGGGTGATATAATACAAGAGCGTAATTATAGATCTGTTTCAGATAATAGGTCGGAGTTAGGTGAGGACTTAGAAAACATGATAAGTAGAGTAAGTGGAACAGGAAGGGAAAAGAAATGGTATACAGCGTCTAAATTGATCACGTATCTAATTGATGCAGAGGTAACATTACCAATCAGTGAACTTATTACTTTACTTTTCAGTTTCCCTATAACGCTACTATTGGCAATATTAATACCTAATGATGTGTTTCGTAGTGCAGTAGGTGATAACTCATTTATTACAGCACTACAGTTATCGATAGCGCCAATGGTGTTTTCCTTTACCTTGGATAACATGTTCAACATTTATTGGCTGTCTTTAGTATCAATCATATTATTGTTTTCACTATTAATATTTGAAGCACCACTAAAAGATTATCAGAAGCACATTACCTCATGTTTTGCATTTGTTCTGTCACTTGGTGGAATATCATTTACTGTTCATTTGATCTTGGATGTTCTTACAAGTTGGGCAGACTCCTTCAATCTTTCTCCAAGTGTACTGGGTCTAACGATTTTTGCCTGGGGTAATTCGATAGGTGACTTAGTATCGAATATTACTTTCGTACAACTTGGAGTCATCGATGTTGCATTGGGGGCTTGTTTTGGCAGTCCTTTACTCTATATCTTGTTTGGTATAGGTATTGATGGTATTTTAGTAATGCTTAATAAGCATGGATTCCGCATGCCCGAGAAATGGTACTCTCTTTTATTCAATTGTATTCAGTTCAAAATTGACGCTCATTTGATAAGCTCTAGTATTGGTATTATCGTAGCGTTCTTCATCCTCATTGTGGGTGTGCCGGTAAATAAATGGAGACTTGACTTCAAAGTTAGCATCCTATTACTTGGTCTCTATGTTGCCGTTACTGTAATAAACATAATATTTGCATTGAAGTCGTGATTCTAATTCACATATATACTGCATTTAAGTTAGATAGATATTATTCATAATATAGAAAATCTGTTACTATAGCAAATATTCACGCTGAAAGTAGTTTTTAGTTTTTCTTACAAAGAGCTATGAAATCCAAGTAAAAATTCAAAAATGCTACTAAAGTACCTGTGTTATATAAATAGAAAACTAAGAAAGAGAAATTTCATCAGAAAGCAGGAGAATGAAATATTAAAAAAAATAGTAAAATCAAAAACAGTTAAGGGTACAACAGGATAATAATAAATAGCTCTGGTCAAGTAGAAGATACTATGAATCAGAGAATGTGAATAAATAAGAAGTACTATCCGGAAGCCATTTGTGCAGACTGGCAGTACTAGTCAAAGTCGCAAATGGCATGAAAAATATAGACAATTACCGGCATTGTAGCATATGAATGAAATGAGAGCATGAGCTCCCTGTTTTGATAAATTTCGGTTTATTTGGCTGTATTTTTTTTTTGTTGTGAATTTTTTTTTAAAAAAAAAACGTAACTTCCCAGCAGTTCAGTGAAAAATTTGGTGTTGAAACATTAAATGGAAATCAAATGAAGAGCATATATATGCAGTATTAGGCAAAAGAAAAAAAGAAAAAGAAAAAGAAAAAAACAGATGATATGGGAAAAAACTAGTATGGATATAGTCAAAAAGTAAAAGAAGTCAATAACAATGGAAATAAATTCTTTTAGTAGAATCGGAGAAAAGGCCAGCGTATAAATTATAATAGTCTATGCATCTCCTTAATATGATACAGTAGGAATTAGAAAAAAATACCTTTACGCCAGTACCTTCCACATCTAAAATCCCCCAAAGTGACGACCAGGTCAATTAAGCTTGTTGGGATAATGTAGTACAAAGAAGATAATTGTTAGACTTTCTCAAAAATCAATGCACTAAATCTCGATTTTCTCCACAGGAAAAATAAATATAAAAAAAAAATGGAAATAAATTAAAATTATGATAACATTAGGCGTTCTTGTTTGCGTATTAATATTTTTTTTTCGTAATTTCAACATTAAAACATTCGTAATCATTAATGTCATAGCTTTGGAAGCTGGGAGTGGTTTGTATGTTATGTTATGTTATGATAGGCGTCCTTCATAGACGAGTTACCAATATGGTTGGGTTTATTTTATTGTTGGATGACTCTCTCCAGGTTAATTTCATCTAGGATTTTCTTAGCGCCGTCCTTGATCATCTTGTGAGCTAGCAAGACACCACATTTGATGGAGTCCTCTCTAATGTCATTCACGACCACTTCTTGCTGGTCTTCGATGGCCATGGTTCCTTCCACGTTCACCACGATACCTTTCAGTAGCAGTTTCTTGGTCTTGTGGTCGTAGGAGGACTCTACACCGATAGGCACGGAGCAGCCACCTTCCAGAGTTCTCATCAGGGATCTCTCGGCCAAGCAGCACACTGTGGACTCCAGGTCTGCGATCTCGTCGAGGATCTGCAGGATTTTCTTGTCGCCTTGTCTTATCTCTATGCCGAGCGCGCCTTGGCCCACGGCGTGGTACATGATATCTGAGTGCAGTCTCTGGGTGATTCTGTCCTCCAGGCCCATTCTCACGAGGCCAGCGGATGCGAGGACCAGACATTGGAAGGGCCCCTCTGGGTCGTCGAGCTTCTCGAGTCTGGTGTGGATGTTCCCTCTCACGCTCTGGTACTTCAAGTGTGGGAACTTCCGCTTCAGCTGCGCGGACCTGCGCACCGACGAAGTCCCGACCACGGCGCCCTCGGGCAGATCAGCCAGACAGCGGTGTGGAGAACCCCTAGGCATCACGATGCAGTCTGTCGGATCCACACGCTTCGTGACACACCCGAGCTCGAACCCGTCGGGCAACAGCGTAGGCATATCCTTCAGCGAGTGCACGATCAGGTCCAGCCGCTTCTCCTGGTCCTCGCAGTACAGGTAGTCCTCCAGCTCCTTCGTCCACAGCGCCTTGCCCCCAAACGAGTACAGCGGCTTAAACTGTATCTGGTCCCCGAGAGTCTGCAACGTGAACACCGTGCAGTCGTACTGCGGAAACTTCGCCTGCACTAGATCACGAACATGGTTAGACTGCACAACCGCCAGCTTAGACCGTCTCCCGCCAATATTGATACTCTCCCTGGTCATCCTTCACACCTCAATTTGTATACAGTACTTGCCGCCTTCCTCCCCCCCCCTTCTACCTTTCCAAAATTAACAGTCCCGTATTTATATGAAAATTTTTTTTTTCGCTTTAGCCGGTCAGTCGGGGGGAGGATGGGCAGCGAATCGTTTAGGCTTTGCCAGATCGCTGTCAACACCCCGTAGCCCGACACCTGCGACCCTGTCTCCGACACCTTCTGCGTTACCTTCTGCGATACACTGCGATACTGGACTTATCACAGAGGAAATTGCTTACTAACCCGATTGATCTGATTGGCTCGTTTACCTTCTTACACACAAAAAACGTCAAAAATTCACAGAAATCGGTTTCCCTCTTTTTGGGGGTTCGTTTTGTACTACATATTCTTAGTCTAAAAGTCTACTTACTCTGCTCTACTGTGTGTACTGTGTGTACTGTCTGTACTGTCTGTACTGTGTGTTAGGTGATGGTGGCCCCGGGTTCTGGGCTTTTCCCCCTGCCTCTGTCTCTGCCTCCCCAAGTTTAATAGAAGAGAGTGGGAGGGCGTGCATTCTTAGTAATGCGTGTGTGATTGGCTGGGAATATAGGTGTGTGTGTGGGGGGGAGGGGGATGGGGGGACTCTACTGGGCCAGGCGGTGGAGGGCCTGGACGGCCCTGGGGAACTGCTGCGCGCGGCGGTAGTGGGCGGTGGCCCGCGGGATGTCCGGGGTGCCGCCAGGGGTGCCGATGCCGCGCTCGTAGTAGAACCCGAGCACGTACTCCGCGCGGGAGCTTCCCCTGCGCGGTCTCGGAGCTGCGCTGGGCCCAGCGCAGCGCCTCGCCGTCGTTGCTGCGCAGCACGCCAGGAGAGCCCGTCAGGCACCAGCCGCTCAGCGCCAGCATGGCCATCGGGTTGCCCCGGCGGGTCTTGCCCTCGCTTGTGGTGGTTGAACCTGTGGTTGAACCTGTGGTGGTGAGGGTACTGCTGTCGCTTGCGCTGCGGTAGTACCAGGCTATGGACTTGTGGGGGTCTACCGCCACGTCGAGGTCGCCCGTCTCGTAGCAGTGGCCCAGCTTCCACTGCGCCAGCGGGTAGTCGTACTCGCGGGCGCAGCGGGTGTAGTACGCGAGTGCCTTTGCGGTGTCCCTCTGTATGCCGCTCTCCGCGAGCACCTGCTGGATCGGCAAGGGCATGTTCGTGAACTCGTAGATCTTCCCCAGCTCGTAGCACGCCTGCGGGGACCCTTGCTCCGTGGCCTTAGAGAGCCACATGAGCGCCTGCGGCACGTCCTGCCGCACGATGCGCTCCAGCTCGCGCGGGTCCTCCTCGTGCGCGTAGTTCATGCTCGTGAGCCCGTACAGGTGCGTCATGCCCAGCTTGTACATGCACGAAGTGCTCTGCTCAGCGCCCTGTGTGTAGTACTGAAACGCCCGCTGCAGGCACTCGTAGTGCGACAGCGCAGCATCGCATCCCCGGCGGAACTCGTAGCACACAGCCGCCCGGTAGCACGACTCCGGGTGGCTCAGCGCTGCGGCCTTGCAGTAGAACTCCAGCGCCTTCTCGTCGTTGCGCGTCACAATGGTCTTGTTCTTGATGTCCAGGTACGGCTGGTGCGAGTACAGCGTCCCCATCAGGTAGATCGCCGGCGCGTACCGCGACGAGATCAGCTTCTTCAGCACCTTGAACGCGTGCTCAAGGATCACCTTCTGGTTCTTCTGCGCCTCCTCGGGCTTCAGCGCCCGCTTCAGGCGCTCAGCATTGATGTTGTAGTGCGAGATGAAGTCCGGCTTGAACACATACTCCAGCAGCGTCTCGCACCACTTCAGCTGCACCGACGGCGTGAAGTTCCCTTGGTCAGCAACCACAGAACAGTACACCTCGTAGAACTCCACGGCCTCCCGCGAGAACACCGTCAGATCTCGCTTGCTCTTGCTGCTGCTGCTGCTCCCCGTCGTGGTCGTAGATGACTCAGATCGCTGCTTCACAAGCTCAGGCTTCACAAGCTCAGGCTGCGCTAGCTCAGGCTGCACACTTGCTCCTGTATCTGGTTCCGCGGGCCGGGCCCCCGCAGTGTCCTTGCGCGGGCTTCGTGACTCCGTTCTGTACATCTTCTCCCGCAGGACGTCCCGCTCTTTCCGCTCCTTCTCCACATACGGCGGCGGAGGCGTCTCGACGTCCTGGTAGTCTATCATCTGTCTGAACGGATTCGCCGCCTTCGCGTGCGCTTCTCTTCGTACTGGCTCAGCGCCTGCCGCATCGTCGCCTCGCGGTACCCCCGGTTGCGTACCTGCATTGCTCCCGCTAACTCCTCCAATTACTCCCCCCATCACTCCTCCACTGGCACTCCCGCCTAAACTCCCTGTGCTCCCAGTACTCAGCATGAACGGCAATTCGTATCTCTTGTCCCCAGCTCCATGGCTTTCGTCCGCCAGCTCGTCGGGACTGGGACTGGGACTCATCGACGCCTTAGTGAACACAGGTATTCGATTCAGCGTCCCTATCGCAGTGTCCTCAATCGGATAAGGCGTCTTCGCACTCGCACTCGCACTCGCACCCGCACCACTCACCGTGCCATCCCGCACCCCGCTATCCGCTACAGGGTACATGTTGATGTGCGTCTCATACCTGTTACCACTCTGCGTATCTCGTGCGTTGAACATTGCATATGTACTCTAACCTGGCGCGATCGAAAAAAAAATCCGTGGATTTTGTCCTGCTCTCAGAAACACTCAATATCCCTGCTCGACTTATCCAGAACTATATCCTGACCAAAGTGTTACCACCCTCCACTAGCTCTTTTTATTCCGTTGATATCCGTCCATCCAAAACCTCCATTCCCTGCGCAAACCCAGACCCAAAACCTTCCTGCAAAAATATCCAAGTCACGTGATATAAACCCCAGGAAGACCTTTCGGCCCCGGTCTGGGTTTTCTGCACAAAACCCTGAACCTGGCGAGACGTCGAGTCTGCCTCATTGGGAGAAGTTCAAGAAGGCTCGATATAATAGAGCCAGTGTCTTGTCGGTTAACCTTGCAGCCTAGGTGAAGTAACGTATTGAAGAGGCCAGGAATGAACAGCGTTGGTTTAGTGTGGCAGTGTGTGAGGAGGTACTCCCGTGTTGCGGTGGAGTCTGGACTGAAGAGGCAGACGTGGAAGCCCATAGACTCTCGGAAGACGTTCCTGTTGGACTCTTACCGGTACATGATGGACAACAACAGCATGGTTCTTTTTGCGCATTACAACAACTTGACGAAGAATGAGGACCACCACTTCAGGGAGCAGATCAAGCAGGCCGGTGGGAAGCTGACGAGGATAAGGAACAATATATTCAAAGTGTGTTTGAGGACGCTCGACCGCGAGGACCCCGCCGTGTACATCAAGAACAAGAAGGAGTTGCCTCACCACCCGCTGATCCCACTGTTGAAGGGCCCCACAGCGGTCATCTCCTTCCAAGATACTGACCCTCAGGGAGTCGCTAAAGTGTTCAAGCTACTGAAAAACGCACAAGACAAGTTACTTGTGATGGGTGCAAAGGTCGACAAAGAGGTCTACGACTTCGCTAAGCTGGATCAGTTCAAGACATTGCCAACAAAAGAAGTCTTACAAGGACAATTGGCAGGGCTTTTGCAGATGCTTGGTGGTGCAGGTCTTGTGCAAGTGCTGGAGGCTAACAAGCAGCATCTGTATCTAACCTTGAAATCCCACGAAGATAACATAAAAGAATGAAGCTAGTAGAAAGTTGTTTTATCTGGTAGGTAGAAGGAAGGATTAATGATACTTTGATGCGGTAGCCTGTGGCGTTTTGTAAATAATGAATAAAGAATTCAGATACTGCAAATAAGTGAAGTCAAGCCGTATGGCTTTATCATCAGATAAAAAGAAAATATTCTTTTTTATTTTGTAAATACGTTAATTTAACTATCGATATAGTCTAGTCATAACTCAGAATGCTCAATAGTATGCTGTGCTGATCTGCATATATATATGATTACTTCAAAGTTGTCACTATCGGGGCGTGCTAAAGGCTGGCGAAGTGAAAAATTTTGAAAAAAAAGTCAATGCGATGAGCTCATCGCAAACATTACTCAAGGTGACTTGAATTAGGTTATCATATAGTTGGATTCGTTGTTATTCATCAAAATATAGATAATAAATACCTTATTTTTTAACGACAGCATAGGAAGATAGTTAAGAAAGAATGAAGGCCAAGCCATTAAGTAACGACCCAGGATCAAAGCGTTATGCTTATAGAGTTAACAAAGAAGAGAACAGAAAAGAATTGAAACATGTTAAGATTGATGAATCGTCATTAGTAGAGGGTCATCAGGTTGATCTTCCTAAGAAAAGATTTTATAGACAAAGAGCTCACTCCAATCCTTTTTCGGATCACCAGCTAGAATATCCAGGTTCACCAGAAGAGATGGACTGGACTAAACTCTACCCTCATTACGTCGATCCAGAGTCCGGTAAAATGACAAAGAAGGTTACTATCGCTGATATCGGATGCGGTTTTGGTGGTTTGTTGGTAGATCTCTCCCCAGAATTCCCAGATGATCTGATACTGGGTATGGAGATTCGTGTTCAGGTCACTAACTATGTCGAAGACAGAATTATAGCGTTGAGAACCAACCATGTCAAGGAACAAGGCTACCAAAATATTAATGTGCTAAGAGGCAATGCTATGAAATTCTTACCAAACTTTTTCCAAAAGGGACAATTATCGAAGATGTTCTTCTGTTTCCCAGATCCACATTTCAAACAAAGAAAGCATAAAGCCCGTATCATTACTAACACTTTATTGAGTGAGTACGCTTATGTGTTAAGAGAAGGTGGTATTGTATACACTATCACTGATGTGAAGGACTTGCACGACTGGATGGTGAAGCACTTGACCGAACATCCATTGTTCGAAAGACTGCCTGAAGAATGGGAAGAAGAAGATAGCTGTGTCAGGATTATGAGACATGCAACAGAAGAAGGTAAAAAAGTTGAAAGAAAAAAGGGTGATAAATTCGTTGCATGCTTCAGAAGGTTACCAACTCCTGAAATAATATAAAGTCGAGTTTACGGAACTATAAATTTGTTATGAGGCGAGAGCTTAAATTATACAATAGAACGCCCGTAAGCTCTCAATTAATAATCATAAAAATGGTGTTTTCATGTATACTAATAAATATTAACATTACAAGTTATTGGTAAATATCATTCGTTAAACTTTATATTAACAGGTTAGCCTGATATTGAGGAAGGAAAGAACATAAGTCATCGATGGCATGGCGTGCTCAAAAATTAAATGGTAACATCAATTTTAAAAAAAATACTATGCAGAGTTGTCATATTGTTGACGCAGAGAATTATTAGTGAGTTCTGAATCTGAGGCTCATACTGAATTTCTTGAAAGCAGCTATACAGTGGCTTTTAAGCACTGTATTTGTACTTCATTAAAGATATCTTGGTGTCTTTATTTAGAGCATCTTTCTTATTGGAAGCATATACATGTTCTCTTTCCAGAAGTTTCCTCTTAAGCGATGTAGACCACTTGTAGCCAGATAATGTTCCATTGCTGCAAACAACTCTATGGCATGGGATCACAATCGCTATATTATTAGACCCTATACCGCTCCCAATAGCTCGGCTACCGTTCTTGATCTTTAGTTTATCCGCTATTTCCTTATAAGTTGTTACTTTACCATGTGGAATCTTGACTAGCTCATCCCATATGCGATGTTGCAGAGAAGTACCAAACATATACTCGTAATGCAAGTCCTTGACAATATGGCCTTCCAGCAATTTAGTGAATTTGTTCACAGTATCCTGAAACTTCTCGACATGCTCTTGCTCTGACTCTACTTCGATCTGCTTGAAGTTGTAGTGTATGGCGGACTTCTTGGACAACTGATTGAAGGCAGTTCTTGCACCTTTCAGAAGCTGTTTCTTGTTCAATCCAAGCGAGGCATACACTAACGCATCCGTCTGTCGCCTTACAAACACCAGCGCCGATGTGATATCCGTTACAACAAAACTGTACAGTAGGTCCTCCATCAATGTTCCTGATTATTGAGCTATTAGGCTAGTGTGCGTCTCTGAAGCGCTGTTGATTTATAAGAAATAGGATGATTGTAACTTGATGCCAAGAGCTAGGTAGCAGGAAATGATGTGCTTACAGGTAAGAGTTGTGACTGTATAAATGATTGCTGTTCTGGTACTTTTGCTTAAAAAAAATGCTTGTAGCTTATTTGCAGATCAAAAGAAAAAGTGATCAAAATGTCCTGAATGTCCCTTATAGGTAAAGTAATGAGGACATCAGAATGTGAAGTTCACCAAGAGTGCCACAATAGCACCCATTGATGGCAGTGTAATAATGCTTCATAGTAGATGCTATATATTTTCGATCTGACGCCGACTTGGGTTTTGACTAGTGGTTGTAGGTTGCCATGTATGTCTATATGTATATGCAGATAAAGATATCGGGGAACAAGTGTGAGTCCTGGCACGCCTAAGAAAACAACTTAGCTGTTCTTCACTTCATATTGTTACAAAAGAGAAAGTCTAAAATAAATTATACTAAATACATGAGTTATGGATTATAATCTTGGTCTGGATACTGTCTCATCGGCATAGCTAAATTAAAGAATGAAACGAAGTATTTGGTGTTTGATGAAAATTAAAGACAAACAATGCAAAGGGTGATTAAAAACCCAAATTGAAATGGCAGAAGAGAGAGGTACCTTATATGTATCTCAAATGTAGATTGCCACTGCAGGGGGAGTAAACTTGTTTTCGCTATAGGTCATAAAAAAAGGATCAAATAATGTAGTATTCAATTATTCCTGATCATTTTTTCAACATGTTATCGAACATTGGAATCAATGATTGTGCAAGTGCGAAGGAGAAGACCAACTTAGGGCCAGTGGTCAACAGTTTTGGGGTCAAACCCTTGAAGAAAGCGGTGAAACCTTCGTTCTTCAAAGTATTCTTGACGATCTTGAAACCACTCTCTGGGTTGTCGAAGTTTCTGTTTTGGATTCTGGTCTTGATGACATCTAATGGTGCTGAGACAATTAGAGATGCGGAGGCACCCACTATGGAACTAATGAAGTTCTGAGACCAGGTGGCCTGGGAGTAGTCCTGCAAGCCCAGGATGTACTCCTTGGCGAAGGCGTTACCACCGAAAAGAGCGAAGGAACCTGGCGCGTTTCTAGCGGCGGTCCAGCCCCACCCTCTGTACAGGTTGAAGATACCCTCATCCTTCAGGATCTTAAGGAACCCTCTTCCTTTGAATGCTTCAGGGTTGGTTTGTCTCTTAATCTTCAGCACGTCCAATGGCAACAGCACGATCTCACCGATACCGATCAGAGACCCGGCTGTGGCAGATCTCAGGGCTTTACCGGTCTTGTCACCGAATGCGCTGTCGAAGTCCTTCTTGAAGTGCTTGTTCAAGAACTCGTTGGCGAACGGCTGACCACCGTACTTGTACACTCTTTGCAAGATCTTGTACACGGCAGCGTAGCCCAAACCTGGGAACAAAGTGAAGACCCTCTTGCCGAACGCCTCAGCGGCGTGGTCACGGAATATGACGGAGTTCAATTGCGCACCGCTGGTGATCTTTGTGTGGTTCGACATCAGTCTCTTCGAGATGGTGTCCACCGGGTGGAACACACCTATCTCCAGTATACCCGCAGATGCACTGCCCAGCAACCTCGCAACACCACTCTGCTTCCTGTCGTTATGAGCCATTTCCTAGTTGTACAAGCGTTATTTCTATAGAATCCGACTTTGTTCTTCCTTGGAGAGGGGGGGGGTAGAGTTCGCTATCTTATAGAGATGTAGCTTGACAAAGGTTCATTGTATTATATACTGTATATTGCTAGGTGACCTGGGGGATCCTTTGACGAGTTGATCTTCAAAGCTTTGGACAAATTCCTCGAGCGTTGTTTCGCTCGCTTCCAGCTTCCGTAATCACCACCACTGTTTCCCTGATTCAAACAGCCCCACCATGATAAACCCACCTCGCTTGCACCTACCCTCCCAGAGGGAACCACCTCGCTTGCGACTTCCATTTTCCCATCGTTGGTTCCTGTGTCACTATATACAGTACCATGTGATATTTACAAAGTGATATGAACACCTGACCTCCACCTTGCAAAGTGATATAATCACCTGACCTCAAAAACCCATTTCTTTGGGTGGTTTTACCCGGACAATCTTGCCCCACCATATTTCGATGGTTTTTTGTTATCTCCTTGACCCCTCTCTCTTGCCTAACCCCCCCCCAGGTTTGTATTAAATTAGTGTAACCCCCCCCCCTTGAAATTTTTCATAATCATATATAAATGGTTTAAAGACTTGAAACAATCTGCAATTGCCTCAATTGTTGTGAAAAACTGTAAACTGTAATAACTGTTATAACTGTTATAACTGTAATAACTGCAATATAACAAAGGACAATGACACAGATTGATAAGAAAGAAGTATCAGGAAACATTATTGTTGTTTCCAACAGATTGCCAGTGACCATCTCGAAGGATGACACTGGGAAGTACCAGTACAAGATGTCCTCTGGAGGGCTGGTTACTGCTTTACAAGGTCTGAAGAAGACCGCTACGTTCAAGTGGTATGGGTGGCCCGGTCTAGAGATCCCTGACGATGAGAAAGAGCAAGTCAAGCAGGACTTGCTCGAGCAATTCAACGCTGTGCCTGTGTTTTTGAGCGACGAGGTCGCTGACTTGCACTACAACGGGTTCAGTAACTCTATCCTGTGGCCTCTGTTCCACTACCACCCGGGTGAGATCAATTTCGATGAGAACGCCTGGCTGGCTTACAACGAGGCCAACAGGGCCTTCGCCGAGGTCATCTTCGAGACCATGCAGGACGACGACTTGATATGGGTCCACGACTACCACTTGATGCTGCTGCCCCAGATGCTGCAGGAGGAGATCACCAAGCGTAAGCTGAGGAACGTCAAGCTGGGCTGGTTCCTGCACACGCCGTTCCCTTCCTCCGAGATCTACAGAATCCTGCCTGTCAGACAGGAGATCCTGAGAGGTGTGCTGAGCTGCGACCTCCTCGGCTTCCACACTTACGACTACGCGCGCCACTTCCTGTCCTCCGTCCAGAGAGTCCTGAACGTCAACACTCTGCCCAACGGTGTCGAGTACCAAGGCAGGTTCGTCAACGTCGGTGCCTTCCCTATCGGTATCGACGTCTCCACCTTCCAGGACGGCCTCTTGAAACAACAGGTCAAGGACAGAATAAGCCAGTTGAAGGAGACGTTCAAGGGACAGAAAATCATCATCGGTGTCGACAGACTGGACTACATCAAGGGTGTCCCACAGAAACTGCACGCCATGGAGGTCTTCCTAAGCGAACACCCAGAGTGGAGAGGCAAAGTCGTCCTGGTGCAGGTAGCTGTCCCAAGCAGAGGCGACGTCGAGGAGTACCAGTACTTGAGATCAGTCGTCAACGAGCTGGTCGGAAGAATCAACGGCCAATTCGGTACCGCAGAGTTCGTCCCAATCCACTTCATGCACAAGAGTGTTCCTTTCGAAGAATTGATCTCCCTGTACGCAGTCAGCGACGTCTGTTTGGTCTCTTCCACAAGAGACGGTATGAACTTGGTCTCTTACGAATACATTGCCTGCCAAGAAGAAACAAAGGGCTCCCTGATCCTGAGTGAATTCGCTGGTGCAGCCCAATCCTTGAACGGTGCCATCATCGTCAACCCATGGAACATCGACGAAATGTCCGACGCCATCAACGAAGCCTTAACCTTGCCAGAAGTCAAGAGAGAAGTCAACTGGGAAAAATTGTTTAAGTACATCTCAAAGTACACTTCCGCCTTCTGGGGTGAGAACTTTGTCCACGAACTGTACAACACTTCTTCAAGCAGCGGTAGCATAAAATCCTCCGAGGAAAAGCACTGATCCAAAACAGATATGAACAAAGAAAAAAAAAACTTCACAGACACCATTATTCCATAAGTCCTTTGATCGATATCTAATTTCAAATTCATATTCAGAGTTAACAAGTTCCTCATCTACCAAACGTTGAACTAGGTGTTATTCGTTACCATGTGAGTAAATACATCAAACGCAAGTTAAAAACAATTACCATTTTACGACTTTTATACACAACTAATATATTTAAAAGATGTTAGAAAATCCCAACGGTGCCTAGCTTGGTCGCCTGGCAGATTGGACGTTCTTATATATCGAGATATACCGTTATATACTTGAAATGATATATGCTAAGAATACAAGCAACTAGAACTATTAAAATAGTATAGCTATCCTATGATCCTATAAGGTACATGTCATTGGACACGTAATGATTAAGAAAAGCCCAATATTCATATGGGGTTTTTTCCCGGGCCGAGCTGTAGTGCCCCGGGAGACCTGAAATCGAAGAGGTCATCTATAACTATAACTACTAAACGATGCACTCTTTTCTGGTCTGTCGCTTGGAATGAGCCTCTAGTTGGCAGGTCTTGCGTCTCATCAGCGGTACCAATTGCCATTTACTATTGCCAGTTGTCATTTACCCACTTCCCCCAGCAGAACGCTTGCTTTCAACAGATCGAGAGCCGGATAACAACAGGAGCCCTTTCTGTGCAGAAAACATAAATTGATAACATCTCGACGGCAATCCCTTGGAGAGTGTTGATTTTAACTCAATTGTTGCAGTAGTAACGCTTAGAATTCATTCTGGTCCTACTTTGCGTACCATTCACATCAGAGGTCCAAAAGCATAAAAAAGGGTTGGCTATTGGAAACGACGTTGCCAGATTGACTTCATTGTACCGTACTATATTCACGAAACACACTATTAGATAACAACAATGGGTCAATTACTATCTCACCCTTTGACTGAAAAGACCATAGAGTATAATGACTACAAGACGAAATCTTCGGCCGCTGGTTCGGTGCCTAGATTTTATAACTGTGTGGGATCCATGCAAGGCTATCGATTGAGTCAGGAAGATGCACATAAAGTACAAAATGAGGACACTATCCTCAGAGTAAGATTTTTCAATCCATTCACTGGTAAACATGAAAAGATGATGATTTCAATGTTTGCAGTGTTTGATGGCCACGGAGGTGACAGTTGCTCGAAGTTTCTCAGTGGGACTTCTAACCCACACTTGAGAGCTGGTTTAGCTAAGTGGGTTGTATACTCTTTTGAAAACCATAGATATGGGGCTAAGAAAAATATATCTTCCGTTGACAATGGAGGTGCTAATAACTACACCAATACACCAAATAATTCAATAAATGGTAGCAATGCCGATAACTCAACGTCTTACACAAGGCATTTTAGGACTATGGAAGGTCTAATATCACAGATAATTAAAGATGCCTATATAAAACAGGATCAAGAACTTCATCAACATTTTGCCAATAGCGCATGTGGGTCAACCGCGGTGGTGGCATTGATTATAAATGGTACAATGTTATATGTTGCCAATTGCGGCGATTCAAGGTGTATCTTATCTTCAAAGGCGAGGGGTATTAAAACAATGTCTTACGATCACAAACCACAAAATATTGGTGAATTAATTAGAATTAATGATAATGGCGGTACTGTGTCTTTGGGAAGAGTGGGAGGAGTATTGGCTTTAAGTAGAGCCTTTAGTGATTTCCAGTTTAAAAGAGGTGTCGTATACAAAAATACTAACCCGATGAGAATTTCCGCTAATGGAAATCACAACTCCCCAACACCACCTCAAGAAGCTCAGGTTTCAGTTGAACCAGACGTCTTGATGCATAAGTTAGACTTCAATAAAGATGAATTCCTTGTGCTGGCATGTGATGGGATATGGGATATATATAATAATACGAGGTTAATACAGTTCATCAAATATCATTTAATGCAGGGTATGAAGCTAGATGGTATTATGACGAAATTATTAGATCATGGAATTGCACAAGCAAATAGCAGCACAGGTGTCGGATTCGATAATATGACTGCTATTGTAGTTGTGTTAAATAGACCAGATGAGTCACTACATGACTGGATGAATAAAATGAAACTCAGACTAGAACGAGAGAAAGGCATAATTTAATTTCAACAATGATACAAAATAAGTTAGCATAAACAGAGTAAATTTGATTTTTGCATATTCACCTATCTGACATGATAATCCATCAATTATAAAATGGGAACTTGCAGAAACCAAGAACCCTTGATCTTCATTGCATTTTTGACATGAATAGCTTAATTAACAATTATTTACAGGTGCAAAGGCGGACCTTCTCATGCATATATACATACATAACGTTTCTAAGTTAGTGTCTATTTTGGTCAATGTTAAAAACTAGGTTTATACTTTCATCCAACATCATTTTTTATCTTTCTTTTTCTTTTGGGCTAGCTTACCAGTCTTTATCTGCTTAGAACTATCATCAAGTAACGACAAATAATCATCAACACCAAAGGCATCTTCTTCGACATCTTTCTTGACTTCCTTTTTGTCCTCAGTTTTTGTTTCTTTGCTAGATTTGACTTCCTTCTCTTCTGCTTTTGTATCGACAGCATCGTCCACTGAAAATATGGAACTGTACTTTTGTTTGAATTTATCTTTACTACCACCAGAATTTACATCTATCACCACCAAATCATCTCTACTTGGGTTCCAGAGTGGGTTATTCCTTTGATCAGAAATTAGACGAAATTCGTCCTTTGGGAACTGGGATCTTCTCGAAATGACAGAGCCATCACTTAACTCAACCTTGACATTGAACTGATGGTATATAGCAGGTCTAGCTTTTCCGGGACGTATCTTTTTCAATGGTCTCCTTGGAAGAGAGATTTTTGTAGCATTTGGATGACCACCTGTTGAGGCTAGCCTCTTCCATATTAAATTTCTCAGCATTGGTCTTAATGTGATAGTAGTAGTGTTTGTAGTGCTTAATTGACTAATTCTTGCTTCTTATCCACATGTGTACTCAGTTAATGTTAGTAGTGAACATGGTCATTTCTATAGCTTTTAAGTCAATTCTACGATTCCAGGTCATCATGATTACCGTAACTTCGAAGAAGAGTTCGTGAATAGTTACTATAGTAGTATCCTTCGGCATAGTTTAAGAGTATTGCATATTGAGTTGTTAATTTTATTTATCGAAATTATGAATATCTAGTCATATAATTTTGCAATATTGACAAGGCCACTAAGATCTCTTGAGTATTTGTCGGCAAGTTCTGGATCAAGACGCCGTATCTTTCCAATAATGTCCTGGAAAGTAGCATTATTTACATCGAAATCATCTTCAGGCTCATCTTGTTCATCATCAGAAATATCTTTCATTACGCTAACTTTCATATTATCTGATTCAGCATCTTCCTTCTCTTGTAATGTTTCTTCATCTTCACCAGCTTCAACACCATTGTTTTCTTCATCGTCATCCTGCGTGATATCATCAGGGTTTTTGTCTCTATCCATATTGGTATCTCCATCCACATCAGTGTTCTCACCGTTATTGTTCATCATAGATTCTTTGAAGAACAGCATGCTCTTGAAATACTTCAGTTTATATTTATTGAATTCATATCTTCCTTGAACCATACAGCCCAATTCATACTTAACAATCCTCCTGATTTTTGCGAGATCTAGTGCCGTAAACCAGCCAGTGACTTCATTAGGTTTGTCTAAGTATTCTACCTTTTCGTAAACTTCGGCTATATTTGGTTCATCTAGAAGTAAGTCGATCTGAAGCATCAGGTACCACGGTATCCTAGTACCATCAAATCTGAACCTGCTATCAATACCATCTTTTGTATCAGATTCAAATACCAATGGAGGAGGCTTGGGTATATTCTTTCTGACAGTTGCTGATTCTAGTAATTTCCTTTCTATCTTGAAGTATTCCGTTTGATACTTCGCATACTCGCTAGATGATCTGGGATCAACTCCAAATTTGATATATGTATTCCTCCAGGGACCCATTGTAAATCTGTAAGATAGCAGAGCTAGCGCAATCTTTAATGTATGATAAACATTTTTTGGAATCAGACCATCTAGATGTCTTTTAACCCAAATTGGTCTTTTTTCAAATAGCGACCTTAGAATGGCAAGGCATTCTTCTAGAGCTTCAAAGAATTTCGATTCTTTCTTAGTACCTGGATATACACCTGACTGTTTAGCCTGGTTGTAGATCTCTAGTAATTTATCCTGAGGTTCCACTGGTACTTTCAGTTCGGGGCTCATATCATGTACAAACAACTGGTAGTTTTTCAAATAGGAGCCCTTCACCTCATGGTCACCGTTTTCTTTCTTGACTGCAAAGGGATTACCTTTGTATTTGTATTGTAAAGGGTAACCTACCATAGAGAACCTAGGTGGTGGTGGTAATTGAAAATCGCAGTTAGGTGACTTAACCGATCTGTCCAATATGATGTTATTAATGTTATCCTGTGGTCTGCTATCATTATCTGGTACGGAATCTATGAACTTCTTGATATTTTGCCAATCCAAGGAACCAAAACTCTTTTGAAACTCTCTCGCGGCCGGTACGTTATCCAGTATGACTTGGAAATCAGACATTTCTCTGAATTTAATGGTATTATTTACCACTGCCACAGGCGTGGCACACACATCTTTACTATCCAGTGATCTCAATGCCTTTGCAACATCGTTTCCATTCTTCTCCAAAGTACCTTCAGGCATGGTAATCTTCAGCACTATAGAGTCATCTCTGAAGGGCACACGCTTGCCAATTATCGGGTGTTCATTGAAAAAAGGTTTGCGTGCACTAGAGGTGGCGTCGTCCCAGGGATCCACCGGAGATAACCCATTATTCAAGAAAAGCTCTAGGCCTTTGTCCGTCACTGATGGCTCTGTAGAGTTATCCAGCGCTTGTTTCACGTCCTCTATCCCTCCGCACATCTCAATTGCCCTGACAATGCTGTGCTTCTTCGTTGAGATCGCCAGCGGGAACTCTACACTAGATATGCGCGGCAGGTCCAGAGTATGGTACCTGGCGTACTTGCTAGACACGGCCTGCGACACGTCCTCCATGGCCGGGGTATCGTTGGACTCCATTTTTTTGATTTAGACTTTTCCGCAATTGCAAGGTACCTTTCGTCTTGACCAGATCAGAACCTATAACTCCTCAAAAAGTAGAAAACCTTATGTGATTCCCACGTTATGTTTGGACATCACGAAGAAATGCTCCACCGCTATAAGACAATGGCCCCCGGAGGCCCTCGGAGAGGCAGGAATAGCGTGAGAAAGCAAAACCCTAATTGTTGATACACAACGCAAAAAACCCTGCGTGTAAGCCCTATATTAATCATTTAGGGTTTGACGTGAAAAGTGTCCAAAATGGACTTTTAAATCATGTGGCATAAGCGTACAGAGTGACTATTAAACTCAGGTTTTTTGTTGAGTTCTGACGTATTATTGGATGTACCATGTGATGTATTGTATATGATGATTTGTATCTGGCATTCTTCACGACTTAAAGAAATCCCGTGACTGTGGGCTGTGGGTATTCCTGTGGTCTCTTTCTCTCTCTCACTCTTGGGGGAGGGAACTAGCTTCTATTCACTTTTGCTGTGGGAATTACTCCTACTCAGGTTGGTGTCACTAGAAAAGGCCTCTTCGAAAAGAAGCTTGGAAAGGGAACGGAATTTCCTTTAATTCCAATTGGTCCACAGGATAAGAGGGACTTTTTGGTGTGATTATAGTGCACGATGGATTACTAGAAAGTCAACACTTCTCTAGGGTTCCCCCCCTCCCCTCCCACCGGTATGCTTTCTCTATCTCTATGGGTGTCATCGTCATCTCTTTTCATCTTTCAGTTTGCCTTTAACACTTAATGCACTCACTCACTCACTAACTCACACACGTTCCAGGTCTCGATGTACTCCCTAATCAAAAAGTTCCAAATTCAACAAAATTAACTTATCTTTATATATAATTTGTTGATATATTTACACCTTTGAATTGATATATATTTACATTTGGAAAAACTTACAAATAAGTATTGGGATTATATTACCAAACCTTAAGAAAAAAAAAAGTAACAACAACAACCATGGCTCCACCATTCTTTTCTGATATCTTCAAGAGTGTCAATGACCTATTGAACAAGGACTTCTACCACTCCACTCCTGCCGCTGTGGATTTGGAATCCGTTGCCAAGAACGGTGTCAAGTTCAACGTCAAGTCCAAGCAATTGGTCAAGGAGGGCCCATTGGCCGCTACCGTGGACGCTAAGTTCACCGACAAAGCCACCGGTTTGACCTTGACGCAAGGCTGGTCCAATGCCAACAACTTGAACACCAAGATCGAGTTGAACAACATCACCCCAGGTCTAAAGACCGAGTTGATGACCTCTTTTGTCCCAAACATCTCAAAAGTTGCTAACTTGAACTTGTCCTTCGTCCAGCCTTTCTTCACCGCTAGAGGTGCTTTCGACTTGTTGAAGGGTCCAGGTTTCGTCGGTGACATGACTTTGGCCCACGAGTCTGGTGTTGTTGCCGGTGCTCAGTTCGGTTACGACATCGCAGCTGGCTCTTTGTCCAAGTACGCCATCGCTTTGGGTTACGCCGCTCAGGACTACCACTTAGGTCTAAACATCAACAACGACCAAGTCACCACCGCTACTTTCTTCCAAAACGTCTCCCCACAATTGCAAATCGGTTCCAGAGCTACTTTGAACCCAAGACAGACCGTCTCCAACGTCAACATCGAGTTCGCCACAAAGTACCTGCCAGACCCTAACTCCCAAGTCAAGGCTAAGATCAGCGACGCCGGTATCGTAGCTTTGTCCTACAAGCAAGCCTTGAGACCTGGTGTTACTCTAGGTGTTGGTACCTCATTCGACGCCTTGAAGTTGAGTGAACCAGTCCACAAGATCGGTTGGTCTTTGTCCTTCGTGATCTAAGCACCACCCAATTGGGATGTAAGAGAGGAAAGCTCCCCCCCCCCCAACAACCACCACCAATTTCTCTAAACAAATGAAATGACAGAAGATTAATCTTTGCTGCTGTGTATAGTAAATGTAACACGTCGACTCACTATTCCTTCTTTCTGAGTAGGTTGTATTTCTTTGTTGTTTTTGCTATATTGCAATTTTTTGTTGTGAATTGTGAATTGTGCTTTCTTTTACACCCCCAACTCACTAGAACAGCTTTTTAACGTATCAAATATTCCATAATTAGGTAGAAATAAGTGAATAATAGCTTATGTAAATAATAGAGCTAGACAAGATATTATTACTACTTGTGATTATGACTACTTGTGATCATTACGTACAAAATCGATGTCGCACTACACGTAAAGTTAATGTTATGGTATCAGGATGTGGACTTCTGACATTAAGTGCTAACCACTGCAAAGGATGGTAACCGGTCTGGCAAACTAAACAAAGTAAGGGCGTCAGCAATATATGATAAAAAAAGAGCTTCATAATAATACCAGTATCTACAGAATGTTTTGCTATGTTTTCAAAAACCCTCATTCAAAGCAGATTAAGGGTCCGCACATTAATAAAATCGAGATGCAATGTATATCCTTCCCAATGACTACATTCAGTTGGCTTGTATTCACAGCTATTACAGTGAAGCTGGGCCAATGAATTGTAAATCATCTCCAAATACCAGCAGAAAACCAGTACCGTTTCCAATTTTGCGTGCTATTTAATTAATTAATGATAGATCTGCATTGCAGATCTCTCTTTGTCGCTATACCCCCTGTCTATACAGTGTAATGCAATACCAGCGCTTAAAGTGATACAAGCAATTAAGAATGAAGAAAAGCTTATGTACGAATTGGGACAGAGACTGCCGTGCGTATGTTTTACTACAAAATTCACTCACATCAGTTGCTTTTTCTTTCTTCTTTTGCTGGGGATTCCCCTGAGACGGAAAAGTGCAGATCATTCTTTCCATTCTCACTGCGGTTTTGAACGGCAGTTTCTGTGTAAGCGTGTGCAGTGAGACGGCAAGCTGTGAAAGTGCTTGCTACCCAGCATAGAACTTTGAAGCGGAAAGCCGGTGTGCTCACCGGTGATAAAAACCTACAGATGTCCCTTCGCAGCTGTGTGGGGGATTTGTACGCCCACGTCATTTTAGAGGTTGGTGGGATTGCGAAGGGGTACAAAGTGGTGAACCCATCCCATTAGCCAGCAATTTCAAGTTTTTATCCCACCTGGCACATACTGCAGAGATATAATGGAGATACACAGAGAGCTTTGTACAGCAGATTGTCTCCCCTCTTTCCTTTGTATACATCATAGCACCGATACTCTTGCTGGTCTTCTGCGAGTGTTTTCTTGGAAGAGGAAAAGGAGATGAGTGCTAGTCGCGTTTCTCGCACGGAAGTTAGCCAACCCTCAGAAACATCCACAGCAGTAGTTGAGAGAGAGAGAGAGATTTGGAGTTGCTACCAAGCTCTCTCAAACGGAGGTACAAAATACCCGTTTACGTGTACGGTGTCTTCTTCGCCAACAGCACAATCTTCTCTGTTTCTCCACCGATCTTAGAAAACCAAGCTTCTCTCAAAAATTCACTTGGTCGTGAAACTGTACGACCATTTCACAGCAAAAAGTGGACCTGGTTATTAGATTTCATCTCTTCTCTGTCCCTTTTCCGTATAAAACTGCTCTACGCTACAGAGAAAGCCTGGAGGCGGATATGCTCGAAGTAGTCTGGTTAAGTGGTACCCTTTACGTGCTTTGTTCTGTGCGTTGAGTTCACTGCTGTGCCACACGATTCTGACTTGTTTCGATTGTTTGTTTACTTTTCTTGAATTCTCTATGGAAAACAAAACAAAGGACCAAAATTACGAGTTAATGAAAAACTTGTTGATTTTCGATTGGGAAAAAAGTTAAAGGAAATTTTATATATAAGGAATTGCAAATTGGATCAGTCCGTCTCCTATTAATATTTATCTGCACTGCAATTAAGCCAGTATTTGTTACTTTCTATTCTTTTCTTGTCTTTTTACATAGAGATATATTTCATTTAGCAAGACTATCACACCAAAGAAAATCCAACTTTTTACTTTCCTTTAAACAAATACACTGTATTATTTTTTTTTTAATACAAAAAAAGACTATAATTCCAACTATTTACACTCCTTACTATTAACTTTTTTTTCTCTCTCTATCTAGTCTCATTTCTAAAAAGGTATGTTATAATATTATCCAACACCACCACAAAATGACTACAAGATACCATTAATACCCTATGATACATTTACAACACACTGTTTGCCACACTATGAAAATGAAACTTTTGCAACTTTTGATTTTGAAACACCCGCCCATCTCCTACCAATCAAATCGAGTTTTTCAGATTTCTGAAACTTGATAGCGATGCGACACTTCCACTTTTATTTTCGCGTTTTGCCCTAATTCAGTCATCGCGTCTCCACACTTGTTCCTCACAGGCCTCTTTCGCTGACAACTTCTGTACGAGTTATCGAGTCCCCAATCCATTCCAATCCATTTTTCGCGTTTTATGCTTTTTTGCTGCATATTAGGTGTATCATCTGGTACGTGTCTACAAACGACGGGAAAAAAAGAAATTTTTTCACAATTTTTTCGCGTTCGTAATTTGTTTACAAGTTTCCATTTTGGTATACAAAGTAAACAATTACTTTTGAAACCTATTATTTTTACTTTGCACTACGATGGGATGGGATGGGATGGCAATGACTTATGTGGATTGGACAAGGGGAACACTATCATGGACTATACGATGTTACTCAACAATATGGTAATGACGACATCTAAAAATATTACCCCAATATGGACTAGTGAAATATTTTGGCGTTTTTGATATGGTATTTGGTATCTTATACTCACTGTACTATTGTTTTTTTTTTTGAAATATGGTGGAATGCAAACCACAAACAACCACATTGAATCAGAATTTGAATACTAACATCTACAAAACTTTTGACAATTGTAAAGAAAGACAAGATTTTTCTTACCCTATCTTTATGGACTTGAAATCCTATCTTTCCCTATCAGAAAGCCTTCCTCCCCCTTCTGAACTGAACAAATATTAATGACGGAAAACATCTCAAAGTAACAATGTTCTATTAAACATACATCTTATCAAGAAATAGGATCAGAATATAGGTTTAAAGGCGACTACGAACACAAAGGAAGATAGATGAAACTAGAGTCCCTAATATAGGTATCGTTCTTGTTCAACTTTCTCCCTCAAAGATATTTTTACTTATAGCAAACGATATTGAAATGAAATTCTTAACAACTGCCGCTACTTTAACTGCTGCTTCTATCCTAGGTTCTACCGCATTGGCTGCTGCCATGCCAGACTTGAAAGACTGTACTACCACTGCTCAAGGTAACCACCAACACAAGAGAGCTGTCGCTGTTGAGTACGTCTACGAAACTGTTATCGTCGATGACCAAGGTCACACTTTGAACGTCCCACCAGTCAAGAACGATGCTGCTTCCCCAACCCAAGCTCCAAAGCAGTCTACTCAAACACCAGCTGCTGCTCCATCCACTTCTACTTTGGCTCCTGCTTCCTCAAGCTCTCCTTCTCCAGCTAAGAAGGCTGACTCCACCACTTCCACTTTGGCTCCATCATCATCATCATCTCCATCTCCATCTCCATCTTCATCCTCTTCCTCCTCTTCTTCTTCCCAACAATCTAAGCCATCCTCTTCCACCTCTTCCTCTTCCTCTTACAGTGGTGGTATCTACGGTGACTTGGCTGCTTTCTCTGGTCCAAGCGAGAAGTTCCAAGACGGTGTCATCCCATGTTCCCAATTCCCAGCCGGTCAAGGTGTTATCCCAATCAGCTGGTTAGGTGAAAACGGCTGGTCTGGTGTTGAAAACAGTGACACTTCCACTGGTGGTGACTGTAAGGAAGGTTCTTACTGTTCTTACGCTTGTCAACCAGGTATGTCCAAGACCCAATGGCCATCTTCTCAACCTGCTGATGGTAGATCCATTGGTGGTTTGCTATGTAAGAACGGTTACTTGTACCGTTCCAACACCAACGCTGACTACTTGTGTGAATGGGGTGTTAACTCTGCTGAAGTTGAATCCAAGTTGAGCCAAGGTGTTGCTATCTGTAGAACTGACTACCCAGGTACCGAAAACATGGTTATCCCAACTTTCGTCCAAGCTGGTGCCACTTTGCCATTGACTGTTGTCAACCAAGACACCTACTACCAATGGCAAGGTATGAAGACCTCCGCACAATACTACGTTAACAACGCTGGTATCTCCGTCGAAGACGGTTGTGTCTGGGGTAACGCTGGTTCCGGTCTAGGTAACTGGGCTCCATTGAACTTCGGTGCTGGTTACACTAACGGTATTACTTACTTGTCCTTGATTCCAAATCCAAACAACAAGGCTCCATTGAACTACAACGTCAAGATTGTTGCTGCTGATGACTCTTCCGTCGTCAACGGTGAATGTTCCTACGAAAATGGTGTCTACAGTGGTGGTGCCGATGGTTGTACCGTTGCTGTCAGATCTGGTAAGGCTAAGTTTGTCTTATACTAAGGTGTACATCTTTCGACAAAAGTTTGAAAAAAATTGTTGTAAATTAGCTCCTGAAGAACAAAATGCTTCAAATGATAGAGTCTTAATTGCATGTCCATCACGAGAAGAATCCTCAGGAATAAAAACCTTTAGGAAAGAAGTTTGCTCACGAGTTAATGGTTAGTGTGCCAACACATACCAGCAATTCGCTGATTCATCAAAATTCTTTTATTCTCTTTTTTTTTGTTTTATTATTCATTTATTAAAAGGTTTTACAAAAACATAGTTTTATCTTTTCTAAGACTTATTTTTTACGTTACTTTCTCATACTTCTGAAAAAGAGAAAATCCAATTTAGAATCTATAGTATATATATTTTTGTTGTCTCGTTTTCTCTTCGCTTTCACATTTTTTTTATGTTTTCATTTTATCCTTATGTAATTTTAAATATTATGAAGACCATTTCATTGCTCATTATATTTTGAACTTTCTGTAACTACAAGAGAACCGTTAAGCCGAAAGTCATCTCCTTGATAGTAATCTAGACTATATTAGTTATATGCTATGCAACATGCTACATGACTCATTATCCTAGATGACCTTCAGGTCATTCCGCTATTCTTATCTGACTTTTCCACCCCCCTTAATATAGATTAAGAAGGCGATATTCCGAACAATTGGCCAATTGATGCCAAATGATAGCATTGAATCACCGCCATCTCTCCTTATTAGAAATTTGATAAACGCTGCTTAGCTTTGCATTTCCATGTAGTTACGCATGCCCTTAACAACAGAACTACAAAGCTGCTAAGTGAGGAAATAACCCCTTTGACGGAACAATGGAGGAACGGAGGAAGAAGTACGGAACAAATCGTTTCAGAAAGTCTCGCACAACACCACACTTAACTACGTAAAACTGTCGGAACAAATCGCGATTTGTTCCGACTGTAAGGGGAAGGGGAAGTCCCTTCCACTGCCACCCCCACCCACTTCTACGTGATTGACACTTTACCAACCCACTTTCGACCTCTCCTCCCTTCCAGCGTCAGTTCTGCAAATACGTCTGTGGGTAGTGGGGCTCACTCGATCTCAGAAACCTAGCTTTTCGGACTGTTCCTCTCCGGTACTTTCACTGCCCCTCGGAGAGAAGCGGAAAGAATCTCATTCCCTGTTCCTTTCCGACCCCTTGGGATACAGAGCTTCTGTTTTGAGAAGAACGAACTAGTGGTACGGGGGTATCTAAGCCTTTTCCATGAACAGAATTGCTTTTTCCTCTTCCGCGAGAAGCATTTTGTCACAAGCTGGGCATCGCCGTAGGACCCCTACAGGGATCATAGAGGAAAACAGATCTTGAAGGGAGGAGGTGAGATGCAAAGAACAGAAACAAAGGGCAATCTCGGAACAACAATTTGTGCAGTGTTTTTAGTGAAGTTCCGTGAAGATAATGCAGAGAACAATACACGTAATATTTTCTTTTTTTTATTTCTTTTTTTCTCTTACTTGCAATATACTGACAGCGCTATTTTCTTAGCCTCCAAGTGGTATATTTCACGCTGAACTATATTCCGGCGAGGATAGTTGAGCCTGAGTCATTGAATATTATGGACACGAATTTTCAATTCATCAAGTGGTACTCGGAGCAAATTAATATATATATGGATGGAGTTGACCATATCATAACCGACTGTTGGTTCTGATTTACATGGCAACTTTGGACATCACGAAAAAAAGATAAGAAACTATAATAATAACGATGGTGGAAAGTGGTCCACATTCAATTAATGATGATTTGTCAACGAACGAATACATAGAACAACCTAAATTCTATCACGATGACCACGCTAGTGATAGTAATAGCCTGTCAGATATAGACGACGACAATAAGAAGCATGGCGGATTGTATGGAACAGTCTCCAGAACTACCACAAGAGAGCTACCAGAAGACCTGGAGTCTGAGATTTCTTCAACTCACTCACAAGATGCTAAAGAGGACTTGGAGATACAGCACAACGCGGCTCCATACTCCCTGCTGAACTACAGAGATAAATGGTGTATGGTTGCCCTACTTACAGCATGTGGGTTCTGGTCTTCTTTGGGTTCCCCAATTTATTATCCAGCTCTGAAACAGTTAGAAAAACAGTTCGACATCGATGAAAATATGGTCAATATCACAGTTGTGGTGTATCTATTATTCCAAGGTTTGGCCCCAACTTGTAGTGGTGGTCTAGCTGATAAGTTCGGCCGTAGACCTGTTCTACTTATCGGTATGCTGATCTACGTGGTTGCCTCCATTGGTCTGGCTTGTGCTCCATCATATGGTGTTATTGTTTTCCTAAGATGTGTACAGAGTATTGGTATCTCACCAAGTATCGCTATCAGCTCAGGTGTCGTTGGTGATTTCACTGTCAAATCTGAAAGAGGCACATTCGTTGGTGCTACTTCTGGCTTTGTGCTTTTAGGTCAAGCATTTGGTTCCCTAATTGGTGCCGCTCTGGCAGCTGCATGGGATTGGAGAGCCATCTTTTGGTTCCTAACTATTGGTTGTGGTGCATCATTTGCTATCTGCTTTGCGCTACTTCCAGAGACAAAGAGATCCATTGTCGGTAACTTGTCTATCAGACCAAAGAATCCATTAAATATCGCCCCAGTCACCTTGCTACCAGCCGCAAGAAGAAAGTTAAAGTACGATAACCCTGATTATGAGACACTAGACAAGACCAAGCCGGTTTTTGATTTGACATCTGCTTTCAAAATTTGTGCCCTGCCTGAAATCTTCTTATCTCTACTACCACCAGGTTTAGCCTTTGCCATGTGGACACTAATGTTGTCTGCTATTTCATCTGAATTGTCAGCTGCTCCATACAACTATAAGTTAACGATCATCGGTGTTTGCTACCTGCCAGCCGGTATTGGTGGTCTGATTGGTTCCTTTGCTACTGGTAAGATTATAGATTTCCAATATAAGAAGAAGTTGAAGGTATTTGAAGAGAAAAAGGCTGCTGGAATTATTCCAGAAGATGAGAAATTCAATATCATGGGTGCTAGATTGCAATCTGTTCTTCCACAGAACTTTTTGTGTGTTGTCACATATATCCTTTTCGGATGGAGTTGTGACAAAGGCTGGAAGATTCCTTCGATCTTAATTACCTCTTGTGTTAGCTCCTTCTGTGCAATGAGTACTCTTTCTGCTATGAGCACACTTTTGGTTGATCTTTACCCAGGGAAGTCATCTACGGCTAGTAGTTGTTTCAACTTCATGAGATGTAGTTTAAGTGCCATTCTGATGGGTTGTTTTGCCAAGATGAAGCATTCCTTAACAGTAGGTGGTACATTCACTCTGTTGGCTGGTCTAGTTTTCGTCGGTAACTTCCTAATGTTCATTCCAATGAAGCACGGAATGAGATGGAGAGAAGAAAGAGAACAAAGAGCTGCTCTTAAGGCGAAAAGCATGGATCAAGCTAATGAGAACGGCTACAAGTTGTTCAGCAAGATAAAGTTCTCTTCGCCATTCAAATCTGAAGAAAAAGTATGATAACGAAACGAAACTCAAAATTACCCAAAATTACCCACAATCAAAACCTAATATTTTAATAATTTGCATTCTGCTAATACCATGTAATATTTATAGACTTTTACTGTAATTAGTAATTTTAATTTAAAGCCTTCGCATTAATACACCTTCTTCCTAGTAATTTATTCAAATTAATGTTTTTGACCTACAAAGGTGTGTGACAAAACCGATACCAAATCGTAAACTCCATCTCAGGAAAATAACATTCTTCTAAAACTTGATTTACGTTCATGATAGATCTGAAACCGAAAATACCGACGTATTTGAATAGCCATGCAATTTGGTACACCTTTTCAAGTATATAATAATTTATCGAAATAAGGACATAAAAAATGATAAGAATAATTCTATATAATATTCCTTTAATGCTCCATAACTACTATTAATAAAATAATTTACAATATATTAAACAAAAGAAAAAAGTAAGGGAAAAATTCGGGGAAACACATATTCTCTTAGAAAGAATCCAAGAAGTCCACTTTGTGATAAAGATCAAAGTTATTATGTCCTCGACGATTTTTGGAATAGATGTAATTTTTCTGTTTTGTTTAATTTACTCCCATTAAGCCTCAAATAATTTTCAGAAGAATTCTAAGAAAATCATTGAGATGCACATTGAACACCTTCACCACCGTGGGCATCCTCGTCGTCAGAGTCGTAGTTTGCACCGCTTCTACCATTGGATTGACCAAACTTGGATGGGTCGAATTCGCTTAGAACACAGTCATCGACTTGGGCCTTGGCAGGTATGTTGATTTGTCTTCTTGGTGGCAAGATTTCTTCCAGTTTCTTCAAGTTTTCTTCGGATGTGAAGTGGTTTTCTGGGAACTTGATGTTGAACTTGATCAACAAGTTACCGTAACCACCGTATTTCTGAATAGGCATACCTTTACCTTCGACGATCTTGCGGGCACCTGGGGCGATAACTTCACCTGGAACGATATCGACCTTCAACCAGTCACCGGAAACGTGTTCCAGGGCGAACTGGCCACCGGCCAAAGCGGTTAGTAGGTCGATCTCGGCCTCGTAGATCAAGTCGTCACCGGCTCTTTGGAAGTGCTTGTGTGGCTTTTCACTGATCACGAAGACGACATCACCAGGGATGACATCTGGTGCTTGGTCGGCTTCACCTTTGAAGACGATCTTCTGGCCGTCTTTCATACCTGGCTCGATACGGACCTCAAGGATCTTTCTCTCGTTGTCGACCTTCTTACCGTTACAAGACTTACAACGGTCCTTGGCGTCTATGATATCACCTGTACCGTGACACACGTCACACTCGGTTTGGAATCTCTGGATCATAGGACCCATCTGTCTGGTGACGAACTTGATACCTTGACCGTTACAGCTGCTACACTTCTTGACAGCGCCTTCCTTACCACCTCTACCTTCACAGCTCTTACACAAGATCTGCTTGTTCAGCGCCAGCTTGGCGGTTCTACCCTTGTAAAGCTCCTCCAGAGAGGCAGCCATCTCGTGCTTGATGTCCCTACCACGCTGAGGACCTCTAGGCCTGCCACCGGTGGCACCGCCGAAGAACTGCGAGAAGATGTCCTCGCCAAAACCGAAGCCGCCTGGGAAACCGGCACCACCGTTTCCGCTCAGACCTTCCTCACCGAACTGGTCGTACACCTCACGCTTCTGCGAGTCTGAAAGAATCTCATAAGCACTGGAAACCTCCTTAAACTTCTCAGCAGCCTCCTCAGAAGGGTTCTTGTCCGGATGGTACTTCAACGCACTCTTCCTGTACGCCTTCTTGATCTCTGCATCGCTCGCACCAGGCGACACACCCAGCGTGTCGTACAACTTAGTATCCTTAACCATCTTAGCTCGCTTGTTAGACTCCACCTTGAATTTATCGTTCGGCCCACTTCAAAGCCGCCATCACACACATCCGGCATCGGCATCCACCTTCCCCCCAGCCTATTTATACTATTCCCAGGCCAGTAAAGAACCACATGGAATCCGCCAGAAAATTTTCACTTTTGCTAGAGTCGTCTTTCACACAGAAACCAGCGCAGGAATTCTCTCTCTCTGTGTCTCTTCCAATGTGTGCTGCTCATCGCCTCCAGAAGCGAAAAATTTTCAATTACCCGGCTAGGGTTCCACAGCCGCAACTTGCTCTTCTCAAAATGAGTCTTTTTTAGGGTATAGGGTTTTCAGTGTCTTTTAGGGCTGCTTTCTCTTGCACCACTTTGCTCAGCGGGAGCTATAAAGCATTCCGCTCTGCCTACACAGGTACACAGGGGGGGGTGGGGGGTTGTGGTTTTGGTTCTGGTTGGCGCGTAGTGGGGGGGAGTGTTTTAGCATGCGGATCAGACCTTGTGATATGCGTGCGGCGTGGGGGCGGCACCGGTGGCTGCCCCTGTTGCTGCCCCAGTGTAGGAGCGTAGACCAGGCTCTTGTAGAGTTTGGGTGGATGCAAGGGCTGGCGCCGGACAACATAGTGCAAGGCAACGCAGTGCAAGGCAACGCAGTGCAAGGCAACATAGTGCAAGGCAACGCAGTGCCAGGTAACACAGCGGCACGCAGGCTGCTGCGCGGCTGCGCCGCGCGGTTCCGCGGTGTGCCCTTGCAGTACGTGCTGGGCTCGCAGCCGTTCGGTGCCGCTGAGCTGGTGTGCAGGCCCGGCGTGCTCATACCCCGGTGGGAGACAGAGGAGTGGGCGCTGAAGCTAGCCAGGGCCATTGCGCGGTACAGCTCGCAACAGCCTCTAGCACAGCCGCTGAAACTGACGCTGGTGGACCTGTGTACTGGCACCGGGTGCGTGCCCATAGGCATCCACGATGAGCTTGCCCGTGCGCCCTCCCTGATCAAGTACACCGCGGTCGACGTCTCGCCACAGGCCATCGACCTGTGCCGGCTGAACGTCGGCCGGCGGGCCATCGAGGTTAAGCAGGTGGACGTGCTGCGCCAGGACTCGCCGGCGGATATCGTGGGTGGGCTTGGGCCCGGGCGTGGGCTTGGACTTGGGCGTGGGCCAGCGATAGATATACTGCTGTGCAACCCGCCATACATCCCGCGCAAAGCGTTCACGAGAACCACTGCGAGGTCAGTGAGGCTCTACGAGCCCAGGCTGGCCCTCATCGCCGACAAAGAGTTCTACAAGAACCTGGTGGACGTGTGGTCTCAACATACTAACTCATTTGTGTATGAGATCGGGGACTCGTCGCAGTACGAGTACGTAAAGCAGGCCCTGGACCCGAGTGTCTGGTCTGTAGGACTGCACATCGACTCCAATGGCTGTCCCAGAGCGGTCTATGGCTACAGAAACAGTATACCATCAATTGCATACATATTCGAGGAGTTTAAACAGCCAAGGTATGTATGACCCTTCCCGTCGAGGAACACGTCTTGTACATAATGTATATCGTGGATAATAAATACACAATGCATCTATAAAAGTATATCGTGGATAATAAATACACAATGCATCTATAAAAGTATATCGTGGATAATAAATACACAATGCATATATAAAGGTATATCGTGGTTAATAAATACACAATGCATCTATAAAAGGCACTACTCCATCTTCTGCTTCTTCTCCTCTTGCTCATCGGCGTTCACATCCGTGGGCTCCTCGATCTCAGGTTCTGGTGCTGGAATCACCCTGTGACACCATAGCAAGTAACCCCCACCGCCTCTCATGGTCATCAAGGGATGCAGCTTCCCTCTTGCGGTTTGGTATGGCCTACACCTAGTCTCCAGGATCGTGGGGGCCAAGTACCTCAAGTCGCTGTACAGTGTGTGCGCTAGCTCAAGTAACGTCTCCTTGAACTGACTGAAGCATACGATTGGTCTAGCACCGTGCACCCGCTCCGCTAGACGCGGTACCAGGGAAGGCAGATGTAACGTAGAGGCTACCACTAAACCATCGTACTGCTGCTTCGTAGCCATTTCAATCACACGCAGTTGTGTGTAATACCACTTCAGCTTCCTGGAGTACGCACTTCTCTTGCCGCTCTTTAGTTTGTTTACTTCCTCCTTCGATAATGGTGTAAAACGACCTTCAACTTCTTCCATGGTTGGTGGACGGAAATAGTCTAATATGGACAGTGTCACAACATGCTTCTCGATGAACTTCTCTGAGTAGTTAGAGAATTTTAACAGATCCAAGTTGGGATGCTCGTTCTCATTTATTACCACAATCTTACCAGGCGCATCCAAGTCCTCTTTACCCCCAAACATTCTTTCCAACATAGTATACACAATCAAACCACCCGTTTCATCCATACATAGGTAAGTACCATCAGACCTAATATTAGTCAAGTTTAGTATCATACCTAGGGACTCTTCAGAAAGGTCAAGGACCCTTTGAATATCACCTTTCTCCACCAGAAACTTCAGCAGCATTGAGCTACTCAAGTAATCAACGGTGAAGAACTTCGCAAACTTCTGTTTCTTCCTCTTTAAGTACTTCTCCTGTGAATAAATAGTCTTTTGGTGGAAACTACCGTGCGATTCAATCATCTTGGTGATAATCTCATTCGCAGACGCTGATTGCTGCTTGAATCTCTCAACATCATGCATGGTCAATTTCTGCACATCGTTACCGATATTAATCAGACCTTGATTTGTGGCGCTGCTGAGCACATTCTGGAGTTCAACAGGGATCACCGCTGAGGAATCCATCTCCTCAACTTCCTCTTCAGCTTTGTCATCAGTGGCAACCTCCTTGTACAACCTAACTTTACCTACTGGCACTTTATTCAGCTCGTTGCTCTTTGGCTTCTTCTTCTTGTTCTCCACTATTTCTTCAACATTGTCATAATATATCTCAAATGTAGTGCCCAATGGCCATCCCAATATGTCATTCACTTGGAAAGCACCGAATTTACCGAGAGACACAGAGCTATCGGGCTTTAACTCCACAATCTTCGAATTACCGGAGGGTAAGGTCAGAATAACGTGCTGATCCTGGACAATGCTCTTTAATGGATCCATTCCTTCTAGTATCTTTCGCTTGGATTCCTTGCTTAGGTGACGGGGGGCGCTAGCAACAACTAGAAAATCAATAGCTTCCAATGCACCTCGAGGAAGACTATTATGTTTCTTGAATGATTGAATTACATGCTCATCGATGCGATGAGCATTTGAATTTTTTGTCAAAACCTGCTTTGTACTACTCTTTCTTAGGGCGATGGGTGAAAAACTTCCAAAACGACAAAAAATTGCAAAACTTCTGAAAATTTTGCGATGAGCTTCACATCACACATAGTAATTTAGTTTAAAAGTGGGTCAAGTGTTAGTTGAGTATTACTGCTATATATTTCTATCACAGAGTAGCAACACTAGACAATATACGGAACAATGGGTAAAGGTCGTTCTAAGTTTAAGCAAGCCGCTCCTCCAAGTTTGGATGAGTTTTTGGCTAAGAAAGAGAAGAAGCAGAACAAGTTAAACAAGAAGTCTAAGAGAACCCATGAGGACAAAGATGACGGTAAGAAGAGTAAGAAGCAGAAGAAGTCCAAGTCTAAGAGAGCTGAAACTGAGGAAACTGAGGAAGAACCAGCTGACCTACCAGAAGTCGACTATGAGGAATTGTCAAAGGCCAAGAAGTCTCTGTTCGATGATGAGGAAGACGCAGGTGCAGACAGTAATGATGAGGAAGAACTAGATGATGATGAATTGAAGGATGAATTTGACCTTGAACAAGAGTATGACTACGATGAAGACGAGGAAGCCGAGGCTAAGCCAATGTTCTCTGATGATGAAGAAGATGAAGAAGAATTGGAGAGGTTGAATGCTAACAACATGGAATTCTTGTCTAAGAGATTGGATGAAGAAGAAGCTGAAGAAGCTGAGGAAGCCGAGCTTGAATTAACCGAGGCCCACAAGCAAAACCCAAGAGCTGATGTTCTTCCTTCAAAGGAAGAAGAAGAGCTAATGGCTCAAAATCCACCTGATTTGACCTCTATTAGAACCAGAATTATAGAAATTGTTAAAGTTTTGGAGGACTTTAAGACATTGGGTGCTGAGGGTAGATCTCGTAGTGAGTACACTGATAGACTATTAAAAGATATCTGCGAGTATTTTGGTTACACTCCATTTTTGGCTGAGAAATTGTTCAACCTCTTCTCTCCAGCCGAAGCTCTGGAGTTCTTTGAGGCCAACGAAATTGCTAGACCTATTACAATTAGAACCAACACTTTGAAAACAAGTAGAAGAGATCTTGCACAAGCTTTGGTTAACAGAGGTGTGAATTTGCAACCTATAGGTTCTTGGACAAAGGTTGGTCTACAAATCTTTGACTCTCAAGTCCCAATTGGTGCTACTCCAGAGTATCTAGCTGGTAACTATATTCTACAAGCAGCATCATCTTTCTTACCAGTCGTCGCACTAGACCCACAAGAAAATGAGAGGGTGCTAGATATGGCTTCTGCTCCAGGTGGTAAGACAACTTATATTTCCGCGCTTATGAAGAATACAGGTTGTGTGTTTGCTAATGATGCAAACAAGAAGAGAACAAAATCATTGATTGCTAATATCCATCGTCTTGGATGCACAAACACAATTGTTTGTAATTATGATGCTCGTGAATTTCCAAAGGTTATTGGTGGGTTTGACAGAGTTCTTTTAGATGCTCCATGTTCAGGTACAGGTGTCATTGGTAAGGATCAATCTGTTAAAGTATCGCGTACCGAGAAAGATTTCATTCAAATTCCTCATCTACAAAAGCAGTTGCTATTATCAGCTATTGACTCTGTTGATGCTAACTCCAAAAAAGGTGGTGTCATTGTATACTCTACCTGTTCCGTTGCAGTTGAAGAAGATGAAGCCGTTGTCGACTATGCTCTAAGAAAGAGACCAAATGTGAAACTAGTTGACACTGGTCTTCAAATTGGTAAGGAGGGTTTTGTTAGTTTCAGAGGTAAAAAATTCCACCCAAGCTTAAAATTAACAAGGAGGTATTATCCACATACCTATAATGTGGATGGTTTCTTTGTTGCCAAGTTCCAAAAGATTGGCCCATCTCCACATGACGATAACCAAGCTACTGCTAAAGAAAAGGAAGCAGCTGCAAGATTGGAAGCCATCGAGGAAGGTATTATCAAGGAAGATTTCGCCGAGTTTGAGGATGAAGAAGATAAGGAATATATAGAAAAGTCCAAGTCGAAGCTACTAAAAAAGAGAGGTGTTAACCCAAAAGCCAAATTGGAGAAAAAATGATTAGTTACTTTTAGAACCATATAATAACATCCCACTTCTAATTACCAATTCTATGTATATTACAAACATACTTGCATATGTAAAAAATCATTACCTTTATTACTATTAATGTAAACATTAAACGTTAATGACCTCAATTACTCGAAATAAGGTACATTACTTAGCTTGTGCTCTTTCAGATAGTCGACGCCACATTCATCATACTCCTCAGAAGTTACAATTGTACGTTGATAATCTTCTTCTGTATTCGCCAGTCTATACATACCATTCCACACGTCCAGAGTAGGGGCTTCTGATATATTGACATTTATTTTTGTATCCGAAGGAAGGAACTCAGTGAACTCTTTTACCACCCTACTTTTAAGCCCAGGAACTTGAGCATTCCCACCGACTAACCACACGTTTTTGGCCATATCTAAACTTTGCTGACTCAAATTTCTCGGAGTTGACCCAAACTTTTTCGTAATTATCGTCTCACAGATCTCTGTTATACCTGCTTGATCTTGTCCACCAAGTATTGGCTGAAACATTACTTCAGGTACTCTGATGCGCTCCACGTTGATATGCATTTGATGCTGCTCATGAATATTTTCACTATCATGAGGTCTGGGACCACGCAAAAACAAATGGAATACTGAATTTCTCCAGTCATACTGAGCATCTAATGTATCTTCCTCGGTAAAATTAGGATCATATTCTAGAAGTATACCTTCTAAGTCCACTATCTCCTTATATTCGTCCTCAATCGCTTCATCAAGTGCTTCAGGATTTTGGGTTATATCATTGTACACCATCCAATCTTCATCATTGGCACCAAATGTGTCATTAGGGTCGTTATCAATCGTAGCTTGCTGCCTGGTTCGTTTCGTGCCTCTGGCATTATCTTCTGCTAAATTTGCCAAATTCTTCATTCGATTCTGTGCCACTTGAGATTTACGGTCTTTCATATCCTCCTTAAGCTTAAGCTTTTCTTTTCTCTTTTGCATTAGATCATGTAATCTGTTTCTCTTATCTTTTAACCATCCATTGAAATCCGTAGATCTCCATTCTTCATCCTTTTTCTTTTGTTCTTCAACCTCCTTTAATATTCTCTCCTTCTCTTCCTTAGCTTTTTGGCGGGCATCGTAATTTGCTTTCAAAAGCTTCTGAACTTTTTTCTCCTGCTTTTGCTCTTCATTTAATTGTTCATCAGGGATATCTACCAAATCAAATTTGCCTTCCATATTTTCTTCTTCTTCTGCCTCATCTACCGCTTCAGAAAGTTCAAGAGCTTCAGCTTTCTTTATCGATCTTTGAACGTTATAGAGATATTTTTTGAAATCTCTCTCATCATCAAATCCCGCGCTTTGCAACACAGCTAGTACTTTCTTTTTTGGCTCGCCTTCTAGTTGCTCCTTCACTTTGGAGAAATATTCGTATTCTTCCCGCTTCTGAACTAATCTTTCCTTTCTTTTTATACGTGCTTGTTCCTGTAATCTCTTACCGCTTTCTTTTCTCTTCTCAGCTTGAATTCTCAGCTCTTCTTCACTCTTTTGTGGAGCTTGTACTTCAACAAAAGGTGCCTCTACAACAACATTCTTATTTTCAAGGTTACCTAGCGTCAAATATCCTTCAATATCTGTTTCATAATCTTGCGAAACATAACAATAGTCTTTGTACATCTTTTCGTATTGCAGGTAGGATAATTTAGTTGGGAAGTAAGGATATTTCAAATAAAGTAAGTTGCTCAAGTAATCTATAGAGCTGTGACCACCCCAATTTATCCTTTTCGCGTCAAGCATCATTCCTTGCCCTTCTACTATAGGTATGACATTCGTGTCTTCATATCCACAGTCAATAACTATACCTGTCGAACTTCCGCCATTATGACCATAGAATGCTAACATGCCCTCTACAGCCATCGAGACCTTTGGGACTCCGAACGACTCAAACAAAGTTTGATACCAATTAGATCGTTGAGACTGTAGGCACGCTAGTTTCTCATTTATTATGATTGGGTTTGTCACACCATTATCAGGTTGAACACCCAAGTGATGAAACGTATATTGAAGAATGTCTTCAACCATATCCCAGTTGACCACCAACGGCCCATCAAATGGACTTCTTGCCTGTGATCTAGTGGTTTGATCCAGCCATGTGTCGTAACCTATACAAGGCAAATACTTGTTCGTCTTTCTATCACGATATTTCGAGAATCTATTCGGGAATATATGCGACGGCCTCGATATGTTGGTGTAACCTGCCCTCAATTCATAAGACCCGAAGTCAATGGCTATAGGAATATTGGGATCATAAGTTGCGCTGTCAATAAAGTGCTCATAGCTGTTCCGTAATGGCGGGTCTTCAATTATATCAACTCTCAATGGAGTTAGGGATGCGTCCCTAGAAACCTCTCTACTCATGCCTTGCCGATGATTTATAATCGCTTCCTCAACAATTGCTCTCGCTACTTATAGAATCGGTAGCCTTCCTTAAATCGAGGTTTTATTAAGGCAATATATGCTGGTTTCAATAGCTGTTTCACTTGTACCTCAAGCTTTTGACTATGACCAACTTTTTCTATTTCGTTAGCGTGACGAAATTTTTCAGCCCAACTGCGATATAATGAACCTTGCGATGCGCAATGTAGTCTTATAGGATCAGGATTAAATACACTTGTTTGATAGTTGATCATCTAGTGTAATATATATGTATATATTGGTATTATATCCGTTATCAGCTAGAATGGATAATTTTAAATGTGCGTATTTATGTATATATGTAATAGTGCATTAATTAACAATGGTTAGTAGTTATCATCTAGTAGGTCCTCTAAGTACATGGATGGAGTCTTTCTATGGTCTCTTGCCATGTTTCTTGTTCTGATGGGTGTTCTAGTTGGTGACCTAGAGGGGGATAAGTTTGCTGATGACCTATTCCTTCTGTGGTATTTATCGTTTGATGGCGTCTTTCTGTGACTTCTCTGCGGTGACAATGCCACGTCCTCTGGCTTACTGAGGTCTGGGATCAATGGTGTATCATAGTCGTTATATATTGATGTCTGCTGTTTCTTTGGAGTGGCAAATATGTCGGGTACTTCTTGTCTTGGCAAGTTCATGACTTCAACAGTTGGTGAGATAAATAATGATCTTCTATTATTGTACTGGATGTCGTCTTGGATTGGGTTGAATCTGTGGACACTTCCGTCTCCATAATTGGTAATCGCATCAGACAGCGATTCCCATGAGTCGTTTCTAGTAGGCGTTTTGAAGATGTCGTTGGTGCTGCCACCAAACAAACCAATTTTCGATTTCTTCACCTTCTCATGGGTTTTCTTGTCCACTGATTGCGACCTTGAGTGGCCCAGACTCAGCTTCTCATCGTCCCCACCATAGCTATATACATCGCTGCTAGCGGTGCTAAAAATGGAGCTGTGGTGGGCATGGCCACCGCGGGACCCGTACGGGTACTGCGTAGCCATGCTCTCGAGGTAGTCCTTCTTGGTCCTCTTGTAGTTCAAGTATTTGGTAATCGACCACCACAGGAATATCAGCATCAAGATGGCGCCCGCAATAGACCCCACGGCTATGAACACTGTACCAGACAGCGCACTAGTCCTGAATATGTACGGGTTATTTTCAGCAGATGGAGGCACTATGTTGGCCACATCTGTGGACAACGAGCTGGAGGTTATAGTCAATGAAGTAGCTGTGATGTCAGTGGAAGTACTGGAAGTGGCAGCAGTGGAAGTGGCAGCAGTGGAAGTGGTAGCAGTGGAAGCATCAGTTGCACTGGTCTGCGATGTCTCATCCTTAGTAGTCGTTGGCTCTGTCGTTGGCTCTGTCGTAGGCGTCGGAGTGGTGGAAGTGGTGACCAGTCTGGGCAACCCACGCTCCATCAGCATCAGCGACTCATCTGTAAACGCCCTTTTCCTTCTCAGCATCTGTGTAATGTGGTTGTATCTCTAGGTAAGCCAGTCAAGCAACCGCCAAATACAACTACCTATCCAATAAATACCACAAAGCCCAATCCCATTGGCAAAAGCCCAGCGAGGACTCTCCTCGAAGGTGATGAGCTCCCATAAGGCCATTCCTCAATGTTTACATATTTCCTAAACGGGTATAGTAATTGAGCACCAGTATAAGAGGAACCCCATAATGCACTAGCATCGATGAAATGGTCCTTTGAAATGGATGGCCAGGGCAAGTGGCCACTATATCCAATGGTGCGACATATTGCTGATGGTGTGCATAGGCACAGCTATGCCATCATGCATTATGGATATTGCGCTGTAACTGGTCGGAGGGCAGGGGATAGTCGTCAATTGTCACGTGACTGACTAAAATCAGCAAGCGAAACTGGTCTCTCGAAGCTGAGGGTTGGGATGGAGTGCCCGAAGAGGTATTAAAGAGATGGTGGGTGGTAGCTAGAGGAGGCATGATGTGATTGCTTGCACTGGTAGCAGCGAAAAAGAGATGTCTGGTGGGCGAGCCAAGTATATACCGCCTCTGAACTTTGCGCCGATAGTGAGCACGGACGTGTCTCTGTACCGTTCGGGGTACCCGATGCCCTTGAACTACTCGTTCATCCGGGGCCAGCTGCACTTGAAGACGATCATATATGTCGGGGACAAGAGCGAGCCGATGCCCGAGTATGCCGAGTTCCTGGAGCGGGAGCGGATCAACTACCACCACATACACATGGACTCGTGCCGGGACCCCGACATCGATGCGCAGATGGACCGGGTGTTGCAACTGGTGCTGCGCGCCGACAACTACCCGATCCTGATACACTCGAACAAGGGCAAGCACCGCGTGGGTGTCGTGGTGGGCATAATACGCAAGCTGCTGCAAGGCTGGTCCATCGCCGGCATATACCAGGAGTACGGCCTCTTCTCCGGCGGACTTAAGGACGAGGCAGACCTGGAGTACATAACCATGTTTGAAACAGACATCCTGATGGACCCGCGCACAGTGCCCCGCTTCGCACTCCGAAGACACCACCCGACAGTGATCCAGCAGGAGACCACACCATAGATTACCCGATCACAGCGAAACTATGTAATGTACAGGACATATATAAAATACCCAAATATAGAGAGATGCCCAGAGAGCTATTATCATGGCCCATTGGGCCAAGGCCTAATTTTGCTTTTTTCGTCTGATCCTGCGGGATTTTCTGAGCGATTCAGGCATCCGGGAGGGATTTCCGCTTTTTTCCTAGCAGTGAAGGAACAACAACAAAGAAAAAAAATTTGGTAAATAAACAACAACAATAGTCTAAAATGGCTAAAGTGCGATCCCTGTTCAGCGGTAAAACTGTTGGAGCAGTGTAAACAGTACTAGCCGCTTTATTTGTTTTCATTGCTCTTCTTGAGGGAAGCGTACGGTAAACCACTACGGCGTTTTAGGAATTTAGCTAGAACAACTATCGCATACGCACAAACACACGATGGAGGCCAGAAGCCAGCACCAGCAAGGGCTGACGAATGCAGTGATATCTGCGCTCGCTGTGCCTGAGCAGAGTACAACTGTTTCGAAGCAATATTCCAACGAGCGCAATGTTGCGACTGAGGTGCAGGCGTATGCCAAGATTTCAGGACGGGACTGGACTTATTATGTGAAGAACTTAGAGGTGTCGATCGGCAGGAACACTGATCCGAGCAGCAAAGATGGGGAGCGAGACTCCGGCATCGATATTGATTTGGGTCCCGCGAAAGTGGTGTCTAGAAGACATGCTACTATAAAGTTCAACATGGAATACGGTGGCTGGGAGCTGAAGATACTGGGACGGAACGGTGGTAAAGTCAATTTCCATAGAGTCGAGGCAGGCGCCAATGCCCCTAGTATAAAACTTTCATCGGGAACGATACTAGATATTGGCGGTACACAGATGATATTTATACTGCCTGATCAAGAGCCTTTTATACCACAGGAGTGTCTTGAAAACCTGATGCCCACTTTGGTGAGTATATACGGTGTCGATGGATCCAATATTGCCAATGATAACCCGCTACTGCGAGAAGTTATCCGTGAATCAAACTACGTGAAAACTCACAGAGAGCTATCCAGGCAACCACCTGGAATTAACCAGCAGGTCAGAACTTTTAAGATGTACGGCAGTGGATCGTCTTTTCATCTTGGTGATAGTACTCCAAACTTTTATGGAACTGCCGCAACACCAATACCTGGTATGGCTACTTCCGGTATCGCGGCCAATAACAAACAACCTAACAGTTCCTATCAAAATGTAAATAATGCTGGGCCTAATGGAGCAGGAATAGGCCAAAACATGAATACGATCAGCGATTTCCCACAATCACTAGATTTTGCATCCGACTTGTCAAGAGATGAGAACAGAAATATCAAACCACCATATTCTTATGCGACGATGATTACTCAAGCCATATTATCCACCGGAGAAGGTGTTATTTCACTTGCAGATATTTATAAGTACATCTCATCCAATTATTCCTATTATAGATACGCAAAAACTGGTTGGCAAAACTCTATCAGACACAATCTTTCTTTGAATAAAGCCTTTGAAAAAGTACCAAGAAGGCCAAATGAACCAGGTAAAGGTATGAAATGGAGAATTAGTAAGGATTACCAAGAAGAGTTCCTACAAAAGTGGAATAGTGGCAATGGTAATAAAATAAGACGGGGCTCATCAGTTTCAAGACAACTACAGCTACATATGTCTAAATTTAATAGACTACCTACACAGAATGATTACAGCAATGATGTTGCTTCTGAGGACAAAAAAGTTACCAAAAAGCACTCAAAAAAGTCAAGTACTAGCAGTGGTGGCACTATGAGTACTGTCAATAGCGGACAGAATTCTCTAAGCTCTATTGAAAGTCATCCAGACGTCAACTTTGACAAATACGGTATAATGGGTAGCTCTAGGAATAGCATGCAGTTACTGCCCCCTACTCTACCGGAACAGCCAACAAATACAATGCAACCACCAATTAGGGAAACTCTCGAACCAATTACAAGCTACAGTGTTGCTAGGAAAAACCCAACAAATAATGCGCTTGTATCCTTTACTAATGCATCCTCGTCTTACTTGAAGCCAACTACATCAAGCAATTCCGCACCTAGTTTACCTAGCATTTCCACCAAAGGAATACAGAATCTACCATTACCAACTACTGCTGGATCAGCCTCTAATTTATTACAACAAAATCCTCACCTGTCACCATCATACGATTCACTGTTGAGGTCACCAACTAAGTCCTTTCATGTAACTGCAATGGAGGCGTACACTCCAGAGAGAGGTAGCGCACAAACCAATTTTTCTCCAAGTAATAGTCGTGGTGAGAATAATCCAACAGGAGTAGGCCTCCCCAGTGTATCACTTCCTAATGGCCACACTTTCAGCGATGATATGAGGAAAACAGAGTTGATGCCAAGCATCCAAGATCCGAACCCAGGAGGTTTGAGAAGTACAAACATGAGCGATAGGCTGACTCCCGCCAATTTTGGAAGTGCTAAATCCTCCCAATATAGAAACTCACCTGGCGGATGGAACTCATTGTTATTTAGTTCCGTGAATAACACACCGAAGTTCTCATTAGACTCAGATACCAAGAATGGCAACCAAACCCCAAAAGATCTAAATGGCTCTGCTAGCGTCAAATCTAGCATCAGCGAAGGTAGACCTGACGTAGGAAACCCAAGTGCTACAACATCGAATGGAAATGACTTGACTGTCAGTGTTCCGGACTTAGACTCCAAGGACATCAACTCTTCGCCATTAAAAAGACACTTAGAGAACAGAAGAGACACAGAAGGTAATATCCCAGAAGACCCATCGAGGAAAACCGACAGAAATATGCTGTTGGATACTGACAGCGCCAAGATTACAATCGTGAAATGAAACGCTATTTTTTGTTTATCCTCTTACAAAACAGCAAGTTTTGTACACGCTTTTAAATTTTTTTTCATGAAATTTCTACAAATGAGTTCCTATAACTGTTACAAAGTTAGTAACAGTGCTTTTTTTTTATTTCTACCATACCTATTTTTTTTGAAATCCATATTATTTGTTATTATTTTGGGCTGAAGATAATATTGACTATTCATTTCTTTTGACATATCGTACTTTATTTTATTTTTACTTTATTTTTTTTTTGTTACAATCTTTGTTCCAATGCCTAGCTCAAACCACCAAATTTTCACGTCGTTATTGGTCATCTCTACCTCGCCCTCACCTCATTTTTTTTTTGCATATATAAGCTAGCCAAAGCACCTTTTTATAGAAAAATAAAAGTACCAAAAAATAATATGAGTTCATTTTTATGCAGTATGGCTACCCATTGACGCCCTCTCTCAGTATATTTTTCTATTCTTGGACGTGTAGTACGAGGAGAATCACATGAATAATTCTCACACAAATCCCACTGAGATTGTCGTACACCAATCACACCTCACTACTACCCGCAGAATGAATGGGATCTTGTGCCTCCCCTTAAAAAATTGTCAATTCACTGATGTCCTTCCTCTCCAGATCCCGTCTAACTTAACGTCGTACGCACTTCCTCTGCAAAAGTCAAGTCTTGATGCATCCTTCCCTGCCGATAATGGGCACTTGCGAATTGAGTTTCAGGTTCAGCAGAGAACCAGCGTAGCATATACAACAGGGGGGAGGAGGGGGAGGGCAGCTCCTGCACCTGTCCTTCAGAAAGTGCAGTAGAGAGAAGCATACTCACAACAAGCAAAAATGCTATTTTTCTCGTTTTCATGTTGTCGTGCAGTCGGATATACTTATTTGACTGTTTTTAAATATTACACCCAGACATCTTAATTAATACACCCAGACACCTTTGATATCTGATTTGGTTGATTTTCACCGGTGTATCAGTGTCGCTCTCCAGTCTGTGGCCCGGGAAGACGTGGGTCGACGGGTGTGTGTGTGGCTAGAGGCAGGCTTGTGCCAGCCTGGCAACACAGACAGCTTCCAATATGCCCCCACCACCAGCACAGCCAGTACAGTAATTGTCAGGAGAAGGGACTTGGAATACCAGAGCCACGCCAGATGCTACAGACCGTAAGCTTCGGGTTTGTGGTGCAGGCCGGCCAGATGCTGCCGTGTCACCTCCTTCTAGTGAGCTAGTGAGGGTGGGGAGGGGGCCAGGGTGTAGGATCAGAGGGGACTGGTTGAGCTTCCGCATCACTAATCCCACCAAACCTTCGCACCAGTCTCTCGTCCTTGCTGAAGTCTTGGGCCGGCGGTGAACCTAGCTTGAAGCTTGTCCTGCCACTAGTCTGGGAATCAACCTCTCTTGCGGACACTCCCAAGCTGCCAGCAGCAAGGGCGAGGAGAGAGAGTGAGCAATCCAGCCTAGCTCCTGGTGTCCCAGCCTACGCCTTGTCCCATTCCTTAGGCAGAGACTCTACGCAACTCGCCCTCCACAACGCGAACTTCGCTGGCGAACTTGTTTGCCAAAGTTTCCACAAACTGAGAATTTCACTCTCACGGTGAGTTCACCACTCACACTGACAACAGTCCACATACACTGGCTCAGGACTGGTCCTACCTGTGGGAAAGTGAGCGAGCAGTGCCATCGTCGGATAATTTTGCAAAACTGTATAACCATTTTTTGATATTGATCAGAAGTAATATATATACAAATATACTGTTTTGTGGTAGATTTAACCTCTATTTCAAGAGTCACTAAGAAAACCACAACCTAAGAGGAGATTAAGATGTCTACTTTCGAAAAAGTCGTTGTTATTGACGGTACGTACACTATCCACAAAACTATAAGCGCTCTATGCACTTCCTGGAGCCTGTTGACTGGGAGAATTACACTACACCATCGAACCATATGAGGATTACAAGCACGATTGTTGCGTATAGGGATGGACTCGATAGATACTTTATGAAGCAAGTTGCATAAATTGAAAAGAAAACTATATGTGTCCAACCAGGAAAGAACCACTATCTTATTGAGAAAAGTTTTTGAGTTTATCAATGATTAAGGATTATGAATGGGAACATATATCAGAACAACACATTGTTTTTGAAAAAAGTTTTAGATAGATTTGGATTTTTCTGATTATGAACTTTGATTATGCCTTACATAGGAAAAAGCTGAAAATACTGATTATCATATGAAGTGGTTCCGATACGGACCTATACTGCCCAATATACACTTAACGATGAAAAAAAGTTGCTAAGCTCTCTACAGTCAGATATGCGATTGAATATTTTTTACTAACAGTTTTATTTGTAAATATTTTTTTGCTTCCTGTAAGGTGTTACAATTATTTGAGGAACAATGCCTTCATGAGAAAATGTCAAAATGTTTGCAATCCATAATTTGAATAGCTAAGGGTCACTTAGTCGGTCGTTTGGCTTCCATTGTTGCTAAGCAACTATTGAACGGTCAAAAGATCGTTGTCGTCAGAGCCGAAGCCCTAAACATCTCTGGTGAATTCTTCAGAAACAAGTTGAAGTACCACGACTTCTTGAGAAAGGCTACTGCTTTCAACAAGACCCGTGGTCCATTCCACTTCAGAGCCCCATCTAGAATCTTCTACAAGGCTGTCCGTGGTATGATCTCTCACAAGACTGCCCGTGGTAAGGCTGCTTTGGAAAGATTAAAGGTTTTCGAAGGTGTTCCACCACCATACGACAAGAAGAAGAGAGTTGTTGTCCCAGAAGCTTTGAGAGTCTTGAGATTGAAGCCAGGTAGAAAGTACACCACTCTAGCTAAGTTGTCTACTTCCGTCGGTTGGAAGTACGAAGACGTCGTTGCTAAGTTGGAAGAAAAGAGAAAGGTCAGATCCGCTGAATACTACGCTAAGAAGAGAGCCTTCAACAAGAAGGTTACCGCTGCCACCGCCTCTGCTGCTGAAACTGATGCTGCTAAGAAGTTGGCTACTCTAGGTTACTAAGCATATTTTGTTAACCAACAATTAAAAAATTAACAACTTAATCATTCTCTTTCAACTGTTTTATCCATCATAACATCAAAGAACGAATATAACTTTTTAAAATTTTTTTAGAATAAAATTTTAACCAAATACAAACCATTTTTAAAAAAACTCTTACTTATATACTATAATATAATCTTACCATATTTAAGTATCTCAAACTGGCTTGGGAGAAACGCCTGGTATCGCTGAATATGAACTACCAACAGTCAACATATGTGATCGTTCTCAATGGGTATGAACCACTGGAAATCAATAAATGAAGATCAAATAGTAAGTAAAATGATGTCACAGATTAAAAATACGATATAAAAACTAAAAGTCTAGATACAGATATGTGCAGATAGGTAACATTTTTCTTCCTTTCAACAAATTAAATCACAAACATGCTGAGCTGCTATCGAATTTTATATGTACACGTAGAAATGAGCAACGAGCTCCATTAATGTAAGCCGAGGACTCATCAAAGTAATCGTTTGTGATCGAATAAAGAAAAAAACAACAATGGTTTTTGTTAGTACACTGTGTCAAAAGAATTTAACAACACAATGTGCAACTAGCTATAATATCCCTTATTGGAGTCAAACAGATATTCTAGATATTTAAACACTTGGCAATGGGGAAAGTAGGTTGAATAGGTTTGGCTTGTTAGCTGTTTGGGCCCAGCCAAGATATAGGACGAATGGGATCCAACCATAGTGGGCAACTCTTTGTGTTAGGTCGAGGATCTTGTTGAAGCGCTCCTTTGATTCGTCGCTTAAAATGAAAGATGGCAAAAAGTTCATGTTGTTCGTAGTTGTGTTTATTTCAGTTGCTTTTCTAGGACAGGAATTGCAACTTTTGAATTCAATATGTATGATTTTATAGCATTGAAAGTCTTCAAATTTCAATCCGAAAGGTCAAAAGTCTTTCAAAAGTACAAATATATGCATATCATATATAACGTCACATGAAAGTTATGAAGGCTCATAGGAGTTCAAGTAATTCGATTTGCTACGCTAAACGCTGCATATGACAATTATAATACATTTATGTAGGTGTCAGTTTCACAAAAATTAGAATATCAATTATCCATGGAAAAGAGCTAAAATTTCCACTACGCTTATATATATATACTTATTGAATAGAAGAGAAGGAAAATACTGAATGACTCACATCTACAATAGTAACTGCAATGGGTTTTCAATAACGGTCTTCAATTCTCTCATGAAATCAGCACCTTTAGCACCGTCAATGGTTCTGTGGTCAAATGTACCTGTTATTGTGACTTGGTCATCGAATGCGATACCGTTTTCAGCACCAGCGTCTTCGACAGCAACTCTCTTTACAGTACCGATGGCCAAGATGGTGGATTGAGGTGGGTTTATGATAGAAGTGAACATTGATACTGCAGGGTTCATACCTAAGTTAGAAATACAGATAGTACCACCTTGGAATTCTTCTGGTACAAGCTTGTTGATCTTGGCACGGGAAGCCAATTCCTTGACTTCCTTGGAAATTTCAATTAGGCCCTTAGACTCTGCATTTTTAACAATAGGAGTCAAAAGACCAGTTGGTGTAGCAACAGCAACAGAGACGTCGACATTCTTGAATTGTCTGATGATACCCTCATTTTGAAGCCAATAAGAGTTAGCATCTGGTACTCTTCTAGCTGCTACCGTGACAGCCTTGATCAAGATATCATTGATAGATAGCTTATATTGGTCCTTGGCTGTAGCATTTAAGGACTTTCTTAGCTTTAATAACTTGGAGACAGAAATATCAGATGAAACAATGTATGATGGAATACTTTGTCTGGATTGTAGCAAGCGGTCACCAATAATTTGTCTCATATTAGTAATCTCCAAGTCTTCATAGGAAGCACCTCCAGTGGTAGAAGGAGTGGCCGATGGTGCAGCAGTAGAAGTGCTCTTTGGCGCACTTTCCAAGTACTTCTCGACATCGGCCTTAGTGATACGGCCACGAGGACCAGTACCTTTGACACTCTTCAAAGCAATACCTTTCTCTAGAGCAATAGTCTTCGCTAGAGGAGAGGCAATGATTCTGTCACCTGAAGCAACTGAAGAGGGTGTAGAATTAGACTTTGCAGCCTTCTTCTCAGATTTCTCCTCTTTCACTTCTTCCTTCTTTGGTTCTTCCTTTTGTTCCTCGGCTGCCGGAGCGGATGAAGACTGAGATCCACCAGCATCCTCTACTGTAAAGTCTTTGAATGCAGCAACATCTGCTTCATCTTCAACATACACAGCAATTGGTCTGCTAACAGCAACATCCTTGGTACCGGCTGGGACCAGAATCTTTGCCAGATAACCTTCGTCTTGGAACTCAAAGTCCATCTGAGCCTTATCGGTCTCAATTTCGGCTAGGACATCACCAGGAGCCAAGGAATCACCTTCCTTTTTAGACCACACAGCCAAGTTACCTTGACTCATCGTTGGAGACAACGCTGGCATACCTATCACAGTGTGAGGTGGGAAAGATGCATACAATCTCAATGTCATTGGAGTAACTAGACGGCCTCTCAAGGCAGTCCTAGAGACTTGGGGCAATGCTCTCAATAATGCAGACATATCTGTTCAATTCCAGAAAAAAAGATACTGTTATGTTTTGGAATTAGCAAAGTTTAATCCAAAAGAGACAACCTTCTCAAGGGAAATTAGTTAAATAGTAGAATATAATCAAAAATTAGTTATGAAGTGTTATCTAAACTCTTCAATTTTCTTCAAAATTCCAGCTTGCTCAATGAAAACCTTCCAGGAGTTCCTTATCAGTCAATTCTAACCCGATTTCTCTCAAAACTTCGCAGTTTTTCACAATTCTTTCGTGACTATAACTTGAAGCAAGGTACAATTACTCAATTTGTAACACTAGTAGTATTTATGAACAGTCTACAGTCCTGAAACTAACCGCTCTCAACCAACAACAAAACTCTTATTATCCGTCTTTTGCTGAGGGGTTTGCCCTTCCAACAGTTTAGGAGCATTTTTCCAAGCTTGGAGGAGATGGGAAGAGCAGAAAGATCAGCTGATACGGATTTTTATATAGTCGTTATACATGATGATAATACACATTGTCAAGTAGATATAAAGCATATGCTACTGCAAATTCCGTTTTTCCAGATGACAGATTTAGCTTATTTTTGTTGCCAACACTAAGATCCAGCTTTCCATCTGGAGCTTCAGCTTCTCATGAACCAGTTGTCGAGGGTAGGGGGCTTTTCGTAGAAGTTTGTCTCCGGGACAGGTATTGGCACCAGTTTACGCTTTGTATTGGTATAATCTTCGTCCCACTTTATCGATACGCTACCCGTCGATTTGTCCTTTAACAGTGTCTGGCATGTCTGCCATGAGAATCGGACTATTTCTATAGGCCACCCGAGCAGAGGCTTCTGGTTCCCCTTTAACCAAGCGACTGTTTTAGGGTCTGATGGGTAGCCTGAACCCATAATCTCATCAGGTGTTCTCCTCAGACTCTCTATTAGCAAATCTCTGGTAACTTTAGCTACCACACTCGCCACACTTACCACACAGTACAACGAATCGGCTTTCTTAGCAACGGTGAATTTAATTGATGGAAATCTGTCTTCCAACTTGCGTTGATAAGAGGCTGGAGGACCCACAGTATCAACATACACATGATCTATACTGACCCCTCGGTCAATTACACCTTGTATTAGAGCCATTGTCACATCATGTGCTTGCTCGTTCAAGTTATAGTTTCTGGAAGGTGGATAGCGAGACATACCTGTCGATATATCATATGGCGTGATTGCTGTAGTGGCATACCCTACTTGATCTATTTCTCCCGCATACATCTTACTGAATAGCATCCTTCTTACAGGATCTGTCAGTTTCTTGGAGTCATCAAACGTATATTTTGGGATTAAAACTTTGTCCTGGTATTCCTTTGTGCAATAGCTGATACCATATACCATAGGACCCATAACTGGACCACGGCCAGCTTCATCAACACCAAGTATCACTGGTGATTCATTGGCAATGACACTTTTGGGTATCTCTGAGTAATACGTTTTAGTCTTTAATGAATTCAAAGAAACCTGCACAGTAGGTGGTAACACATTCTTCTCTTCTGTAACCGTCATACTTAATCGATATATAAAGTATCTTGACTGCTAACTGGTATCTAATACGCAGAAAAGTTGTCTAGAGTAATTGCAACTTATATGCAATTGTGTTTTTATTTATGCGATGAGCTTCTGATTTCTATGATTCACGTCAACAATGTCACAGAACGCGAAAAATAATCAATGAGCGCAATAGCGGATCAATACACTCAAAGTACACTTTTCATATAAAAAATCAAATAATGAATTCATGATATCCCATGCTATCTATTTACAAGATATAGTACTAGGTCAACTTGTTCTTACTGTCTATTTACGTCATCCAGGGTTCCAAATGGCAGTACTTGTTCAATACGTTGGCATCCAGTGATAAGCATGCACAGGCGATCAATTCCAAGGCCGAAGCCACCTATGGGTGGCATACCCCACTTCATCGCATTGATGTACTCTTGATCTATCGAACTCAGAGTGTCATTATCTCCGTAGTCCTCTTTCATGCGCGCCTGTTGCTCAAATTTTTCTAACTGGACTTGAGGGCAGTTCTCTTCTTCATAAGCATTGCTATATTCTCTACCTTTTATAAATAACTCAAACCTCTTTGTCGTCCGCGAATCATCGGGATTACTCTTGGCTAGGGGAGATATCACCGCTGGGTGGTGATATATAATAGTAGGATGACTACTATTACAATATTTTTCCTCAATTAGCTCGGAACATAATCTGTTTAATATTTGGGAAGAAGAATACGAAGATGACTTTCCAAAAAACTGGCCCTTGTATTTTTGAGGAATGACTTCCAGCAATTGCTTTGAATCCTCTATTTTTACTTGTGAAAGGTCAACGCCTAGCTCCTTTGATAACGTAGGTAAAAATTCAACTCTCTTAAATTTCCAATTGTTACTTTTCAATATGTCTTCTAACTCCAACAGTGATTCAGGTAGATACTGCTTTATTGTTAAATTGTTAGTCAGATCTGTTATAATCTTCTTAAACAAGTCTTCATTTAGCTTTATTAGATCTTCCATTGTCAAGTAAGATTGGTAGAATTCCAACGTCGTGAATTCTGGATTATGACTTCCATCTATACCTTCATTTCTGAAAGATTTACCTATCTCAAAAACCTTATTACAACCTGAAATGATTAGACGTTTCAGCCATAATTCTGGTGCTACTCTCAACATAAGTTTATCAAAGTCCTTTGATGATGACATAAATGGTTTGGCGACGGCACCATTACTTTTAGATGATAATATTGGCGTTTCAACCTCAATGAAATCCCGTTCCTCCAAAAAGTTTCTGATAGACTTTAAAATGGAGCTTCTAATTCGTATGTTCTGAAACCCATTAATCTGATAGTCGACAACTTTGTTACTATTCGATTTTACCGTATCGATAAGTTTAGGTGGAAGAGGCATCTGTGCGACCGATAATATCTTCGGCAAATCTGTGCAACGAAGTGATATATTCTTCATCCTTGACTTGGATAATCGCGGTAAACCAGTTGTCATTACATAGTCGCCTTTCCTTAAAAAGGACAGCTCACTTTCGAAAGTTGCCGAATTTCCAATTTCTCGACAATTTAATATCAACTGAATACCATGAATTCCATCCACCAGATCAATAAATGCCATCTTTTTCCCTGAGAATCGTATACTTTTGATCCTGCCGCATAATGATATTTTTTGGTTTATTTTGTTCAATTGATCTTCAGATGTACTCCCATACTTCTTCAAAAATATATCAATACTGACTAAATTACCACGCTCAATAGAACTCATAGAAGGATAATACCTATCCAATGAGCTCAAAACCAATTCATTTCTCTTCGTGAATTCTAGATTACTAGAATCAATAGCAACCTTTGATGCCAAACCTCTACCAATTCGTATCCTCGAGCTCGCGTACAGCAGCCGAGCACCAACTATACGAAGCATTGATTGTGCTTGCTTGTAGACATCAAATTTAACTTAAAGGGTTTCTATAGTCTATAATCGTCCTTCAAGGTTTGAATCATGCATACTAATATGAATTTTGCAGTATTTCATCCTTTTGCGATGCCCTTGTCAATTATTATTCGTCATTATGGATGCGACATCAAGATAGTCATAGTCATGTAGCAGTAACCTAAGACAGATAGAGATAAGCTAGGGATTACGTTGCACAATTATTTACATGTTCATTGTAAATTTCAAACAGTAAAGTTGTTAATGAATGCAGTTATTTTATTTGTAAATGTATATTGAAATATGTAGCTATCTTTTACAAGTAATCCTTTCTGTTTGCAGTTCTAACAAATCTTCTCAGTTGCCATTCGACATCAGCATCCTTGTTCTCCAATGTACCCAGTCTTAATTCAAAGAGTCTCATTTCAAACCTAGGACCAACTTCCGCCATCTCAACACCATCTTTTGTACGCACATATACATGTTGTCTAACACTAATAAAATCACCTCTGTTTGCAAAAGTTATTACCCTAGAAGAATCCTTTTTTGGCCCTGGTGGGAAAAGATTTTTCAATATGGTAACAACTCTGTTACCTAGAGGTGTAGTAAAATTATCAAATATCAGATGTGGATTGACTTCGCTTTGATTACCTCTGTTTAGTATATCATGCCTTAGAACTACATTGTGTAAACTGAAAAATGCCGTAGGCCCATATGGGAAATGCGATACTGTTAAAGATGTTGGGACACCTCTATGCTCATGTAGTACAATCAAATCTGTTGTGCCTGATTTTTTGCAAGCCGATACCAAGTCTGCCATAACGTAGTTACCTCTATTCAGTCTTACTGCATTAGGAAACAGTAGTTTTATCTCCTTGGCAAATTGCGCTAATCTTGAACTTGGATCTCTGGATGTAGTTACAATAACTCTTGCTTCAACTATACCACTACTTGCAGAATACTCATCATCAACACCGGCCTCATCCTCATTGTCAGCCATACTCTGATCATAACGGAAATCCTTTTGTAGCTGCTCATCCTCTGCTAATTCTTTCGGTAGTGGCTTACCTTGAGCAAGTGCTTGCTTGATAATCTGTCTTTTTTGTTGTAATTGTGTCTCTTGTAGCTCTTGGGCTTTCCGATATAGATATTCCCTTCTCTCACGAGCTTGTCTCCTCAACATTTTGTATTGTTTTCCTGCTAATTATTCCTTGAAACAGTTATATAAGGATCAACTTGAATATACCGTGGACACTTAGATCTAACAACAGTAAACAAAGTATGATGTTAACTAATATACGTTATATCATTACTTTTTAGATGCTCATCGCAAAATTTTTCAAAATTTCAATTTTTTTCAGAAATAGTGATGCCCTTTACTCGAAACTGAAAATGCGATGGATTATTGCGATGCACACAGATATCAATCCATTTGATTGATGGTAATATAAATTGTTGTGAACCTGTCAGCTTCTAAAAAGCTTTAGGCCAATACTAAGAATCAAGTTATTCGTTAATCATTAATTAATTATGTGTCATTATATAATTGAATGAGCTAAGAAAGAGTACAGCATTCACTGGCAGACGTTGAGAATGAAAAACACCCCACCGAATCATCAATGTAGATATGTTAGCAAGTTGTATATGCCCGATGAACTCATGTGGTTTTGATGCAGCTGTTTCATATGGTTAAGTTCTCATTTATGCCGTCTTTGCATTTGCGATCGTTGGTATCTTTCCTCTTCTGATATCTCCATTCTTGTCTTCAGTACAGAGTTCTTAACATTTTTAATAGGTATATCCATTGATTCACGTCGGGTTAGCCTTCTGCCTTCTCGTTGATTTACATCTGCTTTCACAGCCATACGCTGTTGCTGAATATTATTCGGTACAAACATGTGTGTCGACAGTGCAGTTGGTAGCAAAGTATGAGCCGTAGGTGGTGCATTAGATTCATACAGGTATCTGGCTCCAGTGGCTTCTGATACAATACTACTGGAACTTCCCCTTCTAGATGTCGACCTCATATTAGATGTCGATCTTGTTAAGGTTTCACGGATGTATTGAGATGGTTGCATAAATGAATCATGAGGAGGCGTTACTGAACCGACAGCAGTCACATTAGTAGTTTCAATAGTTGGCTTGTGTGCCGATGAAACTTTGTAGTTTTGACCTGATATACTGGTAGGCGTAGAGTTCTGAGAGTTGAATAGACTGGATCGACCAGAATCTTCACCACTGTCCTTTGTAGAATATGTAGATGATCCATTGTGAAACAAACCACTCAATAAACTCCTTCTAATAGGTTGTGACAGATTGTTAGATTGTATTTTCTCTAAATGATGGGCGCCATCTTGGAGCTCCGAACCATGCGCGCTCAACTTCTTGTCATTACTTGCCTGCTTTGCGAGAACGAGCTTATCCCATTGTTTATTATAATATTGTTCATCCTCATCTTCCTCATCTATCTCGTCAGTATAGAATTCTGAACTGTCCGAAACACTATCCCAATCGGATTCATCCTCATCCTCACTGCTAAAAAATATCTTGTTATCCTTTCTTGTTTTGTTGTTATTGTGCTTAGACTCCGAACCACGCCTATTAGGTTTGCCAAATAGGGACTCATGCTTGAATATACTCTTGCTGTTATTGTCCGAGACCTGGGATGTACCTGAATTTGATCTTTTATGATTACTCTTTCCAATATTAAGAACTTCAGGCGATCTGGATCTACTTTTATTTCTTTTATCATTCGGAGAATCTGAGCTGTGTTTCTTTTTAATAATGACCATATTAGTGTCAAAACCTGTTATAACCATCTGAGGATCCTCTTTCTTCTTTTTCTGCTTAATTTGGTTAAATTGTTTATATAACAAATGGTTCGATTTATTGAAATCACTATCGTTTTGATTACCAGCATTTTCTGATCTATTGTGATTCTTTTGAAACAAAGCAGTTGTCGATTTATGCTGTCTTTCCTTTGAAAGAATACCACGAATATCAGCATGCTGATCATTTTTCTGAAAGCTGTCATTACTTCTATTTCTTCTTGGCTCAGTAGCACCATTAAGAGCCTCCATGGGTCGTATCGCAGTGATTTTTGATCTTTTATCAGTATTTTCATTCTTTGGTAGTATTTGGGTGAAACTTGTTTGCGGTTTTTTGGATGTTATATTCGTTGTAGTCCCGAAAGTAGTGGCTGCAGATTTATTGTTACCATTGTTGTTCATTGGATTAAGTACACTATATATATTTTTAACCCCATCTCTTTTCTTTGATATATTAATATCGTTATTTCGTAGAAGTGCCTTATTGAGAATACGCCAGCTTAAATTGCCTAAGCGTTCACCTTGCTGTATCGTCTTTGAAGTCTTAATTAACGTTGTGTACAGTTCGACTGTATCAAAGAGGTGAAGTCTTTCTGGTGTAAACAAGTTGGGAGATACCTTTAAAAACTCAGAGCTTATTGCTTGTTTTGAGAGGCCTGAGTTTTGTTTATTGTTTGGATTATTTTGTGAATGTTGTTGCTGTCGTTGCTTTTGCTGTTGTTCACTATGTTGCTGAGTTATGGTCTGCTTTATAGCGTTGCCTGTCGGTATCTTAGAATCAGTCCCAGGAGAGAGTTCTAACGGAGGTATATTATCTGGGCCTCTCGGAAGTCCCAACTTACTTGGCATGATGTTGTGTGTAGTAATCGTCTATCTTCTTCTTGCTGATAGTATTGTAATTAGGTATGAAGAAATAAGTTACAATAAAAGTAAAATCTGTTTATCCTGCGCTATTGAATCAATGTAGTGAATTTCATTAGAAGGCTACTTGTCTTCCTTGTTTTCTAATTATTTTACCCCGAGATGATGTGGCGTATATAAAACTCTTTGTAATGAAAATCGAAGTATATCAGTAATTTTTGAAAAGATTTAGCCTAGGTATATCCCTGTTTATTCTTCAAAGGTGGTTCAAATTCAGTGGATGAGGTTTATCTGCAGCAAACTTCTGTCAAAAAAAACACCACTGCGGCAGATCAGATTTTGCTTTTTCTAGGTGAAATGCTTCCTTGTTGCTGCTAAAAGAAAACGTAATCAATATGACCGTATCAGCGATTTAGTGCCATAGGCTATTGTTCTAACGGAGTTTTACTCGAGAAACATTGTTTCTCTCACTATGAAGTGGTCATTTCTAGTTAAAAATTGCGAAATTTCAAATTTTTTCCTTCTAGGTAGTCCCTTTACCCAGACCTTTAATTTTACGGAGATCGTGTTCCGAAGCAATATTGACCTGTGATGAGATGTAGAAATGTGTCAAAATTATATTAGTTGTCATGATATTTACGCTATATATATTATTGAAACAAGATACGTTTACACTGGCCGGATCCGGTGCAATTCTCTCCACTTATATTTAGCGTTGTGCTTATGAGACAATACAATCGTCGTCATCATTACATCTCCTGCGCTTCCTGCTGTCAGACCTGTTTGATCTTGATCTCTTAAACTCTTTGAAGTTTTTATAGTCTGGTACAAAATCGCTTAGAACATGCTCTTCAACTTCTACTGCACCATCGCTATTCGTAACAGCATCATCAATACGTTTCTGATCAGATTCATCTTCTTTCTTGACATTCGGGTCTTGCTCCAGGATCTCTTGTAATTTCGTTATAGTGGTGTCTTCCAATCTCTCTGGGAACTTAACTTGGAATTGTACATATAGGTTACCATAACCATCGATATCCGTACCCGCTATGTTAGCGTGATCACTATTTGCAATAACCTTAGGCATACCAAGACCCTCTACTGTCTTGAAACAACTTGGCTTCAATAATTCATTCGGTATTATACTCAACTTTATTATTTTTCCCGATGGGTGGCCTTCTATCATTATTTCACCACCGCATAAGCATGTCTTCAAAGGTACTTCACAGTTCTTTAATACAAGATCATGGTCATTGACCACTTGGAATTGGGTATTTTTGACAAGATCAATCACAATCACTACATCACCTGGTTGCACTTTGATTAGCCCATGACTAGTCTCTATCACTTCATCAGCTTCACCTGGTAGGACAATCACCTGGTTATGGGTCATACCAGCTTTAACCTCGACATCAAAAATCTTTCTCTCCTTCGATACTCCACTGCCTTTACACACAAAGCACAAGTCACTGTCCTTGATAAATGTGCCGGTACCATGACAGCTGTTACAAGTACTGCTCATAGTCTGTACCATGGGGCCCACCCTTCTAGTCTTCACCACTTCACCTTGCCCTTTACATGTTCTGCATGACGCGACACGCATACCACCTTTACCATCACAACTGCTGCAAACTCTCATTCTGTTTAAGCCCAGCTTGGTCTTCTTACCTTGGTACAAGTCGCTCAAGTTGCACTTCAAGTAATGCTTTATGTCGGGCCCTGTTCTCATGTGGCCATCTCTTGCCCCATGGGCTTGTGCACTGTTGCCAAACCCGTCAAATCGGGAACCAAACCCGAACGAAGGACCAGCATCGCCCGAGCTGTTGAAGAACTGCGCAAACAGGTCCCCAGCGGAAGTACCAAACATATGCATCGGATTCCCACCGCTGTAAAACGACATCCCCTCGCCAAAGGGCTCCTGGCTCGCGATGGCAGACTCATCAGTGGTGCCATACCTGTCATACATTTCACGGCTCTTCGGGTCAGAAAGCACCTCGTAAGCCTTCGATATCTCCTGGAACTGCTTCTTAGACTCCTCAGAATGGTTGTTCTTATCAGGATGGCACCGCAACGCAGCAGCATGGAACGCCTTCTTTATCGTGACTTGCGAAGCATCGCACTCAACATTAAGTAGATCATACAATCTCGTGTCCTTGACCATCTAGAAACATCCAAATTATTCTTATTAGTTTTTAGACTGGTGCCTGTCCTTTCCCACTTTGCATAGAAGCCCGCTGCCACTGCTTGCTTATATACTTTCACCACCTTCTGCTGCACTATGAATGCAAAAACTCATCGAAATCCTAGAAATCCCAGAAATCCTAGATTGGAATGGTGCTTCTAAAACCTCGCTGCAGGTACTTCTAAGCAATTTACCAACACAATCCTTCCAAGAATGTGAGGTCTCTGCAAATGACAGCGTCCCTCCAGTGGCCCGATGACCTCGCACTAAATGCCCGCACAACATCGATTGAACAACGCAGAAAATGGAAGGAAAAGTCGGCAATCTCTAAGCTGACTTTATCAAGGAAATTTGCCTCCTTTGTGCTGTACTTTCTAAGCATAAAAGTTTAGAAATTGAAATGGAACTGATTTACCCTTTTCGTCTCTTCTACGTGCTTCTTCGTGCTTCTATCTCCTTCCATTACACAGAGCAGCCCGCACAAGATGCCTTTTCAACATTCGCTTTTGTCTTGGGATACGTATACTGGAGTCACATGTTTTTATTGTAACCGTTCGTCACATTACTATCATGTGACCTATACAAAGCGTTAAATAGCCCCCGCCAGTGTATATATTCCTGACGTGGATTCAATTGTGTCTGGAAACGCAGTTACTATTCGAGAATATGTATGTTTGTAGCTGTTTAAACTATATGATGTAATATGTGTGTATTTGGTGTACCCCCCCCTCAAAAATATAGTTCTATAGGTTATGCAGTGACGGGGGTAGATATGTGGTTGTGTGATGAGCTGGTGGTTGTGATGCTGCTGGAGCCCGGGTGTATGACGTGCAAACGGGACCGGAGAGCGGTGGGCTGTGCCATCAGTTGCTCGTGCATCTCCTCCTCGGGGATCACTATAGGGTCATCAATGCTGAGTCCGCTGGTGGGTGTGTAGCGGAACGACAAGGACTTGTCGTCCTCTATGGCTGGTGGAAGCGAGAACACATACTCATCCAATATGCTATGGGCCGCGTCGTCCTCGGCGGATACTTCCCCGGACTCTGATCCCGAGTCATCCGTGGTGAGCGCTGTAGTCATAAGTGTGATTCGTAACTGAATCCTCTGGTATATGATATTGCGCATGTATTGCTCCCACAGCTTCATTATGGTTTGATGCTCCCGTGACAAGTTCCTGTACCGTATGTTTCTGTAACCACCAGGAGAGGTCTTGCTTCTGCGGATTGTTCTTCGAATAGCCGTTGGCGTGCTAGACGTCGATAAGCCAGACGGCGCCTGGCTTGTGATAGACACCACAGGGTCTCTGTGCCTCATTTGGTTTACTTTTGAGTTTCGCACCGACGGCATCGAACGCTTGATGGAATTTTTCCTAGAGACGGTGCTATCGTCAACATGATACACTCGAGACGGTATTCTCTCAACGGTAGGCACTACTCTTGGTCTATAATGGTATTTTCTCTTGATGCCATATACAGCAGCTGCGTTGTCCGTTGCCCTCGGATACATCTGGCTCAAATTCAAAGTGCGGAGATCAGTATAATTCATAACTGATTCTAACTCAGCCCGATTTCTAAATCTATGGGGTTCTAATTTGACCTTCACGTTGCTGTCTTGTATCCTTGTAAAGTTTGTGTTCTTCTTACTATTCCTCTTGAAAAATCCTCTGTGGAAAATGAACTTCTTTTTATCTTTGTATTTCTTCAACTCTTGCACATTCGTAAAATCCTTCCGCTGTATACTAGAGTGGCGTGCAATTGAAGCTTTACGTTTTATGGATCCGTAGTCCCTATGAGCATTCGTCGCTTGAGTTAAGGGAAGACCAGCTTGCCCTTGCTTATATTTCTCCCAGTTGGATACTGCGTTCAATATGTCGTTTTCAACTGAAGTTGTATGGCCTTCATTTGTATTCATTGGGTTTTCATTCCTTCCAGGTCGAATGTGACTTCTTGACACTCGTTAGTTTGGTTATGTTATCTCTTTTTTGTCGAGGTTACCCTTTATCTCTACTGGTAATTATATATTCTGCGACCAGTCAAAAGTTAGAATGATTAGTTTTTGTTGTACCTTGGTCTTATAAACCATATACAAGCTAATGGCGAATGAATAATATCCCTCTTCCTTTTATTTAACTCGGCGATCTGGTGGTTCCCTCTAGTAACGTTGTCAATAAACTTTTACCTCACATCTGTCCGAGAATACAAGCCTCTACAAACCCAACATATTCCATTAACCTCCTTGACCTGTTAGTGCAATTAAGTGCGTTATCTAAAGCGTACTTACTATCTTTGTGAGTGGAAACCTCTATGGCTGATTGCCATTGACCAGCAATTAATTTTAAAATATGAAGCCAGCCTTTTTTATTTTGTCAAATTTTCAGTATTACTTCCTTAGATACTTCCGTAGAACAACTTCAAAAATATGTCAAATATGTCGATGAGCTACAAATTGAAAATGATAAATTTGTGAAAATAGTCTCACATCTACAATAGCTTGATGTTGACTGCGTTTGTATTACGTGCATTGGGTAGCCAGCATCAACTTCTATTTATATATTATACAGGCTTGCATCTATAAGTAATGCATTAGTTTCCCAGTCACATAGGGCCTTGTGCAACAGATTCTGTATTCAATATATCTAGTGGGCACGCAGTGCAATGATTCTGTACTTAATAAAATTTAGATATCTTGCTTGGAAGTAATAATGGACATGCATTTGTACTCATTCGAGTACGTAGACTTCCATAGACGTACTTTCCCATCTTCACCAGTACTGCTCAAGATAGTACCTGTCAAATTCCAGGAAACTGACCATACCTCACCTTTGTGGTCATCGTGTTCGCTCAGTAGTTCCACTTCTAAGTCTGTATTATTTTGTCTTTGCTTTATACCTTGGTCTTCCATATTATAGTCATCTGAGTCACTTAAGTTTGGTGTATTTGATTTTGATGGAGAATCATTCACTCTGAATATACGTACTCTCCCGTCTTTGCAACCAGTTGCAATCAAATGATAAGGTCTGCCAATCAATGGAGCCCAGCTTATGCTTCTGATCAGGGATGTGTGCCCGGGTAGCTTACCAGCCTGGTAGAAATGCCCATCTTTGCCTCTTTGATATATATAAGCCTGATCTAATGCACAAACAGCTATCTTCTCTGGAGAGAATCTCGTGAAACACCATGATAATCCAAACGCCGATTGTAAGTTGTTAGCAGGAGCCACTGGTAATACTTTTACTTCTGCAGTCATGGTCCAAGACCTCAAGTTTGAAGGATCAAGGGCGTCATACATCCTCATTATACCATCATTCCCAATACTTGCTATCCGTAGTCCAAGGTGAGATGGAGCAAACTTGACGCAATACAGCGAACCCTTTGAATCATTTAGTGTGCATAGCCTAGTCCATCTGCGACCAGAACACTCTTCTTGATTGGGATCCTCTTCCCAAATCTTTATAGTCTTATCATAAGAAGCAGAAGCAATAATGCGTCCATATTCGGGGCTAGCCCAATCAAGAGATACAATACTGCTGTCATGTGCTCTCCATGAATCATTTACTTCCCATCTGGTCGCATCTTTATCCAATTTGAATACTTTAATATGTTGATCTGAAGAGCAGGTAGCCATGGTTCTGCCATAGAAATCATACGCAACATCATGAACAATATCTTCATGGCCTGTGTTAAAAGGTTGCATTTTCAAAATATGCAATTATTCTGGAATCCAATTGTTTTGTAAAGCTAGAAAAGCAGAGTTTATGATTCTCGCAAATACCAAATTCAATCGAAAATGAAGTAAATAATGAGTTCTATCTTTCGAGAATACCAAATAGTACACTTTGTTTAAGCTTCGTAAATATCCATTGTTATTGTGCAATTTTACACTTTTTCAATGATTCTCTGATTGAAAATTCGGTTCATGCGCTGTTGAGTGACAAACATGGCGATGAGCATGTAAGCAATTAAAGTTGAATACAATAAATTACGAAATTATATCTGTTAAATAAGTATGCATGCGATTACACCAGATATGGTTAGTGCTTTCTTTGTCTCAGTGTGGTTTTGATCTTGGTTATTCCATGGCCGAATACCAAGTCAAAATACAAATGAGTTAGATCAGTAATACATCTGTAGCACGCCCATGATTATTCAAAATGTAGCTTCTGGGCATCAATTAGGACAATGTGTGAAGTGTTGACTTCAACTCATTATGATGAGAAGTATTCCTCACGCATTTTGATCAGATCATTGCACCATTCGGATACTTCGGGGGTTTTAATTGCATCCTTAGCAGACCAGAACTGGTCCAATCTTATGTTATTTGATTGCTCATATTCAAAACATTGTACCAGCATTTCGAACTTATCTATATCCTTGACATAGCGTGCTTCTGGGGAAGATACATTTTCGTACGCTAACCAGTCCTCTAATATCTCCTTTGCTGCTTTAGAATTGAAAGGTGCTATGATTTTATCACATAGGTATTTAATAGTGTCATACTCTCTTCTATGTTTCTCTTCCTTTGTCATAGGATCATTTGGTGTGATGTCTCCAACTAAGGACTCAGCCAGGTCGTGTACCAATGAGATTCGCACACACTTATCTCTATTAATATCAGGATTGGTAATCAACATGGAAGTTATGCCCATTCTGTACATGTGATCCGAAATACTCTCGGGGTCCTTCACCTTATGGTCAACCCAACCGGTTCTTTTTTGAATCTTCAGTTGCTGCACAATGTTCAGCAGTGCAATAACATAATTAGAGTTTTTGGTACCTGCTAAAGCTTTCTTAACATTGTCTGGGATATGATCCTCAGGCTTCCAACTCTCATTCATTTCAGTAAGTTATGTGTAGGCTTGAGATTTCTAAAATTTGGTGACGTTATGGTATTCAAATCACAAGCCTTTCAACATTTCTTAACCACTATACTGTATTAATGATATTCCTTAATGTTAAATAATTTTGCAGGATCAGCGATGAGACCGTTAATGCCAAAAAATGAAAAATCAAAATAATTGCCATGTTAAAAACCCTGAGATACTCGCAGTTAAATAGATTTAACGATTTTTATTATTATTATTATTATTTAGTTTAAAAGAATATGATACAGTTATTAAATATGCAAATGCAGTTAGAATTTAATTGTTTTAAATTAAATGATTATATTCATATACACTACGAAAATTAATCAGTTCCTTGCGAAATTAAAAAAGATGAATGTTACACTTTTTCAATTAATTTAAGCAATCAATTCGACGACACCACCAGCGGCCTTGATCTTTTCTTCAGCCAACTTGGAGACGAATCTAGCCTTGACAATTACTGGGACATTTGGGATTCTACCCTTACCCAAGACCTTACCGTAACCGGCAGCCAAAGTATCGATAACTGGAGCAGCAGACTTGGAAGAAGACTTCAAGTATTCGTCTCTCTTGTCTTCTGGGATCAAAGTCCACAACTTGTCCAAGTTCAAAACTGGTCTCCAGAAGTGGTTTTGTTGCTTGTGGAAGTATCTCATACCAACCTTACCGAAGTAACCTGGGTGGTACTTGTCCAAGTTGGTTCTGTGGTGGTGTTGACCACCAGCCATACCTCTACCACCAGGGTGCTTTCTGTGCTTACCGATACGACCCTTACCGGCTGTAAATATACGATTTATCCATTCAGTAAAAAAATGTCAGGATAAAAATTAAATGTTAGTAAAACAATGTTCCGTCAATTGCTTTTTAGGTTATTTATTTGCAGCTGGAGTAAGGAATCATAAACACATAACGATTTCTGTGATTGATAATGTTAAATCTTTCTCAATTTAAGTGTCCAAGATGTACAAAGCAATAGATCCTAATTAAAGGTTAAGCTTGCAACAACCTTCTCAAATATATCTGCAATCCCGGTGATCGTCAGTAATTTCAGATAGGTTGTGACACTATTTTTTTTTGGATTTGGTTTCAAAAAAAATTTTCCCTCTGGCATAACTGAAAACATAACTGTCTCAGCTATATCAGAGGTATAGGAAGAAAGTTATTAAAACATTGTCAAAAACACATCATCGTCTTGGTTCTTTCATTCCATCCTTTCTTCCTCCACAAATGAATTGTTATTTTGATGGAACTACATACCTGAGACGTGACCTCTGTGCTTTCTAGTCTTGGTGAATCTGGTTGGCATTTCTGTTAGACTTGTTTGCGGTTGGTTATCTTGTATTGAAAGACAGAAATTAAGAACTCAAGAGAAGTACCAATGGAAATTAAAATACCAATTCTAAGTATACTATATATCAGTTGAAAAAATGTATGAAAAATTTTTTGGTTCAGAAGAGACTCATCGCAAAATTTTTGGAAAAAAAAAAAGATGGAATATGGTGTAGTGAAACACGATATCACGTGGGTATTACAGAGCACCGGGTCGCAAGTTTCTCCGAGCGTTATGTCTACGGCAGTTCGATAAGAGTTGTTGTGCTGGCGTTTCTGTGCACAATGTCACATGTATAAAGCGTAACGAAGCAATGGCGCTTTCCTCTTTAGGAAACCTAATCTGCCCGTGCTCCGTATTTGTTTAGTCCGAGGAAAAAAATGAATAATCCAATTTTTTTTGAAATGTAGAATATGGTGTGTGGGTGTTGGAAAACAGTCGCAAAATATATACATATCATACTACACGTATATTACGGTCTTTAAATCACATGATTATAATTCCGAGTGCACACCAGTGGGTAGCTGCCGCTAGAGACTAGTGGAATAGTCATTGTAACGTGTATGAGTTTCTATATGACACCACCAATGGCTAAATACTTAAGGTTTATGTTAACTAGTCTTCTGCTTGATTGGTATATTAAGCCATTTCTATATACAGTATTACACTCATTTGGCAAGGGAAAGGTTTTGCTTTATAGGTTTCAGTTGGAAATTGTGTTTTCTAAGGTAGTAATACTTACGAGCAAATTTCCACTAGTACTCTATAATAATAATATGTCAGTCGTCAGACATAGATAATTCTACAACATTTAAATTTTGGAATCAATGTAAATTTATGTTTTGTAGACTATATTTGCTACATTTAATATACTTGGTAAATTGGTTCTCATCCATATTGAGGGGAATCTAAAATATGATATGTAACAATTAGTTTTCATGAATTACTGCGACTTACCTATTAATTATGGAAAATGGAGAGGGTGTGATCTATACAAAAAGAGAGAAAAGTATATATTGGACATTCACTCCCTTTAACGGACATTAGCATTAACGATGGTAGCAACTTTGAATTCTTCACCCTTAGCATTAGTCAATTTTCTAACTGGATGTTCCTTATCTTCTTCATCCTTGAAGATAACTTCCAAGTTTTCGTTAGTGCTGAAATGTGGTTGCAATTGCTCCCACAGCTTCTTCTTAGGGTTCAATTGCTTCAATGGATCTTCAGCGCCGAAACCTTCGAAGAAAACTTTGTCACCTGCCTTGGAGCCCTTTGGTGGTTCAACAAATTCAACCTTATCCTCAGCATTAGAACCACACAAAACCATAGCGGTAGACTTTACACCTCTCATGTTGACTGGCTTCAAGTTACAGACAGCAACAACATAACGTTCCTGCATGGCCTCTAGTGGGAAGTGCTTGACTAGACCAGAACAAACAGTTCTTGGACCTTCCTCATCACCAACATCGATAGTGGAGACGTACAAACTGTCAGCATCTGGGTGCTTAATAGCCTTTTGAATGAAACCGACACGGAAGTCAATGACAGATGGCAATACCTTCTCTGGAGCCTTTGTTTCCTTTTGTTGTTGTGCTTGTGCAGCCTTTTTAGCGGCCTTCTTCGCCTTGGCTTCTTCTCTCAACTTCTTCAAAGTCTCCTCATCTGGCTTACCTCTTTGCTTCTTGTCACCATCGTTAGCCTTCTTCTTGTCATCCTTCTTATCATCCTTCTTACCGTCATCCTTCTTAGCATCATCCTTCTTCTTTGGCTTCTCAATAACTTCTCTTGGCAATTCGATGTTACGGTCAAATTCCAAAGTTTGGTCCTTAGACAATTGCAACAAAGCTTGCAAGTAGTCAACCCATCTAATAATGTGTCTGTAGCTACCCAAAGTACCCTTAATGTCCTTAGAACTGGAAACTAGTTCCTTGATAACTGGCAAAGTGGCTTCGAACAATTCAACATCGTGAACTGTTGGCTGAGAAGTAGCAGCAATGAAACTGTTATCTCTCAATTGCAAGTTCAAATTGTTCAAGTTGGCTTGCAATTGACCAGTCTTTAGAATAGACTCCCATTGAGCAACCAAAGCAGATTGCTCACGACTTAGTTGAGCTGTAGAATCAGCAACAGATAAACCCTTAAACTTAGCAACTAGATCAGACATACTTCTCTTTACTGTCAACCACTTGAGCATACAAATTATATTGCAATTAACACTCAAAACCACAGAAAAACTATAGATGAGTTAAAAATAAAAAGTTAGCTACAATAAGTCGTACTACAAAAACACTTGACAGTTGCACGGAGAATCATCCTAGTTCATACTATTACTGTTCTCTTGTTGAAACGATGAGCAATAATTTTTCAATTCTTGAAAGGTTTTAAAAATGAGATTATAATGCGAATTTCTCACGAAGTGGGCTATAAAGCAATAGCATTTTAAAGTCTATATAAATGCTCTGGTATTTTAATGTTACATAATATAAAATCATATCATACTATCTAATAATTTCCCTCTAGGCATCAGATTGATTCACTATTGCAATAAACTATATCTTCTTCTTCAGCCATCTTCCAAATCTTGTAGTTGCATTTAGTTTCTTTTCATCTTCAAACTCCTCAGATTCTGACATCTTCTTCTTTGTGCCAATGATTTTGCCCAAGTTGTACATTGAAGACGATTTCACCTTACCGTTTCCATTCATTTGATGGTGTAAGTGCAGTTGCGATCTCTCTGTGTTGTCTCTCTTGTTTTGTATATCGACTGTGGGTAATGACAAGAATACATCAGTTTTACCATCTTCATTGAATAACCGGCTGAACTGATCATCATCATAACCATCCCGTAAAACATCAGCAACAATGACACCATTCTTTGTATAATATATCTTATTAGACATTGACTGCACAAAAGATCCCATCTCTGTAAGTTGAATGGATGGATATTCATAGTCTGCCAACCTATCAAGTAACCTATCAAGCTTATTTACTAACAGCGCTGATTCCGTCTCTAGTTGCTCAAAAAGATCATAGTCCTGCTTTGTAATTTCTTTGAATTGCATACTATAAATCTTTGAGGATGGCTTCTTTTTTGGAGATTCATTAGATTTTAAGTATCTCATCAAATCATCTCCAAAAACATCTGAGTTATCCTCAGTAATTTCCTCGAATTCTAACTCCCCAATTTCCGGTTTCTCCTCGTCAACTGTAGTCCAGTCATCTAGTTTATCCAGATCTGAAGTTCTTTCAGATTTAATATTATTTTGTACTCCTAACTTATCAGTAGTTATAAGCTCTATCAACTCAGTTTCATCCTGGTACTTATCAATACCGTAAACACTAGACTTCATATACGGCAGAACGTCGGGTTTAATGATCGACATAGCTGTTTCACGGTCAGCAGTAGATCCCAGCAATTTTGTTGAGAAATCAATCTTTCTTTCTGTAACCTTGTCAACATATTCTATCACTTGCTCTCTGAAACCTTCTACAAATGGATTTAAGGGTTGAAGCCATTGCTCTTTGACTCCAAACGGATTGAGGGTAGATATATTTTGTAGAACCTTTGTAATCAGCAACATGTTTCTTGTTTGCTTCATTGTCAAATGACTTTCAGTAAATTTAAATAATTTTGGATTCAAAATTAATGGACAAAAGAAACGAAGGAATAAAAATGCTGAAATACAATTCAATATGCTTTGCTGACCTTTTTCTAAACATATGATTTCAAATCCCTTCCTTAACTCATGGAGCTGTTTCTTTATCTTTTTTGGAAGGTCGTTACTAGTTTCGATTATTCTATTCCATATAGTACAAACCCATTGTTTCAGGTCTTCCGAGTTGTGTTGTATAATTTGTCGACGTTCAATATCGTCCTTTGCGCTTATTCTCATTGGATCCATTTCGAAGGACACTTCTTCATTTAATAAATTTCTTATCAAAGTACCAAACGCCTTTTCGAGATATTCACGTCCAATTCTCAAAAAATATAACTCCAAGGTCTTCGTTAAAATGCTATTTCCTCTAAACAGAGAGTTAACACGAGAAGGCATGTACTGCCCATCAATACCAGGCCTACTACCTGATTGCTTACTAAAATCCTCAAGCTCCTTGTTAATTAGTATAGTACACCATATATCTTCCTTTTGCAATGTTTGAAAAATATTCAGGAATGTGACTGCACATTTTTCTACTTCTTTTGATGTCCCTATACTTTCCCCATAAGCAAAGCCTGTCAGATATTTCAGATTTATGGAATTTAAAGTTTCATCAATTTTCTTGAAATTGTTTGGTGGAAGAATGTAGTTTCTTCTACTAGTTACCTTTAAACATAATGTCCCGACTTGTTTCTCTGGATTAGCTACTGAAAATAGCGGTACACGTGTTTCCTTATCCAACATAGTTCCATGTATCATATCTTTAGTTATTGTACACCTTCCTAATATTTGCTGTTTATAGTCTGAATTGTATTTTAGATCGAATTGTAATTTGTCTGGTATAACAGCTTCTGTAAATTCAAATATCTCCCTCCAAAAGGGATTTTTTGAGCTTTGGACAAATGGAGTTCTTGCAAATATTTTGCCCCAAAGAATAACATCTACAAATAAAGTACCTTCTTCGATGCCAGACATATCATTTAGATTTCCTTCAAGAACGGACACTTCCAAATTATTAACTAATCTTAAGGTATTGGATCTGGCAGCACCTATAAGAGATAATTGTTCTGCAGAAGTGAAAAGTTGAAAAAGTGTATACATTAATTCAATTTCATGTTTAAGCTTGCTATGCAGTAATAAAGCTTGATGCTTGTCGTCTAAACCTACCCCTCCCAATAAATTTCCACCAACGTAATTTATCTTCGATCTTAGTGAACTGAGGTGGCCAATATATAAACAATTATCATCATACAAATGCCCATTAACTATTCTCACTTCAGATGAAAGTAATGTCTTCACATCCAAGGAGTAAATTATGGTCTCATCGATAATTATATCCAGAATACCTGTCTTTTTGAGAATACATTTGGCTTTAAACCAGGAGAAATTTGATGAATTTGATAAATAATCTGGATCAAGCATGCTACCAGCATCAATAAATGAACTATGACTCAAATAATTTTCAATATTAGATATATTTTTGAGCGTAGTGACATTTGCATCAAAGGGAATAGGACCATAGACATTGCACTCAATTTCAAATGATTCAGAAAGGACGTCAATCCTGTCAGTTGGTTCTGTTTGTGGCAGGTACTCGGGATGCTGAATTCTTACCTTATCAAATATCCCTTTACTATTAAAAGTACTCCACCATATCAAAGACACTAGGAGTTCTTGGAATTTCTCTAAATTTACTATCCTCAAGTAGACCTTCATATCCTTTGTTGCGTTAGGATTCCTTGCGATAACCTCTATTATAGGCAGCGGCTGACTTTGGTATGTCTGCTGCCCACCTGGTTGTGAATGCTGATTTGCACTTAGCAATCGTACTCCACATTTTTGTAAATGCTTTATGATTGGATGCTTAGGTTCTTTAAAACCGCTTGTTGCTCCAACAAATTCCTTACTAATTATTGGTGTTTCAATGGCATGTGTCAGTGACCCTTGATCTGTAATTTGGAGGTAATGTGTCTTCCAGACATCTATTGATAGTTCACTGCACCAGTCTACCTTTCCTATAAAACACCCTTTGTTCTTCTTTATAAGAACTTGGAATCGTTCTGATGTGAAATGTGCCTGCAGCTGCTCTATATTGGACATTAATCTACTTTGTGCGAAAAACTAAGTGACTGCTAGACTACAGGCATATATTAATATGATTTCTGATAGTGGCTTCAACCAGATAATGCTATAGAAACTCTTCAGGACAATGTGGAACTTCCCTTCCAATTCTTTCAACTAATGTATAAATATTCAAAAGTAGCAATATGTAGCTAGTCCAATTGTTATATCTAGTATTTGCAATCGAAGACTCTCACAAAACTTATTATAATTTATGTAAAACAGGGTACTGTCACTTCTATCTGCTGAAATTCTGAACTGCTCGAAATGATTTGCGCGAGACGGTGACTTAGGAAATGCTAATAACCTATTTCAAAATAACAAATAACGTCAAAAAAAGCAGAGAATTGATAAACCAGATACTCAAAATGTAGCTAGACGCAATTAACAAAACCTGTTATTTACCAAGAAAAAACTATTTAAATGGATTATTAATATCTTATATGAAACGTTTTTTTTGTTATTTTGGAGTTCTGTAACCTTGAGTATAGAACTGTGTGAAATTGGTAATGGCAGTTGTTAACACCGTAGCTTGAAGGTTGACATCTTATCTAATAACAAGTATAAGTGTGTCGGGGGTGAACATCAAATTCTAATTTAGAATTGCACAGAATTACTGAAATGTAGCCCTGGACATTCAAATAACAACACTGCTCTGTGAACAAAATCTCCTCGTATTATAATTCTTTTTTATTAGCAATACTTACACGTTGCAAGATCAAAATGCTGTTAAAACCTAGCACTAGTCGCTGAGTTTCGCATATGTTAGTCCATCGAGTCATTACCGAATTGGATGAACTAAATATGACAATTCAGTGTGAAAAGTAAAACTTGGTTTGGGTGTATGCCAATAACATCAGATGATGAAGGTAATGCTATATACTCCCCTTTGGAATTTTAGAAGCAGTATTTAAGCAACCAATAAATAACTATACGTGGTTAGTTTACCAATGGAATATCATATCGATGTGTAGAATATCACCAAATATTTCAGAATATATTTTGTTGGGAAAACAGAATCCGAAGCAATTGGAGTCACAGTCGAAGGGCTATGTGCATGAGAAAAAAATACGCAATCATTATTTAGAAACCCTTTCATATAGAGCTGTCTTCAATCTTGGAAGGATTCTTGCGATGAGCAGTTATGCTTCTACTTTGGCGATGATGTGTTACCTTCTGACAGATTACCCATTTAGGAAAATGGAAGCCTACTAAAATTGAGAAACTAATGGGTTCGCAGAGAAACAAACGTACAAAAATATCGCAAATCTAAAATTCCTTCGAAACAGATACCGTAATCATCAACATATTTACACAATATATGAAATATTAGTATCTCGACAATTACTTTTATTACCTACTGTAGCTAGTATGTAATAAGCCCATACCGAGATATGGGCATATCTTCAAAATTGGGAGAAAATGTAGCGGTCTTGCATAACTAGTTTATATCTGCAAGCTCCTAATGTGTCATACATTTCAAAATCAAATGGGTAATGATACAACTATATTGTTATACTAGGACAACATAAATCAGTTGTAGTCATTAGTACTTATTTATGTTACATAAATATTTTTGTCATGTCTCTCGTCCAGTAAAATTTAGATTCATACGAACCACTTCTACATTACAAATGATTTAGGAGCTTCTCCCTCTGGGCCAATAAACTTAGGGTCTCTCCATGGGCCTATGTCCGACAATGCTAAGCCACCTTTAGAGCTACTAACTTCAGATTTACCACCATATTTAACAGGCAAGTTCTCTGCTGGGATCTGCTTCAACAGCTCTTTCTTATATGATGATCCCAAGATGAAAATCTTTGAAACTGTAACCGGATCTAAGAATGGCTTGAATAGACGGAAGGCAGTAGAGAATCCAAATGGAGCGTTGATCAAGTAAAACTTACCCATCCGTTCTGGGTAATAGTTTTGACCAATATGTGATGCTTCCTTAACATAAGAAAGAACATGATATGCACTTGAAATTGAAATACCCTTTAAATCCATAATAGTACATGAAGTCTCTATTAAATAACCCCTACTTCTAGAACATGCTGGTAGTCTATATTTAACAAATGATTCATACTCCCAAACTAGGTTCTTGATCATACGTTCGTGGGTTGTAATCTTGTACATCTCATTTAAGTTAACTGTACCGAGTTCTTCGAAATAAACAGGTCTACCGTCTTTATCGATCTTATGGTAGTATTGTGGATAGTACTTAGCAACCAATGGTTTCTCTTCATAATGGAAGTCCTCCAAGATGGTATCCACACCAGCAGACTTCCTCCATTTTTCACACGCGACATACATCTCTTTGGCCATAGCAACATTAAATTTTCTGGCTCTCAGAAATCTTAGTAAAGTAGCATCATCAAGTCTCAGCTTATATCCATCTTTTTGTAATTGCTCTTTCAATTGAGCCAGAGCTTTTTTTTGAGAATCATTCAAGTTACCTGGAGTGCCTGAAGGCGACCCTGGTTCACACACAGATGGAAACGAATCCAGAATCTCTTTCTCCTTCTTAATAGCCTCTTCACTCATCAGTAGTGTAATCGTATGTCACTGTCTTTATGCTTAGGTGACCAAGAAGATAGTTTGGCATGCTCAACATAACTCAATTTTTATATATCTGATCCCTATTCGATGAGCATCAAAGAGCTTTCTCGAAGTACGGATTTACCTCGGATTACCTTACAACGTGGTGAACGATTCTTCCAAGGCCGATTCGAGGATTGAATCATTCGCAATGGGATCGGCAACATATTGCAACACTTGCAGGGCTATACCAACCGACTTCGTCTGTATACACTAACAACTACAAGGGTTCAAAGCCTTTCAATTCCCAATTCCAAATGAAACACATGATTACTCCTTTTACCTCTTACAACATAACTCATTTTCCAGTTCAAGAACATAAATCTACAATACTAGGTCTTCCATGGTACACCAAGATATATACAAACGTTCCAGTCTCATCAGTAACTTGCATCCATTAATCTGTATAATAATAACAACGCCTGCTCTTATAGGCTATATTCACAAATAATAGTCTAAAGTCTTAGCTTTGCTGTTGATAAATCAACTTACCCGGCTCTTAGTACCCATTTCTGCAATGAATGGGAATTCCCGTCTGGAACCTTCGCACTACGTAATACCAGTATAACCATATATGTCATTTGTGAATAAGATAATACCAACATTGAGGAATTTGTTGGCCATAGCTGGATTAATCCTTCTCGACGTAATAGTACAACATATTCAATACTTATACAATTGCCTCTACGCGCTACGACTCGAGCGAATCCTGTGAATATTCTACTTGATCTAGAGTGAAAGTCCCAATAATCAATACCTTGTCCATACACTTTTACAGCTAGGCAACTAGCACAAAATATATGATTTGACCACCTCGTTAGGCGATTGTTATAACTTATAGAGTGGAAAAATAAGATAATTTATAAATATTATAAAACATGAAGGAAGCCACTGATGATTACGATTTATCGAAATTGGTCTCTAACTTCTATAGACTAGAGAAAATAACGAAGATAAACTATGCTCAATACCTACCGAAGAAGCAAAATGATCAATGGGGTATTCAGATGGAGATTCAAATGAGGAAGAAAGATAGAAAGCTATTGGTGGCTTTACTTTCTAAGGAATTGTGGTGTTTTAGTATAAACGATCAAGTTCTGCCATCGCCGAATGATATTGATCCCGAACTGAACGTTAGCGCAGATAAAACTGGTAGTTTCACAGCAGATTACTCAAAACCTAACCTACCTCCGCATTATGCATTATTCCTAAAATCCTTGAAAAGAATGATCTATCTCAACTTAGTTGAACAATCCAAAAACACCCTTGTGCAGTTTGGGAATTCATGTATTAACATTACCAAGAATAATGAGAGCAACAATCTACTACAAATTGAACCCCATTTGTTTTCTAATAGTGAGTTGGCTATATCAATATGTGTCAAAGATTTGGGATTGCTGCCACTCAAGGTCAACAGTATTGATCCGGCGTTTTTGAGTTCTCATGCATTATATATGGCTCCTTCAGGCGTCAGAGTATATTTGGTGGAAAACAAAAATGATAACTCTGGTACAAATCAGGAACACTTGCACAAATATCTAGTGCCTGTGCCAGAAAACGGTGAGGTGTTGTTAAAGACTTTGTACGCCTCTCATGGAATTAAGTTAAACAGTAGCACATGCCAATGGGTAAATATAATACCTAATATAACACATTTAAATGGTAGGGCCCCTAATATTTCACAATATATGGATTTACCAAAAGAACTTAGAACTATTGTTTGGCCGCTTGATTTAGTATTTGCTCAACCCGCCCTTGACATCGACTCCTCAACAACTTTAAGTCAAATCAATGGTTTGGATACCTTTGAGGATACTCTATCTCTCATAGATAACTTCCTTCAACTAAAGCAATCCTCATCATATCGAACACCAGGTAGTTCAGGAGGTTTAACTGGAACTAATATTGGTACAAACGTATTCAGCTCTGAAGGTGCTTATACCGATCAATTTCAAGTATATCCGAAATCACAGACTAATCAACAACAAACATCGAGTAATTCAAAAGTTTCTCCATCAGATGCAGCATCTCCTTATCCGGGTATCGATAAAATTATTGAGCAAAAGCAGTTCACACCAGACTTTATGGCCAGTCCAAGTGTCAGCGGCAACAGCAATGAGTTATTTAATGATAGAAAGAATGGGCATACAGATTTACTAATAAGTCCATCAAAGATGGATGTCGACACGGACTTCCCAGGGAGTAACCTTGCTGGTCAAGAGGCTCCATCGCAACCTGCTTCCGATGTGAAAAAGAGCTCTGTTTCTGCGAGTGATTCTGAATTGTTCGGTGAAGAAGATGAAGACGAAGATGATGCTGACCTATTTGGAGAAAGCAATAACGACTCAACTGGAGAATCAAACGCAAATAATTCAAAGGGAGAAATAACTGAAGATATTTTCGCTTCATCTGATGACGAAAGCAGTCTTCAACCTAAAAAGGAAAGTACTTTTTATGACGGAATAAAGAATGGAAGCGCAGAAAGTGGTCTAAACATGCAAGACAGAGCCAATTTGAAAAGAACATATCTAGATATTAGAATCGAAGAAACCCCACTGTCGAGCCCCTTATATACTGATCCAGGTGCACCTCTTCCGGTCGAGACCCCAAGAGATCGAAGAAAAAGTGTGTTTGCTCCATTAAATTTTAATCCCATTATTGCAAAAGATGTCGATAATAAATACAAAAATGGAGGTAAATACTCTTTTAGTCCATTACAAAAGGAAGAGGCTCTAAATTTTGATGTTTCTAGGACTGAACTTTCAAGTTCGGAAGGTGAAGATTCTGAAAGCTCTGATGATGAACTAGAAGACCTAGCCAACAAAAATGATGGTGTGGTGTATGACAAGGCAGAAAATATAGGTTATAAAACGTTTGCTAACCTCCAAGATTCTGTACCTCCCGGTCTAATAAAACAAGATTTTCTTGGAAATCCTTATCTTGCATCTTTAGAAGGCTCCAAAGAGGGGCAAAATACAATATGGAAAATGCCACAAACAGACATAGCTCAAACGGAATCCCCACTCAAAGCAATTGATACATCAATTGGGCCAGATGGTACACTCCCAAATACTACAAGTTCAGAACAAAGCAAATCAGTCTATGTTCATGACTATGGCATATCACCTACAAAAATGAGTAATGACCCGGCTTTCGACACTGCTAAAATAGAAGGCAAGTATGAATTTATGAATAATTTCCCAAGTAGCTTTCCATTTTTATTGCGTCATATGCCATTATCATTGATCCCTGACACTTTTAAGCACCTAAATCCCACCATCACAGTCAATGAGAGGAACAACCAGATCATTGACTTATTGGCCGAACAGATTGTCTATGATTATAATATACTAGGAAATTTAACCATTCCAGATGTACCTTACTCTGGCATACGCAATTACTCAAATGGGGTAGTTAAAAATACAATCGATAATTTGTTTAGTGAGTTTACAAGACTCGATGGAACAACACTGATATCAAGGTTGTACCCCATGGAAACACCATTTGTTTCTGTTCGTAAACAGCATGATCAAATCAAACTGAGATCTGATGTCCAACAATTTACAAAATATGCAAACCTAAAACCGGTCCGAGGAATCAAAAATTTTAAATTTTTAGTTTTAACAGATTCTTTTAAGGAAGATTGCATACAGTTCATATCATCACTGTCTCAAACCTATATCAATCACGAATTAGGGTTCTGCGAGCACCTACAACTCACAAATGAGGATAGTAAAGGCCTCATCTATCTTAAAGACTTTGAAGATAGTAAATTATTATTACTAGCTGCCCAAATTGTGTCATACTTGTCAACAAATCGTACCTCAGGAAAGGAAGTTGCCTTTATGATGATAATTCCGGTGCAACGATGTGATATATCTGAGCTTGTAGAGAAGACTGCTAAATTTCAAATCATACAGAATGAGGTTAAGGCAAAGATTCCTAGCATGGAACTTTACTTAAAAATTGTACCTATGGATTTTATTAAGAGTCCATTAACATCAGTGGATGATTACACAAACTTGTGTATTAGTATCTACAATATTCTTCCGAATAAAATGATTAAATTTACTCATATACGAAAGCAAATACCAGAGAAACTAACTTTTAAGACTTCTCAACAAGCATCTGCTTTCAAGTATGATGCGTATATCCATTTAGCATACTCTCGTAGTGTTGATAAGCAGTGGATGTTTGCGGCACTCTCTGATAGTGCTGGGAAGGAAAACATGATGAAAACATGGTATCTAGGCTCATCCAAGAACAAATTTGATGAGGCTTGTAATCATATCTGGGAAATGGCGTTATCCTTAGCTGGAAAGAACTACGGGAAGGTATGTCTCATATTAACAAGATTAAACGGTATATTACCAGATGATGAGTTGATGAACTGGAGAAGGTTGAGTGGCCGAAACATACACTTAGCTGTTGTGTGCGTAGACGATAACACTAAAATATCGTTTTTTGACCGCAATGAATCGTATCCTTCTTACAAGCGACTATACCAAAATGCCAATTCAATAGAGACATTGGTTGACCCTGAACGCATAGATGATTACTTAATACGTGATTTAGACCAAGATATTCACGGTGTCATTTTCGAAAATCCCTTTCCTTTGGTGAACTCTTTACACAGATGTGCGATCAAGTCTGGCGCACTTGTTAAGTTCAATGTAAGTACAACTGCGACAGAACCCCACTCTCTTGATAAATTTGAAGTCAATCTGTTGAATTGCCCCCACTCGGATAGTTTCAAGTTGTTGGAGACTATATTAGAAGAATTCAGAAACTTGGCCGCATTAAACGTGTGGTTTGGTATTACCAACGGCGAAAATGGGCATATCCCATGGCATGTCCTTGCCGTAAAGAAAATGATGAAGACTTTGGTACATACCCGGGTGAAAGTAGCACAGTAACTCTAGTTAGTCCCACTAACGTATATACACTATTTGCAATCAAATTCATAGCTTTTTGTAAATCTACTATTTTTGTTAGCAAATTTCAAATAATTACAATATGTCCTGGGCACCCAGGGGTTCATCTTTTGAGAATAACCTAAAAACTATATCGTCCTGTGCCTCATTGGTATATCTTGCTGTGAAACCGTATATCCAAAATAGTATGTAAGTATTATTGTTAGTGCCTTGAGACTGGGTACATAGCTGGTAATTGTGGCTATAGACACTATTTGTCACTATGCCCCTCACCCGAATCTTGAAAAGGAGTGTAATCAGGTGGGGCAATCCCGTGATTCATCAAGTTGATATGAGCTCACAGAGGGGAGTAGGAGGCACAAATTCATTAGCACAGGGCTTTCTGTGAATATAGATGGCCTCTGTTCACATGTGAATTTTATTCCTTCAGTATTTCCCAGACAACGGCAGCATACATTGCCGTGCGGGTGTTATTTACTCTAAATATGCTAATCTTTGTGCTGCGGGTGAATCTCCACGAATTTTGTTTGGATTTTTCCGCTGGAAGAAATAAGGGTTAGCTCATAAAACCACTTTCCTGAAGGGCTTTCTAAGACTCCCCTCTCTATTAGTTGGTGTTTTTCTGTACGCACTTTAGATCCCTCCCTCACATGCTCTACGCCCATTATTATCTCTCTAGAGTTTATCCGTGCGGAAAAATCTATTGGGTGTGTGCAAATACGTAGATCACTCCTTTAGCTATTCACGCACCCAATTATAATTTTGTCAGGCTTTTTCTCTGGAGGGCCATCGGAAATACTTCATATGCGTCCCTTCATAACGTTAGCTTTTCTATACAGCAATCCCTTTTCTTAATTTTACAGTTGTTCCCCTCTAATATACAGCACTACAAGCCAGTGAGGATTCGGGGGAACTGTATATAACTCAAAGAAGGATTATTCTCCGTGCAGTGGTTTCTCCCGGCAACACTTTCCTGCACAGAGAAACCCTCGTGGTAGTTTCTCTAAGACGCTCAATTCTAATAATCGGAAAAACCCTCTTCTACCCTCATGAGGGTAGCAGCTGCAGTGAACAGTGGCACACCAGGCTAGCCAGAAAGCTTGACTAGATTATTAACTCAGTCAGAGACTACTGCACCGGGGCCGATATTATGTTAGAGCCCTCGAGGAATCCAGAAGTTCAAGCATTCGTCACTTCGCGATACTTGGTGGCTGGGACTATCGGCCAAGGAAAATCAAGGCCGATTCCATAGTAATAGCATACTGATTTCTACTAGTGGCAAGAGAAGAAAGCAGAAAATAGGAAATATACCAGCTAATAACGGGTACTGTTGGGTCATGGTGACGAGTATGCAATGCAGTTGTAATACCTGAAATCATCCGATAACGATTTTCTTCCAGAGAGGCTCTGGGCAGGAATATTGAAAATGTAAGAAAGCCTTGTAACGGCAGAGAGGGGACACTTTCGAATACCACTTATTGCGTAATGCGATATGCTACTATTCTTACTTGGAACAATGCAAGTCATCTAAGACTCAGGATAAGCCAAGAAAGGCTGGAAAAAAATTAGCTGATGGCCCTAAGCTAGAAATATATAAATGTAATGAATTTTAAATTGAGCACCAACGATAAAAAATACAATAATCGTATGTAACTGATATAGTTCTGGCAGATACAATCAGTATTTTTTTTTTCACATTTATTTTTTCTTAATACTATAATTACCTGAGTCAGGGATGGAGATGGAGGAAGTGTCTGTTGTGGAAGAATGTAGGCGGGAACTACGATCTGCGTTACACCAGTATCCGAACTTTCCTACACAAGGTGTTCTCTTCGAGGATTTTATGACTATATTTCAGAATCCCTCATTATTTAAAACTCTAATTAATACATTGAAAAGCCATTTGAATGAAGAGTTCCCCAATGGCGAGATAGATTACATTGTTGGTATTGAGTCCCGGGGATTTTTATTTGGACCGACTCTCGCATTAGCAATGGATGTAGGTTTCGTGCCCATAAGAAAAGCTGGCAAGCTGCCCGGTGAGCTTGTTAGAGCTGATTGTGAGAAAGAATATGGATCTGCAACATATGAGCTACAAAAAGAGGCGATACCGAAGGGTTCCAATGTAGTTCTTATAGATGATGTCCTGGCAACCGGTGGATCCGCAACTGCTGCAACTCAATTATTAATGAGTGTCGGATCAAATATATTAGAGTATTGTTTCTTAATGGAACTGGATTTCCTGAAGGGTAAATTGAAATTGAATGATGCTCCAGTTTTCTCTCTTCTACATACTCAGGAAGAAGGCCTAAAGAGGAGCCCATGAAGTTATAGAGGGTGTATTTTCAAATAGGAGATATACTATTAGGCTACTGCATCGGGTATCTTACTTTAGTAAAGCTACTATATAGCTGCTCATTCTACGGCTCCAAGTTTCCAAAGCGGTGAGAGAGGTAGCATTTTCAAGGTCGGTTTACTGGTGAAACCACTTCGAACTCTCAAGTAGTGACTAGGAAAGTTTTCTTAAGCATTATATATTTCGCTTTTGCTGTACAATTCACATTTCTTTGCATGATTATCATATGTGCCAGAAAAGGAAACTGCTTTTGGAGAATATAATAGAAACAAGTTTATAAAAATATATTAAACACGAAATAATAATACAAACTTTAGATTAGTTCTAATTTTCCAGTCCAAAGCTAATCTAAATAAACATCCATAAAAAAATTGATTGTTCTGTGTACTGGAATTATAGTCGATTCGTAAGGTAGCGATAAGGGTATTTAATGAAATCATTAATCGATCCGAGATTTTACCTTGTATATTTAGCAGGCCTATGAGTATTTCTACGGTCCCTCTTTTGAGGATCAAGCAGTGATTCATCAATGCGGTCTAGAACTGTTGAAATAAAATACTCACCACCGTTATGGGTCCAAGATACGCTGTTGTTGTCAAGCCTGTACTTCTTGACCTCCAGTCTATTCAAGACTGACTCAATATTAACAGTATCTAATGTGTATCCAGACGCCCGTATGTTTTTTAGTGAGATGATTTTACATCCAACTTTAGTTTTCTGTAACAGCTTTGTAACTTCATAATTTAGTTTTCCATCGAATAAAAAATTGTTGACCAGAAGCACATCACATTCTGGTATCAGGCTTTCAACTTTCTCGTTATTAATGAAACTCTTCCTTAGTGAGTAGTCAATTTTACTTTGTTTGAAACCAAATAGCTTGCAGCGGTTTGAATACTCTCTCATCTGAATTTCGGTTAGTTCACTTGCAGCTTCCATGATTTCACAGCCAAAACTTTCTCTGCATCCAAATTCGAGAGATGCTTGAATTACACAATTACCAACTCCAGAGCCTAGGTCCATAAAAAGATGATTTTTGGATAGTCCACACTTTGAATAAACGTCAGTCAAAAAACCAGGTAGAAGTTCGCCGTAAACGTAGTTACTGAAGGCTTTGTATTGCTTAAGTTTAGAAGCATACGGATGAATACTTCTTGTATAAACAATTTGCAAAAAATCGTGTAAGAAAGATCTTGGTAGTTCCTTTGTTGCTGCTAAATGATTTACTATTTCGGCTTTCGGTATGCTACCCACAAATTGATTGTATTTCTCAACTGTTGATATTGACAAGGCTAAGTCTTTATTGTCATAAGCGGTGTTATAAATATCAACTACCGTTTCTTTATATTCCTTCTGATATTTTTCCGGCAAATAAATTCTACCAACATACTCCATGATTTTTCCTATTTCAGCCATTCCGTCATAACGAAAGTTGACCTTTTTATAATCCATTAAGTATTCTTCATAGTAGTCAGGGTACAAAATACTGCGAAGGCCAATCAATTTGCCCTGACCATCATCTATAGGAGATTTAGAACCATCTCTATTCCTTGAGAATGGAGTTTTAGATCCTATTTCATTGTGGTGTTTGGTAAGAGAAGCAGAACTGTAAATTTGGCCCTGAAAGTTACTATAAGAATTGATATTGTCAATATCAAATATCTGATATGGTGGACTAAACTTGGGAAGAGACCAGTCAATGAACGAATTGTTTGCTGATTCAGAGTTTGTTGAGTTTTTATGCTCCGCAAATCTACTGGATGCACTGTCCATCTCATACATTTTGTGATTGTTAATAGCATTCGTTGACTCTTTCTTGATACTATTTTTTGTATTTTTCTGTGATTTCTTCTTTCTTCCCGGTTTTGGGCCTCTTTTCATACCACCAGTTCCTGTCTTCTTAGGTTGTTTATTTATAGTGTGTTTTTCCTCTATAGGCACAGAAGCCTTAGATTTGCTCGTTACCTTGACATTTTTTTTAGTCTTTTTCTGTTTCACTATTTTATTAGTCCTGTTTTGTTTTGCTTCCTCTTCTCCATCAGACTCATTACTCTGGGGCGCTTTTCTCTTACGAAGGAAAGAGGTGGGAAAGCTATATTCGTATTGAGGCTGAAATTTAGACGCCTGGTCAAGGAGATCGTCAAGAGAGGTCTTTTTCCTGAATTTTCTCCGGCTATCGTTTCTTTCGCTCACATCTATTGTAGGCCTCTCAAGTTGATGAACTGGTGTAGAAGCCTCTGAGCCATCCAAACTATTCTGACTGCTTATTGTCTTTCCGGAATGTAAATCCTTCTCCATTATATCATCCGTAGCAACATCTGTCGAAGACTCTTTGTCATGGTGGTTGTCGATGGGATAAGTCTGAGAAGACCCTAAAGACGCATTATATCTTTCCGCCAGTTTTAAACCCTCCTGCATTGCAAAGGTAAAAACTTAAAAAATGCTTTGTTAAGAGAATATCTCAAATGGTATCAATTTGCAATATAAAACACAAATCCAGAAGAAAACAAAAAAGCTAAAGTACTGATATCGGTGCAAATCCCTAAAAATATAACCGTCGCTTACGCAAAACACCAGCTCTTGAACAAATCAGCCCTCTGTGATGAAAAGCTGTGTCCAGGAAATATAACGTTGTTAGCAATTCTATGATACAAGTATTAAATTTAGCGAAGAGCTCACAAATAAATGTGTCAAGAGCTGCATAATCTCTAAATTAAAGGCCCAAAACGGTCAACTTCGTCAAATTTTTTGACAGTTCGGTATATAATTTTCACGTGATTTTCTATTCTAATTTAATTAGGTGCAGCACAAATAATAAACACCGATGAGCCCGCGTGTAAGCGTTAAATAAGCAATAATAGCGTTAGCTCATTGGGATCTAAATCGGTCTGTGACATGGCTGGTACACGATGACCGTAAGACCCGAATTAAGTTTTCCTGCGAAGGATTTGAGGCGAAATCTGATCAGTTTACAACCGATAGAGAACTTCGTGCCTGTTACTTGTGATACAAAGCGTCCAATTAAATGTCTTATCATTGGAGTACATGGGTATTTCCCAAACAAAGCAGTGGATATTATTCTGGGTGAGAGAACGGGGACATCGCAAAGGTTTGTTTCACAAGCGGAATCAGCTGTGCAACTATATTTCAAGGAATTGGGCGTCGCAGTAGATACCACAACGTTAGCATTGGAGAAGGAAGGGACGGTTGCCAAACGAGTTGAGTTTTTTGTTGATGTGCTCGGTGAATACAGGGAAACTTTAGCAGAAGCAGACTTTATTTACTTTGTATCACACTCACAAGGTGTTCCGGTAACAGTGAATCTAATTGGGCACCTACTCATTAAGGGAATTCTACAATTAGATATTGACAGAGTTTCTCATATGAGTGATAAGCCAATTTATACACAGGAGAAGATTGTTTCGGTTCTTGGTATGGCTGGTGTGAATTATGGCCCTCTTTATGGTGCGGACAAAAATATTTGGCTCAGACTATTTAGTGTAGTGGAACGAAAGTCGTTAATGGAGTTGTTTGAGTTCCAAAACCCGGCCACTAAACTATCAATGGATTATATGGAGAAAGTACAGTATATCTTGGACGCTGGCGTCAAGATAACCTTTGTTGGATCAGTTAACGATCAAGTAGTTCCGTTGTATTCTTCATTAGCTTCTTTCCTTCAACACCCTAATATACAAAGGGGCATATTTTATACTTCACAATGTGATGTACCGCCATTTATTATGGGGTGCATCCTAGATTCAATAACATTGCTAAACAGTGGGAAAAAAGATCAAGGTTTTATCAAAGAAATAAGCCCCTACCTACATGGACCTCTGACCGGTAATGGACACTCAGATTTGTATTTTCAGTCTGAGGTATACACTTACGGTATAAAACATGCCCTGAACAGTCAATCAATCAAACATTGTCCTTCGCCGATTATTAGAAGTGATATTGTATCATTAAAAGTTAACCCATATAACCTTCCATGGACCATGCGAGGCTTACTGAATGAGATTGAGAAAGAGTTGGGGAAGGAAGAAGTCAAAAAACTATACAAATTGTATGACGAATGGGCACCTAATACTCCATTACACCAAAGCTTAAGAATTAAGCTCAGTGGGGTAACCAGCAAATTCTGAGAACTCTATCTAAATACAATAGTATCAAACTGGCATGCATTTATCGCACAAAAGTGTAATTTATGTCCTAGGTACCAATTGCCTTCAAAAATATGGCATTTTTATAATAATATTCCTGTTAAATTAGTCATTATTTAAAATAGCATCATACATACTCCCTGACAGACTATAAGAAAGCTCGCTCTGCTATATTAACTCATTCCGAACTTGAGTTGTCACTATTCATCGTTTGTATTCTTCTTCTTGTGAGACGTCGCCTTTTCTTTCTTGTATTAGTAGTCTCTTCGTTGGAGCTTTGAGTATCTTCATCTGGTGACAAGCTACCACTTGGCAACTGTAAGTTTGCCTTTGCTGATCCATCTCTCAGCTTTAAACCTTCCATTAGACCTACCTCGTCAGAATTATCGGTTGTAAATTCCATGGCTTCTTCTTCCTCAATGTGATTGTTCTTACTATCCTTTAAGGATGAGCTACTTCTCAACTTTCGGCCAGTGACTCGAGATCGCTCCTTCACACTAGTGCCATTGATTTCATCATCATCATCATCATCATCATCATCTAACAAACTGCTATTTTTATCGAATATTGTATTTCTACCTACTTTCAAAGTTTCCTTTAAACCACCAGCTTTCTCTTTACCAGGGTTTACATTACCAACAATGGGGGACAGTAAATGAAATCCGCCACGTCTTGACAGATCAGTATCCTTTCCTTGAGTGTAAGCTCCGCTTCTCGTTTGTCTTGGAGGAGTCCTAACATGAGATGAGCTCGACGAGTTCCTTTCATTTTTAAAGGAATCCACTGTTTTCTTCAATTGTTGTATCTTAGACTCTAAGATCTGTTTCTGTGTCTTCTGAAACTCTCGCAACCGTTCATTCTCATGGGCCATCGACTGCAAATCAACCGTCAGTTTGTTTACTTGTCTTTGTAATTGCAGTTGCTCGTCTGTCTTTAAAGCATTTGTACGTTCAGACCCACTAAATTCATCCTCACTTCTACTATTTTTGACTGTTTCGCGCCTATTAAGCTGATACTCATAGTATATCCTTTCATTCTCTAGCACACATCGGTAATAATCAGCCACTACTTGCAATGCCATTCCAAATCAAGCTCCTACAATCAAATACCTAGGCGCCCACCTTAATCTAGCTCAGTGACAACTATTCCGATATCTAAATGAACTACCAATTAAAGTAGATATATTCTGTGCAAACTGCTATAACTTTTAGTTTATACCTTAAGAAGAATGTGATCATGTTTAACGACATAATAATTTTGGCTCTTGGAAAGTTTCATGTCGAAATATTGACAGAATGGCATTGGAACGCATCAATAAGGCTAGTAGTTGGATTCGAACCAACTTTATAGTAATTTAAAGTTCTAATGATGTGGTTTGAAGGTAGAAAACCCTTTTCACAGTTGAACAAAAGAAACAAGCTTATTTGATTCGCCATCCTTAATCAATAGAAGGATTACCGAACTGGAAAGGAAGTTTCACGATACATTAACGGGTATAATTTGCTTTCAAAAATAGAATTATTATTTGGAATTGTTTTTATTTTTACTTACAAAGATAAGAGTTTTAATTTGCAAAGACATTAAGAGGTAGAATTTTAGTGGTATAATCTTTCTAACTAACAAATTTTTAGGAATTGAAAGAGGCTAATGAGTAAAAAACTGTCATTGGAGGAGTTTTTAGGAGATGGTATTCTAGGTGAGTCGGTCTGGAACGAAGACGAGATCAACCTCGATGCTATTAACAACACTACTAATCTAGATATCCTGAAGACGAAGTCCACCGAACATGGGAATGCTAGAACACCACACTTTGGTCCCGGTATGAATGGCCCAGGTGGACCTGGCGGCTCTTCTGGAAGTATGCAATCGCCATCTATGGGTGGTAGAGTCCACGCACCACCTACTAATGTGAATCCCAACGCTGATTATGTTGTTACGGGCCCACCTTACATTATAAAGTTTTCCAACTTGCCCCCAAGGTTTTCTGAGTTTGATATTAAGGATCTATTCCAAGCCAAGAGTACTCAATATGTCAAATTTAAATTGTTCTGGGAGCTGAACAAGAATCCTTCAATTGATACCATGAAAAACGGTACTGTATTTGAAAAGAATTTCAAGAAGAATTGGAAAGTAGCATTTGTTGAATTGTTCACTGCTCGTGATATGGATAAAATATTGAAATTTTGGTCGACTCCATTAAAAGAACTATATAACATTCTATTGACACCAGGTGAATTCCCTGACTTTAAGGAATATATTGCAAAAGCTACTTTAATTACCGACCCAAACGATGATCCGGCAAAACCACACTTGGAGAAAGAGCTCGAACTTCAAAAAGAGGAGAAACTCAAAGAAAAAAAGACGTCTCCTGTTCCAACAACTAACAAGCCAAGTTATTCTCAGATATTGGAAAAATCCTTGAACTCTCCATCACCGGCAGCTACTCCTCTCTCTGGTGGCTCAAGTGTTATAAATCAAAGCGGCCACACCATGCAGCATGGTGATAATTTATCTAAATATTCAAAGCATGAAACAAATGATAGTGATGACGAATTGAGCAAGAACTTCGAAGATAAAGTAAACTTTGATGATAATCAGTCATCTAGCAATGATAATAACGATGGTTCACAAGCTGGTTCATACAACGGTAACTACAATAACTATAAGCGTGGTTCTTCCAGAGGTTCTTATAATCGTGGTGGTAGAGGCAACTTTAATGGTCGTGGTGGTAATCGTGGAGGTTACAATAGCCGTGGTAACTTTAATAATCGTGGAGGATACCACAACCGTGATGGTGCCAATAAGGATCAACAAAGAACTAATAGCTACGGTAACCGTCAAGATCGTAAAGATAATTATTCAAAAAATGATGATGAAAGATCCAATAGTAACAAAAGTGATAATGATAGCTTGAGTGGCTTATTCAAACCAGCTAGTGATTTCTTGAGAGGCTCGGATGATAGAAATTCCTCGAGAGGTGATCGTGGGCGTGGTGGCCGTGGGTCTCATAGAGGAGGTAGATTCAGTACTAGAGGACAGGGCACTAACCGGTTTTGATCATATTTAACTGCTTGTTTTCAAACATTGGTGATATAGTGCTAGAACTATACCAGACCGTTTTATCTGTGAGCCTACTTCACTAGTACGTACACTTTTAAGTATTGACATAGGTTACGTCATTATCTAGTTTGTATTTATTGAATTTAACGATGATAGCAATTTAAAAGCAATTGTTATTGTGTCTTCTACTTTTTGATAGGGCCGATATAGTAGACCTTGGTTCAATAGTTAATGGCCAACATATATGATCACAGCTTCAGGATTTACCTATATTAATTTAAAATAAATCTTGAAAATTCAATCCTTTGAATAGCCTTCACAGAGTAATTGACCATACTTACGTATCATAAATATAAACCAAGTATGACCAGCATCGAATGCTACGAGTAGTCTATGCAATGCCATAGATTATGGCATTACTTGTATTCACCCATGTAATTTTCTTTGTAAAGTATATTGCAAACATCCATTATTGGTAAATCTACAATACCACTACTTTCTTTAAAGGCGTAATTTCTAATAAAATCATCATTTGCATCTGTCACTATAATATTAGCATTTGAGTCTGTAATAGTTCGAAGATCGTCTATTGGTGGTGTCAGTATATCCTCATTGAAGAATTGCAACCCTATGTATGTGCAAAGCATGCCCATTAGCAGAAAGCATTCGAAGTAAATGATCCAACCTCTTTGAGGTATAATTTCCCCAATAGAACGTACAAAACTGGCTGGAATGAAGCCATAAACCCAATCATCGTTCTCATTAACTTTTGGCAATAGTGTCCAAAAAATAGCAAAGAACAATGTAAAAGTTACCAACACATACTGGGAAAACCAGTAGTATTCACGACGGTAGTTCATCTCATTGGAGAGAAGCAATAATAGGTACAATTCTTTAAACCCTATGGCAATTGAATTGTAGTAAATTGGAAACCAATGCCTATTGAAGGTGATGATTTCTTCTTTTGTTAATACTTCCTTGGATTACATACATTTGGCAAGCTTTACTTAAGTACTGGGTTTTCGTGTCCCGGTGTTTTTTCTTCCCGCTTCAAGATCAACTTTCGAAGTATATATTACAAAATTTAAACAAAAATAATATCGTTCACTTTTCTTATTTATTCTACTTCATAGACAAAATAATTTGTTCATATTGTCTAGAAATTATTAATTATAAAATGATAATGTTACAAATATTGATAAAGTCCTTCATTATAGGAAGGTCAATATGCAAATTAGGTTTTGTAAAACGTCGATTTCTCTGCAATATGGATACCTACCACTGAGATTATACAAACCAGGGCATAAATTTTATCAAACCATGAATCTATAGCGCCGGTCGGCATTGTGAATTTTTCTCCTAATAGTTCTTTCAGTTTCAGGGCTGTTCCAAATGGTAAATTTGACCTAATTAATAAGATTGTTGAAACAACATAAACTCCAATCAATTCAGAAACTATCAGATTTTTAATTATAGATGGGTTTCTTCTACTGCTCACTTTTGTATTTGTTGGTAAGAGATCAGCATCCTCCTCACCTTGCATGACAAGTGTTGCGATAACCTGAATCCTGGAGGGCAATAGAGATAGCAGATAAGTTATTGTGGTATTCACAGTCGATAGTGTGCATATGAAAAGGGATATCGATATTAGCAAAGAAATTTGTTTTGTGAGTGAGTCTAAGTCCTGCTTGTAGTTAAATCCAAACAAAAATAAATCTAGTAGTTTAGCAACGGTCACAGCCAATGGATCTGATCCGGTGGAGGATGAGCCTGAGCTGTCATAAAAATATTCATAGTCTATGTCATTGGGATATTTCAATGCATGGCTGATTATGTGTGGAATTCTCTTCAGAAATGTGATTAATACCTTGTGACAACAGTATATCAAAAACGAAATCTCGAAGATCCTTCTTGAATTCCTTATTAAGGTAGGTTGTTTCGCTGATTTCTCTAGTTTTGCAACTTCTAATTGAAACCAACTTATCTTATCTACCATTTGTCTTCTTAAGGGTGCTGCAACTCCTACATTATCTTCATCCATTTTTTTTAAGATTGATATATTTTCAATAATGTTTCTCTCATAGTTGTCAATTTGACTTTGTAGTTGACGTTGTGTAGTCCAAAGATTCAGTCTTCTATTTCTGGAAATCAGGCTCGAAGATTGCATTCCTGATATGTCTGATCTCCTTTTAAATATCATGGAAAATGTGTAGTACAATGTTGATATTGATGCAATACCGGAAAGGATTGCCATTACTGTCACACCTGCAATGGAAAGGCTGGTCAATATACTCTTGCTATAGTAGAAGGGACCCCATGACATATATTGCAAAGTTGCTATCATTAACGCCAATGACATAAAAGTGCCCATAACCAATTGATTTATATTCAGGGAGTCATTAAAAAATTTGTTTAAAATAGTTATCAAAATGAAGAATGGTTGGACCAAAATAAGGATGACCGTGAGAGACAGAGAAGTCAACGGCCATATATACTTGGTAATCAAGTCATGTTCTTGGCTCGCATCGGCTGTCTTAATCTGCCAGAGTACTATTTCAATGGTCATAGCATAACAAGTTATACCAAAGGCGAATAGAAAGCGCAGTCCCCTAGTAATACTTTGAGATTTGATAGAGTAAACTGTGTAAAACTTGTTGAAGAAATAGTTTGAGTTCTCACCACTGGAAGGTAACTGATACAACGACTTGTTATTCCTGGTCTTTAATCTATAGCCGGTCTCGAATATACTGCTTGCTATCAACCATAATGAATCATATGACCATTTTCCCACAAAAAAGGCGGTAGCACACAACAACAATAGCACAAAGAACACTTCCATCTCTTGTCAATGGATATATCCCTATGATCAGTTGCCTGGCCTAGCTTTGTCTCCTTACTAATACAAGAGATGTCCTTAACCTTTTACCTTATGACCTAGAAATAACAGGAACCGATTTCAGTTTATCTGGTAGACTGTTTACCAATAATTTTCAAGACATTGTGATAGAACAAGTGATCGGTGATAACAGGACTTCCATGTCAGCTGTGCACCAAAACATAAATTTAGACAATCATAAACTAGAAAATACGCCTGCTAATACTCAAAGTATTTGGATTTTAAAGAGCAAATGTTGTCCTCAAACTCTACCTAATATTGCCAAGAAATATTTATATGTTAACCAATATAACATCGCTATTACATAATACGGTATATTACCCTAAATTACAAGTCGGTGCCTTGTTTTTCAATTCCTCTGCAGTTACGACAATGCAGGGAATCACTAAACCGTAGATCAATGTCTGCGAAGGGTAATGCATTCAGGCACCTGGCAATGGGCACGAGAGCACTTATGAGATGCATATGTTTCTTCCACTGCATACATATGTCTCGAAATTCCATCATCAGCTATCCAGTAGCTGTTGTTCTGGAGAGTTGACACACACTTTTATGCTCTAAATTGCTGGACCAATTACTCTTGACTAGTTCAATTATCTGACCCTTCATAGCAACGCTTTTCTCAAAAGGATAAATATTCTTAAAATAAGAATTGAAACAGCTCTAAAATGTAAGGGTACCCGTTTCTGTCACGGTTGATCTTTGTTTCTCTTTTGGTCCTTTTCCACATTTTCCCAGGTCTACGCAGAATGCTTGGGTTATATATATTGCTACTTGCGCAACTACTGTAGTTTTACGACCATCTTAAAGCACATTCATAGCCAAGTTGCTCACTGCTAGCGATATCAGTTTTGTGGTTCAATCAGAGCCATATTAGTGGAGATTAAGGTATCATGTGTGGGTGCTGAAGTAGAATGCGTTGCGCTATCATTGAGCACCATTATTGCCTGTATGAATATTTAGAACTACTATGCTAATACAATTAGTGCTGATGAGAACTTTATTCAACAAATACCTGGCTGTAGATCATTTGTCCTAATTTTCAAGAGTAGTTTGATTATAGTTCAACTGTGTCCTATTGGCATGTGTATCATTACGAGCGGGACTAGCTATATTGTATAATTTGACTACACAACCAAGATATCATTAAATGAGCATTAGCTATTTGTGAAAGAATTTTGCATTTCAAAACATGTTATTATAGAGCTTTAATAATTTAATACATTACAACAAGTGCTTTCAACTGTAACAAAAAACTTAAGCAACGATAAGAAAAATGGGCTCAGTAGAATATGAATCATTACTGCTCATGATTTATTACAGACTACATTTCAATTAGCTTGCCTATACAGAATCTAATTTCTTTGTAATAAGTATTTATGAATCTGTATTATTTGATATGCCATCGTTCTAAGGGCAACTTTTGTCCTCGATTCGAACCTCGACGAGGACAAATATCGCAATTTTTAATTTTGTCGATTTTTTCAAACAACAGTAGGACTAACGAAAGAACTCAATGATAGCTTTGAGCCAAATTAAGATATCAAACCATCATTGGTAGTCAAGAAAGAATATTCTATCATCATTACTCACAGCTGGTTAGATCATTTGCATATTTCCTATTTACCGTCTTCAAGAAAGGTATTTCATTTAAATGTTGATGAGAAGATCTTGTTTTTTTGAAAGACACTAGAATTAAATTTGATTATAACAACAAATCCACATGAATTATGAACGTATGTCACCTTTATGAGCTATATTTAATACCCCCCTCCATAATACAGATAACTAACATTACTGAAAAATATTGATATTGAGATTTGCAATTAAAAAAATGCATGGAAACCAAAAGCCATTAAATTACTGTATTGGATTTGTATCAACAAGATAAATTGCAAAAATGTATCATAATTATCACATTCATTTAGGATGAAAGAAGAAACGAATTATACCTGCTGAATTCAAAAGCTTGGCTGGGAGAGGATGTATATCCTCTGAAAACCATGAAGCTTGACTCCAGTATCAAAAGAAATACAGGATTTATTAAGAAGCTTAGGAAAGGATTTACGAAGGAAAATAAACCATCATTGATTAAAGATTTAGGAGAAGTCTCTTTCCAAAAATATCTATCGGAAATTGTGAGTACAACTAATGAAGCACTGACAAATGTTCAAAGTAAGAACGAAGAGGTAGAAACTGCAGTTGAAGTGGTAAGTGGCCTACATCAAAGGTTCAATGTTGCATTTACAGAACCTTTGTCATTGGCATTTTTACAAAATTTCAATTTCAAAAATATTGATCCAACAATAACAAAAGATGAAATGGCATTTTCAGCCAAGTTGAAGAATAATTTGAGAGTATTCACAGAACTTTATCTTGTCAATGTTTTTGCAAACTTAGACGAAATGACTGATAAAGAACTGCCATCCTTTTTGATGAAGAAAGGACAAAAAAAAGAGCCAATATTATTATCAATTTTAAAGGAAGCATTGAACTATAATTTCAAAACAGGCCATTCTTCAATTGTTGCGATCTACTTTGCCAAAAAATTTCCTGAATTCTTTTCAACTGACGATCAGAGTACCCAATCGGTACCATTGAATAAAGATATCAAAGAAAGCGTGGTTTCAATATATAGACTATTTTTTGGGGCATTGAGCACCAATGCTTCAAAATTACAAACACAGGTCAATAAATTAATCAAAGAGCACCATAAATGCCAAATTAGAACAGGTAAAGCATCTGACGAATACTTGGAAAAATATGAAGAAATATCACCAATATTTGAAAGATTCAAATCTTCAACATTATTCTTGAGTCAATATCTCGATGTCGAAGCTCCTCAATTTGAGATAATCGATATAAACGGGTCTCAACATGAGCAAAAAGAGGATATTATTACCAATAAGATCCTTCCACCATCCCAAAGACTATGGGAAAACGATGAGACGAGAAAGTTATACGAAGTGCTGCCTGATATCAGTGACATTGTAAAAGAACATTCTCAATCGAACAAGGACCCAAAACCTGAAACTCTAAACTCGTTTTTTACTGAATTACAGAACATAGAATCTAAAGGTCATTTAGATGACTTAGTCCGTAAGTACTGGTCACTGAATTTGAACAACAAGGCAACTCGAAACAGAATAATCAAGTTTTTTATCGAAACCGTTGATTGGAGTAAAATTAGCTTATATGCAAGATTTTTTGCAATCAATGCTCCCTATATGAAGGAAACGGTTGATGAATTCATACAATATCTTGATAATGGTTTCAGAAGTCAACTACACAACACAAAATTCAATATTAAAAATGTTATATTTTTCGGTGAAATGGTAAAATTCTCATTAATACCTCAATTTATGGTATTTCACAAAATAAGAACGCTTATTATCAACATGAATATTACTAATAACGTGGAAATATTAACAATACTTTTTGAAAATTGTGGTAAATTCTTATTAAACAAGGCTGAATATAAAGATGAAATGGACAAACTAGTTGATAGACTAAAATCTAGAAGAACAGATCATAGCCTTAATATGAACACTAAAGCTTCCATTGAAATGTTGCTAAGAATTTTGTTTCCACCTTCAACTAAGTCATTGAATACAGAAGTTGTTCAGCTTACTCCAGAAGAGAACTTCTACACAGTGCTATTACGAAGTGAACTTGGCAACATAGGTTTCAAAGATACAGTAAGGCTCATTAGGAAAGCACATTGGAAAGACCCTAACACAGAAAAGCTGTTTTTTACTCTTTTTACAGAACCTGAAAAGGTTAGCTACCAAAATATCCCTATTTTAACTCAAGTTCTAAGTGGACTATACAGCTTTAATAGGAATTTTGCAATAATGTGTATCGATCAGGTTTTAGAAAATATCGAGAATGGACTTGAATCTAATACTTATGCTGAAAATACTAGTCGTATTGCTAACATAAGATATCTGGTAGAAATTTTTAATTACGAAATGATGAAATCGAATGTACTAATGGACACCATGCATCACATAGTTAAATATGGCCATCCAAATGGTCAACCGAATCCATTTAAGTTGAATCCTAACGATTTGCCTAATAACTACTTTAGAATTCATCTAATCGTGACAATTTTATCAAATATAAGAAGAACACCCAGTTCCCTAACATCTAGTTTACAATTGTTGCTAAGGTTTTTTGAGTATTACATTTTTACTAAGGAGTTCCCATTACCAAAAGAAACCGAGTATGCCGTAAATAATCTATTTGAAAAGCTTTCCACATTGATTGAGAAGAAAGATAAAACGAAATTTACAAGATCAGCAAACCTACTCGAGAGTTTACAAAAATTCCAAGAATATCTCGTGCTAACAAAACGTTCAACAACAGAAAATCAAAAGGGAACGGACACTAGTACTCTTAAAACGGACTTGCTTGAAGATGGTCCTGCTCAAGATTTAGATGATGATATTGGGCAAGAAAACGATGAGGGCCTTGAAATGATTGAAGAGTTTGAGATTATCGAAGACGATGGGGAAAGTTACGAAGAAAATAATTTAGATACTGAAGTGAATACTGGATCAATTAGTAGCGATGAAAGCGGAACAGATTTAGAAAGTGACTCAGAATTAGAGTCAGCGGATGAAGATGATTCTGATGACTCCATGGACTCAGATTCAGATTCAGAATCCGACTCCGATTCAGGTTCAGAAGATGAAGAGGATGAATTTGATGCTGTTCTGGATGGTGAGGATACGCCTTTCAGGAATTACGAAGATGAGAGAGAATCAGAGCAACAAAGAATATTTGATGAATACAAGAAGCAGCTTCAAACAGAGGAAGAAATTAAAGCACAGGCAGAACTGGATAAACAATTTGATCTAATGATGAGTGAGTCGTTAGAAGCAAGAAAGTCAGAAACATCTACAAATGACAGAGGCCTACTAATGGTACATCCATCAGGAACAAAACTGAAAGACTCATTGAATGAATTTAATACCCCAGAGAAGCGACCAAAGGAAAAAGTAGCATTCGCATTTTTGACCAAGACAGGTAGAAAGACACAATCCAGGGTGGTGAACTTATCTAGAGATATCAAATTTGTATCCAATGTTGTTGAGGAAGGTAAAAAGTTAGAAACTGAAAGAGAAAAGATAAAGAATATTGTCTTGAATAGGCAATTCGACTAATTTTCCCTTTAGTCATCCATTAATAATTTAACCCGATGATGGTCTTTCGTTAATAATATACCCTTAAATACAAACTAGTAAGTAGAACAAAAATATAGAATATAAGCTAAGACCACAAAAAAAATTACTCTACTTTCACAACAACCATTGTAATGTCATCCTCCTTACCACCTTTGTATAACTTACCAGTCAATCTACTAATTTCTTGTGCAAAGACGCTTGGGAATTCTGGATCTTTACTAATTTTGACAACTTTCTTTACTAGCTCATCAGCAGTCTTCTGAAGGTTCTCATTTAGTTGATCATTATTGTCCCTCAAGAATAATTCTAAATCTTCGATGGCAATATTGTCAGTTACACCATCTGTTGCCAAAATCACAATATCACCCTTACTCAATTGAAAATTGTATTCATCAGCATCAGATGGCTGGTTCTGAATATAGCGGTTACCATTTTTTGCCGCAGCTTGTTGAATTTCATCAGGAATAATTGCTAATTGGTATGGTGTATTGAACCCCAATGTTTGAGGCTCTGTTTGAAACACCAATTTAGAGTCTCTGAACACAGCACACCATGAATCTCCCAAATTAGTAACGTCTAACCTACCATCGCTTGACAAGTGTGCTACATTAGCCGTTGTACCACCAACTTTAACGATCTTATCAATTTTAATTTTGGCATATGCATTGTCCAATAGTTGTTTTGGCGTAAGTGGCTTGTGTAAAGTAGCTGCCATTTCTTTCAAGGCTTTACAAAGTTCTCTAGATATGGCACTTGAATCATAACCATGCTCAGCCCAGCCACCGACACCATCTGCTACACCAGCGTAGACATCATTGGCTGCATTAGCCTGTATGAAGTAATTATCTTCTCCTGTCAATGATTGCAGAGACTCCTTTAATTTTTGATAAATGACATCTTCACGATCCTTTGGCTGGTAAGCAACAGCTGTCTTGTACACAAATGAATTACCACCAGTGTGATCAGTGGTAGCACTACCATTGTTACCGTTCCAATACCAACTCTTACCACCAGAAAAGAATAACCTCCTGGAACAGTTCCCAAACACACGGTTATATAAGGTACCAGATTCTATTTGATAACTGGGACAATACAGTCCAGTGTACGTTAGTAAAAATCCTGCAATTAACATGATCAGACTGATAATCAACATACTCTTAGTCAGAACCCAGGGATTAACCACCCGTACTCCAGCGCTGTACATCCTTCAGCAACAAGTATTTAAAACTCTTCTACCAAAGATCGACTCTACTTAGAACAAACAAATGCTTCAATATAAACTATGAAACTTCTTTGAAACTAAAATAAACTTAACTTCGAGTCTGTTTACTATTGTTTCATAAGTCTGTCAACTTTCCCAGAAAAATGTAACTTTTTGAAACGCTAGCTCATCGCAAGTTGGACCACTAATTAAAATAGATATGAATTATTTGAAAAGTATATAATATAGGTACAAAGACCTGTTCTAGAGGACGTGATACTGATGGTATTCAATGTGTTGTTCCTCATTGGCGCTGTAGGTTGTAGCTCCCTGGAAATAACGGCCTCCTTTGGTATATGAATACCGACCTAATTGGGCTTGCCATAGAGGAAGAGCCAGAATATATAGATATTGGGCTTAGGGAGAGTCAAGCATACCAACCCGAGATGAACCCGACTCTTAAGAAATCATTATCACAGAATGCCTTGAATACAATCAAGCGTAGGAATTCTACGAATAGTTTGCACAGAACTTTATCACAGAGTAGTTGCTTTAGTACTTCATCTAGTGCCACTGCTCAGATTAGAGATGACTCTTACAAAGAGTTCTTGCTATTTCTAATAGGCGAGGAGAACGCTAAGATATGTTGGGAGAATCTTCCAAGGGAAACCAAGAATGTGTTCATAGCTAAAGCATTGAAGAAATCCAACTATTTAAAGAGTGAATCCACTTTGAAAGATCCATCGTTATCTGAAATCTTAAAAGATGGTAGAATTCCTACCAAGAACAGTTTTTTTTACTATCGAAACAGAGTTACACCACATATTCGTAATTCTGAGCGTGAACACGATGCAATTGCTATCTCCAAGAAAGCAAGTGGATTTTATAACAACGAGTTATCAGAATCTGAGAGGCAGCGGTTAAAACTGGATGCAAAGAAAGAATATGATAAATTCCTTATCCAAAGACGTAAGGTTGCAGAACAGTTCATAGATACTTACGACAAAGCCGATGATTGTGATCTAGTATACCAACAGCTGAAAGAGTATAAGTCGCAATTACCACTAGAAGAGTCCCTAACAAAATTAACAGAAGCAGTTGAAAGATTGAGCTCCCAGGTTTCCAACACTCCTGCCACTCCTATCGAAAAGATACCAACAACCACCGTCTCGAAACCTAAGCTAACAGCAACTAACAAACTATCCAATGATAGAAATGCACCAATTATGCAATCGCTTTACGGGAGATTCATTGGCAAATTTAAGAGAAAGAAGAAACCTGCTGCCTCAACTCTTATATATAGGAAACCGGTCGAGAAATGCGCTTAAAATAGCTTTCACTCTTGCCTGGCTATCCGAACTATTTGTAAAGCAGCATGTCTTACTGCCAAGCCCTGATAGCACTCTTGCGGGTTAATACCTTTGTATAGTATACATCTTTAGGCGGACGATGATACGACTTTGAGCTTGCATTTGCAACCACACTGCAACAAATTCCCTTTTGATGATTAGAATTCTTAATTATGACCTGATTTTATCACTTATCCGATTATCTCATGGTTATGATCTCAAAAAAAATATGTCTAGTAAGGCCTATAAAGCCTCAAGCAAAAATATTGATAAAAATACATTGATCTTTTCAATTGTATACCCAGTAGGTTTCTCAGGAATTCAAATATTCATGAAAATATGGGTGATGATCTAAAAAGAAAGATACTCTTGCACAATTTAAGCAGTAACAATCCTATTCTAGAGAAGTTAAAGGGTGGCCAGGAGCCAAACAGTAATGAAGAAGGTTCTGATTCTATAGGTGACTTACCATCATTGAAAAACGATTATAAAAGACAAGATAACAACTCTACCAACTGTACTTACATCCCTCCTTCCCAATGGAATACATACTTTCGAAGTAACGAACATATTAAGGTGCAAAGCAGAAACATTGAGTTCAATACATACTACACAGTACCCTCGTCGATATTAGGTCCATCTTTGCCAGTTTTTATATTCCACCATGGTGCTGGTTCATCAGGTCTTTCATTTGCTAACCTGGCTAGAAACTTAGGAGATCAATTGAATAATAATTGCTGTTGTCTTAGTTTCGATGCTAGGGGCCATGGCGGCACAAAGTTTATAGATGCAAAACAGGCTCAAAATTACTTCAGAGATGACTTTGTGGATGACTTTCACACATTAGTGGAATATTTTGTTTCTGAGAAATTGAAACATCTACCAACAGAGAAACTATCTATTATTTTCATTGGTCATTCACTAGGAGGAAGCATTTGCACTTTTACTTATTCAAAGCTCAGTATTGAACTAAAGAAGCAAGTAATAGGTGTAGCTATGTTTGATATAGTTGAAGAGGCTGCAACATTGGCGTTGGAGAAAGTTAATCATTTTCTCCAGGTTACTCCGAATATGTTTAGTGGTTACGAAGAAGCCATTGATTGGCATGTAAGCCATGAACTATCAAGACTAAGAGAAAGTGCAGATATTGCAATTCCAGCGTTATTTAAATCAACAGAGTCCGGTAAAGTGGTAAGGATTACAAACCTAGAAACTTTTCGACCATTTTGGAGGACATGGTTTAGCGATCTCTCGAAATCGTTTGTATCACTACCAACATGCAAATTGCTTATATTGGCAGGTAACGATAACCTTGATAGAGAACTAATAATCGGACAAATGCAGGGAAAGTATCAATTGGTTGTGTTTCAGGATTCTGGTCATTTTATTCAGGAAGATACGCCACGAAAGACTGCATTAACTTTGGTTGATTTTTGGAAACGAAACGACAATAAAAACGTAGTAATAAAGTCAAATTGGGGCTCATCAAATAAGGTGTGATAAAATAAAGTATTTAGAGAAAAATAATAAACCTATTTTTGCTACATAACCTACTCAAAAAAAAGTAAACGATTATAACTCTATTACAATATGGAACTTTAGTCAATCGTCATAAAATCAATTTCGGAAGAGTGGCCTTCACATTGTTTGACAACTTCATCGATTTTCTTAGAGGCCCATGGGAAACGTGGATTAATTAAAAATGGTCTTAAATCAAATCTGTTATCATCTGGGGAGTATTGTTCAGCATGATAGCTTGGTGTCAAAACAGTTTGTTTGTGTCTATTAATGGCATAGAAAAAAAAGAAACGCTTCACCTTCTCTGCTACTTGGGCAGGAGTCAATCTAGGTGTCCATTCATGCAACAATTTCAAGAACATGGAATATGGGCCACATTTTTCTACTTTTCTCAAGTACCCAAATACACTCAATTCTTCATATGTCATACCCATATCCCTTTCATCTGATTGAACATAATCCTTGGTTATTGGCTCTAATTCAGCTGTAGGGGTTGCGTTCAAAAATTCATCAAGAATTGGCATATCATACTCCTCAGAGGCATATTTTATGAAACCTTTCAAATCAGTCTTTGATATACCACCAATTGGATTAACATCAGCAGATGAACAGTCGTACTTCGTCAGATACCCGCGCAAACATTCATCAACATTAGCGCTTCCCAGCACAAGAAGCCCCCCTGAGTTAGGAATACCGCGTACCCAAGGCAATAGTTGTGCAAAAAGATACGCCAAGACCATTCTTAGACGAGCTTGTATATTCTGCAAAGCTAAATTCTCAATCTGGGACCCACCAAATATCTTGAAAATGGGCTTCCTACCTGTCGCAACTTCAAATAATGACACAACACTTGACACAAGACCATCCATATTCAGATCAACATGATAAGACCCAATCTTCTCAGCAAGTTGCTTGCTTCTAGATCTGGTCTCAACTGATGAGTTTTCGGTACCCATAAAGCAAGTATGAAACATTTTGTTAGCTATCTCTTGAGGGTTCTCAGGGATCCAGTCATCCGGACTACGCGTAATTCTCCTGATATCCTTAAGTACCAGATCATTTCCTTCATGACAAGCCTTATGAACCAATCTGCACATAGAGTGAATAATCATGGCTGTGGCACATGAATCAATACCACCGGAAAGAGGTAAGAAGTAACCTGTACCATTACAACGTCTAATATAATCCCACAACCAACAAGCTGGACCAAGTGCAATTTCTTCTTCCGGAGTATGATATGTGACATCTCTACTTTTGGTTGGGGTAATCTTCGGATTAAACCTCGAACCTCTTGGAGCCAATTCAATCTCCACATCTATATGCTCATACTTTAAGTCCGCTAGCGAAGATTGTAACCCTCTTGACATGACATTAGCTCTATGATTTCTAACTTCTTCCAAGTCAACTGTAGCAGTAACAACCTCTACATCATCCAGAGAGAACTGCTTTCCTTGAGCTAAAATCTTACCATTTATTGCTATCAGCGCACAACCATCGTAGTATAGTCTATCACCATCGCAACCCTTTTGATTTGCATACAAATAAACACCTCCACATCTACCAGTACCATTTAAAATCAATTCTAGTCTCTTGTTTAACTTACGTAGTTCATGGTGAGATCCCGAAGAATTGGTAATAATTTCCACACCATCTAAAGACATAGCAATATGAGGAGATTGTGGTGTAAAAACTTCCTCACATGTCTCAGCACCAATACATGTATCCAATGTGTTAATCACAGCATCACCAAATGGAACCTTTTTCTGCCCTGTGATTTTTTGAATCATTGGAGGTAAAGTTAATTCCTCCACAACACCAGGTTTCATCCAAGGTGTAAAGAACCGCATTTCTCTATAGTTACCATCATTTGCTAGCCAGATTTTTGGTCTAATAAAGAGTATCTTACCATCCAAGGACAACAAACGACAATTGTATCTGACATTCTTGTGCAGTAGGGGCATACCAATATCAAGAATTAAACCATGGGTTTCGGGATTTTTTAAAATTTGAGCATACATCTCCCAAGAGTGCAAGCAAACGTCATTTTCAAGGAAATGATCTAAACAACCGTAACCACTAATCTCCAGCTCTGGACCAACTCTCAATCTAGCACCTCTTTCCTTAGCAATTCTAATAGATTCCAAAATCCTGTCCCTATTCCCTTCGAAGTCAAGGGCCCATTGATTTAATGAGCATGTAGCTAACGTAACTAAATGAGACATTTCAGATATCAATTGAGATAGTTAGTTGTTTAATCCTTATGAAAGACTCTAGTTGATGATGATACTATTTCTTAAATCACTCCAGTATTACTCAATTTAGTGCTTAACATTGCATGGGCATCGCTGAAATTAAATGGAGTCATCAATAACGGTATCAGCTTCTGTAACTACTGAATATAGTCAATACTGTCGACTATATTAAATACATAAAACACTTCATTATCATCATATTACAATTTATACATTTTCTATATTCATTAATCTATAATAAATAGTTGGAGTAATGGTGAAGCTGCTTGATAGGTAAACATATGCATGCATAATTTGAAAAACGAGTGTACTTGAAAGAATCAAAGGCGAGAGTTTCAGTAACCATCTGTATGTTACGATGTTTTACCACAACTTCTCTACATCTGACCAATCGTTACGTTCTCTTTTACTCCAGTAACACGCAGAGCCTTCTATCCGCTTCCATTCAACATTTGAGATTTTTTCAAAGTATCTGGGCTTGACGTCGTGACCTTTCAATCTTCTATCTCTTTGCAGTTGTTCTAGCTTTAATTTTAATTCCTCTGCCTTCTCAATATCACCGCTTTCATATGCTTTAATATCAGGCCTCAACCTGGAGTCTGTAGGGGGTAAATTATTTCTTTCTATATCTGTAATCTCGTTCAATTGCGCGGTAAAGACAGTGAAACCGTACTTTTTCGACGAGTCCTTTACTAAATCTCCTACAGTCCAGAGCTTTTTATGAGTGGTACTATCTTCCAAAAACTCGGACCACTTACCTTGCAATGCCTGTCGTTTCCACTTGGACGATTTTGGCGGTGTAATTGTTGCGGTTAAAGACTCTGACCTACCACCAAAAATACCAGTCTTTTGAAAAGTAATCTTAGCCTTGCTACCATCTGAACCTAAGATTTCAAATTCGTTTACCGGCTCAGTATATCTTTCTCCTGCTATCAAGTTCTTCACCATTGTAGTAGGTTGTACCCATTTATAGACAACACCAGATGATTTCATAGTTAGCTTAATTGTACCTTCGTTATTAAGTTCTAGAGATTTACCCCAAAATTTCTGTACTGGTGTCATGGTATATTCACAAACCCAATCTTGATGCTCTGCGTTGAATGCAAAAATTTGAGGTTTGTGTGAAACCTTTTCCGCAATCAATCTAAAACCCAACTTATCATGTACATATTCAAATGTCTCTCCTAGTAATGGATTAAACGGTTTTCTCAGAGCTCTCGTTTTGTCCCTTTGGATAGAAAGAGCTGAAATAGCAAACAAAGTTACTGAAGTCAATGGTTGCATATCTTTTCTGGAAAGCAAATCCGAATATTCGAAGGCTTCTGAAATCACCTGTAATATCGATAAGGGTTCATTCGAAGTTACGGGCATTGTAATAGAAGAAAGGTCTTTACCAACATTTTTCCTTAGAAAAGACAACAAACTAGGCGGAGTTGTCAATGACGGTAGAATGTCTTTTCTTCTAGTAATTTGTCCCCCAATAGGGAAGGGGTATAGTTGCTGTTTGTAAGATGGTGTTTCATCCGATTTACTTGCTAACATTGTAGGCGTTGATTCCGTAGTCAAAACTCTATCATTGGGAACAAGACTATCTGTTGATGTAAAGCCATTTAAATTCTGATTCCTGCTCTCCATATCACTATCATATTCATCGTCTTCAACATCATCAATCATTACAGCAGAATCGTCTTTCATAATTCCTGTTTCACCTACTTCCTCTTCAGCATCATCTAGTAGTATAACACCCTGAGGAATACCGTCTTTAGCGTCAAAATATTCATCATTATCACTGAATGTAGAAATTATAGATTGCCTGCTATCTTTTACCTGTTTTGAAATGTATCTATGATCTTTTAATAGGACTCTGCTTTGTTTGATAAACCTATCCACTATACTTTCTAGATCAGACAATCTTTTATAAAGTTGATGTGAAGTTGGCGTTTCTTCACTTATCTCAGGTAGTGAATCAACTGAGGAAATCTCTTTAGGGGTTTGAATTCCAGCAAGATACATCTTACCTTTTTTTTCGTGATCACCTCCTACAGACTTTGAGCCTTCCAAGATGAACTCTTTTCTTGCCGGAACATAATTCAAGGAATCTAGTTTGCATTTCTCAACCCATTCCTGAATAATACCCAAGTTACCTGCAAATTCATTATAGACATCGTCAGATAATGGTGTATACTCATTTCTAGAACTAGAAAATGCGCTGGTGTTTCGAAACTCAGGTCTAGATGGCACACGGCTGTCATTTATTGTCCTATCAGAAAATCCTTCAATATTGGCGGCATCACTACCTAATGTTGTATCTTCAGCATCAGCATCAATATCACTTGCGATCGGTTGATTTTTTTCAAAACAAAACTGTAACGCATCAACCCACGTTTGCCATGCAGCTGCATCTGCTGCTTTCAAGAACCAAAGTTCCATGCCAGAATCTATTATAATAATTCTGTCCTTCTTATTCGCACTTACAGTAGACAAATGTATAACCATTTCACCACGGCACGTCTGATTATGATCGTTCAGATAGTACGACAATGTACCATATCTATAATCTAGTGTGAAGAATCTTTTTTTGAAACCTTGTAGCCTCTTTCTACGCTTTTTCATCAGATAACCTTGCAAATACCTTCCCTGACCCACACTCAATATTCCAGCGTTTTTTGGCAAATTCAAATCATGAAGTCCTTGAGCTCCATTAACTAATTTGGTTGATGAAGTTTTTGCTGAATTACCTCTAGATCTACCAAACAATGAAGAGCTAGACTTCTTTGATGTTGGTGACATTACAGGTCTTGCAGTATCCTTAATAACACTAGCATTAAATAATATCTTTTTCTTTGCATTTTTTGAAGCTGTGTTATCCAGAATAAAGGCATAATAATAATCATTATCTTTCACTTCTATTGTGCCCTGTTTAACATTATTGCCTGATATTGTACCCAACCACTCAACCAATTTGAATCCCGAGGCAGCAAGTTTTTCTTTCAAAGGTAGTTCTTGGGTCTGCTGTTGAATATCTGCTATTGATAGATTGCTGCTGCTTCTCTCTTTCTTTTTGAACTCTGCAGATTGTGATACAATCGAAGGTGAACTGTTTCTCCTTCTGTTGGAGACATTCGTGCTACTACTTGATGTGGAGCTACCATATATGGAGCTGTTTCTTTTCAACAGCGTCCTAGAAGTATAATCTAGCATCGCCTTAGTATCAGGGGCAATGTGAACCGCAGATGGTTGCGCATCAATATCAGTTTTCAACTTTTTATAAATACCGAATTGGATCGACTTCTTCAAGGGCTTCACCTGATAATTGATCACATCATCCTTAGAGCATTTTACCCACCTTACCACAAAACATCGGTTTTGAATATCAATTGTTTCCATTAGTATGCTAGCTGTATTTTACAATTTTCCTATTTAGCCTTCCTGCAACTTTTCATCAAACTCTTCGAGTGTTTGGGATTTTCCTTCAGATTAGTATAACAATTGAGACAAATAAAATCTAAATTCAACACTGCTAGTACTTGTTTTTTCAAAATAAAACAGGATCAAATCAAAATCAAAATAGAATTGAAATAAATTCGCGACCTTATCACTACAAAAACGAATTGATCTTCGCACACACAACAATAATCTTTGGATTCAGGAAGACTCTTAAACACTTATTGATAAAAACAAACAACTCTGAACTGTGTTACTGTTATATTCGAGATCCACGTAGAGTAAGTTCAGATCTTCTGCTTTTATCGATTCTTAAGAATGTTGAAAGCGATGGATCCACGCTCTGCGCCCCTCTAAAGCTTTGTTGAGATAAGAAATCGCACAGTACGTTTGGGCTGTTAGGTGCTAGGATAATAGATTTCAAACAATATATGATATATTAAACACTGAACAATATAATAAAATCAAACTTTGCTTGTAGATAGCTATCATTGTTGTAGTTAGAGAACACTATATATTACCTTTTTGCTAGGCTTCCTAATTGGTCGCCTTGGCAAGCATCAACAGAAAATGTTTGAAACAAGCAGTAAAATTCTTTATTATAATATACAGATTGTGGAGTAGGCCCCTATACATAACTTGTTGTTTCGTATTTCGTACTCTTACGTATTTGTACCTTCCCCATGGAGCACTAGCTCATTTTTATCAGTTAACGAAACAAGCAGTTCTGAGTATACCAATTAGAGGCTATTTGAGAAAAAATAACCGAACAACTTCTATACTGGTAACTTAAACTTATTGTGGAAGCAAGTTATATCTCTTCTTCAGAGTAACTCTTTGTCTAGAGTACTTGTCATCTGGGGAAAATCTAGCTGGATGAGCAGACTTGGTAATCTCACCTTCCTCGGTCATCTTCTTCAGGGTGTAAACTCTCTTACCCTCGTTGTCCAAAGTGTACATCAAATGCATCGTTAAACCAGTTGTTTTTGTTTATATATTGGTGTTAGACAATTGTGATCCAATACCTTTACGCCTAAAACATGTATGTGTACTATGTGCTTTCTATATAATTTGGCGATGAGCTCATCGCATTTTCTACTTCAATTGCGGAAAGTTTAAAAAAATTTTCGTTCGTAGCGCGGTATATAATATTATGCAGTGTATATAGGAAAGGTTCAATGGAAGGAGTAATAGTCATTATTGTGTATTTTGAGATGAGTTGGTGTAGTTTCTGCCATTGTACAGTCCCAGAGCTTTTATTGGGAAGAGGAACCTATAGCTTGGATACTCGATAGCGCAAGAGTGGTTGAACACACCTTCCGCGCTCTCGAACTTCCATTCACCTGATGGTTGCTGCCTGGACTTTAGCAGGTTGATACCCCTCTCAATGGCGTCTTCATTTGGACACTTAGCCAACAACAGGGCGATCAAAGCCCATGCCGTTTGCACCACCAATGACTTTGGACTGTCAACATAGTCATGTAGCTCACTGGACTTCATGGATTCACCCCAACCACCATCAGGCATCTGTTTGCTCAAAAGGAAGTCACAGCCCTTTCTCACTGTCAAGGAATTATCATAGGTTTCTCCTACAGAGTGCAGTGCCTCCATGGCAAACATACCGGCATATGTGAAGCAAATACCCCAGCAGCCGTACCACCCACCATCATCTTGTTGTGCCTGTTTAATGTAGTCAATGGCAATCCTGATTCTGTGAGATATCTCGTCCTTCCTATAATCATAATATTTGTGGAAATACGTCAAACCCAAAACGCTCGAGTCTGTGCACTCGACATATGGGTACTCGACCATAATGTTCCCGAATACTTCTGCAGGATTTAATTTCTCCATCGAAAGCGGAGCCTTGATCTTTTCGTAAGTCGCAAATGAACCGTATTCAAACTTACCAATATTTTGTAGACTTAATAACACATCAATACCTTTACAGAGCCTTTCATCAGTTATCTCATCATGTACAGAGGAAAATACAGGAGAGTTTCTCACCATAATTATTGCCTTTATTGCTTCCGCAGTACAGTCAGACACAGTATAGCCTTGGGTCTTGGTAGAGAACCCCCAGGCACCAACTCTTTTGTCTCTAAAACTTCCTTCAACACATTCTGTATCGAACTGTGATCTACACAAAAACTTATAGGCATTTATTATCATTTCTCTAAATTCCGGTTTCTCAGCCAAGCCAGCAACAAAGAAATATTGTATCATAAAAGCACAGTCCCAAGTTTGCACACCATTGGTACCCATTACTGTCATACCTTGTGGGCCATGGAATAAGCCATCTTTGAATCTATACTGAAATCGTTCAAAAGCCTTTGAATCTTTCCCTTCTTCTAAATAAGTCACTAATGCACAAAATGCTTGATTAACTGGTGCAATACATAGAGAATCTGTATTTTGTATCTCTTTCTTGATCAAATTGTAAACTACCTTCTTGGATGCCATCGATACAAGTCTAGGACGTAAATACTTCTCATAAAATACAATGACATCATTTGCAGTGTCCAGAATTTTGCTATGTGGATAGTACAAATCCACACCACACACAGTATTCCTGTGTTGAGAAAAGTTTATTTTATCAAATGACTTTGTATAGATCTCCTGCCTAATCTCTGAAAGAAGGTCAGTTAAAGGACATGAGTACTTAATCAATGAAAGGTAACTTACCGGTAAATAAACAGCTCTTGTGTGTACCCACCATCTACCGGGATGAATTGGCAATGAGTAAGGTAATAGCCAAGTTTCAGGGGGAGCTGGATTAACACCCTCCCATTTATATAAGTTCAAAATGCTTAGCCATATCTTACCCCAGTGTGGTGCACCAGTAGCTCCTCCAAGTCTATGCAGAGTATGTCTGGCTCTCACACAAACTATATGATCCTTTGGCAGTCCCAACAACCTTAGACAGACATAGTTCAAGACTGTACCAAATACAGTAGACTTGTCAACTGAGTGAAGACCCCATCCACCATCAACAGGATGCGCAGTGTTAACAATGTACCTAATTAGCTCGATTCTCTCATGCTCTGGTAATTTAACGCCAGCAATGTAATTGACAGCAACATACCCAATTGTCATGAACATAGGCCCCTTATATTGGCATGGGAAAATACCTGACTTTTGATCCTGAAGAAGCTTATAGAAGGATGCTCCATAATAACAAGCTTGCTCAGAGCTTAAGTCATCACCTTCTTTTCTTGGTGAAGGTGTCGGGAATTCCTCATCTTGTAATAACCATTGAACAAATGTGGATTGCGGGTCTGCATCAACCTTGTCTTGTTCAATATACTCCCAAGCTTCTCTACCCAATTCAGTAGTTCTTAACCTCCATCTTTTCGGATCAGTTCTAGGTATACCGACGGTATCAGAATAAAACTGAGTCATTGCGTACTTCGAGCAATAACCTAATATATTGCTTTACAACACCGTTGCACTTCCAATTTTTCAATATACAAATTTATAAACTTATGGTATGCACAATGGGTAACTAATAAAATATTGCTGTCGAGAAGCTCGTCATCGAAGAAGTTCTCGTTAAAGTAAAAAATCTAGTAAACGAGACCGATAAAATAATGCGACAACAGCATTGATGCTAATGTAGGGTTGTCAAACTTTATAAAAGAATTAGTAAGTACTATGATAAGGTTGTTTTTATATGTGAATGTATAAATTATATGGTATTTTTCAATGTGAAGTATTTATCGTATGCAACCTATAATTACAGAAAGATATTGTAGAAAGAATATATATTTGGACTTTATCTCAGAAGTAAGGAAACAAACAATTTAGGCATTTCAATACGTCAGACAGTTCTTATAATCTTTCTTGGGTTGATATCTCCGATAGTAACATCATCATCGAGCTCCATCTTTCTCTTTAGTGTAGCATTTGCAATGGAGGTCAAAGTGCATACAGAAGTGGTATGTCTTTGTTCATAGCCCGCTAGTTTAGAACCCCAACTAGTCATTGCCTCGTTAGTGACAGTGAGACCATAATTAAGTTGCTTAAGACACCAGCGTTCCATTATAGCAATGCTCCGTGTAGGTAAACCGCTAACTTGGGTCCACACTCTCATGGAGAAAGTGATATCATTAGAAAATTTATGTGCCAGGATAATGCATACTAACAGCAATCTCTTTCCACAGTACGCAAATTCTGGTACATTGATGGCGCCCTCATGAGACTTGATCAATTTATCAAAGTATATGGATGCCAACAATAAAATATCTCTGCTGATATGAGCTCTCTTGGTGACTTCTTTCAAAAAATTAGCAATAGATGTCTTGGAGTTATTTATTCTTTTATGCGATTTGCTGTGAACGCCAGCGACAACATCTGTGATAAAAGAAACAAAATCAGAAGACGATAACTGTGTATTAGCTTCACTACTGGTCCCATCTGATTTCAAACTTTGATACGGTGGAGTATGGTAGACATTGTTTGATAGAGTTTCGACAGGGACAAGTTCTCCTGAAGGTGTAACAAAAGCCATTCTATTTTAGATAATTTTCTTGATGAGTCTGTTATCCTATCGTAATTTTTTTTTTATCTTTTGTTTGATAAAAATAATTTCAGTATCGGGTGTGTATATTATTTGACAAATAGTAATGTATCAATGTTATATTATTTTCCTATCTCTATTATAAGCTTTTCGAAAGAACAAATAGACATGGAAAATGCATTAGATTTCTGAACAGTGTGGGGCTTCGAGACCCCTCTCTAATGGACAACACCAACCATCTTCTTGAATTCCAAATAATTTAATCCCGTAATATCAACAAAAAAATTCCTTAAAAAAACTATTCCCAATACTATCTTAAAAGAAATTATCCTTCTTATCCAAAGAAGAGTAATCTTTTATTGCAATAGGCTAAAAATATCAAAAGCTAAGCTTTTATTCTCAAAAACAAATAATGCAAATGAATAAGGTATTTGAACACACAACCAAAAGAGGTATGTGCTTTGACAAATGATCCTGTGTTCTCCTTATCTACATAAGAGAGCCGATTGACAAAATCTCCCATCGAGGCTCCCAGCCTTTATATATTGTTCCCTCAATCAAAAAATCCCTTTGTGTGGGTATGTTCATGAATCAGTCAGAGTCCCAACTTCCTTCACATTAGATAGAATTCCGGGATTATAGAAGCACCGACTTGCTTTTTTGGCTCTCTTCTAGAAGACAATTCTGACTCATCAGATCCCCAACCCTCAGAGAATCCCGTACGGATTCGGGATTCCATACCCATTTTCTCAATGGCAAAAAAAAGCCTTCCATTTTGCATAAAACTTATCAAAAGGAAAATAATGACGAATTCGCAGAGAAACCACGCAGATGAGATTGATATTCGCAAACATAAAAGAAAGAAACACTCATGTTCTGGTTAATACATGGCAATGAGGAAATGAGCAATTCCTTCTTATCGACATCCTACAGTTGAGCCACAGATCGCATCAAGGATCCGTAACTCTCATGAACTTGCGGTCCCATTATCTATGTATCTCAGTCAGTGCTTGGGCTTTATTTGGGGGGAGGGGGTGAAAAGAGAGGACTCATTAAGCTTCTAAGTGTTGATCAGGCATGATATCCCGGTGGGACTCTTTGATCTCCATCTTTGCGTAGAGTTTAGACTCATCGGCGAGCCACAGCGCTGTCGGTGATACTTTTATGGCTCTAAGGGGTGTGAATGGGTAGATAGGTGAAACTGTCTTGTACTTGATCCTAGTTATCAGGCTAGCAGAGTTGGGACACAGTAATCTTGCCATTATCTGGGTAATCAATGGGCCGGGAACCAGGATATCCTTGATCCCCTCCTGTGTACGACAATAGTCTCTATCCCAATGTATCCTGTGTGGGTTATTGGTCATTTGACAATACTTCACAATATCCAGGTCTGAGATGTTGATACCTGCAACGGCTTCATATTGTTTAGTTTCCTGTGCCATTTCCTCAAGCGCACTGAAACGGTCACCTATCCGATTTGTGTACTGCAACGTCCTGTCCTCTGTTATAGCTGTAACATCATTACTATCCCTGATTGTTCTTTGTAAAGAAACAAAACAACTATCTCCTATGGGCTTGATGAACTTGATCCGTTCGTGGCAACTGTACTCTTTACCAGGTACCAAAGGTTTATTATTTGTGATCTCACCGTTTGTCCATCTCCGAAGCCTGTACCGCTGTAAAGTAGATATTAGGGAGCTTGGTGACTGATAGCTGAAATAGCCATCGGGATCTAGATCTGAGTCAACGGGATTGAAATACAATAGATTGTCCGCCAATTGTATATTCTCTGTCATCTTAATATTGGTACGTACAGCATTTTTGAAAAGGTTATTAAATGCTTGGTTCTTTTCGAAGGAAATGATATCTTTATGAAGCCAATGAAGTGACTTCCACGACATAGTTGAAGTACTGTCAATTTGCTTCAGATATAGAGAAAGTGTTTTCAATTAACATTCACATAACTTTCTCATCTATTTCTGACGTTAAATGTAGTCATCGCTTTATAATCTCAGTTTTTCATACTGCAGAAATTTCAATTTGCGATCATAAACTTAAGACATCTTTGTAGATGTAGGAAAGAGAACAATTATTTAAAAATACTGATGTCAAAATAATGCAAATTATAATAATCGAATTCCTTTACAGAAAATGACTTCTCTATTATATAGATACTGCTCTTTTAAAAGCACTTATTGAAAGGTATTAAAATACGCGAACCACATCATCTTCTTTGATTATGCTGAGCCTTTCAATACAAACTAACGCTACAAATTGCTCATCATGGACTCGAATCACTATACCTTCTGCCCCCATGACTTGGCTTACTCAATGTCACTGTACAAATCACTGTCGATATCCTCAGGAACATCCTTATATTCGTTTTCAGATTCTGAGCTGGAAGAGTCCGACTCAGATTCTGATATGTCCTTTCCTTCTTCACTACCTTCCTCGGCAGCTGCTTTTCTTGCTGCCCTTCTTTCAAGTTTCCTTTGTCTCTTCGCTTCCTTATGTGCTTTCTTCTTCGCAATGTTCTCTTCTTGCTCCTTTCTTCTTTGCTCCTTTATTCTCATCTTCTCCTTATGCCTCTTTTCAAGTGCTCTGATCTCAGAATCAGTCTTCTGTACAAACTCATGATGTAGAACTTTACCTGAACATATTCCTTCTTCTAGTTTGACTAGTTTCAAAGTCAATCTTGGACCAATTTCTGTTAACCTCACAGCCTTCTTTCTTGGTGTACTAACTGGAGCTTGTTCTTGTTCGTTTTCGTCATCTTCTTCAAGAGGTATGTTTGAGCTCTCAAAGTCCTTCATGTCTTCATCACCATCGACATCTTTTGCTTCCTCAACTGTGTCATCCTCTTTATGCTTGACTGAACGCTTGACCTTTACAGATTCTGTGTCCATAACTTTCACAATAGAGTCTTCTTCAATCTCAGATTCAGATGTATATGCACCTATGTCATGGTCAAGAATCAAAGAGGAAATGTCCTCCTTCTTGTGTAAGTTCGGTACGGCCTTACTTAAATTGTTTTTAGCCTTGTACAGTTTCTTTAAATTTCTTGAAATATCTACCTCTCTAATATCGATGAAGTAATGACGCATGGAAATTTCACCAGTTTCTTTATCTTTGTTAATCATAAATACTCTTTTGATCGAGTTTATATGAATTCTAGAAGGGTTTAGTGGTGGGAAAATGTTTTGGAACATTGACACCACAATCTTATCCACATTAGCTCTCTCAACTTCTTTCTCATCATTCTCATCCTTGGGCTTGGTGGTAAATCCATTCAGAACTAATAATGGTGGGTTCATAACATCTTCCTTTGTGAGAGATTTTGGTCTTCTTAGATACTTCTTGATGTCTCTGCCGAGAGAATAGTCCATAACCTGGAAAGTGATAGTTGGACCCTTTGGTGTTCTAGCTATCTTCAATGATACATTACCAGTCTTCTCCGATTGCGTAAACATGAATAGATGGGATACACCCAATGGGCCACACATGACAACAAAATCCTTCAGCTTGTTAGACTTCCTCTCTTTCAATCTAATAGCAGTATGTGGTTGCATGATCTGACGGAAATCCTTCACCAACTGGTTCAAGGAATGGTTACCCAAAGAGGTCTGACCAACCCTGATCACCATTGACTTTGGAATACCTCTCTCCTCATCGGGCACAACTTGAACATGCGTTCTCTTCTTTTGTCTTCTCTTAGCCATATTAAACTGCTCTCACTGTTCTTAGGAACAAGATGTAAATACCTGAGATCCTATGCACACAACAACTTATATATATTGTCCAATTGCTATACTTCTTTGCCGGCTCATCGACTGTATTTTGCGATGAGCTCTGAATAAAAAAATTTTCAAAATTTTTGCAGTACTGAAATGGCTGATTCTTGTACGGTGCTTTCTTCAGATGAAAAAAATGAAAAAATAATCGATGGCCATAACATGCGATGAGCTTGATCAATATTAGTCCAATATTTTGGAATAGCCAACTTAACTATAACGTACTAGGGACACCTTAATAACACATTTGTAGGACTATTGTACTCACAATATAAGTAAAGAGAAAATGGCAGGCAAAGTTGGTAAAGTATCAAAGAAGAGCGATGATGTTAGTTCACTAGCTGCTAAAATTAGGGCTAGAGCCCTTGAGAATCAAAAGAAGATGCAAGCGGCTTCCAGAAAGGACTCTGAAAGCGATTCCAGCGATGAGGAAGTTGAGAGACCCGCCAAGAAACAAGCTAAGGATGAAAAAGTAGAAGAACCAGAGGAAGAGGTCACATTTGAATCATTTGCTCAATTGAACTTAGTACCTGAGTTGATTCAAGCATGCCAAAATTTGAATTTCACTAAGCCAACACCTATTCAGGCCAGAGCCATTCCACCGGCTTTGGCTGGTAGTGATGTTATTGGTTTGGCACAAACAGGTTCGGGTAAAACCGCAGCATTTGCTATTCCGATCTTAAACAAGTTATGGGAAGACCAGCAGCCATACTATGCATGTGTACTAGCACCTACAAGAGAACTGGCTCAACAGATCAAGGAAACTTTTGACTCATTAGGTTCTCTGATGGGTGTCAGAACCACATGTATTGTTGGTGGTATGAATATGATGGATCAAGCAAGAGATTTGATGCGTAAACCTCATATAATTATCGCTACACCTGGTAGATTAATGGATCATTTAGAGAACACTAAGGGATTCTCGCTGAAAAATTTGAAATTCTTAGTCATGGATGAAGCCGATAGATTGTTAGACATGGAATTTGGTCCAGTATTAGATAGAATTTTGAAGATCATACCTACAAAAGGTAGAACCACTTACCTATTCTCTGCGACAATGACTTCAAAGATTGATAAACTACAAAGGGCAAGTTTAACAAACCCAGTGAAATGTGCAGTCTCAAATAAATACCAAACTGTGGATACTTTGGTGCAAACGCTTATGGTTGTGCCTGGTGGCCTAAAGAACACTTTCTTGATATATCTATTAAACGAATTTATTGGTAAAACAGTTATTATTTTTACCAGAACAAAAGCCAATGCGGAAAGATTATCTGGGCTATGTAATCTACTAGAATTCAGTGCCACTGCCCTTCATGGTGACTTGAATCAAAATCAAAGAACTGGTGCCTTGGATTTGTTCAAGGCAGGCAAAAGATCAATATTAGTTGCTACGGATGTTGCTGCAAGAGGTTTAGATATTCCATCTGTCGATATTGTCATCAATTATGATATTCCAGTTGACTCTAAATCCTATATTCATAGAGTAGGTAGAACAGCAAGAGCTGGTAGATCTGGTAAATCCATTTCCTTAGTTTCACAATATGATTTAGAACTGATTCTGAGAATAGAAGAAGTGTTGGGAAAGAAGCTACCGAAGGAGAGTGTTGATAAAAACATTATTTTGACACTGAGGGATTCTGTAGATAAAGCTAATGGTGAAGTTGTTATGGAGATGAATAGAAGAAATAAGGAAAAGCAAGCTAGAGGGAAAGGTAGAAGAGGTAGAATGATGGCCAAAGAAAACATGGATAGAGAAGAAAAATAAAAAATTCGTTGAAGTATCTAATTATATAAAGTATTTCATTAACTTGCATGGTCGTTATTAAGTTATTTTTCTTTGTATGCAAATGCTGTATATTTCTTTTTAAAATATTAACAATATGAGTAGAAAATTGAAATCTAGTCAAGATTTCTGCTAGGAAAATGGATGTAACTCACAAACATGATTCATATTTACTAATTGCAAGTTCAATTGAATTCATGGTAGTTTTCAAGTAAGCTTCACAGAGGCTAGCTAGTTTTTCACCATCACCATCCTTAACGTCTTTCAAAAGCTCTTTCAACTTAGCGACACATTCCTTCAAGTGATTGTAAAGTTTACGAACACTATTGGCCTGTTTTTGATCACCACTTTGAAAATGAATATAAAAATGCTTTAAAAATTCACAACATGTTCCATGTAACATCCTACAACTTTCTAAAAGATCTGGGGGCATTTCTGAGGGTACATCAGTTTCGTTTATTTTATTTGTTGTGAACGTGGTCATATACGATGAATCCATATTATTGTGTTTTGCTTGTTTGGCATTAATTCGAACAGTTTTAATAACTTGTTGATTGATTGCATCTATAATAGTACCTTCTTTATCATCCTTACCAGATACAACATCAGTAAGATCAAGTTCTCGTTGTAAACCGATGTTAACCTCTTCAATCTGATTACGTACTATTGGATCAGTTATTTTTATATGCTCTGTAGTCCTGCCCTCTCCTTCATTACCATTAGATCTCTCTTTCGTTCCAATTTTCAAGTGAACTATTGAGTACTCAGCTTTGTATTCGTCGTTAAGATCATTAAGTTCTAACTCTTGTTCATTACCTTCTTGTTCCAACTCGGCACTGTTTGTGAGATTTGACCTAGAATACTCATTTTCTAAAGCAGTTGTCATCTTCTCACTTAATCTATTCATACTTCTTAAGATGTCCAAAGTACCGTCATTATTACCATTCATATCCATACCAGGCTGCATAGTAAAATCAGGTTTGTTACCTCTCTTTACTGGATCATCTTGGGTATTCCCTCCTAAGTCAATAAACTTTGATACAGGATGGAACAGGCGTTCATCATCCTTTCTATCAAATTCGATATCAAGACTCAGATACCTATCTATGATAACGTCACCTCTGTCATTAGCCATAATTTTTTCACCTCTCAGCTTTCTGAACAATTTAGATGAGAAGAACCTAGCCCAAAATTCGGATTCTTTGAAATTTTTAGGAACATTGTCAAGATAAGCTTTTTTGACAATAGGATAATTCTGAAATATACTTATAATCTTATCTCTGGAAAGATTCACATTAACTTGATTTTCTGACGATGCAACAGGTTTGATAACCGAGAGGACATTATAAGGTCCGATTTTCTGTGAAGTAGATAATGCAAAGGCACGCAACATCGGTATTCTTGTGCTCCAAAATTCTTCTGGTGGAAGATTAGAGTTTATTACAGTTTCTTGGAATGTTTTCATTAGTTGTTTATTGGATGTGAGTAATGATTGTTGTAATTTCAAGTTTTTCATTAAGTTGTCATAAGACAAGGAATCGTCCAATTTAGAAGTATTGATCAATTCTTGTTGTTGTGATTGTTGTGACTCTTTTGAGACAGCATTGCTGTCCCCACTAACAGCTTGCTTCTGTTCATGTATTTCGGTGTCCTTATAACGAGAAATTATCGCTTGTAGTGTAATCTTTATGTTGTCCATCACACTACGATTATTGAAAGAAAACATATGGGCGGCAGGCTTTGGTGACACCATCTCACCATCATTGTTCTTTACTTTCTTGGACTCATCAACTTTCTCGATCAGCCTCAACATAAGTTTCTCCGAAGTTGCAGGCGTTGCTTGCAATTTATCTACAACATCTAGAACAATCATATGCGTCTTATCACCATCTGTTGACCTCCATAACAGTTCTGCTGGTGATACATCTTCGTTGATGGTCAGTATACCATTGACCTTCTTATAACTGGCAGCACCGCTATGAGACATATCAGGAGTATCCTTTGATCTCTAGACCTTAGCTTGCAATGTGGTATCCCAATCAGCACCAGCCACAATTTCCTAATATATACAGATTTTATGTAATATTTGTAAGGTATACCTCCGATTGAACCAATTATTGCTTATAATTGATGGGGGAACTCCATTGCTCTTCGCAGTTAACTTTTGTCAGTTTTCCAGGATTTGAAAGTAGCAGGGTAAATATGCGTAGCACTCTCTCCATAATATTTACCCGGCTTTATATTAGTTGCTTCTCTTTAGTGAGGGAGGGCTCTAATATGAATGCGCTATTTCTTTACTTTAATTATAATTTAATTGTTCCTATAAGTCCATTAGAATCAATACAGGAAGACCTTATATATCACAATTCATAGCAGCAGCGATTGCTAAAATATCGCAAGGGTACCAGATTCTATATTTCACGACGCTTACTGTAATTGTTATTGATAAATATAAGAGAGCATTATTTCGGTGACTATAGTAGTGTTAAAGAAATAAAATTATGAACTACCACTATCGGGTTCATTAAACAAGTGTATATACAAGTTACTTATTTTTCAGTACTTAGCTAGTATATTAAAAAAATTCTCTTCATCAAAATATAATTATTGAAAGGTGGGGATAACTAGTAATGATGAAATATCGGTACGTTAGCTGTGTGCGAATAGCCAGATGATTTCTACATTGGCAAGCAGTGTAGTGTATGATTGTACAAGGTGAAAGGAAAAATAGTGGTTGGTTCAAGTGTAGGAAATGATGAAAGTAAGAAATGAGGGATTGTACGAAGACGAAGTCGTGGTCCGGAGCCAAATTTCACAGAAAAAGTTTGCTAATCAACAGCTGGATGAGAATTTAGGAAGAAAAAAAATAATAAAATAAAAATAATATTATAATAATAAAAGGTAGAATAAATATATAATTTAGTTGACCAAAGTTTTAATTAAAATAGCAAGAAATTGAGTGGAGGCTGAATAGTATTTGGGATTCTGGTTATCATTTTTTTACCAGCTGTTAAAATCTGAGTAAAGCAATCTTTAGTCAAAAACAATAAAGCACAATAAAAGAACTGATCAAAGTCAATTATTATTGAGAGAATTGATTTTACCAGCCAGTCATTTTTTAAGTCAGGAATCTTTCGTCAACATATTATTTTTTTTTATTAAATTAACTTACCTTATTTTCCATTCGAATTTATCAAAACAATCGGATATTTTAATTTGAAGTTTGTATTATAGCCCTGAGCAAACTCAGTATCAGTATTGCAGAGAACAAAAATCAAATATACTTTAGCCAAAATAGACCGGTGTAGGTGATAAGGTGCATTTTATTTACGCGTTATAAACAGCAATCACAGAATAGTCAAAAGGCATATTCGAAGCAGGCAATACTTGTATTACACCCTTGATAATCGAATTACCTCGGTTATATCGAGATATTGAAAAAAAAAAAAGAGCTTAGAAACAATTATATAAACCAGCTATGACGACTGATTACAATTCTCTTCGCCAGGAGATTGATTCTGTCAGTGAGAAGGTAGCTGAATTGGAGTCAAAGGTCAAAAAGAATGATGTTGACACAACAACTTCAATAGAAGATATGCTGGTTGCGATTAAAACAATAGCGTATAACCAAACTGTGTTAGAAAGCAAATTTGAAGATATATTAAAAAATCAAATGAACACAGATGTATTAGTAAACACTATTAGCTCTAGACTTGATAGAATAGCGAAAATTATACCGACGGCCGGCAATAACGGTACTAGATCATCAACAAGTTCGACTAGTACGTACACAAATTCAAATAGCTCTGGGGTGCAAACACGAGCTTCCAGCTCTAGGCGAGTCTCTACATCTAACTCAGCTACAGTAACAAATAACCAAGCACCCGCAGTACCCGTGAAAAGAGGCCCAGGTAGACCCAGAAAGGACGGAACCTATGGCGGTGTTAGTAAAACTGCATCTTCTGCAAACTCTTCTGCTTCTAACTCAAATACCAGTAATCTCACAGCTTTGAAGAAGACACCAAATGAGGCCGAATTGCCTTTAGGAGGCAGGACAAGACTTCCTAATAATGTACCTCAGGTGTCTAAATCCAAGAGATATTTTGTAAATCCAACAGATTCTCCCCCACAGAAAACTACAGCTACAACACATAATAGACCTGGGAGACCACCTACCAAGACTGAGGCCAAAACAGTGGCACCTGGCGAGAATCCGCCAGTGAAACGTAAAAGAGGTAGACCACCAAAAAAGAGACCAGCTGTCGCTATTGCTGCTGCTGCAAGAAAAGAATCAAAATCAGAACTTGGCAGTCAAATCAAAACAGAGAATAAGGAAACCAATGGAAGAAGCATATCAGACAAATCATTATCTAGTAGTGCAAATGAATCTGCGGACAGTATTATCACAAGGTTCAGAAGGAAAAGAAGATATGAACAGGATGATGACAACGAAGAAGAAAAATCGAGCAAAATAAAAAGGGAAGACGAAGATGTAGACGAAGAAGAAGATGAGGTTGATGTCGAAGTCGAAGATGAGGATGTCAGTGTTATTGAAAACGATGATAATAGCACTGAGGAAAATGAAGATGGCGACAGTCAGATAACGGACAATTTATATAGTAAAGAAGACCTTGATAAGAGAATAAAAGCATTCAAGTTTGGAAAGAAAGGTCCATTTTGGATGGGTTCCAGAATGACGCGTTTGGAACGGATTGAATTTCTGAAAAACAGTACACGGTGGAACTCCCACACTGAAGGTACGAGGAAAGCGCTAGCGATGGCATTAGAGTTAGAATCGAATGCCGACGACGATAATATTTCTCTAAGCGAAAAGATGTTAGAGCTGGTTGACAAGTATGAAAATGAGAACGATGATGATTATCACAGGAATATTAACCGCGATGTAAACGTTGACTCTGATGATACTACTAGCTATGAGAATACATCTGATAGGCTGGTTAGAGCTGCACAACAAGTTACTGATAATCTAGCAGCCAGATTTTCTAAAACGAACGCATCTAATACAGAAATCAAAGAGGTAAAAAAGGATCTGCCCCGAGATGACAACTCCAATAAAGGAATCGCTATGAATCCTGTACATGAAGATGCATCCAATAATACACCAACGCATGGCTTGCCTAGTCACTCAAATGATGAAGGACCAAAGGTGCCTATAATATCAAAGGACCTATCGCAAGGACCAAATAATATGGCACAGTTAACAGATCAGAATAACCAGCCCGCTGGTGTAGATACTATAAATGAGAAAAAGGACAAATCCGATGCGGATGCTAATAACGTCATATCAAATCATTTAGCAACAAGTACATAGAACAACTCGTATATATAAGAGTCTCAATACTTAAATTGCAATAGTTGAAAGTAAATCCCTATATTGTGCGGACATTGATGTAAGACTTTATTTACTTGATTAGGAAAAGTAAGTAGATCAAACCCTCTTTACACACCTAGTTTGGAGTGGTATTAGAGATACAGTTTGTATACCCCCCCCTCTCTTAGAAAGCCACTATCCATTGATTATGTATAGCATACAAACTACCTTCGGCTTTTATGATCAAATTAAAAGATCCTTGCACCTGAAAGTGAGGTGATTGGTAAGAAATAAATCGGACCCGCTGTATATACGCAACGTCGCTAAACTTTCTCGGAGCCATAAATATGCGAGTTAAATTTCTTTTCTAAACTGCACTACCATATCGTTATAACGGTTGCTTCATCCCCACTTCACATACAAACAGACGGGGGTACATTCGTTGTGTTTGAAGATCTTGTAATTTACTCAATTGGGTAATAAGAGCCAGTTAATGACCCTTTCTCCACCCATTGAGAGATTCCATTACTATTCTACATTCGGTAATTCGAAACTTCGGCAACCAACGCGAAAAAGTTAAGTGATTTACATAATCGTCTTTTTTATTCTTCCACTCTGCAGTAGTTTCTTAGTGCATGTAGGAAAAGGACCATTCCCAGGCAGTATTCTCCCGCAGATCCATCCGCAGAATCTTCTGTATCCTACGGGCAAACACTCCCCAGCCGGGTAGCAAAGCATTTGCCCACAATTTTCGCGATTTGCAGCTTTTTCCTTCGCATCCGTTACTGCGTAGCTGCGCGAACGTTTCTTACTTGATCTCTGTCAAATTCCTGCAGAAAGGTTACTGTGAAAGCCAGATCAAAAGAGCCATTTTATTACCTATTCTGGTAAAATACATGCTAATTGAAAGATTGTACACCAAAAGACACACATAAAATTTCATGATCCCAGCTTACTACGCACACACAGAGAGTATTAGCTTTGGTCTTACGTGCTGCACCAATGGCTTTCGCCGTGTTTATCTCTGGATCAGAATTGTGAAAACTAAGTAGTAGTTTGAAACTATTATTGCAAGATGCGAAAAGGAGAGAGCAATGGAGATATAGGCTTGGTGCCTGCTGCAACCGACGCCATAAATGTCTTCGCTAATGTCCCAATTGTCCTTTGATCCAAACTTTAAAAATACTCTCGTAAGGGTCCTCTATAAATCTCTTTTAACTGCAAGTTTGCTATATGCATTTGCTCTTATTTTTTTTATTGAAAACTTATATATATATGAACATGGAACAGTTCATTTGCTGTCTCTGTTACTAGGCGATTTCATCTCAAATTTCCAATTGAACACTTGATATACATTTTTTTTTAAATTTCATATCATTTCCAATTGTCTCTGTTTTAATTCTAAGCTTCACAATATTGTGAATTACTACAACGGCAATCTATAGACAGCAATAACTAATCAAGCTGAAATACCCGAACATGGCGTCCATTCAGGGAAACCAAATGTTGCCTCAGATCAAATCAATCTGGATTGATGAGGATCAAGAAGCTGAAAAGTTGTACGGTATGGCTGGTCAAACCTTGTTGCTCGACGAGTCTGACATGGAAAGCGACAATGAGGAGTTTGATGTTACTGTGCTAAACAGTGACAAACCTGTATTGAATCACAAAAAAAAAATTATGCTGCCACCTTTGGTGCCAAGATCGCCAACATACCACCGTTATAACAAAATAGCTAGCCCAGATGCCGGTAAGAAAGATAAGAAATTCTTCAGAAGCCTGTTCAAGTCTAATGGCTCTAAAAATAAAGGGTCTAATGGTGATAAAGCGATGAAGATATCGACGCCTTTTGATTTCCATCACATTTCCCACGCTTCTTTCAACAGAAATCAAAGTACTGATCTTCCAAACTTGGAAGATATTGAAAACTACTACGGAAGTGAGCAACTTAGCCAGTTAGCTGCTTCAAGAGCTACTGGCTTGAACAAAGCCTTTGTGACAAAATCAACTGCTACTAAAGCTCCAAGCAATTTCAGCTCTTTGACTAAGAGTCAAGGGTATGGGAACTTAGCACTAAAGAAAGACAGAGTCGTGTCTAGTAGTTCCATATCATTAGCCCGTTCGGGTTCAGTAGCGTCATCAAATCTGTCAAATAACAATAGCTTGATGAAAAATGGTAGAGTTGTTTCAAGCTCCACAATTGCCACTTCATTATTTGACTATGAAGACCATCTATCTCCTAATCATTCGGTAGGTATGAAACCAACATTTGCTAGTCACACAACTCCAAATTTCGAAAATAAGGAGAACAGAGATTCTGGAAATAGTGAGCTATCGATCAATTTCTTGAAGAGTTATAGCTTTCCAACATTGTTAGAAGAAGAGGAAGAAGATGCAGCGTTCGAAGTGAACAAGGCATCTGAAGACAAATTGGTTGGAAATGTTCTTGAATCTCTAATGGATTCCTGTGACAGTCTAGAATCAAAAAATGATTCTCAAACTGTTCATCACGACATTGATGAACTTGAATCTGGAATTAAAAGACTTTCCTTTGAGAACACACCAAAAAAGATATTAACTAGAAGAAACTCTGATACACAAGTCTTCAAGAATTTTGGCGAATCTCCGCTGATCCATCACTCTCCTAAAAATATGAAATCTGCTGATGATCTCCTCACTATGTTGGATAATCAAATAAACCAAGCCTATTCTGAAGATTACTTCTGAGGCTCTCACTAGACAAGTTCATTTTTTAATGATATATTTCAAACTCCGCATCTTATTCGCATTACATTCGTTCACGATCTTATGGTACATTTTACTTTGACATTACTATAGAACTTATTGTCAAATACAAAACATCCTCTTTGATATTTTGTTCACACTCATTTATTGGTTAAATCTACACAAACATAGTTGTATTATAGTTTTATTTTCTTCATATATTATATTCCACCCAAAGTCATTCGTTAGTATTTTTTTTATTAATAGCCAAAAAATTTTATATTTGCCTAGATTTATTCAAAAATATAAATATATTACCTGATTTGTGTGATATTTGCATTAAAGTTTTAAATAATATTGAATGAGATGCATTGCTATTTTGAGCGATCATCGGCCTAATAAACATCTGATTTGGAAAAAATTAAAGCTCAGTCAGAGTTTTAAAAAGTAAATACTCATCGCCCGGCAATAATACATTTTGCAAATAAGGAGGAAGATTAAGGTAATCATTATTCTGTACCTTAGTTCTCCTACAATTATTTTGTGATACTATTAAGCCCAAAATATAGGAACAAATTTTATAATAAGAATTCACAATGGATACAGATGTTCTAAGAAGAAATAACGGTGCGGACTACAATCACTCAATTGATCCTGAGTATCAGAGACTACGTGCAGCTGCCGATGACGCCATAAAGAGCAGGCAGAAACTGTCAGCGGAATCTCAAAAAGCATACAAGAGTGGGGACAAGGCTAAGGCCCATCAGTTGAGTGAAGAAGCCAAAAAGAAAGCTGCATTAGCCGATACATTGAATCTACAAGCAGCAGAGTATGTGTTTGTGCAAAATAACGCTGATTCCTCTAGTAATGAGATTGATTTGCATGGGCTTTATGTTAAGGAAGCCATGTGGATATTGAAGAAGAGAATGGCATTTGCTGCTGATAAGGGAGAACTGGAATTACGAATTATCACTGGTAAAGGTAATCATTCTCAAAACCATATATCTAAGATTAAGGAAGAAACAATAGAGTTATGCCAGAGCTTGGGCCTAAACTACCATGTAAACTCAAAGAATACAGGTGTGGTCATAGTTGAAGTTGATAAAAATAAAATTCCAACAGACTGGGTTAATCCTGAGAGCACGGTATCTGAGCCCAAACCTTCTGCAAAGATTAATTCTCATACACAATACCAACAGTCCCAGAATGCTGGTTATCAACCTCAACAAGGTCCTACGTACCAACAGGGTCCGTCCTACCAGCAACAACCTCAACAACAGTCACAAACTTCTGCTGGTGGTATCGCTGCATTGGTTGCTGGATTATTATGTTTGTGTCTTAACAATGATCGGAAATGATCTATTGAATTGCGAAGCTCTATTATCTCAAATTGACCATTAAATAAACAACTGAAAGTGTGGAGAAGGAATTGATTATGCTGATTAATTTTGCATACTAGAGGATGTGTTATCAAAAAGAAAATCACAAATTCTTGTTGTATATAAACCCAAAACATCAGCGTTCTTAGTGAATAAATTCCATCTAAATGAAGCGAACAAACTAAGGAGTTGATGTTAAATCATTGACCAAATTGTAATACTAAAATGTGATAGGCAGTGATTTTTTCAGCACTCAATTTTATTATATTATAGATGTATCTTGAAAGTTAATCACTCAAACTAGTCATAGCTATGATATGTAGGTGATCTTTATTGTATTTGAAATTAATTGTTCAATACGTAAATGGTTTTATATTATTGAAATATTCATTTATTTCATAATCTAAACGAGTCTGCAAAATGCTAAAATGTCATAAATCTGCCTTAAAAAAATAAGAATAAAAGCATATACTATGGAGCAATTTTTGGTCCAATATTAACTGGCTTTTGTGATACGAGCAAACTGTTGAGATCTAATGGTTCTCATTCAAAGTTGTATAGTTTGTTATATTGAATCATCGAAACATCAACAGCCACGGTTCTTTAACTATGAAACTGATACTTAGAAAATTGAAAGAATAAGGTCAATAAGAATACAACTAGTAGCAAGGCCATCATATTTGAGATTTGTCATACCTCAAGCTACTGTAAATATAATAGGCTATATTACTCGACTGTGGTCATTGACTTTTTATTAGCCACAAGCTAGTTCTTAAGCGGAGGTAATTGTGAACTCGCGATATTTGAATTTGATTAATTGCAGTTGTACAGATGACGGATAGATTGACGCAATTGCAAAGATGTTTAGATCAAGTGATGGAGCAGTTTTGTGCTACTCTTAATTTTATTGATAAGAGGCATGATTTTGAACCTTTCAATGATAAGGAGCCGAAGATGACAGACAAGCACGCTAGTGTAGCAACACCCGAAGAATTCAGCAATGGTATAGATGAACTTTCAACGGACATAATCGTGAAGATAAGACAAATAACGACCCTCATTGACTCGTTACCTGGTGTTGGTGTTTCTGCCGAAGAGCAACTACATAAGATAGATAGTCTGCAGAAAAAACTGGTGGATATAGAAGATGAAAAGATACATGCAATTAAAAAGAAAGACGATCTGCTCAAGCAAGTTGATGACTTGATCACAGTATTTGTAGGAGGAATAGCTGACTCAAGAAGAGGAACTAGTTTAGCTCCAGAAAATGTACAGGAAGATAACGACATCAAACAGGAAGCAGAAGTACCGACCAGCTCTGAAGCTATCGAACAAAAAATTGCAAATGAGAAAATTGAATCAAAAATTGAAGGAGAATACAATGATAATATAAATGAAGACTCCGATAGCAAGAGTGCAGATTCAGAGCTATTTATGGACAAAGATGATGCTGATAATATTAGTGAATCCATTTCGCCAGGTAAAATATGATGCAGATTTAAAAGTTATTTCATATACTATGTGGGAAATATATCTTTACTTGTATTATAGTTTTAGGTAATGGTTATAGATTAAATTCAGATAGCCAAAGCGATATAGATAGGCAACAGGCTGAACCACATTTTGTTAGATTTCGTTAAAGTATCGAAGATGGTAATGACAAATAACAAGTTGAACAGCAGACTAGGCAAATACAAGACGATATCCAAGTTTTGATGAGGAGTTCTAGTAAAAATGTAGTAATGAGTAATCCAACCCAAAAAGCACTCTAAAAGGAAATCATCACTCATCATTCTCTGTAGCATCCATTCATCACTGATTTTACCAAGTAAGCGTTTGTGGACCATTAAAGATGGCGTGTCAAAAGAAAGTGGATTCCAAGATATTAACAGGTTAGTTATCTCGAATAGCACGTATAGGACTAGAACTATAATGGAGACGATATAAACTGAACTTGGCTTCTTTGTAATTAATGAAACCGGTCTCCAAGTGGCCCATTTCTCTGGTGGCACTCTATTTTGAAATTTCTGCAAGTTATATTGCATGTCGATTTCGTCATCTTCTTCTCTCCGACCTTTTAGGAATTGGCTGTTTCTTATGTAGTAATTAAATTTATAGTTTGTCTTGAGCATGGAGGGTATTAATTTGAATACTTCTTTGAGCTTGTCATGTATTGTTAAAGGGGCTCTAGATGCGGTGTCATTGGTTTGATCAACTACAGACTCAAACATAAAATAAGTTAATTTCTTCGTTGGCGTTGTGTTGCATGTCAGCTCCTGTCTATGAAATTCGGGCTTAAAACTACTCATCGAATCCCAATCATCTGGCAAATCGGTATCATGCGATAAAAGCATACACCCATGACCATCATTTCTTAATGTAAATACTGAGTTGGTATTTATCAGAGCATTGATATTTTCAGATGGAGGAAGTCCCATTTTATTGAAAGGTATTGCCTTACCAATGACATACTTCTGATCGATTAACCAGGTTTCATCCGCATCACCTGAAAAATTGGCACTACCTGTCAAAGATACCTCGCTATTATATTCTTGATCAGACATCGGTGGCCTAGAAGATGATGCCCTAAGCAATTTACCGGTGACAACATTCCTCAGTCGTATTCTACTTCCACTTCTGACCTCTTTATTGTTTTGAGCTTCTGTGCTCGGTTCAATTATCCAGTTATTTAGTTCGGAATCTTCAAATTGTGACAAAAATGCTATCTGTTCAAAGGAACCCGACATATAATTAACATTCGGTAACGTACTCAAATACCCACCTAAAGATTCCACATGTCTAATGCGAACTGTACTCTTTTTGAAAATAATTTCATCTGAATTATAATTATCAAAAGTAGGGACTAGTTTTTTGTATTCTATAGGCATGAAACTTCTGACATGGTAATTGCTATTGTCATATAGGTATATCATGGAATAATCTTGTAGCAAGTAAGAACAAGTTAGAACCCCAAAAGGTATGAAGGTCATGCTAATTAGTAATAGCTTGAAAAGTCCAAAAAAGTTCTTTAGATATTTGAAATTCTTCACATCTGGTAAAATATTCTGCCATAAATGGTATACCACTATTAAAACAAAGAATAGCCAAGACATGGTAGAACCAAGATATTTAGTTCCCACTAAAATGATTGCTGGGATAGAAACAAACAACATCCTGGAACAAGTTATCTTATTTTGGACATTATACTTATAAGATTCCCACAAGAAGAACAATGTCATAATAGATGCCAGTTGTATGTTGTCGGTAAGGTTTGATATGGCAGACTCCTGCACAATATCTAACGACATGTAGATTGAGAGCACTGAGACAGAGATTAATTTGTTGATATTCAATTTTCTAGTGATAAAGTATAACATAGTTAATGTCCAACAAGAACAAAGGAAAGACAATACCCTCAATTGAAAAAGCAGCCTATTCTTGCACAAAACTAGCGTCAGCAGTTGTATAATAAACGGATGAATATTTGGAATAAATGCTCTCTTATCCATTTGATCTATTAGAGATTCGGCTAGTAAGCCTTCAGATATTTCGTTTAGAAACGAATCGCTGTTCAGATATTCTTCGATTAAAGGCTGACACATTGCCGCAAATTGTGCTGGGATGACTAAAGCCCCAATAATTTTGTCAGTGTAACATATCTTTGTATTAATAATACCATGCTGTTTATATGCATCAATTGGGACAAACGGTATACCTTGAGGCCCTTTGATCAACACACTCGATGCAGTTTCACCGGGCTGGGCATCTTGTCTTTTTGCTTCAGGCATTACTGATAGCAAGTATAAGTAAAATAAAAATTCAAAAGCCAGTAGTTCGTCAAATAAATATAGGAATTGATGCAATGGAAAGTTGAGATATCCAAACTTTTCGTTTAAATAATTGTAAAGCAGAATAGATTGCTTCTCTGCAATTGTTGCAACCTTAAACCAAAATGATAAGTCTGAATCACCGATGATTAATTGCCCACACTGCAGCTGCTATTTAAATTGCACTGTCACGGGTAAGAATTAATTTAACCTACTGATTTATTTAAGGTAGGATGTTCAATTATCTGTTCACAGTCAACAGACTATTGCTATACCGCATTTGCTGGTGTACACTATTGAAGCATGTAGTATATCAGCTTGTACGTAATATTTCGCGTGTCAATTTACGTATATGTGAAGACAGTCTTGTGGGTGTTCTTACCTCTGTTATATGCCAATATATCATCCGTCGAGGCAGTTAGTTAAAACACTCCATTAAAGCAATGTTTTTATATGTTTTCAGTTTTATATTAATTAATAGAAAATGCTAGTATACTCTTACCTGGATAATGTATATGTACGGTCTATTTATTCGAGTCTTTTGATCTTGTTGAAAGAGCTCTAATGCCCTTCACCACAGTTGGGCAGTAATGCTTTTGCAATACCGCATTTTCCCATAGCATGGCCGCTGTTGGGTTACTTTGGGCAATTGCGTCTGTAAATAAATCAAACTTACCATTTAGCACCCTGTCTTCTGTGGAGTATAAACTGGCTATTTCTGGGAACCTTGTCATCAGTTTTTCGATGAATTTTAGTAGTGCAATGGAAGATTTCTCTGGAGTTTGCAATATACAGCCGTATATTCTTTTTGTAAATGCACATGCTCTTTCTCTTGTTCCAGATTTCGATCTGAAAAAAATGTGATTCAAAGCTTTCAGTAATAATTCCGCTTTGGTGGACACGTTGACTGATGGCTTAATTATCTCATTCTCTAGAGGGTCGGCCAGTCTCAATGATTTGTAGGAGTATTCAATGTCAGCATCCAGTGCTATATAAGGTAAAACATAATATAGCGCATCCACAAAGGATGATAAGTCAACCGAAAACTTCATAGTGTTGTGATTAGATACCAGTGAGAAAGCACTGACTATACATAAGAGAATCTTTCTCACTTCTTCAGATGATAATGAATCGAATTTAGACGTTAAAATGATTTCTTTCATAACGGCTAGGAAATCACCCAGTAGATCAAAATTGACCTGACTACCAAATTTAGTTAAACCTTCTAATGATGCACCAATCAGTTTTGGGTTATCTGACTTCAAGAAATTCAGATATAACGATAGCATCAGTTGCAAAATCTCACCTTGATTTCTTTCTCTCTCTTCTGCAGAGACAGTTTGTTCAGCTTTTTCCATTTCTTGCTCGATTTGTTTCATCTCCTTTCTCGCTTTCCTTTGTTTCTTGGAAAGATGTACTCTATCTTTCTTCTTCATTTTTATTCTAACTGGTTCATTCTCTGATTTGGTATTAGGGTCATAATCATGTAGGACATCTAACGACAAAAACATATTGATAACTGACTCCTCAACATTATAATTTCTGGTTTTTATAACTTTGGATAGCAGTCTCATAAATTCAGCAGAAACATTACCTTCTGTGTCGTCATTAAACAAGCCTTCGATTGTCTTAATTATATTTAAGGATTCTGGATCAGCTTGCAAATTTGGTTTACAAATTCTTCTAACCAAAATAGTGAACAGTTCTGTTCTATAATTGAAATGAGAACCAGTAGTGGCTAATTCATTTGCTGCTCTTACAGCCTGTCTTCCAATGTTAACCTTAATAGGATCAGCATTATTAGGAACTTTAGCCAATTCTTTCAAGGTGTCCAAATATAGTTTATAGTTGTGCACTAAACCTTGTTCAAAGGTTCTAAGTCTTGCTACTTCTTTTGAAACTTTTTCTTTTTTTTCTAGATCGGTTAATGGTCTGATCCTATAACCTGGAATGACACTCTTGAACACCGGAACAAGCGCCAGCATTGAAAATATACATGTATTTGGATTTTTTGATGTAGTCATTTTGACTAATCTTGTCAATGCTGCTGGATATTCCTCTGGTTCATTCATTAGTTTGTCTACAAGGTCGGCAATTTCTTCTTGCAATTGAATAATCTTTTCTTCTGTATCAGGTTCATCTTCTTTTTCCACCTCCGATTGGGAATCCTTATCTTTTTCTGCGTTTTTGTTGTTTTCTTCTTCACTATCTTCATCCTCAGATTCATTTGTTTGAGTTACTTTTTTTCTATTCTTAGCAATTAATTGTCTTTCTACTTTACCATTGATTTTGATAGGTAGACCTTCAACCATTTCTTCGCCATCATTTCTTAGTTTTCTTGGCTGTAGTTCATACGACTGTTCCTCATCATCCCATGATTGTTTGGCCTTCTTGTTTCTTCTACCCTCATCAGCTTGGTATTCTTCCTCTACATTATCCAGATTATTGAAACTACCGGGTTGGAGTAAGGAGTCTTGTTCGAGCTGTCTCTTCTTGTTTCTCTCTTCAATGAGTTTAAGCGATTTACTTTTTCGAGCCATAGTGTGTTGCTATTATTGAATATAAGCTTTGATGTAATTATTTTATAGCAGGTAGTTATGTTATTAACAAACTAGTTTAACAGCTTTAACACTTTGTCAATGATTAATCTCTGCAACAACTTTTGCGATGAGCTCATCTCATCGCTGAAATTTTTCAAAATTGAAAATTTTCAAAAGTCTGTGCAATTATCATTCAGAAGCCTTCGCACAAAACAGATTGACATATTAAGAAAATAATAACAATGTGCATAAGCATAAAAGTAAAAGATGTAACGTCAAGGAGGAGTATTTTTAGTATTGAGTAGATGTGTTAAATCATTGTGGATCCAGATTTTACTTATATTTGATACTGCCAAGCCAAAATTGTGATGCGGGTCATCAGATTCAAAGGTTACGGTAAGAAACTCCAACGGAAAGTTAGAGAACCCAAACCAATAAATTTAAAATATGCGCAACTACTCAATAGGACATTTGTTATTCAAAACTTCACATATACGCATGCCAAGCTTAAAAGAGATGATTTTGAGGATGAAATTGTAAGTGACGGAGATTATGAGGAGTTGGTGAATGAATTCAGAGCAGCAAATAATAAGCAGGAACAGGTGGAACGGGAGGAGCAGGAGGAAATCTCTCCTGTGGGTTCCAATGATGTGGAATTACAAGTAGCTCAGCACCGTCCACAGCTCAAACTGCGACATGTCTCTTTTATGAAAGATGAAACAAACAATATTAAATCTTCGAAATCGGCTACCATTCTTCACTCAATGGGTAATGAATCCGTGCTACAAACATCAAAGGTGAAGCATCAACGCATTATTGCTAAAAAAATGGTGTCATTGCAGGCAAATAACACTATTGTACATACTTCACAGAAATCGCACTGTAAACCGAAGTCTTCTCATGTAGGAACCATATTGCATCTAAATCGATGCAATAATAATTCGATGCCAATTAACAAATTTATGACAAACACTTCACACATGTTAAAAACATCAAAAAGAGAGTCCGTGTATTCTCCGAAAGCCCCCTTCTCATTTAGAGTGAAATTAAATCGCAGATAATGCATAATATGACTACATAAAAAAATAGACATAAAAAGTCTTAAAGTATGTATGTGCAGCAATGCTTTCATAGTAGCCACTTTATACTCATTAATCACATTAAATAGAACATAAATAATCTAAAATGCGTTTTTCCATCGATTCCTGTATGGTACCCTTCTCGGTAGCTTCACCATATTCAGCCATATGGCTTTTTATTGACTTTGTGATCGTGGTACCAGAAAACAGTTTTTGGCCCATGGCTTCTTGGAATATGACTCTAGCAAAATCGATGTCCCTGTTTAACATATAACCCATGATAAGACACTCGGTTACTCTATCAAATGGAGACTTCAAAGTGTGTTCGTCCGCTGTTTTACTAATAACCTGGTTTTTATCGTTGTACAGCTCTAAAGCATCGTCCATGCTGAATTTTGATTTTGATAAAATTAATCCGCATAAAAACTTGGTGTAAAGGCTGTCTCGAATATCTAAATTGGCAGGAATAAAAGCTTCAGAATATTGCTGTAATTGTTTGTTGTTTGTTTTAACCGCTTGGTACGACAGCATTAAGAAAGCTTCAAACATCAGTTCTTCTGAGTGAGATACATATTTGATCAAATAGTTATGGTACATTTCCAAAGCTAATTTCACATCCCCAATCTCCAGACCAACTATTCGTAAAAGCTTTAAAGCAAGTTGAATATTAGTTTCATCCAACTTATTGTTCTGCACTTCTCCAGTAATCTGTGAGAAAAGTTTAGCTTTTTTGTCTTCTAATGGTTCATCAAGTAATGTATGTTCGAAGGGTAGTTTAGATACTGTCCTAGCATTTTCGATGGCCTCTAATAAGAGACCTTTATTTTTTGTTTCTATTTCTGTCTCTGTAGCGGACGTGCTAGGCTTGAGTCTATCTAAGGACAACAGTAAGAGTTCTTCATCATTTACAATGCTCTGAGGATCAATTTTTTCAAGTAAATGTATAAACTGGATATCGGTAGCATCCACTAGCTTTTCCTTGAGTACCTTAGAGTCTACCTCGGCTAAACTTAAGGCTAGTGGCAGTAAGCATGATAGTTGTTCCCTGAAGATATCGTTTAGAAATGACTCATATAGTTGTGGATCTAGTGCGGTTTTGTCGCTCAAGGATTCCAGAAGGATAACGATCTGTGCAATGTCGTTCACATCCAAATTATGTTTCCCATCAGCGATCATGGCTTGATCCATCTGGATAATCTTCTGTATCACTGCGTGGACAATATCGTCACTGACTTCAGTACCTCTGTACTTCACGAACAAGTCCCAACTGCTGTCCACCCTGCCAGGGTTACTCCTAATCAACTCTAGCAGCGCCTCCTTGGAAGGCTGCACGGAGAGGTCCTGCAATGCCTTCAAATGTACATTGGAGATACCATAGTTGTCTTTCACCAAGGTCGCGAGGATGTCGTTGTGAACAGCGGCCTGGTCCCGAGCCGACACATCCAGTTTCTCGAGCAGATTTACAATTTGTCTAGCCGCAGATACATCTACCGTGTCCACCTTGGATAAAGTCTCCTTCAAGGGCTTGAAATGCGGTCTGTTGAGCAACTTGGCATACGAGCAGAGCAACTTCGCACTGCCAAACAGACGTCTCTGAACCAGCGACATTCGAATGTTAGTGAATGGTATTTATTGATTGGATACAAGGCGATATATAAAAAATGCTTTACTCTCAACGTCAATAAAAGAAAACCAGCATACACCACCATGACTCTTAAAACAGGCTCTGCATCAAGTCATCTCTATGTGTGTTCACTGGCTATACTGTGAACCCGATGAGGTGCCCTGGCACGTACATGTCCTGTGATCAAGAAACGTCAGAAATTATGTACAAAATTCTGGAGCACGTGCAAGCCACGACGTACGAGTGAACCCGCCTTCGGGCAGAAATAGGGGAGCAGTACAACGCAAGCCCTAAAACAAGAGAAGTCGCACTAACCCTAGAGAGAAGAAACAGTGCAGTGGAAAACTGGAAGGCCCTAGTTTCCCCCCCCCCCCTGCAGTCAATCCAGTTGCAAAGGGATGCTGCCCGGATTGGGAAATGCAGGGGGGGTGAACTAGCCCTAACGTTGGGGCAGTACGCGTCTCAGGAGGGCAGTGTTTTCCCGTTTAGGGCTTACACTCTCTTTCGGCACCACGACTTGCGGTTGCGGGGGGGTCCGAGGGCGACACTTCCGACTGGCCCCTGCGAGTATAAAAAGGTTGGTCCCAACGGCGGAACGCAAGAGGGTGTCTTTTCCCCTTGGAGGCCAAGGACAGGAAGCTGTAAGATGAGTGAAGTTGAGTTTGTTTGGAAGAGCGGTACGCCGAGCGAGGTTGTAGTTACTGGTGATTTTGACGAGTGGAAGTGTAGTCACAAGCTAGAGAAGCGCGGCGATGAGTTTCGCGGTGTGGTTCCGGTGAAGTTTACTGCGCCAAAGGTATACTTCAAGTTTGTTGTGGACGGTGAGTGGGTTGCCAGTGGTGACTACAAGCGTGAGAGCAATGACCTCGGAAGTGAAAACAACTATATCACAAAGGAAGATGCGCGTATGGGTAGCATGGACGCGTCCATGGATGCCGCACCAAAGGGCACTGCACCAATGAGTTCATCTACTGATGGTCTTCAAAGTACTACTACACATGAACTGACATCTGAAGTTGAGAGTCAAGTGAAAGGCTCTGGTGAGCAAAGGAAGAAGTTCAAGATTAAGCGTGTGGTAAAGACGAACAAGAAGACCGGTGAGCGTGAGGTTGTGTCACAAGAAGTTATCGCACTAGATGAAAATGACCAACCAATTACAGAGTCTATGGAGAATACACCAACTGCCGAGCCAATGATGGAAGACGCTAAAGCAGATACCATGGAAGAGAACAAGAAGGAGGAGAAAATGGCTGCCCCTATGGCTGCGGAAGAGAAGATGAACGGTGACTCCGTTAAGAAGAGTGAGCCAATGAAGAGCGAAAACAAGCCAATGGCTGAACAAAAGAAGCCTATGGCCAATGGCAAGCCTATGACCAACTCCACCAAGAACGGTAAGCAACCAGAAAAAAAATCCTTTATGAAGAAAGTCAAAACTTTCTTTGCTCCTCGTCAATCTTTGTGAATAGTTTTTTCTTTCTATTTTTCTACCAGACTTGTCAAATTGTAACTCTATGATAGCCTTAACAACGTTTTGAGATTTGAACTTAATCATATTCGTGATAGTGACTTTTGTTTTCCCAATCTAACTTTTTATTTGATCTTCTCCCTTTTATTCTCTTTTCTGATACATCAGTTTAAGGACTATAGACGAATGTTATCAGTAGCTCCTACAGTATAGCTAGGGTTATCAGGAATATTGTGGTAAATGAAACCAGTATTTCTCTAATTTTTGAAAAGCAAGGACAAATTACATCTCTAAACTTGGATTTAAACTTGAACCAATACCTTAATCCCTTTTTTTTCTGTTTAAAAATAATTATAGTGTTTAATTCTTTAATATTATAGTGAAAATAATATCCTTAATTGCGACATCCATAGCTTTATAGAGCAGCTTTCAATACATACATTTCACACTTAATGTCACTATTGCGTGTATGTTTTGTCGCTGCGGGCTTTCACTGTAAGAAAATTTTTTAGCTGAAAAAATGTAGCGATGAGATGAGATGAGATGAGCATCAACTGGTGAGACATAATACAAGACTAAATTTGTTTCGAGATTAAAAACTTCTAAGATAGATGTATTATAACTAATACCAGAATTTCAGTCAGAGCAAAAAAAATACTATAACAAAATGAGTGACGTAGAGAAGGAAGTTAAGGAAGTCCAGGAAGTACCAGCTGATGAAGCAGAAAAGATTCAAAAGGCTCTTTCTGACCCAACAAAGAAGAGAAAGGCTGAGGATGAAATTGAGATTGATTTGAGTCAAACTATCCCACTATCTAAAAAGCAGAAACGTCTTCTAAGAAGAGGAAAGATTACTTTAGAAGAACTGAACGCTAAGTTTAACCTAGATCCATCATCTGTAGATGAATTCCACAAGGAAGTCGCTGAAAAGGAGAGAGGTAAAGACGGTGAATCGAAAGATTCTGCTAAAGAATCTGAGTCTTCAGTCAAGGATTCTAGAAAGAACGGTGTGTGGATCGGTAACTTATCTTTCGACACCACTAAGGAGGATATAACTAGATTCATTGTTGGTAAGACAAAAGGAACGGATGTTGAAATCACTGAAGAGGACTTGGTTAGAGTCAACATGCCTTTAGCTAAGAATGATGGTAAACAAATAAAGAACAAAGGTTTCTGTTATGTCGATTTCAAAACACAAGAGCAAGTTGAAGCCGCTATTAAATTGAGCGAGTCTCAACTTAATGGTAGAAACTTACTAATAAAGAACTCTAAAAGTTATGAAGGAAGACCCGACAAAACCGATTTGGTATCTATGTCTAAGAACCCACCATCTAGAATTCTGTTTGTTGGTAACTTGTCGTTTGACACTACCGATGAACTATTAAGAAAGCATTTCCAACATTGTGGTGAGATAGTTAAGATTCGTATGGCCACTTTCCAAGACAGTGGTAAATGTAAGGGTTTTGCCTTTGTAGATTTCAAAAATGAAGAAGGTGCCACAAATGCTCTGAAGGACAAATCCTGCAGGAAGATAGCAGGTAGACCATTAAGAATGGAATTTGGTGAAGATAGAAGCAAAAGACAAGTTAGAAAGAGGCCTGATGCTGCACCTAAGAAGAGCTTCGACTTGCCTAACCATGATGCTGTTAGCAGACCGCCTAGGGAAGAGAAGTCATATAATGAAAAGAAGCCAAGGCAAAGAAACTACGTCGAATCTAACAACCGTGTAAAGAGTAGTATTGCGTTGAAGACCGCTCAGAGAGCATCTGCCGCCATTGTTCCATCTCAAGGTAAGAAGATTACATTTTAATAATGAACAGTTTTTGGGAAGGTTCTATTATGAGGGGAGAACAATGCATATGTGTTAAACATAAGATGTATGAATTTTTTTCTGTTTTCTTTTGTATTCTTATACAAATAATTTCTGTACATTAAAATAACTCGATTTTAAACGTAAGTGTTTTTTCTTTCAGACACGACTAACTTCTATCATTAGCATATATTACTAGTCGTGTCCTTCCCAAACATTGCTCTATTTCCAATCCACACACTACTACCTCTGCTGCTGCTTGTTGAAACTCATTACTATATTCCTACCGTGATTTATCATTTCTTACAATATGCTAATGTATATGTTGCTTTGCAACACAATGGACGGCACACGAAGTGCTGTAGCACTGCGACCAACAGTGCCAACTGCAAGGAATGTCGCATGAAACGTAATCAACCATAATCGTCCTAGAAACCCACGTAGTACAAACTCGCAAATTTCAGGGGGAATTCTAGTACTCACAGATATTAACGCAGGAACAGTACAAGATGGAACTGCAAGACAATGGGTGAGAACACTGCTTCCTCAGATACACTTGTACCAACATCTACAATGCCATTGGAAAAAAAAGAAACAAATTTTCTTTAGTGTAAATTCTCCAGAAGTCATACGGAAAAACTCCCTGCACGATATTACTGGACCCTTTCTAACATTTAGCACATCCAATGGCGTGCGGTCATTGTCTGTAGATTTGATGCTATCACTTGCCTGGTGAGCCTTCTGTCACTACAAAACAAAAATAGCAGCAGCAGGGTCTACTGACTTTTCTGTGTTACAGATATTTATATGACGTATTTCTGGGAAGGACTGTCTAACTAGAGTGATTCAAAGCTTAGTGGCATAATGCGCTGCTCATTATTGTACTAAATAAAAGTGGTTGTTGCAAGACCATTTGAACAACACAGTCGAAATAGAAAGTGTAAACAAGTAAACATACAATTTGTGATTTCCAATTGACAGCTATGCAAAGTGATACTTTTATGCGACCACAATCATGACTGCATTATTAGTGAAGGGGGAATTCGAAATCCTTGCACAAGCTGACAAATATAGCAGCAGTAGAGATGCATTCACAAATCTACAAGGGAGAACAGATCATGGATGTGAAAGCAACTAATTATAGAATATATATAACGCTCTCATCAAATTTAGTAATGTCAAAATGAAAATAGAGAATAATTTCCTCGTTTCATTATATATCTTTCTCGCCCAGTATATTGTGAAATTTTATTCTAACTATTCCTTCATAAAAAGCGGTCCGGTACCGAGTATTTTTCATTACTTATATATTCATAACAACGTGGCTTATAAGAACTGCTGATTATTGTCTGCAAATATTATCAATATTATTTATTGACTAATAAGCCACTATTTTCTGGTGATTCGATAGGAGTGATTGCAGCAACTGAGGCGTGTTGGCATACATTACAAAGGCCCAGGTATAGGATCAGAACAGCAGAAAAAGAAAAAGAAAGAGGAATTTATTTTTCCTGCACAAAAATCGGAGAACAGAAGTATTTCCTATCTACTGTTAAAAATAGCTTAATTACAGAAGAAGAAAAAAAGGAATCGATGATACACAACTCATCTTATACAGAGGCAGCTGATATTAAATCTCTGTCATCATTTATTGAAGAGAGTTCTAGAGTGCCTGACTATATATCCGAATCAAATAATATAGGTTGGAGTTCTAATATCAATAATCCTCCATTATTTGAATCAAGCAGTTTTGATATTACGACGCAGAATGATAATTGGATTTTAACGGAGACCATGCAAAATATAACAACCGAGTCAAGTAGTACATTTTCAAGGTCAGTGGCGAGCTCAGTGTTCCCTTCATCAAGTCAAGCGTTTGTATCGCCACCTTCAATTATAGACATCCCCATCAGCAGTATACCCGAAAGCTCTTCGATAAGTATCTCAAGTGATGTGCTTTCAAGTGCGATCACTGTGTCGCAAACATCCAGCTCTTCGTATAGCTCACTCATATCAAGTTACTCAACAATACAATCGACATCTAGCTCCAGTATATCAGAAAATGAAATTTCATCAAGCAGCAGAATATCACCTGGTCTCTTATCTAGTGTCCCAAGCATAACCACTTCTTTTAGTAGTGGTATATCTTCATCAGTATCTCCAACATCATCGCTACAACAGATAGCTGAACAAAGCTCCAACAGTTCACTAGCAGAGAATGACTTATTGTCGAGTAGCTTAACCATTTTATCATCAGTATTATCATCATCGGTTCTGCTACACAACTCTGGTGTATCGTCTAGTTCGTTTACGGATAATTTTAGCAGTACACTTACAAATAGTTCGAATTCCCTGGCTATTCTATCCAGTATAAGCGAATCATCACTGATAAATACTATTACAGACCTTCCCAGCTCATCTGTGCTTCTTAGTCCAAACAATAGCGAAAGCTCCATAAAAGTCTCGTCTGCGTCTTCATCTTCATCCCGGAGGAAAGCAAGCACCTATACAACACCATCTAGAATTCCATTCTCAAACTCTTCTGAATGGTATACACCTTTACCAACACCGTCAATTTCTAGTTCAACAAATGATACCTCCTCTTTATTATCCGAGTTAGCATTGATAGGAATATCTTCAAGCTCATCAAGCTCATCAAGCTCACAATTTTACACATCCAGTACATCCTCATCATCGTTGGTTTCATCAAGCGAAAATTATTCCTCTTCTCAGCCAACAACTATAGAGCCAATTACCTCTACCATCAGTTCTAGCTATAGCGATCTTTCGAATGATGGAGAAATATTGTCTTCCACTTTAGGAAAATCTGTTTATTACAGCTACATACAAACATTTGATATTACTGCTTCTACAACTACTTTTGAAACTGCCCTTCCGATAGTTACCGCTTTTAATTTAAAGGACAGTTATACTTTCTCAAAACCTTCGAGTATAATTACAACTGACCTACATTTTTATAAGGACTGGCTTTCTGGTGCCTTGGATTCTAATGAAGAAAATGGAAACAAGTCAAAAAATGCAGGTACCATAGCTGGTAGCGTGGTGGGGAGTGTAGTGGGTTTGTTAGTTTGTACATTGATAGTATGGTATTTCTACATTAGAAAGAGGAGGAGAAATCAGAAGTGGAAATCCTTCGAGGTCCCTTCAAGGTCCAAAGATGTTGAATATAATAATAACGACAATCCATTTAACAACGAATTTGACTTCCAGCACAGAGTTCCACCTCCATTGCCTCCTCAAAGGAAAAACCACAACTCTATAGGGGTACCACCCAGTAGTATGGGTTTATCTAACACAAGATCAGCAGATTATCACATGAGGTTTTCCTATATATCATCAAGCACAGATTCCTCTGATGATTATTCAGACTCTATGCAATCTGCCCTTCATATTGGGTCAGATTCAGGAAGGGAAAGGTCAAATGATGTTCCAGAAATGGGATACTTGCGAGAAATAATATGAAATCACCATAATTTTTGCCGTTATTTTTTTTTTCTGCCAGCAGAAGAGAACAGTTTGCTCTGCATTTTACAGCAATACTTGAGAGGCCATGTTCATTTTAAATATTCAGAATATTATACTTATTTGGTTAGATACATTTTATAAAGATACCCAATAAACTTTGATCCTATCTCATTATATCTTATTTTTCTTTCAACGATTGTAAAACCTTTGCCCAAATCCTCTACAATTCCGTTTTTAAGACATGTTTTATATAAGTATGTGCGCTGGCAACTTTATTTCCTGTGCCAGATGCGTGTTGAAGTCATCGAAAACACTAAACAAATAAAATGAAATCCGAAAGGCCAAGCTGCAGGTTATACAACAGTTCACATGATGTACCTATTAACGATCTTAGAAACATCTCCAGAGGAGGAATCTGAACAATCAGACAACTTGAACCAGATTAATGGCTTCGAAGATGTTAGGTTTAATGAATTTAATTAGCCTTTAAAATACTTAGCAGGTAGACAATAAGATTATAAGCATAACACCTGTTTCTAGCAGAAAGGAGAGTCATATAGAGGTAGCGTTGGTAGTTCTCCTAGAAGTTATTTTTTTGGCTGTACATAACAACAGAGAGTACTGCTGGATCGGTTCATAGTGAGCAGGTGATACATTCATTGCTGGGTTGAACTTTCCTCGACATCGATCATGTTTTCTAGATCTCTTATGCGTAATGCTGGGCTGCCATTACGAAATGCCAGTCGTGTATTAGCGAACAGGAGGTTACTAAGCACTTCTTTTCCCTGTTTGAACAATAGTGGGAATCTTTTTGGATCAATAACTGATACTGGTAACACAAACTTAGAGGATAAATACGATCCAACAAGAGAGACGAGCAGATTAGAAGCCGCGGTTAAATCCACAGATGACTCAGGTGAAATAAGCGTTGATAAGGATTCAATAACTTTTGAGAAGGATGAGGTGCTTCAAAATTATATCCGTGAGCAGTTTCAGAAAGAGGCTCTAGCTCCAGAACTCCTTCTTTCCCCTCTAAAGAGGCAAGTCTATGAGCTAAACTGTAAGCAGAATGGAGGGTTTTACAAGGAGGACACAGTGGTGACTATACCAGAAACTAAGGAAAAATACAAACTTAAATTGTCCAGACAAGAATTGGAAGCGTTGGAACCATCAATTTACTTGAGGTCATACCGACTAAAGTATTCGACAAAGAAGGCCATTCATTTACTGAGAATGCTTAGTGGATTGGATGTCAAAAAAGCCATTACCCAATGTCACTTTTCTGACAAGAAGATTGCAAGAGACTTAGCAGAACTGTTCCAAAAAGGTATTGAAGATGGTAAGAAGCTTGGACTTGATGCTGATGATCTGTATATTTCACAGATTTGGTCAGGTAACGACGGTTACTTGCAGAAAAGAGTTGAATACAAAGGTAGAGGAAGAATTGGTATTATCAGACACAGACATATACATGTGAGATGTATATTAAAGACTCATAGTGTAACCAAGAAGAGACTAGAATATGAGAAGCAACTGAAGGAACAAAATAAGAAACCTTGGGTACAGCTAGCTGACAGACCAATCCGTGGTGTACCTGGAAATGCCTACAAATGGTAAGTTTATTAATTGCCCTTTAAGCGGGCTATGCCCTCCATGTTAGATATTATATTCTGGAAAATTAATTATAAAACCTACTCTGTAAATACATATCATGTAAATGAAAAGCAAGGAATAATTCATTCATTAAGATAGTTGGGATATGCCTTCTTGTACACAAGAAGTAGATGAAGTGATTTTGAAAAAAAAGGCAAGTGAATAAATTCGTTTATAAAGAAAAGATTATATAAAAATAGTTATTGTTAATTAGAAATAATTAATCTTTACGAATTTAAGCAGAAGCTTCAACGGCTTGTTCAGCTGGAGCTTCGGTCTTTTCACCGACTTCTTCAGCGCTTCTGTAGTCTCTGACAGTTGGAGTAAGAACTGGTTCTTCGTCCTTTGGTTCAACGATAGAGACAGCATCTGGCAAAGCTCTTGGACCACCTCTGTTGGTAGCTGGGTCTCTCATGATCTTAACCTTGATACCCAAAACACCTTGTCTCATCAAGACGTGTCTGGTGGCAACGTCAATGAAGTCGTTGACTGGTTGACCGGAGTGGATCAAGAAACCGTCAGCGAACTTCATAGCCTTAGCTCTAGCAGCTCTTAGCTTACCGGAGACGACGACTTCACAACCCTTAGCACCGGATTCCATGACGTATCTGACAACACCGTAAGCAGCTCTTCTGATAGCCAAACCGTTCAATAGCTTGAACTTCATGGATTCAGCTTGAGCAACAGCGGATAGACCACGGTCTTGGACTCTTTCAGCGTATAGGACAATGGTACCTGGAGCGTACTTGAATCTCTTTTGAACCAACAAGGTCAATTCGTTGATTCTTCTACCGTTTTCACCCAAGACATCTTGAGTTCTGGTAGCTCTGATAATAACTTCAGTCTTGGTTGGGGTAACACGGACTTCGACACCAGAGTAACCTTCTTCAGCCAATTCTCTGGTGAAGAATTCGTTCAATTCGGCGTAGAAGACACCGTCAGCGACAAGCTTTCTCTTCTTGGAGATCAAGGAAACCATTGTTTATATATTTATCGTCGTGATTTATCTTAGGAATTGAAACGATAATAGGAACAATTGCACCAGCAAATACAAATATACTCTTATATCAAGTTATCAACTATAGCTTTACTCGATGAGTTTGAAAGAAAATTGAAAAAAAAAATTTTCAGAAACCGTGAGCTTGAAACAGTATACATGCTTGTGTACGTACACGGGTCCACGTTTGTACGTAGATGACTATAATATCATGTGATCAAGGTTACTAAGGAGCCCTGTTGTCCCCACCGTTTTCTGTGACAATGATCGTCAGTTTCCTGTTTAGGAAGTTTTACAAGGATGATTGAATTCTTGCTACCTTTGCTTTTTTCAAGAAAAGAGTTCGGGATATGAGGTGTGGGTGTTGTAACTATCCAATGTGTCTTAGCTTTTCGCTATCGCCAGCAGTCACAAGAAATGGGTAAGGCTGTTCCCCGAATGCGGTGAAGAGCATGCTGGGCTTGTGAGCACAAGCTTTGAGTTTCGGTGCATTCGCCAGTCGGGAGAGTGTGCAGGAATGGTATGAGAAAGCGAGCCTCGCGGCTCTGGCGAAGATATTTGTGTCACTGTCCCATCACTAGTTTTCCCTTTATGAGTTATCCAGACAGACAAATGGCTGGCCCCCAGGTGGGTACACTTGCTTCTGTGTCTGTTCTCTGTTCATCTTATTCTTTGTGCTTTTCACTTCGCCGCTTATAGCCTATTAATAGACCGAGGATCCCGGGAAATATATGGAATCCCGGGAAAAAACAAACTAATTCTCTTGGGTGCTCTCCTCCGAAGAATGGAGATAACTGGCTTTTCCCAGTTAGCTTGTTTCCCTAGAAGTGAGCGAACTAAAAACTGTCCTGTATATTGGGTTATCTGACGGAGATGACTGTGCAGGAAGGTCCCCACGGGTAGCCAACGTACTAATCTTACAGTACTGCCCCCCTTTCCTTTCCTTTTCAATTCTCAATAACGTCTGCGTTCCTTTAACGTCATAGTCTGTCGTTCTCGTCCCATCATGGTGAAGTCTAAATCCTAATCAGAAGAGCTCTTCTAAATACTCATTCAACACCCATACCACACACATAAAATCCTTATTTGCACACAGAAATACTGTGGCAACTGGCCCTCCCCCCCAAGGAATATCAAAAGAAAGGGATCGGTGACGATCTCTGGTGCGTTCTTCACTGCGTTCTTCACTTGTCCATTTCGTAAATTATAGTATTTCTTGTTGTTTGTACGTGGGAGTCAGTGGGATTGAATGTTCTCTAAATTTATGAGATTGATTGCTTTTTTTTTTCATTATCTCTGCTTTGTTAGAGCTCTACGTAACTTTCTTAGATATTTCGTAATACGTTCTCTACTAGGTGTTGCTTTTTCCCAAGCCCAACCGCTTGTACAGCCGTTTGAATACCCCTCGTCATCTTCTCATCTTTTTGCATTGGAAAACATGAGCAGAGAATACTGGTTTTGGTAAATCCCTTTCCAATTGATCGCATTTTCTTTCTTTTTCATCATAGCCTCGACACATATTCATCGAAAACATGATGCAATTCGGTGTGGATTATCAATTATCGATTTATCGATTATCAGTATTTTTTTTTCTGTTGTGAGACCCTCATTTGCTTGTTTTAAATATAAAGTGTTTATATATGTAAATGGAATAATATACCTTCATATACTATAGTAACTCATAGCGAAATATACAAATAAAGTTAAACTTTTCAAATACATCAACCTTTACCCAACGATGAGATCGATAAAATGTGTGGTGATAGGTGACGGAGCTGTCGGCAAGACATCTTTGCTCATATCTTACACCACAAATACTTTCCCAACGGACTACGTGCCCACCGTGTTCGATAACTACACTACCACGCTCGCCTTGGCGGCACCGATGCCTCTGTCGTCGCACTCTACTAGCACCTCTAGCATGACAGGGTCCAGCAGTGTGCTGGTGGACCACAACACACCTGTCTTCAAACAGAGCAACTCGTCAAGAAGGAAGCCCCTCACAGAGGGCGACACATTGTCCTCATCGGCCTCTTCGTTCTCCACGGGTGCGGACTCTGGGTCTGGCGCCTTAAAGAGACAGATCTTTAAGCTGAACCTGTGGGACACCGCTGGACAAGAAGAATACGATAGGTTGAGACCACTGTCCTACAGGCAAACCGATGTGTTTCTGATCTGCTTCTCAGTCTCAGAACCTTCCAGCTTCAGAAACGTCGTGGATAAATGGTTCCCGGAATTAAAACGTGTCTCCGGTATAGAGTCCGGTGACCTTTACACTAACTTCAAGAAATATCCTATCTTACTGGTAGGTACGAAATCCGATTTAAGAGATGATGAAAACGAAATACAGAAGATGAGAGATCAGAATCTGAGCTTTGTCTCGAAAGAAGAAATCGATAAAGTTGTCGAGGACAACGGTTTCATGGGTTACGTGGAATGCTCCGCTGCAACTCAAAATAACGTCAGACAAGTGTTTGAAAAAGCAGTGCACATAGTAGCTTTCGAACCAGATAAATTACAAAGAGCCAAATGTGTTGACGAAGCAAGAAAAATGTCGATTCAGGAAGATTCACTGGTACAAGAAGAATCACCAGCCGCTGAACCAAAAAAATCAGCACACCCACAAAAACAATCGCATCCCCAATCTCAATTACAATCACAGATATCTGTGCCTAAACCTCATAAGCTTTCATCCGTATCGGAAAAGCCAACGCATGAAAAGAGAAAGGCATCGCCTATATCTCCAGAGAGCTCACCCAGCCAGGAAACTTCGATCGGTAAAAGCTCTGGGTCGAGATCTGATATGGAGAAATCAAAACAATCCGTCAAGTCAGAAATACGCCAAACTAAAAAGAAATTGAAAAAGAAATCTGTGAAATGTGTTATCATTTAACCTGCATTTTCTCAAGTTTTCTGTTTTTGATATGGCATTTACTAGCCCGCACACTCCCTCATTAATATTTAATATTCCTTCACTTTAATTTTTATTCTTAAAATTAGTTGCATTTCAGATTCGGTATTTCTCTACTTTTGTTACTTTTCAAAATGTACATGTATATTGAAACTTAATATCCTTGGCCCTATTGGGGCGTCATTTGTTTAGTCTTTTTGTTTAGATAATTAAAAAACAAATATAAAGGTGATTATGATACTCGTTAATTTTCACCACTGTTCATGTCTGTCTTAATGAAGTTAGCATGTGTTTTGTATGAGGGTCCATAACACAAGAATTGTGTGTGACGTTTGTTAGATCAGATACTTCAAATATTAAAAAATATCCTAAGTATACAGGAAGTAATTTTAGCTATTTATATATATATAAACTCCTATGCTTTTTTGCTCTTTTTGGCCTTGGAAGTAGATTTGGTGTTCTTTTTGTCCTTATTGTTCGATTTCTCAGCGGCGTTTCTTTTTACAGCAGATTTTTTTTCCAGTTCAAAGATGGCATCCTTGGTCTTGTTGTACATATTTTGTTGGAGCGCCTTATCTTGGTATTCCTTTCTGGCAAACTTCACAAGCCTGCAATCGGAAATATACTTGATTTCGGTATCTTTCAAATTCACTTCTTCAAGTTCAGGAGTCATCAGTGCATATAAAACAGTTTGAGCACCTCTGTTACCGCTCTTCGTGAAAAACCAAAGAAATGGATACAAGACAACACAGTATAAAAACAATAGTAAAAATACCGACCCATTACTAATAACACGGCGCAAACTAGTTGATCTCATAGTACCAGGTTGGACTAGAGTCACCGTCACATTTTTTCCCGATTTTTCAGCTTTCTTCTGTGATTGTACATCTTCAACAACTTTTCTTTGTAGCTCTGCTAAACAAAGACCTAATTGAAGTTTACTACTGGCAAAGAATTTTAACGCGCTTTGATATTTCACATCTTGCCATAGAGGATCATCCAACTTAATATCACCTAAAGATTGCAGCCAACAAGTAGACACAATAATTCTTACATCTCTATCAGGTGGCTGGGCCTTAAAACTAGGCTGAAGAATATCTAAAAGGTGAAAAAGACCAACAAAGTTTACCGCCATTTGTATTTCAAGTCCATCCTTAGAAGACCGCCTAATAGGTCTAGATAGCATAGGGATACCCCAAGGTTCCATATCACCGGATAATGCAACGACACCATCCAACCTCCTTGGTGGTGAATTATCGAGCCAAGTGGTAGCAAACTTTCTAACTTCATACAAATCACTTAAATCACATTGTTCGACAAAGATTAGTTCGTTTTGTGTACGCTCTCTCAAATCTTCACACCAATCAGTGGTCCATTCATCCACATCCCTACATAAAATAATCAATTGGGCTCCTAATCGTGCCATTTCAAGTACCACAGAAGTACCCATACCTTGGCTAGTGGCACCAGTTACTATATAAACTTTACCATGTAATTTACGCTCCCAGTTGTTGGATGGTCCACGGGACCAGTACTTCACAGCAGCACCGGCTAAAGCATATGGAGCCACCTTCTTTATCTCTTGAAAATAGGGTATTTTATCGGTACCATCCAGTAGCGCCGTTCCAATAATATTCAATGGCATTTCTAATTTGTCTATTGGTCAGTATACGCAGGTAATTGGGGCCTAATAACGATACCATATGAATACATATTGTAAATACCATTGACCTTCATAAAATATTTGATGTGGTATAAACTCACAGCAGACATAACGTACAAGCTTTTCTAACGGGGATCAAGAAAGTGAAAAAAATTTCGAAAATTTGCGATGAGCTACAATATTAAGAGTATAGGTATAGGCAAAACTAATAGTTCATAGTTTCGGGAATCATATATATTACGCAATAATTCTCTATAATAGCTTGCTACTCATTAAGTGGAACATAGTTGTTGGAGAAAGCTCAGTCTAGTAATTTAGGAAAATGGATGAATCTGTGATATTCACTACCGAGCAGAATGCGCTGAGTACAAGTCTGTACTCTGCTGAACAAGCTGTGTTGAGACAATGTAGCACAAACAGTAGAAACAGTGCTGTGCGTGTTGGGGATAAGTACCTGTTTGTTGCTCAGAGTAATAAGGCTCTCATCAATGTCTACAATATTTCCGGTGCCCATAAGCGTGAAACTGTGGAACAAAGATTGCCAACACCAGAGGTTATAACATGTTTGGAAGTAATTCAGAACCGCTACGAAGAAAAGAGTGCAATTTCAGACTTTGAACTTCCGCACTTACTGTTAGGTTCTACTGATGGGGGTAAAATATACTGTTGGGAATTAAATTCCGGTGCTTTGCTAAGCGTAAAACAGATGGCGCACTACCAAGGAATTACAAAGATAAAATCGTTCATGGACGGTAAATATTTTATAACTTCTGGTAAAGATTCGAGAGTGATCGTCTGGCAGACAATTGATTTTGTATCGAATAATGCTTCAGAGCCTAAGCCTATCTGTATTTTGCATGACCATAACTTAACAGTTAACGATATCGCTGTATCAATGACGCATGGTGCGAACATGAGTACTTCGGGGGCAAAACTATTTACAGCATCTGAGGACTCTACAGTTAGATGTTATGATTTCTCTTTCTTAAGAGGAGACTTCAGGAAAAATAGAAAGTCTCAAGAACAAGATCAAAAGATGTACCAGCCCAGATTGCTAGCTACATTTACGTTTCCAGCAGCCATTGAGGCTATGTCCTTGGATCCAGCTGATAGAGCGCTATATGTAGGTACTTCAGAAGGTTTGTTCAGCTTACCTCTGTATTACACAGTTAAGGGTACGAGCACTGTTGCCAATTTGGCTCAGGCCTCTGGTAGCAATAGGAACAAGCTGTACTCTGTGGTTATTAGTGGTCATGATGATGATTATAAGAAACTATTTTCCATGGGACAACTGGTATGTGACAAGCTGATATCTACGCCTGTTACAAAGTTAGAATTAACCTTTGATGCCACTACGATACTGGTTGGGAACAAGTTCGGCAGGATATCCGTGGTGGAGATTGCCTCGAAGCAGATCTTGAAGACGTTGCAACCGTTGACCACAGCGGACACCGAGGAAGATGCTATTACTAATATCATAGTCACGACGGTGAACAACTCCAGGCAGGACAGCATACTGGAGCAACACCAGAGCAACAAGAACGTCCAGAAGTTGCCGGTGTTGCAGCGTGTTGTGCATGACAAGGACCACGCCGAGCACGAAGTTTGGTACCGCGCCCCGGAGACCCCAGAGTTCTCGCACGAGCTCGAATCCCTACCGCCCATTGCCGACTTCGAGAAGTACATGGACAGTATAAGGTCCGAGGAGACAGTGTTCTTGACCACCGAGACCACGTCCCAGGTGAAGAACGTCAAACAAGAGCTAGCCCCCGCATCGCATTCCAACTCCCAGGAGCAACAGGAGCTTCAGCAAGAACTGCAGCAGGTCAAGAGTGCATACAAGGAATTGCGCGAACTCCACGAGTCCCTCTTCAAAGAACACGAACAGCTCCTGTCCTCCATGAAATAAGACCCCTCGCATATATGCACATATATACATATCTCAAGTACAGATAGCCTTTAGTTATAACTACTACAAGCCAAACTACTACTTCTTCAAAGTCATGTGACTCTTCTATTTCCTCCTTTGGTCACAGCCATCTTATCAGTTTTGAGAAGAAGCTCCCTGTCAAGAGAAGACAGTCTCGATTTTCTCAGAAAGCACCGCACGGACAGCGCAAGAGATAGCAGTTTATCTGTTCTTCTCGAAGTTTTCCTTATCTTATCTACAAGTGTGGAACGATGTCTTAGAACGATGCCTTAGAAGTGGTCGCACGATGGGGGATATTGTGTTTGTCCTGTGGAAGGCCCGATGACTTCCCTGGAAGTGGGAAGGGACGTTGGCTATGACTGATCCTGGTTGGATTAGGAGTTGTGCTTATAAGAAGTTGCTGGTTTTAGTTGCTGAGGTTGGCGTCTATATAAGCTACGACCACAAGGATGTCTTCTTTGACAAAGCTGCTGCAGGAGAAGAACAACAAGGAGGTGAAGACCGAGCCGACGATCAGGGAGGAGTCTGTGGGCGAAGCTGTGGGCGAAGCTGTGCCGTACTATGATGGGCGGAGTGTGCTGGGGTCCAGTCTTATGAGCACGAATTTTGCACAGACGGCGACGGCGTATGGGTCGAGCTTGCAGATGAAGGAGCGGGCGTCGTACATGGACAAGCATGCGAACGGGAGCCTGCAGTACGGGTACAGCTCTTCTCTGGCAGTTCCTACTAAGAACGGTGGGAAGATGCACTCCTCGAGTGCGAAACAGTTGCCCTCTCTGTCAACCAGTATACCGTATGCGGTTCCCAACTCGAATAAGGAGTCTACTCACAACGGCAGCGTCGGCTCGTCGCTGTCCTCGTCGTGGGTTGACCAATACGGCGGTGGTATGCCAAGTAACATATCTGCCATTGACTCTAATGTGATTAGCTCTCCCAAGGTGGACAACGTAGAACCCAGATTTGTAATATCGAAGGAGAAATTCCATAAGTCATCGCAGGACAACCAGGCACACACGGTGTCGAGGTCGAGCTCGTTGTCCTCACAACTGGGAAACCTCTTCTTTAGCAAGAATACAACGACTAACAATGGCAGCTCCTCACCTGGCAACTCTTCATCTATACAGACAATTAATGGTAGGGATATACCGAATGCAACTGCTACGCAGATTCCGAAGCCAACAAGGGCTAGGCAGAGTAGTATTTACTCTTCTTCAAGGCAGCCTTCTCGGTCATCCTATAATGACACCTATTTTGGTTCCCCGTCATCCTTGCATGAAAATCAACCGAGTCAAAGTGTGCCCAGATCGCATCATTCCTCTATCGCAGATTTCAAAAGATTTTTCAAAAAGTCTACTAGCACCAGTGTCACTTCCATGTCCATGCTTTCTGATTCGCCTGTATCGGGAAGCTTTATCACTGGTGATTCCACTCTCGGTACACAACATACACAACAATCGCATGGTTTTAATTCAGAGTCATTGCATAAGCAGTCTTCTTTTAGTAGCAATAGTGGGGATATTATATACACTAATAATTACGAAACAAGCATTCCATTCTCGAAGAGATACTCTAGGACAGGTGAAGAACTTGGTGCTGGCGCAGGTGGTTCTGTGAAACTGGTGAAAAGAATAGCAGATAATTCGGTATTTGCCGTCAAGGAGTTCAGATCAAAGCATGAAAACGAAAGCAAAAGAGACTACATTAAAAAGATTACTTCCGAGTATTGTATAGGTACTACTCTGAATCATCCCAACATTATTGAAACTGTTGAGATAGTATATGAAGATAATAGAATATTTCAAGTAATGGAGTATTGTGATTACGATCTATTTGCTATTGTTATGAGTAATAAAATGTCTTACGAGGAAATATGTTGTTGTTTCAAACAAATTTTATGCGGTGTACAATATCTGCATAGCATTGGTTTGGCTCATAGGGATTTAAAGTTGGATAACTGTGTAATCAATTCTAAGGGTATTGTGAAGTTGATAGATTTTGGTGCTGCTGTGGTTTTCTCATACCCATTCTCTAAAACATTGGTTGAAGCAAGCGGAATTGTTGGTAGTGATCCTTATTTGGCCCCTGAGGTTTGCATATTTACAAAATATGATCCGCGTCCCGTAGATATCTGGTCTACTGCAATAATATTTGCTTGTATGATTCTAAAAAAATTCCCTTGGAAAATACCTAAGTTGAGGGACAACTCCTTCAAATTGTTTTGCTCAGGTAGAAATTGTGACTCTCTTAGTGCACTTGTTACTCGTACCCCTGAGCCACCTTCATATGATAGTTCTGAATTTTCGCCAAGTAAGCCAAGTCATTACGATTCTGCGAACTCTGCTGACCCGGAGAACAGTAGCATTGGTCCACAGAGACTTCTGCATGCCCTCCCCGAAGAATCTCAGCATATAATTGGTAGAATGGTAGACCTGGCACCTGCTTGCAGAAGTAACATTGAAGAAGTACTAGAAGATTCATGGATTAAGAGCATTGACATGTGCCATATGGAATCTAATGGTTTAGTTATGAAATATGTAGGTGGGACCGACCACACGCATACACAAGTTGATCAAAGTGAAGCCCATATTGCCGGACTAGAAAAGAAGAAGAAGAAAGCAAAAAATAAAGACAAATAATTGCATTTTCTCTTTATCATCATTGATCAATACCTAATTTTTTCTATTAGCTTAACTCTTCCTCTTTATGTTCCCTGTAACTGAATTATTTATTCTTATGATTATTTCTTGAAATTATGCAATATTATACGTGCTATCTATCACCAGCATTTCCAGTATATATAGCAACTGTACTAATATATAAAAGCCATACCTTATTGAACCGGTTATTCCTGAAACATATGTCCTGACAACTTAAGTATCAGAGAAAAAGTATTTATAGTTTGGATAATAGAAGTTATGATAAACTAATCTGTATGCTGATGGTTAAGGTTATTCACCTTCCTCATAGTTGCTTAGTTCATTAGTATGTCATATCTACTGTTTTATAAGTTAGATATGTGGTATTTACCCGGTCATAACTTTGCTCGTGCTTGCCGGAACCAGAAGTCTCCGAACTATAAAAGAAGAGTCCATAGAATCTACAAGGACATTTTGGTGAGCAGTCATAATTTTAATCAGTTATCGCTAATTATAACGAGGCGTGTGACCAAAATATCATGTCCCAAGCTGCAAAGAACGTATTAGTCAAACTTATTGTTGGCGCAGGTCAAGCTGCCCCAGCACCACCAGTTGGTCCTGCTTTAGGTTCAAAAGGTATTAAAGCAATTGATTTCTGTAAGGAGTTTAATGCACGTACTGCCTCATATCAACCTGGTGTTCCCATTCCAGTTTTAATTACAATCAGACCTGATAGATCTTTTACGTTTGAGATGAAGTCACCACCAACAGGATATCTATTATTGAAGGCGCTGGGAGCTGAAAAAGGACATGGGCAACCAAATATTCTCCAGAAGGAGAAAACATTGGGAGAACTGTCTTTAAAGCATGTATATGAGATTGCAAAAATAAAAAAGACGGATAGCAGACATGCCATGCTCGATATGCCGGGTATAGTGAAATCTATAATAGCCGTTGCAAAGAGCATGGGAATCAAAGTTGTACCATAGAAAACTTAATACTCAATTTCTACAATAACAATCAGTCATTTAAAAGATAATTTAAACATGTAAATATCAATATACCAAATATTATGTTAATAGAGACAAAATCATCTATTTCAGGAAAATGTAATTCGCCTATAATTTAGTATATTTTATGCAAAAGTAGGTTTTCTTAAAATAAAAATGCACGAATAAATAATTCTATAAATTTATTGAAGTGAAAAATAATGTGAAATAGTAACGCAAATCGATAAATTCTAATGCTATGAGAGATGTAATTTATCAGTACTATGACAAATATGAATTAAGTCAGTAAAATGCTATGCCAAGTTCATTATAATCTTCGTCTTTTATTTTTCTTCCAGTTTTTCTTGTTGGAGGACCTTTTATTTGACTTGTTGTTTTTTCCATTATTCTGTTTCACATTAGTAATAGGATTTGGAGTTGACTGTTTTTTTGGCTCATTTAATTGGACACTTTTAGGAGTTAATCTAGTATATAACACATAATATGCATTTCTCTCCTTCAACACTTCACGCTCTGTAATCTTATTGATGTACTCATCGTCATAAGTTGCCCAGGAACCATCTGGTTGTTTGCAATGAGCAATATAATGGCCAGATGATAATGATCTACCTTCATGAACTACTACACTTAGCAGTTCATATTTCACTGGTAGCATCTTCTTGCTCTCTTCACAATATTCTGTCATATCCAAAAACATTGGATAAGAAACCGCTTGCTTCATTTTGGACGAAGATGTGCCATTGAATCTGAACTTTTTCAAATGAACAAGCAAAGTTTCTGGGGCCCTTAGAATACTATTTCTTTTCAGAGCATTAGTAGTCTTGTGACATTTCTCACAAACATAACCTTTCTTTTCCTTATCGACCTTAATAAGTTCTGGATTAAAGAAATCCCTAATAGATTTCTCTATAGAATATCTTGATGTCTGTGAATCACTATCCTTGGTTTCGCTTTGAGAAGAGCTTTTCTCCTGGTTTACTGTATTCTCATCGGTCTTTTTACCCTTCAAATGCAGCGACAGATCATAAAATGGTTGCTCGGTAGTTGATACTTCTCCACACGACTTGCAGGTGACAGTTTGCTTTAAAGAACCCCCAAATATATCATATATAATTGATTCAGTCATCTTATGACCTTTAGGGACGGAATCCTCCTGTAGTCTAGACATGATAGACATAAAGTATTCGTGTGAGTCTTCCTGTTGCCATTCGCTCATCATGCAGTTGATGTCGTCTAGACGTGCAATTAGCTTCTTCGGATTTATGTAAGAGTTGCCGGATTTTTTTCCATCATTGTGCCACATTCTCCTGCTGGTTTCTGCTAGAACGTGGGAAACTGAATTAGAAGATATTGTGGATGAGTACTTTCCTGCTAAAATGTCATTTAGATAATGTTGCATTGCTGGGATATGCAATAGAGCCTGAACAGCTGCGTTAGTATAGCAAGTGACACCGTGATTTAATAGTCCTTTAGGTTTTAGTTTACTGTAAGTGGGACCCCAACTTTTTACGATTGAAGAATTCTCTAAACAACCTTTATCGTCAAAATTCTCATTAAATTGATAGAATTCTGATATATCAGGTATCGTGGATGGAGGAGTGACCGACTTTTTGGGAGAAATTGATTCTGCAAAAGTATCCTTCTCTTCATGCTTTGTTTCTGTAACTTCTTCTTGTGCCTGCTGCTGGTCCTTAGTCTCTGGATCTTTGCCTTCCTTTTGTTTTTCTTGTGATTGCGAGCTATTTTCTGTTTTTTTACTCTTATTTTGTTGTAATTCTTCATCTTGTTTACGTGCTTTTTCTCTTTGCTCTTTTATTTGCTTTATCATGAGCTGCTCGCGCTCATAATCCTCGTTATCTCTCTGCAACAATGACAGTTCTTTAGATACAGAGCTTTTCCTCTTTTTCTTAGTTGGCTCGATTTTTGGTATAGCGGCTTGTACATTAGGCACTTCATTCGTAGATTCTTTAACTTTCGTATTTTGTTCAGTTTCTTTAATGACCTTTTTAATCTCCTCTCCCAGATCCTCTCCTAGATCCTCTCCTAGATCCTCTCCTAGATCCTCTCCTAGATCTTCTCCTAGGTCCTCTCCTAGATCTTCTCCTGTATCCTCGTCCTGTTGAGAAGTTATCTCAACATTGGCGGCACCAAGATCCTTAACGGGCTCTTCGATAAAATCGACAGCTTCATGAAAGACATCGGTATCAGAACTGTCACTGCTATTGCTGTCGGCCTGTTTCTCAATCGCACCTTTTCTATCGCTGGTCGAGTCATCTTTTACAATCGGCAGTGCTTTTACTTTAGGTGTCTTATCCTTAAGTGCTGCGTTGGTATACCAATTCAAGGCTTCAGCCACTGAAGTAGGCATCTTTCTTTTCTTCTGTACAATTTCAGAGGAATCATTCTCATCGCTCTGCCTTTGGTTTGGATCAGACTTCCCATTGTTCTTGCTATTTTGGTCAGCAAGCTTCCGCTTACCGATCACAATATACGGAGAGTCACTATTGCCATTCATATCTGTGTCCTTATTGCTTATATTTGGGCTAGCGGTTGATCTTCTGAACTGTAGAGGATTATTAAGAATCCTATCAACCAGTGGCTTGATAGTCTCTTGTGTAGTCATGTTAATGAATTTGTATTTTTGATGTCTTATATTTCTGAAGTACTGAAAAATGGAAGTAACTATTAGTGTCGCGGAATGCAATCAAGTGAATTATGGTCGTTGTTTTTTTTTGATCTTCAAAATTAAGTCACTAACTGTGATTCTTGTCGTTCTCTTTAAATTATAAAATTTTAATTAAAGCTTCCTTAGAATTTTATCCTTATCTGTAGCCCATATACTATGCCAGTGTTTAATTCCGAGCTGCAATTAATACACAAAAAATGCCACTCTTTTTGCAACTCCTGACACCTGATGCTCCTAAGCTTTGTCCGCTGAAGTTCGGTAAGCCAATAAACTGTTCTGATTAAAATCAAGACCGGGCTGATATCTTAACTACAATATATACCCAAGTTTCCAACCAGCAAGTCCTATTACAAAAATGCTCCTTCACCCACCAAATCGCACACAAAATGGGATGAGCTGCAATAAAACTCCTGCTCGAAAGAAAAAAAAAAATTTTCCGAAGAAAAACGCGATGGGCCTTCTGATCCACAAATTGTTAAAAAGAAAGTTCTTCGAAAATTCACTTAGCAAGAGTGTGAGTGAATGGGCATTTGACGTACAATCCACTAAAGGTTGTACTGATGTTTCTAAGATTTGAGATGCTATTCCCACACATTCTGGTAGTACATAGCACATAGCGTAGAGTTGTACCTTATGTTTCAATAAGGGTTCTTGATATATATTAATTGTGCACTACCTCTGGAGTAATGCGATGCCCGCAGTGTCTCCAGAGTACGATATTGCAGTAGCGTCAGAACTAGTTTTGATTATGTTGATGCGCATGGATTTGCATTGTGGTACATTGTATAATATGTCAGGTTGACACTGCACAACCTGGTTTTCCCTTGTTATACCTCCGGATTCGATAGTAGACTTGTCCCATGACAGTATTTGGCCCTTGCCTAGTGGGGACCCCACTTGAAATGATCCGTTATAGCAAGCTTTCAATTTTTGGAAATCTGATCTACCAGGTAACTCCAAGTGATTTACTGGTCTGTCTGGTCTTCTGTGGTCTAATATTTCAATGCGTGAACTATACCTTTGAAGCACATAGAGATAACTACCATTATCACTATTAATTATTTGGTAACAACCTCTGGCTCCATTGCCCTGTAAATTATTTAGTAATTGCAGTGTCTTTCCTCGTAGATCAATTATGAACACCTGATTCTTGTAAGATCCACAATACCGAACTTGATTATCTGAGAAACTGTCGTCTAGACATGAGATGATAGACTTATATGACTGGGTGCCACATTTCGAACGTCTTGAATACGTGAGTGTGTTTACCGGTTCGCGGCGGTTAACATCATAGACATTAACTTTATTGCGTACCGTTCCTGATAGAAAAAGGGATTCACGATGATATTTCAACACATACGGTGTTTCGAATTTCTCATTTTCTAGATTGGAGATATCATAAGAACGAATAGTACTTAGATTGTTGGTGTCATTAAGATCAACAAGTTTAATCGGAACATTCTTGGCCCCAATAAGAATACTGTTCGCAAGCGGCTCGCTACTACCTTCATACAAAGAATACCGGGGTGAAATGTCTGAGGATAACACAGATTCGTGAGCGAATATTCTACTATATGGGTTCAACAGAGTTTGGTCACTTTTGGGATCCGGTATTAGGTATTGTCTTATCCCGTAGTCACTATTGATAGTAAAGAGAGAAGTGGCATCAACAGACCAATGTATGTCTTGGCACACTACATCTTTAGTAACATCTTTATCCTTTAAGCTGGTTTGTGATTCAGACAGACCCAATTTGGGAAACATATAATTTAATTTTTGTGAGAGGTCGGCTGATGTGCTACTTTCTGTTTCCCATATCCTGTATAATGGTTGCTTTCTAAATGTTGTACCGGTAGAGCAATATGGACTTAAATTATATGAAACGGAAGTCATCGAGTGGAATGTTGTGTTCTTGACATTCGCTTGATTCATTGAATATTTATCTCTATTGATCTACAACGCAATTTTGTTCATCTCATCGCAAAATTTGATTTGGGTATCATTCACTTTATGTTTTGGTATTGAAATTCGCGAGAATTAAGAAACAATCATTAAAATCATACATAATAATATACATAAATGTTACAAATGAGGAGTATAATAATACAAAGTATCCAATATAAATTGTTCTTGCTATAATACAATCGATTCAACGCAATTTTATTGTTTTTATCGAGTTTCACTTTTTTACTCGAACCCAAGACTTCAATAACAGTATCTAGCTTGGTACTGTTTTCTAGTAAGATAGACTTAATATCTGATAGAACCTTGGCGTCATCTAGTCTTTTCGACTTGATAAGGTCTTGTTTCGGTGTACCAATTACAATCGAATCACCGTATCCATCGTCAAATGAGGCATACATATCCTGATGGCCCTCTGATTTTAATGAAACGTTACTTTTTTCTGATTGTTCTAAAATATTATGACTATGGCCTTGAACGTTTTCCTCAGACACTCGTCGGGGTTGGGGTGAATCCAATCTGATTCCCTTTCCTGCATTCCTTATTTCATTAAGTCTAGCTTTAACTATCTTACGATTAGATTCAATGACAGAATTCCACCTCTGGTCAATCGAGTCCATCTCAGTTTGATCAAATCTTTGTGATTCTTCATTTTTTACATTAACATAATTATTCGGGCCATTTTGTAAATATGGTAGAGGTACTGGTTCACCTATAGCCTTCAGTAAGGAAGTTTTCCTTCGATGCCTCTCAATAGGATCAAGACTTCTTTCTTTATTTTCCAGTACTTGGTATTGTGGAGATGCTTTCTTCTTTCCTATAAACTGTAGCTCTTTTTTTAGTTTTGGTGGATCTAAATTATCTTCTTCTAAATTGTTTATTACTACCTTACGCATACTATCCTTTTCATCATTTTCGGTAAATGATTTACCCTTACTGCGTAATGTCGTTGGCGACCCTTCATTTAATAGCATGATTTCTTCAGGACTGGTCAAATCTTCAGTCATCAATCTGGTACCATATTCTGCTTTGTGTTTTTTGTATAGATCTAAGTCTGATATGTTGTTGTTTTGAGAATTGGGATTTAAAGTGGCCCTCAATGCATTGCTTCTACTCTTTCTACCATTCTCTTTCATTACCAGCCTAATACAAATATCCCTCTTTATTTATTGCCCACTGATCCCACTATATGCTAAATATCCGACAAAGTGTTTATTATCTTCCTTGATCTATTCAGTTACTGATCCCCATTGAGCTTTAATCAACAGAAGAAATCGAACCTGTTAGCTTCTAAAATATAGATACTCTCACTGTTAAGATAAATCACCAAAACAATTTTGTAGAGGTCAATCAAAATACTATTTATGCTTTTCAATCGGCTTTGTATATCTTAACTTATCTTGACCTTTTTTCACTTTGTTCATCATTATACAGACACTAACCAGTAAATTGATTCATTTTGTTAAACTTTGTTATGGACGCGATGGGATGCCCAAGAAGGGCCGAAATTAGTGATTTTCGCTCCTAGGCGAAATACAGAAAATGAGAGCTACACTCACTGGCATTTTGTGAGTAATGTAGCAAACCAATATATTTATATATATCATTTTGTTATCTCTATAAATTAAACTTCAAGTGTAATTAAAGCAATATCGTGAAGGAAAGAATTATTATATTAACTATAATAAAAATTTTAGAAAAAAAGGACTAGATTGAGGGCATTCTATAATAGCTGCTGCTAATATTGGTAGTGAATAGAAATGTACATGACTGCTGTTTTATTTCCACTGTGTGACACGTATTTAAAAAAAATTCTTAATTTATGCTTTTGAGTATTTTAGAGTTTGTGCTATTTATGTATAATTAATTGAAGTTGAATTGCTGGTTGACATTAGAACCGAAACCGAAAGTATTACCAGCATTTTGTGGAGCCAGGTTATCATCGACAGTATCGTCTTCTTCACCAAAGTATGTTTCTATAATCTTATAAGCCTTCTCATAAATTCTGTCATTTTCATTTTGTTGGCAATTGAAAATCTTTTCCATACCACCAGCTTTTTCAATCAGGTCGGCATTCTCGTTAATAGCTAAACCACGGGCTTCCTTGTCTGTTTCACCCATCTTCAAAATGTTTTCTAGTGCATCTAATGTCACTTCGATAATTCTGTTGTCAGCAATCTCTAGTAGATCACACAGAGGCTTTATACAACCTTGGGAAACCATGTATCTGATGATTTCTGGTCTTTGTAGACCACCAGAAGAAGCATTGGAGATAGCCCAGCAAGCTTCTTTCTTGATCTTATATTCAGCCGTCTCCAACAACTTAATTAGAGGTGGAATCAAGTTAGCATCTACGACTGCTTGGATTTGTTCAGTATTACCAGCAGTAATGTTGGAGATTGTCCAACAGGCTTCTTTTCTGATCGACTCCTTAGGAGAAGATAATAGGTTTCTTAGGGCAGATAAGACACCACAATTAATAACTACTTGTGTGTGCAAATCGTTACCAGTAACTATGTTACCAACAGCTCTCAATGCAGGTGTTTGAACCAAAGTAGATTGGTGGGACAATAGTTCGACCAATCTCTTTGGAATTCTAGCATCGATAACAGCTTGAATAGCTTCAGCAGGGCCATCAGATAAATATGAAATTGCCCAACAAGCATCTATTAGCGTTTCGTTGTCGAAAGAGTATATTAGTTTAGCCAAAGTTGGCAGAGCCTTTGAAACAATTGACCAATCCGGTTGTGGTTTCTTACCTCTGCATAAGTTTGACAGAGTCCAAGTTGCGGTTCTGATTAATGTAACCTTTTCAGAGTTGAAAAGACTTAGAATAGGTTCCATAGCACTGCATTGCAAGACGTAGTCTCTGTAACTGGTGGAGTCACCGGCAACGTTACCTAAAGCCCAGATAGCTTGTTCTTGCAATTCAACGGAGCCGGTATATAGAAGTTGAATAAACAATGGAACAGCACCTGCATCGACAACGACCTGAGTTTGCGCGGAAGTACCAGATGCAATGTTAGTCAAGGCCCAGGCGGCTTCCAATTGTAGCATTTCTGGTTGGTTTTCGTTCATGAAGTTGACCAAAGTTGGTACAACGCCAGATTGAATAACAATGTCAATCGGTGGGTTATGTTCTCTGGATAGGATTTGTCTAAACTTGACTGTAGCAGCCAGTTGTTCTTGCATGTCGCTGGAGTTAATTTGTTGAACCATTTGAGGCAACTCTTGTTGCAATTGACCATAGAATTGTTGGTCAGCTGCGGAGCTCTCCTCATCTTCTTCATCGGAGTCAACGGAATCAGTTGGTGGTACAAAGTTTCTTCTCTTAGCTAGTACTTCATCTCTCTTGGCCTTCCTCAATTCTACTTGCTGAGTGTCTCTACGACGACGTAACTCATCAGCAGAGAATCTACCTTTATTCTTAAAGTTGGTACGTCTGTACTCTGGGACAAACTTGTTAGATGTGCTGTCGTTGATACTTGGGTCCATGCTGCTTTCACTTGCTAGTATGTTGTCCAGAATATGTAATTGTTTGATGTTATTGTATATATATGAAATTACTGCCTTTTTAGACTGTTTCTAGTTCTCAGTAATGTTTTTGTCCTTCTTGCTTTTATGGCAGAATTTCCCAGTAGCCGTAACTTAGGAAGCGTTCCAAATGAGATAATGGTGAGTACAGGTCAGAATTTCAATTAACCTGAGCTTATATATATGCCTAGCTTTACCTAAGCGTCTAAGAACCAATGCAAACCTTGGCAAGAACAAAACCATAAATTGGGGCCCCATCTTACAATTCTTTATCCTTCCCTCTGCGCTCACAAATTTTTTTTTTCTTCGTGGTTCTTTGACGTATATTATGATATCAATTTTTAAGCAGAATAAGCTGAGTGATCGGAGTCTTCCAACTCAGGAGGAGCTATTTTCAAACACAACTGGTAGTATTATAACTTTTTTTTTTAAAATTATATTGGTCTATATGTATTAGAGTAATTTTATATTATAGGCGGGAACTTAGTACACTTTAGTCATCGTTCAGTGTAAAGTAAATGAAAAAAAATCAAGACGAAAAGAATGAAGTTGGGAATTAAAATTAATGAAAAGATTAAAAATAAAAGAAGCGTAAAAGAAAAAAAATAAGCACAAGTAAATTATTCTATAAATATCAAAAAGCCAGTTCTGGAAGCGATTTCTTAGACAGGAAGAGGGCCAATAATGAAAAAAAAAATGAAGACTATGATCTTAAATCATTGAACAGAAGTCTAGCAATTAGAATTATATTCCCAAGCGTGAAACTCTGCAGCTCGTCTGTCTAACAACACAGGATCGTTTCTTCTAGTATTTTTCTAGCCATGACTAGAAAAACTTCCTAGAACGGTGGTGTATAGATCAACCATATCACAGGACGAGACTATAATGAGCTCTCAAAATTTCACAGCTACAGGAACAAAATCAATGTAGATAAAACACACACAACCCACATTGAAATAAAACAATTGATAGCTTCCATTCAATAACTTATATTGCCACAATAAAGCACCTCAGTTTATCTTTTCATTTGCTGATTCACAAGTTTTTCAATTATGTCTCCATGTATCAGCTTTGACCACTACTATTCTAAGAACTGTCTCCTCGTAGGCGAAATTAACAACAATGATGGGAAGGGTATAACATGATCAAATGGGTTAACATTGTTGTGAGAAAAACAAAACACACAGGACTAAGTAACGGAGGAATTATGATTTCATATTTGTCATTTTTTTGAGTGAGATTCGGAAGGGGGATACGGTAAATGTTTTCTGTCAATCAAGAAAAAACAATGTTCTTTGTTAATCGAAAGGAAAAGTGCAAAAAAGGGCGTCTATAGCAACATCAAAGCACCGGCGACAACAGCAGTACCTGTGGTCAAACCAAATAACTTCATGGAGTTCATTCTGTTACCGGAGGCGTCGTTTTCTGGGACCTTGATTTCGACTTCGGTAGTTGGTTTCTCATGATGGGTGTTGTTAAACTTACCGTACTTGTGAGTACCGGTAGACTTTGGCTTCTTGGAACCCTCGTGATGGGTGTTGTTGAACTTACCGTACTTGTGGGTACCAGTAGACTTTGGCTTCTTGGAACCCTCGTGGTGGGTGTTGTTAAACTTACCGTACTTGTGAGTACCGGTAGACTTTGGCTTCTTGGAACCCTCGTGATGGGTGTTGTTGAACTTACCGTACTTGTGAGTACCAGTAGACTTTGGCTTCTTGGAACCCTCGTGGTGGGTGTTGTTGAACTTACCGTACTTGTGGGTACCGGTAGACTTTGGCTTCTTAGAGCCCTCGTGGTGGGTGTTGTTAAACTTACCGTACTTGTGGGTCTTGTGGGTGGAAGTGTATGTCTTGGTAGCACCGTCACTGGTGTAAGTGATCTCGGTGGTGTATTGCCTGTCCTTGGCCAAAACAGACGAGATGGCCATAGCCGCAACCGTCACAGCTGAAAACTTCATTGTGTCACTAATACGTTCTGTCTTCGCTAGCACTTCTTAGGTCTGCCCCCCCGCCAGCTGCAAGAAAAAACCTTCCCGCCTTATATACTGAAAAAATGTGCAAAAAGTTTTCCTTGGCTTCCACAAGGCGGAGGAAGCTCCCAGGGTCTCCCAAAGGTCTCCCAGGGCCTTCCCAACAGCACAACCAGTTTTGAGCTGTTTTCCATCTGCCTTTCCTAATCGGGATACCCATCTCCCCAATCCCCGTTTACTCAGAAACCGCAGCACGCGCCTCGTTTCCATCCGTCATCCTGTACTGTTGTGTAAACAAGCAAGACCTTGAACAGAAAAATCTGATAGACCTCAGACACACCCGCACAGGAACACCGTCGCTGGATACATAAACAAGCCAAAAAATCCCGCCTTCTTTCCGTTGGGGCCCTGCTACTGTTTCTCTGGGAGATTCTTGCTCTTATACGAAACTCCGCTTATCTCTTCGCTTATCTCTTCGTGTGCTTACCGGGTAACCCTCGGAATCTTGAAAATCGCGCGGGCCCGTTTCTCTCTGCCATACCTGCTTGCTCTGACGCACTATTGTGCTGCAGTTATGATCAACGAAGGAATAAGACAAAAGTAAAATGACGTAATCAAGTTTCTTAGCACATTGGAAGCGCGTTAAGCGTGATGTGGCACATGTATATTCAAGTCGTTAATTATGCATTCCCTAGCGCAGTATATACGTCTCTCTACCTCTCTCTCTCTATATATACATACACAGCTATAAATATTTTATGCACATACATCACACCAGGTGGGCTGTCGCGGAGATGGGCCGCGAGCGGCCCTCCCGCTCCAGCGGTGGGACGTTCTTCTCCACCGCTTTGGCGAGCGGCACGGCGCCCATGAGGCCCTTGCTCTCGGCCAGCTTCGAGCTGCGCAGGTACAGCGGGTCCTCCTGGTAGTACTCGTCAACTATCGGGTGCAGCAGTATCGTCTGCTTGCGTATCGTCAGCACGCTGTTCGTGGGCACCGCAGTCCAGTCCCCGCGCTCGAAGGTGAGCGGCTCAGAGGCGACCATGATCACGTCCTGGTTCCGGTCCAGACGCTCCATGCGGTACTCGCCAGGGCTGGTCTCTATGAACCGCGAACCACTGCTGAAATGCAGCGAGGCCGCCTCGTCTGTCCGAGACGTGATGTATCGCGACACCACAACAGTAGACCCATCCGTCACCGCAAAGTTCAACAAAGAGGGCTCACTGTCCAGCTCGCCATCAAGACGGCTATCCTTTCGAAGGGCTAGGGTCCAGTCCTTGATATACTCTATAGTCTTCAGCAAAGCACTCCGCAGGGCCTCATGCCCAAAATCCCCGTCCCGTTTGCGAGGATCGTGGCCGAGCTTGTGCAATGTGTCCAGAAACAGTGCAAATGCACATTCAGAATCCGTACCACCTTGTAAGAAGTTCAAATACTCGTCGTCTATGTGATTTAGCAAAACTCTCTTGATCCTCTTGAAATTCGAAATCCCTCCGTTGTGCATAAAACATAAACTATGGTACGTGAATGGATGACAGTTCGTCTCCGAAAGTACACCATACGTAGACGCCCTCACATGCGCAAATACAAGACTAGACTTCGTCTTCTCAGCTAATGTCTCCAGGTTTTGGTTGTTCCATGCAGGTGTAATTGCTTTGAACAAGCATGGGCCGTCCTCTTCCAACTCCTTGTCTAGTGGGTAATAAGCTACACCAAACCCATCACCGTTGATCGGTCTCCTCCTATCTAACCGTAGCCGGCTGTCAAATGACTGGTTTATAATAGAATGCGCTGGCCTCGTCAATAGATGTGAAAGTCTGATCGGCTCTTTGCCCTTAAATATCAGGAACCTACACATTTTTTTTCTGCAGAGATAATAAAACTTGCAACTGGTTTATGCAACTTATGGTATTGCTGGTAAACCTGTAAAATATCCTTACTCGAGAAGAAAGGGAAATCTGTCCAGCTTATATATTCACTATTACTAACATTATTGTTTGCATTTTAAGCATTTCTTTACTTTTTTTCACAAAATGACAAATCCACCTCATCGCAAGTCCTAGCCCCTTCAAAAAACCATGGTCCTACGGAGCCATCATAGCTAGGGTCCCTTATTTCGCTGATTTCTCAGTTTTTTGTGATTTCCGAGAAAATGCCACAGATTCCCATTGCAGGAAGTCAGCTGCACTGGCTCGTACAGGAATATATGACTCATTGGTTGTTAATAGTTGAAAGTTCACATTAAACTTAATGCCAAATTGTATAGCAGCTCTTAAGAATATTAGATAACTTTGGGAAATTATACTCTAAAACTGTGTATATACTTGTATATACTAAAAATAATCATAAGTAATTCGAAATTGGTGCACTCATTTCACCAGTGTCTTAGTCTTTTGAAGAACCGGGATATCATGTAGATGGTACAACCGAAAAAACGGATCACAGCAGACAATGCAACTAACCACAGGATAATGGCAAAATATATAGATGCTTTGTTGGATAGTAGTGGTCTGGGTTGTATCTGTTCCGTGTGCTGCTTATTCATAGTCTTTAATGTTAAATAATCACCAATACCACCGGTTTCCAATACTACGGCACAGATGGCAAAATTGGTCATGACCCAGAAGATGATGACCAAAGAACGAACATTGGCATAGTAACCAGTTTTCTTCTCCTCAGGTGATAGCTCTGGCTTGGAGTCCTCTTCATTGGGTTGTTCATATAGCATTTTTTTATATTTCTCGTAGTTAGCCTCAATTTCTGCACTAGAGACCAGAATCTCCATTTTGAATGTACCATCTTCTTTACTTGTAATCTTGCCCAATGGCTTAGATGCAGATCCTTTAGTACCCCATGAAAGATCGTGAACATTACAGAATGCATAAATGTTCAAAACATTAACATAAGAGGGACTCAACAGTAGGTATTGTACGAAACTGGTCAACATATGCCATGGCTGTAGGTAAATGACAGAACTTGCAATGTAGAGACAAACAGTAGATCCCAAAGATATGACCATATCTCTGAATGTTTCCTGGGTAAACAATCCATGGAAAGTGATGTGATCCTCCTTTAGCAGGTTCTCAAATGATTTCACACTCATGAAAACACTGCAGAACATCATATATATCATCAAAACTGCAAAAAAGATAAAAGTAACCACATAATACAACTCTGTACTTTTTGGTTTGTTACCAAGTGATAGGATAAATGTTGATAATAAACAAACACCATATAACCATAGAAAGACAACTGATAAAACACCAAAAACTGATTTATATGTGGTTGCGATTGATAACGTCAGAATTCTGAAGACCAAAAAATAAGAACTTAATGAGAACCATGATAGGAGGGTATTAAAAAACAAGTAAAGGAATTCAATCATTAGGAAACATTTTCTAAAAATATTGTGTCCACTGGTCCAAATTCTGTAGAAATGACAGAAAGAGTAAACACTAGCAAAAAATGAACCGTTTAGCCAACGCCTTCTCTGGAGAATAAATTCCGGAACTCTATCAGGAACGTCAGTAGTTGCGTGAGAGCTTCTACTATATTTCAAAATCCAATTCGCATTTTTCTTCATAACAACTTCAAAACATAAAATACGATCCTCTGCCAGATACATATTCGATGAAAAGAAATGAAATTTCTCCTCATGCTCCATACTCTCACCATAGAAATACTTCTGCAACGGCAGTCCTTGGACAGCTTCGAGCCTGTAAGCTGAAAAAGCACCGGGCAAAACAGTAATGAAACCAAAATTAGATTCTGTCGTTTTGTCTAGAATATTAGACATTTTGTACTCGAAGTTTTGGGATGCAATCAATGGGTTGATTAAATTTGAGTAGTTTTTGCCCAAATCTGTTCTGATTTCACCACATGCCCCACCAACTTGAGGATTCCTAAACTCTCTCCATAATTCATAAATAGAATCTTTCCCAGGCATTGTACCCGCATCTAATAAAGTTACAATATTTGGTCTCAAAAGTTCGGCAAAACCTTCAAAAGCCCATCTGTGAGAGTTAATTTTTTTCTGATTTTGTTCTTTTAAACAAAAAAGCATTTGAATAGGTACTGTACTTTGGTCACATCTTAACTCGACGTTATCATCTGTAACATCTACGACATTCATCATAGTTGTGTGTTCGTAAACGTGAGTAACAACTTTTTTACCATTGATTTCATCCTTAGCAAACCCATCTTGATAACAACCCAAAGAACTTAACAATGCTAACGACTTTTCATTTATTTTAGCTCTACCATCTGATACAATACAAACGACAATTTTTTTCCAGGCATCTGGACCCCATGTACTAGATCTGGTCTTCTTCACCATATGCTTAATATTATCCATTACACCTTTGAGCGTTCTACCTAATAAAATGTGATCCTCATTGTACATTGTAATGACGATCAATAATTCTGTAGACCTCGGATTTAAGTATCTCAGTTGTCTTACAGTGAAGTTCTGTTGTGCTAATACATTAGGCTCACATGTAACAGCTTGATATCTCATAAATTTGAATTCATTAGACAAATCATTGTTTTTATCTATCCCGCTTTGATACTGATTTAGTAACGATCTACTAATAGGAGAATCAAAAACAAAATTACCTTTCCAAAGTTTGAACTTTCTAACTTGAGTACCAGCACGTTTTAAAGAGCGTTTCTTAAAGCTCTCCTCCTGATTGATCAACATATCACGAGAACCCATCGATGAAGTGAAAGAAGTGTTAAGGGATTTAATTTTATCGATAGTATTTGTGTCGAGATCTGCCAAGTCCTCATGTGCATATCCACTAATAACACTCCCACTGCTTAAATCACCATCTTCACCATCACCATAACTATATTCACCCTCGGCTTCGGGTAGTTCTCTATTGGAAGTAACGGCGTCATATTTTTTATTCTTCATATAATCCACTGAGAGAAGCTCTCTTCCAGATCTATGCCCGTATCCATACTGATCTTCATCCACTTCATAAGGATCAATCATTTCACCATTCTTACCCAAGTATGAATTGATTTGATAATCATCACCATTTGGATCCACATAACTGTTTTCAATATCACCATTCGGTACTTCACCGCCATAATAAGGATGTGTTGCGTTTTGTTCGTAATTATTGTAGTTATTGTTATAGCCATAATGGTTGTTAAATGATGGCTCGTTTCCCACAGGATTATTTAGAATTGGTCTTGTATCCTCTGAGTTCGATATTATACTTGGTGTATCCGATATAACAGGAGTTACACCCGACTGTGTATTTAGGTAGCTACTGTTTACCCTATCTCCGTTATTTATATCATCTTCAGTTCTAATTATGTTATTATTATAGTAATAATCCTCTTCATTGAAATAGTGTGTGGTGGAATTGCCTGTCTGACTAGCCAGTATGGAGCTGCTGGTTGTACCGTGTATAAGTTCGGGAGTGTTTTGTATAATATTAATGGATGGACCATTTGTGGTAGGTGTCACAAGACTATGTTCCTGATTGTGATCAGTGAAACTGTTGTTTCTATAATTCAAATCAGTGTTGACAAAAACATCTGTGTACTCTTGTGGAGGAGGAGCCGGACGACCTCTAGAGTTCGTATTGACAAAATTACGGTACATGGGGTTAGAATGCATAGTACCGACATTCCCATAACCATCGTTGGCCACACCTTGTGCTACATCATGCATCTCATAGCTTTGGGCCTCTTCTTCGGGTATAGAATCGCTCACATATGGGTGTCGACTTTGCCTGTTGCTATTGTTATTATTGTAACTGCTATTGTTATTATTGTAGTTACCACTATTGCCATTTCCTTGGCCGGAATAGCCATTGTAACCATAACTTCCACCTGAACCGTACTGATAACTCATCGTGTAATGCGTTTACTGCCCTAGTATAGTTTCTCCCAGGACTCAGAAGCTATCTATACCTTAATGAAATAATCTCTTTCAAGTTATATAGACGACTCACAAAACAAAGTATTCCAATAATCAAATTCATAATACGACTATTAAAATTTTTTATTTTTGAAATTAATGCTATACCCATCGCTAGTTTCTATATATAGCACCAACTGCGTGAAGATGAGATAGCAAAATACCGGGCTGGGTTTGAACAAGCAGCTGTCGCGGGTTTACTTTGGCGAACACCAAAGTCTTCAGTCAACCAGTGTCTTGATCCACAGACAGTTGCGCAGCAATACCTAGAAACTACACACACACACACAAACTCGTTTTTCAAAATTGAAATCTGCTATGATTTTGGTGTTCCGTCCGTCTGTCCTTGGAAAACCAGCCCTCTCATTGTTCTGCGAGAGTTTCTTCGAAAAGGGCACAGCAATCCTTATCTTCACAGACACTCTCTTTACTTCCTCTCTTTAGAGAATTTTCCCTTTTGGGAAACCCAATTGCTTTTCTAGATGTACTGTGAGATTGTCGCTGTACTACTCCCCCACCGCAGCTTCTGTGGGCAATCACGTCATTTCCTCAAGGAGACACTGAAACGGCCGTACAAGGTTGTAAGTGAAACAGAGAAATTACAAAGATGGCTTGGTTTTACGTTTATGGTGATATTAGCATGTGATCCAGATGATTACATATGATTCAAATATAAGTTCACAACGTTGATCCTATATTGGTATTTCCAAGTTCTGTTCACAGTGAGAGCAAGCGCATGTAGTATGGGTGGTCACTTATCTGGGCCAGCATGTCTGGCGATTGATGTAGTTGATCTCTTGCTAATTCATTGTTGAGGATTGCCAGGCGATTCTTGGCTTGGTTGAATATATAGTTCCTCTTCAATTTATCTACGATGCATTCCTCTAAACCACAGGGTCTCTCAGCAATCTTCATGGCATTAGTCAGGAAAGTCCTAGCGTTCTTCTGTAATATCTCAATGGTTCTTGTCTCTGAAGGATTACGAATACTCATTAGGAATGCGCGCAGAAGATCGTTATCTGAGGCATTGATGATAATATCGCATTGACGGAACACTATATTGCTCAATTGGTCGCTGAGCCCTCTTATTTTGCCAGAAATTACATCACCTCTTCTTTCATTTAGTTGTTTGCTGATAGTCTGGTATATCTTACTCAACATCGATGAGAAAAACCATTGTTCTTCAACATTGGCTGGTGTAATTTGTTGGCCATCATCAAGAGTAGATAATATAGTCTCAATTAAGTCTGCCTTCACAGAAAGTATTTTTATATCAATCTCTTGATCATTGTATTGACCAAACGGTAATTCAAATTCTTCCAGATATTTCGTCAGCGACTCTTTCTGGGTGTTGCCTTCCAGCAACATAAACTGACCGTATATGGAAAACTTGCTCAAGTTAATATCGAGAGAATCAACAATTTGCTGGTCTTGACCATCCAGTAGAGGCTCTTCCAGTTGTGCTTGAAATCTCTTGAGTGCATCCACAAAGAAAAATATTTGGGAGTCATTGAAAAGAGCATTCTTTCCATTGTACTTGCTCTCCACAATTAATGCAGTGATTGCTTCAATCAATTTGTATGCTATAGTATAGGTTTCAATAAGTGTATCAGGTGTAATCTGGTCAGACACTTCCATTAAACTAGTCTCTTGTTGATCACTGTCTTGCATATGCTTTACCCCGGTGCCATCATTTGAAGCTTGTTGGTCCTGCAAGGTATCATTTTGAAAACCTTTCTCGTCTAGACCATTGTTCAATTCAGCATCAGTACTCTGTTGAATCTCTGACCACTCTTTTAAACTAGTGATAATATCATCCACTAACTCACGAAAACATGGATAGAATTTTTCTTGGAATAAAGTCAATACCTGTGCTCCATCAAGTTCCCAACCTATACCAGGGTTTACACCATTTATACCTTCAATAAGTAACAGATAACATGTTAATAGGTTAAACTTTAGATCCCAAACGCTATTATCGCTTGTACATTCCTGTAACACTGACTCAAACTTCTGTGTTATTTCAGGAAGGGTAAATATGATCTGATCCAGCCCAACCAATTCTTCGAGATTGTTAATGTAGTTCAGGATGTTAATGTATCCATTAGCTGCAACATATTCTGTATAGACCACCAGATACAATCTAACCTGGTTGTACAATATGTTGTATCGATTCGCTTGAGATGCCTCATTGGTGCAGTGCAAGGCTTTAGTATACAGTTCTGAAGCCTGTATATAGAATCTTAACGTTTTCTTGATGTCTGATAATATCCATCTTTCTGCCTGTTCTTCCAGGTTTGTAGCTTCCAAGTAGAAATCCTCCTGTGTTACCAAAACGGGCTCTTTGCTCTGCTTCTTCTTTGGGATTCTTCTTCTTCCTGCACTTGACATTTTTATTAAAATAGAGTGGTTCGGTTGTTACTTTCACTTCGATGATATCTCAATTGAATTGGTCAAGTATACCAGAAAACAAGAAAGAGACAATTCTGCTAATATAGGTCAACAGTTGTCTAACACCTTATTAGTGTAGAAAGAACATGATGGGACTTACCAATGTATAGTTCTGAAGTTTCACACAGCACCAAGAACGAATTTAGCTCATGTGCACTTGTCGTTTTCGAAACTAGTAGCGATTATGTAGTTGAAATGTGAGTAGGTCACATGCCATCATTAAACTACGTAACGGAGCTGAAATATGGTCTTTCCCATGTGTCAAATAACTCTAGAGAGCATGTCACGTACCGGCAAGCAACCTATAATCATCTTAACCCCGTCACTAGGTCAAAAAGTTAACAATCGGTAAGGCCACAGAGTCAAACAAACCATACCTTGAACTCCCTCCCCTTCATCAATCATATCCAAACGTCATTATGACCACAACTCTCACCCCCCGCTACCCTCCAAACCGAAGATATAGGGCAACTAACAATTGTCACTATGTTTGAATTTGAAAGAGATAGATGAAAATGACGTCTTCACTCAATAAATTATAGCACCCTTACTCCGTTCCTCTCCCCTACAGACTCCCCTCTGTGGCCCCATTGTTCTTAGAATAGTTCATCTGCGTTTTGTACGTGTCAATCTGTGTGGGGCGGATGAGCACGTATTAATATTTCCTTATTACCACGCTTTTCCCGTACAACGGGGAAGCTTCCATTTCAATAATGCGTACCTGCAAGGGAATTCCATGCATCGTCTTGTTTTTCTGCGGTGTATTCTCAGCGGGGCACCCTTAAAAAACTTAATTTAAAGAACAGTGATAATAATTGGAATTTAAAATTAGTCCTTTCTGAAATATTATGGATATGGGGCTATAGTATGCGCGGGTGAATAGTATTTCCACCATGGGTATTGTTGTATCATGCACAGAGAATATTCACCAAAAGCAATATGTGGAGTAGTGGGGCAGTAGTGAATTTTCTGTTTTAGTAGGAAGGCTGATACAATTTAAGGAAAATTATTTAGTTATAAAACAAATGTATGAATCCTTGGGTAAATTATAATTTCATTCCCTTGGAAAACAATAAACATATCTAAACCTTTGCTGAAAAGTATCTTTTCAAAGAAGAAAAAATATTAATAGTTCATCCCTTGAAAAAAAAAATAATTATCAGTGCGCTCACAATAATACATTTTGAATTTTGACTGGCTTTTCTTTTAGAACGGTGACGCAAAATTTGAAATAGACGGTTCTAGAACAAGTATATTTGACAAATAACTACATCAATTTAACTGCTTAGTTGCTTTATTCAAGATCCCTAAATCTGTTATATGGTTTTGAGATCGAAAATAGTAAAGATACGGCTGGTACCATAATAACGGTTTGAATATAACCGGTGATAGCAATTAGTGACATTGTACATCCTTACATTTGATTGCTAACCTCCCTAACAAATTTAGTTCTGCTATCAATTTAACCTAGATCAATCCTTAAATTAATTACACGGCAACATGTTTTTCCCTGGCTATTTCCCTGTGAAATATCAAAACCCAGATATAAAAAAGGCCCAACATTTTGATTCAAAGAAGAAATCTCATCATCACAAACATCATCATACCGATAAACAATCATTGGAAGTTGAATCGAGTGAACATATTTCCAAGACGAATCATTCACAAGAGTTTGGTTACCACAGCGCTGAAGATTACGCAAAAATATTAGGTGAAGGTCAGGCAGCACAAGCATACGTTAACGAATCAGACAACATGCAATCTAACACACATCACAACATGCAATCAGGATCCCATCACGACCATGATGTCCATATGGGTAGGGCTGGTATTCCTGGTTGCGGAACAGCTTCTCACTTAGACTACCCACACACAGGCCATGGTCAACACTATGACCACCACAAGGTGGGTATGCTTCCTAATGAATGCCCAGGGAAGGATCTATTGCATATGTCTCCTAACAAAGTAGGTATTCCTGGTTGCGGAACAGCAGGCGGGTTTACCGGAGAAAATATTAGTGCAAGAATGAACTCGAAGAATGTTCCTATGAATGCACAAGACACTACAGATCCTGAATTTGGTCCTCAGAGCAGAAACATCCCAGGTGCAGGACGTATGGATACCGGTATTGTTGGAGGATCTATGGCAACTGCAGGTGCTAATACTGCTGGGGGTCAATTTGATGACGCTAAGATGAATTCCAGAAATGTCCCTATGGGCGGCATGGATACCACTGACAGAGCATTTGGTGGTCAAGAAACTGCCAATGAGATTCCAGGCGCTGGTCGCATGGGTAACAATGGCAATGGTGGTATGTCGTCCAACTCTGGCTATAATGCTGGTAATGTAGAGCCTAATGTTATGTTGAATTCTACTCATCCAAAATTGGAAACAGGTTCCGGTGCCGAATATGAAACTACAGGTAAAGATAGAAAAATTTCTGTAGGATCCTTCGAAGATAGGCATGACAACTCTCATGCTTATGAAACGGTAGAGGGTATCACTGTTGGTCATCCAGTGAGTGCTATGCCTCCACAGCAGCAATATAATTATATTAGGGCTGAATCCACACCCAGATCTCATCAACATCATCATGGGGAACATAAGACTGCTGAAGAAAAGAAACCTGGTTTTGTCAAAAAGGTAGAACAGACTTTACATATCGGAAGTGAAAAATGATTTATTAGCTGTTTATGAATCGTTTCAAATTTTTAGTATTATGTTATGTTTTTAATTTTACAGATAAGTATAAGTAATATAATATTTGTGTAGCTGCGGTATAATTCAAATGGCCTTTTAATTATTTGAATCGGTCATTGCAATACATTTATTTTGATTAGTGGATGCAAATGAGAAAAATACCATGATATCAGAATATAAGTAGAAGTAATGTAATCAGCTAGTAATCATTTAATCTCTGACGGCACTATGATTACACAGTACTCAAGTTGCCATCTTACCAATTACTGAATTATAGTTTTATGTATCGCTACCAATCTCAAAAAGTTTTTAATGCAAGTACTCAGCATTTGATACAAATTTAAAGTAAACTACACTATGCAAACCAGTGAATTACTATCTTATAATTTTCATTCGTGTAGAAGTTTAAGTGATGATTACTGATAAGATGACTATTAAAATCATGATAGGCTATGTTCAAGAAACAAAAATAGACGTAATAATTATTATTCTATATACAGTTACCTTAATTGATAGAACATATTTTATTTAATATTACAACAAGGAAAGATTAGGAGTTGATCTTTCCTAATATGACAGGATCAGAATATTCAGTGATTATTCAATGCAGTTATTAGTTTCTTCATATAATTGTTTATATGGCCAACCAAAGTGGAATAATGTAATTCTATATTATCAATTTCATTATTAAATTGTATTTGGATGTCATTTAGTTCGCTTTGAAGTATCTTTATCTTTTTTTCTGTAATTTCATTCTCTATATATACTTCCGCCTCTTGCATTTTATTGTGGATAATGTTATTATACTTTCCTTCCAACTCCTGTATTAGCTTTTTATTTTCCAAAGTTTCCCTATAATGTTCCTCATTTATTCTTTGATATTCTGTTTCTGCCACATTTAATTGTTCCTTCAAAACATCATATTTATATATTACATTCGATTCGAGCAGATTCTTTAAGCGTGTCCTCTTCTCTGTAAGTGGTCCCTTAATTCCTTCTATATTCAATTCTGCCCTGTGTGACTCCTGCAAGTCCGTTGATAGTAAACGTAGTATATCATAAATATGTTCAATGGCTTTCTCAAGTGTATCAACAGTGACCTTCAAATTAGATACATTACCTTCTAATTTTGACACGTACCCAATCTGTTTCTTCTTCTCCTCTGTTAATCTGTCAATAGAGTTATTTAAAGAGTTCTGTAGATCTTGGTCATCATCATTATAATTCATAAGGCGTTCTTTTTTGGATTCCAATTCTATTAGTGTGAAACTATTCTTTTCTAGTTCCCGAAGGAGTTCCTGCTTTTTCATCTTGTAATTATTGTAATCAATGGATAGCTTTTCCTGAAGTATTGTAAGCTTTTTAAGGTTAGTTTCCAGAACTTTGTTTTTTTGTAGTAGATCTTCTAATTCACCTGGAGTTTTCTCATCATCATCCTCAATTGCTGTTAATTGTGCTTTCAAATAATTGAAATCGTCAAATTTCGATTTTAACTCGTCTAGCATTTCTTCCATTTGTATTATGAACTGATTACAATCAAACATCCTCTCCTCCCTAAATCTTGCATAGTTTACAACTGCACTCAAAAGCCTTCTAGTTCGATAAGCCTCTGGCTTATAGAGATCCACGATGTTAAAATCATTGATGCCAACGTTCTCAAAGAATTTGTAACATATTTTATTTAATGTCAACATCTGTAAAGTCTCTCTGTAAGGCCCATCAAACATATCCACCGACGTGGACTCGTCATTTCCTTCTGTATTTTGTCGAGAAGAGAGCTGTTCTGCTAGGACTTGCTCTGGAGATATTCCCATAAAGTTTTCGATAATCTGTTTGTATAGAGTAATCACATATTGAGAGGTGGGCCTAGCAATGTGCTCTTCAGTAGCCATTGCAAAATCACAGCTCTGTAAGCATATCACCAGCTCTTCTAAGTCTAGAAGGGGAAATATATCTTGCGTAGGAGTTGCCATTAGAATTGCTCCAGATTGCCGTTCTTGTATTTGCTCCTTATCCTACTTCAAAAATCAAAATCAGTCTAATCTCTTCTATAAGTACTCTGAATGAGCACTAACACAATGGCTTTATTTTGAACCGACTGATTGTTATCTGTTGTGGCACACTGTTTCTGATCTATTTACGCATTGATTACTACTATATTGTATATAGTGATGCTTTGATGAGCATGCTATTGTTTTGATTTTTCAGATTGTTTTTCGTCTTTTGGCGTTATTACGCGACTGGTCACATGGGCCAAATAATATAATAGAATCACCAGCAAAGGAGCTGATTTTGAGATGATATTGACATGATCTTGTAGAAGCTATAAATACTATATTATCGTATTTAAGTTTTCATTAAATAAAGAATAGCGACTGGTATGCAAATGTTTTTCGCTACTTAGAAAGTAATATTACAAATACTGCTGTGGATACTGTGATTTGCTAAAAATCTGGGCTCGGTATATTCAGCATTGCAAAATCCTATTAAGCTTTATTTCATGGTTCCAATCGTTCTTGCCCGTTGTTGCTTCCTATTTTTTGCTATTTTTGAGATTAGTGAGGCCATTTGAGTTTTCCTGCTACTCTTGAGGCTTGATTTTAGCTTCGTTATGTGCGTTGATGAACAAATATCTATGGAACCAGGTGCTATATCGACCACATAATCCAATGGATTGATATTGACTGACAGATGTGGTTTGTATATGTTGCCGTTCATGAACGGTATGTTTTGCTCTTCTCTTTTTAACAAGTTTAAAGAATAGTATGGGGTGTTTAGTCCATCAGTGTCTAAATATTTTGTTGCATCTGCCGACAAATATTCCTGGCAATACAGGCTATGTTCCAGTTTGTTCTTGTCTAGTTGAGCATGTAATAGATCATCTACACCGATATATTGACCATAAATCGCATTACTGTCTCTTACTATTTCCAACCTGAACATATCACCAACACCATCCATTAACATTCTGACCTTTGTTCTGTAAGTTAACTGTTGAAGCTTCGTAGTTGTTAATTTTTTCATGTTATCAACAAGTAAATCAAGTATTTGTAAAAGCGAGGGGGTTTGAGAAATGGTAGTAATCACTCCCAATATATTTCGTATAACTCTGTCGATAGTGTACAACTTGTATGCCTTGTTTTCAAAGTTTATTCTCAAGCTTTCTTCAAACCACTGATGATCCAAATTTCCACTTAGGAATTTCTTCGATGTAGTTTTGATCCATTCGTATCCATCATCCTGACCTAGTTCCAACCCATTATCGCTAAGTTGCATCGGAAGTAATTTGAGAGACTTAGCAAGTAGGGACGGCCTTCTTTTTTTTGTCCGCAAGTCCTTCAATATGGTTGTCTCAGCAATTTTAACGTCATTATAACGTTCATAGAGTGTTTGAATGTAATGAAAGAGACTCATAATATTAATATCACAAAATATATTAATATTTTGTCGGTTCGAGAATTCTTTTTTGAGTTCTGTATCATTACTAAACCACCTTCCAAGCCCCTTTTCTTCTAAAATCCCTTTCATAAACATTGCCTCAACGTCATCTTCACTTATTTGCGAATTTGATGAGATTGCAGGGTTGTGGCAAAACTGGAAATCTAAATGCTTTGTAAAAGAAGACTCCTCAAACAATAAATCAAAAAATGCTTCAAAAATTTGACAGTAGAGATTCTTTTGGGATTCACTAGTCGATGAATTAGATCTTAATCCACATAAAATGATGTCCTTTACATCATAAAGAACTGATTTATCAAAAAATTCATACTTATATTCATAATTATCATAGTGCTCCTTTAATAGTTTGTCCTGTTTTTCAGATTTGTACTCCAAGAGCAGTTGTTTGTCGTTTAGAAACCGCTTCTCTGCATTTTTAAATGGTAACCCTAAGTGATCTAGAGACTTATAGTATGCTTTTTGTTCAACTTCTCTCCATGCTTTATTCCATTCATTCTTTGCAGAATTCCATTGTTGATATTTTTCCTTTGCTGTTTTAAGTATAGTAGGTACAACTTTCTCAGGATTCGTTTTAATTGCATCAATGAGAATGTTTCCATGTTCAATTCCATAGAGTCTTCTTATTACTTTCTCAGTAATGCTATTTAACGATATCATTGGTTCCTTTGGAGATGATACTCTGTTTCTACGTCTTCCGTCGTCCTTTGAAAGCTGAAGACTTTTTTCGTATTCGGTAAACTTAACTATTAAATGTTCAACCGAAAGTAAGAAAAAATCATATTCATGGCGTTCCTCTTCTACCTTAAAGAGTGTCTCTTCATATTGATTCTTTTTATGTGCAATGAAGCCAACTTCTTCTGAAGCCCATACGGGATGGCCCACCCATTCATCATTAAGAACTTCATGACAAAGTCTATCTCTTCCGTGACATGAGGCTCGGGTTTCAAAGCCAGAAAGTCTTTTATAACTCGGACCAGATTCAGTAGAAAAATCTTCTATATCATCGAAATCATTGGATTTCAAAGTTGGTTTCATTCTTTGGTGAATATCTTTGTATTCACTCATTATATTTCCAAAAGCTGTTTTGAGTCCATTGTGGGAACCAAAAAAAATATATGCTCTTTTAGTGAAAGTGTTTAAGTCGATTAAGCTTTGTGCAAATAAATTCATTAATTTCAAGAATTCTGGATATATTGATTCGTCATAGACCAAGTTCCGGAAGTAAATGAGAAATTCAGCCATGTTGGTCGGCCTATCTATTGGCGTGTAAAATGTATCTTTTGAGCTAAGCATTGAAAACTTAGCGCAACGATTATCTGTATTTTGCGATAGAGTTGACCGTATGCTTGATATTTGCTCTTCATTTTTTTCAGTACTTTGTCTTGGATCTATGACCCCTGTTGGTATTAACGCCAGTAATTTCTCTAGTACCTTAGGCTCATCCTTTAATGCAATTGATAATTTGGAGATTTTTTCATCGCGAGATAAATCGGAATATAGCACTCGCTCAATGTATGTTATCTGTTTATTTTCCAGAATTCCACATAATTCATCAACAATGAGATCTACATTTAAATTTTGTCCACAAGTTCGTGTAGTATATTCATTAGGGTCCTTTCCAAATATATCCCTAATAGTTGAAGATAAATGTGGGTATTGTTCATTAATACCTTTTATAACCCTTTCAATACTATTATCTGGACTTGATTCTCCATTGCTGAACTCATCTATATCGCTTCTAATAGCTGATATTAAGCTATTATAGTCTTCGTGGGAAAGATTTTTCTTTAAATCGTTATAACTCTTGACTACCGAATCTGTAACATTATTAAATTCCAAAGTGACCATCACAAATTAAGGAGGCAAAATGCTGAGAGATAATTCAATGAAGCAATGTTAGAGAAGATCTACAGATGAAGTGTCTTATTAGTCCGGAAAAAATCTCAACTATTTTACCGCAACCTGGTGTAGAAAACTATTAGACTTTTTGATTGTTCAAAGAAATTAGATGCTATAGGTAATATCCTGACTTCTAAAAGTGGGTCTAATATTTAATCAAATAAGGACAATAAGCACTTTGGACTAGGTATCCGATTCATAAATGAATATTTGTTGGCGAATCGGATGACATTTTCAATAGCAGAGCTAAGACTTCAAGAGAGACGACATTTAAAGCTGATCCAATGTTTCAAAAACTCCATTTATACGGTAATCTCACATGATTTCCATTTTTTCCTACAGCAGCGCCAATAACCTCCGAGATCATCAGAAATGTGTTGATTCATATATACCTATTACAGTTGTTATGATGCCATTAGATTATTATTTTAGTCCATCTTATGCATATTTTAGAAAGATATTTGAAGGTCAATTGCTCCATCGATTGGTTGTACAACTTGAAAATAAGACGGTATTCCTATTGTTGCCCGAAAAATGCATATTGATTTGGCCGTCGTATTTGAAACTCCAGTTATTTAGGGGAAATGATATGAAAATTATTGAAGGTAGAATTAAAATAAAAATAAAAATAATGATTATTAAATACAATTATTGGTATCGTAATGAAATGAAATAAAAGGTAAACTCGAAATAAAGAAATATTAAAAATGGAAGGAAATTAAAAGGAAGGCCGAGGAATAGAAGTATTAGTAGTTGATAATCACCTAGATATCACAGCAAACAAAGGCCAGTATTGAAATAGGGTAAAAAAAGAACAAAATAAAATCAGTAGCTCCAGTAGCACAAATCATCATCCTAAACATCTCATCAAAGAATATAAGAGGGACTCTTGAATATGGAGCCTTTAGAACATTTACTGCTGAAATGTTCCTTAAGTCAAGGAAGTTATCAATTGATGCAGTGTCAATAGATTTGCTCAAATATTAATGATCAACAGTAATAATTGATGCTTTTTGTTTCAGTCCCTCTTTAACAAGCATTAATTTGCTTTCAAAATTGCAATCTGTATGACCTGGAATCTCCCCAATTCTTAATAGTTCTACTAGAGGGTATGTCTCACTTTCATGATCTGGAGAAATATATGTGACTAATTTTCCACCATCTGATATAGCCAGTTTATGGTGGTCCTTAAAGTTAAATTGAAATGTTCCATCACTTAGTTCAAACATAACAAATTCTTTATATCTAGTATATCTCCTTAAGAACACATCGTCTTTGTGATATTCTTCCCTAACAAAATTTGAAACTCGACTTAAATTTGCTCTCATGTATTTGGCAAAGAAATCAACAACTTCCAAATGTCTACTTAGTTCTTTTGGTTTCTCATCTAGTAGATAATGGCTTGCAACCCATCCTTCCCTTTCATCATAAGTTATATACCAGAATTCATCTGCATCAGCAAGTCTTAAAACAGTGGATCCATTATTAAACAGTACACCAATGTCTTCAGTGGAAAGCTGATATGAGAAGCCATGCTTATTAGAATAGTCTACCCATTTAGTAACAACCATTGGGTTTTTTATCGATGGTAGTCTCGATTTTGGTAGTCCGCCCATTCTCTTTTGAGCTTCAGCCTCTAAGATACCATTCAATGTCAATTGACATTCACTAGCCAAAATACGCAATGATATGTCCGATTTGATTAGATTTGTTGATGTAGGGATTAATTCTTTCCTTGCCATTGATTGCCTAGCCTTACGAATTCTAGCTTCTCTAGCAAGGTCATTCAATTTCCTTTGCGCTTCAAGATCAATAACTTCTTTGTATTTATTTTTAGTCCCTCCAGGGGATAAAGAGTGAGGTAAGATTGGTTGGAATTGCTCCTGTTGCTGGAATTTCTCCATATGAAATCTCTTAGATGCAGATGTTTGTACCGTGTCTGGATACCCATTATTTCCTATCGAATTACCAGCATTATTGTATTCCGTCATGTAAGGGTTACTACTGTACTTATGTGCAGGTGCAATATGAAGCTTATTTGTTGGCACTGTTCTTTCAGAAATATTTGCCACCATATGGTTTTGGTGAACACTTAAGAGACCAGAGGCCTCTAAGCAATTTTGAAAATTCATGAATGACTCTTGTGGAGTAATATGACTATAGTCAGGTACTGTGGTCATCACACTATTTAATGTATAAGGTGGGAAGGTACCTCTAAACCAAACATAGTCCATGATCTCTTGTATAGATGGTCTTTCCATTGGGTTCAATGATAAAATGTCATCTATCAGGTATTTGGCATCTTGTGATATTTTTTTATCCTTTGGATAAGCAAAATTCCTTTGTTTAATTCTTTCATATATTGTGTTTACATCTTTGGCTTGGAATGGTGGTTTACCAATTAGTAGCGCGTATAGCATGACGCCGATAGACCATATATCAACTTCATAACTATGCCCCGAATGCTTTCCCATAAGAACTTCTGGTGCAATATAATTTGGTGTACCACATATGGTAAACTTTCTCTCGCGATCATTTGCCAGTACAGCAGCCAAACCGAAATCTCCTATTTTCAAGTTATAATGCTCATCGAAAAAGATATTTCCTAGTTTTAAGTCTCTGTGTATAACTCTGTTTGAATGCATATATTGGATACCTCCACATATCTGTGTCATGAAAAATCTAACCTCAGGCTCGGTGATAGTCTTCCTCTTTTTAATAAGTTCCATCAATGAACCATTTGGACAAATCTCAAGTAAAATATATACATTGACATTATCTTCAAAACAATCGATAAATTGCACTATATTGGTATGGCTCATGCTTTTATGTATCTGGATCTCAGATAGTAGTTTCTTTCTTGTCTTTTCCGATTTGATAGAAATTTTAGCAACAGTTTTAGCTGCAAATATTTTACCGCTATCGTCTTTTATTTGAAAACAACGTGCAAAACCACCTTCTCCAAGGAATTGGCCTCTATGATAATCTCTTCCACGAGTTTTGATTAAAGATGGTGGTGTCTTACAAAGGGAAGAGAGTTTCTCTTTTTTCCTTTTATGTTGTTGACCTTGCTGATCTATACGTTTATGGTGTTGATTTACCACATAGTTTTCTTTCCCTTCTTCATAATGATTATGTGATGCTGTTGGATTGGTTTTTACTGGAGTTCTAGCTATCCTGACATTTAGTTGTTTATCATCTACATTCTTTAATGGACCCATCATACTCGTTTAGGGTTGGGTTATTTTTGGTATTAGTTAATATTCAAAAGACAAAAATTAAAAAAAAAAATAAAGGAGCAAAATGTAAAAAAAATTAGGTCCTTCTGTCGTGGTTGAAAAAATTGGTGGTATAATTTATTGTTCTCTTTAATTTTCTTATGGGTTGAATCTTTATTATTATGTTTAACTTAACTTATTACCATATAGAAATTTCAGAACAGAAAAAAAAAATATTCTATATTCTCCCTTTGCTCTATGATAGATTGAAATACTTCTTGATTTGAGTTTGCTTTCAGCCTAGAATTATATCTTAGCAAATTTACAAGTTATCCGGAGATTAATTGTAAGCAAATATAATCAAAATTGGTGAAAATAAACTGATTTATCCACACAGAAAAATAATAAATGATGGTCAAACCTGAAAAAAAAAAGAATAGTCTCAAGAATTCTTGTTCCTATTTATATGCCAGAAAATTGTCGACTTCAAATGGTAATTGAAGGGCGTGTCTAAAAGAGATTGTAATACTTTGACTTTTTATGTTTTTGTGTCCTCAAAATTCTAAACTCTACTTTATACTTGTGGGTAATTATCGCTTATCAAGTACTAGTCAGTGTAAAGCAGATAGGGACAAACCTTGGGTAGTCTCTTGATCGGTCACAAAAAGCTTGGCTTGTAGTAAAACTTCTTTTGTGTCTATTTTCTAGCACTGGTATGCTTTTTTGATCTAAACCACAAAACTAACAGGAAGAAAAAATACAAAAAAAAAAAGCCTGCTTTCCTGTTATTTACAGATAGGTATAATCGGGTATTGTGGGAAAGGCCGGTGTATGTTCTTGTACTCTCTTGTAAAAGACAGTTTCTCTTCAGATTATTGTTTTTGAAAAGGATCGGCAGAATGCAACAAAAAAAAAAGATAGCACACAATCCTGGTTTATTGATCAATACACTTGCAAAGTAAAAGTATCTTGGTGCGGTTTGCAATGCCTATACCTGTAGTCTCAGAAGTGTATCACAATACTATTCTGGTTGTTTTTCAGTTATATAGAACTAAGGAAAGCTATAAAGCTATCTAAAGTTTTTTTTGTTTTATTTTATTTTATTTTATTTTTGTCTTTGTGGTCGATTATATTTATTCTAACATTCAAGATATAAAAAGAAAATCAATTGCAACAAGCAGTAAAAAAAAGAAAATAATCCCTGTGTTTGCATTCCCATTAGTTATCATTTATCTCTTTTGAGTAAAAATATCAAGTGCCCTTCAAGGATTCAGCACAAGAAGGGGATCAACACAACACAAGAGATACAAAGAATTGATTTCGAAAAGCAAGAGTAAAAGCCTTTGTTGTCACATTTCCTCAATTGAACAAAAAAAGAGACCTATCCCAACTCCTTAGATCAGTAGCCTGATCAGTTGAAAACCCCTACTCAATAGCCAATATGCCAAAGTAGTTGTTAAACTACAATTGACCCGTTGTTAGCACATCGAGAAAAGTTATTTTTTTTTTTTTTTCAGTTCTTTGTTTGTCTTTCGGCTGTTGACAACTTCCCGTTTTTGGAAAAATCTTTAATTTTTTTGTTCCAGTTTTTGCCAATATTTCTATTGCTCTTCGAAGACAAACCATAAGGCCTGAATATTAATATATAATAGTTGTGCTACGGAGGCAAACTTGCAAGGAATGTATTTGCCGTTATATCTCTCTACAAGAAAGATCGGCTACCAGGGACAATATCATGATGTTATATCCTCCTGTTCCTCGATTGCACAACTCCTAGACCCAAACTAAGTTGTTCAAAGGGTTAGCATGAAACTGTAGTCTAAAGATGTTATAGCAAACGTGGGTGTAGCCATTTTATCTGTATCATTATTTAAATCCTTTCTATACTACTTTTTGTTCTTACATTTCGAATTTACATTAGTTGCTTACTTTTTTTACGTATTGGTTGAATTGAAAGCAGATAAGAACATATAGGTAAAAAGAAAAAGTAAACTCGAAAAAAAAAAAATTATACAGAAAGTAAACCTAAATCAAATCAACCCTAAAATGTCAAACACCTGTGCTGTCATTTATGAAACACTTGTTGTTATCCCAACTTGCCCACATCACCTTTCCTAATATATTTATATAATACTCGCCATCCCTTCTTGATCCCCATTGTTTTCGGAAGTATGGCATAGAAAGATACGTAGGTACCTTGAAATTTGTCCATTTTGGTTAAGCTCAAATTGCTGGAAAAAAAAAAAATTCAAAATTTTGATCTGAAAATTTTCTGAGATCATCGAAAGTTGAACAGCTCGTTAAACCCGTATTTAAAGGTAAAGTGGAGCATTGCAGTTTTGAACAGATTTCAGCTAGGGCTTTGACGAGGAAGACGCACGTTGCTATACAGATAGTTGTGCGCTATAAAAATAAGTTGTCTCAGGGTTACGCTTCCTACAAATTATATATCACGCTGAGTTAAGAAAAGCGATCAAGAAAAAAAAAATCTACAACAGAACTTGAGTTGTCAAATAAGGGAGGGAGATCGACGTTATTGTATTTCATTCCAATTACAGAATTTGGACATCCAATTTCCATATATTATAATTAATAGAAAGACTGTAACTTTTGGTGCATAGATTTAAGTACTAGAGAATATGACATCTGATGAGGTTAAGCCTAACAAAGGTAGTGGTGGGGAATACAATGAGGATGCACCATTGTCCCAAACATTAGCACAACCAGTCATATCCGATCCAGTTCCTAAGAAAGATGAGAAAGAGAAGAAACTGAAGAGATCAAGAGAACTTTCATCAACGAGTAAGGAAAAGACCAAAAAAGTGAAAAAGATCAAAACAGAAAAGCCTGCAATTAAGTCGGAAAATGATGAAGATATCGATGAAAAGATGTCTCTTTCACAAGTAGCTGAGTTGAAAAGGGAAAATAGCACTTTTGATGATGAAGAAGAGAAGTACAAATGGTGGGAAAACGAAAAAAATGATGACACTATAAAATGGGTATCATTGAAGCACAATGGTGTTTTATTTCCACCCGAATACGAACCTCTACCTTCTCATGTGAAACTATACTATGATGGTAAACCTGTTGATTTACCCCCTGCAGCTGAAGAAGTTGCTGGTTTTTTTGCAAACTTACTACATACTGATCATGCAAAGAACCCAGTCTTTCAAAAGAACTTTTTCGAAGATTTCTTGCAAGTACTCAAGGAATCTGGCGGCACCAGGAATAAAATAAATATAACAGTTTTTAAGAAATGTGACTTTTCAAAGATGAATCAATACTTTGAGCTGAAGAAAGAGGAGAAAAGAAACATGTCTAGGGAAGAGAAAAAACAAATTAAATTGGAAAAGGATAAATTTGAAGAAAAATTCAAATTCTGTGAACTAGACGGTAGAAAAGAACAAGTCGGAAACTTTAGAGTTGAACCACCTGACCTTTTTAGAGGTCGTGGTGCACATCCTAAAACTGGTAAATTGAAAAGACGTGTATACCCGGAAGATATAATATTGAATTTAAGTAAAGACGCACCGATACCGCCTGCTCCTCAAGGCCATCACTGGGGAGAAATAAGACATGACAATACCGTGCAGTGGTTGGCGATGTGGAAAGAAAATATATTTGGTTCTTTTAAATATGTTAGATTGGCAGCCAATTCTTCACTTAATGGTCAAAGTGATCTGAAAAAGTTTGAAAAAGCCAGGGAACTGAAGAAGTATATTGGTGATATAAGAAAAGATTATAGAGAAAGTTTTAAAAGCAAGATTATGCTCGAAAGACAAAAAGCAGTGGCTACATACTTTATTGATGTATTTGCCCTTAGAGCAGGTGGGGAAAAGTCAGAAGATGAAGCAGACACAGTAGGCTGCTGTTCATTGAGATTTGAACATGTAACATTAAAACCACCAAATACTGTAATATTTGACTTTCTTGGTAAGGATTCTATTAGATATCACCAAGAGGTCGAGGTCGAAAAGCAGGTGTTTAAGAACTTGAAAATATTTAAAAGACCACCAAAGAAAGATGGCGATGATCTATTTGACAGATTGGATCCGTCTATCTTGAATAAATATCTACAGAACTATATGCCCGGATTAACCGCTAAGGTGTTCCGTACATATAATGCTTCGAAAACAATGCAGGATCAATTGGACTTAATTCCCAATGAAGGTACTGTGGCTGAAAAACTACTTAAGTACAATGCTGCCAATAGAGCAGTTGCCATTTTATGTAACCATCAAAGGTCTGTCACGAAGGGGCATGCTCAGTCTGTTGAGAAGATGAATCAGAAGATTGAGGAGCTCTTGTGGCAAAAGATACGACTCAAGAAAGGTATCCTCCAATTAGAACCATCAAGAGCACAAAAGAACAAGAAGTATTTCAAGGAGATAAATGACATGACTAAAGTCGAACAAGCAACGATACATAAGCGAATTGTTGACAGAGAGAGGGAAAGACTCAAGAAGAAGTTTGAGAGAGATAATGAGAAACTTGTTGCTGAGAAGAAAGATCCATTGCCGAAAACAGAATTGAAGGAATGGCTGAAAAAAGTTGATGATCTGGAGAAACAGTACAAGACAGAATTAAAAACTGGCAAAGTAGAGCTTAAGGCAACCATGCAATCGGTTGAGAAACTAGAGAAACAAGTTGAAAAGCTAGAAGAGCGCATAAAAACTAGCTCAATTCAATTAAAGGACAAAGAAGAGAATTCTCAGGTTTCTCTAGGTACATCTAAGATCAATTATATTGACCCCAGATTATCCGTCGTTTTCTGTAAGAAGTATAACGTTCCAATAGAGAAAATTTTTACGAAGACTCTAAGGGAAAAATTTGCTTGGGCCATTGAATCTGCTGATGAGAATTGGAGATTCTGATCATCTATATTTATTCAAGCATAGCTATTGCTTTTGTGTTCCTTATTTTACTTGTTTTTACAAGAAGAAGTTCAAGTTCAAATGCAATACAACAGCATCTAACGATAAGGTCTCGTTGACCTTTTTTTTTTATAGCATATTACCTATTTAATATATCCTAACACGTTGCATAACTTCTCATTTCACTTCCAGATATGAACGCATAACCGCATTGAAGTTACTTTACACCTAGCGATAGCAAACTAACCGCCAGTCTCATCCATAAGACTGTTATTCCTTCAATTAAACATGAATACCTTAATAGGTCACTATCAGAGATCACAGTTCACGGTGTAATAGACTCCGATAACACGGGTAAGGAGGAGCGACAACAGAGTCTGAGGCCTGCGACTGCAACAGGAATTGTTAGGGCCATCCCGGGATGCTGCCACCAAGCACCGAAGAACCGGAGATATCGACTCAGCTCGCAATATTCGCGGATGGGAGAGGAAAACAAGTGGCTCTTACCAGAATTTCTCTGCCAAGCACCATTGCAGAGCTTCCGGAACGTTCTAAACTTTCACTCGCTGATCAACCTGACCAAAGGTCATATCTCACAGTAAAATTATTGTTAATGCGATGTGTGGGTGCACGATAGATTCTTGAGTGGTATGTATGGGTGTTCGCATTTTATTCGCCACAAGCCATATTGTGCGTACCTCAGTGCCATCCATTCTTTCGAAGACATATAAAGCACGCATTGGATTAACAGCTTCCCTAGTAAGAAAAGTAAATATATTAGAGGTAGCGGTAATCCGATTTACAATTACTTGCATAACGAGTACAGAGAAGGATACTATTAACTACAACAAATACTACAAAGAATAATAATAATGGCACGTTCTAGAGGAGGATCAAGACCAGCTGGTAGAAGCAGCGCATTCTCTCGCCCACAACAGAGCCGTTCTGCATCTACCGCTGCTTACCCAGCTGCACCACCTCGTCAGCAACCTGTGGCTCCGGCCAACGCTCATCCGCAAGCTGGTGCTCAACCGCAACAACCAGGTTTGTTTGCGCAGATGGCATCTACTGCAGCTGGTGTAGCTGTTGGTAGTACGATCGGCCACACCTTGGGTGCTGGTATCACTGGTATGTTTTCTGGTTCTGGCTCTTCTGAAGTGAGTGATCAGCAACAGCAACCAATGCAGAATTTTGACGCTGCTGCTCAACAACAACAGCAACAATTTAGAACATGTGATGCCGATGCAAAGAATTTCACACGTTGTTTGGATGAAAATAATGGCAACTTCCAAATTTGCGATTACTACTTACAACAATTGAAGGCATGCCAGGAAGCTGCTCGTCAATACTAGCTGTGCTACATCTATTGCCTCTAGCTTTCGATATTATTTATTCCGATAGAATGGACGAAATTGGCAGTATATTCCTTTTTTGTTACACAATAAATTATCATTTTTGAACATATTCTGAAGAAAAGAAAAGTTTAAATATTCACAGTCAAGCTTATCAATGTAATTCATTTTGAATTTGTTTGTGACCACTTCGTAGTGGCTTCACTTTACGCTCGCGAGAATAATAACTGAAAACATGATCAATTATTTTTAAGGTAGAGATGATCAGTTGAATGCTGTATTCCATATTCAAAAAAATATGAATACGTAACTATCTGTACATATGTGATCAAAGAACTGATGATCGACCGATGCGAGAAAAGGAAATGATGTGATGCCAACTTTATTTCCACTTGACAATAAAATTCAAAACTAAAACTGCTTGCAACCATATATATTTTCTATATCAATACAAAATTTCATAAACTTCGACTCATAAATAACTTTGACATTTATACTCTTTCATTTCGGTGCAACTTCTGGCCGAGTCGATATAATTATGGGACATGGATAATTATGCTTAACAAATGCCAAAGATACCGCAGTATTATTTTCATTGTATTATTGAATAGTGTGCCAGCACAGCAATGTCTATGATAATCAGATTAGGATCAGCTAAGTGCTCCTGGTTCACAAGCGTATGTCTCGACATATTATAAGAAGTCGTACTCACGTGATGAGTTTAACCTTCGTGTGTGTCTGAGGCTGAAAATCTAACTTGTACCTCCCCTACTAATTCTATATGATAGTAATGACTGAATGAAGACTGGATCAGATGTTTACTTGCTTTTTATTAGTATTGCAGTATCCCATCAGGAGTTTATTATTACTTTATTCTTAAGGATTGATTAGAGACATCGGCGAGTCAATAAACTGCGTCACTATTGATATGGATACTTACAGCGGCCAAAACGGTTGGGCTGATACCAGTAATGCATCACCATGGGGTGATACTAATGACACAATGCCTATAGATAACTCGTTAAGTAATTCATTAAGTGGTTTACAATTAAACGAGGATATTAATACAGTAAGAGCCAATTTAACTGAAAGCATATGGGGAACTGAAAGGACAGGTGCTCCAAACAACGTTGAAACAGGATTGGAAGCAAAAGATTCTCTTAACGTGTCAACAAATTTTAACGAGCTGAACACTGCTATTCTTTCACCGACATCTTCTACAAGCAATATCGAAGAGCAGAATTCATTTACAGAATCTCTTGAATCGTGGATAAACGAAGTCAGAAAAACATATAACCCCCAGCAGTTGGATATAATATCAATCGAAGAGATTCCTGAAAGAGAGGGCTTACTTTTCAAGCATGCCAATTACTCAGTGAAACATCTGATCGATCTCCCAAATACTGAACCACCAAAAAATAGAACCGTAGTCAGAAGGTATTCTGACTTTTTATGGTTACAGGAAGTTCTTCTCAAAAGATACCCTTTTAGAATGATTCCTGATCTTCCGCCGAAAAAAATAGGGTCTCAGAATTTGGACCCGGTTTTTCTGAACAAAAGAAGAATTGGCCTGAGCAAGTTCATTAACCTGGTAATGAAACACCCTAAGCTATCAAAAGATGATCTTGTATTAACATTCTTAACAGTACCTACTGATCTTACAAGCTGGAGGAAACAGGTTAGCTATGATACTGCTGATGAATTCACCGATAAGAGAATTTCTAAGGACTTTGTAAAAATTTGGAAGAAGGATCTAGCAGAAATATGGAACAATACTGCCAATTGCATAGATGAGTTGATTGACAAGTGGACTAAAATAAGTATCCTGGTCGATAGACATGAGAAAAGACTTCAGATTATAGCCAATGAACGAAAGATTATGAATGACCTAATACACGATGTTGGGAACCTCACAAAATCTGTGTATCCAATTGATCAAAATCCAACCATATTAGACATTAATAGTGGCATGACGGTAATCAGTAAGCATATAGAAAAAACCAATGAGAACTACAACCAGCAAGCACTGGATACAAAACAAAAAGTTCTACCCAAATTTAGAATGTACACCGACATTTTGCGAGCTTTAAAGAATGTCTTTGAAAGATATAAAATGCTAGCTACTAATAATGTCTCCATGCTACAAAAACATATAGATCTCAATTTACAGAAACTAGAGGATATGAAAGGTAAACCGGATGCTAGTGGACAAGAGTACGATAGAATTAAGACTACAATCAGGAAAGATCGAAAAATCATGTATGAACAAAGCAATAGAGCCTGGTTAATAAGGGAATGTATTCTTGAGGAGTTTACAATATTTCAGGAAACCCAATTTATGATTACAGGCTGTTTTCAGGAATGGGCAAAAGTACAATCAACCTACTCTAGTCTCAACTTAAATGAATGGGAGAATGTAACCAATCATATCCTGGAAATGCCGCTTTCCAGAGAATAGAACACCCAAATTACTAATATCTATACACACAGTTAACCAACGCATTAAACGCAATTCAATTATCGGATATTGTACCTTGTGTAAACAAGCATGCAGTAAAATACTTTGATTTCCCAGTTCATTAGAGTTTTATAATAGCTGACTCATATAGATATGTATTCAAATATACTATGATAATACATTGGCTTTGCAGTGCTCTATTATTACCCGTCATCAATAACGTCAAGTAGGAATCCGTTAAGTACTCTCAGGAAAAAAGTTGGACATACAACAAATTTATAGTTTACAAAATGCTTATACATAAAGCAGTGACAACCAATATTTATAATTGGATTCTTCAAGATACTAAGACACGTTAAGATCTATTTATTCCTTAGTGGACATCAACCTGAATTCACAGAACCAAAACAAATTATCCACTATCTTTGCCAACCGAGCGAACGCCATACCCTTTCTGTTAAAGCAACAACTGTGCCGTTTTTTATAGAATATTGGTAACAAAATAACATTAAATCTACTATAGTTGTAATCTTTTTGAGATAGTAGACTTCACTAACGTGGACGGGATATATACTTGCAGCAATATGAGCTCTCAGAAGAGACCCTCGGAAGAGTCAACTGGCTCAGGTACTAAGAAAGTGAAATTAGAAGAAACTAAAACACCTTCACTCAAATCAGAGGCAAGTAATTTAGCATTACCGAAGATGAATGATAGCTCAAACAATATTAATGCTGTTCCTTTAGCGCTTCCGAAAGGAGGCGACAAGAAGAAGAAAGCTAATAGCAAAACTGCACAATCAGGAAAAAACGGTGGGAAAGAAGATGGAACAGGACAAAAGCAGAAAGCGACAGATCCAAATAAGATGCAAGATGTTTTGATATCTGCTGGTGTTGATCTGAAAGAAGAGGAAGCTTTATTGAGCTCAACCGTCAATGTTTCAAAGACTCAACAGAATGCGGTAGTGATACCTCCTCATCCACCTTTCTTACACCCAGATCAGGTCTCCAATTTTATGAAGAAGGTGGCAAAAACCCAAAACTTTAATTTATCATTTACAAAGAATACGGAGATATTAGATATGATGTCATCAGCATGTGAAAGCTATCTAAGAGATATAATAACCAACACAATAGTGGTTTCAAGGCATAGGAGGAAGGGAGTTAAGGTAAACTATGGAAGGAGAAGTCAAGTCGCGGCGGCTTTAAGATCAATAGCTATAAATCAGAAAAAGGAGGAAGAGAGACGCATGAAAAAGAGAATTGCTCTTGGATTAGAGAAGGAAGACTATGAAAATAAAATGGACTCTGAAGAAACCTTACACAGAGCATCCAACGTTACGGCAACCTTAAGAGCAGGTAGTAAGAAACAGTATGGTTGGTTGACATCATCTATAAATAAACCCGCCTCAATAGGTGTCAAATCTGCTGGTAAGGTAGCAACAGAAATTGCAGCTAGAGGTGAATCAGGATTGAAATTTAGAGAAGCACGTGAAGAACCCGGCATTGTAATGAGAGACCTTTTATTTGCCTTGGAACACCGAAGAATAGGTGTGCACAACATTATATCGAAAGGATATGCTAGAATAAGAGACTAAAACAGAATTAAAGATAGATTTTGTAGATTGGTACTGTGCATATTACATATTATGTCTGTAATAATATTGAAATTAGCATTTGAATGAATTAAGAAAAAAATTACCAATGCCGCCATATGCACACCACTACAAAACTAGAGAAGTCTATCAAGCTTCACAAAAATATCTTAAGATATCGGCGATATATTAAAATGAAAACCAATTTACGGTATGATGTATAATTATAGATATATAAGAATCTAATAATACAATTCAATCAATGAAAGACACTATGTATCTGATTAGAGATCAATTAATACAAAGACCAATGTAATTTAATGAAAAAGAAGGAATTGAAAATGCACGAGTATTAGCGTTAGGTCATTAAATCAACGATGCAACAGCTGCTGCAGCAATTGCAACCATTACTGAGGCTGATTTGGAAAACTCAAGCTTCAATACAGAACCAGCATTCTTCTTAGCAGTAGAAGAAGTGGAAGATCTAGCGGCAGTTGAGGAAACAGTACTATTTGAACTAGAATTGGAAATCAAAGTTCCAGTACTAGTAGCACGGCTCGAAGTAACTAGAGTGGAGTTAGTCTTTGAAGATGAGTTAGACTTAGTACCAGAACCAGTGTTCAACAAGGCACCAATTGGGGAGTCATCAGTTACAGCAGCAATAGCAGAAGAAATAGCAGCTGGATCCTGATTATTTGGTGTTAGAAGCTTTGTTGGTGTGTTGTCAATAGTACCATTCCAACAGTAGTTGGTGAAACACTTGTCACAAATATCCGGTAGAGTTAAGTTCAGAGATTGTTGCTTACGTCTAATGATTGCACAACCAACACATGTAACGTAGTCAGCATCTTCAGTCAAATTATTTCTGGTAGTGGCTTCGAAAGCATTTCTAATCATACCAACACGTTCACTGTAGTTATAGTTTAGTTTAAAGGTGGAAACGTTACTTTCAAAGGAATGATAACTGTTTGGAATGTAAACAATTAAAGGTGGGATATATTCAAGGTCAGTCAAATTGTTGGCGTCACAACCGTAGAAACTTGGCTTACCACCCAGACCTAGGTTAACAAAAGTGGTCATATCAGGGACGTATGGGAAAGCCATACCCTTACCTTGCTTAGAGAATTGACGTTCGTATGTCTTCATCATTGGACCACCGGCAGGATAATTATCACTTGTCTCAGTGTCTACATCAATAGCAAAGATAATATCCAGGTCACGCTCTTGCTTCAAAAGAGGAACAAATGGGATACCTTGAAGATCTTCACCACCATCCACCAAGAACAAAGAATCAGAGTCAACTATGGAAGTAGTATAGTTGCTGTCCACGTATTTGGAACCTTTGAATGGATTTGGAGCATACATGGCAATGTCGTTGTTTTCTTTATCAATACCTTTCACCAATGTGCTGGATAGGGTGTTCAAGTAAGTGTAAGCAACGGCACTATCGTTGCTCATGGTGAACTCGTTGAACAACGAGGATGATGTACCCATGATAAAACTAGCATCGTCGAAACCGTTAATACATCTTTCGGTTTCAGGCTTACCATCAGTGACTTGAGTACCCAAGTATTTGATGTCACTGAAAGCGTTTAAGGATGGATCCCATGAACCAATTTCGAATGGAGTCATTTCAAAAACAGTAGCGTTCAAGTTGATAACGGTGGTACCTGGGTATCTACCATCTGCGACAGAAATTGGCATTGGCATTTCACCATTCATGAAGATTTCGTTGTCTCTTAGAGAGGACCAAGTTAAACCAGCACCAGCGTTTGGCAATGTAGGGAACCAACCGTAAGCCAACGCACGAGACCACAAATCAGTGATGGTAACGTTAAAGCCTGCGTCCCTTTTACCTTGAACCTGAGAACCAATTGCAGTCCATCTGGCCAAGGTCTTCGAGAAATCTTTATCGTATGGATTCAAGAACGAGTTTGTGATATTCCAGATGGCATCGGCCTTGTCACCTTCCTCGAGGATCTGTTGCACTGAGGTGAAGTTGTTGTATGCCAAAGTACCAGTCAGCCAGTTACCACCAGAAAGACCAGCCATATAAGTGGCTGCTTGCAATAGACCACCTAGACCGTGTTCATTAGCACCATCAGTTCTGTTATCCATGGCTGCAAATGCACCAGCACCAACAAACATAGCACGGTAACCACCACCGGCGACAGCAATACCTAATTTTGGAACATTTTCGGTATCATTGAATAGTGCTGAAGTAATTTCAGTAGAGACATTGGCAAAAGCGCGTCTTAGGAAAGTTTGAAGGGCATCTCTGGTAATTGGGTCTCTTTTCTTCAACCATTCCTTCTCTGCTGGACTCAAACCATCAGCAGCATTTCTGATAAAATTAGCGTTATCAGGACAGCTCACATTTTGTGGGGTGTAACTAGCTGCATCGACAGCTGCACCAGCGGCAAGAACAGAGGCAATTAGAACTGACAATTGCATCTTGTATCTCAAGTTTCCCTTTTCACTTCGCAGTAATTAACAACTAACTGACTATGTGAATTCAAAAACAAGACCAGTGACCAAGATGGAAAAAAAATTGAATAAAAGGAATTGAGTTAAGATTTTATTGTTAGTTGGGGAAGTTTTCGAAGCAATAAGTACAAATTCTCTTGATTGACATCTTACATATATATATTTGTGCAATAAATGGAGAGAATACTGTCAAGCACTTACTGAACAAGTTGTATCAAGTAATTGAGTTACTCCAACATATCTTCAATATAAAATGGTTATAACAAACCTCTGTAGGAACTTATAATGTATATCACAGCTTGAACTAGTCAACAAAAAATGTGTTGGAGGTTTCCTTTCTTTTTGAGTACAAAGTTCAAGCTTAAATCAACAAAGACCATCGATATCTCCTCCTAAACTCCTAATGGTAGGCAGTTTTTAAAAATTTCCTCTGGTCTGTAGAACATAGGGCATGCGTTCTACAGCTACAGTTATGTAAAGCAGCACCTTCTGGATTGTAAACACCTTCAAAGCAAGATTCAAAGGAAGATTCCGATATTGCTGTTTGTTTTGTGTAATTTACTTAGACAAAGTGAGGGGGAGACGGGGGGTGGAGAAAGTGAAGACCTTGTTAAGAAACAGATCAATAAAAGCACTGCGATGATCGTAAAAACCTAGGAAAGGCCTCAACAATTGAAAAGAATCTTCGTGTTAGACCCTTCAAACGACCGGATTGCCCGAGTTGTATTTGTCATGACTGCCATGCTTGTACCGTGGGAAAACTTCCACTGGTGTGAGGACGTATTGGGCTGCTGCTGTGACAGAAGAACTTAGCTACCTATAGGTTCTACATACTAAAAAATGACGCGACTTCCGCATTACTTACCAGGGAAACAGGTAAAAAAAAAGAAAATGTAAATATAAAGAAACAAACCTGCGTAGATCAAACTTTTCTGGATGGAGGAAATAAGAGGACCCTCTTGAACGAGAGTTATCTCCTATTGCTGACCTTTCATACTACTGTTAACTAGACTGGAAACACGGAAATTTTGACATAACGATAGTGTGCTTTTTGTTTGTGATAAAAAAAAGTACTGAAAAAAAAAAGTATTTTTGTTGAGTTATTAAACTTTTAGTTGATGTAATTAAACGTCTAAGAATTAAAACTGGTATTATGTTTGATAAATGTTTGGTCTGCTTACGGGCTATTTATTTTGCAATTTAGATAATGCAATGTCACTACGTAATTGTGTATCTCATCTCATTGGTATGCTAAATCAAAAGACGTCGGAACATATACTGGGTAAGAACCCATGATATCACATTCTTTCCATCCTGAGAAGATATTTTATTAGAAGCATCTCCTAAATCTCATATTAAATGATATATATAATAAAAAATAACTGATAGACAATGTCACAGGGAATTCGGGTGTAGTAAGTAGATAATATAGTGCATTCTCCAACCTTCCCTGAAAATAACAAGTTTTTGGTCCTACTGATATTCTTATGATATCATCCCCAAGGGATTAGACTAGCTTAGATCAATTGGAAAACAGCAGTCATTGCAGTTATAATTGCGAATAATGTCTTGGCATTTACATCAACACTAACAGCGGCATTCTTTTTTCTGGAACTGGAAGATGCCGATGCAGCTCCACTGGCATCTTGCTCAGCCATATCAGCTGCAGCAGATCCAGAAGCATTGTCAAAATCGTTTGATGCAGTAACGCCTTTAGCAGGGGTGTTGTCGATAGTACCGTTCCAACAGTAGTTAGTGAAACAAGTCTCACATTCCTTTGGTAAAGTCAAGTTCAAAGCTTGTTGCTTACGTCTCATGATTGCACAACCGATGCAGCCAGCAAAGTTGCTGTCTGCAGTCAGGTTATTCATAGTAGCAGCTTCGAAACCATTACGGATAACACCCAAACGCTCTTTTTCGGAATAGGAAAGCTTGAAGGTAGATGTGTTACCATTGTAAGAATGTCTAGAATTTGGAATATAGACAATTAAAGGAGGAATATATTCCAAATCAGTCATGTTACGAGCATCACAACCGAAAAATGTTGGTTTCTTGTTCAAACCCAGGTTAACAAATGTATCTGTACCTGGAACAGATGGGAACGTAACACCTTGTCCTTGGAAACCAAATTGACGTCTGTAAGTGTGCATCAAGGATGCACCATCTGGCCAATTCTCCTCTGTATCTGCTGAGTTATCCAATGCAAAAACGATGTCTAAATCACGTTCTTGCTGAATTAATGGGACTAGTGGCACGTTCTGACCATCTTCACCACCATCAACCAAAAATAGATATTCAGATTCAGACAGACTCTTCGATCTATTGTTGTTAACATAATCTGCGTCTCTGAAAGGGTTTGGTGCATAGACGGCAATATCATCGTAGTCTTCTGATAGATCCTTTAAGAAATGTGTGGCTAAGTTACGAATAAACTTTGGAATGCTAGTATCATTGATTCTCAATAAAAACTGGTTGAACAAAGTAGAGGATGTACCCATCAAGAAGCCTACGTTATCAAAGCCTGCAATACATTTACCTTCTTCAGCAGGTTTACCATCAGAAACTTTGGTCCCTAGATACTGAACATCAGTAAAAGCGCTCAATGAAGGATCCCAAGAGCCCAATTCGAAAGGACTATACTCAAAAACGGTAGAGTTAAGATCTATGACTGCTGTACCTGGATATCTACCGTCAGCAACTGAGATTGGCATAGGCATTTCAGCGTTTTTGAATACATCAGACTCTCTTAGATCAGACCACAAATAAGCTACACCACCACGGTACAAGGTTGGGAAGAATTGGTATGAAAGAGCACGGCCCCAAACATCAGCTAATGAGACGTTGAACCCAGCCTTCTGCTTATCTTCGACAGCATCAGAGATGTGGTCCCATCTTGAACCGGTCTTGAAAATATTGATACCACCTGGTGAGACAATGGAGTGTGAGATATCCCAGATAGCACTGTCGTTATCTTGAGAGTCGACAATGTCCTGAACTGAGGTCCAATTATTCCATGATAGGGTTGTAGTTAACCAATTACCACCGGATAGACCTGCCAGATATGTGGCAGCTTGTAATAAGCCACCTAGACCGTGCTCATTAGCACCATCAGTTCTGTTGTCCATAGCTGAAACCATACCAGCGCCGGACAACATGGCACGATAACCACCACCAGAAGCCGCAATACCAATTTTTGGTATGTTGGATGAATTAGTGCTAAATAATTGATCTATTAGGTTGGAAGCGGAAGAGTTTGATGTGAAATTACTAGTTACACGCTTCAAGAAACTTTCTAGAGCTTCTCTAGTGTTCACATCTCTCTTTTTCAACCAATCAATTTCTGATTGAGAAAGACCAGTAGCATTTCTTAATAAATTTATATCATTTGGGCATGTAACATTTGCCGGCACATAACTGTTGGTTGGGGACCAAGCTTCAACACCTCCATTGAAGGCTGCGAGCAAGGAAACAGTAACTACCAAGTCTTGCAACTGCATAGTTATTTTGATACTTTAGTATTTGCTCGCTTGTATTAAAAAAAAAAAAGTAATCAAGTTAAATAAAATTTAGAAAGTCGACTATAATATATAAGGACTTATGTGCCAGAAAAATAAATTTATGCTCATAGTAATAAACTAACGATCAATATTGTATTATATATAATCGCATTAAATATAGGAGCTAAACATTCCTCTTTGAAAATCCCTCTTTCCCTAAATTACCATTGTTAGTATACTCAGAGGAGATGAAAAGAAAAATGATTATGAGGAGGCTTCATGCATTTACTTATTTAAAAAGTACTTCTGATATGATAAATACTAGGATAAAGAAAAGGGTTAATTTGAAATTGGCTTGTACTTTCAAGTAAGAAAGTTCCGGGCGAAGTGGCTCAATAACAGTAAATTTTCGCTGGGCCTTGATTATCACATCATCGTATGGTAGGTAAATAAATGTCGTAAAAATAAGTGTATAAACAGAATGAGGAGAGACAAAAAGTGCAATAATTAAAGAACAGGCATAGTAAAAAAATTGAGGGAGGGTGATGAGGTGGAGAAGCCCTTCTCAGGTTTTAACGTAGACGACGGAAAGGTTGACACTTAAAAAAATTACGAATCGCCGGGCCCCGAAACTCCCTCTTAAAGTTTTACAACTAAAGGAGGCATCCTTGATGGAAAATTGCTATCCTTTCATCTATTTACTTGTCCAGTTAGTAAAATTATTTATGTATTTCAAATTAATTCACTCCGTGGAATAATGGATCCAAACTATACACTGGGCAGTAAAACAGCATTATAGTTCCCTGATATGTTCAGTGATAATTCACGCCCTAACTTACAAATTAGAAGCGGGATAGTACATGCAATGGGCAAAGATGTAGATGTTTTTTATATAAGAAACCACAGGGTGGCTGAAAAGTGTCACGAATATGAGAAGGCACTCGCATATTTAAATGGCATATACAAAGCCATTAAGTAAATGTTACAACGACTCTTTCTAAACTCTATTATAGAACAGTTGTCATATAGCACACGCCAATCTCCTTAACAACTTTAATCATTGAAACACTCTATTTCGAATAATTGGCACTATTAAACACATCATAACAGACTTACAACAGACCTATTTAATCATGATGAGGGCTTAAAAAACGCAAGGCAAAGCCTGTTAAGTTGTTAAGTTATTGCCTTTCAGTTTACTCGTCCAGTTCTCATATTGAGAAAATGACGTCATTTTAAAATTTTGCTCTGGAATAGGAGGCGATGGATCCATAGCTTAAAAGATTCATAGGATTTTGCAACCATTATGAGTGAAATAAATATATGGTAACCAGATTTCTATTTTTTACATTATTGAATGGAGCCGGATTTCTATCAGTAAACTTATTATATCAAAATTGATGTTATATTATAATGCAAATATGAGTGCTTTACTCTAAATTATATTTATGTATAAATACAGATATATATGCTACAGCGTGAACGTCAAATAAGAAACAGAGTAATGTGTATATTATTCGCTTGAATCATCGGTACTGTTGTAATTAAATTTTAATGCATCCATGTTCATGGTAGGCTCCCAGTGCGTCTTTATCACTGGATCAATACCTTCCTCAACAAGGTTACCGAGAAAGGAGTTACTTTCATCAATTTGGAAAGGATTCTCCTCGTCATCTTCATTACTATATGAAGTATTATCATATGATTCTTGCAATTTCATATTCTCTGGTTTACTCTCATCTTCATACATACGTTTTTCAAACTCCTCCAATCTACTTTGTATGAACTGCTTTGGGTATTCGAAATTGCCCTTCTGTGAACAATTTTGTAGGTATGTCTTAACATAATGAATATGCTGAGTTACTTGGTTTCTAGCAATATCTCTTCTTGAACCAGATAGTCTTTGACAATTAAACTTCCCAGACAAGTAATCCGCATGTACCATATGGCACATTGAATAGATAAACCAAATTTCTGGGTCATCCAAATATGGTGGAACTAGCACCATTTCAGATATTTTATCAATCAATTCAGTTAATTTATCCATTGCAGATTGCTTTGACCCGTTATCATTTTCTTCTTCATTTGTGTTGACTCCTTTCTCTTCTTCGATAGATATGAGTTCAGTTACTTTTATTAAACAATTCCATAACCATGTCAGAGCATATTTTGGAGTATGTGTTCTTGATCCACTTCTAAAAACTGGTGCCTTTCTATGGCAATGGCTTTGAACAAAATTTTGCTTAGACGAATAAACAGTGCTCATCCATTTTAAAAACTCGAGTGACCTTGTCGTTTGCCCTCTTTCCATTAGAATCCTAGTGCCTAACCCCCAGATGTTTCTTATATCGACTTCTGGAATTCTAATCAGCAATGAAAATGTTCTGTAAGCAATATCCCAATTACCTTGCGAAACACTTGAAAATAATATTTGAGTTAATATTTCAATATGTTTCAGTAGATAACTGTCAATGTCTACCAGCGGCTCTAGCACTTCATATCCTTCACTCTTTATGTCAAAATACCTTTTGTTAACTAACGGCATATGCACAACATTCTTTTCTACTCTTTTTTTGGCAATTCTTTCTACTCTATTAAGACGTGTGTAATGGATATGTGTCTTCTTCAACTCATGTTTCTTTTTCGTATTGACGCTGTTTCCATCATACCAGACTTCAAAACTATGCTCGGGCTTCTCATACTTTCTGTAAAAGAGCTTCTCAAACTTGTTCATATCATTAGCAAATTCATTATCATCTTTTGTGGTATCTTCACCTTCACTGGACGTTTCAGCTTCTGAATCTGAATAGTCTTCTCCAAGTTTCATTTTCTTTTCTTTGATTTGCTCCCGGGAAGGTAGTTGTGATTCTGATTGATCATTCTCAACCGCTGAATTCTCAGGTGTTGGGAGGCTATTAGCCTGCCTTCGTCTTTTACTCCTCCTTTTGGCATGATATTTCCTTGATAAAATATTAATGTATTGGTATCTTACCCTTCTTTCAACATTAAGACGCCTACAGTTGTAGGTGATAGGGACTTCAAACATAGAGTACACAACTGTTTGATCAACAAACACTGCGATAATACCCTATAATATATGGGATAAGGGCTCCAGATACCTGACAGTATGCGTTTCAAGACAAGTTCGAATATTCTTTTAAATAATCAAAGACTAATCTGATTAAGTCGTTTTTGAATTGTTTGCGATGAGCTGTTTACCTTTATTTTTTTCAAAAATTTTTTTTTTTCATCTCATCGCAGCATCAATCATTTCTTTCCTTTTTTAGTTTAGAAAGTTGATCTGTGCAATATAGTGATGCAAAGCACCACATTATGAGTTATAAAGTACAAACCCAAATGTAAAGGTACGAAGAAATGCTCTTCTTTTAGAATATTATTAATTATGTTATCTATTTAATTATGCTATCTACCTGTACAACGTGTTTCATTATGTGTTCTGTAGCAACTTACTGAACAAATTTTGTCACCGCATGCTACACAATTTGATAAACTATCGTACCCTCCACAAATAGAACATATAGTTATCAGCGGTAATACCTTAAAGTATTTCTTATTGTAAACATTATGGAGAATGATGCTTCTATTAACATGATCCAGTGTATCCAAATATGTATGAAGTTTACGCTTCGAAGTCAGCACCTTTCTTAGAATCAACTGTCGATTGGTGGAACTCTTTTTCTTTGCCTGATCCTTTGATTTTGGAGGCTTTGTAGATCTGTAGGACATAAATACGGAGCTGTTAATCTCAAAACGATTGTTTGAAGAGCCTCTCCCTGCTGAGACACTATTATTGGTTTGGTCACCTGCATTAGTAATTGCAGTTGTGACGGAATCAATACGATCTCTTGGGATTCCAGAAACACTACTTAGTAACGTAGGTACATCGCCAATATCTTTTATATTTTCAGTGTCAAGCTCCATAAACCTTCTTTTCGATTGTATAAGTTCAGTCTCGCTAAACTTGTTAGTCTTTTCTGCAGATGATTTGTCCTCATTGCTATTCTCCTTATTTTGGGCAGTATACAGCCGGGCTTCCAAATCAGCCAATGAGTAATTTATACGCTTCGCATTTCTTGAAGAGGTGATTTTATTACTATTCTTCTTCCTCTTCATCGCATTTTGTGATCGTCTCTGCTGTTCCGCATCCAAAGCAGAATAGTAAATGTTCGGATTGTAGGTTCGTGGATCAATTTCCTGCACACTAAACGGTCTCGGCATTATAGGTTGGTCTTTATCTATAAATTTATTTTCCTTTGGCTACAAATGTATTCGACTTGGTTGGTGAAAGCATAGTTATAGTCTAATATTCTATAGTTCCTCTTCATCTCATATTTACATAATGGCTAAACAACGAAGGGTATTGTGGTCCGTGCGACGTAATAAGGAATTGAACGTGTGATCAATATTACGACTATTTAGTATAATACCAACACAGCAGTAACTTTGATAATCCATAAAGTGGTAATTATGCCATTCAATGTTTTTAATGCAATAGAATTCAATTATAAAGTATACACAAAGTTTTAAACATAAATCATTTTAGCGTTACATTTGCTGCTCAGCTGTTGACATCAACTATATATATTACAACTTAGCTTTAATAGTGGAAGTAGGAGATCTGTTCAAGGTATCGGCAATCTCATCCGCAGCTTCACTTAAATAATAATGTAATTTATCAACAGAGAGCATACTCTTTTCAGGCTTAGTAACGATATTAATGTGCATCCAGTCCTTATTTAGCATATAAGCAAGGCCTACACCATTGTCATTGACTTGGGACCATCCGTATCCATCAAAGTATTCACAGGATAGTTGTGATGTTGAAACATACCATGTACATGAGTACTTGAAAATAGGATCCTCGAATAATGCAGGAACTTCTTCCCCATTCCTGATCATATTCTTCAAACCAAAAAAGTGACGGTCAATAGTTTGTCCTTCTGCAGCCATTTTCAAATATTGAGCATGGTATTTTGCAGATGCCTTCAATGCTTCGATTCTTTCCTCATCTGAAGCATTGGTCGATTCCCATGTCTTGACAAAATTAGCGGATGGTTCAGAAACTGATCTTCCAGCTTCCGTACGACCTTTAAAGTACTTTCTGGTCGAAGCAGCCTCATACGTTGGAAGTTGTCTTCCCAAGTATTTATAAATAGCTAATTGAATAACTTGGTGAATAAACGCATCAGGGGACATGCCGTTCTTCTTCATGAACTCCTTACCATACCTATTATAATGCCAGACGCGCAAATCGTGTTCCTCAATAACGTCTCTGAATTGAATTTGAGCAGCTTGTACACTTTCTGAAATTCTTGGAGTGATTACAAAAGGTAATAATTTTGGTTGATGGTAGTCGGTCTCACGAACAGGTTCAAATACGGAATTAATAAACTTACTTTGATCAATCTTCCTCAATTGCTGGCAAACAAAAGTATTCAAAAATAATGTTGGAGTACCATCCATCTTAGAATGCTCCGCCAAGAACCCTGAAGTACCATTACCAGTAACAAAAAACTGTAATGGCTTGTCAAAGAACCTATTAAAACCGTCCCCGTGCCAGCAGTTTCTAGACTTTTCTTCTAGAGTAACAGGGCTTTTGTCCAAATCTAGGCAAAGCATAAAAGAAGCACGATGAATAGTTTCGAGTGACTCCTTTGCTAATGGATCTTTGATCAATTCTGCATGAACTTCGCGCCATTGATCTCTTGGTAGTGACGTCAACGAACCAACACCTGAGTTGATAGCAGTGGCATTCTTAGAAAGGGGACCATTAACAATGTTGTACAACTGTTGCCAGATTAGATTGACAGGCAATGGTTTATTAATAGCTTCTGTTTTGCTTTGCTCATCCATATCATTTTCCTTAAAGTGAGTGAAAACTTTATAGAAGTTACCTTTGTAAGTAACAATCATGAAGTTGTTTTCATATACAGAGTAGAACACGTTTGAGTCTTGGGTAGTGTCTGGTATACGAGAGTTGTTAAACATTAACTGGAAACTGTTCATGCAAAATGGTGTTCCCTTGATAATTTCTGGTGGAAGTGATTCATCCTTGATAGATTCAATGAACTTGATGACAGTAGATATTATAGCTGTAGCCTTTAAGAGAGGATCCTTATCAATCTTTGCCAATTCAGCAGGTAACTTGGCATGCGAGTAGAAATAAGACACATAAGGGATGACAGGATCATCATACTGCAGATAGGCTTGGTTATCCCAAAATTCAGACATCCAGTTACGTTTGTCCCTTGCAAAATCTAGCAAACGTTTCTGCAAAACAGAACCAGTACCATTAATGAATTCTTTGCAGAGTGCCTCCTGCGAGCTCAAGTCTTTAACATAAGGTTTAATGGACTGCAAATAAGTGTTTATGGTCTGCTCTAATTCAGGAACGGGCAATGGAGGTAATTGCTCTTGTGTACTGAAAGTTTCACCTTTGAAATTCTGTCTCTTATTTTGATAGTGAGAATTCGGGAATTGTGCTAGATACACTTCGCCATTCTTAGTTTCAAATGGGAACCGCTTCAATGACGACATTAGTCTCTTAATGGTTACCAATCTAAAACTCATACTCTAAATGGTTAAAAATAGCAAACTTTGACCGTATTTCTTGAATATCTTGTTTCTATATCGTAACTTTTGTTTGTGCCAACTGCCTCTTTTCTCCTGTATGTTGTATATTCAGAACAGTTCGATTAGTTGGTGTTCTTAGAAGCAAATATCTTAAATACGTTCACAGTTTCACAAAAAAAAAATAAAATTCTTAAAAAGCTTCAAAATCAATCTCGACCAAAGTGTTTATAGAAGCTAGGTGAATCTGCTGGTTGTGTCTATGATACAATGCCTAGAAATGAAGAATCGTTGATATCTAAACCTATTGTTTATATACAAGTATTACTACGATTATGGATTTACAGAGCATGCATCTTTTGCACTATCTGACCCGTATTTAAATGAATAAACACCGAGTCTTCCAAGAAGGATAGATGAAAACGTAGGTCTCATAGCTTAGCATTGGTTAATGACCCTTTCGTGGTGTTTCTAGTCATAACTCCACATGTCTCGATGGTACAAATGTTTGGCCAAGTAGTGTAATGTTTGGTACATCAACTAATGAAAGAGAACTGGCAAATGAGCGATGAGAGATGATCATGAATATGGTGTTGTTTTGTTTTTCAAGGAAATGTGTGACTTCCCTCCCATTTCAGGAATGGGGTTCTTAGGTCACGTCGAATTACAACTTGTTAGGCGGAGACATAGTACTGGGTAGATCATACTTCTCTTCACACTCCCTTCCCCGGTACCAATATTGATTGGCTCAGTAACATTCCCCCAGAATCAATGCATTTTATTGAAGAAAGCATGGGATGGGCAATTTCAAGCTGAACAGCGATGACTACCAAAACCTTAAGGGGAGATGACGTTTCCCCCATTTGCACTCCAGAAATAAAAATGCACAACACAGGAGTTAGTGATTATTTCTCCGTTACTCCGAAGATGTTTACGTGAACGATTATCACCTGCTTAAGAAGATGAGATCATTGTCTATAAGGCATATTTCTAAGGATTAATACTAAAGATCAAGAAAGGCTCAGTTTAAAAAAGTTGAATATACGTTTATAATCAAGCGATACATCTATTGTATATCTTCATGATTAGCATGGATAGTATAAGTTTAGCATCTTAGCCCGTTTTTTATTTCAAAAATTATATACTCCTTAAGAAAAAAAACATGCGCTTTTTTTTTTCCTTACTTTATATCTTGGTGAAGATGAGTTCTAATTCCAAAATATCTATGTCCTCACATCAAGACAGATTAATGCTCGACTATTGTAAATGTTTTGTCAACATACGATTAGACAATGCATAAAAATTCAATTCAAAATTTTAGAATGAAAAAAAATATAGTTCAGAATTTTCAGTGTTTTGGTTGTAGTAGTCTGTCATAATAACGGGTTCCATTGTCGGTGAACCCTTTCCGCTTGGGGCGACAACTTAGTCATCATAATATTTTTTTTCATTGGTTATTCTTAAAATTTTTATTGAAAAATAGCACGACTCCCATCATATTAGTTAAAAACAAAAAAAACATTAGAATCGCAAAAATAATCCAGTCTTAATAACTTTTGAGGTTCTCTGATATTTGAGAAAAAGAATATTCCATTATGTAGATGGAAGTTACATCTTCAACAAAACGCACTACACCTGTAGTGCAAAGCACACATGTAAACCACAAGGACAATATATGTCCATTTTTTTTGATTCACACAGTGGCAGAAAAAAAAGCTGCAAGTTTAGTCTTTTTCTTTACAAAGTCAAACTTGTACTTGTTTTATATTGTTCTGTTTTGATTATGGTTACCAATTAATTCTATCATAGATAAAAAGAGATCATATTCGTAATGTATTAAGAAACTATAACTTGTATTTTAAACTTACCTTTATATATGTAATCTTAAATGATGTGGGCCTAGAGTTCAAAAAAATCAAACAGAAAATTTTTCGCCTAGCAATCAATGTTGGGTGCTTCGCTGGCCTTACTCTGGGTTACCTGACATTCAAGCTGGCTTTTCTCTTCTCGAAAGACTGAAGGTTACCCTCCTGGGATGGTTCGAGGGATTAGGGCCCTTTCCCTTTCTCGTTATTAGTTACCTGTTCCTATTCAAAGTGAATGGTACCGTACCCAATGATATATGTGAATATTCGTCATTTGCGATATTTCCATCTCTTTCCAAGTCAGACAAAAAGGCCGGGTAATCTATTTAGGTGTGGAGAGGAGAGGCAGAGCGGTGGAAGCGGGAGGAGGGGGGGGATGGATCGGAAAACCTGGAAGAGCTTCTACACTCACTGCTCCTCTTCGGTAACAGTCGGTTACTGAGTCGATCGTATCACACATCATTTCTCTTGTAAAGCTGCACTCTTGGACTCGTTGGAAATGTCAGTCTATGCTCTCTTAGCAGCAAAGTCTTTGTATAATGTGGAAGGAGAGAGAAAATAGCGTAGTTTATTTGGCGTTTAATTGTCATTGTGTATATTCTCTTTCGTATAAGCCCTTGAGTACAGAGAGCTGTTGGTCCACGTATCTAGTATCTGCTCAAAAATTGTTACGGTTGCAGGGTTTTTCGTTTTAGCAATTCAGGAATTGTCCATAGTTAAAAAAGTTGCTATCCAAGTAGCATAACTTTATTTACAGAAGAAAATCTCATCGAGAATATAATCTTCGATTGTTATCTGCAATATATTGACTGCTCTCTAAAGTTGGTTTTTGTTGATAGCTTTATAACATAGGAAATTCTTCAAGGTTGGGACTACTATCCGAAATCGAGTCCTTCTTCTATACCAGCGAAGGGAAGATCCTGAATAATAAATAAAATCTACCGATGCTGTCCAGGCTCTTTGGGAGTGGACTGGGCCTCAGTGGGCACGTCACTCTGTTACAAAGAAGCCTATTTAGTACTCGTACACCTTTGCTAAATGAGATCAATGCCAAGTTGCTGACCATTGTACCACATGATGAGGATATAGTAGCTTTGGAAAGACAGGATGAATTGATAAGAAGGAGAAGGAAACTGGCGAAAGAAACTACAGTAATGAAGAAATTAAAGACTGTGTCACCTGGTCTAAGATGGTGGAGAAGACCAATATATCCTTATCTTCACAAGGGAAAGCCCATGCGTTTCTTAACTGTAGCGAAACGTGGAACAGGTGGTCGTAATCATCATGGTAAGATTACCGTCCGTCACAGAGGTGGTGGGCACAAAAGAAGAATAAGACTGGTTGATTTTTATCGCAGGAAAGCAGGGAGCCAAACTGTTCAAAGGATTGAATACGACCCTGGGAGATCTGCGCACATAGCCCTTTTAAAACATGATGAAACGGGAGAGCTATCTTACATTCTGGCTTGTGATGGTTTGAGAGAAGGTGACATCGTTGAGTCATATAGACAAGGTGTACCAGAATCCTTGCTAAAAGAAATGCACGGTAAGTTGGATCCAGCTATCTTGAGTGTCAAAACTGCACAAAGAGGCAATTGTCTGCCTATTTCAATGATTCCTATTGGTAGTGTGGTACACAATGTTGGAATCACACCTGTTGGGAAGGCTAAATTCTGTAGAGCTGCTGGTACATACGCTAGAATTATCTCCAAAATACCAGAAAAAAAGAAGGCAGTTATTAGACTACAAAGTGGTGAGCATCGCTATGTTTCTATCGAGGCCTGTGCTACCATGGGTGTAGTCTCTAATATTGAACATCAAAATGCCTCTCTTGGTAAAGCAGGTAGGTCTAGATGGTTGGGTATTAGGCCCACTGTTAGAGGTGTTGCCATGAACAAAGTTGACCACCCTCACGGTGGTGGCCGTGGTAAATCTAAATCAAACAAATTGTCAATGTCTCCTTGGGGTCAACTAGCCAAGGGTTACAAGACAAGAAGAGGTAAGAACCAGAATAGAATGAAGGTGAAAGATAGGCCTAGAGGTAAGAAGGAAAGAACTTGATTAGGAGGTAGTGTTCTGTCTGATATTATAAAATTGACATATGCCTGGAACATCATAAATGCCATGTAAATATTAACATAATGCAGCCTGATTTTTAGGAATATGAAAGCAACGCTTATAAATAGTTGTTTACAACCAATTGCTGCCAGGTATCAACTGTATGTATATATTACGATACCAAACTATTCAGTATACTAATTTTAAAAATTCATTTATCACAAATATGAAGAATATCTTATTATGTATGACAAATACTAAAAGATGACATCGTCCTCTTGCTCATTGACTAAAGCGTTAACTTCATTATCGTCTACAGCTGCTTCCATCAAGTTTTGTTTATTAGAGATTCCTTCTTCTCGTAATTTGTCCCGTTTTAACTTCATTTCTGCATCAAGTAAAGCCGTTTCTCTCTGTTTCTTCTCTTGAACTTTCTTTAACCTGTAAAATTCCTCTCTATCTAACTCGTCCAATTCACTATTGATGTATGCTATTGTGTTTTCTGTTCTGGGTATAATAACGTGCTCGATGGCATTCACTCTTCTATTTGTTACTTTGATGACTTCATCAAGAATGATAAAAGCAGTTTGAAGGGATGCCAATTCAACAAGAGTCTCTACTGCCTTTGAATATATGTCTTTCGCCCTCTGAACTTGTTGACCACCTCTACCAAGACCAGTTAGCTTGAAGTCATTGATATCTGAGTCAACATAAGACTCAAATTGAGGTAGATACACACCACTAACATTTTCTTGTCGAGCTTTAACCTTAAATCTAGCATTCAACACGCTCTCTTGGACTTGGTATCCGATATTTTCACCAGTGGCATAGGACACTTCCGCTAAGGAAAAGGCTGCCGTTTGCATCACCCTACCCATCTTCTGTTTAGCCTCATCTATTCTCTTTGTAATATCCCTAAATCTCTTCGTTAAAGCTTCAGATTTCCTTTTTAATAAAGAATGACCTTGGTTAGCACCCTTTAACTTAGTTTTCATCAAACCTAAGGTCATACGTGTGGGAAATACTTGTTCCCTATTTCCAGACATTTTGAGTTAATAGAGAATAGTATTTCGAGAAAGAGCTTGAAGTTAGAATTAATAAGACCAGATAATACGATTCAGATAGAGTTGTTATAATGCCACCAAAACAATGCTCTAATTCTATTCTTAATTTCCGCAACTTCTTCACTCCTTAAATGGCCTCTTAAGCAATAATCCTTTTTGAACTGGATTGAGATAGTATTCTCAATTGGTAATTATCACAGTATAGCGTCGATTGAGTACGAGCAATTGAGCACACTTGTTAGATTCAACTAAAGTTATACCATGCTAATTTGCGAACATTTATCTAATCTACTGAAAGAGGTGATGAATGACAAAATGAAGGGAGTCTGTTTGTTCAAAAGCTATGCTCGTTTAATGCGACTTCAAATAGTGAGTCCTCACATATTGTAACTGCGGACATGTGTTATTAGCATACATATTAGTGGTTATTATGGTTGACGTTATAGCATTACTGTATATAATTGATACCATAAGTGGATTAATGATACAATATGAAAGTATATTGACTTTTATGTTATTTAGTTTAGGGTGTTACACTGCAGTATGTGCGATACACCAGAAATGCAAGTGTCTATAAAATGGTAATGCAAATTGTGCACAGTGAGCCTGTGATTATCATAATACAGTAAGATGATGGTGGTCGCCTTAATTGCAATCATTATAACAGAACTAAAATGATTGATATGAATAACGAAACTAAGCTCACTCTACTGGTAGATGCGGCGCCTTCTTGAAGTTCGATAGCAACAGGTGGCTGTGGTTGTATGAGACTTCTAGATGACGGTTTTGGAATCGATGACATTTTGTTGGCCAGCGATTTACCATCTACTGTTTGAGTGACTGTTTTTTGGTCAACAATTGTTTGGTAGATATAGCTTGTTATAACCTCACTTGAAATATCGTGAATGCTATCCGTTATTGTAATTCTGTCAGTTACAGTAATTGTGGTAGCAGTTAAATTGAAACTTATTTGGGTGCACAAATCATTTGTTGCTGGAGAATTCCAATTGTTATTATCGCCTTGGCCGTCTTCGGTTAAGGGAATGGATATCGATCCTGTTGGCGAAAGAGGGTTTACGTTATTAGTTCCATATGTGGAAGACTGTTGGATGCTTTGTAATAACCTTGTATTATTATCTACTTCGTTTTCTGAGTGTGGTCTTGTGCTTTCTAACTGTAAGTTTGAAAAAGTTTGTTTATTATTTCCTAGCTGAGAAGTAGATGATTTGTTAACCTCTAAGCTGTTTGTAGTAAATTCGGGCCTAGAATATGCGCTCATACCATCCGTGTCAAATGAACTTGTATCTGGAGTAGGTCCCGAACTAGTCATTGTGGTAGATACCTGTTCCGATCTCTTTGGTGTGGTCGGCTTATCGCCTGAATTTGTAGCAACAGGATGTGACATGGTGGTTAATATATCACTAGATATTACTGAATTTTCAGAGCCTAAAGCAGTGCTAGTGTGGGATGAAGACTCTGGGATGAAATTGGAAAGCGATGCAATCGAAGTGAACGGATTGGTTCCAGATTCGTTGCTGGAATATGACTCCGTACTATGAAGCACTGAATGATGAATGTCTGAGTCAGAGATACTTGTACCAAGATCTGATAACAAGGATCTGCTTGAGTAACCGATATTCGAACTTGTGGATAGTATTATATCTGTTTTTGAATCTGGTAAAGAGGCTGATTGAGAGATTACAATGGTTGAAGATTTGGTATTTGAAAAGGAACTTCTTGATGAGGTCGAACTTATAGAAACTGAAGAATTGGAAGTCATTGTTGTTCTTGAAGTATTGCTCAATTCTGACTCTTGAATGGTACTCGAACTTGAAGAGTATATGGATGATTCATACAGGGTTGTTGTTGTAGTTCCTGTGATAGTGTGGCCTGGAGAGTCTGTTGTGGAATAGAAGGAGACTATTTCTGTGTCGATGATACTGCTTCCTGATGAACGGGTAGTTGTGTAAGGAGGGGGGATGATGAAGAGAGATGACATTGAAGATGACATTGAAGATGACAATGAAGATGACAATGAAGATGACAATGAAGATGGCAATGAAGATGGCATTGAAGATGGCAATGAAGATGCAGATGAAGATGAAGAGTCGACGATGGAGCTGGAGTTGATGACGGAGCTGGATTGAGTGGCCGAGCTGGAGGCAACTACCGAGCTGGATTCCATGATGGAACTGGACTGCACGGAGGAAAAGTCAGAGGTTGGACTCGAAGATATGGTGTTGGAGGATGGAGTGATGGAAGACTCAGGTGTTGATGAGACGGAAGTGTGTGGGAGGGATGAGCTCTCGATAGATGAATTGGAGGTGGTTGATGATTCAGAGGAGGAGGATGGAGTTGAAACTGAGCTGTGGGTGTGTGGACCATACAGGGTTGTTGTTGTAGTTCCTGTGATGGTGTGGCCTGGAGAGTCTGTTGTGGAATAGAAGGAGACTATTTCTGTGTCGATGATACTGCTTCCTGATGAACGGGTAGTTGTGTAAGGAGGGGGGATGATGAAGAGAGATGACATTGACGATGACATTGAAGATGACAATGAAGATGACAATGAAGATGACAATGAAGATGACATTGAAGATGACAATGAAGATGACATTGAAGATGGCAATGAAGATGGCATTGAAGATGGCAATGAAGATGCAGATGAAGATGAAGAGTCGACGATGGAGCTGGAGTTGATGACGGAGCTGGAGGCAACTACCGAGCTGGATTCCATGATGGAACTGGACTGCACGGAGGAAAAGTCAGAGGTTGGACTCGAAGATATGGTGTTGGAGGATGGAGTGATGGAAGACTCAGGTGTTGATGAGACGGAAGTGTGTGGGAGGGATGAGCTCTCGATAGATGAATTGGAGGTGGTTGATGATTCAGAGGAGGAGGATGGAGTTGAAACTGAGCTGTGGGTGTGTGGACCATACAGGGTTGTTGTTGTAGTTCCTGTGATGGTGTGGCCTGGAGAGTCTGTTGTGGAATAGAAGGAGACTATTTCTGTGTCGATGATACTGCTTCCTGATGAACGGGTAGTTGTGTAAGGAGGGGGGATGATGAAGAGAGATGACATTGACGATGACATTGAAGATGACAATGAAGATGACAATGAAGATGACAATGAAGATGACATTGAAGATGGCAATGAAGATGACATTGAAGATGACAATGAAGATGACATTGAAGATGGCAATGAAGATGCAGATGAAGATGAAGAGTCGACGATGGAGCTGGAGTTGATGACGGAGCTGGAGGCAACTACCGAGCTGGATTCCATGATGGAACTGGACTGCACGGAGGAAAAGTCAGAGGTTGGACTCGAAGATATGGTGTTGGAAGATGGAGTGATGGAAGACTCAGGTGTTGATGAGACGGAAGTGTGTGGGAGGGATGAGCTCTCGATAGATGAATTGGAGGTGGTTGATGATTCAGAGGAGGAGGATGGAGTTGAAACTGAGCTGTGGGTGTGTGGACCATACAGGGTTGTTGTTGTAGTTCCTGTGATGGTGTGGCCTGGAGAGTCTGTTGTGGAATAGAAGGAGACTATTTCTGTGTCGATGATACTGCTTCCTGATGAACGGGTAGTTGTGTAAGGAGGGGGGATGATGAAGAGAGATGACATTGACGATGACATTGAAGATGACAATGAAGATGACAATGAAGATGACAATGAAGATGGCAATGAAGATGACATTGAAGATGGCAATGAAGATGCAGATGAAGATGAAGATGAAGATGAAGTACTCGTTGAAATAAAGTTTGAAGAGAATATGGAGGAATTTTCTAATTGACAGGTCTGTGGCGAGTAAGGTTCACTGTATGTCAATACAAAAAAGTTGTCAGCTGATTCATATGATGCTCCGCTATCATTATTGGTTATAAACTTTTTTGTATTATAACCGCAGCCAATTTGATAAGCATAAGTCTTACCTTCTACAGTTGTTAATTTCACTATTCCACTTGATGGATTATATGTGAAAGACTTTCCTTTGCCTTTCACAGCGATTGACGTAACACCAGTATCAGAGGTCCCTAGGCCGTTAATTACCACAATATTACTTAACGGATCACTTGTCTGTAAAAATGAACCACCATTTATTAAATTGACTACTTGACCACTAAAGGTATTGGCATTTACAAACATGTTGCTTCCATCTAGATTTATTTGTGCTGCTCCGCTTACCGCTCCATTGATCTGGGCATTGATCGAGCCTGTGAATTCCCATAAGTTGTTATTGACTGTTGTAGTCGTAGATGCTCCTATATCAACATTTTGCATGCAAGAGCCTGAATAAATGGAGCCTGTATCAGTTAGAACCTTATAATAAAATTTACCGTTGTTCAGAAAATTCTGCGGAGCAATAACACTTGTGGGTAAGCAGCATCTTCCTTCAACACCCCCACTGATAATTTCAAATTCACCATCATTTTGAAAATTGATGGGAAATACTTGAATACTTGAGTTTGAACATTGATTAGCGTGCCTTTTAATGTTTTCTATTATAAACTGCCCATTATTTTGAAGATTGTTTGTATTTTTGATTAATAAATGAAACGAATTAGGAACATCTGTGGGGGCGCTCTGAAAGGATGAAAAATAACTTTCCTTTCCAATATACAAGGTACCTCTACCTATTTCAAAATTATTACTGAAATCGTAATTACTGCCGCCGTAGTAATCTAGAATACTGTTATCACCAACAATTACCGGATCTGTTACTCTCTGATCACCCGCTACACTTCTAACAGTTTGATCAGCCCAGGATATTGAAAGCAGTCCCAATATGGCTAAAAGTGTTACAAACGAAATCATTTGGCTATTGTGATTATCTTACTTTTTGAGAAATAAACAAATGACTATTATATTGATGTTGTGACATTATATGACATTATGCTTATTATTTATATACTATTTTGGATATTTGGGTAGTATTGCTGACATTATCAATTTACAAGATCGAAAGAACAACACTTAATGTTATAAAACTAAAATTTTACTTCAGCAGACCTGAACTAAAAAACCAACAAATAGGATATCCATAATATTTTTTGCAGAACCAGTTATTTGCCATTAAGCATCCTAAGTTTGAAAATTCTGTTAAACAAAATAACAGATTTTAAGATATCAGAAATGGCCATGTATTTCTTACTTCTCAGAAGTATTGCACTCGCGAATTTTAGTACGTCATTTTGGCAATTTAAGACAATATCATGCAAATAACGCTAATATGTTAAAAGTTTTTTTGGTTCAATAAGATAGAAATTAAAACCCGGATCAATGGAAAGCAAATGCTTATTAATTTAGAAAAGAAAGAGTTTAAGCAAATAACCTTCTGTGAAATGGGATCGCGAGAGCAACATTCATTGATAATGATATTAATGCCGGTAATTCTCGACTTTAGTATATGACGAAAGAGACTAATCAAATTGGAATTTCTCTACTTACAGAGTAACCATCCGAAAGTTTAACGAATATAATACACAATAATTAAACAAATATGTTGTGCTTATAATAATGATGTCATGGGTTTAATATTTAGGAACATGTTGTATCTTTTCCCAATGAGATATGCTTGAGTGTTCCTATATTTTTGCAATGTTGTTGCCCATTTAGTCCTCATTACTCAACACATACTATAAGATAGATAATTAAAAAAAAGAAAAGGAAATTATCCAATAATTGTTTTCATCAAACAAGGTAGCTGAATGAACTTGGATTTCATTGTGCTTTGTAAAGACCCTTGAAAAATGTTTCTAACTTCTTCTTACTTAAGTCGGCTTTCTATCTATGCCTTGGTTATCTGAGATAGTTCAAGCTGCTGAGCTTAAAATAAACTAGAACATTTAAAAATAGCTTGGCATTTTCAATCGCAGTAATGCATTGACACATCTTTTGCATATATCATCTGCTTGCTTATCTGAGGTTTACTGATTAGCGAAAGGATTGCCGTGTAAACTTTGTTAACAAAATTTTTGTTTTTCTCCACGGAAAAAATACGGCGAAATTAGTAAGAAAATGGAAGAAAAAGTAAGAAATTATAAGTTACATCGACATACATACATCATATGCTGGTTTAAATCAAATCGATTGCGCTATTTTCTGACATACGAAATTTCGACTAGGATTCCAGTTTACACTACTGCCTTTTTCAGCTCTGCTTATTCATTCTTGCCAGCATATTGCTTACTGCCAAGACCAAACACTAACTTACTTTCCCGGTTGAAGTGTTACTACCTTGATTCATGTTGTTTATACAGATAGTAACAGGTAGCTTTATCACTTAAAATATTATACCTTCAATAAGATGGATATGCTAAAAGGTATTAGCCTCACAATTCCAAAATATATCGATGTAGCAAAGGAATGCTAAACGAAGTTAGACGAATGGACCTACACGCAACCACAATAACCAATGGGCTTAAAAACATTTCCTTGTCACAAAGATTTTTGCCTTGTACTGAATACAAATCCGACTTCAACCATAATATAAACTCTTGCCCAGGTAACTTGTATTTCGTCTTTCTAAACCTACTTCTGAAACGAGGTAAATTTTTGAATTCGTAATGCAGGTTAATGAAACTACGGTAAAGGTAATGAACTTGTAAAACCCACGCTAAAAATAGAATTTTACTTTGTTGAAGGGGCCAAAATTTTACATAATACGTACTTTTGAAGGGTCTTGGGCTCTGGATATATGCTTAGATATGGAACTGATTTATTTGAAAGTCCCTTCCTTGAACAATCCTATCGGCTCAATTTCTAGATCTGGAAATTGGGTATATTGTAAAATTAGAATTCTAAGCATCTTTCTGAAATGATTATCATGGCACCAATAGTCAAATTGTAAATTTAAAAAAGCTTCAGAAGGTTTTTACAAACACATATCTATTACTTGTAACCACAAATACACTTCTGTGTTCTTAGGCAATGAAATCAATTATATCCGTTTGATGTAAAATCTTATAGGGAGATACCATCCATGTATTGACAAGTGTATAGAAACACTTTAGAATAAAAGAGGTGATGAATACTTTGACATACAATACATCTGAGGTAAACTTCTATTAAAAAGTGTTTGTTCTATCTTTATTAAAATTTTTCAATATGAAACCTCCCCAAAGTAGAAATTCTCATACTGTAGTTAGATAATTGAGCCTTACCTTTTCATTTCTACTACTTTTCATTAAATTTTGTTATCTATTCGAATTAAAATTGAAAGAAAAGCTGAAAATGAACGTGACATAAACTTCATTCATATTATCGAGATTTGTATCCCTTACAGCTCCCTCACAAAATTGTGCGTCATAGGTAACAGATTAAGCAAAAATACCTACATTTATTAACATTATGTATTTACCTATATACCTAAATATAGAAACAGGACCCAGTATTCAAAGTTTATTTATCCCTTTCACTCAGTAATAGATGCTGTTTATTTGGAAATATTTCTTAACTCCGTAACTATTATATATTATCTTGTTGCAAGGAAGGTGAGGGCTGTTCAGCTGTTAATCTATTAGACTGCTGCATTTGGGAAAAAAACAAAATAAGGCATACCATGAATCTGAAAAGAAGAAAGAGACACAACAATTTTGCATAATCACAGGCTTTCTTGCTTTATAAATTCTGGACTAAATTCTAATTTCCAGCCAGCATTGTTAAAGACTGCAGTGGCTAGTTAAAAACTTTTTCTTTTTACTTTACAACGTTTGAAAGTTAACATTATTTCCTTGTAATATCTAACATATGCCAGACTTATTTTTAGATGAAATATTGTTAATATGTTTCATACTATTCTTTATTAACACTATTTCTTACCCTATAACGAAATCAAAACAAAAAGTACCAATCACTCTGCCTGTGCAATGTTGACTATGAGATCGCAAAGCAGCTCATAGCCACCTCCTTTTGTTCAATACATTCCATAAAAAAAGACAGACATAGTTTGCGAATATGGGAGCAGATGCAATCAAAAAAATCTCATATCTCTTTAGATAACATAGAAGTATAAAGCCATTTCTGAAGAATAGAACTGCATTAACAGAATTTCTCTCTTTAACATATTTTTTTTGAAGAGTAACTTCCAATACTAGTTAACAAAGTTATATATAATAATTCACCGAATCTCACAAAATACCTGATTTAAGATTCACAATAGTATATAATTGAGTTTTTTAACAAACCTATAATAGTATCTATTTTACTTTTATATTGGTATTTCATTCTTAAATTCATTCTTTATCACAAAAACTTTACCAAAAGTTGGACGACCTCATTACTGCAATCTTTCACCAAACAACATAGCTATGTTCTATTTCCTAAGCAAATACAGTGATCTTCAGCAAGGAAAAATGATTTGAATTAAGTAACTGCTGTTGATAATTGGATTAAGTTATGAGTGTCAACTATATTCCATAATAATTATACTTTAAAAATTAGCCTTTCTATTCGCTCATCCTTGAACAGTTAAATTCCTTAGACATACAATATATGCTAATACTATAAGAATACTTTAACAATACAAGTAAACTGGTTTACCATCCAAGAAGGTTCAACTGAAGAAATTGTTTGAAGTGAAGTATCAAACACCTATCAAAATTCGTTGGATCAGAAAATAATCCTTAAAACCAACAAAACACATTATCAAAGTGTTGCTATGTTTCAATATCTGTTCTTTATTCAGTATAAGCCAAAAAAAGTGTCAAAAAGACTACAGCATACTATTAATTTAATGTCTCGAGCTTATAGGTAATTACCCAAGAATATTGTACGCTTTTGGAACTGAGACTCACATTTTATGTCACTCCTGGAAGTGACTATCCTGCTGTATAGTTTGCCCATAGCACCATTTAGATTGCCTGTAATATAAAACCCATCCCTGTACATGCTTTTGGTACTGTTTGATATATCTTTGGACCCACCATTATTAATTAAACATTGATATACGAACCTAAATGGCAGTTAATGTATGGGGTATTTAGAGTAAATATTTTAACGGCTTGAAGAAACCTCAAGTTGAATTATAAGGTACTGATGTATGAACAGGAGATATACATTTTTGATTTCACGATTCCAATACAAATTATGGCATCATCACCCTTTCAAAGCGTTATGTCTCATATAAGACGTATGGTATCTTTGTGTATTAAAAGTATTGTCTTTCAAATCTGAATAAAAAAATGTAGAATCAGTTCAGCATATTACACAATAAATAACCATGTTCAAATCAACTTAACATTTTCTTTCTTACATTCAATTGAGGATTTGTAGGAAGGTTCTTTTTATACTTTCATGATGGCTCATCCTTGTGGTGAGATTATATTATAGCTATGAAAACAATATTTGTTCAGAAGATTAACATTCTGATATTTAATACCACGTATTCAATAAATGCACTTGTACAGTAGTTGAATATGAGCCACCTCTACATGCCTAACAAAAATGTATCCGAGAAGCCAAGAATATAAGAAGCTTGATATTAGTATTCACAACTAGTCTACCAATTCAATCAGTAATATAATAGTTTTTCAGTTTCTCTCTAAACTTTACTGAATGTGGCCTCTGTTTCGATGGTCAAAAATTCACAGATTCAATCAACAAATAAGCTAGAAGAAAATTACTTCCATTGACCCACCAACAGATTATTTAAAATACCATATTGGAGTACTATATAGCATATCAGACAACAAAAGATTGACTTATTACATCAAAGGATAAAAGATTGAATGAAAAAATTTATTACTTGCCAAACAAAGAAAAACATGTATAGAATCAACAGTCAAAAGTATTCAAATTTTTAAGCCTAACTTTTCCAACAGTCCTAGATACTAAAAAATCTTTCCAAATCCCTCATCTAGAAAATCATTTCAGTTAATACTATAACCACAGATTTCTAAAATCAATGAATCAACAAATATATCTTATCAGTGCCAAATAATTGTAGAAATTAATCAAAACTTCATCTTTATCTTTTGCTGCTAAAGGAATTCTGACATTGGAAAGCTGGAAACAGCCAATGGTTTTGACATGCCAGCTTACTGAACTGGACCCGAACGCACAAGCCACCAACACTATGAAGACTTTTGTATTGATTTTTGAATTAAAATGTTAGCTATTGGATTGTTGAAAGAATGAATTTTTAGAATACTACAACTTCAAATAACAATAAACGTACTAAAAACTTACAGAATTACTTTGAAGTCAGGATTCCTTATGTACTCTTTAAGACGTCATTGTACTAATCATTAAATTAATATTATTCTATCAACAAGACTTATATATCTTTTGGTTTCCCTTTCTCAAGTATCCAAAATTTTTGCCAGGATTGTGTTCTGTTCAGTACACAATTTTCAATATACTATCATATGATAAGGAAGATTGGCATCTTTGTTTCAACAAAATCAATGAGTGAAAACGAATTCTTCGCCATAAATTACTGTGGTGCAAAAATCATTCATGTAAATTGATAATGCTGTCATTATAATGCTAGACTGAGTTATCAGCAACTGTACAGTATATAATTTATCGAGACCCTCCAATGTAGCCAAACAGGTCCACAAAACGCTTCTGGTAATTAAATAATGCTAGCAAACATGAACAGGAAGTCAGAAAAATAGATGAGCTACGGTATCTTATTTGTAAATGCATCTATGACGTAGATTATATGGCATGATAGCCTACATCGAGAAAAAATTAAATTAATTTTTATTAGGGCAAAGCTTCTCCAGGTTGAGATGTACAAATTTTTTTCAGCTTAAGGGTTGAAGACCTCCCGGGGCGTACTTTGCTATCCGTTGTGCATAGTTTCTTTGTTTCTTTGTCAATCCAGAGCGAGATAAACGTTATCAAGCTGTCAAGACAGGAAAGTCAAATTATGTAATTCAAATCATAATGACAAGAAAACTACAGTACGATTTTATCAGGTGCCTTAAAGACTGGCCGTTTAGTATTCTAAAGACCTTAAGGGATAAGGCCTTGTCTGGGATATATGCAAGATATAGCTGTAATAACGATTATCTGCAGATGTACAAAAAATCGTATAGACGGAAATGGGATTTCGAAAATGTCAACCTATTTGATATTTTCATAATATCAAAACTCTGCACACATTTAACATACTAAATTGAAAGTCCAGATTGTGTTGTATGAGAATTGGACATAAAAGCCTATAAGAATGCCATTGAATTTACTTGCATTTCCAAGAAGGATTTGGTATAATCCTACTATAATAGCTGTTTTATTCTTTTGACATATCAATGAAGATCGAGAATCAAAGCTTGCAATATACACAGCAAAAACCTACGAAAACTTCAACAAAGTCTATTCTACCTGACATTTCTATTTCATTGCATACATGGTTTCACGACTACATGGGCTGGTTTAGCATTAGCTCCGTTTTCTGTAAGTTTCAAGATCCTTAGGGACATATATGACACTCAATCTACTTTCAACACACAGAACAAATCAACTCAATCTAGAGATCGAATTGTCCAATATTTTCAAAATATGCAGTGAAGAAGAAAAAACGGCCTCACTATAACCTTACCTTTAAAATGTACACGAATATGGCATTACTATAATGCAATTACATCATGCTACATTAATTTCTTCGCAAAGATGCGGTATATGTGCAAAATTTTCACTGACTCAGTAATATATTTTCAAAGATAACTGTAGCAAGCTGTATCGACTACCCTGTTAAACCTACATATCAACTGTTATCATTATCTGGACTTTGATTTGAAATCTAAAATGTTGACTGGAATATTTATGATACACTTGACTGTAGAATTGAACTGTTAGTATAATATTAAATTGGAAAGACCTATTTATGATATCCTATCACTTATTCTACTGTTTTTTTTTACCCATTTTGAAAATAAGGCTCTGAAATAACTTAGTATTCATGGAGTTGTGGCTAGATAATATAATGAAAGTCAGTATTACCTTTCAATATGATCAAACGATATGGTGAATATATATATATAAATCTACAAGGATAAGTCACCACCCGTTTTTGTACTTAATAAACAGAAGAGGTTCGAGCATGTCTTATCATAAAGTAAAGAAGGTTCAGTACTTTTGTGAAATACGAAGATGAGAAATATCCAAATTCATTGGCAGTACATCTTGTTCCTTCTTTTTTCGTATTTTGACGTTAATATGGCTGAGTTTCTAACTGACAATACTAATTCACTATTAAATTATGGATATCATGATCCAACGACATTTCCCCTCGGATGTTCACCAGAATTTACAAAGACCAAAAAAGGTCTATCTATGGAACTATACCGATATGATTATCTGCCGCCAGGATCGTACCCTTGCTGGGACTCAGCGTATCTCAATCCCAGCTACCCTAGAACAGGTTATAAAGCCAAAAAATTAATTGCCACAGTTGATGGAGTCTCTGGTGACATTAACTTTAAATTTAACCCAAAATTTGGCTGCAAGGCAATACCTGATTATCTTCCTTCAAACTTTAATTACCATGAGCCAATCACAATTACCAACTTCACCATGATTCTCTATGGATATTTCATGCCAAAGACCACTGCTTTTCATACCTTCTATGTAACGGCTGATGATCTATTATTTATGAATTTTGGTGCTGGTAATGCTTTTGACTGTTGTAGGAGGGAAGAAACTGCTGACAAATTTGGTAACTATGCAGCCTATTCAGTTTGGGGCAAAAAAAGCCTCAAAAATGAACTTACTGTTTATTTACATACGGGTGTTTATTATCCAATCAGACTTTTCTACAATAATCGAGATTATATTGCTCAATTAGACATCAGATTCAAAACAGAGCATTCAAATGCAATAATAACCAATTTTACGGATTATTTTTACTCAGTTGATGACAGTTCACTCGGCTGTCCTGGTTTAATTACATACGAGAAACAATGTGCAGATGTACAATCACCAAGGATTGTCGAGACCAAATTCCTGACTGTCCAACCTGGAGATGAAATTCTTCCAATAACAAAAACAATTCTGTATGTGGGTGTACCTTGCAGCTCGAGTGAACCTCTATACCAGTCCTCTCCTTCCACATCATCGAGAAGATTAGACTGTCCATCAGATCTGTTTTTTGATCCGTTGGCGGAAGAATGTGTTACCATATCCACACCTTCTTTCCCTCCTATACCATCATCGTCATCATTGCCAACTTCATCACAAGAATATTCATCTAGCTCTCACCGACTCCCCAGTAGTTCTCATGCTCTGATTCACAGCTCAAGCGTCGTAATATCAACTATCTCAAGTTCGATGCCAAGTTCGATGCCTAGCTCAGTGATCAAGCCATCGACAGTTTCGAACCACTCGAGTTCGATGCCAAGTTCGATACCAAGTTCGATGCCAAGTTCGATGCCAAGTTCGATGCCAAGTTCGATACCAAGTTCGATGCCAAGTTCGATGCCAAGTTCGATACCAAGTTCGATACCAAGTTCGATACCAAGTTCGATGCCAAGTTCGATGCCAGGTTCGATGCCAAGTTCGATACCAAGTTCGATGCCAAGTTCGATACCAAGTTCGATGCCAAGTTCGATACCAAGTTCGATACCAAGTTCGATGCCAAGTTCGATGCCAAGTTCGATGCCTAGCTCGGTGATCAAGCCATCGACAGTTTCGAACCACTCGAGTTCGATGCCAAGTTCGATTCCAGGTTCGATGCCAAGTTCGATACCAAGTTCGATGCCAAGTTCGATGCCTAGCTCGGTGATCAAGCCATCGACAGTTTCGAACCACTCGAGTTCGATACCAAAATCCTCTACTCCCACGGGAGATATCCCAGAGCCACGAATTCTTAATATTACTACCACCATCACCAATCATAGTAGTGAAACACCACCATTTAGTGGACATTATTCAATGCACTCTGAAAGGTCAACGCATAACTTTACCTCTTATCCAAGATCTCGTCACGACACTCCATTTTTTTCCACACCTACTAGATCTAAAAGTTTGAGTTCAATTAATCCAACTAGAGCTTACCATAGTAGCATTCCGCTATTTTCAAGCTCTGACAATAGCTCCAACATCGAGTCAAGTATTATCTCTAGTTCTTCATCCTTTGAGTTGAGGTCGGTCTCGACCCCGAAACTAATATCCTCAACAATGGTACCAATTTTCAGTAAGACTAAAAGCTCCACTCGCTCACACATTTACTGGAATAGGTCAACTATAGAAACAGCTTCATCACGGAGTCCAAGTCCAAGTCCAAGTCCAAGTCCAAGTCCAAGTCCAAGTCCAAGTCCAAGTCCAAGACCTGACCCTCAACCAAGTCCAAGACCTGACCCTCAACCAAGTCCAAGACCGGACCCTCAACCAAGTCCAAGACCTGACCCTCAACCAAGTCCAAGACCTGACCCTCAACCAAGTCCAAGACCGGACCCTCAACCAAGTCCAAGACCTGACCCTCAACCAAGTCCAAGACCTGACCCTCAACCAAGTCCAAGACCGGACCCTCAACCAAGTCCAAGACCTGACCCTCAACCAAGTCCAAGACCTGACCCTCAACCAAGTCCAAGACCTGACCCTCAACCAAGTCCAAGACCTGACCCTCAACCAAGTCCAAGACCTGACCCTCAACCAAGTCCAAGACCTGACCCTCAACCAAGTCCAAGACCTGACCCTCAACCAAGTCCAAGACCTGACCCTCAACCAAGTCCAAGACCGAATCCTCAACCAAGTCCAACTCCGAAGCTACTGTCCGATTTTTCATCATTGCATCATTCACACTCTCTAAATGCCATTTTTAGAAGCGCCACAAGCCGGCATGATACTTACACCACTATTTCTGCTTTTTTTACCCCACGCTTATCACTACAAATCACTACACTAGTACAACAACCAACAGCGTCGGATGCTTTGAATAGCTTGTACCTTGGTGGAACATATCGTCTCAATGTTAGTTACTTTTTATTTCCAGCGCTTTTAATATTTACAATTGCCAATATTCTTGTTTAGTTACTTCATCTATATCATCAAATATTCGTTTTCTACTGCAAGCAGTTTTAATTATATTTTAGGTAACGTTCTCTAGATAGATACGGTTTTAATATTTTGATGACGAAAAAAACATTCAATGCGTTTACTTATAGTAATAAATTTTTATGCCATTGTTGTGAATTCTACTAACATATGAAACTTTCAAAAATTAAGTAAAATATGCCTGTTTATACAATTGCTGGACAGACTGATGTTTAAATGTATATTATAGTTGATTCAGTATTATAATATGAGTATCTTGTCATAAGTATTGGGCTAGACTGTTTGGATTAATCCTGCTGAAGATATAACTATCCTACTAGCACGAAAAAATGAAGAATAATCAATATCGAAAAATATTGAAATACAAAATTCACCTAAGAGGTGTACATCATGAGATTTTGTGGAATGGACTAGTTTGTAGATTAAACTCAATTTGGCCTCACTACTACCAGCAACTACTATCTCTTCAAGAATGACAGTATTTTGGTAGAAATTTTCGCACTCCATTTCTTCAGTATGACAGTTTTTAAGACATAACACTGCAGTTTGAATCAAGATCAAAATGTTAGAGGCCTACATTGACATTCCACTTATTAAAGGATCATAAAACTTAATAAATATAGGTAGTAATTGATAGATGATATTGTTCTCTACTTTTTTTTTTTATATTTAACTATACAAAAATGACGCGACTGTTCAATAGTGTCTAGAAAGGCCTCGACCATATTGCGACTAATGAAGTATCTCTCCAAACACAAAGCTTAGTTTGCTACACTAACAAGAATACTTGCAACAGCTTGATTTATATTTTGTCACAGTTTTGCTATAAAGCAATATGTTCAAAAATATCTATTAAAAGCTCCATAAACACTACACACCATTTGAAACTTTCCATGGAATTTCTATTTGAATATTGTATGCTAGATCTATAACCTCAATAAAAACTACTATAATAGACGGACAGAAAACTATTTACTACTATTGTTATATTTTCTATTACCTCCCTATGCTGAATTTACATATGCTATGTAGTAATTATTTGACAGTAATAGCAAATTTAAGGTATAGGCTTTCGTTTCGGGCTTATGACAGTTGAACCATACCATGAACAAAAATAAACAACTCAGTAACTCTATTATTCAATAGCAGTAAAGACAACGTAGCTACCACCAATAAATGATTAACTATATTGCTTGTTGTTAAAACACAGATAATATCAGTTTACTAGCAATAATGGAAAATCAAATTTGTCAGGAACTATTATGGAAGTCAAAACATTCTATAGTTCAATAGCTCAAGGAAGATTCTCTGTTATTACCCCAGTTTTAGTAGATATTAAATGCAAATGGCATTACTCTTATAGCACAATCAGACGTTCAAGTACCTGACCTCTTACATTCAATATATTGATATCCAGAATATCTGGCTTTGATATGTCTCAATGTTGATTTTACTACATGCTTATTTTGAAAGGTATTGGATAATCCGACTCTATCTTCTCATCTGATATCAGTCGGCCATGTAAAAGATAGTAAAACATAATCTCAAATTAGAGAATTCGAAATTGATTCAACTGTTAATAAGGTGAATAAAAAATACTATGTACTGGATTATGCAAAAATATATAACATGCTTATTTCAGCTGCACATAGACTACTAAAATCCCAGTGTAATATTTACACATGGAATACAAAGTAATATTACATTTGAACAAATATGAATCATTTTCAATAGGAGTTCTTTATCATTCATTGGTTACGAGTAATTAATGGTAATAGCAAGATGGTTTACCCATCCACAAAGATATGTCTTCTTAGAGTCACACCAATATTGAATTGGTTAATATCACTTAAAGAATGATTTTTTGTTTGAAATTGATCAAAAACAAACCAGGTTTATAACCCAGATAGTTACTTTTATGTTACCATACTTTTATAGTTTTGAATGTAAGTGACAAACAATATGTATAATTTCAATAAGTTGTACAGAAGTATGAAAATTGTAACGAATCAGTTCGGATTTAACTACTGATATCATGATTAACAGATATATAAAGAATTATTTATCATCCATCCATTTCCAGAAAGTAATATACTATTTATCCCTTTAAGGTTTTTACTGAAGAGATCGACTATTTTTAGCAGGCTATTCCAACAATTCTGTTAGAAATATTCATCCAATATGAAATTGCAACAAGGCAATATTCATCAATATATCCCGTGATATTCACATTACTATTCCATATTGGCATGAAAATAAAACAATCTTTCAAATACTGTTAACATTTAGATCCATCAAACTTTTTGCTAGTTTGCAGTAACTTACAATACTATACTAGTAATAACAATGTTCATATCAAGCTATGCCAGTACTGACCACACGCCAGAGACCACAGTATCTAAATATTACAGGAAATGGCTACTCTAACTTGTACTTCAATACAGATATACCTTCAACGACCATATTCTATTGTCCTGGGATTTCCCAAAAAAGAACTGTTTTGAAAAAAATAATAGTGCCAATTCTCATTGCTTTCAACGTAAAGGGAAAGCTTTATTTTAGACTTAGCATGATAATCAAAGACATAACCTTCCGATCATAACCTTGGAACATGGATTCTCTAGAATTCCTAATGCTAATTCCTAAAAGGTCCTCTGAATATGACAGGTATGGAATACTTGAAAAACGCATTAATTGCTCAATTCCATTGAAGTGCAATCAAAGATATTTTAATTTTGCAGCATATCACACTATCATTTTGTATAGGCTAGGAAGAAACCAATGGCAGATTTCGGTATAGAAACCAAGCTGCATCGATATCAAGACCCAACTAAGCAAATTGGTATCTAAACTTGCATAATTCTGCTGCGCCCAATAAACAGCAAATATATTGAGATAAGCTAAATGAGCAGGTCTAGGTTCAATTACTAAGCCCAAATCATCGATATTAGAGGGCAAACTATTCCTCAGGCTAACTGATATCCATCTTAAGCATCTTCTACCAGTATCGAATCAGAAAATCTAATTTTTTTCAAATAGATTCCAGGTTATGGATTGGTTTCCTTACGTTCTAGGCTATATGGATATCTTATGTGCAAAGTTTGTTTACAATCTATACGCTAGAATTATGTTTTTTGTAGTAGTTGCCAATGAATAGGATCCTGTGACAGCGTAATATTCTCATTATTGAAATATCACGTATAACGAGTTATTATTATTTTCATCATGTGTTAATCAATTGACCGTTGGAACCATTATATTACTTTAGTTGGATGAGGAAACATTATATAGGCTATCTATACCAAAACATAAAATTTAGCAGAAATTTAACTATTATGTGACAAAAAGTAACAATTTTATGATATGTATTAAAATTTGTGATCTTTCTAAAATATTTTAAAATAAATATATATATTTAGTTCCATGATGTTCCGCTTGAAAATAAAACAAATCTTCCAGATGGTATAGGAACGTCGAATAGTATAGTAATGACTATATACGTATTTTTATTTGATATGTTAGTGAATTGTTGATTACAATATCTATATGCTAGATGTGGTAACACAACACTTTTTTCCTCCGAAATATACAGAAGTTAACTTTTATGACAAATCCTAATTATAATGTTCTGGAATACAGATTTCAATGGCTATAGGATAATAACAATTATACCAGTCATAATGTCTTTCTATAGAATTTCTTATTGTATGCTACCATAGGAAAACAGTATTTTTTCATGTCGCAATTCCTTCTTCGCAAGAATGATTTACGAATGATTTTTTTTTGTATTAACAACTAACTAAAAATAGCCCAACATAATAATTTGCAATCTCTTTGAAAACCAGTTCAAAATCCTGATTATATACAAACAGTAGATAATTTTTATCGATTATTAACAGGCATATCTTTATATAGAAGGAATTGAAAATCCAGTTCCGTATTACCAGTGTTTGACTAATTTTCAATCCGTTAGGTGGTATTTCAAGCAAGTCCCTACTCGAGGAATTTCTAAATCAGACATAAGGTTCTGGTATAACCTCTACTGCTTTATTCTTTGGCCAGTTATCTCTACAAATTATTTTGAATCGATTCTATTTTGAACTCTATAAGGAAGCTGAAAAACAGAATATCAATGTTTTTGAAATATTTGTTATCTATAACTGTGATGGTAATAAAGAATATCATTGACTATTACGTTAATCCAAATATTTAAAAACCAGTTGGTACTACCGGTTCTTACTATGGATGAATTCCTGTAGATGAATCAAATTGTTATTATACTGATGTTCCGTTTAGTGATAATACCGAAAGTGTAATTTTTTTGTTTGATAACCCTTATCAACCCCAATGACATACTGTTTCTATAGAAAGCATGGAAACAGAAAATTTGTATAGTTAAGAGAGTTATATAAAATCTCAAAAACTTACATAAGATTTGTGGTTCTGTTAATTTGAGTATGACTGGAAAGCAGGATTGAGAGCTTAACATCCTGTAGAGTGGATTATAAAAGAGCATATGGATTTTCAAGACGAATTATGTATCGAGGTTACAAAATATACAAAATGTAAGTCTAGAGATAGAAGAAAATCAAAGAATAGTGGCTGAATTATTATAATAATAATTTATTTGAGCAGATATTGTGCGCATTATTTTTCAATTGTATCCTAAGATATCTCTGGACTCCGAGGTTTTGAAAAACAACAGTTATCCAAAACATAATAAACATCCAATGCTTTCCAATATAAGAAAATATATACTTTTATGAATATTTCTAATTTTTTTGGTTTAAATTAGACGCAAAAACTAATCTATTATTAGGAAATGTTGCTTTATGGAAGCTTATTCACCATTGGCTATAGATTGACATAACAAAGGATAAGCAAGTTCCATGGTAATATCTAACAAATATATTATAAGTGATAAAGTTATGTAAGGAAACTTAAATAATTGTTAGTTACTCTCTTATGAAATCCTA